GAACTGAGTTTGGATTTGATTTGATTGGAGCCGAGCCGAATCCTAATATCGCTCCGATTTTCGACAATTTTCGACTCTTGGGCTGCATTCTGAATTCACTTGATGCATACTTGGCGTTTGACGGAATGGTGAATCGATTTGTCGGCGTCTCGGGACTGATAATGGGAAAGTGGAACTTGCATAGAGTTCCTCTCGGAATTTTCCTGTTCTTATTTTCCTTACCCTGCATTTCTCATATCGATTTTATACTGCAATTTCTTCTTTCATGTTTACGTTGGTGCTTCCCATCCAAGTCTGACGGCGATGGTGACGATGATAGACGCTATTTACGACCGTTGCCCCCATTACGCGCCCGCGGGTCTGACCTGGACTTTTTGAATCGTTTCTGATTTCGGATTGACTTTTCGTGTCCTTCTGGTTTTTCTCTTTACCTCTTTTTCTCTTTTACCGTTATTTCTGGATCTTATCATCTCTTTATTATTTCATCGATACCCTGTTTCTTTCTCTTCGTTTTCTTCACTGGTTTTTGTTTTGAATGTCTCCAGATTCCGAGTCTTGAATGCAGTTACAGATCATATATTTGATATTTATTGAATCTCTCTTCTCCATTTTTCTCCCCTACTACTCAATATTAATTCCCCTTCCTTCGTTTCCGTATACCAGAGTCACTTTCATATCGTTGACCTTTTAGTTGCGCGTACTACATCTGATCTTCTTGACTTACGTCTTACTACATATCAAACCAATGTCACAGTATTGGCCAAGCCACGCTGCAAATGTTTATTTTTATTATTGGGGTACGACGGCTAAATTCTCCTAAGAGTCATGTGTTGCTCCAAGGTCGCTGTACGTAAGTGCAGTACGTGTACTAGGTTCTTCCCAGTCAGTACTAGCAGTAGTTTTACTATTTTAGGATGATCCACTTTGGCCCTCGTATTTACACTCTTCCCGAGGTCAGTCTTCGATTTCCGAGACATTCGACCTCAGCATTATCTAGGTAGGGATGCCTTGTCAACACAGAATCTGTTACCTGCAGCTTCAATCCTGTCCCGGACCTTCCAGATTGCTTTTAATCATAGGTGCCTAGCTGTGATATCCCAAGACCACTTCATACTATTAGTACCGAGGCCCCTGTGAAACCCTATAATCATAACGCCTAGCCGGGATCCGGCGACAAGGTTGTCTAGCAGATACGCGAACTGCTTCGCAGGGTACTCTTCGTCTCGAATCCCATAACCTTCCTACTAATGTATTGGTGTCGATGACCCGCGAAAGTACCGCTTTTGCGACAACACCCATGCGTCAGATCCAGCAAGAGTTTCCTTTGTGGATGTCTGAAGATGTTGTGATCCGGCAGGAGACCTAGAGTGTTAAGGCTATTTTATTCGTAGGTGGTCATGACGCACGGATATCGAGGGTCTGGGGTCTCCAGTGGAGGGTCAATAGTGATGCCGCTCTTTCAGCGCGAGTAGACCATTGAAGCGGCAGTACCAGGAATCGATGGAGGCGCATCAAGTAGTCCAATTTTGGCGAGTCGGTGGGGTCGATTTGATGGTTCTGCGATGGGTACTGTCGAGAGCGTATGTGCATATCGATTTCGGCCTCTTTATCCCCATATGCCGTCGCACGGTGAGCTGGACTGACGTGCCCGTAGTGCAGATTATATCGATCAGGGTGAGAGAACCGCCGCTGGAATGAGGTCCGACATTGAGATCATCTTCCAAGGTTCGGACTATTGGATGATGGCTTTGGTAACTTCGGGATATCAACGACTAGTAGTTTGTTAATTTTCGGCCTTTGTTCACAATATCGAAAGGGAAACCTTTGGTATATGAATGGATACCCTCATTTTCGACGAGAACTTGTCGTAGATTGGCTTTGTTCATAGGGGCCTAGAATGCACCACGCACAGAAGCAATGCCTACTTGACAGACGAGACGTGAGATCATCCCAGAGACGACCCAAGGTTAAGCTCTACAGCGCCGATGAGCCTTTCCATTGCCCAGGTGCTATTCCACCTAGGCACCAGTGAGGTTGAAGTACTCAGTAGCGCGCCACTCTCAACTTGAACCAGGAAGGAAAATGACCTGTCGGTGTCGGAATATGTATTTGGGTGCCACTGCGAACTACTACATAAGAATGCGAAGCAAGCAGACTAGGCAAATATCAGCAATAGCAAAGGAAGATGGCAAATAATGCGGCAGGTACTACTAAAAGAGACGAGGGAGGCAAAACCAGTATTTCAATCGCGACGTACGTCTAGAAAGGAATTTTCGTCCGAGCCTAGATCCAATGGACTTGCTTGTGCAGTGGCAAAGAGCTGCGTTGACAGATCCATTATGTTATTGGCAAATTCTTGGGGGCGTGATATTACGCGCGCACTAGGTCTTTGTCGTAAATGAAAAGGGACATCGGGAACAGGGAGACTGGGGGATAGGGGTACGCGGACAGTGAATGAAGTGGTGATCCATGGATTTGAAATGCTCCAGCGCCTCTGGTCATGGAAAAGGAGGCCGCTAATGTGATACTCACCTGGGCAAGAGGCGACTATAACTTGAACTGTATAGGATTTCTTGCCTCGAGTCCTGGAATCGGACACGGTCTCTCCGACTGCTCAAGAGTTCGAGTTCTCGCTTTGAGCCGATCGCGTGCTTCTGTTCATCAAATCAAGTTTGCAATAGTTCTAGAAATGGTGGCAAAGAAAGTTTCGACGTATGTTGCAATTCAACGTGCTGATTCCATCATCAGACAGGAGTTCGTTCGAAAAATTAAATTGTCAAAGCAGAGCTTTTCTTTTGCCTCATTTCGCTTCCACAAGCCCTGTCATTGATTGAGCCTCGCGAAGCAAATTTCCCTGGGCCAATACCAAAGACGGGACCAGTCGCGTATTTTGAGCCGAGACCTACATAGCATAACGGAAGTCCCCGCAGCCCAATTTCGATTGCTATCAGAAATGACATATAATCCACTCACACGTGGAGAGTAGTCTGCAGTCTCATCTGGCAACTATCCAAACCATTGGCTAGAGACCGCAAAGCCTCTTACCGAAAGGGAGATGCCACCCTTGTTCTCTGCGCACGCATCTTCTTGCCGAAGCTCTGGGCGGATAGGGCGGGTTGCCACAGATCGACAGCATTGGAACCTTCTGTTTACCTCCGTGGATGATCTGGATCTTATTCTGAAGAGCGCAATTGAATATCAGGATCAGAAACATATGATTCTGCGAAAGTTTCTCCAAGGTTTATTGGCGATTTCTTGGATTTCTTCTTCTGCGCCTCGCCTCGCTTGTGTAGTATGAGGTGATGTCGCGTACCTGTAGGCCAAGAGATACCACTTCCGAGCACGGCATTTAGTATCGAAAGAGGGTCCGCCATGGTGATGTCCAATTCATCAACGAACAGGATCTTGTGTTTGGGAAAGCCACGCGGGAAATAAGGAGGCGGGGTTGGGCTTTCCTGAGGCTCGTATTCGCCCGGGCCAGGGCCACGGGCTCGGGGCGATCACGTCGAAATGTGTGTAAATGACGTTTTTTATCTTGCATTTGTACATTGAGCTTATAATGCCAAGCCCTCTTTTTTTGCTTTTTTCTTTCCCTCTTCCCTTTTGCTTCACGTTGGTGCTTCGCGCAAACTTAGATCCGGAATGAATCGCATTTTTTTCGCGATTGTAGGATGGTTATTAAAGCTAGCTCGCACTAGGTGATTAGCCAACTAGGAACTTGTGAAAACCCCTAATTTAGAATCGAGCTTGGATTTGAAAGAAGGCGATTTTTGAAACGAAAGAATTATGTGCGGTTCAATACTCTGGGGCGGAAAAAGCACAGGGGTTCCAAGAAAGAAGCAAATATTGGCAGCGAAGAGGCGACGAAGTGAAATAAGTAAAGATGGGGCTGGACTGAGCTGCACTGCCACTCATGGGGGGGCCCGCAACCTTGTTTCACCGAAGTTAGGGCGAACCCTGATAGAGATGGTGCCACGGACTAGCTGGGCCATAGCCAACGGGAATGAAACTTGAGGTTGCGTAATCGATCTAGCCGGGAAAGCATCTCAATTTGGAGCCAATGCTTGGGAGGCTAGTCACGCAACGAAACAGAAAGGCCAAGGCGCAGAATTCGCGCATTGTGAGTCGTCGACCTTTTCTGGACTCTGGCTTGGTTAGGCTTGCCAAGGGTTAGGCGCCAAGTTGAAATACGGTTCATACAGACTCGGCAAAAAAGCACGTTTTCTTTCGAAACTAGTATTCGTACCGACCGGGATCACATCGATCGCATAGATCGCAAGATTTTACAATAAACTGGAATATGAGTGTCTCGGTGAGCCTCCGATTTCAGCCCTAGCCGTCTCCTTTTTTACTACTATGTATGTATGTACTTGGGGTGGGGACGATGGGCCTTTGAAACGGCCCCATCCTTGGTGGATTGACATCCACAGCTGTCGTGTTAGTATACTACTCCGTAGTATGATGAAGATTAAGTCAGGTACTAGTAGTAAACTACCTTCTTGCGAATTAACTACTAAAACTAGTACTACTCGTAGTACTGTACCAGTACTGTGGAGGTCATCCGCTCAAGCTAGGCTTGGTATATACCAAAGAGTACCCCTTCTGACCTCGGGAGGCGTCTGACAGCGGATGAGAGAGAATGATTTAAGCGAAAGAAAATAAAAGAATAAAGCAATGATCAAATTAATCCGTCAGTTCTGTTCGCATCGGATTGAGAGGGTTCCCACTGGGGTGCTCTGATTGGCCAGCGGGACGGACTTCGATATTTGCATTAATGTTCCAAAATCACGACATCACGCTAAATATGACCAGAGGAAACATGTTATATCCTGCAGGGAGACGTGCTTAGCTGAATCCTGGTAGTCTGGGCGCAATACTATTTTTCTTTTTCTTACCTTTTTAACCATCCCACCCTCCCCCGACCTTCCAGCTTTCTCTCAGGTAGAAACTGGACCCTCTAGTCTTTTATACTTCCTAAAAGCCGAGGGCGAGTCTCAGTCATGTCTGAAAGTACCAGCTCCAAGGTTGGCCATACTCTGGCCAAGGTGCTCAGAATCAATCTGGAGGAGAAGAATTACTATGTCGCTGAGGCGAATAGTCCTCATGCATATGTTGATCCGGATCCCACGACAGGTGAATGGATTCGAGCTCACACCCCCACACGCCGCCAGGTTGGCCGATACTTTTACAACATCTTCCCTTTCATTCACTGGATTGGTTACTACAATCTGCAGTGGCTTATCGGAGATCTGGTTGCCGGTAAGTTAGGACTGATATACGCGTCAAGAATCACTCGCGATTGAATGCTCACATCTGTCTTGTATAGGTATCACCGTCGGCGCTGTGGTTGTTCCCCAAGGCATGGCCTATGCCGAGCTCGCCAATCTGAAGCCTGAGTATGGTCTGTACTCTTCCTTCATGGGTGTCTTAATTTACTGGTTCTTCGCTACTTCCAAAGACATCACGATCGGAGTAAGTCCCCAAAATTTCTATGCCATCCTTTTCTGTTCTGAAACTAACGCCTTTTGAATCAGCCTGTTGCAGTGATGTCAACCCTGGTCGGAAATATTATCATCAAGACACAAGCGGAGCACCCGGAGCTCGAGGGGCCTGTTATTGCATCAGCGCTGGCAATTATTTGTGGTGCTATTGTGGCCGCTCTCGGGTTCCTTCGACTCGGGTTTATCGTCGACTTCATCCCCCTACCTGCGATTACCGCGTTCATGACCGGATCTGCCATCAATATTATCTCTGGTCAGGTTAAAACAGTCCTCGGTGAGACTGCAAGCTTTTCAACAAGAGATGCCACCTACAAGATGATTATCAACAGCTTAAGATACCTGCCAACCACTCAGATGGATGCGGCGATGGGACTCACGGCGTTGGCAATGCTGTACATCATTCGCTTTTCATGCAATTACGCCGCCAAGAAGTATCCTCAAAGAGCGAAGACTTTCTTTTTCATCTCTACCCTACGCACCGCTTTTGTGATCCTTTTCTATACGATGATCAGTGCTGCCGTTAACCTACACCGTCGCGACAACCCTGCCTTCAAGATTCTGGGAACCGTTCCTCGAGGCTTTAAGCATGCCAAGGTACCAGAACTCAACAGTGAAATTATCTCTGCGTTTGCGAGTGAGCTACCCGCGGCTACTATTGTGCTTCTGATTGAACATATTGCCATCTCTAAATCATTCGGTCGCGTCAACAACTACAAAATTGATCCGTCTCAAGAATTTATTGCGATCGGTATTTCCAACCTCCTTGGCCCTTTCCTGGGAGGATACCCTGCTACTGGTTCATTCTCCCGCACTGCTATTAAAGCTAAGGCTGGTGTTCGCACACCTCTTGCTGGAGTCATCACTGCTGTTGTCGTCCTCCTTGCAATTTATGCATTGCCAGCCGTTTTCTTCTACATCCCCAAGTCCTCTTTAGCAGGCGTCATCATTCACGCTGTCGGTGATCTTATAACGCCTCCAAGCACGACCTATCAATTCTGGCGAGTCTCGCCTATTGATGCCATCATCTTCCTGATGGGTGTCATCGTGATCACTTTCACTACAATTGAAATTGGAATCTATTGCACGATCTGTGTCTCCCTTGCTGTTCTGCTGTTCCGCCTCGCTAAGGCCCGTGGCCAATTTTTGGGCCAAGTCAATGTTCACTCCGTTGTCGGAGATCATGTTTTGGAAGAGCACGCTGGCCCCCAGGGAGTTGCAATTGGTTCACGAAGCGCCTACTTGCCGACCTCGCGTGAGGATGGTTCTAATCCCCATGTCAAGATCCAACAACCAGCACCAGGCATATTCATCTACCGACTATCAGAGGGTCTCAATTACCCCAACGCAAACCACTACACTGATTTCCTTGTTGACCACATCTTCCAAAACACTCGCAAGTCTGATATAGATGCGGATACCAACCCTGGTGACCGGCCATGGAATGATCCTGGACCCCGAAAGGGCGATCTCGATCGTGAAACATTGCTGGCCCTCCCGACCCTTCAAGCAGTCATCCTCGATTGCGCTTCCGTGAACAACCTCGACGTCACTTGTGTTCAGACACTCGTCGATGTCAGGAATCAACTTGATAGATACGCCGCTCCCCACCGTGTGCAGTGGCATTTCGCACACTTGCACAACAGATGGTCAAAACGTGCTTTGGCTGCCGCTGGATTCGGTCAGCCCACAAGTCAACTCATGGACCCCAACCGCAAGTGGAAGCCTATTTTCAGCGTCGCAGAGATGCACGGCGACCCCCGAGCTATTCGAAACAAGCTCGACTCGCTCGATGGTAAGGACGTCGAGAGCGGTTTGCAAAAGGAGCCTTTCGCCTTGTCAACTGAGCAGCCGAAGGATCTGGAATCAAAGTCTGTGGATGATAGTATCAGCACTGGTACAGCAACTGACAAGGGTCAACAAAGGAAGGGTTCGACTTCGAAGGTTATTATCGAGAACGTGAACAGGCCTTTCTTCCATGTTGATTTGACCACCGCTCTTGATAGCGCTTTGTCTTACACTGACCCTAAGGCTTTTCGTGATTGATTGATTGTTAATAACTTCTTGATGCGAGCTTGGATATAATAAGATTTAATTGGTCCATGACTGCTGATAACTTGAATCTTCTCGGATATTAAATATTTGTAAATTTGTATTGTAAACGGTGGGAAGGGTGCTGATTGGACCACATTCTTTGCTAGTTGGACCATGGGCTTTCCTAATACAGACTAGTATGTATATGACATATAAGTTGTACGTATCGTACACCGCTGCTAAATACTATAATATGGCCCCGACGCCTAGTGCAGTAGTGTCCTCGATGTTGTTCTGAATTTATGTTATACTAGTATACTAGTAGGAGTACTAAGTCTGAGAGAGTGAAAAGAGAGATAAAATGATAGAATAGTAGGAGGAAGACAAACTTCATTCAAGGACCTCCGGATCAGAACTTGAAGCATATAAATCAAGGAATACTGGAGAGACTGAGCCAAACGTAGTCACCGCACTACATTAGAATGTTGAAGAAAATGATCAACTGCACCCTCAAGAGCATCGAGTTGTATTTACTCATGGAGACCTGCAACCATTGAATTGAATTATATCAAGTGGATTGTATGAACAACATGGACAAAAAATAAACTCGGACAATCAAGACTCTGCAGTAGGAGTAGGGAATCAATAATTAGAAAAGAGTTGCCTGGTCATACAAGAAAGAAACCCAACGCCCCAGCAAGGCCTAGCAAGCAGGAGAGACCCATCACCGCTAATGGTTGTGCGGCACTCTTCTGATCCGGGCACTCTGCTGGTTTGTTGAAGTGTAAATTGCAGTAACGGGCCAATTTTGAGGCCTCCATGCTGGCAAGAGTAGTCTTGTCAATTTGAGTCCGACAGGGATTCGTTGAAGGAGTCGGGGAGGCTGCCACAACGGCGCATGTATGGTTGGTGTATTTACCGCCCTCCCAAAGTGCGCTGCTGATGAACTTGGTTTTGCCCGTCACATTGATCGCCACGCCTGGTTGCCCGGTACATGTCTTGTTGGCCGTAGAAGCAACGGGGTCCAGCTTCGGGGCAGAATTGCTGGTCGTGAACACGGTTACCTTGTTGGTGTTGTTCCTGATCACCTCGTTGCCATATTCGGGTGATTCGACGTTGCAACTATTCCAACCTATGGTCCAGAATACGCTCCAACGACCCTCGGTGCTGAAATCGCTGGTGTATCGGTGGGCAAAATAGGTCTCCTGGTTTGTCCAGTTTACCCAGTGGAGTTCATGCCACAGGTAGAGTAGGCTTTATCGCCATACTCGTTTCTTAAACTGTAACTGATTGAAGGGTTTAGGTGTCTCGCGCGCTCAGAATTCTTGAACGCAAAGACAATAGGGAAGGTTTCGTTGGGCGCATATGTTTCATTGCGCGGAAAAACCAGATTCACTTCCAGTATATCAGAAGCGTTGATAACAGTCCCCAGACAGGCAGCGAGCATCCAGATCGTCGTTGAAATGTGCATGACGACGGTAAGTCAGAACTTCGAATCTGATTGCGGAAAGATGGGAGTCAGAAAGAACCCCGCGGGCTTAGGACAATCTGCAAAACAATGAACCAAATTCGTGAACAGTAAAGTTAAGATGAAAAGAAATATTGGGGCCCAGCGCACAGATAGACTCCGAAGGCAATTAAATGTATTTAAGGGTTGAAAGACCATACCATGTGAGACCTTTAATCCTTGCCCGTATACAAGTGGCGGCTTGGCAGCTCATAGTCCTATCAACAGCTGGGCTAAAGACCCTGGAAGTTTGCCTCTTCAATGCGCCAGGCAGCGCGGATTTGGGGCCGCCCCCTGCCAAGCGCTTGGCTTCCGGCTTCCGCCAGTTGCAGCGTTACAGTGCCTAGTTCGAGTAGTCAACGCTAAATGGCAAATACACAGACTCCATAGGCTCCCGGGCCTGTATGGCTCTTCCTGGCATGGACCCTGCGGCTCTCGTCGGGTAATTAATCCCCATTGTTCAGTGCATGAAGGCTCTATGCATACACCTGGCAGGCTTGGAAACTTTATATATATAATCCTCCATTTCACCACCGGCATACTACAATAAGACCCGCTTCATACACTATTCAGTGATGCCGAATAGTTCTTTATGATAATGGTAGTATTGCAAGAATGAGTCAAGGACTTTGGGCTTCGGCTAGCTGGAAAGTAGCAATAAAGCACGCTAAATTAGTGGAAGTAGTATGGAAGTAGTGGATACCCTTGGATGGGATGGATGGGGCCAGGCAGTGTCCTCGGAACTGATAGGACCTCAAACTACTATATAAGGCTATAGAGAACCTTGGAAGCCATACTTGGGGGTTAAACATGCATTTATCCAGGTTGGCTCGGATTCTATACCTCGAAATGTTATCGATCTAGACAATCCAGGTCTGCCATGATGTGTTGTAAATTTTCCGAGCGCTCTTAGCATTTCGCGAGAAATTCAAACGGATGGCCTGTGAATTACCGGCTAGCTTTACTCATGTTAGATATAAAATAGGGGAGCATCGGAAAATATGGTGGTTAAGCGGTGGCTTATTTTCCAAAGTAAAGGCAGAAAATCTGGTATTCTCGGCGTTAATTTCACAGGTCCTTATGTTATACTAAAACCCTAGGTATTGTGTTTAAATTTTTCGACCCGCTAAATGGTAGCTGTACTATTACAATGTGAGGCTGATCGAGGAGAGAAAATGAGCCCAGGGACCCGGCGGCCTCGGGAGTATTTAAGACGGACGTATAGAAAGAACAAATTCGCAAGTCCGGTAGTTCCCGCGGTGCATAACCGGACAGCGGGAGCAGGCATTTTATTTGATCCAATGTGACGCCGTGGAACGTGATTTGCTGCCCCATGAAATCATTGCAGGGCGACCAACGCATGCATGATGGTGGCTTTTCACATGACCTATCTTGAACGACAGTAAATATCATTCCTTGCTGCCCAAGTGGGCCGCTGCCACAACTTCCATTCATCTCTCTTTCTGATGTGGGCTTTTTCCATCAAATAATGCAGGATTGGATCTATCTACATCTGCCTGCTCCAATTGTCAATTTCGCGCAAAGGACCGATGAAACAACGGTACTGGCGACCGAACCAAGTATATCTAGGCACAGCAAAGAGAAGTGGAAAGGCAAAATCCAAAGAGGGAGGAGACACAACGAAGGATGAGTCTTCGGTCGCGACCGAGACAAGCTCGGAAGAATCGTCGACAAGTTCGACCAGCACGGACAATCCCCCAGCTGGGGCAGCGAAAGTTCCTGTAATGACGAGAAAACCGGGCCGCCGCGTCCATTTCCCAATCGAAGTTATAAATGCCCCAATCAAGAAAGATTTACCCCCCCGAAACCGCCATAGCCAGTCAAGGAGTCACCGTATACGACCGCTCGAGTAATAGTTTGATATTTTCCGTTGCCCCACGTTCCGTCGGCCGATCTCAAGTCGCTTTGGATCGCATACCATTTTCATTTCGATTTGGTCGACGGTAGGTGATCCGGGAAAGCCCGTGAATGTGAAGCATTGCAGTACTGATCAGAAAATAGCAATCGCTAATTCGCCGTCTACTGCCTTTCTTTGTCACGTTTTATCGTATGCATGCGAGTCTTGGGTGTCAATCGCTTCTGTTTATTTGAATGAGAGGAAGGTCTTCATAGGTCAATCTGTTCACGAAAGGCTCGGTCGGAGATAAACCGCGAGAGAAGATTCGATCCACATGGCGCGTTAGGTTATTTTTGTCTCCATTTTTTCCGCACACTTTTTATTGGTCCTTCTCATAGTGTTATTGCATGTCTTGGAGCAAAGTGTTGGTCCTGCATTGAAAGCAATTCAGTCGTTCATTTCCCTTGGTGGCCTGATCTCTCGAGCCCAATACGACAGTCGATATAATTCATTGGCCAGTGCGTCAGTATCACTTGGGAGTGAGAGACCACTTAATCCAACCTACTCCAATCCTCCAGGGACAAGTTATGCTCCAGAGTAAAATGTTGTCGTACACCAGCCTAGGGCATTCCCCTATTTGTGGGGGAGTTGCGGTGAGAATCTGGGGTTCCGGGGAAGTAAAGAACAACAAAACTCACCCCGCGCGGGGAGCTCCGAAGATACCGAGGGCCCTTCCCCCTTCCTTTCAAATAGCCGAGACTCGCTCTGAACCCCCGCCAATTCCCAGCTTTTCTCCATCAACACATGGTGCGATTCCCAAAATGAGGGAACGGAGCCTCATCCAACGCCGACCCAGTCGGGGTATGACCCGGAAACCCGCAGTCCTGTCCACTTACCCCCTGGATAACATGATGACCGAGGTCCACCGACTCCTGGGGCCGACCTGGGTTTTACCACCCTACAACCTCCTACTTCCGCCATACTTGAAGTCCCCTTCGTCGCGGTTACAGCAGGATGATATAGACTTTCTTGTTCGAAAGGGAGCGTTTGATATCCTTGATCCCCTGTTTTCACAGGAATGTTTTAAAGCGTACATTCGACATGTGCATCCCCATGTTCCCTTTCTTGATCTAGATTCTTTTTCAGCGATCATCTTTCATTGTTCGCCGCGTGGACAGGGTCTGAATTACAAAGGGGAGAAATTGAGCTTGCTATTATATCATGCGGTTATGTTTTCTGGTGCCTTTTTTGTCGATCTGAAATATCTTTACGCGGCTGGTTTTCTTTCTCGACGGAGTGCATTAGATACACTCTTCCAACGAGCACGAGTAAGTGACACCGATTTCGATATGCCTCTTTCTTCAAAGTTGAGTCAATTTTAGGTCCTATATGATCTCGACGCTGAAGATGACAAATTGGCCACCGTCCAAAGTCTTCTACTTATGACCTATTGGTATGAAAATCCAGAGAAACATAAGGATGGGCGCCATTGGATTGGAGTCTGTATATCACTTGCATACAATGCAGAGCTACATCTCGACTACTCAGATCACCCAAATTGGAACTTCCGAAGGATTCTATGGTGGAGCATCTTTACACGCGATAGACTGATGTCACTGGGACTGCAACAGCCTCCTATGATCAAAGATCAATTTCAGTCATCCATCCCGGTGCTTAGAATCGACAATGATGATATAGTGACACCAAGATTCAGGTCCGGGCTTGGATTCTCATACTACGGCGACAATCACGAAAAGCTAGCTCGGATTTTTATCGAGAAAGTTAATCTCTGCTGTTGCATCAAAGATGATCTTTATTCCTGGGATTGCCAGTCGATTAACATGCGGCCTATCGTTTCACAGCCTCGCAGATCATGTCTTTGGCTTTCAAAACTGGAGTTGGAAGATTGGCTTCAGGCCTTGCCCAAAAGCATATCATTCTCTTCGGTCCCATTTATGGCCAATGAATCTGAGCTTCTTCTCTACTCTCATTGCGCTTGGTTGAAAATGATTTACCTTGAGCTGCACAGCACTCTTCATCGACAACTCGACTTCCTATCGGAACAATATAGTCCACGCCAGCAATTATCTCTTGAATCACCGAACTGCCCAGTTCTTCAAAGTGCAGTTGAATTTACTACAATTTTACAAGACCTCAACGAGAAGCATCTCACAGCCTATCTTACGACGACTAGCGTTCCGATGATTTTACGAATGGGACTCCTGCATATACAAGAGGTCTTTTCCGCCGACTCAGAAGCGGACGGTTCCAGCCTTCGCCGGCTGCTGCACCTCATATTTTCACTTCAGCAACTGGGTAGTAGATATGGATCGGCCTTATTTGTCGCCTCGTTGCTAGGAGCTCCACGTGGCTCCTCTATCGCTACGGCATCACCTCATGAGATATTAGCGCATGTCGATGTTGAGTCATTGGGTCGACTGACTTCTGCATACCATGACCATTCGGTCCCGACGGTACTCAAAATTAGAGAGCCGTATGATGTGGACATCGTCTCGGGGCTCAAGTCAAAGGTTGCTAATTTAAAAATTGCGGCTTCCTAAAGGTAGAAAGAAGGATTTACAGGTGGTGCTCAGAAACAGAGACTGTTTGCCCAATAACGATTTTAATTGACGCCTTAAATTGATCCATTTTCTCCATTTTCTGTCTTAAATCAAAGGCATCATAGCATTGCCCTCAGCGGCTTACGAGTCTGAGCCACGAGCGACCGTTGAATGCGATGAATAGAATTCTGAATTCCATTATCAGGGGACTTTCTTCTTCAAATTCAACTTGCAGCTAGGGATTCACTGGTGTATCCGAGGATTACGAGGATTATTTTCACACATATTAGTTACTAACTAGCCATTACTAGCTACTACTAGTAGCCTTTTATCCTTACAAGAACTGTAATCATAAAGGCTTAGCCCTTCATCCCTGTTGAATGACAGCCGCCACTGCAGTCGGCATTATGATCAACGAATGGAAAGAACCGAGTCTACGTTGAAACAATGTGGCGGCTGGGTTGAGCTGATCGATAGCCAGTAAAGACAGGCTTCGGCGTTAGATGACCCGTGAACAGCTACCAACTACCATTATAGTTTCCGATCGACTAGGATAAATTAGATGCTTTGTTCATGCCGCCGCACAACATGTGCGTAACCTTAACTCTACGAATAGGTAGCCCTCCCGAGAGATGTGCTTCAGCAGTCTTCTGTGGCAGGTCCTGACAGGTTGACCCACTCCTCCACATGGTCTTTGCTCCACGAGGTTATCAGGACCACGCGGGGGAGCTAAGGGGCAAATAATTATGGCGCAACATTTCGATGAGCATTCTACGAGCATGGAAACGACAGCAATCCCACAGAATGGTTGGAATTATGCCATTATTCCCGAAAAGAGAAAATTTACCATGGCGCAAATTGGCCCCCACCGAGATGAGAGATGGAAACCGGCTTTCGTCGGCCAGTTCTGCTCTAGGTACCAGCAATACCACGCATACGGGGTGGGAGCGGGATAATTGGCACAAAATAGTACAAAAAAACCGAAATCTCAATCCTTGGGCCCTTGGCCCTGGGCGGGCGCACGGTAGAGGCTTGCTATGATCGAATCAGACAGGGGTAAATCAGAATTATGGAGTCAGCCTCTTGACGCCTCTCACGCCTCTCGCGCCCAGGTATCCTTGAGGTGTCCCTACCGCAGAAATGTAACGCAATCGGAAGCCCCGAGCGGAAGAGATTCGTGTTCAAATTAGGACTAGCGTGACTGGATCCGGGGTCTTGGCTGCCGGAAGAGTTAATGCCACCCAATCAGATGGTAAGGTTATCGTGGGAAACGTGGCTGAGACGGGATCCCGTGGGCTTGGGACCCAACGCTAGTCTGCCTTAGGAAAGGGCATCTAGCCCCACGGTACCTTCGTATTGCTGTACCACAGATAACAGGAAGGAGCCACCACCCCATCGCAGAGTGCAGTTGCCTCTCATACAGTAACGGAGTATCCGTACGGGAAAACCAGAGCTCCTCTGCGCTTTCTCGCTTCGCCATTCCCTCTTAAACCTCTGGCCAACCCGCACTTTTTCGATCTTCTTTTTTTTTCTTCTTCTTCGTGCTCTTACTCCGTCTCAGCTGTTCACTCAACTGTTTCACTCGGATACTGTTACTACATTCCACATCTGACTAGCTCTTTTGCTTACTCTTTTTCTTCTCCTCCTTTTCGATCTTACCCTCGCCTCTCGACAAGGAATGGCCACGGTAGAACTGCATCATATCCAGTTTATATCCGCCAAGATTTTCTAGAATCACGCTTCGGATCAACTGTCGCCCAGTTTCAAATCGGATTGACCCTGTTGCGACAACCTCAACCCCTCTGCGCCAATCTCCCATCCCATCCCAACCTATTCCAACCGGACCGGATCCCCAGCAGCAACTCAACCCATGCGCCAACCCAAACTTTCCTAACCAGCTCCCTCGAATCCACAGGCACCCTCTGCCTGTCTCTCCCTCGCGACATTCTCCGTATAACCCATAGTACAGAACCCTCGCGCCAACACCCACCAAAATGGCTATCCTAAGCAGCAAAGACAAGGAAGGCGGCTCAACTACTGGCGTCCTAGACCCAGTGGGCTTGAAGCCTGACCCGCACCATGACGTGCAGGAGGGTATGATGGCTGATAATGCCGACAATCTCCAACGTCATTTAGACAATCGTCAAATTCAACTGATCGCCATCGGCGGAGCTGTCGGTACAGCTCTTTTCGTGAGCATCGGCACGGGTCTATACCACGGTGGCCCGGGCTCGCTCTTCTTGGCCTTCACAACCCAATGTATTTTCCTCGCAATGGTCAACAACTGCCTCGCTGAAATGAGTACTGCCTATCCCGTCAGCGGTGGCTTTATTCGTCTCGCTGGTAAATGGGTCGACGAGGCCCTTGGTTTTATGGTTGGCTGGAACTTCTTGTTCGTGGTTCCACTGCATTCTTTTACATCTTGTTTCATGCCGTTTTGCATTGACCTCGCCCGAAGACCACCCCTAAACTAACTCCACTTCCTGTAGTTTCTATGAGGCTCTTCTGATCCCCTTCGAGATATCCGCTTTCACCCTTGTCTTGTCCTTCTGGAGTGACAAAGTGAGTGAGCCTGGCCCGGTCGCAGGAATTGTTGCGGGAATCATTATCTGCTATGGGTAAGACAATCATATTCAATCGCTCGCTAATTCACTTACTCTCACCCCATCGCACCCTTGCGTTACCATCCCCACTGTGGCCCCGCTCCGATCCCGTCCCCGCAGCGCATCAAAAATGTGTAGTTTATACTAACCTCAAATACTAGTTCTTTGAACATGCTAGCTGTGAAAGCCTACGGAGAAGCAGAGTTCTGGCTTTCGGGCGGCAAAGTAATCCTCATCTTCTCGCTGTTCTTCTTCACCTTCATCACGATGGTGGGAGGAAACCCGGATCATGACGCCTACGGTTTCCGATACTGGAACAATCCGGGCTCCTTCATGGAGTACTTGAGCACCGGCAGCCTGGGCCGATTTGAGGGCTACCTTGGCTCATTGTGGTCTGCTTGTTTCGCCGTAGTCGGACCAGAGTATATCTCCATGGTCGCAGCTGAGGCTAAGCGCCCCCGCATCTATATCAAGAATGCATTCAAGACGGTTTACATCCGATTCGGTCTGTTCTTTATGGGCGGTGCTCTGGCTGTCGGAATCGTTTGCTCTGCCCGTGACCCCGCTCTGGTTGCTGTGGCTTCTGGTGCTAAGTCCGATTCTTCCGCGTCCGCGTCGCCTTATGTTATCGGTATGACCAACATGGGTATTAAGATCTTCCCTTCGATCGTGAACGCGTAAGTGTATCCCAGAGGCGCCAAAATCGGGCGAGGAAAATACATTTGGATCGTCCATACTAACGAGTCACAGTCTGCTATTGACTTCCATCTTCTCCGCCGGAAACACGTACTTCTATTGCGCCATCCGTACCCTGTACAGTCTGGCGCTAGAAGGCCGCGCGCCGCGCATTCTTACCCACACCACTAGCAAGGGTGTGCCAATCTACTGCTTCGGCGTGGTTATGATCTTCCCCCTACTCTCTTTCCTCCAGGTTTCGAACAGCTCATCCATCGTCATCACCTGGTTTGCTAACTTGGTCACCGCCGGTGGTACGTCCTTTCTTTCCCCCCATGCATGCCCCAATTCCGTTCTATCGACTAACTTTGCTAGGCCTTATTAACTACATCACAATTTGCATCACTTATATCTTCTTCCACCGCGCCTGCAAAGCGCAAAACCTTGACCGCCGTCAGTTCTCCTACTATGCCTGGCTGCAGCCTGGATGCGCATACATCGGACTTGTCTGGATGGTGATCGTCACTATTCTTTACGGATACCCATCCTACAAGCCATGGAACGTTCAGACTTTCTGGTCCGACTACACTATGCAAATTGTCATCCCACCGCTCTTCGTCATCTGGAAACTTATCAAGAAGACGAAGTTCATCAAAGCCCACGAGTGTGATCTTGTGTGGGAACGACCCCTCATCGATGCCTACGAAGCCAGTTTCGTTGACCCACCTGTTGGATTCTGGAGAGAGTGCCTCCAACTGGTCGGCATTGGACGTATTAAGGGAGGAAATGATAAGCGTCGTTACTCGACTGCTGCGCCGAATGGTGTCTCGTCTAGTGTGGATGTTTAAAAGAGCTCGTCGCCCTTTTAATGGTGTTTCGCTTCAACTTTCATGACTATGTCGGAGATTACAGGCATATTATACCCATGTCTAATGACCGGTTGCTCTTTTGTGATCGCTAGCTGATTGATGCTTTGCACTTCTGTGTCAGTGGTTGCCTGCTTGGTCGTGCAGGTGATATTCGATGATATCATTTAGACCCCCATCATACCCAATTTATGACTTCAAGTTTGATTATTTATTATTCGTAAAATTCAATCGATGCACACACGAACATCTGAACGCGGTGGCTGCCACTCGTCTCTTAAGCGGTCTTTTGCACCTGACCTCGTCTGCTACGGGTGGGGCTCACGAGAATCGCCACTGTGGCTCCGGCTCGCTATGTGCTTGACGAATGTGTGCATCGCTACGTACACGAGGCAAAGGATTGCTAGGTTTATCTACATATATCTAGACAGGGTCCGTTCAAATTCTCTTGGACCTCGAATTTGTTGGAAGGCACGACGAAAGTAGTGTCTGTTCCAAGAGGACCAAGGTCTCGTATATCCGCCTCGAAGAGGAAATGCCTCGCTCTGAAATTTGGTAACGGGCTTCTTACTAACTGCTTGAAGATGGGCTTTATCAGTTTATTCAACAAGAAAGAGGAATGCAATAAAGCAAGCCTCTTATATATGCTCAAGAGGTTTGTAGTCACCCCGAGGAGTTTGACTCGCTGGTTCTTTTGCTACCCAAGCTCTAACAACTGTATGAGGCATTTAATGAGGAATGTTCATTGGTAAAGTTGGTAAATTCATTAGCTAAAAATTGGTATAATCAGGAGAGGATTCCAGTAACTATGTATCCTCCTCTCCGGTGGTATCTATCATTATTTCTTTATCTTCGTAATGTCGATGTAGACGTGTCCAAGGGGTCCGTCACCGGAGCTCCAGCCTCCGTACTCGACTCTATATTCATCATTGGGGTCAAGGGTTTCAACTAGGTTGATATGCTCTCCGCCGCGATTCTCCCAGTGAATCTCGCAGATTTTGCCATTGCCATGAAAAAGATCAAGGCGGCCCTCACTGCCGCGGCGGCCACGGCCAGCTGCGTTGATCTCGCCGATTCCACCAGCCGGGATGGTGATCTCGTCAACTTCCTCTTCGGTAAGCGACTTGCGGCGGCCGTTGGGGTCCCAGAATTCACCGCTGTTGGATAGGATATCAGTATCACATCAGGTATCAGCAACACCTACACCGGGAAGGGCCGGATTTACTCTTCGATGACAGTGTTCTGGACAGTAACTTCGCCGTCCTTGAGGTGGTCCCGGATGTGGAACGACACCCATTGAGAATTGTGTTTATCCATGGTCGTGATGTAGTTTGGTATGATGTTTCCTGAAGAACTCAGTAGAGATGAAGAATCTGGTGGCACACGACGAGGCAGAAACCCAGGATTTATATACACAATACCCTTAACCTGAAATGCGGGGTGGACACAATCGAAGTACTAGTATGGTGACTCGTAGACGTAATCTACCTGCGGGTGTTGTGGTCATAATGCGTGCGATTGCCTGACCTCATTGGCCCACCGTGGGCCGATCCATGGGACTGGCCCAGTTTGGCATTCCAAGGTTTGCGGGGGAGCACTGATCGTCTCTATTATTCGCTTCGTGTGCTGGCCAGGATGCTCTCATTAGCCAATCCTATCATGCGGGGCTTTCGCAACCGACTTCTTACTCGCGGATCGCTCGGGTCAGCAATGTAGTTACAAAGGGAACATGTCACGCGGGCCTCCCTGGATTGGGAAAATGATGGGCCGATGAGACGGGCGTTATATTGAGTTTCTTGATTGGCTGACTACAGACCAGTGTCGCAGGAAGGCCTTCATCGAGGCCGCTGCCGTGGTGGCCGCATAGTCATGCCATTCTTTGTTCTTGTGGCTATCCGCATAGTCGCAGACCCCCCTTGATAATCACGCAAGGCATCGTCTCCCAGACACCCGATCCTTCCATCTCGAATGCTATCACATTTGCCTCTTTGGCGATTCTGTCTCGTTCGACTGCAGATTTCAAGACTGTATCCCCAGATCCCATCAGTCCAAAGTGGAGGGAAGGTCTGTTTCTCTGGTTCTGACGCAGTCGACGTATCAATTTGTGCTCCCCGCATTTGAGATCTTGGCATGTAGACTGCATCGCCAAATTGCAAACACTGCTTGCACAGATGTTGCAACTGGCCAACTGATGTTTGTGAACATATTCCGCGTCGAATAAAATGTCTCGTATGTGGCCTGGGTAGAAATCCCCAGAAGGTTTGGCCGTAGCACAGCCCAATTCGTCCAGGTACTTTGCGACGTCTTGCTGTAGACTCAATCGCTGCATATTAAGTTCTAGTCGAGCCATGAGAGATGAGATCTCCCGATTGGGCCGACCAGGCTGATCATCAACGGTAATTTTCGGTCGGAAGCCGTCGGGATACCGTCTGCCGAAATCATACTGCACAATACCTTTGCTAATGACCACATCCCCAAGAAGCACCTCCCTCTTTGTCCCAGGGAATGGAACACCTCCACAAACACCAACAATAAGAGCGAGATTGATATTCGGAAAACTCATCGAGCATGCTGCAGCAAGATTTGCAGCTGTGGCTTTGCCCATTCGAGGTTGGTGCGCTAGAACAACGTTGTGGTTTCCAATTAAACCCGTAGAGTAAGAATTAGGATCTTTTGCCTGTTTTCCATATTGGTATATTCCTTCGGTGTCCCAATGCTTATCAAAAATGCTTTGTACTGCGTTTGCTTCTGTCGGCAGCGCACATATAATGGCGATCTGAAAATCGTCGCGACTCTGTGGCCTTGTGGGATGATTTTCCAAAACCACATCAAGCTGAACATGGGTTTCACGCCTATCTTCGATTTGAGGTACCAAAGAATGACTCACTGAGTCAAATGAGCGTCTTCTTTCAGATTCTGATATCGTGTCTGCATGGGACCACCTCTCACCAATGACATCACTCCCGCTACCCGAACATTTGTTGTAGTCATATTTTGCTGAATTGCTTGAAGATTCTGCCAAATGAAGGCTTGATCTATCACTGAGAATGACCTGCATTGGACTGAAAGTTTTCGAAGTGAATATCTTGCACACTCCAGTATCAGTATTCGGAGGCCGTAGCTCATTAACTTGGTCCCAAGTCCAATGAGCTCCTCGAACTAGATCCTGTTCCAATGGGCGGACAATTTTTTCATAGTAGATATTAATAAACTCTTGATTCAGAAGAAGGACACTTGAATCGAGCGTGTCGAAACGCGCGAAAAGACACGCGATCAATGCAAAATTTGACCGCGCGATTGAGACCGGAATCCAGAGTGAAGTGTTTTTGAAATTGCTCGAGAAGATACCGCGCGAGGTAGAATGGTTGACCCTTCTTGGATGTGAATATGGGGTCTTTTTTGATGTCTGGAAGATGTTCACCCAGTTCCAGTTCAATGAGAATAATTCCAAGAGCCAGGATACTAGGGAATGGGTGAATCTTGTAGGTTCTAGGTGTGGTACCCCCTTTATTTCTAGACTTCCCAAATCTCGTCGCGACAAATACTTTGTCGAATATTGGGTGCGGTTGGTCATTTTCAATTCTGCAATAAACATAGATGTCATTGACTGACATACAATCTTGCAGCCAAGGTCCTTCGAATAGATGCAAAATGCATCGCGCCAATGTCACTGCCATCACTCGTTTGGCGGTATGGGTTGGCTTTACTTTGGTCAATAGCACACTCAGGCTCATTTCCACATATTCCTCTCCCTCCATCATGATTTCCAGCGGTTGGGCAGATTGATGGTCATTCCACAATTTATTGTCCCCATCCATCGCGAGATATAGACAGACACTCCTGGACTGGTCATCATGGTCTATTAAACATGCTGGCGCTGTATTTCTGAGAGTTCTGAGTTGGAGTAGCTTCAGTCAGAATGCAGCTGATTTTACTATATGTGGGCTTTTTTGGGGCTTACCCAGAAGTACTGATGCATACTCTGCATTCTTGCCTTATATCGGGTCCATTTAAGAGCATAAGAAAGTTGTCATTGATGTGGCTCGTAGATGCCCATCGAGGGTCCAAGCAAAACTTTGCCTCGAAACAAAGACCCAGTCTTCCATTGTGATTATGTGCGTCAGACCCACAGGGCCAGTTTTGATGAAGAATTTCATAAAGCGAACGCGATGAGTAGGGAACACTATCCTCTTTGCTGAAAATGAGTTCAAGGCTTGGCGGATCTGGTGCTTCGGTTGCGGAGGCCTCTGAATCTGAATCATCGTACATTTCGTCCACTATGGAGTTCCAGTGTTTGACGCGGGCGATCAAATTCTTGATCTGGCTCGTTTCTCTACCCAGCAGTTGCTTTAGGTCAATCTCTCTTGTGTCGCAGCGCTGAATCAGATGATGAAAAATGTGAAGGATTGGGTGTGCGCACAGGAGCAAACTTTTGATTATCTTGCCGGGGGGTGGCTCTTCATCACCGGGACTCCAGACTCCTCGAAGGAACGAGAACCCGCTGCTGCGTTTAGATGCATCTTTTTCCAATATACCCAGATACTGTGTTTTGACGTATTCAGCGGAAAGAAGCTCGTTCAAAGAAGACGCGACCCGTTGTAGGGCGACTTGGAAAAGCTTTTTGTGAAGTAGCGCTTGAACAACGCCTGGCGACTTGATTTCAGCAAGAAATGGAGCCAAGGAAAGTTTCAATTTCCGATAGAGGCTCCGCGATGTCGGCTGGTTGAGATTGATCACCTCTATGAGTGCGGATGCGGCATCTGGCAGCACGGCTTGAGTAATAGGGTCCATTTCCGGACGCAATTTAGCAGCTCATCCCCAACCTCAATCTTGGTTTGATGAGAGGATGAGCACGAATCTGCAACTTTGGTGCAAAATACGAGAGGGACTCGAGTTTAGGAGGGCTGAGAGAAGGGAAATCGAGAAACGAGAGTATTCCCTTGGCAAATGTCAGCTGTGCATGAACCCCGCTCGGGCTTTGAGATGAGGCTTAATACACCTAAGAGTGAGGGGTGAATGCTGATTGAATCTTCATCTGATCTGTTGGTTCCCCGGGAGCCAAGAGCCACAAGAACACACTGCACTTGGCTAGATACCAATGTCGGCTATAATTTTGCAAATCTAACCTGTCTGTCACGCGTGATATGTCAACGATGTCTATAGCAACGAAGGCCAAGAAGGCCGCGGATCTGTTCGAGCAATGGCGAGAAAGATCTCTACTCTTGTCCACAGAGTTGGAGTACGCTGAAAACCAACTTTTCCGGTTCAATCTGTGGACATCCAACAACTATATCTTCGAATCCCCTCGTGCATCGATGGATTGGAGGTTGCGAAATGCTCCTTTGCTACAGTCGGCCATGAATGACCTCTTGGAAGATCTCATTTTGAACCTGATCGGTCAGTCTATATCACCTTTCACGCAGTCATTTATGCTCATAAACTCCCAAGAATCGCAAAATACACCTCGCCAAACCGAAGAGCTCTTGACCGGAAATCCAACCGCAGCGCCAAACGTCGAAGACACGCTCGACCAGCTATTCCGTTTTTCTCGAGCCGTTCGTCGCTCGGGCATGCTTCACCGACTTGTGAAGATTGCGAATCATACTGAATATGGGCCTGATGGGGTAAATCTCACCTCGAAGTTTCATATGGCGACTAGCAGAATCATTGATCACTACTTGAAAGGATGCAATGCTAGTCAGGAGCTTCGTGAGCGCTTGGTGGACACTATATGCCTACGGCAAAGAAATTTCTCATACCTCAAATCCCAGAAAAAAACACGTTCCGTGCCAATGCAAGTCTCTGAACAACTGCCATCTGGCGCAAGATCCACCTTCGCACCCAGCTTCAGTGTCATGACGCCCGTGACAAGGACAGGGCACAAAGAGAAATCTATCCAATTTAAACCCCGTCTAGATCTGCGGCGCTCATTGTTGACGGCGACAACAGCACAAATTGATCATGTCCCACTGGATCGCTCAATTCAGTCGTCAATAGCTGCTCCACAGCCCGATGTTTCAGATGAAGACCCGGAGCTTCCACGGCCGCCTGTTGTCCCCTTTGGTCGCAAAGAGTGGGAGTGTCCTTACTGCTTAGTGGTTTGTCCCGTCAAAGAATTTCGACCCGAAAACTGGAGGTAAGTTCACATCATGACATTTCGGGACCCGCTATTTGACAGAAGACCCACTACCGTCTTCTCTCTAGATCTCATGCCAGCTCCCATACTAATAGCCACAACTGATTATGATAGGAAGCACATTGTGGCAGACATCATGCCATACCTCTGTGTCTTGGAACCTTGTCCAATGTCAGCAGCACTCTTCAAGTCGAAAAAGGACTGGCTAAGTCACATGAAGAATGGACACAAATTAGAGAGCTGGACATGTTTGGATCATGATACAAAATTATCATTTCCAAAGATATCCGACTTTTTCCAACACATGCACGATCAGCATTCTGATGAATTCGAACAAGATGATTTGGATGATCTTGCCGACGCATGCTTTGAGAGCATAACAACGAGCCCGGCATTTGATAAATGTCCCTTCTGTCCAGATAATGGCCAAAAAGATACTATACTGGCGGATGGTGGTATCCAGCACCTTGCCAGTCACCTGATGTCGTTTTCTCGGATCTCATTCGATGGGTACATGGAGGAACAGAATCCGTCCTCGGATGCCTCGAGTTCAACTGATCAAACAGGGTCTTCTGCGAAGCAAATAGTCTCAGAAACTATCACGGATGGACTACAGCCAGGCTTCTTTGAATATCTAGAATACCATGATATGATTCATTTCGATCTCCTTGAATCTCATCAGATTCCACCGAACCCCGATGAGGAAAATTGGGAGCTCTTTTGGGAGACGCAAAAAAGATCCCAGCGATGTATCAATGATGATCCGATTCTTCAAAGTTTCAGCCAGAATCTTCCAAGGGATGAGCATTTTGAGCACCAGATCACACTACACGAAGTCTATCGCTCTGAGACGGGCTACACTGCTTATTTGAAATTTATTCAGTACAATTATCGGAGTGATATTGCGTTGAAGGATAAAGAAGTGGCCTTCACTCTTCAAATTCACCTTGGCAAACTGATAATGCGGCATGATATGCTGGCTAGTAGACTTCACCATCGCGAAGTTGACCAGCAGGGACATTACATTGATACCCTTGGAGATTGGCTTGATGAATCAAAACGCCATTTCATGGAATATTTTGAAGCGGCCTCAGAAGTTATCAGACACGGCTATCCATTGGATATACCACAATTCGAATCATACGGCAGTCCAAGAGTTGGAATCGATATCGACACCCATCTAGAGTCGCCTAAATGGAGGCTCGAACGCTACAGACACTTTCTGTCGTCATTTTATGAGACAGAGACTCGTTTGTATACCAAACGCAGAAGTTCTGCCTCGGTTATCCAACAGATAGATAAGCTGCTACATTATGCAGTTTCTCTTCTCGGAATCTGCAGCTCAGACGCAGTCTTTTACTTACCTTATGACAAATCCCATGTTGAAGGCAAGTACCCAAATGCGGAAGAAGCGATATTGGACCGTCTCGGGCTTGCGATCACCCAACGGCGCTCACTGATCCTATATCGTCAGCGCCGACAGCACAAGCTCGACAAAGATATAAACTGGGACACTGATGACGATGAATACGAGGAATTATCGAATAATGACCATGAAACAAAAAACAAGAAGTCTCTGGCAAGCGAGCCAAGCGATATCTGCTGGAGTGCAGTGAATGGACGAGGAGAAGATTTCCAACCTTTTCCGGAACTTCCAATGAAGGGGGCTCCATTCAAATGTCAATTCTGTTTTTCTATTATTTCAATTCCCGATCAGAGGTCTTGGATGTCCCATGTCTTCGCTGATCTCATGCCATATATTTGTTTCTACCCGGACTGTCCAACGCCAAGTCGACTCTATGAACATCGGAGGGAATTGTTTGACCATTTGCTGAGCCAACATGCCATATCGGACAATCCTGATATACATACGGATTGTCCACTCTGCCAAGATTCTTATTCATCTGGAAAGCAGTTTGAGAGACACCTAGGCCACCACCTCGAACAGCTAATGCTTTTCGCACTGCCTCGATCAAAAGAAACCAAACGCACCATTGACACTGTATCACAGACTACATTCAATACATATGAAAGACAACGGGTAGGAAAGGAGAGGAGAGGACGGTCTCTCTAAGACACGCCACAGCACCTCAGGCTGCGAAGGTCCGAGGCACCCTCGCCTCCTCGCCAACTTGACCGGGAAGTATTCAGAGAGATGATGGGTATGCGTACCCAGGGTGACCGGATCAGCTATCATAGATAATTATACTTCCACTTCAGTCCTTGGATTCTTGTTAAATTATACTCAGTATGAAAGATAGACTTATGGTGTCGGTTCTATGCTAGACTACTACTAGTATTACTAGGTGGGATTGGAGCAGGGAAACATCCATCAACTAGTCCAATCAAAATTCTTCAACTCTCAAGATTCTAGAACCAATCATCTCTTCCATTCTTGAACATAGGAATAGTAGGCAGTAGTTATCACAAATCTTGATAACCGATTATGGTCATCAAATTCCAAGTTCAGGTCAGGTAGGATCGAGATTTGTCGCGGACAGTCTCATAAAACGAATTCAGCATAATCAAACCTGGTAAACCAAAATAGAAGCACAATCGAAGCCAAAGTTATGTAGTGGTTTTTAGGCAGCCATCCATACTATCTTCCTTTCTCACTTTCTTCCACACCTCCCTCTCTCCCTCTCCCCCTCTTCCATAGCACATATCACACATATTACCTCCACACTACTACACGTACGCTCCGTACAGTAGTACTTCCGAGTCCAAGCAATCAAGACAACTGATGTAGTCATTGTGCTCAGCTTCCAAGGTTGAATATCTGGGCAGGTTGGAGGGGAAACGGGTCTGCTAACTAGTAGTAGGGCCCCGCTTTCGCCGATCACAACACAGTCTAGATATAATCAAGCAAGTCCAATGTATAATACTGGAATTATGCAAATTATCATCTATGAAACCATCGATTCCCATAAAAATAGCAATGCCAAGTCTCAATTCATCGCAACAGTGCCCATGATAGTGCTAGTATACGGCTCCCTTGCTGAGAAACGCGGATGCCTGGTCTCAGCCCCCAACTCGAGCCAACCACCCGACATCTGACCGGAGTTAGTTATAAATCACCCTTCGACCCAACAACAAAGCTCTCCTCTCTGCACAGGGCACCAAAGAAGAAACTATGCAAGCAATCAGAACAATCATCATGAATACCAAACCAACCGAAGAAGTCCCCGCCTACGAAGAGCTCTACGAGCAAACCCCACAAAACAAAAGAACAGGTGTATGTCACCCAGAAACTCCCGACCAAGCCCACTGGCAGAGACCCCAGACCCGCGGTATCCAAGCTGGGACTCAAACCTACTGCTACTAGCAATGGTGCGGAACTACCAGTACACCTAACTAACATCATATCAACCAGTACTCGCACATTCCCACATACCCAGATGCAGACCTAGAAAACCAGTCCCCAGGACTCACCCACACCCACGAGGTCGAGTTCGGTCTGCCCGCACTGGGCTCATCCAGTACCGGACTGCAACTACAACAGTCGCCACGAGAACACTTTCACTGCGAGACATGCGATCTGCAGCGTGAGCGGCGTGAGAAGCGAGACTCGGAACAACGTCATTGCCAGACTGTTTCGCGGACGTTTATGTTTTTCGGACTTATGTTGACGCTTATTTTGATTATTACGCTTCCTACTGTTGCTGCTATTGTTAACAGGAGGCGTAGGTATTAGTGTTGCGTTAGCTAGGGTCGGGAGATAGGTTGGGTTCAAGTTGTGGCGTGGTGTGGGACTACTTGTTAGTCGTAGTCCTGGAGTATGCAAAAGGATGCCCGTATTAGCATTGAGTACTGATGATTTTGGCATTGGGTGAAGATGTGGTTATGTTGGAACGCAAACTAGAATGTAAATAGTGCTATGGACTGAATTTGATCAAGGTATTCGTGTGATTCTTTTGTGGAAATGCGAAACAAGTCTTTTGTATATCCTTCTAGGGGAAGATCTAGCTTGTGATACAGGACCGGTGATACAGAACGAGAACAGTTAGGGTATATCGGGACATGCCAAATTTTGTTTACTTTCTTCCCGATCTCCTTTACTTCTCCTCGCGCATCTTCCGGAAGAAATCCATCACACCAGTGAACACCACGAGGAGGATACCACCACCGGGTCCGAGACGCAGCACCTTGGGGATAAAGCCCTTGTACAGTGCACCGAAGCCCTCCTCCTTCATGACGGTGCCAATGGCAGGCCAGGCCCAGTTGTACTTGGGAATCTGACCGGGAACCTTGGTAGTGTTTTGGATGCGGGACTTGACGACGTCCATGGGGGTGTTGAGGATCGTACCAGCGATACCACCAATGGAACCGGCAATCAGGTCGTTACGGGTCTGCTGGCTCTTGTTACCGGGCTCGGGCTTGGGCATTTGCTCGCGGACCTGGAAGATACAGCCGAAGTAACCGGCGTTCCACAGGATGTGACGCCACAGGGTGGACTCCAGACCGTTGTACATGGCCAGAGGGCCCTCTGTCTGAACGATCTTCTTGACGACATCCAGCATACCGTTGTACTTGCCCGCAGAGGCCTTGTCTTGCAGACGGATCTTGACCAGCTCGAAAGGAACAACAACGAAGGCCTCGGTGGCACCGGCGGTGGCACCAGTCAGGATGGCCAGGGACTGGGTCTGCTGGGTCACGCCAAAGGCGCCGCGGTAGAAGGTACCCCAGCTGTCGTTAGCGGCGAACTTGGTCGCACGCTTGGGAGCCTCCATCAAGATGGGGGCAGAGATACCGCGGTACAGGCGAGAGAAACTGTTGTGGATCTTTGTCAGTTTCGGAGCAAATGCCGATGGCCATTGCCATTGCCTGGGAACTCGGGTATTCATCAACACTCACCCCTCCTGCTTGATGATCTTGCGGAAGCAGTCAAACATGCCATTGTAGTGCTCGGCGCCGGGAACGGGAGTACCGCTCTGAAGTTGGCTATATGGAAGGCAGAAGTCAGTCGCTGCGCAGTGGTTCGGGTGACGCTCCCGAGGGCGGATGAGATAAGTGGATTGTGCTTACACTCGAGTCTTGACGACGTCCAATGGGTACCTGCAATCATATATGGTTAGAATGAATTGTTCATTTCTTCATTGATCGGGTTTCGCTTCGGAAAAGTTATTGCGACGAAAGGAAACGAAGGTTGAAGCGTACATCATCAAGATCTGGTCGTGCGGGGAGATTGATTAGCCACTGCGTGGGTGCCTCGCGGGCGCATGGAGTTTGGGCGTGGACTCAAAACAAATCACACGAGCAATTGGAATAGTGCGACATACCTCAGAGACACCAGCCACCGCACCGGCGGCGAACTGGTAGATGAAGGGGAGGGGCTTCTGTGGTGTGTCGGACATGATGGCGATGGACCTGGCGAGGGAGTTCAGCGAGGGGGCAAGATAGGAGCAGGATAGAACAAGGATAGAGGTAGAGGGCGGCGAGAATAGAAAATCTCCAATTCTCAACAACGGCGGAATGACTTACCAAATGCAGGATGAAGAGGGGAGAGGGGAAAGAGAACTTGAAGATGGAGAAGATGGAGATGGGGCGAGAGATGGGGAGAGAAGTGGAGTGGAGTAATCCGGTGTCGGCCAAATTCGGCGATACGGCAAGTGCCCGGAAGGTGCGACCGTCAAGGGACTCTAACTAAGAGGAGCTCACCGCAGGGAAGGAACGAACTGCCGCCTACTTCAATTTAACCGTGTATTACTCAGCCCCCGTGGGGTCGGGGAAAAAGGAAATGCCCGTTTTCATCTACATTCATCCACAAATAAACATACACATAGAACATACCACCATCCACACTATTGCCATCACCTTGCTAACTCGCACTTTCTGAGCTTCCCCCGTGGGTTGCTCCTTTGCTACAGTCGTCGCTGCCGACCCTGTCGCCGTACAACTTGCACCACATACATATTCTTGCGGACAACATCCCCCACCCGCCGTATCTGAGCAACGGAACCACCCTTGTGCGCATTTCCCTGAGCGGGAGGCCGAGTTACCTGTAGCCACTGGAGCCACAATGGTCTTGCCGTTGGATGTGAAAGTGGTGGATTGAGTGGTCGGGCACGAAGTCGTATCACAATTCCTTCCTGTTTGGCAGCAGCCACCTTGGTAAACAGCAGAGCAGGCATAGAACCCCGTGGGACACAAGTCTGTCCGACCGGTTGCTGTATGGGTACCAGTCGTTGTCGTTGACATGATCGGGCGTCCCGGCGCACCTAAACTATCCGTCCCCGTCTCCGTCGCAGTGGAGGTTGACTCAGCTGTCGATGCTGTCGATGTCGTGGATGCCCTAGACGTATTGGACGTGGTGGTTGTAGTCCCGGTCGATGCAGAGTGTGTATCCTGCGGCTGAGTCGAATAAGTAATTGTAGAAGTCGTCACTGTATTATCCTCTGTCACTGTAACGACCGAGGTATATGCACCTTCTTCGCGTTAGCATTCCACTTCCGATCCTAACGTTGAGTGAGCATCAATTAACTCACATCCACCCTCCACACAAGCAAACCCCGGGATACAGCATCCCCCACCTAGGGCCTTCGAACAAGCCGTATACCCACTCTGGCAAGACCCGATTCTCTCAGAACAGCTCTGCCCCTTCGGACAACACCCCACAGTCCCATAGCCCGTATCCCGAATAACTTCACACGTATCGCCAGTCCCGCAGCAGCGATCAGACCGATTGATACTCAAACACGCATTCGTGCCAGTCGGACACTTGAAATCCCGTCCGAAGAGGCTACGCAGGGCAAACCCAGGGTCCGCGAGACCAGAGAAAGAAGGTGTGAGGGGATGCGAGCGAGCGAGGACCTGGGCCTGGGCCTGAGCTGGTGGAGAGCCAGCCTCTTTTTCCCCATGATGATCCAAAGACCGACTTTCAACTTCTGCATTGGTGGAATCATTCCCAGAAGCACTTCCCAAAGCTTGTTCGAATTGCCAGTATTCGAAGAAGAACTTCTCTCCTTCGTCCTCGCTCATCTTCCGGACGCCTTGGATGGGCGAGTCCGCGAACCAGGCCTCAATTTCTGCATGGCGACGGAGAATGATGCCATCGTCTAGCTGTGCATGACTCAGTCCCGATCTGAATACGAGCAAGGTGATTGCGGATACATGTCGGAGATGCATGGGGGCGCTTCCAATGAGTAATGGTGGTATCGGCCGGAGAGCAGCAACGTAGCGGCGAGAGCACAGTGAATGCAAGAAATAACAGGTAAATGTGTATTTAGATCTGTGTAATATTATTAGCACGAGAGCGCCATGCAAACTCGCCCGGGAGAAAAGACTGTCGTACAGAGGTATTTCTATGTCTCTGTAGACCGGCTCGGGTTAGACGGGTTGGAGATGAGGCTGAGAAACACGAGGTTGTGGATTCGTGTGGGTCAGAGTTGGAAATCGTTGATCATTAAGCTCATAAAATTCGTAATACAAATGGAATCGGGGTCCAAGATTATCTGACACTCAGAAAAGGACTGGGGCAGGTTTTAAGGTGCGGAAAATGGATGGCTGGGGGTGAAACCCCAGTAGCCAGCCCTTTCGTTAGGCAGCCAGTCTGTCACCGCGAGTCTAGAGAGACAGACCTTGGCATTAAGTTCAAGGTGAAACAATAAAAGATCTGCCACTGCCAATTGGCAGAATAGGTCCTGTCTGTAAAGAGGAATTCTTGTCTAATACGTTTATCGCTAAAATAAGATATAAAGGTGACAGTGGTCCTAGGTAAATCGTTGAATATGGAAGATATAAGGGGGTATGAAGGCTGGCATCGCATTGAGCATTGAAAGGGCAAATGGAAAAACTACCTATTAACCCACGGGCCAACTCCACGCGCAATGTGAACAAGATATTCTTGAAACAGACCACAGTCGTGGCAGGGTATCGTCAATAAGTGACATGAATGCAGGGCAAAAACAACGGATGATGGTGGGGGGGTAGGGATGGCCAAGGTGAATAATAGAAAAAAACAAACAAACAATGGTATAACATGGGGGTCGCCACAGGTATAGACGCGAGATGCGAAATCAAATCCATCGCCAAGGAATGCACAAAATTGTCAAAAGTGAAATTGGGGGGTGTGTGGGGTAGTTTTGGGGAGACAGGAGATAAATCAAGACTCAGGTGCTTTCTCCGCACTAGAATCGTCGGGACTATCTCTCTCCTTCTTCTCCTCTTCTTCTGTCGGGGTTTCATCCTTAGGTGCGGCCTCCTCGCCGCTACCTTCTTCAACCGCAGCTTCTCCGGACTCCTCCTTCTCGCCATCGGATTTTTGCTCTCCTGCTGCTGCTTGTGCAGCCGCGGCTTCGGCTTCGGCTTTCTCCATCTCCGCGTTGCGGGCCTGTTGTCTGTCCCAGACTTCCTTGCGAATGCGATCGTCTTTAGCGTTACGCAGACGCTCGGCCTCTTCAACGCCCCCGCTCTTCTTGAGCTTATCCTCTTGCACGAAAGCACCGAGCTCCTTCTGGAAGAGATTGGCACGTCGATTCTCGAGCTCCTTCTTGCGGGCCTTCTCAGCGCGCTCAATGGCCTCGATTCGGCTTTCGTGATTGGGCTGGAGCGCGCGTACCTCGCCGAGAACACCGTCCTTGGCCTTGACCGGATCAACTGTGGGGTCAATGCCAAGGGTACGCGAGGTAGCGCGCAATGTGACTGCGCCGTTGGCTTTCTCCTGCGCTTGTTCTTTGGTAGCTTGTTCGACCAGGGCGAAGGTTTGTGCGGCCTTTTCGAGATCGTCTTGCAGGTCAGCAGCGAGGTCTTCCTGCATCGTGAGTTGGTCTCGCTCCTCGCAGACGAGTTGCAACTCCTTCTCCCAGATCTTGGTCCAGATGGGCTTCTCGCGGCCCAGGAAGTCTTGCATCTTCTTGATTTCCTTCATCACGTTGCTGATATCACGGCTGACGCCCTCCAATTGTCGTGGCAATGGGCGGACACCGCGTTGCACAACGTCCTTGCGCAAATCCTCAACTAAATCCTGAAGATCGTCGACGCGTGCGACAAGGCGTTCGGATTCATTAGCCAGCTCCTTTTTGCCGGTTCCGACACGTGCTCGGCCGGCATCTCCCTCATAGCTTGTAACAGCGACGTCCTCTGCAGCAGTCTTGACCAAGCTTGCTTTGGCGCGAAGGTCAGTCATCGAGCCAGTGATGTCGGATTGGAAGTTGGTAAAAGTTTGCCTGACAACGGCCAGGTCACGACGCAGGCTTTGAAGTTCACCGATGGGGATACCAGTTCCAGACGGCAAGGCGATCTTACTGACGACGCCGGAGCCAGACGATGATGAGGGAGTGGCCGCGAGACGAGCCATTTCCTTTGCAGCCTCCAGCTGACGATCGGAGACACGTTGAATGACGGTTCCCTGGCCGCTGAGCGCCTCTTTCACGCTTTCCACTAGAGTACGCACGTTTCCAAAACTGTCATCAAAGTGCTTCTTCACTTCATCAAGACTATCCACATTCAACACGAGGACCGAACGGTCCTTGACATCGCTCAAATCTTCAAGCTCATGGCGAATACCGGAAATTGGATCTTGGATGTAAATTTCAGGAAGGTCCATGCCGTTATTGTGAACATTCCATGCGAATTTCTCGATGAATGCCAATTGGAGTCGCCCGATGGTCAGTTCTGCGATGCCTTCTAGCAGAACATACTTCTTGATCTTGCTCTTGTACTGAAGGAACAGGGTCAGTTCTTTCCCTGGGGATGGTTGGTCGACAGCGAGCTGAGGAATCGGAGGAGGTGTAGCTATATCGGCTGGTTCGATTCCATCTTTCTTTGGTGTTTGTGGGGCTATCTCGCGAACGGGAGAAGAGCCACTCTTCTCGGGATCAAAGGCATCGCCTAGGGAGGGGCCAGGCTTGGGTGGTTGTGGGAAATGAGGGGTGGATAAATCCGCGACAGGGCTTGTCGGTAGCTCCTTTTCGACGAGCGGCTTATTTTCTGCGGGTGCCGGGGAGGGCCCCTCGGTTTCGGTGGAAGCCTTCGGAGATTCCTCCTGTACTGCCTGGGGGATGTTGGCAGCGGCCTGGGCCTGCCCGACTTTAGTGACGTCTTGGGAGCCTTTCGTGGATCGTTGGCGCGAGTGTTGATAGGGCCCTCGGAGGCGCACGGCGTTAAGCGATTCGCGCACATCGCGCCCCCGGTTGGGGACTGGTGAATTTTGTGAGGGGATGACGGGCACACCATTCGAAGATGTACCCAGGTGTTTCTGAATCTGGTAGGCAGAGAAACGACGGGAAGCACGCCGCTCTAGCTCACCACTTCTCTGTAAAGCGCCTAGCGCATCGTCCTGCTTCGGCGGAGGCGGCGGGGCAGGGAAGTCTGGCGGTGCTGCTGAGGGAGTCGCCCGAGGTGTCGGTTCGTTGTCTGATGTTGCCTGGGAGAGCAACTGCTGGGATTCCTTGTGCGAGGCATCTCGCTCTGAGTAGCTTGAGCCAGATGGCCCCGGGGAGGTGCGCTGTTGGGAGGGCGAGTCTTCCAACGAACCATTGCTTCCGTATCGACGTGCCGACCGTTTAGGAGATGGCACACTACCCGGAGGCAATATTGACGCAGCAGCTTCATCGTAGAGCTGTCCAATATTTGTCTTCTCGCTGGCCAGGCTTCCGGCACTCGCCTGCCGCCCGGGCATCCCACTTCGACCCTCTTCCTTCTGCTGTCGAGACCGTAGGCGCGCTTGCTTCTTCTTCAGACCGTGGAGGAGGTTTATGATGATATCGCGAATTTGAGGGAGGTATCGGTCGAGGCTTTGCGGGGATGCATCCTGGCTGAGGGTGTCTTCGAGTATTGTGCGCAGTACATCAGGCACGGGACCCAAGTCCGAGGTCTCGACACCGATCGCATTGAAGGCGCGACAGGCGAGGTTGAATTCATAACCGAGGCGCACATACACGTCTGACACATCTGTTTCCGAGGCGGCTTTGCGAGACCACTGTGTCAAGGTTTCGAGGAGTTGTTTGGTTGCCACTAGGAGATGCGTGACGCTCTTTTCGATTTGGGAAATCTGTTTATCGGGCTGTGAGAGTGTAGGACAAAGCGGCTTTGGTCAGCGAACAGTTACAGGAAATAGCAAAGGCGAAGCGAGAAGATGGGATCAAATAGCACATACCACTATTTTGGTAGATTGGGAGCGGCCAGAGGCCGACGAACTGCGGCCTGACGCTGAGGCCATGGAGGAGGAGTCGGTGCTGCCGGAAACCGAGAGGTGTTGAGGACGAGGAGTAAGATCTTGGTCTCCAGAAGGATGAGACCAGGCGGGAGTCGACTGCATAGAACCGAGAAAGGACACGAGAAGGGGGGGGGTGGTTGGTGGATGACCCAGCCTCCGATCTGCATTTGTTGTGCAGAGTGCAGAGTGCAGCCTGAGTGCAGGGTGCCGTAAGATACTATACGGTCAAATACGGTATTGTACAGTATACCCTAACCTAACCTAACCTAGGCTCTACCCTAGCCTAGGCTCTACCCTAGCCTAGGCTCTAGCTCTAGCCATAACTACCCTCGTCGATCCACGGCACTAAGGTACCTTTTCTTTGGTCTGTACCACCATTTCAGCTTGCAGTGGCCGCGGCAGCTCCCGCGCTTATCCACTCATTCTATTGACTCTATTCTGTATCCTAGGATGTATATAGGATAGAGTCAATAGCATATTATTATCTTAGGGAAGCTATATACACTTGACAGAGTAAAATAAGTAGTATTCTCTATTCTTAGCCTCCCAGTAAGGCATCATTCGCTAGTTGACTAGTCTCTATTGGGCGTCACCGTATCCTGACCACGCCAATCGGTCGCCTAAGATTTTGCTTCTTTTTCACATTAACCAGGATGGTCATAGAAAAATCCCACACAATATCCATACAGTCACAGGCATGATCGACCGGACTCAAAATGAACGCGGGTCATCTAGCGTGCCCTAATGCAGGACAATTCCATACGTCTTGCCCTATCTATGTATGGATGGAGTAAGAGTATGCAATCTTCCCTCTTCTATTGAATTGTGGGTCAAGCTGAGTTTGGTATAATATCATCTCCATTCCTGTGTGTAATAAAAAAGAAATATATACATAATTTGAAGTAGGTAAATGGAACTGTCTTATGTATGAGATGTTCGGATAATAATCAACTTGAATCATCTCCCACTACATACGTCAGTACGTAGCATGTAATGTATTGCCAATACAGTCACCCCGGGGCAGTCCTGGGTTGCGCCCCCACCAAAGAGTACTAGTAGAAGCAGTAAATAGTCGAGTATTGTCTATCTTTATAATCCGTAGAATTATGTTATTCAACTGTACGCTAAATGAAAATGCACCCATTCAATAATTCATTAACTCCTTATATCATACCAAATACTGCCTATTGTCCGAGTTCAGGGTCGCACCGTATTGTATGTACCATCGTATTAGCCCATACACCTGCTTTCCCTCTGTTCTCTCTCCTCCCTCTCTCTTTCCCCTTCTGTTCTTTCTACTCGCACTTCCCCCCCCCGTGACTTCCATCAATTTCCTGTTCCTTCAGTTTTCCCCTCCTTCTTTTTCTTCACATCCATCCTCGTCACCACCCCCTTCGACTCCCTTATCTGCCCCCAGTGTGCCGCGCATACTATCGTTTCCCCACCCCCATCCCCCTTGTCCTATTTGTGCAGGCGGTGTGTGGTGGTTCTGGCTGTGCCTCCTCGCGGCTTTCCGCCGTGTCAAGTTCCACGACGCAAGTCTGCCCTGACTCCCGAGTCAATCAATGGCTTCCACTCTCAACTCGACGCCGGCTGCGAACAGCTCAGGCAATCCCAACAACCCCTCTCAGAATCCTGGAAGACCAACTCTCCGATCAAGCGCCAACTCCAAAGTAGACGGCCGCCGACAGTCCGGTAGCCCTGGTGACGCTGGTCAACGGTACGTTCGACCTCTTCCAAAACGCCCTTCGCCCCCTGATCTGCCCTCCTTTCGTCGCCTTCCACAACCTCGACAATCGTTTGGTCTGAGATCCTGTCCCTTGGGACGAAATCTCATGGGGTTTCCTGGTCCCCCGCTCGTCCTCCTTCAATGAAATGGCCTCCGTGCACGTGCCCCTCGACCTCGCGAGCTCTCTTGCATTGTGGGCTGGCATGGCATTGTGTGCCCCAGAGAACCAATTGCAAGCGTCGGATCTCATGGCAATCGTTCATCTGCTTCTCTGGCTCCATCTTTACTTCTTGTACTTCGCTAACCGGGCCATGTCCCGTCCTATAGACGCTCCAACTCCCACAAAGCCTGGTCCCAAGGGACGAATCCCATCACCCAACGCTCCACACACGCCTCATCAAACGGAAATATGGCACAGAAGCAGTCTGGTTCCCCTCGCCCGGGCCAGAAGGAGTCCAACACTTTTGATAACCATGCGCATGATCGATTGGTCTTCTTGTTTGCCACATTCATTGTAAGTTGGGCTCAGTGTAGTTCAGTCCATCTCGCGCGCACGACTTCTTGCTAAAATGCTACTTGTTTTAGGGTCTGCCTACCACCATAACTACGAAGAATGGAGACAAATACACCGGCATTTTCTCCTCCTCAACTCTCGAGGCCAGCGATTCGTCTTTCCTGTTGAAGATGGTGCAGCGTGCTTCTCAGGAAAACCAGCCCAAGTCCAACGGCGTTAGCGATTCAACAACCCCTTATCTTGGAGCTGCTCCAGAACACAGCATGGCCTTTGATGTGAAGGACATCGCAGACATCTCAGTCCCCAATGTATCACCGGCAGAGGTATCGGCGAAAGAAACAAACGGTAAGCGCAAACCCATAATACAGTTCCGATCGGCTGTTAACATACTTTTCTCAGGGGCAGCCAAGTTCAGAACCGATGCTGATATCTCGGGTAACTTGGCCATGCGGGAGCGCACCTTGCAGCGCTGGGAGCCCGCTGAGGACGAAGCCCATATGTCCCTGGAGAGCTCGATGGGAAACAGCACCGGATGGGACCAGTTTGCAGCGAACGAGAAGCTCTTCGGCGCAAAGACTGACTACGACGAAAACATTTACACAACTTCTCTCGATCGCAGCTCTCCTGCTTATCGTCAACAGGCGGCCTCCGCGGCCAAGATTGCTGCCGAAATTGAGGGCACCAGTGCCGACAACCCTCACATGCGCGAGGAGAGAGGCCAGGTCGCGCCTGACACCGGTGATCAGGATGAGGAGGACAAGTACAGTGGTGTTCGTCGTGAGAACAAGATCTTCCCTCCTCTCCTCTCTGGACAGCCGAACAAATATACTCCACCGGGGCGCCGACAAGTTGGAGCACCCCCAGCTGCTCCCCAGAAACCAGCTGCTCCGACTGCTACCACGGCTAATGCTCCGACTGCTGCTGTTCAGACCCCCGTGGCGGAGAGCACTCCAAAGGATCAGCTTTCTACCCAGTCATCTGCCAGCACTGGAACTGAGCAGAAATCCGCTTCTACCGAGTATCACTCCGAAATTCCTGCCACTTCTGTGAAGCAGCGTACTGTGCCCGAAAATGCCACGGCTAACGTCGAGACCGAGGTGCTGGATCACTTCCGCCAGTTTGCCAACAGTGAGAAGATGAAAATGCAGGAGCGCCGTCGCAACCAAGCCAGCTATGACCGAACTGTCAAGCTTAATGAGCTGATGAAGTTTTCTCAGAACTTCAAGTTGCACACTCCGGTTCCCAAGGACTTAGTTCCCATTCTAGCCAAGGACCGCATCAAACAGGAATCTATCATCAATCGCGTATCTGAAGATAAGACCAGCCCGAAGTCCCCTTCTCCGGCCGTCGAGCAGAAGCCACAAGCTGGACGGGGCGGCCCCACTGGAGCTGTGCCCCCAGCCGCTCCCGCAGATCGCCAAAATGCTTTCCCCCGGAACCGCCAAGTCTATGCCCCCACCGGACCACATGCGGCTGGAGCTGGAGCTGGAGGCCGATTCCCTCAGCAGCCCATGCAGTCCGGTCGTCCTAGTGCCAGTATGCTCAGCCATCGCTTAGCAGATAACCTTCAGCAGCGAAAGGGTGCAGGCATAGGCCCGGTTCCCACGCCCCTACCAATTCAAGATGCTCGAGGCCCACCAACCGGCCCTGCAAATGAGCAGCCTCGAATCACTAGCCCCGTGAAAAGCCAGGCTCCCACGTCTTCTCTAGCTTCCAAGTTCAATGTCCGCGCGATGGAGTTCAAGCCTAATCCTGCGGCAAGCACCTTCACCCCGGGTGGCCCTCCCAGCGCCGCTCCTGCCGGTCCTGCAAGCAGCACCAATGCGGCTGCTGCCAGTCCTCGGCCATTCTCGCGCAACCGATCGGGCTCTCGTGCGACAACTCCATCTGCATTCTTCGGCAACCGGAAGCCTTTGCCCATCTCTGAAAGACACACCATCGATAACCAGTTCAACCCGATCAAACGTATGAAGAAGGAGAGCAGTGGTTCTGCAGAGAAGCCCTACGTATTCAACGGGTGTATTCCTCCTCCTTACAAGACGCTCCCGACATGGGATCACCCGGAGGCGAACCAGGACAAGACTTTTGACCAGATGTTCAAGCACCCTGGCGCCATCCAGTCGGTCTCGCCCCAAGGGCGGTCCGCCTCAAATAACCCTCATCTTCCTCAACAACACCCAATGCCCTTCCACCCCGGTATGGCCCCTTCTTCGGGTCCCCCCCAACGGGCCCCACCTCCATCATGGCCCACATGGCCCCGCGTCCGGCCACATGGACGATCAGCATCGCATGCAGATCTCCGCCTCGTCGTCTCAAGTCTTCCCATCCCCTCGGATGCAGCAAAGCGGCATGGGATACCCATCTCCCATGGCCCCTCATGCCCAAATCGCATTTGGACAGCCGGTGCCGGGATTCTACGGTGCCCCTCAGCCTGGCCATCTACCCCGATACCAAGGTGGTCCCCAATTTATGAACTCGGGCGTCGCTATGGGAGGAGCTCCAATGATGCAACAACCTTCCAATGGTCCCTACATGGGCGTTCCTCAGGGAATGTCGCCCTATAACCCACAGATGCCGATGTACTCACCTTCCCCAGGTCACGCTTACCCTCAGCATGCCCCTCCCCCGCAGTCACACAGCGGTTATCCCAGCCCAAGCCGTGGCGCGCCCATGATGATGCATCAAAACTCGCAGTCCGGCCAACCTCCCCAGATGATGTTCATGCCGTCCGGTCAGCCCGGCCAGGCAGGATATGGAGCTCAGCAACCCGGCCACAGTGAGTTTTTCCTCCGCCCTATTTGGGTTCCCGCGGCTTATCCACTCCCCTCAGTGCCCCCAGGTCGTGGCGGTTACTCCCAGCAGCAACCTCACTTTTCGTCCAGCCCACACCAGCCGCATCATTTCCCTCCGAACGCCCAGCACCGAACGCCCAGCAATGGATTTAACCAGGTGCCTCAGATGCCCCCTCAAATGGCCAACAATTCCAGTGCCAACGCTACCGCTGGCTCCCACTCGGCGGAACCAACGGACGAGGGTAAATGAAATGACATGACTTGATGATAAGATTTGGGTTTCCTGTCTCACTGTGAGATATCCATCCCGTCATGTGATCTGAGGACCGACTATGCGGATCAGGGTTGAAATATCTTGATCTCCATCCGCCCTCCTAGGTTTGGCACACTACACTTAGGGATCGCGCAATGATAAAAACGCCATCGAGGAGCTTGGGATGTGAGTAAATATGCTTCCACAATCTGTGACTAGGGGCTGACAAAACTCGCAGGTTCGCCGAGTGAAGTACATGTAGCAATGTCTATTACCACTCGCATTTGACTCAGAGGCTTTATGCAAGTCAAGTTCTTCTGAATTATCTTTCAATTCAGCCACCGCCGCCTCCAGCGCTTCGAACTCCCAAGTTTATCGCACCTAGAAATTTCGGGCCGCCTCATTTTGTCACATCGTGACAATTGACGGTGATTTTCTATCAGTGTTGTTTTCTTTCCGGCTTTTTTATTTCTTTTCGATTTTCCCTTTTTTTTCCCTTTCCCCTTTCCCTTTCCCAACTGTTCATATTCAGCGTGATGTTTTGTTTTCCCATGTCTTCAAACTATTGGAATGTGGTGAGTGTGCTTTTGTGAGGGGAGTGAGAGAGGATGGAGTGGAATAGGATGAGAGTGTGCTGTGTCGAGGAGGGTATGGGTATGGGCACTTCAGGACATAACTTCATGGCAACTTGAAGTTCGATGGTGATTGTTAGCAGTCCTACGGGATCCAATCAATGATGATAAGACATACTTTTTTTTTGACTAGAGCTGTAGTAGTAGTACGGGGACCTCCTCCAGGCCGAGGTCATTCCAACTTCCTTCAAGTTGGAAGGTTATCATTCCGTACTACCTAGGTCGGTACTAGTAGTACCTAGAAGTACCTATGCGTATCTACTAGTGGTGTTGGTGTTGAGCGGGTGTTATACACCCCTGGAGCGAGGAGCCTTGGAATATATCCATGAATTCTTCAGCCGCATCGACTAGACTACTAACTATTAGTAGAATAGTACTAGCCGCTGAGTCCATGGATATTGGCACCACCATGATTTCGACCTTGGACCTTGGATACCTAGGTACTATCTTCAGACTTCAAGGTCCCCTACAATCTTCAAGTACCTAGGTACCCATGTAGTTTACGAGTGTATATTTCTTATCTTTCGCAATAAACGTTATTTAGTTGACTGCTTACATCAGCCCACGCTAACAGCCCTGGAGCCAATCAGCACCCGCAATTCCCACGCGATGATGCCACCAAAACAATCCCGACCACTGCGACTCTGCCAATTCACTTTCGATCTTGAAGACAACCGATTCTCCTCAAAGGTACTCTCCGGTGAGATCAAACCCCAACCAGTCATGCTCAGACAATACAAATCGAGCTTCGATCAGCCTTCAGCCCCACCGACCGCCTCCACATCCGTCATGAACAAACGCGATCTCGCGGAGGTGCGGCGGGGACTGCAGAGGCTATATCGTGTCTAGAACCGTGCTCAAAGAAGACCTGCGCTAATTCAAGGCACTTGAATAGTATTTAAGAACCCTATCCACCAGCTCTACATACACAATGGCTGTCGACAGCACTACTTCTTCGTCGGTATGTTCTCGCCGTTACACCGCATTCCCAGAAGAGTATACCCCGAGTTGGTTGGAGACACAGCAAAGCAGCAGCAGAAGTTCGCGAAAAGCAATGACAACAATCCCGCTAACATTGATTCCTCCTAGCCCATCCCAATCCCGGAGTTGACAAAGATCACCACCGAGGTATGTCATGCCGCAGCACTTTCACTTCCACTTCCACTTCCACTTTCCCATTTGACGAAATATACCCGAAACATCGCAAGCTCACATCTTCAACGCTCTAGGCCTGCGACTCCGCTCTCAATGAAACAACCGAATACCAGCACGAGAAAGTCAGCGACTGGAACTCCTCCATCATCGTGAGTCCCCACTCCACACCATTCGACCATCCAATCCATACCACAACCCAACAAAACTAACCACCAACGCAGAACACCATCCTGAAAGCCCTCATCGCCGCCACCGCCCCCTCCGACTCCGAGACCAAGACCCCAGCCCCCTACCGCTTCACCGTGAACAGCACAATCGTGCAGCAGGGCCTCATCGACAGGACCGCCGCCGCGGACGGCACACAGACCAACGCCGGCAAGCGCGGCATGCACTCTGCCTCCGGCGCTTACTGGGACGTCAACCGTGACGGCATGTGGACTTACAAGTACCCCGGTGCGGAGGAGCGGGGTCTCGATGTCGTTGTCAGTGTTACTTGGTTTGCTGTGAACTAAGGACGCCGTGCTAGCCATAGCCAAGCCAGGCCAAGCCAAGCTAAGTCGGACCTTGAGACGGGTGTGTGGAGGTATACCCTTGAGAGTGAAATGAGTGAAATGAAGCTGGAGAGATAAAATAAGAGTGTTGTGGGGAGAGAAAAGAAGAGGCCCTGCTTGGGAGTAGCGGGGCAAATGCTATGTCTCTACCTAGGCTCCTTTGCTTTCTGTGTTTTTATTTCTTAATTGGCAGATATTTTTATTGATTTAGGGAATTATTCTGTCTTTGTCTTCTTCTTCTTCTTCTTCTTCTTCTTTTGCCTTGTATCTGTGACCCGGGTTCTTATTTTGTATGGGTTGAACGATCTGCAACTAGCTTGAATCTAGGAATTATGCTATACGGAGCGTTTGTTCGTTCCCGTAGATACACTGGACTAGTACTAGTAGTATGCGCAACTAAATTCCACTAGTATTGCTCAAAATCCTACTCTTACTAGTATCGATCTACTTGAGTAAGTACTATGGGATGAAAATGCCATTCCTATGTAATGGGGTAGCAGTGATTAAAAACATATCAAAATTCAGATATCAGATCGGATGAGATCCCTGGAGGTACAAGGTATTCTCCAAACAAGCATAAATCGTAGAGAAGCGGACCCCAAGCCGAAAAGCTGGACGCTAAGAAATGGACCCCCTGCGCCATGCTATGCAACGCGACAAGGAAGTTATCAAAACACACAGAAACGCCACCAACCCAAGAGAAAGAGAGAGAGAAAGCCCCATTGACGCGGAAAGTGGATTATGGCGAAGATGGAAAGTGACTTGTCAAGTCTCCAAAAAGCAAACCAACCAGCCCTAGCGGGGTTCGGAGTAATCGTTCAGGGCAACGCAGACAGCGCCTCGGTGGTGTCCACTGTATTGGCGGATGATGTTACCAGTGCTGAGCTCCCATAGACGTGCGTAGTGATCGCTAGACACTGTGACCAGATAGGCCGAGTCGGCGGAGAATGCGCAGTCCCACACCCAGCGCTGGTGGTTGACGAGGGTGGTTTCGAGGAAGAGCGTGTTGCTGGCAGGGTCCATGGGCGGTCCATCTGGGGTGGTGGTGAAACTCTGTTGCGATGTGTCCTCGCGCGGAGTGCTGTCGGTGATGCGGAGCAGGTCTCTGTCTGTGGTCGAATCTCCGAAGATGCGCATAAGTTCGTTGTTCTGGTTTTTACCGGTAGAATCACCATTGCTTTCGCTGATCTCGTCGGGGTCTTTCTGGGCCTGTCGCTCATTCCATTCTTTGATGGCGACCTTTGCTGGCGCGTAGTCGGCGTCCAGATTCCACACTTTTGCTGTGTGGTCTGCGGCGCAGGTGGCTAGGTGTTTGACGTCGGGGGAGAGGAGGACGCGAGTCAGGTAGTCCCTGTGGGCCTGGAAGCTGCAGACCGGGATGATGCGCGTGGTCTCGTCAGTGATGACCATTCGCCAAATGTAGACGTTTCCCTAACAAGGATTAGTGGGGGTCGCGCAGTCGAGGATATTGAGAGATGACGTACGACTTTGTTTCCTGCGCAAAGTAGAGATCCATCGCTGGCGACACTAACGCTGAGCACGGATGTATCTTCGGCGGGAATGAGCTGGTGGGTGCAGACACTCTCACCAAGATCCCACACGCGCACCATACCAGCCTGATCTCCACTGATGAGCTCGCCCTGGTTTGGATGAATGACGACATCGTTGACGGGAGCTCGGTGGACGTAATTGCGTTGCAGACTGCCCGTGCGTGTATCCCAGACCTTGACAGTGCCGTCCTCGGAGCTGGTGACCATCCACTTGCCTTCGCAATGGAATGCGACACCGGTGATGTTGTTGGTGTGGCCCTCGAATGTCATCACAGGGTTGGGATTTGTAGACTTAATATCATATAGCTTGACATTGTTGTGGCCTGCAGCTGCGAGGAAGCGTTTGTCGGGAGTAATGCAGAGGCGGTTAACCTGGGAGTCGGGGTGTTGAATGGTTCGCGAGCAGATGCCGGACAGCGCTTCCCAGAAGCTGTAGCCGAACAGGTTAGCATTCGATATGCTCGAAGTTATCGAATTGAAAGACTTGGAGCTTGAGGAAGCTTTTGCTTACCGAATGGTATGGTCATACCCCGCTGCGACAGACAAATGCGATCAGTTCAAGCTCGGGGGAAGAATGCGGGGAGCTTTTTGATAAACAGAGCACTTACCTGTGCAGAGAATAACGCTCATACTGGCAGAATGGTATGAAGCAATGTCAGATTTGAGGGGGAGATATATGGTGATTGCAAAGTGAGGAGACTCTGAGCGACTGAGAAAGCTGGAGGAGAGGCTCAACATTCGGAGGAGTTGGAGTCGGCGATCGGAGGCCCCGTTGCACTTAGGACTGTATAGGTCACGTGTATAGAGGCGGTGACTGCCTTAGGATACTGCCGGGTGGGTCCTGCCAGAGATCCACCAAGTATACATTGGCTAGGGTATATGGAGGAAATCTGAACAAAGAGCTACGATAGACTTGGAGATTATGGTGAAATAATTCCATATTCGCGAAAATGATTAAGCTATCGAATTCCTAACTCAATACATCATGTAGGGAAGACATGTTACCTCTCAATGGTGTACTAGCTGATGTAAAGAGCCGAAACAGTCTGACTCTTGAGTCAGTACTTCATCGGGCGAGCTCTTCTTCTATCATCCGGGCTAACTCATCATCATCGGGATGGTAGTCTTCCTCTCCACTCGCATCATGGCGCTCGTCTGGGATTCCAGCTAGCTGTCCCATGAAGAGCGACTGATCATTATCGAAGCAACTATCTGCTAGAGCTTCGTAATCTTCAATAGAGGAGACTGTAGCGGGCTTCGGCTCCTCATCAAAAAGGCTATCGAAGCTGGAAATTGAGGTTGGCGCGCAGGTGTTGAGTTGGACATTGGACGCAGGGGTCGGTGAGGAGTTAATCTCTGTAGCTGTGGAGGATGAGGGCATCACCAGGCTACATCGGACTTGAAGATTAATTCGCTCACAGCCTTGCATTGAGGAGACCTCGGGCGAAACGACATCAGAATTCTCGTTGTTCCCCGTATTCTTCTTCCTGGGCTCCGGTGGCGGAGCTAGCAAGCCCCTCCGCTTCTTGGATGGTGCACCGGAGCCTGGAGCTGAGCCTTGAGGAGGGGAGATATTGTCGAAAAGAGATTGAACAGTCAGTCGGACATCCAACGGTTCTCGAATCCAATCAAGCGTCTTGTGTCTGAGGGCGTGACGAAAGTCGGTTAGCTGGGCTTCATTTGCTGGTGGACTAATTTGAACAGTTGGGAATCCTAGGGGTACTCACATCCTCTGCGCCGTCGTCGGTAAGATCAATCACCACAGCATCATGATGGGGCACAGCAGGGGGTCGATTTGACATCGATGAAATCGAAGCTGGTGACGGGTAGTTGGTTGAAGCAGCCTTGTTGAACTGCGTACCAAGCCCGTCCAGAACTTGCATCGGATCCACGCCTGGAGTTTTCAAGGCAGATATCAAAGAGCGATGCTCAGCCAAGAGCTGATCATACGCGCCTTTCCATGGTTCGGATGCGCCCCAGGTCGATTCGGGAGATTGCCGCGATGGTAGCGTGGGCGATTTCTGGGAAGCTCGGTAGTCGGCGAGGAGGTTGTTGTGTGTTCTGGCCAGATTGGTATACTCATTTTGCCAGTTCTGAAGCTCGGTTTTGAGATTCCTGGCCCGAGTTTGTTGTGTCGATGTCACACGTCGTAAAGTCGTGATTTCTGCCTCCATTTCGTCGATCTTCAATTTTCCCGTCCGCGGATCAGGCTGGCTGTAGCTGAGAAGTTTGTCGCGATATCTGTTGCGCTCGATGACGAGAACGTTGATCCGGCGTTGTGAGTTTTTCAGCCGATGCTGAAGGGCCGAGCTCGAAACCTCCACGTTGACGGTATGGTTGTGCAGAAATGGGGCGGAAGGGTAATACTTAGACACTTTGTAGGGTGACAAGAATGGAACCGTTCGTTGAATAGTTGGGATGGGATCCGCGGTATCGTGGGGGTCCAGTCCGAACCGAGTCATTGCAGCGACGCTGGCTGGGTTGCTGGATCCTGCAACCGAGAAATCATTCGCGGAGACCATGGGTGAGGCACGGTTGGCAAGATCCATACGGGACTGTGTCTGCATGGCCAGAGATTCAAGCGAAGGCGAGGGAACCGACTGGCATGAACGCTTGGTTGGCATCTCGGCTTCGTTGGGGGAAACCTCCTCGAGGGGACGCTTAGCCGGTGTCGGATCAAGGGTGGGGATATCGATTTGATGAACGATGGGATCAAAGTCGGTCAGAGGATCGAAATTATCCATGAGGCCGAGGTCGAGGTCCATACTGAGATCGAACTGGGAGAAGTCCATTGTATGGGCGAAGGATTGTGACTGTGATCCAGGGGAGAGTGTGAGCCCCAGATCCTCAAGTGCAAACTTGCTTGACTCGCCTGAGTCACCCAGGGACAACTCACATTGCTCCATGACTTCGTTCATTTCGCACGGTGAAAACGGTGATACCATGCTCAAAACTTCTTCAAGGCATGTTGCCTAACGATAACCGCTGTGCCTTTCTGCCTGCAGGTTGTCCTGGTGAAGACAAAGGCTGAAGACCGGCTATTGATTGTTAGACAGGCCCACAAGATATGATTCAAGAGAAAGATGGGGTATGACCTTCGCTCGATGTTCACTGAGATGGATGGATGAGGTGAGGATGTCAGCAAATGTTTACCTTTTTCCTTTTTCTGCCTAAATTCTGCTCACCGCTCCAATATTTCCGACCGCCTACCATAAACCAGTGGACTCCCCTTTGCCTATTTAGGAAAGGCTCTCTATGTGTATTATATACTATGGGTGTTCAGTTCTACCTGAAATGTTGCGGTTTATCTACACTTTTTAACCAGAAGGCGTGGCGTCATAGATACGGCTAATCTTGTGGCTGGCAATCAGGTGATTATGATTGAGAGTAGAAGCCCCTGGGGGGTTGTAGCAGTCATAGCAAATATAGAGGATCATTAGGCCTGAGTAGGAAATATCTGGAGGCCGGTTTCTTTTCTTTTCTTTTCTTTCTTCAAATGTGATAGTTTCAGCGTGAAATAAGTATATATCATTGGCCTTCTGTCTTTGCCAGCGTCCTCCTTATTCCTCCGATATTCTGGCCACACCCTCCTCAGGCTGCTCACTCATCGCTGTGCTGCTTTTCTGCACAGTGTCTGCCAGGATAAGCCTACTCTGTCCTCGCAAGATCATGAGGTACATCTCGATTTTCCAGTGCCCAGGTGGTCCGTCGGTCGATATAGATTTAGGTTTAGCCTGTGATACGATGTGCTCCCATTTTCAAGTCTTGATTTGACCTTGCCATTTATCGGAGAAGTTTGAGAAATGAATCTCCCCGATTCGATAATGAGTTGCAACCTGAAGTGACAACGTTTGGGTAATTTGGAACGAAGGACTCGGAATGGTGAAACCGGCTTTATAGGCCCACTTCGATGAGATGTCTCGGGCGATTATATCCCGTAAGACAGAAGCCCTAATCCAATCTCTCGTGCGAGAAAGCCATATCGCCGCCAGATTGCAGCAAAGTTTTCAATAGCCTTTGTGTAAAAGACCGGTATGACGGACTCTGCTTTGGTCGATTCTGAATGTTCTGTAATAGCCTGGTACTAGTAGTATGTCTTGATTATACTCTTCTGGACAGTGAGCGGATCACCGGGTCGAGCTGGAAGATTTAATTGGTGTCGGCCACAATAGAAAGCCTGGGCGACTGTCATTCTAGCTGGGCCATCTTTTGAGAAGTAATTAGCCCAGTTGACATAAGTTATACTTGGATAAAGTTTGGACTTACTTTCGGATACCTAGGTATTTTGCTCAATGCCTTGAGTTTCCCCGATTGTATTTATTCAGTGATTAAATCGCGAGCCTTCCATACATTTTCTTTAATAATCCATGCATCGTTCAGCTGATCGGGAGTAAACTTTTCCTTCAAAGTATATCGAAATACTCCCGCATTGTATCCACAGATCGAGTGCCATCTTGAATGTTCCGAATCTCATCATCACTGTCGACTACTCAACGGTAAGTAGCGTATGGAGACAGGTATCTGTAGACGATGATGATTGTTTTCGGAGTACCAAGAGTGTAAATGCCCATATAGAGGGGTAGAGGGTCGCTTGATACCATGGTTCCCGACAATTACATTCGATTTTATGTATATAAAACGTCAGATCCACCCTAAGATTCTGGTTCTGGAATCGGATCGAGGCTGGTAAATAATTAGCATCATTCTGAAAAAGAGAAGAGAAGAATTTCACGGACCTAATATCACCAGCAACAAGAAAGCTTTCCCAATCACGGACCATGTTTTCCCTTTGAGAATCGCATTATCGTCCAGACTTTTTCTCGTCAAATACTCGTGCTGCTATGGCGGTAATGACCTGTAATTTTTTTCCTTTTTGATCAAGTGTAAACACATTTCGGTTTTGTAATCGAGAATACTCCGATTAACTTCGAGTTGCAGCCGGAATTCAAAGCTCGTCGATCCAAGAGTATTTGTGATGTCTTCCAATGGTCGTCTCAAGGGAGTTCTCTTATAAGGGTATCGAGACACTATTTGAAGTACTAGTATATTTATTTAACGGCGGACAAGTATCAGCCGGCAGCAGACTCAAGAGGAACCACAGAAGATTGGAGGAGTCGCGTAAGACACGAAAAGCGGCGAAAAACCCGAGAAGAGTCACGGAGGGGACAGAATGCATCACAGAAAACACAGAAGAGACCCCATAGATGTTGATCTGGTTCAGAGAATCTCAAGGGCATAAGAATTCTTCAATACGATAATTAAACCGGTACTTCGAGAATCAAGGGTCTCAGCTTGTTTGTCAGAGAGCATGAATGGCATGAAAGATTTCATCCTGTATGTAGGTGCGCTCTCCGTCGTCCAGACGGCGCCATAGTAGATCGAGCCGGATTCCTGGTCTGTCCTGAAGAACAAGAGCATACCCTGGGGAAACGAAAAATTGTACCCGAGTCCCCAGCGATCTAGCAGGATATAGGGAAGAGCAAGACAAGGTCTGAATTCCGAAGTATGCAAAGACTCCGAGAAAGTTGGCCGAAGGTTAAGGTGAACGATTAGGGTAACCCAGTGGCTTTCAGGGCATAGTAAACGAGCTGTGAATTGGCCGCGGTCAATGAAACGTGCTGGAAGTAGAGATAGAATTGTAAATTAAGATCCTGAAGAGAAGATAATTTAGGCCAGCTCAATATCATCGTGAGTAGTGTAAACTTACTACAAGGTAGAATTTGGATAAGTCGCTCTCACAACCATGGAAACTGCAGGATTAAAAAATGATAATCCAAGCGGAGTAGACACCCCCACTGGGGCAAACAAAGAAGTATATAGGTAGATGAGTATGATAAAAGGAGGATAAAAGAAAGAGCCTTGACAATGGAGGGGGTAGAATGTGTCCACAATAGCGATACCATTATGCAGATGTAGAAGGTACGGGACATGAGTATAGCGGAAGGTGCAACCATGGTATCAATCAGCCATCGTCCCTGATACCGCCAATAGTTCCAAGGTTGGTATGGGGGATTTCCGAAGAACCATATCATGGTTTTCTTGTTTACGTGCTTCCCACTAGAGGCATAGGACAGATTGCTTCAGCTCGTTATTCATATTGCTCCCAGCTATCCAGATCATGGAATTGTGGTGGTAAGAGTGTGAGAGAAAGTGTATAGCCTGCTCATCCAGTTGTGTCAGCCACTAACTACTAATACGCTATGTATGCACCTAGGTAAACCTTGGAACTTCTTGAGGGGCAGAAAAGTATCCGACACGGACCCCAACCATAAATAAGCTACCCTTTACCTGCAGCTAAAAACGCCACAATTCACAAAGGAACGAGCTAGCCAGCCTTATTTCGCCAAATTTATCCATAAACAGACCAGATTTACATAGCGGGGTTGAAAACTCCAGTACAAGAAGATTTTATCTATATTGATGACTATCCACAAATCTAAAGCGTAGATATCAACCAAAAGTAGTTGATCCAAGCTTGACCCAGCGCTGTTGATCATTGAAATCGTAAGATGTCAGGGCACAAAAAAATAAAACAAGTAGAGGATCCGGCCAATATGGCACATCGAAAAAAGATAGTTCAAAAATAGACCCTTGATAAAGGGGAGGCAAATCGGATCAGCTCTGATCAGATCGTCTCGGCTCCAAACACATCACCATCCAGCAGTAGGTGGATACCGGAACAGATACAGCTTAGTTTGTTGTGACAGCGTGAGGCTCGACATGCTGTCTTGCACGATCAACGGAAGTCGACCGGCCATTCGAAGGCTCCAAAGCGGCAGTTTTCTCCATCTCGCGCCAGTTGATGCCCTGAGACTTCAGCTGCTTGCGCGCCTTGTGACCGCCACAGCAGGACGCGCAGCAGGAGCCGAACTGGACGATGAAAGCGATCAAACTGAAGCCCGAGGCAATCCACATAAAGGCCAGCATTTGGGTGCCGACATGGGCGTGGATGTTCAAGCTGGGGTCAGCATTGGTGAAGACGTGGGAGAAGATCTCGAACATGACGGTTGCCACGGCGGATGCGACAATGGTGACGAGGGCGGTGAAAAAGGCGAAGATGAGCATGGGTAAAGAGCGCAGCCAGATGAAAGTGCGGCGGCGGTGCGGGGGTTGACCAGCGGGGGTGATTTGCGTGCCGTCAGTACTGGCAGCAGCCCAGAGTTTAATTGTTTGAGGAGGTCGCGAGGATACGGCTAATGGGCTGAGGAATATCATGACGAAATTGAAGACAGCGGCGGCAATGAAGAGGCCGAACATCCAGTGGGATGCAGTCCGGGCTAGATTGAGAGGATCCTGGATATCACTGGGGAGGGCAACTGAGGAGGATTAATATGGCTGTTCTTTTTATATCAAGGGATGGGGTGGGTTTGTTGGAAAGAGGTGGACATACTACTAGCACCAGCAAGCAGCTCGTCCAAGATAATTTCGACAGGGTTGAATGCATAAAGGGACTTAGGCTTGGAGCAGCCGGTGATGCCCGCGTTATTGTAACCCTCGCAGAACCCCCACAGACCGACCTGGTAGAAGTCGTGAAGGCCGATTGAACGAGCGATGGAGTTAATGAGGACGGCATTGGGCACGGAGACGGGAATAATGTCTGTTAAGTCGAGGTACATAAAGTAGGTACTGCGCAAGACTGGCTTGTTGGAGAGGTTGCCAATGCAGACGAGAAGGACAAAGATCCAGGCGAGGAGATATAACAAGGACCGTATGATGCGATGAGTGTGTACTGTGGATGCGCGGCGGCGTGCGAGAGGTCCATTGGAGCTGCGAAAGAAGGGCAGCTTGCGAGTAGCACTTGAGCCCGAGCCCGAGCCTGAGCCCGAGCCTAAGCCTGAGCCATTGGTATTATCTGGCCCGTCGACCATGGCGATGATGGATGAGTTGTTGCAGTGCAAAGCAGCGCAGTGCAGAGCCGACCGGGGAAGGGTAGGGCAGAGCAGGGCAGCAACCAGGCAGATGTTAACGGAAACAGGAGTTTTATTTCTCCTAATCAGATCGGGGCTTGAAGGCTGCCGTGGATCGTCAGTGGCGTTCCACTAGTGGACCTTAGTAAGGGCGATCATATAATCAGCGGAGTGAGTAAGGGGGGGGGGAATGGATATAAATTTAGATGGAGGGAAAGAATGTGAGGAGAAGAGGGAAAGGAGAAAGAAAATTTGTGGAAATCCGAGTAGGACGAGGGGGAGGAGAAGACAAGGAAAGAGACAAAAAGTACAAAGTTACAAGCAATTGAGGATTGAAACTCACGATGGCCAGACCAGTTGAGATGTGAGATGGGTGGGTTGCTCAGGGCGTCTCATGCTATTATTGGCCTATCGAACGGACACCAAGTGGCAACAACGTCAGCATCCAACGGGGCTGAGTGGTTCCTGGTGGGGAACACAAATGGAGCATCGAGATTTAGTGTAGCCTAGAATTACGGCAGTGGCTAGCGACCAGTGAGGAGATTAATTGAAAAGGTGTGAGGGTGCATGATGACGGTGGGAAGAGGTCGATCAATGGAGAACTCGGCACTCTCGACTCCATAGTGACCTACTCCTGTGCTCCGTACCCAATTCTTCCTCTCCCGAGTTCCTCCTTCTCCATCACCACACCATCCTCACCAAACCATGAGGTATACCTCTCTGCTGGCCTTTGGCCTAGCTGGTCTGGCTTTAGCCAAAGATGGTACAACCACCGAGACCATCGATGCTACCGATACCACCACCGATTTCTCCTCCACCATCACTGGATCTTCCACCTCTTACAACTGGTCCGACGCTTCCACCATCACCAATGCCTCAGCTCAAGTTCCCACTGGTTCCTATCTGACCTACACCTCCGTTATTACCCTCGATAATGGCGACCACAAGACCGTGGTATCCTCCTCGCTCAATGCCAGTGCCACCGCGACAGGCAATCAGACCCTTCTCCATACTTCCACCACCGACTCCGTCACCGTGTTGGTTGGCGGTGGTGGAACAACCACCCTGGGTAACAACAGCATGAACGCGACTCGGACACACGCTTCCACCAGTTCGACCCCAACCGAGACCAATACCACCCCTTGCAATGGGTACAGCGAGTTCTGCATGCGCAACTACTCCAACATCACCAATGTTGCCGCCCACAACAGCCCGTTCGTGGTTCCCGGCAATGCCGCCTCCAACCAGGCCCTCAAGGTGACTGACCAGCTGAACGATGGTGTTCGCATGCGTAAGTCTCTTCCCTTTTCCTTCCCGCCACTCAGTTGACCTTCCTTCTAACGAGGAACAGTCCAATTCCAAGCCCACAACAAGAGCGGGGAGATCCACCTCTGTCACTCGAGCTGCGACATGCTCGACGCCGGCACTCTGGAATCCTATCTCGCCCAGGTCTACCAATGGATGCTCAAGAACCCCTATAACGTTGTCACCTTCCTAATGGGTAACTCCGACAACCTCGCACCAACCGCATTTGTCGACTCCATCGAAAAGTCCGGTCTGAAAAACATCATCTACTCGCCCCCGAAGGCCCCCATGGCCTTGGACGATTGGCCCACTCTCTCTGAGATGATTCTCTCCAACAAGCGCGCTGTTTTCTTCATGGACTACGGCGCGAATGAGACCGCCGTGCCCTATATCATGGACGAATTCTCCCAGCTATGGGAGACACCTTTCTCGCCCACTGACCGCGATTTCCCCTGCACTGTGCAGCGTCCACCTGGCTTGAACCACAAGGATGCCACCAACCGCATGTATATGATCAACCACAACCTCAACCTCGAACTGAACTTCGGCTCTATCAGCCTGCTCATCCCCAACACGGCTTATATGGTCGACACTAATAGCGCCAACGAGACCTTGTACGGCAGTCTTGGTAACATGTCCGAGAGATGTACTGGTAAGTGAACAGTCACATACGTCAACAAGATCTCCCCGCAATCAACAAGTGCATATTTACTCACAACCCTCTAGAAAAATGGGACCGCCCTCCCAACTTCCTGCTGGTCGACTACTATAATTGGGGCAAGCCCAATGGCTCTGTCTTCGAGGTTGCTGCGAAAGCGAACAACGTCACATGGAATGGCGACTGCTGCGGCAGCACCTCGGCTGCTGCACACATGGCGGTCGCCAGTGTCTCGACGATGGTCCTCGTAGCAGCGGGCGTCCAGTTCCTCCTCGCGACGTTCTAAAATGACGATTCACGATGTAGCTTTTTTCCCTTTTATCTCGACACATTTGGGTGTACATATCGTAATATAGATGGACAGCAAAGCGCAATATAACAAGCATTAATTCGATTCCCATCCAACAAACACAATTAAACCCAAACTTCTCAATCCACGTACAAAGTAACTACCTATCATCATCACCTTGGTGCAGCTGAGTCCCATAGATGCCCTCCCATATCCACCACATCACGTGCCCCACCCAACGGCAGCCATGAAAACGAACCCAACCACCAAACCACGAAACAACCACACCACCCTTACCACCAATTCTCCCAAAAGAACCGCTCGACAGCGAGAGAGAGCACGCGCAACCCCCACACTCACCTCCCACACCCCCGCCACCCGCCAAAATGGTCGACATCGTCCCCCTCTCCAGCTACCCCTCCTACATCGATCTCCTCCCCTCAATCCAAACCTGCAACATAACCAACCTGCCCGAGAACTACTTCCTAAAATACTACCTCTACCACGCCCTCACCTGGCCGCAACTGAGCTTTGTCGCCGTCGTCCGGCCCAAATCCGGCTACAAGTCGGGCGGCAGCGGGCCTGGGATCGCGGGCGATGTCTCGGGTCAATACCCCAAGGTTGTGGGCTATGTGCTTGCGAAGATGGAGGAGGAGCCTGCGGACGGCAAACCGCATGGTCATATTACTTCATTGAGCGTTATGCGCACGCATAGACGGCTGGGTATCGCTGAGAGGTTGATGCGGATGAGTCGTGAGTTTCCCTTGTTCTTTTTCCTCTCTTTTGCTGCGCTTTTGTTTCTTGTGGTGGTGGTGGTTGGCTGGTTGTACTTTTCTTTCCTGAAGTGAGATCAAATTGTCGGCTTTGGTTTCGTCCGGTCTGGCGGGCTGGAACTGAGCTTGCGGCAATCCAATCCAATCCAATCCAATCCAATCCAATCCAACCTACCAATGCGAATGCGAATGCGAATGCGAAATGGCCGCGAGGGAAAGCAAAAGCTAACATACATAGAACGCGCAATGGCCGAGTCGCACCGCGCTCACTACGTTTCTCTACACGTGCGTATGTCCAACATCGCTGCGCTGCGCCTATACCGCGACACACTGGGCTTTGAGGTGGAGAAGGTGGAGAGCAAGTACTACGCGGACGGCGAGGATGCGTACGCGATGCACCTGAAGCTGGACAGTATGTGGATGGACTGGAAGGCCGTTGAGAAGCGGGACCGGGCGGAGGCGAAGAAGAATAAGAAGGAAGGCGAGGGCGAGGATGAGGATGAGGACGTTGATGAGGGCGAGGCTGTTGGTGATTTGGGGAAGGCGGAGCAGAATGGGGAGAAGATGGTTAATGTTAAGATTGGGAGGGCGCTTGGTGTTGGTGATTTGGTTGAGAGGAGTGATGTTCAGTCATAAGGCTGTTTGCTCGGTCTGGTCTGGGTATGCTTGAGCTTGGTTAAAGCTCTCGCGGGCTTCTAGGCAGTACGGGCTAGTAGAGTCGTACTACCGGTCTATACCGGAGAGGAAAGAAAAAAGAAAGAAAGACCCCGGGCCTACTAGCTTGGGTCGGGGGTGGTTACAGTTGATGAATCTAGGTGTATATCAAGCAATGTATATGCAGTGACTATCGTTACTTCGTTGATGCTACCTCCTTTGGCCGTTCCAAATCGCGCCTTGAAAGATATATATATACGCCAATGAGTAAAGCAAACAGAAAAAAGCGAATGGGCAAAAAGAATCCAGAAGAAATATACATCAATGTATCAGGCTCCGTCCTTTTTCTTATCCTCGTCCCGCTTCTTGGATCGCGGTTTGAGAATATCCTTTATACGAGACGGGGTTCCACCCTTCTTCTTATCTGGGACTTCGGCCGGCGTTTCATGTACGCTAGCCTGTGAGGCAGAAGAAGGAGTATGAAGGTTACTCCTGTTGAATTCCGAGCTCGTCTCGGAGCGCACAGGGAATCGCTGCGGTTGAGGCTGTGCAAGAGGCGGAGCGGGGGAATCGTCTAGCGACACGTTTTTCAATTTGCCATCCAGAGCAGCCAGTTGGTCTTTGGCACTGGCCTTCGCCTTTTCATCGGCTTGCGCAGGCCCATGACGGCGGCGGTTGCGCTTCACGCGCCGGCGGGCACGCTGTTCTTCCCTCGCCCGCTTGACAACGTCTCGGAATGCCTTTCGCGTGGCGCGCATCTCCTCCTTCATGGCGCGACGGTCTATGGATGCGCGTTGCTGTTGCTCAGGAGATTCCCACCGGCCCCAGTCGTTGCTGTCTGTTGGCTGGGTTTGCTGGGGGCGGGTACCTGGGCGCCAGTTCCGGCGGCCGGAGGCGCGGGCTTCGCGGCGGGATTCTTGGAGAGTGGTTAGTTGTTGTCGGAGATCGACGGCTGCGTCGTATAAGATGCGGTCGTGCCTGTCATCGAGAGATTGGAGTTGTGTGCGGACTGTGGTGAGGTCCGAGGCGCTTAGGTCCGAGGTCGTGGAGAGCGAATCAATTGAACTTAGGGAGGACTCGGATGAGGTGGATACTATGGATATGCGGCGTGTTTGTTCAATGGGAGGTTTATCGTCATCTTTGGAGAGGGGCGCAGGTTGGGTTGTGGGCTGCGACGTTGGTTGACTGGGCGGCGTAGGGCTGCTAGTAGGGATGCTTGTAGGAGTAGCCGGGTTTGATATTGTGCCGGTGTATGGGGGATTCCAAGCTGGATATGGAGCGTAGCCAGAAGGTGGGTAGCCTTGATATGCGGGTTGCTTCCGCCCAAACCTTGCCTGCTCTTCGATCCAGCGGCCGTGTGCGAGAGCTTGCTCCTCCACTTGTCGGCCATAGTTCATGGCATGTTGACTGAATTGGTTGCCGTAATGTTCCAAACGCTCGCCATACTTCTGTGCTTTAGAAGTGAGATCCGAGAGCCACCCACCTTTGCCGCTACTAGTACCAGTATTCCCATATTGTGGTTGTTGTTGATAACCCCAACCGTTCCACTGTCCCCATGGAGCGGCTCCAGGTGGTGGATATGGATAGTACTGCGGCAGTTGATGATTTGAGGGTGCACCATGACCAGGAAATTGGGGAGCCCCATACGGCGGTCCAAAAGGCATTGGTGGGTGCGGCATCATGGGGACCGGCGGAGCAGACCAATTTGTGGGCGACGGGGTAGTCTGGCCACTTGCAGACTCGGAAGTATTCTGCGCTCTGCTATCTGTAGCCGCACCAGCACCAGCCCCAGCACCAGTTCCCTGAGTCGCCTTTGTCGCTGCTGGATAGCAGCGGGGACAGAGGGCAGATGATGGCGCAGCGTCGGGTTCCCCAACATATACGAAGACGATTCGGGTGCCGCGTACCTCAAAGAAACACTGATTCCATTCGTCCACCACGACAGCAATGCGAGCCCGTCGTTGCTCATCCGTCTCTTGAGGTCGATCTTTTCGGTCTCGCTGGATCTCCGCCCGTAGTTGTCTCGGGAGATCTTGGGACGTAGCCGCCAGGCCCAATTGAGGCGGGAACAGATATCGCAAAAATGTGTCCCAGTCCTGCTGCAAGACTTCGTTCATCCGCGTCGCCCAGCAACGAGGTCTTCGAGGGAAGTCTTTTGTTTGACTGCGAGGATATATCGTCATATGATGGTCCAGCAGGCCTTGGCTCTCGTCCAACCCTGTGGCAGGCCGCTGCTCAAAGTAGCCTGCGGCGGAGACGAAGTGGGCTGGGACAACGGAGGAGGCTGCCGAGGAGGAGCCACCTGCCTCCGGTGAAGGACCTGAAACATTCGCACGCGATGGGCCATTGGCATTAGCCTGGTTGCTATTTCTATTGCTGGTCGGGGCAACTAATGGATCAACGGCGGCATAAGGCGGTGGTGGGGCCTCCTCCTGTTCCATTGTGACAGGGCTGGAGGGAGATCGTCGGAGAAAGGAGCAGGGTGCGAAGATTGAGGCCTAGGGGGGATTGCAGATATTCGGCAGCCTGTCAAGGCACGTCGCCCATGCTGTGCGATTCGATAGAGGATCTGGAGGATCAAATGGGGATGTTGGTCGAAGGCAGCAGAATTCCGGGCTAGTAGGTCAGCACCGAACAGCTTGGCGCGGGGGATTGGAATGATCGGAGATGCATGTCTCACCGGACTGGAGGGTCAAAGGGAACTGGCCAAGACCGGTATATGCGCAGTCGTAAGGAGTTGCAGAGTGGAATAAAGTTGAAGTTGGGTTGGGTTGATGGTGCCATTCAACTGTGGAAATCCGCCGGGGGCGATAAGATAGTCCACCTCCGCGGAGTTCCTAAGGTACTTTTAAGGTTATTGGACTCTACCCTGGGGTAAAAGGGTAAACCATGGATGAATAGAAGGAATGGATAGCGATGGAATTATAGAAATTATCTTAGGATCCGCCTACAAAGAGACAGGGTCTACCATGTACGCAATGTCACTTGTAGTAAGGTGTGTCCCTGCCCTAACACAGGAGGCTACTACCCCGGCAATATCCTGGTACCGAGGTAGCAACTGGTAGCAACTGGTAGCAACTGGAATACTTTCACAGTAAACTGTCTATAACGACCACAATATCTCTATTATTTCGACTATAGCCTGTATCCTCCCAGGTAATTAGCAATTGTTCAGGGAATTCCATATATACAATACCACAACCCTCAGCCTCAATCCCAAGCATCACCCCACCCATCATCTTCATCGACATTTTCCTTTGGCTTCGTATCAATCTTCTTCGCCGGCGCCGCTGCTCGCGGCTTGGCAGCAGTAACAGGACTTCTTGTAGGAGCCGAATTGGTAGAGGAGGATTTGTTCAAGCCCTTTGGAAGGGGCTTTTTCGCCTTTGACTGATTCTTTGCAGCCAACCACCCAGCAAAATCAGGCTCTCCTCCATCATCAAAAGAGACAGCGGGGGCTGGGCTTGAAGCTGGATCTGGCGAAGAGATTTTCGGCGATGCAACAGCCGCAGTGAAAGGATCGGTTTCTTCATCTTCGTCATCCATTGCGCCCCATGCATCGAAGACATCGTCGCCTTCATCCTCGATTTCCTGCTGCTGCACAACGGGGACCGGTCGATCTGAGAGCGATCGGCCCAGTGGTTGTGCGGCAGGGCGCAGGGGTGTTTGCTTTGGAAGTTCCAATTGCGTGGACGGTGATGATTTAGCAGGCCGAGGAACAGATGCGGAGCGGGTTGCCTCGGTTTCTGCTGGCTTACTGGTGGCGGCTGTAGGCTCGATCTCGCCGTCCGCGGCTGCGATCTTGTTGGTGAACGATGATATCGCCCAGCCGGCCCAGGATTTGTCGGTCGAAGTGCCGATCCTGGCATTAGAGGCCTCGGGCTTGCTGGGTTCTGCAGGTAGCACAGAATCGACCATGGTGGTGGCAAACTTGCGAACGCGTTGGATGTAAAGGTCGAGGGTTTTGTTGGCTTGGTCGCGGATCAACCTAGTAAAGGGTAAGTGGAAGAAGGGGTTGCATTGGTTGCTGGTAGACTCACTTCTCCTTGTCCAGAAGAGCTGGGCAAATGGCGGGAAGAATCTTTGCAGCGCAGTCCTCCTCGGTAAAAACGTCAATTGTGGCGGCCAGTGCGAGAAGACCGGCAACTCTGGCATGCTGGAATGGATCGCGAATGGCTCTTGTGAATGCGGCAATGAGGACCTTTGAGCGAGTCTGAAGAAAATATTAGTTGAGATCAGGATTCCGAATCATGAACTCAAACTCACGCCTTGGGAAAGATTTTTGGCAATTCGGCCAAGACAGATCGTAGTGTTTGTTCGAATACCAGGTTGTTCATCATTAGCGGTGCGGGCAAGGAATCGAAGAAGCTCGCCATTCACGACCCTGTCACTAAGTTTGTTGATGACCGTCAGAACTGCCTTTACGGTCTGCTCGCGGACCACGGGGGCGGCGTCGGTGAAACCAGAGGTCTAGAGAAGTATCAGTCTAGGTCAAAAGTCCTAGGAGTATTGATATGCGCACCATCGGAGGAAAGATCTTGTCATTGACAACTTTCTGAGGAAGATTATCAATCATTAAAGGAAGGTTATCCAATAAACACACGCGTAGAGCTCGATCCGGGTTTCCGAATAAGCGCACGATGACAGGTGTTAATTTGGCATTGAATTCATCCGCTGATAGCTTAGATCCTATCTTGATGGTAGAAGCAAGCACTTTAGGGCCACCGCCGCCAAACTCCACTGACTTGAGCAGCTCGGGGAGAACCTTCATCTTGAAAAAGTCTTCTGGGAAGTCGTCCGTGAGTGTGTTGAGCTCACTAGTTGATTGGGTCAGTGATGAAAAGAGCGCATTGTCGGAGGGGATACAGACTTTATGAATTCCTCTCGTTCTTCGTCACTCTTCAATCCCAGATTATCCATATCCTCTGTCAACCGAATCAAAGATGACTGGAAGAAACCGCCATGCTTCTTACCCTGCTCAACAAAGTGAGCGGGACTTAGTCGGAGTTTCGGATTGGCTGTGCAGAGCCGCTTATAGCTCTGCTGCATAGACACAGGGATATTGGTCGTCTTGCCAGCTTGGTCTCCACCTGAAAAATGCCCATTGAAGACCTCAAAGATCAATGTGCCCAGACCATAAGCATCAACCGCTGACAAAGGGTGCTTTTTGATAGTGTCCCATCCGCCCTTGACAATTTCCGGTGGTGTATACCGATGTGAATCTGGGACGAGACTGCCGTATGTCTGGATCAAGGTTAGTATCCTCTTTATTTTGGCGGTCCTCCATAGAGACACTGACATAGATGATAGCGTCATCTTCTTTCATAGAGCTCAATATATCAAATCCACCCAGTTTCCATTCACCACTTTCACTTGTATAGACCGAGGCTGCGCGCACGGCACCATGGACGGACGACGCGTCTTCATTGATGAATTTAAGAGTAGACTAAATCGCAATCGGGTCAGCAGCTGCGCAGAAAGGAGGGTTGAAACCCACTCACCGAGATACCGTATAATCCCCATTTCGCGGTCTCCTCACTCAAGCTCCGGCGCTTGACTTGCCACTCGAGAGGAGCAACTCGTTCGGTAACGATATAAAGATTCGATTCGGTCTGTAGTATGGAATGAATTAGCCCCGCGCTCACAAAATGTCGTGTAGATTGCCAGCATAGAGCAAAAGGGCCAAACACACCTCGATCGTATCCAACACCTTGATAACACCAGGATGCCTCAATGTCCTGGACTTTCGAACAGCGTTTTTGGCCAGTGGCAATCGCGACTTATTCGCGTTGATATCGAACGTGAACACGCTGCACGCCGAGCCATCATCCTATCCAGCCATTTTATCAGTACAAGCCGTGTCACGCATTCGCCCGCAGCCGAAGCGCATGTTGTAGAGTTGGAAGCCATCCTACCCGTTTCGTACCGTTGTGAAGCGTCCAGATCGAATCGCCAATGTCGACTCGATCACCTAGTGAAAATGGTAGCGAGGAACCCTTGGCGATCGCGGAGGCGACGGCGGACTTGAGGAAATCCATGGGCGTGGCGGTGATTATCTGGCCGCAGTGTTTGGGTACTTTTCGCCTAAGAATTCGGGGCGGCCAAGCCAATGGCCGGTGAAGTTGAGTCGCGCGGGATCGAGTGTATGAGTAGTAAAATAGAAAAAGGAGGGCAGACAACGACCAGAAAGAAAGAAGAGTATGGAGGAGTAGAATGATTCAATGGGGGGACGATCCAAGCAGGTGAGTTGCGGCCCCGCGTTCGGCCTGACCTTCAAGGCACGTGGATTTAACTATTCAAGCTAAGCTGAGCTGCTTCTCTCCTCTCTTCCTCCCCTCTACTCCCCTCCTCCTAACACAGTTGTCTTCCACTCGCCAACACCAGTTCAATCTCACTCCAATTCCCGTGAGTCCCCTCCTTCTCTACCCCTAGCACCACACCACATATCCCAATTCGGCGCGCTCTCTCCTATGATGTGAAACCTGGTAAAAGGTCAGACCGCGCAACACCACAACCCAACAACCCCCAAATCATGCAAAACCGAAGGTACACGAGATCTCCACCGAAGAGTCACCGATTCAACTTCCCCTCCAATCAACCAAGAACCCGAAACCACGCGTCTCCGCCAAATCCAACCCCGTTTATCAACATCAAGCTTCCTGTTACTCTCGAGTGACTACCTTATACCAATGATCCTCGGACCTGCGGTATAACGGGACATTGGGAGCTAGAGTCTTATCTATCCAAGACGAAGTCCGCCAGAGCTTACGCACGCTTCCCAATCACTCTACACTATCCTCTATTCTGCGCCCGGTCGTTGGTACACCTACCTACCCAGCACGCCTATCTCAAATCTTTTCCTCTCTCCCGCAAGCAAAGCACGGTTTCTAAAAGGCAAACGAGGGTCCGAGTCTACGATGTGGCTCTCTTCGGGCACGGTGGCTGATAGTCATCGCGGGGCCCTGGGTGTAATGCCGTGTACAGTGACTGCGATTTCCTTTTCCCCGCTTGCGGGGCGAGGTTATTCGTGGAAGCCGTTTTATCTGGGGTTCCTTTTTCCGCTTTTCTCCATGAGGACTGTACAGGAACCAATGGCAACGGCTGACAGGCTGGTGGGCTCGTGGGATTGTTGGAATATGCTTGCGTGGAGGAGGGAGGGTTTGGGGTGGGAGTGCTGGGTGGGATAGATACTAGGGATCGGGTGTGGAGGTGGGCATGGATGTGGACGTGTGAGGGAGGTGGTATGATACCTATGTACCATATCTGGTAGGGCGGAGTCTTGAGAGAAGATGAGAGGGGATAGGGATGGTTCTGGCTGGGGTGCCGCGGGTTTTTGTGAGATTGGAGTGGGTTGGGGAGATGAGGTTATTTCTTTGGTGGATTGTTTCTGCACCGCGGGGATTTGTGGTGGTTTTTGGGTTGGGGTTGAATGATGATCATTTGAAACTGAAAAGACCTGAGGAGAAAGAGACGACTTCCCATGCTGTGTTGCACTTTGAATTTCTGCTTTGACGGATTCGGACTTGTTTTGGTTCTATTACTGACTTGTCTTGAAAGAATAGGTTGACAGAAGTGGTTATCATCAGTCAGGTGCTGCATGATCACTCCAGGGCTAGTTCAAAGAAAAGGTGGGTGGGGTATCAATCAATCAATTCCATCCGAGGTCTATTACCATTAGCTCTATATGCTTCATATCTTCGCCTCAACACTGTGGCGGATTAACCTACCTAGGCAGTAGGGCCTGTGCATTGCTGTGCTATCTAGAGCTTCATTCTACTTGCTTGGATTGAGCGGTCGGCTGGTGCACTGGTGCCAGTGTGAAGTCCTTAAGAGAAGTTACTGCTAGAAAACATGATTCCACGATCAAATCAGCTCTACTACTAGTAGTACTATCCTCAGAGTCATCTCCCGCGTGATAAACCCTGATCTCAGTCTGAATTCCCGACACAGATTAACGGCCCACTGGCAACAACCAAGTTAGTATGACGCGTTTTCAATTCCACGTGTTTGGCGGTGTTTCTATCCATGATTCCAAGGTTTATATACCCAGATACGCAACTTGAAGAGTCTTGTACAAGAGGGCAAATTGTTCGCCATGCGACAATACTCTAGTACCTAGGTAGCGAAAGCCGAATCGGGCGGTGCAAAAGTATACAAAAGAAAGTAGAATTGCTTTTACTCCATAGTAGGGCTCATATAAAACCCAATCTTCGACTGCAATCACAGCGAATTCTACAGTCAATCTTCAGGGTGTTGACACGCTTAACCTTGTTAGGCGCATTTTGCGAGAAGTGGGGGCTTGCCTCGACCAGTTGGAGGCTCGGCAAATGTGGGGATGTGCAGTAACTTTCCATGATGATCGCTCGCAGAATGCACTCAAAAGGGTAATTGGTGAGAATCTCGAGGGTTCACAGAACTTCGGGGTTATTTAAGAATCGGGACATTTGTCGGTATGTTTGGTGAAGAATTGTGATTGAACCGTCAGTTTATTCAGTTCGAATACACCAATCCTCCTACTTGCAATAGCACTCGGCGAAAACACCGAGAAGCATCATATTGCGATGATGCAACCAGAGACCTGTTTCTCTCCTCCTCCACCTTACGAGGCTACTGTGCAAAGCCCAGTCCAACGCCAGTACGGCATCGTGGCGGCCGATTATCAAAGCCGGAGTATCCAGCGCAATGAACACACACATTTCCAACCATCAAATCAACATTATCAACAATGGGACCCGCCAAGACCATACGGCCTCCCACAGTATGAGATGCAACACCATAGCTCGAATATCGGGCCTGGTCCCTCAAACAGACAGGAATACTTATCAGAAACACAATTTGCGGTCCAACTGCAAACATCGCCACGACCCAAGGCATGCGTTATCCCCCGTAAGTCTATTTCCTAGCCCCATGAATGTGAACCTTTTCTAACAAACTGTGGCTTGTTAGAAGTGACAAAAGTCTTCGGAGGCTCCCATATGAGTCCATTTGTTCGGGCCCGCGCCCCAGAGCTAGAACAACAATATGGCCTCTCCGCAATCGAGCTCCTCACTTTTATCGACGAACTCAATGAATCGTTCCTTGCCAATCCAGCACTACAGGCCGCAGGAGCCATCGGAAGTATTGTCGGATTTGTGCCTCTCGCCAGCACACAAATAGCCGGTGGCGCGATTAATCTTGCGGCCGGACTCAGCGCTGCGGGAGTTTCATTTGTCCGCACAAAGCAATTCATGAAGAGGTCGAATGAGACTATTTTCAAGCCAAAGGGTCTTCATGCCCAGCTTTGTAAGACAGATAAGATGCTAGAACATATCGGCATGGCGAATAACGGCGCCGTTTTCGCGGGGCAGCAGAGTCGGGCTATTTTGGAAAATGGCCAGGTTGAGGCTGACCAGAATCCAATTTCGAGGAGGATGGAGGTTCTCGGTGATCGGGTCACGAAATTATCGTTTCATGATGTGGAGGCTCGCCTCGCACCAGATAACTGGATCAAGAAGGCCGGGGCGTATTCGGCACAGCGGGCCGAGTCCAAACAGTTGGAGAAGTTGAACAAGAGACAAGCCAAGTCGGAGAGAAAGTCTGGCAGGCACGAGAGAAAAGCTTCCAAGGCTGAACGGAAACAGGATAGGGCCAATGAAAAGGTCGGAGATATTATGGAGGAGATGGAAGAGGTTCGTGTCCGCATCCAGAGTCTTGATCCAACTTCGCGAAAATACGAGAAGGCGCATAAGGAGCTTCGGGAGGAGTGGAAAGAACTGGAGAAGGACTTGCGTGAAGCAGAGAGAGACCTATATCGTGGTGATAGGAAGAGTCGCAAAGTGGATGAGAAGAGCCAGAAGCGACTGCAAAAAGATGGGAAGAAAGTGAACAAAATACTCTGGATTGTGATCATGCCCGACTCAGAGTGTTCTTCTAGTGACGATGATGACTGGGATTCGGATGAGTCGATGGAAAAGAATCATGAATCGTGATATGTAGGAGCTGATATAGAAGCGGACTGTATTTGATAGTTTAATAATTAGCACATGTTCAGCAATGGAGAGCGTTCGGCTCTGATATTCTTTCGTTCTTGAATCGTTCAATACCTTGTCCAACTTGCGTGGCATGTTCTCGCGCCGCCCAATCTCGAATCCATGAATATCTGCAACGAAGGCCATGACAATTTCAAGCCATGACTTTGCCCTGCCATCGCGATTGCCATCAAGGTGTAAATATGCAATATTTATCGGAAAGATGATCAAGAATGCCCCTGAGCTGCGTCGGAAACAGTGAAGATGATAGTCCACCATTCGACACGTTTCGACTGCAACATCATGTCTCGTTCCCTGCATGGGAAGAAGAGGGTCACTGACATAGGCAGAACTTGGATTATCAGTATTTATACCGATCAGTTGAAGTGATCGCGTCAAGATCACTCGTATGGAATTGTATGTCATCAGCTCGTTCGCCCGGTACGGGTTAACAAACCAGAGAACAGACTCAAATGGACTGGGCGGAAGAGGTAGCGATGTTTCTGGGTCAAGGCCATTTGGCGAAACCGAATAGGTTGAAGCAGGGAAGTCTTTCTCCCATTCCCAGCGCCAGGAGTACAATGCGTTGAGAGAGGCTAAGAGTCTTTCCCGAAGTTTTGTGAGGAAATTCTCTTTGTCAGAAGAATCGCGTGTCCATTTGCCAAGAAGATCAATATCTTCGAGGTAGCCAGGAATATCGCACAAAATGTCATGTAATTTATCTATAGGAAGTTTGGCTCCGAGTCCGACTTCTTCCCAAGGAACAGTCTTCCACTCGGTAGTTTCTAGAAAGCAGTGTTTCCTTTCGACAAGGTAGCCGATCAACTTTAGATGTTGAGGATTTTGGTTAGAGAAATCAAGAAAATTATGGGACGGGACCTCTTACTATGCATGATCTCAACGTCGGAAGCAGGGAAAACCCCACCCCAGATTGGTGGCGCTGGGGTCCTCTGATGACGACCTACATCAGAGTCAGTCGCAAAGCAATATAAGAGCAGCAAAAGAGAAATACCAAGTGAGCAAGCCCTCTGTAATGATGGAGCCAGCCGGTTGGCTGGTGAAATGTAACAAGTTCATAGATAGCCATACAGATGATCGCGACTAGTACATCATCTTTCAAGACCAAGGTGGCATCCTGCAGCTGTGCTCGCAGTGCACTTAAGGCGCGAGAGTAAAATCCAGCCCCTTTTCGCATCAGATCCGATTGGCGATGTGTCTTTGCGAAATAGCTTGTGGCCAACGCGCGGGTCGATGCAAAGGCCAAGGGGCCGTCATTCTCTGTAGATTGGAGAAGCCCAGAGACCCAGCCCGCAGACTCGGGTGACGATGGGTTCTCATGCCATGTGAACAATCGGTCCACCAAGTGTGAGATGAAGATTGTCTGCTCATCCCATGCTGGATTTGGGATCAATGGGATCAGTGGGAGTTCGATGATGGACCCTGGTGAGACAGCGGTGTCTGTGTTGCTGGGTGTTGGACTGGATGCATTGTGTTTTGGTGCACTCTTCTTGGCTAGTTGTGATGTGAGATCTTTAAACTCCCCATATTGAACATAGCCGTCACACTGGAAGCCACCTTTGATGCAGCGTTCACAGGAAGGCTTAGCTTCATCTGGAGTGGGTTAGCCATGACTAACATCAAGTTGGAACAGTTGTGAGGTTGAGTGAATATGTTCTCGCACCACATTTTACTCTTCGCCTGCGACAGGTCTTACAGCCTTTACTGCGACCACCGATGCCAACCATTGTCTACCCAGGTGGAGATGAATGGAGAGCTGCGAGGGAGTTACTCCCCAAGGTGTGAATTTGTTACCCGTTATTCACATCAGCCATCGTACTGTATTGAAATTCGATGTCTTGGTTACGAGTAACTTACCACTAACCCAAAATGGGCAAGTGGGTATAATTGGTCGATCAGAGTGGGGCGAATGGGGCAGTAGCCTGGGCCTCGGCCTGGCCATCTCTCTCTCTCCGTTTACATCTCTGCTTCTACTTCTGGCATTCACTCTATACTTCGCCAATCCATTCATTCATCGCTCGCCAAACACTCCTCCACACCCGTTATTATCCTTGGGCCCGATCTGGCATGTCCTGCTTGGCAGTAAGCCTTCAAGGCGATGTTATCATGGATATTCATTACAACCCTGACCACGTCTTTATAAACACCCAGTGAACGGAATATATCATTTTGCGACTCAAAGGACCTGCCGGCAATTCCGTCCTGCGAGAACTGCATACGAGGCTTCTTCTATCTGAACTACCAAGCCAGTCTTGCTCAGAAACCTCGAAACTCCCGGCTCACTCAATGCCAACGCCATTTTCCACAGACTGGTTCCATGGGAAGAAATTGCCCGGACCTAGAGGTGGGTGTTCCTAGGTGCAACCGACTTGAAGTGCCTTGTTCAGTCATGCGCCATATTGAACCAGCGGATCCCATTCACCTCTCTATCACAATGCACGCTTCAAACTCGACAGCCGCAAGAAGCCGCAGCTAGGTAGCGATGATTTGGGTCCTCTCGACCATGTTGGTGCGGGTCAGTAAGTTTCGCCGCCTTACCACGGAGAACCGCGAAGGAATTACCAATGTCTACATCCGAGGCTTCCTCCCAGATATTACCGACGAAATGCTTCATGCCTATGCCGTTCGATTTAGAAATATCGAGCGTTGCAAGGCCATTGTCGACCTGGACACAAGTCTTTGCAAAGGGTATCTGAGACCCGTCAGCCCATTGCTGCATTATGCGGACCCTTCTTCTCACTTTTCTGAGATGAGGATCTGCACGATGCCTTCTGGTTGTCTGCATGGCGCTGATAAATTAGAGGGCTATGGTCTGAAAAATCAGTCAATTCCCTACTAGCCAGACATAGAGATATACAGGTGTTGGGATAAGAGTCGAGAAGTCATCCTTGGTGGCACGCCGCCTTTTTCCACTGGGTCCTTGCTGAATCCTCTTGAGGGGCATTGAATCGTGGTTTCTTATTCAAAAGCATAGAGCTGAATTTTTGAATCTAATGACATCTTGGGACATGATCTACTAAAGGATCATGGCACTTTTCTATTATCCAAAGAAAAGACAGCTAAGGCATGGAAATGAAAACATAAATATCTTAAGAAACCAATTAACAAATGCCATTGCGTTTTAGACCATAGGCTTAGTTCTGCATTGTATGGAGTCTTATAGTTGTACTTTCTTCGTACCTGTTGGGATGGCGTGTTCCACCAATGACAAAAGCTGGGGAACCAATGACCAATCCCCCTCTCGCACCGCTTGCTGCTTTTCTTCCCCGTTGAGCACCCCTAGAAGCTCAATCTTCTTGAGTTCCAGAGTAAGACCCGGTTTTCCTCCGAATTCCCCAGTACCCGAAGCTACTCTATGGGTCAAAGCCCCGTTGCTAATGTTGACTCTATACCATGTGTCCTCATCAATCACATGAATGTCAACAGCAATTACCGAGTCCCCAGCTTTGAAACCATCCAATTGGATCGAAAGCAGAGTTAGCCATTGATCGACAGTCTGCGTTGGTCGCATTTGATTGCCCATATTCTGTCGTGGCTGGGGCGCCTTCTCAGCAACCAACTCTCGAGCCCCGGTCAAATAAAAATTACGCCAAGTTCCATTCTCCGTTCCATATCCAAGTTTTGTGAATACGCCAGACAAGGCTCTTTTGGAGCTGGTGTGAGTCGCATCGTGCGATACAGCATGGCCTAGCAAGGTCGCGGCGAATCGCAAGTCGCCTCGCTCTGCAAATTCCTCTGCCTTCCGAACAACCTCGTCGATTCCTCCCATGCATTCAATGTATCTTGCTGCATTCTCCTTCGGAGGGTGCTCCCAAAGATGAGCAGGGTTTCCATCAAACCAGCCAATGTATCTTTGATAGATACCCTTGACATTGTGACTGACGGATCCGTAGAATCCTTGACAGTACCATTTCTTTTGCAACGACGGCGGCAGAGTGAGTACCTCGGCGATCTCGATCCCCGATAATCCCTTATTCATCATGCGCACAGTTTGATCATGGAGAAATGCGTACATATCGCGTTGATCTGATAAAAGGTCCGAGATTTCTTTTTCGCCCCAGGTCGGCCACGCGTGCCCCGCGCAAAGAACATCCGATGAATGTCCATAAAGCGAGAGCGATTCGTCCAGATATTGCGACCAAGCCTTGGAATCTCGCACTTGTGCACCGCGAAGCGTGATGATATTATGCAGGCTGTGCGTGGCACACTCGGCGATATACAATGCCCGGTGATCTGGGAAGAAAAAGTTCATCTCGGAGGGTGCCTCAGAGCCAGGGACCATTTGGAACACAATCCGTACGCCGTCCACAACAGTTTCCTCGCCTGTTTTATAGATAGTGACGTTTGGTGGAACGAGCGAGTTGACTCCAGTCGGCACTCCCATGCCTAATCCACAACCAATTTGACCCTCCGGGCCCTTGGGCAAAGCAGTCCCGTACATGAAGACAGCACGACGCCGCATAGCATTACCGGCATAGAAATTCTCGCTCAGAGCTTCTTCCATAAACCCCTCTGGCGCGATGATCGGGATATCATGACTTTTGGCGAGAGGGAGAATTCCTTGTGCGCCGCCGAAATGATCTATATGCGAATGCGAATAGATCACACCCGTGACATTCCGGTCGCCGCGATGCTGCCGGTACAAGGATAGGGCAGTGGCAGCGCATTCTACCGCTGTCAAAGGGTCGATGACAATGACGCCTTCAGTTCCCTCGACAATAGTCATATTTGAGAGATCAAGTCCACGGACTTGGTAGACTCCTTCCGTGACTTTGAATAGTCCCTGCATGGAAGCTAACTGGCCTTGACGCCATAGTTTCGGGTTGGCCGTCGCCGGACACTCGGATCTGAGAAAATTGTATTCTTCGTTGTTCCATACGACACGTCCGTCTTCAGCAGTGATGATGCAGGGGTCGAGGGCACTGATGAAGCCACGCTGAGCGTTTTCAAAGTCGGCTCTGTCGGCGAAGGATGGCTCAACGTGCGGATTCGTCATTTTCCAAGTTGTGAAATTTGAAAGGGTATCTTTGGTTAATGGCGCGACTTCAATTTTGATTTAAAGGCGGAACTCCACTTTATATTCTAGAGTTTGGTCATTATTGCACAGAAACTCGCGCCGCATCTCATACTCCAATCTGCCTAGCCTGTTGACCCACTTGGCACTGTGTCACCGCGAAACCGATACCCATTCCGGTAAACACCGATTGCCGATAGGTGGAAGGCTGTGCATGGGACCACCAGAAAGGTTTAGAGGGGCTGTCACGGTTCTTTCTTTGACTAGAGAAAATATTTTCTCATTCATTGTTATTAGGTGGCTACAATGTCCCTCGAGGTAACACTTGTATACCTAGGTATACTACGAATGCAATTGACCTTGGGAATGAGCAGGATAAATCCAGCCGTGGTTCCATTCTTATACTTTACTGCTACTAGTAGTAATAGTAGTAAATACCACTGGCAGTAGTCAAGTTCTCAATAGAATCTCAGATATTATAATTGAGCGCTCTATTTCAGCGGGCCGAGAAATTATGACTATCCTATCAATATGTGTATCTGAAGCCCGGAAGTCCCGCAATGACAATTTCACCCCGATCTGCCTTCCTGTTCAGATAACGAAATCTGATGGACAGAAGAGCCACTAGCACAATACCCAGACTAGAGAGACCAATACAAGTTAGAATACCCGGGTGATATGTTGGTGCGTCTTGGGATCGGTAGACAAGAGACCCGGTCATTCCTCCTGAAGCACCGAGTCCGACAAATATAGCGCTCGAGACAGCACGCTTCCATTGACCACGGATATTATTCGCCTGGTTTCTATGTTAAGCTAGAAGCAGGAGAGAGATTTATTGATTTTTTGCTTACCTGATAAGCCATTGCGCAAGGAATATTCGAATTAGCGCCCATTGTAACCAGAAATGCCCCTACTAAACGGGATGCATTCGCTTTCGTGAAGCCCTGATCAAAGTTAGTCATGTGAAAGGCAATTCGAGATGGATTGAAGATCGTACCATAAGAGGAAGGCCAATTATCGTGAGCGTAGCATTGAAAACTAGGATAGGCCCGCGAATATGGTACCGATCTCCCAGCCAGGATGTTGCAAACATCCAAATCCCGGCGGCAGCATATGGCGGGGCAAATAGGCACAGAGAAACCTTTGTTGAGAATCCCATTCCCTGTTTATAAATAATAGGGAGGAAGTAAGACAGAGCATAGGCTGTTGTAGTTGTAGAATAATAAATGAATCCGATACCCCAGATGTTAATATCGAGGCCCGCCCGAAGGTATTTCTTAATGTCAAAAGGCTCGACGTCGACGTCGGCTCGATCCTTGGTAATGCGACGCATGATAAAGTCATACTCATCGCCGGAGAGAAACTTTCGCTTGGCTGTCTTCATTTGGTCTGGGAATCCGACCAGAACGAACCAGCCTATCGTTGCAACAGCGCATGTGATCAGACCTTGAATGATGAAGATCCAGCGCCAGGCTGTTAGGCCCCCCCAGTCCGTGCTATATGGTCTTAGTAAAAATCAAATAGTGGATGAGGTGAATCATACCATGAAAGTGATACCATAAGAGAGAATTCCGGTGAATGCGGAGGCAACACAACCAAGCAAATAAAATATTGCATACCGCTTTTGGATGTCATATCGAGTATACCAAGTTGAGATAAGGTAGACAGAGGCAGGGAAAAAACCAGCCTCAAGAGCCCCAATTATGATACGAATTCCAACCATCTCAGTCCATTTCTTTACAAAACCGGCGGAAAGCTGCATTCGAAATTAGCTAGAATATTTAAATTCTTCCTGTAGAAAACCATACCATGACACAGCCCCAAATCAAACAGACCCCAGAAAGATAATTGATAGGTCCTATCTTGCGTACAAGAACGGGACCAAGTACCTGGAGCGCAATATAGGGCGGGAAAAATGCAACTGCAATGGTACTCTGTTGCGGTTGTCAGAATCCGATGTTAATGAACAGAACTTGTAGTCAGTAAAGAACCGACATATTGTGTGCCAACGAGCTTAAGCTCCTTTTCCATGCCTGCTATTGCTGCTGTACCCAAATTACCACGATCTATCAGGCACACACAGTGAAGAAATCCAAGCATCAAGATGAGTCGAAAATCGATTCTCCGGATTATCTTGCGTTGCTCCAAGCGGGTGTATACTGGGTCATCATCGAGACTTTCCAGTATGGGTTTCTGCGATTCGACCGGCTCCACTTGAGACTCCGAGAACACTTTTTCATTGCTTGAAGACATTATACTTGAGGAGCGAAAGCCTTGGAAGAACAGGACTCAAAGGTCTGGTAGCAGGAAGGGCGAGGGGAAATTCGTGCATCTTTGGTGCTATTAAATACCGAAATATGTAGGTTCCAATTGGAAAGACCGTGGTGGTGAAAGATGCCTCGGAAATGTTGCAATAGTGCACCCAGCTTGCCCAAATAATTGTCTTCCAAGGAGCTCGACTTGGATTTTGTGGGGTAATGCATGTATTTTCGCGCTAGGGAACTCTGGTCAGGTTATTTTCTGTGCTATTGGATGATGTTGATGCGTTCTCCGCACGCAGTCTGGTAGCGTTTCGGCTCATCGGCGTTAATGTTTGAATAAGAGAAAAGTCCATATTGAGTACTATCGCCGATATCCGATGCTTTGTGAGTTAGAATTCCCAGGCTTGTAAAGTGCTTACCAGAATTTTATTCCCTGTGAATCTCCTGGTTCTGCAGATGTAGTGGTAACCTCGAAAGTTCTTGGCTTGCAAGACTGATATACGCTGACCATACTTAACGCCGAAAGCCGACGGCGGCTTTTTACCGATATCATAGACTTCCAAGTCCGGTATCTAAAAACAATGCTTTCGCAATAAGAATAGACCATTGCGAAAGATAAAGTAGCGACCAGAATACCACAGGATTCTTATTAAAGCGAATCAGTATTTCTTTCGCAAAATATCGCAACCACAATCTTTTGGCAAAACCAACCGGACTCACTATTCAAAATGCAGCCCCCCGCAAGACAGTTCTCCTCGGGATCTCTCGACAACTTCGAACCGGTTATGGTCACACCAGTCATTGGAAATGAATTTACCAAAGGAACATGCAACATTGTGGATGATATTCTTCGCGCGCCGGATGCCGAGAAACGAATCCGCGATCTTGCGATCATGAGTAAGTCATCTGGGTTAGCTTTCGGGCTCATTGTCAGTTGCTAATCCATGGCACCATTTGAAGTCGCTGAGCGTGGGGTCGTTTTCTTCCGCGCACAGGACAATTTAACGAATGACCTACAAAAAGAGCTCATCCTCAAATTGGGCGAACTCACGGGCCGGCCTTCAACAAACGGTCTACACATCCATCCAGTCACGAACGATGCTCGCGAATTCGGGGACCCAGATCCCGCTATCAGCACTATCAACTCTGAAGGTCGGAAGAAGCTCTATAAAGGCTCAGACTATACCAGAATGGCCGCCGTTTGGCACAGTGACATCTCGTTCGAGCCCGCGCCTGCGGACTTTTCGTCTTTGCGCTTGACACAGCTCCCGAAGACGGGCGGAGATACTCTTTGGGCATCCGGATATGAGGTCTATGACCGAATTAGCAAGCCCTACCAGAGATTTCTGGAAACACTTACCGCGACTCATGATGGAGAGGGGTTCAGGCGTATGGCGCAGTCGGGGAAATTCACCCTTTACGAGAAGCCGAGAGGATCGCCGAAAAACGTTGGCGGAGATCTTTATGCTATTCATCCTGTAAGTTGAGATGGAACAGCTTCCGGAGGCTCAGACTCTTGATTTGCTAATTGATGTCAGGTCGTCCGAACGAACCCGATCACTGGCTGGAAATCTATCTTTCCAATAGGTAAGATGCCGATAAACTTTACGAATCTATACCCGGCATGCAGATACTAACTTGCTGAATAGGATCATTTCCCTCCGTTATTGATGGACTAAGCAGAAAAGAAAGTGCAAATATGTTGCAATGGTTCCATGATCTTATCACGTATGGCCACGATCTTCAAGTCCGCTTCAAGTGGAACGACCCGAATGACATCGCTATTTGGGACAACCGAAGTGTTTTCCACACAGCGACCGGTGACCACGAGGGATTCGGCCCTCGTAGCGGTAACCGAGCAGTTGGAGTAGGCGAGGTCCCATACTTCGATCCTGGGAGCAAGTCCCGTCGCGAGGACTTGGGAATTGTGGAGGATCTGGCCGCTTGCCATTTGTAATATTGCATTATAAGCCTTGAAATTTTGAAGATTGAGATTCTACTATTATGTTTGAGAAGTTGATTCGATAATTGAGTAAACTTTTATGTCCTACTTCTGCTCGTTATCCTATTGAAAATGCACGAAGATACCTTAGTTATGCGAGGTGTGATTCACATCTTCCAACCGAATGCATTCAGCATCGGTTGATTAAACGAGTCAGTTGCCCAGAATTCTTCTGTGAAAGCACCAGGGAAGATGGACTGTGTTCCATCGCCCTCAGTCTCCTCGGCTTGAAAGTCCAAAGGAAAGCTCTGAATATTCGATAGCACGTCGGCCATATAGGTATCAAACCCGCCGACGTTGAAGTCGACTCGGGCCGCATAATCTTCAGGTGTTACTTGACCAACTTGGCATGCATCAAGTTCCTCCCGATTTATCACAGTCGATCTTGATTGTGAAATTTTAGCTGATTCTTGAATATGATCCATCGCTTTATTTATGACAGATTCGAGCCCATCACGATGCTTCTTCAACCTAGGATTACATTCTGCCATCACAAATAGCGATGAGGAACACGCGCGAAGGTCGTTTGACACTGTTGGTGTCCAGAGGGCGGGTGAACGGAAAAGACAGAAGCTAATTGATATTAGAGAACATCCCAATTTTGGATTGATATAAGTTTCATACCACATTGTCAGACCGGCCATAAAGACGGAGTTTGCCAACAGAAAAGAATATCCGGTAAAGTCTCTTTGCCGCAGCCGTTTGAAAAGTTGACACATACTACCAGAAGAGGCGATACATGTGCTAATGAGTTCATCCTGCGATTCGAGGATACTCAAGAATGGCTGTATTAACATGCGAACAGAATTATGCCAATGCATATGTACGAAGTCCCGATCGTCGAGGTCCAGTGACGGCAATGTCTCCCTGAAATTGTTCAGGGCGGCCATCAAGGGAGCGATTTCCGAGAACAGGGTTGATGCCTTTTTATCCACGCGATATATCCGAGTGTGGATCTGTGAAACAATTCTCTGCAGTCTCACAGAAGCAATAAATCTACTCATTGTCCCTTTAGGTTGTGCCATTTCCGTACCTGGGTTGGGCTGCAGGTATCGGCTGATAGCATTATCGTCTGTTGCGGAATCATCGAGGTCAAGTGGAGGTTGCACATCTATTTCCTCTTCAGAGATACTGAATGGTCGGCCAAGCGACCATGCCGAGTACCTCTCGATGATGTAGACAGACCAGAAGAGACGTCTTTGTGCCTCAGCTTCCAATGGTCGCAATTTTCGATAGCGAGCTTCTCTGTGAAACCCAAAATCAATACAGGTCCTCATTGCAAGCCCAATCATATACCACACACTGGAGTGTGACGATGATCGCAGGTTGTAAACAACGAGAAGCATCATGGCTTCTATAGACGCCACCGAGAGAGACTCGCGCAGAGTGCGATCGAAATTCAAAGCTGCCATCAGAAATTCATTCGGTGGTGTTGCATCATAAGCGCCCGTCATTTGCAGAATCGTAGCTCCAATTGCGTACACCATAAAAAGCTTGAATCTTTCGAACTCATCTTGCGGTGTCGCATTGACTGGGTGGAATCTATTCGCATGGAGTTTCATTATTTTCGCACGGTCGAGGAAAGGAAGGCGTGTATGCATATGGGTAAAATATGCATCGATGATCCTAGAGCCATTTGCATCACTGGGAGGGGATGCCAGAGGTTTTTCATGCGGGTCATTTTGAGATGTAACTTCCAGCTGTTGATTGGAGTTGACAGGTAGTGACTTCGTGCCGACAGCATCAGCAATCGACAGCCCCGAAGATGGGCCTAGATATGCGGGCTCGCCACTTCCCTCCGTACCAAGTGTTAGAAAGCGCAAGAGCCCATCAAAGTGGCCGCGTGTGCGTGTTGACTTGTGCGCGGTGGGGGATAGAGCGACCGACGGCTGCTCGGAGCGTTCAGTGACGCAAGGAACATCTCCCGCTACAGATGCAGCTAAGCGAGCCTCAAGGATTTCAATCCGGTGAGCCAATGCTCCCTTGGACATGCCATGGTGCCACGAGGGAGCACTCTCTGCGCGGGAACAGGGCTGGTTGGCGGACTCGCAGTTTGAGCATGTGGGGACTTTCTGATCGCATTTTTGTTTTCGCCTATGGCAGCGTCGACAAGCCTTAGGAATGCGTTTTCGAACTCTGAATTCCGGGTCCATGGGTGAAGTGTAGGGAGCACAGTGATTTTATTCAAAGCCTGATAAAATCCTTCCCCGCATTGTGATGCCAGCTAGGCCGAGGTACCGCGTCTAAAGTTGAATCTTCGTCTCTGATGAGAGTCATTGGTCATTGCTGGGTCAAAGCACGCCATGATCAGCCGACCGTTTACACTAAAACCTTGAACGATAGAAGCCGTGTGATTGTGCTTGGATGCTTGAATTCAAGTTATCATCTGGAATATGGCTTAGCGGCGTGGTAATTTTATCTACTAAAATCTAGATCCGGTCTCGCTTATGCCTCTTTTTTTTGTTCTTTTTTTCCTATTCAGGAGTAAAATAGCTAGTACTAGTACTTGCCACTTTCGGGTCAATGGCTCTTGGCTTCAAGTTCATTATTTTCGATAGTATTCTTTTCATGGTAAAGAATTCAAGCACATGTGAAGACATTATTCAAACAAGTCGGTTTGAATTCTACCTAGCAAACATGACAAGGGTTAGTGAGGAGCCATTTGATCAAGTCAATCTAAGAATCCACTGCTACAAGTAGTCGTACGCAAACTTGATTTTAGGATTAACGCTGAGTCTTCATACATTTCCCGTAAATTTTTTCATACGATGCTCAACTGATTAAAACAAGGACTACTGATTTTCCATTTGCTGCAGCGCGCAGCGCAGAGTGGCAATTTATAGAGTGGCAAAAATATCCCACTCAAGAAAGGCCAATAGATACCTATTCAGCTACTGGTAGATGAAACCTCAAGTTGTTAGATTACCCTCGTAGAAATTGGAAAAATCGACATGTCAATATGGACTTATCCTACTATATGCATCGGCCCAGGAATTTTGATTAAAATCCAGCATTTCAATTACAAGTAGTAGGCAGTGGCTGTCACGCGAGTTGCGAGGCGGCGTCTAGACCGCCGTAGAGCGCAGAAATCGGTCGGTATTCCCGAGCACGCCCATGGTTAATCTGTCGGATACTGCTGGAGAAGAAACTAGTCTACGGGACGGCAAACTAAATTTAAAATCTCGCTTGGGATGCTCTTCTGTTCTTCGTGATTCCCATTTACTCCCCATAGGTCCCACCCCCGGGTTCTTCATGATTATTCCGTGAAGGGAAGCAAATTAGGCATGTTCGGCAAGCAGAATGGCTCTCGCAGACTCATTGGCCTTTCATGCGCGCCCGTCTGACCTTGAGAAAGAGCGAATTCGCGAACTGTCAAGGTTCGTAATGCTGCGGATCGTTCCCCGCCGGGTGCAGATCATTTTCATGTGTTAACCGAACCAGATATTATTGCTGTACAATCCAGCAGTCACCATCCCCAGCAGCTACCATCGGCGAGGGAATTGATGAATCTGCTAGCGCTCCTACTGGTGATGAACAGCCCAGCGCTGGTGTCTTGTCATCTGACATCACGTTGACAGCGCTGGCCCAGCTTGGTATTCATCGCTTGGGATGCAATCGTTCATTTGTATCTCTCATCGATGGAGACAATCAGCATATCATTGCTGAGGCTACTGCCTCCATCTCAATCCGGGATGTAGATAAACACCTTCCGAATGATGGGATATACCTTGGTGCTCGAACTTTGGACCTGGTCTGGGGGGTTTGCCCGCATACGATCCGCCTGTTTACTGCCCAAGACAAAGCATATGAAGTCGACACCGAGAATGTGACTGCTAACCGCACGCGTTACATTATTCGAGACTTCACCCGGGAGGATTGCTTCAAAGATAGACCATATGTGCTTGAGTGGCCTCATATGCGCTTTTATGCGGAAGTACCTCTGACCAGTCCAGCTGGCTATGTCCTTGGGTCATATTGCGTTGTTGATGACAAGCCACGCGATGATTTCAGCGAGGAGGATGTTGAGACCCTTCAAGAAATATCAGACGCGATCGGGAATCATCTCGAGAACAAGCGAATAGCTCATTACCATTCCAGGTTTGAGCGTCTTGTGACTGGACTGACCGACTTTTCTAAAGACCAACCTGATTTTGACCCATGTAGTCCAAGTGCAAGCTTGACTGGATCGGCAAACTCCACAGTTCATGGTGTCATATCACCATCCGCCACGAATGATCGGAATTTCTCTTTCGATGATTCTCATAACGATGGAAATGAGAGTAGAAGTGGGCTCGACTCGCACTCATCGTCCGCTTTCCGAGCGGAGCCTGAATCCCCTTCATTCTTTGCCCGCAAACCGTCTAGCACCACGGTACCGTCCTCGTTTGAATCCAATGTGTCATTGGGCCGGCCAAGTCCAGGCAAAAAACGGTCTCTGGATTCACTGAATGAAGCGTTAATGCTAGCGACCAGGATCGCGCCCAATAAAGACTCTCTGATGTCACTGTCAGAAGGCGTCACCACATTAGATCGCATTCAAGCGATATTCTCCCGTGCCAGCGTATTGCTACGCGATGCAATGAACCTGGATGGCGTGATGTTCCTGGATGGAGCCCGAAGCAGGTCCTCGTTGTCAGTTATCATGAATCTCTGCTAGGGATAGCTCTAACATATAATAGTCTACCGAAGAGAGACCATACCTGGGAACCTCTACCGAAATTGGCCAGCCAAGCCGATTATCTCAGTCCAGATCCAACCCCATTCATTCCAGACAAAGACACAGCGTCGAAAATCCAGTGCGAGGTTTTAGGACAGGCTTTCAAACGACAAGCTTCGGAGGTTGAAGCAGCAGGGATTCAAGCCATCCTAAACGAGGAACTACTCGACACTCTGCTCAGGATTTGCCCTCAAGGGCAAGTTGTGGATCTAGATATTTGGTCTGAGAGCGATGACGAATCTTTCCTCGGCCAAGCAGCCGATGAACCGCAGTCCAGACGAAGAAGCAATTTTCATGTCGCCAAAATAATCAGCCCTCTTTTCCCCAATGCACAATCTGTGGTCTGGCTCCCACTGTGGGATCACCAAAAGTCACGATGGATGGCGGGGATGCTTTCATGGAGCTCTAATACCCATCGAGGCCTCGGTGTTGAAGAGCTGCATTACTTTAAGGTCTTTGCCCATTCTATTATCTCAGAGGTTTCTCGAGTCAACTGGATTTCAACCGAAAAGTCCAAATTCGATTTACTGTCCTCTCTGAGTCATGAGCTTCGTTCCCCGCTTCATGGTATCCTAGCAAGTGCCGAGTTGCTCCATGCAACTACGATCAATTCTGCGCAGCAGGAAATGATCAAAATGATAGAAACATCAGGGTTGACGCTACTTGAAACGACAGATCACCTCTTGACCTACTGCAAAATCAACAATAGTCGTCGTGCGAAGGAAGTGACTGGAAAAGATCAACATAATGAATTACTCGTCTTAGAAACGGATTTCGATCTCGCATTGCTGGTGGAAGAAGTAACCAGTATAATCTATACTGGTCAAAAGGATCCTAGTCTTTTTACTCGCCTTGCAATTGTGCCACCTTCGACAGACATTCACGGCAACGCGGAATCACCCTGCAGTCCAGTGAAACCTTCGATCGTTGTACGCATTAATCAATCGCACTCTTGGAAGATTCGATCCCTCTCAGGTGCTTGGAGGAGAATAGTGATGAATATTCTAGGGAACTCCTTGAAGTGGACGGCTCAAGGAATAATCGAGATCTCATTGTGCATGCTCAGAAATCCAGAGACACCCGGCAAGCCCACTGCGCATATTTCAATCATCGACACCGGCCGGGGAATTGCGCCTGACTTTTTGAAACACGAGCTTTTTACTCCATTTGCCCAGGAAGATCGCTTGGTCGAAGGTGTTGGGCTAGGTCTTAGCATTGTCCACCAACTCGTAGCCTCACTGGATGGACATATCAGCGTCAGAAGTGAACTTGGATTGGGAACGCAGGTCGATATTTACATTCCTGTTTACCACATAGCTGAGGATAACCTGGACCCGGGTTCCTCAGAAATGATCGAAAGATCTCCGTCGCGTCAGGTCTGCTTGGTCGCTTTCAATGGGTATCCAGACATCAAGGAGACACCGACTGGAATGTTGACTGCCGAGTCGAAGCGCAAGCTGTCAATCCAAGGGATGCTTGCAGATGTTGTCATGTCAAAAGCTGGCTGGACAGTATCCTTAGCCGAATCACTCGAGAAGGGACACGGTGATATCGCCATCCTCGAGAGCTCGACCCTTGAAGCGATCGCCACCCCAGATCTTCTGCCAAGCATCATCTCAGAGAATCGGTTCCAGTTCTTGTTAATTCTAGAGACCAAGCCTTCTATTTTCGACAAAGCTCTTATGCCCAATCTCATCTGGGTTTCACCACCTTTTGGCCCGCTAAAAATACAGAAAGCAATTGAAAAGGCTTCAGCTCCTTGTCGATCACAAGCTGACCTTAACATCATCTCAAACACTAATCAACCAATGCCTGTCGAGCAACCAATGGAGCAGCTTTCAATCCATCCTGAAAAACCATCACCAGGGGAATTTACAATCAGAATGCCCCATAGTATCGATCGTCCTCGAACCTCGGAAGCTAAAATGCAATGCCATGTTCTGGTTGTGGATGACAATGACATCAATCTCAAGGTGCGTAATCAAGAGCCGCCAAGCAAAACCATTTGGCTAAATTGAATAGATCATGGCCACATTCATGCGCAAAGTGGGATGCACCTATAACACTGCTTCAAACGGATTGATTGCGCTCGAGAAATACAAAGCAAGCGATCGCCAGTATGATTATGTCTTGATGGACATATCTATGCCAGTCATGGATGGCCTGGTCTCAACACGCAAGATACGACGCTTCGAGAAAGCAAACAAATTCAAGCCATCTTGTATCATGGCAGTGACCGGAGTCGCCTCTGATGCTATGCATCAGCAGGCCCTGGCTGCTGGAGTTGATCGTTACCTCATCAAGCCGTTGTCTCTCCATGAACTCCAAAAAATCATTACATGATACCTTTTGCCCAGCGTCCAGCGATATTTGGCGACTATTGGCCCGTCGTCATTTTGCATTTCTATCTACCATGGGCTTGGCTCTGGTGGTTCTTCGATGTACGGTCTTTTACGTATATGCTTTTAATCTGACCTTTCATTCATCAACTGTGATTCACGGTTGATATGACACTCGCATTAAACACTATCTCCACCGAAACCAATTCAAGGAGAATTACCAGCATCTCCTCTTTCCCTCTTGGATCTGATCTTGAATCGTTCATATATTCGTCGTAGTTAGATAATTTCTATGCCCACTATTACAGCAGACTTGATGCGTACTTAAGTAGATCAATTTTTGCGTCGGCCGAAACAGCTCTTACGGCGGCGCTGAAATATGGGATATCCAGCCCATTGTACTCGCAGCTATGCCCGTGAACACCAATAGTCACTGTAGCGCCTTCGCCATCTCCCAGTAACGCTTCCTCAACAAGTTTCGACTTATCGACCTGTCCGCGCACGACAGTATCGGTGATATCCTTTCCAAGTTTCAAGTTCGGCAAGTCTACGTATCCGAGTTTGTCACCACCCAGGGTCAGGTTGAAGGTGACATGGCCCTGTTCTTGTTAGCGGCGATGCAAATTTTGGGCTGATACATCCAGTACATACCATTTCAACGCTAAAGGGGGTCGGATTGCGCACGGAGATGGTTGCGTTGAAGTTATAACCATCGACGGGGGGGGTCTAGGAGCTCCAGGCTAGTCACATTGAAAGATCCCTGCTCGTTCACGAATTCTAGAAAGGTCAGCGACTGTAGCGCATAATTCGAAGTCGTATACTACACATACCGGTTACATTATAGCCGTCCATGCTCATCGTCTTATGGATATCCAGATGGGCAGTTGGAAGTCCACTGAGTTTCAAATCCGGATGCGCCGTTGCCACAATATCGAAGTTTTCGTCCGTAGCTGCTCGAACAGCAATCTTCGACAAACAATCAATACAGGTCAGGTCCAGATCTGTGTCAAATTCAACGGTTGCGCCGTCGCTGAAGTCGATCTGTGGCACGGGGAAGATAGCAAACTCCTCGTCGGTATCCGATGTGCGAATGCTTGCATTGAAAGCCGTTAGATATCCACTGCCACTGAAGCCACCGCCCATGGATAAAGATTTCTTCTGCTTGACATGGAATGCGTTCGGTCGAGGGTTGGTGATCTCGAGTCCCTCGGTGTCATACTGGTAGTCGTTGATGTATTTGCTGGCGAAATGAGGGATTCCCACGTAGATTCTGTCGTTTTTAGTATGAACCATTTTACCAGTAGCAATGGGGGATGGAAGCCTTACATGGGTAGCACCGTCACCAACACTATGACACAGAACACAGCCAAATACACCCACCACCATTTTTTCATGTGAGCCTTGAATCGCTGCCACAGAGTTGGCTTTGGCGCGACGGCGGCGGATACACCATTCACCTCGGATTCTGAGCTCTGCTCAATATCTGATTTCGACATGGTGAAGTCTCGCGGATCTAATTTGGCTTTGCTAGCCTCCTGTCAAACGCCGATAAACTTCGAATGGAGGCCGAGGTCAACGGTGAGTGTTGTCGTGGTCAGGGGCTACAGTGCGGCTGCTTCCCATTTTATTGCGGTCGGCGCGTCGGTCTGGATGCTGATTTCAACAGATGCAAGGAAGGGAAATCATTGTTGGGACATTCGCAAGGATTTATTCGCACTGTCGCACTGCACCCCCATGGGGCTCGCCGTGCCACTGTCGATCGCTCTCCACATCACATGAAGGCGGCGTATTCGGTGCTCGGAATACGTTCTCGCTGTGATCTGATCGGCGTTGAGGGAGACCATCAAAAAGGGGGCTAGCCGATCATTGACTACAATGGTAAAATCCGCCGATGCCACTCCGCTGTTCAAGTTATCAGGGTCTTCGCTTAGCACCGAGTGTTTATTCTGTATCCGCAATGGACGCCACGATCCATTAAAATTGTCCTGTTAAATGGTTGCTGACCGGAATCGAGCAACTCGAAGCGTGCACGGCCACTTTTAATGACATGTGGCACCGATCTTCTTTTCATAAATACCCGCAGGCCGTGGCCATCATCTTTTGATCAAGATCTGTTTAAAAGCTCATGCCATGCAGAGATTCTCAGATCTTGTGGTAGTGACCATGGCGATCAGACAGCTTACAACGCCATGTAACATACAACCTTGGAATATTGGAGGTTGAGATGTAGTATATATCCTGATATAATTCTGCCCAAACTTCCAGCTTGATACCAACCGAAGGGCCTGTATTTTAAAACCATTGCCCTCAGGATATTTCCTCTGCCAGTGGCCGTCACTAGCAGGTTTTCCAGAAACATCCAAGTTGGAAGCCGGGCCTTTCGCCTATTTTTGCTTATTTCTTTTTCAAATTCGTCAAGATATCACAGAATGCCGTGACGGATATCTAGGGCCTACAGAGAATTCCTGAAATGGGTCGAGACTTCTAGAGGCAGCTATTTTTATTTTTACTTATCAATTAGCTCCGCATCTCAATCTCAGCATCTTCTAAGCTGGCGTTTCCGTGGCGTTAGCGGAAGGTGTTCGTCATGTTGACCAATAGGAAGCCGCACATAATCATGAGTCAGCAATCTCTGAGCAAAAATAAGTATGGCGCTAAGCTATTAGAGGACTAGCGCGCTGATTGATGATCGATAATGCTTGGATAATACTGAGAAACGCTTTTCTACAATCCACTTGCTGGGAATTACTGACTATATAAGACTCATTCTACTCCCACTTTGCTCGTAAATCACAATTTTTGATCACTGCCATCTACTACTATAATACTAGAACTTGAACTCGCAAACACATTGAACACCACCCAATCCACAATGTCAAAGCCTCTTTCCCACGCCAAGGTCGTCCTCCGACGCTCCGCTGACCGTGGACATGCCGATCACGGCTGGTTGAACTCCTACCATACATTCAGTTTCGCCAACTACTTCGACCGCCGCTTTCAAAACTTCGGAAGCCTCCGCGTTCTGAACGAAGACCGTGTCGCCTCCCGAACAGGCTTCCCGACACATCCGCATCGCGACGCCGAGATCTTCAGTTACATTTTAAGCGGCGAGCTCACGCATCGCGATAGCATGCTCAAAAAGGGCGCCGAAGGCGAACAAGGGAAACAATTCTACCGCATGAAGCGAGGCGATGTGCAATTCACAACCGGAGGAAGTGGTAAGTTTTGTCCTTTCTTCCCCTCCTCCATTCTTGAATTGACCTAAGCTAACCATTACCAAACTAGGCATTGCTCATTCCGAACAGAACGAGTCCAACAAGCCAGTTCATTTCTTGCAGATTTGGGCTCTGCCGTGGGCTAGCTCGCTGAAGCCTCAGTATCATACTAAGAGTTTCAGTGAGGAGGCGAAGCGTAAAGCTTTCGTTCACATCCTGTCTCCTCTCGCTGCGGGCCCCGAAGCGACACCGGCAGAGGAAGAAGCTGCTTTGCCCAAAATCCCTGATACGATTCCCATTCATGCTGATTTTGTCATGGGGGCTGGTATCATTGCGCCAGGGTCGACTTTCAACTGGACCGTCGGAGCCGGTGACGCTGTGAGCTTCAAGAAGAAGAGAAATGTCTATGTCCACTTGCCGATGACCAAGCAAGGCAAGGCAAAGGTTAAGCTTAATGGTCTTGAGGACTCTGTACTTGAGGAGGGTGATGGTGCCTTTATCACCCTGGTCAATGCAGGTGATGCGTTCAGCGTCGAGAGCGTTGGCGAGGCCGATGCCGAAGTCATTGTTTTGGATAGCAACTAGTTGGGACCAGAATATTGGGATAAAATAATCTAAAATATAGTTAATTCATGAATTGTTGTTTGAAATAGACTGCCAGGACACATATTCTTCTCTCTCTTTTGTAGTGTATCTTTGATTTCCAGCTACCTAGGTACGAAGCTCTAATTCAAGTTCTAGCCCTAGTTTAGCCGGTGGTATATTTATCCAACCTTGAAAGTACTAGTAGTAGAGGGAAGGCCTAATCAAAGTATTGATTGTCTGAAACAATTGTAGCACGTTACTACTCCCTCTCCTCCCCTCAATCATGTATCTCCAAATCGTCATCAGTTAGTGTATAAGGAAACCAAAATCTCTGTCTACTATTAGCATCATACAGTCTCCGACAATATCCAGCATTACATACCGCATCGGGATCGTTCATCAATTTCCGCACAATGCACAAAAGCGGCTGATCAAAGCGTGAAATATCAGATGCAACATCGTAGAACTGCACATTTTCTGTCTCGCCGAGCCAAAAAAGCGCCTCGGGGTCTACATCCAGCAGCTGATCTTTGGGCACGGGCTTCCATGTACATACGACAACAGGTAGGCCCGATGGATTTGCCAATAGTAGTTCCTCTATGTGAGCAACTGTCAGAAAAAGGAACTATTTATTCATGACCAGTGGAAAAACGGCGACACCCACCGTACCAGCGAAGGGCGTGTTCGAAAGTAGTTGGTTGTGCTAGGTCGACCATTATGATCGCCGCGTCGCTATTCTTTAGCCATGACTGCCGGTCTTGGAGTTTACTTTGGCTGCCGGATACATCCCAAAGCTCTAGGTTCACAGGACCAGCGGACTAAAAAGGACAGAGCAGGTTATCTGTCAGCTTATTTCACGAAATTCGGATTGAGCTAAGTGGATGGATAGATGTATGCATACCATATTCCTGAGACCAGCTGGATACTTCATAGCCAGCTGTTTGGAGGTAGTCTCGATTGAAATCCGGCGAGAACTGCTTTTTGATGTAGCTGCTCTACAAGAATAGTCAATATCTTGTCCGTGCTAGTTACCACAAGAAGCTTATGCTTTGCCGCGTTCTACCTTGCCAACCCCTGCATCGCCGACAATGGATACTTTGAAAGGTCTTTCAAGGTTTCCAGGCTCCATGATTCAGTGAGGTCGGGTTTGTGTCACGCTAGATGAATTCGACAAGCTGGCTAAATAGGAGATAGATCTTTCTGGGGTTATAGTATCAATGCCTGACCTATTTAAAGAGAGGCTATTTTTTGGGAAACTTGGAGATATCAGCGGGGTGACGTCTAGGCTAAGCCAAGCCCAACAATTCTCTTTCAAGGAATCCGACCACAAACTTGAAGTTCATTCAACGTAGGAGAGGAGGAAGACAAAAGTTGAACTTACTAGGTAAATTTTTCAAAAAATCACCCACTTTCCCAAACGGACATCAGGCCCTTCTTAAACAGAGCCGAAACCCCTCCGTCAGCTTCACCGATTCCAATCCCCAATGCCCAATACCCTATAATCCAACATTCCATTCCGTCCCTGGACTTAACTGCAGCTACTTTTACGTAATTCCCCAAACGCACGCAATACCAGGGATTTCCCCCTTAGAATCAGCTGACTCCCGGAGGTGTCAGCAGGTTCACCAAATTGCCAAAACACCTTGGCAAATCCCTTCAGGGCCCATCGCTAGCGCCATTTTGCGCCATTCTCGTAGTTGTTCCTCGCATGTAGAAGGATTGGCGGGTCGTTGGGCCCTTTTCTCCACCCCCGCATTGTGCCGGGCTTGGGGTCTTCTTTAAGGAGAGTGTTCCAGAATTTCGTTGAGACTTAATCTGGCTTGGGGCGCGTGCTCGTGCGGGTGTGGAGGCGGGATGCTAACTATTACCTAGCTACCTGTGTCATGACGTGGTGGATCGTCCAGCTGAGCAATTCGGTAATTGGATCCGCCTCACCGTCTCGGGTGAAATGGAAATATTGTGCCAATGCGCTTTCTCTGCATTATGGTTCCCTTTCAGCCCTTTCAGGGCTATGCTTACTTATTGGTTGGGTTTTATCCTGTTGATTCGAAAGCCAATGTAAGTATGGTATAGGAGTGATCATGTTCAACGATATCTAGTCTTGACTTGTGGCGGTGGGCTATGCGGCTGGATATTTGCAGTGATGATCCATTCAAACAACCCAATATCTGAGAACCTTGTAAATATTCTATCAGAGGTCACTGGCTTCATGGATAGCAGGCATGGTTGTAAAGTATTCAAGCGCCTGGGTGTTCATGCCAAGAGGACCACTGTTGAACCAGTCCTTCCAGATCGAACCGCGACTACTAATAGGACAAAGACCATCTACATCGAGACGGACTTCTCGTCGCCATATCTTTTTCAATAATTGAATTACCTGCCAAGTCGAACGTTGTCCCCTTTGATCTGATCCATCTTCCAGGGTCCCCGTCCCCGTCACCGGCGCCGAGACGGACTCGGACCGGGTGGGTGAGCTGGCAAGGCTGAAAAAGTACAATGCCAAGGAAGAGTGCGAAATGCTAGTGCAAGGCGTGCTGAGTACTAGTAGTATTTGGGGGCTAAATGCAAGAATCCAGGTGTACAGGATAGCCCGGCCCTATCCGACAATCTAGAATCCAGCCCATATTTGAGTCCCTACGCAAAGTAACTTCAAGAATCAGATATTACGATTCAGCCTAAGAAGCCTACTAGTTGCAAGTAAAGTACCAGTACGAGATACCTAAGACACTCAGGACCAAAGACCCGCCAAGACGAGAATACATTTCGTGCTCACGATGTTACAGAGAGACAAAGGAGGAAAGAGGAAACCTATATACAAGAGCGCCGCCAGAAAGCGAGACCAGAGAAAGAACAGGCAGACATCATGCTGGGCCATACTTGATTAGAATCAGAATTGGGATTGGAACTGGGATCGGGATCGGGATCGGATTCGGAATTGCGGTAAAACTGCGGTAATTAGATTGGCATGGGCGCGCACATATTGGACGAAGCACCACAAGCCTGAATCCCAGCCCGTCTGCTCGGTGATTTTCGATCAGAATCGCATACGCCCAATCCGATCCCTTCGATAAACCAAGTGGCGCGCGTAAGATAAAGCAACGATCGACACGAACAAGGAATGGCCCTCGTGTCTATCTCGAAGATTCACAACCAACAAGATAGACATGAGGCCATTTGTTCCGGGGGTATGGAATAAAACGAGAGAGGTTGGTATGTAGGCGCGTGTTTGTGTGAGAGGAAAATGAGATGCTCAGGTCGACGGGCGGTATCGTAGGCCGAGGGCAAGAAGAACTTGGAGAGAGAAGAAAATGATGATGGATTTGAGAAGGAAAAACAACGGCAGGGGTATGGAGCTGGAGCTGGAGGGAGATAATCTGATCTGATCTGGCTGGGGGCGGCGTTTATTGCAGGTTTAGCCAAGCTTTCTCTATTCCTGTCCAAATCCAAGGGTTTCCTCTACTGCAATGGACATCTTGTGCTCCAGGGCGTCGTGAGTCTTGTAGGGCGGTAGGTCAAGACGGTTGAAACAGGTGTGCGACTTGGGCAAAGCGGCAGGATCTCCTGACTTCTCGATAGTGAATCGTCTGGGACCGTCCGAACCTTGCAAGTCCTTGAAACCGTTGACGGGGATACGCGAGGTACCGGTGGTGAACTGGAGCAGACGCGACTTCTGCTCCGCGTCCCAAGTGCGGACAATCTTCCAGAAGTTCTGGATGACCTCGTCCTGCTCCTGGTAACCGCGGTAATCGGTGTGCTTCTTCCAGTCATCCACGTCGATATCGGCGATACCACCGATCAGCAATTCCAGTTCACGCTCGTCAAAGACGTTGACCAGATCCGCGGGAATCAGCTCGTTGAAGCCGGACATGAATGCGTTGAATTGCTCCTCCACTCGCTTGACAATCTTCCATTCCGTAACCAATCTAGAATTTGTTAGTCAAAATCCAATTATGCAAAGATTGTGAATAACTCACTCAATGTACTGCGGCTTGTTCTCGTTGGTGACGTTGATTTCCTCTCCGCCGGGTATCAAATCAATAGTGCGACGCTCGCCAAACTTCTCATCGTCGACAGAGAAGCTGAGCTCGACAATTCCTTCGATGTCATTGTCCCTGCCGGGGATTAGTATTGGGTGTCATGAATTTCTTGAGGAAATGGAAACGTACAAAGTCCACGCCAGATTTCGATGTAAATCCTCGTCCACACCCTCCATATCTTGGAGAGTCACCTTCTTCCTCAGCATCATCTTATAGAAAGCACCGATGAAGAAGGAATCCAAGAAGCGACGGTGGAAGATCGCCAGGCCGACAACACGACCGATGAACTTGAAGTAATTGAGATGCTCGGGGTTGACACCAGAGTGAGGATTAATCTGAAGGGTATAATTATCGTGGGCGGAGTATTCGAAAAGGCAGTAGAAGGGGTTGAACATTTCGTGAGAGAGAAGGAAAAAGAATTCACTAAGAATATTAGCCAGGCCCAGCGCAAAGAAAGCTTCAGGGATGAGGAGGGCGCATACCGAGAAAGACCACCATAATCCAGACCGTCTTCCCCATCGAATTTAATCATCAAGCGCTTCTTCAGATCGGAAGCACTCTGGCGCATGATCTCGGCGTAGGAGTCTTCGAAGATATTATTACGGCGAACCTTGACATGGCATTGACCAGACATGATTCGCAAAGCGGGTTGGGATCGGAAGTAGATCAGCTTGCGGCGGAAATCACGCTTGTACTGGGGAACACCCTGGTCCAGAGAAGAGGGCAATCGGGGATCGTCCCAAGTGGTAGTTTTGGTGTTGTGGTCGACAAAGTACACTCGAGCAGTATTCGTGAGACGCATTTCCCAACCACTGGGTAGGGGGCCCAATTGAGACACGGGCTGCTGTTGGATGGTGGTGTTGTTTCCACCCTGGTTTTGGTTCTGACCGTACATGCGGATGTACTGCTGCCGGCGAGGATCGACCCAGGTCGTAGTGCGAGTATTGTGGTCCACAAAGTATGCGCGGCCCTCGGGCGTAGATCGTTGCTCCCATCCTGGCGGGAGCTCTCCAGTGCCTGCAGTGGTGGCTCCCGTTGCCATCATGGAAACGGCATTGGCGTGAGATCCAGGGGCTGAACCCCCAGCGCTCGGTGCAGCAGCAGGAGGAGGAGCACCTGGCGGCGGCGTGCTTTGGCCTTCCGGCAAATTGGGCGAGCTGGCGCCGGTGCGATCTTCTGGTAGCATTCGACTCTGGTGGGCGCGACGCTCCAGTTGCATGTTGGCGGCGCGCTCATTGCGGGAACTCTGCTCATTATAGTTGGCCGATGGTCTTGACCAGGTGGTAGTTCGCGTATTATGGTCGACGTAGTATGTCCGTCCCAAGTTATCTTCCCTTCGCTCCCAGCCCGCGGGGAGTCGACCCTGACTATCCTCGAATGAACTCAAATTTGCACGCGATGCGGCGCCGACACCGGGCGGGGCTCCATTGGCTGGTGGAGGGGGCCCACTGGTCGACGCGCGGTTGTTGAGCGAAGAACTTGATGCGGCAGGGGTGGAAGAAGTGTCGAGATGGCTAGGACCGGCCTGGGATTGCGACGAGGGTACTGCGATTTGCGGGACAAGGCCACTGGATGTAGAAGACTGAGCCTGTTGAGGTCGAAGTCCATTCTGCTGGTTGGGGTGAGGTGCTTCGAGATTAGTTGACAGGTTGATGATCAGCTTGCCATGGACCACGAGGTTATCATTGGACTTTTTCAGGTCGCGAGTGAGCATTTCTGGAAGGGAAGCAAGAGTTAGCACAAAGTGTTCCTTGCCGAGTTTTTCGTCACGATTCGATCGCATCATACCATCACCACCCATCTGTAGATCGATCACATCGCCGATCCGTACGTTGATGACGCCGAGGAATCCCTGATCCTTCTTCTTGAACTTCTTCTGGTCGAAAATTTGAATCGCGAGAATACTGTCTTCGTTGACTTTCCTATTTTGATAAAAAAATCACCGGTTAACACCACGCCGTCCGGGGATCACCATCACACCGAGACCAAAGCTCGCGGCAAAAAGTGGGGGCTGCGACGTACAGATCGAAAGGTTCATTCCAGTATGGATTCAAGGTCTTTTTGATCACCGAGGTCGTGTGAGTTTGCTCGCCTCCGACAGTGGCCACAGCGAATGGGTCGGGAAATCCTGTAATGGTGAAAGTTGTTGGTCAGCCTACCCCCGCCGCTCATAATCATCCACGCTCGACCGGGCAACGTCTCGAATCGATGATAGAAAATGTTGCCAGAGGATCATGGTGATGGAAAGAACATACGAAAGACATCACGTTTGTAGAGACCGTCGGCCGCGATAACTATTATCATTTAGTCAGTCTGATATCGAAGGCGGACCCCGCAGCGTCCCGCCTAATGCAGGGCGCCGGGACTCAAGAGGAAAGAGGTAGTCTTACTCGTGACCCGAAGGTTGGGCTGGCTAGAAATTGCAAAAAAAGAATGTCAGCCAGTGAAACAATAGTGCGATGGAGGGGAAGGAAGGAAAGGGGGCCAAAGGATGAGGTGGAAGACGTACGCTGGCAGGTTGGATGCCATGATGCCCTGAATGAGTTGACAAGCACGTCAAAAGCGAAAGGACCGATCAATCAAGCCCGATGCGAGACAGGAATGCGCATGCACAAGAAAGGAGGGATAACAACCAATCTCAGAATGACGTGGTGGGCGTGATGAGTGGAGGAGGGGAGATTGAGGGAGGTTGAAGGAGGAGAAGAGGAGAAGGAGAATGGAAGGGCCGGGCTGGGCTGAGTGGAGGAGGTGGGTAACAACTGCAACTGCAACTGCACTGCTCAACTACGAGACTAAAACCACTGCCAAGTTGAATTCAATCCTGCTCATACAATGACTGTTAATACAATAACTACCTCAGCCACACTGGAAACCTCTGTTCGTTGATCTGGCGTACGTAATACTGGGCAGGTCAAATCTGAGCGGGTGCGGGCGGGATGGCCAGTGGCGAGCCTTGATAATAATAGGACTAGGACTGCTTTTGGACTACTTTAGTACCATTACTAGTGCTTTGGTACTTGGTCTTTGGACTAGGCAGCGAAATTGATACTGCAGCTACTCTAAAGCATGCTTACTCCCTTCATCTACAACTGGAAATGGTTTCGATGGTTTTGCCCTCCTCGTACGGAGTAGTCATTCCATGATTACACATCGAGCCCAGCAAAGACTCGTTATTGTACATTCCCTATAGCCTAGCCTAACCTCTGAACTCCATAGCCAGATTCCCCATGGGAGAGAGAAGAGAGAAATAGTGGGCACAGATTGATGGTTAACGCCGGGTTCATCGGGTGCCGGCGAACTCTTGTCCCTCTTTAGTAAGGAGCATAGCCACGACCGCGTCCCCGAAAGCCACCACCGCGGTAGGTGCCACGGCCTCGCCCACGTCCTCCACGGAATGCACCTCGTCCACGACCGCGAGTCATACCGGGCAAGTTGGTACGCTTAGGGGTAACCTAGAAAGGGGGGAGAAGTAGACAGCGGTTAGCCCAGTCCCTAACACCAATACCAATAGAACGATGAAAGACAAGGGAACAAACCTTCAAGTTGCGACCACGGAAGACACTCTCGTTCAGAACCAGCGCATTGGCGACGAGACTCGGCTCGGAGAATTCCACGTAGGCATATCTACTCAGATAAATAGATCAGCATTGTTCTATCCAATCCACCTTCTCTTCACTTCCGCGCTGTGCAGGTGCATGCTGCGAAACTCACCCCTTCGGCTGGCCACTGAACTTATCCAACAGAATCGTGACTCGGTTGATGGAACCACAGGTCTGGAAATGCGACTGGATCTCCTCCGGCGACGCGCCATAGTCCACATTACCGACAAAGACGCTCCGGGCATCGATATCTTCCTTGTTCTCTTGGAGACCTTCGGCCTCTGCGTCGAGGGACTGTTGCATTTCCTTCAGCTTGGCAGCTTCGGACTCCATCTCGGCGACCCGGCGCTTCATCGCGGCGATTTCTTCCTGGAACATTGGATATCCGTATTAGCCGGCGATTTCATCGTGATTTGCTTTGCGTTGCCTTGCATTGAGTAGTAGTTGTTGTGGTGGTCGTTTGCTTGGCTTGGCTTGACTTGGGGGGGGGAGGCTTCAACCAAAGCTCGACTCGACTACTCCAAAGCTACCTGGGCGGGATCGCTTCGTCGCACGGGAGTCGTGGTTGCTGGAGTGGAAATATCTTTGATCACACGAACCTCGTCATCAACCCCCTCTTCCTGGGTGGGAATCTGCTCATCCTTGAGCTCTGCTCCTTCGGCGGACATTATGTGAGATGTGAAGAAATGGAAACGGGATCGATTGATATGTCGGGTTGTCGGGCAGCGGCAAGGATAGGGCGACTGGTGGTATAAGGCGAATGGGGAAGGGAGGGGTAATGTCGTGCTAGAAGTAAATTAAGAAGAAGTGGAACAATGCGGGCGATTGGAAGCCCTGAAAGAATGGTCGTCAAAGAAGGACGTGAAGGTCCACGGGAGATCTTTCCATGCGGGGCGGATGAGGCGCGCTGGCTTTGGCTCGTGACGCTAGACCAGATGCGGTAATGCTAGGCTGTGAGCATCGAGGGTTGGTACCTAGATACCTAGACTACCGTGCTTTTATTTAGAGATTTGTAGAACGAGGGTTAATTTATGATAAAATGTGAGTTAATGATTGATTGAGCGTAGCTTGAAATCAGCTTACACAGAGCAGGTTGTAATCTGGCTACACTAATTCTATGAATACCTCGGTAGGTATCATTCCATTGCGAGCAAAACATCGACGAGGCCAAACAGTACAGTATGCAGGAACAAAGAGACTATGTACAGGGTAAAGAATATAGGATAGGTCGAGCTAACAAATCATGGTTGTCCAGATTCACGAGTCCGCAGTTGCAGCAGCCTGGGCCGGTGCTGGTGCCGCCGCCGCGGTCGTCGCAGTCGCAGCATCCGGCGCGCGGTTCTTGCGGAAGGAGACCTTCTCAACAGATACATTCTCGATACCGTTGGCGTCGGTCTTGAGCTGGTAGACGTAGAGGACGAGGACATCACCTTGGATCTGTCATGGTATTAGCATCCACGTATATCATATCCTACTTGTATTGCGCCGACTCACATCCATCAAGCAGAAGCTCGGTGTCGGCTCTTCACCATCTGGCCAGAATCCGGAGCTCAAAGCACCCGTGGCGCTTCCCGGGTTGATAAAGAAGTGACCTTCCATCTCGAATGCCTCGAAGCGATGGGTACCGCCCCAGAGCAAGATGTCGACATCCATTTGGCGGGCAGCGATCAAGAGGGCGTCGGCGTCGCCATTCGGGACGATGGTGTGGCCATGAGTAAATCCGATCCGCAGGTTTCCATGTTCAACAATCTTTGAGACGGGGAGGTTGGGCGAGTCAACGTCAAAGTCGCCCTTGACCATTTGCAGGTCCGGGGCGACCCCGCGGAGGTACTCATAGGTCTCACGGTCGGTGCAGTTGCCCAGACATAAGATCTGGCCGATCTTTCCGGGGAGAGGAGTTTCCGGAACTATCAAAGAAGGCGAGGGGTCAATTGTTAGGTCTGGATCGAGGTCTCGGTGAGGGCGGGTGTCGATGATAGGTGAAGGCATACCTTGGGTGGGAGATCCTAGGCGGTGGTTAGTGGGACAACACAGTAAGGGGATAGTCTGGGAGGAACTGGAGGAATCAGATCCAAACTCACAGGAGCACGGTCGGGAATGAATAGGTCACCGATGACCAGGACAAGACGGGCGGTCATGGCTAGAATGGGAGGAGCTCTAGGACAAGCTCTCAGCAGCTACTACCAGTAGTAAGGAGGGGAGGGAGAATGGGGGTTTGCGGAGTCGGGATTAGCGCGGAGACGATCTGGTTGGTTCATCGCCCCGAACTTTTGAACACTCTTTCTCGTCCGATTGGAATTCGGGTCGGCTGGGCCTGAGATCTGGGGAATTGAGTGTTTTGCGGAGCTCTCCGAGTGCTAGGATCTCTAGAATGGTGAGTACGGTGTATAGTGTGGTATATCCCAGTAGTAATACTACCTACTACGAGTTAGTAGGTGGTTGAGATAGTTACTATGAGTATGGTACAGAATGGTATACTTCACCACAGACGAGATTGTACTAATAGTAACAATTGTGTAGTAATATAATCTACTAGTATGTAATTATTATAATATACTCTCTGTATTAATAATTATCATGATATACTAATCTGTGTATAATATCTACATCTCCACTCCAACGATATCGGATGGCCTCCCGTAGTAACCATGCAATTGTATACAGTTGTATGCATACTATGTGGTATAACTTCTACGGGGTATAATCTGTACACAGATTATCGTAGTATAGAATCTTCACATAGAATATAGAATGATTCCGATCCTCGTCTTCCCGCTCAAAATGGTAGTTCATTCCTCACCTCCCCTTCTCATCTCTCATCGGCCCCGGCCGTCACTAGCACTTCACCGGGCAAGAAATTTCCTCAGATATTCAACCCTCCCCTTCTATAATAAATAGGCCCCTTCTCCTCTTTCATTACACTCCACTCCATCCTTCGCAATCCCTTCCGAGTGGTATACTTCGGCTGTCCTCCGACGCAACCAATCCCCTCTCATCTCTCGCGACTCTCCCCGGGTGACTCGGCGGCGATCCCCGATACTCCAACAGCGCAAAGTACCAGCTACGCCAGTTTCCCTCGGGAATTCACAAGCAAATCACCCAAGGGACGACCCAACCACAGCAATTCCAACCAATTACCCCGCCGCACACCCCGCCGCAATCGGATGTCGACCAAATCCACCCAGCAACGATTGAGCCTGATCTCCAGACACCTGGACCAGCGCCTCCCGTTGCCTGAACTGAACACTCCCTTCTCGACCGAAAGAAACTCTCTCGCTCCTGACGACGTTGAATATAAACCTGTCGACCGTTCCATTCCTCCTTCACCTCCCCCCGAGCCCCAACCCCAATCCAACATGTCTACTCAAGCCCCTCACAACACTTTGCTCATCCCGGGCCCCATCGAGTTCGATGATGCTGTCCTCCAGTCCATGTCCCACTATGCGTGAGTTATTCCACCTCTACTCTCGAATGCCCCTCCATTCCCATCATCCCCACTAACATCAATTGCCCCCCTCCAGTGAGAGCCACGTCGCTCCCGGCTTCGTCAAGGTCTTCGGCGAGACCATCTCCCTCACCCGCAAGCTTTTCCAGTCCACCGACCCCGCCGCACAGCCCTTCATCATCGCCGGCAGCGGCACCCTCGGCTGGGACCTCGTCTCCGCCAACCTAGTCGAGCGCGGCGAGAACGCCCTCGTCCTTAACACCGGTTACTTCGGCGACGCCTTCGGCGCCTGCCTCACCACCTACGGCGCCAACGTCGACCACCTCCGCTGCCCCATCGGCGAGCGGCCCGCCTTCGAAGAAGTCGAGAAAGCCCTCCAATCCAAGCCCTACAAGGTCATCACAATCACTCACGTCGACACCTCAACCGGCGTCCTCAACGACATCAAGCGCGTGGCCGAAATCACCCGCCGCGTCAGCCCCAACACCCTCGTCGTCGTCGACGGCGTCTGCAGCGTCGGCTCCGAGGAAATCACCTTCGACCAGTGGGACCTCGATGCCGTCGTCACCGCTTCCCAGAAGGCCATCGGGTGCCCACCCGGTCTGAGCATCGTCATGCTCTCCGGCCGCGCGATCCAGGCCTCGCAGTCCCGCAAGACCCCCGCCGCTACTTACTACGCCAGCATCGAGAAGTGGCTCCCCATCATGCAGAATTACGAGAACAACAAGCCGAGCTACTTCGCCACTCCCCCCACGCAGCTCGTGCACGCTTTGCACACTACGCTGAGCCAGATCACCGCGCGCGGCATGAAGGATACCTTTGCTATTCACACCCAGGCTTCCGATAAGGTTAAGGCGGCGGTTGCGGAGCTTGGTCTTAAGCAGCTGGCTCCTAGCCCGGATGCCCAGGCTCACGGTATGACTGCCATGTACCTGCCTGAGGGTCTGGCCCCTGCAGATGTCCTACCTGGTCTGCTGAAGCGCGGCGTTATCTTCGCAGCTGGTCTGCACAAGGAGATTGCTACTAAGTATATCCGTTTCGGTCATATGGGTGTTAGTATCTCTGATCCTAACCGTAAGGATATTGATAATGCTCTTGGTGCCCTGAAGGAGGCGCTTGCTGAGGCTAAGCAGGCGAAGGGTCTGTAGATTTCATGTTCGTGTTCATAAATTTATAAATCGAATGATCGTTATAGACTTATTTGGTTTCAATGTGTATCATTTACTGTAGTGCGCAATGCAAAGTATGAAGGAATTGCAACCTCGACCATGGCGAAGTATTAGTAGATCAAGGTGTGCTCTTATCTGATGTTTACAAGGTATGGATGCACTGCGTGGGAGGACAGTATTAGATCAAGCAAGGTTAAGAGGGGTAAATGAGTACTGACTGTCACCAAATCCCCCGAATGGATGGTATTGGCCTTGACCAAACGGGGGGGGGGGAAACAGATGAGGAGGCTTTGAAGAGACGCAATGGGATCGGTGCGTGCCTACCTCTTATTTTGCCCTTTTTTGTTTCTCTCCAGGTCCCAGGGTTCAACCCAGGCCAGGGCTTTTTCTTTGTGTATCCTTCCCTTTTTGTTTTGCTTACTGTTGTTGTTTGTTGTCGCCTCAAGTTTTGCAGTGAATCGTGCCTTCCAAAGTGACATTTACATATCCCGTTTGCTGCCCCCACATTGAGTGGGTCCTCTTTTTCAATCCTACCCCAAGGTATACTCCAAGGGAAATCCAATTCTAAATCCAAAATCTACATTGACCAGCCAGGAGTAAATCTACGAGTGTGCAGCAGAGGCTGTCAAGTAGCTACGACTCATCATGGAGCAGTACCAGCTGCACAAACTTCATCCTCAATGTATCTACCATTCTGGAATATGAAATGATCACTATCAACTGCCAACTTGGACTCACCACAATACGTTCACCTGATAAACATTAAAATTAAAACTATCATGCCTTCTGTTGCATTTATTGGGGCCCTGTAACCTTGGTACGCAGCCAGATTCAAGTCTATTTTGGCGATTGGCTCGACTGATGTACTCCTGGTGGGCTTGATGGTTTACTAGTTATTTTCCAGTTCTTTCATCGAATGTACTACTCCGTAATAGATTCATCTTTAGCAAGCCTTTCTCCATATACTTGCGTATCTCTGGCCAGCATGTACACACTAGTAAGGGAACTGTGTGATATGTGAGGATATGCGGCCTAGTGTAATGCCAGATCACGAGAACGTAATAGTACAACTTACTCAAGGATAAATTATGGCTTAGCGGCCGTATGGGGTTAGGAGACTGTCCGTGGATTGAAACTTGATTAACAGGCTAGTCAAGTGCAGCTGTTGATTATTGGCTAGGTACTCAGCCTTGTTCAGGTGCCTCATAAAATGCCAAATCACAAGAACGGAACATGATTCACTCAAGGATAAATCATGGCTCAGCAGCCCCACTGGTAAATGATGATTTAAATTTGATGTGGAAATTTTGAAACTTTATGAGCAGGCTAACCAGGTGCAGCTATTGATCATTGGCTACTCAATCTCGTTCAGGTGTCTGATAAAATGCCAGATCACGAGAGCCCAACACGAATCACTCAAGGATGAATTACGGCTCAGTGACACCGAGGTGAGCCTAATCATAACAAACGATTGAAACTTGAATGCCAGTCCAGCCAAGTGTAGCTGTTAATCATTGGCTACTTGACCTTGTTCAGGAGCCATAAAGTGGCATCGAAAAATCTGCCTTGGGTCGCAAAAAGCAAATCTTTGCATGAGGAGAGCGAGGATGACCTGCAGGACCAAAACAATCGCCTCGCTTCGCCTGGGCGAATGGGGCATAGGTATGGAGTAGGGGCTGTGTTTAAATCCGAGAAAATTACGGCTTAGCGACAAAAAGGTGTTACCAATGACCGGAAAGTTGAAAATTGATGAACATGCCAGCCTAGTGTAGCTGTCGATGATTGGCGACTCGAGCTCGTTCGGGAGCCAGATACATAAAATGGCGGATGGCGTCGAAGTACCGGCCTTGGCTTGTGAAAAGCGAATCTTGACATGATGAGATCCAGGATCCTGCGGGAACGCAATAACCGCCCCACTTCACCTGGGTGAAATGGGCACAAATATGGGCTGTGTTTCGAGAAATTACGGCTCAGCATAGGACTAAAGTGGACTCGCCACACGTAAATTGAAACTGGATTTCTGGGCTAACATCATGCAGCCAGCTCTTATTGGCTCTCAGTAATCTATGCCCTGCACGCAGGTCTACGCTAGTGATTTAGATGGGGCATCTATCTAGCTATCGCATGAATATTTGAGATCCTAGGATTGTTCTATGGTTTCTTATCGAGAATAGCGTAGCTTCCTCTCCAAACCCCACTGACGTCTGTGACATACCAAAATCTGGTAGCGGACGCCCCGGGTTCCCAATCTCCAGCAACCACAAAACCTCGAGATAATTCACTGCCCCATTAGATGTAAAGCAATAAAAAATTAACGCATTTATGGCGGTATTGGGATCTTTTATAGTATCTTCCCACACTACAACAAACAAGCAGTTGGAAAGCAGAATTAAGCAAAGTTTCGATGCTGTAATCTTCTCACAGCTGCTGGAGCTAGATTACTTAGGTATAAGGAGAATCGTTTGAATAACTATATGTAATCGTCCTACCGCAGATAACAGTTTCCATTAAATTAAGGTACTTCCATCCCTAGGGGCTTTAGAGATAAATCATGCCTTGATAGAGTTTTACGTATTCACATCTAGGCAATAGGAGTAATACTAGTAGTAATATCATTCTCTCTAGATAAACTTAGTTTTAGAAGTTACGACGATTTGCTTCTACAACCTCACGATAATCACTCGATATTTATTATATTATGTATAAATTTCTGCTGCAAGGTATTAGATAACTCTAGAATCACAGCCAGAGTTATCACATAAGGCGAAAACCCTGGATTCAGCTAAAAAGCGAGAGAAGTCATGACGTCGCTTATTCTTGCTCAAGGTGGCAACTTAAGCCCTCCTAGTCCGTTCAATCCTGCGACTGCCCAGGACATAGGACCTGGGCAGTCGCAGGATTGAAACTTGATTGCCGGGCCAGCCAAGTACAGCCGTTGATCATTGGCTACTCAATCTTGTTCAGAGACACGATAAGATACAAAATCACGAGAACGCAAACGAATCTCTCAAGGATAAATTATGGCTCAGCGACACTGAGGGGGGGCCTAACCATAACAAACAATATTGAAACCTCATTAGCGGGCCAGCCAATTCCAGCTATTGATCATTGGCTACTCAACCTCTTTCAGTAGTTATGAGGTAGCATCGAAGACTTGCAAAAAGTGAATTTTTGCGTGAGGAGAGCCAGGCTGCAGCAGAATTCAGGACATAACCAACGCCTCATTTCGCCTAGGTGAATTGGGCACAAGTAGGGGCTGTGTTTCCCGAACATCACGGCTCAGCGAGACTCAAAGGGGAAAAATGGGATCCAAATATTGAAACTTGATTAACAGGCCAGCGAAGTTCAGCTGTTTATTATTGGCTAATCGGCGTCGTTTGGGAGTCAGGTACGTATGCACATACATAAGGTGACGTCAAAAATCTGCCTTGGCTTGTAAGAAGCGAATCTTTGCGTGAGGGCGAGGATACCTGCAGGGCCACAAAACCGCCCCACTTCGCCTGGGTGAATCGGGCACAAATATGGGCTGTATTTCGAGAAATCACGGCTCAGCGTTCGTAACAACTGTAAATATAAGATGCACAATCCACCCGGCCCCCCGAAAATTGAAATCTATTTTCTGGACTCACATCATGCAGCCAGCTCTGATTGGCTCGCAGTAATCTACGTCGTGCCCGCAGGGCCTTGAGTACGCTGCTGCTTTGGATGGGCATAGATTTAACTATCGCTTGGATATCTGAGATTATTCTAGTCATTTCTTATCAAAGATATCGATGATTTGGAAGCTTCCTCTCCAAACCCCACTAACTTCCGTGACATTCCCCTAAAATTGAAGCGGTTTCTATATCTCGCTATGGCGAGCAGTGAGCAGACATGTCAAGTTGAGCAAGAAAATGCCGATTTCTTTGAAAGAACCTTCGAACAACGACAACTACTTCCAATAGTGGTTTTCCTAAAGAAGTCTTCGATGGTAATGTCATTCCGGCCGCTGTGCAAGGCGTATGTAACTACACAGTCTACCCAGGTCCCAATGCCGAAATTATTGTTCTTTTCCGTCCAAAGTCTCGACGGCTGTACTTGGTCGAGGCTCGCCCGAGCCATGTATGGACCTCTTATACTAGATATTTCATTTGAAGGGCAGATTGGGGAGGACCTTGAGACTGCGGAAGCACTGTTTTACACATACACGATTGATCGAATACGAGTTATCAGCTATTTAGGATCCATGTCACCCGATTTTGACGTGTCTGAGGATTCTGCTGAGTTACGATTTCTGGCGCAGTAATCAGGTCATTCTCGGGATCGGCTTGACTAACATACGCTGATAAACGCTTTCCTGGCCCCACCGCCAAGATCTAAGCGTAGACCATTTCTCAAACTAGGCGCAGGCTCAGTAAAATGCGCTGTGTAACCCAGAAAGCTCTCCCCCACGCCTTTCGGGAAGCAACATGCTCTCTACGTTACCAGCAGAGCTACTGCTCTCAATAGCAAGCTATCTTGATAGCCACACGGACACTCTGCGGCTCGCATCCAGCTGCCGTACCCTTTATCCACTTTTGTTACCCAAGGTTTTTACATCGCTCGACCTGATACAGCAACAAAATGGCCAATTGAGTCATCTGGTACACACACTCGCATTCAAGCCGGCATTAGCGCAGGAAGTGCGCACCCTCCGTGTCTCCCATGGCTTGCGACCGACTTCCGGAGTGCGATATGAACAGGAGGTTGTCCTGCCAATTCTGAAATCAGCCCGGATACCCAACGACAACCTATCCATGTGGGATCGGGAACTACAGAGTGAAGAGAATAATGATGCATGGACAGTTCTGCTTCTGGCCCTCTTGCCTAATCTGCAGGACCTAGTCCTGCAGGTTCATGAATATTCAAACTACACTCTCGAGTGGATGGCCAGGACTGCCGAAAAAGAAAGTTCTGCTTTATCACAATTAAGACACCTCACAGTTGTGTGCTCTGATACAGATGGTGGTCTTAGCTCAGAGAACTTTCTGCCAATACTTCGGCTGCCCTCGTTACGAAGCTTTTGTGGCCATATGATATGTGATGGTGGTAGCACTGATGAGGAATATGCCGAAGATCAAGAGTTTCATGCGGCCAGCTATGTCCCTGACAAGACTCGGTACTCTAATGTCACACATATCCACCTCAAGTCCAGCTGTTCTCGAAGAGGCTTTGCAGAATTGATCGCTGCACCCAAAAGTCTCGAATCTTTCATCTTTGAACATTCCAATAACCCAAATTACTCGGATGATGATGGGATGTACGCGTCAAGATACTACCCACCATTGCTGAGACATCGAGAGACCTTGCAAACGTTAATTCTAACCGACGAGTGCACCGATGATTATGCTGCTTATCAGAGTCACGACTATGATTACGTCGGGTCATTTGCGGGATTCAGTGCGCTGAAGAAAGTTCGGCTGCAGATATCTCATATACTAGACTGGAACCAGGACTGGGGCAACCGAGGCAAGACATCAACTAATAGATTTAGTGATATTTTGCCTCTATCGCTAGAAAGTCTAGTCCTCGATGACCTAGAGACAGAGCATACAGCTGAACTAGCCGAGGCGTTCAAAGACCTGCTTTTAGGAGGGAGGTGCTGCTGCCCAAACCTGACTTATCTAGAGGTCAAGGGAAACTGGATGCATGTTCAGCAGTCAACTGAGGAATCCAACGCTAAACCTCGTCCTATACCTGCAATGTTAGAGGAGTTTGCGGACTTCAAGGTGGAACTTGACTTGGTATGTTCGGCTGCGGGAGTTGAGTTTCATTTACGTGATTTGCATGTGGAGGATATCATCAAGCAGAATTGTTTGTATGGATTTTACAGTGACTAGGTAGTTGAAATTTCTGAAGCATTCAGCCTCCTTTCTCAGACAGTCTTCAAAATAGAATGAGAAGTGCCACCGGCCGCATGGCCCTACTAGTATGGTGCCGGTGGCCGTGGAAACTACAACATCAAGCCTCCCATTGGCCAATAGCTAGTAACCACTTCCCACCGGCATCTCGGACATCCCCACGACATACATCCAGGGTCCACCTTTCTTGTGGGGGATATCCACTTCATCTCGTTATATTTGCGGGGAAGATTGATGGGAGAATTATTTATTCGCCGTTGCCGTCGTGAAAACCTCCGACTCAATTTTTTCCGAGTCCACACTCGACCCGTCTCAGAATTCCCTCCCGGCTCTTCTCATCAGCACAATGGCAATGGAGACAAACAAGACTTCCATCGACTTGTCTCGACATGATGATTTGGAAAAACCAAATGTCCACCATGACGAAATCATAAATTCAATGAGCCCAATTGAACAGAAACGACTCATCAGACGCATCGACACCCGTCTCGTCATCACACTGGGCTTCCTCTACTGTATCAGTCTACTAGACAGAACCAATATGGGCGCAGCATCAGTTGCAGGGTATCTATATTTATCCAACAAAACTCGCAGCTAGCAGAAACCAGCTAACACCCCAGCCAGCATGCAGAAAGACCTGAACATGAACGCAGCCAACAACGGCTACAGCATCACGTCCCTAGTATTCTTCATAACATACACAATCTTCCAAATCCCCGCCACGGCAATAATCCGCAAAATCGGTCCCCGAATCTTCATCTCAACCATCGTTCTGCTATGGGGCGCTGTCATGATCGTGCGTACTCATACTCCTGTTCCCGACATCAGAAATGTCTCCCGCAGCACCAGGGCCAGCTAACACTACTTTACTCATCCCAGGCCTTCGGATTCGCTCCAAATTGGCCCGTCATGGCTGGCCTACGCCTTATCCTCGGCGCTCTAGAGGCTGGATTCTATCCCGGATGCATCTTCCTACTCAGCACATGGTACCCGCGCTACGAGCTGCAGAAACGAAACGCCGTCTTTTACCTAATCGGAAGCATGGCCTCAGGTCTTGGCGGGATATTAGCCTACGGCCTGATGCAAATGGACGGCCTTTCCGGACGAACAGGGTGGCAATGGATCTTCATCGTAAGTCTCGCCTCGTCTCCAGCTCTCGGTCTTTTCTCTCAGTGCGCGGAGATCCAGGTACCTGCCAACTTCCAAGCCAGACGCTAACACGCCCACGCCCAGATCGAAGGAATCTTGACCTGCGCACTGGCATGTATATCTTGCATCCTCCTAGTCGACTTCCCAGAAAAGTCCCCCCCAATCCTGGAACTTCCTCACCAAAGCCGAAGCCAGCTTCATAGTCGCACGCCTAGAAGCCGATCGCGCAGACGTCTACTCCGAACCATTCTCGCTAAAGTCCTATCTATCCAACGCAGCTGACGCCAAAGTTTGGGCATACAGTCTGCTCTACCTCCTCACTACGGCGAATACCTACTCTATCGCGTTCTTCTTGCCGATTATTTTGCAGGGAAGTATGGGGTTTTCGGTTGCCGAGGCGCAGTGTCTTGTTGCACCGCCGTATGCGGCTGCTGCCCTGGTTATGTTTTTTCAGGCGGTTTTTGCGGATAAGTGGCGCATTCGCGGGCCCATTGTTGCTGTTAATGCGGGGGTTGGGTTGGTTGGGCTGGCTCTGACGGGGTATTTGGAGAGTCCGGGCCCGAGATATTTTGGTATTTTTTTGGCTACTATCGCTGGTGATTTCATTCCCCTCTATGCGGGCGGTTGGTTTTCTATAGGGTTTATTGAGACTGACTTTTCTTTCCTAATTAGGAAATGCGAATTGTCCGGCACTGGTATCTTGGCAAAGGTATTTTATTTACTTCAAGATCTATCTTTGGATCTGACCCGCAAATCAACCCATTCTCGACTCATTACTGACATTTCTCGCAGTAATAATATCCGCGGTCAATGGAAACGGGCTTTCACATCGGCAACCCTCATCGGCGGCGGAAGTATAGGTGGAATATTCGGGACGACGGTATTCCGAGCCCAAGACGCACCAAATTATCACCCCGGTCTCTTGGCAACTATGTTGGCCAATGCAGCGATCATCCTCATCGTTGCTGCGATGAGTTTCAAGTTCTCTCGAGCGAATAAGCGGGCTGAAGGCGGCGGGAAGATTATCGAAGGGCTGGCCGGGTTTAGATACACACTCTAGCTCTAGTATTCCAGCAGATGGCAAATAAACATTTCGCTGGGATTTAGGGAAAAGAGCGACCCCAATTCCAACTACTATTCTGATCTTCAGGCATCATGTTGAAAATTGCTGCGCATGGTTAGATATTGGGATTTCGTACTCGTGTCAAAGATGCGGGCGTTGGGATAACTCACATTCTCCAAATGCACCGAACGTACTGTCCAATTGCTCGAAAATGTATTCGGATGGGTATTCCAATGGCATGGAAGTATTTGATAGCAAGCCACAGCCCGGATTCTCTCCCCAGGGTCCATTTCCATTCGCATTTTCATATAAGTCTTGCGAGGTGGAGACAGATGCCATAGAAGATGAGCCCCCACCATATGCCTCGACTACGGGTGGGCCTGCTTGAGGAATGCCATCGCTCGACCAGTTGAACATGGTTTCTCTGGGTGCCCTGCCGCCCATATTATCACCCAGAGCACAAGCCATCTCACGCTGGTTCGTGACTTTCAGCAATTCAGTGAGCAGCTGCTCGGTGTGCCTCGCAATTCGATTCTGATGGCTCTCTGTCCGACTAGCCCTTATTATCTTCAAAACTCCGGCCTTGGCTTCCAACGCAGCTGGCGAGAAGGGCAGACAGGTGGGTTTAATGCAGAGAATGACTCCAGCCGTAAACTGCTGCATCGAAACAAACGATGCAGCGAAGTGTTTTCGGAATTTGTGGACTGGGATATGTGACATTCGAAGGGCTGCCGCCGTAGCTGCAACGAGGGATCTGTTTATCGCGCCCACGACGGGCTTATATGCGGTTTTTAATTTCCTTTCTAGAAGAGAGCGGTGGATCTGGATTAGAGCGGAGTCGTATGTCAGTTGTAGGAGAGCTGCTTGGAGAAACATCGTCTCTGCCTGTTCTTTCATGGCTTCGGTAGACTCCTGGAGTTCCTGGGTGAGTCTGTTCCACCCTTCACCTCTCCAAAATTCAAAATCCAATATTTGCGGAACATTCCCTCTCCACGATTGCAGTGCGTTGTCCGAGTCTTGCACTATCGATGCGATGGCCTCTAGGTCTTTGTCTACCATTATGGGCCCTAAGCGAAGTCGGTGGAATCGCAGGAGCGTTTGACGCACGATTTCGTATATTTCGGTTTTCATGACGTGGAACAATCCCTTTCCGATTTTGACATTGTCTGTTGCTCCTGGAAGAGAGCTGATTAGGCCAGGTGGTAGGGTGAGGTCGTCTAAAACTCTGAGTTGATGGACTTCGGCGTAGTCGATCGAAACCGGCCGTCCATAAACCATGGAAGTAAACGTGTCCGAAACAACGAGGTGATTCCAGCACCTTGATTTTGTTTCTTCCATGATGAGATCCGTCCCAGATGTATCTTGATTCTGCATGTCTAGAGCATAAGCTGCCCTGAGCGACATTCCAAGAACAGTCCAGGCAAGACGAGGAGAATTGTGGAAGACATAGTAAGAAGACAGAAGTAGGGGTATTTGGACGGCTTCAACTCGGCAGTCTTCGAGGACATCCAACAAATGGAGGCGTATCTCCGCAATGAACTCTAGGAGCATAGTCTCCGGGTCGATGCTGTGGATACGCAGTTGCTCATACCCAGTCCAATACTTGTCAGAGAGAACAGACTGTAGTCCGATCGCCGCCACAGCTAGAACTAACATACATGAGCCAAGCTCTCGGCGCGGCCACTGATCTCGAGAAATGAGACCCTGGGCGGTCTTCCGAAAATGAGGCTCAACGAGCAACATGATGAACCATTGCACTCGGTGGAAGTAAGCGTCGAATAGAGAGAGCATGACCGGGGCCGGCGGCATCTTGAGCTGCTGCAGGCTCCATGGGTGGTCCCCGGGATTGGATATGCCCACATCCCCGGGGAGCGAGGCACCGGTGAGAATGCGCCCTGTTTCCTGCTCGTTGAATATCTGCCGTGCGAAATCAATGGTAGAGGAGTTCGTATTCAGCTGTTGCTTATCGGACGTTGTCGCATTGGACGTTGTCGCATTGGACGCCGGCGAGACGAGTTCGGGCGGAGATTCGATCAAGGCTGGTTTGGGTGTCAAAGTCGTATACGAAGCATTATGCTGTCGGGGCCCCTTTCGGCGAGGGGATCTTCTCGTGCTGGTTTCACATTTGTGACAGGCTCGGACGCAAAGAATGCAAGGACGGGCTGTATCACACTAGGGAAGCGGTTAGTGTTTGGAATGGCTAGGAGTGTCGGGTTAGAGGATCTCCTACTTTCAACTTCTGCCGGTGACACCGATCGCATGCCTTGGATGTACGCTGCTTTGGGTGACACGAAGATCCATCTTGCATCTTGCCGTGGGTACCAGGCGAGCGAGAAGTGGAGGTTGCGGGGGAAGACCATAGTGGGGATTTCCCCGGATTGCAACCGACAACACCGATTTGCCTCGGTACAGTGGAAGTAGAAGATCATCAACACATTTGTTGGAGGAATGAGAGGTAATGAAATGGGGAATGTTGTATATTCCAAGGTTCCTTGTCTTGTCCTTTTGACTTTCAACAGTGGCAGCTGCGATGTATGAGAGAGACTCCTCAGGCAGCCACCGGCAAATGCTCCAAATACACCTGCCATCCCAAACATAATTCATTGCTTCAGCTAGTAGTATTGATGCGGCGACATCTCTTGTTTTGGGGGAGGGGATGATGTTTAGGCCTCATCATGCTCGTCCAGCATAGATTTCCTTCCCATGAGCAATGTGAAATACAATTTGCTGGTCCAGCACGATCCCCTATACAATACTAGTAAACGACCCTATATGTTTTCAAGGTCCGAAGTACCGTCAACGTCCTCGCCTCAGGTGGTCCAGTGGCACAGCCACTCACCACCGAAGCTCCTCAGGTCCCAAACTGGGGAGCCGCCCTCAGCGTTGCGGCCTGGCGCTGAGTGACGGGGGAGGATCCAGGTGGGCGGGTGGTCATAAAGGCATTCCCAAAGGGCTGTCGAGGTATAATGAACTTTTTTCTTTTTATATCCCCTATATCTTTGTCTTCTTTTTGGAAGATTTAGTTGTGAATCTGTCCCAAATCTTGGGAATGGCTTCCCGATTTGGAACAAACTGAAGTTGTCACGAAATATTGCTGTGATAGCGATGGCGAGGGTGAGCGTTCGATCCCTGGACCCAACTACTTCTTTTTCGATCCAATTTTATTTTGAGATTCTAATCAATGTCGAAAAATCGGGCGATTCTATTTATTATGTTGGTTTCCTTTCCCCATCGCGTGGTGTTTTTATAAAAAATGGTCGAAGTGCGATATTTAGGCGGTATGTGAGGTTTAGCCTGGCCATCGTGCTGAACTGCCCTGGTAGTCTCCAAGTCTATCCTGCTATAGGTTCAATTGAAAGAAAGAACTTCAATTCGGGTATCAAACATAAATCTAACAAGTACAGAGTAAGTATATAAGTACAAAATTTTGGCCCCATAGCCATCACCCACAGCCCTAGCTTCGAGTTGAAACGGACAAGGGCAGAGCCAGAGACACCGACAAGAGAGGTTAAAAGAAAAATGACCACAACTAAGCCTTCTTAGCCCTCTTGCTCTTCCTCGAAGCCCTTTCATCCTTGCCCTTGTCCTTGTCCTCGCTCTCGCTCTTATTCTCCTCCTGCGACAGAGCGCCGTCACCACCCTCACATTCTCCCTTCACGTCTTCTCGGCCCGCAAGCCGAGCCGAAAGAGCATCCGCCTGCTCAACCGTCATGTGGAGAACCTCCTGCACATCAATATCAGCGTAGAACCCCGAGACAGCGATATTCCTCAGCACGTAGGCGACTTTCTCAATATCGACCATGGAGACCGTGTCTCCGGCACCAGCACCAGCAAACCTCTCCCGCAACTCCACACAAGCCTTCCAAAGCTCCCGATACTCTGCAACATTATACTTCAGACTCAACTCGCCATTCGGCTTCACGAACTTCGAACCAGGACCCTTGCCGCTCCCACCACTCCCACCACGAATAACCCGCACCGTCTCCGAGGACGCGGTTGACTCGGGATATTCCCCAACACAGAGCCAGAGATAAGTGTCATCACTGAAGAACGGGACCTGAACGCGATCGGATTCGCCCGTAGTCGCGATAGACAGAATCAAGGATGCGGTCGCGGGTCCGACACCACGGAGGGGACTTAGGTCGTCCATACTTTGTTTGGGAAAGTCATCATCTTCATCCTCATCCTCTGTGGTGCTGTGGGCAACGGGCAAGGCCGCCATGGCCGCCGATGTACATTTCAGCGCCAATTTCTCCGGATTGGACCTTATCATTCCGAGGAGGGCGGGCCGGGGACGACCGTGTTTGCTGGCATGTTATTAGAATAGACTAATCTTCAAAAGTAAGGTGGAAAGAAAACCCAACTCACGTCTTCCACTCCATTATCCGGACTAGTTCCTCCTTAGTGAAACGCGGGCCTTGGCCTTGGCCTTCTTCGTCCTCCCTCCGCCAGACTGTTCCTGGCAACGTCTCGTAGCGCATTCGGTCAAGATCGAGATACTTCTCCACTTCATCTTGTATACTGCGTTCCTCGGCGGGATCAAAGTTCGTTTTAGTGAGAGGCGGGGAGCTAGTCTTGCGCTTCTTGGAATCCTTCGGCTGCTGTTTTAGCATTGCTTTGCGGCGTTGGACATTCCGGGCTGTGGTGCTGTAGCGGTCTAGGAGTGTTTGGAAGGTTTGGGGAGTTATGCGTGCTGGGTGGAAGGTAGTTTCGGTTTCGGTTTCGGTTTCGACGTCGCGTTCGCGCGTGGTGGCCATGTTGGTTACCATGGTGGAGAATGGCGGATTGGAGTCTTCTGAGTTGAAGAGGCGGAAGACTGGCTTGCGGTAGATGGGAGTTCTAGGGTGCAATTGCGAGAGCTTGCGGTGGAGCAAGTTGAGGTAGCGCTAGGTGGGACGCGCGACGACCTTGACCTCATTCATTTCTGGGGAAATGCTGCTTATCGATAGTGTAAATTACCCGTCATGCAGGCGTTTTTGGACCATTTGGACCACGTCAAGTGTGAACGTTATAATACACGAATACCAATACCAAGACGGTCATAGAGAAGGCCCAGGGCTCGCCACGCCAACGGCTCTGGTGTAGATCAATCTACGGGACCCTGCTTAGATGGAACCGATATGAATATTCCAGCAGGTCTGTACAGCCTCGGGTACACCTTACCTAATCTCTACAAGGCTAAAAAATCAAAGTCTATGCCTCAAGCCAGTCGCATTTTTGGGTCAATCTTAAACCTATGTACAGTCCGGCCGTGAAAGCTCATTAACCAAATATCAAATACAGGCGCATCGTAAGAAGAGAGTCATCAACCATCTCACCATCGCCACTGCCGTGCCATATCATCATCAAGACAACACAACAGGCCTTGCACGCTCGTCACGAAGACGTGAAAATTAAAACAACAATAGAACACCGCTAGAAAGAGGCAGTAGTGGGTGGAAAAAGACACTGAGAGAATAGATCTTTCGACCAATAGATCTCAGAAAGAAGAGAGGAGTAGCGAATACAGGGTGGTGAAGCCGACGGCTGCAGGGGATACTGCAGTGTCGACGTAAATTTCAAGTGTGGTGTTGCGTCTTTTGATCTTTTTTTTATTTATTTCTTTTTTTTATCCGCCCGCTTTGCCTTGGATTGGTCCTGGTTGGGGTGGTGGACAAAGCTCATGCGTTGGTCGTCCTCGTCGCGATCGAAGGGCAAGACGGACCGCTTGGACCGGCTCCGCATCAGAGGGTGCGCGATGGGGGCAGCCTGAGGCGTAGGGTTCAACGACGGCCCGGGCTTGGGCTCGGAAGTAGCAGTAGACTGAGCGGTGTTGCGCTCGTCATCTGCCACCTCGATGTGGCGGAATTCCTGCTCCTGGTCATCGGCCTCAGATGAACTAGGGCTGTCCGAGTCGGAGGCGGCCTCGTAGTCATCCTCATCATCACTGACCAAGCTAGGTGCCTGGTTAGACTCTATCGTGTGCGGACTGAGATTGGCAGGATGGTCCAGGCCATCCCCTTCACGTGTCTCGGTCGGGAGGTGACCGTGAAACGGAAAGTGGAGGAAAGAGGAAGGCTGGGGCCGGGAAGGAGTCATCTCATGTTGCAGTTGAGGTTCATGGGGCGCTCGATCGATACCCTTACGGCTCTCGGTTCGCTCAGAGGCAGCCTGGGCTGTAGGCATCCGCATAGGCTGACGGGCAGCTGCAGGACCCTGGCTAGACTCCTTTGACGGGTGGGCCGAATCTTCACCATCCGAATCCACATCTGACAGGCTGCTCAGATCAACTGGGGTCTTTGCCTCTTCCACCAACTTGTCCAGGTTCAGGCCCAAACCGCGCTGACGCATGAGAGCAGACAGATGAGGGGTCGCAGGTGAAGCGAGGAACGAAGAGTTGGCCTTTGCCTTCACCGGCTCTGATTGGCGACGCCATTCGGGGATTGGCTTCGCTGTCGCAGGAGGAGTGGCAACAGCGGCAGTGGAGTTGACTTCCGAAAGTTTGTGTGGCGTGGCCAAATCCTTGGACGGAGTGGGAAGGGCGCTCGGAGGCGGAAGTTGCGCTGATTGAATCAGAGGGTGAACAGTGCCTGGGGTGGCAACAGCACTCGGCGGCTCAGATCGACCACCAACAACCGCGCCAGACTCATCCACATCGACCGCGGCACCGCAGGCAATGGCTGCAGCCTCGTGGCTTGTGAAGTTCCGGTTGTGCGCAATACGGCAGTGATTGATGAACCCTTGAGTACTGGAAAAGTTCTCCCGCTTGCAATCGAGACAGACGAGCTTGACCATGAGGCCGTCCGACTTGCGTCGAATGACCATGGGACCAGCCTTCTCTCTCGGGGGCGGGTATATATGCGGCAGAGATTGCATCTTCGCACCTGTAGACGTACGCGACGGTCGGCTCTTTCCAGCCAACTGACTGAAGTCGATGGGATTTCCACGTGTTGACCGGCCACCTTCCAGCGGGATGCCAGACACACCAGAGACAGAGGAAGCTTCCACCAGGCCACCGTCAAACCGAGGATCGGGGATGAGCCACTGCTTATAGTGACGCGAGTAGGGACCCTCGGCGACACCCCAGGGTGCGGGCGACATGGGTGCTGGGCCATTTCCAGGCTGCAACACTGAGGCGCCCACACCAGAGCTGACGTCGGCGGAGGCTCCGGCGACTGCAGACCCTGGGTAAGGGATTTCCGCGCAGCGACGAAGCTGCTCCAACGCGACCTGGCACTTGGCAATCTCCTGGTCGATCAGTCGTAGCTCGTTGTGCTTGAGGAGAACCTCCAGGCTGAGCTGGGCGGTGATCGTATCCCGGATGTGGTTGACACTTGGCTTCCCACTGGCGGCCTGCGCCGGCGGACGCTCGATCTCCATGGTAGCCGTCGGGGATGGCGCAACAGGAGTCGCAGCGACATCGACAGAGGGCGCGACGGACGGAGAGGGCGTGGGGGGTATCGGAGGGACCGATTGTACCGGTCGCGTGGACTCTTCGGTGCGCACCTTTGTTGCGGTAGGAGCGTCAGTCGCCGATGAGGACGAACGCTTGCGCTTCAACATGGGCGGCAGGGAAAGGCCGTTGACGTTGACGTTGACGGGAGCACATGAGGGAGCCAGCATTTTCACTTCCTCGGACATTACCTTGTCCCCTCCGATCGCAGAGGGCCAGGGTAGCAGGCGAAACATGCCATGCGAGATGGGCGCGAATCGGGTCGAGTCGGGCAGAGACGATAAGGTGTTTAGGTGAGAAAGTGATAGGTCGATTCCATGCGCTCGGATGTCGAAGTGCGAAGGAAGAGAATTGCGGAGGGGTGAAGTAGGGGGAAGAATTGTGATGGTGGTATAAAGAGGTGTATAACTTTGATTTTGTGGTTGATGGCGGTGGGTAGAAGTGGTGGATGATTTGGTTGTTTAGAGCGGAAGGGGGAAGGAATGGACGACTGTCGCGCGACCGTGTCAAGATGTGGGATTTGGGGGGGGAAAGCAAAGCAGAGAGCGGAGCCCGTGGCAAATTCTATTAATAATTGGAGAGTGTGGGTGGAAGTTGATAGAAACAAGAAAAGGAAAGAAAGAAAGAAAAGGAGAAAGGAGAAAAGAGGAAAGAGGAAAGAGGAAAGGGGGGGGGGAAGAGAATAGGTATAGGTAAAGAGGTAAAAGTGTGGTAAGGAAGAGAGGGAAGGGAGTAGGGAGGAAGGGGAAGTGAGAAAGGGAAACAACAGAATCGGAAACACAGAATGTTTAGGGGGGGGAAGGGGCGATCGGGCGCAAGCAGAGTAGACTGGGTAGTGTAGGCAGGGGGAAGGAACGGGAGTGGACAGGACACAGGGAAGGAGCAGTGGAGCCTGAATGATGTGATGGTTCTGCCTCTTTCTGACGTGGAGCAGACACGTCATGTACTTACTGTGTAGTATACTTGATAGATCATACTGTACAACTATCATATAGAGTATACAGTATGCTACAGAATATAGACTATACTATAGTACTCCGTATAGTATACTATATTAACTATATCGATTATCCTGTATTCAATATACTCTCTACTATATCCTATATCCCATCGCCGGATGCCTGCGGCTCCCTTTGGTTCGGTGGCTCTCCTTCCCGCCAAGGATAAGGTGTGGTCTGGGCCTCTCCAAGCGATCCTCTAGCTGATTGGGTTACTAGCCTCCGAACAAGCACCCTTCTCACTCTACACCCGTACATCCTACATACATCCTAGACACTACACACACTTCCCCGGCTAATCACAGCCACCCAACACTTGACAAACCCTGCACCACAACGGAGTCGGCCTGCACTGACCCCCCACCGCCCAGATCTCAGCTCCGACTGGAGCTACTAGCTGCCACTAGTGCTCACGGCGGTACGAGATGCCAGCTTGAACCAGGGTACGCGGCTAGACCTCCAGGCCTGGGCGAAACCCATCGAATTCTATCGAAGGTCAGCCTTCCAGAGTTGTGGCCTTGGAAATCAGGTAATAACCCACGTGACCTTTACCAGCCGAGGCTCACGGGTCTATGAACAGAGGTATAGAGTAGATCTATTCCTACTCGTAGTAAATACTAGGCATATATAGTTCAAAGGTTACTTCATGCCCAGGTGTCGGTTTATTTTATAGCTCATTTAGTGGGTCCTTGCATTCATTTGAAAATATCATGCTCAGGTGGGACTTGGAACTTGAATATATTTCAACCTTCAAGTAGAAAGTTGGCATGCGTTGCTTTCAAATTGCTCTCTAAACGTCCTCTTCCAAGGTTTTTTTCTCTCTTTGACTACTAGTAGTAGTATTCAAGTTGCCATCTTGGATTTGAGTCTCTAGGATTCACAGCATGCATTGCTTCACTTCACAACAAGCCTTATTTTACCCTCAAAACCCCCCCCTTCATTTTTCTTTCCTGTCAACTTTTATAGCAGTGGTGCAGGTGGGTGACGGATTTCTGCATCCCAAGCCCGAATAGTAGCTTCGCAATTCGAAGTCGAGGCGATCAAGTCAGAACCCAGCGAATACTCTCGCTACCATGTGAAAGTTAGCTCTGCATTGCCTAGCCCTGGATCTCAAGCCCAGCAATTCTTTAAGGTTTAGAGGCTTTTTACGGGACCAGGGTACATATTCCAAGGCTGGACTAATGAGACTAGAACTAGACTGCCTAGGCTTGGTCTAGTATGTGATAGGCCAGCAGGGAAGACTAGGTAGGTACTAGATAAGATATTCTCTCAATGATTGGATACGACACCAGCGTATCTAAGAAATGGAAAGGGCCCGTGATCTCCGAATACTATAAAACTAGACTACTAGTAGTACTACTGGTACGGAAAACCGACGCTCTACATAGCTCAAAACAACAAAAAATGAGAATAATGAATCAAATGAACCTCGTAAATGGCATTGCATTGCTTAAGCATGGATATATAGACCTGGGTAACAAGTCGAACAAAATAACCTCAGCCCCGCCCGAAGAGATCATCCCATATCATATCGTATCGTGATCATGATAAGAGGACAATTCAACTCGAGTCGATTGACTTGAGCGTGGCTGAAACCACCGCGTGGTGGACGTGGACCCTGGATATAATCCGCAGCCGCTGCATTTAATATACACGTGACCGAATAAAGTAACACGAGACCCTCCGCACCTAAAAGCGCCAAACAAGTAATGAGATGGACAAGAAACCCGAAGCCAAATGTATGATCCGAAACGCTGGAAAGATGAGCACAGATCGACGTGCAGATGTGCGGGATTGAGATGGAGAAGATGGAATGGATCGTGATGGGTGTGAATGAGGTGAGGTGAGGTGAGGTGAGGTGGAGCGAGCGAGCGAGCGAGCTTAGCGTAGCTGGGATAGGATGGGGATATTTTGGTTCCTGCACCGCGCTGCAGTACAGGGTTAAGCGACCGGGCGGACTGGCAAGGAGGAGGAACTCAGTTCAACTCGGAGTCCTGGATGCGCAGAATGAAGTTTACGACGACGGCAGCGAGAAGGGCGATGGCGAGGATGGTTGGGCCAAAGCGGTCGTCGAAGCCGCTCTGTCCGCGGCGACGGATACTCTGTGCTCGCCAGTGGAAGGTGACGACGGCGTAGATCATGGCGCCCATGGCGATGATGGTGAAGAGGGCGGCGGAGATGCGACCGATGCGGTCGCCAAAGTTCAGCAGACCAACGGCGAGACCGCCGAGGATGACGGTGAAGTTCAGCCACGAGAGAAAGGTGCGCTCGTTGGCGAAGAAGACCTTTGGCTCGACGCGGGTAGGGAGGGCGATGCGCTTGCCTGGAGGTGTGTTGTTAGTCAGTGTCAGAGTCTTTTTTTGTGCGTGTATATGCACATGGGAACTGATCGCAGGATCTGTTTTGGGTGGTATTAGAGAGATCGCTGTTGGTTCACTTACCCGGGGCAGTCTGGAGGAGAGGCTGGCTAGACATAATGGAGGTGAGATGGGAGATAGGCGGGGTGATGGAGGGGTGAAGGAAGGGGTGAAGTAGAAGAGGCTCGATTGGGTGGAATGTGCGATCTTGAGAATGAGGAAAGAGAGCAGAATAGAAATAAAAAGGTTGAAGCCGAAGTGCAGGAGAGGCGATGCAACGCAGCTCTGCCAATCCCCGCTGATGACGAGAGATAATAGTCTAACCACACTAGGACTAGCGTTGTGTAGCTCTGCCGTTCAACGGACGCACGTGCGTCGCTCATTGGTTTTGCTTGGGCGAGTCCATTCAATTTAGCCTAGTTTAGATTAGACAGGCCAACTGAGTTTATTACCGAGTCCCTGTACCTGTACGGAGTACCTTTCGCTTATTCTTCTTCTCTCTTCTCTTCTCATGTCTTGTCTTTAAGTTGCAATTGGCAATTCAATGATATTGTTCCTGTATCAATGCAATAGCCAAGGACTACTCCTAACACCGCAACCGGCCAAATACACACTAATTGATCCGTCCCTTGCTTTAATCAAATGAACAAAATCTTCAATATCGCCTCCGCTGCGCCACGACTGGATCAACTAAGAATTAGACTTGTCCCTAGTTCACCAATGGGAGAAACCACGGTTAAACCCCGTACCTCGATACGGTGACTAGCCAGTAGCCTTGTCTCAACCATGCACCTGACTCGCTCTTGCATTCGATCTCCTAGCCCTATTCTGGCCCTATTGACCTAAAATTACCCAAACCATCATCAAAATCACCATCATATCGTTTTTAAAGTTACTCTCGGACCTCCCTCCCTGCATTGACTTGGCATTGCTTATTGTCCATGGGTGCTGGTCTGGGGAGAATGGCCAGACCCCCACCGGAACCGACTTAACTCACCCCCGAACTGCAGACCCGCAGCCCCGATTTAGTCGGCCCCATCCGCGTGGGCTCGGCTGCTTTGCCTTTGTGTTTGGCAGTTGGCTTTCGGTTTTTGCTAGCGAAGGCTTCTGAAACAAGTGAATTCTATTCCGTGGTTTGATCTCAGTTGTTAATTCCCTATATTGTCTCATACCTATTACTAGTAGTCGGCACTACGCTTTTCTTATATCCAGTCAACGCTACTACTAGTAGCGGTATATAACCCGGAATAACTCCCAACTCCCGATATCATTCTCAAACCGCTGTGGAGAGCCCCAGAATCCACCTACTTATCGTTTATCCACCGCATAACCCACTATCCTACCTCTGTATGAAACTGCCAGTGCCATTTGGTGTTTCCAATTGGTCTTTTCAATTGGTCTTTTCAATTGCCGCGGAAAACCCCCCTGAGGACCTTGAGCGATAGGGCATTAATATTATCATTAGTAGTCCATGGTCTTATCATTATAAAGAAAAAAGAACTTGAGCATGGCATACCTGGACATTCAATCATATAACATGAACTATAGAATAAAACATACTAGCCAAGCCAAAAGTATCCACAAGTACACAATTTCATACTACGAAATGACCTGAACAACCAGCGCAACAAAGTCATACCCGGACATGGATCGACCTAGTACAAGTACTAAGCCATAGCCTCTTTCAACGGCGCAAAGTCCCAGTCCTCCTTGATCAAATCCGCACACTTCTCTGCAACACTATAAACAGAACTACAAATATTCCCACTAACATTGTTCGGGAACACCGACGCATCCGCAACCCTCAACCCCTCCACCCCCTTCACCCGCAACCGCGAGTCCAGCGCATCGCCCAGCGCAACAGAGCCGCAGATATGATACTCGCCCAGCACCGCTTCGTGCACCTGCTCCTTGCACTGCGATAGATCCGATAGATCGACCTCTGGCGCAGGGAAAGTCCGCGCACCGAGCGAGTTCTCGACGTGCGGTGATTGACGCACACGGTCGACCCAGCGGAAGGCAGCGCCCAGGACGGCAATGTCTGCTTCGTGGCCACCGTAGTTGGGGTTGATTTTTGGGGGTTTGGTGGGATCTGTGGGGTGTTAGTGGGACTTGGACCGTGATTGGAGGAGGGAAAAATCTAGGGGAAAGAAAATATAAACATGAACATACCGGCACTTTCAATGTGCACGTAGCCGCGTGCCACGGGGTATTGGAGGCAAAGTGCGAATGTGAGTCCGGGTGCTTTGTTCGGATCAGCAGGCGGGAAGAGGTTACGCTGGTGCTCGATTCCGTCGAGTTGGGCCGTGATGGGGACGAGGACCATTTGCAGGTTTGCGGAGACGTCGCTCTGGAGGTGGGCGATTACTTGATCGAGTTGTTTCTGGTGGAAGGCGCTGGTAGCCTTGATGTCGCGGATACTCTGGACTACTTCTTCCAGCTCTGCGTCTGACATGATACTCTTTGCCGAGAGGAAGCCCTGCATACTCGAAGTGCAGCTGAGGACTCCGCTTTGAGACTCGGCGTACTGCTTCTGCGCAGCGGCCATCAGTTCGGGATTCTGGTACAGCGAGTCCAGTGTCATGATGCCGGGTTGGGTTTCGTATCCTGCGAAGGTGAGGGGATGGTCTTGGAGGTTATTTCCAATGGCGGGGTTGGCGACCTTGCACTCTACGCCTGCGGCTTTGAGGACGGCTGGATCGCCGATTCCAGAGAGCTCGAGGATTTGCGGCGATTTGAGAGTGCCACCGGAGACGATGATCTCGCGGGTCGATTTGATGGTGTATTCTTGGTCATTGTGGGTGAAGTTGACTCCGACTGCTTTGTTGCCTTCGAGGATGACCTTGTTGACTAGTGCTGAGCAGAGGACTTTCAGGTTGAGCCGGGTGGCTCGGTTGTTCTCGTAGTATCCTCGTGCTGCGTAGCTGCGCTTGCCTTGTTTGGGCCGGTGCGTACGATCGAGCCGAGAGTGTTGTAGAATCCGATGTGGTCTCCGCTCCAGGGATCGAGGGGCTTTTTGCTGTATCCGGTGACCTCGTCGCAGGCTTTGATTATGTCTGTTTCCACTGGGATTAGACTGTCGTTGAAACTTGTTCGAACGGGCCCGCTAGTGCCGTGGAATTCGCCGACAAAAGGCATCGTGGACGTGTCTTTAATAGAAGGGTCAACGGGTTCAAGGGTCTAGACATAGGTTTAGAAGAGTGTCTTTATACTGGTGAGATCGCAGCTCAGTATCAGAAACATACCTGGTGCTTGCGCATATATGTCTGCATGATATCCGCCGACCAGCCCTTGTCCTCGGCGAGCTCGGCCCAGTCATTGTAATCCTGCAACGAGCCGCGTACGTACATCATGTAATTGATGCCAGAGGAGCCTCCGAGGAGCTTTCCTCGTGGGATATGATGGCGTCGACCCTTGTTACCTTCCTGTTCTCGAGAGATTAGTTGATATCGGATCAGACGGGGAAAGAGCTGTGTATCTACTGACCTGTGGCTCCGAGTACAGACACCAATCATACTCTGGGTCCTCAAACATCCCAAGGAAAGCCGCGGGACAATCAACCTGGGGATCACCGATACGATACTTGCCCGCCTCAATCACACCAACTGTGACATCGGGATTCTCACTCAGCCGCGCCGCAACAGCGAGCCCAGCAGTTCCACCACCGCAAATGATGTAGTCGAACTTTGTCTGAACAAACTCCTCAACAGAGGTAGTCGGCGCACTATTATCAGCCATATTGAAGTTCAGTATTCCGGCAGTGCGGGGTGAAATGTGGTTACGAGGGAGAAAAGACAGTGCCTTATGCAGTGACGCTGCGGGGGTCACATTCTTTTTCTACCTTGGCTATAGCCGCGGTGGCTTAGAATGAAATTTGAGAACGGGTGAAAAGCCCCGAAGGAGGCTAAGACGTGCAGTAGCTTTGCTGTGAGATTAGTTTCGCTCTGTCGTTTTGAGCTGTTGCTTTTGCCACTGCTTGACCTTTCCCCGCACTGCGGGCCTCGGCGTCAGCCTCGTTCTCACTGGAAATGGACCTAAAACGGCGGTACCATGCGTAACGCAGTCAGATTGGGGGCCTGATTGCTAGTCTTATGTGGGACTCGCACTTGGTGAGACTTGGCCGGATATTATAAGTTAGGCTCTACTTTCAACTGCGAGTCATCACGATGGGCCTAGTGGCATGCAAGCTGCAAGTTATTGCTCCGCTATATTGTGCTACCTTGAATATATTTAAACCGTCTACTCGCGGTACCTACCTAGATAGATCTACTAGTATATGACTACCTTTCCTATGGACATCTTGATTGACTCGTGTTCATGGAAGGAACTATGTCTAGTAATTCTGCGGGACTATACTTAGTAAATCAAATTTAATCGAATTTATAGCTAGCACATACCTAGGTTCCTTGGCAGCGCTCTAAGGCTAAGCCTCATTGGCGCTTCAAGATATGCAGTCCACGGGTGGTGCCAGCATTGCAGGACTCTCATCCCTGATAAGCTTATGCAGGTTAATATTCCGAGCAGACATGTTGGATCCCCGTCAATACCAGGCTAGTATCCGTCTTTCTAGATACACATATACCCCAATTGCCAAATACATGTACTCCGTACTCCGTACATATCTTCTCTTTGTTCAAGTGGGTCGCCTGGTCGGCAAGTGGATTTGTGGGGTCAAAATTTGCGAAAAGGTCTTAGAAGAATTAAGTTATTTTCGGATGGCCTAGAGCATATACCATACACTGGCAGCTGAGCTATTTCAAAGCCGGAGATCTGGGATTTCTTTGCTTAATAAAGATTAAATTGATTTGTTTTATTCGCCACGCATCACTCAAGTTCTGCGTTAGACCGAGACTCTGTTTTGTCTGGGCTTCATTTCCTCAAGGGAGTCCCTATCTGCAGATTTCAACGAGTAGAGAACTCAAGGAGCTAGGCATACATCAAACATCGACGAGGGATGTCTCATAAGGACGTTCTTCTTTGCATGCATTAAATTTAACATCGTAAGAACTAAACACCGGATTGAGCATCTAGGGATAATCCCTTGCCCGGTCGATCAACGAACAGGAAACAAAGACAAGTTGATTGGTCAATTGAGAAGCGTCAAAGCACAGGGAGACAATCAGAAGGAAGAAATCGAGATATTACACAATTATTAACAATCGGCTGAACATCGGTCACTAGCTCCAATAGTTGCATCAAAGAAGGTGAAGATCTCCGATGTCGGGTTCTCTCAGCTGAAAAAATTCTTGTGATCTCCGCAAGGATCTCGGAGAATCGCCCCTGACTCCGAGGGTGGGGACGCGCCCCAGAAAAACAAGCTCATTGACCTCACTGAGTCACGGACATCGGTGAACCTGGAACATATCACTTTTTGAGATCAAAAAAGAATCTTCCACGCTGACGAGACCCTGCATTCTACCCCAGCACAACGGTTGAAACGTGGTTGCGCACGTTTATATTGACCTCGGCCACGAGCCAATTATAATTATTGCAAGTGCTTAGTTTCTCAAGCGCTTTGAGCTTGCGATACCCAGGTAGTTATGGGCCTTCGCAATGCACAAGGCGAAAGCCTTCAACGCATGATTGCCGTTTTGGGCGCGGTGGCTTTCCTTGTTCAAGGGTACAATCAAGCCATGATGAACGGCTTCATGACCCTGCCAAGCTTCTTGGAAACGGTTCCTGAAGTTGATACAACCCACACCACGGGCTCTCAAAAGTCGCATAACTCTACTATTCAAGGTGTGTATTTACCCGTTTGTGATTCAAGGATTGGAATTGACGGACTGACGGATTTCTAGGTCTTGTGATTGCTATTTTTGAGATTGGATCTGCGGCCGGTGCCCTTTCATGTCTTTTTATTGGCGACAAGCTTGGTCGACGCAAGACCATGATGCTGGCTGGCACTATTGCTACTGTAGGGATCATTATTCAAGCGACTACATACTCGCTTGCTCAGATCCTGGTCGGACGAACCGTGACCGGTGAGTAAATACTTTTCAATTCTCTTTTAGATGTCGTTGAACTAATCATGACTAGGTGTTGGGATTGGTATGTACACCGGCACAGTTCCCATGTACGTGAGTGAAACAGCCAGCGCCGAGAAGCGCGGCCGTCTCGTCCTGATAGAAGGCGTCTTCGCCTTGAGCGGATTCTTCATCGCATCATGGGTCAATTTCGGCATGTATCATACAACCGGATCAGTGAGCTGGAGATTCACCATGGCTCTACCACTGGTCTTCATCATCGTCCTTCTCTCCCTGACTCCATTCCTACCCGAGTCTCCTCGCTGGCTAGCCAAGCAGGATAGGCTAGACGAAGCAACCCACATCATGTCCCGTCTCCTGGCAGCACCCGCAGACGATCCCTCAGTCATCAGAGAAGTAGCCGTCATCCACGCCGCAATCCAAAGAAGTACCAGCGGCGCCAAAACATCCGGCAGTCTTTTCTCCATGAATAAGAACCGCCATTTGCACAGATTGCTGATTGCCATGAGCGTCACCATGTTCACCCAGCTGAGCGGCATCAACGCAATCACATTCTACTCGACCTCCATCTTCGAAGAAACCCTCGGCTACTCCGGCACCGACGCACGAATTCTCGCCGCATGCCTGCAAATGGCTCTTGCGCTCGGCGGTCTGACTGCCGTCTTCGTAGTTGATCGATTCGGCCGTCGACCGCTGATGATGTTCTCGTTAGCCGCGATGGTCGTCGAGCAGGCGGCCGTCGCAGGTTTGACCTCCAACCTCGGTAATGCGGCAGCGAGTCGTGCGGCCGTCTTCTTCTATTTCATGGCTGACTATACGCTCACGATTGGCATGTTTATCATTCCATTCATGTACGGTGCTGAGATTGCGCCGCTGGATATTCGGCACCAGGTCACGGCCATGGGCGCGATGAGTTCTTGGCTGTTCAATTTTATGGTTGCGGAGGTCAGCCCGATTGCGTTCTCGAGTATTAAGTGGAAGTATAATATTGTTTATGCGGTGACTAGTGCTGTTGGTGTTGTTGTTATTTTCTTGTTTTATCCGGAGACGAGAGGGAGGTCGCTTGAGGAGATTGATCAGATTTTTATCAGGTCTAAATCTATCTTCGATCCTGTTCGAGTGGCGAAGAAGCTGCCCATGGGGATGGATCTGATGGAGGAGATGGATCGCAAGAATGAATCTGAGGTTGTGGACGCGGTATGAGGTGGACGTGGCTGCTGGCCAGTTTGATGATGGATGAATTAGGGTCTCTCTGGGATATTTCCAGATAATTAGAACTAGACTAATACATTACGAAAAATTGATTTATGCTTTTCCTACCATTGTTAAACTCGGTCACCCGGTCATTTTAGTCAACACAAAGCATTAGCAAACTTGTGATAGTTGATACTCATCGTTTTATACTAGACCGGGGTCACGGCCCTCGAATGTTCGAGGTACTGGTAATTTGCGAGATATTGAATGGGTATTGCATAAAGAGTTTATAACCAAAGAAAAAAAGAAGCGCTCGCTATTGAGAAAATTCAAGAGAATGCCGCATGCTCAGATACAACCAGGGTGCTAGTTTCCATCTTTTTATAACCTAACAATTCCCACCCCATCCCATCCGCAGACGATAATCCTGCGACATCTCCGAAACCCCACGAGCAAGGCCAATAATCCCATCAACAAACCCACCCTCCCCACGGTCAACACGCGCCCGCCGCTCACACTCCGACTCAGAAGGACTATCCCGCAAGCCGATGAGTTGATCTGTAGTCATACCCTGCAATCGTTCGGCATCGATCCTCGTAAGGAGGCCGTTCTCACCATTCCGCCTGGTCCACGCCGCGTGTTTGACAGCGGGGGCCCAGAACTGCGCTAGCTGGGACTCATCCCGGCCCTGGGCGTAGCATTTTGACAGGCCGGTCGTGGCGTCTGCTTCAAGGGAGGCGTTCCAGTGTGTTTGGGCGACTTCGTACCGCTTTTCCATTAGCCAGATTATCGGCCAGGTTATTATCCACAGTTGGAGGATGACGACTGCCCACCAGACGAAGCGGTTTAGGCGGAGTCTGTTGATCCAGTGCGGGGAGTAAATTGTTACGGTTCCGTGGGCGGAGTGTTGCTTGAAAGATAGGGAGCCTCGGTAGTTTAGGTCGCGGATGTGGGTGTCGAGGGCGTTGCGGATGGTTTTTGTGCTGAAGGCTTGAAGGTGACGGTGGAGGGAGAATCTATAGAGTCAAAGGAATTAGCAAAGTGTGTCCGTGGTCAGATGATTGCAAGATTCGTAACGTACGATTTGACTGGGGCTGGATCCGCGATGTATCGTTCACACCACATCTTCAAGTCGTCATCAATGAATTTGAGGACATAATGGTCTCGGTCATTGGGGTCGAGGTCTTCGATCGTGTCGGTCTCGGCATCAGGTCCAATGAGACGAGCATCGCTTTCATCTTCTAGTGCAATTGCACCTTGTTTCTTTGGCTGCGGAGCCTTGTACACCTTCGAGCGAAGTCTGCCGCCACGATGGGCGAGGATGTCGTCCTCGTCCTTGCTCACGTAGGCGCTGAACCAATTCGCGATACCGTCTGCTGAGATTCCTTCCCATCCAGTCAACATGGTCTCGGCCAAGTCTAGCTGGAACTGGAAGTCGGTCACGCTGCTTGTAGTGGTCTTGTTATTGCTGTCTTTGGTCGACTCGGTGTGGCTGCCGGTAACGGAGAGGATTGGTCGAGGAGGCAGTTTCATTTGGCGTCGAATGGCACGATAGAGGACACCGGCATCTTGCGAGAGGATTGCTGAGGTGGTTGCAGCGCGCTTGTCTTCGGCCTTGATCTCGGTCGCGCCGGGGAGGATATAAGCGCTATCGACCAGGGCGAGCGGGCGAATGAACCGGCCATTCTGCGGGGCTTGAGAAGGGGATGATCTGGGACGGGCCAAGTTCTGGGTCGTCGGTGTAAGGAGGGGGTTGCTCGTCAATGTCGTTGATCTCGTCCGGGTCGAGAGTGTGTAAGGAATGTGAGGAAGAAGCGGGCAGATCATCGGGGCGGTCGTTAAAGCGGCCCATTATGCACAAAATCACCTAACAAGGCAGGGTAACAAGAGGGGAATGTAATTATGATCGCAGATGAGAAGAGGAGAAAAGAAAAAAGGGTTTCGGTTTTTCAGGGCGCCACCCGAATAAAAAGGGCGATTGGGGCCGAACAGTCTGAGAGTGCTAACTAGTTAAGTAAACGAGTAAACGAATGAGGCTCGCAAGTGGAGTCCCTCGTATGGCCCCCGGCAAATCTGAGACATTCTGCCTAGACGAGCTCTACTGCCTACACTAGAGAATTAGTTATACAGTTGGAATATATCAGTTCACCTCAATACAGAGCTTGGTTGAATGTAGCACGAGTCGATCTCAAGGCCCGGGGAAGACTCTCCCGTATATCATCTTGCCATACAGAGTATCCTCTAAGTTACTAAAATAACTTCAAGTTATTAGGATAAAAATAGCGTATTTATTAGCGCTAAAGTCACCTGATGACAAGTGATGTGTTTTGTTTACCCCTCCCTGAGCTGAGAGTCAAATAAAATCGACTTTATATTGAGGCAAGACGAATGGATGTCGATCATGGAATCTATACCATCCATATCATTCGGCGACAACAACCATGGGTTTCAGATTAAGGAGAATCACGGCTCCATTCATGCAGAATTCCATCCCCCTGGTAAATATACCGAACTCAGAGACACAACCGTCAGCCTTCGCCAACTAACGACAATTCCCTAAACTAGAACGACCGGAAACTCCTCCCAGTCCATTATCAACCGTCCCATTCCCGCGTGATCCCGATTTCGTCCATCGCTCGACACTACTTGATCAGATTTATGAGAAGGGCTCAGTCCCTGCCTCGAGAGTAGCGCTGGTGGGCCTCGGCGGTGTCGGGTAAGTGTCGAGCCACCAATAACTATACCTCGTAGTCCGTTACTGATAAGTCAAAGGAAATCCCAACTCGCCATCGAGTATACTTATCAGATCCGTGATAAATCACCGACAACCTGGGTTTTCTGGGTTCATGCAAGCAACGAAGCCCGTTTCCAGCAAAGTTTCCGGGATATCGCAGACCAGATCAAACTCCGCGGACGTCAGGACCCTAAAGCCAACATATTTCAACTAGTCGAGAATTGGCTCCGAGATCAGAAGTGTGGGCATTGGATCTGTATCCTTGATAATGTCGATGACGAATTCCTTTGCTCACGCCCAGCTACGAGAAACGACAATCCGGCGAACGCTCCGATTAAACCACTTCTAGAATACATCCCTCGAAACCCGAAGGGATCCACCATTTTCACGACTCGAAGCCGAGAGATTGCATTGAGAATTGTCGATTTCAAGGGCCTTGTTGAAGTGAAGCCAATGGAGAGATCTGAGGCGTTGGAACTCCTCCAAAAAAGACTTGGACAGACCGCAAGCAGCCAAGAGAGCCAACAATTGACAGACGCATTGGATTATATGCCGCTGGCAATCATACAGGCTGGCAGCTATATCAGAAACAGGGCGCCTCGTTATTCAGTGACGCAATACCTAAGCGATTTTCAAAGAAGTGATCGCGAGGCAATAAGGCTCCTGAAGAAAGAGGTAGGTCATGTCTACCGTGACTGGGAAGCGAAGAATTCAATTCTGGTGACGTGGCAAATATCATTCGACTACCTACGCCAGACAAAGCCATCTGCAACCGAGTTACTTTCTCTCATGAGCTTTTTTGATCGGCAAGGAATACCCGATAGCCTTGTTCAGGATCGCCCCAAGGCCAATGATTTATTGAGCTCAGAGGTCGAGGACTTTAGTGACGATGAGACATCCGAGTCAGAATCAGATATCGGTTGTAGTTCAAGTTTTGACGATAATGTCGCTACACTAAGGGATTATTCATTCATATCTATTAGTGAGGACGGCACTTCATTCACGATGCATAGACTAGTGCAATTGTCGATGCGTGCGTGGTTAAAGTCTCACGGAAAGGTAGAGCAATGGAGGGAGAAGTTCATTCGCAACTTGTCCGAAGAATTTCCCACCGGTGAACATGAAAATTGGGGAAAGTGCCAAGTTCTCTATCCGCATGTCAAATGCGCAATGTCACAAAAGCCGCTTTCATCCGAATCTCGACTAGAGCTGGCTACTTTGCTCTATAATGGGGCATGGTACGCATCGGGAAGCGGTAAGATAGAGGATACGGGTGAAATGGCATCAAAGTCAAGAAAAGACAGGGTGAAGTTATTAGGCGTCGAGGACAAAGCAACCCTTGACAGTACGACAATGTTGGCAAGGACATACCGGGAGCAGGGTCAGTGGGAAGAAGCTGAACAGCTTGAGGTGCAGGTAATGGAAACTTGCAAGAGGAAACTCGGCCAGGATAATCCCGATACGCTGTGGAGTATACATGAGCTAGCCTTGACGTATCGGTCTCAAGGCCGGTGGGAAAAGGCCGAGCAGCTCTTTGTGCAGGTGATCGAAACTCGCAAGAAGCTCGGCCAGCATTTGGATGATTCTGGCATTCTGATTAGCATGCATGAACTAGGATTGACGTATTGGTTACAAGGCCGGTGGGAAGAGGCTGAGCAGCTCTTTGTGCAGGTGATCGAAAATCACAAGAAGCTCGACCGGGATAATCTTCAAGTTGACACACTATCGACTATGCATAGCCTGGCATTGACATTTCTTCACCAGGGTCGGTGGGAAGAGGCCAAGCAGCTCTTTATGCAGGTGATCAACGCTCGCAACGTAAATCTTGGCAACGATCATCCTGAGACGCTAAGAAGTATGGCCGAACTGGCATCAACATACTATAAACAGGGCCAGTGGGAGGAGGCTGAGCAGGTCTTTTTGCAGGTGATAGATGTGCAAAAGATAAAACTCGGCGAGGATCACCCTGATACGTTGACGACCATGTCTCAACTAGTATCAACATACTGGGGAAAGGGCCGGTTGGAAGAGGCCGAGCAGCTGAACATGCAGATAATCGAAGGTCGCAAGAGCCTAAAATTCAGCGACGATCATCCCAACATGCTGGCTAGTATGTATAGACTAGCTTTGATATATATAGGACAGCTCCGGTGGGAGGAGGCCGAGCAGATCTTAATACAGGTGATCAAAACTCGCAAGATAAAGCTCGGCGAAGATCATCCCGACACACTGGCGAGCATGGACAACCTAGCGTCAATATACAGTTATCAGGGCCGGTTCGAAGAGGCCGAGCAGCTCCATATACATACGACGGAAACTAGCAAACGAAAGCTCGGCGAGGATCATCCTGATACGCTAAGCAGCATGGCCAACCTGGCGTCAACCTACTTCAGCCATGGTCAGTGGGAGAAAGCTGAGAAGCTTGATAAGCAGGTATTAGACATGAGAAATTCAAAGCTCGGCGAGGATCATCCCCACACACTGCTAAGTATGGCCAACCTGGCATTTACCTGGAAATCCTCAGGTCACGATGTTAAAGCTGTTCGCTTACTCCGACATTGTCTGACCAAACGGAGAGAAATACTTGGTTTAAGTCATCCGCATACCCTACGCACTTCTCAAGAACTGCGTGACTGGGAAACGGAGAAGCTGAATATCATTTCGTAGATAAGCTAGACAAAAAGTGACATGTCGTGGGAAATACCAATATCTTCCTCTAATTTGAAGTTTTCCAATAGCTATTATCATATTGTCTATTACCTTGAAGTACGCCTGAAATGATAGCATTTATGATATCACTCATCAAAGACCGACATGTAATCATGAGATAACGCGGGGGCTAATGGGTGTACTACAAGGGGCAATTACATAGAATGAGCGTAAACGCGCTTCACGTAATTAACTAACTAATTTCCATCCACCCTGTGATCCCTACCAAGATCCCACGGTTGGAGTCGAATAAGAACCAGTGGCCGAGCTGCCCTGACACTGTGACGGTACCTTATTGGCACTAGATGCCCCCCCAACTCGCAGGAACAGTTCCACTGCGACGGTCCGAAGCTGTCAAGAACGCCGCATAAGACCAGGTCAGATCGCGCGCAGAGATTGGAGTACCATCATCCCGGGTGAATTGCTCAGCCAGGGATCCATTGCTGGGAGTATACTGCTGAACAACCGAGAAAAATCCATCCGCATATGTCTGGACGGCCCCAGTGAGCGAGTTGTAGGTCGATGAGGAGCTGGAGTAATTTCCCACGCGAGCTGTCGAGTCCAGATCCTGGAAGAAGGGCAGGCTGGTCTGCGTGATGGCCAGAGATCCTTGTTGCTTCCACTGGTAGAGGGCATCGTAGAGTTGCTCGGCGGCGGCCAAAGTTGCGAGGTACCTAGGAGTGATGATTGATATAAGCATGCAGAACGCGGATGTAGAACCCAGTCAGAAAATTAATAAGCTCACCAGGGATTGCCTCCTTGGTAAGTGTCTTCAGGATAGCGACCAATAGCCACGGCACTGCCAGCCTCTTTGCCACTGTTGACCTTGTAGATGGATCGGAATGAATCAACTACCGCCTTATGAGCGAGGAGCGCACGAGCAGAGCATGGCTGGAAAGTACTATCGTCACAAGTAGCGCTGGGGTCGAAGGTCTGGATCGAGCTGAGAATGGAATTGACATCCAATCCGGAACGACCATTATTGGCCAAGTTCGAGATGACCGCACTTCCGTTCCAGAAATCCTGGAGGAAGCAAAGTAACTGCGGGGCTTGAGAGTCACAGCCATCACACGCCTCTCCGAGCGATTTGGCGAAGGCAGTTCCCTCGACCAAGGTGCGATGTTGTGCGGCGATGGTGAAGAAGGATGATCCCTGAACTTCCTCCCACAGATCGAATCCGGTCTGGTTCCAGTATTGAGCCACGTAGTTGAGGTCGTTTTGCACGGTGGGCCAGATGTTCGACTTCACTACCGACTGTTTTCCGGAAGAGAGGAGGTAGTTTCCGTATGCGATGAGAGCTGTTGCGCGGAGGGCTGGTCCATCGCGTTGTGGTCGGCCCCAGTCTCCAGTGAAGGCAGTCAAATTGGTCTCGAACTTGGGTTCTCCAAGGCCTGCTCCGTTGGACAGATCTCCCGATGGGTTCGATACGGCCTGCAGCTTGGCCTGGGCGGAAATGTACTGTTGGATGACCGCCTCGAGGGAACTATCACCTGCGATGAATTGATCGATCAATACCTTGAGTGTCAAGGCCGCGTCACGACTCCATGTATAAAAATCTATAGCTGTCAGCTGGATTTGCTTTTTCTTTGTAACTTTTCGAGGTTGAAATAATAGATCACTGACAATCGGGGTTTGTTTTCGAGGGCGAAGCGACCACAACGCCGGCAGATGCCCCGGAAACAGCGGAGCCGTCGGGTCCGATATTGTTCAGAATGCCCTGAAGTGAAACCGAAGCCTCGGACTGGATGAATCCATCAAGTCCTGACTGCCGGCGATGGGGGTGAATGGCAGACGAGACTGCAGCGGGAACCAGCAGAGCTAGAGCCAGAATATTGGAGCCGACCATTTTGAATTATCTCGCAGTAAGAGTTCTTTTCTGTCCTGTTCCAACCCGCGAGACATTCTCCCAGTTTATATCCTCCCCCATAATAGACCATTTCATCATCGCCGTCTCCATCGGCCCCACGGGGAATGGAGAAAGAAAACCTTATCCTAGGACAATTCTTAACCCACAGCTTCCAGTGGATCGACGAGTGCAGATCGTCAGGGCACAGAGTCGATCAGTCGGAAATGAAACTGCAGCTCGCAAGACTTCAACACGGTCTCCGGCGTCGACCGTAAACTAGCTTAAATTGCAGACATGTGATGAGATCGCGGAAAAATCATCTTGAGCGAGCTATTGGTTGCTTGAACGTGTTTCATAACAAAGCAGTGTTACATTCGTTAAACCTTTTGCTGGAGAACAACGGCCCAATGAGGGTTGTTTATCGGGGTTTTAGCTGCACATAGCCGGCGGCGTAAATGTAGATGATCGGCATGCCCGATCCCGGACCGAGTCAAACAAATCCGATAAATGGCCGCCCGAGGGGTTAGTCAGTCGGTCTGTGGGGAGTATTTGTCCGAAGATTCCTAAAAATTGTAGACAAAATGATGCAATTGTACTCCATTTCCACCGAATAATCAAGTTTAGAATGGAACATTGGCTTTTTGACGCATCCGATGGGAGTTCCGGCCATTGTGACTGCGCTATCGATGCCCAGGTGGAATAGAATGTCTCGAATCCGATTCGGAATTTGTAAACTGCCATGTATCTGGAATTTTGATGAGGTCTTATAGTGAAAATATGTCCATTTTCCATGAAGACAATTCTAAAAACTCTTAATATGGGAAGTTGGCCTCTTCGCTCTGGATTTCCCCACGTTCCTTCTGCAGTTTGTCTTGTTCATCGAGATACGGCAGTAAAATCTTGTCCCAGTGTGATTTTCCCTTATAAAAGGAGACAGTGTCATCCCAGCTTCGAATTGCCTCCCCTAAACGGCCGGGGATATGCGGCTCCTGGGCGATTTTAGTCACCGGCTCAAAATATGTGCGGATCGTAAACACAATCGCGTTTGACCGAGGTAGCCGACGTAATGTCTGTCGCTCGCTGCGAAAGTGGATCTCGTCCACGGCAAGACCTCTGCTGTTGGCTGTAGCCCATGCTGTAAAGTCTATGTTAGAAAAGTACTAGTGAATTTAAATAAATTGATGAGAACGTACAAGCAACTTCAGTGCCTTGCTGGTCTCCCATGCGATGGGACCAGTGCAATCCATCGTCTAACTGGATGAAAAACTAAAACTAGTCAGTTATGATGGTATAGGAAAGACCGTGAGTGAATTACATTATTCCTTTCCACGGGTTTGTCTGGAGTCAACTTTTGGAAAAACTTGTTCATGGCTTTTTGCAATTTCGCTGCGTAATGAGGGACACCAGCCTCGAAGTGCAATGTGTCAAGCGACATGCGAAACTTTTCTTTTAGACGCCAGAACCCGGGAAGGCAAACCGCAGCTGCGTCGAGGTGATACTCTCCATCTATCGAAAGTTAGAATTATACACCCCACTGGACGTGTAATTATTCACCATCATTTTTCACCATGATCACTAGATCGTCTTGGACGAGCAAAGCTGAGGTTGCCAGAGCTTCATCGGGGGTTGCTAAACAGAAATGAGCCGGTGCAATTAGATGGATCACTGGTGTCGATCATACCCGCGGGAAATGCAAAGCTCTCGCTAGTCAGGCTATTGTGCACCTTTCCTCCCTCCAGTCGATATACTTTTGGGTAGCGATGCGTCAAATAGCGCACCAACTCTTCGTTCAATTCAAAACAGGCATCTCGTGTAGCCTCGTTGTCGACATATTTGACATGTTCGTGGAATTCCTCCTTCAGTTCCGCTGCCTTCATATCGTGATATCGAAGAAAGTATGAGTCCATTTCGATCCAGTTGTCCCAGCCCAATTTCCGGATCCCCATCGTGATAAAATTTGGACCATGGCGGAATGGTCTATACAGCTTTGGCGATGTAGCAGTTGGATCATCAAGAATTGCATTAGGAAGTGGCGTGACAAATGGTTCATTTCCCTCTGATTTGTGGTTTCGTGAATCGACCTTGGAATTTTTCACCGCGAAGCCCTTGAGAAAAAGCCAAGCTAGTAGGGAAGCCAGTATTCCTAAAATTGGGAGTGGGTTGCCTGGCAATGAGAGGGCCGTTGGCGAGATCATGTCGAAGAACTCCATATTTCAATTACACGGGGAAGAATATTCAGAATGGAATATTAAGAAGGCTCCAGAACCCTTGGAAGCACCTGTTTTATAGATTCGAGTCATACAGTACTAGGCTGCATCTGCATATCAGATCAGAACCTTCGGTACCCCAGATACTTATCTCACGACTAGATCATTTAGGGTAAGTATTTTGACCATGACAGGCCGCTAACCGAAGGTGGAAAGTTAAATGGCCTGAGATTCAAAACTCCGGCAGTTTTGTTATCTCTTTTGCCTCGGGTATCCTAAGATACCCCGATATCAGTTGGAGAGTGCCCGACCCCCGAGGACCCTCAATCGCGCGCCAATCCGCGCCAATCCCCCGCTTTTCATTCCACGCTGGGAAAGTCATTTGTCCTCATCATTGGAAATGCCTATCAGCCATTTCCGATATACCCTGCACCTCAGGTCACATGTTATCTATAGGCCATGGGACCTTCTTAATTGGGGAATCGGCAGAGAAGTGCCACTTCACTCACTGAGACGATCACCCATCGAGAATCTGACCTCCTTTAACGGTCTCAATTTCCGGGTACTACCAACTCTAGACCCATTGCGACCGTACACAATATGACACCCAAGCGCCAGAGGATCGTTCAAGGCTCATGCTGGCCATGTAAGCAACGTCGGGTCAAATGCGACCTGGTGCAGCCCCGTTGTCGCCGATGTATCCTCTCCGGCGCAAAGTGCAGCTTCGACAAACTTCTCGTACGCTGGAATTCTCGCCCTACGAAATCTGCCCCCTTAGCTTACCAGGCGGCTTGTACATCACCCAAAGCGACTTTATTCAGTCAATTACATGATGCCCACCTGGCCTCGGGAGAGCTCAAATCACTCGACTACTTCCAGGCTGCCCTTTGGCCCTTGCTCACGACCGCCGCCCATCCTTGTCCTCCCCCCATTTCACTGGCACTGGAATTTGAGCCTGTTCTACTCGCGATGTGCGAATTGGCTGAGGCGCATCGTGTCCTTCAGCATGATAACAGCCCCAACCAGTTGAAGTGCATAAGCGAAAAAAGGCTTAGCTGCTTAACGTCAGTCCGACAACAATTACATCAGAATATCTCCAACAATGAGTCTTTATCCAGATTATTAGTCGCCGTCCTATTGCTCTATTTTCTTGATGGTTTCATAGATTGTGGAGAACAGTCGGCGTCAACAGCGAGCCACCAGGCTGGAGTACAGGCCATCGTGGAACAGCTCGGAGGGCTCGATGCGCTTATGGGCGAGGGCCAAAAAGAGAACCCCTCTGATGTTACTTTCCGAGTTCGCCTCTACAGACCTCACTCGCGCGCTACTTGACGATCGAGCACCTTGCTTCCCTGGTAAGATCTGGCAAGAAATCGAGCGCGGGCCCGTTTGGTGGGAGAAGCAGCCATATGGCGTGAATCTGTCCGTTATATTCCAAACAATGGCAGAGATGGCATTCTATCGACAATCAATACAAGCCAACGAAGAGAAACTACAAATTGACCAAGTTCGAGACTTCGAACGGCGTCTCCAGCCCAGCTTTTCCGTCCTGAGTCTGGATCACTTCGGCTGCCCAGAAGAAGAAACCCTTTCGAAATCCGAACTGGAAAAGGCCAACCAGACCTCTGCATTTACTCGTGCATTTCAGCATAGCGCTCTGATTTATCTTTATCGCGCGGTTTGTCGGGCTACCCCCTCGCCATCACCTCGTGCAACAGCATGTCAGTTTCTGCATGGGGTGTATTCAAGCTATTAGCCCTGGCTCGAAAGCTCATAACTGTATCGTATTTCCACTTTATGTGGTTGGGGCACATTCATTTACAAGCGACCATCAAAGTCACATCCTGGGCAAGTTAGACTCGATCTTTCGAACCATAAGGTTCAACTCATTACTTAGTATACGAGCGGCTTTGGAAGAGCTTTGGTCTTCCGATCGACAAGAGGGTGATTGGAAAGTTTTATTCTCCTCATTGGGAAAGGATGTATTGGTTCTCTGATTTAATCCAAAAATGAGGGGATATTACAAACATAAGCTTTCTTTTTTTTAAGAAAAAAATCATGTCCATCTGTCTCAATTCCTTTATTGGACTGCTGTACCATCGATCTCTTCCACGGGCCCTTTGAAATCTGAGAACAGTCGAGTTAGAAATGACAAAGATTATTAAAAAGAGAATTTTCTCACATTTCCGACCATATAACAGATACCACAACATGCTCAAACCAACACAGCCCACAAAAACGACGGATGCGTAAGTCATGGTTTCACAATTCACAGGCAAAGTCACCGGCATAGAGAAGAGAACGACCTGGAAGGCGATCCAAAGCAGTGCAATACCATTTGCAACTTTTCCGATTATAGGCTTGAGCTTCCAACGCGATTGACCAACTTCGACGCGTTTGTCATAAAGTAAACTTATCGCAATAGGAATGGCATAGGCCACTGCAAGGGCAATCACTCCCACTGACGCAAAAGCAGTAAAGGCACTCGTACTGCCAAGGTAAATTAGACCGAGGAGCATTTCAATTACAGTCACGAGGCATAATGCCGATAGAGGACTATCCTTCACGGTCGCAGACCACAAATGCGACAATGGCAGCGCATTGTCCCGAGAAAATGCCCATGTGCATCGGCCTGCGGTGGTAGTGATTCTGATGGAGCAGAATATTGCAACTAATAGTACAAGTACCATGAGCACAATTGATGCCGCCGGTGATCCTGTTACAACGTGGATGATGTATGGCAACGCTTGGCCATATGGCGCATTGATAATATCGGCGAGTGGCGGCAGAGTGAAACATATCGGCAAGGTAAAAATCACTGCGGCAATGCCGGCGACAACGGGCACCAGACTGATCGCAGTGGGTATTTGCGTAGAAGGATCTGTGCATTCCTCTGCCATGGAGACCGTCATCCCGAGAGCAGAGAATGCATAAGCTGGCGGAAGGAGTCCGATAAAAAACGTAAAATGTTCCTCCCACCCTGAATAACTTGGGTCATACCCAACAAGACCTGTTTGAGCATCGTGTCGACCTTCTTTTGCCAAAACTGCCATGGTGATGGCAAATGCGATACAAGTCACCACCGAACATGCGGCGGAGAGCGTATCAATTAGCGGCAGGAGGTGGTCGCCGAAGAAGCAGATGACAAATGTCACAAGGCAAATCGCGTAGAATATGAGTAGAAGCTGCCATGATGAGGCCGTCCAGTCAGGGTAAAAGATCGATACGGTGGCGGCAATGAGGGATGCAATGCCGAAATTGACAGAAAGAGATATAGTCCAATTCCCGATTAGCCATATCCATCCAGTGACAAACGAGATGAATGTGCGATTTTCATTCGACTTCAGTAGGCGGAATGACCAGTGGTAGACGCCAGATGAAGTTGGATATCGGGATGCTAATTCCGAAAGCGAGACGGCAACGCAAGAATCCAGTACCAAAACGATAAGCAATCCAATGAACATTGAGAGTTGACCTCCTCCATAGACAGCGCTTATTAATGAACTGCCGACTCCGTAAGGAATTGACGCAATTGAGAGAGACATGAATACCATCGTGGATAGCTTTCGTGTGCGCTTCAACTGGGGTGTATACCCCAATTGAAACAATTGCTCATCTTGATAATCTCCAATTTCTGGATTGACTCTCTTCTCGAGGGATTGCAGGCTGGGGCTCGAATTCTCCATTTTTTGCCCTAAAACAGAATCAGTTTTGTTGTCGACTCTTCTAGGTATTGCTACGGGACGTCGTAGATTCCTTTTATAAAGCCGACTTCTCTGTGGTCCCCAAGATAAGCTTTACCCTACGCTGAAGAAAGTAATATTTTGGACCAACCCTGGCCAATTTCATAAATTCACAACTAAATCACAAATATAGTCCCTTTTTGCTGTCATTTTTTGCTACCATTATAATCAAGTTATCCGGTAGCGATAGAACAGGCTATTTCGCTATCAGAGGGGCGAATGCGGGGTAGCGTAATCCCACTAGTAATTTCAAGCGACCTGGCTCGGTTATCTTTCGCCTCCGGCGTACCACTGGCAAATACAAAAATGCCCAAAAACCTTCCAGATTCAGTTAGTCAGGGATTGCGTGCGGCTCACCCCCGCATTTACTCTTTACTATCCTACGAGCTGCTTTGCCGGGTCGATCAGCTTTGTTACGGAAGAACAAAATTTCTAACCCAGGCCCTTTTTATTCTAGCATTTATATAATAGGATGAGATCCGGAGGACTTGAGAATAGTTACGCAAGCTCGATTTCTTAGGGAGAAACTCCACATATATAATTCACTTTGGGCAACGATAAGTCTGCCTATGGTTAGGATAATTGAGATGCTTTCCGAAGTTTAATAGGGAAAATGCGCTTCAACTTCAATCTCAATAGCCATTCCTTCAATGCCGAGTTTGCCAATTTCCACACAGGTCCAAATGGGCCGATGTCCAGGAATTATCTTTTTGAAGTTGCTCGTGACCACATCAAATGTTTCCTCCACATTGATATGATAGCTGCGGACAGCATAGACATTTTCCCATGACAGACGCGGGTCCACGCTTTTTAGAGACTTTTCGATATTCGAGAACGCGAGGGCGACTTGTTGATTCACGTCCGTTGCAATATCCCCCTTCTCGTCCCAGCCACCTTGACCCGATGTCTTGATAATGTTCCCGATTCGAACAGCTTGCGAATAATGAAATGCCTCCGAGTTGCTCTCGGTTCCGGGATAATTGAAGAATTGCATTTTGAGGTGGCTTTGTTGTCAAGTAGGCAGATTAAAGAGGTTTTGGAAGAAGAGGTTGAGAAGGTAGCTGGAAATAGATTTCACGTTTAATCAAGAATTGAATATCGCCTTGCTTAAATAGTCCTGGTATGAAGTGTAACGACCCCTGGAGTACTCCGCATTTTTTGTGCTACCTGAAGTGGGGTGATGAAAAACCCCTTGAATAAAAGGTTTATGCTTGGAAATCCCGGATTGATTTAGCTTTTTTCTTGGAAAGTCGGACATTCAATCCACACTTTGGCCAGAAGAGAGTGGTGCTTTACGTTATCTCTTTTACCAAGATCTCTGTAGTCCTCGGATGAGGCAAATTTCTTGACACTGGGTCACTGAACTACCGAAATAGGAAAGAATTTTGACCATTTAGAGACAAGAAGCCAAGAAATTCCACCACTTTCATGATCAACCAGCTGATAAGCCCGTAATTCCTTTTTTTAAGAAATCGTTATTTTCAAAACATAGTATAAATTACTTATTATAGAAGCAGATCTGCGCCAATACTTGCCCTACTAATCAGCCTCATGTTACAATTTTACACAATAAAGAGATTCCATATCCCTAAACTTCTAGTAAATCTTGGAACACAAGACGGCTTCTGTTATACCATTTTATAGCATTGCATCCCCGCAAGAACTCCGGGTGCCGCCTTGTCCACATTTTTGCAGCCGTTCTTACGGATATCATCGTAAGTATAAAGCTGTGCCATGCCATTGCTTTGACAGTCATCCGTATCAAAAATGTTGCACATTCCAGCTGGGACGCGGATTGATTTGAAACTAATGTCATCTCCAAAATCACAGTGTGACATGTTCTTGCCTCCATTCCAGTACCAATTGCAATATGTGTTCGTTGCAGTACTAATGTTAGATATCCCGCTATGTATTCCAAAGCAATCTTGGTTAAAGCCAATGGCGTGGCCTTCCACTGCATAATAATCGCCATCAGGATCACAGTCCTTCGATCGATATATGAAAATGGAGAAGAAGTCGGCGGTCTCTTCGGGCTTCTCAGTCGTTGTTGTTTTTGACTCGGTCGTTGTGGTCTTGTCTTTTCTGGTGGTACTCATTGAGGTAGTTGTAGTTGTAGTTGTAGAGTCCTTGCTTGTATCCACAGTGATGCGTTGGGTTGTGTATGAAGTAGGTGATGATTTTGTCGAGGTGGCAGCAACTGTAGCCTGGCCGACTGCAGCACCGCAGGAATCTGCTCCATTCTGGCACTGTCCTTCGTTACACTAAAAACAGTTAGACTTATGCATGAGCCTCATGATATATGGAAACATACACACTGCCCAACAGGGCATGGATTAAGAGAGCTGAGATTAGCCCAGGCCTCGGGGAATGTTGGACGTTTGGTTCCTGGGACTTGTGGTCCACACACCGCATTTGGCAATGCCGCTGGCATCGGGGGTGCTCCGGAGTTAACACATATGAAGTCACCTTGCCTCAGTTTATCACAGCCCTTCCATGCATATGTCTTGCTGTTGTGTTTTTCGATATCTGCCGTGGTAATATCATAGGCTTTCGCGATACTAGAGCACGAATCCATCCCTTGGATGAGATATACCTTGCAGGGAGTGTCGTTTCGACTTCTTTCTCGAAGAGTTGTGTTTGAATCCGAATAATTGGCCATACACGTATGAATTAGAAGTCCGCCTAGCATAAGAAGTGCCTTTGAGAGGCTTCCCATAGTGGCGATGCCCGGAGGATTCAATGAAAGAACTTGAGTTCGATGCCACCGTTTCTTAACAGTATCGCGGTCTCTGAGCAAACTTGAAAATATAGTAAGTACCAGTACTTAGGAGTATCAAATCACAGCACTTTCAACAAGTTGTGAATTATGAACGGGACCTCGGGATTGCTGACTATAGGGAGCATCATGGTTAAATGGTTTAGATAATAACACGCGTAGCTGAATATCCATGGTTATTCTTTGATCTTGTAATTGTTTCAGGATACCGGCATGAAAGAAGCGAAACACCTAGCGACATAATTTCATCATTGAGGGTACTTAAAGAGCATTCGAAGTGGCAAAATTCTCTTTGTTACCCTCTCTTGGCTGATATATGAATATTCTGTATTTACCAGGATATTGGATTTGATTCATGTTAAGAAGACCAGGCCCAGATAAGAGCTTTAGAGTGACCATTTGGGACGAAGATTTGTCGTGGAGCTCCTATCATATCAAAGCCTTGTCTTAGATCAAAGGCAGATAGCCTTGAGGCGAATTGGAAATAAAGGACCGGTCATTATGGCTTATTCGCTAGTATGGCACGATGCCTGCAAATATCGGCGCCACCAATAATAGCAATACATGGGTGGCTTATGAGATTGAATTGTCAACTTTAATTTTCCCGAAAAAGGCCTGCCAAGTGGCAAATTTAATTCCTACTCTTTTTTATTGCTTTATTTTTGCCATACTTCTAGTGCCCAAGACAAATGATTAGGAAAGCTCAGGAAATGGGAGTGGAGAAAGGATAATTATAGCGCATGTCACGTTCAAGTCTGGATATGACGTGCTATGTGACCATCGAACGGCAGGTTTGCGACAACAGTAGGGAAAAAAACCATCCGAGCTCATATAGATATTCTTCTTAAACCCGTAGAGGCCCTCGATTTTCCTAGGACAATTCGTTGCGCAGAGGCAAGATGGTCGGACAAACTCTAACCTCTGTGGCTATTATTGGCGGCGGCCCTGGTGGCTTAGGAACCGCTATCGCATTGTCCCAGTTACCATTTCTTGAAGTGACCCTTTACGAAAAACATTCCGAGTCCAGAGAGGCTGGCGCTGGAATAAGTCTAAGTTCCAACGCTTGGAAAGTCTTGGACTTGCTCGGGGCAAGTAAGGGGGTCAAAGGCGGCTCCAAATCCAACACTCATCAAAGGTCAGTAACCCTTTTAGTGCGGTCTATATAAGCGGAGGAGTCTCACACCTCCCATTTCTCGAAATCTTCAGAAATGCATATACTGGCAAGATCTTGAGTGTGGTCGAACATCCAGAAAACTCTGCGGTCGATCAGCGTGGAGCGATTCGCGCTCGTAGAACCCGACTACAGCAAGCACTCTTAGCTGAAGTTCCTAAGGACATAATCAAGTACAGCAAGAAGCTTGTTCATCTTGATGACCTCTCAGATAGAGGTGTAAGGTTGACCTTTGAGGATAAAACCGAGGTTCTCGCTGATATAGTAGTGGGAGCTGATGGAATTCATTCGGTCAGTAAGAGGGCAATATTCTCGTTCAGCTTCTTCGGACTAAATATTTTCATTTTGACCAGGCTGTTAGAAGAAGCCTTTTTCCAGAGCACAAGCTTCGATTCACGGGTAACACGGCATTTCGGGTTCTTGTTCCCAAATCACGCCTAAATAGTCTTCCTGAGATTACATCCACAACCGCCTGGTGGTGGGGCAAGGCTGGGCATGTTTACTTCTCCGATGTGGATGATGAGACTGAAAACAACAATCCACTGTTTGAAATAACGATAAGGTCTTACCATGAGCCTGAGATCCCGGGGAAGACTGTAGGTTGGGGTATTCCGGCAGCCAATGAAAAGGTCGCGTCCCGCGTCACGGTATAGTTCCGAAGTATTAATTCGTCAGAGATGGACATATTGCCTAATTTGAGTCTAGGAATTTGATCGGAGAGTTCGCGACGCAGTTGATACAGTTGAAGAGGGGCAATGGTGGGAATTCGCTGGGTTTGCTGGTCCGCGTCTCGATCATATCACTGCATGGGACAAAGTTGCCCTCATCGGAGATGCGAGCCATCCACTTTCTGGTGAGTAAACTAGCTGGCTTGCTTGAGAATAATCATTGATCTATGTTTTAGGGGCCTTTGGCTCTGGGGCAACCTTTGCGATGGAAGATGGATGGATTTTAGCAAGAGCCCTCGAGCTCACACATTTCACCGGTCGCCCGCTATCGGATGCCTTGGAGATCTTCTCTCAGATCCGGTCGCCGTATTACAATAGAATGTGAGTATTCAAAACATTAGTTCGAAGGTTTTCCGGCTCATTTCCGGTCTCTAATTATCTTTCTTTTTCGGGTCGGCAGGTATGAGCATTTAGACAAGGTCCAAGAAAAGCTGCAGAAAGTGCAATCCGAAAGCACTAATTTCGATGAATTTTTGGAGACTAAGATCGACAGTTTTCTCTACGACGATAAGGATTTCATCTATAAGAACGACATATCGAAAGTTTGGGATGCCTACCTCGAGGCAAACGAGGTTTAGGAGTGATATGGACCGACGTCAAGAAAATGGGTTGGCTTTACCTACTGGCAGTTGCGCATCGACCTTTGGCAATGCACAGATCAACTATCTCGATCATATGTCTCAATTGTTTTTAGATCGAACCTGTTAGAATCACACTTCCATATGATTGACCAAGTCTCTTTCTCGGTCTGCTTTGGTTATTGCACACGTTCCAAGCCATACTAGTCGCATCACAAACTTGCTTTCCTCTTTCACGTGGGAAATATCATTGTGTGCGAGATTGAGCGAGGGAATAGACTTAATCGTATTAGCTGCTGACATGAGAAGCTCCAAGTCGAGCTGTGCTTGAGGCCCAAGTGGATGGATGACTATGTCAAGAAATATTGCCAGTGCGGCGGTCATAAAATAGGACGTGAAGAATCTGGATGGCGACATTTAGTATCTCGCGTTTAATAATCAGGGACCCAAAGTGGTGCGGCAAATTGAAATAAAGAAATGGCTCTTACCGAAATGATCGTTCTGCAATTATACCGAGAAGGAATTTCAGGCACAAAAGGGTTGAGCGACTCGCCTCGAGGGATAAGTCGAAGCTTGAATGGACAACGGCATGGAGGTCTTCAGACTTATTTGCATCGTTGGGTGTGCATCTTCTGATCGTCGTGTGAACAATTGTAACCAGATGGTGATATTCCAGCTGCAGAGACATCCGCTGAACAATGAATGGTATGTCACCCTCAACTGAATCCGATAAGAAATTTTGTGAGACAGAAAGTGCAGGGCGGACGTCACTTGGGAGCGATATTCTCCAGCATTCGATCTCATCGTCTAGCTGCCTTATATTAAGAAGTAGTTGATCGTCGTTATATCTCAAAGATTGAGCAGAGAATAATTGATGGCATACTTTCTGCTTCAAGTGGCTGAGATGAGTATCGCCCGGAAAACAAGAAGTGATCGTTCCGGAGGCTGGACTGGTGTGTTCAGGAGATCGATCTGTCAGCGGCAAGTTATATTGTATACCAATAGGTGGTGTCAGATCGCAGTAGGTCTCAGTGAGAAGCGGTGGATTTCCAGTACGGAGTGAAATGTCCTTGTCGAGCATATAGCATAGCCAGAATAGTGTCCGAGTATGGTTAGTTTCGCGATCAGACCCAGTCATTAGCCGATCGGATTTTGGTGACGTATAAATATGGCCTCTTAATGAGTAGACCATGTGACAAGCAATTGAATTGAAGAAAGTAGCTCCTTTCCAGCGGCCCTTGAAGATGCGTTGCAATTGCTTGGGTATTGTGTGAGCGGATATCTCACCGTGGTCGAAAACAGAGAGCAGTGGGTTATACTTACTAGCAAAACTATTGCCTGGAGTGTGTTTAAGCTGATACTTTCTGTAAGATTCACCAGAAGGAGGTGGGCCTTTGCAGCACATATTTCTGTGTCAATCTCCCACGTACTGTCATGAGACGCGTTCGACCACCAAGCCGTGATCGAAAGAGCAGCCAAAACGCACGCCTTGGCCGAGAGTTGCGTGGCAGATGCCGCATTACTTTCCACGGGCTCATAAGCAATTTCCATAGTTGTTTCAAATAAAACTTCGTCGAGGATGGGAAATGCCAGTCGAAATGGAGAGTCAAAAAAGCCGGTCAATATTCGCCGTGCTTCATCTTGCTCTGGCAAATCGCATATTTCTCCATAGGAGACTCGTTGAACAAGCGAAAGCGGACTGGGGTCAGCTACTGGAATGAAGAATTCAGCCAGTTTGACATTCTGGTCTGTTCTTGTCGAAAGCCACCTAATTCCTTCTTCGGAGAAGATCGGTATGCCATTGAAAAACCAATTGGGTCCCAATTGATAACCGGACGCATCGAGTCCTGTACTATCGGTTACAGCAGCCGGACTGCAGGTATTGGTCCCTGCTTGTGAGGATATCAACGAGTATGGGGACCTTGCGGAAAGGGCCACTCCATCCCGACCACTAGGTACGAAGCTCGCTGTCGAAGAAGTAGGTGTTCTTGGCTCGTTTGGGCTGGCAATAATATGACGTGGAAGCTCCGGTTTCTGCTCAGTTTGGGCAATAGCCAGAGCATTTTCAAGATGTCTGACTCGTTGAGACAACGTCTGTACTTCGCTTGATGCACTTGATGTATGGCTGGAGGAAAACCTGGAGTCGAATGTTAACGAAGAGAATCAATGGACTTTCAATCCGTAAAGAGCTGAAGGATATCACACACCGTATACAACGTTTCCTCGATGGCTTCTCTCGCTCAAATGTGCATTCAAGGCTACGGTAAACACATCTCTCACAGGGACCTTCCGGTGTAGGTAACGAGCACACAGTCTGGATGGAGAAAGCAATAGTTAATCAGGAGGCTAATAGCGCGGAGACACTGGAGACAGCTGCCTACTTTCTTAGCATAACAGATATCACAAGCTCTCTTTGGATTGAATGCCTTTTTCGGAGGCATGTTGATCGTTTTTAGCTGAGGAGGAGAGTGTGAAGGGAAAGTGTTCCGGGACTTCGGAGGTTTCGGCAGTTCCGGCGATTTCGGAGGCCACACTTTGGATTGCTTCGTAGATCATTTCCATCATTGCCCCACAACTATGCAGTCTGGGGATCTTCTGGAGCCTTGAGAACCTTCGGAACCTCCAGAATCTCCAGAACCTACGGTCGATACGTCAAGCCGTCTTAAGCCAATGGCTTATTTATAGAAGATGAATTCCCTAACGCCATTGTGTTCTGTTACTCGCTTGGATCACGGAAATCTCCTACACCATCATACCTACAATGACGAAAATCGTCGCCAAATGCCACAAGCTTCTGGAAGAGGAAAGCCTCCGTCGCTCCTCGCAAATTATCTCCGTTGTTGGTGATCAAGCTTACATTTTCGGCGGAGAGCTACGACCGCGTGAGCCTCGCGACAACGGTGTCCACGTCGTTTCATTGAATAGTAGTAAGTCAGAAAAGGGTTAATCCAAGATCATAGCACTAAGCTCAATTATAATCCAGGAAACGCCACCCTTACCTCCAAGCCGGCCACGTCCCGATCTCCCTCTCCTCGTGTCGGCACTGCCTCGTGTACTCTAAACGACAATGTCTACATTTTCTCTGGTCGGGGAGGCGTCGCGATGGCTCCTATTGAGGAAGACGGTGCGATTTGGGAATTCGATCCGTCGGCATCAAGCTGGTCGCGTATTTCGCCATCAAACTCGAGCTCACAGGTCACCCCGGCAGCTCGGAGCTACCACTGCATGGCTAGCGACGGAAAGGATACGCTTTATCTCCATGCAGGTTGCCCAGAGAAGGGGAGACTATCCGACCTTTGGGCCTTCAGCCTTTCCCAAAGAAGTTGGACGGAACTTGCCCCAGCCTTCGATCCTCCCCGTGGAGGTACATCGATCGCATTCGCCAATGGCAAGTTGTATCGAATGAACGGGTTCGACGGTAATTCCGAACAGGGAGGAAGTGTGGATATCTACGCGCCCGAGACTAACTCTTGGACTTCGCACTCGTATCAGCCCGATGGCAAATCAGGTCCGACCCCGCGAAGCGTGGCCTCTTTGCTCCCGATTCGTCTGACAGGGAGGTCTTTCCTGGTCACATTATTCGGCGAGCGTGACCCCAGCTCATTGGGGCATCAAGGAGCGGGGAAGATGCTCCGTGACATGTGGGCGTTTGACATTGAAAGCCAGAAATGGGAGGAAATCGTTGCTGAAGGCTCAGACCTTCCCTTTGCACGGGGCTGGTTTGATGCCGATATTGCCGGTGAAAATACTATTGTGGTTCATGGTGGGCTGGGGGAGTCGAATGAACGATTGGGAGATGTGTGGACTATCGAACTCTGCTGATACGAGAATGAGCGAGCCGGCATCCCGCGGGTCCCGATTATGGTTTTCTCTTTGTTTTCTTTTTCTTTTCTTCTTTTGTTTCTTCTTTTTTTTCTTGCTTTTTACACATTGCTTTTTTAGACGTGCTACTTATCAATTCGTTCGCCATACTTTTGTTCGCCATACTTGATGAATTATTGAATTATGGAAACTAGCTACTATCAAACTCCTTCCTCCAATGCAGTGTTCATGTCAACGTAAAATCGCAATTTGTTGAGAGAAAAATGTCGAAAGTTTCGCCCTATTGACTCGCAGGAGAGCGCCGAATAAATCCCAGAACACAAACACCTAGACTAATCCTATGAAAGAGAACCCTTCCAAGTTACTTGGCGAAGACTGTTGAACGATTAGCAATTGCTCTCTCGGTAAATGGGGGTTATCTGCTCAGACACTTACAGAGCCTTCTCTCTAGAAGTAGATTCCTTCACATTCGTGGATCTCTTGGTCGGAGGCTTCCAATTCGGCGGTTTCAACATGATGAAATTGCAAAGAAGCTCTTTCGAAACCGACATGATAGCCCCGCAGTTTTCAAATTCACCACAGTACTTTTGAAAAATTCAATGTCAGCAAAGATACGTCATCATTTTGTTCACCATGAAACAGAACACTCACATTCGGCGCGGAAAAGATAGTAACCAATCCTTTATTGCCAAAAAATTCATATCCCTCCTCCACAACAGCATGCGATCGGCAAACCAGGTCTAAATTGTTGCGCTTGAGGAATTTCGTAACAACCGGCTTCCCAAAGCACCAGCTGACGCCGCGGTCGGGATTCGGTCCCCAGTCTTTGATATTTGCGGGGTCGCTCCATAGAAGATCGGTTAAAAGTCCGTGTTCGGGCACTTCGATGGGACGTGTGAGTTTGCGAATCTCATTCATGTCGGAAAGGATAGGTGAAAGGCCGCCATGGACGCAGAAGATCTTCTCTGCGACTATTGCGGCGATCGGAAGGCAGTTGAAGACGTCGGTAAATGTCTTCCAGATCTTGAGGTTGCATCTTCGCTTGCATTCGTCGTGGAAACCGTAGACGCGGGAGACATTGGCGCATTCGTGATTACCCCGTAGCAGGAAGAAATTACCTGGGTATTTGAGCTTGTAGCATAGAAGCAGAAGCATAGTTTCAAGACTCTGTTTGCCGCGGTCGACATAGTCGCCTAGGAAAAGGTAGTTGGACAGAGGAGGCCGCCCGCATTGTTCGAATAGTCGGATGAGATCCGGATATTGACCATGGATATCGCCGACGATTTTGATAGGGGCGTCCAGCTCTAGCAGGATTGGCTGTGAGAGAAGAAGGTTACGCGCAGCCGCGCAGACAGCTATGATTTCTGCATTTTCGATGCAAACCTTCTTTGTGGGCTTGGAGTGTCCCACCTGCAAGAGCCGGGAGATGATGCTATCAAGATCGACAGGGGTTTGATAGTTCTTCCGGGTGCCAGAGGACTCGTCCCAGATAATGGAGTCAAGGTCGAACGCATTGCTCTTTCTCAAGATCGGCACACTCGAAATCTCCGGATTTGAATCCAATGGAGTCCTCTTGGGCTGCACTTCTGGTTTCGGCGAGGGGGCATCCACTAGGGTTGATGAAGCTGGCTTGGGTGATTGCGGTGGAGTGTTTTCTGGCCTACTCAAGCGGCGCATGTGATGCCCGCCTCTCTTCCACAGACTGGTAAGGGAAAACGCATTTTGCTTTGGTGAGTCGACAACGATGGGCTCCTTTCCTTGGGGTGCGATAATATTGGAGTTGTGCTCGGCATGAACCTCCTCAAGCACTTTTGGGAGCTTAGTGTGAGGCTTATTCGCGACAAAGTGTTCATTCCGCCCCGTCATTGCTGCAGCTTTCCGCTCCCGCTGGCCGTTAACTTGCATGGGCGGGATGTCTGCAGGGATTTCAAAGGAGGCTCCAAGATATAAGAGGTACTGGTAGTGTTGCAATAGAGCTCGTTAGGATTGGTGAGGGAAATAGTCGTGCTGGGTATCAGTTGCTGATCCGCGGGATTATTTTGTAAAGTTCCTTGGTTGAGATGGGATTTCAGATTGGGAGAGAGCTCAGCCTTCGTAGGCAACGCCATTTTCCGCCCTCTTTCTGACATCAGGCTTTCAGAGCGGGGGCGGCGAGAGCTAGCCATCAGACAGGGTTCATTGGTGGTTTCCGCCACTTTGTCTTCGCGGGGATTACGAGGGGGGATCCTTGGCAGACTCTTGGCAGAGGGGACGGGGTTCTACCAACTGGATAAGTTAATTCCCTCTTATTCTGCATGTGACGCTTATATAAGGTTTTTTCGAGCAGATTGTATTACTCAAGATTGCATAGCCTCGCCATCTAGCCCCAATAAATGGGTTGCACAGATTGAAAATAGGGCTAGTGTCTTGGCATGCTTGATCGGAGGCAATTATCATGTAGGCTGCAGCCTTGGGCATTCTCCAAATTGGCTCGATTTTGGCGAGCTTATCTAACTGTTATCAATTACGATGCTTAGGGCGGGATCCCTTTTTTGGTTCATCTTACGGAGTAATGATTTCTTTAACCCTTAGGGTTGGTTGTCGACCCCGATGACGCATCTCGGGGGGGAATGTAACGCTAGGAGCATAATCATGATTCATTAAAAAATTTACGTACACAGCGTATAATCAAGCACTATTATAATGTTGTCCCAACCCGACACTATAAAGGTGTCTCAGCAAGCGATTATGGAGCTTCTTTGCGTGTCCATCATTTGCTCGCGGGTATGTCTGCTCGACATCTGACAGATCCACATGCTTTGCAGATCTTTTTTTGATTGGCAGCTTCAATTCAATCCGGCTACTAACATGTTAGCAGTAATTCCTAATTTTATTGAGTAACGTTGTTGCTTTTTTTTCGCTTACCACACTGGGCAGCTCGAACCCCGAGACAACCAATCTCCAATGCATTTCATATGATATTGATGTTCACACGGCAAAATGCGCAGCATTTGATTTTCGATAAAGTCGTCCGTACAGATCGGACAAGCCGTATTTCTTTGATTTTCGATTTTCTCGTCAATGGAATCATCGGAGACGATGCTTGATGACCGCGTGCTTGCAGAGTGCCCACTGCCATTGTTGTATTGGATGATGGGCAGGGTTTTCAGGAGAGACTGTGTCATCTTCTGAGATTGATCCCGACATTCCTTTAAATGGCGTGTACGCAGGACGTAAATCACAGCACCCAGAATAGCAAACAGTCCACCAACTGCCGCGACAACGTAGAGGGTTATTTTCTCTGATTGTGTAAGACCACCACCAGAGGTCGCGGTATCCGATCTCGCACTCAAGGTCGGCAGTGCAGCAACCATCTGCATATTCTGCGACACTATCAACAAGACAGCATAAAATGGCCATGGGAAGCGTGGCTGGAAAGCTGGCATTTTGAATGGTGACACGGGTAAGCCACTCCTGGATGAATGCGTGTCGTACTTGGTGATTGTTTGAGGTCAATTTGATATCAGGTCGTGCCAGATAGCATTCTCGTATGAAATATCGATTTTTAATTGCTCTTCGAGCTCTGAAAACGAGTCAATAAAGGTCATAAAATTTTCAAGCTCGTTTTTATTGCATGTGCGGGTGAGTCTAGCACTCGCCCGCACGGCAGCATAAAGAACTCACCCGCTAGGAAACAGAACAACCCCGCAGTATTTCGGTCAGTTAATACCAGGAGAGAGCTTAATATTAAAGGATTAAGCTGACAGGAGCTATGTCACTTGTGTTATAGAGTTAAAATGGCATGCCCATCCGAATGTAGTATACTCGGATTTTCGGACGGTGCGAGAAACCGGAAACCGAGCGGCCGAGTCGGGAGACCCACCCTTGTTGAAAGCTTTTTTAGGCTTAATTTGACTAGTAGCTGGAAATTCCATCGGTCTTGGGACTCGTTTGTTGTGATATTGAGCTGACTGACGTACGTCGCTAGCCTGTTCCAGCCAGCGTGGAGTCTTTCGATGGGGCAGTGTCGCTTCCCATTCACTCATCACTTTCACCAGCAGAGCATCTTGGCCTCTCCTCGCCACAGCTGACATTCCAAATGCTCTTCCATTGAAATCCAGGTACCCAAGAGGTATTCCACAAACGTGGAGTCTTACCTCCAGCCGCGGCCAAAAATATAAGGCCACTGTCGGTCGGACAGATGATAACATTGGTCCTGCAGCATCGAAATGGTTTGGATATGGGGATGAATCCCTCTTGTGAGATAAGCCCGATCGTCGACTTGATCGTGTAGAGTGCTGCTGGGCCAGAAGGGCATACAAGCGATCCATCTGTCTCTGTGTCGATTGATAAAGGAGAATAACCAGTAGCCACGGACACTACCGAGCCGGACGACGGTCCTGAGGGGTTCTAAAATTATCTGCTGTCAGTGCTCAAGTTTTCGTACGTCTAGAAAATGAGAGAACTCAGAGAGTGTCTTTACCCATTTGGCATGTCTGCGAGGCTTCGAGCTCAAAAGCGCAAAGCTCCCGGCACTGGTCGGCAGTCCAAAGCTTGAATGAGTGGCAATATTGTCCTGGACAGGGGAATCAACAATGTGGCATGAGCCCGGTCGCAAATGGATCCTCACTCACTTTGATCGTTATGGTATACCATGGAATTGCCCGCGGATCTTGCCATCGGCACGCTCCTGACCAGGTGATCTAACCGTTTGCTCGAGTGGATCCGTCGATTGATTTTGTTTTTGTCATGGCGTGGAGCTTGTTGTTGTGGCGCTGAATCTAGGCAATATATTGTCTGACGAGGTCGAGATTTGCCACCTTGCCGCTCTCCAGTAGACACTGAACGTGTTTGACATCGATTTCCAGGACGTCGATCTCTTGCCGTGGTGCCATTGCTCGGTTTCTGAGATGCCTGTTTGTTGTGGTAGACGAGCTCCGGGTGTGGTTGAGTTTCGGCTGAGCTGAATCCCGAAAAGTTGGAGAAATCAGGGCGCAGGATCCGGCCGCTACCGGCACTTCAGACGAGGCGAGCGGTTCTTTGATATTCTTCTCGTCATTAGTAACTTCCGATGGCGGGGTACGTGGAGCAAAGAACGGAGATCATGCGATGGGGTTGCCTGATGCGGGTAAAATGAACGGGTAGTAAGTTGGACCGAGGTTGGATAGGCAAACAACAAGTTTCAGGTACTAGTAGGTCCACCAGATAAGCTTTGTATGCAAATTGCTTTAACGGATGGAAAAGGCCGGCCGAGATGTAAGAGGTGAAGTGGTGAGGCAGCTCCTAACTAGTACATCATGATGTGGGTTCCCCTGGCAACGTATTTTACTAACGTTTTGGAAAGGATGTACTTTTATCACGGATCGGGCCATCGAAAGAGTCTCTGAGCTTCCTCGAAGTGGTACTGCAGTGACTCATTATTGCGGTAGATTTATTGCTTTCCTCGGTGCATCAGCCCTGCATAATCATGAATGATGAACGATATGAGCGTCTCTGTTGGCAAATCATGCTTCAGATATTGAGAGTTACGACTATCCGACAAATTGACCCAGGGGTACCGAAATTCTTCACGTCTCAACTCATCATCCTGCAATATCTTTCTGCCTCGCCACCTGCTGCTTCTCCAACACCTCAGCCATGAGATCGGGATACCATCTTCTTCCTGCGTCTGGGTAGCTTGTTATGGCATTTATGAGAAGAGCCTCACCAGCCAACCCCTTGTAAACCTCCTCGAAGTATGTCTCTGCGTCAGATTTGACATCTTCCTCACGTAGTGACAGAATATGACTGGGAAGTTCCAGCTCCATTTCTTCTCGGGTCACATTTAGACTCAACATTTGGAAGCACGGAAAAGTGAGCCGTGTGCCAAGGGGAGCATTGTCCTTTCCATGATAATATTCCGATCGTAGGTTAACTCGATGAGTAGTAGCCACGCAGACTCCTTTTGTAAGGACTTCTAGTGAGCGGCCAATATTCACCACAAGCGTATCGGGAATGGGCGGAACAGGAATCCATTTTCCAGACCTGTTCTGTACCTCCAAACCAGAATGATCCGTACCCTGAAGAAGATAGGTCAAGATGTTACCATCCTTGTGAGGACCGACACCTTGGAATCCCGCTGCTGGCTCATTGTCGATTCCAGGATCGGGGTAGGCCGCGATTCTGAGGGTGGTCAGAGGATCTTTCTCCAAGAGTCTAGTGAAGACGTTGCGGTCCATATCCAATGCCTCAGCAACTAGGACAACAAACACGTCTGCTAATGCTTGATTCTCCCCCAGGTAAGTTTCGATTGCATGTCGCAAGCCTGGGGCGGTTGACTCGGGAAGCCACTTTAGTAGAGAATTAGTTGGGCATAGGCCACATCAGGTGCTCGATTGCAGACAGAACCATACCTGGTTAGGACCAAAGAAACTATGGTATGCTGGCAAGCTTAATTCACGTGCGGGCTCATCAAAGCCAACCTTCCAAGTCGGAAACGTATTAGCCAGAGACCAGAATTTCAACGTTAAGGGTATGAAGCATATGGTTAACTTACAGTCAACGTTTCACGTTGATCCCTTTTTGTTGCCGTTTTTTCAATGCCCAGGGAAGCGTAACCTCGAAAGTGCCTACTATTGGCTATTGCCACTTCCTGCTTTTTTTCCATTGGTAAATCGAAGAAAGAAGCAGTCTTTCTGACCAGATCATCCCGAACTGCAGCTCCTATTGGAGGATTTCGAAGGTAGAAAAACCCAACCTTGACAAGAGCATGTCTTAAGGATGACAAAAACCTTGGTTTTGTGGTAGCAGATAATGCATCGCCAAATTCGAGGATAGGGATAGAGTCGAATTCTGCAGCCATGGTGGGCCTCAAATTCTGGACAAGTTACGAAACTAGAGATTGAAATGTTTTCCGTTCTGGTAAGGCTCATTGAAAGGAATCCATGAACAACCTTGGAATAGGAGCGATTTATAGTACCCCTCACATCCTCAAACTGGAGCAATACTCGTCTCCGTCAGATCGGCGGTCAGCCCGATTTTCTGTAAATACCAATAGAATATGAAATTCATATATTTTGCCAATGGCCTCAAAGCACCTGGCACATTAGTGCCACTAGCGTCGATGGAAACTTCATGACCTAGAATTGTATGCTTCTAGCTTTGGTCACGGGGTGGAACCTGATGGTATTGGTATTCGCTCAATTACTGATGTATTATCAACCTTAAGTTTCAGATCTAGAGCACCTCCGGGATATGTACTCCGTGCACTGTCTGGACAAAAACATGTCGACTCTCCAGCCCAGGTCGCGATTTATGTATGGTAATTACGTTAAATTGGTATTGAACTGAAAGGGCATTTGCATGTTAATTTGCCTGTTTCCAGATTTTCATATTTACAGTGGCGCCGCTATGCACAGTAATGCATCACGGACGGGAACACGTTGGCCAGCCAGTGTACGGAGTATTAGCTCTATAAATACCACTGCCTCTAAAACACGAGTTCCAATGATGTATATAATTTACCTGTGTGACATCTGGGCATGCACCCAATTCCGAAAAGTGGGGACTGTGAAACCAGTGTCACGAGAAAAAGCAATAGAATCTACTTTTATCTAAGGCATGTGTACATATGTACGCACGAGACCCGCAACCCCATCACTGTATCTAGCAATAGAGCTGTGCTGATCTTTGATACATCATAACGACGTGTCATCCACATGGGCATGCACCTCTTTCCCAGCATGATGAGTGGGAAATTTGCAAAGCTTTTGGCTGCGGAGGTTGCAGTACATTCTCAACCCTCGGCACACACCGCCATTTGGGAACAACGATATTACTATAACTTGCGGAGCTGATGAAGACAGAAGAAAAAGAGTGAAAGAATCGCAACATGAAGTCACTCATATCCCTTAAGCGCCAAAGATCCATTCCAACTACCTGGGTAGCTACTGTAGCAACTTAGGTAGTACGTATAGTCCCATTCAATATCGAAGATTATAGTTATCAGATGAAGTACCTGATAACTAGTATTATATCAAGCCTGCGAACTCCATCTAAAGATTGCACCTAGGTTTCACGTCTTTCAGATCACCCCAGTTGTACCATGGCCTGTGATGATACCATGGTTCCAAATGATTCCCATCTTAATTTGCGTCTCTTCAGTATCATAAAGCTAGGCGGCCACGAAGCATCCATGCCTGAAGCCTCGCTCGATCGCGTTCAACGAAGTGAATGAATGAATTTACCGACAATAAGTGGCTGGTTGATGGATTCCGTTTTACTCCAGAGTGATTTTTCACTCATTCAACATGCATTTTATGATCTTTTCGATATAATTGTAAGGAAGACTCAGATGTGACTCCTCCTCAAACACCTTCAACTCACAGCCCTTTAGCACCTTTGCCGCTTTCTCCGCCATCAGAAAGGGCGTATTCATATCTTTCTTCCCATGCCACAACGTAACAAGCTCCCCGAGTTCATTCAACTCCTCGAGCTCAAATCCCCATCTTCCGTATAGACCCAACTCCCACGCAGGTCCTCCACTCCCTTGTCTAAACGCCTCTCTCATACTCTCTATCACAATATGCCTAAACTCCAAGTCATCCAAGCACCTGACATCGCTCTCACTCTTCCCCTCCATATTCTTCATGAATGTATTCTCAAACACCTTAGGATCATGTTCATTTATCGTGTTGCCAAATTCCCAATCTAGCAGCTTCGCTAACATCGAGGAAGGCAGCCAGCTCCCAGCAACCATCACCACCTTAGCTCCAAATGACATACCCTCCATTCCGAGAGTCAGCGGATATAACCCCGACACCACCGATATTCTTAATAATCTTTCTTGCGGAATTTCCTTCACGCATGCCAAGGCATATGGTGAGCCCCCCCGAATCACCTAGAACATGAAATCGGGGAATTTGAAGGTGGTTCAAAAGAGCAAGAACGTCAGCAGGGAAGTCGAGAATTCGACGCGAAGGTTGAAAGTCTGACAACCCCATTCCTGGGCGGTCGATAGAGATAACATGGACAGGTAATTGTTTGCTTTCGAAAAATGCAGCTTCGATACGGGACCCAGGAAAACCATGGCAGTAGATTATTGTGGGTATCTCAGGGGAGGGCAAGGGCCCGAAGGTTGCATATCCAAGTTTCCGACCATCAGGAAGGGTGAGGGTTTGAGAAACAGTGGGTTTGAATAAAATTTCCGAAGCCATGATACGATCTAGTCTGATCTAGTCTGAGCAATGAGGAGGTTCAGAGTCGGAAGCCTAGGAAGTCAAATCTCACTCCCGCTCATTAGGCTTTGTTTGAATTGTTTGCATGATAGGGGGAAGAAACTTTCTGGATGAATCCATGTATTATTTTCGAATCGGATCTCATTACCTAGAATGGACCAAATAATACCAAACCTAATGACTAACATCAAAAAGCCGGGGTTGAACCAGCGTTCGACCCCAAATTAAGCTTCCTAGTGACACCCTCAACCCCGTATTTGGCGCTACCCAAGTGACTTCAGTGTTGATGTCATCGCAAGACCCGAACGTTTATAATCATGAATTCGTCTATTCGGTATGAATGCTAGCAAAGCCCTCCACGGCTTCCTTCGACATTCTTAATGATCGGTCGGCATTCGTTCTCGCGATTTTTGCAAGGGGTATGAGCTTGTTTGCCCACCTCTACGGCGTCCGATCAGCAACGAGATACTTACTCCGTCGCTAGCGTCGCGGCCCATTCATCCAGCAGTTGCGGAGGCTTAGCCTTCTCGAATATCAATCCCATCGACTACTCAAGGATGTATAGTTTCTCCAGAGCTTGGATGTTGACGAGAGTCTTACCCGTCGTGGATAGTTTCAAATTCCCGTGCCTCAGGGATCCGTCGTCACCACTTCACAGGAAGCTAAGGATGTAGTGTCTAGCATCAGTCAGTCTACGCTCATCCCCTTGATATCGGAGCTCGGTACATTTGGTGCATTTCAGAAACTGACCATCCCCCGATAGATGCACCCTCAGTGGTGAAAGCGCAAGTCCTCGCCGGAGGCCGCGGCAAAGGCAAATTCAGCAGCGATGGCAAAGGCGGCGTGCGCATCGTATCCTCGTGAATTTCACTATGCAAAACCCCCCAAATACTCGGAAATTAACATAATTCAGACCAACCGAGGCATTCGAAAGTGCCTCCAACATGCTCGGCTATAACCTAACCACAAAGCAAACACCACCCGAAGGCCTCCTAGTGAACAAGCTCTACATCTACAAATCCGTCGACATCGCCGACGAATTTTACGTAGCAATCACATTCGACCGTGACCGCTACATGCCCGTCCTCCTTATCTCCGACGACGGCGGCGTAAACATCGAATCCAACGCAAGCAGACTTCAGCGATTCTGGTTCAATTTACCGCACGGCATAACGCCCGAAATAACCTCCTACATCCAAGCGCAGTTCGGCTTCTCGGACAAAGAGATGGCGCCAATTACTCACATCTTGCACCAAATGGTCAAGCTGTTCCGGGAAAAAGATGCCACCCTGCTGGAGCTGAATCCGCTCGTGCGCACGCCCGACGACGAATTCTTCTGCCTCGACGCAAAATTCAGCTTTGATAATTCGGCTAGGTTTCGACAACAGGAACTTTTTGCTCTGGAGGAGCAGGCGCCCGGTGAAGAGGATGAGTATCAGGCGGCTCAGTTGGGTCTTTCTTATGTGCGGCTTGAGGGAAATATTGGGAATGTTGTTAATGGGGCTGGGCTTGCGATGGCGACTAATGATCTTGTGACCCTTTGCGGCGGGAAGTGTGCTAATTTTCTGGATGTTGGTGGGGGAGCGACGAAGGAGACTTTGTTGAAAGCTTTTGATATCCTTCAGCGGGATACGCGGATAAAGGGGATACTCGTAAATATTTATGGTGGTAAGTTTCTGCACATGTGTGATGTGATGGATCTTTTGCTGATCTATTCAAGGGATTGTTCGCTGTGATATGATTGCGGAATCTATCGTTGCTGCGGCCAGTGCTATCGGAGGATTCAAGATGCCAGTGGTGGTTCGTTTGCAGGGTACAAATAACGAGAAAGGATTGAAATTGGTATGATTTTGTACCGAATGATATTAATGCCACTCATGGTTAACTTTTCTAGATCCAAGAGTCTGGGTTGGGCAATCTTATCGTGGAGGCGGACTTCGAGCAAGCAGCTGAAAAGATTGTCAAGCTCACCGGCACTGAAGCTTCATGATCTAATTTGAAGGAATGCATGTTGTACTGCCATTGCCTTTCTAAGCCCGCAGTAGTTTAAAACTCGACGTATCAAGAACGTCTCTTTGAGCTCTCTTCAATTGTACCTAGGTATATCCTATGTCTTCTTTCAATTTCATTCAGGTAATAACTATCTCAGTGTGAGTGAGCACGTATCCTAAAATCCCAGACACGATGAGGTCAGCATTGATGATGCCGAGCACGCTCGCTATACTGAGGCTGAGGGGCTTTCTGGATGACTCCCAATGCCAAGGTAAGCATGATGAATCTATTGGCGGTGGAATTGACAACACATTCACCTGAAACGGCCCAAGCAAACGGGTATCCCAGTTTGATAAATCTCACCAGTTTCAACCAACGGAAAGGGGTGGGTCACAATATCTTAAGCATAGTATATCTTCCGCGCACGCACCACCTCCCCTGGGGGGAATAGAGGCCCAGCCTTGCTTCCTTCTTCCTCTTCACATTTGACTTTTCAAAAGCTCCCTTTCTTTCATTCTTTCAATAATTTCTACACCGTCAATATCAACATGCCCAGAAACGAAAGCAGTATTGAAATTGCAGCCCCACCGTCCAAGGTGCGGGAAGTGGTTCGTGATCCCGGGGGCATATCAAGGGGTAGAAAGGGACGCTGACTAGATGATCTACCTTCCAGCTTCTCAACTTCTCCGAGCTTTCAGAGTGGCACAAGGGATTTATCCGAAGCTTAGCAGTGCACGAAGACTCGTCCAAGTCTGCGGACTCGCTGGTGCCAGGCGACAAGGTTGATGCCAACATCGAGGGGCAGAAGTTCACAGCAGAGGTCAAGGTTAGAGAACATCCAACATGGATCAACCGATCGGAACTTCAATGAAATGAATTGGTTGCTAACTTTGATCGACAGGAAAACTCGGAGAACCTTTTCGCCTGGCAGGGCCCTCCCGTATTTACAGTGGCCGGTCGCCATGAGTTCAAGATGGAGCCCGCAAACGACGGAGCGGCCACCATCTTCACGCAGTCGGAGGATCTGCGCGGGCCCTTGTCTTTCCTCATGGCTCCTTCGCTGTTGGGGAGGTTCATGAAGGCGGATTTCGTCAAGTTTAATGAGGACCTCAAGAATCGGGCCGAGTCGTGAGACGCTAGTGGCATTAGTTTGTAGTAGTGTATATGATTTGAGGGGCCGCTGGATGCCTGATGGGGGGTACATGGGGGAATCGCCCGATCGCGTTTTGTTGTCATATTCCTTTTTGTGTTTTTGAGATTACCCATTGAATTAGATTTTATGAGAATCGTACTGCTTTGAAACGGATTCTAAAAAGTGTGCCATTTTTGAGATTGAGACTGAGTTTAACCGGAAAGCTTAATAGTCACCAATAAAAAGCGTGGTGCGTGGAAGAAGTGGGTGTCAATAAGAGATAAAGGGGTGGGTCAAAGGAAGGGAACAACAACAAAAAAGCAAAAAGAAGAGGTAGTGGTTGTCACACCAAACAGCCAGCGTCCTGGTAACAGGACGGTGTGTTCTGGCGACGCCACCCCAGGGTGGAGATGTCTCTGCAGAATTTCTTCCCTCAAGGGTCATTTCCAAACTTAAAGCCGACTAGCATCGGGGATTACTCGCCCGAGTAGAATGACTTCCCCAGGATTCGTACCAGGCACCTTTGACCTGCTGACATTGCTGCCGCAGCTAGGTTGCCGACTTAGCGGTGCGCCTTCCACTAGGTTATCCATGACAGATTACCATGAGTCTCTCTTTTTCTAATGATAGGCTCAGCATTGATAGCCCTGTTTGGTCAAATTAGCCGTCCATTATACAGTTCCAACCTGCTTGGTATTAGTATTATCACCTCACCAGATTTCAGCCTAAATGTTCTTAATCACCGATCAACTAGTAAACAATTACGTATCATTCAATTCACCCTGAACAAGCCCCTGAGCCCTGGAGGTTACTATATCAAAACGGTATGAATCAAATACACTAGCGATACTAGTATACTGCTGCCTCACGAGGTGCCCAGGTGGGCTCCAAGATCCATGCCAGGTGATATACAGTAATTCCAAAAGCTAGTACCTAAATAACAAAAACAAATCTCCTCTGAGTAGGCTCACGATCGCAATCTCGTTGCGCAGTCGCACAGACATCAAATGGATGCCCAGGTCATAATAGCAAATTTAGAAACCTTGGAATTGGCGTAGCCAGCATGGGGGATAACCAGCGTCCCGACGACACGACAATACATTCAAGTTCCCCCTCCCACAATCCAGATCCGTAAAACTCGAATTAATCAAGTTCACGATCTTGATTATTCGGCCATTCAACTTTGATCCCATCAACAGAAGTTTGGCAACTGACAGTCAAGTTTATCTGTGTTGCAACCTTCTGGCACCTCGCAGAATCCATCAACATACATATCGCCATTCCCACAACCTCACTAATCTGCGTACTTTCTGGGCGATAGGAGATATATAGGGATGTTTCTTCCTGCGGAGAGTTGTGAAGACTCATCGCTTTTCAGCCTTGGAATGCACCGATCAGACTATCCAGAAGCTCGGTGTTAGCATGCTTTTCGGTAGTGATAATGTGACAAAAGACTGTGATATTTTGATAAAATCATCTCCTCTGAGCAGGGCTCACTCACTACTCTAGAACTATTGAAATTTGAGTCACCATCCGAATATTTAATCCCAAATAACGGATGTAGTAGTGGTAGTTCTTTGTTTTGGATAGTTTGATTGCGTTGATCCGCTGGCGAGGTTTTTGTACAACCTATTTTGTTAACATTTGCTTTTCTTTTCTAGAACGGCAGCGGAAGAAGTCAAGAAATACCAGTCGTTGTCTATAGGGGACCATAATGCTTCCCAACCGTCCGGGGTAGCAGGCAGTTGAGGGTCCAGTTTTGGGTTGTGCCATTGATCCTTTCCAGCCACCAGGTTTACATAGTGCCTGGTTTGTTAGATTTTGCTTCTCATTTTCTGGGAAGGGTAGGGAGGAGTTAAGATATACCAGGCCTTGTGTCCTTTTTCATTATTGTCATAGTGTGCTTCCCAAATGTCTGGGACAGAGGGTGGTCTCAGGTGTTTAGTTTTCACAACAATAATAGGGATCCCAATCACCACAAAAAGCAGTAAAAGAACTCCAGAAATGATGAAACATCTTTTGGTGCGGCCACGGCGAGGTGGAGATCTAGAGAGATTTTCCACTTGAGAAGGGGTGACTACAAAAGGACTCACTATATTGTGATCGTCTGCAGATGGAAGAAAAGACTTGTATGAAGGAGGTCTAGAACTTGAATAGCGGGGAAGGTTTTCATCGCTGAGATTAGCTCTTTCGCTTGAAGAGGCGGTTTCGCTGGAAGAAGCAGTTTCACTCGAAGAGGCGGTTTCACTCGAAGAGGCGGTTTCACTCGAAGAGGCGGTTTCGCTTGAAAAGACAGTTTCACTTAAAGAGGTAGCTTCACTTGAAGAGGCCTCGTAGGGGGACAATTCAATCCCGCCGTCGTCTAGAAATATTGGTTGTTAGTGAATAGAGTATTTTATAACAGCCAGAGTTTATTTGTACCTTCTTCGCTCATGCCTTTTGTATCTTAATGCTAGCCAGAAAAAGGTTGTGTGAATAGAAGCGAGCAAAGTAGTCGAGAAAAATAGTAAATATCTTCGTGAAGAGAGAGGGGAAAATAGGAAAAGAAAAGTCGGAAGTAAAATTTCCACGCCTTATCCTTTCACAGAGCTGCAAACTATGACACCCATAGATCGATCGCCGACACCGAATACGGAAATAAGATGGACATCCAGAAGTGTACTAGTACATCATGGGGAAACTTTAAAGTATGATTCCGAGGAGTTACGCAAGTCTGACAATAATGACAATTGCTTGCTATTGTTTATTTTTCACCTTCGTAACATCATGATCTCCAGCCAATACTATTTGAGCATATACCCTCTTTCACTGATAACTCTTGGCGCAGGTCTAGATCTGTTTCGAGCTTCCTAGATTCTTTCCTAATAATGAAACCTGTCAAGTCCGCTCAGTACCGACCATAGCCTTTAAACAGCTATTAATTATACTGTGTCTTTGAATCAAATTGATTGGATATTATACTATACTGCTATCATATCCCATAGAATGTGTTATCCGCTATCTACCTAAGCTCTTTTCAAGATTTCTGATAGACCGTAATTCCTCTCAAGATCATCTAGTCAAAGGCTAACAACAACAGATCTCAGCGACCTGCTACTAGTAGTACCATAGCAGCTTGAAAATATGAATCAAATTGGCTGTATGGTATATGAATATTGCTATTTCGCAGGGTCCTAGGGTGGATTATCTGCTATCCTCAATTAAATGTTGCTAATCTGCAGCAATTCCTCGCAAGATCATCTAACCACCTGGGCAAGACTTCACAACAACAGACCTTTACAAATCCCCAGAGCGGTCGCAAAAATTCAAAACTAGTAATTCCAGCAAACCCAAGTAGGCAACCTTCAAGTTGAAAGTGGAGTGGCTAAGATGGCGGGGCAGTATCCGAGTCACCACTGAATCAAGATCGCGGTTTCGAACCTTCGATCTCGGTCACACCCGTTATCTCCACAAATAGGTATACGAGTAACAATGAGTGGTCATCTTCTTCGACAAGGTCTTGACTTCTTTATGTACCCATGAGGAGAAGCCACATCCAGCTGCTATCCGAGCCTGATCCGTCAATTTCGCATTCTGAAGTGGTCGAGCAAACGATAATAGGGACCCCAACAACTAGGAAAAGCAGGAGAAGAAGAACGCAGGCACCAGCACATGTCCCAGGGCGGCTTTTTCCTTTAGATGAGGGAATTCCGGTAACGCTCTCAGTTATGATTGAAGGGGAGATGCTTGCGGCACCGATTGTAGATCTCTCGGTCTTGTATGACGGGGGTTTGGATCTTAAATAGCAAGGGAGAATCGAGTCCCCATGATCATAGTTTCTGTTTGAAGAGGCCGCATACGGGGGTAATTCAATAGGCCTGCCCGTCCAGGACTCAGAGTTGACTAGAAATTTAGTTATTAAGCAACTTGAATGAAATGTTTTTTAGCGAAACCCGGAGTTTAGTAGTTTTACCTGTATCTTCTTGACTCATGGTCGTTCTATATCGAACTGAAGACCTGATCAAGAAAACTTGGAGATATGGTGTGGAAAGAAGCAAAAGCTAGTCGCGACAAAAGTTTGAAGGTAGCTTCTCTGGAGAGAGAGATAGAAAAGAAAATTTCAAGGTTGCAGGCGAAAGAGTTATAACTCCCTGTCCCCTTGTAGAGCGAGTGGGGATAATGACATCCACGGATCGGCCCCGACACCTAATATGGTCAGTATACGACTCTAGCCCCCCCCCCCAAAGTAGAATTCTGAGAAGTGACTTAATCTTGACGGCATTGATCTTGTGCAGTTGTTTAGTATGTGTACTTTAACTAGGTGTGTTCCCCCATGATCGGGACTGACATTCACAAAAAAGACAAAAGCGTATATTTGCTTGCTGTCTACACTTCTTTAGCTCAAATATCTTGTATTGGAGTTTAGGGATGTGTACTATACTAATCTGTAAAGTAGTATGTATCATTGTTGCCCATGTGATTCAATGAGACTGCATCGTGCTTTCCTAACCTGGGCAGTTGCCATTCACTCGTACCTTCCAAGTTTTACCTCTTCCACTCTTGCTCTACCTACTTCAACTTCTCTTCCTTCTCTTATTTCTCTTCGCCTTTCCATCTCTCGAACCTTTTACCTCTCTTCCTTCTCCTCGCCTTTCCATCTCTCCAACCTTCTACCTCTCTATCCAACTCTCCCTCAATTTCCATCCAAATTTCATCTCAGCCTCATCTACACCTCGACGTGCGGGGCACTTCCACCAGGATGTCTCACGTCAGTTGCCGCTCGAGACATATGGCGTACATGAACTGACTCCCCGCAGTACCTTTCCATGCAGGCGTACAAGTCACAGTACGACGCCCTCGCCAAGCACGAGGCCGGAAGTAAAGTGAAATATATCTGGCTTCACCTACTCGCCCTCTACTTCCCGCACGAAAAGGGATTTGGCATCCTAACCCAGGACTGGCCCTGCGAAGGCAGTCTCGACCTCTCCATCGCATACCTCGCACCCTGCACGTCCGATACCCGAGATCTGCGCCACCAGCCGAAGAATATGTTCTTCCTCACCTCCGAGAACCGTGAACACGAGGATAATCCCGAGACCCTGGACCGCATCCTGAAGAAGTTCACCAAGAAGATGAAGAAGCTGACCATCAAGGATCAGCATGACAAGATCCTGTGTGCGGCTGTTGCCACTGGTACCCATGTTCGTTTCTTCTGGCTCGAGGTCGGACACGAGGAGCTGACGGAGGGCGACTTCGGTGCATACCTGGAGCTTGAGGTGCACGAGAAGGCGATCAACTTAATCCTGGAACAGTTCAACTATGATCTGGTTGGCCAATGGGGGCTGGTTTGAGCTACCTAAAATGCCCGATATGCCTCAAAATCATACATGAACGACATGAAGGGAAAGAAGGATGTGGTTGAGAAGTGCCCTATGTTATTTTCCAAGGCAGAGGCTCTTACAGAGCTCTTTTAAGCTATTGTTACCATCTACATCTCCAATCAGTTTAACGATTCTAACAACCATCCTGGATACAAAATTTAGACATAGCCCCCATCCCCCTCTCTTCGAAGAGGCCGACAAAGGAAAGGCTTCAGTCTACTATATCACTACGTCTCCAACTTCTTTTACAGGGCATGACAGCGGAATTTGATTGGTTGATCTCCCGGTACATTTCTAAAACAGCACTAGTCGATGTACATATGGACATGCAAGGCTGAGCCGAGGAACTCTGTACTCTCGCACTGTCGCACAGTCCTCTTGAGCACTACACTGCCACAAAGATACCGGTATATACTGTAACTTTAGTGGCCCAGGAACCAGGTCAAGAACCAAACCGCGATCAATGCCAGCCATGGATATAGGGCGTTACAATACAATACCACCTACATTAACCATGGGTGTGTGACGTAGTGGGACGAGGACAAGGTGGAGCAACCCCATTTCCATTTCCATTTCCATTTCCGTTTCCCCTTCCTCTCCAATTAATGAGATCTCCCCATTCCTCCAACTTCTCTTCTCACTCCTCTCACTATCACCATGCCTCCCTTTCGCAATTTACTCGGTCGCAAGCCCCAACCCAATGGGACCCCCGTCGAGGGTTTCGACGAGAACCACCTTTCACCCCATCCACGTCCCGGCCCTCTCCCCATACGCCGGAGTTGCGACGACGAGCCCAATGAATATCAATTAAGCGGTGAGTTCCCCGTTGAAGCCGACAGCCAGGTAACGAATGATGGGATCGCATACTAATTTCTTCCAGTGGTCAACGATAGCGGCGTCTACCTTCCTGTAAGACCGCTGCTCGCTCAACCCTCCGCATACTTGCGCCTGATGAACCTTGGACTAACCAACCCTTCCACAGCCCTCGCCCCCAGAAAAACAAAGTTTCTGGCACCGATACCCAGGCTCTTCGCGATCCGCCAATAACCACCGAGACCTCGTCGACGAGAACGAACCCTTCTCGATATCCCGCGAATCATTCGACTCCTACCGCCGCTCATTTGTACGTGCCCGCCCAACTCCGCTCCGCGCTTCCCCCGCCAAATCACCAAGCCCCCAAACCGACCCCAGATCACAATCCCAATCCTACTAAAAACCAATACAAGACACCCACTGACTAACGTGCCCCAGGATATCTCCGCCCGCTCTCCAATCCACCACCCAGACGCCACCCCATCCCGCACATCCCTCGACTCCCGCTTCTCCCGCATAAACTCCTGCTCCATGCGCTCAGCCAGCTTCGAGAAGCCCCCACCAACAGAAGAGGAGAAATTCGAAGACGTAGGCCTAACAGATGAAACCGAAGCCAAACCCAAGAAGAAGGGCATCTTTGCCCGATTCGGCGACTCAGATAATACCCAACATCCGCCTTCCACCAAGTCCTCCACACCCTTTGGTTTCCACATACCTGGCCGAAAGCGCGGGCAGAGCGGGGCTGGGTCGGAACTGGGCGCTATGAAGACTGGGCCCGGGCCGAAATTGATGGTCGAGAGTGCGGAATGATTATTGCATTGATTTTCTTTTCTATGTATGCTTTCATGGATGGGTTGGCGTTTGGTTTATAGGATACCTAGTGGTTGATCCACTCCTGTGTGTGTGATTCTGTGGTGGCGGGCTGCCGCACCCTTTGACGATGTATGCTGCTGTTCTGGAAGTCTTGCGAAGGCTTGTTTCATTGTATCTTTCCGTGGTGTACATTTCTTTTTTTCAGTACGTTCGACTCTTATACTCATTGCGCATGGACTGATCATAATCACGAGAGATCATCCGTTGTTTATAGATCATGCAGTCGTATATATTCATTTTAAACTGCACAACTTATTTCATGACCTTATATGGTGTCGGAGCACATTGTTCTATGGTCACTTGAGCACAAGTAGACGGTATTGTAGACGGTGTTGCATATCTTGAAGGTCTCCCAGGGCAGTCTGCTTATCAATGCAAACAATGCAAACAGTAACTTTGAACGGCAAAAAAACTTCCTCCGCCCGCGACCAAAAAAATTATCGTTCGGCACGAGCATAACCAGCTCGCACCTCAACCACTACCCCATTTATTTTCAGTGAAAGGATCACCGGTCCAGTCGCTGCAACTTATATTCACAATGGCTGGAGTAAAACGCTCCGTCGATGCCGCCGAGGACCGCAATGGAAAGCGGAGCAAGACTAAGGGCTCCGCCGAGAAAAAGCCCAAGTCCGCCGGAGTCAAGAAGTCCAGTTCTTCCAAGGAGGTGAAGTCCTCCAAGAGCGACAAGAAGAAGGCTCCCAAGAAGAAGGTTGAGGAGTCTGAGGACGAGGACGAGGATGACTTCGATATTGACGACGTTTCGGATGATGGCGAGGGCCTCGATGCGCTGGATGAGTCTCCAGTTGAGGATGTTGAGATGAATGATGCGGAGGATGTGGACAGTGAAGAGGAGAAGCCCAAGGCTGAGAAGCCCAAGTCCGAAGCTGAATTGGCCGCGAAGAGTGAGTTGACGCCCAGACACTGATTTTTACTTTTTACAAGACGCTTTATAAAACTAACACCACCTCTCTCTATAGGCAATGCCTCCCGCGAGTCCCACGCTAAGCAAAAAGCTCTTCAACAGGAGCGCAAGGCCGCCAAACCCAACGCCGACACGATCGCCCGCTCAAAGAAGCTGTGGGAGCAGCTGCGCCGCAAGTCTCACGTCCCTCTCGAGCAGCGCAAGAAACTCATCAAGGAACTGTTCGGCATCATCACCGGCCGCGTTAAGGATTTCGTCTTCAAGCACGACTCTGTCCGTGTTGTCCAGACTGCCCTTAAGTACGGCAACCTCGAGCAGCGCAAGATGATTGCGCAGGAGTTGAAGGGTAGCTACAAGGAGCTGGCGCAGAGCCGCTACGCCAAGTTCCTCGTTGGAAAGTTGATTGTGCACGGTGATTCCGAGACCCGCGATCTGATTATCCCCGAGTTCTACGGCCATGTCAAGCGCTTGATCCGTCACCCTGAGGGATCGTGGATTCTCGACGATATCTACCGCAGTGTTGCGAGCAAGGAGCAGAAGGCTCGTCTTCTGCGCGAGTGGTATGGACCTGAGTTCGTTCTTTTCCAAGATGACAAGGAGCTCGGCGCCGACCTGCCCAAGATTCTGGCCGCTCACCCCGAGAAGCGGTCGCCCATCATGAACTTCCTGCGCGAGTTGATCAACGGATTGGTTCAGAAGAAGACGACTGGATTCACGATGCTCCACGATGCCATGTTGCAATATTTCCTCAGCACAAAGCCCGGCAGTACCGAGGCGAACGAGTTCCTTGAGTTGTTGAAGGATGACGAGGAGGGCGATCTGGTCAAGAACCTGGCTTTCACCCAATCCGGCTCTCGCCTGATGTCCCTGGCCTTTGCCTACGCCGGTGCCAAGGACCGCAAGCTCCTGCTCCGATTCTACAGGGATACCATTAAGACGATGGCCGGTGATCTGCACGGTCACATCGTGCTGCTTGCCGCCTACGAGGTCATTGACGACACCAAGCTGAGCGGCAAGTCTATTTTCTCCGAACTGCTGAACCAGAACGATTCCGAAGAGGCCCGCAACGACGAGCTCGTCTTCCAGGTCAACGACCTGACTGCCCGTATCCCCGTGCTGTACCCCTTCGCCGGTGACAAGACAAAGTGGCTCCTCCCCGAGCTTGACCAACAGATCCTGCAAGAGGTGCGCGAGGTGCGTAAAGAGACATCGAAGAAGGACCCGGCCGTGCGTCAACAGGAGTTGGCCAAGGCCGCCTCCCCCACGCTCCTTGCATTCATCGCGGCTCGCGCCGAGATCCTTCTGAACAGCACTTTCGGCTGCCAGCTCATCTCGGAGGTCCTCTTCCAAGCTGAGGGTGACAAGACCGAGGCCCTGAAGGCCGTGGCTGCGGCCGCGAAGAGCAAGTCTGAGACCCGTGACTCTGCGTCGGTGGGTCGCACACTCAAGTCGCTCGTGCAGGGCGGGCGGTTCAACCCGGCCACAAAGACTGTGGAGAAGGTTGAGCCCGCGCTGGGCTTCCACGATCTGCTGTATGAGCAGATCAGCGACGAGGTGATGGAGTGGGCGACTGGCGCGAACACATTTGTGATTGTTGCGCTGACGGAGTCGGATGACTTTGAGAAGAAGAGCGAGCTGCTCAAGACGCTGAAGAAGAACAAGAAGGCGCTGGAGCAGGCCTCTACGTCGGGCAAGGATGGAAAGGGACCTACTGCCAGTGGCGCGAAGTTGTTGTTGCAGAAGCTGTGAAGGTGAAGATGAAGGTGAAGATGAAGTTGAAGCCGAGGCTATCACTGTTACTAGTCATGTATCTTTTTGGTGTTAATATGTAAAGGGTAAAAGCATTCATATAGTCATTCATCATTTCAATACTCCATCTACTTCGTACTCTACTGTATGCACTTTGTCTTCTCGTCTGCCCCAATGAATTGCATTGTCCTAAAATTGGGCCCTCATGAAGACTCCACCTGGTGGAGTCCAAGATTGGGGGCATCTCAGGGGTTCGTTCCATTCAACCATTCAGCCATGCACCGCTGGGCCCTTGCTTGATCCTGCTCCTTGCGATCGAGACTGCATGCAGTGCTGCCCCTCGTGACAGAGTACCGTACCCCGTACATGTACATGTACACATACTCCACAGACCGCAGGGAGATCGGTATAGATGCCCTAAGTCCCTGCAATCTGCCAACAAGCACCGAAGTGGAGCCCAACAGACCGTCATTTAAACTGGCAAGCTAAAAAACTCTAAGAGCTTGTCTGGAAATTGCTACTAGTATCACGTCTATATACATCTATGGGACATGGCTCTTGTAAAGTAGTGGGTATACTCGATTCGAAGGTTTACCTTCCAATAGACTCATCACAGACATCAGATCTACCACCTTTCCCACTTGATCTCCAATGCAAATCAATTGAATTCGATCCAAACGGACTCGAGAATCAAAACAATTGGTCCAGCTTCATACCGATCGGGCAATGATCGCACGCTAAACCGCATCGTCATTAGGGGCAGCTTTTTCAGGGACTCGATTCCAACGGCTCCTTTCTTTCCCTCTTCTTCTCTCTGTACGACTCGGACTTCTCGAATTTCACCCACTCCCCCCCCTCCTCCTCCACTGGCAGGGCCAACCGTCCGCATGCCCTCTCTCACCTTAACCGACCCGGATATGATCCTGCCCTACGGCAGCGAACGACAATCCCAAACACCCTCCCCGCCTTCCCAACTCGTCTACCTGTCCAACCTGAACGCCCGTTACAACTCCGCAGACCCTCATGCCGTCAGCTCGGGAAGCAGCGCCCGCCCGAAGAAGAATTTTTCGCGCTCGGCGTGGACACATGAGGATTTGAGCACGAGCGCGAGTCGCAGGTTGTCGGATATTGGGGAGGAATTGTCGCCGGCGCGGTCGGTGGGCTTTGATGAGCAGGATGAGCAGGGACAGTACCAGGGACAGTACCAGAGCCAAGGTCAGGGCCAAGGTCAGGGCCAGTATACGGGATATACAGGCGCGGAAACACAGGGTCTGACGAGTTGGCCTGGTTTGCCAGACTCGAATGAGAATGAGAATGAGAACGATAACGCGAGTAGCTCCAGCTCGACGGTTAGTGCGGGGAGCAGGCACGCGAGGGATGTGTCCAAGTCACACGAGTCAATCTCGAGTCAGGGAAATGGTCAGAGCCAAAGTCTGGCCCAGGCTCAGGCTCAGGCTCAGGCTCATGCGGTTCAGGAACGGGAACCAGATCTGGTTCAGGGCGCATCGAATGAAATAAAGGGTATTCCCGATAAAAATACCATCGCCTCGGCTGTGAAGGGCAAGGGTCCTGGCGACGAATTCTCTTCGGCGATTTTGAGCAGTGAAGCCGAGAGGATTTTGGATAATGCGAAGAAACGATTGACGGTATGTGAACTTGACTCACACAGCAGAGGCCTTATCCATTGATCTCTGGAATGCTGACCTGTACGCAAATAGTTAATGGAAGGGAACCTCAACCGAGCACGTTCAACAGTGCGCGCCACACCCTCGCCCTCGCCCTCGGCGCAAGGAAATACCTCGCCGATGGGAATGCCGGTCGGTGGTTTGTATCGTTCCATCTCCAAGACAGACCCGGGCCGGCGAAGTTCGACGCTGCGCCGACAGTCCTACGTCCCGCCGCAAGATGGTTCGAATCGGCATTCACGCGTGCACAGCGAGACGAATTTCCCGCCGGAATCGAGTCTGTCGTCAGACACGAAGAAAGTATCTCGTTCTGTCAGCGCGATGGGATCTAGCAGCTCGAGTTTCCACAATGATGACCGGTCATTCCAATACGCGCCGACGAGAGCGTACCTCACGCACCGCGCATCTATATCTTCTATTCGGCCGGCACACCTCGAAGCGCTAGCCCAGTCGCACTCAAATTCATACGACAATTCCCCACAGTCCCCGCAGTCTGCGAGGTCAAGACAATCGGGACACTCGCCTATGGCCAGCCACTCGCCAGTCTCGATCTCTCACGAGGGTAGTTCCCAAGACTCACCGCAGGGCTTGGGGATATCCGCCGAAGATGAATCCAGATCGACCAATGGGGGTGATTTCAGCCCTGTCTACAGCTCATATGGACCGCCCAGTCGCGCCCAGTCTCAACTGCAGGTTCGCGATCTCCAGTACCAAATGAAGGGCCTCCATATCAAGATCTCCTCCCTGAAAGTCCGGAGCCAGGAGGATAATTTGCGCCGGCGCAGTCTGCAAAGTCTGCGTACGCCGAGTCCCCTGACTGCCGCGGATCCCTGGTATCAGAATGGCCTCGAGGTCCGAGATGGCACGAGTAGTCGTGGCTCCAATGCGCGCGAGTCTCGTCCTCACAGCCAGAATCTCACCAAGGAGAACCACTCCCCGCGAGAAACCGACGAGAGTCATGCGCACCAGTCACAGTCGCAGTCGCAATCACAATCACAATCGCAGTCACAATCGCAGTCACAATCGCAGTCCAAACGTGCTAGCTCTACCTGGCAAGACCACCAATCAGTCTACCACGACAGTAGAACGCAATCCACAGCACAAAGCATGTACGAAGACGCCGAAGAGGGCTACTACGACGGCGATATAGACCGCGAGGCCCTAGACGAGATCCTCCGCGAACCCCTCGACTCAGACCTCGAGAGTCAACTCGACTACCCCCAGAACGGAGAGGGCGTACCGCACGAAGAGCGCGAGGACGCGTTCGACTACGAGCATTTCATTCTGCACAGTGCGCTGGGCAACTATTCCCGCCAACTTCGCCGGGCGAGTAGTGCGTCTCGCGAATCGGCTGAGACGACTCGACCTGCTCATAGGCCGGTGCAGCATTCGCGGACTAACAGTAATATGTCTGATTCGACGGTTGCTACGTTTGCCACTGCCACTGAGGGGGAGATGCCCGAAGAGGAGGATGAGGTTAACAGCGTGATGTATTGGGATCGTCGATTTAACCACGGTATGTACCAGACGCCCTTCCCCTCCACGATAACGCCTCTAATAAAAACCAGAACTCCGCCATCGCCACGTCGAAGAACCTATCCCGGAAACAGACCGATCTGAAACCCCGCGCGGCCCACGAGGCAGTGAAAGAGACGGCGAAACCACCCCCGTCGAAGGCCAATACCTCGACGCAAATGGGAATGGCAGGTCTTCGTCCGCGACGACCGGGTCCGCAACCCCAACTTCTCTCGTCTCCTCGCTTGTGTCTACGGTTCGCGCGGCCTCGGCTTCGAGTCCGCACCCTGGCTCTGCGACGCCGACTCAGTCTGGCGGTGGTATTAATGATGATGATACGCAGATGCTGGAGCAGTTGTTTTCGAGTCTGGGAAATGTTTGTATGGATCTTCAGGCTATTACGACTTCTCCAGAGCCGGATCTTAAGTCTGCGAAGATTTTGAGGAGGCGGTTGGATGCGGCGAGGAGGGTTTTGGATGGGGAGCTGGATACCTGAGCTTGAGCTTGAGCACGATGCCCCATTCGTGTATATTTTTGGACCTTGTCTCTTTTTTTTCTTTCCTTCCTTTCTTCTCATGATACCCAATTTTCCCTTTTTCTTTCTTTTGAGATGGATCCTTTCATTACAGTTGACATCCATGGTTGAGCCATGGGATATCTAATTCTCTCCATATTTACATCTATATCTACAATCTATAGCTCCAGATACAGCTACAATTGATATTCAATAATTTAAGCTTTAATTTAACTCCCCCGTTTCTCCTCCAAGTCAAATCTGCATGTACCCCAGATGTTGTGCATCGAATCAGCAGCCTCCGAAAATTCCACAGCCGATCATCGCTTTCCCCTCCGAATCCCCCCACATCCACAATGCCAATGCCAATTCCAATGCCAACTCCACCACTCTACAATATTCCCATGCCGAAAGGTTAAATATCGAATCTCAATCTCAAGTCGCATACCACTCGAGTCAAACTTCAAACCGCGACCCTCTCCATCGCAAGCGCTCCAGCAAAAAAGGTACCAAACCTCATCCCCCTCCCCTTTCTGCCCCGCGCTCGACGCGATAAGCCGAACATTTCGTGTCGCGTCGCGAAAATCCATCCCATCACCTCAACCACAGTGCGCAAATCACCCCAAACCACCATGACCCCCCTACTCACACACAATGCGAACCAGAAAATCACCCGCAAACAAACAGACCACAATCACCGGGCCCGCCCCCGCGCCTGCGCCTTAGGACCGGCAGTCAGTCCTTGACAATCAACAAACCACCTCAGGGTCATCACAAGAACCAAAATGGACACATCACTCGACCAAACCCGCTTCCACCACCCACAGCACGCCCACAAATCCAGCCTAGCAATGAGCACAGGCACAAGCAGCATGACCCGACCAACCCAGCCCTCACGCCGCCTATTAATCTTCCAAGAAGCGCGCAATCCGCAAAACACGGCCGAAATCGCCTATCTGCCCGTCAACAAGCTCGGGTTACCGATTTGCGGCGAGGGTCCGGTGTTGCCGGATATTTTGGAGTTGCCGTTGCGGATTGTTAAGGCTTTTACGGAGATTTTTAATCAGCCTAAGTATAAGGGGTGGTATGGCTTATTCTGCCGCTGTTGCTGATGCGGCTGCTGTTGTCTTTTGGGGATCCGCAGGCTAATTCGTACTCTTGCTTTTAGGTCTGTTCGCTCGGCCGGCCCTTACCATGATACGTCTGAAGAAGGGAAGTTTTATGCTGTTGTTTTGGAGCAGACGCAGGGTCATCAGGAGATGAGTTCGAGTGCGGGATCGCCATAGGTCTGGAATTGTTCGTTTCTTTCTTTCTTTTCTGTTGTTCTTCCTATTTTCTATTTACATCTTTATTTTTTCAGTCCGTGGACTTGTACAGTGTTGTTTTCGAAGTTTGTTTCTCCACTACTAGTCCCCTATGTATGGAGTAGATTATGCGAAATAGATGGATGTGGTTATGGGATACTGGTCAATAAGGCCTTTCTTTTTCAGCAATGAATGAGTTGAGGAATGGTGAAATAATATTTCCCCTGCGAATGTTAATAACAACCTTATACTCCGGAAATCCTGTGATTATCGTCGTCCACGGAATTGGGTCTCGGTCCGACCCGCTTTGTAGTTCATCCAAGTGTTTGGGACCGACATCAAAGCTTCGTTTTCTACGGTAGTTGACCGTTGTTTTCATAGATCCATAGCCCCTGTCGAGTCCTTGACTGGGCAGCGCTTTCCAGTCACCTGACGATGTAAGCTGTACGAACCCCTCATGCAGCATTGCGGCTGAGTAAACAGCCCGCACTCTGACAACAACCCAGATCTTGTCTGTGTCACCTTGATTTACCATGGCAAGAAACACCCACTTCGGTGGGAATTACCAGGGACTCCAAGTCGAACATAATGAAGGTTCAATTACATTCAACCAGTGTAAGGTCAAACTCCCGAGACCGTCGTCGTGCAAAGCTGACCCGGCGCTTAGCCCAAACTGTGGAGGAAATCGATCGATTGTGTCTGCGAGAACTGCGCTGCCCAGACTCACGGCTTGTGAAAAACAGATTGAAAGAAAGCAAGGACAAATTGCTTCCTGAATCGTTTGAATGGATCCTCCGCGACCCAAAGTACGAGAGTTGGCGAGATGGAGAGGAAGTCTGCCTACTCTGGATAAAGGGCGGTGCTGGTAAGGGTAAGACGATGATATCCATCGGCCTTATTGAAGAGCTTTTGCGATTCTGCCGCGACAAGTCCAGTGCGATTACATACTTCTTCTGTCAGAATGCGGATAACGAGCTTAACACCCTCCAAGGCATGATGAAAGGCTTGATTTTGCAGTTACTCCACCAACAACCGGCCCTTAAGGAATGCCTGCGAGCCAGATGGGACGCTGAAAAAGGTTCATTCGATGAAGACCTTACTCCATGGAGAGCTTTGTGGCATATTCTTCTTGAGATGATAGACCAGTGTGACTGTTCGAAGATATACCTGCTTTTGGATGCTCTAGATGAGTGCCAAGATGGTGATATGGACGAATTCCTGAAGGCACTTGTACGAAATGGGCTGCACGCTCCTGTCAGAGTAAAATGGCTCTTGACAAGCAGGCCGCTGGACAAGGCAGAGAGGGCCCTTCTAGCAGGACATGACCAAGTGCAACTGAGCCTTGAGTTAGAATCGGACCGTCTGCTCGGCGCGGTAAAAATGTATGTCACCCACAAAGTGAATGAGCTCGGCCGTCACCAGGGGTATGAATGGCCCCTGAAGCAGAAAATCGAGTCCGAGTTACTTGAAAGATCTGAAGGGACTTTTCTATGGGTGAGCTTGGTGTGCAAGAAGCTTGAGTCTGTCTGTCCAGAAGAGGCTCTTGTTGCGATTCAGAACATACCACATGGCCTACACCCTCTGTATGGGCAGGTCCTCGAGCAATTAAATTGCGGCCGGGGAAAAGAGGTAAAAATGTGCATGCGACTACTCAAAGCGATGATGTTAGCATATCGACCGTTGAAAATGGGAGAGTTTGCGACCATTGCCGGTTTAGAATATGACGAAGACGTGAGTCTTATGACATTAATTATTCGGTGCGCTTCGTTTCTCAGGCTCCAAGGACAGAGTGTTGAGTTTGTTCATCAATCTGCCAGAGACTATTTAGCTGGAAAGGATGCACAGCTTCTTCTTGGCTCGCATGAAATGTTTGAAGACATTGATGTTGTTCTCAACTGTCTATCCTGCTTATCTCGGTTTCTGAAGACCAATCTTCTTAACCTACCACCCAATGCAGGCCATTGGTCAGTTCAAGTGCTGAGAGAAGATAATTGGAGCATCGTACTGGATAATTTGGGGTATGCCGCTACCTTCTGGGGACAACATTTACGGGACTCAGACTTTGATCAGATTGATTCTCGGAGCCACGCGCTGGGCAAGAACCCTATCATCGACTTCCTCCATGCAAATTTGCTGGAGTGGCTAGAATGCTTAAGCCTATTCATGGAGCTTCCTGTCGCTATACAAACCCTCAAGCGTTTGGAAGACGTATTCAAGGTCGGTATGGAGTCTAAAACGAATTTTGAAACGTCTTTTACTAATAATATTGGCGAAGAATGATGCTACATCTATTTCATTTGTTAGGGACTCTATTCGCTTTCTCTCCCGAACTTATGATACAGTGAAATATTATCCAGTCCAGGTTTATGCCTCTGCTGTTATTTGGACTCCTGAGTCGAGCCCCGTGAGAAGAAGGAATTTGGACCGAGCTCCATGGCTAAGGAGTGTTGCTCCTTTAGAGGCTACATGGGGATCTTGGATACTAGAATTCGACAGAGACTTCGAAGATCATTTTTACAAACTGAAAGTTTCTTCACAAAGCGAGCTTGGCGCAACTGCCGCTGATCTAGATACAGATGAGCAACGGATCACTTTGTGGGACATCAGAACGGGAGCCATACTAAAGCGGCATCACTGGAAATCTGCCCAAAGGGTCAGCGAAATGGGGTTTTCACAGAACGACGACAAGATAGTATGGATTGCCGAGACAAACACTATTTACTCATGGGAAATCATGAGTCAAGACGTTCATAAAATACCAGTTGAACGTCCAGGATTCGGTGAAATCGTGGTCCTCTCATCAACGAGCACGCGGGTCGCGTCTATAGTCTCTGGCCATGGAATTCTTATTTGGGACATCGCAACTGGCAAAATACAAAGCCATGTTTTGTTAAGCCACCCAGTTAATGACCAAGAACTCTTCTTCTCACTCGACGGCACACAGGTCACATGCGACGTCTCCGATCGGGAACTCTGCACATGGGATACTATAACCGGCAGACTCCACAAGACACTGGAAAAGCCCCCAGGCTTTCTCCGTTGCTTAGCTTATTCGCCGGATGGAATTCATATTGCTCATCATTCCCTAGAGGCCAACATCCTCCTTTGGAATACGCTATCAGGTCATGGCAAGCGGCTAGAAAGCTACAGCTACAGCGAAAACCCCCCCGGTATTTTCACCCAATGGTAAAAAGGTCGCATGCAGAACCAACGATGGCAGCATAAAAGTTTGGGATGTTTTGACCGGTAGCCTTCAGCAAAGCTTTTTGAGTGATGCTATGGAACTGGCCTTTTCACCAAGTGGTAAGTTGATGATATCTTTGACATATGGAGCTCAGATTGATCTGTGGGACGTGGAAGTACTATCGGCGGAGCAGATAGATTCAGTTGATCTGCGCGCCGAGGACGTGGCTTTTTCACACGACGGCAAAAGCATTGTTTGTTGTACCAGCCAAGAAGATTTCTTTACAATTGTGGACGCCAAGACTGGTATTACTCAGAGGAAAATATCAGTACCCGCGGATATAAACGGACACATAAAGATTGCAAGGTTCTTACCCGGCGATGAGAACATTGTAATAGTGCTCAATCGGAGTGTAATGATTTGGGAGGCGGCTACCGACACCTTTCAATGGCAAAGAGACGACAATGTCGACGACATAGCCTCATCCCCAAATGGTGAATATCTTGCCGGTATTGTCGACTCGGGTGAGATTCGAATATGGAACATTCGAACAAGAGCTCTTACGATGACAATAAAAGACCAGAGATGGGATTTTGGAGCTCTTGCCTTTTCTCCGAATGGCAAACAAATAGCCTCCTACGCATATGATATGGATGGCGATTCTATGGCCTTGATGATTTGGGATATTTCTCGACCGTTGAGAGCTTCCAAATTCCTCGGAAATGCTATCAGTAGTCACATCCCATACAAAAAGCCAAAGAATATCAATTTAGGATCCGATTTTGCCTCGAACTCCCTAAAGTTTTCAGCGGATGGCCAATATTTCTTGTCGGATGAGGGTCCAATTATGGCGAGCAGCACTCACGCACAGACAGAAGACAAGAAAATGCCAGGAAATCAGCCATCCCATCTCCATTTCGGATCTGGAGATGACTCCGGGTGGATATGCTGGAGGGGGCAGCCCTTCTTTCGAGTTCCGTTATCTTTGATGGTATTCTTGGGCCACGATGTGCGAGACGAAAAAATTGTCATTCGTTATAGAGAACGAGGATCTAGGTTATTGATCTTGGATATTGATACAGCAATTTTATCTACTGTGTTGGAGTCGACAGGCTCAACATATCAAGGTGCTAGTCCCTTCCTCAATCGATGATCCGTGAAGACGGAGCTTTGAGACTTGACAGCTTTGGAAGGCATGAAAATAGTATGGTAACGACCCCGGGGTGAAGCTGTATGCCTAGGTAGGTGTTGGGCGGAATTCTCTTCCCTCGCACTACTAGTACTCCTTCCATTTGAAAAAGACGGAAATACGTTATACTCGAAAGTCTGCTACGAACTTGAACGGGCCCTTCAAATATTATTCTACAGCAATACTTGGAACAGGCATGAATTTCAATCCCTACATAAAGTCTGTACCAGCCATAAAAGTCGATTCAAAATCAAGAGATTCAAAATTGTTGAAGATTAAAGAGTATTTGATGTGCGGCTTTTCACCCTTTTCTATCCCCTCTGGCCTAATTCATCTGCAAACATGGTCCCACTTTGCATATCTGGTTAACGGCAACTGGGCTTACCAGCTCGAAGTTGAGTTTCCGATGTTCTACTGAGGGTAAGGCCAGTAACGACTGTCTTCGGTGCGCACAGAAGACGGTCTGCGAGGCATAACAGAAGCAGCCCAGTCGGTGAGAGAGATATTACCTCGAGACAAAGGAGCCCGCGCCTGCGCACCTTCAGATGCGTATGCAGAAATATGATTGCGGAGAATTTCAAGCTGCTCGCGAATCCGAGACATTTCGCACAATGCCTGGGGCGTCAATTCTCTCTGGTGAGAGAGTTCCTCAAAAAGGTCTTTGATATTTTCGGCGAGGCGTGTGACCTTGTCAGACGTGTGATTTAGATGCGCATTCGTGTGGCTCAGTTCCTCGAACATTATGTCAATGGCCCGGCTTTGGCGAGCTTGTTCGACTCTGACTTTCCAGAGCTGTGACTCTTGCTGAAATATCATGGTCTGTAGGTATCGGGTCTGCTCGACCATGGAAGAATTTGGGTCCAGGGGCTGGGGCGAGGCATGGCTTTGCTGGAGGTCGCTTGGGTTGCTTTTGGAGGTGATTTGACCAGGCAGATGGGTTGTTGCGCTGGTTGTAGAGGAGCTTGCCCGGGGAGTGATCGTGCATGAGTCGCTTTTGTTGGAGCTGCCGTCATCGTCTGCAAGGGCGGATTGCATTTGCAAAATGCCGTTTGGCAGCCTGTTACTTGCAAGCAACCACTATGTAAAATATTATACTGTTAGTCTTGTAACCGCATGGACTTTAGGGCAAGTTTGCTTCGGGACACATTACTGGAGAAGGCTCGCAATAAGGCAACATAGTGAGAGGTCGGCTGGGGCGCATTCCACTCAGTCTGGCGATCAGTTTCTGGTCTGATTGAATGCTGAAATGATCTTTTTATGGTGGATCCTACCCAGGCGGCTTTCGCGACTGCAGCCTGGATGGGTGCCCAGGTGTAGAATGGTCGATGAATCAACAAGGGTGGGGAAGGAGTGGAGGATGGGGGATGGAGGATGGAGAATACTGGAGACGGATGGAGATGAGTTGAGAGGTAATTTTTAAAGGCATACATGGAAGACATGTTTGAAATGATCTGTTTCCATTGGAAGTGAAGGTCTGGTAGAGCAGTGGGAGTGCCAGTAAATGGCAGTGAATGTCTACCGGCGGGAACTGAAACTTCCTATACTTCCCCTGACTGGGTCTCTGCTTATTGAATCACATTGATACTAGTACAATATATTCATGCAATATGTAAGCGAGGTTCTCAATTAGGCGGGACATCTGGCTATCGAGCCTCAAATTCCTGGCAGAGGCCATGAGCCTGCCTCATACCCAGGTGGAGCATATCACTTTCAAACCTCCAAGCGCCAGATCTCCACAATTAGAGTCCAGTAGATTTCTACGGAGCCGCCGTTAACGAAAGAGACTCCATTTCCCACGATGAAACTTGACAACACATGTTAGTCAGAATCATGGTCATGAAAGGTAGTAAATAAGACGAACAATGGAGTTCGAATAAACGGGCTTTGTGCGATGTAAAGGACGGTCGCCCAAGCCACCGGAACGCTGTAGTAGCTTCCGATATACGGGACAAATACATCGAATTCGGGTGTTCCTGGATAAAGGACTAGATTGAGTCTCTCCATAAGAACAGTGTGGGTGTCCAAATGGATGGCTTCGAATACCATCAAACGTGGGCAATGCATTGTGCTGGGGACCTTTCATTAGTGAGTAATAATAAAAGTCTCAAGATCGAGATCAAAGTTGATATATTTTCATACCTAGGTACCAGGTGCCCAGGTGTAGAGTTCAAAATTTAGACTCTCAGTGGCCACAGTGTGAAATAATTTGCAAGGTGAATATGTTGAGGTCCACGGGTGAAGAGAAGGAAAAGAATGAACTTGGAGAAAACTCCAGCACTACCCTAGGAAGTACTAGTAGGAGTTGCTGTTACAATTGGAAAGAAGGCCCGGTCATTGCTCCTGCCAATTTTTGGCGAATATTCCAATGGTCTTGAGACATCCAGAGTTCGCTTTATAATAAATATAGAGCCACTTATAAGTTGAAACCTCGAGCATGTTGGTCAAAATCAGATGGAAAAGAGAGAGAAGAGAAGCTATCTAGACATGGCAGGGGCGGCCTGGGATGCCTCCCTCAACAAGAATGTAGAAAACCCTTCAAACCGCAAAAATATCAAACAAAGCCTGCAAATACGGAACGCAAATAGAAAAGCTCAGTCTTTGCCCATGCCTTCTGGGTATCGACCCTCAAATTCCTGGCAGAAGTCATGAGCCTGCCTCATGCAGGTGCCCAGGTGGGGCTTATTACTTTTAAAACTCCAAGCGCCAGATTTATATGATTAGAGTCCAGTAGATCGTTTGCAAAAGAGACTCCATTTCCCACGATAAAACTTGATAACGCATGTTAGTGAGAATCAAGGTTATGAAAGGTAGATAGGACAAACAATGGAGTTCGAATAAACGGGCTTTGTGTGATGTAAACGACGGCCGCCCAGGCCGCCGGAACACTGTAGTAGCTTCCGATATACGGGACAAATACGTCGAGCTCAAATGTCCCTGGATACAGGCCAATATTGAGCCTTTCCATAAGAATAGTGTGGGTGTCCGAATGGATGGCTTCGAATGCCATCAAACGTGGGCAATGTATTGCGCTGGAGACCGTTGATAAGTGAGTGAGTGAAAGTCTAAGATTGAGATCAAAGTTGATGTATATTCATACAGTACTTCCGGAAATCGGTGTCACCAGCTGAACTCTTTTCATTCTCTCTCCCCAAAAGCCACATTTGTTATGGTAGTATAACAAAATCGAATAGCTTAGTGTACGGTACTTGCTGGCGAAAGCAATCATCAATCATAACAAGCCCGAAACGGTGAACTTTGGAAATATACTCAATCGCATCTAAAAATACCAATATCTCAACAAAACCGCGGAAAGCCCGAGCAAAAGAGTACAGGACATTGCGATTGGGCCTAAAATAATCCTTCAATTTAGAACTGTCTTTTTGGGTGCCAGGCAAGACATGGAATCATTTGATGGCTCGTATACAGCGGCAGCGGCCTGTAGGGCATTTCCATATTCACCCCATCGCCTCAGTAGGGAGGTTTGCCTGAGTGTTCTTGAATAGGATAGAAGCTGCTCTATCTAAGGCTTGCAAAGATCCACAGCATTTCTGTTGGTCTAGAATATATTAGCGATAAGAAGAGCATCAAGGGAATTTGTAGACAATACCGAGATCATTCACATTGTCCAGGGTGAGGCCATATAGCGTACGGAAAGATCGCCATACGGTGCTGCTTTTCTTGTAGCCCTCGGTGACTACCATGGCATCGGATCGCATATCACCGCCGTGGATAACATCCTTATTCAGTCTGCGGATTTCCTCCTTCTGGCGTTCTGTGTCTTTGTTCAGCGCATCTCGCACCCATGTGGAAATGGCCCTTTGACGGATATAGAGAGAAAAGAAGCTATCTAGACATGGCAGAGGCGGCTCGGATTGCCTCCCTCAGCAAGAATGTAGAAAGATCTTCAAAAAGCAAAAATATCAAAGAAAATCCGGAAAGACGCAAATGCTTCCGTGAAAACAAACATGAAAACTCAACAAAACTGTCTGTGTATTGACCCTCAAGGTCTAGGCAAAGGCCATGGGCCTGCCTCATGGAGTTATTGTGCTCAAAACTCCAATCTCCAAATTTCCACAATGAGAATCCAGAAGATTTCCACGGTAGTATTTGTTGCCTCGACGAGGATGAACGACACCCCGTTTCCGACGATAAAGCTCGAATACACATGTTAGTCAGAATCTTGGTGAAAGGTAAATCAGACGAACAAAGGAGTGCGCAGGAACGCGCTTCGTGCGATGGAGGGGATGATCCACCAGGCCAACGGAAGGTTGTAAAAACGGCCAATGTAGGGTACAAAAACGTCGTACTCCGGCGTTCCGGGGTAGAGCACTACATTGAGCTTCTCGATAAGGACAGGGCGGTCGCTCAGATAGACGACCTCAAAGGCCATGAGGCGTGGAAAATGCATTGTTCTGGCGAGACTGCTGATTAGTGAGTGGTAGTTCAAAACTGAAGATCGTCAATATCCAAGTTGATGTATATTCATACTACCTACAAAGTGGGCATGGAAATGTCGAAAAATGGTGTGTGGGATATTTTGAGTCGAAAAGAAGAGAAAGAAGGAACTTGAAATAAAAATAATTCACCAGGGCTACCTTAGATAGGAGTACTGCTGTTATAATTGGAAGGAAGGCTCGGCCATTGCTCCTACCATTTTTGGCGAATATTCCCAGGGCCTCGAGATCTTGCTTGATACTAAATATAGAGCGACTAGAACTAACTTGAGACCTCGAACATATTGATCAAAATTTTGATCGGGAAATACAGAAAAAGAAAAAGAAAACTTGAACTCTGCAGTACCTTGAATTTGCGTCTAGACCCAGACTCCCAGACTAAGCACACTAGTTTGTTGATGGCTCTCGGAGCAGCCTCGATCGACTCATCACTTGACAGATTTATTCAGCTCATTCCTGCGAATATAGAATAGTTAGTTGAGTAGGGAGGAGGGCTTTTTCGAGCTTCTGGCTCAGTCATATTGCCAGGTTCTCGTATCCAACTTCGGGGTCTGAGATGTTTTAATGGAAATATCATAGCGCGTATTCATTTCCCTGAAGCTAAAAGGGAAGGATGGTAGTAATGAATCCAGGGCTTGAAGAAGAGATGAACTTGAAGTAAAGTATGATTAATATACTAGTACTCTATCACATAATGATCATGAGAGGGTGCCCAGCTGGGTACGCGAATATTAAGATCAAGTAGGCAGCGTGTAGTTAGTTGTAGCTGTTCGATCAAAATACAAAGCTTGCCCACTGGAAGAGAAAAATATTGAAATGAAGTAGATTGAATGATATTGAAATATCCTATTGCACTGAAATTAGCAAACGAATCCCACAAAGGCAAAGAACAAATAGAAAAGCAGAGTAGTGGCTAGGGGTAATATCATTCAAAGGACACGTAAGGAGAGAAAGCTCCCCCTTCACAGCATCCCAGAGCACTATCACGATCGGATTGCAAGCTAGTACTTTTTTTAGCTATGGGAATTCGTATATATTGTTCTAAACACCCAGCTCGGACACTATCACAGTTTATGGAGAGGGCAGATACGATAGAGATCAAATAAAAATGCAGTTGTATTCAATAAGAAACATAGGGGATGGGAGAGCAGCGGCGACTGAGTGCCGACCAGATACGTAAATGTTCAAGGATAGAAGATATGGTGTGGTCCTACAGACATCCTTGAGACAAGAATCTCTCGAAGGCACGGGGTATCTCCTGAATCTCGAGAATGATCCAATAAAGGGCAGTATCGTGGTCTGCTTCCCGGTCCTGGGGCCTGTCTTCCCAGCGATGATGCCTTATACGTCAATCTCAATACCCGGATTGATTTAACTCAATTTGTTCCCGTATATAGATGAGACTAATATCTCATTGTCAGATAATTCAAAGGCTCACAGGTCTCAGAGACTCAAATCTTCTATTCAGACTTACAGTTCTTAATACAACCAGTCTGAAGTCTGAGTAGACATACCAGGCATATCAAATACGGACCATTGAGGTTCTCAAGGTGAATTTAGGGCAGACATCTTGCATAGAGTTGTAGAAGATTTGCAGTGAATGCAAAACTCGAAGTACAATAAAAGGTAGAAGTATACAGCCTAGCACCTTCCCTTCCTCCTTCATCTCCTCCACTTCTTCCCATCCCATCAGCCACCCACACTCACACCAACACCAATCTCACCCCACACCTCACCTTCACTATCAAAACGGCATCAAAATGACCCGCGACCCCAGAAACCACAGCACAGAAGTACTACAATCTCCTACCCCTCCATCCCACCAAATCAATTTGAATCTAACACCCCACAGCCCCGAAGCAGCGACCCAACCCAATCCTTCTACCTCCTCCCTCTACGAAACCAACTGCAACGACGAATTCACCCTATCCCTAACAAGCCCAGGCCTCCCCATCGTGCCTAGCTCCCCCTTCTACCGCACCCTCCAAGACCTCTGGTCCCAACACGGAAACCGCGACGAAACGCCCAGCCCGGGTCTCATCCGCGCCGTTGCGGCTGAAGTCCAGCGGCAGCCGAGACTATGCAATTAGTACGTTTGTCTTGGCTCCCCCCTCACTCCCGGGTGGACCTTGAACGTTGCTGACGTGTATAGCTCGATATACCGCAGCTGGATGGATCATCAATCGGATTTACAATACGTTCTCTTGCAGTCTAGGCCCGGCGTGAACGCGGGTAGGAACGACTCTTGGATGGGGTATTTGGGATTGGCAAACGCACGACGCTCGCCGAGACGGAATCGGTTTCTTAGGGCTCTTGAGCAGGGGTATTTGGCTGAGGGAAGTAGCGAGGAGAATTGAAGTGAATGAGTCTTCGAGCTCGCAGTGGTTTTATGGTGGGCGTTTAGGTTCGGGTTCTTTTCTTTGCCTGTTTCGGTGATGTTCAAGTTCTGCATTCATTCGTTTTGGGGCCACGGACTCGGGGCTATCCAATGAAGACATACTGGAGGGGAGGAGATATCATTTTTTTGAAGAAAGCGGTATTAAATGGAGAGAAGCGAGAAGTTAATTGACTTAAATTGACATGTTCCATCAAGGACGGGCATTTCTTGGCACATAACCTGTACGTACGCAGCGAGCGGGTATTTCATGGTATTATTATGATTGGACACGAGGCCTATAGAGATATCCAGAGTAAATGATATCAAGCAAATAATTGGAAGTCAAAGTCCGAGCGAAGAAGTACAGAGAATCCCAATCCCCCACAGCACCAACACCCCTTTGCAGCGAAGAGAAGAAAAAGAAAAAGACGGCCGACACGGCAGTGAGAGGGAAAGGTGGGTGAAAGGGACGAGGTATTCAGGTGAAAAGTATAAGAAACCTGTCTCCACTCGCTCTCCGTGCAAACATGCATTCATATATCTTTTTTTTTTTCTTTTTATTTTCTTCCCCTTGTTTTCTTGAATCCTCAAGCACCATTGTTGCACCCAGGAATGTTTTTTTTCTTCTTCTTGATTTCTGGAATTTCCAGCAACCGTTTCAATTTCTTCTTAACATACACAAGACTGGCTTTGAAGAGAAACAAGAATCATTCGAGCTAGGCATTGCTCGGTTGCAGGAGTCCGGCGACGTGGTGGAGGTCCAAAGAGCGAGAGTCCGTAGGGTCAAACATCGCGTGGGCACGCTCTTCGATGTAGAAGGCTAGAGGCAAAGGTAGTTAGCAATTGATCCCACCAAGAAACACGGGGCATGCATACGGGAAATTTGAATCATGTCGAACCAGCGCATGGCATTCTCGTCGCTGCCGTCGACGGCCTTGAGCGTGCCGTCTGGGCGAACGGTAGTTTTGGGTGGGAGACTCCGCATGCGGAGCAGCATGTGCAGGATATCGGCGAAACGCTCGGACTGGTTATAGTAGTAAGGGGGGCGTTTGTCAAGGGGCCACTGGAAAAGGTTAGTGGCTGAGTAAACTGTGGCGGATGGCACTACTTACGCGCTGGGAAAAGTTTTCGTTATCCCACGAGCGGAAGAGCCAGCAGGTCCGCTCGACGCAGTTCAGAAGAACTACCGAGACTAGGAACGTCTCGAACCAGCCGGTCTTTTGGCGCTGGAGCAGTCGGCGTTCGAGGTCCGTGATGACGGATTTGCTCAATTGCATGGCACGTTTCTCCATGCCCGCTCGCAGCTGGCTGCATAGTAGGGCGTATGACTCGTGGTCCGAGACTTCTTCAATAGGGAGACGTCCCTCGTCGGAAGACTGAGAAATGCCGTGCACGGAGGCGGGAGGGAGGGTAGGGTTGCAGAAGGTCTTCCAGCTGAGTTCGGTGTCCACCAAAACATGGGTAGCTACCCACAACTCCACTGCGCGTTCCAGCAGAGTATCCTGGAGACTATTAGTAAATGGTTTCTATCTTTTGCTTGCGCCAGTGCGAGTAGAACATACCTTCTTAGATTGGCTCAACTCAGAAGCCAGCAAGAGAGTGGACTTCATGAAGACGGAAGCCTCGCGTTCAATGAAGAATGGAGCGGTCTTCTTGATGTACAGCTCGAGTTTACTTGGAACGTCATCGGAATCACTGTCCAAAAGATAGATCTCTTGCGGAGGTCCGGAAAATTGATCTTCGCCCAGACCTTGAAGCTGAGGATCAAGTGCAGAAACAGATGCACGGTGGCCTTGAACTCCGCTGAAGGTGACAAAGACCATACTTTCCTCAAGATGAGTCACTTCAATGCGGCCAGCGTAGTGCTCAAACTTGACCTGGTTCCTGATGGCACTGGTGTCGTGATATGCGAGGGTGGCGTGCAAGTCTAGATGGGTCAGTTTCAGTCGGTGGGTAGTATTAGAGACACGTGGTGGCGCAACTTACTCGCGTTATAGAGTTCGAACTCCTCCGAGAGACGAGTTCGAATGCAAGGGTGCTTCCAGAGACGGGCACTTTCCACGCTAGCGCAGGTTGTGCAGGGAGTATCACCGGAGCACTAAGAAGCTAAATTAGTCGCCTGATGGGCATTTGAATATCAATATCCGATTTGTCTTACAGGTTTCTTCAGCATACGGCAACGAATGCATGCACCTCGCTTCCGTACTTCTTGAACTTCCTTCCGTCGCTCGGTACTGAAGCGGCCGCGCACCTTGGGTTTGGCCGGCTTTGTGGAATTGCCAAATTCGTTCACAAACCCCTTTGCCTGAGTGTTGGGGTTCATCGCAATCGGACGTGGGTATGAGGCAGCACGCTGAGTCGCCGCGGTCAATGAGGGGTCGTGTTCCTGAAGACTGTCGAACAGGAGTTGTTCCTGCGTCGATAATTGCTGGTTCCACTGGCCCAGCTTGAGACCATCTGCGCCCAGACCATCTGTATCCATCGTCAAGCCTTGCGGCACCATCTCGTTGGCTGAAGCTGCAATCATGGAGAGCTGTGATTGACGCGCATTGGATGCGGACTCTGGGCTGAGTGAATGATCAAGTGGTGGGGACATTGAAGTTGGATGGTCCGAGGTATGACTAGGCAGGGCAGGAATGGTGGGAGTTCCAGAGGGTTGAGAAGTTCCTATGAAATATTCTGTTAACTTGAATGACTTTTTTTGACAGTCCAGTTTCGGAGTGTTTCCCACTTACCACTCATGGTGCTATCCTCCAGCTTAACGTCCCCTTGCTGTGAGGCAGATGCCTGAAAGTCGGCCTCTAAGGCTGGGTCGACTACTACAGTCTTACCACCCACGGTGACGGACTGGGTGTATTGAGGGCCACGCTTTGTCGTATCCGACGCGCCCACCTGACGAGAAGCCTCCGCCAGGACGTTCAAGCCGTCGAAGTTGGGACGAGTGAAAGAACCGTCAGCTGATTTCCCTTTACCTCCTGGTGTACTCGGGTCTTTATTCGCGTCGCCTTCGGTGAGGTCGGGAAGTTCGTGGAGTCGAAGAAGAACGCGCTGGCGGTCCCGAAGAGGAATGGCCTGGCATTTCTTGACCAAGTGGTTGGTCAAGCTATCGATGCGCCCTTTGGGGAATTTCTCTCCGCAGGCCTTGCAGGTATGTTGGTAGCGATTACTAGAATCCTCGAGCTTGGGACCTCGAATGAAGAACTCGAGGATAAGCTGGTTGGGTTTGCGTCCCATTGTGGTAGGCGAATGGCTTAAGGGGTGGGGGAGGGAGAAGAGAACGGGGAAGATGTCAACGTGTCAATCCCCAAAGTCAACAATGATCCAGATATTAATTGCCAGAACGACACGTTCGAACAGCACCAAGTTGAGAGATCGGGGCAAAACACGGGTTTTGGCCACAACACGCGCGGTCCAAAGCGCGAGGGGAAAATTTCCGACGGAGGAAGGGAGAGGAGGAGGGAGTAAGGCGAAGTCGATGTTAGACCAGCGTGGCAGTCAGCACCACGACTGGAAAGGTATCCCCAAGAAAAAAAGAGGTCGAAGATAGATAAACCGATCGCGATGTACGGCAAAACTGGGGGGGCAGTAGGAGGCGGTCTAGGCGGTGGTGAGAGTCGCGAAGAACGGGAGCTTCACCGCACACAAGGCGGTGATGAGGGGGAGAAAAGGCGGTGATGGATGAAAGGCGGTGTTGTAGACTAGGTAATGGTGATAGCCTTTAGGAATGGTGGGATACTGAGATGGGGGTAACTTTAGGAAAGGAAGGTAGGATGGAGAGGAAGGGGATGACGATGACAAGGGAAGGTTGCAAAGTCTGCCGAAATATGCAGCTTTTGTTCTCATTTGACTTTGGGCCTTTCAGCGTCACCCTGCGCATTCCATCATCCCATCTACGATACATCAAAATGTCATGAAAATAGTGTATTTATTCTAGCTATAACGATAACTATGCTAAAATCATCATCATCATCATCACCATAATCATAATCTCATTCCCTTCATTCCCCCCACTCAGCAAATTCGCTCCTCTGGTTTTCGCCACGGCACCCCCAGTAACGCGAATATCCGTCGTTCATCAAGTGCCTCCAACAACCGACCCGGATTGGTCTTCACCTGCCCAGTTCGAAGGACATCCCCAAATAATCCATGCTGGTTTAGACACATCCGCTTTTTCCGTGCAAGTAATCGCATGCTTCGATTGAAGATATCATTCCCAGTGAAATATAGCAAAGCGGCTCCCAGCTCAGGCCCTGGCACAAAAAGTAGATCGATTCGTCGCCAGACCTTACTCCCCGGCAGGCAGGATGCCCCATGCCACTTCGATCCATCGTTGTGACGGCGAGAAGTGGCCAGTCCGACCTGAAGGAACCCTTCTTCAAATAACTTCGGTACAATTACAGCCGTGGCGATGGTTCGAACCTCATCCAACGGAGCACCCGGCTTGGTGATCAAACAGTCGATGTCTCCCGAATCCCGTGCCCCGCGGCGGTAAGAGCCCGAGATGATCACCTGCATGTCTTTGTCGGCTGTCTCGACCACACGTCGAACGATCGCCCCGTGGGCCTCGACCTCCTTGCGTGGGATACGTTGCGCAAAATCGTGGTAGTGCTCCACTCCGATGCGCTGGTTCGGGGTGAGAGAGGCCTTGTTGCGAAGATCCTCCAGTGACCGATAACCCCGTGCTGCCCATTTTGTAGCTTGACTGAGTCCAGCACCATATACTCCAAGAAATTCTTGAATGGCTAGATCTTCGGGCGAGGAATTGGCATAGTCAAGTCGGCGGAGGTGATTGGTGCGTACGATCTCCTCGATCTTGTCTGCCAATCGTGTTCCGATGCCAGAAAGAGCCAACGCTTGCTTTCGTGTCGCAATCTTCTCCTTTTGATTTCGGAGGGTATTGATGGCCCTACGATAAGCCATGACCCGCCATTGATCGGCATTTCGCGTATAGTAATCCAACATCTCTTGCAAAACCTCGATTGTTCGCACATTTGGATTATCTCGTGATGCACTAGGGTCAGACTTGCGCATGCAAGCGAAACCTCTCGTCCAGGAGGGATCCGCCTGGCTTTCACCGTATGCTGCAGTTCGTGCCTTTTTCTTGGCCGGTCCAGATTCTGACGAGTCAGATTCCCCATCAGATGCTTCGTCTAGAGACTCTGAATCCGAGTCGAGTGGCTAGCGTAAAAGTTAGTAACAACCTCAGCTCTAACTTATCATTAAAAGAATTGGTTTTTACCAGGTGACTTGTAACCTTGCTTTCAGTGATTATATCATCTAGTGCATCCCTTTCACGGGGTTCTGTCTCGATCTCCGCATCTTTTGGGGGCTCGTCGTCGACAGGTTCCGAGATCTGAGGCCTAGAGGAAATCTCCTCTTTAGGTAGACTTTGTGGTCCCTCTGGTGAGATCTCTCTTTCTCTCCTCGGTCGTTTCAAGGGTAATGAGTCGACCGTCTTCGGCTCGACTGCCGGCGTTGGCTCTTCCTTTGCAGCAGGTGCCGGCATGCCAGCAACCTGGAATCGAGTATATAATGGATCCAGAAGTGATCGGTATGTGATGCATTCAGGAGGGTAGTTTTCGTTCACAAGAGCCATATCTATCTGTGGCTCGATTATTAGCAGCACGCAGACAAACCTGGGGAAATGTGCAACGAACAGGGAAATACTCAAGCTTAAGGTAATCGATCAGATTTTGGTAGGTTAGTCTTTTCTCGGCGACGACATGAGTTATATGGGTTCCCCATTGTCGAGTCCACTGTGCACCGTATTCTCGGGCCCGTTGGATACGTAGTCGGCGAGCGGGAGCGATGTCGTCGTTCGGGATAAAGACTAGTACGGATGTTAGTCGCAGGCTTTATAAAAAAGGCATGGGTTTTCATACAGAATACAAGGCCTTTGAACAGTTGCCGCTCTTCCGGGATGGATTTGAGAGCATCTGCTTTCCTCTTCGTCGTCGAAGAACCTTTGACCTGGGTGCCTGGCATTGTACCTGTCGTATTCGAGCGCTTGACTGTTCTCAATTTTTGCCCAGTTGGTTTGTTGAGTAAATAATACTCATCCCGCTGAATCTCAGTGCAGTCTTCGGACGTTTTTCCGGACGACGCAGGTTCGGTATTTGCTCGGGTCAAACAAGGCGGGTTGGCAGAAGCGATGCTTGTCGTGGCAGCCTGGCTTGCAATATCGAGGAAGGGACGAGAAGCAGCAAGGAGATTTTGGAAAGAAAGTCCTTCTTGAGGCTCATCGTCTGAATCATCCAAATTCTCGAGGGCGGCAAAGAAACTGGCCTTGCTCATTGCCTGTGAGCGTCCCATGGCTCCGGCCATTGTTCGCAAAAGATCCCATCCACGGGTACCAAACCGTGTTATATAAATAAAAGTATATCATGGTACACTGGTACAAAGTACCTAGGCAGTGACGAGAATTAGCCAGCAGAGTCATGACACGCGGAAGGCACCCGCGTGGACCGTCGCGAAGTCACGGGATCTCATTTAACCTTCTTGGTCGGAAAAATACCTACAGTCACCATGGAGGATGCACTTCAAGTTGCTATATACTACTAGTAGGTTCAAGTTCTCAACTTCCCAAGTTTAGGCAAAATGAAGATTATCTGGAAGAGAGAACTACTTTAGTGCTTTTGAGAACCATCAGGTGATGCGATCAATTTGAAGTGCCTATTAGTATATTTCCTACGTAGTGGGTATTTTTGAAAGTGCTCAACGGATGTACAAAGCCATTCTTTGTTGAAGAAAAGGGGGGTAAGAAGAAAGAAGAATCCATAGATGCAGGGTTCAATTCGAACACCTGGGTTGTCTGCTGTATACCTCAAACACAGTGTTCTAAACTTGACTGTTCTCCACAGTCTATGATCGTATGTTTGATACAGCATAGTACTCACACATTGGATCAAGAAAAAATTATAGAAAAAAAAAAACAGAGCACAGTACCTACCTAGGTAAGAGCTGGAGAACTTCAGAACTACATGGCAGGGACTTCCATGAACACAGTCCGCGAGCGCTGGGTCACGATTAGGTCAGGACTCAGGGCTTGTAAATTGAACGGTTCCTCTATACTTCCCATCGTCTCTCCTGTCAAGGTTGCTTCAACTTCATTCTCATCATCTTCCAGTCTTCCGGCCCCATCGTGTCGGAGCCAAACAGCGGCGCTACTTCCGAGCAGCATCTACAAACGCAGATCACTTCCTTATTAGTAGACACAAGTCCCTCAGCATGCGCGACATTTTGGAGGGACTCGGACCAATCCGCATTTTGGGATATGTCACATAATGTACCTATTTTGCAAATATATACTTAGCTTTTTCGCAAAAGAAAAGAAAAAATTCTACTAGTATGGGATATGATGGTCTATCACCCCGGTCAACCGGGAACTTCCACTCGCTCCACATCATGTGACCTCTATCAGAAACGACTCCGGAACGCGTTGGACAAACCTCCCATCAATCAAACACCCAATCACTAGCCCAAAATGTGGAGGAACTCATTAACCGCCACCCTGAGATTGGACCTCCCACTCCTCCAGACAACCCGTTGTCTGAGGTGCCAATTCCACGGCACCGCGGCCCTGACACATCTTCGCGCCAATGCCTCTCTCCGCAACTATGCGACCAAGAACAGCACCCCGAAACCAAAGGACGCCGCGACCAATCAATTCTCCAAACCAACGACTGAGCCGATAAAGACGTCCGTCCCCGGAACCCCCGCACGCCCCTCCGTCCAATTTCAACAAAACCAGCCCATCAGACAAGTTCCCCATCCAAGCGATGAGAACTTCATACCTCCAACCCTGGATCGCCCAATCGGTACCGCCGCGCCGCCAGAGGCAGGCGAGAACACGGGCGTTGATAGCCGCAGCTATCGCCAGCGTCGAGACGACTTCGTCGACTATGATACTCACATCAAACGGCGAAAGGAACTGTACGTGCCCTACCCCAGCGCCGAACTTTACGAAATTCCTGCCTGGAATCCAGAAAAAAACCAGCTAGCTGACCATTTTTTGTTATCTCGTCTAGAACTCGGCAGGTCGCCAAACCGTACTTCCGCGAATGGTCCAATCTCCGCTTCGCAGAGGGTAAAACCTTCAAGTCGAACCCGCGCCTCTTCCGCTCCGACAAGGCCCTCTACTTCCCCAATATGCGCGGCACAACGCTGCTCTCACCGAAGGACCCACAAGACACCACCCCCGTCCTCGAAGGCAAGATCACGGTCGTAAACCTCTTCTCCAGCGTCTGGGCCGAGGGCCAAGTCGCGACCTTCACCGGCGCACCGCTGAACCCGAAATTGGCGGAGATTCTGGCGGCTGCGGGCCCGCTTGTGCAGCGGGTGGATATCAACCTGGAAGAGAATCGCATGAAGGCTTGGTTGGTGAAGTCGTTTATGTGGCGCATGCGGCAGAAGTTACCCGCGGCGCGGCATTCGCGGTATTTCCTGGTGCAGAAGGGGTTTACGGAGCTTTTGAAGGAGGCGGTAGGGATGATGAATTCGAAGGTTGGGTATGTTTATCTTGTTGATGATGCTTGTCGGATTCGGTGGGCGGGCAGTGGGCCTGCTGAGGCGGTGGAGTTGGAGACTCTCAATAATGGTTTGCAGAAGTTGATTGCGGAGAAGAAGGCTGCTCTGCAGGCGGAGAAGTGAGAAGCCCTTTCTCGCTAGATGAGGTTTGGTACAAAAAAGGGGGACTACGTAGCTCTACCGTTTGGTAGGGTGGGATTTCCTGGGTACGATATTTTGCTGCGATGCGGCTCCCCTCTCCATTGCCTTTGTACATATAATAGAGAATGTATAATAGAACATAGACAGACGCCTTTTACGGGTCAAACCGGGCGTGCGAAAATAACAATAAATGAACAAATGAACAGACCGATCGCCATTCCTGTCAAGCATGGATAAAGGTTCCAGAGAAAATATAGTATCCCAACCAAACGCCCAGTGTATGAGACAACCCAAAAAAAAAGAAAATGAAGCTCAGGTCGCTAGCTGCAACGGGAGAGCAAGTAGAAGCGGGATTGAAAACGCACCGCAACCCGTTGAAAACGACAGAGGGGGGACAAGGAAGAAAAGAAACCCCTCAAAATATATCGGGAAAGAGGCCCAGCCCATTTCCATCCTATCCCATCTAGTGGAAGTATAGCAGCATCAGGAAACAAAGGCCGATGAAAACACCAAGGATGATAGAATCACGCCTTTTCTTTGTTCCGATCTTGCCGATCAGATAGTTTATGCCAGGGACCTGACTCGCCGCGCCGACAATACGCCGGTTCACGCTGGCCAGGGTTTCACGCTGCAGGCCGAAACTCTCGTTGATGGAGTATGCCTGGCTGAGTACACCGTCGATCACGCTGTGGCTGTTTTCGATATGGCCGCGCTCCTCCAGCATGTAATCCGCCTCTTCGGCATTGGGATTTGAGGCGCGGTAGGCGTCGATGTCGGAGCGGACGTTTGAGAGTAGGTTGGCGCGGGTGCGGGAGTCAGCGATGGCGGTTTGGAGGCGGCGGAGTTCCCGGCGGTGGTCTTGGAGGATTTCACGGTGGCGGGAGAGGTAGTTTTGTTTCAGGGCTGATGATGTGAGGGTTGCTTCGGAGTCGAGGAGACGGGTGAGTTGGGCAACGAGGGAATCTCGCTGGAGGGGGTGTTAGCTTGCTGCTGCGGTGCTGTTCATGAATTGGGGGGGAGGTTGGCAGCGTACCTGCTCGAGGAGGTCTTTTAATTGTGACTCTAAGCGGAGTTCTTCTTCTGTTGGGTTGGGTGGAGGTTTATTGAGTGCGGCAAATTGTGCGTATGTGTGGAAAAGATTCTCGGTCTGTTTGGAGCTGTTAATCCTGTTGTCGGGTATAGGATAGGATAGAAAAGGGTAGGTAGGGGAGGGCAGGTCAAGCGTGTGAGGGGAGATTCGTACTTGGGTTTCGAGCGAGCGAGTTTGTTGCCGCAGCTGTGTCCATCCGGAACCGGTGGACGTCATGGTGTATGAATGTTGAGCCGTAAATAGAAGAATAAACCCCAGTCAACGACAGTCGGCACTGGATGACCCCGGACAGCGAACGTCGACGTAAGTGCAGGCTAACTGTATTTGGATGGCTTAGGGCCTTGGTGCCTTGATGCCTTACAGCCTTAATGCCTCATTGGTTGATTACCTAAGTGACCAAGTGCCTGGATCCCACCGCCATTATTCTGCCATTACCAAAGCCCCATCACGTGCATGCTTAGTGTTGCAACTCGCTTAGCCCTAGTCCCACAACCACAATTTGATCCGGGCCATATTGAAGACCGATTTCTCAACGCCAAACAACCGGACACACAATAACGCCACGATGGTATGCCCGCCTACCGCGATCAAATAAGTGCTCTCGAACTGACTCATGTCGTTTTTATAGTCTTCCAAGGTCAAGGCTGGTCAGCTCTGGGGCAAGAACAAGGAGGAGCTCTCCCAGCAGCTCGAGGAGTTGAAGACCGAGCTCAACCAGCTCCGCGTCCAGAAGATCGCCAACGGTGCTTCGGCCAAGACTCTGCGCATGTGCGTATTCGATTCCGATCCATTCCCATTCCCACACACTCGATTTTGAAGAAAAGGGGACGATTTTTGCAAAGACCGGGGATTGTGCAAGTGCGCTCGGGCGGCGACAAAACGAAATTTTCCAACAAAACGCAACCACACCCAGCAAAGCGACAACCAGGAATCTACGAAACATACACATCCATCACCAATACGCTCTGCACATGCACAATCCCACTGAATCGCAAATCCCCGGAAATCTTAAAATCTCGAACCCAACCCTATCCACCCTCCACACACATATCTCTACATCCAATACAATCAGTCCAGTCCAGTCATACTAACATTTCGCCCACAGCCACGATGTCCGCAAGTCCATCGCCCGCGTCCTGACCGTCATCAACGCCAACCAGCGCGCCCAGCTCCGTCTGTTCTACAAGGGCAAGAAGTACCTTCCCCTCGACCTCCGCGTCAAGCAGACCCGCGAGATCCGCCGCCGTCTTACCAAGCACGAGGCTACCCGCACCACCGACCGTCAGCGCAAGCGCGCCATCCACTTCCCCCAGCGGAAGTACGCCGTCAAGGCCTAAATGTGTCTTGAATGGCTTGCATTGTGTGTGTGTGTGTGAAGGATGATGGGAGTTTGCCCTTGGACTACATAAAATTTTTCTAAAAAGAAATCCGAGTGGCCGGGGTCGTTTTTATCTCTTTTTTTGTGACACTCCAAAAAATGGAAATTTGATTGTGTATCTTAGAAGGATGCAAATCGACTCTTATGACATGAATTATTAGAAATTTCCCCCTTTACCTTTTTTCTGCGGAATGGGTGGTGGCTCTTGTTGCGCTATGGGTATTGGGATACCAGTATACAGAACTCACCATTATGATGGCTGGGTCGTGTAGAGTAGCCTGGTCTGGACGACTATTAGCAGACAGACGGTCAACTTTCAAAGGGCACATAGGCATGTCTCTCCGGTATAGGTATTGCCTTGTTTGCGGCATGTCACTCCATTCGTGGGTCTACCTTGTGCCCGTGGGGAATCGTCTCATAAGGGTCCAAAATCGGTACCACTACTAAGTAACTTCGACTTGCGGGTGATATGTGACAAGTCTAGTACTAGAGACAATTAGACGACCAATGCTCCACGCTTTAAATATCATCTTCAAGTTGTTCAGAAAGAACTGCACTCTAGTACTATACACAGTGGCATACGCTAGTTCAGCGCTCATCAACAAAACACACATGGAACCATCAAGACGCCAAGCATCCAACTTCCACTCCAAACCTCAACTAAGCCGATCCCATAACAGCAGGCGTCCTCGCCCCCTGCAACGACGAACTATTCCCAACAGAAGCCCCCGGAACCGCAGCCCCAGCCTCAGTCTCCAACATCCACATCCCCCCACAAGGACAAGCCCTCAGCAGATTCAACTTAACAAGCATCTTAAAATAAGGCAACGACCTGGGCAACGACGTATCCCCCGAAACCTCACAGCACCTAACACACCTCCTTCTCTTCTGCGCCTGCAGAACCTTTCCATCTCTGCCCACCGCAAGCGGCGGTCGGAGAGGCACTTTCTTAAGAATATCCACATCGCGCTGGCGCCTGTACAGCGCCGTCCGCGCATCAGTCCCAAAACCTATCCAGCTGTAGTCATTCAGCAGGATATCTTTGCGGTTGATTTCCGCCTTGAGCGACGGCACGGTTTGGCGAAGAAGCGTTGCTACGGCGCCGATTAGGACGGGTGGGATCCGCGCGCTGACGAGGAGTTCTTTTTCTGGGCCCGGTCGTTCGGCATCGCCGAAGCCGGCGCCTTGGTAAGCGTGTTTCACAGCTGAGTCTACGCCTGCGAGAAACTTCTCGTAGACGTCTATACGGACGGGTGAGTTTTCGAGCACTTGGCAGATCTCCGTGTAGTAGATTTTTGAGTCGTTGGATAGGGTTGCTGGGTTTGTGGTTGCGAAGCCGGCGTGGACGCCTCGGAGGCCGCGGCATATGAAGCGTAGGAAGGCGCGGGACATGCTGGAGAGGAGGGTGAGGAGGGGGATGGAGGTTGTGGATTTCACTGGTGTGGTGTTAGTATATAGCTGGAGGGGGGGAGGGGCTTAGGATGGATAGGACTTACGCTTCTGTGTAAATGCTTCCTGGTCGTTGAAGACATCCTCGAATTCAGCGGCCAGGTCCAATATTTCGCTGAGGATGAAGTGGGAGAAATCGAGTGTCCACTTTGCGTTACCTAGAATCATGCGGAGAATTTCTGAGAAAATGGCGTTCGTTAGCGAGTGATGTTGACGGAAAATCTGGAGAGCAGCGTACCTGGATCGTAGGCCTCATTCGGTGATCCTTTGGTGTGTTGGAAGAAGAATGCGAAGAGAACCGAGGCGTGGCGGAGTTGAATGACTGCCCAAGGTACAGAAGATGCAAGTGAGCGTCGTTTCAATCTCCCGCTGTATCCCAGGGCAGCCTGCAGACTCAAACACTTGGGTATATAAGGATGGGTCATGAGTTTTTCTTGGTCAATAGTGAAGTTACAGTTGACCGGCAATGCGCGAAACGTCTCAGTGATAAGTGTCGCTTGGCCGTCTGTGGTTATGTCAGTCATGGTCTGGGCCGTGAATATATTTTGACAGGGAAACTGACCTGCTGAGAGCTGCCTCAGGGCGACCATGAGGATATCATCGGTGTTGACGTCTGCTCCACAGCCGCGGCTGAAGGCGAGTGTAAGGGCCGCGATGGCTGAAGAGAATTTACCTGTGGTTACTTTAGTCCTGAACATAACGGAAACCAGGATGGGTGACACTTAGAACATACTCTCGTCATATAGTCCACCAGCCGACCCAAAGGAGTGCTCCATCAACCGTAGTTGTGGTTGTCCATCGGCGTTTAGGGAAACTGCTGCACAGGAATTCGGTGAAAAGCTGATTGCAACACCTAACAAGGAGTGAATGCATGTCAGTGGATTTTCAAATGGAAAGTTGCCACGGGGGTAATCTACCTGGCGTCTCCATAGGATACTGATACCCAGCCTGAGCCAGACAAGTCACGGTACTCCCGTCATCCAACCCATGAAATATCGTCATACCCCTTGTGTCGTAGAAAGAGATTGAACTGTCATCGTGTGTGACGGCGAGAGCGGTACCGTGCTCCACCATATCCACAGAGATAATATATCGATCGCAATGGATGTCTTCCAATCGACGGAGCTCCATTCGGGACTAGATAGCGTGTCAGCCAGTCTCAAAACTTCAGAATCAAATGTATGCCTACTTTTGGTTGAACATTGCTCTTCTTCGACGGAACTTCGTCGAATTTGGGATGGAAGGCTTGCGGTGCTGATTCGAGATTCCATCGGACGATCACACTTGGTGGGCCCTGTTGATCTGGGTAATCAGGAGTGGCATGAAGAGGTTTAGAGAAGACAGCCAGGATCCACGGGCTGGAAGTAGATCCTTGTTGACCGTCAACTTGACCCGACATGATCTCCAATCTTGTTAATGAGTATACAGTGTTTGGGAATGGCAATGACTGGGCCATTTGTTCATCGACTCCTCTGATGATATTCAGGAAGGGACTAGGCATATCCACTTTGCACTGAAGGATACGGAAGGAGGGGAGAGGGAATTGATTTGGATGTTTGGCCTGCGTCGGATCCCATTGTGGCGGGTTCCAATTAATTTGTACTCGGTATAAGCAAAGCTTCTGGCAGACTGAGTATGTAGCGACCAGAATTCCAGCTAGAGAGGAAGTTGTTAGTTGTCTGCTACGACCGAATGAGCCTGGAAGTGATATACCTTGAGTTGCGACCATGGACGCGTGCGTCAGCAGTCTGTCCGAGTATCCGGTGTTCTTTAACTCGGCTGGCAATTCTGCCCACTTGCTGTCTGGGTTCTGATAGATTAGTCGGATCTGGCCCGCTCGGGTCACACAGATCAAAGCGCCTTTGTTGGCGGGGTGAAAGGGGCCAATTGGACGGCGGCGGAACGGCGAATATGTCCATCGACCACTGACTTTGGTAGCCTGGTGGAAGGCATGGACCTGAATGAAGTGTCAGGCGGTGGCGGGGATAAGTGTGGTGGATGGTAAAGTTGGCAAGATTGAGGGTCAACTTACAGATCGGGTTGTATTAAGCCACATCATACCAACAACCTGATTGCTATCATCACTAGAGTCAAACAACGCTTGCCGCAGTCCGGTGATACTATTCAGGGCCATTGAGATGGAGTAAATTGAGACCCGGCCGAGACAGTCGACGACAGAGAGCTCGGAACCGGTCTCGTTGCAGGAGAGATGGACGAGTTGATTGCCATTATGGGCTTCTGTGACGGTAGCCAAAAATGACTCCCCGCTCAACACCCACTTACCATCCGAGGGACGGCATTGAAGATGTCGGACACTGACCCGAGTACCATCCGGAGAGATGTATGCGACACAACCAAGGCGAGACCAGGTAATCTTTCTAGGGTAGGTCAGTATGAGGCCGAGGAAGGGCAAAGGACGGGCAAAGGCAAGATGTATATGTTAGATATCTACCAAAGGTAGGGGAATCACTTACTGGCGACATCCGAGGAGGCGCATCTCGTCAAGGCACTGGGCGAGACCTTTGGCAGGCATCGGCATGGACATGGGCACGGACACGGGGGGTGGCAGGCCCAAGCCCAGGGAGCTGGACTCGCCAAAGAGATCATCAACATCGATGCCCCCCCTCCATGATCAATGGCATAGTGTGGAGGTGGGATGAGAGGGAGAGTTATGACATGCGCAGGAGAGGAGTCAGCCCCGCATGGCTCTTGAATGCTTCGCCGATCGACGGAGTACCGGCGGTTGTTGATACGGGGGAGGATCCGCCGAGTATCAACCGGGGTTCAAATTCAATAGTCAAGGGGAACTTGAGAAAGAAACAACGTGCGTGGTGATGACAATCAGGCTAGACCTTGTTGAAGCATCAAATTATGCAAATTCAAAGCCGTCCAAGGTCTAGAATAAGAAAACGAATACCTCGAAGAATGGGCCTGGAACCATCGATATTAAAGGTCGAGTCCCTTCATCGCTGGATGTCGTGTCACATGATGCAGAGAAGAGCTACCACGTGACGCGTAGTCCTGCCAACGAGTTTCAACCAATCAGAAATCAACGACAACAGAATATTTCCCCCCACATAAGAACCCGCCAATCAGCATCGAGTAATCAGCATCGAACTGTCAGGGCCCCAAAGAGAAACTCGAAACACAACAATATTGATTCATACGCGAGAAATAACAAAATCGGAGAAAGGATATTTCTTCAAATGAATGAAAATGCTATATATAGATATTAGTATCAACCATATACAACACATGAAAGATATAACATCAATCGATTTCTCGTGCTCTTCCCTCCCATAAACCCCCCTAAGATCCCATTCCTCCCCCCTCCTCCAATGCTACTTCGCATCGACGCGCATCATCGAGTGAACCGACCTGGTTGTCCTTCCCTCCCGAGCATACCACCGTTTCCCTTCCCGTTTCTTTTTTTTCCCGCAACAACCACATTCCACTCTCCCCCCGTTTAATTCCCGTGGGTCACAACACCGAGAGCCTCTTGCTACGATATCAAAGGCCCTTTCCTTCGGCTGACCTCATCGCCATCTCCTCCCACACTTCCTTTCTCTTTCCTCTTCCCACATCTTTTCAATCCCCAATCTCCCTCCCCCCCCCCTCTTTCTCCCTCTTTTCTTCTATTATTGAACCTGGGGTAATTCGATTTCCTCATGATTTAATTATTCGTCTGGTCATTTGTCTGTGTGAATTTCCCAAGGAGAATAATCCCCTGCTTCCCGCAGTTCTCTGACCTGTTCGAACCCCTGGGCTCTTGGTCAACCTCAATCCCTCCCATCCGACCAAGGTGTTACTCCTCCAACCATCCAGTCTCGCCATGTCTCCAGATATTTCGGATGTTTCGAGCGTCTCAGATTTGAGCTCTGTACCATCATCACCCCGATCAACGCCCGAGCTGGAGTCGCGGTACCCAACCCCGTCCTCCTCACAAGATGCGGAGGATTTGCCGTCGACGCGCCAAGACTGCCCGCCCGCGAAGAAGAAACGCCGGCGCAACCCCCTCCCCAAGGAGCGCACCACCCAACATCTTTCTTTCTCCAAGTCCTCGGAAGATCAGCAAGATCAGGTTCGATTGCTATTTGACACTCTTCGCTACCAAAAAGACATCGTCGTCATTGCTGGTGCCGGTATCTCCACCTCTGCGGGTAGTAAGTTTTTCATGTGCCGCTTTCCCGTTTTGGGAATCCCCTCCAATCATACTCAACACTCAATTGCCCAACCCTGCAATTCTTGGATCACTAACCACCTCATGTATAGTTCCGGACTTTCGATCCGAAGGTGGCCTCTTCAAGTCTCTACAGCAAAAGCACAATTTGAAAGCTTCTGGAAAGCTCCTCTTTGATGCTGCTGTCTACCAGGATGACGCTTTGACCGCCCCCTTCCATGAATTGGTTCGGTCGCTGTCAGAGGAAATCAAACATTGCAAGCCCACCAAATTCCACGAAATGCTGGCAAGTCTTGGTTCAAACAACCGACTGAAGCGCTTGTATACTCAAAATATCGATGGCCTTGAGACCTCCATGCAGCCCTTGAAATCGGAAATCCCGCTTGGTGGCACCAAGGGTCGCTGGCCCGTCACCATCCAACTACACGGCAGCATCGAGAAAATGGTCTGCCAAAAGTGCCGCCATCTGCAAGATTTGGAGCCCAGTCAATTTTGTGAGGCCGATCCGCCCGATTGTGAGGCCTGCTGTGACAACGATACAGCTCGTCAGGCCACCGGTCAACGAAGCCACGGTATCGGGCGCATGCGACCGCGTATGGTTCTGTATAACGAACATAACCCCGACGAAGAAGCCATCACCTCCGTCATGAACGCAGACGTTAAATCCCGCCCCCGTGTCCTGGTCGTCGCCGGTACCAGTCTAAAAATCCCTGGCGTCCGTCGCCTTGTCAAGAGCCTGTGTACTGTTATCCGGAGCCGTAAAGACGGCGTCACCATGTTTATCAACAACGAACCACCTCCCGGCAAGGAGTTCGATGATTGCTTTGACCTGATTGTCCGAGGAAACACGGACCAGATCGCAGATCTCGCTCACCTTCCACCCCACACTGAGGTTCAAGACGAGAATTGGAATTTCCCTGAGCCAGTCTGGCCATCCGCACCCGGGGAGGAATCATCCGCATCCGATTCTGAGCGAGAGGGCAAGACATCCAATATCTCTGTTGTCATTGGTACTCCCAAGAAGCGCCCTCGCAGCGATACCGGCTTGATGACCCCTTCGTCCAGCCAGGACGAACAACCAAACCTCCCAGCCGCTAAGGCTGTCAAGACTGCCAAGGGATCAACTGCCAACCCGGCCAGTCGTGGTCCGAGCATCAACGACCTTCTAGGCAATGCAAAGATTGTCCCAGCCAAGGGTCGCAAGAAGCCGGCCACTTCAACAGCCCCCAAGAAGCGTGGTCCCAAATCCGCCGCTACGGCCAAGACTGCACCCATCACGAACTTCACCAAGGTCTCCAAGTCGAAGGCTGCTTCCGATGCTACTGCTGGCAAAAAGAAACCTCTCGGCGCCGCGCCCGGCAACGGTCTTCCCAAACAGCGTGCCATGTTTCCAGGTCTCGGCAAGAAAGCCAATGTGCAGAATGCTGCTGTCGTTCCCGAGGTCGTCTCATAATACCACACTTGCATGCCGTTAGTCTGATTACACCTCATGTTCCGTGTGTGACCCGACCCTTTCATGAGCTTCTCATTTCTTTTCACTTATCTCTCCATATGATGATGGTGCATGGTTTCAATATGGCGCCGGGTTCCTTTTCTCTTCTTGTTCTATGATTCCCCATGCTGATTTCATGGATGTTCTTCTTCATGGCCATTTTCTACTGGATTTTCCAGTTTTCTTTTTCCCCGCTTCTTTTCGGCCTGTTGCACTGTCCCCTTCGAGCTTCCTCGAGCTTGATCGTTCAGCCTTTTCGATGCATCTGTCCTTGAGAAAGATACCAATGATAGACTATGGTTTCGTTGCATGGGTGGCGTTGGCTTCGGCTTCGGCTTCGGCGTTTTTGGGCCCTGGATGGCCTGTTCGGTTATTCATTATCGGTTTTTTTTTTCTATCTCCTGTTGGAGTTATTGTGCCAGCATGAGATGTGATATGTCCGGTTACAGATGAGGTTTACCATATGTGGTGGTTAGTCCTGCCGCAACAGTGATAATAATCCTACTTTATTTAACGACCATTACCTTTTCATCCGTAACTTCAAGACCAACAGAAACCTAAGCACCTAGTTAGTAACTCTAGAGTTAACCAAGTCCATCATGATCCACTGCACACTACCTAGGTGGCAGCCCTAGCCCAGCAGGAATCCCCGCCTACCTATCTACATATACGCAATGAATGCCCACCACTGCACCACGGCACGCTCTGCAACCTCTAAACCTGAAGCAAAAACAGAATGAAAAACCTTGGAACCCCAAGACCGAGTTCATAATTATCTATAATACAGCAAAGAAAACACCTTCGCCCAGAAACCGGTGTCGGCATGAAATTTAGCCCAGTCCCAAATCATTATGCAACTGACTACCAGGCCCATCGTCATCCTCCGACTCCTCATCATCAGGATCAACAAGACGACGCTCCCCATCCAAATCCTCAACCCGATCAATATCCTCCTCACGCCCTTTCTCCTCCTCCTCCCCCTCCTCGTCCTCATCACCCTCGTCCTCCTCGTCCTCCTCATCATGCTCCTGTTCCTCCTCAACCTCCTCCTCATCCTGCGTCTCATCCCCATCCCCATCAGCCCCGATCTTCCCCTCAGAATCCCTCTTCACCCTCTTCGCTGGATTATCAGTCATCTCCACATCATCGTCCTCGTCCCGCGCCGCCCCGGCAGTAGCAGCAGCCTCCCCTTCCTCGGGTTTCTTTGCCTTGCGCTTTCCGGCCTTGATATCCGTGTACACTTCGAGTTCGGCCTCGAGGCGGGCGCGGAAGGAGTCGAATTCGAGTTCTGAGAGTGCGGCGAAGACGTCTGCGGGTGCGACGGTGCGTTTTAGGGTTGATTCGTTGGCGCTGGGTTTGTTAGTTCTTTTCTTTTCTTTTTTGGGGGACTGGTCTGGGTTTTGCATGGGGGTGGGTGTAGACGCACTGTGATGAGAGGTATGACACGAAGACCGTAGCAGCTTTCTGGATCGCGAGCACGGCGTCTTTTTGGATTGTTGTGTTTGGTGGGAGGACTGATTTCGCGAGTCGGATTGTCAGTGAGCGGGGGAGGAGGTAGTCCTTTTCAGGGTAGAGAGTAGTTAGTTTTGATTGCTCTCTCTAGATTGGGGCCTGCTGATGCGGTTCCTGTGAAGGTGCTAGCGGCGGAGTGCTTACTTCAACGCTCACGCCAGCCTCGGCCCTCGCCTTCAACTGTTGCTCTGTTGCGGTGATGGGCTTGTCGGATGATGTTGGTGCTTGTGGCGAGAGCTGGATTGATTCATCTGGGTCTGCGGGCGTCACGGAGGACGTGGACTTGCGTGGAGGCATTTTTGGTTGGGTTGGGCCGTTCCCCTTGGGGTTGGCTGGCCTGTCGCTTTGATCGGGGAATTGGGATTGGTGTGCAATTCTTCCGGAGAGAGTTTATTGGTGCTGGGTTTGCCTTGAGATGAACTCCTGTGCTGGAGTTGAAGTTGGGGTTTTTTTTGGTCTTGGTGGTTGGTTGGTTGGGAGGGGAGGTGAGAACGCGAAATTCGCGACGCGGTGGGCGCGGCGTTGTGGGGACGGAGGTGCTGCTATACCGCATATTCGAGTCACAGTTGGTTTGCTGGTACTCCGTATATTACCAGTATTTGTGGTTGGGATAGAATTTATATTTTATGATTGATCTTTGTGCGTCCCTAGTTTCATATAATTAGTACAAGTATACCTAGGTAGTAGAATCCCGCGAATATAGAACTTTCGAGTTCGAGTTTAAGTTGGAATGCCCAGGATGCTGAATCGCAAGGATATATACCACCACTGCAGATGGTACCTATAGAGCCCACATGCACCACATTTTCACCAAGCTGGAACTTGAAGTTGAGATTCCAAGAACTCGAACGTTCACAGGCGAGGTTGAATTTATATGCAGAAATTAGTAAGCAATCAGGATTATTACATTGAAAACAATCCCCATCAAGATTAAGACCTGGATACTACTAGTAGTAGCCTAGAGTGAGAGAATGTGCAAGCGATGGCCGAAAGGATGGATAGATAGAAAGTTCCAATTTTTAGCTACTGCTTCCTAGGTATCAACGTCTGTTATCAGCCAAGGCATGCTATAACTTACAGGGGTTGTTGGAACCCTTCACGTTTACCATTCTACGGATGGCAAACTATAAGAGAGAAAAATGGAACAGAAGTGAAATGTAGTAGGTATGCTTATTTAAAATCGCTGCCTCTTCGAACTAGAAACATGTAAACGCCCACTTTTTGGTATCCAAATCCAAAACAAGAACCGATGACTTCGTAACTGGAGCTTAGAGAGACGGATGAAGGAGATAATCCTTTTTTTTTACTCAGCCATCTCATCAGCGTCACCCTCGCCATTACCCCAAAGACCCTCGATCTGGAATTCCTTAGCCCACTCCGTAACAACCTGGGCCGTAACGACTCCCTCGCCCGGAGCGGTCTCAGCGGCATCAGCAGCGGCAACGACGGACAGAGCAGGGGCGTTAGCCCAGCCCTGGATCCGACCATCTCTCCAGTCGTTGACGACGGTCATAGCGGCACTCTCAATGTTGGGGATACCGCCCTTTCCGAGACGTCCGCGCTTGCGAGCAACCTGGATCAGGAAGTCGGTGGTCTTGTCACCGTTGGTGGGGAAGAGGGAGGTGATGCCGTAGACTTCGAGCATCTTGGAGATCATGTTCTCAGAGGATGATAGACGCTTGATAAGAAGGTTGACTGCTGGGATGGGGTCCTCGATTTGCTTGGGTGGGATGGCGTTCAACAGGATCAAGCGCGCCTGCTCGTTCTCCTTGGACTTCTTGCCAGTCTTGCCGTTTGAGGTGGGGAAGACGATTCCGGGGGAGTCGATCAGCTTCAGCTTGTTGTCCAGCTTAACGGAGCGCATGCTGGTGGTGACACCGGCCTCGGCGCCAGTAGGGCAGGCATTGCTGGAGCCCTTGTTCAGGCGGGCTGTCAGGGCGTTGATGACGGATGACTTGCCGACGTTGGGGTATCCGATAACACCGACGGAAATGGAGCGCTTCAGTTGCTTGCTGTGGGCGTAAGCCTTGAGGGCGCGGAAGAGGGTCTCCGATGTACCCTTGACGGTCAAATTCTTGTGGTCGAAGCTGTGGGAGTTGCCACTGCCATTGGAGGCCTTGAGCGGCAGGGTGGGGAAGTATCGGCGAAGGTGGACGAGCCAAGCCTTGAGAACAGGGGGGAGGAACAAGGTCGATCTTGTTGAGGATAAGGATCAGACGCTTGTTTCCAGCGTCGGCGGCCATGATCTCGCGCTCCACCTCCTTCGAGCGGGTGCCTTCGGGGTCACGGGCGTCGAGCACGTACAGCACCACGTCGGCGGCCTCAGTCACAGACTTGAAGACCTTGTCGAATTGGCGCCGTGAGCTCTCCTTGGAGGAGTTCTGTGCGTCACCGGAGTCGGGTGCAGAGTCGAAAGTGATTCCATCCTCCTCATCATCCTCGTCCATCTCGTCCTCGTCGTCCTCCTCCATCTCGTCATCATCGTCGTCATATTCGGTAGCGCGGGCACGTGCAGAGGCAAGTAGGGCTGCCATGGGGTTTGATTCGTCTCCATCTGCGTCCATGGTATCATCCAGCATGTCATCGCCGTCCAGGTCCACCTCAATCTCTGCCTGTTCGACATCGACACCCTGTGCCTTCTTGGCCTCGATCTTGCGGGCCCGAGCCTCCTCACGAACGCGCTGTTGCTCCTCCACCCTCAAACGCTTCTTCTCCTCGATCTCATGGAGAAGTCTGTCCTTGAAAGGGAAAAGGCTAGGAATGCCGGGGTCCTTCTTCATCTTAGACCGCCATTCGGGGTTCTATAGATGGGAAAAAATGTGTAAGTATTTGGGACCGGACAAATGCGAAAAAAATACCCAGATGAATGGGCTAATGAGTTTTGGGATCACACACCTGCTTCGCAAGCTTTCTGTTCTTCTTTTGCTTAGCAACGGCGGCCTTTTCAATTTTGTGCCGCAGGCGAACGGGGACCCGCTTGGAGCTTTTGCCTGTTGCATGTTAGAGAAACTATAGAAAGAGACCAAAAAAAGACAATAATCTTCTTGGAGATATGTACAACATACCGAACTTTGACTTGGTGACCATCTTGCCGGTGTGTGTGGTGACTAGCAGAGATGAAAGACAAAATGCCGTATCGCAATTGCGGTACAGTATTTCCTCGAAAAAGTTGAGCGCGGCCGGCGATCGGCGTTTCCAGTTTTTCCGCTTATCGAAATTCAATCCCGGAATATTAGTTTGGCCGATCGCCGAGTACGTGATAGCGGGTACTTTCCAAATCGGGCAAGCCAGCCGCCGGATATTGCGACTTCGTTTTGTCAAACTGTTGCTTTGCTCCTTCCTGTTCAGTTCTTTATAGACTTTTGCTTATTTCTCCTTTGCCACGGCTTCACGACTTTCTTTTTTCTCTAGACTTTATTAGACTCTTGTCTTTTCCTTCCTCTCTTCAACCCTCCGGCCAACACCGAATACCTCCCCCGCATCACCTCCCCCACCATGTCTCCCTCCGCAACAGAATCCTTCTCTGCGCCCACGCAGACCTTCACATTCGATGGCATCCTCTCAGACTTCGATGGAACAATTGTGGACTCTACAGCTGGTATGTCGATCGCTCCTGGCCTACAATAAGCTACTAGTATGGGTGTGTAGCAAGGTCGTGATTAGTTGCTGACTATATATCTCCGAACCAGCCATTGTCAAGCACTGGCACAAGTAAGTGCAATCGCAACTACAACCAACGGCTCAGAACGACATCGACTAACCAGCTTTTCTCGCAGAATTGGAGCCGAGTTAGGCGTTGACCCTGAGACCATCCTGGCCACCTCTCATGGCCGTAGAAGCATCGATACAATGGCACTCTACGACGAGTCAAAGGCCAATTGGGAATGTACGCCAGCAAACCCCCCTCCCCTCTTCACCTGGCACAATTTCTCGAACAAACCGACGATTCTCATTCTCACCACACCTTTTCCCTGCTGCCACAATCTATTCTAACCACCACCTCCTCCACAGACGTGAACTACATCGAAGGCCGCATCCCCAAAGAATACGGCTCCGACGCCAAAGAGATCCCCGGAGGCCGCGACCTCCTCCGTGCCCTCGAAACCTCCGGCGCCAAATGGGGCGTCGTGACCTCCGGCACACGCGCCCTTATCGACGGCTGGCTCGAAGTCCTCGGCCTCACACACCCAGAGAAACTCGTTGTCGCCGAGGACGTGCCTCTCGGCAAGCCGGACCCGCGCTGTTACCTCCTTGGTCGCAAGCAGATTGAGCTGGAAGATCCCGAGTCGACCTCTGTTCTGGTGCTTGAGGATGCGCCATCGGGTATTAAGGCTGGAAAGGCTGCTGGGTTCAAGGTGCTTGCCCTTGCGACGACGCATTCGCTGGAGCAATTGCGTGCGGCGGGCGCGGACTGGATTGTTGAGGATTTGAGGAGTTTGATTGTCACTGGTGTTGTTGATGGGAAGGTGAATGTTGAGATTCGGAATGCGTTGCAATAAGTTACGCTTCTTCTTCGAATCTGATAATGTTGTCATTCTTTTTTTTCCCTTTTGGCTGACCTGAGTCGGCTCGTCTCTCGCTTCGCTTTTCCTGGCCCGGAATTACCTGTATTGGACACCATTGCGTAGTATCTACTTTCGGTACTCCATCCAGACCTGCTGATTGTACATACGTATGTACCTGGTCTTCCTTGTTTGAATGTCTGTATATACACACAGTATAGTTGGAATGTCTTGACTGCAGGGGCTAGAAGCGGAGACTAGACTTTTAATGATCTAGTTACACAACATATACAGGGTTACGAGAAACTCAGATAAACGTGCGCCCAGGTTGTACCGATATGCGTCCTTTTGTGTTGCTCCCTTTCGCTTGGGCTTTCGGGACTCGGGAGTTCGGCCTATTGGTGCGGTGCTTCATTTTGAACTCTGTACTTTTGCCCTGCCTTGCTTCATCCGTGGTACCTTGGTCCCCTTTTTGTACTGTTTTATACTACGTGATATCATATCTCTACCAAAGAAGGGAAAAGATATTCCACGATGGTGTGGGAGATCATCGTGAGATCATGCCGAGCACATCTGTACAGCGGCGGTAGCTATAGGCCTAGAGCACAAAAAGCACTCACCAGGGCAATTATCCATCTATCCAGTCACAGTGTCCGAAACTCGGGTTAAGATTTTAGTTACACCTGCGCATCTGATTACGTTGGGGTTCAAGTTACACGATATTGCTCTCAGGACATCATCGACTCGAGATGCCAAGATCTCAACACTATTCACAGAACACGATCGACACACCATCGTCGTGTAGATCGGCGCGTGATATAACCAGAGCCACTGGCAGCCACGGTCTAGGATTCGAATCGCTAGGATTGCAGGGCGAAGGGGGCGCGAATGAGGGTGGTTCAGATTGCATACGATGTACTATCTCCGTTCAAGGAAAGAAGAACTCTGGATGTAACTCCATGCGTGCGACAGCCGTCTGTACATACATACAGACAAACAGGATAGGGCGTGATGACGGCAGGTTTGTGAACTCGGAATTTTCATAAACAAGGATAAAATGTTGAAGGATATGGAGTGCGTAAATAGCAGGGCCAATCCGAACCCCCCGTGAGGCTCGGAAATCCTGATCTCTTTTCTTTTGCTCGGGGTCCCATCTTCCAAATTGGCCTGCATTTCATTCCCGACCCAGAAACCACCGCCATGGGGCAGTGTGGCGGTTTCAGTTTCACTCTCGACACTACATACACCAGTCAAGAGGAGGAGGAAGAGGAGGAGGAGAAGGAGAAGGCGAGCCCGGCCCTAGATACTATCCTTGCTCATCCTTGCAGAGAGGACCGAGCCAGACCTACGTCTATATGTACATATACCTGCACATAACGAGAAAGCCGACTTCGACAAGGTCAGCCAACGAGGTTACGGCTTGGCTTGGCCTGACTTAGCTTGAAACCGGCCCTAGGTGACTTAACTACTGCAAGCAACTGCAGCAGTCTCCGTGACGCAGAGGCTAGGGATAGCCCCGGCAACTGTAGCTGCGAACGACAGTTCATGCAAGTTGGTTTGGTTTTATTTGGTCCGGCGACACCGGGTCGAATCTGAGGACGAGATCGACCCGAGTTCGATTCCACATCCCCCTTCTCCTCCGAGTTTGAGCTCGAATCCCAGTTTAAGTTGAGATCGAGACTGCCCAGCAACCGGGGGCGTGTCTGTATGCCAGTGTATGTGCGTGTGTTCACTTCACCTGCGGTCAGTGCATATGGGCCAGCGTTCTCTCGCCACTGGCAGTTACATAGGTACATACAAAGATACATGTACGTACATACCTAGGTACATGGGTGACTCGGTGTATGTATGTGGAGAGTAAATAAAATACCTCGGGTCCGACTGGAGCTGCAGACATCTGCAGACCCAAGCCGAGCCGTTCACGAGGGCATTTTATGCCCCGGCAACGAAGACACTTTCTGTAGCTGTGATTTGCGTAGGAAATTGTATCCTCAATATGTACGGTTTACGCAAGTTACAAACTCTCGACAAGACAGGACAGGACAGGACAGGACAGGACAAGTCCAGCCGACAGGGCGTGCGAAGTAAAGCGAACCAGTGCCGGCGAAAGCATTGGGACGGCGCGGGAAAAGCAAAGAAAGGCTTCCTATAGGGTGAAACTGCCAGCAACGGGCAAAGTAGATGCTGGAGCTTCCCCAACCGTCCAGTTGTGGAGCTTCTCGGTGAGAAGGACATGCAAGGAGGAGCGGGCGGGGAGATTATGATGAAGAGGAAGGAAGGGTTGCATCTGCGCACAGCGCGGTGCGGCGCACGGGTCGGGAAATGCTTCTCTCTCGGTACGGAGTAGGTACGGAGTATGGAATAAGTAAAATGTAGACTCCTGGGTATCAGGCATAATCGATCTTGGACTGGGATCAAGGAAGTACCGCACATAGAGGATCCACCACCTGCTGACGTCTACCTACAAGAGCCAAAAGATCGCAACCTTGGTGATCACGGTGATCACTTTAGCGTACATGTCAGCGCCAGCCAGCCGACTCGTTCGTTCACGATATCTACTTCCAGTGGACCTCCCATGGCATGCGTGATGGCGGTGGTGGCGGATGCACCTCCATCACATACATGAACAGAGTTTCAGTTTTCAATTCCATTTTCATTTTCATTTTCACTTTAACTCTTTAGCCCATCTTGATTTCTTGTTTTCGCTCTCTTACTTGTTTTTTCCTTGTTTCCTTTCTTTTTGCGAGGATTCCGATCTGGACCACATCATCGGGTCAGCTCTGACTCGAACGGCCGTGGCCGTGGCTTTGAAAAGGGAATCCCTGCAGGATGAGCAGTTTAGCGTAAGTACTGTAACTGCCGGAATTAGATAGGGTCGTGGCGCGAGAGGAGCTTGATCTCCTTCCCAGATCATCGTGTTGCATGCCCACGCAGATCTAGCCTACTCGGATTGACAAATAGTTGGTCGCGGGACGATGGCCTGGGGCCCTGACAAGCCCCTAGCAGTGCATTAGTCTGATACGTCGTGCTGTACCTAGCTGCATGATGATATCTGTGCGGGACAGTCGCGCACCGCCACAGACAGATTCCGACTCAGATTCGGATTCAGCTGAGCCACAGCCACAGATGGTAGGACAAGGGAACCCTAGGGAAGGGGTTGAGTGTTGTGGACATAATTATGGAAGTGGGGTGAGGACGTGGATCGGTCACATTTCGAGTTTTGCGCTCGAGATCTCAGCCACCGCGCCGCACTATTGTCACCGAAATACTCCGAGCCCGCTGCAGAAAGGGAGAGGAAATGACGAGTCAGGTGGGCGGGCTAGACGGGGCCAATTGGGCCAAATGGGTCAGACAGGTCAGCTTCTAGTATTCTCTCTCTCCCGAAATATCGCTCTCGTTATCGCTCGCTCGTTCATCCAGGGGTGACCAGGCCTGGCCAAGCACCAAGGACAAAGACTATGTACAGAGTTTTGTATTTATGGAGTATAGACGGGTATACTCTGTACGGCACGGAGTACCGCCACAGGCCCATCGCGGCGCTTGAACTCTTGGCGCAAATCAGTGTCGATTGCTGCGGACGGGGAAAGAGGAGTTGTTGAGTCGATCTGAGGGTCCCCCAGGATGTGCTATGCTACTGTATGCCATGCCATACCTTGCCAAGCCGTGTTATGACAATTCTCCATCAACTACACAGCACAGCACAGCACAAGACCCGCGAGAGAGAGGGGGGCTAAAGCAGAGCCGGGCACGTAAATTAGTTTTTAGTCTCTTGTCGTCACACTTGTTCGTCGATCATGACGGTGCGGAAGAGTCGGGGAATTTTCTGGCGATCATTTTGGGGGCCTTGGGCCTGGTCCTGCTTCTTCTCCCTCTTCTTCCCTTCCCCTGGGTGTTCTGTATCTGCACCGTGCGTTTTGGGGGAGAGGGGGAGGGACTTGCTTTTGCCGAGCAAAGCATGAATTCATAGCCAGAGTCTCCGATATTTGAGATACTAGGATCCGCCGCAACGGTTCACGCCAGATCCAATCAATAGTCGGATGGGGGCGAAGGGATCCGAGCGGGCGCGTTGCAGATCAATCCAGGGGGACGTCAAGTGCAGATCCTCCCTGGGTGACGGAGTTGACGGAGATCACACAACGAACGGAATACGGTATAGTGGGGAGGGGCGAGGGAGTGACCATGCACGCCATGGGATCCGCAGGGATTTCCATAGCACCGACCAGGTGGGGGATTCCATGACATTGTATGGAGATGATGGTCATGATGGGGAGGGGCATTCTCGATTTGGCTGGAACTATCCGTCGACATCGAGGGAACTACTGGTCTTTGAGGCTTGGCTATGCTGAAGCTAGGGAGTTGAAATTCTGGCATCTCGGGTGACCATGTGTGCAGTGGATCCGACTGCTTTGCTGAGCCATGGTTGCAATCCCGCGTGGAATTGTGATAAGTGAAGAGTCAAGGTTGATGATTGTCCACTAGCACTGAAGTGACAGGATGAGTTAGATGTGATTTGCAATACTGATAGGTGCCCTACTGCACGTGAGGATAGAATAGGACTGACGGTGATCATCAGTCAAGTCGATCACGACATTGTCATTCTACGGCTACCGGTCGTGAACTGCTACGGATGATGAATATGGACGGTACATTCAGGACGTGCGCTGTTTAGAGTTCGCAGCTCTGGGATTTGAGGGCACGGAGCCCCGTAGCCACGTTGTCTACTCCATCGGATTGACGTGGATCTACTCTTACCTAAATAGGATCCTTCTCAAGATGGCCTTCTCCATTTTCTCCGGGGAGGAGAGAGAGCTCCCCTCCCCCCCACTCCAGGTCCCCGGGCGGACTCTGAGTGGTGCATCGACCCGATCAAATGGAGCCTAATGGTACATCGGATGTGCTTCGGGTAGCAAAACAACCAGATCGCTCTGAGGATCACCGAGAGGGGTAGTAGAGAGCTGTGTGTGTGTGTGTGTGTGTGTGTGTGTGTGTGTGTGTGTGTGTGTGCTTGTTGGTCCTTGAACAAAGGTTCCTTTGGGCCGGGACTTCTCCCCTCATCCCAATCTTAACCGTTCAATGCGGACTACGGAGTATATGGAGCTCGAAATACCAAAAGCAAAGTATCGGGTGATACATACTTACAACCTTATCCGAATTGTGAATGATGCAGAGCGGAATATGGCCGACTCCATTCTTTAAGGTTTCTAAACAGGCGTGCTGTGCAACGTTTTCCTGTCAAGAAGCAGATCACGAAGCCGGTGAGGGTAAGTAAGTTCGTGGAATTAGACGTCAAGGATATGCCTGGCCGGGGAACGGCATGAAAGAAAGATCCAAGCGACCGTTCAGAAAAAGGTGGGATGATGCAGCGTGGTTAAAGGCTCGAGCGTTTTGACGTTCGGCCGAGGATGCACCGCAGGGTCAGGAAAGGCCAGTCTTGAGGTCATTTCTCGCAGGCCCGCAAATCCGAAGGACGAGCTCGAGTGGGTTGCATGTGCGTCCTGCTGCATGAGGGGCAAGGAGGGCAAGGAGGGCAGTTCAAGGCAGGGCGAGCCAGATATTGTGGCGTAACCCCTCGTGACTTGAAGTGCAGGGAGCCTCTTGATCCAAGGTGTTTAGCGCCGAGTTAACCAGGGCCAACCAGACTGCTGGGCCGGCAGAGTTACGATTTGTGTTACACTGCGGATCAAACAATGGATCCTGGGAAAATCGAGTGAGTGTCACTGAGGAGAAAGGAGCCGGCCGGAAGGGAGGGAGATCAGGGGAAAAAAGCACAAATGGGTTAAAAAAGGAAGGGTAAAAACGAAATGGAAAAAAAAACGCCAAACAAAGCCCGTAGATCCTCTGGAGAGATCAGCAACTATTGATGTTTAGCTCGGCTTGGCGAGCTGCCAATCCACTCCCAAGGCTGGAATTCGCAGGGTGATGGTGTAGGGTGGGCACGCTGACAGATAGTTGACAGACAGGTTGCTTCAGGTCTCAATAGTGCGTTCGGGTCGACATCATCGATCCTCCGCATGGCGATCGGCCATCATCGTCGAGCCGGGGAGCGCATCCGATCTCGTCAGACCCAGTCAGTCGGAATTGTGGCAGGCTGTTTTAATGTTTCGAAAGGGGGAGCTCGTACTCGGCGGGAGAAGGGCGTCTTTGCATCCAATGGGCGTGAACCATGCAGGCCCAATCACCGTGACGACGTACCGCAGTGCAGGCGTGCAGGCGTGCAGGCTGTGGCTCGAGGCCCTGGGTTGAACTCTGGTCCATACAAGGTTGGATTACATAGACTGACTCGTGTTGTAAGGTCAGACCTAGTTGAGTTTGAACCAACTGGGGCATACTGGAAAGGAAAGAAAAGGAAAGGAAAAAGAAACACCAAAAATGATCCACGACCCACTGAGTCTGGAGACCCGAAACTCTTCAAGTGAGATGAGATATGGACTCGAGAGGGTCCCATCTGACTGACGCTAATGCAGGAACTGGCAGGGGAACCAGTGTGACTGTAATATTACCATGATACAATACACGGGAACTGTACCTTAAGGTACCCGGGTACCATATCTTGGGTACCTCAACCATGGATCGCTTGTTGACAAGAGTATATCGTGTTCACTGTGTAGGGAGTATGGTGTACCCTGATTACCCTACTCTTGTATACTGTATACGAATATTATATCCTGGTGAATGTGTGTACTCTGTACGGTGTACTCCGTATACTTTGTGTGTATCTCCGTCAGAAACTGGGGCTGTGGACCAACATTCTCAAACAGCGGTTGGATCTAGCGTTGATTGGCATCCCCATGTGCTCCGGCGAGATCGGAATGGAATGCGTGCGGGCAGTCCAGATCCCAATCGTTCAGCTGAGAATTCAGAGTAGTTTGGCTCTTTATCCTGTACTGCTATTTCCTCAGTTCAACTCTGTCCACCGCACACCGGAGGTATACTCCGTACACTTGTATGCACTCTACTCAACGCCACCCCCTAGAACCGCGCGGGCGGTAGCGCACTCCACGGGCCCCGAGTGGGGATGGACGTCTGTGTAGCCTAACCAGAAGGGGAGACGATCAGATCTCACATCTCCGAGGACAGCAGTACCAGCATCTGTACCTGTACCATACTCTGTACCTGTACCATACAGTACCCCTGGACCTCGACCGCAGCATCTCCCAGGCACACCCCATTCTCTCCCCCCGTCTTTCTCTCTTCCTCTTTCATCTCGCGATAATTCACTTTCTTTTTTTATTTTCTTTTTTTGCGCCATACACTCCTTTTTGATTCGATCTGATCTACCCCCGTCTTTCCTTAACTACCGGGTTTCCTATACTGCTGTTCCTGTTTGATTTTCCACTTTCTTCGACTATTCCACTATTCATCGCCTCATATAATCACAATCACTACCATTACACCACTACCACTACACCACCACCACCACCCTCGTCAACACCGCATGTCTCTTTCTCTTTGATATAGCCTCCCTTCCTCCTCGCTGCCCACTCCTTCTAAAGCGATCTCCCTTCCTCTCCCACCTCTACACTCCCTTTCTATCCATCCACCACTTCTTCCCGCCGCCATGAGTTACATCCACCCCTCATGGAACTATCCCGCCCACTCGGGTCTCCCAATGGACCACAACATGGCCTACGACCCTTCCATGATGCCCCCGCCTATGATGCATCCCATCGATGGCTATCTCTACCCTCATCCGCCTATGGAGATGATTGATTACTATCACCAGCCCATCATGGACTATGACGAATACACAGAGAACCTGTCACGCCCGCGTTTGACCAAGGAGCAGGTCGAGACCCTCGAGGCTCAATTTCAGGCTCACCCCAAGCCCAGCAGCAATGTGAAGCGTCAATTGGCTGCTCAAACAAATCTGAGCCTGCCACGCGTGGCTGTACGTCATCCCTGCGGTCCACCATTCCCTCCCCGTCAAGAATTCGTGCTAATCATCCCATCATAGAACTGGTTCCAAAATCGACGCGCCAAGGCCAAGCAGCAGAAGCGCCAGGAGGAATTTGAGAAGATGCAAAAGGCCAAGACCGAGGCCGAGGAGGCCGCACGCCGCAAGTCCGAGACATTGGATCAACATCTGTCTGAGTCGCGACAGTCTTCCTCCGCCCCGAAGGAAGAGTCTGAGCAGCCCCCTACCCCAAAACAATCCTCCGCCACCCCTACCCCTACCCCCGAGAACACCACACAATCCGATTCGCCGGCCAAGGGGAAGCACCACAAGACGAAAAGCGAGTCGGCACGCGAGGCGACCTTCGCATCCCTACAGCGGGCCCTCAATGCTGCCTGTGCGGCGCGTCCCCGTTTCTCCCGCAAAGGCTCCCGCAAGCCGGATTCCGTGCCAGAGGAAGAGCCAATTTCGCCTACCTCCATGGCCCCGCCAGCCACTGCCCCCCAGTCACGCGAGGGCAAGAGGCAACCAACCTACAACTCAGGCTATTCTGACTGGGCCGGTGTCAAGGACGAAGCTTCCTGGGGGTCATCTCATCCTCAGGCCGAGACATCCTCATTCCACCCCGCCAACCAGTCCATTCCTGAGGTGCCCACCTCTTCGCACTCTGTACAGCAAAATGGAAACGCCTACTCGGGAACCCAATACCAGACCGCGGAGTGGACAGAGGCCCACAAGGAGCACATGTCCCCTCAAAACATAGGAGCCGATGCCGGCATGGGCTACAACATGCAGTACCCAATGCAGGCACCCGATATCTCCGTCTCTCGGCGGGATTCGTCCGATGCCTTGTCCACTACCCTGAACGGTATTGGGATCTGTACGTCCGAGTCGGGTATGCCAGCATTGAACCGAGCCGGTGGATCATCTTGGGAGAAGTCCGGGAAAGAACTCGATCTTGCTGCGAGACGTAAACGCCCCCGCCCTGCTGCAATTGGCACTTCCAACACACGTTCGTTGGCTGCGTCGACGTCCATGTCTTCCCCTATCGCCTACCAGCCGGATGCCGAGCTCCGGTGCTGGAAACTCGATGAGACACTCCAAGTCGGCCCAGAACCTCAACACCCGGTATGCCGGTGTGCGGAAGGCCTCTGCGGCTCAGCGCTCCCCGTTGAATTTCACTTTCGCCGAGTCCGGTTCCATGAAGTCCAGCAAGGCCGAGATGTTGCGGCCATCCGTCTCATCCTCAAACCTGGCTCCGCCAACCCCCCTTGACACCTCAAGACTTCCAGCACTTCATGCCGGCCTCGCCGACTGAGAGCAACTACTGCATGTCGGCTCATTCCACCACTCAATTCTTCCCGACCTCTCAGCCGATGCAAGTCAATATCGCATCCCCTCCTACTACCCCGCTAGACATCTATTCTCCCTTCACATACCAGAACGTCGCCCCGCCGATGTCTGCCCCAGCCCAGGTGTCGAACTTCCCGGAGTACGTCAGCTGCGATCCGGTCCCCATGTCGGCTCGAAGCTGGGCGGACACGGGCGCGCTCTCCTCGCCGGAATTCCAGAGCGGCCTACAAGTGCCACACTCCGCCACCGTGTCCCCCATTGGGTATGATGCGGCTGTCGAGCACACTGGTCAGGCATACGGGATGGAGCCCGTGTCCGGATCGCCATCACTCATCTACTCGATTGAAGACGTCGATCACCAAGGCTCGATGGATGAGAGGAAGCAGGCTGAGTTCAGGATGCATGACTTTGCCGAGCAACATCATGATAGCTATTCTGCGCATCTGGCTTCGGTCCACAGGCCGAAGGCATACACGTTTGCCAACAACACGACTCCGACCAACTATCCCTCCTGAGGGTCTTCCTCGTCTAGATGGATATGAATGAGAAATGTGCCGCGATAAATACGCTTTTTGTCTGGGACGAACGAACCGCCATGCATCCTCTCGCCCCTGCGAATGTTTATTTCTTTTGATTTATTTCTTTGACATTTTGCCCTGATCTTTGGTTTATCCCAACACTCCATGCGCGGAGAAAACACTGTCACTTTTACTTTTTTCCCTTCACTCTTTCCTACATATGGTTTCTCTTCTTCTGTCTGTTTATTTGGTGTGGTTCCACCGGGGTTCTTACATATTCGGAGCATTTTTTTTTTGCATTTGTGATTTTTGGCCTGGGAATTGTTATTTGGTGTCCGATACATACGACCTTTTAATTCTGTTGAGTTCGCACATGTCGGCTCAAGATTACATTTTTTTCAACACTTTTCACTTCTCACAAACAACCTCTTTTTTCTTCGTTACTCTTGCTCTTACGGAATCGGTATCTGGATTTGGATCTTGCATATCAGCATTTAACTCTTTGATACATACTGTCACGTCCATAAATTTTTGTCTTGTTTTCTTGTTTTCTTGTTTCCCCTGTCTGATAATCCAAAAAAGGGGTGCGTGTGATGTTAAATAAAGATGAAGCCAAATATTTTCTATTTCCACCAATGCTCTCTGTGACTAGTGACTAGTAGGTACCTACAAAGGTCAGAGTAATCTCCGAAATTCATCCAGCCGACCTGTGGTGAGCACGTGTTCTGCTCGATAGGACTGCCGCGTCTGAACTTTGCCGACTCCACTGCGGGGCTTTTCGTCATCCATCATGCTCGTCTATTTACTCTGGTCTAAAGAATAAAACGTGCATATCTAGGTACTAACAGCCACTGTTTTCTTTACCTATAAAGACTCGATGCCGATCCCTAAACTCAAAACTTCTTCTCCTGCTCGCATCCTCCATTCATCCCTTCGGTAACCATCAATATCATCGCTACCGTTTAGGCGAAGCCTCAGTGTATACTTCCTAGCCAAATGAAGTTCTCAACACTTACCCCGGCCCTATTGGGTCTGGCTTCTTCAGTGACTGCCTACACCGTGGAGTACTCAACTGAGACAGGCTACTTTCTGCAAGATGAGACCTCGACTGATGCGTCGACCTTTGACTATGTATGACCTTCTCCAATTAGCAGTCCATATTTTCAGCTTTGATCTACGGGCTTAATTATTTGCACCTTGATTTCATTTGATCACATCTAACCTCTCATTCTCTTTTCTATCTAGACTGCTTTTAATTTTGGCCTCATCAATCGCACATACCCCGCAGACAGCCATTTAAAGAAACACCACGACTACTCCCAGTGGGAACGCTTCTATCACCAGGTCCAGAAGCTCAACCAGGACTCACACAAGGACGTCGAGTACAAGGTCCTTTTCCTCGGTCGTCACGGCGAGGGATATCACAACGCTGCAGAGACTTTCTACGGCACGCCAGCATGGAATGTAAGTACCACCTCCATTTCCATTTCCCTTCTTTCCCCGCGATCAACCCCAACCTCCCCAGCCTAAGTGGGGATTCGAGCACCAGAGGAAGAGGGGAACGTAGTATCGAACAACCCCTACCTCCACCCAAATCCCACCTATCAAACTTCCCCCGAGCCAATTCCTAACTTTTCATCCAGTGCTACTGGGCCGAACTAGACGGCAACAGCACAACAACCTGGCGCGACGCAGCCCTAACAACAAACGGCATAAATCAAGCCCTGAAAGCGCACTCCCTCTGGCAAAGGCTCATCACCGAACAAAACATCCACACGCCGGATAACTACTTCGTCAGCCCATTGACCCGCACCCTCCAAACAGCAAACTACACCTTCACGGACCTAGATCTACCCCGCGACGCCGCGCCCTTCGCCCCACTCATCAAGGAACTCTTCCGCGAGGGAATCAGCATTCACACCTGCGACCACCGCTCCACCCGAAGCTACATCCACAACCTATTCCCCAAGTGGGCGATTGAGGCCGGCTTCACAGAAGACGACGAGCTCTGGAACGGCGTGACGGGTGAAACGAGCGCTGCGCAAGACGTACGCAGCACGACAGCGCTGAACGAGGTCTTTTTCACCGGGGCGAGTGAGAAGGATGAGGAGTTTGTTTCGGTCACGGCGCATTCCGGGGAGATTTCTTCTATTTTGAGGGTGTTGGGTCATCGTACTTTTAGTCTTAGTACCGGTGCCGTTATTCCTGTGCTTGTTAAGGCGGAGAAGAAGGGGCACGGTCATAGTCCTGTTTCTTCTTCTAGTGTCGCTTGGACGGATAGTCCTCATTGTACCGTGCCGCCGGTTACGTCTGTTACTGCTTGTGTTTGTCCTTCGAGTGCGGTGCCGGTTACGACGCCTTTGGTTACGGATTTGTAGGGGTAGAGGGGTTTTTGCTTGGCGGAGATTCGAGTTGTAAGATTGGCTATGGGTTCAAGTTTTCTCTTTGTTTTCTGTTTGTTTTCTGGTTGTAGATGTGAGATATAATGCGTTTCTTTCCTAAAATATCTTTTCTTGGTGCTTCTATTTTCGTTTATTCTTGGCGATCACTTCTTTTGAATACATTATCTTGTTTATTTAAAACAGCTTCTGTGGTTCCATTTACTTAGTAGGTATGTAGCAAGGCATCTGATCCTATCGGAAGTAGTAGTACTTGCTTTCCTCGCAATCCAGAGACAGCCAGGAGGCACAATGATTATATCAGGGTTAATGATCAAGACAGGTATCCAGATAACAGCAAAATTAGAATTCGCGTGCGAGTATGGTAATATCTGGATATGACAATTCATGGGGCTCTGCCAAGCATTCCACGTTATACATCATGTAGCATGGTGGTGCTATCGAGAATCCATTTTGCGCAGCCGTTGAGTCCAGAGTTGTGTGTATCTGTACCCGCTCCCAATATCCAAGCATATTCAAAAGCTCCATTTACACCGCCCACCAAAAAAACCTACCCCCAAACTCCACACCCACACATCCATCCGCCCAAGTTGAATGGACAAAAACAAAAAGTAAGCGTCCCCGGGAAGGCTCGAACTTCCAACCTCTCGATTAACAGTCGAACGCGCTAGCCAATTGCGCCACGGAGACTTGCTTGTTGAAGAAATGCTGCGTCTTTAGATTAATGAGGGGAGTACACAAAATGATCAATTGCTGCGGGGGCGGTACCTGAAAACTTATCATGGCTTCTGCATTTGGGGATAGTGATTCTTTGGGTCTTTATTACTAGTTGGGTGCCACATTATATCAGGAAAATTCAAACTTCGGACTCGGTCTGGAGAAGGTGGTGGGAATGAATTTAAACTGGGTGATTTTAGGAAAACTGTTCTCAATGGCGCGGAATTGCGGGTTCAGCCTTGGGGTACGGATTCTAGGTTGGTGCCCCGTTCGATCATTTTGAAATACATACTATATTGGATCTATCCATAACTATCTAGGTACTGATGGCCACTGGCAGCTTGGAGATGATGGATTGAGTCGGATTCAAGCGTGCCCTGGGCAGCCCTGGAGGCCCCGCCCGGAATATATATTCGGAGGCTCTATGATGATACCAATATATCGTAGGAAATAATATCCCCCCTCCAGGTGCCCTTCTGCCCTTCTTTGGAACCTTGAAAAGCTCCGACCTCGAGAGTACAGCGCTGCGGAGGTTCCAACTGAATCCAAATCCTCCAAGACTTAAGTTTTGAAGCCTGTCAATCACAGTAATCCGAGTCTTTTCAAGGATTCCAAGGTTTATCCCCACATCATAGATCTAACGGGTAAACTGTCGACTCAATATTCTCCGGATAAACCAGCCCCCCTTGTTCCCGAACCTGATCCATAACCTTCATAATCGCAATACTCTCCTCCCAAGGAAGGGTATCACTCTCAAGCTTCCCATCACGCAAACAACGAGCGACTTCATCAGCCTCCCAAAACATACCGCGCGCACCGCCAGGGATAGGCATATGGACATCCTGGATGGTTGTCAGGTCTCCCGACCCACTACTCGGTACAACGCGGTATCGCTCTGGACCGTACGCAGGTCCGAAGATCAGAATGTGGCCCTTGGTCCCCTGTATCTGGATAGAGGGACCGGCAGAGCCACGATTATCCGGGTCTGTGGCCACGCGGAAGGCCGTCATCGCCACAGCTTCCGAGGTTCGGTTGGAAAGGGCCGATGGCGTTGTAGTGGGAAATGTTATGAGCATGGTTGTTGACTCGTCTGCTCCGGTTTGAGGATACTTGGACATACTCGACAAGATCTGGGATGGCTCTCTGCGCTGAGAGCGCGGTAAGGTGTGGTAAAGGATTTGGAATACCCATGTTAGAGCGTATACACCCACTGTGAAAGTTTAGCCAACGATAAACTAATACTGTTGGGCCCCACGAATTGTGAGGGAAATCAAATCACACTTACAGTCAAGCAAGGCACCGCCAGCTAGGTCCTTGTTAATCATGCGATGGCTCGAGTCCCAGGCAGTTTCGGGCTCGCCCCCGATACTCAGGTCCGAGATTACACGCAGCACCTCGCCAATAGCCCCGGACTGCACCAGTTGTCGCACTTGGATGCTCAGCGGGAAGTACCGGGTCCATACGGCTTCCATGAGAAACAGGCCCTTCTGCTTGGCGGTTTCGCAGAGGATCTTGGCCTGGGCTGCGTTGACGGTGAAGGCTTTTTCGCAGAGAACGTGTTTCCCGGCTTCGAGGGCTAGCATTGCGTGCTGGAAGTGGTGGGAGTGTGGGCTGGCCACGTAGATTGCTTGCACGTTGTTGTCATTAACGGCTTCTTTGTAAGATCCGTATGTTGCGCATGGTGCGGGAATCTGGAGTCTTTCGACGAATGAATCTGCTGACGACTTGGATGAAGATGAGGCTACAGCGACTACTGTATGGGCGACGTCTGTGACTCCTCGCTTTGTCGGGTCCAGTAGCAGATCTTTCACAAAGGCTAAATGCAACAATATTAGTTTTACTTTTTCTGAGATGTTTGGGTTGAGTAGATCTGTCTCACTTTCTGCAATCCCACCGGTGGCTACAGAAGATCAAACTGGGAGTCAGTAATAGTACAAGTAATTCAATGATGGTAGTTTTGACAGGATTTTCGGACATACCAAGGATGCCCCATCGAAGATTATAAGCCATGATACAACGAGACGGCGATCTGAGGTTGAATGAAACTGGGATGTTTGATGTACTACGATGGGTAGATGAGTGATCGCGCAAAAAGGTTATCGATGGTAATGGAGAGGGGGTAAGCCAGGGTATTTATGGTCAAATAATTAAGCACATATGACTGTAAATCTTGACGCTTCTTGAATATAATCAGAGCGCTCAATTTCAAATCGGGTTAACATTTCCGCTCTCCCCAGAAACATTTGAAGCCCAATTCACCACGGGGGATTAACGAATGTATGGGTTTAAGCCAATCATAACCTGTATTTTTGCCCCCACTTTGAACTTTGCCATCGCCTCGACCTGCCACACTTCTGATTGCTGACATCAGTCTTGACAGGGCGGGTTCTACCGACCAGCCCAAGTCAGATTCAACCATCCACTTTGAATGTTTCTTCTCTATTGAATGCTTGTACCAAATGCATGACTGGTATGTCATCATTTCCCTCTGTTCCACTCTCGTCCAATCAGAGAGCCTGAGACAGGACACTTCCGCTCTTCAACAATCGAATGATTCGGGAAATCTTCCAGATTGGGGAAGCGCAAAGCACCATATTGACCAGGGGCAGGCCTGGGAATGAGGTTTAATGAAACACCAACCACGCCCGATGGCCATATATGCGGAGTAGACAAGTATGGAACACCAACAAAGAAAAAGCGACCGCAAGATATCTCCCCGTTCCCAACATGGATGCACAAATTGCCGCCGGAGCAAGGTCAAATGCGACGAGAACAAGCCAATTTGCACCCGATGCTGGCAGAAAGACCTGCAGTGTTCGAGTAACTTTCAACTCAAATGGGAGTCAACTTACCGTGATCGTGGTATCGCCTTTGGCAGGACTGGACTCTGGGGCAAAAATGCACCCAAAAATCGACAGACTCCAACGCGCTCGACAGAGTCAGGTCCAACCTCCCAGGAGGAGGCGACATGGCTTGCGACTCCGACTATTCAACCCTGGACATTTCTCAATAGCGATATGTCCTTAATCCGCCGAATTTATGATGAAGAGCAAGGCCATACCCAGCGAGAGCTTTTACCGGCCTTTGATGTCAAATTGGCAATTGGCGAGCAAGAGCCTCGTGGGAAAATTCTATCACCCTCGAGCCCAATTTCTCCTTCGTGTCTGTCTGAGCAGACCCTCCCATCATCTCTATCGATCTTTCCATCACTGGATGAGATTGGAAACCGATCATTGTTCGACTACTATATCAATCACATATGCCCTCGTACAGTACATAGCCCTCTTTCGCAATCGCCATTTGCATCGGTTATACTTCCTTATTGCGTCTCAGCGACGCCCACAGTTCTACGCGCAATCCAGGCGCTGGCCGCCTGCCACTGGGCCCAATACGACCCCCAATATACCAATATCAGTCTGCAATTAAAGTCACGAGTTCTCAGAGAGTTCCGGAAACGAATCAGTTCTGACGGGGGCGCTGTATTGGAATCGGACCCTGAAATCTTGGTAATTGTGATGTTTCTATGTCTTTTCGATATCGTGGATTACTGCAATAGTCAATGGATCGTTCATCTGCAAGGAGCGAAAGATATCATTCGACTTCGAAGACGACAGCAGATCTTGGCTAGCGGAAATGCAGACCCGCGGCAAGACGAAGTATCCTCGTTTGTGGAGCTTTTCTTTGCTTTCCAAGACGTTATGGGGCGGACTGCTTGCGCGAAAGCAGACCTTTTCGGGCCACGATACTGGGACGAAACGGATACAACAATTAATCCCTGGATGGGGTGCAGTCCTGCGCTTGTCTCGATATTGTTCTCGGTTATGGATCTTAGTCGGTCACGACGGTCTATGTTCTTGAGTGATGACCAGATTATATTTGAGACTAGAGCTGCCACGTTGAAAGACAGGCTCCAAAAGCTTGAACAAAAGCCCCGTACCAATGAAAGTGACCAGACGATTCCTAGAATTGCCGAAGTGAAGAGACTCACTTGTATGGTCTTTCTGAAATGCGCGTTGTATGGCGGGCGGCCGTCAGACACGGAGATCAAGACTTTGGTCAGGAAGATAATAATGGAGATTCAAGAGCTAGTAGCCCTGGAAGCAGTCTGCCAACTTATTTGGCCTCTTTTCGTTGCTGCTGTAGAGCTGGATCCGCTTGACATTGAACTTTTTCCCAACCCACAAGATGGATATGTGACTAATGGGAGAAGGCTTGTATTGGAATTACTCGAAACAATGGCCATGAGCAGTGTCTCGAGTGTTCATCGGACGCGCGTGGTTATTGAACAGGTTTGGAACTCTCGAGACTTTAGCGTATCAAAGTCTCCGGAAACCGTACGAGCGTCTACCATGGATTTAAACGACTGGGAGCAATACGTTGTACCAGTGAGCGATGCTTTGAGCTTGGTATAGAATAGGACTCTTTGGCCATCGACAGAAATAAAAATAACAATAGTACGACGTGTGTAGAACTTGAAGATCAATGCACAACTATTCATGGTGCTCAGTTTCCCCTTTATCCAAGTTTGGACCGCCTGCTCCGGCATTCTTTTAGACTTCTTCTTGCTCGTGTAAAATGTACTTCATAGGTCGTTTGACGCAAATAGCATCGGGGCCCTTGATCACAATGAGGCCTGGGTCACTGCGGTAATAAACGTCAATATCTTCAAGGTTGCGGTTTGCTAAATGGGAGCTCATATTAGCCTGTATTCTACCTGTGGATATTTCGATAATATCAAATTACCTGTCTCTGGGTAGAAGAAGTAGATGACCGGAAGGAAGGCGGCGTTGAACACCCGTCCAAGGCCTCTAACAGATTTTCCATCTTATCTTCGAGGTAACCTTGCTTCTGAACATATATCGTCTATCAGGATTAAGCTTGCCTATATTTCTCCTCCCCCTAGGGTGATATTGAAGGACTACAGCGTTATGAGAGATACTATGATTGCCTGACCCATGCTACATCATCGAAATGGACATCAGATTCAAGAATATAGAAATGAGCGTATTTATTCTACCACTGCCGGGTCCAATTTTCAATGTGCCCGTATATATACTCGTAGTGTGTTCTCTAATTCCCATTGCAGTGGAAAGATAACACTGTCCAGTGGCTCAAGAAGACCCCTTATTTGCAGTACTACAATTGACATGTCAGTATTATCACTCAAAAGGATTCTCAAAGAGGGCATACCCAATTCTCGCTTCCAGATTGCTTGGTGCATTTCTTGCCTTCACAGCAAACGCCGTCGCCCGGTCTTCCACTGCCAATTCTGCAGAGATCTCCAGGGCAATGACACCTGGGGAAATCAGGGCAGTTGCCAGCAGCCAGAGCGAGGCCGAGGAAAGAGGCGATAAGGAACATGTACTTCATATTGGTAGACTGGGGGAGTTAGTAGAGACTTCGTGAAGAGAAGCCGCAGTACATACTAGATTGCTGTAATGGAAATCACAGAAGTGAAGGATGATATTCAGAGAAGATTGCTGATGAAGAATTGAGATTTGGGATTACAATCAAGAGATATTTATACACTTGAGTCTCGCGCTGTGAGCCTAGTATTGATAGCATCGTTCTACCAACTTGGTTACAGAGAAGAAGATCATCTTGGCAAGACTGGGCAGTCAGATTGATTGCTGGGGAAGTTGGGAGGCCTGATTCTCCAATGGGCAATATCGAGCGTTTGATCCACCTGCCAAGAGCTTCAAACAAGAAACTGCAAGTAAACACACCTGAAGTACCTGGATGTTTTCGTGGCGACCCGATAGCCGAAATTGATCTGCAGCATGGTTGTATGTGATGCTAGGTCGACGCCCACGCCTTGGCAGTGCAGATCCCAGTAAGCATTAGTCAACACAACTATCAATTCATGAATGGTCTGGTATTCACGACACGAAGAGAACATTATCTGCATAAAGTGCGCCGCGATAGGAGAAATGCTGCGAGTAACTAGATGCTCGAGTGGTACAACAGTGAACGAAGTGACAACTTGAAAGCATACTTCAGGCGACCCATGAAGCAGAGGGAAGATCGTCTCGTTACACTGCATATACTGCGAGAAGAGGGGGCGTAAGCCTAATGCGAGCCACCATCATTCTTTGCGGGGAGAAATTGGCGCATCGGACAGGTTGGCTTCTGGCAGCAAGGCTTGAAGAAGCTCAAACCTCGGGCCCTACAGCCTGGGACCTTTGAAGTGTCGCTGACGAAGCATATAAACCCAGCAGAACAAGGTATCATGAATGGAGCTCGGAAGAGAGGACGCTTCACTGGCTTCTGTACCGACTGGAAGGATCTCGTCATCGATCTCACCCCGGAGGGAGCTCGACTCACACCGATGCACAAGGTTCCTTACTTCAAGCGACCCTGCGCGAACTTGAGCAAGTATCTGATCTCGCCGCAAGAAACGGATTTCGCCCTCGATGATCTTTTCGAAGTTGATGATAATTATCAAAAAACGATACATGGGAGGATCATTATTTCTATTTCCCACACTGCCACCTCGAGCGCGAATGAAACAGAGGAGGCTATTAGTCAAGCGGTTGTATCGACTAACTCAATTTCACTATCAGACGACGCTGTGAATGCGGCAACAGAGACTACCATTACTGCCTGGACACATTTTCGAGCATCGTCACAACGTCCCAACTCACTGACTTTGGTCCAGCCAGATCAAATCCGAAGTGATATGCCACCTAGTTGGCCACCCTCGCTGACAGGGTCGTCACAAGCTTCACTGTCACCACCCAGCGAAAGCTTAAGTCTTCGCCCCCCCAATCCCAACACCACAATCCTCCACGGCTTCCAAGTATTAATTGTGTAATGGGATTTGGACTGGAAAAAGGCTAGGAGTCGATATTGATAGGAAAATTACTGAACGACGATATTCAAGGAAGATATCATTTCAAACAAACAAGACTAAATGATTGAAAACAGACTGTTGTCATTCGTTTTTTTGGCGATTTTTCTCATGAATGTTAGTCTCCTCAGCAAGCCCTGGAGGCTAAGAAGAAACACTGAGAATCTTCTATGTGAAGCTTCAGTAGTGCTGGGATGTAGGGCTCAGGAACCACCCCAGGTAGTAACATATCGCCTTCCGAGCCTCACTCACACACATACCCACACACTCTCTCCCATCCCTAGTTGTCGTAGATATCGCATTCATGCACCATGCTCTGCATTTTTCTTCGTGAATCCTGCAAAGGGTAACATCGCGCATGCTCAAAAGATGTCACAAGATGGATCATAATATCATCGACGTCTTTGTAGGGAAGAATATTACTGGGCTGCATGCGATAAGCCATGAGCCTAGCAGCTGGGCCTTTACAACGGCTAAAAACATAGGCAATCTGGAGCTCAGGCGTGGAGAGTTGTTCGGCAGATCTTCGCAATTTGTCTTCGATCTGTAACTTCCATACTTGAATAATTGGCTCTATGCCGTCGGAGAACATTGGAGGATCCGGCAATACATTTCGGAGCGTGGTCAATTCCGCTTGAAGGGCGTCACACTTCATGGTCATAATATCGAGCTCCTTCTCAAGCTTGTGATAGCGATTGTCTGGAAATTGCTGCATAGCCACCGCCATCTCCACTTGCGACATAGGAAGCCGAGGGTTGGTGGTCTGACAATCTTGCTGGCGAGCGACATCGCAGGTATTGTTCTCAGGCGAGATAAAATCGTCTGTACTAGTGTTATCCACACTGATCTGGTGCACGTCTTCGATTGGCGTGACGGGAATGGGTGCGTCGATATCGACCCAGGACCCGGAAAGTTGGATCCCAGTGGAGAGGTCGGACCTACCACCCTCGATCGAAGTTTCATGATTGCGTTAAGAGGGGAACATTGGAAAAGTGAAGAGGGAGATGAAGAAGTAAAGAGGTGAAGGGAAGGCACAGTGACCGATTGCTGCTGTTGCCTTCCCGCACTGTCTTTGACCGAGGAAATAGTTTCAATACTTCGGTTTATATCCATACAAAGATACTACTAGTAACAAATTTCTAACTCTTCACATTTATTTTCATCTTCATCAATCATCCATTCATCAGCATCCAAGTATTTAGTAACCAACACCGGCGATCATAACCTTAAAAACATCCTGGCGCGCAGACTTCACAAGCTCGAATGCCTGCTCCGACTCCTCAAATTTGTAACGATTGGTGATTAATCGCTTGACATCGATCTGACCCTTGGCAATCAAGTCAATGGCGGCAGGATAACAACCGGCCAAGTAGCGGATAGATCCCTTGATGATCAAACCACGAGTACAGACAGCAGTAATAGGGAAATTGATAATCTCCTTGCCCATACCAGCCTGCACAAAGGTAGCTCCACGCTTAGCTGCGTATATGCCGAGTTGGACGCATGCCTCAGCTCCAGAACACTCAAGAACGACATCGGCACCATCTCCAAGACCAAGCTCCTTATTCATCTGGAGCGCAACCTTCTCAGCATGCTCCATAGGGTCAGCACCTGGTTCTGCGCGAGCAGGGGTGTATACATGGTCGGTGCCGTAGGACTTAGCCACCTCCAAACGAGACGGAACAACATCAACGCCAGCAACAGTCTTCGCGCCATAGGCCTTAGCAACTGCCTGGCACAGAACGCCAATAGGACCACAGCCAAGAACAAGCACTGTCTGGTGCGCACGCAGATCAGCAGTTTTGGCAATAGCTGCAGCAACAGATACAGGCTCAACCATGGCGGCTTCCTCCAATGTCATCGAATCGGGAACCTTATAGCAGAAGTCGGCAGCGTTGACGTAGTATTTAGCCAGTGTTCCGTCCCAGGGAGGGGTGGCAGCGAAGATCATGTCGCCACAGAGGTGGTAGGAGCCTTTGCGGCAGTATTCGCAACGGCGACAGGGAACACCGGGCTCCATAGCAACTCGGTCGCCGGGCTTGAGATCGGTCACCTTGTCACCGGTCTCGACGACGACGCCGGAGGATTCGTGGCCCAAGACCATAGGGCCTGTGAGCTTGTAGTCGCCGATGCGACCGCGTTGCCAGTAGTGGACCTGTGAAAGAAGGGAGATATTAGACCTTGACCTTGCGGGTTGTGAATGCTTTTCATAATACCTACATCGCTGCCACAGATACCGGTCTGCGCGACGTGGACAATAACATCATGGGGGTCCTTGAGAACAGGCCTGGGGCGGTCCTCAATCACAACGTCCTTGACAGCGCGCAAGACAAAAGATGGGTTCTGTATTTTTGTCAGGAGAGCTCAGAATTTCCAGATGAAAGGCGGTACATACCTCCATGATGTGAGCGGGAGAGTCGATGGGTGGTTTTTGTTTTCATGATTGCCCATCGTACCCTTCTTTATACTTGACATGACCTGGGGTCACAAAAGTCCGCCGCGCGCCAGATAGGAACGTAGTCTCATTTATTGTCAATCTTCTGACTGGAGCCCCTTGGGTTTTGTTACTGGCGCATGCAGTTGTGTCGTGGCACGAATGCCCGAATAGGAAATTTATGCGGCTCCACTTTTGATATCCCCATTTTTCTGAGACGCGTCTCAACTACAACGAATGTATTCTGGAATGAATTCATTTATTTTATCTCTTCAAGAGGGGCATTATGATACCGTGGACTAAAGCAAATCAAATCAGGCTTGATTCAACTGTACTGTAAGAGCTCGGGACGAATAGGTATCCTGTTGCACTGAAAGAAAGTAATAAAGCCAAAGAGAATGAAGAAAATGAAGCTATGCCCATCACTATAATACAAGAAAAACGGCATCCTGATCACAGAGGTCCTATAGTTTCAGGGCTACTTAGTCCTGGTCGTGGCAGTTCAGGGCGTCTTGCTGATTAGTTCGTACTGTGACCAGAAACCGGTTTCAGTGAGTGCAGGAGGCTGCTCTTGGGTAAACCCAACTCCAGAAAGTCATCGACCTCCTGGCCAAGGCTGTTTAGGAATGACTCTCTAGTCCACACGGGCTTCCACCCAATAATGTTTCCCTTCTTAGATAGTACTTTCGGGCTTGAATTTTATCAGTATAACTTTTTTTTAGCAATGTCATTCACTGAGCAAGTTAACTGACCTCGAATTCCACATGCTGTGGGCAAAGCTGGCTGGTACGCCAACTGACTCAGCCGCCATTTCGTCAGACGGCCATATTTTAGTAGATTCCGTCGTGACTAGACCCCGTGCGTGGAGGTTTGCAGCAAGTTGATCCATAATGTCCCACCAAGAGACGACGTGCGAAACAAGAAAGTAATGGCCATCTTCTCCAGCAGGAAGTTTCTTACCCACGAAAATAGACTCAATCAACTGGCCATAAAACCTTGCAACATCTGACACATGTGCCAGAGGCGCGTCCTGTTCACCAGTTAGTTTATTCACATCCAGGAACGATTAGTTCGTATAAAAACTCACTCTGCATTCACCAAATTTATAGACTTGCTTGTAATTGATACTAGCCTGAATAAGAGCTGGTATCTGAGGTGAGAGCTGATTCCATGTTCCAGAGCCACGACCGTCTTGTATTCGATCAGTATACTTCCAAAATTGAAATTGATGATATAATAAAAGGTGTAGCTTACGAAGAGTTGGGGGGAAGATTAGGAAGCTGGTAACGCCGGCCTTCTTCGACTGTTCGATAACAAATGCGTCGACCTCTCGAACAATATACGTCTCCCTGGATTGCCTCTCAAGGTCATAGACGTTGTTAGTGTCTTTCACTTCACCGAATGGCCAGTTTGTATTCTCGTCGAAGGCTGAAAGACCGGTCGTCTGTATAAAGAAGACCCCCTTCCCTGTTGCTTCACGTTGCTTCTGTAGCCCTGAAATAAGATTCGAAGCAATTTTGGGATCAATGGAAGTTGCATTGTTGATGACCAAATCAACTATGTAGGTAATAGACAAATATGGTCAGAATAAAGAAAGTGTCTTGGACTGGATCTGAAGCAGTGCTTACTATCATTGGAAGGTATGTAATCTGTTACCGCAGTTTCATCATTGAGATTCAATTGGACGGCAGTGACATCCAGGCTTTTCAAGCTGTGGGCCTGTTCCAGCGAACGCACGGCTGCATGGATGATCAAAGTCTCAGGAGTGCCACCTCTTTTGCGGTTCAAAATTTCAGCGACAATGGATCCCCCGCTATTTTGAAGTAAATTTAGTTTTCTTCTCAAATTAAGGATATTGGGAGAAAAAGATGCTGGAAACTTACATGTAACCCGATGCGCCTGTAACGAGAATGTTGCCAACCATCTTGAGCGATGTCTTATGAGCTAGGACCCCACGGATGCAATATAGATAAGAGTAGTTTTGGGAGACTTTGCTGAGTAGCCCTTAACTCTAAAAGCATCCATGTACGGTTTATATGAGTGGACGGGGTCTTTTAAATTTCGCTGGAGTTAGTAAGTATCAACCTTGGAAGTTAAAGATAGTAACCACACTCCCCAGAAAATCGTGGGCACTGGGGATGACGTATCCGAATAATTGCATGACTCGCGGCAATAAGCGGACTCCATGGGTTAATTGGTTACCATTCCAAGTACCCAGTGATTAATTGTCGAACTGCAGGGATGTGTGCTGGTTTGAATAACGGAGATAAGAGATACCCCGAATCATCATGATCACCTTATCGTTATTCAATTGGCACTGGCGGAAATAGGCGGACTTTATGAATTAGTTAGTCATTTTTGAAGAACCTATGAAAGATGGGAAACGATCGCTAGCAGTCTGTGTAAGCAGACTGTATGTGTTCAACACCCGGGCCGATTAAGTCGTCACGTACAGAGGGAAAAACACCTGGGCATACCTTCCCCGCCCCAAACCTCGGAAGATTTCAACTCGAAGTTGGTTGTCCTTGTTCTGAGGACTCCACTGTCGACACACTACTAAATAGTTCTTCTTTTCACAGTGATTTATAAAAAAGTACTGTTCTCTCTGGAAATCAAATTAAAAGCTTACTATCGTAATGTAGACTCATGATGGGCCTTCTAGGTGACATCCTTTTCTTGAAAATGGCAAAGTTCTATTTTTCAACTTTGAAGTGTGTCATCGACGACTAGATGAACGAACTGGGGAGATGAAATTGAGAAATTAGGGGTTGCCATTGATGATAATATCCCATGAACTAATTCATAGCACCATTGACTCCTACAATTCGTATTTCAGTTCAAGACGAGATTTGAAGTCCTCCACAGTCAACCATTCTCCACCGATATACAACATGGACCATTTTTCTTGGCACCGAGATTTGACATCGTCCGGCCGTGGCGGAATAAAGATGAGATTGTGATCCTTATGACAGACGTTTACTGGTAAATTTCCCGCTTTCAAGAGAGGAAGACAAGCCTCGCAAAAACTCAGATTTGGACAGGATGAGCATATTGAAATACCATCAACAGCACAAAATGAACCACATCCATCGCAGATATGTGACGCGGGGGACTCCCAATATTTATAAAATGCCCCTGCAGAATACAAATTGTCTCCCAAGGCGGAAAGGATTTCGGCTACCCAGCGAAGGCGAGAATAGGGTATCTTCATGTCAATCGACCTCACGTTATCGTCGAAAGTCTTCAGACATGACCTGAGCTTGTCTTTGAGCATTCCGGCTGCTTCGGTCTTGCAACCACATATTTCGTAGAATTGGGCCAGAATAAGCTCCGTCCGCAAGTTGGCGTGCGGTAGAGCCTCCGAGCTCCTTATCCTATCACATTCTTCACCTGGCAACCTCCCTCGGGTGAGGTCTTCTAGGATCTTCGAGTAATATAATATATCAGCTTCAGTCCGACTCGATCGGAGGAAGGCAGATAAATAATGAGCGCTTAATGCGTGGAGAGCTTCCTCGACATGAGGAGATGTAACCCCCTTTGCTTCGCTATTTCCATAGTCTCGAACTAGCTGTGAGTATAATTGCTCAGCGTGACTGGGATCATGCGCGTAGACCTGGTAAATATAGGCGAGACAGAGCTGCAGTGATGCAGTCAAACCTGCCCTTCTGCGTGTCTGGGATATACTGATAGCTTGCGTGTAGGCGTGGATAAGAAACGGAGGGCGGTTAGTGTCCAAGATCGCAGCGGCAAAGCCAAGTCTAAGCATGTGGTATGTAGACGGTTGAAAAGTCAGCAGATCGATAAAAACAGTTCCATCAACACCATTAGAAATGGAATTCAAGCGCTCGATGAACTTGAAGCCATCGACCTGTCGTCCTGCTCTGTTGTAGGCCTCGAGAAGACAATCCGCACAATGGATGCATTGGTTGGCAATCGCGTGACCCTTCCCCGCCGTACGAATGCAATCAATCCAATCCTCGCACTCCAAATACATTTGAGCGAGACGCTCGTAGATAGAATGTAGACCTTGTAAATTTTCAGATGATGGCTCTTGAGCCTCGAGGTGTTCCGCAGCCCTGCTATCTGAATCAATAAATCTCTTAAAGTCTTTGATTGTGAAATAGATTCGAGCCAGATTGTTGTGTGCTTTCTTAGAAGAAGGATCGAGTTCCAAGGACTTTTGGAGGTATTGAATGGCAGCTTCGTCCAGCCCGTGACTTTCCAGTGTTTCTCCGATACTTTCATACCATACAGCATCTTTTGGATAGTCAGCCCACCCCGCAGCCTCGATAATCTGCTCGTGGGAGGTCAAACGAGAGGATTCGCGTTGATCTTGTAATATAACAAAATCATACACGCTTGAAGCAAGAATATACCGAAGCGAGACATTCCTATTAGAAAGCCAAGCTTTCGCCAATCTTTGAGCAATGAGAAGAAGTATGTTTGCCCGATTTGTAGCAATAAATTCATCCAAGAGAATTCTTGACTCGTCTAGGAGATTACCATGTATATCGGGGTCAAAAAGCCACCCGATTAACAGGTCCACAGTCTCCTTGGAGAAGAATCGAGCTCCCAGCGATGGCAGGCTATTTAGATAAAACTTGTCGAAAACCGTTTCTCCCAGCACAACTCGAGCCAAGTTAATTCCGATGAATTGCTTTTCCTCTGTTGAAGTCTTCTTAATGTTAACAGCCTCGAGGTGGAAAATCAATGACCGGAAGGCGTACGCCTGGAGTGTGGTAAGGAATTCCCCACCCGCAAACCCTTCATCACAAATGAATCCAAGGCAACGAGACAGAACAAGAACTTGAGCCTCATGATACTCAACGCCAATTGAAGGCAATCCGTCCCGGGCAGACACCCGACTGTCACTACCCTTGAAAAATTCTCCCCAGTAAGCATGATTGAAGGTCACGGTGGTCGTGCGTGGGTCAGAATCAAATACCTCCCACGATCTTTTTTCTTCATCACCACTGGATCCTTCCATGATCGTACTCCCTGAGTCATTAGATTCTTTACTGAAGATTCCCAAGGAATCTACCGTGTTTTTCCCACCCCACCGGTTGACTGAGAAGATGGAAGCAAATTGAATGCGTAGGGATCCTTCAAGCCAGATCCAGCCCTTCCCGTTAGGGCTTCTCCATTTTAAGATTCTCGAAACCTCTCCCAGAGTCAAAGGTCGATATGCGCAAAGGATCCATGCCAGCAATTCATTCAGATCCGACGCGAATTGAGTGTCGTTCTCCAAGCTTTCTGAAATTCCCCTTAAGACGTGCCTGACCATACTCGAAAGACCCTTCGGTGCTTCCTGTAGGCTTTTTTGAATACTCGAAACACTTCTCGAACGAAGTAACTCCTGGAACATCAGTTCAACCCAAAGAAACTGTAACTGGGTTAGCACCAGACAGGAAGTTGGGAAATATCATTTTCACGAACCATTCCCTGTGAACCAGCTGAGAGCTTCTCTGTGATTTCATCCTTAAAATCAACTGGTAATCTTCTCAGATACATGGACCGTGAAACTCGCGTTGTGATGTATTTGACAATGTCTTGCAGATTGTTCACTTCAGAAACATGGATGGTTCGAATAGCAAGAAGTTCGATGAGCTCGCTCATTTCCTCTGCTATTTGTGGTCGACCAAGCATGAGCAGGTGAATTTGCCCTGTGGCAGAGACATCTTTTGCAAGCTCGAAAAATTCCAATCGGTCTTCCGTGAAAGCCTCATCAAGCGCGTCCAACATAATATATAAGATTTGATCCTTATTTTTCGAGATGTTAAAAAAATCAATAAAGAGTCTCTGCCACAGGGTGGACAGTGGAAGAGAAGGTGCGTCATCCGATGCGTCTATGCAAGATTCAAGATATTTAGCATATACTGAATTCTTCTGTCCGATCTGAAATGCGATATCGCGCAGTGCCTGGTGCACAGATCTTGTCTTTGGATTGTCATCTTTGAAGAAAAAGAAACCGACGGATGTCACGTCTGATGGGCCAATCTTTTCGAGTGAGTGTTTCAAATAGTTCACTATGCTGCAAGCAATGTAGGATTTCCCTGCCCCGGGATTTCCAGAAATCCATAGGACTGGAGTGGTGCGGTTGATCCAAGACACGAATTCCTTTTTGTGTTTGATCCATTCACCGGTGTCTGGGATGCGACTTCTATTCATTGAGTTCAAGCGATCTTCTGCGCTGGAGCTTGGCTGTAACATCTGTTTAATCACACTTGCCGCAGATGCTTTTGTCGATTTTCTCACTTCCAAGTTCTCTAGTTGCTGGCTGATTTTGATCACATTCTGGTCCATTCGAGAAAGTGTTGAGCTCGTTTCCTTCGCTTGTGTAATAGTTTCTGCTCCGACTAGAGCTGTCTCACTCTGTACAAGTTTGATAAACTTGGCCATAGCGGCGCTGCCGGCATCACTGCCTGACAGTATGCTTTTTCCGAAGGAAAGGAGCCGTCCATGTTTGATTTCCTGCCGTGCAAATGCGATCACTTCGATCAAAGAGGCCAGAATCTCGGAAAGCTTTTGTCCCAAGTGTTGTGACATCTCGTACTTTGCATATATCTCTAGGCGATTCGTGAAATCCTAGTAAATGTAATGCATTAGCCAACCTTGCAAAAGGAGGGGATATTGTGGGAGATAGATACTTTCAAAGAAGACATGAGCTCAATGATTGCATCGTATTTGGATGAGACTCCCTTCGCCGCCTTAAGAAGAAGCTCGACTCCGCTGAAGACAAGTGCGCAAGGCCAGAAAGCCTGTCCAGCTCCACTGGCTAGCACTTTTCCAACCAGTTCAACTGGGATCATGGCATACTTTAGTACGGTGAGTAAATCGTGTCTTTTGGCACGAAAATCAGAAAAACCGTTGTTTTCTTCGTCAATAACTTGGACCAGGTCATCCACGGTGGTTACAGAGTTCAAAGTCGAGCCATCGAGCTTCTTCTTCGTGATCGCTTGGTACTGGTCGATTGCCCGATTCCATATCAAGGAGACTTGATTCGATTCAGCCATGTTGGCCCAAGGGTCTTTCTGTGAAACACAACGTTGTGAATGATGAGCCTGGAGTTCTAAGTTTTATGTGCTGGATGATGTGTATTGCACTGCCCCGCAAAATATGATTGATGTATCTACTTGAGCACTGCCACTTCCAGAGGGGTGGGGCGGGGCAGCCAGTCTGAGGCTGAACTCATCAAGACCCTGATTCAAATTCATCTCGTTGGATATTGGGCATATTGGGCACCTGGAAAGATGGGGACATACTAGTAGTCATTTACGACTATTAGGTAGCCATTACATAGCTTCCTTCCTCACCTTCTTCCATGCCTCTCCCTTTCCTCTAACTGTAGCACCAAATACATTGCTTGCCCCTTATTGCGCATATACTCCATAAGAAAAAGCGAGAGTATTTCAAGAGTAATAATGCCGTAATATTTCAAGCAATATACCTTATAATTTATTGCATAATAATCTTCACCTCCTGTTGTTCGTCTAAATGTAACCCGTCAATATTTCATCACAAAAGCAATTTCGCGAATGATCATACCTCTCATCAAATCTGCAAGCAAAAGCCCATTAGGAGCAATCAACGGTGCGCCTTAGGAATAATTAGTATCCAGTTTGATGAATCAAAATATTTAACCTCTTACCAGCAAACTCTAGCACATACGAGTCTCCTCCGGAACAGCTCGAGTCTTCTGGATCGAGCCCAAATCCGATTGCTGCTCATCGAACCAATAAATCTTTTTAGGAAGCAAACTTCGATCCTCGAGTAAGGCTCTGCCCAGAATCCAACCGCCGGACTTTAGATAGCCGTCTACCAGTGTGAAGACCGCAGGTGTTGTTGGGCCGAGCGACGCGTGGACTCGAGACTCATTGATGTTCTCAGGCATGCTGACGGACTGGCTATCGACCTGGATGGTAAATTGTCCTTTGAGGCTTTCCATGTTGTCAAGGGGTTCTATTTTTCAATATAAGAGTAGTGGTAGATGGAAAAGGATACTTCGCGATTTTAGATCGAGAATAGTTATGTGGCGTGGGTCAGGCACCGGAAGCCTCAGGCATCATTTTGAAATCTAGAGAATCATGATGCAATAAGAAGCCATACCATAGCGTAATATCCCTATCCTAGACCAATTCGACTCGATTAATTCTTTTACCTATTCTCTAGCCACAAGATTCTACCGGGAGATACCAATAACTCTCTGAACAGCCTCCTCGTTCTCCATGGCCGTATCAATAACACCAGCAACCTTGAGGATATCAACGACATTCTCAATAACCCCGCGGTCCACACCACGGGTAGCATCCGTAAACTTGACATCCTTGAGCCACTCAGTAGCATCCTCCTCGATGTAATTGCAGCCAAGCTCGCCAGTCCCCAGAAGCCTAATAACCTTATTAGTATCAGCCTCAAAGTCCCTGATACCCTGATCAAAGGCCTGGAAAAGCGCCGCAAGACGCTCATCCTGCTCCGGGTTCGGGAACAGCGCTGTGGACGCAACGATCATCCACGATGGCCAGGGAGTGAAGATCTCGCCGATATTCTTCAGAGGCGGGTGTGGGGTTTCGATCGTTGGGTGGAAGTACGGCTTCGTGGTGAAATGCTCCCACATGAAGAACTCGGCTGCTGGTTTGGGTGCTTGATCGGGGTTTTCCTTGTCGATGCCGGTTACGCCGGCGCGTAGGGGTCCGAAGGGGCCTAGGGGCACGGTTTCCAGCGAGTCTGATGCCCACTTTTGCTGCTGTGCAAGGACGAAGGACATTATGTGGGAGCCGCTGTGAAATACAAGGTTAGTTTGTTATCGTGAACCTGGCTTGGTTCTGATCTGATGCGATTCCGGGAATTGGGATCTCTTGCCTTCCTAGTCGGCTGACGCCAACTCGCTTGTTCTGCAGGTCTGTTACTCCGTTGATTTGGTCGCGGTTGCGGCCTGTGACGATTGCCCAGCGGAGCGGGTTGTCGACCCAGTGGCCGATGACCTTGTATCCGCCCTCGGCTAGGTTCTGGGGCTGGGTCTTGCCTGTTAGGCCGGCGACCCAGCCTTCGGTGAGACCGATGCAGAGGTCGATTTCATTGCTGCGCAGAGATGTGATCATATGTCCTGTGCCGGGGGGAATGGGGTCAAGGCGAGCTTGAATGGAAGAGAGGCGACAGAAGGAGAGCGGAGCGCCAGGTGGAGGGGCGTGAGATAGTGCTCTGTAATAAAACCATTCCATTGTTAGCTTCGTGGTTTGCATAATTCCTTGACAGTCGACGTTGCTAGTATCAATTGCCCGCAAGTTTCTCTGTAGGGGTTCTCCGATGTCGCAATCGCAATAGAATGCGCGGTTGAAGGAGAGGGTAATTACCGGGCACATAGCCAATTCGAATAGTTGGAACAGTAGCCATGATTATTCAGACTTGTACGAATTGGTGTGTAGCGAAGACTTGAAGCTGAGAGGGAAAAAAAGGGAAAAGACTGGGCGTGGGGAAGGGACCGGCGATAAGCCAAAAGATCCGAGTGCATCGCGGGGCAGTTTCAGCGCTTCCCGAAACGTGAACCATTTTATTCCGAGTATTCAGTATCCACTGACGTTATTTAATTTATTGATTGGAACGGCTTTACTCTCGTTGGGTAAGTTTTGGAAAAAATTATTAATGTCATTTCATTCAGTATTACAAGTCTATAAGTCGCTATGTTTCCATGAATCCCGTCTATCTACAAGTCATGCCAAACGTGCTCACACCGGTGAGCTTTGAAAAATTTAACCGATACGGTTGAGTCGGATCTCCTTCTCCTCTTCGTCGTCATCTTGGGGGTTGCTTGCAGCCTTGACGTAGCCACGGGTGAACATGAAGTACTGGACGCCCAAGTAGCCGTCACAGATGCACTGGAAGATACCGCACAGCTTGAAAGCCCAGGGAATAGGGTCCGAGCTCATGAAGAAGTAGCCCATCTTGCAGCTATCACCGATAATCCAAGCGGCCAAAACGGAGAGTCGGAAGCCCTTGCAAGAGCCCGATCGGTGGTTGGCGAGGATCTGGGGCACGGGGAGAGTAGCCTCGACAGCGAGACCAATGCAGCCCAGCAGGCTGATATAGGCGCTGAAGTCGGAGATCGGGGTGAGGTGGATGACAAAGAGGGCGGCAATGAAGTAGCCCAAGAAGACCCAATACCTGCAGAATTAGTATGTTAGTACAGGATCGATATCGGGCAGAAATATTCGGGCGTCGGGGTAAAGCTTACGGCTTAGTGCTCCGCCATTGCCAGAAATTATATGGTCGCGAGAATCCACCCTTGGCACCGCTGAAAGGGGTGTGCTCCACGTTCTCTTTGGGTCGGTTGTCCAAAGCCACCTTCAAGAGGATTCCCTGTGTAAAGATCATCACCACCGCCTGCGCCAGCAGGGCGGCGGAGTAGTACTCTCCAAACCAATAGAAGACCCTGAGGCAATGTTATTATCGTGTTCCGCTCTAGTAGATAGCTCCGAGTGTTCTTACTTCAAGATCGACGCGACCAGCATGATTAGAGGAATGTCCAAGGAGAAACCGGCCGAACTCCTATTCCGATGAATGCTGAGAATCTGGTCTAGGTAGGAGGTGAGGGGCGAGGTGACAAGGCTATTCGGCGAAAATGCAATTAGCTCCAATATGCAGGCAAATATGTTGATAGCAAAATCCTGGACGTACAAAATGGGCGCGCCATAGTCAATGACCGCCTGGACGATATCCCCGAAGGTCATGGTGATGAGAATGTTCCGCGACTTCCGGAGGGGAGTGCGATGGAGTCAAAAAGGAGGGCTCGTCGGTCGCGTGAACGAGGTGAGCAGGAGGGTGAAAATTGTAGGCGCACGAGGAAATGGATCTCCAGGAACAAGCGAACAAGGGACCAAGACGAGGGAGATCAACCAGGGGAGAGAAAGCAAGTTAACGCGCAATTCGACAATCGCCGCTTTTTTCGTAGCTGAGTCAGCGGATCCACCCAAACAAGGGAAGCTTGTTTCTCTTTAGTTGGCATGTTGCTATTGGTTTATCTTATGTATTTACTGGAAATTATGAGAGATCAAGTTCGTTTTTCGAGTTACGTCGATTTATGTCTCGTGACTTCCTGCCTAAAGTATACTTACAGTAGATATCGCAATGTGTCTCCATTATCTACATTTAGGGTTCCCGCATTCTGTACAATCGAACTAGAGCTGCAGATATTAAATCCTTGAGTCAGTAAATTGATATGGCAAATGAGGTATACTAGGTACTGATATTACTAGCTGGACAGATACATCCATCTTTCAAATAGCCAGTTATGCTACTGAGTACATGAAACTCCAGTAAAATTACTTTCAGGGGTACACCCCACGCCTGTCAGCCTTATCATGTCAGCCTCGGCCATCAGGCTCTGGAGAAAAGAAGCAAAGACCATTGTGATATAGATAAAGTGCACCTTATTTATATCGTATCCAACATTATCTAAGAGAGGAATAAGAAAACATGTAACCCGGAGACTTATTCTCAATACGAATACGAAGTGGCTTCAGCTTCAGTGGGGCTCCAACGCCTTTGCCGCTCGTTAGCCCAACTAAGTCAATTAGTCGATTCCTGTACGGATACGGAGTACTCCATAGTACAGATACTGATTTTCTTTTTTTCTTTGCCCCGACTATTCTTGTCTAATTTTATTATGTAATCTATCACAAGTGCCTTATAGAGTCCGTGGCTAATAGATATTCAGCTGTTCTTGCTACGGTGTGGCAATTCAAGGTCTCTCAGGCTTATACTATTTGAACTTAAAACTATACAAGTAGTAGTAAGGTAGTTAGTACCTCTAAGTTTCAACTAAAGTTCATTCACTCCTACTAGGTGTAGAAATGTCTTTCTAGTATGGTAATATTGTGCCATAGGTAATCTATACCACGATCTCACTTCTCATTGTATTCACTGCTTCCCGGCCCCGTCTTGATCTCCAACATATCCGCTTCTGAAAGTTAACTTCTCCCTCCTAACTTGAACTTAACCCCAACATTTCAGAAGAGTCTTTCATTCTAATATCCAAAAATCTCGTGAGTCCCAGTCTAGTACTTAAATATCGACCTCCAAAGCACCAGACAGGTATCTAACAACTTCAAAAAGCCACACAACCTACATTGATTCAAACCCTCACCTTCACCACAATGAGATACCTGAGAAATGACTACCCACGCCCCTTCCTCGAACAACTCAACGAAATCTACGACGTCATGCCCCCAGTCCCACCAGCACACGTCTACATCGTCACGACAAAAAACTTCGAGGATAAGGCAAACCCAAAGTATACCATAGTCGGGACCCACCACTCACTCATCGTTGCCCACCGGCAAGCCACCGACATTTTCAAGAGAAAGTACCTCATGTGGTTCATGCAGTCGCTCGAATTTGAAAACTGGGCTCGCGATGACGAGAGCACTAGGGGCTCGAATCCTGGGGGCTTCGACCAGGTCGTGACCTGGGAGGTGTATGACAGTGGGAGACTGGACCTTGAGGCTTGGAAGAAGTCTGAGGTGAATCCTGGCAGAACTGAGTTGTGGGGTTCGGTTGGGGTGGAGTATCATCGTATTCATGGAATTTGATGGGTAGGTGTTCCTGAAGTCCGAGGTACAGGTCGGGTTGACCTTAGTTGCTGGGAGCTATCTATCTATGGGAACTGGGAGACGGGGCATGCATGTCCCACAGTCGGAACTTTCTGGACCTGGAGAAATGGCAATTTACTATCGCTGGTTTATCGTGCGCGGGGATGATCAGAGCACGAATGAAATGACTGAATTGAATGCTTTAACGTATGCTGAATCTAAATTCTCACATATATGCCACCGTTCTAGGATGAAAACACATCCATTAGAATTCTATCCGCCATGTCTTTCCGATACCAACGTTCGGGCTCTTCACAACGGCATACGGCGCCTTGCCGCTCTCCTGCTCGTAGTACTCAAGTACAGCAGTTGAGCCAGTCTTGGCTCCGTCTTCAACAATAACAACAGTACTCTTGTCCTTCCACTCCTTGGGTGGGTCGATGATGATGACGCGCTCGACGGTGACGCCGGCCATGGTCTTGAGGTACTCGGCAGTCTTGGCGCCCTTGGTACCGAGATTCTCGGAGGACAGAACTGAGTCACGGTACTGGAACTGGCGGTGGATGTAGGCTCCGCGCTCGTAGTCGAATGTCTCTCCGTCGTCAACGTAAAGAGAGCCCTCGGCTTCGCCGTTCTTGTTCAGGGTGAGGATGAGGGTGTATGGATCCCAGCGCATGAGAGCGCTGCTGCGGCGAGGGCGGTCCCGACGGGGTACAATGTGTCCACCTTGGATTAGGAGAGGGATCTTGTCCTCGGGAGCTGGGACGGTGTGTCGCTTGCCTGCGCCCTGGTAAACTGTAAAGTCAAAGTAATCGTAGTACTTCTCATCATCGGCGATATAGATGGTGGTGGTGAATGTGTCCTGAGTCACGACAGGCTTGGCAAGGAGACCGGTATCGCCCAGGTATAACTGGTCATCGATGGCGAATCCTGCTTCATTGTCGGGGAAGACGTAGTACTGGGGACGCACAATAGGAGTACCATTGACAGATGCCTCATGGAAAGCGGTGTACCAAGCAGGCAAGAGCTGATATCTCAGGCGGATTGCCTGGGAGATAATGGTGCGGTGCGGCTCGCTGATGAGATAAGGCTCACGGCGGCGGGTATCGATGTGAGCATGGGCGCGGAAGAAAGGATACCAAATACCGGCTTGATACCATCTAGTGAGAAGATCTTTTTCCGGGTTGTGGAAGAAACCACCGACATCAGCACCGGCAAAGGGGAAACCGGCGATGCCGTTGGTCAGGACCATTGGCAGAGAAGCACCAAGATGCTCCCAAGTAGCCTGGTTATCACCGGTCCACATGGCCGACATGCGTTGAGCACCGGCGTAATACGAACGGGTCAGGATGAACGGCCGGCGCACTTCGCCCTTCTTGCGCTCCAACATGGCCTGGTAGGTAGCATTGACAAGAGTGATACCGTTCACGTTGTGAACATCACGATGCTCCCAATCACCAAAGTGGAGGTTGTCCTTGGGCATGGTAGTCTCTGGACCATTGAAGACCGAAGGCTCATTCATGTCGTTCCAAATGAAAAGATTGGAAAGCGATCCCTTGAATTTATCGAACTTGTGGAGACTGTTCCACCATGGGAGTGCAGCTGGGTTAAAGCAGTCAACCCAGTTCGACGAACCAGGCCAGCACCACCCATCATAGATCTCACCATCCTTGTTGAGAACGGCAAGATTTTTGCTCTTCAGCTCCTGCGAAACGAAATAATCGTCCTTATTTTTGATATGGGGATCGATAAGAACCACAAGCTTACGCTCGGATTCGTCCAGCTTTTCTTGCATGCCCTTAGGGTTGGGGAACGTGAGGGGATCCCAAGTGAAGTATTTGCGGTCATCAGTGTACTCCAGGTCCAACCAAATGACATCGTAGGGAATCTGGTATTTATCGAATTTGGCATCGACCTCCTTCACGTCCTCATCGGTGACATAGTTCCAGCGGCACTGGTGATAAGCGATGGCGAAGTGCTGAGGCAGCTGGGTGTAACCGGTCAGCTCGCCGTAGGTTTTGCTGATATCCTGTGGTGTCGGTCCCAAAAAGACGAAGAGATCGATTCTACCCGCCTCCGAGAACCAGTGAGTCTTTGTGTTGCTTTTAGAGTGAGCACTCATCGAAAGCGGGTTCGAGTTCGCTGCCTCCTTGACAATATCGATCCAAGTCTCCGCGGCGTTAAGCCAAAACACACCGACGGTAGAGTCCTTACGGTGCGCCTGCATGAACGGAATAGCTCCATATAGGGTCATGGGGCTGTTGAGCTCATACTCGAAGACATCAGAGTTATACAAGCGGTACGGCTGTTCGTGGTTTCCCGGTCCTCCTCTATTGTCATAGTTAGCCACAATACAAGCACATAGAGGGCAGTGGATTTATACCTAGTCTCACGCAGTGAAAGAGAGTCGGCGTGCTCGGGAATACCAAACACATGGTTATATCCGGGGAAAGTAACGTCTAGACCAACACTCTCGGGGCCGCGGGGCTTCGAGTCAGTGTTGCCGCCAAATGATTCCTCCCACCAGGTGCTCTCCTCCTCAGGTGCCTCGCCCTCCTGGTGCTCAACCTTGGGTCGCCAGTGTTCCATGTTCAGCAATCCCTGGTGGTTGATCTGAACATGAGTCTCGCCATCTCTCTGGAACTCAACCTCGAATGGTGCATGGCGAATAATCGCCTGGAAGTTGCCCTCAGGTCCGTACAAAACATTGGTGAAACCAGTCTCGGTCTGGGCATTCAACGTGGCGGACTTGCTTACTTCCAAGCCACCTACAAGAACCCATTTCTCAGTCTCGTCGTACCTCTTCTTGTTTGCTTTGCTGTCATGTCGGACCTCAATATCGCCCTTGAGGCGCTTCTCCTCGTCCACAATGATACGCGCCGCACCGGATTCGAGGAAGGAGACCGTCACGGGCATGCGAATTTTCTCATGCGTAGATGTTGTTTTGATAAGAATACCGTTCAATTGGCCATCCTTGAAGTGAATGGTAGCGGGGTCAAGCTCGTAGGGTGAACTCCACGAGGCACCTTGAGCGGAGGCGTTGTCGGCGAGCGCTCGGTTGCGCTTACAGAAACCGGACTGTTGGCATGTCTTGAAGTTTTCATGTTTGACCGTCACTATATACACAAACATCAATGTAATTAGCGATCGGGAACAACGTCACGCGGCGGAGTAGGGATCTCACCTCCGGGTACAACAAAACATGCGATAAGCACCACGAAGGACAGGAAGAGCGTCCAACGGGACGTCGGCCGGCTCCGGGCCATTGTAAAGAATATAGAGCAATCAGAGACCCTCCCTCTCTGATCAGTAGGTGTGTTGGAGTGTAAGATGTTGACCTGCAACGGAGGGCGGATAACCTGTTAAGATCAACAGGGAAGCTCCAGGCTGGCCTGACGGTGGAGATTGGAGCTGGGGTAAGACACCTTAGGGATCGGGCGATAAGGCAGCAACGGTCAGGTGCATGTCAGGTGCCAGGCATTAAGGCACCAAGGCACCAATGCATATTCACCTCAGGCCAACCAATCAAGCCCCACCAACGGAGCAGCAGCGGGCAAAAAAAGGCTCAGGTATTTATTAATAAATCTCCTCCCCTCCTCCTACCTCTTCTCCTCATCCCTTGCTGATACCCGTATCTTCAATCATCAATCCTTCACCATGTCCGACGAGCAGACGTAAGCCATCCTCCTCTGTTTTTCAATTGCCTTCGTTTCCCTTACCCCCCCACTACTCCTCTCTTTCTCCTATCTACCTTGCTGTCTACCCCTCCTCTAGCGGTCAAGCTAATCAATTGCCTTAGCTTCATTGCCATCAAGCCCGATGGTGTCCAGGTATGAACACAGAATCCTGCAGGCCGACGCAGTCCCGGACCAACGGCCCAATCATCAATTGAGAACCCTAAAATCTAATGCGAACTACAGCGTGGACTCGTTGGCCCCATCATCTCTCGCTTCGAGAACCGTGGCTTCAAGCTCGTTGCCATGAAGCTGGCCTCCCCCACCCAGGAGCACCTCGAGAAGCACTACGCTGACCTCGCTGGCAAGCCCTTCTTCAAGGGTCTCGTCGCTTGTGAGTTACCTCCCCTCCGAGGCTTCCGCTAGTTCTTTTTAGCTTCAAGTTCGAACCCCAGCTAATCTCATCCCTTCAGACATGCTGAGCGGCCCCATCTGCGCCATGGTCTGGGAGGGCAAGGACGCCGTCAAGACCGGCCGTTCCATCCTGGGTGCCACCAACCCCAAGGACTCCCTTCCCGGTACCATCCGTGGCGACTACGCCCTGGACGTCGGCCGCAACGTCTGCCACGGTTCCGACTCCGTCGAGAACGCCAAGAAGGAGATCGCCCTCTGGTTCTCCCCCTCCGAGGTGCTCAAGTGGAAGCACTCCCAGGCCAACTGGGTCTTCGAGTAAGAAGTTTCTCGTTTCCCATAGAGCCCTAGCCTGATGGGTGTTCACCCTCGGCTGCTTGCAGTATAAAGTTGCGATAGCTGAAGATAACGCCTGGACGGCTGCCAAAATCCAATACACAAGCTTCATATGATTTATGAACAATGGTTTCTTTCTTTCCCTGCTTTTGCTCTATAGTATAGTACAGTGGTATCCGCAAACGAGCCTCATTTCCTACTGAACAATCGCTTCGCCATGCGAGTTGTCGGGCTGAGGATCGACCGCGCAAACCACGGCGTAGCCCAGACACTCGCAACTATTCGAAAAGGCAATAATGCCTTGGTGATTGCGTAGGCTGTCGCGAATTCCAAAACTAGTCGTACACCGGCTTGTTGTTGTCCACTGCGGTGTTCTAATGCAGTCGTATCATGTTCCTTCACAGCACTCACGTCCGATTCCTCTACCCAGCCCTTCTTCCTTAACCATCGCCCGAACCGGGCCGCTCCCTCGTCGAAAGCATTGCCCTCCCCGGAGCTAGAGCTGAGGTCGGGCATCCTATTTCCGTAGTGGAATGCGCCCACCAGGCCAAATATGGGTACTATAGCAGTAATTTCGTGCAGGATGAGGAAGGATGTAACATGGGTCATTGGAGCTCCCAATAATGGTGTCGTGACGACTCGAAGGAAGCGGGGGAGACGATCATTGAACTGGCGCAAGCGTGAGCGAGGATCTTTCGGAGAAGAAGAAGAAGCTGGTGGTCGCCCGGGCTGTGAGGATGGAGGGGGAGGCGTAGAGAGACCTCGTCGTGGCTGCGGTCGAGACCACTGCGCGGCCCGTAGGCGCATTGAACGACTAAAGGTTGCCAGGCTATGGTTCGCCATGGTCAAAGGAGAGAGGCCTCAGGGGGAATATTTCGGGGAGAAACGGCTCAGAAGAAAGCGGATATCATGACTCGCTTTGGCAATGAAGACCCGAGAGAGACCGTGAAAGGAAGAAAGGAGATGTCGTCCTTCCAAAGTCTCCCGTTAATCGCGTCTTATATCGCGCTGAGGTAATCCTTTCCCGGTCGATCTTTTTTTCTCGCATTAAATTCTTGAAATTGTGAATCTTCAGTCTGAATACCGCGGGGCTAGGAAAATTAAATAGTACATAGAGTCAAATAAAGCAAAGCATCCAAATTTGTCCCCGGAAAACCCCCTCCAAAGTCCGATCTAAAATCGTGCGGGCCGGCAGACGTCGACATCATCTTTCCCGATGCGATCAGGTGTGACCTTTTAGAAAGTCCATGACGGTCCACTTCAACCCACTTCTTCTCCCTCTTCTTTCTTCACCCCTCCTATTGCCCTCCAACACACTTCGCAATGGAGAAGAAAATCACAGAGAAGATCGCGGCGCTGCCGCCAGACGCAAATTACTTCTCTTTGGAGTTCTTCCCTCCAAAGACCCGGATGGTGGGGTAACCCCGCGGCGCTCTTTTGCCCTCAGGTACATGGATGACATGCTAATGATCGAGCTTGATGTATAGGGTTTCGCGAACCTGTCTGCACGTCTGGAGCGCATGGCCCAGGCCCTACGTCCGTTATTTGTCACAGTCACTTGGGGTGCAGGCGGAAGCACGGCGGCCCGTTCCCTTGAGTTGGCCGAAGTTTGCCAGCGCCAGCTGCAGTTGACCACCGTCCTGCACTTGACATGTACCAACATGAGTCGCGCCTTGGTGGACATGGCCCTGGAGGAGGCCAAGGTCCTTGGTATTCGCAATATCCTCGCCCTGCGCGGAGACCCACCCCGCAGTGAAGAATACAATATGCACGGCGAGGACGACAGCAACAAGGATTTCACCTTTGCGGTCGATCTGGTCAAGTACATTCGCAAGCAGCACGGCGACTACTTCTGTCTTGGTGTTGCTGGATACCCGGAGGGTCACCCGGCCGATTCGTTCCAGGATGTCCAGGATCCTGCTCGTGATATTCCTTATTTGGTCGAGAAGACCAAGGCTGGTGCGGATTTCATCATGACCCAGCTCACATACGATCTGGAGGCGTACCAGAAGTATGAGACTGCGCTGCGCAACCACGAGTCGGGCGTTTTCAAGACGATCCCTATCATCCCGGGCTTAATGCCCGTCCACAGTTACAAGATTCTTACTCGAGTAACGAAGCTCAGTCACGTCAAGATCCCCCCCACCTATCGCTAAGCGCATGGAAGATTTGAAGCACGACGACGACGCCGTTAAGCGGGCCGGTGTTGACATTGTCAGCAATATCGTAGGAGGCATCCAAGAGCTTCCATCTCCAGGTCCTCGTGGTTTCCACTTCTACACCCTTAACTTGGAGAAAACAGTCTCCTTCATCCTGGAGCGATGTGACCTAATCCCGCCGTTCTCCAAATTTGAGGATGACTTGGCCATTGAGGAGTTCGATGGCCCGCCTCTCGACTCTCAGGTTCGCTCACTATCTAGACGTCGGGCTTCATCCATCAACTCCCAGCCCCACAACCGAGTCATCGTCGACAAGATCTCTGCGCACGGCTCTTCCAAGGACTCCGTGCACGAGGCTCTCGCAACTGGCGCTGGTTTGCCAGCGATGCCTCCGGGCCGTGGAACGACTCTTCAAATTTCCGAGGGCCTCGGTGCGCTTGGTAGAGAGGCAACCTGGGACGATTTCCCCAACGGTCGATGGGGTGATGCTCGCTCCCCTGCTTTCGGTGAGATCGACGGTTATGGTCCTTCTCTCCATGTCACCTCTGCAGTTGCTCGTCGACTGTGGGGCCACCCCGTTGATCAAAAGGATATCAACACACTCTTCCGCCGCCACGTATCTGGCGAACTGCACATGGTACCCTGGTCCGAGGGCGGCGCCGAGGAAGATGGCCCTGGCCTGAATGCCGAGACTGAGCTTATCCGACCCGAGCTGCTCAAGCTCATTGACGGCCGTGGCTGGTGGACTCTGGCCTCGCAGCCCGCTGTCAATGGCGTCCGCAGCGACCACCATATCTTCGGCTGGGGTCCTCAGCGCGAGGGCTTCGTCTTCCAGAAACCCTTCGTCGAATTCTTCTGCTCTAACAACGACTACGTGAACATCCTCAAACCACTGTTTGAAAAGCACGGCCACGACAAGCTATGCTGGTTCGCTACAAATACCACCGGAGCCTTCGAGTCCTCGCTCCCCAGCCAACCCGCCGACGTTGAGCTCGATGACCTCGGTTCAAACCCCGAGTCCGTGAATGCTGTTACCTGGGGCGTCTTCCGAGGCAAGGAGATCGTGACACCCACCATCATTGAAGAAGTCAGCTTCCGCGCTTGGGGCGAGGAGGCCTTCCGCATCTGGGACGAGTGGCGCCGGATTTACCCCTTTGGTTCGCCTACAGAGCGCTTCCTCAACACCACCAAGAACGACGCCTGGCTCGTGTGCGTGGTTGGCCAGCAGTTTGGCGCCGGTGTGCCAGCCGGCTCGAAGGAGGAAGAGGACGAGGTGAAATGGATGTGGCGAGTTCTGGCGGGCGAGACTCAAGATTGAAAAAGCTTGCGCGTACCGCATTATGCTCTATATACCCCCCCAACCCACCCCGCAACTAGAGATATGATATGACAGCGTGACGCACCTAGTTTGATTATGAGAAAGGATGATGGCATTGCGAGATATTGGGCTCCTGTACAGTACTCTTGAGCTTGGAAGATGGGATGAATTTTATGAAATTTTAGTACTAGTAGTGAACGTGGGACCCGGATCATGATCTTCAATCTACTAACGTGTTTCACCACCGAACCGCCACCACCACCGAGCCGCCACCACCTCAAAAAAATCGCGTCGCGTGTAGCACCCCCATCTTTAAACCACCACTATGCCACCAATTCGTACCGGACGAACGCGCAAACTCATTGAGCAAGAAGGCAGGATCGAACTTGCTATACAGGCGCTAAGAAACAAGAAAATAGCTTCTATTACTGAAGCTGCGCGTGTTTATGAGGTACCTCGTACAACATTACGCGACCGCGTCAAGGGGATCGGTTATCGTAACACCACTCGCGCAAATTGCTCAAAATTGGATAAAATCGAAGAGGATTCGCTTGAGCGATGGATATTGGATCTAGATATGCGTGGCAAGGCCCCTACCTTAGCTATGGCAAAAGAGATGGCCAATATTCTACTTGCTCAGCGCTCTGTCAATACCCCTCCCTTACCACTCGGCAAAAACTGGATATCTCGGTTTGTTGCACGCCGTGAGAAGCTAAAAACCCGGTTTTCACGTCGTTACGCCGCTCAGCGTGCATTATGTGAAGATCCGGAGCTTATTCGCGAGTGGTTCGATCAGTATCGCAACATCATTGCTGAATATGGCATCCTTGACAACGACATCTATAACTTTGATGAAACTGGCTTCGCAATGGGGATCACTAGTACTTCAAAAGTGATCACTAGTCGGGAGTGGCAGGGAAAAAGAAAAGTCGTGCAGCCTGGTAACCGGGAGTGGGTTACTGCAATTGAGTGTATCCATTTGGATGGTGTTCTACCTCCAACGATCATTTTTAAAGCTAAGGTTTTTATATCTGCTTGGTGCAGTATTGTCCCAGACAACTGGCGCTTCGAGGTCAGTAATAATGGATGGACTACTGATCAAATTGGTATTTCATGGCTCGAAAATTCTTTCATCCCATACGTTAAGAAGCGTCAACATGGTGCCTGGTCTCTCCTAGTCATGGATGGCCATGGGAGTCATCTTACCCCTCAATTTGATACTCTATGCATGGAAAACAATATTGTGCCAATCTGCATGCCATCTCATTCATCGCATCTATTACAACCTCTTGATGTAGGTTGTTTTGGTGTATTGAAGCACTTCTATGGTCAGGCTGTGCAAGATCTTGCCCGCATAGGCTCTACAGATATTAAAAAGCTCGATTTCCTTCATCTGTACCCTACAACACGTGCAGCAACATACACAACCTCTACAATTGCTAGCAGTTTTATGGCATCAGGTATCATTCCATATGCGCCTGAGGTAGTACTTTCAAAACTTGAGGTTCATCCCCGTCACCTACACTACCACCATCACGTGGTAGTGCTAGTAGTCATGAATTTATACCTCATACACCATCAAAAGCTATCAATTTCCGACGCCAGGCAGCATCAATCAAGCGATTACTAGAATATCGAGATATTTCACCCAATAGCGATATATATCAGCAATTGGAGCAGACTACCAAAGGTGCACAATTACTTGCTAATCAGCTTGTAATGCTGACGACTACATATGAGCGTGTAATGGCAGAGAATGGACGAAAGCAGCGAAAAAAGGCCTTACCTAATAAGCAATTGGTATACGAAGGTGGAATGACTGCCGAAGAGATGCAATTACGTCTACAAATTGAGCATGAGCACCAAATGGCAATACCCCCGGTGCCACGGCGTGCTCCGGCAGCTACAGAGACGACGATTAGGAGGCCTGTACAGCGCTGTACTAATTGCAGAGAGCCAGGGCACAAGCGGAATAGGTGCCCGGTTGTGAATAGTGCTTAGTTTTTGCAATATATTATATGGTGGTTGTGTAATATTCAATATATATCGTTGTAATGTAGGTGGGGTGGCGGCTCGGTGGTGGTGGCGGTTCGGTGGTGAAACACGTTAGTGGGTATGCAGTGTATTTCTCGGTTGAGTTCAACCATATATACAGACGCTTTCAAGACGACTCGCAAATGACGCCAATTCACAAAATGCAACAAAATCATAGGCGGAAGCGAAAACAAAATATGCAGTTCCAAGAAGAATGATCATTATGCCTTCTGAGCGAACCCGTGGTGCTCAAGTCCACTGGCATCAGTATCTGGCGTCGCAATAGAAGACTGAGACTCGGCGAATTTCTGCGAAACATCATCCAGACGCCCGTACACGCGTGGTCCGCGCTTATGAGGACCAGCTTGAAGTTGGTAGCCGCGCAACCTAGTTATTTCCGAATCAGTAAAATGGTATGGGATATACGTGGACCATCAAGGGGAATCGACATACCTAGGACCTTCGCCAGTCCGCTGAGGCAACTCAGGCGCATATACACGGGTAAAAGAGCGCATATCTTCCTCAAATGTCCCGCGCTGAATACTATCCCGCACGCCCGCGAAGAAAAGATCCATGACGTGGTAATTGTGCATTTGGAGCAGAGCCCACGCGGCCATTTCCTTCGCATTGAGCAGGTGGTTGAAGTATGCGCGGTGATGCTTCCGACAGGCGTAGCACTCACAGCCTTCACTTAGGGCAGAGACATCCTTCGCATTATCCGCAGACCACAAGTCAATGCCAAGGGCCCTGGGCTCCGAAGCTGACACTGTCGCATCTGACGGAGCGGGGAAAGTAAAGTCCAACGCAATGCCCGCATCCGAGCACTCGCCAACAAAAGGAAGAGTCATCAGATCACCGCCGAGAGAAACTTCCCGCAGAAGGTCGTGAGGACTGCCCGGCTGGCTGAGCAATAGACGAGGCAGGGCGCCCAATGATTCAGGAATTTGCGACAGGGAAGCAGACTCGTACAGCGCGAGTCCGGAAATGCGACTTTTCAGCTCATCCTGCAGGTCATCTAGATAAAGTGACTGCTGCGCATTATCCAACGGCAGTACTGGCGCGAAGTACGCAGCGCTGGCCTTTTGTTCCGCTGGTACGGCCTTGCCGTATAGTCTTTCCAGTGCGTCTTGTGTGAATGCGTGCGTGCGGTCGACCATCTTTGCCCGCCTTTTGACGCCTGGTTCGCGGCCGTATACTATATCTGCCAGCCCGATGGCGATATCGGGTTTTAGGGAGCGGACTGAGTCGAGATATTGGTGTGCGGGAAGTTGGCGGAATCCGACTGAGGTGAGGATTGCGATTGAGGTGTCGGTGTTATTGGGCGGGCAGGGGATTGCGGGATAGCGGCGTGGGGCGAGGATTAGGGGCATGTCGTCGGATGCGCAGATGAATCTTCGCAACGGGGATTCGTCTTCGGACACGGGGACGTTGTATACGGGTGAGGGGGATTTCTTGGTGATGACTGGCGTAGAGTTAGTCGCGTGCTTGGTTCTGAATGGGAGTTGAGGTGGGATATGACGAGACGTGTTGGTGTAATATAGCACGTACAGTCTTCCAGTCCAATGTAGAGACTGTTCAAGGCCGTTTCCTTGCGCAGCATGTCGTGCGCAATGTGTGGCACGGTGCCCCGCGATGTGAGAGGGATGTAGTGCGGCGTTGAGAGTGTCTTGCGGCCGGCGAGAGCCAATTTGCCCACTCGGGGTGCCATGACAGGGGCTGATGATGATAGGACACTGAAAGTCATCTTTTCGGACTGGAATTGCGAGGATTCCATTGCGGTGGTCATTGTAATGAGGACATGAGGTTGCAATCTTATCGGGCGGCAGAAAAAGATGGGAAATCCCCAGGAACCGACAGGAACCCGTTTTGGCCGGGCCCGCGTTCCAGGGTTGAGACATCCTTGCAATTCCCTTGAACAAATCATTCTTTTCTTGACCGTTTTCTTGTGGCACTTGTGATCACGTATACTCACCTCGTACATTCAAACATCGTCATCGTCACCAACATCCAGAATGGCTGGCCAGGCTGGACACGAGTCGACGCGTCGCGGGGCGCTCATCGTTGTCGAGGGACTTGATCGCGCAGGCAAATCGAGCCAATGCGAGAAACTACGAGACTATTTGTCCGAACAAGGACATACCGTGAAATATATTCGATTCCCAGGTACTTTGGTGCATATGCCCCATCGCAATGTGAATGCTCTAATTCGTGCGCAGACAGGACCACACCCATCGGGAAGCTCATAGATAGTTACCTCCGTGGTTCAACCGACCAAGAAGATCACTCCATCCATCTTCTTTTCTCCGCCAATCGCTGGGAAGTCGCTAAGTCGATTCAAGAAGATATCGCCAACGGTTCCACGATTATTGTGGACCGCTATTCATACTCTGGCGCCGTGTATTCAGCCGCCAAAGCCAACCCCACATTGTCTCTCGAATGGGCGTGGCAGCCAGAGATCGGTCTTCCTCGTCCGGATATCTGCCTTTTCCTCAATATATCCGCCGAGGAGGCTGCGAAGCGCGGAGGCTTTGGTGCTGAGCGCTACGAGAATGAGGCGATGCAGTCTCGCGTCCGTGACCTCTTCCGTACTTTGTTTGAAAGACAGGAAGATGTCTCCATTATCGATGCGGGGAAATCTCTGGAAGATGTTTCCAAGGAAATTCAGATTGTTGTTTCGGAGTGTCTTGGCCGCCTGGACGCAATTGGACCGCTGAGAACGTTAGGACCCCTGGTCAACTAGGTCCGGCTGATAATTCGATATCATAATAATGTAAATGTATCACACATCATTCCACGATTTCAGCGTCGTCCCATTCACTGTCTTCAATGACAATTTCCAGCCGGGAAGGCGGAGGAGGAGTCGGTTTCCGTTGTCGTCCATCGTAATCTGAGTCTGGGTCCAAATCTTCTCCATCAAACCAGTCGTTTTCCAGTTGCGGATCATCTTGGGTCAATTCACTCGCCAACCCCCCCTGCTTGCTGCGATGAGGGTTCAACAGAAGTTTGCCGAGGATCTTTAGTTTTGTTCTTGCGGTCACGTTTATCCTTTCTCCGCAGAATTGCTTGTGCTTCCTTTTCGGCCCGATTGCGAACGCTCAATTCCTGCATCATCAATGGCCACGGCACAGTCTCCTTGCATGCGGGACATGTGCCTTGTGTTGGTATGAGACTATCCGGATCACCTTCTACCTCGAGGAATACGGTAGAAAGGCATAAAAGATGATTTGTACTGCGGCATGGTTCCCGTGGACAAACCACAATTTGCTGGACGTGCGGAAGAACAGCGACTTTACAAACATGACATGTCAGTCCCTCCGCATCGTCGAGAAGAAACATAGACTTCTCCAAATAAGTCTCTAGTTTCGAATAGTCCACCGTAAGCTTATCGATGCTCCCTACCGCTTCGCTTTCGCTCGCCTTTCCAGGACAATCTCCGTCCAGGATCAATTTCTCGTCGCGCAGAGGTACATCGACACGGTCGTTCCAGATACGCCATACCCGATGAACGTCTGCGCAGAAAAAGCGAATACGCAAGGGCCAGCTGGAGAAGTAGGTGGAGCGAAGAAGCGTATGCAGATCTTCCAGGTGAGCGGTCAGCGATCTACGCGAGCGCGAATTACGCGGCTTTGTCTTGCCCGTTTTGGAATTGATGATGACTTTTGAGCGGGTGATTTCTTCGTCGGATTCGATGTGTCGGGTTCTTTCGGGGTGTTGCCAGGCCCATCTATACCGTGACACATTAGGTATGCAGCATAAGCAAGGATACACTAGCGTGTTCAATGCACGATGGATGAAAATCGGGAACCCGAATCAAAAGTTGGAAATTGGATCGAACTTACTCGAATTGTAGGGCGCCGACGCGACTCATAAAGCCCTCCACGACAAGAGCCATTTCCCATGGTCGTAGGCTATCGCGAGATGTTCGCTTTGCCCCACCTTTGGCGGTTCCGTTATGTTGAGCTAGCCGTCTGATCGGGTTTGGCGTTGAACCGATATATAGTGAGGAGTGTCGAACGGTCGAACGGAGGAGATAGCAGCCGTAGTAGGCCGGGATGGGTCGAGTCTCCTCTTGGATATCCATAATTTTGCCAGTGGGGCTAGGTGTATATTTTCAATATTTCACTTTCTTCAAGTGAGTGTATTGCGTGGCAGCCTTGGTCATTGCCAATGACTCCCAATTCCAATGTTCAAGTTGTTATGTCTGCATCTGGGGCAAACATGGACCCACTGCGGTAAACAAGGATCACATGACGCCGTTCTATGTGCGTCCACGACCGATTTTTTTCGATTTACCTAGGTACTCAAAACCTCTGGAGGGTTATCCTGTAAGAGCCGAGTATAGTAGCTGTATAGGTAGCCGCATCCGATCTGATGCACCTATAAAAGGTGCCTTTGGAAGTTCAGTGGACGACAGTCATGTGACGTAGACACGTGCCTTTTCACTTGATGTAGACGGTGTTTCTATCTCTCCTGCTGCCAGTGATTTTACCCAACTTGAAGTGAGTCCTGGATATTTTATTTCTTAGGCGGGTTGTGTTGAGAATACAGGGATAAGTATAAGTGTAGGTTGGGTCAAGTCGATCAGGGCTGTGCTCAATTATACTCGGGGGGCCAAAAGCGGCGAGGAATGATCCTAGAATGGAAGTATGAGGTTCGGTATATGGGAGAGTATAAACAGAGAGAAGGAAAATGAGGCACAAGATTTTAATAACTATGAATGTGATGTACCAGGAAAAAAAGATTGGATATGAAGAGAGCGAATTGATGAATAAATTTGTGGACCATCTTTTCCCCCCAAGGGTGCTTACTGACGGGGCTCAGCGGTCGGCAGATCTCGCCGATCTACCTTGTCGGGACGTCGACACATCGGACACTGCCCTTTGCAGGTCCACCCGAGGTCAGTGTGTTCGACCCTGAGCCAATTTTCGAGATTTTCTTTTGGGGGTTCCTACTAATATTACATGAGAACAATGCACCACCTGTGCATGTAGTCCACTTTTAATACTGGACAACACTTGAATATACTAGTACGAAAGTCAGAGGTGACTTGACTACTATTTAATGCATTTTAAAATAGCTTGACAATGGCTTGTCAATGTGTGGGCCGATGTATCACAAACCGTATGATGCGTCCCGTTTGCGGCAGTACTAGTCACTAGTAGTACTATATGAACATGCAAGTGTGTGATATAGACACAACTCTCCGCCTCTCTGTCACTATGTTACATGAGATCAAAGTATCCACATTGTAAAAACGATGTCCACATAGCAAGCCCTCGAAGGCTGACGGTATGATTACCGCATTTTTACCAAATGTACCTCGGGAACGGGCCAAAGTGGGCCAAAAGAACCCAAAATAAATTTAAATGACAATACCACCAGGTACCAATCGGTACTACCAAAGTTACGACAGCCGCGCCTTGGCCGAGTCACCCGCTGGTCTCTCGTTCACTGGCTGCGCCGCCCAAAGTGACTTCTGTTGTACTTGCACCCTCTATCATCTTCTCTCTTCCCGCCCTAATTTTCCCTTGCCTTTTCGTCTGATCCATTCAATATCCCGATCTGTTCGAATTTCGACCCCCCTCCCTTCGAATTCGAATTCGCTTCTCCCTCGACTTGCTTTCTCCCACCTTTCTCCCACCCCCCCCCCAAACTCGCTACCCACACGCCCTTGCTCTCTCCCGCTTCGTCTTTCCGATGAACCCAGTCGCGCACCAGTAACACTTGACTTGGTTTTCGTTAACGCGCGCGCATCCCGCATGACAACCTATCAACTTCCTTGAATACACTCGATATCCACGAGAATGGTGGCTCCGGCCTCAACAGGAGCAAACGCGATGGCTGGTCAAACTTCTATGGGCCGCCTGCCCACCCGGTCTGCCAGCACGCACCCGTCGCATTCGCATAATGTTCCTTTGAGTGCTCGTCGGTCTGCGCCTCTGGATCTCTCAACCGTTGAGCGCCGCGGTCAGCCCAACAATCCCCGCGAACCGTCGAAGCGAGTGCGTCCCCATGGCATCCCCGAAGCCCCGACCTTTCGCCCAACCGAGGAGGAATTCAAAGACCCCGTGGCATACATCCAGAAGATTGCGCCAGAAGGCAAAAAGTACGGAATATGCAGAGTTATCCCGCCCGATAACTGGCAGCCGACTTTCGCCATCGATACAGAGGTATACTACCCACTTTCTCTTCTCCGTCTTCTGTGCTTCCCTTCCTGGCAAGGAACAGTAATTGGCTCGTCCTAAATCGTCCTAAATGGACTCGCCAATTTTTGACATTCTTGCCTTGACGGGAAAATATATAGATCCCTGCTAACCAGAATCGATTTGTCATAGCGATTTCATTTCAAGACCCGTCGACAAGAACTGAATTCGGTCGAAGGAGGTATGGCCCCGTGTTCAGCTGAGGATGCTGCCGGTGGAACCATTCATCAAGACGGTTCTAACCAGAACTTTCAATCAGGAAACCGCGCCAACATGAACTACGTTGATGGACTCGCCATGTTTCACAAGCAGCACGGAACAAACTATAGTCGCCTACCCAGTGTAGATAAGCGCCCGTTGGACTTGTACAAGCTGAAGAAGGCCGTAGAGGTCCGCGGTGGATTTGAGTCCGTTTGCAAAACAAAGAAATGGGCTGAGATCGGCCGAGACCTTGGCTACAGCGGCAAGATCATGTCCTCGCTCTCTACATCGCTCAAAAATTCGTATCAACGCTACCTGCAACCCTACGAAGAATATCTCGCTCGAGCGAAGCCTGGTGTTCAGCAACAGCTTGAACTGGAACATGGTGGCCCTTTCACGCCATCCCCGCGCAATTCCCCAATGACGAAGAAACCATTCATAGAGGAAAATGGTACCCCATCTAGGACCCGAGAACCGACCCCTACCATGCGTATGCCGACAGGCTCGAATACCCCAATGGAGAAACCAGCTGATCAACCCACCCTGTCTGTCGAGCCCACGCCCCCTCCGCTTCGTCCTACACCGTCTGGATTCACCTCTGTTAACTCAGGTCCCGCTGGGTTTACTGCCGTTAACCACTCCCCTTTCACTCCTGTCAACAGTGCCCCTCCCATCAAGCGCGAGGGAGAGAATGGAGCGTCGACTCCTCAAAGTGTTGCGGAACATTCATTCCACTCGACTCCAGTGCCGAATGGCCAATCCGACCAACATATGAAGCGCGCTATCAGTGAAAGCGGTTCTCAGGCCGAGAATGGCGATGGCGATGACGGTGGAAGTGGACGACGTAGCAAGCGTCTCAAGAAAGGTATTACAATCAGGCTGATTTATAGACTGTTGTTTTCTGACTCCAGTTTTCTTCCCCAGATGTGCCCAATGTGGCTGGATCACACATGTCTCTCCTACGCCCTGCGCCACCTAAAGTTCGAAAGGAAGGCCTACAAAGAATCGGCGATGTAAGTCGACTTTTGCTCATTACATGTTCAATGTAATCCCCAGATACTAAATTGTGTTGTCTTTTTAGAAGTGCGAGTCTTGTGGAAGGTCGGACAATCCCTCTACGATTCTCGTCTGCGATGCCTGCGATCTCGGATACCACACAGCCTGCCTTGACCCCTCTACCACGGCTTCCTCGGATCATGATTGGCACTGCCCCAAGTGTCTGGTTGGAACCGGTGAATTTGGGTTCGAAGACGGTGGCGTTTACTCTTTGAAGCAATTCCAAGAAAAGGCCAACGAGTTTAAAAAAGGATACTTCGCTACCAAGATGCCATTCGATCCTGTTTTGAACACTCACCGCCGAGAGACCGAAGATGACGTGGAAGCCGAATTCTGGAAGCTGGTTGTCGACTTACATGAAACTGTTGAAGTGGAGTATGGTGCAGACATTCACTCAACCACTCATGGCAGTGGCTTCCCGACCATTGAACGCAACCCACTCGATCAGTATTCTTCTGACCCTTGGAACCTCAATGTGCTCCCCTTCTATGGCGATTCTCTCTTCCGTCACATTAAGTCCGATATCTCAGGGATGACTGTTCCCTGGGTCTATGTCGGCATGTGCTTCTCTACTTTCTGCTGGCATAATGAGGACCATTACGCATATTCCGCCAACTACCAACATTTTGGCGCGACAAAAACTTGGTACGGTATCCCTGGAGCTGATGCAGAAGCTTTCGAGTCCGCCATGCGGGCAGCAGTTCCGGAGCTCTTCGAAGGACAACCGGATCTCCTGTTCCAGCTTGTTACTTTAATGCCGCCCGACAAACTTCGAAAGGCTGGCGTGAATGTTTACGCTGTAGACCAACGCGCAGGCCAATTTGTTCTCACTTTCCCCCAGGCGTATCATGCAGGGTTCAACCATGGCTTCAATTTCAACGAGGCAGTCAACTTTGCACCTGCTGACTGGGAGCCCTGGGGCGCTGCAGGCGTTGATCGTCTTCAATCTTTCCGCAGACACCCATGCTTCTCGCATGATGAACTGCTCTTTACCGCAGCTGCACGAGACACATCCATCACAACTGCCAAATGGCTTGCACCTGCACTCGAGAGAACTGTTAACCGTGAACTTCGCGAAAGAGGCAACTTTTTGGCTAACCACAGGAAGTTAGCTAGCCCCAAGAGCACCACAACTCACGCATGTGCGGTAGGGACCGCTGATCCGTCGACTGGTCAATGTCCGCTCAAACTTGTTGTTGAGGAAGAGGACATCCCGGAAGATGATTATCAATGCCAGCACTGCAAGGCTTTCACTTACCTTACCCAGTTCCGCTGTCAAAAGTCAGGCAAGACTGTTTGTCTTTCACATGTCTATGATTACGACTGCTGTGGTGATCTGTATCACCAAAAACTGTTTGGACAAGATCACTTCCTACGCTACCGCGTTAGTGATGAGGAGCTTAAGTCAACGGTACTAAGAGTCCAAGAGCGAGCAAATATCCCGAAGGCATGGGGGGAGAAGCTCGACAAGACCTTGGAGGATGAGCCAAAGCCTCAGCTGAAAGCTCTCCACAATTTGCTCAGTGAAGGTGAGAAAATCCCATACCACCTACCTGGCCTCCAAGATCTTGCGGCCTTCGTCCAGCGTTGCGATAAATGGGTTGAAGAAGCGAACAACTACATTACCCGGAAGCAACAGAACCGGAGAAAAAACGAAAAAGCGTGGCGCCGCGCCAGTACCAAGGCCGCGCAGCTGGACGATCGCGCCCCTGAAGTTCGCAGAGTAGAGAACATCTACGCCCTTCTGGCAGAGGCTGATAAACTTTCCTTCGACTGTCCACAGATGGCGGCCCTGGAAGAGAAGACTCGCGAAATCGAGAGATTCCGCCAGGACGTTAACGTTGCCCTGATGAACCCGCATGCCCGATCGACCCAGGAAATCGAGGACCTTGTTGAAGCTGGCCGAAACTTCAACGTGGAAATCCCGGAAGTTGAACACCTGGAACAAAATCTCCGCCAACTGAAATGGACCGAGGAATCTTTACGCAAACGGGACCAACGCCTTACCCTTCAGGATTGCCAGGATGTTGTCGCCGAGGGCACAAAACTAGGCATTCCAGATGCTAATGAGCACTTGCTCCACTTCAAGGAACTCACTCGACATGGCGAAGCTTGGGAGGCTAAGGCCAGAGAGCTCATGTCGGTAGAAGCTGTACATTACCAGCAGTTGGAAGCACTCTCCGCCCAGGCGACTCGTTTCCCTGTTTCCCCAGAAACCCTAGCAGCCATCGATGCCATTCTGACAAAGCAGCGAGAGGCCCAGAAACGGATCCAAACTCTGTATGAAAGCAGCAAAGATCCCGATCTGAGAAATCGCCCGAAGTACAAGGATGTCCGTGAGCTCACTGAGTCTCTGGAGCAGTTAAACAGTCGACCAATTGGTGCGATTGATCTTGAACGCGAGCAGAAACGCCATGAAGACTGGATGAGGAAAGGCAAGAAGCTGTTTGGAAAAGCCAATGCCCCTCTGCATATCTTGAAATCTCACATGGAGTATGTGGACAAGCGCAACTCCTACTGTTTTGATCTGGAAGACAGCTACCGCCCGCCGGTGGAGCCTTCTTCGCGTGACAACACCCCGGAGGGTTTGCTCGAGAATCCTAACCCCAATCCATGGGGTCCGAAGTCACAAAAACGTGATGTCTTTTGTATTTGCCGGCATCCCGAGGCGGGAATGATGATTGAATGTGAAGTCTGTCACGAATGGTAAGCTGAGACCTAGTTCCTTTTCATAGTCCACTCGAGAATCGATCGACTAACAATATTCTCAGGTACCATGGGAAATGCCTTAAAATTGCTAGGGGCAAAGTTAAGGAGTTCGACAAGTACACATGCCCAATCTGTGACTGGCGACAGAAGATTCCCCGTGATGCTGCCCGTCCGAAGCTGGAGGATTTGCAAGATTGGCAAGCTGAGATCGCCGGCCTGCCTTTCCAGCCTGACGAAGAAGAGGTCTTGGATAGTATCGTCGGTAAGGCGACTGCGTTCCGAGATTTTCTACATGGTTTCTCAAATGCCGCCTGCACTACCACCGAGGAGGTCCCGACTTTGATTTTCTATTTGCGAAAGATTGAGGGTGCGGAAGTTCTTCTGGCCTACGAAACGAACTTCTTCCGCCAGGAGATCCACAAATGGGCGCCCGTTGCTCCACAGGCACCGCCAATCCTGGAGCAATCGCTGTCGACTCGGAAGCCTCGCCCAACGAAGCAGCAGAAGATTCTAGCCCAGTTTGGCGTTGACCGGCCCGAAGATCTTCCCGAGCATCTTCGTGCCAAGCACATGGCTGCCGCGAAACGGAAGTCGATTGATATTCCGGGAAGTCGTCCTGCTTCACTGCAGCCTGCGCCGCCCACGCCAGGTAACAACCCTCCTACTACCACTGGCCCAACCTTGACGCCCATGTCCGACTCCACCTCTACGGCCTACCCATTCTCCGCCAATTACTCCTTGCCTGCCAGCGACTCGACCCCAGCTTTTGCACCTACTTCGTCAGCATTCCTCCCCCACGCCGCAGCGGCCTCTCAATCACCCTCCTTCCTTCCTCGTTCTCCAAGTCCGCAGCAAAACATCGAACCTTCGCTCTTTAGCCCACCCCGATTCGGACCAGAGCCCCAGTTCGCCAGTAGTAGCCCTCGTCAAAATATGGATGATGTTTTTGCCGATCTCACGAACGAAGACCCCGAAGCGGAGCCAATTGAAAATCTTCATGCGAGCGAGGCACTGGAGGCTCTTGATGCCAGCAACGGAAGCAGCCGAGAACCATCTCCGACTGAGGAATCTATCCCAACAGCTACAGCTACAGCTACAGCTACTGCTCCGGCGGCCGCCGTCTCAGCCGAAGAGGAGGACGCACCAGCCGCCAAATCCCCGATTGTGGAAACAACCGAGGATCCCGAGTCGGAGCTCTGATTTGATTCGTCCTTGTCCCGCCTACATCTCGATAATAAAAACTTCCTGTCCTTTTGTTCGTTTTGCTCAATATCCTATCTGGCTCTTTATAAGAGATGTCCATTGTTGTTCGATTTCCTATTTACCTCTCCCCCTCGACTACTGCGGGTTGATTTGATTTCCTTCACAAAGAGTGTACTACATGACCATGGCACGGCGAATATCCGTTGGGTTTATTTTCCAGCGTTTTCTTCCTCCCCCATTTCCCCCGCCTTTCTTGTTCCCTTCTTATGTCTTTTGTTTTCTCTAATGCTGTTCTATTTCCCAAGCCACCAAGGGAGGCTATGTTTTGATGACCGAGGCAGTTCTGCTTTTTTTTTTTCGACTTTGCTGTTATCAGTCACCTTGTAATACTAGTTGAATGCAGCCATATTTCAAAGGCCAGCCATCCATTTTTCTCTGTAATTCTGGTGCGGTAAATCTGGAGTTATACCTTTGTCATAAATCAATACAGCTGGGCAGTAGGCGTTGATTATTATTTCAAGAGCAGAGGATGGTACTACACACCCTTCAATCTGCCGGCGGGTTGAGGTACCCTGACTGTGCTCTTGAAGTTCTCTATCTAGTGCTATATTAATTTTGCATCAAAGTAGTACCGGATAAACTCTAAATCGTCTAATTTTGTTTCCCAAATCCGACAGAAACCCCTATTATCTCTATGCCCGGTGTCGTAGTTCCAATCTTGCCTTCAGCATATGCCGGATCTGCTGCGGCTCGAGCACCTTCAACGAGTCAAACCCTTCCGCAGAAAGAGGATACAGAACCATATTATTCTTGCGCTGCACAAAATCTGCCAGCGTGGGCGGTTTCAGAGACATAATATTATCAATATCCTCGCGGATCCGGTTACAGAAGACATCCAGAGAAAGATCATTCACGTCTTCGCCGAAAGGATTCTCGATCTCGCGGCCGATCATCGCAATCCCGATAATGATATACCCAGCCAATACGGACGTCGGTATCGCCACCCAGCCCAGCTTTTGCACGAGCTGAAAGGGTAGAAGCAAAATGTACACCCATGTGATTTGCGCGATGGCAATCGAGTATGCGACGGGCAGTGGGGTGTTGACGATTCGTTCCGTGCCGGTGATGATATCGTTCATTTGAGTTAGGAGCGTCATTGCTTGCGCGTGGTAGGCTGGTGTTGGCATCGTGCCGTTGTCGATGATCGTTTTGATATACGCCGAGCAGTAGGTGAGGATCTCTAAGGGTACGTTGCCGAGTGGGTGTTTGGGATCTTTGATGAGTTTGCGCGGGTTGGACTCAGCCATCGAGAGGCCAAGGACCATGCCCATAAGTTTCCATCGCGAGGGTACGGTCCAGTCGCGACGGGGTGCGTTTTTCGCGAGGATGTCTAATTGCTGGATTCGGGGCTGCAGGTCTTCGTAGTGGGTGAAGGGCTCGAAGCGAAGTCGGTATTTTAGGGCTATGGCGAAGGTTGCTAGCATGTTGCAGAATGATATCTTTCCGAGAAGGTCCTCGCTGGCGTGGTCTTCTCGTTCTTTCGCGTGTATCCAGACTAGGCGCGCGAAGCCTTGGGTCACTAGACCTAACTGGCTCCAGTATCGACTTCCCTCCTTGTAGCGATCGTATGCCGTGGAGCTGCGGAAGGAGAGCGAGAGAGCGACGACGAAACCGAGTACTGTCAAGAGGACACTGTCAAAACTTACTGGAAAGGGGTTTTAGTAAGATATTTCATTTCAGTTAGTTTTGTCTAGTAAGAGGCTCACTATCGTGCAAAAGCAATGTGATACATGTAATCGCCGTGGCCCAGATTCCCACTATGGCCAGCGGAAGAATTAACTGCGGCACCACGCTACCGTGCAATTGAAGCCAAAGAGGCCATCTTGAATGGTGGGCGAAGTCTCGAGGTCCGACCTGGGCAGAGTTTAATAGCAGATCATTTAATGTGGCAGTTTTAGGGTTGAATCACGAAATAAGTTGCGAAAGGAGAGTAATCTCCAGGTCCTTGCTCGCCGTCAGTGGCGTAAGACGTTGATGAAGAAGTAGTCATGCTTGACCTTAATCTTAGAGTCGACGTCGAGAACAAAATAGCCGAAAACGCATAAACAGAGAGAAAGAGAGAAAGAAAAAAAGACCTCGGGTGTTTTGAGACCATACGATCTTTTCACGCTGGAATCATGGAGGCCTATTTCAAAGGTCTTGCGTCGACCCACTCACCACGGCTCCAGGGTGACACCGCAATATTTAGACCCCCTGCTCCCTGAGTTTTTGATCAACCTCCCTATTTAGGTACCTGTCTCCGAATAAATCAGTCTATTTAATCTCTGGCTTCAGCCTGCGAATAAATTGCCTACTTGGAGGTTTCAAAGACTGGCAAGCTCTCGCGGGATAGAACTCGAGGGATTAATTAGTATCACAGCCAAAAGGATATTATTATACCAAAGCTCCTATCGTCAATTTCAGATAGAAATAAGCAATCTCAAGACAGTTAACGGGCATTCGGGATGATAAAGTAGCTAAATATGTATAGCCACTAGGTTCAATAGCGCGAATTCAATCTAGATAAGGTTAATTCACTGCCCTAATGCGGCAATTCGATCTCATTCCTTCTAGTTAAACTAACATATTCTTAACTTAAGCGTAACGAGACAAGGTGTACATAATATGATAAGGCTGAACAAAAGGCTGGAAAATATTCATGGATGCATATGAATTGGCTCAATTTCTGAGGACAAAATCGGTTGTCGAAGCTGGACTTACGGAGTAGACGCCATCTTCAAGTGAGGATGGCTGCCTAATTATGGCCCACATCAGCCCCTTAGACTATCTACCTTCAGTTACCACAAAGCTCAGGCTCTAGTTTCAAATTAAATTTACTCCGTAGTATTGATCACATATCACACTTCATTCCAGATCTGCTTTAATTCAAATCTGCGTATGCACCTAATGCAGCCTGACCCCCGGTATGAATAAATAGTACATTAACCTTGTCCAAAGAATGTAACCGGGCAAAATTTCGAATCTCTTCCTCCTGAATCCACTGTAGCATACCGCGAGCAACTTTAGCAGTGTAAACCGGGTCAAGCACAACAGCCTCCATCCTCGCCATCTGTTCCGCAGCCTCTTTCGTCTCGACATCCAAAACCCCATACCCAGTCCCAACAAACCGATCCTCTAGCCTCACGTCATCAACACTAATAAACCCCGTTGTATCAAACCCGGCAAGCGCGCTAGCTCGCTGCGCAAACAACAGAACTCGTTCTTCATGGTAAGACCGCGGTTTTGTCGGCGAGTTAAGCACGCCAATAACACTTCTCCGGGGCCGAATTTGACGACCGGCCTCTTCGCCCATTGAGTCCAGCATTCGGAATCCAGCAATCAACCCGCCAATCGTACTTCCACTCCCACACGCAACGAAGATAAAATCAAACTGGCCCGTTCCACCAAGGCCCATCTCGACTTCTTGTTCCGCGATCTCAAACGCTGCTCGCGCGTAACCTAGCCCCCCCAAGCGGATGGAGACTTGCGCCACCGGGAATCCAATATGGCCGCTCACCCTGTGCACGCAGATCTTCCAGGACAGGAAAGGCGTCAGAGGCGAGGGGGTCGTTTTCATCAAGGATGCGCACTTCTGCGCCTAGAAGACGGTTTATCTGCACATTTCCGGTTCGGATGAATGTGGTTGGATCTTGACTGGCGCGTAGACCCCCGCCTGTACCGCGAGAGAGAAGCACCAGGGCTTTGAGGCCGAGCTTGCGGGCTAAGGCGGAGACTTGGACGGTGTGGTTGCTTTGGATTGCGCCTTCGGTTACTAGGATTGTGGCGGGACCGGACAGCCTGCCTGTGCTTGGGTGGTTTTCATGGTTATTGTGTAGTGGGTTTGCGGAGAGGATGTCCGGAACGATGTATTCGAGTTTGCGGTATTTGTTGCCCGCACAGGCGAGGGGTGCGCCGTGGTCTTCGCGTTTCGCGAAGATGGAGATTTGGGGGTGTGGGGGGTTGTGCGGGGTTAGTGTTGGGAGTGAGTGGATTGGTGATGGGTGTGGGTAAAGGATCTGGTGTCGTGGAATTTGGCTGAAGATTTCTGGGAGGGCGATGGGTGTTTTGGACATTGTTGAGGATGTTTTTATGGATTGTGTTATGTTCGCAGATTTAAGGGGAGGGGAGACGAGGTGATGTTAGGAGTAAGTTCGGTTGACGCCTTTGGATGAGGTCAATCGTCAATTCGGAGTGATCTCCACTTCAAGTCAGGATTTTTGAATAAAGAATACCCGCATTCTGTCACTGTCTTTCCACATCTGGATTGTGATAAATAAGCTTCTATTTAAATTCTGACTAGGCTCCATTGTTTAAGCAGAAAACATTGATATTTTTTATTTAAAAGTGGGAGTTAATTAAACTCATGATTATGAGAAATGCATCCAATGCAAATCTACTTCGCATCCAGTCACAGCCCTGGAGGAGATTATGCCATTGATGAACTTGAACTATCCACTTTGTAACGCTCAAGTATTTCGTCAATGCTCTTTCCTGACTCCTTTGCCTCCTTCCGGAGCTTTCTAAATCGGTAACGCCATACTGTGTGGCTGATGTAGATGCCCATCTCGAGTACAACCCTATTTAGGTACGTTAGCAGATGATTCGCACGAAAAACAGAAGAAGTGTAATAGATCGTACACAATGATATACATTATCCCACCTAAGATGTCAAACGATCCCTCTGCCGCTGTTAAAAGTAAGCCTCGTGTCGAATGAAATAGGGAGTGGATGACATACCGAGCGCAAACAGCGAGAATAGACCCCCAAGGGTGTCGATGCATAGAAACACCCAATCTACAGCCATATAAGCACTCTTCTAGTTTTAATAGCAGTAATCAGACACTGACTGAACCCGACGACTCTCCCCTCTCTTTTCCAAAGCTCAAAATAAACGGGGACTATGCCAGCACCAAGCATTATGGCCGCGACAATGCCAACAACTAGGTCAGGCCAAGTTATTCCTTTCTCATAGGGAATCTATATGAATTCTTTTAGTAAATGAGATGAAAAATTTCGTCTCTGCCTTTCCTACCCTTAATGTGAGAACCAATAGTGCCTCGAGTCCCCCTAACAGAGCAAGCAGCCCACAGCAGACTAGTGTTGCTTTGATCTTGCTATAGTTACTGTTTTGAGAGTTAATCAAAGTATTTTACCACTCTCTGGGAAGATACTCACTGGTTGTAATATAATATTTGCGCCCAAATGATTGTCGAAAAAAATCCAAAGATTTGCGGCTGGATTTGCAATGGCAGATTGACTTTCTGTTTGGCACACTATTCAGTTTTGCTCACATAACAGGTCCGAGTCTTTTTGGTTATATCAATACCTGTAAAATCAGATAAACTCCCATAGGAACAGCGCCTATCTCGGATATTTTCATCAGCTTGAAGCTCTTGCGTAGTTAAATGCATCGCGACATACATCCTGCCCACAAAAACCCCATCATCACAGGCAGCCCCTCTGTTTTTTTACGTCTCCAGTTGTACCATATCTGAGGAACCAGCTGAATACACCAGAATACTGTTCCTATTGTACCTAGAATTGTCGCCGTTCGATTATCTTCTCCGGACTCCATGGTTCTGTGTCGATATGAAACTGGTACTTGCGTAGAATCAAGCAAAGCTTGACGAAGACTTGAGATACTGTGAGAAATCTCGTCCAATTCACTAGAAATCTTGAAATACACCATATCCGCTAAATTCACATGGACTTCCAAGGTTGGTTATCATTGGGGAGTGGGGCCGGGCATTATGAGCTTAGCCCAAAGATGGCAGGTCGGGTGAGAGGGGTCTGTGAGTCGTCTGGGAGATATCACATTACGCCATAACACAGACTGGGTTTAAGGTTGTTACTGCAAAAAACGCCGGGGACTGAGCAAATTTTTCATTGGGTTCAATTTGGTTATCGCTCTTAAGCCTTCGTCAACTGAGACGGATAACTTGCTAGTCTGAGCCCGTATTGTACTAGGATAGATCGGGAGACTGTGTTCCAATCTGTATTTACTTGTAATATTTCCAAGATTCTTATAGAATTAACATGCTATGTTCGGGTATAATATCTCTCATGAAATGTATCCATGTGACACCACGTTCCAAATCGACTGACCAGTAGTGTTGTAAAAATGACAACACCTTTCTTCGATCAAGAACGCCACTGATCTTCATCACAGCTTCCATTTCCATGGAGACCATATTCTGTATCTTTTCATCTTCTCTACCTTCGGTACCCAATATGAACAGTGGCCAAACAAGATCATGTGCGAAATTTCTCTTGTCTGACAAATGGTCCAGGTGTTGTAAAATCGAATCCCTGGACGCTTGAATGTGACGGTCGGCCAATTGATCATCAGAAATCGCACGGTAGGTGTAGACCTGAATGGCATGATAAAACACGAACACCAGGTGCTGGAAATCTTGCCGAGCCTGGTGACTCCAGAAGTAGAATTGTTGACCGAAAGTGATCATAGAATCCTTTGCCATTTCGACTGCCTGGAGAATGTCTTGAAATTGGCAAGGGTCGATGGGAATACTTTGATCATATTTCGATCTTTCAAGTTTGGTCACCAGTTGAATGACGCGAACAAAGTCGCCGAAGATAGCAACATCGCCCATTCTTTGTAGGCTGTCTTTGGGTGGTTCGTTCGTGTTATCGAATGTAGTGAGATCTGCGAAAACGCTGGAGTAGTAGTGCTCGTAGAGTAAGAATTTGTCAATTTCGCCGATTGAAGTAACCTGAGAAAAGGACTGTTCGAGCCACTGATTGATGACACGAGCCCCCTTCAAATGCATTCTCCATTTTACATCTTCTGCGCCAATAAGTTCAACGTTGTAGAGAATGAGAGTTGATGCCAGAGCTGATCGTGCTTCGGATATGCATTCATTCCCAGAGGTCAAAGCAGACTTCTCCCTTATGGAGCCTAAATGGTTCGCGAGCATAGACAAAGCTTGGTTTCGAAAATGGAGTGAGGTGTATTGTAGGTCAAAACGTCGCTGGTGATAATCTCCATATCTGTGGGCGAGATCTTCTGATGACAAAGATAGTACAGCATGGAAGACAGTTGGAGATGTCCATGCCAAAGGGATGATGACTTGACGCCAAGGGTTTCCGGGGCCATCCACCCAGGCAAGCTTCCCTGCAACATTTTGCTGATAATGGTAGATCAATTCCAATGCCGCGGGGTCAATATGCGGATTTATTTGGCTGATTTGGGTGGGAATTCTCGCATAATTTGATTCGTCGCGTGGTAGATCTCCCAGACTATCAAGACTGGGATTTCCGGATCTCCGGAGAGGTAGTTGTTGCCCAGTCAAACTGCCTCGGCTAGCAACACCCTGGCCCCATCGAAGAATCAACCCGTAACCCGGGCATTGGAATCCACGAGAAGTGCATTTCCTGCATTCTGGCAAAGTTCGATCACATTTGATGCGTCTGGATCTGCATTTCGGGCAGTCTTGGCTTGGTAAGCATCGATCGCCGGTACAGATGTTCAAGGGTCTAGATACCTTTCTCTGCGCTCACACCGCTGGGGTGAGTTGTGGGCATATGAAAAACGTTGAAACTTGATACCTCAAGGTTTTACAGTCCAGGAACCCTCGGCCTTGATACAGTGAGGGGTAGTTCGGCGGACGGGCATGAGAGTCGGGCTAGGTTCGAATGCGGGGGGGTACTGAAATTGGAACCGCAGCGCGAGACAAATCATGAGCATGCAATAGGTGAGTGCACTAAGGCCGTTCTCAGACTCGAAATGTGGGTTTCGGCCCTGTATTCGGGTTGTTCTGAGAAAAAAAGAGTCTTTCGTTCTCGCGAATCTTGAAGCCCGATCACGTGAGTGGACCCGATCCGGTTCAATACGATTAGTTCGGCATTTTACACTTAATCATTCAATGAAAATGTGATAATTGAATTTTCATACCGTGATGGCTCTTTGTATTGGATTGAATATTGTAATTTGAAGCAAGATATGTCGAAATCAAAGGAGGGTGTCTATGGCTTCTGATTCTCCCATCTCATAATCTATCACAGCCAATAGGGCAGCCTTGCTTTTCCCAGGCTTGTAGCATCACATCGTACAGTCCTTTTTGACAATCGGGTGTCAGTCGTGAATCATACTTACCCCGCAGTTGACGTGATTCAGCAGTTTCTTGTATTGATGCATCATCATCATCATTTCCCAGATCATCTTCCTGTGTCACAAACTCATAGGTTCGGAGCTCGGTATTAGCCCATCCCGTTCCTTGAAATGTCAAGTTAGCTTCTGAAAGCAAATTTTGCGTATTTTAAACTGGAACCGTACCTTCAAATTTATTTCCGTCCTCCCAATCGTCCGTTAGAAAGTGTAGGAAGCCACCGTGACTGATCACAACAATTTCCTTCTCTGGTCGTTCTTTCAACCAGCACCTCGCTTCACGGGCACGTTCCTGGATCTTTTCGGATGTTGGTTCGTATTTTCCGGACTATTTCCCACTATTAGTATATATCTATTTTGAGGCTCCGCTTACCCCATAACTCTACTTTATGAGACCAATTCTCTTCCACGAAGCGCAAATCCACTGGGAGGTTCTTTTGTTCGACTTCGATCTGCAGATCTTGCAATTCACTTCCTGTGTCGCAGGGAAGATCGCTCACTTCCTGCAGGATCGGAAGAGCAATAATATCACTCGCCGGGTTGTTTTCTAAAATAGAACCAAATGCCTCTAGACCGGTGTATAAAGCACGACGCATGGGTGAAGCAACAATCAAATCAACTGTTGCTTTGGTAGGAAAATTATGGCTCAATTCCGAACACTGTTTCTTCCCCTCCTCAGTGAGCAAAGGGTCGATGAGGTTCCAGCATGAAGGGTCGAGATTATGGTAGCCCTATACATTTAAGTTAACCCCCATTCAGAAGCCAGACGCGGAGGAAGAATACCTGGGCATGTCGGATGAGATGAAGCTTGGGTGCCATGACTCGGATACCTCCAACTCTCTATTCGAAAACAAAGGTCTGATGATGCCGATTGATTCCGAGGGAGCCAGGCACAAATTTAAAAGAAAAATATTCTACCGAAAGACCAGGTTAGAATGCTTACGATATTTCGTGCACGCAATTTGAATTGTAGAAGAATCTAGCAAGTACTGTTTTTACACTAGGAAAAGCAAATTACGGCCGAGAACCGGAAAATTATTTCTGGGGCCTTTGACCATAATGCTCGGCAAGCATCTACTCCGTAAATGCTGCGTGTCAGACCAGACTTGTACGGAGTAGCGTTGTTGATGATGTCGGTCATCATCTTGCCGAGCCGGCCCCGCCTCAAACTCTAATTAAGCATCTTGGCTTCCAATTTTGGACTAGCGGGTGGAGTGGACCCTTATATCCCCTCGTGAAGTATGGATCTTTGACCATCTCAAGTATTTTTGACTGGAATTTACGCCGCATACCATCAATCTTCAGTCGAAATCATCCGCCATGAACTTGAAACATGTTAGTATATCCCTTTTCCTGACTCTAAAGAGCCACCACAGCTATGGACACTGTGCAACTGGGATTGGAATTCCCTTCAAGCCATGATATCTACACGAATTTCAAAGGAGACAGCCTTTCTCAGCCCATCCCTGCCTCAATCATCATTTCAAGACGGGACAAAACAGCTCTGAATCGGCCGTGCCACGTCAGAGTTTGTCTTGTTCAGAGATTGTCGAGCAGGGCCACAGATGGCGCTGATGACAACGAGGATATCTTGAGCCGGGTTTACAACCATCTCTTATCAAAGCCCCAGTTAAACAAATCCTTCGTCACTCGATCCTGCTCCGTTATTGAAGAACTGTCTCTGCAGCTACCTGATTTCCTGGAAGGCACTCATGTCGAGAATATTCAGAAAGTTCCTTTCTATATGCCAATTCTCGCAAACATTCCAGGGACGACAATCACCGGAATTGGAAAGATATCATATTTTCTTATTGCGTCCATGGTCACAGAAGATAATAGTCTCGTTGGAACAAGCAAGGAAATTTTTCTTCGCCGTCGGACCTTGCTTGAGCAGGATTCCATCCAACACACCCGAATCTATCCGAACTCGAGCTGGATAACCAAGATTATTCTTTCACAAAATGGCACTGGAACGGCAGACTCTACATTCTTTATCACTGCGAAGATATTCCTTCGTTGGACTGCCACGCCGGCCGGACGCTCTACAGAATTCAAATGTGTGGCTATACGCGGTCTCAGATGGCGTATCGAAGAAGTGGCGACACTAGAAAGTCGGCCAGGAGGCGAGAATAACCCAGAGAATGGATCGGTCGAAGAGAAATCAGTTGTCCGCGAATTATCAAACGGTATCCAAAAAGGCTATTGGGGAACACTACACAATCCGATCTTGGCCAACAACCAAACGCACCAGCAGAAGGATTCTGCAGTCGACGTTGCATTTGAAGTGAATATCCCCAGTGCGGTCGAACCTGCACCAGAGGTTGAGCCATCAAATTACGAATTCCAATCCTTGTCACCGGATTATCTGCCGCGATCACTGCAAGAAAAATTTACATTTTTGGCAAAGGATAGAACATTCCTTACCACGGAGCATCGATTGAAGCTTGACATTCTGATTAGCGAGGACACATTTGACATATCTAGTCGCAAGTTAGTGGATCGGAAGCCTATGCGCACTGCACTAAACGCGTCGTTTCCTTTGAGAATTGTTGATAAAGCCGAGGCTCATATCGATGAGATGATCCTCACGGGCAATCTGCCACGCTACCAGGAAGTTTCTGATTCTCCTCCGAATTACGAAATCTTCTGACAAGGCCCATGAAATACCAAATTAGTGAATACACGAAGCAAAAACTTTCTTCCAGACTTTGATAGGCAAAAACTTCCCCACCACTCTGATTAGTCAGATTAGCATCATAGATAGATGAATTTTGGATGCTTGCATGACAAAAATCAAAGCAAGATGAAAGTACTAGCGACTATAATCAACTAGTAGCCCGGATATGGCTTCCTAAGTGGTGGCTATCCAATGCGAGAAATTCTACTGAAATCTTGATTTTACAATACATACATGCCCCTCACAACAGGTGGGTCTCTGCGGAGTTAGCAAACCATGCTGTTCATGTTGCCCCAGAACAGTATTTTATTACCAAGATCCACGCAAAGATTCGGGGAGAATCCCGCGTACCAAAGGCAAATTAATACCGAGATGTATCCTCTAACACTAAGCGAATTTATCACAATCCGGTCGTCCCGTTCTTATAACGCTTGACAGGAGCAACAATCTCCGCTAACTTACTTTTCCTTTTCGACCAGAAAATTGAAATCATGTCAACAGCAGAAAAGATACAGAAAGGCTCATTATCAGACAAGCCAACTGCTGATTCAAACTTGGAAGCGCTCGGGTACACTGCAGAGCTATCACGGAATCGATCAACATGGCAGGTGGTTTTCATGTGCTTTATCCTTGCTTCGGTACCATACGGACTTTCAACGACCATGTCATATTCAATCATTGGGGGTGGCTCAGCGAACATGGTTTGGGGTTGGATTCTTGTCTCCCTCATTATGCTATGTGTAGCTAGCTCTCTAGCAGAGATAACATCTGTCTACCCTACTGCTGGTGGGGTCTACTATCAGACTTTCGCTCTCTCCCCTAAATGGTGTCGCCGGGTAACAGCCTGGATTTGCGGTTGGTCCTATGTTGCCGGTAATATCACTATAACTCTTGCGGTCAACTTTGCGACCGCGCTCTTCTTCGTGGAGAGTCTTAATGTTTTCAAAACTTCATCCGGTGCTGGCATTGCTGAAGAGTTTCAGGCTTACCAGTCATTCCTCATCTTCGTTGCCATTACCTTTATTTGCCATGCATTCCCGGCTTTTGGTAATAGGTGGCTCACCCATCTTGAGGTGTGCTTTATTCTCTAAATCTTCTAATGAATTTCGTTCTTTTGCGACTAACTTTGGTATTTCCCTCGTTTATTAGACTTTCGCTATCTTCTGGACCCTCGTTGGAGTCAGCGCTATCCTCATCACGATCCTTGTTGTTGCCCATAATGGTAGAAATTCCGCGAAATGGGTTTTTACTTCATTCGAGCCTCAGTCGCAATGGCCAGATGGTTGGTCTTTCTGTATTGGTCTTCTTCAAGCCGCCTATGGACTTTCGGCATCAGGAATGGTGACGTCGTGAGTCTACCCTCTCACCATTCGTACTTCATTCCGTGTTCGAAATATTGAACTAATATCAACCCCCAGTATGTGTGAGGAAGTTCGTCAGCCAGCAATTCAGGTACCCCGGGCAATTGTCGGAGGAGTAATGCTCAATATGTTCGCTGGTCTCGCCTTTCTTCTCCCGATCGCTTTCGTCCTTCCTGATATCCCCATGCTGGCTAGCATCCCATCCGGACAACCGGTTCCAACTATCATGCTGTCTGCGACTGGCAACTCGGTTGGCGCCTTTTGTCTTCTTATTCCACTTTTGGTTCTGGGTTTGATTTGTGGAATAGGCTGTGTGACGGCGACATCGCGATGCACCTGGGCTTTCGCACGAGATGGCGCGATTCCTGGCTCTGGATGGTGGAAAAAAGTTGATGAACGTCTTGGCATCCCTCTCAATGCCATGTTTTTGGGAATGGTCATTGAAATTCTTCTCGGACTAATATACTTTGGCTCAAGTGCGGCATTCAATGCCTTCTCTGGTGTTGGTGTGATCTTTCTGACTCTTAGTTATGCCTGCCCGGTGACCGTATCTTTGCTACTTCGGAAGCGCCTCGATGTCATGCAAGGCCGTTTCAATCTTGGTTCTCTCGGAGTCTTCTGCAATATTGTTTGTATATGTAAGAAATTTCCATCCCTTTCCCGTCCACGATATCTAATCATTTCCTCTTCCAGGCTGGTCTCTTGTCGCTGTCCCTCTCTTTTCAATGCCAACATCAGCCGTGGTCACGAAAGATACCATGAATTACGCCTCGGTGGTTTTTGTGGGATTTGTTTCTGTCTCGGCCATCTGGTATCTAATATGGGGCCAAAAAAACTATATCGGACCTGTTCTCGACACCTCTGAGGACCCAGATGATTCTTTTTAACACACCCAGGGGGGTTGAGGAAATACAATCAGATGTAACTTCTCTACAAGGTGAAACTCATTCCACTGGCAATGGCGCATGATTATTAGTGGCAGCTAGACTATGTTTAAATGAGATATTCAAGTTCCTCTAGTGCCAATTCGATGTTTTGTCTTAAATCGTTCCCATATTTCAATTCGAATAGTTAGCAATCTCTGAAAACCAGCAAAAATAAAAATAAAAATGGAAATGAATGTAAGCTCAAGGCTAGGAGTAGATCGAAAAATAAGCATTGGAAATCTATTCTGAGTACAACTTCAATAAATGTTGATCTGGTTGGAAAGTGGACAGTTGACGAAATGACGTAGCGAGCATCACAGCCGAAAACACTTGACTGCACCAACCTCACATCACCTCTTTTCTCATCTTTTCACCCGTCCGTCCTCTCAAATTCCCCTTCCAAGGTTCGCGATGACCCTTCTCCAATTCCTCCGCCATGCCCGTCAAACACATCTTGCATTTCTCGCAGGCAGCCTACCCGAGGCCCCCATTTACGTCCTAGGCAATCCCTCCGCCGACCTCGACTCGATAATCTCCGCCATAATCTACTCCTACTGCGCAAACAACCGCCAACCAACTCTCACTTCAAGACCCCACATCCCTCTAATTAATCTCCCAACCGTCCCCGCCAGCTCAGAGCTTTACCGATTGCGACCCGAATTCGTCACCGCACTATGGCTGTCGACAAATTTCCCCGCGCTAAGGGCCGAACGCTTCGACAACACGTCCGAATCCGCGGGTAAGATCCTGCACGAACACCTTGTGACGGTAGCGGATTTTGCGCAGGCGTTGAAGGGGCGATCGGGCGGAGAGAAAATTTTCGCGGACGCGGTGATGGTCGATTGGAATGCTATGCCGATTCGCGGTGAGCAGAAGGGCACCGGGTCCGTGGGCGGGTTGGAAGAGGTTTCTTTTCGCACGGTGGGGTGTATTGATCACCACGTTGATGAGGACTTTGTTCCGGCGCGCGATACTTTGCCGCAGGGCCAGCCTATGATCATTCAGCCGGGTCCGGGGTCATGCTCTTCTTTAATTGCGGATGAATTGGAGTCGAGTGGGCTTTGGGCTGCGTGTTTGGAGGCGTCGTCTGCGGGGGAAATGGCGCAAATTGCGAAGCTTGCTTTGGCTGCGATACTTATTGATACATCGAATCTCACTGCCAAGGGCAAGGTTACGGATATTGATGTTCGATCTGTGGAGTTCCTGCGGACGTTTGTGGATTCTGCTCATGGTGAGTGGGAGATGGAGACGTTCTATGAGCAGATCCTGGACGCGAAGAAAAATAGTCTCGACCTTTTGAAATTCGAGGAGATCCTGGACCGCGATTATAAGGATTGGACTGAGACGACACGGTCGTCGAAGACGAGTATCAAGCTGGGATTTTGCTCTTCGGTAAAGCCGATCCGCTGGCTCATTCAGAAGGCTGGCGGCTGTCACGAATTTCTGGAAAGAACGAAGAAATTCGCCAATGCAGACGACAAGCAGCTCGATCTTGTGGTTGTGATGTCCTCTTTTACATCCGCTGGTGACAAATTTTCCCGTGAACTCTTCATGGGCGCTGCCGGACAGGAGAGCGTCGCTATCGATGGTATCAATGCTTTCATTAAGCAGGACTCTTCGGAACTAGGCCTTGAAAATTGGACATCGGTCGATAAGGAAGAAATTCATCTCGATGATTCGGAGATTCGATCCTACTTGGACGGAGAGGCTGGTCTCTGGAGCCGGCTCTGGCTACAGACGAATTCCACTGCCAGCAGGAAGCAGGTCGCCCCTATGCTTCGTTCGGCGGTGGCAAAGCTTTGAAATGTGAACTTTCATGATAATACGAATATAGAAGATAAAATTGTACGAGATTACGAATACGGTCGATGAGCGTTCTTGGACGCAGGGTTGAGGAGATTCGACATGTTTCCGGTGTGATGTAGTTTGATTTTTTTTTTCATGAAATTCCCGATTAATCCGAACACCAAACACCAACAGGCGACGCAAATGTTTGCAAATAGAACACAAAATGGAAATGCAATATATGCAATGCTCCAAGCCGACCTGATGCGAATGCCAGAATGGAAGGAGAAAAGGAAAAGAGATAGGAAACGCAAATTAGCATAACAAAACGCAGCATATGCAAAAACATTCAGAGAAAAAGAAAAGAAAGATGAAACAACCACTCCACTTGCTATATCATAATTGATGCTCGAACGTTAAGTTCAAGATATGATATACCAATATCAAACGCATTCCCACTCGCAGAACACGCACCAGCGAGCAACCCGATCAGCAAGGACCAGGCCACGCCAGGTGCCACGCTCACCGATCTTGATTACTGTCTCCCAGACACTGCCTTCGGCCACGGCGTCAGTGACGGAGTTACCGGGGTTCTCACTGCTGATCATGTGGTCGGCCTTCCGGGTAAGGCGAAGAATCTTGCCCGATGGGGATTGGATAGCCAACTTCGCTGGTTTTTCACGCCCAGAAGAGGATCGTGTAGATGAGATGGCTGATGTGGATGCGGAGAACTCGTTGGAGTTACTCGAGACGGTAGACGGTGCTGTACTCGATACCATGCTGAGAGCACTAGAGGGACGGTTGAATAATGACGGGGAAGCACGGCCGTGAGTATAGTAATCGTCCTTGGGTGGTATCGATGGCGCGGCCGGGTGCTGGCGGACAGCGAAGACAAAGGTGTTATTCACGGCGAGACGTGAGCATTGCGGCTGCATAATGTAAAGATCGTGGCGCTGCGCATGGGGCGTGGGATGGCGGAGAACGAAGTCATATGGTGGGTTTTCTCCGCTATGCATGATCGGAATCGCCAATGCCAAGGGATGGGGGATATCCTTGCTCGAGTGCATAAGGCCTTTCTTGCCGGCATATAGCTTCAAGACGCCTTGGCCCTCGTCGCCAGGGAGAACGGCCTTGACGGTAATTCGCTTTTTTCCACCGAACCAGTCAGGCTGAACAAGTGCTCGCTTGCGCAAAATGTCTCCACTTTCGAAGAAGTCACCATCGGCATCGCAGGCAAAAGCCGGGGCCTCAACTTCAGCTGCGCATTCGACATCAGGAGGAACAACTACGCATATTTGCATGCACTCCAGTCCTTCAATTCGCATCAAGCTTGTATCATAGTCCGGGAATTGAGTCCCCAGCTTGAAATATTGCGGGCAAACAGCTGGAAGTGCTAGCAAAACATCAGGCGAAACCGGAGGGACGATGTGCTGCTCTTCGGGGTAAAGTGGGACGTGGGTATAACAGAATTGTAGCGGACGAGCCAAGAAGTACCAGCTTTCAGCAATTGAAGAGTTGGTGGTGACGAAGCGGCTTCTTTGAGGGTTTGTGGGGTTTGCTAGTGCACAGTCCATCATACGCCACTCCCCATCGACTAAAACCGCGTTCCACCAGTGATTTGGACGAGATAGACTTTCCAAGTCGAGTGTGTCACCCGGGTACTTGAGATAGCCGTGGATGATTTCAGAATGTATACCAACAGCACCGCACATCTCGTGTACCAAGAGCGCGATCTCTTCAGGGGTTCCCCGTTTGGCTTGTAAAACCCGTTTGATATCAACCTCCAGGCCATCCAGAGGCTCTTCCCAAGCAATCTTTTCGCTGACCCAAGTAAATATAGCGCGAAGTCGTTGAACATCGCTCTTATAGGGACGGCAGATATAACCCTGCGCAAGGCTCATGGAGTTTGTCATGGGTGGAAGACTGCTGATAAAACGAGCACTTTTGTCGACGAGATTCATGTTAGCCGCATGAAAATTCGTCGGTTCGTGGACAGGCAAGCCATCGATATTCTCGTCGCCCTCTGCGGTATCCTGTAGCTCCTCGACTGAGTAAATCACCGGGTGGTCCATCATCTGGCAACGCTCTGCGCGTTCAACTCTCTCATTTCGACTGGGGGACGATGCTCGGTTGACATCACGTCGAACCTGAACCCAATCGATAGGGCTTGCCCCAAGTCCCATATCACGAGCGTTCTCACGAGTAGAGTGAGGAGTGAGAGGCGAAACCACATCTACAGCCCTGTTGCCTTTGGTTGGGGATGGGGTTCCCCCGCCATGACCAACCGATATGCTACTCCTTGCACTTGCGGCGCCCGTCTTGGCAGATTCGAAAATCTTTTTGAAGAACCCCTGTTTTTTGGACTTTGGCGTTGAAAGACCACCAAAGACACCGCCAGAGTCTCCGGTATCATGGTCAGCGGCCGACCAGGGAATAGCAGAGGATGCTCCTTGGCGGGACGTGTTATGACTTGAGTGGTAAGACACGCCAGTCATGGGTGTTTCTGGCCTTTCTGGGTTGCCGGCATCACTAAATCCACGCGAACGAAAACTGTCCATAGCAGTGTTCGGTCGGTCATTACCACCATTCCGTCGTGCATAGCTACCGGCACTGGTCGCACTAAAACCTCCGGCAGATGCACCACTCATCAGACTTTGACTTGTTTTGTCTGTGCTGGTAGTCACATTGGTTCCAATACTTTGGATACCACTGGAGCTTGTGGCGCTAGACTTGGTGGTGAAAGTACGGTTGAGGGCGTCGCTTCTCATATCTTGTCCAGAACGGCGGCCACGCAGGTGGGGATATTGTGCTGGGATCGAGTTGTTGCGTGGATGATAAGTAGCGTGTTTGGGAGGAGGTGGGGGAGGCGCATCATCATCTACAGGATCTCCATCTTCATCTTCAGGCGACCGGTTCTGGTCTTCCAACTGGCGCAATCGGCTTTCCATTCGTTGAACGTAATTGTTGAGTTGCGGAGGGCCATCCATGTAGTGATCGTGGGAATATACGCTATTGCGATGTACCGGCACACTTTGCACGGGCTCTCCATCAAACCCAAGGGAAGTTAGCGGTCGGCGTCTTGTTGCCGGGGGTGTTCGGTCATTCATTTCATTATAAAGATCTTCGGACCAAGGGTTGTTAAAAGACGGCGGCGGAGATGGCGAGGGTGCCTGGCGAGGGGAAGGCGACGGAGCTTGGCGAGGTAGTCCCATGTCTTGCAGGGAAGTCATTACATCTTCCATGGCATCCCTTAATGGAGATGGGGTATTTCCATTTGCATCTGATTGTGCTGAAACGGCAGAATGGGCCGAGTGCGTCGAACGTGCGCCGGGCGATGGCGTACGTGCGAATATCACATATCGATCGTTCATATTCAAAGGCGTGGGCGATCGAGAGTGCCGCTGGGATCTGGATGGAGGAGGCTGTGGAGAATGCATTCGTCGGTGTGGTTGATTATGATGCATAGGTGGCTGTGGAGATCGGGGTGCATGATAGTGCGCAGGCGGTTGCGGGGAGCGGGGCGGCTGATAGTGCGCAGGTGGTTGTGGAGAACGCGGCGGTTCGTAATGCATATATGGTTGTGGTGAATGAGGCTGCTGGTAATATACGGCTGGCTGTGGAGAGTGGTTTGGTTGAGGAGAATGCGACGGACCACGCTGCAGTGCGATTCGATGCGGAGGAGGGGGTGGCGGAGGAGGTGAGTCTTCACGCTCTGGCTCGGGGTCGGGCTCTGGTTCTTGTAATACCATTGGGGAAACTTCTCGAGAAACGGGCCGCGATGACGGCCGTGGTGATGAAATACTTCCACGAGCTACCAGAGCAGAAGGTGACCTTTCCGGCTCTACTGATGCGCGGGGGGAGACGATGGGAGAGACCCCACGAGATGAGGGTCGCGAAGATACAGAGGACGGCCGTGACATTGATCCTTGATTCTTGACGGCAGATACATGTGTGCGCAAAGGTTTGACACTTCGAGGAGTACTTCCGTCTCGAGGTGGTGTCTGAGGAATTGAGCTTTTAATGGGTGTGTTCGATCCACTGCGCGCCAAGTTCGAGGCTGGAGATAATGCTTCTCTGTGAGCCTGGAAGGGCTTGCGAAACACGGTTTTCGTCTTCTTTGGGGCCGATGTGGGATTGTTGATGGGAGAAGATCCGGAAAGCACCATGGGACTGGTATCTCGACTTATAGGGACAAAATCTTCACTCATGAGCTCGACGAAGTTGGAGGGGAACAGCCCAACAGCTCGTCTGTCACGGCGTAGCCGACCCATCCACCACTGCCCATCCCCGGCGTTCAGACATTCGATCAGGTCGCCTTCCACAAACCCTAAATCTTTCGTTGTCTCTCCCCCCCATGAGTATACCGCTCGACACCAACACGGAAATCGCGGCGGCAGCTGACCGCCGTTGGATGTCATCGCGACGGGCTCGATGTTGATTTAACAGGAGATAATTCACGGCGCAAGTTGTTTGAGAGAAATTGGCGGTCAGCGTAGATTTCGGCGCGCAATTCGTTTGTGGGAGGCCGGTTATTTGTTGGCAGGGCAGGTTGGGGTAAGGTTGTCGCAGGCGTAGCTGGAAAGTGGGAGTCAGATGGGGTAAGGTAACGCACGGCCGCTGAAGGAAGTTCGACTCAGGCAGCCATAATTGACGGTGTAGCGCACAGAAAAAAGAGAGACCAAGTTCCGACCCACCAACCAAGCCGGAAAAACACGAGGGCGAATGCGACTGGGAGGTGAGGGGAGGAGGAAGGGAACGCCAGAGGTTCGGTGAGGCCCGAGGGTCTTCTCAGGTTGTTTACGTGGTGACCCGATCAGGTCTAGCGGCGGAGTGGCCTCTTATCGCGATAAGCTTAAGTTTCCAGCGCAACCGGGGCATACAACATGATGAATTAGTTAAAACAGGCTGGTTCTTAGCATTGCTTTGATGAATTGTATCTTATTTCAAACAAATAAGGCACTCAAGTCGACTATAATATTTCATTACATTCTACACCGTCCTAGAAAACCAGTCGGGACGGCCCAAATGTAAAGTCTCCTCCTGCGCGGCTCAACCTCGGATCCATGGTTCAAGCTCGTCGCAAACCAAACCCCCAGTAACCCGCTTCCACTAGTTCATCCCCCATTCGATTGGATGCCCCGCTAGGGTATCAAACATCATGGTATTGGTGCCCAATGGTTTGTTATGATTTCCATGCAAAGACCAACCACATCGAGCCTGAATATATTGGCACATAGCATTCTGCTTGTCGATCTCGCTGAAATATCAACACTATTGAGAAACCTTAACCTCAGCAGAATACATACATGGTGCTATTTAGAAAGGATCTGCGCAAAATAGCCTACTTTTCTGAGTCTTTCAATCCGGCTTTGGGCAAGCGTAACGCGGCGGCTTTTACCGCCTCCCTTGCCAACTTCAAGTCCTCTTTTTCAACATACTCCGCTTTTGACAGCCGAGTTTCTCTCAGCACAGCTAACTCAATCATTGCCAAGTCGCTGCCATGATCCTTGCCACGCTCAACTATGTGCCCCAACTTGGTTGGATATTCCAGTCCAAACTTCGCGACCCATGAAATTCCTGCGCGTAAAGCAGATCCTTTCCCAAGCAAGGACGTGTCTTGCTGCACGGCCCTATGGTGCCGGATCAGGCATGGCGGGCATTCCAGAATGGTCGTCAAGGAATTCCCAGCCACTACAAATCAATATCCCACGCTCGAACAAGATATGCCATGGTCTCACGAGGAATCGTGATCTAATGCTGATTGGCAGATATCGCTCAGAGAAGACTGGTGAGAGAAAGTCTCTCCAGATCTCCCAGAGGGTCTCTGAATGAGCCTTCGGGCTAGTTTATCCTGCAGTTCAAAATGGGAATTAGTTGATTAAGGGCTCAATCCGTCACCTCTACATTCCAGAGTGTGGCTATCGGGCTCCAGGGCTTATCTCTCTACCTTGCAGTTTAACCAAACAGTATTGAGTACAGCATTAAAGTCGCTTTCCTGGCAATTTTGCCCAAAAATGCAAACTCGATTCTAGGGGCTCAGGAGCCAATGTCGTGGTGAATAAGTATCCCCTGTTCAGTCTCCAACATATCAACGCGATAGTCTCCACTAATTTGGAAATATCTGGGTGCCCCCGTTACCAAGTGGTACTAATATTTCAACGGCTAGACGCTGGCTGATCAAACCCGATCCATCAGCCTCGTCGCATGCTAAAAGTATCCAACTTTTCGATCATTCATCGAGTCTTTACTATAATCTGCAATTGCAGATTGTTTCTTGGCCATGGCACCAATGAGAACTTTGTTGGCGCTAGCTAGCACTGGCCTGGCCCCTCTGGTGCTAGCCAAGCAAGTCCACTTTGATTTGGACTTGACTTGGCAAAAGGGTGCCCCAGATGGCAATGTTCGAGAACTGGTGTTTATGAATGATCAATTCCCTGGTCCAGAGCTGCGGTTAGAACAGGGTGACGATGTCGAAGTGGTCGTCCACAACAATCTGCCTTACAATACCTCGCTTCACTTCCATGGAATTGAGCAACGAGGTACACCATGGTCTGATGGAGTCCTTGGACTTACTCAGAAGCCAATCCAGCCTGGTCATAGCTGGACATATAAGTGGAAGGCAACCCAATATGGAACATACTGGTATCACGCTCATGCTCAGGCCGAGCTCATGGATGGACTATATGGACCCATCTGGATCAGGTGAGAAGCTTCACCATGCAAACAGTGAACCTATCGAACGTCAAGCTGATATTTTCTAGTCCATCTTCCGGAACACCCGATCCTTTCCATTTTATCTCAAGCAATCCTGCTGATATCAACGCAATGAAAGCCGCGGAGAAAAATCCACAACTTGTTATGCTCTCCGATTGGGATCACCTTACCGCAGCTGAGTATCAGAAGGCCGAAGAAGACACCAAGGTCAACATCATGTCAGTTTAGCGCATTCTACCAGTATCTGGCTCTGACCTTCAACTAACAATTCTCAGATGCTCTGATAGTATTCTTGTCAACGGACGCGGGGCAGTGTATTGTCCGGGTACCGCAAACATTTCCAGCGTCGAGCTACCGTACCTTAGCACTGCAATCAACAACCAGCCTTTGACGGATAAAGGGTAAGCTTCATAGACTAAGATACGGTCACCAATCCATTAACTAATGCGGAACTTCCAATCACAGCTGCCTCCCTACCATATATGAGACTCAAGGCAATTTTCCCACTCATCCCGAGCTAATTCCAGTAGGGTTGAACTCTGCCTGCACCCCTACTGTTGGCCTCCATGAAATCATTGAAGTCGATCCTCAAGCTGGATGGGTTAGTCTCAAGCTTATCAGTGCGGCTGCGCTCAAGGCGCTGATGTTCTCTATTGATGAACACCCCATGTACATCTATGAGGTTGATGGCGCATACATTGAGCCTCAACTTGCAGAGACATTTTCTATTTTCAGCGGAGAGCGCTACGCTGCGATGATCAAACTGGACAAGCCACCCAAGGACTATACCATTCGAATTCCCGACACACAGGGTGACCAAGTCATCTCCGGTTTTGCCACTATGCGATACAAAGGCTCCGATAATACCAGCCCCTCCGCTCCCTACGTGGACTATGGTGGCAGAAACACATCGGCCTCAGTTAAGCCTCTAGATAACAGAGCTATCCAACCTTATCCTCCTGTGTCCATCCCTCGCCACGCGGATCAGCTGGTCAACCTGACCCTTGGTCGTTGGGGCTCCTCTTACACTTGGACTGCCGCTGGGGGTGCCCTCTATGACATGATGGCTAATTGGGATGACCCTATTCTGTATGACTTGAATGCCAAGAATAATCTTGCCGACCAAGTCACCATCCAGACTAAGAACGGCACTTGGGTGGATCTGCTTCTTCAGCTAGGTAACATGCCCAATACACCAGCTACCCAAGCGCCGCATGTCATGCATAAACATTCCAACAAAGCCTTCATTCTCGGTGTCGGACCTGGCACCTTCAGCTGGGCAAGCACTGATGAGGCGATTGCTCAACATCCCGAATTTTTCCAGCTGGACAATCCTCAAATGAGAGACACCTTTGTCACTCAGGGTGCCAATGGTCCGACTTGGATGATTCTCCGATATCAGGTGGTAAACCCTGGTCCCTTCCTCTTCCACTGTCACATTGAGACGCACATGGCCAATGGTATGGCAGTCGCTCTACTTGATGGTGTTGATGCGTGGCCGCAGGTTCCGGCAGGCGAAGACCAAAGCCCAGACGCCGGTCAGGTTTCTGGACAGAGTACTAGTCAAGATCAAGGTGCAGGTCAAGCCCAGGCTTCTGGTCAAGAGCAGGCTGGTGACCAAGGAGAGAGTGAGACTATGAGTTCGTTCTGGTCTAGCCACTCGCAGGCACCCACACCCGGTACTGGCACAGCATCTTCAGCTCCGCTCGCGACCTCAAGTACCCCGCAGGCGCCTCTAAAACCTTCGACAACCCATCCAAAACCTCCTCAGACCCCTCAGTCCACTCAAAGCTCCCCGCCATCTCCAGCTCAAGCCAGCCCTCTCACACCCCCGCCAGCCACGTCTGAGATTGAGGACTTTGGCGAGTGGTACCAGGCTCGCCATGAACTCATGAAGCTTATTGGTCAAAGAATTTCTGACCGAGTTTCGGAGGCTGATCGCGATATCTAACCTGGAAGCCATTCGAGATATACCAAAACCTCAACCTTCTAACCACTCCATTTAAAAACACGATATCTATACTAATATTTTTCCTGCTCAATCTGGCCACATTTCCAAATCATCAATAGCGCAATAGCATAAATAAATATTCAAGACTATCACAATACGTGCTCGGTATTTTTATGGTTACATTCAGTAGGATCTACTAATTCCAGTTGAAATCTCGGTCCGCAGTCCGTGACCCACCCATCCCCCACCCACTTCGATCGATGTCGATCACTATAGTGTATGACGGCAAATACCTTGACGTGCTTGATTCCTGTTTTTTTTTATCTGACTGTGGCTAGAACTTTGACTGTCCACGATGAAGATAACTATGACTCTGAAACCCCCAAAGAGCAGGCGCTCCTGACTTGTAGCACTTCGAGCGCGCTTTATGTCAGCGATTTTTTTGAAATATCAAGCCCCGTATCCCCGCTTATGCCTCTTTCTACAGCTTCCGAGTCTTCTTCGTTATTTTTCCATCCATGGATACTGGAAGTATTCGCAAGAGATCTTCACTGGAATCGCTCTTTTAGTTGAAAAGAACAACGTGCCGAGTCTCGATTAGCTGAAATCTGATCTTTGCCCAACCACTGAAATCTCATGCCACAAAAAAATGATGACGTATTAAATAAAAAGTACCATTAGCTTCAGAGCTTGTAGTCTTAATAAGATCTACATCTGATATACTACATCAGTTCGTCGTTGCATTCATCCTCAGTCTAGACCCGGTGTTAGCGACATATATGATTTAATCAGTGGGCCATTATTGACGAACGCCTGAAAAGAGATATTGTATTTTTCTCCAGGTTTTCGAGTATGAGTAATATAATTCAAGTGACTTTTTAAGTATCCTTGCCTCTATTCAGTAATCTCACCGTTTGAGGTACACAGGGGAGAAGTTGTAGGTACGGGTGTAGGGCACATATATCACGTGACATATAAGGAAGCCTACGGGTGCAACCTTCTGAAACCAGCGACACTGACGAGAAGTTGTATCTGACTCCTGTCTAAGGTACCTACCTATTCCGGTATTTTTGCGTTTTTAATAGCTCATAAGGTATTGAAATTTTATCCAGACCCCCTTTTCGAAACGTTTTTGTTTGGGTCGGCAACAACTATATCCGCAAACAGCGGTTTGATAGCGGGAGCCTATCATGACTCCCGGTACCTATGTCGACTTGAAGAGACAGATCAGGGTTTCGACATAATTCCAAGGAAATGAGATGCCTCGGGTTTTATTTCCGTTACCCGGGCCCGGTTTAATATGGAAAACATCGCAGTTTCCCATCTGACATACCCTTGACCATGGTAACCGTTTCATTGGTCAAGTTCTGGCAGACCTGGCAGAGTCAAATCATGCTCGAACGGAGTACTACCCGAGCCGAAGCTAACCCGCCAAGCCGTAGACAAGCTCCACTTGCGCAGAGCGTCTGTTCCACTTTACTCCCATTCTCGAGTACAAGCAGGTTATTGGGGAGGAAAATTCAGTGATTTGATTCCATGTGCTCAGACGGGTCCAGAGGACCCATAGGCTGACTGAATTCATTTTGATCCAACCAAGCTCCACCATGGAAATCATTACCAGGAAATCAACGTATAAAGTATGATGCCCTTCCATTTACGCGCGCCTTGTACTTTTTTCGAGACTCTTTCTTTGTAAAGTTTTGAACCCCTGGCTAGCATCGTGTTGGATTATGGTGGGCCCCAGTCGCATGTATCTCTTCGGAGATCAGACTGCTAATTTCGACTCGGGCCTTCGCCGCCTTTTGCAAGCCAAGAATGACTCGCTTTTGAGTTCGTTCTTTCAAAAGTGCTATTATGCATTGCGGAAAGAGATCAGTCAGCTGCCACCATCGCAGCGGCAGATGTTCCCTCGGTTTACAAGTATCGTCGATCTCTTGGCCAGGTATCGTGAGTCAGGACCGAGCGCTGCTTTGGAGAGCGCTTTGACGACCATTTACCAGTTGGGATGCTTTATCCAGTAAGATATCTAAAATTTACGATTTCATGAAAGCTAAGCTAATTTCGATAGTTACTACGGAGATCTTGGTCATGCTTATCCGTCAGGATCTGAGAGCTGCATCGTTGGTCTATGCACTGGACAGCTTGCCGCAGCCGCAGTTAGCTCATCCAGCACCGTCGGAGAACTGATTTCAGCTGGTGTTGAAACGGTTGTTCTGGCCCTCAGACTGGGAATGTGCGTTTCCAAGGTCCGAGGACTTGTTGAAGCAGCCAAATCACCATCGCCAAGTTGGTCTGTGCTGGTCTCTGGAATCCGAGAGCAAGAAGGCCAAAAATTGATCGAAGTATTTGGCCAAGCCAAGGTGAGTTGATTCCATTTCGCTGATTAGAACGATCTGATGCTAATAATTCGAAGGCTCTTCCCCGGGTTTCCCAGCCGTATATCAGTGCTATCAGCCCCAATGGATTGACAATTAGTGGTCCACCAAGCACTCTGCAAGTTTTCGTCGACACTTGCCTCTCTAAAGAGCAAAAGCCTGTCCGGGTACCGATTCATGGCCCCTACCACGCAGCTCATCTTTATGATTCGAGGGATGTCAACCGTATCCTGGAATCATGGCCTAGAGAGAAGTTTGAGACCTATGTGCCGCAAATTCCAGTTCTCTCCAGTGAGACTGGTGAGGAGCTTGAAGCAGAAAATCTCGAGGCACTCTTGAAGGTTGCCCTTGAAGAGATTTTGCTACGTCAACTTTGCTGGGACAAGGTTATCGACGCCTGCTCTTCGGCACTAGAGATGGCTCCTGCCAAATGCACTCTCCTTCCGATCTCCAGCACCGCAACCCAAAGCTTATACACTGCTTTGAAAAAGAGTGGAATCCCAGACCTTGAGATTGACAGCGAAATTGGCAATGTGCAGAATGATTCGACTGGAGATAATCGCAGCGGTCGTTCGGAACAGTCCAAGATTGCCATTATCGGTCTCTCTGGTCGCTTCCCAGAGGCACAGGATACTGAAGCCTTTTGGGATCTCCTCTACAAAGGACTGGATGTTCACCGTGAAGTACCTGCCTCGCGTTGGGATGTGAAGGCTCACGTCGACATGGAAGGAAAGACTCGAAACACTAGCCAGGTTCAATACGGATGCTGGATCAATGAGCCCGGTCATTTTGACCCGCGTTTTTTCAACATGTCTCCTCGCGAGGCACTTCAGGCTGATCCTGCTCAGCGGCTTGCCCTTCTGACCGCATACGAAGCATTTGAGATGGCAGGCTTCATCCCTGATAGCACCCCATCCACGCAGAAAAACCGAGTTGGAGTATTCTACGGAATGACCAGTGACGACTATCGCGAAATCAACAGTGGCCAGGATATTGACACTTATTTCATCCCTGGTGGCAACCGTGCTTTTACGCCTGGACGTATCAACTATTATTTCAAGTTCAGCGGCCCAAGTGTCAGTGTGGATACAGCCTGTTCTTCCAGCCTGGCAGCTATCCACGTCGCATGCAATTCTCTTTGGAGAAATGACTGTGACTCTGCTGTCGCAGGTGGAGTCAATATCCTGACGAATCCGGACAATCACGCTGGCTTGGATCGTGGCCACTTCCTGTCAAGAACTGGAAACTGCAATACTTTCGATGATGGTGCTGATGGCTACTGCCGTGCGGATGGTATTGGTTCAATTGTTCTGAAGCGTCTCGAAGATGCTTATGCAGACAACGATCCTATCTATGGTATCATCAATGGCGCCTATACAAACCACTCAGCCGAGGCCGTCTCTATCACCCGCCCTCATGTCGGTGCCCAGTCTTTCATTTTCGATAAACTACTCAACGAGGCCAACATTGAGCCTAAGGACGTTAGCTATATCGAGATGCACGGCACTGGAACCCAAGCGGGTGACGCTGTCGAAATGCAGTCAGTTTTGGATGTCTTCGCACCTGACTATCGCCGTGGACCTGCTCAGTCGCTTCACCTTGGCTCTGCCAAGGCAAATATTGGCCACGGAGAATCCGCTTCTGGTGTCTGTGCATTGCTTAAGGTGCTAATGATGATGAGAAAGAACATGATTCCTCCTCACTGCGGTATTAAGACTAAGATCAACCACAACTTCCCAACGGACCTGGCTCAACGAAACGTGCACATTGCGTTGGAACCAACCCCTTGGAACCGACCAGTTGGCGGATCTCGAAAGACGTTTGTCAACAACTTCTCAGCGGCCGGTGGAAACACTGCTTTGCTGGTCGAGGACGCCCCGATCCGGGAGCGTGAGGGTAAAGACCCGCGAGGCATTCACTCCGTGCTTGTTTCCGCGCGTTCTCAATCTGCTCTGAAGAACAACGTTGCAGCCATGACTCAATACATTGAAACTAACAAGAACTCTTTCAATGTAAAAGAGGCGGATCTCCTCGCCAACCTGTCATACACTACCACGGCACGACGCATCCATCACCCTTTCCGAGCTTTTGCTGTCGGTTCCACTCTGGATGAGATCAAGAACGGACTTAGCACTAGTGTCGGACGTGAGAGTATTACTCCCGTGCCTGCGACTGCTCCAGGTGTCGGATTCATCTTCACTGGCCAGGGAGCTCAGTACACAGGCATGGGTAGCCAGCTGTTCGAGAACAACTCCGAATTCCGAGCTCACATCGAGCACTTTGATCGCATTGCCAAGAGCCAGGGTCTCCCTTCAATTATCCCTCTTGTTGATGGAAGTGTCCCTGTTGAAGAGCTAGGCCCCGTCGTTACTCAGCTTGGTACCACCTGTATCCAGATGGCACTCACCAAGTACTGGAGCTCCCTCGGCGTCAACCCGACATTTGTCATCGGCCACAGCCTGGGAGAATATGCAGCATTGAATGCCGCTGGTGTCTTGACTATCAGCGACACAATCTTCCTGGCCGGTCGTCGTGCTCAACTACTCACTGAGAAGTGTGAGATGGGAACCCATGCAATGCTTGCCGTGAAGTCTTCAGTCGCACAAGTAAAGCAATATCTCGAGGATGATTCCACCGAGATTGCTTGCATTAATGCGCCCAGTGAGACTGTCATTAGCGGACCTAGTGGAAAAATTGACCAGCTTGCAGACAAGCTTGCCAACGAGGGCTTCAAGGCCACGAAGCTCAAGGTGCCTTTTGCGTTCCATTCCGCTCAGGTTGACCCTATTCTGGAAGACCTGGCAGATATTTCCAAGGGCATTACCTTCCAAGAGCCAACAATCCCATTCGTTTCGGCTCTCCTTGGAGATGTTATCAATGAAGCCAACCCTGATGTCCTCGCCCCTAGCTACCTGACCAGACACTGTCGCGAGACAGTCAACTTCCTTGCTGCTCTTGAGGCCACTCGTCATGCTAAGCTGATGAATGATAAGACTATTTGGGTTGAGATTGGCTCCCACCCCATCTGCTCAGGAATGGTCAAGTCAACCTTCGGTCCTCAAGCAACAACAGTGTCATCTCTTCGCCGCCAGGAGGATACCTGGAAGGTGTTGTCTAGCAGTCTTTCTTCTCTGTACATGGCTGGTATTGATCTCCGCTGGAAGGAGTATCACCAAGAGTTCAGCTCTGTGCACGAGGTTATTCCTCTGCCCGCTTACAAGTGGGACTTGAAGAATTATTGGATCCCATACACCAACAACTTCTGTCTGCTGAAGGGTGCCCCTGCAAAGTCTGTGGCTGAGTCTGCGCCTGTTACAACTTACTTGACGACTTCGGCCCAAAAGGTTCTGGAGACTAGTGGTGATGAGAAATCTGCCACTGTAGTTATTGAAAATGACATTGCGGACCCCGAACTGAATCGCGTCATTCAAGGCCACAAAGTCAATGGAGCGGCCCTTTGCCCATCGGTAAGTTTCTAATGCCTGTAAATACAACGTCTTCACCCATAACTAACAAGAAATAGTCTCTTTACGCGGATATTGCACAGACTCTTGGCGAGTTTTTGGTTGAGAAGTACAAGCCCGAATGGAAAGAACGGGGCTTTGATGTCTGCAATGTCGTCGTTCCCAAGCCCATGATTGCGAAGGGTGGCAAGCAGCTCTTCCGTGTTTCAGCCACAGCCAACTGGAGTGACGAGAGTGCCCATTGCCAGGTCTGGTCTGTCACTCCCGAAGGGAAGAAGATAATCGAGCATGCCACCTGCACTGTCAAGTTCTTCAACACAAGCGTTGCAGAGATGGAGTGGAAGCGCAGCAGTTATCTCATCAAGAGGAGCATCGAGCATCTCAAGGAAAGCACCGAGACTGGTGATGCCCACCGTATGAAGCGCGGCATGGTGTACAAGCTTTTTGCCAGTCTTGTTGATTACGATGAGAACTACAAGTCGATTCAAGAGGTCATTCTGGACAGTGATCAGCATGAAGCTACTGCTTTGGTCAAGTTCCAAGCTCCTCCTGGAAACTTCCACCGCAATCCGTTCTGGATTGACAGTATCGGCCATCTGTCCGGTTTCATCATGAATGCTAGCGATGCGACTGATTCCAAAAATCAAGTCTTTGTCAACCATGGCTGGGACTCGATGCGTTGCTTGAAGAAGTTTGATCCTAATGTCACCTACCGCACGTACGTGCGCATGCAGCCGTGGAAAGACTCGATCTGGGCTGGTGATGTTTACCTCTTTGAGGGCGACGATATTGTTGCGGTTTACGGTGGAGTCAAGTTCCAAGCACTGGCGCGGAAGATTCTGGACACCGTCTTGCCTCCTGCCGGTGCTTCTGCTGCGAAGCCTGCCGCTAAGGCCAAGCCTGCACCTATTGATGTCCAAAAGGCAAAGGCAAACCCAACCAAGAAAGCTGCTCGTGCGGCCTCTTCTCCCAAGTCTGCAGGCCCAGGTATTGTCACTCGTGCCCTCGCAATTTTGGCTGAAGAGGTTGGAATGTCTACCGGTGAGATGACCGACGACTTGAACTTTGCAGACTACGGCGTTGATTCTCTTCTCTCATTGACCGTCACCGGTCGTTACCGCGAGGAGATGAGCATCGATCTGGAATCTTCCGTCTTTGTTGATCAGCCTACCATCAAAGACTTCAAGCAGCTCCTATTCTCTATGAGCCCCGGTGAGAGCAGCAGTGATAGTTCTAGCAGCGAGCCCGATATGTCATCTGCGGCATCCTCAACCGACATCTCATCGCCCAACTCGAGTGGTCTTCCCTCGCCCGTGAACGAAAAAGAACATGACCCTCGAGCAGAATGATAGCATGAAGCAGATATGCGCGATCCTGTCCGAGGAAATTGGTGTTGAGCCTCATGAGCTTGAGGGCGATGCTAACCTCGCCGAGATGGGTCTCGACTCTTTGATGTCGCTCACAGTCCTGGGTAAGATTCGCGAGGATCTTGACCTTGACCTGTCAGGAGAATTCTTCATCGAGAATCAAACCCTCGACGAAATCGAGACCGCTCTGGATCTGAAGCCGAAGGTCAGTCCTTCTGCGCCAATCCAACTCCCCGAGCAGATTCCGGCCGAAGCCCCCAAGGTCGTGTCAAAGACAGCCATCCAGCACCCCCCTGCAAGCTCCATCCTGCTACAAGGAAACCCCAAGACAGCCACCCAGAAGCTCTTTCTCTTCCCTGATGGCTCCGGGTCTGCCACCTCGTACGCCACCATTCCCGGCATCTCTCCCGATGTCTGCGTGTACGGACTCAACTGCCCCTACATGCGAACTCCGGAAAAGTTGAATTTCAGCCTGGATGAGCTCACATACCCCTACGTTGCTGAAATCCGTCGCCGCCAACCACACGGCCCGTACAACTTTGGTGGATGGTCTGCAGGAGGTATCTGTGCCTACGATGCAGCCCGCCACCTCATCTTTGACGAAGGCGAGCGTGTCGAGCGACTGCTCCTCCTAGACTCGCCCTTCCCGATTGGTCTCGAGAAACTCCCTCGTCGTTTGTACGGGTTCTTCGACACCATCGGTCTCTTTGGCGAAGGCAAGGCTCCGCCACCAAGCTGGCTGCTCCCGCATTTCCTAGCTTTCATCGATTCACTTGATGCTTACAAGGCCTCCCCCTTCCCCTTCGACAACAGCGAGCACGCCGATAAGATCCCTAAGACATTTATGGTCTGGGCTAAGGATGGCGTGTGCAACAAACCCGATGACCCCCGTCCTGCCCCCGCCGAGGATGGAAGCCCCGATCCTCGCGAGATGCAGTGGCTGCTGAACAACCGCACCGATCTCGGTCCTAACGGATGGGATACCCTTGTTGGAGCGAAGAATGTTGGCGGCATCACCGTCATGGATGGAGCTAATCATTTCACCATGACGCGCGGGGAGAAGGCGAAGGAGCTTGCGGCTTTCATTGCTGGTGCTATGAGAACTGCCTAAAACACGAGGCATGTTCTATTTTTTTTATGAGAATGTTTCGGGCGTTTATAATAGTTTCGGCGCCTATGGTTTCTTTTTTCACCTCTTTTCTCTTTTGTTCTTCCTATTATCATTTACACATAATTTTGTAAATTAGCCCATCTAGGACTTAATGTCAGAACACGATCTTTGGATAACCACCATCCTGTAAAGTTTCAACAAAATTGCTTGGAAAGTAACTGCGGCATATAGTAGGGTTTCATTCAAATGTATGCGTCATCGATCAGAGTGAAATGTGACAGTGGGTAGGCAAGGTTACTTAGGGCGTGAAATTGCCATTGAAAGACGTTGGCTGAATAGCAATATAGACAAGTCATTCACATACGCCTACCATAGGAACGAAAAGACTGAAAATCACACAAGAAAGTTTATTTTATTGTTGGAAATTGCTGGCACCTTCTATGATGTATGAAGCTGTTCAGAAAAAGACGCTAAAATGCAAACCATGAGAAGATAGATGGTGGCGACCGCTAATTAGATTTGAGCTTCCAACCAGTACAAAATATCAAAATTGCATCTCCGAAAATCTAAGTGCACTCGTTCCACGCCCCGCTAAACCATTTCCATTGCCATTTCCATTGTGGCCGACACCGGGGCTGGTAGGGCGGCTGCTAGCTGTGATCTTAGGGCTTCGAGGCTGAGTACTAGTCGAGCGAGTGGACGGGCGGTTTTTGCGGATATCTCGCAATTCCTCCTCTTTTCTGTGCAGAAATTCATCCCTGGCAACTATAGTCAACTCTAGCTCCGTAATTCTAGCAAGATGGATATCAGAGTCGTTCTTCAGATTGAGCTCACGGAGCTGCGCGGCATTCGCATTGACCTTTAGTGTCAAGTTCTCGTTTTCGGTGCGCAGTTGTCGTAGTTCGTTTCCAGACTGGGCTGCTGCATTAGATGCGTTTTGATACTGCTCTCGAGTGTATTCGGCTTGGTTGCGTTCGTAATCAGCCTTGCGCTCCAGGCTGGCTACTTCTTTGGTTAAGCGGCGGATCTCTTCCCGTGCTGTTTCGAGCTCAGCCAAGGTGCCACCGCCCGATTTGAGTTCCTCGCGAGATTCATCCAACTCGCGTCTCAAATTCGTACGATCTTCTTTGAGCTTTGAAATGTCTTCCTTCTGTCTCTCGATACGCTGTTCAAGAGAAACTTTGCTCTCGGCCCCCTTATCCCGCTCCTGGCGAAACTTATGCATTTCATTGGTCCGGGTCTCGTAGCGATGTTGCAGGAAGCCCAATGCCTTCTCAAACATCTGGGCTTGTGCGGAAACCCGTGAGAGGTCGGCCAATATTTGCTCTTTCTCCGAGGCATGCGCATTTTGCATTTGAATGATGTTTTTCTCTAAGGACTGAAGGTCTCGACCCAAGGTTTGCGTTGAGGGTTTCGTGTATTCGGTCAGTTGACTCGCTTCGTCGAGTCGCGTGCGTTTTGAGGAATAATCCTCGCCATCCTCGTCCTATAGTAATAAGTCAATATCAAGCAGGGCTGGGGTCGGCTACAGGGGAGACAAAGGGTCCTACCAGCGAACGTTTTTGGGCAGTTGGCGCTTGATCGTCGGTTGATGGGGTTGAAGACTCGAGATCTTCGGGGGATATGACTGGTAAAGGGTCGATGATAGGTAGAGGCCAGCTGGTCAAAGTATCTCGCAAATAGACGAGAACTTCATCCACGTCCTCGTACACGCCCAATGCATTGTCTTGCAGATCGCCAACATCGTCGTGGAGGTGGGCTGTGTATTGTAAGAGCAATCGTAGACGATCAGGCTCGGACAAATCCGGGAGACATCGTTCGATGTGTTCACAACTATTGGATACAAGGAGCCAAATGACCGGTAAGAGGTCATTGTTGCGGGTGTATGTTGTCCGAATGTGTTGGACATTAGGACTCTTTGGTTCAAATGCCGTGTCCAGAACGATAATAGCGCATGGTGACTTGATGAGATCTCGCACACCTTCGTGGGAATGAATTCCGAAACTCAACAAATCCTTTACCAAAGAAACTTCGACATTGCCTCCCATTTCCTCGCGAGGTCGGGTGTAGGCGAATCCTTTGCCGAGCAAGTATCGCTCGACTAGTTTTTGCTTCATCTCGCTGCGAACTTCTAGGATGATATGAAGATCATGTTGACTCGCCACTTCCACCAAGTGGCCAAGGAAGTAAAACTTTGAGCTCGAATACTCAGCCCAGGAGGCTTCGTTTTGAATCTTCGAGTCATTGAAGGTCAGGTGATTGGTTATGTTGAGATCCGGGTGAATAGTGACGTTGTTTAATCGAGTGGTAACTTCATGCATCCGTGAAATCAAGTACTCTCGCTATGAATGACGTTAGCCAATACATAACCAGCTGTGAGAATATTATTCCTTACATCAGTATCAGAGATCTGTGAAGCTGGGTTGGACATCACAAGAAACTGGCGCATTTCTGCAGACGCGCCTCCCAACACTCTGTCATACTCATCTTTCAACCGCGAATCCAGGGGAAGCGTAATGGCAAATTCGGCCGGCCCAAGGCGGACCGATCCGGGTGGGGCTTCCTCGTCGTTTCCGACGCTCAGGGCGCTAGGGTGAATAGTCTGCATGGGGACCTGGAGGTCATAGTGGGACGCATGCAGTAAAGAGTCGGAATGAGTGTGATGAATAGAGGTATGGGCATGTGCGATTGAATCGGTGTTAGGTCTAACACTGAGTGGTATTGTTCGCTCAGGAACTTGGGACACTGAAGGTTCAATGTCGCCGACAGAAGACGGAGTGTCGACGAAAGGTTTGTTTTGTTTGTCATCCATGGTGTCAACTGGATGAGAAAGAAGGAAACACTGGTCGTATGATTGATTTTTTGCTTGATATCGAATATTTTCGAACTGACTGAGTTAGAACAAGTATTCCAGTCGAATCCGGAAATCTTTGCCCAGCCTCAATGCTCGAGAAATCGACAGACAAGACCAGTTTGTGGAATACCACTGGGAAACTATCACTCTCAAATGTTCGGTCCAGCAGAGTGATTTTGTTAGTGATAAAGCAAACGGCTGGAATAAAGACCACAGCACAGTCACTGCCAGGCGTGGAGTTCCTGTGACTCGACTTGGATCTGGTACCAAGACAATCCCAAGCCTTGATCAATGAAGAGCCAATTCAAGAAATCAAGGCAGCTGGATTCAGGAGCCTATTATTTTATGTTATTATATGAACTCTCGAAACCGAACATAAAATAGCGGAGAAAGGAGTGGCCATGGTTATCGGGAGTATGCATCAGGACAACAGGATGGCATGACAGGAGCATTTGGCACGACACTTAATCAGGGGATGATCATACCTTCGGATAGAGAATCCAGAACCACTTTGGATTCTTCTTTAGTTTCACTGGCGAAAGAGTCGAATGATGGAGGAGTGTGGGTGGTGGAGGAAAGAGAGGAGTATCGCCGCGGCGACGTGGGCTCCAAGCGCATCATGCACGCTTCACGTGATCTGGATCTGCAGTCATTGGGCGATCGCCCGCTCGGAATTAACTCGGCTTCTTCAGTAAATATGCTGAATGTATGAGATCAAGAAGAAAAATGTTGTTCTATATTTCTCTATGCACATGAATTTACAGATCTATCAATCATGCCTCTTCCTGCCTCTTCTCCTCCTCCTGATCGTGCTTCCATTGGTCAAAGTCGAATCCAACCTCTACCAAAGTCCTAATTTCGCTTCGCTGAGCGCCTTTCTGGACAAAGGCTCGTCTAATGTCAGGGAAATGCGCTCGCATCCACCTCTCTCTCTCACCCCAATATGTCCCAATTTTCCCCTGTCCGTCATGATCTAGTGCTGGACGCTGTTCCGCCTTCGCCGCCCAGTTGTAGAGAAAGTTAAGGTAGTCAGCATCCATGGGAAACGGCATCAAGTGGAAAGCTTTCCCGTCCCCTTTAGTCTTCACCTCCACTTCTTCCGCTGTATGCATATCATCTTTCGATGGAAGCTTCAATCTTGCTGACCAGACACGAGCAAAAACAGCCGCCTGGTTCTCTGCGATCGGGAATGGAATCACTCTTTGCGAGAGAACGGGGAAGACCAATGTGGGGTGATCTATATAAAAAAGTTGCTGATAAACATTTCTCGTTCGCCAGCCATGTGTAACCACCGCGGGATTGAGGGACGAAAGAAATGGGTATGAGTAGAAGTAGCCAGTGCAAAAAACCACGGCATCGATTTCATCTTCCACTCTGCCGTCGGCGAATCTGATGGCTCGGTTGTGCGTACCTGGAGATAGAAACTCGGCAATCTCCGGGCATATTATCTTGTCTCCTGGCGCGGAAGCTGCCAAGTACGATTCCGAGCGCTGAGAGACAAGTATATTGCCTTTACTAACTTCGTTGATTTGAGCACCAATGTCAAGTCCCGAGGCGGAATTTCCAACCACGACCACTTTTTTGTCCCGGAAAGTCTCGGGCGTGTCGTAAAACTTGGAGTGGGAAATAATTCCGGGGTATGTTTTATCCCAGGTCTCAATCCCCTGGATGTCCGGGAGGTATGGGACCGTGAAATGCCCACTGGCCACCACAACTGCGTCATATGTGCGAGTGGTTTCAACACTTGTGTGAAGATTCGCTGTTGTTAAATCCCACGTACTCAGCTCGGGATCTCTCAACTTGACATTGACGACCTGGGTTTCGAATTGAATGAGTGTTTTGACTTCTTCGGCATACTCCTCCAAGTATTGTTTGACCGACTTGTGCTTGGGGAAAAGCTGCGCTTCAGCCGGGAATGGTTTGTCCGCGAAACGCATAAGTTCCTTCGGAATATTGGTTTCAAGTCTATCGTATAGTGGAGACACGAACACGGCCTCTGAGTTGCCTCCGGGTTGTCGAGTCCATGATGGCTTCTCGACTGGCTCGTGGGGATTGACATGTGGAACGGTTGCTGTCAATCCGACTTTGGTTGAACTGGGACTATAATTCCATGCACCGCCCACAGAGCTCCTCTGTTCAAAAACATCGATTTGTTCGAAATATTTTTCCTCCAGAAGATACCTGTTAGAGATGTTAGCGCAATGCCCGCTACCCGAGGTATCAATATTCTCAAGCAAAACGGGAATCTAGCATGTGAGCATACTTTACAGCTGCAAGACCTGAAGGCCCAGCTCCAATTACTGCCACTCAACGTATAGAATGTGCAAGAGCCATGGCAAATTCTCAAACTCAGACTCAGACTCAGACTCATGCACGAGGGGGTTGTTAGAGAGAAGAGGGGGGGCCAAGCGCTTTCGCCATAGTGGACCAGTGCCTGAGCTTATCGGAGCATGAAATGAGACAACATTTTGGCTGTGCCTCGCAAAGCCACTGTTAATGTAAGGCATTGAATGTGCTGAGCGATCTTTCTATATGCAATCCTTTGATTTTGCTCTAGGAAGTCAAACCTGGTCCTTTCAAACGCAGTAGATCGACCTGCGCAAGTTATGTAATATCAGTACCTCTATTACACGGCTAGATCCATTCTTTACCAGTATTAATACCATTTCAATACCGCACAAGCTCCAAAAGCGTGGCGTTTGCTCAGCTTGCAGCTCACAACCTTTCTCGCCCTCGGTCAACTCGCGTCTTCTCCGATATTACTTCCATCCCTCAGCTCGTACTACTACTCCTTTACTCACTTACCACTACCGCACGAGTATGGTTAACATCGTCACCAAAACGCGGGCGCAATGATGGACGCGACCGACGACTCTTCGGGCCCGAATGCGCGGCCGCCTTGGACGAAAGTTCCGATCGCACAGCTCTCACCGACTCTCGAACAACCGGAGGAGAAATGCATACATGCGACCGTTACCCTAGTATGGCCCTACTCGTCTTCAACAAAATCCCTTGCTCTGCTTCTCGCCGAACCGGACTTCCGTCTACGCCGGCTAAATGGACAAGTGAAAGCGGTCTTCCATGGGCGCATCGCAGAGAAAGTCGCCGGGTCGCTAGTTGGAATCGGTGATAACGTTCGCCTTGCGCTTAAAGGACTGAACTTTGTGGAGAATGGCACCACCGCTCAAACACCTGGAAGATCTATTGCGTGGGATGTACATTTCGAGAATAATGTGTCACTTGAGGTATGTTCGGCGGGTTATGCAAGTTGTTTAAAGGGCCATGCGCTAACGGATGTATTTGAATTTAGATCGAATCTTCAAAGGGCCAGTCAACAGTTTACATAGACGAAACCCCGCTTGCGACGCATGAAGCCGAATTGCTGCCACCCTCGACTCCGCGTATGGTTTCGATAGACCCAGATAATGCTTTCGTCGCAAATGGAACAGGGGCCTGGGGATCACCTGCGTTCTTACGCTCATCGCGATCCTCGTATGGCGACAGTCTTGACTCTGCTTACGATCCTTTTACCGAGGAAGATGGTTTTGTTCGCGGCAAAGGGAGAAAGCGCCCGAGATACAGCTTGCGCCGAGAGGAATGGCGGGTTTTAGATGAGCCTGAAAGTCCACGCGAACGTGAAAAAACTGTCGATTGGGACCAGGCTCTTGATGAAGACATGGATTTGGAACAAGATGCAGCTTCAGTTGACAATATTGAACCGAGCGAGGGGCCCTCGGATCATGTGGTTTCAAAGCCCGAGAAAGTGGTCACTAATGAGGACCCATTTATTGAAAGTTCGGATGGTTTTGTCAAGCCTTCTCTTGAGCTTGCCGGTGGACTGTTTGGCAGAAGAGCACCACCTTCAGATGATGTGTTCGAAAATGCTTCTATATCTCCTACGCCAGTCGCCCACTTGCCTACTGATACGCCCCAACTACGACCCATCCCGTCTCCCGGATTGCCGATTCCATCGCCTATCGTCTCAGATCAAAATAATAGTCAGGGGTATTTCTTTCCCTTTCACGCCGTCCCACAAGCCGAAGACGCTCAATCCTTATCTGTCGATGTCAACATTGACGCTACCAATCAGGGCCTGTCCCACGACTTGGCAATTCCCATGGCAATGGAGAACGCAGAGAATCATGAATTGAACTTCAATCAAGACAAGCTCACAATTCATCAAACTGTGCCAAGTATGCAAGACCAAGACCAACACTTGCAGAACAACGCCAATATATCTACAAGCCCAGTGGAGTTACTTGACCCTATCGCTCCACAACTTGCCGATATCTCCAAGATGGCCGTGCCCGATGTCGAAACGAAACATATTGATCAAATCGATGAAATAATTGTTACGGAAGAATTGCAGGACCCTACCATACCCCATCCGCACGCGGAAGACGAAATCGGGGTAGCTTCGACATATGAAAGAGAAAACAACAGTCCCAGATCGGTACCAATGACCGATACATTTTTCAAAGACATTGGCTCACGAGATGAAACCGCTATTGAATTGACGGGTGGACGAGGGGTACATACGATTCTAAGTGTTGAGACCCCAGATCAAATCTCCAGCGTAACATCTCCTGATCGTTCAGAGCGGTTTGAGCCACAGCTCGACGCCGAGGAAAGAAGCGAGATGCAATCAGATGCAGAGGCTAGAACTATCGCCGAGGATGTGGATGATGATGACGATGATGATGGTGATGACGAGTCACGCGATGCTTATTATGAGGACGAATACGAAGAATTTTCCGAGAAGGAGCATTATGAAGAGGACGAGGAGGACGAGGAGGAAGAGGAGGAGGGAGAGGGAGAAGAGGAAGATTCCGAAACGGAAAACCTTCCTCCTCGACCGCAGGCCCCTCCTGAAGTAATAGTGTTGGATAGTGACAGCGATGATGAACTCGCTTCGGATCAAGTCCAAGCGCAGCCGCCGCCATCACGTCCAGTGGACCAAGGACGAAGACTGGAAATTTCATCGCCTGCAGAAAGAACCCTCTCATCATTGGCCAAATTTGATAGCGACGAAGAATGGTCTGGAATTGAAGAGGAGGCAGGTTATTATGAGATGGGGAGTGAAGAATCGGACGAGGACCAAGACCAAAATTCTGGTCAAGATGATCGAGTCCATGATAGCGATCTAAATGACGACGAGTCTTCGGTTGACGTATTGGCCCGAACGGACTCCGTTTTTCAGTCTACAGCCGAGCCTTCAGTCGAGCCACAGTCTAATTACGATGAAGTCGATGGGGGAGACTCGGAGGCTGAGGCGGCAGAAGAAATGGAGGACTACTCGGAAGCTGAGGCTGAGGCTGAAAATGAACCTGATGTCGGTTTTGAATCGGTTGAAAAGCCACAGCAAATAATTGATCTTGATTCAAGTTCGGACGAGGCTGAAGAGGCCAGAGAGGATATTGAAGAGAATTATGAAGAGGAAGTTGAAGAAGAAGTTGAAGAGGAAGTTGAAGAGGAAGTTGAAGAAGAAGTTGAAGAGGAAGTTGAAGAGGAAGTTGAAGAAGAAGTTGAAGAAGAAGTTGAAAAGAAAGTTAGAGAGAAAGTTGAAGAGGTATTTGAGAAGGAGGCTGTCGATAAAGTCGAGCGATTCCACGTCGACCCTACAGCTCAACACAATCATGAAGAACCCCATTACGGAATGGACGGGGCAGACGATCAACACACGCCGCCATCCTCACATCTTGAGCCGGTTCGCCAAACAACCAATCATGCTCAGCCACATTTGGAAGTTCAGGCTAAATTTCAGCGAGAATTGGAGAATGGGGATTCAGTTGATGAGAATTCAATCAATGAAGATCTTGATTCGGTCTTGAATACAACTGGCCAACAGCTCCCAACTCCAGCTCCCACCCAGGAACCACTGCCAACGCCCTTGAGAACCTACGACACAAGCATTCCGCCCAGTACTCCAGTTGAGCATACTGGTCTCCAGATTCTAGGACCGCCTGTCCAAGATCCCGGTTTGCAACCCAGGCAGCTTCAAGAAGATGAACAAGTCGCTCCCGATGCCCATCCTGATATGGAAAAGGATGGCTTAGGGAATCAACCCCAGACTCCCGAGCCCCCAAAGGTCCTCATCACAGCGCCTCGGGTCCCTGACCGCCACGCCCTTGGATTGCGCAGCAAGCTTTCCTACTTCGCTCCCCTGGCTACACTCATCGACCATTACAATGCTCTCGTGGATACAATCTCGATCGTCCACGAAGCGACCCCCCATCGCCAAAGCTGCCTCTGGCTCTAAGGACTTCTTCATAACCCTCCAGCTGACCGACCCATCCATGGCCGGAACAACTCTCCAAGCACAAATATTCCGTCGTCGAAAGTCCGTGATGCCCTCAGTCGTCCCGGGGAACGTGATCCTGTTGCGTGATTTCAAAGTCCGGACTTACGATCACTCTATCATGCTTGTGAGCGTCGAGTCTAGTTCCTGGGCTGTATTCGATGGCATCGACCCTAATGCACAGATGAATGGGCCACCCGTTGAGTATGGTGCTGAGGAAACAGATTGCGCAGTGGGCTTGCGTACATGGTACAACGATATCGGCACGCACATGCTAGCGGACAGTGAGCTGCAGGCGGCAATCGAGAGGGACAGCATGGGCAGGGATTTAAGCCCTGGGAGCGCGGTGCCGAGTGAAACAGGGAGCTTTGAATCAGGCTCTCGCAGCTTCCGCCGGTCACGGAATAGTCACCGGCGAGTAACTATCCATGAACTTCGAGACGGTACTCGCTACACCGAGGTTGGGTCCCCCAGCACTAAGGATAGTATCCATGAGCTGCGTGACGGGACCGTCTATGCTACTCGGTAATGTGGACTAATTTAACCAGGTCCGATGCACAAGAATTATACACAACAAGAGAAACAAATGCACATTTCTCTTTGACATATGTACATCCCCCATACTATGTATTTCGCCCTCAGCAAATCCACCTCTATTCTATGTCCAATATCAATGATATGTACTTGAACCAGCTGGAACCAGTCACATCCTCCCCAGATCCAATCTAATCTAATCTAAAGCGAGCACTTCTCACCACGGAAATACTCCGCATCAACCGCAGCCCGAATCAACTGATTAGCAATGGCAGTAGGAGGCGGCAATCTCAACCCACCCTTATACTCAGCGCCAGCCTCAGAGCTCAAATCACTAACACCAACCCTCAACGCCTCCTCAACCTCCTCAACATCAAACCACCTCGCATCCTCCAACTCAGGATCATGCTCGAGATTGATCTTCTCATGCGCGGGCTCGCTAACCTGCGCAATCGCGCCAATCATTAGATTAGCCGGGTACGGCCAAGGCTGCGACGAGTGAATGACGACTCGCGAAAGCGTCACGCCCGCTTCCTCCCACACCTCGCGCCGCACAGCGTCCTCGATCGACTCGGCCGGCTCGATGAAGCCCGCCAGCGTGGAGTACCATTTCGGCGGGAAGCGCTTCGACCGGCCGAGCAGGACCCGCTTGCCGTCGTGCGAGACCACGGCGACGATTATCGTCGGGTCGGTGCGCGGGAAGGAGAGGTTTGAGATTGTCGTGCGTGTGCTGCAGGGGGGTCGGGGGGGCTGGGCTGCCTTCTACGGTGTGTGCGGCGTCGCTGGGTGGGCAGGCGCGCTTTGTGCCGGCGTTCACGGATAGGGTCGGGTTGCCGCAGGTGCCGCAGAAGGTATTCCTGTTGTTCCAGTCCATCAGGGCGCGGGCTTGCGCGTAGATGGCGGCTGGTTTGAGAAGCAGTGTCAGTCCTGGACTCTGCGTTCTTGAGCACTGAAGCGTTTGCTGTTGGGTCTGGTCTGGTCTGGTCTACTGCCAATACATACCTTCCTCCGGGGAAAACGTTGTGACAACGCGGGTCTGGAAGAAAGACAATCCCTGCTCTTCCAGGGCACTGGTTACATCCTTTGCGGCGGTTTGTTGAGCTTCGGAGCCACGGGGCGTTACGTCTAGCGCAAAGAATGGTGTACCGGTATAGATCTTCCACGCCATACCACCCTCCTTGGCACTTTCGTCCAGGCCGAGGAAGATCAAGTTGGGGTTTGTCTTGCGCGAGTCAAAGTCCTTGATCGACTCTTCCTCGGGGCGGTCGAAAAAATCGGGCGCGACAAGTTTGCGCACTTCATCGTATTTGGCCGTGTACAGCTCAGCCGGGGAGCGGGTTAGCGGGGCGAGGTTGTTCAGCAGGACGAATTTGGTGGAGGGGTGCTTTAGGGCCGAGGATAGGAATGAGTGCTCCGTTCGCAGGAAGGACAGTCGATTGAGAGGCGAGCCTGTAAAATATGATTAGTTCTTTTGTTTTCTAATGCTTCGCTGTGCCTTCTCTTGGGCTTCAAAGTTAGTTGCGGGGTATCAATCATACTGGAGAAATAATTCACAGTCTCTTTGCCGAAGCGCCGCGATAACATCGAGTCGGCGAGGGTGTGGGCCGGGGTAGGTAGTTGGGAGGGAGCGCTCATGCTGATCAATATGTACCCACGATTTGGACGTATGTAAGTACAGTACTCGCAGGAGGAATGCAGGAGGGATGCAAGGGAGATAAAGGCGACTTCGGATCACTCAGTTCTTCGGGCTTCCCCCAATACTTGCGACATCGCGGGGATTAATCAGCTCGGCATTTGTTCCTGTATTTAAATGACCAATCTTTCTTCGGACTTGGACCGATAATTGCGTGCGGGGTGGCGAGATGGTGGTTATGATACCGTATTACAATAACCAGGTCGGGGAAACCCCCACATATGTGACCGATGTACCCTGGAGGTTTATTATATCAACCATGTTTGTACGATTCTACAATTCTATGATACTCGTCACCATAGAGTTGAAGCCCCGAGGTCAGTTGAACACCAGCACTCGCCAATTTCGAATATTCAACCAAGATGCCCATGTTATTGGAATGGATAAAAGGCAATGACTAAGTAGTGCAAACCTTGGAAAGTATACTACTTCATGAGGATCAACCCTCCAATCATCCGGGTATCACCTTGCACGGGCTAATATAGGTAGCTTGATAAATTTTGCCCATCGATGTTTCTTTTCTCTGTATCAGCATCACGCGAGCAAAGAAGCTCACAGGCTTCAATTTCAAAATTTCGCGCCGCCTTGTGTAGAGTCCTGGACGGAGGACATCTGGGCATGTATCCCATCCACCTGGACAGCTAGCCCGCAGCGGCAGCAACTTGAACTTGAAGGTGCAGAGGCCCCGGGGAGTGGCGTCTCCTTCGGTACTAGTACTAGTACTATCTACGCCATTCAAAAGAAGACGCTTGGATATTACTAATAGGTTGTATATATATTCAACCGTGGAAGTTCTACTAGTACCTTAGTACTAGTACTGACCTTAGAATCCATCCATGGATGGCTCAGGCTCTAGACTCTGAACCTTGGAAGGTTGCTACCACTAGAATGAAACACACCTGGGCATGGATGAAATAAAAATTTGCCGTACATAAAATTAAAACCCCCGAGTCCAGGAGAGACTGACTTCGAGTTGAAAAAAATGCAAAAAGAAAGGTCGTGCCCGGAATCGAACCGGGATCGGCGGAATCAGAATCCGCAGTGATAACCAATTACACTACACAACCATTGGATGTTAAAGCAGCGAGATCTTTGCCATCATGAATCTACAGCCCTCAACATTGCCCAATACACGGAGGACTGTGGATCACAATATCAACCTTCATCTCATGTACAACGTTCCGAGGTTGATGCGGGGTAAAGGTCGTTATCATTCTAGTTCAAGTTAGTTACCCGTCTATACCACTGGAAATCTCTGTCTAATCAGTAGCCGGGTACTCTCTCATCATTTCTGCCAGGACAGAAATCTACTTGAACGGCAACTGTAGTCACAAATGAAAGTGGTTGAACTGCAATAGGTACAACAGATAGATGCATAGTAAATATAGGACAAAACAGCAAGACTCCAAACATAAACGCCAAAGAAAAAGAAAGAAAAAAAGTTCGCTGATGAGCTGCCAAATTTCGTGGTTCAAATCATATCTGCCAAATCGGCTCAATTTAGATATTTTCGTGCATCATGAAAAACAAAAACAAAACAAAGACCTAGTCCTTCCAGAACCAGCCGCCACCCCTTGACTGATTTTCCGACCCGCCAGAGCCCTCATTCGAACGTGGATGCGTCACCTCAACCGATTCATCCGTTTCTTCACGGCCATCGGCATAGCGTTTTGTCTTCACAATCTTAGTTTCAACAGAGCCATCGGCCAAGCGAGTCCGTTCGGTCCGAGACATGGTCGATATAACGCGCGCAGGCGTAGGTTCTTGCGTGATACCCGCCTGCTTCGTCTCAGTCAAGTCGGGCGGTGTTTCAGGGACAGATTTTCGATTTCCGCCTGAGACAAGATCTAGCCAACTCTCTGTATCCTCCGTGCCTTGGTCGTCATCGTATTGTGATGATCCTTGTTGGCGAGACTGTTGCTGTTCTCGGCGGCGCTCTTCGAGGAGGAAGCGAACGAGTGGACTTCCAACTTCCCCCCGTAGGAGCTGCTGCTCTCGTTCCTCGATATCACGCAAGAAACGTTCGTATAGATCCAATTCGGTGTCAGCCTCTTGATTTTCCGACTCGGGCCGCCTTTTGCTTTCGGTTTCGGTCTCGGGGCGCGGTTCAGGTAAGGCACGGCTGTTATCACTACTGTGACCTGTGAAAGTGATTCCAGACCAAGGAGAGCTTTCCGAGCCACCGGATGAGTATTTCCAACGATCGCCCAGACTGCCGCGTTTCACGAGGCCGTGCAGCCATTCTGTTCCATTCTCAGTCTTGCCAGCTTGCAGTGTATCGTTGTCGAGCATTGATTTGCCGTTTTCTAGCCGGATGAGATCCTCAAATGCCTCTCGCCATTGCGGCTCATTTGGATCGCGGTCCGATTCTGGTTGGAAAGACGACATTATAGAGGAGAAGACGCCTTGGTCCCTCTGTGCGCGATAATGGGCTTGGTGTTCGAGATAGAGAGGCGAGTATGGGCTAAACGCGAGGTATGTGAGGGGCCAGGTGGGAGAGCTGCTGTCTTCAAACATGTCGGGAAAGAAATATCGATTGCTGGGGTGGAGGAAGGAGGGAGAGAAAGGGAAGAATCGATCCTCGAATCGGTCGAGAACGGACTCGATGCCGAAGAAGTCGGAGTGCGCGTTGCGGGGAGTGTTGTTTCTTTCTTGATTGGTATTCCGGGGATTTCTGTCGCCGGTGTTTCCAGGTTGCGATGGTGCGGATGTATTGCCTCCGTTGTTGTTGTCCTGGCCGCTTGAGGAAGGTCCTTCTGCGCCTTGGTCACGCGCGTAATTGCGCTGCCCAGTATTGTCGCCACTGCTGCGTTCCCGGTATTTCCTTTCCTCGTAGCCGGTGTCTTCGTTAAATATGGTCCATCTGTCTGATTGAGGGCGCGATATGTTCGATGGGAGACCAGTGACGGACTGGAGTAATGAAGAGACCTGCTCATCGGCGAAGCGCCGGAAGACGACGAATGGGTTGCTCTCGTCATCCCAGTCCTGGTCACGAGGCATGTTTGGATTTTGAGCTTGGTTGTTGTTGTCTTTGGAACTATCTGTTTCTTTCTCTGGATCGGGGTTCGGCATATTGAAGATGAAGAGAAGAAGAAAGTTGGGTCGGAGGAGAAGCTGTTGGGGGGGCCCCACTCACGTGGCGAGGTAAGCCCCACTTGCCTGCAACTTTTTCCTATTCTTTTTCGGCTCTTTTTCGTCCTGCAGTTGAGAATGTATTATGATCTTCCTGGCTGTGGTTTGCTTGATTGAATGCTACTTCGTATCCTCTTCCATTTAGTGATTCGTTATCAACAAGTTCTCTTCTTTATGGGTCCCTTGTTTGGTTGAGATCGGCTGCGTCATAGTTTGACCCACTGCAGCTCTTAGGGCGAAAATCCCATACTTCCAAGCGGGCCCGATCCAACACTTGCGGGCCTCGCCGAGCCGGACCTACAGATATTGAAAGGGTAAATATATTGAGAATTTAAACTACTGGCCAGAGTAAATCTATTTTTAATATTGCTTCTGGTCACTCGCTTTAAACCAACCAACCAATCAATTAATTACTTAGGTACGTTCAAATGATGTAATGGCATTCTCTGAGGTATTCAGTACACAAGACCAACTAAATAATTACAACACCGAAATAAGGAAGGTTCAATTTACCAAAGTGTATATATTACCTCTCAAAGACGAGATCTTCCATCCAGATTCGCCCACGCCTCATCAAACCCAGTTGACCGGATCCACATTGCCCCCTGATCGAGTCCCTCAACAGTGGAGTCAACAGCTGCAAGGGAAAAAGAGAGTTAGAAACAGTGAACATCCTTAATATCAAGTGCCTCGAGAAAACAAAACCACTGGGAAACTTACCCATGTTACCAATTCTCAACCACATATCCCCAGAGATAGGCATTTGCGACTCCTTATCCACTATCCGACAAACCTCCTGCCCATGCGCCAGCGCCCTGACAAGTTTGACCAAATGCCCATCATCGCCCGGATGCTGGACACAGCGTGAAAATAAGGTCGACCAATCATTCGTCACGGGATACTGTGTGACCTCGTCGAGGCGTAGCTCAGGCGAGCCGCGTGAAACATACATCACGAGATCCATCCGACCCTTCCACTCCAGCAGACGGAGCTTTGCCTGTGTATCCAGGAAGGGAAGCTGAACAATCTTAGAGAAAAAGATCGACGAGTTGACGCAGTGGATGAAGAAGAAATCTATCTTGACTTTCTTGTCGGGTCTCTGGGCGGCACTGGTGTAGTATACTACATAGTCACCAGCCAGTCGTCAGCCAGTGAAATTGAAGTGCTCCATGCCAAACCTACCTAGGCAAGGCATGGATGGAATTGAGAATATAACTCACCAACAGTATTAATCATATCAGCAATCCGTTCCTGAATCTGATCCTCGGAAACGGTATACTGAGCCGCATATTTCAGCATCTCATCGCCCGCCCGAGCCAACGGTCCCTCGCGGATCTTATTCCCATCAGTCCACTTGGTACTCTGCGCCAATTTCTCGTCGGCGCGAATTTCGTTTAAAAGCTGCAGGAGAGACTTTTCTCCCCGCTTCCCGATTCCACCTGCTTGTTTCTCCGCTGGCAGGAAGTACTCCCGTCCCATCCAGTCGTCGTGAACGGCGGCTTGTGCGAGTGCCTGGGCCACGATGGCGGGTTGGTTAAATTCCAGGCCGAATCCGAGATGGATTAGAGGGTGGATGAGGCCTGATTCAAGTTGGTTAGTTTAACCTAGTGGTCTCAAAAGTGGGGGTAGCAGCATCATAGTATCATCTGTCTTAGCTCCTCCGAGTCTCTCCCCTCAGCAGAGAAGAACATACCTCCAAATAATCTCGACAACATACTCTCCGCACGCTGGTCTCCCGCAAAAACAAACTCATTCAACACAGCATCCACACCCTTCGCATCAATCTCCTCTTGAAAAAAGACCAAGTAATTCGAATAATTCTCCTCCTGATGAAAGCCCTCCTGAAACTTCACCGAGTCACGAAACCCCGCAACAACATCCCTATCAACAGGATGCGCAGGCCTCTGATAACTTTTATTCCGAATATAGTTCTTTCGAATATCATCCGGCGAGGCCCCGAGAGAAAATATGCTCAAAACACCGTGGACTATATGGTCTGTTTCGTTATCAGACGCGGTTAGCGGTAGCCCAGCCAGTAAGATAAAAAATTTGGCCTACTATGAAAGCCGTCATCGTTGAAGAAGACGTGGTGGTTTTCCATGTCCTCTTGTAAGACCTCGCTTGCTGCGCGCGCTGCTTCTTCCGTCGCTCCAGCCGTGAAGACGCCCGCGTCCGTGGCGGGCGATAGATGGATCTCAGTTGCAGTGGCCATATTTGAAAAGGGACCGCGATGGGTAAACGAGATGTATGAAACGCGCCGAGAGGGTGGTAGTAGTGTTGAAGGGCCGGCTAGAGGCGGCGACGGAGTGGACTTTGCTCGTAGGGGAATCGGGGAAGTTGAAATAGCCTGGGAAGCACGTCTTCGAAGTAATATTGAGAGAGAAGGTAGCGAATAGCTCATTCCTCATGCTCTTACTACAAGCTCTCGGATGGGTGGGATGGAATGGGGGGGGGCTGGTATTTATAGCGAGATGATTTCAACATGACACATTGTTGTTGCCGGGGGATAATTGCCTAGGCACTTGAGCCCAAACTCTGGGGAAGAAGCTCTGCAGAGACCCCCCCCCCCCCCTCCCCTTCTTGCAGGCCTATCAGCAGGTGGGGATTGGGAATAATACTGGACCCTTTCGGAGCTCGCGCTCCGTAGAGGAGGCGTCGGTGTCGGCGTCTGGACGCTCCGACATGACGAACCACACGTCATGGGAACAACAAGCTAGATCGGGCTTGCTGACTGATGGGGTTGCGGAGCTCGTATTGAGAATAACTTGTTAGTAAACTACTTCTGGGCTAGATCAGGCTGATTGGAAATGCCGTATTAAATGAGGAATATTGATTGAATTCCAAGGGTATGGTTTCCATTCTGGGGAACTAAAGCTAAAGGGACTCGAAAGTTTGCATGATCCACGTAGCAGAACGGTAAAATAAGCAAACACTCAGCTCAGTCCAGTCCGGTCCAGTCCAGCCCTCTCTTCCTCGGTCTGTACTATTAACAATTTAAGTTAAGATCTAGACTAATTATTTCTGTAATCAATTTCTAGAATGGGGCCTTCATCACTTTTTTTCCCGCCTGTTTCTCCAACTAGTTCATGTCTTCGCGTGCTTTCCGCGCTCGCTCGCGATCCCGTTGCATCTTCTTGAACAATGGATGATGACTGCCCTTGTCCTTGAGCTGCTTATTTCTGCTCTTGTTGTATTCAATATATGCCATGTCGTCACCGCCGGCCAAACCACTAAGGGTAGCTGCGCTGCGCTTGGCAGTCGGCTTCTTGCCCGGGCGACCCTTAGCAGAGCGCATTGAGAACAGGTCATCCGTTACCTGTTCCACATCGGCGGATGATTCGTTCTGCAGCATAACTTCCTGGAGCAATTCTCGACGCTCGGCGGGAGTCGCGTACGACAACCCTTCATAGTTGTCAATGCCCTGTAGATGGGTGATGACCTTGAATGCGTAACCCTGGTCAATCAGGAATGCCTGCCGCTTGGCCGAATAGACCATCTCGTGAGTATCCTTGGACACGAGTGAGTAGAAGAAAGCATTAAAGCCCTCATCATTACGACGCTTGGCTCGGAGAATACGGCCCAGACGCTGTGCCTCCTGACGGCGAGAACCGTAGTGGGAGGAGATCTGGATCAAACATGTGGCCTCGGGCAAATCGAGAGAGGTATCTCCGATTTTGGACAAGAAAATCGTGTTCACCTGCTCGTTGTGCTGGAAGTTCTCCAGAATGCGCATTCGCTCGTTCTGGGGCGTTCCGCCGTAGATGTATGCCTTGTTCAACTTCAGTGCATATCGCTCCAAGGCGTAGACGTTATCGGAGAACACGATAATCTTGTCGCCTCGCTTCTCGTGGAAGTCGATCAGGAATTGACACGCTTGGAACTTCCGAGGGTTCATGATGTATAGCAAAGCCTGTTTTCTAGAACTCTCGCGGAGGTATTCGGAATAAAACTCCGTTGTCATTGGGCACCACACCTCGGCACACTGTACCTTTGCAATGTGACCCTGTGCGGCCAGTTCCATCCAGTTCGCCTCGTAAAGCTTTGGACCGATAAGGAAATTCAGATCCTTGATCTTGTCATCCTCACGCAGAAGAGTAGCTGTAAGACCAAGCTTGCTCTGAGCAGCGATCGCAGATGTGACCTTGCGGAACATGGAGGCCGGCACGACGTGCACCTCGTCAAGAATCATCATACCCCATTCCCGAGACTGAAGCCAGTCCATCATCTTCTGGGCATCGTAGGAACGCGCTCGCGTTTGCGACACCATGGAGTAGGTGGACACAATGATACCGGTCGACCGCTTGAATTTCTCCTTGTGGTCCGAGGTGAAAATGGCAATGTCACTTGGGTCGATCGTTGTCCAGCGTAAGAACTCATTTCGCCACTGAACGACTGACATGGAACTAGTACAGAGCACGATCGTGCCTTTTTTGATCGTCGCTGCCGCAGTAATACCGACTAGGGTCTTACCGGCACCACATGGAAGAACGATGATACCACTCTTTGCTCGTCCATTACCAAACATCTTACTCAGACTCTTCTCCTGGTATGAACGGATCCGAGCGGCAGGTTTCAGGTCCATATCAAGATTGGGGTTGACCGTGTCTCCTTGGAAATCGTATTCTTCCAAGGCGGGGCATCCAATTGCTTGACAGCGAGCCTTGACCACTTCGACTCCAGTTGCAGGAATCTCGAAGCTGTATGTGATGGCTTCTTCGTTGTCATCCTCACCAACGTCATCAATTCCATAGTCCATTGCAACCTCTGCGTTCTCCTCCCTGGGAGCGGCCGGAACTTCTTGTTGATTGCCAGTTTCTCTGATACCAGCTGCATCCTTTGTTCCGGGAATGACAAGGCCTCCCATTTTCGGGGCAGCCCGCTCAATAATTCCCTCCGTACTTTCAATTCGCTGGGGCCCAATCACCTCATCCTTGAGCAACCGCTGCAACATTTCCGGATCCGTTGTTTCGACGTAGTAATGATTGTGTCGGAGAACCATCTTAATCTTCCCGTACGACTTGGTGAACTCAATAATGAAAGTCCTGATAGTTTCAGGCAACGGCGTTTTCGAAAGACGGTCCAAGAAAGCAACAATATCCTGCGGTTTCAACCCAACAGAAACCGCCGCGTACAAACTATGCCCCGTCAAGCGGTATTCATGCAGGTGGGTCGGACGCGATAAGGGTTCCGCGATGGTTGTGAGGAAATCCTGGGCCTGGGGTGCCAGCGGGGAGAAACTCTCGAGAGTGATCGTGCCTTTTACCGGCTCGATCCATAACGGGCGGTTGTAGTGGTCGCGTTTGAGAGGAAGGGCAGACAGGTCCTTGTAGCCAAATCGAGGATCGGTCCTGTTGTTGACTTGCGATCGCTTGCTGAATGACTCCAAGGAAAATTTGCTGACGACCTCTTTTTTCATCCTTTTAGCTTTCCGCGTTCACTCGACGTGGGCAGACTGCCACACTGTACCTTTCAAGTCATCCTTCCCCTCTGCTACGTCTTCTGGATCCGAGTATTCATCGCTGCTGGAGATTTCTGTGACGTCTGGAACTGGCGTGGGGCGCTTCGAGGTACTGCTAGACCGACCACCTATTCAAAGTGAGTCATGGGTTGTTTGTCGCGATGCTGGAGGTACCTACTGTCAGTCGCCTTGCGCTTGGGAGGCATCGTGCGGGATGGTTTGGGGAATCGAAAAGCCGGATTTCAGTTCCAGGGTAGGAATTTCGGTGGGAAATGGTATAGGATGAGGCAGTAGCCGCCTCTTCGCAAAAAGTTCAAGCCCGCATGCCACGAGAGTGCTGGGTCGCAGAAGACAGGCGGCGTCTGCCGACTGAAGATGCGACCAAAAAGAGATTTGGCGGGTCTGATAGCGAGGTTGGTGATATTTCGAATGATTTGGAGATCGGAGCGATGGCGGTAGAGAAGGAGGGTATCGGGAGTGGGATGTGAAAGAAGTTCAAACCAAAAGATGATGATGACCAGTCTTCAATCTTGACGGGTTGATAAGCCGCCTTAGGCAGAAACTGCCGATCAGAGCCGCCCAGAGACATACACTTATTGGGCAAATCTTGACATACATTGTGAGATAACATAAATTGTAAATTTGATTTTGGTATTTACTTATATCTTTTCTAGAGATATACACTTTCAGGTAAGCAACTTAGTCAAGTCATTTGCCATAAATAGTTGTTATTGCCCAAATCCCCATAGCTAGAGGTATCCATACCGCCTTGCGCAGCCGAGTTTCGGCCGCGGAGCCTTCACTGACGTAGAAGAACAGCACTTTCGCTCTCATCCCCGTCTAAATCAACCACTTTGCAACCATGAATACAGTATGTCTGACAACATCCGGAAGAAAATAACTCAAACTAATCGCGATGCATTGTTAGATTCGATCTACTTGGTGAGAAATCCACTGCCCAGCCATGAATTGAAGCTGTCGGAACCCGGGTTGGAGATTGGCATACTGATAGATGTTTCCTGAGCAGGCTTGGCTGGGGCTCCCTCTGTCTCGGTAAGTAACTGAAGAAGCTCACCCAGACTCCCAGATCTCGCCAATTCTAACTCCTATCCCCACCAGCTGGCGGTGGTGCCTACTACTTCGCCAAACAGTCCATCAACGCCGATCGACAAGCTCGCTTTGAGACCGAGCTGAAGCGCAAGGCGCAACTAAAGGCAATGGAAAACGAGCACAAGCGGCAGGCCGCCATGACCGCACCCGCAACAAATCCGACCGACGACGCCAGCTTGAAACGAGCGAATATGACACGATTCCAAAATGCGGCGGACGATGTTGCCTCGCCGAGTGCGGAAGCTTCGCACGACCCGGCCCCGACCCGGCATGAACCTATGACGGAGAACGATCGAGTGCTGGAGAAGGGGAAATATGAGGCGGCTCAGCCGTACCGTCCTCCCAGTGGGAATCGGTTCAGTTGAGGAGTTGGCTTTGGCTCTCCTTGTACATTCTTGGCTGTGTAAATTATTTACCTTGTTCGCACATTAGAGATGGTTTCTTCTTATTGATGGCCCCAGATGGCCCATGTTTACTGTCATATGGAGCTTTATCCTAGAGGGAGGGTATTGCCTTGTCGATCAATCTCGATCTATGGGATGGTGGATGATTCCTCTTTAGACGCCCTCCCTGTCGTTTACTCGTACTAGATGCCACCGGTTGGATGAATATGCGTGTGGATTGAGAGGACTGTCTAGCTAGATACAGTAGGTTCAAGTCTCGACAATTTGCCCAGATCTACTATCTAACGACGCCGTAACTCATCTCATCACTGATGGTTAAAGATGATACGCAGTGGACGCGAAAAGTCTCGTCCAGAAGAAGAAGAAGACAAGAAATGGTGAAAAAATTTAAGGCAAAAAACAAAACGCCGTTCCCAAACGCCCCCGACCTCATGCATCATATCAAAAGCCCCATGCTGGCGCCCGCACCGAACAGTGGAACCCATTTGAACGAAAATAAAAGCAAAACACCTCGTGGCTGCGCTCTCTCGATGTCGATCGGTCTAGCGTGCATGGAAGCAGAGCGGGGGGTGGGGCCTATCGAGCGTCAGTCAATATTATGACTCCACGCGTGCATGCATCATGGTATGCATGACTCTGCTGGTGGAAAATTGCTCACTTATTGCCTTCTGGAAATCCAGAGCTCTTCTGGCGCGAGCTTTCCAGAGCCGGTGGAATAAAAGGGAGTGCCACAGCGGCGGCCAAGCAGGAAGTAGTCACGGCGCGAGCTGCACGGCTATCGGGACGTGGACGGTGGGCAGAGAAGTGCCGAATAGTAGGGCGAGCGAGTTGTGCAGCGACGACAGCGGCCATTGTGGGCGGCGGGAAATGGTTGACGAGGGGAAAAAAAAGGCGTAGAGTGGTTGTGTTATGTTATTGCTGGCTGGGTGGCGTGATGTCCAGTATTTATAGTATGGAGCCGGGAGGAACTTCAGTTGGATCACGCGAGTCGTAATGGTATGGTAGGACGTTGTCAAGTTGGGGGAGGAACGACAGGGGCCAAGGCTTTTTATAGATTGCGCGATCCCCCCGAAGGCATTCCGTCACAGAGACAGTCAGGCCATGCGAGTGCGCAAGTGACCCGTGTGGGGGGAGCTGCGGGGACTCAAGCAAATGGGCCGATTCTCACAGTTGGGTGGCTCAGAGACCCAGAGACCCAGGGGAAGCCCAGCTGGAAGCCTTCATCCGGGGTGATCAGACAGATCTGCGACACTGCGACACTGCGACACCGTATCGGGTGGTCGGCAAGGCAATGCGCGCAAAACGCGGCGAACTCACGCCATCGCGGGGTCCCAAATGGAGTGGAAATCACATTAAAGACGCAGTGGGCAGTGGGGCCGGAATTTGCCCCTCTCAAGGGCTCAAGGCAGAAGAGGGGCGTCAGGCGTCACCGCGTGGATCGTCAAGGCAGAAAAGAGCTCTCCCTTTAGATTGTCTGGGAGTGTGCATGTAGACTGAGGGCGGAGCATGAATAGCCGGTCTGCTTTACCGGTGGGTAAATCTTATCATCTGGGTCCAGCAACAGTAGATCGTCGGATAGACGCCAGACAGATTTGCCGGGAGGCAGAGGCAGAGGCAGAGTAACATGGGTGAATGTAACATGATTTTTCAAGTATGAACTCCCTTAACCTTATTAAATGGTCATTTACGGGTGCATGGCATAGTATACTACTAGTAACTATAGTAAATGTGGGGAATGTATACGACTGTGGTTGAATATACCAGAATTTGAGAGATGTTGGAGACACGGATTTAATGAACTTCAGTCCACTCCGCAATAAACGAGTCCCTGCTACTTGATTTCAATATACTGTATCCACAGATAGAACCCAGAGACTCATTTCTCTATACTTAATATGAGAGCTGTTATATAAAACCACGTGATTGGGAGGAGCTCCGCCCACAATTTTCCAGGTCACGTGTGATAACTACTCCTACTCTCCCCAAGGAAGCTAAGCTTGTCCCATCGGGAGCAATTCAAGCTATATCTCCCCCAAGCTTGAGTTCAGTTCGCCCGGACGTACCCCTCTGGCAATGGCATCCCATCAGATCGCCATTGCAAAGGCATCCTTCTCAGCTGGCCTTTTGCGTCCCGATCCCACAAGTGTGCCGCGTGATGATATCGCCGCTTTTCACTCTGCCCTCGACCGGGCGCTGTCGCGTTGCTCCTCAGCAAACATCCAGGTCTGATCCGTTGCAATTTCTTCCCATCCCTCCGTTACTAAACCAATCCGCCAATTTCAGACCTGCAAAGAATGGCTCCTCCAATATGTAGCCTCGTCGGCCAACCGGCTGACAGGCCTGGCCAAATATCTGGTGACACTCGCCGGCTCCTTCGCTGAAGACCCAACAGGCGCTCGGCCAAAACCTTCCCCGAAGCGCCGGAGACTCCACATCCTATACCTCCTCAACGATCTGTTCCACCACAGCAAGTACCACCTGGATACCACCGCTATCTTCTCCACGGTGAGCGGGTCCCTGCAGCCATTTGTGGTGGACCTGCTTGGGCATGCGGCAGCCTATGATCGACAGAAATATCCCCGACACCATCGGCGGCTAGACGATCTACTGGAAATCTGGTCCGAGCACGGATACTTCAGTCCCGACCTGATCCACAAGTTACGAGAGGTTGTCAAGAACTCGGCCTTGACAGGGACCGCCCCACCCTCATTGACTGATGTCTTGGCTGGCGAGGGAGATGCTACGAAAAAGTTGCCCGGGAAAGATGCGCCCTTTGTCATGCCATCAACACATGGCGACCCCTCGACTCCATACTATGACCTTCCCGCAGGTAACATGATTCCGCATATCATTCCCAATTCGACCATTCCCCTGCGCGCCGAGAGCATCAAGCCGCTACAATTCATGGCTGGCCCTGCCGACGAATCGCTGGTCCAGGCCCTCAAAGGATTTTTGAAGGATGTCGATCAGATCTATGGCATAGAGGAACTTGTCAAAGACGATGGAAACACGGATGTAGACGAACTAGGTCAAAGAGTCGTTCGAGACGAGATAACGGGTGATGTCCTCGACGGTGAAACATACTACGGCTGGTCCCGTGCATTCTGCCAACAAATGAAAAAAAGGCCAGATGACTCTCGCAGCCGCAGTCGAAGCCGAAGCGGGACTCGGTATGATTCCAAACGACGGCGTTACAGTAACAGCTCTATGAGTGATGACAGCCGACGATCTCGGAGTCGGTCTCGGTCTCGTGCAGACAGGCGCGAGCCTCATCGCTATGGGTCCAAGTCACGATCTCCAAGCCACTCCCGGCGACGATCACGAAGCCGTGAAAGCCCCTACTCACCAAGAGGACCATCACCACCCCGATTCCCGCCTCCTCATCAACCCTCCCACCCTCTTCCTCCCCATCCCCCACCACAACATGCCAACCTCCCTCCCCATCCGTCGCATAACAACCACCCTTACAATACACAGTATGGCCATTACAATGCCAACTTCCCTCCTCCACCTCCACCTCCACCTTCCTACCCCGGCGCCTGGCCACCTGCCCCACCCCCACATATGCCGGGAATGTCCTTCCCCCCCCACCTGGGCCGGGTATCAACCATAACCCTCCAGCATTCCCTCCAGCGTTCTCTGGCTACCCTCCTCATATGCCTGTGCCTGTGCCACCTGAACAACCTCTTCCTCCCGGGCAGTATCACTTCCCTCCCCCACACTCTGGCGGTCAGCATGGTGGGTCCTGGGGTCCTCCAAGTGGTCAAAACTGGCGATGAGAGCTGATGTACTACTACTACCAAAATGCTAAGAGATTGCACAACCTTAAATTATCTCATGCTTACAATTGATAATTTGCTAGACTGTCTCATTTATACACAACGCTATACATTGGTAGATAACTATATTAGTAACAGGTACTACGTAGTAGCCTTGAACCGCATAGCATTATCAATATCAAAACCAGCCATACTGGATTCCTGCCCCAAGCTAGCCTCCAGGGGGTAAAGGCAGATCAGATTACCAACTTGAAGATTTCCGCAGGCAGGAGCGACTACTACTATGCGCTGCTCTCCTAGGGAAGGAGCGGGATAAGCCGCCTGCTTCATGGGTTCAAGTTCATTCTTCCCTTTGGCTCTTTCGATCTTCTTCCTCTCCATCTCCCACACTCATATTTCATCTTCCATCAGTTTATTGTTGTGATAGTGATCTCAAACACGTGTATCTCTTTGCTGTTCGCACCAACGCCCAGGTCCGTCCTGTGATGGGCTTCAATTTGTCTGCACCAGAACCGTGAGTAAAGGATTCTTGTTGTTGAGAACATGAGACCTTCTGATTTAACTTACAGTGATCCAGAGATGCCTGCCGTGTTATCAAAGCCGGGCTCACCCAACCCTCTTGGGCTGAGTCCTGTGCAAAAGGCCGAGATGATGACCTGCATACATACAGCCATAGAAGACCTGCGAACCGAAATGATGCCAAAGGTCAACCAAAAGAAGTTTCAGAGCCAGAGATCGCAGCCTCCACAGATCAATATTATTCCTCCATCTGCTCCCCCTTCCTTTGCACCCACCTCCCCAATCCTGGATGCTGACAAGGCGAACGATTGGCTGACTTCTGAGGTTGGGTACTTCCTCCCTGATTCTACTCGCGATGAGCATGTGCGCATGGTGAATGATGCTCTGTACTTCAGCAATGTCCTTGCATTCGTCAGCCACATTCGGGCCCTGGCTGCCTTCAAGAACGAGAACACCATCCGTCTGAACATTTACTCTTGCCTGCGAGGCGAGGCACTGGAATGGTTCATCTCCGAGCTCTCGCTGTCCGAGAAAGAGAAGCTCCGACGCTCCTCTCTCGAGGAAGGCTGGATTGAAAACCTGACCAAACGATTCAAGACCCCTCCATCTCACGCCCTGAGAACTCTGAAAAAGTCCAAGTACAACTGGGGCGATGTTCGATGCCAGCGGTCCCTTGTCATGTGGGCTCACAACATGTTGCGCCGGGCCCAGGAATCGATGGAATACCCACTAGTCTGGCAGCAGGTCCACGCAGTGTGGGACCAGATTGAGATTCCTATCCGAGGAAATGTCAACGAGCCATCGTCGGAGACGACTGTTGCGAGCTTCATGGAAGAACTAGACGCATGGTACAATCTGTGGCGCTAGGCAGCGCCCAGTCTTGTCGACATCGACACGGATACTCTCGATGGCGATTTAGCTTTGTCAAATGGTTCTCCGGAAAATGTGTTTCAGCGTTGGAGTCTGCGGAAATTCTCATAGGAGTCGGCCTGGTTGATATTCTGCCTTTTTAAATCCATTTTTCCCCCTCTTTTCTTTCTCGTCTGTTCATCATTCAGTGACTGACACCGCAATCCCCAATTATCTGAACCAAGAGGTTCCCTGTGCTCAAATCGAGTTAAATATCATTGCCCCAACCTGTCATTGTTTCCCGTTGATATGCAACTTCTTGGAAGATAGCCAGGGTGACAATTTGCGGAAGTTGTGGTGGTTTCAAGTTTACTTTCCTTGTTCCTTCATCCCCACTCTTGCTTCAGTCACAATACCCCACTCCATCCATATTCTAGCTTTCAGAGGTGCAACAGAGAAATAAATCATCAAGATTCTGTATCTGTCCAGCATCTTTCACATCTCACTATCGTATCTCGAGTATTAATATTTGGACAGAACAACGTAAACCTTGGAATGAGTTACTATTTCAAGTTTCATGACCTTCATTGAAAGAGGATAGAGAGGTATATATTCCTTGGAAGGTCTGCGCTTCAATAGTACCTAGGTAGGTAGTGCTACTAGGTATGTCTCAATCACTAGTATTTACCTAGGTAGAATAAGTTATCAGCCGGAGTCCTCCAGAGTTTCCTACTAGGTTCAAGTCTGTCCGCGTCAAATTTTCCATGGATCGATTTCGGACTCGCTCCACACTGGCACGTATACGCAGGGTACTAGTATGGAAATGGCTCGATGATGCCAGTGGAGACACCGTGAGCACAAAGGGTGCTGGAGCTGTACCAAAGGCTACCAGAGCCGAACATGTCAATCCCAGTGCAAATATGGCTGCGGGGTTTGGCACATGTTTGTATTTCTCCGATTTTCCCCATCCGACCATTGTAGATATCTAATACATCCCCGCAGGCCCAAGCCAAGCATTCAACATGTCCTCAATGGTAACATCCTGAAGATTCAACCAAGGAAACCCAGCATCCGGCTCACTGGCATCAGTCTCAAAAAGACCCGGCCCATTCTCCCCCACAGCACCACCAAAAACAATCCCACCCCCACTCCCATTCTCCCCCGCACTATCCGAATGCGCAAGCCGATACTGCGCCTCAAACCACTCCCCAAGATGCTGCAACCACTCGCGGTAAAAGAAAACCTCGCACCCGTCCCAGTTCTCCCCCTTGCATTCGGAGTCAATTGTGTTCATGCGCTGCGACAGCCGCTGCACTTCGCCGCGCATGTTTAGCGCTTCGCGCAGTGCGGCTACTTGGTCGTGGTGGCGGACGGATGGCTCCAGTGAAGCGAGGACGAGTTTGCATGATGCTGCTACGCAGAACCCCATGCTTGTCCATTGGGAGTAGCTGAATTTCTTCTCAATGCCGACGGGTAGTTTGAAGTAGTACTCTAGGCATTGTTTTGCGGCTGCGAGGCCGTGGCAGAGGGCGTCAATGCGGAGAAGGGATATGGAGTGGTCGTGGGATGGGGTTGATTGGGGGAATACGTCGAAGAAGACTGTTTGGTGGATGTGGATTTCGAAGGTGTGGGATTGTATGTTGATGTTGACTGATGGTGAGTGTTAGTTAAGATTCGATTCGGATCTAATTTCGACCCCGGAAGCAAATCATTCGACTGTGAAGCTGGTATTATTCACTTACCATCACGGTCAAATCCAGCATTGTTCAGGAGCTGGGCTTTGCAATTTTGCGCTTCAATTTGAAGAGATCGGACCGTGGCTTCTATATCTGTGGATCTGGCTTGGTCTTCGCTGAACCCTCGCCTGACGAGCGAGTCGATTCGCTGAAGCATGTGCTGCAGCCGAACCTCGCCTAAAAGATGTTGATCGGCGGGGAATTCGCATTCCTGCGACAGTTTTTCTGCGCAGGACTCTATGAATTGTGACCAGGGCATTGTGCCTGTGCGCTGACTTATGACGTTGTGACTGGCGATATGGAATTAGCAAGTACTAAGCCACGAGTTCCTGGCCGGTCTCGAACAGAAAGGGCAGTAGACAAACGCACGTGGAATCGAGGAAATAGTATCCTATTAACGCTCTCATTTCTTGGTTCTGCGTGGAAATCGATTTCGCTGGTTGTTCTGAGCAATCCATGACGTCGAGTCTTTCTCGTACTGTTCGCAGTTTGGTTGGATAGTCCATTCGGAAATCCCGGATTATACTATTTGCAAGGTGCAGGTAGACGGAGAATCGCATGAGATGGAGCTTTTTCTTGGATCTAGTGGGTGGGGTCAGTATTTGGCAACCTTACCAGTTTCCAAGACACAGGACCGCGTGTGGGACATCAACATGAACATACCCAGCTACCGTAACAAGCAATCCTTGTAATAGATCGAGAGGTTGTGGATGCTCTCCTCGTAAAACTGGACCGCCAAGGTAAGCGGCGGAAACTTCCTCCAGGGCCAGATGTAGCGGGACATCTATGAACGAGGAGACTAATAGAATAGAAAGCAGGAGGAAGGGTTTCTCTGATCTCAGATCCTGGCTTGTGGCCTCTCTTGGAAGCTGCACAAAGGGGAAAAAAGGCGTTGTCTCGTGAAATTTGTCTAGCAGGCGATTTGCTTCGTTGTGGGTGATTAACCCTGCTCCGATCACATCGCATGGGTGTCGAGTACTAATATCCTGAGTCTGAGGGTCGGACCTATGACTTTGTGGAGACGGCGATGTCTTTGACGGACTCGTGAGAGGTCCATGGCTTATCTGGCCTAATATTTGATCCACCTTGTCCTCAAGCACGCCTATTCGACTGGATTCGATGCGGTCAGCTTGGCTATGGATATCATGTCTGCCTGGAGAGTGAGTTTACGTACGTTGCCCGCTTTCTGGGATTACGAGCCTTTGTTGGGCGGAAATAACAATTTTTATGCAGACGAAGACACCTTCCAAATATAAAGATAGTTGATTAGATTTCCCCGGACACCTGGACCGTTGTAGAAACAGATGTAGAGTAATAGAAGTAGATGGCGGGATATTCTTACCGATCACAACTTTGGGCAGGAGACGCGCGCGAGCACCTAATTTTAGCACGAACACAGTTCTCGCAGGTCCTGACACGCCCTAAATTATCTGATTCAGATACCGACATCGTGATTGAATACTCCGTAACAACTGCGGAGGGCAGCGGATACGGGACTTTAAGTGTCCGTCGGACTCGGGGTTAGATTGGATTGGGTCGTCGGTCCGCGGGGTCGGAATTGGTCCAATTGTCCGTGTCTTGGCAAAACCCCCGTCATCTCGTAATCGTAAGCCAGAAGTACGCGCGAGCCAATAGTAGTTCTGTATTTAATTGAAGGCCCCCCCAAATCGTAGGCTCGGCGATAGAACAGTCATATATGAGCCAATTGTAATTCTGTATTCAACTGGAGCCCCCAACCTTCTAGGCTCGGAGTTAGCTCAGCCTTAAAATCGACCCACCATCTAGGCAGATCGGAGATGGCATAGCCTCATGGACCGATTCCAAGGTTTCAGGCATGATTCCTGTTCAGCGTTAGATTGTATAAAGAGAGTGAGCACTATCAAAAGATGTAGAATGTTAAGTTATAGCCATCTAGATCTACTTCCATCTTCCTTTTTTCTCATCTTTTCTTTTCTTTAAATATCATTGTTCCTACTAAGCAAAAAGGCCAACCCGCGCCCAAGATGTCGGAAATCGACCACGATACCTGCACGCTGGACACTTGCCCAATTGATTTGGCCTATATCAATTACCAACCCAACTTGGGGGCAAATATTCTATTCCTGGCCATTTTCGCTTTCTTTCTCGCCGGGCAACTTGTCGTCGGATCATGGTTTCGAACTTGGACATACATGGGCGCCATGTCCGCAGGACTCATCCTAGAAGTACTGGGCTACGTCGGACGAGTAATGATGCACAACAATCCCTTCGACTTTAACGCATTCCTCCTGTATGTTTCCAAAGGCAAAGGCCTCACTCGATTCCAGCCACCCCCTCCCCAATTATTCCCAAAAGAACCCCGCAAACTAACCAAAATATCTTATGCAGATACCTCATCTGCCTAACCATTGCCCCGGCCTTCTTCACCGCCGCAATCTACATCTGCCTCGGAAGAATCGTCACCATCTACGGCGAGGACATTTCCAGGATTCGTCCCCGCACATACACAATCATCTTTGTGACGTGCGATATAATCGCCCTGATCCTCCAAGCCGCCGGCGGCGCTATCACATCCATCGCCGACGATGACCAGAAAGACCTCAGCGACACAGGCGTCAATATCATGATTGCCGGGTTAGCATTCCAGGTCGCTTCTTTGACATTGTTCATGGCGATGGCGTCTGAATTCGCCCTACGCGTGCGCAAAGCCCCGGAAGAATCGAGGAACGAGTATACCGCGTCTATTCGCAGTGGCTGGAAATGGAAGGCATTCCTTCTGAGTGAGTTGATCCAAATCGTCCTGTAGAAATAAAGTCCGGGGTGAAATTTCAAGTTCAGTCCGCTAATGAGATGCCAGGTCTTGCTGCTGCCGTTGTGACGATTTATGTCCGGTCTTGCTTTCGTGTTGCGGAGTTGAAGGGCGGGTTCGATAGTGATATTGCTAATGATGAGGTTATGCTGATGATTCTGGAGAGTGCTATGATTACCATTGCGTGCTTTTGTATGACTGTTGCGCCGCCGGCGCTTGTTATGGGGCGGCGATGGGGTGATCTTAAGGCAAGGCCTGCTGGGGAAAGAGCTTCAAAAGCCTCGATTGCTTCTTCTGCTAGTGGCTATGAGATGAATCATGTATCTTATGGTCATGATTGAGGTCAGAAAAAGAAGTTGCTAGGAATGAATGGGTATTGATAGAATGAAGCGTTATATTATGAGCGAGACCTTTTGGTGTTATGAAATTGATTTTGGTAGCAGGGGCTATCTTTGGCGTTGTATATGGTGATTTGCTAGTAGACCATCCCAGCGAACAGGCTGAGGATCAACCGATACTGGGCAATGTATCGGTTATAATTGGAACAGTAGTCTATCCTGGCATCATAGCTTCGAATGGCCTAGGGGTCTTGACCCTACCCGTTTGGGGGGGAGAGTGGTTAGGTTGATTAATGAAACGCTAGGAGCTGCCTTGAACCACCTTTTTGCCATTTTATGTTTTGTTTTGCTGTCACTTGTTGTTGCCTAGTCCATCGTGCCTTCCCTCTGTTTGTCCCCACTGGGTACTCTTCAACAACCTTGTATGTATGGATATATGGATGTATGGATGCTAGTTTGGAACAGAGCTTATTTTAACCTTGAATAGTATTGAGCCAATATTTTGCTATTATCTGATAGGAAAAGTACAGTTCAGTTAAGAGTGTAGATGTCAATCTAACCTGCCAGAAGGGACCTGTTTCAGGATGATATACGTCAAAACAGGCATAGATAATAGCTGCCAAGAGCACAGCACATCCCATCACAGAACCTGCCAGTGGGCATTGAAGAAACAATAGAATAGCCTGGAGCATCAGCATTTTTCTCAAGTAGTAAATACACTAAGTACTAGTAGCACCCGAATAAAGCATTGCATCATTGGAGGATCCAGTCCTAAGATCCCAATTGGCCCCAAGCCGGAGAGACGTCGATCGTCGCTTATCGATAAGCCAAACACGCCCAGCTGGCTTCATCGCCCTTCACGAGGCAACCCCGAGTCCAACGACTCACACCACTCACGCGCAATGCATTCCTCCCTCAACCGCGCGCAAGCCGTCTTCGGCTTCTTCACGACCGTCGCCCTAGTCGTCGCAGCCCTAGCCGCCCTATCAACCCTGTTCTTCCCAACAGACGCAACAACAGCCACCGTCGAGCTCAAGAACGTCCAAGTGTAAGTGCCTGCCCACCGAATCAAAGCCTCGACACCCTGCCCTGGAAGAAATAACAAGCTAACGCACTGTCCAACGCACAGCGTCAAAGGAAGACCACACTACTACTCCACCAAGCGCGAAGAATACGCCCAAATCCGCTTCGACCTCGACGCAGACCTCTCCCCGCTCTACAACTGGAACACAAAGCAGCTCTTCGTCTACGTCTACGCGCGCTACTCCTCCTCCGACAACACCGACACCAATGCCCCACAATCCGAGGCCGTGATCTGGGACGCTATCATTCCCGCGCCCGTCTCGCCGTATTCGTTCGATGCGTTGAAGGAGAAGGTTCTGCCTCATCTGCCGGCCTCGATCTCGGGGAAGAAAGTCAAGCGCGCCTCTAAGGCTAAGGCCAATACTAAGAAGAGCAAGGGCAAGAAGGTCGAGGAGGTGGAGGAGGTGGTGCCTGGTGTGCTGAGATTACGGGGCCAGAAGGCTAAGTATCAGATTAGTGATATTACGGGGAAGTTGGCTGGGCGTGGGAATGTTACGCTTTCTGTTGGGTGGAATGTGCAGCCTTGGGTTGGGGCGCTTTGGTGGGCGCCTGCTACGGGGGCGGTGCCGAGGACTGGGGGGAGTGTGGTGTCGAGTGAGGCTTTTGAATTTCCAGCGTTGAAGGCTAAGAAGGCTGAGGCTAAGGAGGGTGTTTGATAGGTGGTGGTGCATTTGCATTTCTCTGATGCTTAAGATATCTTTGTTTTTGTTTCTTGGTTGGGCTGGTATTGGCTTGGTTTAGTCAATGCCATTTATTCTTGAGAAGTCCATATACGAATACCAAGACTCTAGTGAAGCCAGAATTTGACTCTCGGGACAATGTATTAGGCTTCATTTAATTTCAGTATTGATAATGCGCTAAGACCGTTTGACCAGCCTTTCCTAGGGGCGCTGCGCCGTGAACGTCGTGAAGACTAGCATATGAGCGGGACCGGAAAGACTATTTAAGACATGAACAAACGCGGTCGCTGGGAAAAGAACCAGCGCCACGGCGGGGGTATATCGGGAATTTGCCGAGCTCGAATCTGGGTTGTCCCTAAACGGTACCATAGTTCTGGTGAGGGATCGAGTGGCCGTGACCCTGACCTCCATTCTGGATGCGATCCGAGAAAACGCCCGGGGCTGGGCGTTGCGAGGCGCGGGTTAAGGGATCCCGGTCGCGACGCTGGTAGTAGACGTATTCGAGGTAGAATGCATGGATGTGGCCTGGGAAGTACCTGGAATGAGGGCAGTGGTGATTAGATTCAGGTTTACTTTTATGGTCGCAGAGCATCGGGATATGAGGATGTTTGGAACTTACCCAAGAATTGTGAGGCAGACGTTGATCCAGAAGTCAACGCCACAGCCGGAGATGAGGAAGACGCCAAGAGGAGGGACTGGATGGTGTGTTAGCATTGGAAGATATCTCTTGGATTGGATTTTGGTGGATTGCAGCCCTCGCGAGCACTAGGCCGGTCGCTCTTGCCCAAGCTGGTCTTACGAGGAAGCTGGGTGATGCGGGGAACATGGGGGGGAGGTATTTGTCCTGCAGAGTCGAGGAAGACGTACGGAAGATAGTGATGATAATCAAGCACAGCATCGAACAGGCACCTGCCATGATGGAGATAGTGGGGTGGGGTGGTTGTTGGTATGCTGGTACTGTTGGTACTCTGTTGGTACTGTTGGTACTAGTAGTACTAGTGAGAGAGGTTGGGTTTGCGAGTCCGTTTGTTGGAAAAGTCGGTGGTGGCCAGGAAGCTGAGGAGGAGGATGGTGAAGAGGAGAAGAAAGATATAAATAGGGATGTAGTCGTCCTTGGCAGAATTAAGTCGTTTCATGATCGGCAACAGACGTCACCCAAGTGAAAGGTGGGTTGATAAAAGCAGCTTGAAAGCATCCCTAAAGGTCCAATCGAACGGGGAGAACCCGCTGGTAGGGCTGGGTCTGACGTCATCCCGCTAGTGCGGGACCAAGTAAACTCCCACTTTACCATCAACCATCACCATCAGACATGGGAAGTAGCAGGGAGTAGCAGGGAAAGGGGAAAGCAGGGAGTGCCAGTACAGTGCGTACACTGCCACATACTTTGTTGATGGCTTGGCTGGAACGGGCAGGTTTTCACCCCGTCACACAGCATCAATCGCCGCCCGCGTGGTCACCTGTTCGTTCTTGTTGCCTAGCTTGGAGATTTGCAGAAACGCATCCACCCCATAGCCTTCCAAACTATGAAGTTCGAGACTGCCTGCCCAATACTCAGCATAGACCCGACTCATAGGTAACCCCATGCCCAGACGAAGGTTAGGATGCCGCGATGTCAAGGTATCCAGTGACCCCTCGTGCCAGGTCTCACGATCATGTTTGCGATCCCGTTCCGACACTTTGAGCTCTTGCATAGTCGCAGCCATGGCGGGCACCTTGCCTAGATTTTCCAGTCGAGTCTGCGTGCGTGGTCCCTTGCTGAAGGACCACAAATATGGAAGAATTTCCCGGGGGATGCCGCCGCCCTGGTCCGAGATGCGCATGATCACGTGTTGTGGGGTTTCGCAGACAAGTACCTCGATGGGCGGCGGCGGTGACGACGAGTCGTGGTATTTCTCGACAACCGCTTGAACAGAGTTACGCAGGAGTTCGCCGATGATATACTCCAAGTGGCTCAGTATATATGGGAAGGTGGCGTCCAGATGGCCGCGGACGTTGATGGCGGGGATCTGGGCAGATTGGGAGGTCTGTCGCATCAATTCCTGCGCGACTTTCCCGCAGCGATCGACGACCTCTTTTGCCTTGCATTTGAGGAAGACTTCGCCGACAAAATCTGCGTTCATGTCGGTTCGCTCGTGCGAGTCTGGGAAGTGCCATGGTGAGTTGAAGGTATCGGTGAGGGCGAGGTGTTGCTCGGCGATGACCCGGCGGGAAATCCTCTGTTGGCGAAGGTATCAGTTAGAGAGGTTCTCGTTTCAGTCTTTTTCTGGTAAGTAAGAAAACCTACCGCTCGCAGCAGAGTGTTCATAAAACGGTCCATATCGTCCGGTGGCATGAGTTCTTGGCATTCTAGCACCCCCATGGCGAGGTTGGGGATGATGACCAGATGCTCTTTGAGCGTTTGACGGAGAATATCACAGAAACGGTCATTATCGTCGAGGCTGCAGATTTCAGGTACGACCCGAAACCGCTCGAAGGCTTTATAGTACAATTCGTAGACTAGCGACAGATGCGGGTTGGAGACGATCACGTAGGGGAGCTGCTGAATATCACGGAGGCGATGCGCAAGGCTATAATTTTAGGGAAAGGGGTTTACATTAGCTCCTGGCCTCCTCGCTAAAGTTCAGTGTACAGGGTGCAGGGTGGGGTGAGGCGGGGCGAGCTGCGTGCTTGATGCTGCCGCTACTGCTGCTACTTGTGCTCCGTGGTTCGTGACATACCGGGTGGGCAGCTCGGTCCGCACATAATTTGCGGAGCTGATGAGACGCGGTTCGGTCAAGGTACGGCCGAAAAAGGTCAACTGGCGAAGACTTATGGGGCGAATCTGGCGTTCAACCCATCTGTTTTGAGGCGGCGAGGTCAGCTTTTGGGGTTGGGCACAAGATCAGATCAGAGCTCTCTCGGAGTCATACTCGTCCAAGGCGGAGACAGGTCGCCAGGGTGGGGGACCGGAATAGAAGCGCGGCTTAGGAGCACATCGTGAAAGCCTTTCAGCTGAGCGACTTAGCAGCATTGTGCTCCATATAGTGAGAAGTATAGGTAGAAATCATGAAGGTTGGTGGTGGTGGTGCCGGTGACCGTTTTCAAGCATGTGCTTCCTCGGGCGGTGAGATGGCACTGGCAGTGGGAGTAGATGGTATGTATTTCCAAGTCCTTGCTATAAGTATTTAGTATTCATATTTTATGTTTAGTATTAGTATGAATAATAAACTGCCTGATTTCAAGTACTAAACCATCCGAGTTATGGGTCGGAAGTGATACAAAAGTAATCAAAATAGTTGCCCAGGTGTATGGCACTCCTATACTTCTGAAGAATCTGATCTGATGGACCCATCAGATGATACCACCTACCTGTAGCCATATAAATAGTAATAAGTAAATAAGTATAGATAAATCAAAAATCTTCATAGTCTACGCTATAAGGGGAAACATCAAAACATACAAATCAGGTATCACATAGCCAGGGTCACTAGTTACTAGTAACTACTCCCTAACTAACCGACTACAGGCTGACCAAAGCACACGCAACAATGAACCACAAATCAAGGAAAAGTCACCAAATAGTTCCCCCGTCAAAGAACATACCCATTTGGATCGAGTCTCGGACGATCCAGAATCAAGTCCATCATTTTATTTTTACTTAATTTGTTACTTATCTTTACCCAACCTGTTTACCACCTTCTTTGTAGCCGAGCATTTCGAGGGCTCCGCCACCGCTAGCTCCGGTCCTCGTCGGTCTGCGGGTTCAGAAGAATTTCCTCCCGACAACGCCCCGGGCCCTTCTTGAGCCTCCTTCTCCTCCCACCCATTTCTTCACCACCTCTCTCCTCACCATTCCGAATAGGTGCCTTCCGGCTGGACGGGAGGGCCCCTTTCGCTATGGAAAACGTGCGTTGCCGACCGTGCCCCTCTGTGTGTCGTCATTGCAGATCTAACCCGTTGTCCAGCTCGCGGAGAACGATATGCTCGTCGATGAGTACGACCAGTACCCCAATGAAAAGACTACCGACGTCGTCATCTCGAGTCCCGGCTCCGATGAGCCCACTCCTCCCTCCGCCGCCGACCGTATGTTCCTATCCAACCCCCCCCTCCCCCTCCATCGGGACCACGAGCGAGCGAGAATCCCAAGCCCAGTCCAAACCCCAGTCCCAGCCCCTACCCCGGCCACTGGATTCATGCCGGGATGCCATCGGTGGTCTTTCCAGCCGTCCCTCTTCTCCCCTTCATGACCGGCCTACGTGTTGTAATTACGCGCAGAATCCAAAGAATGTGGCTGACCCGTCTTCGCCCGGACCTTTAGATGAAGCCATGATGGCTCGAGTGCTCCCCAAAAACCCCGATCATGAAACGGTAGAGGAAGTTTACAACACATGGCATATCCGGGATTGGAGGAAGCTAGAGAAAAAGATCCATGGCCCTGTCTTCAAATCAGGCGGGACCCCTTGGTGAGTAATATTGATATGATATCTTTGCGCTGCGGTACGCCACCGAACCATACATGCGCTGACCTGAGAGACCAGGCGCATTCTCTTTTACCCCTACGGTAACGGCGTCGAACACGCTTCCTTTTATCTGGAGCACGCCTGGGATGGCGAGCCCCCCGAGAATTGGTATGCGTGCGCGCAGTTCGCCTTGGTCCTGTCTAACGTAAAAGATCCGTCGATCTATGTGTCTCATGGTAAATATGCTCTGAAAAACTCCTCATACCAGCAGAATTAGACCCGCTGCTAATCTTTCTCTTTTTTTCTTACCCTTAGTTGCGACTCACCGATTCACCGCCGAGGAGGGAGACTGGGGCTTTACCCGTTTCTACGATCTTCGAAGTCTCTTCAGTGAGGCATGGGAAAACAAGGGCGTCCCGCTGGTCCAGGACGATGAGGCGAATATCACCGCCTATGTTCGCGTTGTCAAGGACCCGACCGGTGTCCTCTGGCATAACTTCCAGAAGTGAGCCAATGATCTATCTTATTCTTTCAATCGCCAATGGCTTGATCCTAATTTTACTCGCAGTTACGATTCCAAGAAGGAGACTGGCATGGTCGGACTGAAGAACCAGGGTGCTACTTGCTACCTGAACTCACTCATCCAGTCGCTCTATTTCACCAACGCTTTCCGCAAAGCTGTGTACCAAATTCCCACTGATGAGGACGCCTCGCGGGAGAACAGTGCTTGGACCCTACAGAGACTCTTTTATAACCTGCAGACCAGTGATTTCGCCGTTTCCACGACAGAATTGACCACGTCGTTTGGCTGGGACTCGCGTCAAGCTTTCGAGCAACAGGATGTCCAGGAGCTTTCCCGAAAGCTCATGGAACGTTTGGAGGAGCGTATGAAGGGTACCGTATCAGAAAAGGCACTGCCTCAACTGTTTGTCGGAAAGACAAAGACCTATATCTCTTGTATCAACGTTGACTACGAGTCCTCGCGCGTGGAAGATTTCTGGGATATCCAACTGAATGTCCGGGTAACAAGACCCTGGACGACAGTTTCCGCGATTACATCCAGGTGGAAACACTCGAGGGCGAGAACAAGTACGATGCTGGTTCTCCCTATGGCTTGCAGGACGCCAAGAAGGGTGTCATTTTTGAAAGCTTCCCCCCTGTCCTGCACCTTCACCTCAAAAGATTCGAATATGACCTCAACCTCCTGACCATGATGAAAGTCAACGACCGACATGTTTTCCCTATGGAATTTGACGCTGCCCCTTATCTGTCTGAAAATGCCGACAAGTCCGAACCCTGGACTTATGAGTTGCACGGTGTACTTGTTCACAGCGGTGGTTTGGACGCTGGTCACTACTACGCCTTTTTGAAACCCACCAAGGATGGTGACTGGTATCGATTCGACGATGATCGTGTGAACCGTGTTACGGAGAAGGAAGTGTTGGAAGAAAACTACGGTGGTGAATACGAGAACGCGAACGGCGGAGTGCGTCAACCTTACACTCGCACATATTCGACCAAGCGCTCAATGAACGCCTACATGTTGGTTTACGTCCGAAAGACGAGATCCGATGACGTCCTGCTTCCAATTGAAAAGGACGATGTACCTTCTCACATCTGTATGATCTACAATGAACCCCAAACTCTTCCCTTTTGAATGAGCTTGCTAACATTTCATAGCTTCCCGCATGGCCGAAGACAAAGCAGAGATGCTTCGGAAGAAGAAGGAAAAAGATGAGGCCCACCTCTATATGAGTATTGGCGTCATCAACGAGCAGACTTTCCAGTCACACCACGGATTTGACTTGTTCAGCCCAGAACTGTCAGATGAAGACCCGGCCTTGCCTGCGCAATACCGTGTCCTTCGGACTAAGAAGATCAGCGAACTCGCAAAGGATATCGCTGAGGAGCGCGGTCTCAACGAAGAATCAATCCGATTTTGGGCCATGGTCAATCGCCAAAACAAGACCGCTCGCCCCGATCAAGTCATCCGCGATTCGAATCTTACCGTGGAGGAAGCTTACACCAAGTATGGTACCAAGGGACACTTTTTCAGACTCTGGATGGAGGTTGCAGCGCCCGGTCCTGATGGCAAACTGGCCCCTTGGGAAGAAGACACCGTTCTAGTTTTCCTGAAGAATTTCGATATTGCCACTCAGACCTTGTCTGGCGTCGGCGCGGTCTATGTTCGCAAGAACCAAAAGGTGGCAGAGCTGGCAGCCCCTATTCTCGAGAAGATGAAGTGGCCTGCGGGTACGGAGTTCACACTGTATGAGGAGATCAAGCACAACATGATCGACTTGATGAAGCCCAAGCAGACCTTCCTCCAGTCCGAGATTCAAGACGGTGACATTATCACCTTCCAGCGCTCATTGAAGGAGTCTGAGATCCCCGCCACAGCTCTTTACACTGATGCCCGGCAATTCTATGACCACCTTCTCAACCGCATGGATGTCCAATTCGCCCCCATTGGAAGTGGCGAGGGTGGTGAATTCAAACTGACACTGAACCGGAAGATGAACTACGATCAGGTGTCAAAGAAGGTTGGCGAGTATCTGCGAGTAGAGCCGACTCATCTGCGGTTCGCGCCTGTTATGACTAGTAGTGGCAAGCCCAAGGCGTTTTTGAAGCGATCCAACGCTTCAACCCTCAACCAAATCCTCAGCGGCCAATACGGAGCGTACGGCTACTCCATGCATCGAAACGATGCGCTGTACTATGAGGTTTTGGACATGAGTCTCAGCGACTACGAGAGCAAGAAGAGCTTGAAGGTGACATTACTTCCCGAGGGAATTGCGAAGGAGGAAATTGTCGAGGTCTTGGTGTCTCGCAATGGAACCGTCGCCGAGCTTCTGGAATCGCTGCAGAAGAAGGCCAATCTCGACGATGAAACTACTCGCGAGCTGAGAATCCTTGAAGTGCACAGCGGGAAAATCTACAAGGAGCTGCGCGAAGACACCAATGTCGCCGCTATCAATGAGTACTCTACACTTTACGCAGAAAGGATCCCAGCCGAGGAACTCAACCAAGAGGCCGACGACCGGGTTATTGGAGCCTTCAACTTCGAAAAGGAGCCTGCTCGTACTCACGGTGTTCCGTTCAAATTTGTTGTCAAGCAGGTTCGAAACCCCGTGTCCTTTTTTTTTCCGCTTCGATATGATTTGTTACTGACATGATGGAACAGGGTGAGATTTTCAAGGAGACCAAGGAACGCCTGTCTAAGCGGACCGGCATCAAGGGCAAGCCTTTCGAGAAGATCAAGTTTGCTGTTGTACCGCGCGCATCCTTCTCGACCCCCAAGTATCTTGAAGATGGTAAGAACTTATTCTCCCTTTTTCATTAGTATCACGGGGGAACATACTAACAGAAAATGACTAGATGACATCCTCTCCGACATGGCGGGTTCTGATGACTACCTTGGACTCGACCATATCAACAACAAATCTCGAAGCTTCTGGTCCAAGAGCGAGAGCTTCTCCATTCGATAAAGTGATTAGCGGCGCAGCGGGGTTTCTGTGGGAGGGCTTGATGCTGCAATTCGGTACATGAGCAGTGACAGCCTGATGCAATGTTTATGTTTTTCCATTTTCCTTTCCATTTCTCTCCCTTCAATTTCTTCAATCATCACATTTTTGTCTTTTTTTTCGCCCATTCCTGTCTCTCTTTCTTTCACTTTTTATCCCATGCCCTAAGATCGATTGGTATTTTAGTTTATTTTCCATAGTTGGAGTAGAGAGGATACAAATGCAAAGTCGAGTTTGTTTGGGTGTAAACAGTGCAAACAGTGCAAACAGTGCAAACCCGAACATCCAGCCCGATGGCCTTGGGAACTCCTGACAACACGCGAGTGTCATCTCCGTACTAGACAACCATCACATCCGTACAGCCAATATGCGGTTCGCTCTCCTCGCCGGTCTAGCCTCCCTGGCCTCCTCTGTTTCCGCAACTGCCTTGACTTACCGGCTTGAGGCGAACGAGAAGGCATGCTTCTACACCAATATTGAACAGGCCAATGCCAAGGTGGCATTCTACTTTGCGGTTCGTCCCCTGTCTTGTGTCTTTGGCTTCTCCTCGTGGTCTACTATCTATGACCTTGCAATTGGGTACTGCAATTGAGTCGATTCAATCTAACATTCGCTATCATTAGGTTCAATCTGGCGGCTCCTTCGATGTCGACTACTCCGTGACTGCGCCGGGCGGCAAGATCGTCCTGGATGGAACAAAGGAGCGACAGGGCGACCACGTCTTCACTGCGCAGAGCCACGGCGAATACTCCTTCTGCTTCAACAACGAGATGTCCACTTTCGCCGAGAAGATGGTCGACTTTGAAATCGCCGTATGTGGCCACCTCCGCGAACAATCCCCAAAACAAACACCGCACCCCCGACATGCCAACATCAATTCCACCCCCCTCCAATATTCCAGCAGTCTGACTTACATATTCCATCTCGTGTATTCTAGGTTGAAAACGAGTCCCGCGCCCAACTTCCCTCCCGCCAGGGCGCTACCCCCGAACAAACCTCCAACCTGGAGGAGTCGATTTACAAGCTTTCCGCACAGGTGTCCACCATCTCCCGAAACCAGAAGTACTTCCGCACGCGCGAGAACCGCAACTTCAGCACCGTCCGCAGTACCGAGCGCCGGATCTTCAACTTTAGTGTCATCGAGGGTCTGATGATGGTATCCATGGCCGCGCTGCAGGTCTTTGTTGTGCGCTTCTTTTTCCAGGGCGCCAGGAAGGGTACGTTACACCTATCAAGCTACCTATCTCGAAAAGAGGGGAAAGCGGAGCTTTTGACGAATGCGCGACATTTGTTGCCTCGAGCTCATTTTCTTTCCTTGTTTCCGTCCCCTCTTCGCCTCTCCCTCCTAGTTATTGGACGGACTCGCTAACAAACAACTCTTTGCAGGTTACGTGTGATGAGCATGAAGTCACTTATACGAAGCATATTTTTTCCATTTTTAATTTTTCCCATTGCAAAATCTTTGGCGTGTCGTTGCAACCTTATGTACGGAGTATCGATCAATCGTTTCTTTTTGCCATTGGCTAGAAATCACATTGCCCATTGGTTCGAAAACAGGTTTTCATGTTTCCCTTGATGACATCTCTCACCACAACTTTTCATCTCTATCTTATGGAGGACTACGGACCTTAATTTAGGGAAAGTCACCACTTACTCCGTATTTTATACTTTAAAGACACACACTCCCGGCAAGTTTTCTTTGCCGTCAATTGGCTCGCGTGAGGGGAGGCGAAGGTGCGTTGTAGCAGGTTTTTTCCCTCCTTTTTGGCGCGGGGATGAGCGTGGTGCGGTCTAGATGGCGATGGCACTAATCCCTCTGTAGAAATGGGATGCACATCCTGATGCACTGGTACTGTACAGTACTATCGAGATGTCCGAGCGAGAGAGATCCTTTCAATTGGATGGGGTCTGCTAGTCCTTGGTCGCGATAGGACAGGGTGGTCGGTCACACTGCCTCGTTATGATGTCGAGACAAAGCAGGATATGAGAGTCCATCGATACAGAGCGACTCTGCCTTGTCTTAAGGGCCGGGAGATAGTCCCGTCCTGTCATCTGCTCGTCGAGATGAGAAGTTGAGACCGATCGGGATACTGAATGAGTGACATTTGCTAGCGACTTCGAAACAGGCTTCAGGGTCGGGTATAGTTCCATCCTGCCATCTGCTCGTCGGCATGAAGTCGTGACTGAGCAGGGATTTATGAGATCAGGCCTTCACAGCGACATTGAAACCGGCTTCGGAGTTGAGGAATGGTGCGTCTTACCGGTCAGCACGATACCTGACTCTACGATGTACATCCATTTTGTCCTTCCCTTCGTCGTCATAACGAAGTCAACGCTGCGGCCGATCAAGATCAACGCTGCAAGAACCTGTCCGTGGTCGGGATACTGTGCAAGGTATCGTATCAAGATCCAGTCTTCGCGTCACTGCGACCCTGCTATCGCCTCTTACGGTTCTCCTCTTCGTCGTCATGAGTCGAGACCGGAGACGCATGCACTAGTTCGCCGCTAGGTATCTAGGCAAGCCGGCTTCACGACGAGAACACGGTGCTTCGGGGAGAGAGAGAGGTAGGTCGAGATATCGAATGTTGTTTCGGAGGTCAGGACCGGCGAGTATGGATGGAGTAGGACTTGGAGAAGCTCTGCGATTAAATTGGGCTCGATGCATCAAAACAGGTTTACTGTGCTTTTTGGCGTTCTAGAACTTCTTTTCATTTAAGATTCACCACCTCAGGTATGTAGCTCGGCCGAGGGCCGATTCAATGGGTCCAGAGTCCACCTGTTCAGGATTCAGATACAGTGCATTGTACACTGGCAGTACGCCCAGACCACAGTCTCATTGTAGTAGCGAAAAGCAACTGCGTCCAAGGTGATGTTTCCAAGAGATTGTCGCAGAGACACGTTACCAGGGCCTATGATGCAACAGGGGGCAGTCTGACCGGGTAAGCCCATCGCATGACGTTGGATGATGACGGCAACGGTCATTCCCAGCGTAGTGGGCAGGTATTCATTTTCCAGACTCAGAGAGAAGGCAGTGGCCGATTAATGCATTCAGTACCTTCGTCGGCTAGTCGGTTGCCTCGGGGGGGTTCGTACTTCTTGAAACCCTAGTCGGAATGTTGCCGTTGCAACTGGGAAGGGGAGAAGGGAAGGAAAAGTGATATCATCGCAGATACGGCCGTGACGGACTACCGTGGCCTACTGTACCAAAGGGGCATGGATTTTGGCAAGATCGACAGTTTTACTCATGTGGAAAATTGGGCGTCTCTACGTCGTCATGCTCGCTCATTTTTGAGATTTATGCGAGTGCAATACACGGGGTCCATGGCAATTCTATGACTTCGGGAGATCTTTTGACTGTCGCAATTGGGCATCCATTGTAACAAGAACGTGAGATTGTTAATTGAATGATCCATATTTTCTGAGATATCATTATCATATCTCCAAGTGTGGATCTTTGCGGCAGCACCCCGTTACTCGAAAGGATCTTCTTGCGCTACTTCGGTTTGTCCCTCCCTGCATGACGCAGTTTGGGGAGTATGCGCTGTGCAGCGATCAGACCCTCCGGAGTATGTGTGTACGGAATACGGAGACATGCTGCTAGGTTTCGTGATGGGATGAACTAGATCAAAGACACAAAGGACTGCAATGTTTCTTTGAATTGATGACATGGGGCAGGGCATGTGTCGGTGGCATTGATATCATACATCATCGGTTGATCGGTTGGAAAGCTGGTCCTCTTTTCTTTTTTCCCTGACGCACCCGACACGATAATGGTTGCTTCTTTTTGATCCATGTCCCCCCCAATATAATGCGGGCAACTGATAGTTTTCCTCGATCACGAGTGGTTAACGAGTAACTTTTGCGGATCCTGAGCTTTGATTCTCGGGTTAATTTTCGTGGGTTCCGGCGATGATCCACATCGTGTGAATTCCTGCGCTGATAGCCAATCTTTGTAGTTCTCTGATGATCTCTGACGTCTGTACATATGGGCCTCGATGTCATGAAATACACATCTGTTTGGTCTACAACACTTGACGGGGACTAAGGCCGCTAGTGTTAGTACATGGTTAGGGCCATTTTCAGTGGAGAAGTCGGTCAAGATCCTTTCATGACCCTATCAATGGCGACGTATGAAGCTGCTTTGTTAAGGCGGGTGGCCTACTGTGCTCCGTATGGACAACACAAGACTCATTTCGCCTCCCCCGCTGTGATGGCAAATGAACGATCTTCCGACCCTTGGTGCTATGCTCCGCTTGACCTGTGATCATGCCTGTCACTGGTTCCAAGATTTCCATCTAATTTCCATCTCCACTTCGGACGTTGTCTGTGCTACATATTACTAGTAGAGCGTGACGGGGGGGGTTCTTCAGCGAAGCCTTGGGACCCACTGTTTCGTCGCCCCCATTTCCCAGGGGAGTGCCAATGGTGATATGTACTCCGTAGTTACTTACGCCACATATTGTGTTTTCCTTCATATACTGTACGACATATTGGACGTGCTTCGGTCCTTCTGTGCCTAGACTTTGCTCCTCATTCCATTTCGGGGATATGCACTTTCGTGGAGGAATCTAAAGCAATTAATCTATATTTTAGTCTCCAATATTATACGGATTTGCGAATGATACTCGACAAAATCCATGCATAATGTCTTCAAGTTCGTCTGCCTATTAAGGGCTCGCTGACGTCAGGTGCCCTTTCTGCCTGAGGCCGTAAACTGTCTTTTGGGTCTTCTCCATTTGCACAACGCTGGCTGGTTCAACTTCTCAAACGGATCCACCGTAGCCACTGGCTTAGTTCCCATGGCGTCGGGACGTACTTTGTAAGAGGGGTGATCATGGCGTTTGTTTTAGTCGACTCTTTGTATGGAGACGCTAATGGGGGCATACACGGAGAATTGTTCCGGGGAAAGAACGAGAACGACAAAAAAGAATGGAGTGTATGTTCATACACAGAGTAGACGATCTCTCATAGCTTAAGCCACAAAGGATCCCTTAAAACCCAGTGGGGACAGAGTAGCGGTTTGATACCAAATCGATCCAAAAGGAAACTCGGATCGCCCCGACTATCAAAGCGATGATGACATGGCTGACTCCACTCCCGAGAGCCTCAGTTGCAACTACACTTTTTCTCTTCTCACACCTCCACCACCATGATCACCATAGTCAGAACAATCAACCATTATGGCATTACCCCAATTCACATAAAGATCAATTCCATCAGATCTTATATTGATGGGGATAGGGGAGAAGAGGTGTGGGGGGGGGGAAGAAGCCACGATCGTCACCCTCTAGGTTGACTGGTCTACCCCAAGCTCCAGCACAATCACCCAGGCTCCACTGAAAACTGCAATTCTCCACCTGGGATATCCACTTTAGCATTCCACTGTCTTTGTGGAAGACCTATCTCGGCTCGATGCAGTGGGCTAACGGCTCTCGACGTTCGCAGGCCTTCCTTTATCGACAGAATGATTTGTTCGCTAAACGTCAGTCGAAGATCTGCAGGGGGCCGGTCTAGTGCACTGCCGATCTCGCAGCGCCAGAGAGTGTCGCCCATTCACACATTCCCCAGTGACCTCATCGGACACGACCCAGCCCATTCGCCATAATAGGGAGTGGATCGACTGATACTACGGGCTGCCTCAGTGCACCAGTCTCGTTGAAGATGTGGGGATTGGTTATTTCATGATGATTGAATCTTCCCACCATCCACAAGCAGCACTGGCTGCGGCTACACCCCCTCGAGCATCCGGTGGATGCCCCCTCGTTTTTACAATGATGTCGCCCAGCTGCGCACCCCCCAGCCCCTCTCTCAGCCAATGATGTCACTGCAGCTCTCCGTCGTCTATGGATTCCATCGATGATCCATCCGGCCCCTCTCAGGAGAAGGCAGCCTCTGTGTTCAAGCCTATCAGGCGTCATCCGCGCCCCGAGGTGCTTTTGCCATCCGCGAACCCACAGCGGTGATTTCATACGCTGAAAAGTGGAGAACCACCCATGTCCCATGCTGTATATAAATCAAATCGGGAACTCGGTCGCTCCTTTGATTCATATAAGTCCCGTAATTGCCCTAACCCTGTCTCTCCCCCGCCCCATACCCAGTCCTCTTTTCAGCCCAAACGCCCCATCCCATTCTTAGTCGTCGTGCGGGACCTCCCACAAGCAAGAAACAAGAATCTATCCTCCCCAAAGTGATCGCTTAACATTATTCCTTCCCTGGCTCTATTTTTCCCCGGGCCCCTACCTTGATATACCTAGTTCACTATTACAAAGGTAAGCGCGCCCTCCGTCCCCACTCCTGAACTGCCTGCGTTATTTCAGTCGCAGCCTAGCCCAAGGGGCTGCGCATGTGGGATCTTTGTGTGGGATCATGTACACCCATCAGACACACCTCATGACTTCTCAGTAACACCAGCGCTTCCAACTTTGCTAACAGCCATTCCACAGACACTTGAAACCATGACTGCCAACTCGCATATGGAGCAGCCCGCATCGAACATCCAGGGCATGTTCACTGCTGACCATGGGGCTGGCCCTCCTGCCGAGAGCCACGTTGAATCTCAACGGTCTATCGATCCGCATACCTCTCTTGAGGACTACAACCGTACCATGCTCGAGTACACGCAAAAGCAGATGACCTCTTTTGTTGACCTCGACGATGGTAATGGCAGCGGCACCAGCAGCAGAAGTAGCCAAAGTAGTGGCAACAGCGGTAACAGCCGTACTTCCAATAATGGCGTACTTTCACGTCAAGCCAACGGCCCTCCTCCCACTTCGGCAAGTGCGCAGCGCCAGGCTATGCAACGGACTGGACAGATTCCTGCCGGAAGTCCTAACGAGGCCAAACCCTCACGCTACTAGAGACCAGTAGCTTCAAGGTAACTATATCTTGGCTCTCCGAACCAACATCATCATGCAATGCTGATATTCCTTGTTCCAGCGGTCCTAGGTTCGTATCGACCGCATCTGGCCTCGATTCGATCCTCTTTTACCGGAATTCGATGGCACGTCGTCGATGTTGCCAGCTACTAAATTCAATGTCGACGATGTCGCCCGGAGGCGGAGTTTTAACGGAGTTCAACGAGATTATTGCCCGGAGTGCTTGTTCAATTTTGCTTTCCCAGCGTGCGCAGCATTTCCAAGCAATGAGTTTTCCTGTGTTTCTGACGAGAGTCGAGTCACTGTGAAACTGGTCGCTCCTTTTTTACACACTAACTTGACATCCACCATTCCCCCTACTGCCCATTTTGTTTGTGAACATCTTATCCTTGACCCCTTTTGCAGGAAACTGTTCGGTTCTCTATAAGACTCGTCGTCCTTTGCATCTTACCGCCGACTTGATTGTGAAACTGTCGGTCTCCACGGTATTCGGACGTGTTGAATAGGGAACCATCGTTTCAATGCACCTCTCCCCCTCACCAGCGCATATCCAAAAACACCACCAAAAAAAAGAAAGGGAAGTCCAAACCGGATCTTAACCCTCTTCCCCCACCTCACACCCACCGTCCCCTTCGCTTCTTCACAGTTGCTATCGTCGCCCGGTTCAGCTCTTCTGGCTAGTCCAGCATTGTTCGTCTCGGGACAAATGCAGTCTACAAACGATGTTCCATTCACATTCACGCAGTCCATGCTTTCTCCGGGGCCCAGCTGCCCCCTGTATTAACTACGATGCCTTTGCTTGCTATACACTCTGCGAGGTATAACGGCCTGATCAATCTTTCCTGTTTTCTAGCCATCTTTTTGATTTGCTAAAGCGAAGCGAGCGTTTCTTTCCTGTCCTACATGCTTTTTTGTCCCCGAGGCTTTATGCCTGCTCCCTGTGACTCTACCAGCCCTGCCCTTCCCCATCGATGTGGACAAATTACATTGTCCACCTGCTCCGGCGAAACCTTGTTACGATACGATGTCACCCAACCCCAACAACAAATCGGGCCCTGGTCGGTACGAGCTCACGAAATGTACAACAACGAATACGATGATATGGGAGTATACAAAGTTTTTTTTCTTCTTTATATTCGCTAGATACTTCCGCGCGTAGAATTGCCGTAGTCTTGATAGATTATGTAGTACTAGTAGCCTAGTAAGGAAATTAATTGTACTCTGTTTGATCTATGTATACTAGTAGTACTGTATCATGTAGCACCCTGTAGAATTGCTAGATAAGGAATATTCTATCTAGGTAGGAGAGCGAAGACCAAAGTGCTTCAGATTTCAGTACTAGTATTATTAGTAGTCAATGGTACTGGGAGAAGTACATGATAACAAAGTGAAGATAACTCGGGTCGCACATTGTAACGGACCTAGAACGAGAGTACTATATTACCGAGTGTTGTACTATCTTCCAACAATAAAAGGTTATTTTCTCGATATGTCTCGGAATGAGGTTCCCAAGAACTCAGCGGTAGTTATGTACGAAAAATGTATGTTTCTTGGCTGGTTTATTTGACTTATCTCTCAACCTTGGTTAACGTTGAAGGTTGTTGTGGGGCATCTACTACTAGTCCACGGGTAGCACTGGCGATTATCGATTCAAGTTCGCGCTACGCACCTGGGCAGTTCATTTATATAACCTTAAAAATACTTGTGCCAGTAACTTACACACAAGAGAAAGAACTTGAATTGATTCAAGCCCAATTGAACGTTTTAACTTGCTTATATAAGCCAGACGCAGTAACATCTTCGAATCAGAATAATCTAATTTGGATGTCTAAACTTGAAAATTTCAATGTTGGTCCCAGGTTGGAACTTAACAACCGACCTAACTATCACAGAAGTGGATCGGTGTTGGAAATACATACCGCTTGTTCAGCAGAGCCAGAGATAAAAAGGATGCCTGTATTTATCCCTTCGTTAAGTGGACCAATCGAGTGAAGGGCTCCGCATTCTTTGGATACACCCCTTGCATGATCAGAATCGTGGTGTATCCTATCTCGCATGTTTTTGCCCCAATGAGTTAAGAAACTGGGGAAATATAGATACAATTCAACCTAGAATAAGTACAGAAGCTGATATATGGATGTAGAAAATACATCGGGAGTGAGTACTAGATCTCATGACAAACCTATTTCGGGCAAACCTTGCTGAAGATAAAACAATCCTAGCGGTATACCGAACAACAAACGAGATGACCGGCAATATTATCAGATTTTCCAGTTGTCCGCATTCCAAGTGGCTCAGAAAGTCCCATCACTGGTCGGCACAGTCACTGTTGCCCTCTCGACTGGGATGAAACCCCTGGAATCCTAGATTTGGCAAATGAAGTAAACAAGGGCCAATAGAAAGACAAGGGAGGAGAAAAAGGACGCAGGAACGTGAGACTTGGAAGCGCTAGGCGAGGGCTTCCCGGTTTGGCTACAACGCGACTCCCCTTGAGCTCACGCATTGTTCAACACGGGACTGGCTCTTTTCCCTTCTTCCCATACTGCAATCTCGTCGACACCAAATAACACTGTCGACACCGATGACGGCCTAATACCGCCCAGCTCCAGTCTTTCCTTTCTTTCTCTCCATATACCGACTACTTTTCACTCTTTTACATTGATACAATCTGCCCAGCGGCCTTTCGGATAGAGAGCCACATATACACGCCAAGTTGAACCCTTTCGAACCTACACTCTTTCACTTCACGCCAACGTACCCGGACCCGCAGACGCATTCAAGAAATAAAGCAAGAATAACGAAGTTCAATATTCTCAAAATGCATATCGAAACTATCTTCTCTATCCTAGCAAGCCTAGCTGTCGCCTCCGCCGTGCCCGTTCTACAGGAATACCCTGTGGTCCCAATGCCTACGCCCACTATGCCTGCGATCGCATCTTCTTCGGCAACCTATTCATCACCTTCAGCAGCATCTTCCACGCCAGTGGTTCCTGTCGGCCCCTACTCCTGCCCGGAGCACCAGTACAAACAGTGCTGCCAGTCTTTGGCGCAGACCTCGCACGATATCATCCAACCATTGGGCGAACTCGTGCCTATTGTTGGAGGCATCCAGATAAGCTCAGCGGTGTCATTCCAATGTATGTCACCGCTACTAGTGCTTTTCTTGCAGTGGAATTACCACATTGAGATATATCACTAACCATATTTACCTAATAGGCCGGAATATGAAACCAGATGAGCCACCGGAACAGTGCAATGAACCCGAATACAGGCCCATGTGCTGCTCGAATGAAAACACAGTATGTCAACGAGATCCTTGGATGACAAGAGAAAAAGAATAACATACTAATGCTGTGACTTGAAAGAGCGGAGTCAACGCGTGCAAACCATTCGAGAAAGCAAAGGAAGAATACTACCGCTCCTTCGGATATGGCGGGGAATCGGATGATAAGGTCGAAATCATCAATGACGTTTTTTCATAAACGAGCTTGGAAGATACCGGAACTGGTAGTCGAATCAAATTTGGAAGACTTATGTTGAGGATGAATTTTGCGGGAGAACTGAGGTGGATGTATCTCCGAGTCTGGCTTTCTTTTTCTTCTCACTTGTCACGACTTTGGTATATTGCCTTCGATATCATTGTATTTTCTTTCTGTCTAATATTCTTGATAGTAACATCCCTATCACTTCAAGCAACAATTATCTCCTGTTAGGCTCCTAAGCCCAGTTCTTAGTTCCCTTTGTACTATCTAAAACATACCAGTCTGATCCGATCCCGAGGTCAGGCGTCAAATTAAGATATTGTTATACCATACGTTACTAGTGTCTGCCTGGGTGTGAAACGTGGCTCCAGGGCTTTCTCATCTTTCAATATAAGTACAGGTTACATTTTGATTATATATTCGTCTACTCTAGGTCACATACGGCTTCCGCGTGCTGGAAAAGGACGTTTCAGTGTTCGCGACGCCTCCTACAGCAACGCTTCACGGCATCGTGATGGATTTGTCAATGAAGTGTGAATGAACACGTTCAAGTTGTGAACACGAAAACAAAACCACTTCACCCGTAGGGTGCTTGAACTGATCAATGAGTAGTGTTGGCCAGGCAGATAAGCTTGTCCCTAGTACTCAACTAATGGAGCTTCATCTCTCAGTAGATCAGATAGCGGTCATCGTACGAAGCAGGAGTTGATTCATGAATAGGAAAGATTGGTTCATTCTCAAAACTAGACCTGCGCGCGCTACATATCTGACCACCAGAGTGGACACCTTGTTACTGAGGCACCACGTCACGGGATCTCTGCTTGTCGAAGAGCGAGAATCCCCATTCCACTAGGTACACACTGGTTAGTCACGTGCCAGGCACCGAAGGCTTCGATCGACACACTTTCTAAGGAATCCTGTTCAGAAATAAATCTTTGAAAGGTACAAGTTGTTAAGTAGTGGGTAGTATTAAAATTTAATTTATTGACTTAAAAATAATGCTTAGGACCTGGCGACTCGCTATTGGAACAAGTTCCAAGATTAACCTACCTTACCCTAAGCATAGAATGATATCATTCTCTCAGGGGCTACTACATATAACTAACTTGAAGGTACTTGTACCATCTACTTTCTCTCAATAACCTCGGAACCAATTCCATCACAATGCCACCCAAAAGAAAATCCACCGAGGCGCCATCTGCCGATGCCCAAAAACGAGCCAAATCCGCCCAGGACACCCCCGCCCACCTTGCACTTGGACTCCCGCGTAACCCGCGCATGACTCCCGGGTCCGCGAGTGCAGAGACGGACGTCGCGTGGGTGACACTCATGCAGGACCCTGCCAAGGCTTTTGAATACATACCTCTAGCTCCGACACACTACGGATCCAAACGCGACCCTTTGGACGAGGGTGATGAATCCGAAGATTCGGACGAGGACGAAGACGGCGAGGATGGCGAGAAAGATAAAGACAAGGTATATTTCAATCCCCAACGAGGAAAAAAAAAAAGAGCAGCCCATCTAATTGAACATCCAAGGCCCATCCAGATGGCTCGAAGCCCTCCGACGAAAATCCAGACCAGGAATGGGTTATCACATACGCCGGATTTCAAAAGTGTGTGTCGGCGCAACGTCTCAGCATACCCCGTGACCCGGACGAGATGACGATGTACACATTCAACGACCACTATGCGTACGGCACCCTAGAGCTTGTTGAGAATTTTATGCTGGACTTCCAAGCGGCAGGACTGGCAGAGAGTGGCTGGAAAGAGCAATGGGCGTTGTGCGAGGGACTGGGTCTATTCATCCGTCACGGCTCGGCCGATGCAATGATGCAGTAAGTTCAGTCTACCGGAACCCTTTCTATTTGCAACCCTGTTAATACAACCACCGCTAGAATCGACGATGGGGAATGCGCGGTGGCAATGTCCAAGCTCGTCAAGACTATGTTCTTGAGTATGCTGGCGACACTGGAGCGCAACGGAGTTCTCAAACCGGATTCCGAGATCAAGAATCTTGGCCATATGATGGCGCTCTGGCTGCGCCTTGCAGAAGAGCCTTGCCCGATATTTTTTGAGATAAGGGAGTCGGATGGGACTCGTCGCTTGGCGAGTATTATCATGGCTTATGCGATGAAGTACGATATTGCGCTGCCGAATCCGGGCAATCTTGACTCCATCAAGGCAATTGTGGAACCGCGCGCTAAAAAGGTGAAGCTTCCTGCGCCAGAGTCTAAGAAGAATGACCCTTGGGACTGGAATAAGTCTCTGAAGAGTTATGTGGGCAAGTTCGAGGTGCCGGCTTTTGCTTTCGCGCCGGGTCCTGTTGGTGGTGATAAGCTAGATGTCACATCGTGGACCTCGGAGAGGCGCAAAAAGTATGCTTTCGATAAGAAAGATCCTCTTACCGAGGAAATGATTAAGGATCTGAGTGGGAAGCCCCCGAGCCCGGCGTAAATAGTGTTCAGGTTTATGAAGCTTTGGCTGAATGCATGTTCAAAATTAAATAGAAATGCACACATATTGAAATGAGGACTAGATTCACTAGGCTTCTCGTCCCTTTATCTTTAAGATCAAAAAATAAAACCACAGGGCCCCATAGCTTGATGTAGCCCATCCAGTAGTTCTAAGCGGTGGATCCAACGACCCCGCAGTCCAAAGCGACAGCCGACGAGAGATAACTATGTTAGCTTCTACCTCACCCTACAACTTAAATACCCTACTCTTGAACACCTAGATAGACACAGCAGAAGCCTCATACTCTCGCAAAATGGGCTCCCACGTCTGCTTTTTCTACGGTAAGTCCACCCCACCCCACTTCACACCACATATACCAAAGCTCACAAACCCAGGAACACTAATGGCCCCCCAAATCCTATACCGCGTCATCTACGGCCGCGTCGACCCAGAGCCCTGGCAAAAAGAGCTCCTGACATTCCAACCCGCAATCTTACACGGGTTCAAGCGCCATCGTGTCCGGAATCATAGTTATCCCGCCATCATTGCGGAATCAGGGACTACCGCTTCTGACTCTGTATCTACGGCACAAGATGTCAATGCCAACGCCAATGCCAGTGCCAATGCCAATGCTGCATCTGTGCTGGGGACTCTAGTCTCTGGTCTTACGGATGGAGATATTTACCGACTAGATCTTTTCGAGGGAGATCCGTATTCGAAGGTGGAGGTTAGTGTTCGGACGTTGCGGAGGGATGGGAATGAGAGTGGGCAGGGTAGTTTGTCGGATGTACTTGATGGTGTGGTGGGGAGTGTCGATGTGCAAGGGGGAAAGGAGGTTGTTGCTGTTACTTATGTGTGGATTGCTGGGGAGGAATTGCTTGAGGGGAAGGAGTGGGATCTTGAGACGTTTAAGAGGGAGAAGATGGCGAAGTGGATTGCGGATGAGAGTATGTGGTAAAGTAAATGGGAATAGGATAGCCTGGAAGTTTCAAGTTTGTGGGATAGATCTACTAGTAGTTACTTGGTGGATAACGTGAGTGTGAAGTTCTAGATCGGACTGACTGGACTCGAACTCGGACTTGGGCCCGGTAGAAAAAAGGTTGAACATAGAAATAGGTAAACAAATGGTATTGTGCTGAAGATGCTGGTATCTTATCTCATGTATCCCAAGAAAACAGAAGAAGAAACACGTTTAGGTCGTTCGTCGCTCGCCAACGCCTCTATCCAGAAACCGAATTACAATTCGGCTATGCATGTGAAAATAAATGAGGGAGAAAACAATAACAGAATAGGACGCAAAGGGGACTTTGAATAACCGAGACCGAGATGAAATGATGCTGTAGATTCAGAATGGAACGGGCGAAATCAACGTTTCTCTCTTCCCCGCGAGGACTCTTTCTAACCTTTCCCGGGCTTGAAGGAGGAGGAGGTGGTGTTGCCCGGATCTGGATCTCGACTTTGGGTATGTGATCCTTTTTGATAGGGTCGGACTTCTTGATTTTGAGAGGCTCGTCTGTTTTCCCGTGTTTCTTTTTCTCGGCCTTGGGAGGTGGGGCTTCGGAGCGTTTGGGGGAAGGGTCCCGGTTCGCTTCTTGACTGTCCGGTACCTCGACGACATCCTCGTCTTTCTCTTTCTCTTTCTCTTTCTTCTGACGCGAGTCCTTTTTGGAAGAATCTTTCCTGGGGGATGGTGCGGATGAAATTGCCTTGGACACAGTCGCGGTGGTGCCATTAGGTACTAGTTGAAGCTGGTCGGCCGTTGAGCTGTCATCCGAGTCGCTCCCAGAGCCACAGTTACCAGGCTTCTCGGCAAGTTTTTCGCTCTTCACAGCGTCGACTATTTTCCTTGGGGACTCATCGGCCTTTCTCTCGGCATCGACTGTTTCCCTTGGCGGCTCATCGTCCTTTTTCTCGACATCCTCGTCGCTGGAAAAAGACGGGCCCAACAGATGCGAGACGGGTTGCTGATCAGCCAGGATCTCCTGCTCCTGACCCTTACCCGCCTGAACCCGTTCCTGCTCCCGATACAACCGATCAAGAAAATCGCGCAGCCGTTGCCGAAGCAGACCCGAGCCCAACGGAGGCCAGTCATCCTTCTCATCCATTTCGCGCTGCAGCAGCTTCGTAACAAATTGATCCGGGTCCTGCACGAATTTCTCCAGGTATGCCAGAAGGTAGAGGCCGCAGTCGGAGAAGTTGGGTTGGAGGGGAATTTGGCGGGCTCGCATGCCCTTGATGTCCTTTGATTCGATGTGCTTACCTCGTTTCGAGGAGGATTCTTCGCAGATGTAATCGCGTAGGATCCGGACTGTGGGGGAGCGGGCGAGGTCGAGGGAGTCAAACGTGATGATTGTCGTTTGGTCCGGGTGGTATCTTTGGCCGCCTTTTCCTTTCTTTTTGGAAGTTGGGGTCTGGGATGCGGGGAGAGGAGACGGTTTGGGGTCGGTGGGTTTCGCTTTGAGAGATGTTGTGGAAAGCTTGAGGGGCGGGGGGTGGTGGTCGTCTTCTGCGGGCCATTCGTCGGCAGAACTGGGTTCCTTTGGTTCTGTTCTCTTGTCGGACTCATTGGCATCCTTCTCCTTTGGTGGCAGGTCCTTTCCAGCTTCTTCCAACGAGCCTTCGGTTGCTCCAGAGCCAGTCTCGTTTTCAAGTGACATGGACGCAAGGCGATTACGTGCCCTTTCCGAAGCTGGAGATTCCGTCGATCTTCCTGCTTGGTTTGTGCCCAGTTCGGCCTCGGGCTCCGGTGACTCAAGGATTTCATGAACTTCACTCTCTGTCTGGTTGGGGGGGACTCTTGTCGTTGGAAGAGGCAGACTCTGCCACATCGGCCTTGGCTTCAATTTCCTTGGTTTCGCCCAATAGTTTCGGCAGGTTACAGATAATAGCAACATACCAATGCGCACTCTGGTTGATCGGAACCACGACGTAATTATACCCGAACAGATCGACGTTCCTTGTCCACTTCGCGACACCGCTATAGTTGATTCCCCGGGATGTCTTCGTGAGCGTATCGTAGAAATAAGAGTTGAAGAAGTAGACCTGCTTCGCCACCTCGGGATTCGTTCGTTCCATGTGATCTTGCAAGAAGCGCATATAAAACGCGATCAGGTTGTCGTTGAGGAACTCGTCATCACGCAATCGATCGCGGTCTTCGACCGTGACTTCGGCCTTTTTCTTTCCATTTTGGGGATATACGAGTGGCTGCTTCCATTCATTTCGGAAAGGGTCTTCTTTGAGAGGATATTTGCTGAATAAGTCGGGTTTGTCGTTGGCATGGTTTTTGAATAAATCGGAGAGTCGAGTTGAGCGTCGTCCCGTCGAGCGGGTCTGTCTCTCTGCCTCAGGTTTTGGCTGAAACTTCTTGACCGGGATTTCCGTTCCTTTGTCGCTTTCGGCTGGTTGGACTTTTGAATCTTCATCCTCAACATCACGCTCTGTGAGGGCTGCAGCGGTTGTGTTCCTAGTTGTTTTGTCAGCTCATTTCAACGATTTCGGAATGAACCGGACATACCTCTTAATGTGATCCGTCTTATCCGGTAGACCTTCATTATCCCCCTGTAGGACAGACGATATTTTCTGGCGGGTTGACGGTTGCTGGATGTGTTCAGAGAGGGCATCTTCGATAAAGGATTTTTTGGGCACGCTGCTGAGTTTCGACTGCTCGGCTTCATAATGACGAAAAGCACTGTCCATAAACAGCGAGGGCTTGATTTGTATCTTTTTAGTTTGTTCTCGGACCAAACCTTCGAATCGGCCCTTCTCGGACAATGTGATGAATTCAATATCCACCATGTCGTATGGAGAGTCAGACGTCTTAGTGAGCTTTAAGCGGATTTTAAGACACTCATTACCCCCAAAGTATGCCGCAAAGATACGGCGCAGTTCGATACTGGTAAGGAAATCCTGACCAGATTCGGAAGTCATTTCACCGAGTTCGATCGTGTCCTCGACAACAGAAAACCGCAGCAGTCCCCTCGGACAAGCTTGTTTCTTGAAAGGGCCAAATCGAAGATACTCAACGTCAAAGTCAAACCTGCTCGGAATTTTGTGACTGCGCTTGGCCCTCTTAGAGCCTTGAATGGGCGAGCTTGTGAAGTCGGTAGGTTGGATATCACTCGGCGAGCGTTTTCGAGATGGAGACGGCTCCGGCTCATTATTTGGATTCTGGCGACCTGGCCGTTGTTTGGTGGTAGGTTTCGGTAACGTTGGAATCGTGGTGACGTCGCCTTGTAATACATCGGGACTTTCTCGTGAATTAGCAAGTCTTTGCGGCGATTTTGATCTGAAATTCGACCCGTTTTCGCGGTTGGAAGAAGAACTCGCTGTAAGTTCCACCGCGGCACGCCTTGCGTTGGCAGCCTGTGCGGTGAACATTTCGTCCTGGTCATCGGGCGGGTTCGGTTTGCGTCGATTGGGCCGTATCCGAGAATAGCTTCTGGGGATTTTCATGTATTCCTCCACTTGGCGGTACTCCTCCTGTTTGCGTGGGATGACATTTCGTTCTAATTTGCTCGACGTCTCGCTCGACACGGGCGAAACTCGACGCGGAGAAGTTTGGAGAGACAACTGGGTGGCCCTCTTCCCAATGGGATCCCGAGGTTTGGCGTGTTCATTATTGCGTGGCCGTTTGTTCGGACGACCACCCTGGTCGAAATCGAATGGCTCGTCTAGACGAGAGCGACTCTTCTGCGGCAATGAAGTTGGTTGCTGGGCCTTGCCTTGGGCCCGAACTGGGCCGCTGTCCCGTACATTTCGGGAAAGATTGTTCGTTGGCTTGAATGCGGCCGAACTCTGCTCATGAATCAGAAACGTGTCCATGCTAGTTCTAAAGCAGAGCAGATGACAGAACATACCCCAGGAATCTTCTTTCTCCCTTCACCAGGACGGATTCGCACAGCGTTTGTATCTCTATGTCGAAAAAGAAACACACCAGTTAGCAAATAGTCTCATCCAATTACAGCACACTCCCCCGAAACCGATTGTACAACATACCGGTATTTCCCAGATGGTCCTAGCAAACGGTCCTCCTCTGTCTGCTCTTCGCGAGACTTTCCAGCACTTCGGCTCTGACTCTGATCTTTGCCTAACATCTGCGAAGCGTCACCCGAGCTGGGACGGCAGAAATTCGAAATCAGCTTTGGCTCGCAGGCAGGGCCGCGGTGAGAGGGCATATCTACCGGTCACTGGAATCAACTGAAGCCCGTGATTGTGATCGCAATTGTCCACGGGGGAGTGTAGATGTAGATCCAAGGTGGGAGTAAGAAGTAAGAGTATTCGCATAACTCTGAGGGCTCTGAGGAGGGTGGAATCAGATCAGCTCAGTACGAGCCCGGGTCCGGAAGGGCCAAAAAAAAAAGCAAAAAGTCGGCAGTAAGAACAGTATTCGACGCAGGGATCCTAGGATCACTGGTGTACTAGTAACGTGTCGTCTCCAAAGGCAGGATAGGATGGGTGCGAAACAGGATTCCAGGAAACGCAAAGCCGGAGAGCTGTACAGCTTGCAAAGCAAAGGACAGCGAAGGCGAAGCTGGGGGAGCTTGCTAAGCTAACACACCTGCGGGAGCGCAGCAGTATCGCGCGGAGATTCTTGTAGTCGATTGTCTTGGTCGTCCTCGTCTTCGGAGAGTAAAGAGAAGTGATTCTGCTGATTTGTCGTAAAATCTCCTTGGGACGAAGAAAGGGAGACCTCGCGGCTCTGAGCAAGAGAGCGGTTGCGATCGTATGAGGGTGAATGGCGGTGCTGAGTCCGAGTTCGCAAAGATTGGCGATCGTCGGCCTGACGGTGACGCGGGCGATGCGGAGAAAGACTGGCGAAGATTTTGGAGAAACTGTCAAAGATAGGCATTCAGATGGCTACCTCGACTAGGACAGGACCATGCGCAGCAACGGTCCCATCTCGAATATATGAAATTTTCTTTGTTTGCGGGGACTGGACGTTTGAATTTGGAGGAACTTGAAGACTATCGCCGTTGCTTGGTTTATCGGGCGGTCAGAGGGGTAGTCTTTTTTGCCGCATTCTTGGATTTCAGCGATATATTCAAGTTTATATTCAGTTTATATTCAGATTCAAGTTTATAATACTCATTGGAATAGAATATCAGAGATCATCAAATACATTGGACATGTCGGGGATGGTTAATTAGGAGCCATCCCTTAACCATAGCGTGACTAGGCTAAAGCTAGCTTGAACTATCATGGATAACTGACATCTGCGCCTTCTGCAGATCCAGCAATTTTCGCATAGATAGAGAATGAAAAAGAACAAAAGAAAAGGATAAAACATCACGCGTGAGCTTGAAGGCACATAAAAAACTTGAGCAAAAAACGGAACCAGACATTGAATAAGTTCACTCAAGACATAAAATCCCAAATCAAACCGCTGAGTTCAAGTTCGCCTCGATGCCCCCCACCAGTCCCCGAGACCCAAACGCGCCCCAATGAGTAATTGTGCATGGTTTCTTTTTCTTTTTCCCTTTCTTTTTTTTGGAATGGCTGTTACTGTACAGGGCCCAAGGGCCAAGGTCGAGGATATGTAAGAAAGAGTTCATGACAGAGTGACGCCCTTGACTTTGTCCGAGTCGTCGTGGCCCGTGTTGCGGCGCCGTTCGGTTCCTAGGTGGCCAGTCGGGGTGGATCCGGTTGTGGTTGACTTTTCATGACGCGCCTGGTCAATGGCGGAGCGTTGGGCGATACTATCGTCATGGCTCTTCCAGACTATGTTGGTGTCTAGAGGGAATGCAAGAAGTCGCTTGATGGTTTCTCTGGAAGAAAGAGAGAAAAAGAAAAGCATTAGTTCCGCGAAAATTGAATCAAAAATGGAAGAGAGAAAAAATAATCCTGCACATACCTGATCTTAATGTTCCGCCCGCCGTCGTTTCGTGTCCAGACACTCAAGACGTCCTCGCCACCGCGGACACTCAGCACCGCACCGCAGACTTCATCCCCGGCTTCCGCAAACTGATCACCCACCATAGCCAAAAGCAAATCCTCCCAGTACCGATCAGCCACGCCTTTCTTCAACCGGACAATCCACTTGCCACCGCGCTTGTTAGCCTCATCCTCCCACACCGGACGAATGCCCTTCTTGAAGATGTGGTAATCCGACACCGTCGGAAGCAGAGAGGGCCGCTTAAGATGCGAATACGTGCCCCAAAAGCTCTCCACCGACGATATCGAGGCGAGCGGTACTGTCGACTTCTCGTAGTCGGAATACTTCGGTGTCGGAGGGCGGTACCAGACGATCCAGGTCGACTTGAGCGGGTGTCCGCCCAGCCCACCTCCGCCGGACACCGCGGCAGCGACCAGTTCCCTCGTCCGAAGCACCTCTTCATGATCTCCGGAGAACTCTCGCTTCTCTCCTCCCGGGGTCTTCACGTCTGAGGTACTCCCGCCGGGAGTCTTGGGGGCGCCGAAGGAGGCGAAGGCGCCGGATCCCAGACCAAAGGCGGATGAGGCGTTTGTGGATGGGGAGGAGACGCCCGTAGACATAGGGGATATGGCGTTGAAGGGATTCGAGCGGCCGTGGGAGCTGTCGGGGCCGAAGCGTTTGGATGAGCGGGGCAGGTCGACACGGGCACCGTCCTTGCCGTCCGTCCCGGACATGGAGAGGGACAATTTGGAAGAGCTGCGCGGTGGAAAGAAAAAAAAGAACGAGAATGTTAGTTTTGGGGGTAGATTTTTGGGGGTAAGGCGATCGGGTTCATGAGATTTACTTTGCTCGACGAGTCCACAGGTTGGCATTATCCATGGCGGCGGGTTAGACGGCCCGGGACACGAGCGGTCATCCGGGAGTAATAAAAAAGAGGAGAAAAAACGAGATTAACGACCAAGTAGACTTGAGATTGCGCAGATCAAATAGTCGTGGTTAATCAATGAGGTATGAGAGAAGTTGTGGTGCGACAGGTGGGCGCAGAAAAAGAGGCGGATCGGGATGGAGAGAGGGCGGAGGTGGTAGGAATGAGGTGACGGGATCGGGGTATCTTTTTGAAGGGAGGGATGGAAGGGCAAGGCGTAAGGGTAGAGAGGATAAAGGAAGAATAGAAGGAATTCGTATATGGAGTAAGAGAGGGGGAAAGTGGGTGGTGAATGGAGGGGAGACAAGATCAAAGTGAAGATGGAGTGGAATTGGAGACTCGAGAAAGAGCTCCATCTTTGCTCTCCAACCAATCACATTGTGTCTCGCCTGACTGCCCGCGCCGTCTTTTTTCCCGATGACTACCGCATAAAACCCCCCTTCTTTTTCCGTTTTTCCTTTTTTCTTTTCTTCTTTACGCAAGACCACCAACTCAAATCAACACCGGTGTTTCGCCTACTCTCCTGCTCCGGTGTTTCCGATGTGTGTGTCGAGATTAACAATCGCATCTAAAACCATCATCACGAGGGCTCTACAGCTTCCCATGATACGTTGATGACCTGATTGACGAGACACTCATTTACTGCTGATTCGCTTTTCTTCTTCTTCTTTTTTCTTTGTTTAGTTGTAGGGTACGTCCTGAATAGCTTCAATCCAATATTTATTATCTTCCATTTCGCTTCCACTCCACTCCACTCCCACTCCCACTCCCATAAATGATGATATCCTTTGAGCTCTCTGGTAATCCGAGGCCCCAACCGCCGCATTTCTACTGGCTGGTTGGGCGTGAGGTCGATTGGCAAAGTCTGATATGATGGAACCATCAAGCATTTTTCAATTTCAAGCACTTTACGTTCCCATTGCACTGGCCCTTGCTAACCTGTATTCACAACTACGACCTAGCTCCGATCTGACCCTGCCCTGACCCCTGCAGCTAGCTATCTCCTACGCTTGACATTCTCCACTCGACTCGGACCCATGAAGAACTTGGAACTTAAAAATTATTCCTACACACACAATGACATCCCGTCAACGACTTCTTCCCATTGGATTATTACAAAAAGTATTTGTCTTTCATAAATCTGCGGGCAATATGTCACAAAAAAGTAGGCCCTGATATCTCCCATAATAATTCCATACCATACCATACCATGCCACCCAGGAAGCTAAATGCAATTCCCCGAACCCATGCCCCCATGCTATAAGCGAAGAATAATCAAAAATGCACACTGTGGTCACTGCTGCTTCGGCGCTAAGTCTCCCGCACGCGTTTGGAGTCTCGATCGCTCGACGTCACGGATGTCTCTGCTTTGCGTTTTTCTCGGTCTTTTTGACTTTGATGCTCGGCTGCACGTCGAGCTTCCTTTCGTAGAGCTTTGGATTCGAATTCGTGCCAGTCCCCTTCAATATGCTCCAGTCTAAATAGTAAGTTAGTATCTATCATTCGGATACCTTTGAGGTTTGGGGTAATAAACTTACTCGATGGCTTGTTGCGGAGCGGGTGCTTCGGACGTGAAGTAGGAATGGTTGAGGACTTCTTCCGCACTCGGTCGCTTTGCCGGATCGTATCGGAAGATTTGGGAAATGAGGTCTAGCGCATCGGGAGATAAAATCTCGCGATACATATCTTCAAAGACTCGCTTCTTCCGTTCGGTGGGCCGCATCAGTTGGAACCAGGGCATCTCGACAAGGTCCGGCCAGTCGGCACGATTCGGTGTACCCAAGCAGTTGTAGAGTTTCTCGAGCTGGCTGAGCTCGCCTCCTTCGCCCGGGAATACGGCCTTCTTCGTGAACATTTCTATGAAGACACATGCGGCACTCCAGACATCAACAGCGGGGCCGTAGCGAGTTTCGCCGAGGAGAAGCTCAGGCGGACGGTACCAGATAGTGATCACACGGTTGGTGTAATCCAGGGGTCGGCTCTTTGAAAAGAATCGAGCTAGACCGAAGTCCGCATATTTTAATAGCCCTTGGTTGCTGACGAGAATGTTGGCGGCTTTGATGTCACGGTGAAGGACACCTCGGTGGTGAAGATAGTTCAGACCTCCGAACAATTGTTTCGCCAGGTCCTTCTTATGGGCGAGAGTTAGTGCGAAGGTGGGATGATTGATCAGGCCAGTGAGGTCATGCGAGAGATATTCGAACACCATAAAGCATTCGTTGTTCTCGACCATAACCTCTAAAAGGCTCACGACGTTGTTATTGCGGAGGTGTTGGAGCAGCTTGATCTCGCGCACAGCGGTCACAGGAAATCCATCCTTTTCGCCCTCCATTCGGATCTTCTTCAATGCAACCTTGCGTTGAGTATACACGTGGATTCCTTTGAAGACCTTTCCGTACGTGCCCGCGCCAATGACAGATTCATTGCCTGGCTTGCGATAATAGACGGAATCGGCCTTGGCAAATTCCTCGGACAGCTTGGGACGTGGCTTAGGGCGGAGGACAATCTTGGTTTGCTTCGGTGGAGGTGGGAGTTCCCTTGGTGGTTCGGGAGTGAAGTCTCTGCGACGATCTTGTCGGAAGTCTGGGCGGCGGTCTCCCCTTCCGCGCTCACGACGCTGGTCGAATCGATGATCTTCTCTTCGGCCGTGGGGTTCTCGGAGGTCTCTGTGATCCCTGTGATCCCTGTGATCTCTTCGGTCAAAGTCTCGTTCTCTGTCTCGACCACGATCTCTTCCGCGATCTCGACCACGATCCCGTCCCCGATCCCTTCCGCGGTCTCGATCAAAGCGATCAAAACGTGGTTCGGGCTTGAATTTAGGCAATGGCCCATTCGTCAATCGATTGCGAGGGGATGGTGCTTCAGATAGAGGAGGAGCACGGGGTGGCGGTTCGCGGACCTGCATACGCTGTGCAAGGTCAGGCACTGGCTTCGGAGCAGGCGCCGGCGTGCTTTTAGCTTTGAAGGTAAAGCTGATTTTTCCACGGCTCTCTGCCGGGCTAGTGGGCGGCGCATCTCGGGTAGGCGGAGGCATTTTTCGTGGACCATCACCTTCGGGTCCTGGCTGGACATCCTCTTCTCTTGAGAATGCCTTAGGAGCAGGTCGGAGATGGTCACCACTATCCACTGCCCTTGGAGATTGTGGATCATTGGCAGATGGAGGTCGTGTGGAAGGGGTTTGCGATCCGTGGTTGTGTCCCATTCTTGGGCTGTCTTGTCCAGAGTGGCCACGGGATCCAGGTGCTGTCCATTGTGAGTTGTTGAAATGGCCTTTGTCATCCATGTGCGATGATCTATTGTTGTTGCTCGAAGAGGGACCGGAGCCTGAGAAACGACGGTCGGGGCCCTGATGGGCGTGATTCCCGCGAGAGCTAGCATAGTTTCCACGGAAGGATGGTGTACCCTGGGGGTGTTGGGAGGAGGGATTCGGTGGGTTATCAAATGAACCACGCCTATGGTCAAATAGTTCCCCATGGTCACCATTTTTCGAATAGTAATTGTCTTGTCGGTAAGGTGATGTGTGACTAAACGTGTATGTGAGGTTAGTTGAGCTCATTTCTAAGAGAGTGTGATAGATGTGAAAGATCTGACTGACCCATGACCAGAATATCCGGACTGTTCACCACTGCGACCACCTCGTCCACTGCGATATGGGGAGCTTGGTGGAGGGGAGCCCCGATGAGAGGTTGTCGGTGTTGCGTATTGTGGGGACTTTGAGTATTGCCTCGTATCCAGACGCTGTCGAGAGGAGCGTGAATACTGCCTGTGAGCGTCTGACCCTCGCATTCCATGCAGAGGAAGTGCATCACGCACGTTAACTGGCCCATCTACTGGGCCACTTGTATTTCCAGAGTCATAACTTGGAATGGGGCGTGGAGGGGAGGGAGACCGAGCCGTATCATCATGGCTGGGTTTGATGAATCGGGCTGGGTTCATTGGCTCGTCGGGACGCGGATTAGAGGGAGATACAGAGCCCCGTGATCCGGATGAACGAACGGAGTGCCTTGATAAAGACCGAGAACGATATCGAGAATCTCGATCACTGTAATCGTCACTGCGTGAGCGAGAACGTCGGTTAGGCGACTGATGAAAGCTTCTGTCGCGCACGGGCGACTTCGATTGGGCGTGTCTCGGGATGTCAGAGCGACGACGGTCAGTTCCTCGGCGATCGCGACCTCGACGTGGAGACCGTCCCCTTGGGGCACCGCGACCTGAAAATCCCCGACCTCGACCTCGAAAAGGAGGGCTTCGATCGCGTCTGTCACTGTGCTTGCTGTATGAAGATCGACGGTTGGCGAATGGCGCACGCGGACCACGGGGCGATGGACTGCGTGTTCTTTGACGTTTTGATGGTGGACCGAACGGAGAGTCTGCTCGTCGAGGTCCCTGGTTATCTCTATCTAGAGATCCAGATGAATGGGCGTTCCGGTCGGCAGAGGATGGCGGTCGTGTATTATTTGAACGTTGAGGTCCATGGAATCCAGGGGAAGCGCCAGGTGAGCCACGCGGTGGAGAGCGTTGGGAGGCAAAGCCAGAGGAATCGTGAGATGAATCATGCCCAAAGCGGGAGGCGCGTGGGGGAGACCTTCCATGATAATCATAGCGACGGTCGCTACCACGAGAGTGACGCCCTCCTCGATCGCGATATCGAGCGCGACCTCGGTTTTGGTTTGGGCCTCGACCTCTACGCCTGTCCCGATCACGATTATGAAGATCGCGGTCTTGGTCGGCGTTCCACTGGTCTTTCAGTGACGGACTCCTGCGGGACCCAGCCATAGGAACGTCACCAGCGGCATCTGGTATTCGCTCGTAGGTAGACAGGGTGTTGAGAGCGCAAGTTGATAAAGTGCGTAGGTAGTAGGTCGCAAGTGAGTGGAGCCGATTCTCGTGTCCGCGTTGCTTCTGAGGCGGAAGTCTTTTGGGGGGGGGGAAAGCTCGGAGGAGCTTTTTTCCGGTCTCTATCGATGTGAGTAAGGGACAGGGGGTTTGGGGGGACGCACCAATTCTTGTAGGAAAGGTTTAAGTCCAAATTATACCTGTCTACAGGTGCTTCATCTCATTTGAACATTCAATAAGAAATTCAATGAGCTGGGTTTGTTCATCGTATGAGAAAATGGTGAGTGCGCGGATGCGGCTCTACAACGGAGTTCTGAACCACAGCGAGTGGGAGATGGTGTGATCAATCCAATCACTCGCTGCTCTATCTTGACCAGTTCAGTTCAGCTTTTTGCTTGTTCTTGACGGATGTCGCCGAATCTCCGAGTAGGTCTTTTGAGCCACGAGAAGGGTCATAGTTAGTCGTCCAGGCAGAGCCTCATTCCTATGGCCAAGTCGGGCCAAGGTTTTGTATCGGACTTGCCGGTTCTTTGACTGGAAGTCCGAATGGAATCACTGGATAGCCCATGGACTCATCTATCTACGTATTGAATAGGACCCAAGTAGTGCCTTCTTTTCCAAGAAACAATCTTGGCTTGGAAACATAAGCTCCAGCCAATCGTTTGCTGCCCTTGGCAACAAGTGGGATATTCCTTTCATCATCCTGAAGGGAGTGTGTGCAGTAGTCGACAGAGCTGCACCATGGCCCATAGGTTATCCTTGATCCCAAATCTCTTGTGAGGCATATTTTGCTTCGCGTGGTAGATGAGGGGGATGTGTGATCGCCGAGGGTTGGGATTTTGACAGCTCCGGGTTTCCCAAGTGTGTTTGTCCTCGATGGCGATCCGAAGTCAGAGTCACTGCTTCGCCAGATTGGTCGGTGATTTTACAGTAGATAGACATTGCTTCGTGCAAGTTCATCCAAGGAAGAGAGGGCAATTACCGCACCACGGCTAAATAAGGCGACGCAGATTGGCAGACATCCTATCTCAATCTTTCAGAATCAGGCCATGCTTGTAGCCAGTCCCTCCGAGCTCCACACTTATCAATATGTTCGTTCGGGTCCCTCAGAAGTGGGGACCGGCTATCAATCCAGGCTTTCTGGGGTGCGGCAATTGCCAACAGCGTAAGGATCATAAGATGTTAGAAGCGAATCAGTGTTATTTTGCGGACAAAGGCCAAAGACCCAGGTCTAGGAGTCCTTGAGCATTGCGAAGCTGCGTTTCGTGGTTTGGCGATTTGATGTCGACGGGTCTCTATCCACCCCGCTCGGGAGGAGTCAGTCGGTAGCGACCTCTGAATGAGAATCACATCGATGGACTTTTCAGTCTTATGGGGGCTATATGAAAAAGAGCTGCAGTTTCCAAGGAGGGGTTTGAGGATCAAAATCCAAATCTCAGTGTCAACTTGCGACCGAGCATGACGGATAGTCACGATGGTCCCACTCCCACCACTGGGCGCGTCAACATGGCCAAAGCGATCGTATCAGGCAGGGGATAAAACAAGAGAGAACATTGTGTCGCAGGGCTCAAATGATCTGTGTATCAGGTTAGGTAGTACGGGATATTTAACCAGCCCGTGGGCTAGATGAAGGAGTTGAGTTGCTTGGATGTCACGTTAGGCTGAGGTGTGTCGGGGAGGAAGGGGGCTCCACGTGATGAAACGCTATGCAAGCTTACCCTTTGAGGGATACTAGTTTATCCGATCCGAGGAACTATAGAGCATCACTGACAACTGCTAGTCCTTCGCATCGCATGTAAACTTGAATAATTTGTGTTTGTGATAGATAAATTGAGTAAAACGCAAATAAGAAGGAGGTGATTTATAAGTCTGAGATATCGATCGAAAAAGACCTCCAATTCCTAGCCAAACCACCAGCCGCTCACATCGCTGATCTAGCTCTTGACATTATCATAAACACCCTGACTAAAATTGTTAGGCGCAACATGATTGCAAGGAATACCAGAGCTGCCCTCCCCGATGATATTTGTGCACTGGAAAACTTCATGCTGCAAAATTGTTCCATACGCAGGCAGTCCCTTTGTCTGGTTGACACTTCGAAGATCCACATTTTCAAAAGAGATATTCGGACAAGGGTGTGCCTCAGAACAATAAATTGAGGCCGCAATATTATATCGCGAGGTACCGTGGATATTCGCCCAGGTCACATCCTCAATCTGCATCTTAGACGTATTGCAGTACTTATTACTTTCCTCGGTATAGATGCATTGAGAAATCTGAATCGGAAGACCAACGTTATCCATCTCGAAGTTGCGGAAGGTGATATTTTTGATCAAACCCCGACCTCCACCTCCGACGTCGCCGTTTGAATCGTGGTCTGCGGAGACACCCTGCCACGTTTTGATATAGGCACCGTCCATACAGTTCACGCACTTGACATCTTCGAAAGTGATATTGACATCGTAGTCGGGCATATCCGGATATTGACCCACAGAACCAATAGTTATACCATTACCACCATGACAGGTGACATTTCTGACTAGCAGATTCGTGGTATTACCCTTTGCGGCAATACAGTCATCCCCATTAGTGATAAATGCGTTCTCAACAAGCAAAGTATCACTATTCCAGGAATCATAGCCGTCAGTGTTGGTAGTATCCCACTGATCATCACTCGTAGCATTAACAAAAAAGTTCGTGATGGAGACATTCTTGCTCTGCCAGACAAATGCCGCCCAGAACTGCGGTTGGATAATCGTCAAATGGTCTGCCAGGAGATTCGTCGAATTGAAGAAAGTGATACTAATTGGACGTCCGGGTTGATTAGCACCATTCCGGTTCTCTGTGTACCATGCTTGTCCGTTTCCGTTGTACCAGCCTCCCTCGCCGCGTAGGGTGACGTTAGTGCCGCCGAAAAGCCACGCTGTCGATTGGTCTTGAAGAACAACTGAGTAAGAGTGAGAGCGCCAGTACGATATGTCGTCGGAGAAGCGAAGCTCGCCACGAAGCAAGACTTCGCAGTTCACGAGGTTGGTGGTATTTAGGATGGAATTGATGTTGAATGTGTGGTTTGAAAAGATCACTGTCCCGCCGTTTCCGCAGATATCGAATGCTTGATGGATAGATGGCGCATCGTCAACGTCCTCTCCATCATGGGTGAGGGACTCGGGGTATAATGTGCAGGTGTTGTTGTTATTGACGACGTAAGAGGCCACGGCTGTGGCCCAGGTAAGGAGGATCCAAGGCTTCATGGTTCAATAATGGTTTTATCTGAAAGGCAAGCTTCGGACTTTTCAAAGGAAATGTAAGGTTATAGTTGTGCTCTAAATACTTCACAGTTTCCCCACGGGGCTCTAGTAGTGTTCAGAGTAAGGTTCGACATTAATAACCGCATGTCTGTGCTCTCAAAACTGTGTTACATCGCGCTTGAGAAACGTCATATTGCAATTGCCGATATCACTTCTTATATATCAATATGGAGCGGTTATTGAGCCAATATGCTTCAGAAGCCGAAATTTCGCTCAGGCCTCAAGTAGCAGCTTCAATCTGGGGATGTGGTTGGCGATCAGGATTTTTCCCCGCGGGTAGACACGCCAACAGTAAGATCAACCTCTACATTTCCTCCCGCGGAACGGGTATTTGGAAGACTTTGTTCCGAATGGGGAGCTTGGCTAGAAAGCTTGGTGGTCCCTGCTATTCCCTTTGAGGTCCAAGCGGCTCTGGGGGAATCAACCCACATACCCCGCTTTCTGATCATCATCAGAGCAACCATCACTCATGAATTGAAGCATGTAGTTGTCTTGTTAATATTTGGGGGCAGTAGAGACCACTGGGTGCTTGACCTAATGAACCTACAATCAGATAGGGAAATTTTGAGCGGAGTTCATTTTGCATAACTTGATTTTTCCTAGATCTAATAGTTGATAACCCGAGTCCTTTGACTGAAGTTGTACCATTAGGAGGTCTGATTTTCCTCATGACGATATGTCATGTCTAATGCCTAGGTGTACCATCATGATTCACACAAGCATGCGATCATTCACAATCCATCCCGTCGTCCCCGAAAAGTGATCTAAGGTCATCGGCGATATCGACATCCCCCATCTCAATATCATTGTTTTCCCCCGCCGTTGACATTGGGGATGCCGTTGAGATTTATGGTATCACTATGACCTTCACTGCTGTAGACACTCTCAATAATATTGAGATCCCCAGTCTCGACAGAACCGATAACATTCTCCAAACCCACACCCATACCCCCATCCCGCTCCCCCTCCCCCTCCCTTGCAATCCCAGACATATTCCGAAAACTCTCATAGTAAAACCTCACCAACCGCGTATGCTCCGTCTGCACCGCCGTAGTCCTCGGTACCCCCAAAATCTTCGCAAGCGCACTTTCCCGAATAGCCGGCGGAATACCCTCATACCTCGGCCGATCAGGGCAAGAGATATTGATATCGGATTCACCTGCAACAACGATCAGCTCGCTGTACTCGTGCAGGTTCGTGTTGATACCCGACTCGTACATTTCCGCAAACATAGTCTGGACACTATTGGCCGGTATTCCCGCCACGAGCTGCTGCTGGATCAAGTATGTTTGCAGTGGGAGGCTTGCGTCTTCCATATTGCGGATCGTTGTCTCGAGGGAATCGAGGAATTGGGGGACTGCGTTTGTGGACGCGGTGTGTGATTCTGGGGTCTAGGAGCATTCTGTCGAAGAAGATGAAGTCGAATTGGTTTGGGGGTAGGCCGCCGTTTATATTCATCGGGTCGGGGCATGTGTGTGTGGGAGTGGTTCCCATGACATTGTATTGATTGTTAGGGCTTTGATGTTGGGCTTGTGTCTCTGGGGCAGGGTCGAGACCGGGATTTGATAACGATGATGATGCATGCATCTCGAGGTCGAGGGGTGAAGCGGCCATGGGAGATGTAAGTTCCGCCATCGGAATATTGGCCGTTTCATGAAATACTTCCTGCCTATTTCGAGGGCAAGTTCCGGTGTTAAAGTTGTTCGGTTGATAGTCATCAAAATTGGGATTCATGGGTGTTGGGTCAGCTCTTGGGGTCTGGAGCGCAGTGCTGGTGCTTTGGGCCATTCTCAGAGCAAATCTTTCGGCGTCGAAGGTCCATGTTGTACGAGCTGGATAATCGGAAGCTTCCAAAGCTATTCCGGTGCTCGAAAAGCTTGAGAAATGTCTGCTTGGGACGGGACGCCCCTTAGTATCGACAGACGTCATTGCGAGAAAGTGTTTGGCGTTAAATGCGTTTCTTGCGTAATTGGATGTCTGAAATTGTGTCATCCAGGAAACTGGGCGCACGCAGTGAGTTTGAAGGGAATTTGAACTAAAACAGCAGTAAGTGAGATTTCCTCTTCGCGTGGATCGGTGTTGAAATAGTACTCGATAGTGTGGCGTATGGAAATTTCGACTTACCGAGTGAGCTGTTAGATCTGCTTGTCTTTTGCAAACAAGATCTTTCAAACCTTTGGATATCCCTAGTATGGGTCTTCGAGGTCGTCTTTTGGGCCGAGGGAGAAAACTGGAGATGCTTTTCAGAAAATGATTCACGCAAACATCGAGTCACAGTTCAAATTACTCACATAAGGAACATCCCAACGGCAAATGGTGAGCAGGATCTGATGAGATTCGGCAGGCTTCACTTCCAGAAGACATGGAACTGAATATTGATGAAGATCGAGGCCAAGGATGATATCAGAAACAAGTATGGGAAGTTTGAACTGGTGTTCCTTGAGGAGACACTTCTCGTGCTTCACTACCGTGGGAGCGGCTGCCATGGATCACGCCATACCCAGGCCGCCTCCCCTGCAATTTGTGCCTACAAATTATGGAAGCAAGAGTGAATGTTCGATCCCTGGTCCCCTTATTTTGTTTCAAGGGAGCAGGGTTAGGTTAAGTACCACTCCATTGGGATCAATACTAGTCCTCTCTATCGCTAATCTTTCGATCCTGATTGACTGAATTTCATGGCATAAAAATTAGGAAATAGGCACACTTTGCAAAAAGAAAGATTTGATCTTTACATGTGTTAGGTATATTGGGTTGAGACATATACAAAATCGGCAGAAATAGCCTATCGTTAGGGTGTTGAGAGTACAAAGAATGTGAAACATCATGTGTTGAAATAGCCTCGCCGGCGCGCCAAGAGGTTTTGAGTCTCCAAAAATCAAACTCCAACAACTTCCACAGGTTGAAATAGGTCCCGTGTAGGGGTGTTAGTCTAAAGGTCATGAAATGAAAGGGGTTCCAGCTCCAGCTCCAGCACAGGGGAGGAACATGGATGGAAGGACTTTGTCCTAACGCTCCAGTTAGAGCGATCGGAAATGGTGCACGGGGCCAGTTGGGGCCAGTTGACACCAAGATCAGAGAATGGAACCTGAACAGAAATTGCCAAGGTATATGCAAGAGAATCTGAAAGGTCGGAAGCGCATGAAGGTCCATAGATGCTAGATCACGGATATCTTCAATAAGGAGCCAAGCCAAGATTAGAAAAAGGATGAAAAAGAAAACCTGTTGAAAGGTCACCGCCAAAACTCCGAATGCGTAAACTTTAAATCGAGCTTTTGGGCTCGGTACTGAATGGTATGACAGATGGCGGAAATAAATGCTTATCTCCTGTGAAGGAGAGTCAAGAATTCTTCTCTGGTCTTGGCGCTCGAGCGCATGCATCCCAGCATGCAGCTAGTGGTCGTAGTGCTGCTAGTCTTCTGCACGCCACGCATAACCATGCACAAGTGGGAGGATTCCATAACGACACCCACGCCGCGGGGCTTCAAGACCTCCGAAATGGCAAGAGCAACCTGCTTAGTCAAGCGCTCTTGAACTTGCAGTCGGCGAGAGAACATCTCAGCCAGGCGAGCCAGTTTGGAGAGGCCAAGGACACGACGATCCGGGATGTAACCGATATGCATCTATTCTAGCGATCAGCACTATTTCCCGGAGGGGGAGGTGACAAGTAGATGTAGCACAACTTACCCTTCCAGTAAAGGGAACCATGTGATGTTCACACAGCGAGAAAACTTCGATATCCTTCACAATGACCAACTCGTCATGGTCCTCGTGGAAAACGGCACCATTGACTAGATCTCGGACATTCTCCTCGTAACCCTTGGTGAAGTAGAGCATAGCCTTGGCATAACGCTCTGGAGTCTCACGAAGACCCTCACGCTCTGGGTCTTCACCAACACACTCCAGAATTGTCCGCACGGCACCGGCAAGCTTCTTGACTCGCGCTTCGTTCTCCTCTGGGGTTGACTCCAATCGCTGCCGTGTTCCGGGGCCTGGTTTGGGTAATGATTAGTTTGATATCCTGTCCACGTTCAATCAATTGATTGAGATCACTCACAAGGCCAGCTCAATCCGTCAAAGTCAACGGGAGGGGCCAGTGTATAGGGACTGGCTGGGCGACTAGCTGTCGCAGTAGGGGTCAATGGACCACCTTCATCCCGGGGGTCACGGGGAGGGTCATTCAGACTGGGTCGGCCACTGGTATCTTGTGAGCAAGTGATACAGAAATAACAATATCAATTGAATTGGTATCCATACCGAATAGACAAGGCACCGTGCTGAGCAGGAGTAGTTTGGCTGGTACTGGCGGGAGAATCATCCGCGGGGGCGGGGCCCGCCTGGGTTGACTCAGGGTCTTCCCCCTCGTCCTCCTCTTCAGCGGTCTCAAAGCCGACAGGGACACGAGGAGCAAATGAAGATCGAATGGAGGTATTCAGACTCTCTCGCTCACGAGCATCGCGAGCACGGGTTCCACCACCCGGGGCGGAGGAGGATTGTAATGGGGAGCTGCCGTTGAGCATGTGGGACGGGATTGCCGAAGGCTTCGATGGGGGAGAACCGGAACCCATGATGTCTGGGGAAGAGGGTGAAGATAATCCAGACACACAGATAGAAGGAATTGATCACGAAGGATGACCGAGAAATAAGAAATCCAGTAGATCAATTGAGTCAGCACCATATGATGACTTCTACTTTTTTTTTTTGGCGCAATTGCAATCCGATCACGGGACGCTAAACCTTTTTCGCTCAGTCACCCCTCATTTTTCATGCCACCGCCTACCCAAAGCGGCTGTCGCCCGCGGAGCACCGGTGCCACCGCCGGGATCGACAACGTTTTTTCTGCACTCTGCAATGCTGATTCGGGATTTTCAGGAGAGTTGAGCATTGGAGGCCAGATTGTTTATAGTTGAAGTAAACATTCTGCACTTTGGGAAATTTGGAACCACGATGACCCGGAAAGCTCTGGATGGATAAAACTGCCCTTTTAGTTGAACGATTCCACCGGCCCGATAGTACTGCTACTAGTAATACTAGTGCTGTCATTTATATTGCAACGGGCGGTCCAAGATTCCAAGTTCATTCAAGTTGACCATCTGCGCGACCTTCAGGATCTTGGGACTTGGGATTGCCATGTCAAACTTGAATAGGTCATACATGCCTAATAAGTACCTACCAGGTAGGCTTGTTCACAGTCGACCGAAATCGTCCTCCATAGTCGATTATCTGAGTAATAGGTCACGTTGGATGACCTTACAAGCGCCCGGTTTTGTACCTTCGAGAATGCCCATGATAACCTTGGAAGCCTCGGAGTTTGTAAAATTTTCGAGGCAGACGGGGAACCTTTCCCACATATAAACCACACTCCCGCTTATAGGACATATTTTTATGCAGAAAGGTTCCAGTTGGCAAACTGGCAGCTTCTAGTTCTTCCAAGCGCGAGATATTCTAAAGGGCTATTTAATATCTTTCACCAAAACATCTACTCTATTTTTATATCACCTCATGGGGGCATCTAAAAATTCTCATAATATTTGTTTTATTACTGGCCTGACGTGAATCAGGCCCCGGGGGTGATAGATGCGAAACTCCGATATAAAGAATGATATGAAAATGCACTATATGAACGATTTGAGAACGCGGTTGGTGGTGACTAGAATAAAGACTAAAAAAACCCCAACAGAAGAAAAATGACATGAATTTACGTACAGTTGCTTACTGACTTGCCGGCATGTGGCTTATGTGCAGCTAATAAGTAGCTCAGTGGCTGGTTCCCGGGTGAGATCACCGCCCTATGGAGTGTGCAGTAGACATTATGGGAATCAGCGAAGTCGTACAACCGCCCCACAGACCCTCTCAGCTGAACGACGATTTATAACCATTGGTTCGCATCGTTCCACCTGAAATGCTCGTTGTCCACAACTTGGACCCATACTGTCTGTGGTGAACGTTATAGGACTCCGAAAATGCACGTACGTACGTCGAGCTCAAACCAGCTTTACATTACAACGATAGAGATTCGGAAGCTATTCTGATAAAGTGGATACGCTGATGAAGGTCCAATTTACTACAAGGTTATGCAAACTCCAATCCTTGAGCATACAGCTGAAAAGGGAACAACATGAAAAAGAATAGTATACATATAATATTCGACTTCTGGGTTGAAGTGGAAATGGTGGTATCAGTGTCAGCTCGTTCTACGCTGAAGGCATCACCAGAAAATCCCCATCCGAGCACTTGAGACCCGCTCTCCTGCATTTATCAAGCCGTAAGACATTGGAGCTCGTATTTGTACATGAATTTTGAGTTTGGCTCTGACGCGGTAATTTAACCGACCGGAAAGCTTAATTTGACTTAGAAAAGTATCTCTTTCTGCCATAGATGTTCAGCAATATTCGAAACTGGCTTCCATGTTTTACACAGAGAAACTATCTCAAGCCCCACCGCCAAGACGAAAGTGAAATCGACTAGGCCTGTTTTAGCTAGGCCTCGGTTCATCCTGGTTTAGAAAAGTCTTGACGTACGGTACGGAACATGTCAAGAAATACAGGCCCGCCAGTTAATCCTTGTTTAGAAAGAGGAAAGAAATTTCAGAAACGTCCATACAAGCCAGCGGGTGTTGCCATAGTCTCTTGCAATCTGACAATTGATAATTTTATTAGATACGAGCTACTTTCTGCACACTATTATACCTACTGCATTCGGAAGCTATGTATTTTAGTGAACATTATAGAACCTAGACTGCTGGACATTATATCGATCTGCATCACTGCAAGAGAAACAGCCGTTCATCCTTGCGATAACAAAATCTGTTAATTTGCTTGATTTTTTTTTCAGTATCGACAAGCAAAGCTCTATCCAGAGGAGTTGAATAGGCAAAGGTCCTAGTTTCTACTAAAGAGGCGCGAGACGATTGTGCGCCTACGATGTCCGCCAGGTTTGGAAAGTCGCTCTGAGGTTTGTGGGTTAATGACAGGGTTGATGACAGGGCTAATGACAGGGGTTTCCTTCAAGAAACTGAAGATCAAGACACGACCTGATGAACAGCCGATTGCCATATTTGAAGGTATGGTTGATGATGAGAAAACGGCCGGCCGACACTCTGAGGGCAACCATAGAAGGTTTTCTCCTTTGTAGGTTATCCAGGTGCGATCATCATTCAAGCCATACCCTGTTTGATGTGGCAGGGGAGCCGAACGGTCAAGGGAGGTCTTTATAGAGACAACATTCTCAAGGTTGAATGTGCCAACACCAGTATGCAGATGATTTAAACCGAGTTTTTCAAATTGAACACTCTCATCACAATAAGCAGCAAAGGTTGATGTGCACCGGCCAGTGACTGGGTCCCACATCCTGACGGTCCTATCATCTGACGCTGATCCGAGTCGGCTTCCATCCGGCGACCAGGCGATTGACGTGACGAGTTTGCTATGCCCCTCGAGAATTGATGTGCACTGGCCGGTGACCGGATCCCAGATCCTGACGTCCGCATCATATGATCCTGATGCGAGTTGGCTTCCATCCGGCGACCAGACAATTAACGTTACAGACCTACTATGCCCTTTGAGGGTTGATGTGCACTTGCCAGTGGCTGGGTCCCAGATCCTAACGTTCTTATCATCTGACGCTGATGCGAGTCGGCTTCCATCCAGCGACCAGGCGATTGATCTGACCCAGCTGCTATGTGCCACGAGGGTTGATGTGTACTGGCCAATAACCGGGTCCCAGATCCTGACGTTCGCATCATCTGATCCTGATGCGAGTCTGCTTCCATCTGGCGACCAGGCAATTGACCTAACCCAGCCGCTATGCCCTTTGAGGGTTGATATGCACTGGCCAGTGAGCGGGTCCCAGATCCTGACGTTCCCATCATCTGATGCTGTTGCGAGTCGGCTTCCCTCCGGCGACCAGGCAACTGATATGACGGACTTGCCATGCCCCTCGAGAATTGATGTGCACCAGCCAGTGACTGGGTCCCACATCCTGACGGTCCTATCATCTGACGCTGATGCGAGTCGGCTTCTATCCGGCGACCAGGCAATTGACGTGACGGATTTGCTATGCCCCTCGAGAATTGATGTGCACTGGCCAGTGAACGGGTCCCAGATCCTTACATCCGTATCATATGATCCTGATGCGAGTCGGCTTTCATCCGGCGACCAGGCAATTGACATAACAGACATACTATGCCCTTTGAGGGTTAGTATACACTGGCTAGTGACCGGGTCCCAGATCCTCACATCCGCATCATATGATCCTGATGCGAGTCGGCTGTCATCCGGCGACCAGGCAATTGATGTAACAGACATACTATGCCCTTTGAGGGTTAGTATGCACTGGCCAGTGACCGGGTTCCAGATCCTGACGGTCCTATCATCTGACGCTGTTGCAAGTCGGCTTCCATCCAACGACCAGGCAACTGACAAGATGAACCTGCTACGCACTTCAAGGGTCGATATACACTGGCCAGTGACCGGGTTCCAGATCCTGACGGTCCTATCATCTGACGCTGTTGCAAGTCGGCTTCCATCTAGCGACCAGGTAACTGATAAGACGGACCTGTTGTGCCCCTCGAGGATTTGAAGGCATGAACTCCAATCGTCTGCCATCGCTGATTCATTCACAAGCCAGCCTGGTCTCTCCGTTTGATAGCAAATTTTAGTTATGCTCTGGGTTGGGCTAAAAATTAGCGATGAGCTGTATATTTGAAGGGGGCTGCTCTCCGTAGCCACCCTATGGTATCGAATAAATCGAGACGCATCACCGACTCGCTTCAAAAGTGCCTGTGAAATGCCTTTTTTGACCTATAGCGCCTACTTATTAGCAATCAAAATCCGTCGCTTTAAATGTGACCGCTAACCTGGAGTAAGCTATCAAGCTTGACTATCGCCGCTATACCTTCAGAAAGGCTTCGAAGAAGGCTGAGGGCTTCGATCCAATGGAGATATTTCTCCCGGAAGAAATTTTCCACGGCGCGACCTTCTTGGAGGCCCTGATCAGTGTTTGGGCTAGAATCGCAATCCTTTAGGTGGTCGACCCAATAGACACATGAGTATCGTGCTATTGCCAATGGATCCGGATTACGATCCTCGACTCGTTCAATTGGAAATCCAGGATGTTTGATATTGTAGATATCGCGTCGAAGTGTCTCGGATATGGTCTGTAAAGACCGAAAAAAAGATTTCCTGATGTTTGGCTTTGACACCCTGGGGGAAAACGGAAAACTTCTTGTTTGATGCATCTCTAAGCAGAAAGTCTGCTGCGGATTGGTGAATAAGAGAGACTGTACGGCCACGGAGGCTTAGAAAAGAACCACAGTCCACAATCAAATCTGTCAAATGTTGGTCTTTTTTGGAGACATGATCAGGTATTTCGACCAAGGCTGGTAGTTCTTCAAGAGTAATGGGCCGGTACACAATCGTAACGACGGCTAAAATACTCCTGCAAAGATTTGCATCTTCTGCATCCTCTGAGTCTTGGATATGCTCTATCATCCGCTCATACAGGGGATCCAGCCCTGCTGGAAAGGCATTCAGCAGTTTATAGGCGTTTCGCGCTTTTCCTTTCTTGAGCTCCTCACAGACTAATGCCACCCAGAGGAAAGTGCCAAGTGCGTTAGACAACAAGTGGCAGCGAACCGCTTCAAGAAGTTCCGCATCGAAGTTCTTCAGCTCTGCCAATATCTGAACCTTATAGTGAATGTAGATGATCACGGCCTCGGAGATGGAGTTTTCGTTCAACTCCAGGCAAAGCCTTACTTTTTGATCCGCTTTATCAAGAGACTCTTCGATGTCCGTCCAGTTACGACTGGAGACAATCCATTTGACATTCGGATTCACCGATGAGTTTTCGGATACAAGATCGAGAAGTAGGGGTAGGTCGTGGGTGCATTCGTCGAGTCCATCAATAATTAGATAAGTGCTCTGTAAGAGCGGATCTTTCAGGATGTCAGTGAAGATCCTTGACAATGCGTGCCACGCATTGACACCCTCAAAGAGATCTTTTCCAGCTTTATCGTACTCTTTTCGTATATGTGGGGTCAAGGCTGGCTGCTTATCGAGAATAAGATACAGTAATCCGCGTAGAACCGCCGTAGCGCTATTGATGCGTGGTTCAGCCGCCTGGCAGAAGAAGAAAGATATCGTGGTCGTGTTTCCAATAGTTAACGCACTTAGTTCATTAATAATTCCGCACAGGAGCATTGTCTTGCCCTTCCCAGGATCGCCCTTGATCCAGAGCAGCCGACTCTCTGGGTCATCTTGCCACTGCTTGAAATCGACATGGTCGAGGATCCAGCGATATGAGTCTTTCAAAAGTCCACCCTTGTCGCTTTCAATCCGATCTTTATCATCGCATGGGTTCGTTACTCGCAAATGCTTCAGGCATTCTTGGTCTGCGAAGTTGCTATCAGCCAGGCGCCCCTGGAATTTTCAGCTTTTAAATTTACCGTCTTTGGGGCCAAATTGTGCACTGATGCTGCCATAATTTGCTACCATTTGCATTCCATGGTTGAAACCGCTGCATGTATTGCCAGATGACATGACGGTAGTCAGAAGGGGGTTGAAGAAGTTGCGAAGCAATGTGTAGTAGCTGAGTATTTTTTAGCTCAGCGCTTCCTAGAATCAGGTGACTGGCTTGTCGACGCTGAACCCCGCACTCGGGGGTTTAATCCTGGTCACCTTCGCCAATATACTTAATTAGCAGTCTGCTAAAATCTGTGCTAGCCTGTAGGCAAATAGCACCAGAAAAGATATTTTTCTATCACGGCAATGCTCGCCTATTCCTCTATCACGAGTCCTGAGCGACACCGATATTGTCGACATGCTAGCTAATGGAACCAGCCACGGCTGTTCACGGGGTTTCCGATTGTACTCAGATATTGCTGCAACCCAGCGCCATTACTGGACACAGTAGCAACGATCGGGTGATACTGTGGGATTTTCCAGCTCGAATAGAAGGTTGTTGGTGTTAGAATGCAGGCTGCATCCAGCGGCATCGGCCATCTGGGACGTGGTGGAGAAATGGCTTGGTGTTATATCGCGAATTCTCTGGTAGAAGAAGGCAGAATTTGAGCCATTTTGTGCGTGGTTGGTGGTTGGTGGCGTTGAAGGTGATGTGGGTGGGCTGCAAATTACATGGCGTTGGACGGTGGGTGAGCATAGAAAATAGCGCGACACGACCTTGGTGTTTCTGTTTTGTCAGGTAATTTACATTTCCATTCTGACAAGCAGGGGTGATTGTAGCCTAGCCTAATTAGGCCTAGGATATCACTATCGTCTTGGCGGTGGGGCTTGAGATAGATTCTCTGTGTAAAACATGCAAGCCAATCTCGAATATTGCTGTAGTCTTCTCAACAGTTACTGCAACTCTTTCCTGCATTTTAATTTTCGACGGAAAAAATCAATTAGTGCCTTCTTCAAGCCTTTCGTATGCCTGGAAAGAAATGCCGGCTTCGATTCAGCGAGTAATTAAGATGGAACCGGGATGGAAGTAAGAAATTCTAGGTATAATCACGGAACTGGCGAAACATCAATCTTTACATCATCCTCTGTAAACCAAGATTTAGGTGCGGATTTAGGCCTCCAGAACCGTATTGGGCTTCTATAGTGTGACTGATCTCAAACATTTCTCCCGAATGTAAAAGTGAGAATTTGGGGTGCTAGGCAAGCTGAAACCCCGCATGGGACAGAATGTAGCAACCCTTGCCAGCCTATCAGGATGCAGATGGGATACGAAGGGAGTGTCTCCCGATACCATAAGCGATAAGCTTTGTTCACAACCCGGGGATTATGTGCTGGAGGAAACACATATAAGAAGAATCATATTTTCGTTGCACCAGGTTTCGTCCCTGAAATAAATCTCCCCAATTGCAGCTTTTTCGAGCACATAAGTAACCCAGTTTCAACGATGGATGACATGGACGAAGTCACCTGGCATGATGATCCGGAGGATTACGACAATGATGATGATGAGGCTGAGAACCTTCGTTCCGTCATTGAAGTTGTTGACGCGAGGCTAGTTGATCCTGAAGAGATCAAAAACGAGGTTTCGTAATTCTCACCTCTCCATTTTGACTGTGTTGATTCTGACGCTTGAATTAGAGGAATGCAGCAGCGCCTCGAACGAGATGTGAGTGCCTCTGAGGCCGCTGAGGTCGAAGTGGTCGTTGATCGGCAACCACAAGACAACTCAAACGAGGTCATCCGCGGAAGTATACAGGAACTCACCGACGCTGTAAATCGTCTACGCGCAGAGATCCAGGCGCAGCCCGAAGGCCCGCTGGGTATCTCAGCTCGTAATTGGCAAAGAGTCAAGTATATTGCTGCCGCAGGATTGGGAATATACGCGTTCACGTCGGACACGTTCCAAACCGTCAGTTTCATACAAACTGCTGTGACAGGCTCGATGTTTCTGCAGACTATCGAGCGCCTATATGACGCAGACGATCCGGCCACAAAGAATCGACAGGCAGTAATTAAATGGGTAAACCAAGACGAGAATTCGTTTTGGAAGTCGTGGGTGTCTCTGATTTTGCACATTATTTGCTTGTTGCTGATATATTTTGACCACTCTAGACAAGCTGATTACTATGTGCCGAAGACCAAGTATTCGTTAATTGCGCAGATCAACAATGCTCAAATGATGATGTATGTCGCTGGTGGCAACTCCAAGTTGAATCCTGTCATTCGATGGAACGCGGCCGAGAAGCTGGCTGTCGTGCAGGGTCTATCGAAGACGTACCTGAAAATGGTCCGTATGCCCCGTATTCTTTCGTTAGGAAGAGTTAATCAGCTGACGTTTGGGTGAATGTAGGGATCCCGAGCGATGTATCTTTCAGTGACCTCATACGAGCATGAGGGCAAGCCACTGCCCCGAGTCGCTGCTCTAGGGTGCGTGTCGCTTGCACTCGCGCTGGTTGTCGAATACTTGCAGGCTAAAAGCGGAAATACACTTCTTCTTCGTTCTGATGTAGCCGGGGCCACTCTTGAGGCTACCGATCGCCCAGCCAAACACTTCGAGCCCATTTTTGTATTTCAGAAAGTTTTCGATCCTGATTTGGAATTGCGGGACTACGCACGACTAATCACCAAGGCTTGGAATGCTACGATGCACATCTCGCAGAAAGATGAGCCTACGCGCGATCTGTTCCTACATAATCCACCGAAAAATATCATCAAAGAAGAGCTTATGATGGACGAAGCTAGTGAGGTCTTGTCGAAATTCACTGATGTTACTGTCAGAAGCAAAATACAACAAATCGTTGATCGATTCTTGGCTGTGTGTTCAACAACGTATCCTCTCCTCCCGGAGAAACCATCAATGGACATCATCTCGCAATGCTTACTGGTCCTTACCGTTACGCAGTACCTGGAGCCATAGCTTATGTGCGCAAAACAAACGAGGCAGAAACTGTTTTCATTGCTCATCAAGTGCGTTTCGATGTGTCTACTGGTCACCCTGCACTTGTATATCGACAGGCCATGCAGGTGAGCACTACTTGCCTGATTTACTTTGCTGATACTAGTAGCTCGCAATCCTGATAAAATCGTATAGATCTCCAAAACTCCAATCACCAAGATGCTACGATTCAGCGAGTCTAACTTGACCGATGCCGACTTCTTCAAGACATACATAGGCCCTGTTGCGCAGACGCTCGCATTTGCGTTGCCTCCGCCCTGGAATGTTTTCGGATCTGCAGGGTTTCAGATACTTGATGAGATCTTTGGTGCTTTCGGAAGCGGCCCCAATCTCGCCTTAGTTATTAAGGACCTTCTCGAGCAAACAGTCCAGGCTATGAAGAATCTCTTACTAGATGATGCCGTTCGACAGGCCACAAACTCTATCAACGCATTCATTGAGTGGGTCTCCATAGCCACAACCGGGCTTGACAACTTGACCTCAGACAACGAAATCTGGATTGTAAGTTGATCGATATGACGAGCTCAAGCCAGATCACAGCGCAGAAGCTTACTTGTTACCATTTTGACCATAGAACGAAACACTCATTACGCTCGGTGACGTGAATAATCCAAGTTTCACAGGCAACATATTAAACGATCTCATCACTCTGACGAGTCCGGAGCTATGCACTATTCAGAGAGACGAAGTTATCAGCCTTGCTTTCATGGCAGCGAGCTCCCTTTTCTTTTCGTATCGCCTTCGTTGCCAACTTTATTCGTTATTGGCTTCATTCGCCCAGAGCAAAAATCAAATCGATGAATATGACCGCGATGCTGGCGAGTTTTACTTACTTACGACTGAATTTGAGGTAACTCTCCAAACCTGGGTCGGCACACTGAAGGCAAAGCTCGACGAACTAGTCAAAGCTCGCAAGGATTGTGTGACGCCAGTGCATTATTATGACAACAGGAGCACCCAATGCCACACTAATGGTGGACCCGCTGGCGGAACTAGCTGCGACACATCGGGTAACGATGGCTATGCCTGTGAAGACACTTTTCTTGGCACAACCCCTGCTATAATGTATGCTACCTAGACTTGCTGCGTGGGTGCAATGCATGGATTAATCTTGAAACTATTTTAACAGGCCAAACAACCGTTGGTCGAGCGGATGTTGCCACCAAAACGACCACTGCGGTAGGTTCCGACTTGATAACCTCATCATAGACAAGTACCACAATTCTCACTGATTAATTCACAGAAACATACGAAGATCAGGTTAATACAGCTCGCAACAGTTACCTAGGTGATCTTGACAAGGCTCTGCAAGTCAAATACGCAGATCACTTGAAGACCATTGACGAGTGGAATGTGAGCCTAGGGAAAGTTAAAGCGATGATGCCTCCAAAACAGCCAGCCGCTCCTAGAATCTCTGTAGGTTTTGTCTTTGAAACCCTGCTCTTCATTCTATTTCTCTCCAGATTTACGTCGTACTAATTTATCACCACGTTCAGACATGGCTTCAACAGACCCCAGACCCCGACCTCCAGGGCAAAGAGGTGCAATATCTCGTTGAATTCGTCAACAACAATGGACCATCGTCCATTAGCCCCGGGAGCGGGTTCGTGGAAATTCTGGCAGGGAAGGCTCCGCAAGTCTCAATCCCTACTGATCCTAACGGAGCGGCGACTAAACGCAATATTTATCGCCAGCTGATTGACTCTTCTGGAACAACACGAGATAGAGAGAAGGTAGACATCGTGAACAATAATACTACGCAAGTATGGGTGGATGGCAGGAAATTGCTGAGGCGTGGGTTCCTTGGCCACTCGCAGTCCCAGCCACCCAGGCCACCGTACCGTCCCTTCCGTCTCTAGATAGCTTCAATATCTCGTCTAATTTCTCGGTATGATCGTCAACTTCGCTCCTATCTTTCTTCGCATTATCTCCAGCGAAAGCAAAGTGCTTTTCATGATTACATGCCAGATCCCCCTTCGGTCGTGCGACGTCGCGATACTTCAAATCCATGACCTTTCCCCTTTGTTTCCCCAATTTAGTTATTTCGATCGCACTTTATACCTAGGATCTGACTTCCTTGGAAATTCAATATACTTTCATTAAATTACTCTGCTTAAGTTTCAAGTCGTATGTAGTTGCAATTTTTAAAACCTTTCTTTTTGGCGCTTGTATCCATTCATTTGAATTATTTGACCAGCAACATGCGAAGAATCTCTACGTGCATGACCCATTCTCTTTTAAGGTTTATTATTTTGAATTCAGCTAATAGTCAATTTCTACTCGAAGATGGAGAATATAGACACACAAAACCCAAAATTAATAGGCAAAGATAATTCAGCAATCATTTCCTGATCCCGAGTTAGATCCAGCCCTGGAAGGGACGCAAATTTCATACTAGTAGGTGTCTGTCAACTACCTGAGATATAGTTCCCGATTGGAAGAGATCCATTTTGCTAAATGCAGCCTGATCAACTCGTATCCCAGTATGAAATTGTTTTGGCATATAAAGCCGATAGGCAGATCAGTAAGGGAGTCGAGTTAGTTGAGCATGTGGTGAGGTCGCACGAAAAGCCTGGCTTACGAGCACCCCTCTCAGCTGGCGTCTCGGCATGCCCTCGTGGGGCATATGGAGCCGATACGGGGAACGCCACGCTTTGCCGAATTTCGACCTATTATCATGGAGACTTGTGATTGAAATGAGATGTTAGACTTTATTAGGCCCGGCGCCACTTTTCGGTCGCGTTGAATGTAGTAAATAATCAAATTGATATCTTGCTTTTGGTGCTTCTTGATCGGCTTTTATTCCTCTTCGGTGACTCCGTTTGCTCTTGCGTGTATAGGGTACACGATGTTAGTAAACTTTACTACATCTCAGTAATTAAATTGGCCTAATAAATTAAAAAAAAAGCATGATCTCTGTCGTTCAGCTGAGAAATTTCAAGCCTGCGATCAGAATGATGGCTTGCATTTTTGCTTTTGACCACTTCTCCATCTCTCAGCTCATTTGAAGTCCAGACAATTCTCGACCAGGCCTTTCAATGTTTCAATGCCGCGAATAAGAGAGTTCCGAATTCTTTTTTTTTCTTATTTGCTTAACATGAGGTCGCTTCTTCAAATCTTAGAGAAGGAAAGGAGACAATTCTCAGTGACGCCCTCGATGAGTATCAAGCCATAAAGAAGCAATTAATGGACATAGCTCATATCAAAGAAGCCACCCAGTCATTATCTAGGTATGTCACCCAGGTATCAAATTAATAAGGTTGACTGGCTTGAGCTCGTTACTGGAAGTCTAGATCTAGGCTCTTGTTCTCATAGGCGGTCTTTATAAACCATACCTGAAATACTTTACGAAAACACTGGAAGGGGCAAGAGTCAGCTGTGACCAAGTGATATTTTAGATCTCGAAAATGATAATAATAGTCTCCATTTTAGTGCTTACGCTTTACAATTTATAATCATAGCTCGTATCTGTAGCTTTCAGCTCTCAATGTCGAATGTGGTTGCACTTTGTGGCGTGTACTCCACGGACGTCCAAACAAGCCTCATGTTTTTGGACGGAAAGTTTCAGAATCGTTCACCCCGCATCTAAGCACAGGAAATGGCTATAAATACCTGACCCTGGTCGGTAGATTCTTGACCCAGGTTTCTTAAGCATCCGACAAAAGCCTAGCAGATCATCCCATTACCCTACATCCCTCAAATACCTTGTTTGAATAATTTGCATTTCGATATACAAGCACAATGGGCTTTCTTGGCATCATTCCAGCATCCAAGCTCGCCGCTTTCTACGACCCCAAAACCCAACAACTGACTCTGTCAGCCGAAGGCACTGTGGAAGAATACACAGGCAACTTCCGGTTTAGACAGGTTCCCTGGATGGGCGGTTTCAAATTCTATCTCGAAGCCTGGACTGGCCCGCTAACTAGCCATACTCAGCATTACGCTTTTGATCAGAGCTTCAAGCTCTCCATGGTTCCATTTCCTAAGGATGTCATCGTTGTCGATGCAAACAATCCCAATGGAGTTCCAGTTGAAATCCACTTTGGGGGTCATAATGACCCTGCAAGCAAGCCTACTTCTGCCGCACCGTCCAGCAGTGATGGGAAGGCCGTCCAGGAACTTCCGGCTCCACCACAAGACACTATTAATGTCTTGTACAAGTGGCCGTTCGAAGTCCAGCACGCAGCGGAGGTCCCCAAAATGGGCTTTATCAATATAGACTTCGACAAGCGCTTCCTTGAAATCGAGAGTGCTTCGATTAACAATGGACAAATCGTCTGGAAATTCAACTCCCTCGAAACCGGTGACACTCAAATCATCATCAGTGTCAACGGTGGAACTGCCCAATATACCTATCGAATCGTCAAGGACGTCCGCATCTTTGTGCTCCCTGAGATCTTGGAGCCCGGCCCGGTGATCACACAGGACAAGTGCGAAGCTGAGGCTGAATCAGCCATCCTTAGTTTTCTCGGTCGCGTCAATATTGCTCGTCGCAAGGTCCTGCAGCATTACCCGGACGCCGTTTTGTACAATGTCGAAGCTAGCACCACAGAGCGTCAGGGCGTCACTTCTCCCAAGGCCCTTGGACATATGAGGGTTATGTTCCGCGTGGAGAAGGGTACAGTCACTATCAATTCTACTGGATACGGTAGTTTTGGGGCAGCGGAGTTTAAATCTGGCAGTATTTTGGGTAATGCAAACATTGACTGGCCCGTGGGAATGGATGCAGACGAGGCAGATCAGATTCTGAAAAAAGAGGGCTTCAAAGGCCCTTATACGGCTTTGAATTTGATGAAACCTTTGTACCCGGGTTTTACGGACGATCTTTATGGCTTTAGAATGGTGGATGGTATTGACAAATGGGTAAATACTAAGACTAAGAAGCTGATTACGGAGTGAGGTAGCTCTAGCAAGGTGCCAACTCACAAACTATGATTACTCGTATGGTTAATATCCTTTGCTGTTCTTTTCCAACATCATACCTGATTGTATACACCCCTATCAATAGAAGAACCTCCTGGTGTCATGAGGAGGAATATGAGGCATCTGGTGACCGGAATTGCCCATTAGACTTGGGAGGGACACCTATTGTAAGGACTCAGATGCTTTGAAAGATAGCAGTAGTATTGAACGAAGGTATTAAGCTGAGAGAGAGAGAGAAGAGAGGAAGGAGAGAAGCTCCCATCGTAACCATCTACATGAGCGGCTGTCTGGGTCACGTGCGTAGTCACATGCCACGGGCACCGAGGGCTTCGATCGTTACACCTATTTCATTACAAAATGAAGCTGTCTTCATTCAGCAAGGAGAGAAGAAACAAATACAACTCATCAAAGAAAGTAGAATAAGAAAGCCAAAAAATTCAAAAACAAAACATACAACAGCAGGGATTCGCATGTGGTCACCCACCATACTACTAACCTGCCGGCGTGTGGCTTAAGTACGGCTGAGCGGACGGGAAGCCCTGTTCTCCACACCCTATGGTCGTATGTATCAGAGACTGCTCATAGTAGATTCATATAACCATGATTGAAAGATAATGTGTGTATGAGAATTCATTTTAATCTATTTTAAATCCAAAGAAAATAAAATAATATGCGAAAATATAACGTCATCAAGATCTTCTATTAATTGAAGGCAGCACTTGGGAGTAGTTAGTCTGCCTAATTCCTTTCGAGACAACATCAGCGCGAAATGAACGTATTTATGGGGGCAGGCCTCCGTGGGAAGGCAGAACTTCCGTTCAATTTTTTTATTCAGCGTAAAATAAATCTACTCCTAGTTAAACCGAGCAAGGCTGAGCGAGGCTGAGCGAGGCTAATCTCATCTAGGATAGGATCGCTCGTACATTGGACACAAAGTCAAAATCATCCTTGTCAATAAGGATAGTGGTGTCTGTGCGGCTGCCTCAAACGAGGGGCTGTTGTCAGCTGGTTCAGTTCACAAATGCTAACAAAGTGCCAACCTAGAGGAGTTTTTTTTTTCGTCTCAGTTATCAACCTGCAATTTCTTGCAATTCAAATACCCTTTCCGAGGCCGTCTACCGACATGGAGATAGCAGGGTTAGTCGTGAGTGTGGCTTCACTAGTTGGCCTATTTGAGACCTGCTCCAAGCTCTATGATAGAGTCTCAAGTGCCAAGGCATACCTGGAGGACAGCGCAGACTTGGGTGCACTCCTTGAGATTGAGAAAGGACGGTTTGCAGAACTCAGACACGAGATTGAAGGGATAGTAAATCCGTCTGGTGCAGATTCTCCGATGACCAACAACAATCAATTGATCGAAACGACCGCAAACAATGAATTGGAGATTGAAATTGAGGGCGACAGCAGGATCCAATTTATAGGGAAAATTTTGCGACTGGTGGAACGGAGACTTGTTGAGGCGGAAAGACTGATCAGCAAATATGACGCGGAACCCGGAACAGCTAGCCAGAGCACCTCAGGGTCGAGGGCTAAATTATTTGGTTTTGTGTCAAAGAAGTTACGCCCGGTCCGGTGGGCAACTGGGGACAAGACCGCTTTGGATAACTTGGTGGAGAAGCTACGCCGTCTGAACAAGGGCTTGGAGAGACAGCTTCCGCAACCATTGCTTCCGCGTCTTCGGCTGGGGTTTGCCACGAGTCAGATTTTGCCTGCAGACCCCCAGAAGCTACAATCGATTGAAAATGCGTCGTTACAAGCGGGATATGGTATTTTATCAAAGGGTGCCGCAGTCCGGTTGGCTTGTCTGAGCCAAGAAATGGTTGTACCCCACCAAACCTCTGTGGACGTGGATCTAATGAATTTTATGAATATAGGCATTGACAACAACGCAAAAGGACTTGGACCACGACTTTCATATCCAACCCTCAGATGTCGAGATTTCTTCCATACCTGATAGCTCTTTGAGGTATTTGACGGGGTTCATGCAATCCGCATCAAGGGATGTGTTGATAGAGCGGAGAAGTGCTTTTCAAACAACACTTCCCAAGGCGGCAGCAAATCGGCTCAATCGGCTGGTTCATGTCCTCAAATCAATGCATACCGACACCCGTGAGGATCAATGGTGCAAAGATGCCGATTCCAAGCTCATGAACTTTGGTGTTCTATACTGCGTCGGATGGATTACTCCTGATAATCAAGACTTCGACACCATTGATCTGGTGTTCTCCTATCCTTCAAACAATCGCCGTCCGCCGATATCAATGCATTCCTATCTTCGGCTGCGGCTTGAAAACAAGATACCCCGAAACTTATTGGTGTGCAGCCGGCCTCCACTCGGTGCCCGATTCAATCTCGCCCTGGGCCTCGCCCGCCTCTACGCTAATTTCATTTCGGTTGGTTATCTTCACCGAGGGATTAATAGCCATAACATTCTCTTTTTTTCGAACGACATTAATCAGCCCTATCTGGTAGGCGTAGCTGAAGCAAGACCTGACCAGATTCCACACCAATCGTCACTGCTGTCCACTGACTATATGGACCGCGAGCTATACTGGCCATGGTGCACTGTCACCAGAGAATCCAGTACCGAGCCAAGTACTGCGTCGTGGTGTACTGCTACCGATCTTTACGGCTTAGGAGTGGTCCTAGTAGAAATTGGCCATTGGCGTACGGCCAGCAATATCTGCGGCGACGCCAGTGTCCAGGAATTCCATGAGACCTTACTCCCTCGGGCGGTCGACAAACTCGGCTATCTCATGGGCGATCTTTACCGAGACGTGGCGAGGTGGTGTTTTAATGCCAAGAGGGATATATTTGGCTTGCAGATGTATAAGCAATACTCTGCGATGGTTCTTGCGCAGTTGGAACGTTGTTCAGCCTAAATCAGCTCGATAATCCCTATGAAAAACGAGTCCTCCTAGAGCGAGGCGCAAGTTTGGGCCACTTACACAACGGATATGTAGGCTATGAACATTTGCAGTCATTCAACGTATGGAAAAGCCAGTCTTGTGTCCATAAATCAAGTTTTTCGGAGAATCCGACCGATGGTTCTGACCTGTCGATTTGTCCCAGGCGATGGGGCATTGAGGCTCCAGGCCATAGCAGCTAGGCTCCGATTTCTCATACTTGCTCGGTGCTCAAAAGCCATAAGTCATCCAGTGCTGCGAGACACAGCCAGGGTTGTAAGTTATTTGCAAGATCAAGACCGCCAGTCGTTCAAGGTTAAACTGAAAGTACACCTTTATGGAGATGGATAGTTTACTGGAACTGCGAGGAAACTCATTAAAGGCTGCCTCAAGGCAATTTAAAGGAAATAAAACCTTGACTGGTTGACGGTAGCTATTGCTGATGGTACAATGTTAGGCGTGCTTAAGGCATATGCTATACAAGACCAGAAAGTTCGAACGACTTCTGAATCCACATTTTCATATAAAATCCTTTGCATTGTTGTGTATCTCAGTCTTCATTTCCCAAACTTGAGTCTGCAATGGGCGAGCTGACCGGACTTCAAGGCGTAGCACCATATGGCCATCCTCCCCTCTCCATTGCTCGCCTTGGCGACAAGGATGTCTTTCTAGCCAGATTTAGTGCGCAAATCTGCACTTAGCAGTTCCCCTATCTGACCAACGCGTTGAATGCGATGCTTGGTGTGCATAGTGGCTGCGCCATTGTAATATTCGAATTTTGACGGTATTGTATAACCAAAAACTTCCTCTGTCATATTTCTACGTACTAATTTTCATATTCAAAGAGACACCAGATTCAAAACAAAAAGGTGTTTATTAAAATAAGTAGCTGAGCAACGAACGGAAAATTAAATTAAGCACCACCAAGAAAACCTAAAACAGTATAGAAATACTACGAATTGATATTACTGAAATTAAAAAAGTAATTTCGAGTAGGGCTAACCTAAGTATTGACAATTAATTAACTAGTACTCCGTGCCTGCACGGAGTATACAACATAGCATTAAAGCCGAAAGATCAAGAGGATGCTCTTCAGGTACAGCATCCCAGCCAGCCTTAACTGCTGCTAAAAGATAGACTATAAGTGATCCAGTGGGATAATCTATTATGGCCAATAGAAATGCAGCATTGCATAATTACTTGTTATGTGTCCGGGCTGTTTACTGTGATTTGGACGACTTAAAGGAGTTACGAGACCATGACCATGATCTGGACTGGACATCCGGCATGATTTTGGCGGAGAGTGCAGTTGGGCCAGTGGCCATCAGTATACACTGCCTGCTGACGATCCACCGTTGTGTGCCAAAGCTCACCCATTTTTGGTTTTTATTCGAGTGGTTCCGAACCCTGTCTTCCTGACCGCGTGTTCTGTGAGCCCTTCCACATGTGGACTAGCTCTAGCGCCTCATCGTCACCTCAATTTCATGCAAACCCCCTGGCGTGCGCAGGGTTTCCACCAGTTATATACACCATGTCTCCACAAATATTGTTTGCTTTTTGTGGGGGCCGCATCCATTCTGAAATGTACCGTGACTGACCTGGGAAATGAAAGAATTCCTGCGTACTCCGTAGGGTATATTCTAGTTTTCGGGTGTTTTCCTTCGAAGAACAGAGAAGCAGAAGCGGTTGACTCTTTCCAAAGGCGGAAGGGCAATCTTGCACACTCCCTCGTAAAGGGACACGATGGTTAGATAATATACTCGCTTACGCAGAGTACATTGGCAATACACCCACAAAGAAAGAGGCTCAAAAGTCGTCTCGTGTTCACGTGGTGGCCATGGCTCGATGTCTCCATGTATTATTAGGAGGAACTTTGCGCCGTTGATTCGGACGCAGGACCTAAAGTGATATACACCATCTTCGCGCTTGTGAGGTAAATTTTGGGGATTCTTTCAGCTTGGACAGAAGCGCAAACTTTCAAAATGCGGTCACTGTTCCGAATAGGAATCAGGTATGTCGATGAATTGTGAGTTCTATGGACATGGTACGGGTACGACACATTTAGCGCGTTGGAATACTTCTAGGGCTCCAGGGCTTGAATAGCGCCCCTGCCTCCAGTTTTTATTCACCAATCATATGTGAGAGCCAGCAGCACGTATGCCCCGATTCAGCAAGAGCGCTTCTCGTCGTCCTGAGTCATTGGGATAAACATGAATCAGCCTTGCATCTGCCTCGATTCAGCCTCAATTTTCCTCACCTTGTTCCATCCCATCCACACCAATAGGGTCCTTCTTCAAGTCCTAAGGGCTCTCCACTCGATTTGGGCTCCATTCTGCCCGGGTGGGCGTACACTAGACCGCGATCCGGCAAGACGCTGCTCGTATCTTTGTGGGGCCTGTTGATCAAAGTGCTGATGGTCCTCGGTCATTCCAAGGTTGCTATAAGGACCAGGCGGCTACCCTTGAACACATCAGCTCCATATCGCCCTTCCAAGTGTTGGTTGAATAACCAATAGCACTATTAGAGGTTCCCTTTCAGCCCTTTGCTATTTTTGAAAATTTTCCTCCTTCGAAGCGCTTCGATTATAATCCATTAAAGAGGACTCATTCGCCGATATCGCTTCATCCGTCTTGAGAAAGTTCTCACCTCTCGCGATGGCGACAGAACTCGAACAACTCTCTGCTTTCACCATGAGTACCGGTGATTCAGTCCAGATTGTTGACACAGATCATGGAACCGATTACCAAGAGAGATTTCACATTCCCCCAGACGGAAATACATCGAAAAAGGGAAATTTGCCAGATGCTGACTTTGTATCATTGGCAACCATAATCTCTTCACTTCACAGCAAAGGGCAGTTGATGAAATTCTCTGATGATATCGACAATCCTGCTGAGTGGAGGCTTGAACCGTTGGGCCGGGGCTCTGTTTTCTCGGCCTTTCAACAAGAGATCAAGTACAATATACCATCGGATCTAAAGCGGGGAGCTTACCTCACGACTTCGAGGAAAATTGTGATTAAAAGAACAAAGCCACTCTTTAACAATTTGGGACACCCAAGACGCACGGAAGAAGTCCAAAGTTTTATCAAAGAACTCCGAATCCTGTCTCACAAATCGCTGAAGGAGAGCCCTTATGTGATCAGCCTCCTAGGAGTTGCCTGGCGCTGTGAGCAACTCTACCCTAACCCCGCCGTCCAGCCTCAACTGGTGTTAGAAGCTGCCAATGGAACGCTTGAGGATCTGCTTAGTCGCGCCAATGATCTCCCTTTCAAAACTCAGATAAGTCTGGCGCGAGATATCACTCGCGGACTGATCGCTGTTCATGATTGTCGCATTATCCACGGAGATGTAAAGCCTGCCAATATTCTAGTAATTGGATCCACCTCGGCCAGAATTGCCGACTTCAGTCATTCTTGGACCGATACCGGTGAACCAGTACGGATTCACGTGGGCACCCGTGGATTCATGGCCCCGGAGATGGAGCGAGGTGCAATCATTCGCAATGCAAAAGCCACCGATGTATTCTCTATGGGTGTTGTGCTGTGGCGAATTTTTACAGCAAATGAGGACTTCCCTCCCTCCTCAGCAAGGTATACTGGAGAGCTAGATCATCGGGATCATCAGGATGATCTAGTTCTTGTGGCGGTACTGAGTAGGCTTGTGGATCTACTTGAAGCAACTTCCAATGAACCACGATATGATGCATTGAAGGGCATGTTCTGTGCTAGCTTGTCCGAGTCCCCTGAGAAACGAAACCTTTCCACTGTGCACTCCGAAATTTCTCGTCTGTCACCTGAGGGTCACATCATTGAACAGTCCGAAGAGGGGTCTTTAAGCCCTTCCTACGGTGACTTGCAAACTACTAACACCGTTCCCGAACTAGACTTGAAGGAAACCTTTTTCAGTACGCAAGTAAGTTTTCCTCTCTCTTAGTATTAACATCCACTCTGTCAATTATTTTGACATTTCTCTATCGTAAAATCACAGTTATACATGCAAATACTGAAGTCAGAGATAGATCTATATAAATTATCAGGCTTTTATCCATGCACCTGGACCTGTCCATGATCAATTGATTTCCTGTCTAGAGCAAATTTCTCAAACACCAGACGACCCACGACAGGCCCAAGCGTTTTATGAGCTTGGGGTCTCAAGCGTCTCCCGCTTTGGAAACCCCAATGAAATGGTTCCTGATCGAGCTCTTGAATACTTCTTCGCGGCTGCCAAGCACGGAAATATGACGGCCAAGGGGTATTTCAAACGACTATTTGGTGCCCTCTCAGACGGACAGTCAACAGATCACCACCTAATTATGAAGGACTATATCGATACATGGCTTTTAGAAGCTGCTGTTGCGGGTCACCAAACAGCTTTCGACGATTACACAGCAGAAGGAACAGATTCTTCGAAGAAAGCAATGGTCATTGATCTTCAGGTATCAGGCCTATTTGATATTCAAGCCGAATTGCCCGATCTGGATGAATTTCGAAAAGAAGCGGAACTTTTCTCGCGTAGAAAAGCGCCACCAGTGCCGTACAACAGTACAGCTGTTCACTGGGCAGCGTACAAAGACCTCGATGAACATATTCGAATACTAGTATCTGATATAGAATTCGATATCAATTTTCGAAATGACCATGGAGAGACTCCACTGATGACGGCATGCTCCATGGGAAACCTTAAAGCCGCTTTGGCTCTGGTAGAATGTGGATGCGAGGTCAATTATACTAACAATTACGGTGAGACTTGCCTCCATTATATCTGGCGATTTTGCGATGAAGATGCCAAGTGCCTATTGCGGGTTTTGGTCAACAGCGGAATCGATTTTGAAATCATTGCTCCGATGAAAAGAGTGCACTATGATGGGAAAACGGTCAACAGACCGACGCTGGAGACCAGTCCTTTGCCAGTTTTGCACGGCACAGCTATTGAACGCGTGGCTGCTCGTGGAAGACTGGTGCTGCTAGATGAGTTTCTGAGGCTCGGCCCTTCTATCAATCCTTCGAATGGAAATTTAGTTCGCCGGATGATTCTTTGGGCTTCAAAACTGAATTTTCCCGATATTCGAGAGCTCCTAATCCAGTACGGCGAGAGTCGACACACCAACGACGCATGGAAAAAGGCTCCAATGAATCCTCGTCTTCCACCCATTGAAAAAAGTTCTTGGGAGAACGGAGGATTAAAGAAGGATTATATGGGTGCCGTGGCTCAAGGATGGCTGTCAAGTAAAGGACAGGGCTGGTCGACTCCAGAGTCTTTTTGGAGGTTATGCTGCCATGGACAGCGGTGGAAAAGCAATCTTGAAGGCACCATCAGAGAGATTGTGAAAAACTCCGACGAAGCGATTTGTCACTTTGAAGAACCTTTGCGCCATGCAATGAGCGACCGCCGCCCGGAATTCTGCCTCGCTTTCTTGACAATGTACATCAATGACCACGTTGCATACCCTTTCCCTGGGCACGATAACGGACAACATACATGTGAATCTTATCAAAACCCACAGAAGCACATGTGCGGGTTTGACATAAGCCCTCTGACACAGCGAGCCAGCCTGATTGATCGAATCCTGTTCAAAAGCCCACAGAAGGACAGGTGCGGATTTGAGATAATCCCTGTGACCCAAAAGGCCAGCCTAATTGATCGAATCCTCTTCAACAATGATGGAACTTTACTACAACGTTCAATCATCGATGGAGATAGAAGGATGTTTCAAATCCTTGGTGATCTACAGGCTAGTCTCATACGGCCATGGTCTGAAATGAAACCTAGAGTGCATGAAAAGACCCGATACAAGACTATCCGGGAGATGGGCACAAGGAGGTATCTCAATTGTTATTCTGTGCTTGCTATTCACTCGAAAGATATATGGTTCGCGTAAGTTGGATTAGTCTTCAAAATAACCCTCAATATGTTGCGTTTGCGTTGACACTAAGTTTGACAGCTGTGAATTTCATCGGCGGGGGGTATCTCATGACCATTTGTCTCCCCAAATATTTTCCGATCTATGGGGCCAAAGAAAGCATTACTATCCCGAGTACTGGCCACCTCTCTTGCATGCTCTTGATGAGGGATTTTACCTCCTAGCAGCATTCCTGTTAGCTCATGGAGCAAGTTTCGAAGAGTCCGTCGGCCCTGGGGTAAATGTCTTTGATCGTGCCCTATCACCAATAGCATTATCTTCTGGCACAGCACAATTCATGTTCAAATCTAATGGTGAATATTTTGAGCCAAGTGGCAAGAAGTCCTCAATTGACACATATTTGCTTCCTTCTCGTCTCTTCGAAGAGGGCAATGGCTACCATATCCTTGCAATCCTCGCTGCCAAATGGGACCAGTCGGCCCCTGACACCAAGGATAAGGTGTTTTCTCCCTTTCTTTCCTCTCCACGCTTACTATTTCCAAAGTTCCAGTGGACCTTGCGTTATCCTTGGGATAGAGCAAAGGTGGTAGTCTATCCTGCGTTCTTTTTGCTCAAACTTTTCACTTTGATATTGTCTGTTCATTTCAATATCATGTCCAGCGGCCAAAATGCGCGTCCTCCCCCCCGCACCCTGAAAAAAAGGCCAACCCCGGAGGACTCATCCAGCCTCGAATCTTATTCTACCTATCACGAGAATCTCCTCCCAGTCTTTTCAAAGGTCTGGGTTGAGATGCTTAGTCTATTCCCCGATGCCCGAATCACTAGCCAATTCAAGTATGGCAATCCTCATTGCGAATCACAATCGCTCCTAGCATTTTCCATCGCTGGTAATGAGGGTCGCCATGCCTGGTGGCAATCGTGGCTTTGCGGGCAGGTACCAACGTGCCATTTTGCCTCACATAAATCTCCTTCGGATGAAAGGATCAAGATGATTACTGAGACTCTTAATCTCTACGAGCGTACTGTCGGCACTCACAAGCCCACACTGAGAGATCTGTTCTTGTGGAATGAGTATAGTCTCTTACCTTCCGACCACGCACTTGCCAAACGTCTTCACAAGCTTGGCTTTCGGCACTCTGCCTTGTCCTTTATAGAAGTACGGATACTCGGACAATTATTTTTGTTCGCGATACTCTTCATGGGCTGCTTAGCTGTGAACCGCGGTGTGAGTCCCAATTTCGACGAGGAGGGTAAACCCCACTGGGGGCTCGAAACCCAGTGGCTATGGCTTGCATACTTGGCAGGTGGTATCCCACTCTACGCATCTCTTCTTCTATCTTTCTTCGAAAGACCATACCTCTTTGAGAGATTAGTTGTGGTTGGTGTAGGCCTAGGGTACCTTGTGATTCTTCTGAAACGACCCCATAACGTTGTTCATATACTCTTGGCCTTTTTTCATCTACTTGCAGCCATTCTGGCCTTCCTCTGGTGTCTGAGGCTCCATGCCTTCAGTACCTGGGACCAAAGTCTAAAAGACGTGTTATTTGGTCATATCACTTATACAGGTTACCTGCCTCGGCAATATCTCCAGGGCTTTCAAAGACAGTTCAGTCCGACACAATCAATTTTCCCGTCGATACATGGATCAATGATTTCAATATTTCGATCCATTGGTTCGATGTTACGAAGTCTTCAAGGGAAAGCACGAGGAGATAGTATTCGGCATGATGTTTGAATTGGTTCTTGAGATTAATCATTCAGAGGTTTCTATTTTACCTGAGGAATATTCAATCAAGTCTGTCCGAATCTGGTGCGTACTATAGTCAGTTAGGTGATTGATTGCCCACAAAATGCAGTAAATATGAAAATTACAACTTTGAATATCTCAGCAACGGAACTTTCGTTCCAGGGTTTTTATTATAACTTATAATATATGTTTCAATTAGAGTAAAGAATAATTTCACTCAAAAAATTGATTCGGATAATTATTCGAGAGCCTTTTTGGAGTTGGAATATTGCAAAAAGAATACTGAAAGATGGGAATGCTCGCTGGCTGTCTGCGTGAGCAGACGGGTCGATCGCAGAGGGACAAAATCACCACACACGTAGTGTGCAGGAGAGTAGGCAAGGTAATAGCCCCTAGGAAACAACAACAACAATAATAATAAAGAGGGGACCTCCTTGGCCCCCTAGGCCTCAGAACTGAAAGGACAGAATAGTGACACTTTGGTAGGATGCTAAAAGGTGTGTTTAATTGAATACTATGGCGCGCACTATATACTCGTCCACTGTATAGGTGCCTTATTACTAAGGCACATATCACATGACCCTCTAAGGCTGAATACCCCACTACAATACTTATTGTTTAAGAGACAAATATGTATCTCTACTAGTACGCTGTAAAAATATTTCTCAAATTGTATACTACAAAAATAAGTTGGTAATATTATTTAAAATACTATACCTTCAAATAAGCTTCTAAATAGAAATGGTTGTTGAGTTAGAAAGTTGTCATTTATCAGGCTTACTATGTGTTTTCGGGCTGGTAGCTCGGTGGTGAAACCCGTTATCATTTACCCTGACCTACCGCTACAAAGTTGTGACCTTGTTTTGAAGTAAAAGTCATCTTAGGTGGCATACGGAGATGCCTTACACCTAAGGCTGACCCACTCCCGGAGGGAGTGGGTCAGCCGGAGGTCAACAAAATTCTGCTCTCAACGATCATGATATTGCTATTCTGACTATTACTAGCACCACAACTATGAATATTGTTTTTTAACAGGTGTAGGGGTTATCGAACACTATCTGAGGTATGTAATCAGGGTACTTTTGCCCAAAAGTAACGGGTGTAGGTGTAGCAGTAACGCCTAAAGGTGTCTGGTTTCGTACATGCTTACTATATTCCTTCTTTTTATCCTTTTTTTGTTGATTATAGGTGTGTCAAACAGTATCTTTTGTAGTCAGGGCACCAAATTTGCCTAATTGCTTTTGGGATTTGCGTGCAATTATAGGCTTTTTAGGTAATCGGTGCTCTAATATATTATTTAAGAGACCAATATCCTTACTTAACCGAATCTGAGATTGTGCTACACGCTTAATTTGACGGCGTATATCGGGCGGAATATTACCACAGTCAAGCTATGAGTTTAGTGCGCGTTGACATCCGCTCCCTTGTCTAAGAGCAGTTTGACAATCTCTTAATGGCCTCTCTCTGAGGCAGCCTGGAGAGCGTTCCCATAGCGACCACCCTGCATATTGATATCTGCTCCCTTGTCCAAGAGCAGTTTGACAATCTCTTGATAGCCTCCCTCTGAGGCAGCCTGGAGAGCGTTCCCATAGCGACCACCCTGTATATTGATATCCGCTCCCTCGTCTAAGAGTATTTTAACAATCTCTTGATGGCCTCCAAACGAGGCCGCCTGGAGAGCGTTGTCGTAAATGCCGCTCTGCGCATTAACGTCCATTCCCTTGCTAATAAGATCTCGTACAGGCGCCATGAGCCCAGCAAAGCAGGTATAGTATAGTCTGGAGCCCCGTGGAGGGTCTGGGTTATTTTTCCAACCTATATCAGCCTGGTACAGACGAGCCTATTGTTGGAATGACGCTTCCTTTTCTAGAAATCTGACTGTTATTCGAACTATATCTTCCGAAGCCTAAGCCAACGCAGTATAGCCTGCCCAAAATTCCGCTGCATATCTTGCCATCGGAAAATTCTGCTCAATATCTCGAGGGCTACTGCTGATGTCCGTCAGATAAGTTAAGTATGTCCTCGTGATAGAAATGCTGGCAGTGGTAATCTTAAAATGGTCCTCTCCAAGAAGGTACTCCTTGACAGAAAAGTGGGTAAGGTGGAGCTCTTTATCAATGGTATGACTGACTGCGATCAAGCTAGGATAGTAATCCAACACATCAGTCTCGCAGAATAGTCGATGGTTGGTATTGAACCCTTGTGACTTATTTCCAATCTGTGTCGCTATTACTTCTTTAGCCTCGGTCAGCGTAAGAGATCTTTTAGAGTGCACCAAGAAGTAAGAGGCGTATTGCGTCACTTCTTCGCTCCACCGGTATACTATCAAGCATACGCCGATATGTGTTATTGAGATCCAGTGGCAAAGATGCAAGAGCCTCCTCCATAGCTGCCTCGTGACGACATCGAGCCAGGCTATCCAATTGACAGAAGGCCCACCTGAACCTAAGCAAGGAGTCAGCAATCCACCCATATATTGATCAAAGAAGCAATATCTCACATCCCATCCGCCCCATCCCCAACTTTACTTCGGATCTCTTCGAGAAGATCCTGAGATAAAGGCTTTTCTGTAAAGTCATGCCGTTGAGAAAGTTGTGACGTGACCCACAATCGGATATCGGAGTTGACAGTCTGCTTATCAAAGGGTAGACAATTTTCCTTTCCTATCAGAGGGGGAATGTGTCGCAGAAATTCGGATTCAGGTCGACTAGAAAGATTAAACTGACCTGATTGGGCAACGCAACTCTTTGGTTTGAATTCCCCATATTTAGTGGCCCTAGGGGGCTTCCTTCCGTTTCAGATCAGAATTCTGAAACGGACTTCAGAGCTTGATCCAGAAATGGATTGTGCTCTGGCCTTGTATTTCTCAGCTGGTGTCTGCTCCATAAAGCCAACCAGCCCATTCGCCTAACCAGTCTTTCTCTAAGGCCTATTCAAATATTTTGTTTTACACGCAGCCAGGATAGTTGGAAGGACATAGGGATATAGTCTTTGGGACTGCTGTGAGCCTGTCAATACTTCTAAGGCCACCAATTACCACCTATCAGATTCAATTTCTGTGTTACTGATTTTTATTTTTTTAAATCATCTCGCAGGCTGTACTGCAACTTTTCTACCATGTTGTCTTTTTGGTAAATCCTCTACTTATCTCGAACTCTTGCGGGAGAATGAGTTGACAGAGCATAAGAAGGAGCAAAGCTCCTGTAACTCCAACGTGATAACCCCACTCTCGTCTTTCATCTCTTACGAAAGCTAACTATCTCTAAGTGCTGCCTTTACGGCTCATCCACCTGCTTTGGACTCTACTGGTTACCCCTTACCTGGCAGAGGTAGAAAATTAGGAAGAACTTCCAAATCCCAGGTCTTTCCCAAAAGACTGTATCCAGTCTCTCTGCTGCTCCTGCTCTGTTTTAGTGCAGCAAGATAAGGAGCTGCATCGTCAGGTCCTGTTAGCCAGGGGATATAGTTCTGTGTCTGGAATGCAGTTTTCTAGACAGGAAAAATGAGGATTGTAGTGCAGGCGAGAATGGACTTGATGTTGTATGCTCGGTAGCTTGGACGATGTGAAAAGTTCTTTATTATCTGATTCCTTCCTATGATTTTCAGTAGAGTGTACCTTTGTTTGTCTCTTGAATATAAGGGGAGGACAAGTCTGATAACATGGGTTCCTGGACTTGTAAAATAATACAACGGCATATCCCTAAAAGCAACATTTATGTTTCTCCCACAGTCAGCAAGAATCCAGATGGAATATTCTTTTTCGTAGCTTCGAGGAGGAGAAATGACCTAGTGCACTGTAGACATAAGGTACAAAATCTCTGATCGGAGTTGTAAATCATACTGACATTCCTAGACTGAGAGGCAAATATATGTTTTTGAAGATCATATATGTCTAGTACCTAGTATGGTAGTCGTTGACACCATACTGCATAGCGTAGATGATAATTGCGTCAGCCACAGTAGACTATATCACCATAGAAGTAAAGGCGGCGTTCTCAAATTAAAAAATCCCCAACATCAAAGCAGACCCAATGGATCCAAGAAATGCAGAAACTGAAATCCAGTAGAGGCTCATGTAAGGAGTGAAAATTGGAATAGCCTGGCTATGTGATAGTCCCTCTCTCGACTCGGATGATTCAGGCGGGCTTGGAGCGTGTTGTGTTGTGATATCACTCGTGCCGGTAGGTAACGTACTACCCAATGTCGTTCCTGGTGTGATCATTGTAACCTCAATCCAATTCAGATCTTTTGGTGCCAATGTTCCTCTGACGGATACAGTCTGCTGCGTTAGGCATGATGCGTAGGTTGTTTCAGCAGTATCGCATATTACCCATGCAGTACTGAATTAGGTCAGCCTCACGTCTGACATAGTTGCTTGTAGTCTCATGCGACAGGAACCTACTTGTGTTTCTCATTCACATGAGTAACTTCTGCAACGTTCTCTCCGGCAACTGCTGTCAGGCCATGGGTAGAAATTCCGCATTCCGAAGGGTCACTTCCTTCGACACAGGTGACAATAAACGTTGTTTTAATATCGTTCTATAGGAAACATGTTAATCCAGTTCTCGTAAGGGGTTTCGTGAGATCCTACCTTTTCAAGCTCTCTTGCTTCGAGCTGGCGCCCCCGGAATCCTGGTAACAGAAGGCTTGTGACCTCTGCGTATGCAGTGACCATAAAGGCCCAACAGGCGACAATTTTGAATTTGAAGATCATATTGCTGCGATTTTCTGTGAGGTCTTGTTTAACCACGGAAGATTAATTTGTGAAGAGCGAAAACTTGCAACAGACGTAGAGACACAGTAGTCGCGATCACAGCACTGAGAAGATGGAATGATAATACTGAATGATAATACTGCACCGATGATCCGTTTCAGAATGAAGGAACTGTGCGGGGTTTTTAGCCTACACATGTGGAGCCCATCCTTGGATGATCGACGCCAAGGTTTACCACGGACCCCTATTCTGAAACGGATCCGATGTAGGACGCCTACAAACACAAATAGGCAGATTTTCTTTGCTACAGACGTAGAGTTTAGGAAATAATAAATTAGATGATATCCCACCCAGACTCTAGGTGATCCTGCCCAGGTGAGATTGAGGCTTATCTTTTTTTTCCCACGAATTCCTTGATCCAGGCTTTTCTATTCACCTTGAGAAATGACGTTGAACATGCTTCATTGCTTAATTTTTCTTCATCTTCCTATTCTATGTGTCGCTGCGTTGGTGGTAGGTTCCAGGATGCAGCACATAATTTTACATCCAAACTAACTTCCAAGACTAGTAAGCTTGAACTTGCAGACACCTTCGGCTCTTTACCAGGCTACTCGCGAAACTACAGTAAGCACTGCTCACCATGCTTTTTCAATCTGCTGCCTTTACTCACATAAAAGCGGCGACAAAATTCAAATGGGGACAGCATTACGTCAAAGACACTTACAGGTCCGTTCCATTCTGCGATGAGACACAGAAAATCCATTTCCAGGATTTACAGTGGCCCCGTTTGAAGGCAGCGCCAGGGTCCAGAATTTTTGCACACTATGTCAACATTGATCATCCATCAATTCCACATATAAATGGCGAAATTCATGTTTTTGGTGCACATCAGCCGAAACAACCGGATACTATAAGCTTCGCGGATATCCTATATGGCAAGCAAGTTCAACGTAAGTAAGCTATCCCTAAATTGGTTCTGCCGTATGATCTCTAATCCAAGAAGGGTTGCTGTCCCACCCATATTCGGATGCGGTTTTGAAAGGCTCTTCTTCATTTGTTGTTCCAAGCGAGATCCTTATAGATGGTATTTATTCTATTTACTGGATGTGGAACACGACAAACCGTCAAAATGATGAATGGATAGTATGACAGCTTCAAACCTTACACTGCATTGCCCAATCTAACTTCAAGATAGATACATACTTCGTGCTTTGATATTGAGCTCGTCGTTTCTACTGATGAGGACGCATCCTCCGAAGGATTCCCCGACCCTACACAACTGGCATCTGGCTCTTTTTCGCCAAAGCCTCACTCTCCAATCTCGATGCCTACAGAAACGTTTTGCAATCCTGTGTTTTCAGGGCGAGCTCCTCAACAACCCCAAAGCATTATTCAATCAAGCCCAATAGACACAGATAGCATTCTATCGACAAAAGCATCAGTGCCCATCAGCAAAGGCGCCGATAGCACAGAGCGTTCTCAATCATCCTGTCTCTGCCATTCAGCTAAGGGTTTTAGCAGTAGCTCAGCAGAAACAGAAGGAACTAGTCTAGAGGGTATTAGTTCAGGGACGACTCTGACAAATACAGCAACAACCAGTGTCACCAGCCCAGCCGCAACCGAAACGGCCCTATTGAGTGGCAGCAGCTCAGATACAACAGGCACAGGAACAGTACACACTATTTATAGTACAACTATTGTTACCGTGAGCTGAGAAGGCATATTTTGACGAGGCAATCTGGATCTCTGCTACTCAAATCGTAGTTATCAATCACCGTTTTGTAACTAGGTTGCTGATCCACTGCCTTGGGTCAGATTGGGGTCTAGTCATAGCGAGGACGGGGGGGATTGGAATAGGAGACTTGGCTCAACAAAGGTCTAGTAGATAGCTATTAAATAGAGATTTTCTTTCTCAAAACCTTAACTTTGAGACATGTCGTATAAGTATAATGAACACAATGCGTGAAAATGCCCGTTTCTTCAACAAAATCTATACAGATTTTCAAGAGCTTGATATAGGCTCTAACAAGAGGTGATTTCCATGAAACGGTACCGTCTGACGAACAAGTAGTTTGCGGTCCCTATTTAAAATGCAAAGACAGAGATCGTGTCCAAGAGCCGGTTTCACAAAAGACATCTCAACTGCCCCAGAGATTCACATAGAAAACCAGTTCGGCTTTCACTAGTATATTACGTGCGGTTATAGTAAGAACTAAAAAGCATCCGCCCTCACTAGGGTCTAGGTACATACAATTGTTAGCTGGAAATTTCTCGGACGCTCCAACCTCAAGGTCTCCTCATGTAAGGGTTTTTTCGAGTGGGGGGAGGATTTTTTCATCGCGCCAAGTTAACTAGTGTAGTGGGGAGATCCCCTCCCACATACCAGGTTCACATTGACATTTAGTTGGGAGCTAGGGGTCATGACCGGTAGGCAGCTATAGGTGAGCCGGGTAGCTAGTGTTAGAATATACCATTATCGTTATTGTACGATATGCCGCAGTCTAGCCATTACGTTCCAGCGGGGCGGCATCAGGTTGATAGATGTCGGACGCTCACAGGGTGTAGTGACTAATCTGTGCCACATGCTTGCACCACTCTAGTGATGCCGTATGCTGCACCTCAGAGAATGAGGTGGCTAACAGGAAAGAAGGAGAGAGAATGGCAAGTTGAGAAAGTTCTGACAAACAAAGGGGAATTAGACATATTTATTTCTGCCGAAAAGATATCAGAATATGCATGTGGGCTGGCTGAGCATCTCGCTGTGTAACCGTCATCCGGAAAGAATTCCACAACCATTCGAGATAGAATTCCGCAATCAAAGTTTTCAGTGATGTGATACATCTCATCAAAATAACCAAGAATGTGGGTCTGGGGAAAATTTGTAGATGCAGGGAAAATGATGATCTCAGAAAAAGATCGACCCGAGGAAAATACGTTGAGCTTTTTCCTGACAATAGAACTTGAATTGAATTGAATTGATCATCTGTAGAGATCTACCTATCGCAAAAGAATCGTGCCTTTGCATTTGCAAAAAGATATAGGGAAAACCTATCCGAAGTAGGGAAAAACCTATATCAAGGCCGAACGAAAGAAAAGACCTGGGACGAAACATAAATCACACTCTCTTCACGGCAAACACTGAGTAAGACAGTAGTGCCGGGTGGTGTTGGGCTCACTTATTGTATTAGTTAGACCTAGACACGTAGGTAACTTTTTACAAAGTGGAACCATCACTTACAAGCTAAAGGTGGTCATCTGTGAGCTCCACAAACATCGTCACTAACCTTCAATGAGGAGAATCAACACTTACACACTATCGGTAGCTATCTGTCAGCTCTACACATATAGTCATTACTTTCCCGTGAGGAGAATAATCACTCACCCGCTGTTGATGGCTATCTGTTAGTCCTGTGCGCTTAATCATTGTTTTCAGTGAGAAGAATCATCACTTACCGGCTATTGATGGCTATCTGTCAGTTCTGTGCACTTAATCATTGTTTTCAGTAAGAACAATCATCACTTACAGTCTATCAGTGGTCACCTGTCAGTTCTGCACACGTAGCTATTACTATTCAGTGAGGACAATCATCACTTACCGGCTATCGGTGGTCATTTGTCAGGTCTGTGCACATAGTCATTGCTCCTCACTGAGGATAATCGTTACTTACACACTATCATTGGGCATATGTGAGTGCTGTAGATATACTCAATCTTCCTTAATAAGGACAATCATGACTTACAGACTATCAGTCATTATCTGTCAGCCCTGCACACATAATCATTAATCTTCGTAGAGAAGAATCATGACTTACAAGCTATCAGTTATTATCTGTCAGCTCTGTGCGCTTAATCGTTATTTTCAGTGAGAACAATCATCACTTACGATCTATTAATGGCTATCTGTCAGATCTGTGCACTTAATCGCTGCTTTCAGTGAGAACAATCATCACTTACAGTCTGTCAGTGGTCATTTGTCAGTTCCGCACACACACCTATGAATCTTTTGTGAGGACAATCATCACTTACCGGCTATCGGTGGTCATTTGTCAGGTCTGTGCACATAGTCATTGCTCCTCACCGAGGATAATTGTTACTTACACACTATCATTGGGCGTATGTGAGCTCTGTGAATATACTCAACCTTCCTTAATAAGGACAATCATAACTTACAGGCTATCAGTCATTATCTGTCAGCCCTGCACACATAATCATTAATCTTTGTATAGAAGAATCATGACTTACGATCTATCAGTTATTATCTGTCAGCCCTACAAACATAGTCATTGATCTTCGTAGAGGATAATAATCACTTACCGGCTATTAGTGGTCAACTGTCTGCTCTACACACATAGCCATTACTCTTCAGTGAGGACAATCATCACTTACCCCCTGTTAGTGGCTATATATCAGCTCTGTACATATAGTAATTGCTCTTCAGTAAGTGGAATCATCACTCACCCCCTGTTAGTAGCTATCTGTTAGCTCTACACATATAATCACTATTCTTCAGCGAGCAGCATTATCACTCACCCCCTGTTAGTAGCTATCTGTCAGCTCTACACATATAATCACTATTCTTCAGCGAGCAGCATTATCACTTACAAACTATCAGTGTCATTTGTCAGCTCTACACACACAGCCATAGTTTCCTGTGAGGAGAATCATCACTCACCTCCTATTAGTAGCTATCTGTTAGTTCTACACATATAGTCATTATTTTTCAGCGAGCAGCATCATCACTCACCCCCTATCGGTGGTCATATGTCAGGTCTGCGCATATGGTCATTGCTCCTCACTGAGGACAATCGTTACTTACACACTGTCAGGGGCCGGCTATCAGCTCTGAACACAAAACTATTGTTCTTCAAGGCAGATAATCATTACTTACACACTATTAGTGGTCATCTGTCAGCTCTATACAAAAAGCTATTGCTCTATAGAAAGCAAAATTTCACTTACACACTATCGGCCATCACCTCTTAGCTCTCCATAAATCGTTATCGATCTTCAGTGAGTGGAATCATCACTTACATTCTGTCAGTGGTCATCTGTTAGTTCTGCACACGTAGCCATTACTCTTCAGTGAGGACAATTATCACTTACCCCCTATTAGTGGCTATATGTCAGCTCTGCACACATAGTAATTGCTCTTTAGCAAGGAAAATCATCACTTACAGTCTCCGTCTATTGATGGTTATCTGTTAGTTCTGCACGCAGTGATTATAATTGGGAAGAATCATAACTCACAGTCCATAAGCGGTCGTCTATCAGCTCTGCACATGTAGCAATCCTGTTTCAGTGAGCAGAATCTTAACTCACCGTCTATTAGCCACTATCCGTCAGCTCTGCAAATATAGACATTTTTCTTTAGTAAGTATCATAATCACTCACAGTCTATTAGAGACTACCTGTCAGCTCTGCACAGAGTCATTTTTTGTAAAGATCATCATCACTTACAGTCTCCGTCTATAGGTAGGTATTTGTTAGCTCTGTATACAGTGATTATTATTCATTAGGAAAAAGCATCACTTACGGTCTATTAGAGACCACCTGTTAGCTCTGTATAGAGTTATTTTTTGTGAAGATTATCATTACTTACAGTCTCTGTCTATAGGTGGGTATTCGTTAGCTCTGTACATAGTGATTATTATTCATTAGGAAAAATTATCACTCACAGTCTATAAACGGTCATCTGTCAGCTCTACACAGTCTTTTTTTGTGAAGATCATCATCACTTACAGTCTCCGTCTATTGATAGTTATCTGTTAGCTCTGCACGCAGTGATTATAATTGGGAAAAATCATCACTCACAGTCTATTAGGGGTCGTCTATCAGCTCTACACACGTAGCAATTCTGTTTTAGTAAGCAGAATCTTAACTCACCGTCTATTAGCCACTATCTATCAGCTCTGCAAATATAGGTATTTTTCTTTAGTAAGTATAATAATCACTCACAGTCTATTAGAGGTTAGCTGGCAGCTCTGCACAGAGTCATTTCTATAAGGATCATTATCACTTACAGTCTCCGTCTATAGGTGGGTATTCGTTAGCTCTGTACACAGTGATAATAACTCATTAGAAAGAATTATCACTCACGGTCTATTAGGGATCCCCTGTTAGCTCTACACAGAGTCATTATTTGTGAGGGTTATTATCACCTACCGTATCGGTCTGCGGGTAGGTATTCATTAGCTCTGTACACAGTGATAATAACTTATTGGGAAGAATCATCACTTACAGTCTATTAGAGGTCACCTGTTAGCTCTGCACAGAGTCATTTCTATAAGGATCATCATCACTTACAGTCTCCGTCTATAGGTGGGTATTCGTTAGCTCCGTACACAGTAATTATTGTTCGTTGGGAAAAAGCATCACTCACGGTCTATTAGAGGTCACCTATCAGCTCTGCACAGAGTCATTTCTGTGAGGATCATCATCACTTACAGTCTCCGTCTATAGGTAGGTATTCGTTAGCTCTATGCACAGTGATTATTGTTCGTTGGGAAAAAGCATCACTCACGGTCTATTAGAGACCACCTGTCAACTCTGCATAGAGTTATTTTTTGTGAAGATCATCATCACTTACAGTCTCCGTCTATAGGTAGGTATTCTTTAGCTCTGTGCACAGTGATTATTGTTCGTTAGGAAGAATCATGACTTACAGTCTATAAGCGGTCGTCTATCAGCTCTGCACAAATAGTGATTCTTCCTGTGTCAGGAGAATCATGACATACCGTCTATTGTTCACCATCTGTCAGCTCTTCAAGCAAGACCAACTTTTTCAGTGAGTAGAATCATCACTCACAGTCTATAAGTGGCTATCGGTCAGCTTCGCAGACAGAGTCGTTGTTCCCCATTCAGGATCATCATCACTCACAGGCTATCGGTGGCTATCTGTTAACTGTGTACACCAAGTCATTATTCTTCAGCGACAAAAACCATAACTTACAACCTAGCAGTAGCGGTTCGTCAGCTCTGCAAATATAATTAGGAGCCATTGGTGGGGTCAATCGTCACTCACAGTCTATCGGTAGCTCTCTGTCACCCTTGCTCACATAGTCATCCTTCTTTGCTCAGCAGATTCATCACTCACGGACTATCGGTGACTATCTGTCAGCTAGGAACACACATACATTCACATTCTGTCAGTATGATCATCACTTACGGTCTAGCGGTAGCTCTGTCACCTTTGCTCACATAGTCATCCGTCTTTGCTCAGTAGAATAATCACTCACAGACTATCGGTGGTTATCTGTCAGCTCTTCACAAATAGCCTTCATTCGCCAGTGACGACAATCATCACTTACAGTCTACCGATGGCCATCCGTCAGCTCTGACCAACTTGTAATTTTGTTCGTTAGGCAAAATTAGTACATACAATCTTTTGGTAGTCAGTCATTAATCTTCAGTGGGGACAATTGTCACTTACAGTCTATCAGTGGCTATCTGTTAGCTTTGCACATATAGTAAACCATCTCCAGCGAAAGCAACTATCACTTACAGGCTATCAGTTTTTATCGGTCAGCTCTGTACACTATATGATTACTATAAAGCGACGGAACTATCACTTACATACTATCGGTGGTCATCTGTTATCTCTGCACACATAGTGGCTTTCTTTTCCAGTTTGCAAAATCATCACGTACGAGCTACCAGTGGCTATATGTCAGCTTTATACACGCATAAAATATTCCCTAGCGAAGGAACCATCACTTACACTCTTTTGGTGTCTATATGTCAGCCGGTTCCATAGAGTCATTAATTTCCAGCCAGGAGAACCATCACTTACGGACTAGCGGTAGCCAACTATTAGTCTGCACACATAGTCATTGTTCTTCGGAAAGGATAATCACTTACACACTATCGCTCGCTATTCATCAATTCTGTACACGCAGTGATTAATCTTCGTTGAGGTAAATCACTACTTACAGCCTATCGGTGTCTATCTTTTAGCTCTGCGGACATAGTTATTATTCTTCAGTAAGGAGAATAACTACTTACCGCCTTTTATTTCCTATCTGTTAGCCATACACCTATAGTAATTAGTTTCCCGCCAAAGAAACTATTACTTACCCTCTTTTAGCGTCTGTTTGTCAGCTGGTTCCATAGAGTCATTAATTTCCAGCCAGCAGAGTCATCACTTACGGTCTAGCGGTAGCCAACTATTAGCTCTGCACACATAGTCATGGTTCTTCGGAAGGAATAGTCACTTACACACTATCGCTCGCTATTCATCAATTCTGTACACGCAGTGATTAATCTTCGTTGAGGTAAATCACTACTTACAGCCTATCGGTGTCTATCTTTTAGCTCTGCGGACATAGTCATTGTTCTTCAGTGAGGAGAATAACCACTTACCGCCTTTTATTTCCTATCTGTTAGCTACGCACATATATCATTAGTTTCCAGCGAGAGAAACTATCACCTACAGGCTATCAGTGGTTATCTGTCAGCTCTTCACACTATCTAATTATTTCCTAGTGAGGGAAACTATTACTTACACACTATTTTTGACACTCTGTCAGCCCAGCACAAATAGCCACTATACGTCAGTGATGAGAATCATCACTTACAGGCTATCGGTGGCCATCTGTCAGTCTTAAGTACTTTGTACAATCATATCGTTCTTACCATCCTTTGACCCAGCACTATATCCATAGTAGCAAGGAACACGATAACAAAATTGATGAGTTGCATATTGAAAAATAGTACGATATCGACTGATTTGTTTTCCTAAACGTATGAGATGAATATGATAAAGACGCGGACAGCCGGGTATAAATTCTCTGTCAACAAATTCATCAGGATTTTATCACGGGGTCTTCCATATGGCCCCATTTTCAAACAGTCGGTCCAAGCCAGGGTTCCCTTGCCAGTGGCATTTACCTGTCTATGGTACCTACTAGTAACCATATAATGCCTATATTCCACAGTGCTGAGTTAATTAGGACAGGCAAAAATTCGGTAATTCCAAAAATTCTTATTCTCTAGTCCTCAATCTAAGTAATAACCTTAAAAGCTGATGTGGCTCTCTTCAAAAACATTGCTGTACATACTGAAGAAGGATTAGGCCCGATAGCTGTGTTTAAATAGCTCTGGTTAATGAAAGATAGGGTCGATCCTTGATTCACCTAATGACTAGCAGTACAGAAGATGACAAGCAGTTTGATTATAATGACCCAAAGTGGTAGTGATATTTTTGGTCTTGCAGATAATTTATTAATTTATGAATATAGCTGGATAGTTTCTGGGGATCTGTAGCTGTTCTAACTAAAGTCAATAGTAAATAGTGATTATTTCTGGCCCTAATGGGCTTGACTATGGTGTGTTTCTGCAAGCAGAGTCTTTCCCTTCCCTATGTTTATGCGGAGATCTGGGATATTTGAAAGTTTCAGGGAATAGGGCGCGGGTTGGCATATGGCCCGCAGGGATTACTACAGCCGCGTGATGAATTACAGGCAGCATAATAGGCTGACGTGAGGTCTTGAAAAAGCAATTTCTTATATCTTGTGACCTTCTATCTGCATATGTATATTGATTTGGAAGTTCACAAGATCTATGGAAACTTGTTTTGTCAGTAAGTCACACTTACATCGTGATTGATATTCACTGTAAACATTGTGGCTATGCCTTGGAGTCTGTATCTGGCTACGACACCTACATAATTGTGGAATATGTTTGGAGCTATGTTCCCTGGTCAGCTCTTAGATCATATAACCTGTTGCTAACCGGGCAGTGGCCAACTCCCTGAGGGGCCACCTGCAGCCAACCAGACCTAGGAACTGCCGGCCACTATAAATCACGTGGATTTCAGTATATCTTTCTTGAAGCATGTGTATGATGGTTGTATTGTGTGTAGATCTGTGGCCCTCGGACCCAGTTATATAGATACAGGTCTAACCCTAATGCATTAGTGCGTATCAGGGTGACAGGACAGTACCATCAGTACAGGGGATCCTCTGCCACTGTCGTGAGGCCCTCAGGCCCCGTTTGCGACCCCATGAATTATTACCCAGAATACAAAGCTCATCCCAGGGTGCTCCCTGAGCCAGTTCTTCGGCCTTGAAAGCTCTATATTATCATTAGTGAGATTCTTCTTGAGAAAATAGAGAAATAGGAACCCACAGATCTTTACCTCTAGTGTCTCAGTAGGCGACAGATCTTCATCTGCTGCCATAGTAATTTAGCTGTAGCAGGATGCACCGCTCTCATAAAATGAGGAAATACGGAGACTGAACCTTACCCTTTTTGGTAATGGGGGTGTGTGGTTAGCCGCAGGGGGTGTGTTTCTAACAGATCCCTTTTAAAATTGAATTCAAACTAAATTCCCCGGTCTGGTCGCAGATCCGGGCTTCGATGACCCAGCGTGTGAGGCAGGGCTGCGACCTGTGCATGTTCCCAATAGTGCGCATTTAGCAACGAATATTCGTTTTGCCGATGGTACTGGGGCTGGCGGTCGATAAGGGCAGAAACAAGTTACGCTCAATTTGAGTCTCAATATTCTCCGTATGATCCATTTAAATACTGATTCTGGAATCTGTTCGTGTTATCCACGCCCCGCCCCGCCTTCGTTCTCTTCACAATGTATCTTATGATTATCGAAATGGGTGAATTCCTCCATCAGTTCTTCCATATCAAATGTGCTTGTTTCTTCGAAGTTCGTTAGACTATCATTTCCCTCGAAATCATTTTGAGTGCCTGCAGGGAAGCAGCTGGAACGGCGAGCCTGTGTTCCAAGCTCGAGATCCGGCTCCTCCTGCCACTTTCCCTGGCAGCATGGATGCGGACAGATGAATGTAGTCGAAGCTTTCAATGCGTCAAAATGATTGACGATGTGGTTGAGAAGTGTTGGCTTGACCAGCCATTGTTGAAACCTCTCATCCGGCTCTTTCCCTACATCGCCCAAGCAGAATGGGCAAAAGCCAGGTGCAACAAGGATATAGCGGAGCGTCAAGATACCACATCGAGAATGCAGTTCATTCAGATGCGTTTGGCAATGGCTCTTCCAGTCTTCTTGATCACAACAGATATTTGCACAAAGATAGCAAAATTGAACAAAATTCCGCTGTACGCGACGATGTGCGCGCTTTCCATTGCCATAGCATTGCTGGTACGGTGGACCACCCAAAGATTGTCTTCGACATTGTAGCGATCTGTGGAAACACACCAATTGGAAAACGGATTATAGTAATACAGTCCTCTTTTCTTTCTAAGGCAATCGATGTCAAAGCATCATATTGACGTGATGAAGATATGTCATACAGCGATGCCTCTTTTACCATACTTTTTGAATCTGTACACTTTCTTCCACCAGGTTTCAAAAGTTATCCGTCTGCTGTCTGTTGCCGAGTATGCAGTTCAATACATTTATCATATCTTACAAATTCGGCAACCTGGGGAGCCAAGGATATCAGCGAAGGATTGCTATCTTCTCAAACTATTCTGTTCTTGCTTAACTTTCAAAGAAATCGATAAACTCTTCTATGAGCTTCAGGATCCCCTCAGCATCAGATACGCCCAGTCCATCAAACACGGCCTGTGCGAATTCGTTGTCAAGAGAAGCCTCTTCGTAGAAATGAGAATCCGCGAGGGCGCCCCCGCAAGAGGTATGGCGATGACTTTCCTGACAATTTTCAAGCTCGGGGTTTGGATCTGGCTGCCACTTCCTTTTGCGGCCAACACAGTTAGGGCGTGGTTCCTCAAGAGAATGCGCATCATGAAAGTGCCGACTAAGATCGCGTATGCTCTTGTAGTTCCTCCCCTGGCATCACGGATGCGGGCAGCCGAGCTCCGTGGAACCTTCTATACTTCCTAAATGTTCGTCGATGTGATTCAAAAGCGTCGATTTGGTCATCCACTGTTTGAACCTCTCATCCGGCCTTTTCTCTTCGTCTCCTAGGCAAAAGGGACAGAATCCTGGTGCAACGAGTGTAAATCGAAATGTCAAACTCCCACATCGAGGGTGAAGGTGATTGAGATGCTCTCGACAATGAGAAATCCATTCTCGTTCATCGCAAACTAATTCTGCACACAGATAACAAAACTCAACAAATTTGCGAGGGGCACGCCGATGGGCTCGCTTGTTATTTGTGTAGCGTTGTTGATAGTTTGCCCCGCCAAGGGATCGCCTGTGGCATTGTAGTATGTGCTTCGCTCTTCCCTGTTTCGGAATACTAGTTTTGTAAGCCTGAGTTTTATATTAAGCAGAGGAGAGGCAATTGGTCATACTCGAACATAGAACGAGCGCAGGTTGGAAATTGGTTCTGCTTCGGAAAAAGCCCTGGATAGTATACGACACGCTCAGTAGAGGTACAAAGCGTAACCATATCTTCAAGACATGCTCTGCCAATCTCGCTATCCAATGTTGTCTTCGTAAACAAGAGCTCTCTAACCCTTGCGCGTTCTGGGAGATACTTTTTGTAGATCTCGAACAATGACATTCTGTCCCGCTCTGTGAACTCGTTTCCAGTGATGTATTCTTCATAAGAGGAGTTCCACCAGTCCTGAATACTCGCTCTTCCGAGCAGCTAGTAACTTTGCCTTCCTTGTATAAAGCTGTGATCTTTCTTTTGCAAGGTGCTCATATAGATGTGGCTTTCCAGATATTTCAAAGGTTAGGTGACGTATTCTCTGAATTATAGATTGAACCTCTTCTGACTCTGTAAACTTCGTGATTGTGGCCGCATCTAATTTCTGAGGCATATTGATGTCTCGGTGATGGGCAAGACTCTGCTCCATATCACGACATTCATAGTCAGGTTCTATATCATAGAATGCGGACTGGATGTCGACGGACTTGAGTACTGACTGGTACTTGAGAAATGTACTGTGGTTTTGATGGTCGAGAGCCTGACCACGAGCTGCTTTAGATGCCTTGGCTGTGACTTGTTAGCCTGACTGAAACCTTGCATCTTATATATAAATAGCTTACGGTCGATCTGATTTGCAACACCTCTACGGATTCTGTGCACCCGTAGTTTATCCCTAAAACACATTCGTTGCGCTAGGCTTGAGAAGCTATGCCGTAGAGCAGAGAATGTCAGCGCCCTACTTCCTTGAGGGCCGTCATGATCAATCATCCGCAAAAATAGCAATTCTTTCTTGCTCTTGTTCCACTCAAGGGTGAGTGACTTATATCTGTTGGGAGGTCTCATAGAGAGAACCTCTGCCATAGTTGTGAGGCCCTTGAAAGCCCTGTCTGCGACCCCATGAACTATTACCCAGAATACAAAGCTTATTCCGAGAGCAGGGTGCTCTCTGAGCCAATTCTTCGGCCTTGGGCGCTCTATATTAGTATTTGCAAGATTCTTTTTTGAATAAATAGATTATAGGAACCTACAGGTCTTTCTTATTATTATAGCGCTATCCCTTAAGAAATTCAGGTGAAATTGTCACCCAACGTTTCAAACTACCATCTTGGGAGCTCCGTATTATGTTGAAGGTCAAATACTTCAAATTCTTTATTAGCGTTTTTCTTCCGTGTATGATGGATTTCGAAATTCAACAAACCCTGTAGTAGAGGCATTCATTTAAGCGATGATATACGCTCGACTCAACTATAGCTCCTGCTTGGGCTCCTGATACGCAAAATAATGCAAGAGTGCTTGCGGTCTGGATACAAGCTCGCTTATGTTTATAATCATGCCAATCGTTAATGAAAAGACTGCGAATAAGATAGTCTATGTCCTTGGCTGTTACCATGAACCGCTCTTGTGGCTTTGTTGGGAGCTTCTATTTACTTATCAACTCAGTCCTGATATACTTGCAGGTGTTAGTCGAGGAAACTTAGGCTTATAGGACGCACTGCGGAAGATATGCCTGACTTACATTCAGAACATCGTCCTTGACCTTCTTTGAGATAGAATAAGAAGTTTTGTGTTCCTATTGGGAGGTGAATTTGATAAAATTTTGGCAAGTGGAGCTCTGTGAGGGTATTTTTCTCTCTCGTTACAACATAGTACTCTACAAATGATTTTAGAACTTGTGGCGTTGGAATTGGCTAGTCTTTGCGAAAGTTGGTATCGGTCGCATCACCCCGAGAAAGTCTCTATCTGCCCAAAGAGTTAGATTCATCTGATTAATATGCTGCAGTAAATTCTCTCTTACAGCATCCAGTTTTTTGCACTCGTCTCATAGTTCTGGAGTGTAGCTGGTACGAGCTCCTTGTAGGATATTGTGTTCTCCTCCTGCTCTCGCCGATCTTGATACTCGCGGGTATATCTACGTGATGTGGCCCGTGCGGTAATCTTGTCAAGTTCTTTTCGAATGTCTTCAGAAAGCATCTTGGATTCTTGATCGAGGTTGAATTCGGTCTCCATCTGAACCGAAGAGAAATGGCAGATCAACAGTGCGCCCTGCAAGCGTATTTATAATAAGTCCGTGGTGAAAAGGCATGGGTGAGAATTCTCACCCGTTCTCACCCTGTTCTCACCCCGTTCTCACCCCTATCACCCTGGTCCAGAAACTTCTCACCCAACTCACCCACACTCACCCTAAGGTGAGAACCATCGCTGGTTTAAAATTTGAGGCTCCTGAGAGATTGACCGCGCATAATATGTGGCTTAAGTACGGCTGAGCGGACGGGAAGCCCTGTTCTCCACACCCTATGGTCGTATGTACCAGAGTTCTAGCAAAGGAGACTGATCCTGCGGCTGATGGAGACGATTTATATTTAGCCAATTTCAATTAATAAACACTTTTAGTTCTTTAGCCATAAGTATAGCTTAGGCCCTTGCTCGGTTCCCTTCCGACATTAGTGAGGTTAGATATCGCCCTTTCTTCCATGCTTCGTTTGCCGGTCTTCTATCCCTACCCTCCAGTACTGTAGAATAGCAGTCCCAGAAGTGACAGTGGCTGCTGCTGCTAGGATTTTCTTGCAAAAGGATGATTCGTTTCTCATCAGTGGGCTCGTATTCAATGCACTTTCTGTCAAACGCAACTCGTTTGACTGGGTCCTGTGTAGTCCTTTCCCACTCATCAAGGTAAGTCTCCTTCGGGGAGGAGCTAACCGGCATTCTATGAGAAGCCATGCTACAAAGGTGAATGAATATAGGGTGTTTCTAAATAGCGGTTGAAGAAAAAGGCTGTGTTGAGAGGATGAATCTATTTTCGATCCGCCCTTACTATTTATACTACTTGTAAAATTGTTAGCGCGATGCAAGAACGGCATGTGGGGGAGAACCCACTTCGGTACCAGAAGATAGAATAATGGAATTGTTCAGCACAATTGTAATTGAGTTTTATGGGGTTTCAGTCAAAGTCTAATTGGTAGTTCTGCACAAGTATGTCTTGGAAAAAGTGGATCAAAGTTACATGGTCGGCCTACGCCGCGCAATGGTTATGTGGGTTTGTTTCTAAAACTTGAATACAACGTTTTAAATTTTTTGTACTTAAAGGAGAGTTCAATTCCAACTGTATGGGTTGCTATCAATCACACCTCAAAGACTACCTTTTTCAAATCTGCGGACAAGCATGCAGTTGAACCTTTACCTCCTAGCAGTCGGCATCCTGTCTGGCATCTGCCCCGTCAATGGCAAGGCTTCTTTCAATTCTTCCTTGTCTCATTGGCTATACACCAGCGACATCGACCAGGAAGCTCTTGCTCTCTTGGATCACCCAGAAATCCAAGGTATCCAGAACCTTTACAGCTGGAAGTCTCTCGAGCCGCAGAGAGGCCAATACGATTTCTCTGCCATTGAGAACGATTTGAACCAAACACAGTCCAAGGGCAAAAAGCTCTGGGTTCAGATCCAAGACCGTTCTTTCAGCATCGAAAACAATCCTGTGCCAAGATATCTTCATAAACCAATCTACAACAACGGCAGCGTGCCTCAGTGTGATGGAGATGACTGCGACAGCGACTTCGTTGCAGGCGGTTGGGCTGCAGCGCAATGGAATTCCCATGTCCGCGAAAGGTTCCAGAGTCTGTTAGAGGCTCTTGCAGTCAAGTTTGATGGAAAAGTTTATGGCTTCAACCTCCCAGAGACCGCAATCGAAGTTCAGTCCAACAAAAATGCTACCGGCTATTCTTGCCAAGCCTACTTCGAGGGTACTCTAGACAATGCCCGCTACGCAGCTCAGGTATTCCATCGCTCGTATGCCGTCCAGTACGTCAACTTCTGGCCCTGCGGCTGGGCAAACGAGAATAACTACCTCTCCGACTCGTTCCGGTTCTTTGCAGACCATGGTGTGGGTGTGGGTGGACCAGACAATATTCCCTTCAAGAAAACCATGGAGAATAACGCTTACCCATACATGTCGGAGTATCGGAGTAAAGTCTCTATCAATGTGGTTGCAGTGCAGGAACCGGATTTAGCGGCAATCAATCCAAACACCAGCAAGCCGTTCACGAAGGACGAATTCACCTCATTTGCTGAAAAGCAACTGGGTTCGAAGATTTTATTTTGGGCCTTATCCAGTCCTTGGCTCCATCAGTAACAGGCCCAGGAAGAATATTAGTTACATGCCAACATTAATATAACTATAGATGGTTCGGTTGGACTGGCCTGTCTACTGCTGCAAACTGTAATGAAAACTTCTATGGATTGATAGGTGAAGCCCCGGGTGTGTTGTATGACAATAATTGTAATTACTAGCTATTTAGACATTGTAGACGATGGAGCTGTGAGTTACTAGATCTGGCTAGTTTTTCCCTTTTAGATTTAGCTTCCCAAGACTCCGTCAAACCGCGCTCATCCTAATTTGAAAATACTAGTACTAGGGTATAAAATAAGCGAAGAAGCGGGGTAGAATTTAGTGTGAAATGTGGTGTAAGCAGATAATCGAGTAGCACAGCTCAGTCCTAGCCTTTTCTTTTCTAACTCCTGTACACGAATAAATCTATTCTCTTTCTGAATAATCTTGGGCTTTGTTATCCCACAACTCACCACTTGGTTTGTTCCTCACTCTTGCTCGACCAGTAGCCACGAGACCATGCCACAAACTCTAGGACTGCTCGACTACGGGTGCACGGATTGGTGGATCAGTAGCCAGATAGCCGTAGATCTGTACAATTCTGGTACCGGACTTTGGACGAAAGAGGATCTCGAAGACATAGAACAACAATTACGCCAATCCTATACGATGGGAGCATAATACAAATTTCCAATCCCATGTTCCATGTACAAAATCCTATCTGGTACGTGGGTATAGTCCTAATCCACATTCAGCCTGCAATCTAACTTTGCCTGAGGAAACCTTATGTCAGATACCAAGAATATTGGCAACTTGTGAGAGCGCAATCCAAGGGCCCAATCGAAACTTACCTATGCTCTTATATTGTGGATTGGAACAATAGGACTGAACGAAAGTTTCGAGAGCTTATAGCACAGCCAATGCAAGCCTCTGACGAGAAACCATTGTTATGTCAGAATAGCAAAACCTACAAGCAATTGGTAGCCTTGGTCCAAGATATACTCGGTACGAAAACCGCGATGAAGGTTCTTGGCTTCGGGCTCGGTAAATTTTGCCGTACTGCGCGTGAATGGCTAAAAAAACGGCACGATTCTTGGGATGAGAACTCGGAGGTGAAAAGTGTTATGGACTGCATGATCCAACATTCGATGGCTCTTACTATCGCTCAAATTTGTGGTGGCAATTAAAAATTGACATTGGTTACTTAGGACCCTGAGTATACAGAGGTCGCAGAAGATATACTGACCAAGAAGGGATTCAAAATTGTTGGAACTCACGGCGCAGGAGAATTTGCGGAAATTAACGAAGGCTCGATCAAAATATCACCATTTGCTGCCGCCCTTGTTAAGCAGATTATCGCTGATCTTGCTCGGCCTGTGCTGATTATTTCCACTGGATTTGCAGTCTTCAATAGCCATGAGTAAGTTTGCTTTTATCGATCTTGAAATCTGTCTGACCATGGAACTTCACAGAAAACCATTGGCAGATGCTAAATCTCCGAGAACAAGGCAAATATGGCTTGATAATGACACCTATACCCTTCCAAGCCATTCTGACGACGTTTAAATATGCTCTGCATTGGAAGGATTGCATTTTTATTGTAGACGCGAGCAATCCCTGGATTTGCAAGGACCTTATACTACCTAGTCATGGTGGATGTGATGAAGAGGAAAAGGACAAGATGTCCGATTCTGTTACAACTTCAAGTCAATTTATATTGAACATTGCTTTATATGACTGTAGATTTATATCATAAGCTCATTAATCATATCTCAATAGCTTTTATCAACTGAATGTGCAATGTGGCATTTTCCCCTTGCCAGTATTGATGCATCCTCCATCCATGCTTCCAATCCATCCTCACCTCCAATAGAACTATTTAAAAGGGCACAAATGCGTCTCCAACTTGACCAGCCGCCAAACCACCCTGCTTCTTACCATGGCTGTTACTAAGATAACTCCGATTGAAACTAATCTACTTTCTTCGCAGGTTTTGCAGTTTCATCGCCACAGGGACTCCACCTATACTAGCCAATTCATCCGTCATCCCAGTCGTGGCAACGTGCACGGGAATGAGAATAGGGAACGAAGCTTCGGGGACATCAATCATGATGCCGTAGGGGTTTTTGCTCTGCACTAGAGCTTCCTCAGTGGAATGGTTGGATTGGGTGAAGGTACAGATTGTATTAATAACGGCTATCGTGCGTTTCTCTATTGTGTAGAGAGTACCTGAATCTATGATAGTGGCTTATGTTGTGGCTTGGTGCATAACAATTCTAGCTTTAGTTGAGGCTTCATAGGTAAAGGTTTGCACTGTGTTTATTATACGAGCGGTAGAGGAGAGGTTAATTAAGGCAAGGGATTTAATAAGGTTAGAGATTAGTATTATAATAGGTACCTCGGCGAAGGGAAGGACTACCCTAGTAAGGGTATGGAAGATATTAGCTACTAGGGGTTTAGTATCCTCCTAAGATACTATGAAAAAAGATTTATCCTAGTGGCTATATGTGCTTGGTTCTTCGTAGCGGAAGATAAGGTTATTGAGGAGTTTACAAGAATAGGTTTACTTAGTATCTGATATTTGGACCAAGGTAGTAGTTTTACTTAAGGGATTAAGTTACTCTAGCAGAGAGGTATCCTTTTCCTAGGCTATATCCTGATCTAAATAGCCCTTATTATTTATAGTATACTAATTAACGGGAGTACTGATATATACCTAGATAAACCTTGGTTAGCTATTGTCTAGCCTTTCTATGTATGTAAAGCCTAGAATCTTAGTTATAGGACACAGAGTACCCTATCTTATACCTTTGATTAGAGATACTCTAGAACTCTCTGGGGGTAAAGCTTTTTTTTTTGGCGACTTGCTCTCCGTTCTATATTTATCCCCATCTACCATCCTCCCCTGTTTTTATCACTCTGTATCTTTACTTTATGCTTACTTTCGGGTCTAAATATTATTCCAATGCAATTGAGTTTTTCTTCCATCAGCTCGCGTAGACATGAAGTACTCCAGAACCGGGATAATGAAACTCGCAAAACGGCTATCAGCTCCAAAAATATCCCGGTAAGTACTAGTAGGGTCGAGACCAGTGCTGTGTTTAGTATTTGGCTCTGCAGTTGCGGCCTCTATTGTACTTAGTAGAATTTAAATGAATTCTAATGCATACCCCAGATTATGCCACGCAAAAGCAGCAACGTGGAATTCAAGTCAGAATTACTCCGGAGACGGGAGGATCAAATAACTCAAGCGGGGAAGTAGAGTGGCGGCGATTCATCGGGTTCGCCAAGCCCTCGCCTGGGAATTCATCCCTGCTATTTCTTTCTTTTCTGCCGGTAATGGTCTGGAGGCGTTTCTTCAGATCATTCGACACGATTCCACGCCCTATTAAATTTCAGAACGTAAAATTCCATGTGAATGTAAAGCGGGATCAGCATTGCCCTGCCGGAAATTTGTCGGCAGACAGTCCTGTAAAAGCGAATCAGCTGCTTTCTACCCCGGAACCAAGAAATGCCAAGGTCTTGGAAGTTGAGATGGATACAATTCCGCTTTTCTTCAGGAATAGTAGATTCAACTGCAACACCAGTCAGTTGTACTATATAACGGGAACGGAGCGATAGGGTATGGATTATAACAGAGGCTGTCAAATAACTATACAATAATCCAAGCCGCTATTTTTGAGGACACCGAAATCTATAGCAGTCATGAAGCTTCACAATCTAATTTCTTTTGCTAGCCTCGTGGCCTGGGGAGATGCCCATGGATATCTCACGATTCCATCTAGCCGGACCCGTCTTGGCTTTGAGGTACAGAATCCACCATGTCCCCCTGACAAGCATCTCAACCTTTCGAGATCCAACTAACACCCTCAAGGCCGGCATCGATACCTGCCCTGAATGCTCCATTCTCGAGCCCGTAACCGCCTGGCCAGACCTGGAAACAGCCCAAGTGGGTCGAAGTGGACCTTGCGGGTACAACGCCCGAGTCAGTGTTGACTACAACCAACCCGGTGATTACTGGGGCAACGAAGTGGTCGCAACATACACCGCTGGTGACACTGTTGAAGTCCAGTGGTGTGTCGATAACAACGGCGACCACGGCGGAATGTTCACATACGGAATCTGTCAAAACCAAACGCTGGTCGATCTTTTCCTGACACCCGGATATCTGCCCACAACAGCAGAGAAGCAAGCTGCAGAAGATTGCTTTCTGGATGGGGAGCTCAAGTGCACGGATGTGACCGGTCAAACTTGCGGATATAATCCGGACTGCTCTTCCGACGAAGCATGTTATCGAAATGACTGGTTTACTTGCAATGCATTCTCTGCATCGAGTAATCGCGGGTGCCAGGGCGTTGACGGGGCTGCGCTTGGATCTTGCACGACGACAATCGCGGGAGGTTATACCGTCACCAAGAAGATAAAGATCCCGAACTATGAATCTGCTCATACCTTGCTTCGTTTCCGATGGAATTCTTTTCAAACGGCGCAGGTGTATCTACATTGTGCCGATATCGCGATCGGAGGATCCGGTTCGGGGTCTTCTTCATCATCGTCAACAAGCAGCACTACCAGCAAGACAACTACCACCAGTGCTACCACTACAGCAACATGCACAGCCGCTACAAGTATCGCAGTGGTGTTCAATGAACTTGTGACGACAACCTATGGGCAAAGTATTTATCTTGCTGGATCTATCAGTCAGCTCGGTTCTTGGGATACATCATCAGCCATTGCTTTGTCGGCCAGCTCATACACAACATCCAACCCACTCTGGACAGGATCGGTCACACTTCCTGTTGGCACAACCTTTGAATACAAGTTCATCAAGAAGGGAACAGATGGGACTTTTACTTGGGAGAGTGATCCTAACCGAAGCTACACTGTGCCCACTGCGTGTTCCGGGGCAACGGCGACTGTTACAGCAACCTGGCGATAGATACAAGCCCTCTTTCCCTTGGCAGAATATCAATCTACGAGCTTCAATTAACGTTGTGGAGTTCAAGTTCTTTCTTCGCCTTGGCGGAGCCTTTGTATTGTAGAAGAGAAATATAATACACACGTATAATACACCTGGTAGGCCGGATTTGAATCTCTTTTTGGGGTGGCAGAGAAGACCACTGGCACGAAATTTGTTTCATATTTTCAAGGTTGATCCTGAACTTGAGCGTAGGTGTTTCTAAACTGAGCATCCGAATCCGCGTACGGCGAATGTCGTTGGAATTAGCAACTGAGGGTGATTTTGTCCGAGCGCACAGTAATCAAAGGAAGAGATTAATAGTTAAAATGAATCAGCCTAGTAGAATACACTTACTGCGAACATGTGGACCAGTGTGTAGATTGTTGAATTGAAATGTTTTAGCAAATAAAGACATCTTAACTAATACCTGGATTGATATTATGGGCAGGCGAACAAAAACCACTGTCTCCGTTGTCGTTATGAAGCGCCGGACCTCGGACTAGTCAAATCCCAGGGGCACGGAGCACCTTCCGGAGCCCCGAGGCCCGGTGGGAAGTGCGGGTTGTGGGGCGACAATGGGTAAAGCTTGTTTGAAAAACGAATTGCATATTCCTTTGCAGGCGTGATTTGCGAAAGGGGTTTCTATCACTCTTATAGAAAGAAAAATCACCAGGTTTGGGCGGGTTTCAGATAACCTATAACATCAACTGATAATTTCACTCCGCGAATTCGGCCTCAATGATTCCAAGACCCTCTCCCTGGCGTGTCCAGTACTTTATCGCCCGTAGACCATTTGCTGCTAGCAGATTTTCCCAGCGTTGACGCGTCCTCTCTAAACCCGAGCAAAACACCATCACAGTCATATCCGTTGTACAGGGGAGGGTGCTGGCGTTTTGATCGGGTAGGATGAATTCCTCCATGATTATTTTCGAGAATCCGGGTTTCATCGCGGGTTTCAGATTGTTGAAAATTGTGGTTGCCCTTTCGTCAGACCAGTCGTGGAGAACGATCTTGAAGTAGTAAGCTCTGGCACCCGTATTTTCAAGTCAGAAATTTAAGATTTCCAAATCTGTGGAGAATATGGCTCACCTTGGACTGGTTGGACCTCGTTGAAAAAGTCAAACACTTGCGTATTCACCTTTGCAGCTAGGAGATTCTGTGCGCCGCCAACTTCATCGATAACAGTCGGGAGATCCTCCAGAATCATCTTGCATGGTGCATCGGGAAATCTTTCCGTCGATTAACGGTCGGTTAAAGGTCGGTTAACGGTCGCTTGACCGTCGCTTGACCGACCGTGAACCGACCATTACTGTTGATGGTCTGTTGTGGTACTATCAAATGACCAAAGACCCTACCTTAAGGTACGGCACTCAGTAAGCGCAAATGGTGTAATGGAGGTTAGGACTGGTGATGAGCCAAAGATGTCATTGAGTCCTATAGCAGCAATTATACCTGCTACAAAATCCTATTTTCTTTCACCTAATAATTCTACGAGTTGAGCTATAGTTCAAAGCAAGCTTTATTGTGGGATAGCTAAGACTAGCGAGACACTAAGAATAAGAATCAATACAGAATTGAAGGCCTGGGAGTCAGGAACCCGTCATCAGATATTCATCTAACCGATGAAAAGTAAAGCCATGTAAGAATGTCTATGACATCAAAGGAAAACGCTTTCCGTACCGAATCACACGAGAAGCGAAGTGAATCAAAAGGAAAAGGGACTATACCAGCCAAACAGAGCAGGGCAAGCTCGAGGAATTGCTCGGTGGAGGGCGCGTCTACCAACGACGCCACTGTAGGAGCTGGTCATACCGCCGCCACCGCTGTAGTGGATCATCTCAGCAAGGCGAGGATCGATCTGTTTCTTGGCCTCCAAAAGAACGGTGACCAAATAACAAGCCTGCTTGGAGTCTGCCGGGAGGCGATGATCAGGTAATGGGAGAATTCGGGCGTTCGGGAAAAATGTTTTGACGTTCGCGCATGATTGGCAATCCCTTACGCTTTATAGCGGTGGATTGAGAACCCGAGCGGGAGTGTGAACGGGGCGGGCGGAGATTTCCTTGAATGGTGATGTCGTCCTTTCGGGGGAGCAGGAGCGGGAGCGCGGGAAGAGACGGTTACAATGTCGTCGTCGTCACTTTCATCACTTTCTCCGGCTCCCTGCATGGCGACGATGCGTGAGAGGTGCCACTGCATTTCGAGGAGGGCGAAGGACGGGAGCGGTCGCTTCTTGGGGTCATCGGTTTTAATCTGGAAAATATAACCCGAGGGGACAACCTGCTTGGTGATCATGTGGAAAACGAAGAGATTCTCGCCGGGGGTTTCGGTGAACCCCGTGGGATTGTCGGGGTAGGGATGTTTGTCTATTGGCAGGAAGTCATTGCGCTGACTTGTCAATTTTTCACGCAACGGCAGCCAGTGGAAGGCGATATGCATGGAGGTTTTCTCGTTGTTGATTGAGATTGGCCGAAACGTACAAATTGAATGGTCCCAGTATCTATGAATAGATTCTGCAAGACAAAACAAGTTCTCGATCTTTTCAGTATCCAGACTTTCTCCTTTCCCTAGAATTGCGGAGTGCCACTCAGAAACTTTTGTCTTGCCCCAAAAGTACTCAAGCCACGCCCACTCAGCTTCTCTTGGGCTACCATTGAATTCAAAAGGAACAATATGGGAGACTTCCAGTGTTGGTTGGCCGTGTTCAGTAAGCACACACTGATTCCCATCACGCTTTAGTGCTTCCTCCTTGGCCCATTCGCTGCAAGCATCTTCCGCCAACACACTTAGAGCAGATTCAGCCGCGTGACTTTCCGATGCGGGGATCTCGGAGGAGCTGGTAACTCGCTCTCGTTTCCCGTTCTTGTTTTTTGAGGTCGTTGTGTACCTGCCGTTTTCCCGCAAACATCCCAGCATAATCCGGGTCCGGCGTCAAGAGTCCTATGAAGGATAGGGTGCTTTTTTGCCCTGCTCCTGAGCTGTCTATGCATGCCTCTAGCTCCGAAATTTCGGCAAACCAAAATGGGAACAGCCATCCACGTCTCAATTGCTTCAAATGCGGTACCTGCGCTGCAATCTTTTTGATCAGAGCCACCCGAATAGGGTCATTGAACTCCGAGAAGATGTTCTGATTATCCATCTTTTTCCCGATAAGGATGGCGTGGCAGTCTGGACGTACGGTCGAGGTAGATGGCATGGGATCTCAACACACAGGCAAAGGGGAGGATTTGTCATCGCCAGTCAGTGGCAGGCGATGAGGATGGTGTAGGAGTCTCACTGCGTCCGAGAGAACGGTGTTGATATGAGAGAGACACGAGAGGAGACACAGAGCAGATGGGGGGGGGTAGAAGAGAACAAAACAACGAAAAGTGGGAGGAGTCGAGGCAGGTACGATGAGGGGACTGCCCTAAACGGGAACTATGAGACCAAAGCCTTGCCTAAAACAGAAGCTGATTATGTCATTCTTTCAATTACACAAAACTATACAGAGGAAAAGCGTATAACGGAATACCTCCATGTAGGTGTAGGATGGTTCAATTTAGAAATACTCTATGCAACAAATACAATCAACGCGATGGCATATTATCGTGGTGATAGAGAAGGAGGAAGAGATCAATCTCCAGTAAAAATACCGTCTCTCAATGGCATGGAGTCCAGTCCATACCCATAACAACTTGAAGTCAACAAAACCGATCCATGGGTTGGTCAATAGGTAGGCAGGTAATTATTGGACTCAATGATGTCTTTGGCTTATGCCGTCTCAAGGCAGCACCGCAATGGAGTCTTTTCGTGGGGTGACAATCGGTGGGCACGCTACTGTATGGCATGGCGAGTTTGACGTGCTTTAATAGCTTCAGTCAGCTTGACCTCTCTGTGGAGTTTTAGGTTTACAAAAGTTATCCTATAGTAGAGAAAAGTATACATGTTCGGATGCTTCATTGATTGGAACTTCAAGATAGAAGCTAAGGATAGAAAGTGAAGAAAGTACTGAAGAAGATAATATAAAGGAAGGCAGCTGATGTCGCGTATGAAGTGAAGAAGAACAGGGGCCTCGTGACTACTGGCTACCCAGAATATCACAACCTCCGTCCTGGCGAGCCCAACGACAGTTTGCGCAGCAGTGAATGCTGATCCCTTGGTGGTGGGTACGAACTCACTTGGTCCATGGACCGTAGGCTCGGGCACAGCGTAAACATTCCACTGGCTCAATGGTGCCAGTGATATGGATATGAATTCGACGGGTTAGTCCAGCCGCAGTGTAGCCTCCGTGTTCTCTAGGAATAGGTTCTCAGACGAGTCTAGCGACGACGAGAGCAGCGATATCATATGTGGCGTAGGGCTGCTGTGAGGCGATTTGAGAGACAGATTCCGCCCATTCGCCCGGCGGCACGTGGCCCGACCCCACGGTGGAAGCCGTTTCGGGGTGATCAATCTCCATTGCGAGAGGCATGGGCCTGTTAGTTCCGTCAGTACGAGTGCGGATGAGTTAGTCACGAGAGTGAACTCACGAGGTAGCAGAGCTAGGTGCAGTCTTTTGGTTGGAGCCAGATTAATCCTGGCACGATGGCCGTTAGTAAGGCCTTTCGGGGGGTCAATGGCGCTCGGTCAGACGGAAGACGTCAACAAGAAGGATCCTTTCGGGCTCGGTGTGGATTTTCGGGAGAGATTGAAGCGGGAGGGGAATCGGAATTGTTGTCTCCAGTCGGTGGCATGCGATGAAAATGGTGTTGGAGCTTCACAACACAATGGAGGAGAGAGTGTGAGGAGGAGAGGAAAGGAGATGGGATAAAAGTGATGAATATGCTCACTGGCGGGTAGAGAGTGGAATGTACTAACTAATGGGCAGCAGTTATAGAACAGTCATAGGCAGCAGTCAACATCTGTCCATTGAGGGCTCTACTTTGAGACTTGAACGTAATAGTTTCAATCTTTATTTTAAAATTAAAGAGAAGTTTCTAACTAGTGTCTGGTGGTATTTTCCTTGACCAGACAAATGGTGGTATTAATCATCTCTGGGTTGTGAACAGGGTACTAGACACTCATATACATCTTCTTCCATTTTAGGAGATCGGACGGAATGCGCAGATCGCTTGGTCCCAGTACACATAGGATCAAGCGGGTCAGCCTCTTCGCTTGGCGGCGGGAAAAGCTTCGCGGCCCCCAGGACGATATTCGCAATTACGAAAACAATATCCCTGTAATCGGAGAGCTGCACCGTTTATTGAGCAAGTTAAATTGTCCCTCATTGTCAATTCTGTAGAAGTCGTAAAGCAAAAGACTCGAGAAACTCGGGAGATTCCGCAGTCCGTGCAGTTCACTGCCCCGACGAGGCACTTGAAAATCGGTACGAGACCGTTACAATATCTCCGTTAGAGTTTCAATGGCCTCAAGTAGTCACAGTTATCGGTTCCCTGCATGGCGACGATGCGTGAGAGGTGCCACTGCATTTCAAGGAGGGCAACGGACGGCAACGGTCGCTTCTCAGGGTCATCGGTTTTAATCTGGAAAAGCTACCCGAGAGGATCACCTGTTCGGTGATCATACGAAAGATGAAGATGTTCTCCGAGGTTTTCGGTGGTGATCATACGAAAGATGAAGATGTTCTCGCCGAGGTTTTCGGTGAACGCCATAGACTCTTCTGGGTATAGATGTTCGTCCATTGGCAGCAAGTCACTGCGACGGCTCGTCGATTTTCCGCGCAACTGCAGCCAGTGGAAGGCGATACCCATGGACGTTTGTTCCTTGTTTGTTGAAATTGGCCGAAACGCACAAATCGAATGGTCATAGTATCTATGAAGAGATACTGTAAAGCAAAACAAGTTCTCGACCTGTTCAGCATCAAGAGGTGTCTCCTTATCCTAATATTGCGGAGCGCCACTCAGCAATTTCGGTTTTGCCCCAAAGGTACTCGAGCCACTTCAAGTTCCATCCGACTTGGGCTACCATTTTTCTTGAAAAGAATAATATGGTAGACTTCTAGTGCTGGGCGGCCGTGTTTTGTGAGCACACACTGGTTACCATCGTGCTTGAGTCCTGACTTTTATGCTGGTTCACTCCGAGCATCTTTGGCTGACACACTAGGAGCAGATTCTGTAGCACGATTTTCTAACGTATTGAATCTCCGCGGAACTTGAATCTCGATTTTCTTTCCCTATCTTGTTTTTGGAGTCGTCGGTTACCTGCCGTGTTCCCGCAAACATCCCGGGATAGTCTGGGTTCGGCATCTAATGTTCCCACGAACTTGAAGGATAAAACTTCTCTGCCCTGCTTCTGAGCGCTCTGTGAAAGCATCTAGCTCCGAGATTTCAGGAAACCACAGTGGAAACAGCCATCTGCGTCTCGGTTGCTTGTCAATTTGGTATGTATCCAGTCGCGAAGAATCGTGCTTTTTGAGATGTTGTTGATACGAGCACCGACGACAATCTGTTGGAGGGCGGAGAGGCAACGAACCCCTGTTATCGGCTTCCAGTCTCGTGGTGGGCTTCATTTCAAGATGTCACAGCCCCATGTGCCTTGAACATCGCCAAACTGAGTGACCTCAGGTGCGTCTCCTTGTCGGGCTAGTTCATCCACGTACATGGCTCTCGATACAACACGGCGGTGATGATCTTGTTTCAGTAGGGCGTTGCAAAACCTTTCATGCCGCTTTTTGGACTCATCGAGCTGAATATACATGAATTCTGGATGCCTCATACGACGCTTGCCGATGTGAATCTCCGAGGAAGTGTTCAATCGCGAAGCGGCGCGGACATTCATGCGATAGGGAAATTTTCGCCAGATTGCGACTTGGACTTCTCGATCAAACCCTTCGGTTGGTCTATTCGAGAGAACCGTGACTTGAGTATCAGGACCTTTCGCTTGACTTGAAATGACGAGGATATACCCTCCTTTGGGGGCAGTCATCGACCGGCAAGCAGCATAGAAGGGAATATGCATGAATGAGGGGTACGAAGAGGACGAGGAGAAACAGGAGAAAGAGAAATCGAGGCAGGAACTGCCACTTAGGTAAGTAAATACTAACTAGTAACACTTTGTTTATACTTCCATTTTAGGGAAGGGGCGACGTTGGCGGCAGGTGCGACTCATATAGATCCAAATTAGATAAGCTACTGTCGAACTCGTGATAGACGTCATGACAGAATAGGGTATGACTAGTAGTCCTGTTAAATTTGATCCGGAGTCTATTTTCTGATGCACACTTTCCGTAACCCTTTGTCCCCACTCGAGTGCGCGGAAATCAATTGAAAACCCGAGATCCATAATCATGAAAACTTTTCACTGGTCTGATCCTTGCCCAACTTAAACATTCTCCTGACGCCACGCCTTGAATGATGGAGGCTGAGCCACATGGTAGAACTCATATTAACCTCAGCGGCCATATTTCAACTGCAGACAAACCCTGGGAGGCCATCGCGGAGTTCGACCCCCGATGGCGGTCCAGGTGGATAGCCGTGGGCTATCGACTCCGCCAATCGCATAGTTCAATTTGATTCATCTTATCTAACCCTACACACACGTTTAATTTAGGACGGAGAAGTAAATTCTTGATCGCCTGGCTAGTCTCGTTGAGCAATGAATTAACAGCGGAGGGTGCCATTTCAAGAGGAAAGTACGGACAATCTTGTAATTTGAGATTTAATTCTTCGTCTATAATTCACACTATCTTCCACTGTTTCTCTGCTTTATATCCCATGATAAGGCGTAGAGCGCAACACCCATCCTGCTCACTAACTCACTCAGTTGTCTATCGCTCATCTTCATTCCCATCAACGCGGAGGCTCAACTCCGTCCCGCTGACCAATGAGAATTTGTTGTGGCAACGGACTTCCGCCTCCTTTTCCCCACATCGTGCTGCATCCGCTGACGAGGGTGGCGCGTCAAGATCGAGGGGTCGCCAGATAGTTTTTTTTGTGTATGGCCCAATGGATGCAATGAATCGATCATGGCTGGCCGCTAAGAAGCCATGGAATTCGAAGGAGCGCCATTGAACCCACATTCCAAGGAAGAGGATGGCGCAAAACAAAAGGGGTGAGGTCGCTTCTGACAACCCGCCGATCATTTGTTTATATCACGTGAAACGCAGGGACCAAGAGCCACTAGGACAGAAATGGATACAGTACTTATCCGACGTCTGTCAGGAGTACACTGACCTCCGGAGTTTAAGTTGTGCTAAAGTTTGACAGAAGAATTGACAGGAGTCACATTTATATGGCACTATCAACCTTGGAAAGTGCTTAATTTCTTGGCTCTCTACCCAGGTATTCAATCCTCATTTAAGCCCTGGAGAATAATACTAATTAGGTCATACCTAGATAGCCCTGCCAATGGAGTAGAATGTACATATATCTTGGATCTTGAATGAGATTTTCTTATCACCGGGACCTTGGCATGCCCAGGAGCTGCTTCTACTAGTGGAACCCCTGGGGGATTTTCATGATCGGAGTTATGCCATGACTAGATCGGAAGAACGGAAGTACGCTTTTAAAAATAGACAGAAGAGTAACTTGGCGAACGGCTCTAGGTACGCATTTCATCCGATCGGAATTCCGCTGATCATGAAAATTCCTCTCGAAGTCGTGGAGACGGCACGCAGCGCAGCGGGCCAGCTCACGCCCGGGGCACCGTTCCGCCACACCGCTCGTGTTGATCGGGCCCAGCCCAGCCCAGGTGGACGTTTGTCGCTTAGCACTGCGTACTACACAGTATGAGTGATTGACGCAAATTGCGCAAAGTGATTCAAGTTGTTGTTGTTGACATGTAACATGTTTCAATGAGAGGATATTCGACAGGACCCGGCAATGAAATGGTTTAATTTGAATGCATAATCTATCTTAATTTTTTTTGGCGGCAACCGAACTGAAGAGAAACAAGGTAAAAAAAAGAAGACTGCATGATGCAGATCCTGAGGGGCATTCTTCGGAGGCACCGGGGTTGTCATAAACCCCCACTCGCTTCTCAATGGATAGGAAAAACAGCTAAGAAAGCTAGTGGGGACTAGTATCAAGGTTCAACATCCCGGGCCGTCTCGCTACATCCACATCTGGAGCTTCAATCCATTGGGGCAAAATGAATGGGTCCAACGGTCGACCCAGAAAACTATCTCGGCCAGTTCAACTCATTTGGACAAGGGTGATTTTGATAAGATACCAAGTCGTGCTGCTCCGAAATTGTAGATCGTCAGGACTATAGAGACTGGTCTGTGTGTGACACAATTGGGTTGAGAATCTCATACGAGGAAGGAACATTTGTGTGAACTAGTAGCGGCAGGCTGCGAGTTTAATGATCCTCTGCATAGATGTAGAGAAGGAACAAAGAACTACACATCTTACTAGCCCCTGAAACAACTCAATTCAACTGCCTTGGCAGACGGATACCAACGGACCCTGTTAGCCTCGATTGTTCTGGAAAGGATAAACCGCCGATGCATTGTGTGGAGCAATTTGATGATCAACAGGGATGGCAGGTGAAATAAGTGGAGTCGGCATTAAACTATCGCCGATCGTTCGGGCATTGTTGCTGTAAACGTGTTCGGCTAAGCTGTGTGTGGGTGGATAACCCACGAGCTAGTTACCCCACTGCCGCGGCATGACAGCCTTCAACGGCATTGGGGCAAAAGGTAACTATGGAGTAGATGGAGATTATACAAACTGCATCGTTTCAGGGGAAAGTCTTCGGCCCCCGCTATAAAAGCAGGGATCGGTACCTTTTTCAACAAACCAGTCGCTCTTTCAGTCAGTCCTTACCAATATTATGTTTCTTTACCGTTTCGTCAGCCTGCTGGCGGCCACGGCCAGTCTGGCCAAGGCGGTTAATATCACAAATTATGAATATGTCGTCGTCGGTTCTGGTGCAGGTGGTGGTCCCCTAGCTGCGCGTCTTGCGATGGCGGGTCACAAGACTCTTCTTCTCGAGGCTGGTGACGACCAGGGTGAAAATTACAACTACACCATCCCGGCCTACTCTGCCCGCTCTTCCGAGGACGAGAAGCTTGCATGGAATTTCTTCGTCAACCACTATTCCGACGAAGAGCGTCAAGCTCGTGACTGGAAGACCAGCTACGATACCCCGGATGGCGGATTATACACTGGTCTCGCCCCTCCCGAGGGCTCGAAGATGAAGGGAACTCTCTACCCTCGTACCGGTACTCTCGGAGGATGCACTGCTCACAACGCCCTGATCGCCGTCTACCCTCACCAATCCGACTTCGAATACATCTCTACCCTCACCGGTGATAGCTCTTGGACCCCCGAAAACATGCGCAAATACTTCACCAAGCTCGAGAACAACAACTACTTGCTCCCGGGACAGGAGGGCCACGGTTATGACGGCTGGCTGTCTACCGAGACTGCGCCCCTCAGCATTGTTTTGGAAGACCCTCAACTTCTAAGCATGCTTACTGGTGGTGCTTTCGCCCTCGGAAACCTCACTGACAATATCATGAACATTGGTACTCTCCTAGCTGGCGATGCTAATGCCGATACTAAGACCCGTGACACTGAGCCTGGCTACTACCAAATCCCCATTTCGACCGATGATGCCCACCGCAACGGTGCTCGCGAGTTTATCATTGCTGTTCGCGATGCCAAGTACGCCAATGGCACTCAGAAGTACCCTCTCGATGTCCGCATGAACACCCACGTTACCAAGGTTGTCTTCGACGAGACCGTCACTCCTCCTCGCGCCACCGGTGTTGAGTTCCTGGATGGCCGCCACCTGTACCGCGCTAGCCCCCTGTCCAAGTACGCCCTCGATGGTATCCCTGGTTCTGCCTCTGCCTCCCGTGAGGTTATTGTCTCCGGTGGTGTCTACAACTCTCCTCAGCTCTTGAAGCTGAGCGGTATTGGCCCCAAGAAGGAGCTCGAGAAGTTCGGTATCAAGGTTATCAAGGATCTTCCCGGTGTCGGAACTAACCTTCAGGATCACTACGAGATCTCTGTGCAGGGCAAAATTGAGAATGACTTCTCTTGCCTTAATGAGTGTACTTTCAGCATTCGCGACCAGGCCGACCCTTGCATCAACAAGTGGGAGACTCCTATTCTCGGTGACCACGGCATCTACTCCTCCCCCGGTCTTGCCGCCACCATGCTCTACAAGAGCTCTACCACCGATGACAACTTCGATATCTTCTGCTTCGGAGGTCCCGTCAACTTCCGCGGATACTTCCCCGATTACAGCATCAACGCCACCGACGAGCACAACTGGTTCACCTGGGCAATCCTCAAGGCCCACCCCCGTAACAACGCCGGTACCGTCACTCTGCAATCTGCCGATCCCCTTGATATGCCCGAGATCACCTTCAACTACTTCGACACTGGTGTCGGAGACTACGACGCTGATCTCACTGCGCTGTACGAGGCCATTGAGCTTGCCCGTGACGCCTTCGACCGCCAACTCGTCAACATCACCGAGGTTCTCCCCGGTGCCGCCGTCCAGTCCAAGAAGGATGTCGAGCAGTATGTCAAGGATGGTGCTTGGGGCCACCACGCCTCTTGCACCTGCCCCATTGGTGCCGACAGTGATCCCATGGCTGTCCTGGACTCCAAGTTCCGCGTCCGTGGTGTCTCTGGACTCCGTGTCGTGGACGCCTCTGTCTACCCCAAGATTCCGGGTACTTTCACTGCTGTCTCAACCTACATGGTCGCAGAGAAGGCCGCGGATGAGATTCTGAGTGAGCTCAACTCCAGCTCCTAAGATATGTCAATGAGTTTTCTCCCTATATGAGGCAGAGAGCCAAGGCTTTATGTTATGGTTGCCGACGTGAACATTCATACTGTGTGATTAATTGAATTCTACCCGAACATGTACATTTAAAGATAATTCAACCCAAATCTGGAGATTTTTTTATTCGTCCACGATTGCACATCCTTCAAGTTGGTTTCAAGTCTCAAACGATCTAATTACGCGCAATCGAACCCCCGATGATAGTAAGAAATAGTAGAAGTGAACATAGGTTTGAATTGATTTTCCCAACTGTTAACTCGTATTAGAAATATCTGAATCGTTTATTCAAATTTGAAGCGTTTCTAGTATATGATTGGACGATAATGGTGACACTCACTGCATGCCGTACCTTTTTTATGGATTCTCCATGGGTGAGCGCCGTCCAATTTGTGACTTGATGCATGTTTCATACGATTCCATTGGCGACCCGCGGTCGGCGATTATAGAAAAGATGTAAGAAGCAAATTACTTCCTGTACATTATTGAGATCCAAAACTGGAAACACGGAATTTACCGAATGGAGAGAGAAAAGGAGGAAGTTGAGGCTGGAACGGCGGACTCTTTCCCGCAGTGGCTCTCCGATTACATTCCGATTCCTTGATTCAAGAATATAAGCATCTAATCGGAGGGCATCCGAATTCTTTTCAACTTGATTTTTTCACTTTTTTTTTGTTATGCTGGCGTGAGTAAAATAGGAAGCCACGCGAAATTTCCATATATTACATTAGAGCCGTTGATACCATTGCTATGATCATAATATTTATGGAGCCGGAAAATCACGGATGGCCTCAAATGGGTATTCGTTTAGGACTGATTCAAGTTTGAGCCCCGTACAGAGTGAAAATGATCAAGGCACAAATATGGACTAAGTGAAAAAAAATTGATTTGGAAATGTCGTTAAGAGGTGATACTTGTTAAAGCGAGCACCTCAACTAGTAAACATACTCAAAGTTCGGGTTCTCCTTATCAGTTAGATCGGCGAACGCCGTCGCGTTCAAAGTCAACTCGTCTTCTCTTCCTTGTTCTCGCAATTCCTGGCGCCATTGTTCCTTGCGCTTGTTTTCCCAGATAAAGGTGTATCGAATAACGAAAAATAGAACAAGCTCAATGCAATTTGAGACCAACAATGACCCAATTCCCAAGCGATATGTCGGTGCTTGGTCAGACTTATAGAAGAAAGGACCGGCGATATTACCAACGCAAACACCAAACCATATCATACCAGAAACAATCATTTTCTTTGATTGTCCACCAATATTCGACGTGACGATTGAGAGGGAAATCACGAAAGATGCCTGATATGAGCCAGTGAGGTAGCTGCAGAAGTAGAGAAAGGATTAGCGATTTGAAAAATGAAATATTCCGGCAGCGTGTGTTCAAACTCACAAACAAATCAAGCGGGCAACATATGCATCGTCCGGAGCAAGAAGGAATCCAAGTCCACCTGCAATAGTTGGGAGCATAAATAGAGCCGACACCCAAGTGCGACTGTTTTTCGGAAGATATTGATTGATCACCGCTCCTAGAACGATCCAGATCACCACTATAACACCCTGGGGTATTCCAAGGAGAGCCGTGTTGAGTGTATTAAATCCAAGACCTTGGATAACCAGCGTTGAGAAATTCGATATACCGCCATTCGGGATATTGGCGACCAGTCCGAGCAGAAAGAATAACCACATCTTATAATCCATATATGCTTCTCTGATTTGGGACCACTTGATCTTCCGCTGTTCTGAGCCTGTCTGGTTTTGTCGCAGACGAGCAATCATGATGAGCTTCTCTTCATGCGTGAAGCCTCGGAATGTGGTAGGCGAGTTAGGGAGCAATAGGGCAAGACCAATTCCCCATGCTGAACAAACTGCCCCGACAATGATGAATTCATAGCGCCAGGAGTCAAGGGCACCCTTAATATTACCGATTCCGTAGCCTAGTTGAAAACCGTGTCAGAAACCTGAGGGGTAAAGCAAATCGTTGACAATATCAGATTTCTGATAGATTGCTAGCACCATACCGATCAGACCACCCCCGGCCACACCAATGCCGTTCCAAAGATAGTAGCCCGCTATTCTCCATGGCTGTTCCTCTCTGGTATAATATGTCGAGATGTAAAGCATAAAAGCAGGGTCTGCGATTGCCTCAAATGCACCCGAGAGTACTCGGAGAGCGGCGAGAGCTTCAAAATTCTTGGAAGCGGCTTGGCACATCAATAATGCACCCCACATGAAGATGTTGAAACTCAAATAATATGTCGGAGGTGATTTTTGCATGAGCAAGTTTGACGGAATTGCCCAGGCGAGCCAACCAAAGTAGAATATACTTGACAGCCAAGAGTATTCTGCACCTTGAAGGTGCAGAGAGTCCTTGATCCCGAAAATAGCTGCATATGAAAGGGTTGTTTTATCGACGTACTTCATGAACAAGGATTAGAAAAGGCGTTGATGGTAGGAAATCAAGGAGGTACACACGTAGAAGAAATAGCATATGCCTAGGATGGGGATAATGCGTATGTCGAGCTTCCGGACAAGGCGTTTCTCCGCATCTGGGTCGATAGATTCATTTTCAGGATATCTTTGGAGCGCTTCCAGATAAATCGCTTGGTTTTCCTGGTCAATCAAGGCCTTGACCTTCAAGTCGCCCTGTGTTGCATCAAGATCTCGTACGTCTTCAATTGCCACGGCATCTGTGGGGTCATCTCGTTTCGAATCCATAGTAGCTCGTTAGCTCGTCGGGTGGGAAAGTGGTATATCGAAAATGATGATCATTGAGAGTCAGTCCGCAGAAGGAGGTACTAGTAGTAGGATTTCCCATTCATATATCACGCTAAGGATGCTGGGCACGGGATGGCTTGATCAGCTATCACCCCCACGACACCCCCAGAGGTTGAAGGAACGAGCTCAGATGCTCATTTGTGGAAGATTATGAGTAAGGAAACTCAAAACATACCCCGGACAGGCTCGGAGGACTTCCGCGTCCACGATTGCGGGGAGAGCAGTGTGCGGGGAAGTGATTCATTACCCGATCGGTAACTCGCTTTCCGTTGCCCCCACGCTATCTGTTCAATCCTATGTCGCGAGACCGGGCAACGTACATGGGGGGGATAATAGCGGCCAGTAGCCCGATGACTTTATTCACGTGCTTTAGAAGGCACTCGCTGACAGGTGCTCGATGGTAAATTCACAGTCATTCTTCATGTTCCCTGAGTTAGCGATTGTGCGATTGTCAAGATCTATTCTTGAGCGGTGGCAGTGACACTGGCGCTTGCTGCAGTGCCTCAACCGTCACACAGATATTGAATAATGATCACCTTTTATGGGTCTGATGACATTTCTTCCCTTGAAACCCGAATTTCACGTCAATCTCCAGTGCCCTTCTATGGAACTAAACAATCTCACCCGGCGTCCGATACACCCGATTTTCGAAGTGAGCTTGATTTCTTTGATTTTGAGAATTAAGATGCTCCAATAATATATTACACGGTGATAATAAATGGCCTCGGCTTTCAAGCAATTTTAAGCTGAAATTTGTAATTTTTTATTCCTAGTACCTTGGTACGAGCTCCATCGACCGACACCCCCGGTGTAGATCCTGCATCCTTCAGTCAAAATGATAACAAGCAAATGGTAGGTAATTAATCGCTCTCACTGAAAGATAGATCTCACCCGCGTATCGAAATATTAGAGGCTCTCTACCTCACATCCACTTCGAGTTCCGTTTAAAGGATTTCGGCGTCACAAAACTGATGGAAGATGGAAACGACTCGATGCATGCATGCGGCTATATAGTAGAGAGGGAGTTTGACCGGGAAGACGAGATGAGAAGATCTGCCAGTACCAGTGATTTGGTGCCTATCGTAGGGACTACTAGGGAGCTTAGACATAAGAATGGTAATCAGATGAAGAGAAAGTGGCGAAGCTATTCTAGACATGGAAGGGGCGGCCTTAGATGCCTGAGGCGCCAGCTAGGCACCAGCCCTCAGAAGTGCCTGAGGCTCCACACCCCCGGGCTTCGACAATAACAACAAAAGCTGATTTATACGTACTGGGTCATGAAGATAAACGGTCCTCAGGTCAGCCTGACTGAGTTCAATTCTTTTTATCTTTTTTACCTTTCTTTAACTGTTCTCCCGACCGGAAGGGTTCCTCCAGGGGCTAGGCATTTCTTACTGGTCCGGAAAATATACGAGCGTAACTATGATCGGATGAGAATCCCTGTATTATATCCGCAAAGCGCGTCAGTGGTCGACAGAAGCACAGAATCATGAAAGTAGTGATATATGGGATGTCTAACTAGCCCTGGAGGGAGAAAGAGGCTACGCGCGGCGATCCGAATTGATGCCTGAGGCGCTGACGCCTCAACTGGAAGCTGTCAAATGCGGAGTAGACCGGGGTCTTCCTAGTGGATCATTGTGAGAAAATCGAGTGGCGTCAAAGTTTGGGAGGTTCGCCCGACAAGTTAAATAGTCGAGATTGAATGGGCGCGGTCGGAGAGTTTGTTACAAGGAATCACGTGAACTCCGCAGCTTTGAGATGGTGGGGGATTACTACCTGCAGAAACTCCGTAGATGCCTTCAATCCCACTGATTCTACCCTGCGTTATCCCGAGATATCTCTGGTATGGACCTAGGCGGAGCTGACCAAGAGCTTGACAGCAGCTCCCAGCTGCCTCAGCCATCACAGCCATCGCGGGCTCGACCAAAACCAAGTCGACAACGAGACAAGCCACAGCTCTCCTGCAACCCCTGTCGACGCCGCAAGTAAGAGCCTTGGCGAGGTGAACTACTTAGGACTGGAGAGTTGACCCAATATTAGATCACGATGTGACCGCCGGCAGCCATGTTCCTGCTGCTCTTCACGTGGTGAGATATGCACATATGTGGAGAGTCCAAACCTGTCACTTTCATCCAAGGTTCCGAGACCCCATGCGGTCCAGGATCGGTTGGTTCAATTAGAGCGATTAGTCGTATCACTGATGGCCGACTCTGGAAACAAAGCGCCCATGAACCCCATTCCTGAAGTGCCTGCTCTCTCACCACCCAATTTGGTCCCCTCTAGCGATTCGACCATAGAGATCAAGGAGGAAATCCCCGAGTGTGGTAGTATGAGTATCAGTGAGTCAGAGGTTAGCTACGTGGGACGTGATCACTGGGCGATTCTTCTTGATGGAATTGCAGATCTCAAGGTTCATCTTGACCATGAGGAGCAGCTTCGACTTTCGAATACCCCGCCAAGCCATGGCAGTGATGAACATGGGAGTCCCGCTGCACAACCCAAATCTGGATATGCCATCCTTCTATATGGAGATCGTCGACATGTTTCTCGGGAGGAAATTCTCTCAAAGTTACCCCCCAAGGCGGTGGTGGATCGACATATCTCCCGATATTTTAACTACCTGGACCTTATTGCATCATGTGTGTTCAAGTTTCCAAGTTCCTAGCTCTCAAAGTTCTGCGATGGATCTTCCAACTAACTTCAATTCCAATTTTGGAATACAGCCGCCATCCATGGTCCAAGCTTTTTAAACGAGGCAAGTTCAGATGGCTACCCTTTTCAGACCCCGTAATTAGTTGTACTAATTACAACAGTATGAGACTTTCTGGCGAGATCAGTCAACAGTGCCCATCATGTGGATAGGCCTCTTGTTTAGCATGATCTGCCTTGGATGCCTGGTATCCGGTAAAACGCCCGAGCAGAAGGCAGAAAACTTCTCACGCCAGATCGAGGTTTATCGGGAAAAGATCGTTCAGTGTTTGATACTGGGGGAATATACAAGATCCGGGCCTTACGTTTTGGAAACAGTAATTAACTACACATACGCCGAGTTCTACATTCGACCCGATTTCGACAAGGATATTTGGTTTCTTTTGGCACTGGAGGTCAACTTGGCCATGCGAATGGGGTGTCACCGTGACCCCAGCCACTTCCCTGGAATTTCGCCATATCAGGGGGAAATGCGTCGCCGATTATGGGTGTTAATACTGATGGCTGACATAACCGTCTCAAGCCAAATGGGCATGCCACGAATGATTTCTGACGCTAAATGGGATACCATGGAACCACGGAATCTGAACGATACAGATTTCAACGAGACTACAACCGAGTTACCTCCATCCCGGCCGCTCACCGAGCGCACCAGTGCACTTGGAATCATCGCGATGAGACGTGCTATGACCGCACTGGGGGCTGCCGTCGAGCTGACTGACGGAGTAAAACCTTGCAGCTATGCAGATGTGATGCGCGTCGACGCGGCCCTCCAACAGGCGGTAGCCAGTATCCCCCCGCCGCTGAGGCCACAACCCATGGCAGCTAGCTTAACCGACTCTCCACAGATGATCATGTCTCGGTTGTTCATATCCAATAAGATCTATCAGGGACAGATTGCGCTGCATCGCCGTTTTCTCCACAAAAGGTTTAGTGATGAGGACGAGAACCAAGCCGCATACTCGCACAAAACCTGTTTTGAGGCTTGTCTCGGGACCCTGGATATTCAACGTGTAGTTGATGAAGAGACCTGCTCCGGGGGTCAACTCTCTACCATGCAGTTGAGAGCAAACGCGCTAATGCATCATCAATTTCTCACCTCAACGGTGATTCTATGCACATTGCTTCATCATGCACATCCCGTGTTGCGGGGCTCTGATATTCGGGAAACACTCCAGAGATGCCAAAGCATTTGGATGAAAAGGAGCGAGACCTCGACAGATGCAAAGAAGGCGGCCGAAACCATCAACTTCGTCCTTACCAGGACACCACCTGATAGTCAAAATTATGGGACTCCATCCAGTCAATATGTGAAAGAACCCGGTGACGGTAATTCTAAGGCCAACTACGCTCATATGAGTAATGAAGAGAGTCCCGTGTCTGAACTGGACGTGGAAATGATGTTGCCAGCCAATCTTGGTTTATTCAATCGTGAGTCTTACTGCAGCCTCTAATTTCCACTGAATCGCAATCTAATCATACCTCAGCTGAGAATTTTGTTATGCCTAATCCTTTTGACAATTTCCCTACACAAGGCCCCCCCAGTGCAGGGCCCACCGACACAGGACTTTCAGCAATTCCGAAATTTCAGCGCCGACCCCAATATCATGGACAGGCGAAATTATGAATGGATGTCAATGAATTGGTCTGAAACATAGCAGGCCTGAGATGTAGAGATAATCTGTCTTCGACCCAAACCCCAAAAGGAAAGCTTGAACAGTTCGCAGGCAAGGGAGTGAATATTGCTGTTTCCTGTTAACTTTTCAAAAGGGCATTTTGATAGTATATGTGAACCTAATTGTCGAGATATACCCCAGAATATGAACTTGATTGTTTCAAGGTGACTCTGAATCTATTTCAGTCACGCAAGCCAATCGAGGTCTCATCATATTGAGGCCTTCCCAGATCATGATGCCGAGCGGCTTGGCTAGGGACCAAAGAGATGGCAGAATGAGGAACCTTGGAATGTCACTTCCAAGGTTCAAGCTCTCGAATAACGAATTTTTTTAAACTACAGAAATATCATCTCAAAGACTCGATGAGATAGCGAAAATAAAAAACAATAAAAACTTTTGAACTTGAAGCAGTTGTTGAAACATGTGTTAAATTCGAATGCATCCTAATTCTAAAACTTTGTCCAAAGATTCTCTCAACTTAAAACCCGTCGCCGAAAAAAGGAACCAAGGTAAATTTAAATTCCCTCTCTTCACAAGCGACGAGATACTTCTCCAGGGTGGTCGGCCCACAAGCACCAGTTCCCACTCCACTGCATTCAGCATCAAGTCGCACATGAACTGTCTTTCCAGCAACAAGATCACACGGGTGCCTTGCCGACTCGATCTGCTTCGCGTTATAGCGAGATGCAGCCCAGTGGAAATGAGTTGTAGAGTCCTTGTCTGTATGCACAGAGTCTCGGAAAACCTTGATTCCCCAGCCACGATCGTTGCTCAGCTGCAACCACCGGGTTTCGGATCTATTTCCACCCTCCTGGGGAACTTCATATGGCGTGTGAAGCTGTTCAGTGCTCGCCTTATAGATACCAAGCTTTTGGGATCGTTTCTTGTCTGGATATGACTCTCCTGGTCCTAGGCCAAACCATTTGGCGTTGTCCAATTCGTCGGCGAGACGCAGGTCGAGGCCAAGTCGGGGGAGATCCGAGGGAAGGGAACCTTGAGGCTTCACATGTGAGGTCACAGAAAGCTTTCCCTCTCCAGTGACGGTGTATGTAGTTGTCACTTGAAAACCCCATGCGAGAACAGGTGGCCCCACCCAGGTTTCGGTCACAATATCCACGGCGTCGTTCTCGACTCGAGAAGCTTTGGTGCTTCGGAGCTGGACCCTCATGTCATCAAGTCCGTATCTTTTCCTTTCTTCGAGAGTCGAGGACATGGTGTCATTGTCGGTTGGAGGTCGCCAAAAGCCTGGTGTTAAGGCAGTGGCTGTTTTCAGATCGGCATCCAGAAGCTGATGCCCCTTGGTGGTCCAGCTTGTCAATCCACCAGTGGAGAGTGAAAAGGTGATCTCAAAGTCTGACCCTGTCACGGTGTGGCTTGAACGGTTGGAGCTGATTTGAATAGGGAACTGAGGAGAAAGAGAAGGGCCGATCGAGGAAATCTTGAGAGGGTATTGAAACCAAGCAACCTCGTGACCACTTGGAGCCCAGGAAGTTGATTGAATATTCTGAAAGCTCACAGTAAGCCAAATTTCTCCTTCGGGAAGACTCGGTAAATCATGAGCAAACTCGATGCTTGCAGTCTGTCCGGCCTTTACGGAAGGAACTTTGAGACTGCCGGTGGAGATAATCGTTGTCCTGCATCTTATGTTAGCTCAATTCCAGAAATATTAATTTAGGTACGTACTCTTCCCCGAGCGATTCAATACGATAGAAGGCCTGGAGATGCTCTAATCCCGTGAAGTCATATCGATTCTCAATGGAGATTGACCCGTCGGCGTAAGAAGCGTGCACCGGCGAGTATGCCTTCTGTAGTTCAACGAGGCCAGGAGTCGGAGTATGGTTGCTGAAGCAGAGTCCATCCATAACAAAGATACCGTCATTGGGATAATCGTCAAAGTCACCGCCGTATCCGTAAAATCCTCGTTCTTCATCCCAGAGACCATGGTTTGCCCATTCCCAGATCCACCCGCCTTGCAGTCGTCGGTGGGTTCGGAAAGCTTCCATGTATTCTTCCAGTGCACCTGGGGCATTTCCCATCGCGTGACCATACTCACAGAGTACAATAGGCTTCTCGAAATCATCACCCTCCGCGACTGCCAATTTTTCAATTCGGTTAACAGAGGGGTACATGTAAGAGAACATATCAGCGGACTGTGCCTCCGGGTCGCCCTCGTAGTGAATGGGTCTGCTCGGATCAACAGATTTGATATAATCATGCATTGCTTGATGATTCTGGCCGTAGAATGCCTCGTTTCCAAGAGACCATATCACGATACAAGGATGGTTCTTGTCGCGCTGGACCATCTGAATAGCACGGTCCAAATACGCATTTTTCCATTCGGGATTGTTGCTAGTGTATTGAGCGGCTTTTTCAAAAGTCAGCTTCTTGCGCTCCTCGTAGTCCATTGATTCCGGAATATCGAGAGGTCGCGCGACTGCATCGTAAAATCCGTGACATTCCAGGTCTGCTTCGTCCATGACCCATAGACCTAGCTCGTCGCAAAGCTCGTATAACCGTGGGTGCGATGGATAGTGACAGCATCGCAGGGAGTTGAGGTTATGACGTTTCATGATAAGAAGGTCCTCTCTGAGGAACGATAGGGGAACGGCACGACCGAACTGGGGGTGGTGGTCATGACGGTTGGCACCGCGGAAAAGGATTGCCTTGCCATTGACGGTAATATTGCCTTTCTTTATTTCGACCTGGCGGAATCCAACTCGATGGTTGATCTCCTGGAGAACTTGCTTATCCAATGAAGTTTGCAGACTGATAGTAAGATCATAGAGGTATGGTGTCTCTGCTGTCCATTTCTCAGGGCGCTGCACTGGAATTTCCAAGATCGCATCCCCATTCTCGACTCGCGACACGCTCGCAGAGCCGATTGCTTCATGCGAGCCCTTTCGATCGGTAAGTTTGGCTTCCAAGACCACAGGCTCGCTGGTTGTAAGCGTGACTGTGACTTTCAAAACAGCGTCCTCGTAGGATTCATCGAACTCAGTTTTCGCAAAGAAGTCTTCGATTCGCGCCGCGGAGGGGAATGCAAGTAGGCTAACGTCGCGGAAAATTCCTGGAATATAGTTAGCTTCCAGTCAATGCCCTGCGATTGGAAAGAAGAGATACCCGAAAGCCACCACTGGTCTTGGTCCTCGATGTATGACCCATCTGACCACTGGTAAACGCGCACGACAAGATCATTTTTCGCCTTGCGATCAACAAACTGCGAGACATCAAATTCAGATGGATTGCGGCTCCCCTGTGCATATCCAACTTCATGTCCATTCACCCATAGATGATAGGCGCAGTCTACCCCGTCGAATCGGAGCCGCAGTTGTGCGGATGGGTCCCAATCAGGCGGCACATTGAAAGACCTCCGGTATGTACCTGTTGGATTTTGGCTGGGGACATGAGGTGGGTCGCAGGGAAATGGAAAGATGGTGTTTGTATAGTTGGGACTTCCATGACCTTGTAGTTGCCAATGGCCAGGAACCGCAATCGTTGTCCATTCCACCGGTTCAGACGCCTTGTCGCTTTTCTTGTCCTTGGAAACTTCTGGGGCCAGCAAAGGCGACAAAACGTAGTTGAAGTCCCATTGGCCGTTCAGCGACAAAGATGTTTCTGGAAGAAAGTACGCGCGAGGAGGAAGCTTGTTGCGCTGGAAGACATGCGGGTTCTCCCAGTCGCAGGTGCTGCTATCGGCCTCGGACATGATGCGATCGGCTGATCGAGAGAGAGAAAGCTCGAATCACAACTCGCCGTTTGTAAGACAAATTCCGGCGAATAATATTTTTGCTGCTCCTTGGTTTCAGCGGCAGTCGGGCTCTTAAATGGTATCCATCGAGCTACCAAGACAAGGACCCGCAGAGAGAAGGGCCAAAAAAAAAAAAACCATGGATCATCACTCGTGCGGGGATCTTGGAACACGTTGTACTTACCCCTCTCTGCTAGGATGCATCGTGGACAGTCCCGGCATATTGGGCTCATCTGGACACAATACTTGCATCCAGTGCTCATGCGATCCGTGATTCGCGGATAATATTCTGGTGCACATGTTGAGATAGTTCATCTACCAGAACCTGTGAATGTATCAGCCCCTGGTGGCAGATTGAAGTACTCAAAAAAATCCAAATGAGCCATCTGCCCCATTAAGCTTGATTAGAAGTGAAGGGACCTCAAGTGCCGTACAGGGGAACCTCGGAATCTCAATCCTTAGACCTGACCTGCGTTTCTCGGTCCCGACATCCCCGAAGGATTTAACGGACCCACTTCGAGTTGTGCTCCGCCAATTTGAAGGCCTCAAGGTGCTCACCTGCGCGGTTCTCTCAAGACCCAAGAGGTAGGAAAATCTTGATTGTATGTATGAACTTGTTACTTTCACGCAGGTGTGTGCTGGGTAGTTCAATTTGATGTCCACCTGGGCAATATCGAGTTCAAGTTGCCCGGCCAGGTTCGTACTAGTAGATGCTGGAGCCCAGTAACTACTAGAACTAGTAATTCCTTCCATGCCCAGGATGTTGGAACTTGAATTTCAAGTTCTCGATGACTTCAAGCTTGAAATTTATCTTCAAGTTCAAATTCACGTCTCGAAAATTTCAATTCCAAGGTTTGAAGTTCATATCATAGTTCCAATTTGGAAAGAACCTTGGAGATCCATGGAATTGTCGCAACCAAGATAAATGACTATCCAGTTGGAAGTTTTCAGTAGATCTCGAAAGAATATCTATAGCGAAAATCTTGAGGGTTTCTCACACTTGTTCCTTCCACCAGCTACAGCATCTCCGGTAAATTGTCGGCTGCAACCGAGACGGCCGGTTAAAGAAAAACAGGCTAAACCCGAATCAGGCCGGGGGGAGTCTCGGCCCTCCAGGTCAACCCCTACATGCCTCGCTCGGGGGTAGCGGGACCGGCGATGCGGGGTGATCAGTTGAAAGAATTCTCTAAACCGCGTAAGATCATCCACCCAGACCGATTTGGGATAGCTAGCGCATAGCTTTCAATCCAAGGAGGGGGGTAGGTCTTTCGGTCCATGCCCCAAAACTGCAGCATCCGCATTGACCAGCCAGTCACAAGTGACTCGGGGACAAGCGAGTCGGGGATACGCGACCCGAAAGCGCGTGCCACCGCGAAAGCCCTCGATTTGGCGTCGTTCCTAGAGTCTAACTTTAGTTAACCCCGGATTTTCAATCTATCAACATGCCGGCCATCATGCGACTTAAATCTTTTAAATACCCACATATATCGCTGATCATTGAGGTCCATGCAGTTCTCTAATTCATCGCGCCATTTACGATCACATTTCTCGATTGAAGTTCTCAACAAGACTTCCGTCCTCTAGCAGACAAGCTTGCGATGACGGCAATGGACCCCTCTAAGCCATCCCTTGAGCATCTCGAGGTTGGCAAAGATGGCCTGGAGTCCAAAGAAATTGCCCTGCAGGAGACCAGCGAGGCGATCCAACTAGCTGAAGCCGTGGAGTCTATGAAGTGTAGCCCATGGACTCCCAATATGTTTCGTCTTTACGGCTGCTTGATGGTCGCGTATCTTTGTGGCTGTCTCAATGGATATGATGGGTCCCTGATGGGAGGAGTGAATGCGATGACTTCGTATCAGCAATATTTCCACATGTCAGTGCATTTTTCAATATCTTGAGGCCATGATCCTAATACTACTTGACAGGAAAACCGCGTCTTCGGGAACTGGCCTGGTTTTTGCCATCTACAATATCGGATCCATACCCGCTGTCCTTCTCTCCGGCCCCGCAAATGATATTTTGGGGCGTCGGATGGGCATGTTTATCGGAGCCGCGATTATTATTGTCGGAACTTGCGTTCAAGCACCTGCTATCAATCACGGAATGTTCCTTGCCGGTCGATTTATCCTTGGATTTGGAGTCAGCTTTTGTTGCGTCAGCGCGCCGTGTTATGTCTCCGAGATGGCACACCCAGTCTGGCGTGGTACGCTGACAGGTCTCTATAATTGTACCTGGTATATCGGATCCATTGTTGCTAGCTGGGTTGTATACGGATGCCAGAGTGTCGCCTCCGCAAATGGCTTTCGCATCCCAATCTGGTGCCAGTTAATCTCATCTGTCATCGTGGCCTGCACCACCTGGTTCCTCCCAGAGTCTCCACGTTGGCTTATGGCACAGGACCGCGTTGACGAGGCAATCCAAGTACTTGCGACATACCATGGTGAAGGTGATGCTAGCCATCCCATTGTGACCCTCCAAGTCAAGGAGATGCAACATCAGATCGCTGTCACGGTGGATGATTCCAGTAAGAAGTGGTGGGAGTACCGTGAGCTCTTCAACACGCACTCAGCTCGCCGTCGCTTTATCTGCGTGGCCGGTATGGCTTGCTTTGGCCAATTGTCAGGAAACAGTCTCACTGGGTACTATCTTCCAGTGATGGTCGAGAATGCTGGTATTGGCTCGGTCAAAACGCAGTTGATGCTGAACGGAATCTACCCGGTCATTTGTTTCTTTGCCGCCATTTCCGGTGCAGGTCTTACAGATCGTATCGGCCGGCGTCCGCTGATGATCTACTCGCTTCTTTTCTGTTCCGCTGCCTTTGCAGTAATTCTTGGGACATCCAAAATGTCAGTCGACGACCCCAACAACTCTAGTGCAGCGAATACTTCCGTCGCATTCATTTACCTCTTCGGTATCGTGTTTTCCTTTGGCTGGACACCGTTGCAAAGCATGTATATTGCCGAGACGCTATCGACCAACACACGCGCAAAGGGCACAGCAGTTGGAAATTTGCTATCCAACATTAGCAGCGCTGTCATCTCCTACAGCTCGGGACCAGCGTTCGCGAAGCTGAAGTATTACTTTTACGCGGTTTTCATCGCCTGGGATCTCATTGAAGTGGTAGTAATTTACTTCTGGTTCCCAGAGACCAAAGAGCGCACCCTGGAGGAGCTCGAGGAAGTTTTCTCTGCGCCGAATCCAGTGACGAAGAGTCTCGAAAAGCGCGATATCACCACTGTTTTGCGGACCCTGGAAGTCACAGATGCCCATGATACACGGAATGGTGTCTGATTTTCTTTCACTTAGTAATAATGTCATCTCCCATCAAGCAGATTGGCAGTGGAGCGACCGGGGAGCTTGAATGGATAGGGATTAGCTAGCAGCACATTTACCATCTGGGAGAAATTGGAAGGATGCATTATGAAACTTTGAATTACAGCAGTATATATACCCGGAAGATACCTTCCTTGAATATTTGACGTTTAATTATTGTTCTTTGGTATGAAATTCAAATTTCTGGCAAAAAAAACCGATGCCGCGTATCCATAACGACTTTTCGTCGGCTAAACTAAGCCACCTTTGAATGCGGGGCCCCAGGCCAACTTCCAATCTCTGAGATTTGTAGCTCTATCTTTCTCCCTTCACAAACTTCATGAGTCAACGATATGATGTCTCCAGACAGAGAAACTGACAGTCATAAGCGAAAGCGAACATGCCTGGCGGTATGTACTTCGTTTCCTTTCCCATCACAAGGGCGTGGCGTTAACATCCAGGTCCCAGTGCGACCCCTGTCGCTATCGGAAAGTGAGGTAAATATGCATGGTCCCACCCTGTTGAGATCGAAATAGGCGCTAACGTCTTTTTTCTAGATGCGATGGACGTCGGCCATCCTGTACAACCTGTAGCCAGGGGGGAACAGAATGTGTGTATGGGGCCGAAGCTCTCAAGTATGTCGCATGATTTCCCTCCCTACCTGTATCTCATTGGAGCCATCCCTGACGTGGAGAACAGCAAGAGCAAAAGTGACATGATTCTGGATGTCGCTATCCGGTCCGAAGGTCTCCTGCAGCAGTTATCGGCCCAGCTCGTTCGTCATATTCCACAAAATGCCTATTTTGCTTGACCAACATTCTTCTCTAGGCTCAAGCATCACACCGAAGTCCAGCTAATATTGCTTCTGTTGCCTCCCCTGGTATTGCGATCTCGCCCAGCACAGTCAGCAATTTTGGCCGCGGAGAGGGACCTTCTGATCACATCTCAAATGCCATTTTGTCGCCATTCCATGCCTCAACGACCGAATCTATCTTATCGTGGCCGCATTTCGGCGAATTTCGAAGTTTGATCAAAGAGAGTAAATTCTCCGTCTTCCAACTCGAAAATGCGCGTAAGCCACTGGCTCACAGGCCATCGCCCCCTCAACCATATATGACGAAGAGCGACATCGAGAAAAAAATTCGAAGCTTCGAGCGTGGAATTAACTTCTGGTATCCCACGATGGCGAGATCTACCACGAAAAAACTTCAAGAATATTTATTGTCTGGCACGCTGGAGGAGAGTACCCGATCATGCCTAGCGTTACTAGTGATGGCCTTAGGATGTTCCTCCGAGCTTGTGGGGTTATTCACGACCGACGAAGCACCAGACACTCATTTGGTTGAAAAGGAAAGACAACAGCGATTTCTAGGCTCAATGTATTTCGAGTGCGCCTTTAAAAAAGTCTCTTTGGCACAAGCGGAGTTCACCGCGGACGCAGTTCAGTGCTTATTTTTCACGGGGTACGTTATCTGTCGAGACGACCATTTGTATAGTTGACTAACAATATAACCTAGCCTATATTTCTCCTTCTTGCAAAGACCGCTTCAGGCTTGGTCGTTTATCAGCGCAGCGGCAACTAAGTGCCGGCTGCTTTTATCGTATAGCTCCTCAGATCAGCCCCCGGAGCGATTGGAGTGCCTTCGCAGGATATTCTGGTCTTGCTATATACTCGAAAGGTATACAAATGTCGCCATTCTTCTGGTCGCATAAGCTGACTGAAATTTAAAGTGACTTTCTGGCTGAATTATCCGCCCTTCCTCAGACTGGCATTGCGGAAATCGAATCCCTGATTCCTCTACCCGGCCAATACTCCACGCAGGAGTCGCAGAGCGACCAGGAACAATCCTCCCTCTATTTCCTCGCTTGCATCTCAATGCGTCGACTCTTGAACCGGGTACATGATCTTCTCTATGCCCGTAATGATGGAGTCGGGTTTGACAATAATCAATTCCCTTCCGTGGTTTCGGAGCTAGGTCATCAACTAGAAGAGTGGAAGGATCTTCTCCCGTTTCACTTCCAGTTCTCTGTCGATCTCGACTCTACAAAGTCTCCCGAGGGTGCCTTTCTACGTCAGCGTTATTTGACCTGCAAGAGTGTCATCTATCGGCCTTATCTTACATGGGCGCTATCAAATGGGGAAGAGGAAGTCGAATGTCCTCCGATTGTATTTGAAGGATCGCGTCTTTGCTTGGAGGCATGTTGGATGCATGCTCAGAACCTACGAAACATCCACCATACGATCATGGTGGACACTTGGATATGTTCACTCTCGTAAGTATTGCGCCCTCCGAGTCTGCGTTGAATTTTCAGAGTATTAACCCTTGCAAGGATGGCGTCCGTTGTACTCATAACTCTAGCTGCATCTCGTGTCCACTCCCTTAGGCAACTCATATCACACCAAGTTATTGAGATCGGTCCACATATCAACGACTTGATTACGCATTGGATGTACATCCCAGGCGATGAGGTCTCACCCAGTGTCCTAGAAAGCACAAAACTAATTGCGAATGTGTCGGCTTTATTGAAACTCAGCTGGAATAAAGACTGATCAAGAAGTCCTATTATTTGACTGGGGAGAAGTCAGGAAACATGACCGAAGAGCGCTGGACAAGTCTCAAGTGAATTATTGGAAGGATCAAAGCTCGTGCGGGAATCCCTCGCTTGGGAATACACAATCGGCCCTTGGGGTAAACCCGAGCGTTTCTTCTCTGGCCTGGCTTTCTATTTGATCTTCGAACAATATGACTCCATGTCGAGTCGGAATTTCCTATTGCTAGAGAATGCCGCCGATAGCGATACCTCCAGAGCTGTCAACGCCGATGGGCTCGGCGGGGGATGAAAATCGTTTCTCAAATTCGATTTCGGTGGTATCACGGTCAAATACGTCGTTTGACGTGGGCAATGCAACTGCCATAGCCACGAACATCATGATCAAATGGACGATAAAAGTGGATCGCATTTTGGGAATGTCTGGGATTTTTAGTTTTCGCAAAGCACATCAGTTCCCGGTTGCTGGATGATCACATACCGTTGCGCACCTTTTGACGTAACGAAGTAGAGAAAGGAGATAAAAATTAAATTGACTGAAGGCCGGGTCTCATGAATCCAATTTATAAAATAGCAGCGGTGCATTAAAAGTTAAGCTGGACAGTGAAGTGGACCCCGATGTCATAGACTTGGGCGCAATAGCAGGCGTTCCGAAGAAGTTTGGCGTTTGACCCACAATTATGATAACCGACTCCTGCGCGGGATGACACCACGTAGCGCAGGAACTTTCTTGGATATTCTGTAGCATTCTAGCATTCTAGCATTCATGATTCAAAGTCAGAAAAGTCGAATTTGGATATAAACCCACTCGGATAGAAGTCTCGGTCGTTAGTAGATGTTTCCAAGGTTACTGGTATTCGTCGACCGCAGGTCAGTTTGTAGTGTTTGCGGCACGGTGACAAACGACGGTTTTTACCTTGAAATAATAATCGTACCTCGGACTCGGAACCTCGTAATCTGATGCATTTAAAAATGAGTATTTATACTAATGTTCTGATGGGCAACTTAAATCTGCTTCTGACTACTACTCCAACCACCACTGGCATTTTCTTCTAAATTTAGTAGCTCCAAGTTGAATTATATCACAGTAATTAAAGCAATTGATACCAAAGCACAATGACCTTAGTCGTTTCAATCATGCTTTCTTCTTGAGTACGCCCCAGATCCTCGGCAAGCAACTATACGGCTCCTCGGCCATCTCAATATCTCCCGGGTTCTCCCACTCCCCGGCAGCAAGGATATCCGCCTTGATATCCCGATTCAAAGAACACCCGAGAAATGTGCTCCATGCAGAATTCAAGCAAGCTATTATCAATCAGCATGTCCGTGCATATACTCAACATCACCAATGCGATGACAAATACTTACCTTGCGCTAGTGCCGTTCCAGCATCCTTATTCCTCTCGTGCTCCCAAAAGATAAAATAGCCCCCAGGTTTTAGCAGCTTCCACACCGCTTTCATTACGCTTTTCACGTCTCCGACCGCACACAATACTTGAATGCTAAGCACAGTATCCATGCTTCCCTCGGTGATACCCTCCTGGATTAGGATATCACTGTCCTCGACGCCACACGCTAGAAGTTTGTATTTATCCTGAAGGTCAAGCTTTTTAACTCTTGCAGCGATTTCATCCCCATAACAAGGATTGGGGTCAATCGCATATATGAAGTCTACCTGCGATGGATCGAAGCGGTGAATTTGGTTTCCTGGCCCGGGACCGAGTTCGAGAATTTTACCATGAGCGGCGTGGACGAGGGAGGGGACGACAGTGGTGTTTTCGTACGCGATAAAACCGTGCGCTAGTATTTACAAGACTTAGTCTGTGTCTAGTTGCAGGGTTCCATTGTGGATATAAAACTCACAATGGGTGATAAAGAGAGTTGACGTAGCAGCATCTCGAATCCGTTGCGGATTCATAAGCGAGGACACGCCTTCGTTGCGGAGGGCTTCTTTGAAAGCATTGTAGTGTACTTTTATTTGCAGTGTCAGGTTATTGGCTGATTTGAGGACAGCTTGAAAAGGGGGGGGGCTTACACTGGATAGATAACCAGATCATCTGGATTGGCCTGGTGATAGCATTTAGGCGATCTTTGAGCGCCATGGTTCTACTTTGTCACATTACTCACTGGCATTAGGATTGAATACTCGTCATGGTATACAGAATACTCTTGATACATACCAGGCCTACCCGAATTGACCGAAGATACTTCCTGAAAATTTGGTGTTCGCGAAAGTTACTAGCACAGGGAGTAGGTGGGAGTAAACAAGGGAAGCAAGTTGAGTGACGTGCTTATCTATTTATATGACGAGAAATATTCAGTGTAGTAGTATGGATGAGTAAGCTAGAGCTAAGATACCTTGGTATCTCCCATCGCGAGGACATGAAGAAATATAGCTGCTTATTAAGCAATCGGGTATACTCCAGCTGCCTCTTGTGTATTCACTCTCAGTAATGCTGGTGCGTGTCATGTGTACTAAACCAAATGGTGGTTACTTATTACTATTGTGCGCGAGTGCCTCATTCACTTAGATATGCACACCTACCCTAGCCATGTAGTTAGCTCCTTCCCTCTCTTTTTCTTCTTGCTTTCCTCAATCATCTCTTCCCCTTCCATCCACGGAACCTATCAACCTTCAACTTCACCTCTCTTTCATCAGGTTTCCCGACGAAGTCTCACATCACTCCTATATTTGATTCCCACAAACTGTTCAAAATGGCCGAGATTGCCAACCAGGCGAAGCCGAGCACTGGAAGTCAGTCTTCCCAGGCCAGCACCTCTATCACGCCCATTGATACTCCAGGTACAGTACCTACTTCAAGCAGTCAACCTTCCCCGGAACTCGAAGTGTTGATAGTTCCCTGGCAGGTTTGTCCAAAATCAACCTCTCAGATCCCAATGATGATCTGCAGAAAACCGTGCTGTGTTTACAGGTGTACATGGCTAAACGCACCAGCCTCGCCTTGGCTGACCTGGTAATCAACAAATCTCTTCCGTTTGAACTGAAGCCCATCAAGCCATCGCTGTCAGCTGAGTTGACCCAAAGTTTGATCGAGTGCGCCGAAAAGTATATCCTTCGAGGCCTACAAGAGAAAGAAACCAGCCCCGTCCACCGAGATCAGAAGGTCCAACTCAATTTGGATGCCCTACTATCAAGTCTTCCGACTTCTGACGCGATAAACCTTGCATTTGATATTGTGGGATCGAACTTCCAACGCCTCGCCGCGATCTGCCAGCACATCAGTCACTTTCTACTGGAACCGGTACGCTCATGGAAACCGGAAGAGATGTATGAAGATTCCCTTGAGGCAACTTACATTCTGCACCCTACTCTGGCCGAAAGTCCAACTACCCAGGAGCGAGCGGATCGATGGGAGACACTTATTTATTGTTTCCCCTCATTGCCAGAAGCTCTTTCTTCATTTGACGATATCAGCCATGTCAAGAATGGTCTCCTCTTTTGCTTACCGATCAGTTGGGAATTCAACCTGCTACTATGTGGCCTTCGACCTACTGGCGACAAAAACACATATGAGTTTCAGTGCTTCGATGGAGCTTCTGACTGGGTGGCACAATATGCAGGTCGGAGAGTGCAATTCGACGATGACGGGATATACGACCCAGCCCATCCCATACTGATTGAGTTTCACTTTAGTCTCTGCTGCTACTTTGAGAAAGCTCCACGCTACTGAATACCCTGTGGTTCCCGAATTTGCTTTGTGTCTTTCCTCAACTATTCTTTTCTTTTGCAATGTTGATCTGCTTTCGCTCCAGTATTGTTAGTCACGCATCCTTAGTCCATGATTTATGAGTTATCTTTCTAATTTTTTCAATGAATTAAGCCATTCAAATCCATCTATATTTCCCTTCTAGGGCTACTCACTCTAACTACCCGGTTAAATGCTTAGGTAGTTACTAGTCAGTTAGTTACCAGTACTATAAAGCCACTGAGCCCGCGACGAAAATGCAAGCAGTGCGTACCCGGCGGGAATCTTGCGGGGCAGTGCATGTGCCAAGAGTTCCAAGACCCCTTTCGATTCAATCTCAAACTAACAAGCCACCAGAAGAAATTGCGCCCAATGCTTTAAGTCAATGATCAGATCTTGCATAGTAGGATCTTATCATATGACACTATAGCTCGGATGGTAACCAGGTCCGACTCTACGCGGGACCTTCCGCTATCGGACAACCGACAACCCCCCGACGCGAGGCCATTAACCTTGGCCAGCCAAGAATTTCTCCCTTGGCAAACGCCTTCCAAGACTCTTAAGCTCCCAAACATCGCTCGGCGGTACCGCACGTGCAGAGGAAGCGTACTTTCGATTTGCTGTGCAGAATGAGCTCGTCAACAGTCGATGCAACGCCCACGATGCCGACCTAGGCTATTCTGGAGCTCAGCTTCCAGTCGGAATCCAGGAACTCCCACAGCCAAGATAGACCGGAGATTTGACTTCACAAATCCCTAAGAGAACCCCTTGGCATGCAGCAGATTACCAGGAAGCAAGCACGGGGATGCTCATGTTGTGCCTCGATCGCTTAGCTTCGTGAATCTACTTAAGAAAGCTATTTTCTCACCGTTTGCTTTCGATCTCGCATTATCTATCATAACTGAACCGACGATCATTATGCGGGGCTTGTCAATCTTAGCGGCTGCATGTACCTTGTCGTGTGCAGCGGCCCAGACCTTCCAACGGCTGGGTGGTTGTCCCGATCTGGGCTGTGTGTTTCCACCGGATCAGTATGTGTTATATCTACTCTGATCAATAAACTCAGTCACCTAACAAGGTTTACCTTACCAGGGCGGATTTCCTTCCCGGCCAATTCTTTGATATCCGTCTCGAAGTCCACTCTCCTGTCAATGGCTCCGAGGCACGCGTCGGCGTTCCCGACTCGGACTTCAAATTTACCATCACCAAGAAGGGCAGCCAGTCAGTCTCTGCTGCCAAATACTTCAAGATCAAGGAGCCCGAGCTTGAAAGGTGGAACTTCACCTGGTATGAGGGTATGTATCTGCTCTTCTCTCTTCTCGCGTCATCCGCTCGAAAACTGATAATTTCCTTCACAGATCTTTTCGCCAAGGATGCAAACCAGCCTTCGCTCGTCAATGTCACTGCCAAGGCCTACCGACGAGTCGCTCTCTACGAGCCGGGCGAGTACGAGGCAACGTTGACATACTACGGCAAGGAAAAGACCGTGGCGAACTGGCACGTCCGCGACCTGTCAAAGAAGCGCCGCGCGAAGAATGTCGTTCTATTCGTCGGCGACGGAATGACAACCAACATGATTACCGCAGCTCGTCTCATGGCGCATCGCAGTATCAATGGCAAATACATGACCAAGATGGCTTTGGACAAGTTCCCCATTCTGGGCCACCAGATGACACACTCCATGGACTCGTTCATCACCGACTCCGCCAACTCTGCCACGGCCCTTTACTCGGGCCACAAGACGACCGTCAATGCGTTGAACGTGTACGTCGACTCGTCCAGCGATCCCTTCGACGATCCCAAGTTCGAAAATATTGCGGAGATTTTTGGTCGCCGGTATCCCGATGGTGGTGTTGGTATTGTATCCACTGCTTTCCTGGCCGATGCGACACCCGCCGGCCTGGCCGCGCACACTAGCAATCGTGGCAAATATGATCATGTTATCGGCGCTTATTATGAGGGTCTTACCGAATATGACTGGACAGAGTGGAGCGGTCCGGATGTATTGCTCGGCACTGGTGCTGAGAACTTCCTCACTAGTCAAGACAGCCCTCGCGATTACTATAACCTCTTCTCTAAGAAGGGATACAATGTCGCATGGAACAATACCGCGTTGCACGATGCTCCCAATGACGAGAAGCTTCTGGGCGTCTTCCAGACCTCCAACCTATTGACCTGGCTAGACCGCAATGTCTACACCGGTAACCTTGCCAACCAGAGCAACTACCCTGATGGCTCGGGTCGGGATGCCCTTGACCTACCAGGACTCAAGGACATGACCTTGAAGGCCATTGATGTTCTGCACGAGCGTCACGGTGATGATGGATTCTTCCTCATGTCCGAGGCCGCCAGTATCGATAAGCAAATGCACACTCTCGATTACGACCGATCGCTCGGTGAGCTGCTAGAGCTTGACGACACCGTCCGTGCAACCATTGAGAAGCTCAAAAGCCTCGGTGAACTGGAGGATACTCTGATCATCGTCACTGCCGACCACGGACACGGTTTCGACGTCACTGGCTCTGTCGATACCACTTACATGGACGCGCAGAAGGATGATCGCAGCAAGCGCAACGCTGTTGGTTACTACCACAACTCAGGCTTGTCGCAGTATACCGTCGGTGGCGCCCAGTCCCTGCGATACTCCGAGGGTGTTCATTTCCCTGCTCGCTGGGATCCCCGGTATACACTGCACTCTGGCGTTGTTGCATTCCCCGACCACCGGGAGAACTACCAGGTGCACAGCGAGGGCGCACGCACCCCTGCGATCGCGGCCAAGGACAAGAAGGACGGTTACGTCGTCAACTACAAAGATGCTGTCACTGGGTTCTTGATTAACGGCACTCTTCCTGTGTCTGCGGACCAGGGTGTCCACTCTTTGACAGACGTGCCGGTCTTTGCACAAGGTCCGTGCCAGGAACTGTTTGGAGGCGTGTACAACTCGATCGATATTTTCTTCAATATGGCGGAGTGCTTGGGTCTGGCTGAGACCAAGAAGCACGGTGGACACTAGTGTGCAGCAGGATGTCCCGGTTTTTTCTACGCTTTTACAATGGATAATTTTGTGATATAGAATAAGTTCATCTGAAATAAAAATGGCACAAGGCCAAAGAATTCTTAATAAACAATGAGAAGTTAACATAAAAGAAACTTGAACCTTGGAATCGGCTCCTCAGCCCGCGATCAAGGCAATAATAAACTTCCGCCAGAACGAAGACCTCTCTTTGTTGTTTCAGTGTTGGTTAAATAATACCGAAGAAATCCCACCCCGCTTTCCTTGGCCTTCTCGATGGATTTCCGAAAAGCCACATTATAGAAAATAATAGACGGGGCCCTCTCAAGAAGAATCTGACACTTCCCTCCAGCCCGTTCACGAATCTCCTTCCAAAGATTTCGACGCTGTCCTTGCGTGAGCCCACCGTTTTGAAATCTAGTATCAATTCTGCGCTTTGCCGCCACGGAACTGGTTATCAGCAGGTTTATGTGCTCTATGATAGTATTTGCATCGCTCGAGAAGTCGTCATGAGCAGAGTGTGTATAGAGACATCTCAAAATAACAACACAATGATCACCCCAACTCTTAATCGCGGTATCTATTGCCGAAGGTAGAGATTGTCCAGCATCGCCTTTCGAGACAAGAATCTCACTCGGACGTAATGCTTCAAGAAGCCACTGCACAGCTTGCAGTTTCCCCCGCTGGATCGCGTATACTAAAGGAGTCCTATTATGATTATCGGCTTTATTGATACCGGCGTGATAAACTGTATTCAACCATGTCAAGAACACAACATTCTCATGAATCATCGCAGCATGCCATATCCCCTGTCCCTGCGGACCCAAAGCCGTCTCTGCTAAATCGACATCGAAAGACTTTAATAAATTCGCAACTCGAACTGAGCCTAAGTGACAAATTCTGTGTTGAGCCTGTGGGTCTAGCTGTGCCTTGATCCGCGAATCGCCCTCTTCCATAAAAGAATCACACCATTCTAGCAGCGCCCAAAGGCAAGTATCATCCTGATACCCAGTGCGATGGAACTGCGCCCACGTCCCATATTGCAGTATCGAACACTCTTCCTTCCCATCGGATCGTATTCTGTACGGTTGGAGAGGACCCGGTTCATCACCTGAGTGCTTGATCAAGAGCTCTATCACCTTCTTCGCGTCTGCTCTAACAGCAAGGCCGAGAAGCGACCAGCCATGCTCATTATACCCCACATGTCCCGGCTTGATAACATCTAATTCGTACAGCCAGGTCAAGCAGTACTCACAATTAGCGAGAATAGCGCCAGTCACTAGATCCGGCTCGGTTCCTGTGTTCGGGTCATCTTTCTTGTATTCAATGTCGCTGCTGAGAGTACTGGCGCTTTCTAGCACGGTCTTGTGGTCGGGAAACGATCCTGCTGCGCGACGTAAACAGTCCCTCGATAGAGGGTCGTTGAGGAAATATTGGACCTTTTGGAAGAGTCCGGGGTAGTCTTCGTCTAGATCTGCGGCTGCTGCGATGATCGGATTCCGTATAAGAGCTCCGCGGAACGCGCAGAATTCGCCGTGTGTTAGTCGGTGATTGTCGGGGATGAGGCGCGCGTGTAATTCTGTTACAAGCTCTGCTAGATCAGTGGTGTTATTTAGATTTGAGAGGTATTCGTCGGTGTATATCTCCATCTTCGAGTCTGCCATGATGAATGACTACTACTAGTACTAGTACCAGATGAAATAGAACTACTAGTAAGCCCTGCTAAATGAAAAGTCGAAATTTAAACTTGAATTTGGATCCTTCGTCGAGGACAAACAGGTCAATTAAATATCTCAAACTGCTACCCTCGACAAAGAAAACTCGAAAAACTAAAAAAAAAGGAAACACAAAGACTCTATATCGTGGTCGAGTGCTCGACGCTGTACCACCTTTTGGTGCTTTGTTCGTCGAGTGGCGCACTGCAAAGCCCACCTCCACCGTACCGATTTTGTCAACTCCGTTCTCAGCGTAGGAAATTCATTGTCATCCATGAGTAATCGTATAAAATCCATCGTGCTGTAATTTTACAACTTCTCATCTTCCGTCTCTTGATCACTCGACTCGGGGTCGAGAATGGGGTAGATGGGAATGCTTTCTCATCAGGGGTCGGGATAACCAGATCCCAAGTGCCGCTGAAGCAGCTTACTGGGGCAGCTTCGACTTGCCGGCCTTGCGGCTGGCGGCAAGGGCACCCTGCAGACTGTACTGGGAAGCGATGCCGTTGACACGGTGGGTCGAGTTCAGGTTCTTCACGACGACCATCTGGTAGCAGGTGGCCATACCCTCGCGAGAGGCGATGACGGACCAGGCAAGGAAGAGCTCCCAAATCTATTCATTGTTAGGACGTGGGTTGTGAAGAAGGGGGTTGAACAATGAACTCACTCTGTACCATCTGGCTCCGTACTTGGCGTTGATGGCCTCGACGTTGCCGACCCAGTTACGGTACCATCTCCAGAGAGTACCGGAGTAGTGAACACCGACAGTGTCAATTCTATGGCCATGTTAGCTATCGGGTGATTTTTCCAGATCATGAATCGTGACTCACCCCTTAACTTCGAATCCAGCTTGCTCGAGGCACTTGACGTAATACCAGAGAGGAGTGGAGGCATCAGCACCGCGGAAGATGTACTTGTTCAGGTACAGACCCCAGATGAAATCCTCGTATTGCCAGGCCTGACGCAGACCAGAGAGCTGGACGTACATGGCACCGTCATCGTTAAGCATGTCATAGCATTGGCGGAAGAAAGTAGTGAGTTTACGGATACCAACGTGCTCGCCCATCTCAAGCTGGGTGATCTTGTCGTACTTGGTGCGGGGGATATCACGGTAATCCATACAGACAATGCGGCTCTGCTCCTCAGTGACACCGGCCTGACGGAGGGCATCGTTACCCCAAGCAGTCTGGTTCTCAGCAATGGTAAGACCGGTAACCTTGGCGCCGTAGTTCAGACTGGCGAAGCGGGCCAGAGTACCCCAGCCACAGCCGATGTCCAGCATAGTCTCGCCTTCCTTGAGCTCGATCTTCTCGCAGACGACGGCCATCTTGTTATCCTGCATCTCCTCGAGGGTCTCCTCCTTCTCGGTGTCGGAGATGATTCCGGAAGTGTAGATCATGCGAGGACCGAGGAACCAGGCGTAGTGGTCGTTACCGCTGTCGTAGTTGGGGCGGATCTGGGCATCGTCTTGGGCCTTGGTGTGGAAGAGGACGTCGATGAAGAAAGTGAACACGATGAACTTGAACAGCTCCGGGGTGAAGGAGAAGTTGGCCCAGTCGTGACGGTATTCCAGGATCTCGAGGATGTCACCGTTGAAAGTGACGTGGCCATCCAGGTACATCTCGGCAAAGGTGACCAGGGGGACCTTGTTCTTTCCACTCCATTTGGCCTTGTCCTCCTCGCGCTTGAAGGTGATGTAGTGCTCAACAGGACGACCGGGGAGCTTGACCTTGGTGTTGGTGCGGGCGCTGTAGGTAGAGTGATAGGTCCAGAAGGCAACGAGCAGAGGGAGAACCAGAACGATAGCGAAGAAAGTCCAGGTCTTCCATCCTTGGCCGATCAGGTAGGTCAGGAAGGCAGGGACACCGATCAAGACGGCGGCGAGGAGGTAGTTGGAGAAACCCTCATTTCCGGGGCCATCGGCAGGGAGAGGGGCATTGTGGATAGCTGGGGACTTTATGGAAGGGTTAGCAAGCTTGAAATTGGAGAACTCGAAGGTCAATGGCAAGAAGTGCAAGGAGTGGACTGACGTTGGTCAAGGGAATTCCGCAGTCCTCGCCAGTTCCGAATTGCGCAGGCTTAGCAGCAGGAGTCTTGATGAAATCAATATCGCTGGTGAGCTCAGCACCTTTAGCACCCATTTTCAATTGATCCCTCGTCCGGAGGAGGGTTCTTGTGCTTGGGGATGAGGTTGAGGGAAAGGACGGTGAAGCAAGCGAGGGAGCTCCTTTTAAGACGGGAATGTTTGTGGAGGGGTCTGAAACACTGCGTAATGTTCACGCACTTGGCACTATTCCCACGCATTTTATATCCACTCCCCCTGCTCTCTCCACTCAATTCCATTAATCCACCATTTCTCCCCGCCGTGTCTATACTATGTCCCGCGTGGCACCAAGTTACTTCTGTAAATTCTGGTAATTCACCGGCCTTCTGTCGATCATAGCTTCACGTGTCTGCTCGGGCCTGTGAGTGGCCCGCGGGTCTCCGACTTAACACTGTGGCCAGACCAAAAGATACCAGGAACATAAGTGGAGCACCCTCACCTGCCAGTGGCATTGCTTCCAGTCGATAAAGTTCCCAAGTCACTGATGCCTATTGATGCCACTGAGTCTAGATCTCCGGCTGCTTTGTCAACAAATAGACAAATTAGAATAATCAAAAATAAAACACCGACTAACATAGACCGGAAATTATATCCTGAATCAACAATCATCCCAAGTATACCTACCATATCACCCACTGGTACAAGGTCAAGGATATTTTAAAACGTGCCCTGCCGTGGGTCTGAGTCAATATTATACTCTAATTTATGAGCTGATCACCGCCACGAAATTTTGTGGCCACGCGTCCATTTTATTTGACCACTCAATCGATTTGGACCAAATATATTTTTCATTTGTGCACTTGAATTTCAAACATCATGGTATCAGTACCAGTAGAGCAATTTGCAGTCAGAGACCTCCAGGGATCCCATATTTGGCAGGTTCCCCCCAGGTTCAGCTCAACAAACAGGAATCAGTATACAGAACCCAACATCACAGCATAATAACAACCAAAGAATACTCCAAAAAAAGTCACACGCAAAAAATACCCCCTCGGGGCTGTGCAAACGAGAATATTAAATCCCCGGGCCAGAATTAAACCATATCAGTGAACCCAACATTCCGTCCAGATATCTATCCCCTTTACTCTTTACTCCTCAATACATCGTCAGGCCAATAATCTCCTTTCCAACCCTTCGGTCTCCGCTCAAATTTCGCCGGCGGAACACAAATATCAAACTCCCCCCTCTTTTCGCAAGACCCAGTGCAGCAATCACCATTGTTCTTGCAGGTGTTATAGTTCTTAGTGCAAGGCACCGGATGTTCCGGGTCGAGGCTGCAAAGCTGCCAGTTACTTCCGTCATGTAGCATACAGGTGTGTCCGGTATAACAAGTATTCCATTTACTCTTGCACCAGGGGACACACTTGCGTTTATAACAAAGATGCCCTGTGTAGCACTGAGGCTTTTTGGACCGCATACTACACTCAGACTTTTCGTTCGGAGGCATGCCGCCCGGTATATCTTCTGCGCTGACGTCGTCCGAGTCATCATTATGATCATTATCATCCCACAGAGGCAAAACGACTTTGGGGACATCGCGCGTCGCCAGAGTCACGTTGGGGGCAGTCTCGTTTGTGCTGTTCACACTGGCACTTCGTTCGTGCTTATCTTTGTGGAACTCTCCCCACATGAGATAGCCCGAGCCTGCAATTAGGCCGAGGACGATGGCTACCATAATAAGGCCCCGTGTGTCATATCTGTCGTAGTGTCGGCCTTTCTTCTTTTCCTTTTTCTCGTTGTTGCTGCTGTCGTTGAGTGGGGTTGAGGGATTGCCCAAGTCAATATCCACGAAAGCATCTCCGGGCGCGTTTGGGGTGCTGGGTTCCTGGCAGCTCTGGGATGATTCTACATTACCAGAGCTTGTCTCGGTCGAGGGACCAGGAATTGTGTAACTATCTAGAGATGGATTTGTTAGGATGCCTTTTCAAACGTGGGCGCGGAAGGGACGGCCTAAATTACTGTCCGGGGACTTACTGGCTGGGGACTCCCAGTGAGGGTGCAATCTTGACGTATCGGTCATTTCGGTGTTGCTGGCTTGAGAAGTCATCTTTTCGAGTATTCGATATTTTCACAGAATGGGGAGATGGTTGGAAGATGATAAGGAAGAATTTCAGAGGAGGAGAACAAGGCTCCAACAAAAAATTTAGACATTTATAAATTCATCTCGATGCCAAAAGGATCCCAATAGATCTACTATTCCTATTTTGAATTCGGCAACGATCCGTGGATTGGAGACGGTGGTATTCGTGGTTGAGATATTGCCTATTCTGTAATGCATGTCTCTATTCGGAGCCGTAGCAGCAATCGACCTAAGGTTTCTGCCAGCGTCTCAAAATTTTCTCTACCTATACAAATTTCTTCTAAGATTCCAATGTTGATCCTAAAAATTTGATGTAATGAGTAGCTATATAACGGGTAACCAGTACTAGTATACCTATCGTTATAATGACCCTACGATTCAAGTTACCAGTACTAATACTGACTATCTATGCCACCAAATTATTAGCACCAACCGAGTACTATCACTTGATGACCCTGACCATGGGTATTCTCAATTCATCTACATCATAAATAATCCATGTCAAAATTTTGTGGAGAACGCTGGAAATACTGGGACGTTGTCGCTCTGACAGACACACTAGGTCGATTACGGGCATGAAGCACCGTGCACAAGGTAAAAAGCTAGATACAAGTTGGAGACATCGAGTCCCTAATGGAAGAATTCATAAAATTGCCGACTGGAATTTGCGGCCGGATACATGTAAATCACTCGCTCATAAGTGAAAGGGGTATTTTTATTCTTTGACAACTTGCTTCCTCCATGTCAAAAAGACGACGTAGAATTCCTCCCTATTCAGGTCCGAGGCTGAAGGGCCACCAGCGACAGCTCCACCACGAGCAGTTGATTGTGACTGAGGATCAAATATTTTCAGAGTTGGCGCCAGATGGACATCCTCCGCCTCTACATCCGCCTCTGAGTCTGGGGGAAGGTGTAGCTCTTGCCCGGGAGTCCTCGGCTCGCGGTAGATAGCAGGTCTTTGTCTTATCAGATCTCCCTCTTTCGCGCCTATCCAGCTATATGCGCTGAGCGATGCTGGCTCAGCGACCAGATAAATCGAGTTTTCTTCGTCCAGGGGAAACTTCCACTGGAGCGCCTGTTGAATAATCGCATCGAGCTGGTCTCTCTTTCGCATGATGGTCTCGAACTCAATCACAAACTCTTCCAGACTGGGAATCGAGTGGAACTGATTACCCCACGCTGGTCTGGAGGGGCTGCTCTGCCAGGGATTGATGTGAACGGGGCGGCCCATCTCGTGCGCGCGGGTTCGGCCCTGTCGAAACGGGTCGATGCCGAGGGGATCGTTATTCTCCCAATACCACCAGTCCGTGTGGCGAAAAGTGATGGTCAACTTCTTTGGTGCAATTCTGCATGTGCCACGTGTCGTGCGACCCTCGTTACTCATCTGCATTCCATCCCAGATGTCCGACCATCGATCGTCTTCCAGGAAAAACTGCTGCGTGAAGAGGTGTATGTGGTTCACCTGTGCTCGTTGTTTCGGCGTCATCTTGCGGAAGTAATCCACCGGTGATGATGCATCTTTCACATGCGGTGGAGATCGATAGAACCAGAAAGTATGCTCGTTGATTCCTGGTGGAAGCAGCGATGCCTCGGCGTATATTTGCTGGCATGTCTGGAGGAGACTGCTCTCGATACGCTTGGGCTGCTTGTACCCGGGTCGATAGTAGAACGCATTTCGCTGGTAGAGTGATCTTGGACTGTCATCCAAGGTGACATCCTCAGATTCGAGCGACAGAGCGTAAATATGATTGCGGATTTCAGCGGGTAAGACGCTAAACAGCGGAGATGATGTCTGTGGGGCTGCAGGCAGGCGCGGCACAAGGTCCGGAATATTCATCGAGTCTCCCCGGCGGTGGTTTCTCGAATGACGAGTTGGAGGCATGATGGAAATTATCTACTGGATAAATTCAACACGGGACATTGGGTTTATGTAGTCATGAAAGGTTGAGGGGAAGTTGCTGGGGTCAGCCCGTTTGGCCCCCTGGAGCCTAGTTGCCCCACTGTAGCAGCCTGAAACAGAAGGGCCATCCAGTTATCCAGTGAAATCAATGAGAGAAAGGATATTTGCTTAAGAGCCGCAGGTGCTTGCACATCGCTGATTGGACACAATTTTACCCCGAAAATAAAATTAATTATATGATGCAGAGAAAAGACCCAGGGAGACGAACCAAATTGTGATCCGGCCCCCGAACCGATTTCATGATTTATAAACTCACATAAACTTGTTAAACTGGAATATTTAAGCTCGCCAAACCCCAATTTATAGATTCTATTTTTATTTTTACAGGTTAATTATCAAAAGCCACAAGAGTTCTCTTAAACTCCGCATCAACATCTCCAACAGACGGCGCTAGCATCTGGGTATGGTTCTTAGACAATTGGCCATGCATCGCCTGCTCAAATTGAGCCTTCTCCAAATACAAGCTGTGCATCATGCCGCGGGAAATGTAACCGAATCCGGATTTTTTGATCTGAGGAGCCTATTTAGAAAGGGTGAAAACTTGAATTAGCTTCACGGCCACTTTGTACGGTGGAATTTATCTTCCCATACCTTATCCTGTCCAGCTTGTAGTGTAGCCATCAGTACCGGCTGCATTTTATTGTATGCGTCCATTGTTTGCTCGCCATCAGCGCTCAAGAATGGATCAGATGCCTCTAGGCGATCTCGAGCAGCTTCTGAGGCCGTGTGGGCTTGATAAACAGCATTGGCGATTTTTAACGCGCTAGGGACGCCGCCGTTGAAGCTCTCAATGGCACGCTTGGCGACTCTCAATTTGTGAGTAATCTCGCGCATATCGGAAACTGTCTGGTCGATGTTCGCGATCGCAGCAACATTTGCAGCTGCTATAGCTGTAATGGCGATGATTTTAGTGACGAGCATGATGAGCGAAGCGTCAGGAGGGGAGGTAGATGGAGGAATGAGAGCAGAAAGTTTGGTAAAGAGGGTTAGCTCACATCGCTGCAAATACTGGTCTTAATGACTTGAATAGGTTAGCACGTTCAGTATCCCCACCAAAATTTGAATGTAGGGGTAAATAAACAATGCCAGGCAGGGAGGCATGTTGGGGTTGGGCGATTAAGCGGGCCGATCTACCCGAATTCTCGACGCTCGGTGTCTTGGTAAGTCCATGTACCTACGCCTGTATTTATTCCGCAAAGCAGCACCCTAGACTAGATGATAATAAATTTAGAAATTTCCTTCCGACCAGAAAATTGGCACGTCTCATAGTACTGCATTGTTAAAACTCGACCTGTCCCCGGCAGGTTCCAAGGTTCGGAGCTTGGAATATTGAAGCTTTATTCACTCTGTATAACGGACTGTAGAAATATCGGCGGTGCCCTGGTGAAAATAAATTAGCAAGGACATTTGAATAGGTTCAAGTTGTTCTTTATTGTGCGTCTCAAGCTACCTGGGCACAAGAAAAAGGAAAAGGAAACTAGTGAAATTACGCTTCTGCGATTGGAGCAATCAGCCAGCCCTTGACGACTCGTTGCATCACCTTGCATATGAGCCAGCTATTACTGGCTTTTCCCAAAACCCCCCTCCATGGTCCTGGGAATTTTCTTCTCTGCATCCACGTTTTTGTTCGAATCATCAACCCTGTTTTTGATAGTTGGCGGCTCTCATCCCTTGCCAAAGAACAATCGCGAGAAATAAATTCCATGATGTCGTCACTGCATCCTTTGACAGCGGATATTAGATGGACACCCGATATTGGCTTGACCCCACCTGACAGATGGCTTCCCGGCTCGCTTGTATTTGGGGAAGATCTCGAAGCTTCACAGGACTGTGCAAAGATAAGTCTTTTGTATATCCTGGAAACAGCCGATATGATAAGCGAAATATCCCCTCGCGACTCGCACATGATCCGCTATAGGGAGTGGATAATGTCCGAAGCTTCGTATATCCGACAAGGCCACCATGATCTCTTCGGTAAAGGCAAAATATGGGCTCGAGCAAAGTCCGAGGAACGGCGAGAAAAGATCAGACAGCTTTCCTCGCGATGGGAAGATAATAACAAATATAACGGATGGCATTCGTGTGCGATTGCAATTTTGGAAAACTGCATTGATCTGATGAATGGTACCCAAAGTTCATTAGATCTACTGCTTCATGAAAAAAGGCTTGAGAGGCTTTATACATCAGCCGGCGTCCCGGCTCGCTGGAGCCAAGTAATGAAACTCATGGGTCTTACAAACCCTAGAATGCGCATTCTGGAGATTGGCGGTGGAACTGGCGCCTATACTCGGAAGGCACTTGAAGACCTTCAATCCTCTGAGGGTGTGCATCTGTATTCCAAATATGTCTTTTCAGATATATCCCCAGGACTCACAGATGCAGCGCAAGAAGAATTCGGTTCCAAGAGGAATGTCGAGTTCAAGGTCTTGGACATCTCTCAAGAAGTCGAAAATCAAGGATTCCAACCACATTCTTATGATCTTGTGATTGCTTCCAATGTTGGTCTCTCTATATTTCACTTCCCTATATCCATCGTTTACTGATCTTCTAGGTTCTTCATGCAACCCCGTCACTCAAGGAGTCGTTGCAGAACGTCTCTAAGCTTCTGGCACCAACTGGGAAATTCATATTGCATGAGTTGTCGCCCGAAAGTCCCGCTATTAACTACGCCATGGTAAGTAAATCCCCTCGAGTTGCTGGAAATACTTTGTGCGTAACTAATTCATGCGAAGGGTATACTACCCGATTGGTGGATTGGTGTAAACGACGATCGCGCTAATGTGCCATATGTTTCCCCCGATCGGTGGGACTTTGAGCTTCGTGCTGCCGGGTTCACAGGCAACGAAGCGTACTCTTACGACCTTGAACCGCCCTTTCACTTCAGCCACACAATGATGTCAGGAATTGCACGGCAAACGCAATTTCAACGTGTGAGTCTAGTTGCAAGCGACCCTCATTCCCCGTGGATCTCTCAAGTTGCCTCTCGTTTTCGAGAGAATGGCTACTCTGTCAACATGAGTACATTGAATGAAAAGCCATCGGATGGCGATGACTTTGTATTCTTACTGGATCTAGATGAGCCGTTTTTGTATAACATTGAGGAGGAGACATTCCATTTCCTTCGGGATTTCATGCTTTGTATTACTGGGCGGGGCCTCTGGGTGACACATTCGACACAGCAGAGCTGTCAAGATCCACGCTACGGACTTATACATGGACTTGTCCGTACACTGAGGGTCGAAAACGAGCTGGATCTTTCAACATTTGAAACTGACGTATTCGATGATGATTCCTCTCGCGCCCTATACCGAGTGCTTGACAAGATTAAATGCTCACGCGATGTCGAGGAGCTGTATCCAGATTATGAGTTCTCCTACCAGGATCGAGTGACCCATACTGGTCGATGTCACTGGGCTCCTCCAAGCGAGACTAAAAACCATATACCCATCATGGACAACGAAGGACTTATAAAGCTGAATATAGGGACTTACGGCCTGATCGACACGCTGCAATGGTCTCGGGTTGCGGAGTCAAAGCTCGGTGGCGACGAAGTAGAGGTCGAGGTTCGATATGTCGGCTTAAACTTCCGGGTATCTTGATCATTTCTTCTTCAAGTTCGATGACTGCACAAAACTAACTACTTCAAAGGATACTTTGGTAGCTCTAGGTCTCGTCGGTGATAAAAAAGAGCTCGGGCTCGAGGGCAGCGGCATAATACGACGAGTTGGGTCCAAAGTTGAAGGGTTTGTTCCGGGGGACAGAGTCATCACCTTTTACCCTGGGCATTTCCAATCCAGAATCATCACAACACCTACTTGCTGCTTTAAAGTGCCAGACAGCATTGCGCTAGACCAAGCGGCGACTATGCCTAGCATATACGCCACTGCAGTTTATTCGTTGATCGAAGTCTGCGCCTTGGAGAAGGGAGAGGTGAGGACTTTTTCCAAGGCCATTGAGCCAGCCCAGGCTGATCTTTCTCGATAGACCGTTTTAATTCATTCCGCCTGCGGAGGAGTTGGGTTTGCATCAATTCAAATTTGCCAGCTCCTTGGTGCAGAGGTACATGATTTTTCCAACTCCTTGACGTTCAGAGCTAATATCGATGTAGGTATTTGCAACGGTGGGAAATGATGAAGAAGTGGAGCACCTCATGACTCGCTTCTTCATACCACGCAATCGAATTTTCAATTCTAAGTCGAAGGAATTCCAGCCACAGATCCTGCGAGAGACATATGGACGAGGCGTTGATATTATTATCAACTCGCTGGCGGGAGAGCTTCTTCACGCATCGTGGGGACATGTTGCCAAGCGTGGAAAGATGATTGAGCTTGGCGAGAAGGATTTCAGTACGAATGGAATGCTTAGCACGGGACCATTTGCTGGTAGCCGGGCCTTCTCCGGTGTAGATATCCTATCTCTGTGTGAGGAAGACCCCGAATACTTCAGAGACCTCTTTTCACAAGCTGTGGACTGGGCCCTGGAGGGTAAAATTCAGCCTATCCAACCAATGAGGGTGTTTTCTGCGACTGAGATACAGGACGCTTTCCGATACATGCAGCAGGGTTTTCACACGGGCAAGATCTTGATTGAGCTTCCATCTAGCTCCGATAATATGAAATTCGCGCAAAACAAGCAGAATGCCAGATTTTCGCCACAGAGGTCATATCTCCTAGTCGGTGGTCTTGGAGGCTTAGGCCGTTCTGTTTCGACATGGATGGTTGAAAATGGCGCACGTCACATAGTCTATTTATCACGGACCGCAGGAGAATCAGAAGAATACCAATCGTTCCTCGAGAAGCTAAGGATGCAGGGCGCCCATCCTATCTGTGTTGTGGGGGATGTTTCACGTCGTATTGACGTTGAGCATGCTGTTTCGAAGTGCACGAAGCCACTCGCCGGGATACTTCAAATGTCCATGAACCTTAGTGTGAGTGTCATTCCTACTAGTGCTCGCCCCGTGGATCCTGACAATATCATCTCCTGAACAGGGTCGGACTTTCAGCGAAATGACTTTTGAAGAATGGAGAAACTCCCTTGCCCCGAAGGTCGAAGGGGCATTTAACGTTCACCATGCGACGACAGATGAAAAACTGGATTTCTTTGTCGTCTTTAGCTCCACTGTGGGAGTAGGTGGAAACAAGGCTCAAGCTAATTATGCTGCCGCAAACACCTTTTTAGACAGCTTTGCCTTGTATCGCCGGAATTTGGGCCTTCCATGCTCATCCCTTGCACTTGGTGCTGGAGAGGATACCGGTCTCGTCGGTCGCAATATGGACATTTTAGAAATGATCCACTCGCAGGGAAATCACCTTTCAAGTGAAGCAGAAGTCATGAGAGGACTCGAAATTGCCATTTCTCGTTCCCGATCGAGCATCACGAGCCCTACCATCATTGGGATGACGAATACTGAGCCGACTTCCGATCCTCAAGCTCGCATGTCTTGGAATCGAGACATCCGTTTCTCCCTCTATGACAGCAAGGAGGCAGTAGATTCTGCACGCGCGTAAGCATCAGACGAATGACTGTGAGCACTGTTGGTCGATTGACGAACAGGAAACCAGACTTGCATCTGCGGAGAGCTAGCCAAGCTAGTCACACAGGACATGCTAAATACACAGGATCTCGACGACAATCAAGTTGCCAAGATTCAAGTTGCCATTGAGTCTCCAATGTCCATCGAGATCCGGGGGTGACCCCGTCGCAATTTGAGTCTAGAGATTAGCCTGGCTGAAATTACCAAAGCGGGGACTGTCGGAATTCTCCGCAACGTGGTGATAAAATATATTCGAGTAAATTAAGGGCTGCCCTGCCTAAGAACTTTCATCGTGCAGTGGGTGTTTCAAGCTTATTTTTTGTTTGAAGATTGAATAGAATGTGAAATATATCATGCCTATCTGCGCCATTTGTAACCTCGTCTGTAAAATCTACTCAGGGCAGACAGACAAAATGGCCCGGGTGTTTTGGCCCTCGAAGTTGACAAAGGCCCCGTGCAAGGATGAAAATCAGGGTCCAGTTTGACCATGCACACGCTAGTTCCACTTTTTAGGCAACGCCAGGTACAACCAGGCAAGGCTTCTTGCTAAGCGAGCAGCCGCCTGAACCAGAGGCTCAAAGCCAAGGCGCTAACAGGACTAGTAAATTGGCACTCAAACAATTAAAAGGAGGCGAGAGGTCGAGAGATTAATAAAATTTGCTCATAAATTTCTACAGAGAATCATGCCTAGTATGGACGATATGGACTTTGACGATTTTGATTCCGAATGCAGCAGCTCGGACACCCCGACGGAACCACCCGAGGCAGGGGCTCCGGCGCCAATTCTGGCTGCAGTGGAAGCCGAGTCTGTGGATACAGTGCGCAACTTGATCCCCACCACATCTCCAGCCGATCTTTCCGCGGCTCTGTGTCGATCGTGCGAAGAAGGGAAACTTGCTATCGCCGAGGAATTGCTGGAGAGTGGACAATGTGATCCAAATGCAGCATACCAAGATATTACTCCGCTTTTTCTTGCAGCCCATAATGCACACCCGACGCTTGTCGAGGTTCTTCTTCGACATGGGGCAGATGTCAACATCAAATCTAATCGTGGACGAAATAAGAGAAGACAACAAAAGCAGCTGCCACTTCATAGTGTGCCATGGTCTTTTAATCATCCTAGAATTCGCGATGGCCAAAATTTACTCCGCCGACGGGCGGTGCTTGAGTTGCTGCTCGATGCAGGCTGCAATATCAATTCGAAAGACGACGACCGGACATTGTTGTTGCAATGTATGCCCAATGACATCAAGCTTGCGCCCTTCCTCCTACGCCGTGGAGCGGACCCAGATGTCGCAGACCATCTTGGTCGAACAGCGCTGCATTTTTTCCACGATCCCCAGGATGAGCCGGATCTATTCAAGATGTTCATGGACCATGGAGCGCGTTTAGACCTCATTTTTCAACCGGATGGAACTGCAGCATTGCATGCCTTCGCGTCAAACCATGACCTAGGTGATCTTTCCATGTTCAAGCCGTATGTTCCAGATTGGAATATTACTACCTCCGACGGCGACACGGTTCTGCACATCGCTGTCGAAAAGCACAGGCCTGGAGATCCCACGGTTCCAGCACTTTTAGCTCTCGGTATGAGCCCAGCCCAGAGGAATCATAAGGGTCAGCAAGCTATCCACAAAGTTGATACTTCATACTCCGACTGTGAGGAAATCCTGGACATATTATGTGCTGCGGACTCGGATCTGGAGGCAAAAGACTCCCGCGGGAATACCCTTCTCACAAGCGCCGTCTGTGGCCCAAACAGCGGATTTCACAGTGAAACTTTAGTCCCCTCTCTGATCAACCGTGGAGCAAATATAAATGCTCAAGACTACAAGGGAAACGGGGTCCTTTCCAATCTGATCGGCTCTTTCGGATTCCAATCGAACCAACTGGATAATCTTATGAAGCTTGGAGCAGATCCCCTAATGCAAAACTACGCTGGACAGGATTTCCTACATCTTCTCGCGTCCGGCTACGCCGCAATCGACGAAGAGACAGCTTTTCTGACAATAATCAATCTCCTCGGTAACGGCCATTGCCCAACTGTCTGTGACTTTCAAGGGAGAACTGCCCTTCACGCACTTTGCAGCCACACGTCAGATCATCTTTTTGCGGCATCTCCTGTGAAAGGAAAATGCGCGATCGATCTTCTACTTGATGCAGGCCTAGATGCAGCATTAAATATGCCTGATTATCAGGGTGTTCGACCAATTCATCTCGCAGCCACCACATCGGAGATTCTAGTCGGCAAGCTGATCGCCAGAGGCGCCGACGCGGCGGTTACGACCAAAGATGGACGGAACTTGTTACACATCGCCGCAACTGCTCGTCAGAGTAATGTCGTCGGACTACTTTTGGACCATTATGCTTCGAACAACATGACCTCCATGGTGAATATGCAGTCTGATGATGGGCGGACCCCTCTTCACCTAGCCTGTCGTTCTGGAAGGCTAGAGACAGTGAACCTGCTTCTTAATCATGGAGCAGACACTCAAGTGAGAGATAAAAGCAAAAGATTACCAATAGACGCATGCTCTGAGTTCCTGGTCGAAAGTCGACTTTGGATTGCGAATGATGATCAGGAGAACATACTGAACAATGCTTTTGCGGCAGGCATCCTCGCGCAAGATAAAGAACGACCGCTAAGAGGTGATACTCGCCCTAACAGAGAGCCTTTTAATCCTAAGAAGATAGGATGGAAAGGTGAAATCACGTCTGAAGACTCGACCCTCGGAAGTGGGCGCATCGTGCGTGCATTGGCGTTGAAGGGGGGGTTCCAGGCCGCAGATATAACGGAAGGTGTTGGCTCTATTTTCCTTGCGCAAGATTCTGGAGATGAAGAAATGGCTGCCGAGCTGGTGAGAGCATCAAGGGAGTTGGGAATCAATATCGAAACATCGCTCCCATTCAGCACCGAATCTCTGCTACTTCGCTCACGGCATCTTTCCACTCTGCTGAAGCAGATATTTACCTCACCCTGCACTATGGACTTGGATCTTTTTCAACTGGTGATAGATGGCCACCATAATGAGCTTGCTGAGGCACTAGAAGAGAATCCCACTCTTGTTCGGGATGACTCTGACGGGGTCTTTCCGGATTTCCTATTTGCCTGTGCGCGATGGGGATATACCGACATATTTAGGAGGATTGGCAGTATCATGCCGGACAGTGACTGGATTGATGGGGGTCACGAAGTACTGGATGGCCCCCTAATCCCATACTTGCTAGCAGCTGCCGAGAGGCAGCTGCCGAACTTGGAATTGATCAAGGTCATCGTTGAAAAATTTGAAGCGGACGTCAATATTCGCTTCAATAATGACATGGTTTCCAAGCCTGAAATTTATTATCAGTCGCCCATGGCTGCTGCCCGTGCCTATAAGGATGGGGACACGATTCTTCATCATCTCGCTCAAGGCACACACTGGTGGTACGAAGGGGCTATCCGATATCTTCTCCAACACGGTGCTGATCCGAATGCGCGTAACGCCGAGGGAAAGACACCACTCTGTGTCGCAGTGAGCCGATCGGAGCTGGGAGGTCATCGACGATGGGAAATAGTCAACATCCTGCTCGAAGGTGGTGCCGATCCAAACATCGCAGCCACATGCGGTTTCACTCCACTCGCAATGTCTGCTCACAATAAAAGGGTGTTTCGCTTGTTGGTTGAACGTGGTGCTGTTCCATCTAGTGACCATCCCATGGAGCTGTTTCAGGCACTTTGTTCCTTTGATGAGGAAATTGTGTCCGATCTATTGGGCATTGGACTAGATGTCAATAACACGACTCTATCTTCCGCGCAGCCTCATTGGCATGCGCACAGGCTAGGAAAAGCGCCTTGGTCCAAGACTGAAGTCATCCGACCCCTTCACTACATCTCCATGCTCCCTTTCAACGAATCTCACTGTCGCGATCACTCGATACGCATGATTAAAATGCTCTTATCCAATGGTGCGGACTGTTTCCTTCCATGCGATGCGGACAAACTTATTCTTCACGAGATTTTCTCAGATGGCGGCATCATCAAACCCTGGCTTGACATGCCCGATATTGACCTTGAACGACGAGATCCTCGTGGCCGAACTCTGCTTTTATCTGCCGCACGTTGTCAATTAGGAGCCGATTCATATGCCTGTGTGATTCCGGTATTCCCATTCCGTGCTGGCAACATCATACATGAGCAATGGAAGGAAGGAGACGTTACCCGGCCGATGGCATTGTACAGAAAGGGTGCGGATCTAACAGCTATTGATAACTTCGGTAACACTGTGTTCCATCATATGGCCGGTTGTCAACCAAAAAATACTTTTGCGGCGATTGAATATCAGAGAACAGTCAGGCTTTTCATGGAGAGAGTCCCTGAATTTGAGAAGAGGGTAAATTTGGATGGCAAGACACCATTCGCTATTGCAAAGGAGCAAGGTGTTAAATGGGCTATGGACATATTTGAGGTGCAGGAAGAGCAGAACGCCAATTGAATTCTCCAGCGCTCCATAGCTGCAATCGACCCAATGTTTCTGACAGCCCTGGAGGTTTTATCGAGAATATCCCATCCCTCGGTGGAAGTTATTCTACGCATACGAATTGATTGACCCTACTTGTTTAGGGTACTGCGCATATCGCTCGTTAGGATACTCCTATAGGTAAGCTACTGGGAGACTGCTTCGATCTAGCGAAAGGCTTCAAGGCCGCTGCATGCAACTGCAGCAAGATTTTGAAGATCATTGTTAAAATCGCAAGATTACATGCGGCCACTCTATATTCAAACTTACCTGGGCGCTTACTACTCTTTCAATATAATTCACAATTCATTCTTCCACATACAGTGGTACAAAAGGCACCTAAATCACAACGCCTAGCCCAAAGCAAAAACTTCAAGCAGCACGCCTCTCCCTACCACTGATCAAATAAAGCGCAGCCCGCACATCAATAAGCGGATCATCCGAAGACTCAACACCCTGCACTCTCGGCACAGGATCAAAAATAACCCTCTTCTGCTCCGCATCATTATCCTCCCTCACACGATCAAGACTAATAGTCCCCAACGTGACAACCTTCCTACTCTCCGGCCACTGCACAGTGCAATTATCCGTAACATCGCCTTCCTCCGCAATCTGCGCCACAAGATCAAAAGTCGGCCCTAGAGGCAGTACCTCCTGAATCTGCTCATAAAGATACCCCGCCGCTAACCCCTCCACCTGATCGCCGTCCACATGCGCCGCACCACGTCGCGGCACAAATCGATACCGAATAAACGTCACCGTCCCATCAGCGGCGATCAGTTTGAACGCATTCACGCCGTAAAAGGTCTCTCTGGCGAAACTGACCGGGAATGGTTTCGGCGCTTCGACGAATTCTTTCGCGGACGGGTATGTCGCTAGATGGTCTGATATCGAGCCGTCTGCCAGTGCTTTGAAGAAGGCGAGGGCATCCGGACCGTCCTTTGCGGGGAAGAATGGCGTCGAGTGGGTTATTATATCGGTGTGTAGGCGTCGAGGTGATTCGGCGAGAACGAATCGTATAGCCAGGCCGCGCGGGTTGCCGTTGGGATTATTATCCGGGAGGTCTGGGAGACCTGTTGAGCTGGAGAAGCGGGCTAGGATGGGTGTTTCATTTTGGAAGTGGGGGGGCTGATGAGAGGGTTGATGCTTCTGGTGTTGGGGTGAATGATCCTTCTAGGAGGATCCCTTTTGCGTGTGCTGATTTTGCTTTTATTAGACAAATTTCATTATAGCTTCCGTGGGGCTTTATGATAGGATCTTTACCTGGTCTGAAGCCTGGATGAGGGCCGAAGAATTTATGGAGAGTGTCGACGAGTTGAGCGCCGACTTCAACGGTTGCCGGATCGGATGGGAGGGGCATTTTCAATTTTGTTTGGATATTAGTACCAAGAGGGTTGTTCAGAGCGAAGATGATTTAGTTATCCAATACGAAGTATCTGGTGACTTTATATTTGGAGCGATGATTTCCAAGGTTGGGGGCATCATATTGCGACATTCAAATGACATGGATATCGGACTTTTTGACGCAACGCACTAGTAGAGTCTGACCATCATGACGCAGGTAAGCAGCCATACAATATATACTCGACTGCGGCTTACTATAAGAGGACACTCATTGGCCAGAAGGGTGTTAGAGCGTTCGTTCTTCCGAGGACTGGGGACTGGCAAAGATGAGGGGCAAAGAAACAAAGAAAGATTAATAGCTAGTGTATTTGAAAATTGGTTGTATTCCAGCTCCAAAGAAACACAAAAAATTGAAAATACATTATCCTCAAGTACAATTCTGTGTACATAGACTGTCTTTCTTCTCTCGTGTCAGAATAGATTACATTAGCAGATCTAAATTGATCAAAATGTCCATCACCGCGATATCGACAATAGAGCTTATTGGTGATGAAATCAGAGCTAAGGCACGAATCTGGAATGACTGCAGAGAGAGCTACTATTTAGGTACAAAGGAATCCTGAGGACCAAGGCTTCTTTTCATCCGGGTGAGATTAAGCGAGCAAATGAACGAACCAAGAACGGCTATTCTTCCAACTCTCTAATGGATGATGATTATATCAATTCGGCATTTATTGCATCGTTTGCCTACTAATAGCGCATATTATAGTGATAACTTCTCACACTTTGTGGTTACTGAAAGAGATTGTCTCAACGAATTATCTTGAAGCGATGCCCGGGTACCGTTAAGAACCATACTGGTTGATTGGGAAGTCAAAGTAGCTTCAAATGAGTGACACGACGATATTATGTAACAAAGACCGAAAGCCACTTTTGTAACGGTCTACAGAACGATCATCAGACAGCCGATAAGAATCGCAGCTGCCAAAGAGCCCACACCAAGCCAGCCACTAACAAGAATACTAACCGGACTCACCATATGGGTAGCGGCACCTTTGGAGGTAGACGTTGCAGTGTTACTTCCTGCGGTTGACGATGCAGTACCGCCCGCCTGTTGAATGAGGTACTTGCAGTCGTTCGAAGAGCCATTCGGTACCTGGACTTTTGCCTTGCCGTCGAAGTCGCAAGCATCCTTTCTCTTATCCTGGCTGAGGTAGTAGCGGTTCATGACCTGGGAAAGCTGATCCTTGGGGCTGCAAACGCTGTAGGCGCCATAGCGACCGGCTGTAGCGTTGTGAGTGATGTCATCACAGATGGTCTTTCCGTAACCGCAGATCTGGCCAAAGAGAGTCCCATAATCTTTAAGGTCGACGTTATCTTTGACAACACATTCCAAGGTCTTCGCAATACAGTCACAGAGATCAGGGTTGGGAGACGGAGGTAGCGGGCTCGATTTCGCCAGCCAGTTGCTGTTGACGGTCGGGCATTCCTGCGCGGGGTTGGAAGGACTGTAGCTGGCCATGTTGACGCCGGTTGCTGTCGCACTTTTGATCTGGTTTGAAAGCGCCGTAAAGTCCTTTCCGGGCATTGCAGAATTACCTGATGCAGAGACGAGACCATAGTTGTCACCTCCATTGACATCAAAGTACATGTAGACAATTCCGCCGCTCCAAACATCGTTCATTTTGTCACTGTACAGGACGGGGATATCTTGGAAGCTTCGAGGGCCGCTGGTAACACATCCGTACTCGGAGAAGAAGATCGGGATGGAATAGTTCTTGTATTCATCGGTTCGCTCTTTGTAGCCGGACGAGGAGAACGTTTTGTCACCGCACCACTCGTAGATATTATACCCGTAGAAGTCGATAGCACTGTCCTGGTATCCACAGTTCAAGTAGGCCGACATGTCCTGGCGAATATCCCGCTGGTCGGTCGCTGCATAGCCGATACTGAGGGACTTGCGATAGCCCTTCTTCTTGATGTATGCTTTCATGTCTCGCGCCGCCGCCTTGACAAAAGCGACCGAAGCTGTCTGGTTGGGCTGGTTAACGACCTCGTTCCCAGCAAAGAATCCGATGACATTGTCGTATTTCTGCAGAGCATCTATCACAGACGTATATCGCTTGTATTGATCGACATTCCACGTGGGGTCGTCGGCCTTGATCGAATTATCCGGGGAAGAAAGGTCACTGATGACATAGATCCCGACATCGGCAAGCTTCTGCATGCAGTCATCGTGGTTCTTGGATGGGTCGATGGCATATGTACGGATGAGGTTGGTGCGTAGCTGTTGGAGGTAGACGATATCACGCTGACATTGGTCGCCGTTCGCGAGGGGATCGACGTAGGTTTCTTTGCTGGTCTCGCCTGTTCCCTGAGCGCCTCCACCACTGTAATTCTCTATCCACTCAAGGTCAGGATCTTATTTGAAGGTGGAACGAGTAATCTGGGTCCGACTCACCTTGATAGGCAATGCCTCGGATGAAACTGGTGAAAAATGTATGAGCACAGAGTCAGAAGATTTGGGATCCGCGGAGCTCACAACTCAGTGCCGTTATTGGAGTAAAAGAACTTGGAGCCCTATGGGACAGAATGTGTCAGATTCAGAGTCGATATCCTTAAATTTCCGGGGGGGGGTATTGTGCGGAGCAGTCACAGACCTTGATCTCGATATTGGGAACAGACGCAGCCGCGCATCCTGTCAAAAGGGAAAGTCCCACGATGCGAGGGAACGATATTCTCATGTTGAACTGAATAAAATTTAGATGTGAGAAGAACAGTTTCGGGAAATAGAAAAGAAAGAAACATGCAGAGATAGAGAGATGGAGAAACTGATTGAGGAAGAAGGCAGTTGCAGGCAGAAGTTGCCGTTGAGGAAGGGGCGTGACGAGGTCTATCATCCTCCACTACCTATGTATTCAAGTAGACTGTATACTATCCATGGATATACTGGAGATAGCTATCCGAAATCATAAAAGTACGCCAGTTTGAGAATTGAGAACCGCGATTAAAGAGGCTAGTTAATCGTATATTTAGGTAGGTCATAGTAGGTTATAGGTTTCCCTATGTCTAGCTTCCACACTATGGTAGGTATCCTAGGCTGCCAGTATAGGAGTATAGAATTAAATAAACGACTCAAGTTCTCCTATTTGCTTGTATAGGTGCCTGATATTTCTGCTCTGTATAGACTGTAAGAAATTAAGCCTGTTTTCAAGTTAGTTGGCGATTGTGAACAGTTCTTGGAGGTGGCTTTGTGCAAAGTCCCCTGTTTCAAACATGAGTAGCTAGCACAGGGCTTTCTGTAACAATCTCAATCAGTGCCATGATCGGAGCCGAACTCGAATAATAAGTCATTCATTGTTGACCATCCGAAAAAGGCCATGTTATTCCTTTAACACGGCATGGTGACAGATCACATTCCTCTCGGGGCCTACTCCCCAATACGAGACCTGCAGTCAGGGGGGTTAGCAAAACGAAGCACGCATACAAGCCCGACAACACGATACTGCCACTAGCAAGGCCCGTACCACATTGCCCAGCTTGGATGGGAGTATGCGAGCACTATGATTGGTTTTGTCTGGTTTGGTTTGGTTTCTTTCCAGGCAAAGCCTGCCGGATTTGTAAATTTGATTCTTACCCACCAGGCAAGATATCGCTTCTTGGCTATTCTATTCCAAGCCGAAAGAACTTGGAATATTTATCACAATTTCCCAGCCTTCGCATAATACCCGTGGAGAAGAAGAAATATGCCCCACTTTATCCAGCCAGTCCGGCTTCCCAATCTGCAAGTAGCCGCGATACGGCCTTTAACGAAACGGGCTTCGTGAGGAAGACATCCACCCCGGACCCCAGTGCTTTAACTTCATCGTTTGAGCTGCTGAGTCCAGTCAGAGCGATAATATTGGCTGGGGTGCAGCCACTGCGCTCTTTTTCAATCGTGCGGATCGCACGCGTCGCTTCGAACCCGTTCATTACGGGCATGGATATGTCCATGAAAATAAGGTCGTAGCCCGACGGCGCCTTTTCAAACTGGATGACGGCTTGTCCGCCGTCTTGTGCTGTGTCTACGTCCGTGATGTTACATTTTCTCATAAAGGTCCTCAGGAGTCGAAGGTTGATTTCATTGTCGTCGACCAGCAATACTCGCGGTTTGCTTTTTGAACCGGGTGAGGGCTCGATGGGGGCTGACTGCCTGGGTGGTGAAGTGGAGGACGCGGGAGAGGATTCATGAGGCATGGAAGAATCGCTTTCAGACTCGAGGCGATAGGACCCTGCTGTTTCTGGAGACTGGCTCGAACCGTTGCGTTTCAGAGAGTCTGTGGCGAAGCTAACGCAATCTGCTATAGGATTGGATAATTCAGCATCGGGCGAGTCCAGATTTTCAGACGAAATGGTAGAGCTCCCGGTTGATGGAGTCTGGTTTGAGAACCGGGGCCGCGTCGGGAGTACGAGTTCTCCTTCGGAGAGGTTCGGACATGGCGCAGGTGATACCAGAGACGCATTCTTTGGATAAAGCAAGTTCAAGATTCCTCTGGCAAGATTCTGCGGACCACATGGTCGCCGAATGATCACCATAGAGTCGGCAAGATGCGACCACTCTGTCCTGATATCGCTCGGGCTGCCTACACAACGGTGAAAAACAAGCATTTGCGGTAATGCATCACGTAGCTGCTGGAATCCCGCTGTTGATAAATCGCTGTCATTTGCAAGTAAAAGATCGATAGGTTCGTCCGCAGACCAAGGCACTAGCTTCATGCCATACCAGTCTGTGATATACCGGGCAATTGAAGACCAGAATGAATACTCGCCGACATGAGAAGGATCTATCCCCCATATCGCGGCACGTTTCTCGATCAAGTTCAGCTGGCGTAGTTGAAGGGGTGCTGTAAGTGGCTCTTGTTCCGGCTTATCGGCGCAAGGCGTCGACGAGAGACTTTTTTCTCCCACTGGGCGATCGAGGGGAATCGTCACTTTGACAGTAGTGCCTTCGCCGACTCGGCTTCTGATTCTGATGTTTCCATTGAGGGTTTTGACAATTTCGCGAACAATTGATAGACCGAGGCCAGTACCCACAGAAAGGGGGTCCTCCTGCGCAAATGGAGTGTAAAGACGAGTCTGAAGGAACTCGTTTGAGATTCCCTTACCTGTATCTGAAACAGTTAATGTCACTATATCTTCCAGGCCCTGACGCCGAGAACGGCCCTTTGAGTTCTCGGTCGCCTGGATCGAGACTGATATCTGGCCCTTTGGGGTATATTTCAGTGCGTTTCCGAGAAGATTCATGATTAGACGCCTCATTGAGCCGGGCGGGACGTTGTAAAACCAGTCATTATCACTGATATTGACAATGACCTCCACAGCTGAATTTGTGCCAAGTTGAATGTTCTTTAGCGATGACGTTGACAAAATGTGTGACTCGCCAATTGGATGGTTTGTTGGCGTTGTTGACTTTTGGATGTTGTAATGCCCCAAGCACACGCTATCCACAACGTCTTCCGTTAAGATGGCAACGTTGGTTGCCATAAGTGGGTCCATTCGCGCTGGGTGCCGGTCTGGGGCTCTAGGCCTCCATGGATCTTTTCTGCGTTTGTGCCTTTTTTTCTGTCTTTCCAAGGACAATATTTTGCTGAAATCCAAAACCTGGTTCATTGTATCCAAGAGAGTTCGGCCACAAGCATTTACCGTCTCGAGAAGTGATTCTTGAAAATCGTCCAAACGAGTAGACCCCAAGAACTCGACAGCGGCTAAAACACCATGTAATGGGCTGCGCAGTTCGTGAGATATGCTGCTGATAAAATCGCCCTTCTGGCGGTCTGCGACGGCTGATTCAATGCGGCTGTATTCGGTCATCACGGAAGAAGCGAAACCGAAAATGGCGCTGAGATCAATTGCTCGACTGAAAACTCGCGTCGACTGGGGAGTCCAGGAGAAACAGCCTGCGAGCCATCTCAGATTGGTAGCATTCCACAATGGAACAAACATGACCTGGTTCGCATCGGGGAAATAGGCTTTTAGTTTGCTGGCTTCTAGTACCCTGGAGCTTTGATTATATTTCCGAGCGGCTCCGAGGGACATCTCGTCTTCATCCGAGGTAGATAGGCTCCCGTCACGATGGAATGACCAGATACGCCCTTTGGGATAACGGCGAGATAATTGATTTAGAAAGTCCTGGTCAAGTTTAACAGCCGGGTGCAATAACTCAGAATCCGTCTGATATGAGAACGGGTCCTCTCTGGTCGACAGCGCAAGAACGGGGACAGAATTATTTGAATCAGTGGAGGACGAGTGGCTGTGGGGGCTTCCGTCTGGCAACTCATCGCCATTCTCCAAAAGCATCACACCCCCGGCACCGTCAAGGTCCAGACTTTGTCGTAAGAGGTTTGCGGCTCGCTGGAAAAGCCAATCGGCGTTGCTTGACACCATCGATCCGCTGTCGCTTTGTTTCGAGCTTTGTGAAGATGGAGCTGGGCTAACCGATATGTCATTGCCTGGCTCCGTGGTCGAGACTCGAGTCGAAGATCGTAGGTTGCCGTCTTTAAGCGACGCGTCATCGTTGTCAAACTCTGATGGGTAAGAATTGGAGCCTCGGGTTGGAGAATTCATAGATTGACTCCGTTCACGATATGGCGATGCATGTGAAGATGGACTGTAGCCTGAGCTATGCGAGCGAGAGGCGGGATCGTTATGGGTGAAGCTGGAATTCCCGTCCACGAAAAGACGGAGGCCATGCGATAACCGTAAGGCGCGGCGCCCTTCAATGGCCTGGCGGCTCATCTGTAGATACTCCATAACCACGGATGCCATCGTTCCAAGTATATCCTTCTCAACATCATCCAACCCGTCACGAGGTTCAGGATCTAATATGAACAAGCAGCCCAGATTGATGTTGTCATCGCTCGTCAGGGGCGTGCCGGCATAAAAGCGAGAGTGCAGCTCGCCTTGAACGAAGGGCAATTTCTGGAAGCGCTCCTCGCGGTCAAGGTCGTTGATAATAAGAAAAGGATATGTTCCTTCGTACTGTTCGTCCGATCGTACATTGACTGTCTCCTATTTGAAATAGATCGGTGTTAGGGGAATGTTCGGTGCATGCCAACGTCCATCGGTCTAGACGTACTTCACAAATGTTCCAAGAATTTGATAATATGGATGTTCCAGCAAACAGGCTGTCTCCCTTGTCACCAAATAATGTCGAACTTCCCACATTGGTCGTTCTCGTAGCTTCCGCCAATACATACTGAGTTTCGCGATTCAATATCCTGCGACGCGGTAAGTTAGACAAAGATCTCCATTGGATAAGGGGATCGCCATTGGATAAGGGAGAAAGTCACGTGATTATAGCACGCTGCGCATTCAGTCGCAGAGCTGCGAGCTGCGCCAGAGATGTCAAGGTCGTGTTTGGGCTGTAGAGAGGGCTGTCATCAATGGCGGTCGTCTCAGGCAGCCCCTCATCCACAGCTGAATCAACATTATCAACAGAATCTGCAGAGCTTGCAGAGCTTGCAGTTGATGATACGGCGATTGAAGTGCTCGCATGATCGACAAGGGGCCATGTCGAATTCAGTGCCGCTGGATTTTCTGGCTGGAAGTAACGATAAACCTCGCGGGTCTGCCTGTCTGCTTCATGGTCGCAAAGAGTCTGCTCAGTGAAATCGCTCATGCTTGGTGAGAACCCATGTGTTTTTAAATATGGATAACTGTGTAATGCAATGTGCTGCCTTTTTTTCAATTTCACAAAAAAGACGGAGAGGGGAGAATTTTGGGGGGAGGAGGGGGGGATGCACGTCAACACGGCTTGGAGGTCAAATGACGTGGGCTTCTCGACATGTGGCTTACTCGGTAACTAGTTTATGCCTCTAGTACTACTCCCAGCCCTCATTATGTTTGAATTTTGTGTATGTAGACATATTTCATTCTTCTCTTGCTACTAATCCTGTGCTCTAGGGCCTCGGCTTTACTAATCTCTAGGTTTATTAACGTAACGAACTGGATGGTTGTTAGTTACTCCGGATGATTGGCGTTGATGCCTTAGCCGGATGGCATCAACTCCGCCCCGTATGTACTTTTGTCTCTTTTTCAAGTTCTCTCCTCAATCTGATTACTTTCATTGTATGCTATCACATATTGCCTGCTCCTCGTATCTTCGTCTGCGAGTGCCTGATCTCCTCATAACTGACCTCTTGCTTTTGTACATGCGTTGCTTTGTGGTATACGTTGTTTTGTGGCGTGTGTTCATTTTCTCTCTGAATACCCCCTCTCTCTTTTCTTTTTGCTAATCTCTAGGATGTTTAGTACATGTGGCCTTGATTTGTACTACGCGTTGTTTTGACTTCTAGTATAGTCTATGACTAGTACTAGTAGTAGTAGTCGTTAGCGAGATATAGTATCCCAAAGCTGCGTTAGAAATACAGTGTTAGGAGATAGCGCATCTGAGGTCCAAAATAGTATTCAGACACGGCAGTATTACCAACTTCAAGTTCCAAGGCTTCTTATCCTTCCAAGGTCAAGTTACTGTCAAGATTTGAGAAAGTCACAGCAGAGGATTTGGTTGGGGTGTAGGCCTCAGGCCGCCAAAGACACTCACATCTTGCCTTCTTGGCCCTGTCTCTCTCTCTCTCTCTCTCTTTGATAGATATCCCCATACAAGCACCATTTCCTGGTTTCCACCCTCCACCAATTCCTTCATTGTGTCTCGAGGTCTACGCCTGGGCATGATATTCCGAAAAGTGTATGGAGATCTTCGAGTAATTCCCCATCCAACTGATCAACTGAACGTGTTGCTGATTTTAAGGCCACCACCCACCTGGGTCTCCGAGTGGTCTAATTGATGGCACGTATCCAGTGCCATGACCTGTCAACAAGCGGTGACCACCCTCGTGCAGTCTGCAGCTTAGTATCGAGCGGCCAATCATAAGGCCCGAGGCACTGCCAAGCAACATCTACTTGAATAGAAGACCTGGAGTCACGATGGTTAGTACCATCTCCACTAAATGAATCACCGTTCAGGCACGATATACCTAGGTACTCAACAGTCTACTCCGTACCTAGTAGAGAAAGACTACATGTATGGAGTAAACGAGCCGCTATTCAAACATCTCAAATCGCCCCCAACAAAGTGGAGTACACGTACAGCAAATCCGCGGCCGAAAGTAAACTGACCTCACGATATCCCAAACAAGACAAACCCAATCTCTACACGCTGCCCGCCCAACCAGCACAGCAAAGATAAACCCTTCAATCATGAGTCCACCTGCACTTAGACTTCCCGGAAACACCGCGACGGTTCTCAGCCGCTGGATTATTTTCCCTTTCAGCCCTAGCGCGTAGCCGCACGGATGGTAAGCTTACGCGCAAAGCGTTAAAGGGTCCACCTAGCGCCTGCCATTGGGTCCGTCGTTACGCAAAACGGATCCATTTAAAAGCTACTCTTGTCACTGTTTGGGTAGCTGGTGGGGACGATCGCGGTTTCGGGAAAGTGCACTGGGAACTTAAACGAGGCTGAGTACAGAGTTGCAAAGGATGTAGCCTGTGCTGATCGGAAAAACATGACCACGTTGTTTTGCGCGCTCAGGTTAGCCTTATGTGGACCGGGGTACAAAAGGGGAGCTTAAGCGCTCAAACCATCGGACCCTGGGAGCACGTCAGAGCTACTAGAGCAATTCGCAGATCATTTTATCCCGGCATTACTCGGAAGCATAGAGCCTATTTGCATTTATACCATTTATACGACAGGACACGATACGACACTAAGTTCAATTTCCAGTCTACGAAGTCAAAATGTCTCGAAATGTCGATAAACTGCCCATGCCGGCTGAAGTGAAGAAGATGAAAGTCGTCGTCGCAAGTGCTAGCCGGTAAGTATCCGTCCGAAATGAGGATGAGTATTTCTGAGGTCGGCAAAAGATGCTAACCAAAGTCTCCAAATAGAACAGGTACCCTCGGCCTCTACCGCGCAATGCAAATCCTAGGATACAACCCGTACCACATGTACGAATGCTGTCTCATACAAGGAACACCCCATATGAAGACTCTCCAAGAAGCTATCACCGCGCAGCACAACCGTTTCTCCGGAAAGCGGAAATTCGAGAAGCCGGATTTCGATCGGTGGTTGGGAGATTACGATGTATGTGGACAACTGCACCCTTTCACATCGATGCCCTTCTTTTTCCCCGCAGCACGCAGCCGAAGAACACAAATGAACTCGTTTCGCTGACAAGGCTTCATGAATAGTGTATTGTTGAGGTAGCAAGTTTCATCGGCCGAGACGCGATCAAGGCCTACGCCGCCGACCCAGATGTCAAATTCATCCTCACAGAACGAAGCCCGGCGAAATGGGCAAAGTCGGTTAACAATACCGCGGGAGTAATGGTACAAATGGCACACTCGCTCCCCATGGGTATTCTAAAGCACTTCAATGAATACTTGAGCATCTTTTTCTCGCTCAATGTTACGGTTTATGGTGCTTGGTCTGGTAGTACGCTTCCCGGGGAGGCGGATAATGAGCGATTGTTGAGGGAGTATTATGTCGACTAGTAAGTTCCAGTGCAAGAACAAATATATATGGATTGTGTGAGGATGAGAGTTATGACACTAATTTTAATGCCAATTTAGTATCAATATGGTCAAAGAGACTGTGCCTGCCAACCAGATCTGCGTGATTCAGCTCGAAGACGGACTCGATTGGTCTAAAATCTGTCCCTTTTTGGGAGTTCCTATTCCCAAGGAGGAGTATCCGGATCGCAATGAGCCAGATAAGTTTCAGGCGATGGTTAAGGAAGGGTTGCAGCCGCATGTTAATGCTGCATTTTTGAAGGTGGGTGCCTTGGTGGTGCCGGCTCTTGGAGTTGCGGGGTGGATGGCGATGAAGTATGGGCCTTCTGCCTTGAAGGCTGTTTCTTCGGCATTTGCTTAGTTCTTTTGTTAAGTTGGGTGTTTTGGTGGGATGAGTGGCGCGTCCTAGGTTTTTTCCGAGGTTTGATTTCTTAGAGATGGATTCAATAGGCGTTTGATAGCCGGGAGAATGGTGCAGTTAGAAACATGATTTATTAACCCGAGTTTCCCAATTCACTACTAGTATAATTTGTCGGCTTTTTAATTCTTCTTCTTTCTTTAGAAGCAACCCAAGTCCGCGATAACCATTCCAAACAAAAATACGCCTTGACCTTGTTGCTTGGACTTGAAGGGGCAATTTCCTCCTAATGGATCAGGCGCACACTATGAGAAAGGCCCGATGGAATCATGTTCTCTGTTTATACCCCTATTCAAAACATATGGGGATTTCAAGGGCTTAATTAGTCTATATATGGAATAGTACATCTTCGTATTGGGGCTCGAGAAAACTTCAAAGATATAAGTGGGGACACTGATTTCCGTCGGAAGTACACGTACCTCGCACCCGGATTACCTAGAGCCAATCAAATTCCATACCTCACAAGGCGACATGCATGCGAAGATTGGGTATGGACGCATAGTATATTGGTGCCTAATGAAATATCAATATCCTCCTGACTCACTCATCGAGGCTTCTTATATTCACTCCATGTTCTGCTTGAGGTGCAATTTATCCCGAGCTGCCCGAAAATATGGATATTCGATATGATGACGATGATTCTAGATATTACCAAAAGACTCTTGAGATATTGAATGGTACTCCTAACGACCAAAGGAAAGAGTATCGTGATACCTGGGGTCAAACATTATTACATTATGCTGCAAGGTCAGGGAACAGAGGTATCTTTGCAGCAGGGAATGGTTTGTTCAACTCTGAGTGGGAAAGTCTCTTGCGAGAATTTAAAGACCCTGGTGCGATTAGATTAAGTGATGAAGAGGGCCGTTCCGCGCTCTCTTGGGCTGCAGAAACGCAGAATCTTGTTGCCATAAGAATGTTACTCCGCCCTCGGAGAGCAACCGGCAATTTCTCCAAACAGAGGATGCCTAATATTGGGCGGTCTTTATATCACGAGGGCCGGGAAATATACGCGAATGATCTGGATAATGACGGTCAAATGCCGTTATTTCACCTCCTGCTTCGCCGAAATTTTGGTCCTCAAAATCACCATAGATCCTCGCGAAATGGGGATCTTTCTACCACTATCCGAGGAGATTATCTGCTTCCTATGAAGCATCTGATATGGAATCCGGAAATCTGGGGAATGAAAGGTGATTCGCCGTTTTCCGAAGAAATTGGAAGAAGTTCCCAAGGACCGTCATGGCAATCCGACTATTTTGACAAAGATTATTTGAATGGAAAAGGTCGCGACGGCCGCTCATTACTCTCACACGCAGTGGGCCAAGGGGACTTTCACTTCGTCCGTACTCTGCTCAAGGTTGAGGGGATCGATGTTAGATTGGCAGATGACAATGGAACCACTCCGCTGATGCATGCTATTCAAAGGAGAGACAAGAGAATAGTGGATCTGCTGAACTCGTGCCCTCTACAAGACCCTCTGGACCTTCCTCACGCTTTGATCGGCCCAAACGATGATTCAGTCGTTGAGAGTCTGGAATGGGCATTCCAAACGGGAGTCATCGACAATAAAAGTAGTGGCGAAGCTGTGCTCCAGCATGCGTTAAACTTGAAACATCTCCCTGCTGTCAAAGAAAGCCTCAAATTTGGTGTATCACCACGAAAGACTTTTAAATATAGAAGTGATTGGTTCGAGCTCATAAAGGATAGTGCGACGCAGCCAAAATATCTCATTGTGGCAGAAACAGAAATGCAGGACAAGAAAGAATATAGTCTTGATTTTCCGGATGATGATCGACAGACGAGCCACCATCGCTCACTTTAGTAAGTCATTTTATCCTGTTTCTGATACGAAGTCCTACTGATACCTCGTGGTATATATCGGAACTTTGAGCATTACAATAGTATGGAACATGCGAAGAATCAATATGCCAGCCACAGCGTCATTCTCAACACGAACGAGCAAGAGCTGATATCCAATATCAACTTGACTTTTCCGGACCCTGGAAAATTCTTCGATACCGAAATACTGTCCTGGCTTTATCGGGGCCAGATCCGAGATAAGAAAAGCGAAAGTAATAAAGGCATTAGATGGACCAGATATAAAGGACAGGCTGTCTACCATTCCTTTCTGTCCTCTGGAATAATACCCGAAGATGGTAACAAATTGATATCGGATCTGGTAGCTGATCTGCAAATGGAGTGGGATCGGATATTTGATACAGCAGAGGATCGATTCAACACATCTGTGAGTTTGAAATAAATTTTAACTGAACAACGCTCACAACGCGGATGATAGTTCACCACACCAAATATAGAGGGAAGACGCTTACTCATATACCTCGCTACCGAGGGCAAATATCTGGCCACCCTTCGGCAGTCCTTGTATCAGCATACAAAATCGATCACTGACTTGGTCAAGGATTATAACGATAAGATTCGGAACATAGATTACGCATCTAAAAGACTTTTCCACGAGGAGGGGCATCACAGCGATGTCGAGAACGATTACCAAGTTTTCGAAAAAAGGAACAAGCCTTCGGCTTCAGCAACAAGAGCAAACACTCCGTGATGCGCGTCAGATGGTGGGTACTGAAAGAATACAAACTAAGCAATTTCTGACATGAACTAGGAGATCGCGCAGATATCAATTGCAGAAACCATGTTTTTGAAAAGACTTAGTCTTATTACAGTGTGTGGCCTGTTCAACTCTACACCTATATACTAATGCCTAAATACTAATGGTTGTTTTGTTATAGTTCATTTATCTGCCCTTGATGCTTACTGCAGTACGATTATACCCAAGCATTGTTCCACAGTTAGTACAAAAGCTGACTTTAAAAGAGCATTTTTGGCATGAATGTGAATGCTTTACAGAGCAACCCTGACTGGCGATGGTTTGTTCTATTCGGGCTCGGTTCACTTGCTTTAACGTACGGACTCTGGAAGATTTCTGAAGGGGTTAGTCTGGCATTCTAATCAGTGCAATTCTCAAGCTGATCATTCTCAGGATTTTGAAATTTACACATCGTTGCGGGATAAATTTGGAAGGTTACGGAGACAGCGTTTCGCACAGAACGATGATAAATCTTGAGTTGTATGTAGAAAAGTTTTTATGTAAGAAAGATGTAGTTGGGAAAGGCGGTCTGTATTAGTGTGCTTAAAATAAAACCCAGCCAAAGCTTTTACATTGAGAATTTATATTCTGGGGATCATGTCTCGAGAGTGCGAGGTACTAGTACTCTGCCCAGCTAGTAGAGCGGTGACCCTAAACAGGATTAGCGTAGTTCGGATTTATTTTTCCGGGAATCAAGTCTGGGGAGTACAAGGTCAACCTGATTTCGAAAACTACTGTAGCTTTTCGAAATAATCTCTATTTTATAAGTGGTAGAACTGATTCTGATATCTATATTCTGTAATGATCCAATAATCTAACAAATCAGCGATCTAAACGCAAGCTATAACAGGCGCAAAGCGCAATATGCATTACATCTCAACCAGCAGGAATATGATGATGACAGTGAACCTTCGGCGAAACCAGCCAGGCCTGGGCTACTGTGAAGAAAACAGCCGTTAAGATTAGGCACAATTAATGGTTTATTTAGCGGTCTGGTCAAGAAATGAGTTTAAGTTCACCGCTGTGGCCTATTCGTTGATGTCACGTAGAAAGTGACAAGCATTTCCAATTAGAACCACTCGTTGAACAAAGAAGCCAGTATTTGTATCCTTGAGGATCAATCCAAAATCTAGGCAATTTTTACAGAAATTAGCTTTATATGTGCCTTCTAAAGCACATTATTCTAGCTATTTATAGTATTTTTTTTCACAGCTAATTTATTGTAACGGGATAAGTCGTTACAAAGAAGCTTGTGCGTACCTACCTTACTATATATAGTGGTGCCTGCGAATATCGAAGTTCGATATTGATGGTCCTTTTGGACTATTGGAATAGCACGTGAGCGCAGGCACTTGCTGTTACAGGTTACCTAAACTTACTCTCCCAGTAAGAGAGATTTTAATAGCAAAGAAATATAGTGCTATTATAAGAATATTATTTAATACATATAGGGCTTCCTCCCACCCCATCAATCCGAGAGAAATCATTATCTTCTTTTATTCTGAACATTGTGTTTATTGATTACTTAGTTGATCACCAATCTTTTATACCTATTACCTAAAGCTACTCAGACCTTCCTTGTTGCTTGTAAGACCTCAGATCTTATAATTATCTTATTAGTTTCTTTAATTTTATAAAGAAACATATAATTCTCATGGTCTAAGTTTAGAAAAATGTAATAATCTATTCTTTTCTAAATATAATTTCTGAACTTTAAATACTAATTTCATGATAAATAGTTTTTTATTATAAACATTATAGTTAATTTGTATAAATATTGTTTCTTTTAGTTTTTATCATTTTCTAGTTAGAATATATGGGTTCTCCGCAAAGGCTATCTGCGGAAGGTACTTGTAACCGACCTCCCAAATCACGTTACTCTCCCGGTATTGACACTGTCAGAAGGTTCCTATTCTCAAAAGTCACACTGTTTTACTGGCCGACTCTGCTGAACACAAACTACGATGTCTCCCGGCAATGCCTGCGACACTAAAACCCTGACAACACAAATCGACGACCGAACCGGAAACCTTCACTCCCGGAGAATGGAAGAACGAAGGCCGTGGTGCTTTACACGGCTTCGGAGTGCACAAGTGGTGGCTTGACTAGCCAATACTCTACATTATCAGAAATAGGCGACGAATATTGGACCGCTTCGGCCTCACAACTCCCGCGACCACAAACTCCACGCCCACAGATGTGAGCCCACGCTGAGCGATCCATTCCATACAACTTCGGGTTTTGAGAACTCATTCTCACCCCTGCAACGGGCTATGCGGTCCCGTGTCGGTGGTGGGCGATTTACCTCAAGCCATGCCTACCGCTGGGCGTGGACACATTGATCATATACGGGTGCGTCTTTAAAAATAGGGAGCCTCGAGTGTCGCTTTCGAAAATATTTTAGAGAGAACACAATCGAAACCTCATCTTCGTGCTGGAGGTTCGGATATTGAGGATCGGAATCGCTTTAAGCGACGAGCAGTCTCACTCCATCTCAGTGACCGAGGGATAATACGCGGCAGCAACCGGGGCTGATAAAGGCAGTCGCATCTTGTCTGACTTTAAAGCCATGGCTATGCGACCACTGAGATTGCATCGAGCTTGGTGATGACCTGGTCGTCTGAATACTAGCCAACCGAGTTGAATGTAGGGTCTTATCGCTCGGAGAAGGAGGAGGAGGCGGTGGAGATAGGGATTTGTGGTGTCAATGAATAGACTCGACCGTCTGGAATAGTACGAAAAAGCAACAGCGAGCTTGATCTAGCGAGCCCATGCTCAAGAAAACGACTATATAAAATATCATCGCACATATCTCTTGTTATACCCACCGCAACTCGAGAAAGTCAACTCATTTCAGTTTTCAATTCATCAATTTATTTCCCATTTTCTACCCAATCACCGCATACTAGGCTTGACCCTTAAGCGCGAGTGAGACAGAAATAGCCGACGACTAGTTACAAGCTACTGTCTACATAACTAACAAGTACCGTGACCCCCGCCAGGTATCGCTAAACTGAGTCATTCTTTATCCCAAGCCCAAAGAGAGCGAGGCAAAAAAGCCATACCCGCGTGAACCACGTCGTAAATAGCCTTCTCCCACTCCAACCCAGTCCAATGCTATACAATCCCAGTCAGTGGTGACGTGTAACCCTGCCGATCTGCCAAGGCGCATGTACCGACGTACCGCACCTGGTCCTTAACCAGCCAGTCAGTACTGCAAGAGCACTTCGTAGCAAGACGTGGTTGGTGGCTGGGAGCAGTAAGCAGACCCGCCTGAGCAATCAGGCCACACGAGACAAGTCGACCCGATTCTGATGCGATCGGAACTCGCAACCGGGGGCGGGACTGCTGCGCTGCGCCCGGATGATCTGTATGCCGTGCCCTTCCCCTCTTTCTTTTTGCTCTGCGCTGCTCTGCTCTGCGCCGATAATCGGTTATTTAAGTTTCGTTTATGATGGGCGCTTCTTGAGGGCGAAACCATGCCTGGAATTTAGACAGCTGGAGATAAGTCGATTTGACCCTCAGTGGGCTCTACTTGATGTAACGTCCCCCGGACAATGCGGGAGGTCGGAGCTGTGGGGAAGTGACCCACTTGGTTCGTCATGGCGATCATTGACCCCATTTTTGAGGGAGCAGCGGGATGGGATGGGATGGATGTACTGCATTATGAGTGGGATGCTAGGGTTGAATAGCTGCAGCTGTCAGGTGAGAACTGGAATGTGTCAATAAGGAGTCGGTGTAGAAGAAATGGGTGGAATGGTACGAGCTGGGGATGTGGAATGATGGTGGTCTGATGGATCAGGTGACCCCGGGATGGAGACGGGATGGTCGGGGGTGGATGGATTGAATGGGAGGAATTGTTGACGATTGAGTAGATTTAGAAGATCAATTTGATGTTTTTTTTTCTAATCTGCTGAATACGAGTGCTCTGTGTGTGTGTCGATTGGCCGTGAATGACAATGTTGATGTTGGCTAATGGCCGATCTCAAATAAAGCCGGGTGGAGCAAATGCGGGGTGCGTCCAAAGTGGCCGATGTCAATGTCGCGTGATAGCTAATTATCATGAATTGATGTGAAGATGATAATGGCCATGAGTGAGTGAAGATAGAGAATGAAATGTAGAGATTGAGAAGATAATAAGGAAGTCAAAGTAAGACAAAAGAGGGAAGGAATGAAGTGAAGTGAAGTGAAGTGAAGTGGTAGGTATATGGAGGTAGTCAGTGGTCTGGCATGACTCCATGACTTCTTTTGGGTCTGGTCACCTGCTCTTCCCCTCTTCGCCTACTTCTCCTCTTCCTTTCTCCTTCTTTTTCTTCTCTTCTTCTCTTCTTCAGCTTCCCCCGATCTTCCATCTTCATCAAACTTCACACTTCAATCCATCACTCCAACCATGTCAGTCCCTTTAACCAAGGTTGATTCCGCCATCGCTGGCCTGTCCTTAGATGACAAACCTCCTGTTCCCTCAGAAAAGGAGGTCAAGAAAGGCCACAAGCGTCTTTCCTCTCAAGGCGCCAATGTCTGGAACATCAAGGACCTAGGTATATTACTCTGAACACCCTCTCCCCGTCACTGGCCACCACTCACCACTTCCCTCAGAGGAACAAAAGATTGAACTCGAACTACCTATCGAAACACAAAAGACCGGATGGTAAGTTCACTCCCCTCCCGGTCCTGCTACTATCCACTCCAACAGCTGACTGACACCCTCCAGGCGGTTAAATACCTCACCAAACTCAGTTGAAGACAAGGACATCCTCGGGATGTACCTCGTCACTCCCCCTGTCAAGAAGATTGAGCTGCACTTCCCACTGGGCCTAGAAGTCTCCGCCCGAAACCTGAAGGGCGTAACAATAAAGGACGCCATGGATGCCATCTACAAGCAGTACAAGAAGAAGGCAAGTCTCCATCTATCCCATCATCCCCGGAATTCACTTCCGCCTTCCCGCCAATCAATTCCACAATTCTAACCCACCTCCAGAAGGACGACGAACTCGAGAAACCTTTCCTGATGGGCTTCGAGTGGGACAAAGAAGAGTGCTGGACACGACTCATCGTCCACCAGACAAGCCAAGGCCCGCCCAAAGAATCAGGCAGCAAGAAGTCCAAAAAGAAGAACAAGGAAGACGCATAGATGAGATCTGATCTTCACTATCGTCCAGTTGAGTCGAGCCGAATCCAGCTCAGACCACTCCCTCTGTTTTTTCTTCTTCTTCTGATTATGCGTACCTGAAACGATCGAAACGACAAGGGTTGACCCCCTCTCCAGAACTGCAAAGTATCACAACCCCCTCTGTATCCATCCGTCCATTCCCTTCTCTTCTCTTCTCACCCGCAAGCAAACAAGACCAACCATCACGGGATTGATGCGTCAGGTCCCTGCTGCTACGCTTCTCTACTCTGCTGCGCTTTTCTTGTTCTCTTCTTCTGTGCCGCACCGCGCTAGAAAGATCAATGGGCTAGCGAAGAGGTTCTTTTCTATTCTGCCTGTTCTGTATTTTGCTTTTTTATCTTTCTGCTGGATCTCTACCCTGTATCCGGGACTATCTTCTCTTCTTTTTCCCCCCTTACGTCCAAGTGCGCTTTCCCGCCCGCCGAGAGCGGGTGAGGGTGTTGGTGTTCGGTATGGTATCCCGACATCCGTCTCGTTCTTTAGTACTCGGTTTTATCAATCAGACCCCTAATTCGAGGACTTCCTCTGAAACACCTTCACCTTCCGAGTAAATATATCTCCGGTGTTCAGTGTAGACTTTCTTGTTATGCTGGTGCATTGCTGTAGTACACACAAGCTCCGCTCCCCGCCGCTTCGGATGGAGGCGGGTCGACGCTAACCTTACGGCAGATCCCCACAAGGCCCACTTGGACTCTGCTAGCTTCATCGCTAGCTGCCAGATGGCCATTGCAGTAGATACTGTATTTCCGGAGTACATAATTTACTATTTACAGTCATGAAGGCCAGCAATGTTGAAGAAAAATCCATGTACAGCATTATGATTATGTACAAAATACTCGCTTCGTGAACAGAACGAACAACTAAACGCCGGCGAAATCGACGCCCGAGAAAATAAGCAGGGCGTATCTGTCTTCCGTAATATAATAAGCATTGAATCGTCCACGCATCAAATAAGGCAAGGAAAAAGTCAAAGGGTCAAAAGGAAAAGAGCCGACGCAAGGGGGGTCAAAGTTAGAAGCAATGAGTCCAGCCTAGGAACCTATCCCCTCCCCCCTCCCCGCGCCAAAAAGCACCAAAACAATCTCATCCAGCACCGAAAAGGCCAAATGCGCATTAAGATGCCGATTATTAAGTGTCGCGAAGATCCGTCGAGCTGCAGCCTGCGCATTCGCCCGGCCAACGACATTGCCCGCTAAATCGGGGACAAGCGTAGCGAGAACAACGGTAGCCTCAGCGCGACTTTTCAATTTCTCCGCTCCGGCTCGGGGCTGGAATTTGCGCAGGATGCCGTCGGGCCAGAGGGCGTCGCGCGCGAGCGAGATGTATTTTAGGAGGTTTTCGTCTTGGCCGAGGGATCGTGCGCCGTCGCGGACTTTGCGCTCGATTGTTCCGCCGAGTAATTGGTGGAGGACGACGACAACGGCGCGGCCGCGGAGCCAGTTGTTGCCGCGGTTTAGTTCGAAGGCTTCGAGGAAGAGGTCACAGATTGGTTTGATGAAGGGTTCTAAGTCTCTGTCTTCGAAGGCGTTGAGTTCGGCTTCGGCTTCGGCGCTTGTTACGGCGTCTTCGGTTAGGGGGTCGATTGATCCGCTTGAGCCTACTGGGCCTGGGCCTGGGCCCGCTGATGCTGGCGCTGTCAACGCTTGTGTTGTTGCGGCGGAAATGAGGTTTTGGCCTGCTGTCGAGAGTTGATCTAGTACGCCGAAGTTACCGAGGAAATCGTCCATGCCGTCTGCGACAGAGTTGTATATGCGGGAGACGAGGTCTTTTGTTTCGGCTTCGGCCTGAGCGGTGTTGTCTGTGCGGGGGAGAATGGCGCTCTGCGAGAGAAATGCGCGGAGGTCTCGGCTGCGGCAGACTTCTGGAAGGAGGAGGAGTTGTTGGAGGTAGTATTCTAGAGCTTGGCGGCGTTTGCGCAGGAATTCCTTTTGTAGTTTCATGACCATACGGCGGCGGGGAAACTCGAGATGTCGCACGGATGCGTAACTGTTTCGCAGTTTTTGGTGTAGTTCGTGGAATTCGCTGTAGCGGCGGGGAACGGCCCATGATGCGGCGGGCATCTGTTCGCCTGCGTTGCGTTGGACTTCGACGACATCTTTGGCATGTTAGTTGGGACTGATGTATGCCCCTTAGGGGAGAATTGACTTACACATAACGAATTCCCGGCCATCAGTTGGCTCGTTCCCTACCATGATCGATTTGATCCGAATGGTTGATCGTCCATATAGGCTGTTGTCGCCTTCTTGGATAATATACTGCTGCCGCTGCATCTCCTTGCGGTGGATTTCTCGCTGAATGCTTGCCTTGGATTTGCGCAGAATGCGCAATTCTGCAGTGTTGTTCGTCAACTCGGCCTTGCGGGTCAGTGCTTCCACGACAGCGTCTTGGGATGTGAGTTTATCGATGTCGACTGTCAAAGCTTCAATGGCCTCTGTCAAGCCCAAATCACCGGGTGCCGCTTCATGAACTTCGTCTGCAGAATCTTTATCCGCGTCGCCAACTGGCTCCTCATACTCGTCCTCAATGAACTTCTCTTGGTCTGGGAAAAGGTCGTCGTCGAAAACACCGAAGCGGCCATTGCCGACCAGGCCAAGTGATGCGATGCTCTTCTTGCCTTTCTCGGTCTTCTCAAAAAGACCACTGTCGCCTAGGGGAGCCTCTGTCGAATTGCGAGGTGATATCTCAGGACGCTCTGGTCCAAATAGAGAGGACGAGGATATAGCATCGCCGCTTCCTTTCGAATCATCCACTCGCGCATTCTTTGGCTCGTTCGTGATGATGTCATTCAGAGCTGCTTCCATCGTTTCAAGAACATGGCTCTGCGATGCTTCGGCCTCTCCGTTCTGCGAGTCCTTACTCAAGCTATTGGTAGACATAGCCATGTTGTCAGTGTCATAGTCATCGTCAAACAATGGTACTGATCGGTCAGAATCAATCGACCGTCGCGGTGAATCCTCGTCATCGAAAAGCTTGCCCATGCCACGCACATCGCTCGATGAGACAGCTGCTCGTCGAAGGTCCCTTGGCGGTCTATTTCCTGGCTGCGAGCTTGTTCGTACAATCAGAGGTGGTAAAGGTCGTCTCTCGGGAGGTTCGAATGTAACGGTCGGCGTTGGAGGTTTAGCCGCAGCGTTTGAGCCGGAGGCCTCGTCGGACGCAAGAAACTTCCAGTATAGATCCGACTCTTTGAATTTCGGGTAGAAATTGGCTTCCAATTCTTCCAGTACAGCCGATTGCGTCGATAACACGACTCTGCGGGCCTTACGGTACTGCTCCGCGGTCGCGCGTTTCCCAGCGCTGAGAAAGGTCTTGACGGCTTTGCGAGACTCGTCAGATACCTTCAGTTCTGGCTTGTTGAGATAGGTTTCGCTGAGGAGGGCGATGTCATTCCGATCGGAAGTACTCCATGCTGTAGATGATGGCGATGCTTCGTCCCCAAAATCGTCCTCCAGCGGGTTGCGGAACCCATCAACAACGATCCAGTATTGAACAAGAGACATCAATTTCTGGCGGTCCATGAATTCCATGAAATAGGAGAGACCCGATGCCTGGTGGAGAACATCCGCAAGAGCTGTCTCTTTTGCTACTGGGGGATTGGCATGGTGCACATTTACTGCAACTTGTGGGATGGGCGGAATGGAGGGCATGCCTCCAGGGACAGCGAGGTTTGCAACCTTTTGATCCAGCACACGCTTGCCTGTTTCGAGACGCTTGAGATAGACCGGATCTTGTCCTGGAACCATACTCTCGCGCTTCAATTGACTGACAACAGCCGCGCGGAACCGACGAGCATCTGACAGGTTATTACATCTTCTGATAGCTCGAACGAACCGTTCAAAGACTCGTTCCGAATCATTAGCAGCCAGTCGCGGAAATGGCTGGCCGCGCTTGGATTTGGGAGCCGGGGATGCGTGTTCGTCCAGTGCAGCGCGCAGCTTGCGAACGGTTTTTCGGTCCTGTAAAGCGGTCCGTCCATATGCCTCGACCAGCTGATTCCACGTATCTGGGTCAGATAACGCTGTCATGATGGGCATGAGCACCGCGCACGATATGATTTCATGGATCAAGACTGAAACAATCCTGCTATTGAGGACGCTTTCTGGAAACAGCTGCGGGGAAAGTGTCACGGCGATCTTGCGAAGATACTCCTGCTGTACAAGCTTGGGATCAGAAGCCGAAAGAGCCGCTGCAGGATGAAGACGACCTTCGCGAAACTTGTTGGCGATGGCCCGATCTAACTCCTCGGATTCCGTCACATTGCGATCTAGGTTGCGTCCACGGACTAAACGCTCCGCCACGTCGAACTCCTTGAGGTGAGTTGTCAATATCGGGACGATGCGAGATATGACCAAGGAGATTAAATCTTCTGCCAGCAGTCGATCTCGCAGGTTTTCGAGGGCCACGCGGATCACTCGATCGATTTCATTTGGGAAGGTCGGGTTGGGACTAATATTATGGTACCACGAGGATACAAAGTCTCGTGTTATGAAAGAGAGAAGTTCGTCGAGTCCTTCTGACACGACAAAGGATTCGGGGTATAATGGTTTCTTTTGATATCGGGCCGTCTTGCGCGCATTGAATACTTCTTTCCGCCAATTCTTGGGTGTGATGAACGCCACCGAGACATTCTTTGAGCCGCGGGAATTTCTGGAAGTAGTTCGAACAGTCAAGACGACGAGAGCGAGAAAACCAGCGGAGGAGACGGCGGCGCCCAGCGCCACGGCCCATCCTAGATATCGAAGGAACGGCAGCCATCGAACCACGAGGCCCCATGCGATAAACCCACCGACGCCTGCAAGGATCAGATCGCGACGGTAAAGGGACATTCTCCCCGGACACGTATGAGAACTCCACGTCTCATGACGGACTCGGTGCAAGTTAAGAGTGGGAAGCTCGACTCGGCATTGGCGCGATCGACAGAGCTTTGGGGGAACGGCGGTGAGGAAATGCGGAGCGACTTGGAAAGATAGAGAATACTGCAAGAAATCAAAAATCAACAGTACTGACGAAACAAGGAACAAAGCTTCGAAATAAATACTGCAGCACGTCCAGAGTGCACGATAAGTTTGGGTTGGGCTTGAATCGCAAGCTGCAGTTGCTCAATTGCGGCAGGCGGTCTGCCATGGCAGGTCAACGTCATTTGTTTACTTAAGCCACGATCGTCTCTCAACTTGCCAGTTCCCCTCCTCTTCTGCACCTTTCTTGTCTCCTCTCGCTCTCCCTTTCTCTTTCTCTGTTGTCACTTTTTGTCGCCGTCCATCATGACCAGCCTTTCTGATATCGTTGATCTCTCCGCTCCGTCTTTGGCAGGTAAATCCCCTCGCTACCCCGGTCCATCTCCGCATTTCACATGTGACTGACCGTGAACAGTGTCTGCCGCGACGATTGCCTTCAATCCAATCTTCTGGAAGTAAGTCTACTCTAGATGCATTTTATGAGACGCAGTAAAGCTCATGACTAACAAATTTTCCTAGTATTATCGCGCGTGCTGGTTAGTCCACTCCTCCCTCGACCACCTCTACTCCACTCCGTACTTTTGCGACTCGGCTAACAACGGTACCTCATACAGAGTACAACAGCCACATCCTCACTCGCATCTTCGGAGGACCTTACAGAGGATGCTACTTCCTGGCTTTCACTATCTTCACCCTGGGTATTTTCCGTGACCATGTCTATCAACTCGCCCTGGCAGACCAGCCCTTCTATGCTCCCGTGCACCAGCCAATCATCGGCGGTATTCTCTTCGCTTCTGGTTCCGTCCTTGTCTTGTCTAGCATGTGGGCCCTCGGTGTGACTGGTACCTACCTGGGTGACTACTTCGGTATCCTCATGGACGCCCCCGTCACCGGTTTCCCGTTCAACGTGACCGGATCGCCCATGTACTGGGGAAGCACTCTGAACTTCCTCGGCGTTGCTCTATACCACGGCAAGGTTGCGGGTATCCTCCTGACCGCTTTTGTCTTTGTACTGTACTGGTTTGCCCTTAAGTGGGAGGAGTGAGTGTGCCCCCGTACCCTCCGCAAATATCCACGCTGACTGACCCTCTTAGCCCCTTCACTGCCGAGATCTACGCCAAGCGCGAGCGTGAGCGCGCGAAGAAGCAGGGCGGCAAGAAGCTGTAAACTGGACATGTATCCCGGGTTGATCAGGACCTTCAACATCCACAATCCGCAGATGGCAATCTTTTTCGGTCCGACCGAGTCCGAATTCCATGACAAGCAATCACCACCCAGGCCCGAACTTTCAAGTGAATTTCCCGGGACGGGACATGGTATTTACCAGCACACGGATGCGCAGTGCATTCGAATCTTCAACGATGCTGAAAAGTAGAACGATAGACCTTACCTTGCTTGCGGTCCCGACGGCGGGACTGTGTAAAGCTGCAGGATGGGCATGCGAACTCGTATGCCCCATCCTTTTGATATTTCCCTTACGCGACCAAAAAGAATTCTTCCTCCCAGAGCGACAAGACAACACCACACTTTCCATTGCAACCATTACAAGCCGGGCCCATCGATAGTGTAATCACTCTTGCCGATTTTGATATCCACGACGACACTCCTGTTCATTTGAATTTGATTGTACATATTGCTGCCGAGTATGCAGGGGTTGGAATCGTATTTAATAATAGATCAAAATATTGTTGAAAGGATGATCGGTGCATGTATTCCAACATTCCTAAATTTCTATGCAACCTAACTAGGGCAGGAGCGTGGCTAGGAGGCTAAACTGGGAAACCTGTGCTAACGCCTCGCCAGTAGTGCAGTTGGGTAACCCCCACACTGCCGCTCTAATACGGGGGATGCTCTGGATCTGGGTACTGGTGGGCGCATGGCTATCTCTGGGTTATGCAAACGAGGTGACAGAGGGGTGGGCGGCTGAGCGAGGCCTCCCGTAGGGAGAGCCGGACTCGGGATAATGACTTTTTTTGCCTTCCTTTTCTATTCTCTTTTTGATGTTCTCTTTTTGATGGCATGATTCAATCAATTTCTTCTCTTCTTCATGATCTCCTTAAACAGTTATATTTCAATGGTGAGCTGTTGTTTATTGGAATATCATGTTTGATGTATAGTGTTGCTGGCGATGCCAAGTTGACCTCTTACGAAGAATGCCCCACTTATTCTCCCTTTACGTCGAGGTCGACGGTTCGAAACCAAGTAGTGTCGCAGACCGGAGTATTTTATCCCTTTTATTAATGCCCTAAATTCATTTCTAGTGGAGTAGAATTTATTCGCAGGTTTGAAACTGAGCCCCAGCTGCTGATACGGAAGATCAGCCCAGATATTTCCCCGTGCCGCTCTTCACGACTGCTATTTTTAGGGCTGGGGCCAGGAACACGAGATGCCAAGCATTTGTATAGATCCAATGCAACACCATTCCGGAATATTCTTCGTAGACTTTAGCCGGATTGCGTGCATACGAGATTGAGGGTTTTTGGAGATCATACCTTGGGGCTAAAAGACCAAAGGGTCGTCGTTTCATCCAACCAGCGATACCAGACCGATCATACCCATTCCTCGAATACGATGCAAAAATAGCACCACACTTGTTTGCCCGACCTCTTGCGATGGTTCTATACGGGCTTCACGAGGATCGGCGATCGCTTGACTGGATTTGAATAGAATCAAGTTGGAAGTTTCTGAAAACATCTTCATGAGCATTATGGTTCTCGAGTCTATAAATTGATCATCAATTCCTCCGGTCCATGATATTTTATCAACAACAGCCACTTACTCGAGCCAACAACAGCTCCCTTGACTCCAAGTCTCTTTTTCTATTCTTAATTTACTATACAAATTTCCAGTCAAAGACCCCTCGAGTAACAGAAACCATGCCTTCCGCCAAGTTCATCTCCCTCCTCGCCCTCTCCCTCATCACCGCGCCTCTCGCCAATGCCTACCCCATCACCGGCGACGTCGTGAACTGTCGCTCCGGTCCTGGTACCAGCTACGACGTAGTCAAGTCCTACAAACTGGGCTCCGACGTCTCAATTACGTGCCAAGCATCCGGCACAGACGTCAAGGGCGACTCAGTCTGGGACAAGACTTCCGACGGCTGCTACGTCGCCGATTACTACGTGAAGACCGGCAGCAGCAGCTACGTTACCACGAAGTGCGGCAATGGCGGTGGTGATGGCGGTAGCTCGGGTGGAAATCTGCCCGGCCTCACCTCGACCCAGTCGAAGCATGCGAAGGATATCATTGCCGAGGCGAAGAGTGAGGATCTTGGGCGTCAGGGATGCACGGCTGGTATTGCGACTGCGATTGTCGAGGTAAAACTCCCTCTAATCCCATTGTCCTCTTCCGCATTCAAAAGAATCTTTCTAACACTTCCAGTCAAATATCCTCATCTACGCGAATAGCGGCGTCCCCGAGTCCCTGAAATACCCGCACGACGCGGTAGGCTCGGACCACGATAGCGTCGGTATCTTCCAGCAGCGCGCGATGTTCTATAAGGACATTGCGGCTGATATGGATGCGGGTAAGTCTGCTGGGCAATTCTTCAAGAAAATGAAGGGTATCAGTGGGTGGAAGAGTATGGATGTTGGGACTTTGTGCCAGAAGGTTCAGGGTTCTGCTTATCCTTCTCGGTACGCTAAGCAGGTATCGAAGGCTGAGAAGATTTGTAAGGCTGGTGGGCTTTGAGTGCTTCTTTAGATCTGATTGTGATTCTGTTTTTCATTTCGGCTTCGTTTTCATTGTCCTTTTTGTATGTCTTTGTGATTTTGTTTTGAATTTTTCTCTTGGGCTGCAATTCGAAGTTTGGGAGTACGCGCTATTGTAGTAACTAGACAGCGAGCCAATCCATTTACTGTGAGCTTCGCAATCTTAAACATTATATCTATAGAAGGAAGGTGCAATGTAAGATTGAAAAAGGAAAGGGGACAGTGGAAGTTACTAGTCGAGGGCGTAGAAAGTTCCAGGTTGAGAAGGTACAATCAGATATCCCAGGTTTACTGAATATCAGGAATCGCTCTGCGGCATCGCTCTATACTAGTGGTGTCATTCCTCTGGAGGCGGAAATCGACAGATGATTCTTTGAAAAAATTATGAGTGCATAAGGAAAATTCTGAATAATTTGCATTCTGAAAAGAATAAGTAGTATCTATCAAAAATAGATAGAAATAGTGAAAAAAAAAAGTGAAAGTGAAAAAAAACACCCGGGTCCCCGAGTCGAACGGGGATCACTGTTGCAGCACTCGAAGTCTGGGAGGGGCACTACCATTTATGCTAACCCGGGCAGATTGGAAAGTATTTTCCAATTTTCCCTCATCACCGAGCAAATGGCCGAATTCGGAGTCTGACGTCGAATGCCTGGTGATTTGGGTGGAGGATGGAAGAGATAGTGGCGTCTATTCCACGCCAGAAGCACTTGATGTATCATGATTCAACACCTGGTGCTATATTGATTTCTGTGTATGTCTTACTGTGACTATGATTTTTGGCATGACAACGCTTTTTTCTCTACCCATGTCACAGTGTTTACTACTAGTGTAGCTTTCCTAAAACCAGTGACTATTATAATAGTGCTTTCGTATAACTTGTGGTGGCCCACTACCGTACTGCTGCCACCACCATCTAGTTAAGTGGTACTATTTAGAAACTATCTACTGGTACTACCTAGGTATGGATGCCCCTCCACGGTCACGGTGGCCTTTCAAATCGCTTATTCATAAAATCTAGATTCAAGCTGTCTAACCATTATCAAAATACCCGTTCTCCTGGTATATTGGATGTTGCTATTGCTGGACTTACGAAATTCTACAGAATATCTCTAAAATGAAACGGAGATGGCCTTAAATCAGGCATAGCTACGATCAAGACACGTAAGTGCAGTGCAGTGCAAGACGTAACATAATAAATACTCGGATGAGATTGGTACATTGACTATTTCCATCTCCAAAAAGGGTATATCGACACCGTGGGGTTCCTGGGTACCTGAGATGCACCGCCATAGATCGATCAAACACCACCAACACCACGCTATGAGACAGAGACACGAAGGGAAGCTAAACAAGGGAGTAGAGACGGGACGGGACAGGGACAGCAGAGACAGCAGAGACAGCAGAGACAAAGACAAAACAAAGAACCGAAGAAGATAAGAGCCCACGGGAGAAATGAATGCTGGACCAGGCTGGACCAAAAAAAAGCGAGAAGAGAAGAGAGAGCCTACTGCCTTCTGCCCCTCCCCCCTCTTCGCCGTCGTCCTCGCCTCGTCAACAGTCTCAACCTCATCCTCATCAGTCCCTTTCTTAAGATCCTCATTCTCCGCCAACCCCCATTTCTCACGATCATACCAGTCCTCGCCATCACTCATTTCCCCCACATGGCCCTCGGCTTTACACCACTCCAGCACATCCGATTTCATGCGGAAAGCGCGCAACAGCGAGTCGAGCATGTGCTCGAAGCCGCGTACCGTCTCTTCTTGTTTCTGGATATATGACCACAGCAGACGGCGGGTTTCTTCGGCTTCAGCGGGTGGTAGGCCAAAATTCGCATCCGGCCGGACGTCTTCGGGCATTAGGAAGAGGGGGTGTGGGTTGGGTAGTCCGCTGAGTGTTTCTGTGGAGGACATGGGCGATCCGGGATTGTCTGCGTTGGCTTGGGCGCGTGTCGTCATACGGCGGGGTGGTTCAGGAGATGAACCATCGTGCATTTCTTCGTCTTGCTCTTCGGTCTCATTATCTTGTACGTCGTTTGCATTAGTTCTCTTACTTCCGTTCGTTTCCTCTTCTCGCTTTTCTAGGGCCAATTCCTCGGCGCCTGTTGGGTGTTGTGGGAGGTCGGAAACGGTAGCATCAGCCTCTTCGGACTTGAGGACCTTCATAGTCTCGTTTGTCTCGGCGTGGTTGGGGATTTCCGCCGATGCGAGTGGAATTTCCGCCATCTCGACGTCGTTGTTGGTCGTGCTGGCTTCGTGGTGAGTCTCGTTTTGTGCTTGTTGGATCTCGACTGAGTTGAGATCACCGTTTGCATACGGCTCGATGCCATTTTGTCTTTGTTGCTTGGCGGACGCACTGTGCCTGTCATCGCGCGGCTCGAAGATGTAGCGATCTTCCCCGGTTTCGACGATACCGCAGGGAATCCACCCGCCATCACCTAGGAATTGGCGGTGCAGATTTCGTGCTCGCCAGAGTAGAGCCCTTTCCTGTCGTAGCTTCTCCTCGACGGCAAGGGTCATTTGTTCGAGGGCTTCGGATGTGTAGGGCTGAGACATGGAGGGATGAGACGGGAGTTCGGAGGGGTGTTTCAAAGGGCAGAGGAGCGCTGCGCAAGAAAAATCGTCAGTCATTTGTTTTCTTTTCTTCCCTTATTTCATCTTCGAGGGGTTTCAATGGTATAACGAACTTTCTAACGCGATTCCCGAAAACGGGTTCTCTTCAGCGGCCGCAGCATCGGCCTCAGAATCTTCATCCTCCTCTTCGAGTTCATCGCCTTCGGAGTCATAGCGGATTGGATTGCGGTGCAAGATGTACCGTGTGTATCCAGCGTGATCGATTTTCTAAGACATTCAGTATATTGTCAGCGTCTTTTCTTTTGCAAGTTTCTTTCCAAGACCAGCTCGGCAAGACGTCCGAGCACCTCTCTCACGCTGTGAAAGGAATCCACCACGCACCTCTTTGTAGAACTCTTCCGCATTGATGTATCCCATTGCGCCTTCACTGACGAATTTCGCATTCGCATGCATTTTGTTGCCGCGGTTGGTCGGCTGCGTGATAGGGTCGTCTGGACCCGAATCTAGCCGGGAGAAGAAGAGACCTTTAGCAATGCAATGCGGTTTTGCGGCCATTTCAAAGGGGAAAAGGACTTACCATCGCGCTCGCGGCGCAAGGCTCGCTTCATGCCGATAATTGTATCGGCGATCAAGGCTGCTTGTGTCGCCATAGTTGCGAGATTGGTGCCCACGAGGCGGATTGGATGGTCAGCGCGTGGGAGGGGAGGGGGGAGGAGGAGGCGGTGAATGCAAGAATTCTCTGGATATCCCACTGATGTGGTTCCAAAGAGGGAGTTCACTTCCAAGTGGAGAATGAGGGAATGAGGTGCTAGTAAAGAGGGTAGGATGAAGTTAAGAAGGTCGTATTGGGAGAGAAGCGGCAGAACAAACCTCCACGGGGAAGTGACGAAGCTCCGGAGCTGCGATAAGGGTTGCCACGTGACTAGCCAAGGGCAGCCCACCCTGGCACTGTTCCTGGTGGATCTTCATGTAGTTTAATTTAATTGAGTATAGGGGAAAGAAACCAGTTGCCAATTAAGTACATTTCTCATGATATTCAACAATATATATGGTGGGGAAGAAGAAACCGTTCTAGTCATCCGCATCAACCCAAACCAGAACCCCCTTCTTATCAGCCCGCATCTCACCAGTGGGGAGCACCCGCAATGTCTTATTGAAGTATGTATCAACAACCACCAATTGCGGTTGAATCCAAAGTCCACGCTTCGCCGCCAGGATGTTATACCTCACGGTATGTCTGCTTAGCGGGACCAGTTGGATGACAGTTGTCTTAGGACCACTAAAGGCGAAGTATTCACTCGCTTCCATCATCAAGTTAAAGGTCAAGAAGTGCGTGGATGGATTCTCAAGCGTGTATTCCAGATGAATCAGGCCAGGCAGCTTAGTCGAAGGCGACGACGAGGCCAGGATTCTCGGTTCGCCCATTGGAACGACGAATCGAGGTATCTCGAGGACACTGGTTGTTGTGGTGGTGGTGGTGTTGGCGGACTCCTCTACACCTTCGGATGAGATCCGGCGCCAGGTGATCTCCAACACAAAGCTGAGAGATGTGGGTCGGCGGTCACCAAGAAGTTGTTTCTGGATGTCGAGGAAAAAATTGGACTCGCGCAGCTCTTCGGGAGAAATATGGGGCGCCTCTGCACTGACGAGAACTTCCGGTTCGATGTCACAAACGGCACCAATGCTTAGGTCCAGGAGTTTCAGAGCCATCTTTTCAATCACGAGAGGTTCCAGAGCGAAAGAGACCACTTTAGAGTTGAGGCACCATTTTTGAATCAAGCCACTTGGTTTCGATCCAATCTCACCTGCCAATTCGTCGCTGACGGAGAAGAAGTCTGGCCAGGGAAGGGTGTGGATGTGAGGGAGAAAGTCGTAATTAGCTTCGAAGGGTCGGACGAACGAGAGCTCCACCGTGATTGTCTTTATGATGGGTGTTTGGACATCGGAGACCAGGTGGTAGATGGTTGAAACCTCCAGAGAAAACTTCGCGGCGTCCTGGGTATCGGCCAGCACAACGGAAAGCTCCTTGTTCATACCACGATCCAGTAAACCAACAGTCCGCTTAATAAAGTGAGAAACACCTTCAGTAGGGGTGCTGGTGCCCGACTCTATTGGTTCGGTGCTGCCGTCTGTGTCGGACCATTCAAGCTTCGCTGTAGATTCCGGAGCACCAAAGAGTCTGATCTCGGCTGATACCTCGGCGCCCTCATCTTCCTCGTTGTGAATCCCGATATTCAATATCACCCGCTCATTGGTATAATATGTGGTTCGCAGATTGGGGGTCGAGATACGAATCTTGGGCGGTTTAGGCATGATTTTGCATCGTCCGGTGTCTCGATCTTTGCCAATCCTTTTGCGCGATGCTCCCTTCTTGGTTTCTTGCCACCAATAAGACTGGCGCTCAGTGTTATCTGTGATCACGTATGCAAGGTCAAATTTATCCTCCTCGAGGTGCATCGCTATGGAAGCGACTTGAGCATCTCCAGCCTCACGTGGAATGCAAGTCAGATTGAAAACCTTGGTCTGCGATGGCCCAATAGTCAGATCTGCTATTCCAATGAGCGTGGCCAGGGCACCGGTTGGAGATTGAAGAGATGAGCTGCCCGGGTTGCTGGGTTCTCGGGGGGATAATGATGAGATACAGCATTGGGTCGTTGTGTCAGAGTCTTCATTATTGTCGGATTGGATTTTTACTGGTCGGAGACATCCTTCAAAAACAAGTTTGACCTCGGAGAGCTTTATTGGTGCTGATTTGGACTGGGCGCAGGATGAAATAATCAACTGGGCTTGTAAAGGCTCGCCAACGTTGCCTTCCGATTTCTCAAAGACAAGAGACGCGGTAACTTGGTGGAATTAGCAAATGCATTCGCCATGGGCAAGCCTTTGTTATACTCACGGCTAGTCATGACATCCTCGGCCCGGAGCACGACTGATGGCTTAGGTTTCTCCAAGGGAAAGCTCTCGAGGCTCTTATGGATATCATAGTGCCATGCAGGTCTCGATGGGAATGCTTGAAAATCTCAAGTTAGTACTTCGCTGTCAACCTAAACCCCGCAGTCGTCACTCACAATTGTTTAGAAGTTCCCAGTCCACCTTCAAAACCGTCTCTTGGTCTTGAATTTTCAAAGCGCTTTCTCTGAGAGCCCAGCCAAAGACTTCCATCAGTTGCCACCAGCCAGATCGACGCCAGGTGAGTGTCGCCCAGTGTGGTTGTAGAGCCTTGTAGGCTTCATCCCATGAGCCGATTCGAATGTATTCCTGCGCGATCTCGAGGCTCAAACTCTCCACTTTGCGAGTTTGGTGTCGTTTGGCGAACTCCTCAAGCGCCGCTCTCAACGTGCTTAGTATTAAACTTGAGTGGTCGAATCCGATTTCTCCAGGTTGAGGGTATTCTTGATTCGGAGTTGGTGCGAGGTATGTATCGTACATGTAGGATTTATTCCCAATTTGAGAAACAGAAGATTGACCAGGTGGCAGCCGATCTTCGTCAGGAATCTGACCGGCAAGAGTTCGCCGAATTATGGTATGCTTGGCTGAGCGGTACAGCCAATAGCCTTCGTGGTGTAGTTGTTCCCATGGGTTGACTCGTTCAGGATTTGGAATGGACTTTTCGGGGACACTGAATATCGATGGCGCCTGCGCCGGGTCGATGGCAGTTTCTGGGATGTGGAGAGATGAGCTTGCTCGGCGGATAAGCTGGGCCATCATCATTGACCACCGTGCTTCCCAGGCCTCCCATCCATAATTCTTGCTACCCTTCCCCCTTCGGTTGACGATGCCTTTGGTCTGTATCCTGTGGTCAGCCCAAAAGCGAGTCGCAGCAGTAGTCTGACCCGTCCAAAGGAGACAGCGGATGATGCGAATAGCAAGCGCATCCCCCAACAGCCGTGCATCGTTGAAGCGGGCATCCCAGCCCGCGATGTTTTCAAACACTTCTTGGCCGAATAATGTTTCATATGCACTCTCGTAATTCCGGCAGGCTGCATCCATTTCTTGGCGAAACTCGGCCAATATACCAAGTTTGAATTCGTAACGAACATTCCATCCTTGTAGCGAGAGCGTCTGAGAAGTTCCGGTGGTCGGAGGTGCAGTCGGGGGTGGAATCGTACTCCTATTACGCTTCCGCCGAGCATGCTTTGACAGATCCCGGTAGTACTCCACAACAGTTGGTTGTAGCAGGGAAAATAATGAGCTCACGAAGTCCTTCAATTCCGCTGTCGTGGCATCCGGTGGGATCACAAAAATGGATTTTTGGTCCAGATTTGTCGCTCGTCGAATGCCGGCCACTCGGTCATCAATTTCGCCGTCGTAGCCTCCGTCGCCCTCTTCGGAGATCAAAACAGCCACAAATCGCGTCTTGTATTCTGAAGCTGCCCAATCCTTCTTCAAACTATTAATTTCGATCTTCAGCTGGTTATCGCGCAGCGAGTTCATGTTTGGGTCCAGCGAGAAAGGGAAGAAGTTGAGCACCGCTGCAGGAACAAGATCCTGGTGCTTCGTCACCCACAATGGAGTGAGCAGGCCATCGGGGAAGGTAGGCGACCCGGGGGACAGCGATGAGATGGGTGAGTGAAGGACATAAGGTATTCCTGACGCGGAGACATTGGACTCGGAATCGACCGTGGGGCTAGCGGGGGAGGAAGTTTGCGGAGGGTCGGCTTTGCGCGGTGGGAGTTTATAAGACTAGCGGAGTGACATGATGTTAGCAGAGTCCGTATCTCCAAGGGCTCCCCGAGATGAAGACCTACCCGACCAGTGCTTTTGACTTTGTATCCAATGCGTGGAGCAGATTGATTTCCATTGGAGCTCTGACTCTGGCCCGCCTTCCAGGGCATATGTGAGCCATCCTCGGCGAGCAGAACTCGCCGCAACTCCTCCGCAACAGCCCCGCTCAGCGGAGGGAAGTCAGAGAAGATATGGTGACCCCGCTCAGCTAGCAAGGGGTATTCGGAAACCGATTCATTGGCCTCCTCTGGTCCTACTTCGAGTCCTGAAAGCAGGACCAAAGGGAGGTTGTGATTGACGTAGTCGTCTGGATAGGCGTCCATTGCGGACGAGGTAATTGGGTTGGAAAGCTGAATCACCGCATTTCTTTTCGGAAAACTAGCAGGGTGTGGTCTATGGTTGATGAATGGTCTGGTCTGATCTAAGCTAAGCCGAGCTGATCTGAAGGGAACTGAGGAGTGTAAGGGAAATGTGGGGGAAAGTGGTTGCGTGTACGGAGCAATGCGGTGCCAAGCTGCCAGCATCGGCGACATTCTGCCGGGCGGTCAGTCGCGTAAACAATCGACAATGCCAGGTGATTATGGGAAATATAAAATGCTAGAATTAGATATGACTAGAACATGCCTGCCTACCTAGGTAGGTATAGATGAGGAGTGCAAGTTTTCTCATGGCTCACAAATAGACATACTACTCCAAGCCCCGTCAGTCCAGGTGACTCGGACTCGGACAAACTTGGGTGCCCAGGTGTGTATCCTTTGAAGTACCTAGGTACGGATCACCTAAGCTTAGGGAATATATAGTTCAGTTCATGCTGCTCAAGGTTGGGTATTTCAGCACTCCAGGGCTCCACCCAACTGCATACCTAGGTACCTAGGTAAAATCCTCAGAGATAACTTGAATGTCATGAATATTAGTTTTTAATATACTAGTAGTACCTATATACTATCAGAGTATACCTAGGTACTCAATATCAAGACTACTAGTATCTGGTCATCTCCGAGATCGCCGATCGTGCATTCTGCATTCTGCAGTCCACGTGGATGATAGTATAATACTTAAAAGTATATAGTACTAGTAGTATAACTATAACTAACATACACCGCAAGTATTATCCAAGTACCTTGCACCACTCCTCCTACCTAAATATACCAAATATCATGAACTTGAACCCATGATCGCTATCCGCCCTTCCCGTTTAGGATAATCACAAACGAGTGGGAATGAGGAAATGGGAAATTAGGATCCATTCTAGTGGAGCTGAAGGCGCAAACGCTAAAACCCCCCCCAGATCGCATGGAAAACTTGGGATCCTCCTGAACAATCCTCCAGGTTATTACATACTGCCCTTTGGGACACACTCTTTACCTTATTCACTCCTTTCACTCCTTTCACTCCTTCTGTTCCAGATTTTCAAGTATACCCCCTCCTTATCACCACCACCAACCACCACCAACCGCCCACCCCCTCCACCATCCGCAAGGGGCATCGCTTCGAGACCTCGCAGGACCATCCGACCGTCCATTCTCCTCTCATCTTACAGATCATGCGCCTGTCCTACCCACCACCCTGCATATCTGGTTGATCCCGATCCTGGTTGGAAAGAAACACTAGGTGTTATCAAATACTAGGTGCTATCATATCCCTAGGCCCTAAAACTATTGAACGCCATGCATCTAAACGAAGGTGCACCCGCGCCTAAACCCGCCGAATCGGCCCTGCTCAACCGTCGTCGCCGTCGCAAGTCTCTCCCTGGCCGCGCAAAGGGCACCAGTGCCGATCCAACCTCGCCCGAAGTCATCTCGTCGCTAATCTCCTCATTGTCAACCATCTCCGTCCCGCTCAATTCGCATTTCGATAACGTGCCGCGCATTGACTCCAAGGACTCCAAGGACTCCGATCCTGGCTTGCCCGAAGTGCCTCACACTGCGCCGTGTTTCTCTGTTCCTCCTTCCAAACAGTATGGTCATGGTCATGGTTATGGCCTCGGCGTGAACTTGGGCTCCTTCGCTCCGCTTGAGGAATCTCCCCACGACAACAACCCGTTCTTGCACCCGGATGATGCTGCTTCAGCCCCTGTCATCCGCATGGCCAGAGCGCCGCCCTCGCCAAAATCTCCAAAATCCCCGCGTTCGCCGAGATTTAAATCTTTCAAACAGAACGAACCCTCCGCCAACCGTCCGGCCTCACGAGACTCCTACACCTCCGTCCGGACAACCCACGAAGACACTGCCTTTGGCACCATCAGCACCGAACCGGGCCCCCGCCTGTCCACGGCTGTTAGCATTGCATCCAATAGCTCCGCGGGGCGTAAAAGTTTAAAGGGGTCGTTTGCTCAGTTCGGACTGTTGAAGAAGGCTTCACGGGAATTCGGGAGTGACAGAGACTCATCGTGCGACCGTTTGCGCAAGACAAATAGCCTGAACGATACCCTGCGCCACAATATTCCTCGGAGCAGAGCGAGCTTGAGATCCATGCATTCCATGGCGGATGTGGCCGAGGAGGCGGGCCTAAACGGGCTCAAGGAAGAGCCGAGTGATGGCACTTCTCGAGACCTACAGTCGATCCCAAGCACCCCTGATAATAACAACCCCGGCGGTATTGGAAGTGGCCGGATTATCCCCACCCGCGATTCTTCTCTTCGACATCGACACAGCCAATCCTCAGGCTCGAAGCCACGAAGGTCCGCCCGCCACAGTCGATATCCGTCTAATGCCAGCAAGGAATCATCCAGTGCAGAGAATGGGCTACCGGGCTCGAGCAATGACGCGGAGCAAGTGACCAAGAGGATACAGCAGCTAAAGGACCAGCAACAGAGGATCAAGACCGAGCTGGAGTCCGACGATACCCCTGGCAAATCTGCACCCACAAAGCCAGTGGAGATCTCTCGCAGCACCAGCCATCTCGACCAGGAACGTGCAGTTCAAAATGGAGTCAAATCCGACCGACTGGTCAATGACAGCGCGCCATCTCCCTCGATTATGACAGGGAAGAACCGCACAGGTAAAACCGGGGCCCCACTGTCCTCAAAACCCACCAATTTCTCTCCACAAATGTCCAAGATTCCATATGAACAGTCCGAGCACGACAAACGATATAGGCGATCACTGGAGCCCATCACCCCCACCAAAGGTCATCGCCGCACGCCGTCGGGCCCGACGTCCACCCATCGTCCTTCTTTCAATAACGAGCGGCCTTCCAGTGCCGACTCCATCGATCTAGCCGTTGATGATTATACCTTTTCTCCCAAGTTGACGCAGCGAGTGCCTCACCCGACTACTGGCCGTTCTATCGCATTCTCGGAGGTTGGCAACCCTAAAGGTCACGTTGTGCTATGTTGTCTCGGAATGGGTCTCACCCGGTACCTGATGGCATTTTACGACGAGTTGGCCCGGACTTTGAACCTGCGTCTAGTTACTCTCGATCGCCCGGGCGTTGGTGAAAGTGAACCACATGGAGTTGATGAGCCAAGTACTCCCCTCAGCTGGCCTGGTGAGTTCGAGCCTTTTTTTTTCTTCTCGGGAGAGATCAGGAGTGTTTAGTTGCTAACCTAGTACTAGATGACGTTGCCATTGTGTGCAACTATCTCCGAGTAACCAAATTCTCCATCCTCGCCCACTCAGCCGGAGCGATCTACGCCCTTGCCACGGCCCTTCGAATCCCCCAACATATCCGTGGCCGCATTCACCTTCTAGCGCCATGGATTCCTCCATCCCAACTGTCTACCATCGGATCTCAGAAGGAGCCCGCTCCCACCAACGCAGTTCCTTACTCCCAACGAATCCTCCGAGCCCTCCCAACCTCCCTCTTGAAAGTCGCCAACACAAGCTTCATGAGTGCGACCAGTGCCAGCATCACGACCAGTCTTCCAAAATCACCCAAGCGCTCAAAGCGCAAGGCAGCCAAAGAAGCCAAAGAGGCAGCGGGCAACGCGGAAATCCCACCCGTGCCCATGATTCCCAATATCATAACAGCGTCTCAGAGCCAGTCAGAGGATCCCGCACCACTCGGCAGACCAGGAGCTACGAGGTCATACTCAACTCCCGCCCACCTCGCCTCATCCAGGAAGAGCGACGCCACTCTTGGCTCGCGCGCCAAGTCCCCGGAAGAGGAGCTTGAACGCCAGCAAGACTATGACACCCGGCTTACACACCGGATCTGGGAGCTCGCTACTACGAATGCGAACCCGGCTGTTGACCTGTTGATCTGCCTGGAGCGCCGCCAGACGATTGGGTTCCGGTATGTGGATATCACTCGGTCTGTCGTGATTCAACACGGTAGTAAAGATACCCGCGTGCCGGTGGATAATGTCCAGTGGCTGGGCAAGACCATGCGTCGCTGTGAGGTGCGCATTCTCGAAGGCGAGGGACACGGCTTGATGGCTTCTGCTTCGGTGATGGGCAGTGTCTTGACTGAGATCGCTAAGGAGTGGGAAGATTGGACGACTATCGTTCAGGGCCGGCGGAGAGCGACTGCGAGTCACGCCGCGCGACCGGGCCTTTCTATCCAGACCTGATTCTGCCGTGGCCGCGGCCATTCATTGACCTGTTGGCGACTTACCCAACAAAAACAGAGGCAACTCTTATAAGCATTATAAGCAGCGCGAGTGATGCCCCCGGCTCGATCCTGGCGGTCCCTCTCATAATCCCCTTCACCTCATTCCTTCCTTGAAGATCAGCCATAACTGGATTGTGGTTGAAGCCTTGACCCCGTTCTTCCTCTTCCCTCGCGCTATTTACTCTACCCTGACCTGACCCCTACAAGATCTACACATACATACAAACAGCCCGACACACCCCTGCATAAACCTAATATTGACCGATGTACGCCCCGTCTATGGATGTTCTGATTCATTATCATGTGGAGAGAGACTCGGACAAAATACTGTTATTTAGCATAATACCCAATGTCAGCGTCTAATCTAATGATATTTAATAATATTTTTGCGGAAGTTGGAGTAATTTGGCCTTGGGTACTACCTAGCCTACTACCTACCTAGGTCACGGTAGGTACCTAAGTACTTTTAGTACCTAGGTATGGACCTCCACAGACGAGATATATTTCTGAGACATCGAGAGGGTCACCTTTATAATACTAACCACCTCCACTTTTACATCCAGGTGGCATGTCCCCACTCCGAGTCAGAGCCCTGGAGGGAACTGGGCAGAGTCTAGAAATGTTAGCTACTAGTATCATTCAAGGCACCTAGGTACTACTAAGTATATGGTAACTGCATACCAACTTGAATTTGTATCTGTAGAGTAATCAACCTTGGAATCCACAAGCTCAATGCCAAGCCACCAGGGATGGCCGATAAAAACCCTTCCCCACTTCTCCTGACGGAAGCACTGGCGAATTTAAAACAGAACAGGGTCCAGCCTCGCATGAATATCTATTTTGGACATACCCAAGTCTGTCAGGGTACATAATACAATACTAGTATATAGTATATTTACTGGTATAAAAGTACTATTCTCTCCCTGCTGGAATTACTATACAACTAGCCAAGCCGCGTTAAGCTCGAGCGGATTTCTTGGCGTCACGTTGTACCTTCGCGTCGCTGCGGACCGAGGGAGTTCCAGTCCATCTATCATCCTGCCAACACCAGTTCTTCTGGCCAGCACACCAGCCCAGCACCACATCTACACACCGCGAAGACGAGAACCGACGACATCGACATCGAAACCCACAGCCCCCACGATGCCATCCCAACGGCGCGTCCGCGTAGCGCTAGTCGCCGTCGTGGCAATCGTCTTTTTGTTCTTCTACTACTCAGTACAGTCTCCCTTCCCCTCCTCCCAATCCTCCCAGTTCAAGGGAGAATCATCACCTCGCACCACGCCAAAACTAACCCATCCCAGGGCGAAGCAAGCGCGATCCAAAACCAAGATTTCTACAAAACAACCCTCAACGCCATGCGCGCGAAGGAAGATGCTAAGAATGCGAAGCCACAGCAACCCATCGTGCGCCCCGGCGCGAATGCGGATGCAGATGCGGATACAGAGCGTCCCGCTGTGCCGGTCGCGAAGGGGAAAAGTGGTGGCAGCAGCAGCAGCAGCGAGGAGGGCGAGATGGAGGAGATTCCCATTGCGGGGCGGACGAAGATGACTGTGCCTAAGATGAAGGATCAGGGTGTTGTGCAGGGTGCGGTGCAGGGTGGTGCGCAAGCCGAGACTGAGGAGGCCGTTGTTGATCATACGGAAGCGAAGAGTGAACTGAATGATATTCTGAAGCGGTCTCCGAGTATGTTATTCCCTGCCGGTTTCCACGGCCCCTTGCGGGTGGGTAGACTAACCTCGTCTCTACTATCTAGTAATCATCTTTTCGAAATCGTACTGTCCCTACAGCAAAAAGGCCAAGACGATTCTGCTGGAGCGATACGCTATTTCGCCGAAGCCGTTTGTTGTCGAGTTGGATCAGCACCCGATTGGACCGAAATTGCAGGAATTGTTGGCGCATGATACTGGACGAAGGACGGTGCCGAATGTCCTTGTTAATGGGAAGAGCATTGGGGGTGGTGATGATATTGCTGCTTTGGATCATAGTGATGAGCTGGTCTCGACGCTACGAACCATGGGTGGGAAGTGGGTTACTGATGTGAGGCATTTGCCGCCTCCGCCGCCGCCAGCGGAGGGTCAGTTGTGAACAGTGAAGTGAGCATCATCTAGCGTTGTGTTCTGTTCTGTGTACATAGCGTCCCAGTATAGTTAATTGCACTGTATGTATACAAACTCACGTGACCCGAACAAACCAAACATACATGCCAAGCCATTCCGTCACCGGGTTGCCCCATGTCACCTGATGATAACGATAAGAACCCTACGCGCTAACCAGATCTGGCCGTAAGCGACCCGGCGCACAATCCCGTGACTTTGGTGCAAATTCGCAGATGGTCCACTAAACTCCTCCAGCGGTTTTTATCCTCTTGACATCGACAATTCAACCCCCTCGGCCAACAACACCCACGCAGTCAAGATGCGGTACATTCACTCCGAGGAACGGCTGCCCATTCCGGACAATGGTGAGCTACGACTTTTTTCCTTTCCGATCGCCAACGAGAGACGGTATATGCGTGGTCGCACTGGATAGACAATTGTGGACGTTTGTGGACTTGGATATCGACATGCACGAGGAGGACCAGGTCGACTACGAAATACCGTTTCTGCAAGAGGGGGATCAGACGAGAACGGCGAAACACCAGAGTGCTCTTCTCCGACTCGTCTGGAGGCATTGGCGATTTTTTTTTTTTAATCTTTTGCTTGCTATATTCCACCTTGACCTGAGATGATGTCTAATTTTTGTTTCTCCCTACAGTCAAGGTTGACATTCGTTCGCGTGTTGTCACTGTCGAGGGCCCCCGCGGCAAGCTCGTGAAGGACCTCTCCCACATCGCCGTCACCTTCGGCCGCCCCGAGGAGAAGGTCATCTCCATCGAGCTGCACCACGGTGCCCGCAAGGGTGTCGCTACCCTCCGTACCGTCCGCACTCTCATCAACAACCTGATCATCGGTGTTACCCGCGGCTTCCTGTACAAGATGCGTTACGTCTACGCCCATTTCCCCATCAACGTCAACGTCGAGAAGAACCCCGAGACCGACCGCGCTGAGGTTGAGATCCGTAACTTCCTCGGTGAGAAGTACGTCCGCCGCATCACTGCCCAGCCCGGTGTTGAGATCTTCCCCTCCCCCAACGTTAAGGATGAGCTCCAGCTCTCCGGTAACTCCCTGGAGGGTGTCTCCCAGAGTGCCGCCGACATCCAGCAGATCTGCCGTGTTCGCAACAAGGATATCCGTAAGGTGAGTAACCAGATTAGCTCCGGTTTCAGTGGCTGTCATTGCGATTGATTGCAAGTGCAAATGCAAATGCAAGTTGCAATCGCAATCGCATTCGCTGAATACCACCGCCCCCGCTATCTCATTTCCGCGCAATATACTAACTTTCCCCCTCCAGTTCCTTGACGGTCTGTACGTGTCGGAGAAGGGCAACATTGTTGAGGAGTAAAGAATGACGCTTGGGTTCGGGTGTCCGGGAGAATTCCTTTTTAATTTCGCCTACTTGCATATAGGGAAGCAAAGCGGAATGACAAAAAACAAACGACTTGCAAATTCAAAATTTCCCTCTGATACGTGTACGAAGCAATGTAGCGATGCAAGTACGAATCTATTTCTGGTAACTGTGCCTTAGTAGTGCCTGAGTAGTATCTCTGTACTGTGGTCTCTGTAATGTACTGCTAGTATATGCATATGCATGATATGATCTTGTTGATGTGGTGAGAGCGGCCAGTGCGACCCGGTCTGTTCTGCCAGTCTTGCTCAACACTTACTTCCCTTCAACATTTCCCCTCACCTGCAATTTCAATTTCCAGCAGCGTTTCGTTATCTTTGGATGCTGATACTGATGCTGACATTTATGCCCACGCTGATGTATCAGATTAGAGCGCCCCTCTCTTGACCTTTCGAAAAGTGCGCGTGACGCCATAGCATGTGAAAGCGCCGGGAGAAGCCCGGCCACTATCTTCGACCTGGAGTCGCGTTTCTATTTCCCAATCGTGCACCATGGCTTGGTGGCTCGGTCTGTATAGTATGCTGGCCGCAATTTTCAGCATGTTGCTTGATGTCGCGCAGTTCTGGCGAGAGGTGAGTGAGACTTGGACCTCGGGCCAAAAGTGGGCTGCCTGGCTGGTCGTCTGCGTCTGCGACTGCCACTGCACAGTCCAAGAGGAATCGCATACTCACCATCTATAGAAGCTGTTTTCGTGGTGGAAATCAAAGTCACCACGCAGTCGACTGTTCCATACTCTTGCGACGGCTCAGACTTACGAAGAGTGGGAGGAGGCTGCCTTTGAACTGGACGAGCTCCTCAGCAAGGACTTGTGGTATGTGTTGACGAGCGTCATTGATACTTGCAATAAGAGGTAGAAAGAACCCCTGCCTAACATTCATACGCAGGCGTCAGAATCCGGTCAGTCGACACTATGACTATCGACTCATCCTCGGCCGCTTAGAGGCCTTGATGGGCGCGCGCGAGAGCGAGGATATCTTAACCTTGGTCAATCTGCTTCGCTCTGGACTTGTTCGCAATCTAGGCAACATCACCTCAACAAAGTTGTTCACTCATGCCTATGCCGGTACCAAGCTTCTAATTGACGACTACATCACGCAGGTCGCGCTGTCCATTCAGTATGTGACCTCGCTACAGCCTGCGCCCGTGCACGCAAGCAGCTTCACGTCGCAGGCCAAGCTAGAGCTCCTCCACGATACACGTCAGGCTTTTGGACGGACGACTCTGCTTTTGCAGGGCGGCTCGGCCTTTGGCCTCTGTCATCTTGGAGTTGTGAAAGCGCTGCATCTCCAAGGACTTCTACCTCGAATTATCACCGGTACGGCAACCGGGGCCATGATTGCGGCTCTTGTTGGGATTCATCCAGAAAATGAGCTGCTACCCCTCTTGAACGGAGATACGATTGATCTTTCGGCCTTTGATCACTGGCAAAAGGACCATCCTGCCCCCGAGGGTTGGATACGGGTTTTCTTCCGACGCATGATGCGATTTGTTCGGACGGGCCATCTCTTCGACATGGGACTCCTGGAAGAATGTGTTCGTGCTAATGTGGGCGATTTGACCTTCGAAGAAGCCTACGCCCGATCAAAGCGCATTCTGAATATCACCGTTGCCACAGCGGGAAAGACAGGCTCGCCCAATCTCCTAAACTACCTCACAGCGCCGAACGTGTTGATCTGGTCTGCAGCCGCAGCCTCCAATGCCTCCACCTCTTCACTCGTCACCTCCCCGGTAACCATATACTGCAAAGACGAGACAGGCTCGATCGTCCCTTGGCCCCACACAGAAGACATCATCTTCCGGCCCTGGAGACATGTGAACTACAACGACGGCGAATCACCACTCTCGCGAATCTCAGAACTCTTCAACGTAAACCACTTCATTGTCTCCCAAGCCCGTCCCTACCTAATCCCTTTCCTCCGATCCGAGCTCAACCTCCTCGACCGCCACCAAACAGGCTGGAGCAACATCTCCCGCTCCCTAATGCGTCTCGTGCTCGCCGAGCTCCGCCACCGCGTCCGCCAACTGGACTACATCGGCCTCCTCCCGGGCTCAATCAGCCGCCTCCTAATCGACGAGACGATCCCCGGCCCAAACCTAACTCTGGTCCCCGACCTCGCGGTCCAAGATCTGTACAATCTTTTCCAGCGTCCGACGAAAGAACGCGTTGCGGACTGGACCCTGAAAGGCGAACGGGGTGTTTGGCCCGCTATTAGCGCGCTGAAGGTTCGCGAGGCGGTCGAAATCGAGCTTGATAGGGGGTATCAGCTTGTTCGGAGACGACGTCCTAGTGATGCTTCTATTCCGCCGGCACGTCATTCTCCGAATGAGGGACTGCCTCGTCGGAGGAAGGGCGAGGCGAGTGGTGAGGAGGGAGCACAGCTTGCTGTTACGGATGGTAATGAATTGAACTGAGAGAATAGATTGAGGATATTGTCTGTGTTCCTATTTCTCTACCTTTGGGGCCCTATTTGTTATACATTGTTATGGTGCTGAGTCGTGGTATTTATAGAGTCTTTGCTGTTGTTGATTCAATCGGGATTATTTAGGTTACTTTATCGAGATTACTCTACGATTTGTTCTGATTGGTGTTGAAAAACAAGTCAAGTCATAACCCCGAAACATGAAATTGATATAGAAGAATAAGTCCCGAACCTACTCTGAACCCAACGCATCCGACTCAGGAGGACCATTATAATCTGCAGACCGATTAGCAAACGCCCAGGCAAGAATGAAAAGCCAAAGAGCAACTTATACTCACGTTTCCTCGCATAAACAAGATACCAAACAGCCGAAATAGCCATAAACCCCACAAACACCACAGAAGCATAATTCATCGAAACAGCCGTAACCGGCAACGCAGTCGGCATACTAAAAAGCACCAACTCAAACGCAATCCAAGCCAACGCAAGCACATTAACAAACGTGCCCACGACGCGCCCACAATTCCACTGCGCATGCTTGACCTCCGCCCTCCCGTGAAACAAACTCAATGAGATTGGAATCGCATACGCAACCGCCAACGCAATCACGCCGACAGAAACAAAGGCCGTGAACGCACTCGTGCTGCCGAGATTGATCAGGCCGAGCAGCATTTGGATCAGGGTTAGTAGGACCAGGGACCAGACGGGTACATTGAGGGTTGGGTGGACTTTTGCCCACAGTTTCGCGAGGGGGAGGGCGTCGTCGCGGGCGACGGCCCAGGTTGAGCGGGAGGCAGCGACTGTTATGCTTATTGAGCAGAAGAGGGTTATTATTAGGACGAGGAAGATTAGGCCCAGCCCGCCGCCTGGTGAGCCCATTACTCGGTGCAGGATGAAGGGGAGGGCTTGGCCGCCTGGTGCGTTTATGATTTCTTCTAGTGGGGGGAGGGTGATGCAGAGTGGGATGATGAAGAAGAGGCCTGCGATGAAGCCGACGGGCACGGCGAGGGCGATTGCTCGGGGCACCTTGACGGCGGGTTGGGGGCATTCTTCTGCCATTGATGAGACCATGCCTATGGCGGAGAAGGTATATGCTGCTGGGAGGAGGCCGATGAATAGGGTGAAGCCGCCCCAGCCGGCGAAGGATTTGTCGTAGTGGGATAGGGCGTATGAGGCGGAGTGGCGGCCTGCGTCGGCTTTGATGGAGGTTGCGATGAGGATCACGAGGATTGTTACGGCTGTCCAGGCGGCGCAGGCTGTATCTACTTGGGGCAGGTAGCGATTTGCAAAGGTGCAGATAGCTAGGGAGCCGAGACAGACGGCGTAGAAGATAAGGAGGAGTTGCCAGCTGTTTGCGCTCCAGTCTGGGTGATACATTGATATTACGGCGGAGAGCATGGAGGCGAAGCCGAAATTCACGGATAGTGTGATGGTCCAGTTCCCAATGACCCAGATCCAGGCGTTGATGAATGATATGGTTGTTTTGTTGGACTTTGCTAGTTGGAAGGTCCAGTAGTAGGGTCCGGCGGAGGTTGGATATCGGGATGCGAGTTCGGCGAGGGACATTGCGACGCATTGGTCTAGAAAGCAGACGATTATCCATCCGACGAAGATTGATAGAGGGCCACCGCCGTAGACGGCGCTGAGAAGGGCACTGCCTTCACCATAGGGGATGGCGGCGATGGCGAGGGATTGGAAGAGGAGAGTTGCAACGGAGCGGTTGCGGCGGAGTTCTTGTTTGTATCCTAGTCCTTCAAGTTCCCCTTCTTCGCGAATACTTTTGAGTGAACCTGCTTCGTGGTCGTGGTCATGATCGATGGGGGGCATCGCTAGCTGCGATGGGCTTATCGGTTTCTGTTTCGAGGGCCATGGTACTGTACCCTAGAGAAAACGAGAGTAGGATGAGGTTCAGTAGTACTCCGTAGATAGTACTAGTATCGAGGTAATCGAGAGAGGCAACTGTCGCCGTTTCCCATTATTTAGTGGAATATTAGGGTTACAGACAGCTTATTTATCAAAAATGTGGACTTTCAGCCACTGTAGTACGGCAGGTTGATGTATACCTTGCTGTACCCAGCCCCCCTCCCCCTGTTCCTTTCTCCAACTATAAACAGGCCTATAGCAAGCTATCTCGGTATCTATCACTCGAGTGGGACCTTTCTTCATTGGAGAGGCGAAAGCGAAAGCTTCTCCCAGTGGGCACAGGGCAGCTGGACACTGCGGGGTTGCAAGCTCTCTTTATCTATGGATCGCATTCCCATCTGCAGAGCTGTGGCGCAGATCGCGTAAATTCATTCCTAATCAGGACAGGTCTATTTTCTTGCCTAATCAAGTTAAGACCTGTTTGATTTTGGTTTAGATGATTTCTTTCGAGCTGTTGGATTGGTTCAAATTGTCGGTGAGTGATGAGTTGGGATAGGAAAAGGGGGAATAAGAGCTAGTGACGGGGGCTTGCCCTAGAGTCTTCTTGAATATTTATTATATTTCTATTTATCCTTGATTCGAGCTATCTTGCTGCGTATTTTATACGATAAGCTACTTACTCCTTGCAGGTGAGTGTCATGTGTTGGGATAACCTTAGAAATTGGGTCTGAGTCTGACACAAGTACGGAGTACCCAAAATGTCTCATTTAAAGTTTATCGAAATAAGTATAAATTAAGTCAAGGTCATTATAATTCCCATTTTGGGATTTTGTACCAATTGAAATATTCCTTTGGATAATCATGTGAACAGGAATATAACAGGGTGTACATATCACGAACTTCTTCTCACCGTTGCTGCTCGCAATACGTTTGGGGCGCTCTGGTGTCTCTCCAATTACGAGATAAAGACACCGATCATCAAAATTGACGCATTGCCCTGATGCGATATTTCTTAACAAAATCCTTGGAAATCCCAAGGAGTGCCAATACCTTAAGCGGGAGGACCAGACAAAAGCTTATTCTTGACTGGTGGCATCTGTATTTGCTGCTGCTATTGAAGCTGCCGCGCTCACTCTTGTCCCGTGATCTTTTCGGGGAGTTGTTTTTTTTCGTCTGTGATTGGATATAGGCGTAGCGTTGTATGACTGGCGGTTGATTTGCGGCTTGTTCAGGCAGTTTCAACATGGGCCGCGTAAATTGAGTATAGCTCGACCCGGTGAGTTGGACAGTTCTTGCACATTTCATTCCGGTTACTTAGGTACTTATGATTGCTCCTTTTGGGAAAGGGAGATAATTACGGATGCCAAGAGGGAATAATTAATGAAACATAATGAATTCAAATAACTCGTTAAACTATAAGGTACGCTTATTTCTTGAAAAGAGGTCAACTTAGTCCAATCTTACTCAATACTCACTTCAAATGATCCAAAGACATGATCTCAGCTCGCCTCGCCTGAATCCTATTTCCAGCTTCTCTGAGCCTGGGCAAGACGTCCTCAAGCCAAGCCTCCGCCTTACCGAAAACCAGCTCCCAAACACTCTTCTCCTCGGCATGTTGATGCTCTAGATGACCCATCGCCATGAGCGTAGCGAGGACTTCGAGACTAGACTCGGTACTAGCAGAAGAATAAGATTGTCCTAACATGTCAATGAAGCGTCGACGAACGGTATCCTCCTCGCATCCTAGAAGATTGCAGAGTCCCTGGGTGAGAGTCCATTTGCCCGAGAAGTCTTGCAGAGCGATTAGTGAGTGGAGTTTTGACTTGTTAGTCTTTTCCAAGCTTGTGGCTAGAGTTGGCGGATTGGGTGATCCGAAAAGAGATCCTGGATTTGGGGTTTGGTCATTCTGAGAGACTGCGGCTCCGAATCCAGATGGTTGGGCGGTTGGTGGCTGTGCTGAGCCGAATAAAGATGGCTGGCTGGAATTAGCGGCAGGGCTGCCAAATAGTGGTTTGTTTGCAGGTGTGCTTTGGCGGTTGGGAGCGCTGCCGAATAAAGATGACGGACTGGCTGCAGGAGGAGGGCGACCAAATAGTGCTCCAGCTGTAGGTTGAGTTTGTTGAGTATTACTCGCGCCAAAGGGGGAAGCAAAGGTTCCACGCTCTTGGGAAATCTGGGAGTTGGGAGCGCTGCCGAATAAAGACGAAGGATTGGTTGTAGGAGGAGGGCCACCAAAGAGTGGTTTATTTGCAGACATGTTTTGGCGGTTGGGAGCGCTGCCGAATAAAGATGACGGACTGGCTGCAGGAGGAGGGCGACCAAATAGCGCTCCAGCCGCGGGTTGAGTTTGCTGATTATTACTCGCGCCAAAGGGGGAAGACGAGGATTGAGTCTGTGGGTTTGCAAATGGAGACTTATTCGATGCGTGTTGTGGACCACCGCCGAATAGAGCTGGTGGATAATGAGTCATTCCAACCCCAAATGGAGGTTGTTGGCCTGAAGAAGGTGCAGCGCCAGATCCCTGCGTACTACTGCCAAAACCACCCATAGGAGTGGCAGTGGCTTGATCAGAGCCACCAAACAACCTTGAGCCCGTCGGAGTCTGGCGCTCGCTCTGTTGCATCCGCTGCATCTGCTGCATGCGTTGAATTTGCTGCAATTCCTGCATCTGCTGCATCGACTGACTCGGCTGACAAGACTGCATCTGCTGCATCTGCTGCATCTGTTGCATCTGTTGCATCTGCTGCATCTGCCCAGATGAATTGCCCATGAAAGCACCGAACATGGGCTTACCTCCATCCCCAGGGTTGCTAGCTTGTCCAAAGGCTCTAGCTTGTACAAAGCCCGGGCGAGCCGCAGGTGAACAGAAAGGATTTGTCGCTTTTACCCGCGCATGTTGACTTGGGTGTGCTTGTATGATGTTGAAGGCTGGTACTTTGACAGATGGGCCTTTGTCGCCAATTTCGGGGACTTTGCATTTGTCTTCCTCTTCTTCCCTTTGTTCGTTTTCCTTCTCGGCTGAGTCTTCTTCCAATGCAACAAATGAGCAGTGCTTTCCCGTGACTTGATACTTGAGTCCTAGAATTTGGCACTCGCGTTTCGCAAGCCGACTCTTTGTATCTGCGTGGAAGCGGGAAAAGGGGTTTCCGTCGAGATCTTTGCTATGCTCGAGCCAACTGTGTTGCTCTTCTAGCTCGACCATTGCCTTTCGTGCGGCGAGTTGGTGGATTGTTTCGCCTTGAACGCTGTTTTTGATTGGGATGCGAAGTTGAAGGGGTCTCCCGCTGGATGTGGCGGTAAGAGTGAGTGATTTTGGGACCCGGTCTGATGACTTTGGGTCTAGGAGCAGGTATGCATAGCTCCGGATGAAGGGATAGAGAGGGGGAATTTGGTGGGGAGCTTGGAGAATATCAGGAGGTGAAAGGTCTGGCAAGTTGTTGCTCTCTTTGTCCTTGTTCTGGGGTGTTCCGAGCTCGGCGTCGGATTCTTGGAAAGCTTCGTCGAAGAGGGAGATGGAAATTTGAGCGATTCTCTTCTCGAGGGATTCAACAGGATCTTCGTTTCCATCTCCATTTTTATCTTCCCTTTCGGTGATGGTAGCTGGGGCCGAATCAATTACATCCACAACTTCAAATTCCTGCTCAGGTGAATCGTAATCGACCTGGAGTTTGAAGTCGCTGATATGAGGAGTAAGTGCACCCTTCAACATCCTCACAACCTTTCGGTCAAGCTCCTCATACTCGAGAACGGATTGTGAGATACCATTTCCGGACCTGGCAATACCTTCTACCAGGGAATGCGACGCCTGAGATCCAATCCCAAGCGAGAAGAAACGAGCCGACTGGCTTTCGGATGACTTGTTTGTGGTGACACTCTCCCGAACAAAACTAAATAACTCCTGCTGATTGTAGATCTGGCCGTCAGTCAGAATGAGAACTTCGAGTTCTTTATCATCGAGACGACTCGCAACGGTGGCTTTGACCGCCGAAGTCATATTCGTGCCTCCCATATCTGCGGCTATCGTCTCGACGTATGCCGAAGCCTCGGTCAGACTTGACTTATCATAGACTCGACTCTGCGGCCATAAGAAACGATGCTCATTCCCAAAGGAACAGAGATTGAAGCAGACACCAAGAGGCAGCGACTTCAAGAAGATTTGCAAGGCTGATCGCAATGTTGGGATCTTGCTCTGCATACTACCACTTCGATCGATGACGAAGATCACCTCCGGTTTGATGGGTGGTAGATTGAACCTCGGCACTAGCGTCACCATCAATGCGCGCTGATTGGGGATGCTCGAGTGTGTTTCGAGTAGGGCTGTGGGGTTATCGAGGCCATCGGCTTTGACGACGAGCACGAAGTCGCGCTCGAGTAGGAGTTCATTTTCTTTGACTAGGCGGATTGAGGCAGAGGCCTGGGATGGGTCGAATGTTGATCCTGAACGACCACCACTGGGAGCAGTTGAAGTACATCCCAAAGAGACCTTCACTGAATGACTCGGTGACTGCAGTTCCCGAATGATGGAAGTTTTCTCCATCTGGACATCGACCGTGATATCGATACCAGACGTCTTTACCAGGCCCCACTCAGGCATTTTGATTGTTTGCTCTTCAGTTACAGGCGGCGGCGCGAATATTGACGTAGAGCGAGGTAAGGCTCTCGAGTCAGGATATCTCGGTGCGATGGCATTGGGGAGAGTATATCGGATCCCGTCGGACTGTGCGTCCTGCTTCAACTCTCCGATGAACGTGATTTCTACCATGATTGTTTCGTTCGCGGGGACATTGCCTAATCTAGTTACGAAGATGTCGTTTTCCTTGGAGCCATGCTCCATAATTGCTGCAGTTTTATCATTCGCGACCGCGCTGTTGAATTCCTCATTCGCCTGCTCTTTTGTCTCCACTTTACTGTGCAGATATCGCGTTCCTACGCGACACTCGAATCCAACCACACTGACGCCATCGTAGAGGGGGAAGTTGTAGGAAACTTCCTCGAGAGGAAGGTCTGAGGAGTTTGTAAATGTTTGCGTGAGAGTTGTGCGAGATGTGGAGGAGAGGATTGTTGCGTGGACTTTGAGGGAGATCTGTGGCAGGTAATGCCAGGCGTTGGCCTGGTAGAAACAACAACCGCAAAAATTAGACATATCCAACTTCGAGGTTGTCGCTGCTGACTCGGATGATGATAGTCACGATGGGTGTTGTAAATGAAAAGGTTGATTGAGGAAATGATGGATGTGGACGCGAATATTTATAGCGCCGATTCGCTAGGCAGCAAACAGCGGGGCAAAGAGCTCCGACTCGGAGCTGCCTAAGAGCCTCAGGCCCGGCTAAATATTTAGCTCTGCCCGTGAATTTTGTACGCGACGGCGACTCACTCGTTTGTTAGTGCTTTAGCCTGCGCTAAATCGGGTCATCTACAGGGACTGGAATAATACAAATCCGGTGAGAAATTATGGTGAAGCAATGTAGATCAGACCTAATTTGATCTTATCAGACAGCCAAGAGGTTTTCCAACCCTAGGAAGACAACAGCAAGACCCACTTTCAGCCTCACATTTCCTTCATCCCTTGAAATCTGTATTAGCGTCATTGTGGGGACAGAGGGTTCCCAAGCGAGATGGTCGGAACTTGAACAGCACTTTACAATATAGTATCTTGGTATCTTCTAAGGTTGGATTATCATTTCAACAATCCAACTTGAAGATACTACTAGTAGCCGTTCATAATGAAGTATTAGTAAGAATATGTTCAAGTTATTTAGATTGAGATCGATTCGATTGTGTTGTTCAGTTCGAAGTTTGATCCCTATTGAAATATGTTCTCTATGGCATATAGCATACGCCTAGGCTTCGAAGGACGTGGCCCCGGAGAAGATGTGCGTTCAGCGACAAGATGGTAAGCCTGCAGAGTATTGGACTTGAAGGCGTGCGCTCCACCCCACAAGAACAAGCGGAAAACACGGTACGTCTCCTCGCCCCAGCCTGAGATGATTTCGTCTTTTGCTGCATCTAGCCGCCTTGCCCATTCCTCCATTGTTCGCTGGTAGTCTGTCGTCTCTCGCGCGACATCGATGATTTCGAAACCGTGGAAGAGTAGCTCGCCAATCACGTCTTGGAGAGTGAAAAATGTATGTGTGCCACCCCAGATATAGTCTCGCGTAAAAGCGCTTGGGCTGTACTTTGTCACTGCTGCTGAGCCGTCTAGGTACAATCTGCCTCCCGGGGCTAACATTTTCCAAACGTGGCTGGCAAATCGACGATAGTTTGGAATATGTTCGATGACTCCATAAATGACAATGTGGTCATACGGCTTCTCGGGCTTGTGGTTGAAGAAGTCTTGAAGGAAGACTTCACCCGGGAGACTTTTCTCAGTTATTAGACGCTGTATGTAGCGTGCAGAATCTGCTGTCAGCGTCAGGGTTGTGACATGGACTCCTCGAGCACCACAGTACTGCGTCACCCCACCCCATCCACCTCCAATATCAAGCAATCGCATCCCACGCTTAAGACCAAGACTAGAGAACATAGTCTCAAGTTTGTGTTCGGATGCCTCTTCAATTGTCTCGTCTGGTGTTTTGAATAGCCCCTGGGAATAGAATCGGTACCGCTTGTCAATGAACGTAAGGTAGAAGTCATCCCCGCGGGTATAATGATCGCCAATGGCTTTCGCATTCATCTTTGTCGCCTCTCGGAAATAGTCATATACAAACTGTACCTTTTGGCGTATGGGTACCTTTTCCGTGATGCTTTTTCGTGCTCCGAATAGAGCGCCGATATCTCCCTCCACTTCAATGTCTCCGGAGATGTAAGCCTTTCCAAGGCTGAGTTCGGTCATTGGGGTTCGAAGGGCACACTCCGAGCGGAATATCACCCTATAAATTGGGTCTCCGGTGCCGAAAGCAACAATTGTTCCATTGGGTAGCTGGACTGATCCCGGGATGTCAAGCTGGGGCAGAAGGGCTGCTAGCCCAGTGCGAGGAAGAGATTCTTTAGACCCGATAATGATAGTCATGGCTGGAGAAAATATTGAGAACTAGAGTCTTCCAAAATTGGCTGCTAGTGCAATTTATATTCTAAGCTTGATGCGCTTCGATACTATATTTAGTCTATTTATTGTCCTATCAGAGGCCAATTGCATGACCAGTTCTTAAATCCTGTCAGCGCTAAAATAGCGTCCACCTGGGCATGGGAGGCCTATCGGCCTGTGTGTACGGAAGAAAATCTTCAGGTTCTCGGAAATATTTCCGGATTAACGATACTTAGCGTGTGATACAGGACTGATTTGCAGATATGTAGATCTGTTGAGATTGAAGTTATGCCATTATCCAATCACTTGAATAACCTCCTCACAATAGCCGAGATAGCCGACCCTGGACCGAGGGGCTACGTTAGAGCCAACTCCCAAGCTTAGGATTAATCATATCGTTATTCTTTATAATTTCCAAGGTTTCGAGTCGTGAGAAACTTGCCGAGTCCGAGTCTTTCTGCCAGTGACATTCGTGCCTCCCTCGGGTTTACAGAGTGCTAGATAACCTTGGAAGAGATAATTCATCAATTATTACCCACCTGGGAAAGATATATGTATTTTTGAGTAGACCTGAGCAAAGCCGCGAAATTTAATATACCAATATGGGATCAGAAGGTGCCATGGTCCAAGCAGCCAACAAATTGAGGGCACTTTTAACCTAAAAACTCTGTTTATGCACTATTTATTCTACACTTATCATCCAAGCTTATTCATGACGATACTAAGGTCGCATATCTTAGAATGTTCTTCCATATATTTCCCTTTTTAGCTGCATTTGGTACATACGACCATAGGGTGTGGAGAACAGGGCTTCCCGTCCGCTCAGCCGTACTTAAGCCACACGCCGGCAGGTTAGTAGTATGGTGGGTGACCACATGCGAATCCCTGCTGTTGTATGTTTTTGTTTCACCCGTTTTTTGTCATTCGTTGGGCCTAGTGTTCTTGCCGCTCTAACCTTCAGCCGCTTCAGGGTCCTTCACCTGATTCCCTGAACACCGCCAGAAGCGATGACCGGGCCTCTCGGCTAAACTTTCCATCTCAATCATAGGCCAATTACATAAGACGCAGCGATCACTCATTAACCAATTAACGTACAATGCCCGTGTAGCTACTAAGAAAATCGCATTGCGAAGCAGGGCCAACGGTCCTACATGTGGCTAATCTATCCATGTACCTGGCATAACTTGTTCTCCCTTCTCGACCAATTCCCAGAATTGCCATACCAGTTCATCTACCGGATTCGATACCCATAGTCTCCACTTTTCTGGTCTTAGCCCATATTCAAGCGACAGGAAACGAAACGGAAGCTATTCACCTATGTCAGGATTATATACTGGGCCAGACTTCTCAAACCCAACATATATAAAGATCTCCAGACCAACAACGCCTGACATATGTAATGATTTCTCCTTCGCCCCGTACTCTGCTAAATCAACGCCGGCCAACTGAAGCTCCGATGCCCAGAAATGGATAAAGGAGTCAAATCTATAATTTGCTCGTTTGATTCCTGCCCAATTCTTGGTATAGTATTGCAGGACTGTGGTGAGAGGCGTACGAATTGCCCCGTATCTAGAGGACAATTGGCATGGGTCGGCAGATGCCGTGATAGCATCAAAAAGCAGCTCACGCCACTTCGGCATACTGCTGCTCCTTCTTTCAGAGAAGTCAACGGCCATACCTTGAACAATCCGGTATAGGAGGGTTTCTCCATTATCATCCTCAAGTAAATAGGCACTAGGGTCAATTCGATCACCGCCCATCGCCATTTGAAGTGTAGTTGGACTTGCACCGCATACCCACCAGTTATCAACTGCCATTGCCCGCTTAAACCGAAATTCAAGGGGTAGATATGAATAAAAGTTGAAAGAAAACTCTTGTATCAAAGAGAGAGCTTCATAGGGGCCCTGAAAGCCAGATGTTAATGACCACCTTGTGTCAAGGTCCTCGAATAGCTCGTCTCCGAACTCACGAACAAAGAGTCTGTATAATTCGAGGAATAAAGGAACTTTTTCTGGGTACTTGATCCAATTTCCAGCTGCTGTGTTTGCTTCGCCGAGGGGAGTACTAGCGTCAATTATCAGATAGCTTCGAAACAGCTCAAGTCAAGCTCAGAAAAACTCACGCTCCCCATATATCTCTTTGACCTAGATCCGCCCCATTCTCCAATAGCATTTAGCAAACCGCTAGTTGTCCATTTCGAGAGGCTACCTAATAATTTTTATCACATGAGCCAAAAACGAAAGTAAATGGTGATATAAGACCTACATACAGCGGCCCTCTTCCATAACAATCGCAATCGAAGGGAGATGCGAGACGGTTCGTGAATAATTCCTGGATTTCTTTGACCTTTCCCTGTCCACAGAGTCTGAAGATTTCAGAGTGTGATAGCAAGACATTATTGACTTGGATACTGAAATTCCAGGTCGAAAAATTCTGAGATATATCAAATGTCCAGAGTTTATCCAAGAAGACGAGCAGTGTGCGAAAACAGATTTTTCGCCGACTAGTGTTGTACCGTCGTGATTCTTGGTTGTGCTTTTCACTTGGTATTCTGGGCCTATTGTCAAGTGTAAGTAAGATAAATGTACGCTATATGGTGTAGTCTTTTACCACTATTCGAAACTTTGACATCGTTCAGGTCAAACTATAGGAGGTATCGATATAAGAGAGGAGTCAACCTTCTGCTTCAGTTCACGTATGGATGTGCTTATTTCACAACATTAAAGGTTAGTTGCACGTAGGTTAAATGTTTAGTTTACAACATAGTTATTGAGAAACTGACCTACAGTATATTTGCTGAAGGAGCATCATTGTCGTCTTAATACTATCCAGGTTTTATCTCTGAACTTAAAAATTTTCTTTTTTCAAGGCCAGTTTCAGAATTGCCAGCCTTCCGTTCGTGCCTTAAGCCTTCAGCTTGTGCATTTCACCTACAAGAGAATCCAGGTCTTTCTGAAAGACACGCAAACGTCTCTCTGTAGAGGGAAGATTAGTAGCTTCTAGCATTTCCGGCCTCAGTCTTATCAAAATAATCTGAATAAGCTCAATATCATCAATATATCCTTGAAACTCCGTGGTCGCATTTTTCATGAATGAGTGTACGGATTTTAGCCTGTCTATACTTCGGACAATTTATTCTAACAATGTAAAAAAGCTGATAACGTTGGCTGTAGCGCCGATTATTTCAGCCATAATATATAAATTTGGCAGTCAGAATCGAAAAACAATCACTAGTATAATCTAGAATACCTTCAAACTTCAAGAAGTAGCCTATGACCGGTCGAAGAATGAGGGGAAGAGAAAGAGGCGGGGTAGAAATAGGGGGAAATAGGGAAATAGGGCTGAAAAAAGTCAGCTGGTTTTGTGCATGCGGCTAATAATGGTGCGCAGAGTGGTGTGCAGTAAGTTAGGGAGGTTACAGTCAGTACAAATTCGGAACCATAAGGTATATAGTACTAGCTATACAAAACAGCACCGGCATAAGTGTTTAGTTGAGGCAAGAATTACGAGATGAAAATGGAGCCGAGTTCAATATATTGCCAGCAGTCGATCTGCACCGAGAGGTGGCTTCTAATATATAGTTAGAAATATAGCATAATAGAAGAAGGATTGGAAGCAAAAGAACATCATGAATGGTTTACGGTAAACTTTTGTGAGCTGGGGGCCTCTCTTTTAGAGGTCCTTACTTCTAGATGTTGTGATCTCTAAAGGCCTATTCACAAGTTGGTTTTGTTTTGGTGGAAGTCAGGTGGTATGAACACAATCACCACCTCACCATGAGCCCTAGTTTTCTTGTATATCAGGAAAAGATTTCCCTTATCAGCTTTGTAGTGGAATTCGAATCTGGCAAGTTCATATTGTACCATATATGTCTCCACTATTTCTCGGATTTCTAGATCCAAACAACGTATTACGGACCTGCTGAGAAGGGAACCCCTAACCACACCTTAGCGGGGTTCCACAGTGACTCTTTGATACCTTGTATATGATTTGTCTAGCCAAAATCCGCTACGCTAATATAGAACATCTTTAAATAGCCAATTATTCTGCAACAAACTCTAGCAAATTTCTATTGGGACCCCTACGGGCATCTCTTGTCGATTCTGGGGGTCTATGGAAGCATAGGAATGTAGGGGTGAGTTATATGTAGGATGCTAGGCCCCGGGGTTGGGGAAAAGCTATGTATAGCTATACCGAGGGCTAACGTTTGAAACCAGATTTTATTACCACAAGCCCAAAGGTCACCGCTGGTCACACCCTGCTTTTACACTCCTCAAAACTATATATAGGCACCGCTTCATAGAATAAATTCGGGTGTAGCCCTTTGCAGTTCCTTACGATTCATTAAACTAGGATAATATAGAATACCATGAGATCTTTCTTTAAAGAAGTTTAACTCTTATAACAAATATTCGATAGGTAGAAAAGCTATTTTAGATAACTTACCTAGCGCCCTACCTAGTATATCCTTCGGAGTTATTTGATAAGGCCTTAATCCGTTTTAGAATCAGTACAGCGACGGTACAGTAACGGGACAATGCTTAAGGATCCCAGCAGTAAAGCATTACCATATCGGTAAACCTTGTAAGCAAGAGCCACGACTAGGGCTACTCACTGTGACCAGACAGCAAACGTATAACAGCGTAGTAGAAACATAGTCTGGGCAACTTGCCGAGCTCTAAATCGCTATTCTCAAGTGTAAGCTAAAGTCTCTATGGTATTGAATCAAATGGTAACTACTATATAATGATATTTAACCTTGAGCGCCACGTTAGATCTGATTTTGCGGAAATTCCCAAATGCGCCTTTTGGATGCCCATTTCGTCTCTTCAGGTGACGGGTTGAACGGACGCCGACAGGGCTGCGAGCCGCCTAGAACAAAATCGTGGGCGCTAGGTTACCACTGACATACAATATCTGTTGTATGTTTTTTTTTTTTTTTTCTCGCTTTTTCATTCGTTGGGTTTGGTGGCCGGTCTTGTTGCTATACTCTTCAGGGTCCCTCACCTACCTGAGCGAATGATGTAGCCTTTGCGGACTTTGTATTTGCTAATCTCTGATCTTATACACGATGTATCGCATGCCAATTTAGTCACCACTCTGAGTGGAATTTGAAAAGGGATCTTGGAATCTGTTTTTCGGGTAGGAAAAGGTCTGATTTGAAATGAAAAGGCTTCAATTCAGAAAGTCGTGTGGTAGTGATGATATGCACTGCTATTAACCTGGGAAGTTGGACAGGGTATAAACCCTCTATGATCATCTATCTTCAAGAAAATCGGTCTGTAGAGGACGAAACCGTATTATGCACCACCTACTGATCGTGCTCAAAATTATATTCGCTAAGGTTCATACAAGTACCATACCAATGAAGATATTAATTCATGGGAGGTACTATTGAATTAAGAAGAGGAAAAGGATGAAGATGAAGAATATGAAGAAGATGAAGGAGAAGATGAAAAACATGCATCGAGAAAGGTTTATACCTTTGTGATATGAGGATGAGAAAATCCTGCAGACCAGGGACGCTGCCCTCGGCAGAAACATTGATCAAGACGTGGGGTTCCGGGGTATAAGTTCTAAGAAAGCTCGGAAAACGACTTGGCCCCACTATTGTTTCCAGATAGCTCCTGGGGGTGCCGAGTACTACCCATGACTTCTTGCTGAGGAACATCATGATGATGATCTGGGCCAGTGTCACTATGGTATCCTGGCTGGGCGTAATGATGATTTGTGTCTGACCCCTTGGCTGCCACTTGGGAACGACGATGGCGCATTAAAAACCATATCGCGGCGACAATGATGAGTGCACCGCCCACTCCACCGACAACACCACCAACAATTGCGCCTGTATTTGTCGATGACCCTTGAGGCTCTGAAGCTGACATGGTTGATGAAGATGTGGCAGTCATGGAAGTGGCGGTCAAACTAAGTGATACTATATATTGCATTAGCTGATCTGATTCTACTTTTCAACCTTGGAAGTCTCTGCGTTGTCACGAAGAGCCTAGTGCCCCCACAGCATTGTACCTTGGACTTACCCGACGGCTGACCCTCAGGATCGTCTTTTGTCCAGCTTCCATTTTTCTGGATTTCGCTTTCCGTGGCGCACCCTTTGTAAAATTGATCGTTGCGGAATCCAAGTAGATCCGAGTCACAGCAAAAGTATCCCTCAGAATCAGACCATAGGCTCATGGTCGGATCAGCACATCGTCGAGGGGTTGAAGCTGAACGTGATGGTGAAGTCCTGATTGTGCATCTTTTGTTGTTGTCAACGTCCGTGGATCGTGTCATCTCAATCGGGCAGCAATACACCCAATTATCCCAGGTGGGTTCTCCATGCTCATTGCCCTTGCAGCCGCCATCCTGCGAAGAGCCCAGCCGTCTCTGTAACCAGAAGACATTTATCTGTTGACAACGGTGCTAAACGACATCAAAGGAACGGGTAAATTCGAAGGTTTATCAAGCAATTCTGGCCGCCAAATCCAAAATGTGTGTAGGATGAAGAAAAGGGCCGCGGAGTAGAGAAGGGGCAGACAAGGCTTCCAGGCACGAGACCAGTTCGGACTGTTACATGCTCGGGCGTATAGGGAGGCAAGTCGGGGCAATTAGCGGACTTGGTAACCAACACGCTCGATACTTGGCAGGATCCTGGCAGATCCCGGCTGACTATTATTGGCCTGATTCCTAACTTTGACCCCTATGCCAAGACAAGGCTGCAGATTGCCTTGAAACTATGTACATTAGCGCATGCAGGGTACCTTAGTAATCTACGATTGTGGAGGGCTATACTCCGTAATTGCGGCTGAAAGGGAGGAGGGTGTTGTCGAATCAGCCAAATTTGAGAAAGAGAGCCTAAACTCTCTAATAGAAAACCCGGACAAATTGGCGACCTCTGGAGACCGTATGTGGTTCTATATTCCCACGATGCCAAATCCGCACATCATCAATAATTGTGCGTATGAATTTATTACTGACGTGTTCGGGTATTTATTATGCGCCAAGAGGCAAGGTTTCAAGAGGCTAATATTTGGGCAAACAAATGGGCGTGGGAAATTGTGAAATCCTATTAATGTGGCCGGTCCATACTTACTAGCAGGGAAGCCGTCTCACACTGAATCAAGCATACGCAGACCCACTCAGTAAGATGCCTGTCTCAAGGTAGGTAGCAAATGCTACTTAGTCGGTTATATAAGACAGGCTCGGAGGCAAATGATGATACGTTCTAGCGACCTTGTATAATTTGGCCCCAGATTCGTAAAAGAGATAATTGGTGATGAGTTAGCATGGAGTTAAGTGAAGTTTGAGGTCATTCAAAAAGGTATCGCTTGATATTCTGTAGTCCTTGAAGATCTCCATCAATTGAGTTAAAATTTCCCTCTCGATCCAACCCACGGTGTAACCTCCACTTAAATCAATCAAGTATGCATCGTCATTGACATCAATAAGCACATTTGCTGCCTTTGCATCTCCCCGGACGATGTTGTGACTGTGAAGTTTCTCAAGTGTTTGCGAGGTCTAATCCACCTATTTTCGTCTGGGAGCGGAAAATTTAGGATTGTGCCTATCGATGTATTTGAGTGTAGCTCCATCACAATCAATGAATGATAAGACTAGTCCCATGACAGCCATTTTTATCCCGGATAATACCTTCTAGTTGATACATGAGAATCGTGGAATGAAATTAAGCTATTTGGATCTCTGAATAAGTGAGTATCCCTCTGGCGGTAATACGACCGACTAGGCGTGTAGGAGAGCATTTGAAGTGGGATGTAAAGAGGTCAATTTTAAAGCGTTTATTGAAGACGAAGACATTCAAATGTACGTCGGTGTCTTTGGTACTTGTTATAAATGGACCAATATTATATTAAATTTCCTTTTGTGCCATTTGTGACTGTTCAGATCCTGCGGCAACATACATTATAGAGAGGAGGAAGATGTTGGAAGATGGAAAGATTGCCAACCTTGGAACGAGTCACACACGATACAAGTCCTGTGATGTCGACCAATAGGAATATCCTATTCCTTTCCAATCCTCACCGCCAGCTCGGAGCCAGGTGAAAACTATTTGACCGAGATACCTATCTTTTGGCCTGTCAAGACTTTCATTAACTGCGACCTGCAGATGCCAAAGGGCATTCTGTTTATGCTTGGTTTCAAAGATGGCCTGTCACAAGCGGGGTCGGCCTATCTCTGCGGTATCCATGCCCAGAATGGCATCAGGATATCCTTAGTCATAACATGCGCTGGCCCAGACCTCACCTGAACTTTGCTGCACCACTGTTTCTTACTACAATGCTTGGTTTTATCTGTTTCCCTTGACTTCCTCTCTTGCTCTCTTCAACCCACATTCTCACGTTTCACTAAGCACCCTCTAAAGAGGCCCATCTACATCCAGCAAACACCGTCATGGCTGATCGTGATGAATGGAAGCAGCAAAAAAGACAATTCATTGACCGTTTCTTTCGAGAGAAAGTGCCCAAGGCTTTGGGAAAGGAGACTCTGTCGTCTTGCACGGAGGATGCTTGCATTCAATTTGCAAAATCGGCTTTGGGAACCGAACACCTCTCCCATGTCGATAACCAAGGCTCCAACAGCTTTACCCTCCAAACACCAGGTATAATCATTCAATTTCGCCTAAAGTCACTAAAGACCGACATTATTGCACTGGCCAACGAACTTTATGGGCATCTGGTGCCAAAAGTCAAATCGCATGGCGGATTTCCATTGCCGGTCTACAGTACATATCCCGGGCCAGTAACTCCCAGAAATTAATTTCCAGGAGAACCCAGATGACCCAGCCTGCAAGGACATCCAGTATTGACCGGGGATGAGAGAGGGGATTATGATGTTATATGGGTCGGTAGGATGGATGGATAGCTGAGGTTACTAATGGGGTGGGCAAAGCGGTGTGGTCTAGCCATGCCAGTGTGACCTGAGGCATCTGGTCTCAGAAGTATGCAGTGTAACCAAGGGCAAGAATTGTCGCAAATTTCCAGCCACGCCACATGAATCGCATGGCTCAGCCAAAACGACTATTGGTCCAGGCACAGTTTCTGCAGGCGGGAGCAATAACCTACATGAATATTGAAAATTTACATGCATTAAATTGACTAACATTGCATAATGTGTACGTAGGCGTTGCCCACCTGCCCAGGTGGGTGGGGGCACTGGGTGACTTCCAAGGCCCTTTGGAAACATATATACCTGGTCTGATTCCCCCAGCATCCCAGGGAGCTGTCCGAGACTCTCACTCTACCAGAGGGTACACTCCATCAAACATCACCATGCAATTTTCCCTGTTACTCGGCGTCCTCGCCGCCTCTTCCTCCGTCCAAGGCCTTATATTCCGCGACAAAATCGTACAGGATGTCGACGGCACTCTTTTCACATTAGTCCACGGCGTTCAAGAACAAACCGAGGTGGTCCTCGACGAGAACCCTCACAGTCTGGAAAATAATGCCTGGGAATTCAACACCGAGGGCCGGGCGGATACCGATGCTGTTATTTCCCCGATAAACTCCCCTGCCTTCCTCGCATGCAATGAGGGCGCACTTTGCAGCCTAGACTTTGAAGGAGACAAACAAGCTTACCGGGTTACCATCGTCGATGGGGGTGCTAGGGGTCCTATCTTTACTTTTCAAGACATTCTCTCATCGCTCTATGTGTCCAGGGCTCCGGATTCGCACTATCTGGAGCTTGCCTCGGGCGCGGGCGCCTTGTCTGAATTCAAATTGGTCAAGATTCACAGTAGGCTTTCTTCTCCTTTGATATCGAGGTTTTGGCTATGCTGACATCATACTTAGCCACTGAAGATCTTTGAGCTGGGTCAGTGCTCGGACATGGCGGGCTATAATCTATATATGAGGTGATTTCCATACGCTCTTTTGAGGGCGAAGATGAAGATGATGGTCATCTAAAGTTTTTTGGGGCAAATTATCTAGCGGGACTTGAATTTATGCCTACGGATTCTTCATTTACGTAGTAGTAGCATGCTTACGATAGTATAGACATCTGCTCCCATGCTGTGCGAGAATGAGGTGGAGGCCCAGGATTCCAGGTTCTCATTCCAAGCTATTTAAGTACAACTGTTAAGTGACTTCTGGTCGAAGCAAACCAAGCGTGGAGAAAGAGGGGAGTGTGCGTGGTATTACATCCAATATGGAACTCTGAAGGTGGTGCCCAGGTCATAGTGGTCTGCTTTCTTGCGCTATTTATTCTGCAGGTAGATTTCAAATAATTCAGGCTTTCTCCTGTCACTACTAGTCTATTGGTCTGAGTCAATTGGTACCTCTATGATCCTGCACATCTTTAATGTTCACTGCGTCTGCTGTATGCACTATTTAGTGGGTCCACAGCCGTGCTTCTAGATAGGTATAGTTAATTGGGGTGGTGACCCGATTCATCAGCAGTTGGGAATGCTCCAAATTGTTAATATGCCACTGTAGCAAATATCTACCGAGTATTCATAATGAACTTCCTGCAATGATGATCGGCGGGGCCAGGCTGGGCCTATGTAATGGAATCCAATGTAGCCATTATGTGGATACAGAGTACAGAATCGGGCATATGTACTAGCTAGTTAATACCCCCCAGGGCTTATGTGGTAGTTATATCGAATATAATTAGATTGCTACTGTGGGGGCTTATATAAACACTAGTGATCGTGCTGGACCTCTCTGATAGTACTAGTAGGCCGTGCCCCCGGGCCCCACAACAATAGTACTAGTAGTATATTGAAACTAACTTATGTCTGCCAGTGCATTATATGCATAACTACTACAAGGAGCAATGCAGTAACAACTTAACAAGGGTGATTACTAGCATGCTGGCAATCCCCAGCTCGCCCTAACCCTCGAAAAGCGTGTCAAACTTGGAATACGACAGGTGAATTCTAGAGGGTCCTTGTTGAGGTACCGAGGTGGTTTGATTGCCTTGGGCACCTATTAGTAGGATGCCATCTTTGTCTCTAGAAATTAGTTTCCAATCTTCTATTTTATTGTTCCATTGTAGCTCTCTACACAGTGACAATGAACATATTTTGCCTCTTCCTATTGGCCCCTCGATTTGTGCCTCCACAGTCCTTGCAGCTACTAGTAGAATTCTAGCACCTGATGGTTCTACAATCCAGGTGCTAGGACTGCTGACCCAGTGAAGACAGGCGCTTAGACATTGAGTGGCATAATTTTCCTTGATTAATATGAGCGAAACACATCTACAATTCGTGAACGAGCAAAGGAGAAATCCGGCCGTTAATCATTGGCTGATGGCAATTTCGAGAAAGCTTCTTTTGGTATTTTCAGACAACAAGTGCAATTTATGTTGTCCGTGCTAAGCAGGCACGCGAATTAGAGGCTAAAATAGCATAATCTACTAGTATTCCAAAGGCTGGCGGCTTTTGCTAAGGCCTGCGGGGTTAGGCTGGAGGGCTCCCGGGGTTTAGTGATATCGTGCCCACCGTGCTCATATACCTAGTAGATAGCTTCAGCCATTGTATACCTAGATACCCTCAATGACAATTCCAGTTATCTAACTTTGGCTATTATAGTTTATTATAATCTTCAAACCTGATACCACAACTCCTCCCCACTACACTATTAGTAGGATGTACTCAAGTGGACTTCCATATTGAGATGACATCCCATTCGCTTCAAGTCCTAGTACCATACGAACTTAGCGAGACTTTTATTACCCTAGTTGTCAAATTATGTTTCGAACCCATGGCCACCTGGGCATGTTATATCTCAGTCCGTAGTCTGCGATAGTATGCACTACTGTTATCAGCCTGAGTAGCAGGACTGCATAGGATGCTGCTAACCTTAGCCCCACAAAACATCTAACAAAGCACAACCCCAACCCAACTCCTCGCATAAATTCACCTATACCGTAAGGAGTAACCGGATCCTTATACGGAGACTCGCGAGGGGAGGGGAACTTTCTTCCAACCTCCGCACCGGATCGATTGTCGGATCGACAAGCCAATCTGAACACAAACACGGTCCCAGCTTACATTACACAGCATGGCATGGCATGAAATGTATGACGGCATGACTGGAGGCACGACCTATGATTAACCAGGCATAGGCTACGATCATGCTAGGCTAGGCATAACTTGAAGAGAAAGTTTAGAAAAATGCGGGGTGCGTCTTGAATGTGGGGAAGTGCACGTCCCAGCCGATCAGATAGATTTGGTATCAAAAGAACCACAAAACACTTGAGAAAATGAGATGGCGAAAATTATATAGAATATCCACGGTCCGACTAGTAGAGAGTAAAAGGGGTATATTAGGATTGATTACAGCGCCGTAGAGGGACGTCCGGGTGCTTCGCCGGCCACGGCTTGGGCCTGTTGGCGGGACGTCGGCCGCGACTCCGCGACAGACTTGCGGGATCGGAAACTGTGGCGTGAGGAGGTGGGTGGGGGCTCGGTGGCTGTCAGAGGGGGGACTATACGGTGAAAAGAGGTTAGCTTCTCCGAGACAGAGGTGGGGTGATGACTCGGAGATCCGAGGATGTTGGCTTTTTCTCTCTCGCAGGTCACTTACTGCTGAATCCATATCCCTCTGTAGCACCCTCCCGATTCTGAGGATCGATTTCCACGCGGATCGCAACGTCTAGGCCACCATACATGCCGCTGTTACTGTTTATACCGTCCGCAGCGCTGTGAGTCGAGCCGGCTTCAACTTCGCCCTTGTGTAGCGGGGCATGGCCGTCCTTGGGGAGGTGTTCCAGCTTGGCAGATTCGACAGCGAAGTCACCGTCGCCGTTCGCGATCGGTGCGACCGCTTCGGTTAGAATGGCGAAGTTGCGCGATGGCATGGTCACCTTGTTCCAGGTGGCGCTCTTCTCGATACCGCCTGGTTGCTTGTCAAAGAAGGGCATCAGGGTTTCGTCGCATTTGCGATCCAGGTGGTGAATCTTGTTGCGGCGGGCGAGGAGATTGGCGACGGCCTTGGGCGGGGGTTTATTGGTGATGGCGCTGCTGACGACGTTGACAATGAATCTGTGGTCGTTCTCACCAGACAGGTTCAGCTTCGGGTGCGAGTAGAATCGTCCGATTGCGGCGAGGTGAACGTCTCCGCCCAAGATGGTGACGCGGACTGAGTGCGCGCGGGCGAGTTCCTGCAGACGCTGTATGAGTTCGCGACGTTCGCGCTTATGCTGACGGGCAGTGTAGTGGTCGTCAAGATCGTCCAGCAAATCGACTTGGCCGTCAAACTCGTTAAAAAGGCCACCGGCGACACCGAATCGCTTGTTCAGGAGACGGATTGGCGCGATGAGCGGAGAGGTGAGGATGTTCTCGAGCCAGGCTAGACGCGGGTAGGCAATGGGAACACCAAGTAGAACGACAAGGTGCTTGATGTCGCCATTGGAAGCTGAAATCTCGCTCTCGAGTCGGTCGAAGATGAGCTTGTAGGTGTCCGGGTAATTGACCTGGTGCCGCGTGCGCTCGGTACGGGCATCCAGACCCACGAAGCCGATGCGCTTGCCAAATCGCATGTACAAACTGCGACTGCGCTCCTCGACGTACGGTCCGGGCCGCTTGCCAGTGATCCAGCTATCATCCTCTTCCTGGTTCTCCAAAACATAGGTGTTCTCAACCTGGCGCGGGTCCACGCCAGAGGTGCCATTGACGGCATGCATTGTCTGAGGCGCGTCGGTAGTGAAAGTCGACTTGGGAGGAGCCATGTGGTGCTGGAAGAGACAGTAGTACTTGAATGCGACACCGCCGATACCGCGGAACACGGCACACTTCATGAAATGGTCTGTATACGAGCCAAATCCATCAATGATGTCGTGATCGTCCCAAATGTTGACCTGCGGGATTCGGCCATTGGCAGCGCGGAAGGGCTCGGTGTTATACCAGCGCACGTAGTTTGCGTAGTAGTACTCGTCGCAATCGGCGCGCATTTGGTTGTTGAAGTCGTGGTTGCGGCGCTTGTGCGGGTTGCCGATGGCGGTCCAGGGCTTTAGAGGACCGTCCACGCGGATTCCATCATTGTAGATCTGGTCACCGCCGCCCACCATAACGTGGAAAGGTCTCTCGCCGTGGACGCGTAGAACATCATTCCACAGGTTGGGGCCGAGCCAAGCGTCCATGTCGGTGCCAACGGAGAATCCGTTACACGAGTGAAACATGATCCGCATCGACTGCTCTTCTGCAGGTACCACAAATTCCCACGGCGCTTTGATGGGCTCTGACGAATTGTGGAGGCCCGGAATATCATACTCCCAACGCGCCTCGTAGCTCTCGACGGGCACCGTGAGGTTAAAACGCCAGAAAGCCTTTTCGGGGTCTTCGTAAAGCTTGACGCCCTCGACGGTTTGGTTCGATTGAGATTGCGACTCGGATCGCGACTCCACGGGGCCCAGCTGATGCAAATGTAGGAGGGGCTTCTGCTGGGTGGGTTTCGTTACGATGAGGACACTTCCATGCCAGATGGGGGCGGACTCGTAGTGCATGTTCTTCAAGTTGATGAGCGGGCCTGAAATGAGCTCAAAGCTGTTGCTATTGCCGTTGACATCACTGGTGCCTTGCGCAGCGTAATCGCCATTCTGGACGACCCCTGGGGTTCTGGTCAGCTTGCGCGTGGGTCAATTAGGGAGAATCCGGGCCTCCAGGCTGCTCTGTAGCTCCACGAAGCTCTTCACGTACCATTGATGGGGGGGCTGAAAGGTAGTGTCAGCCATTGTCGTGAAGAAAAAAGGCCGTGGACAAGGGTCGCACGAAGAAAAAGAAAAAGAAAAGAAAGGGGTATCAAGGGAGATCGAGGGTAGATCGCAGGTCAAAGGGAGAAAGGGACCGGGCTGAGCGAAGAATTATAGGGCTGCAGGGCTGGGGAGGGGGAAGCGAGCAGATCAGCTGGAAGAACTCAAGGCATACGCGCATGAAAATAGCCAGCGTTATTGGGCAGGTCGAGTGGAGGCGCAACCTCCTTGGCTGATGCTGGGTCGGACATGATTGTTGCTGGCGGAGATGACGCTGCCAAGAAGCGCCGGGGGTTAAATTGGAGAATTGCTGGACCAATCAGAGTCGGCCAATTTGGCAGACTGCGCCACCAGCCACAAAACCGGTTTCAGTCGGAGTGGCGGTGCAGATGTACATCTGCCTGTATACTAACTAACAAACTAATACATGTACACATGCACATGCTGGAGTTCACGGGATTTATTATAGCGTCGAGGATCTGCATAGACTACATGTCTTCTCACTCGTCTTGTTAGATGATTAGTGCTGCCTAGACTACCGCCAGTGCATGTTGTATACCAACTAGGGCTACCACCGCTTAGCTGAGCCTACATGTACATATGCACAGTGATGTACTTACAGCGCAGGACACCTACGTGGATGATCCATCTTCCTGCAGAACTTATTGCATTCCAGTTTTGGTTTTCACCGCAGATACTCCCAATCATCCATATCCATCCTCCTTGTCCCGTCCGATTCACTAGCCCCTTCGATCGCGGCGCTAAACTAAATCATTTATGGGCCCAGTGGGGCAGGGGCATTGCGTGAGCCCTTAGCCTCGGTCACAAGAGAGGTCGGACTCCATAATTTAACCCTAGTGAATTGGAGAAAGCTAATCGAGTGTTGATACTGTGGAAACTCGGTACATAACTTTGGTCCGCAAATAGCACAAGCACATGTTGCATCCACAAATGCGATCGCAATTTCCAATGTCTGCTGGTGTTTGATACAAGGTATCTTGGAAGCCACTAAAAATGTTCGGAATATCCGTAGAATAAAATCTAAAAGACTTGTGGAATCTTATGTATTGATTGGTTGACGGTATCACTTCCTCCTGGGTATTATCCGGCCCCGGAAAAAACAAAAAGAAACCCCATCGCCTAGGAATGAATATTTTCAAAAAAAAAAAAGAAAGAGAAAAACATCTATCACACACAATCAATCATCAGCCCCGCTATTGGCTTGGCTGAGCCCGCCAGATCCTCAGCCTCAGCCGTGTCTAGCCCCATCGAGCCCTAATCGGCTATCTCCTCGCCCCAACTGGAAACCCTCCTGAGGGTTGGTGTACTATAGATATCCCAGAGGTGCTCATTCCAAGGGGTCGGCTTTGACTGCGTACTCACCGCTGGTACAGCTGACTCCATAACCGCGACTGATAGCCAATCCAGGCAGAAAATCACGAGGATATCCACGGGTACCACCATGCTTTCAATTTTGGTAACGTGGACCCTCCAGACAAGAACCATTGCAAACCAGAAAAATACAAAGTTGTACCCTTCTTTCACCCCGACCCGCGACATCCATCGCGCAAACACAGCGAGCACGAAATAGTCGGCCTCGAGCTCGAGAACGTAATTTCCCGCTCGAAAAGTCCTCCACGCAACGAATGTCCAGATCAAGAAGGTTTTGGCCTCGTAGCCATTCATAGCCAGCTTCCATATCCTCGACGCTGCCCAATGCACCACAATGCCCAGGGAAATTCCAGCAAATAGTAACTTCCACTGCTGGTGTGCGATAATCACGAGAAAAACAATTCCATATGGCAGATACAGGATGCTGAAATACTTCGCCAGATATGGCAGAAGAAGCTCACGCATCCAATTTCTCCATTCTTCAAATGAGGAAAACCAGTATCGCAGAACATACCAAACAATCACACTCCGAGCAAGAGGAGTGTAATCCTTCGCGAGCAGGAAGTAGGCATTGGAGATGACTGCCGTGCAATCCAGCGCTAGAATGTACCACATCGACCATTGTACATTCGAATCAAATATCCAATCAGGAATGCTGTCAATCACCCATCTCCATCCTCGACCCATCCACCCCGGCCGAAGTAGAAAATCGATATTCACCCCTTTCCATTGGCATATCAGTATGACGGTCCGTATCGTGACCCATCCCAACGCCTCCTCGGCGAGAAGCTCACGCTGTCCATGGACGAGGAGCTCAAAAGCAGCCAATGCAGCCAAAACATCGATGACCCAAAGATCCCATCGAGCGAGCATAGCGACCAAATAGGAATGAATGATCGGAAGACGTAAAGCGTCTGCGAGCGGGGTGAGTAATGAACTAGAGTCTTCTCCACCGGGGGTCACAACAAAACACAGGACAAAGAAACCGGCCATGAAAGCCACGCCATGCGAGTACATCTCATTATCAAAAAGCCAAGCGCAGACCATGAAGATGACAGCAAGAATGATCCACGTATACCAATGCCATTCATAACTCGTTTCATACACCCCATGTTGAGGCCCAGAACCCATCTTCCCGTCTTGTTGTCCCCTGCCACCACCATCGCCAACGGACGTGGGCTGAATACCGCTCAGCGTCCCCTGAACACCTTGCTGTAAGAATTGCATCGCCATATGTTGACCACCATCGTCAGCATCCTGCACATACGGCTGCCGGTAATTCCGGCTCTGATTCTCCGATCCATCCCGCTTCTTATCCACCTTCCCGCCAGCCTTCTCATCAATCAAGAGCCGAATCCTATCCCTCTCCTCATCCGGCACAACATCCTTCTTCCGCCCACCCATCCCAACCTTCAAGACCTCATACGAAGTCATCCAAACATCAACCGAAGCCCGCAGCAACACATCCCTCAAAACGTCCTGATAAGCCTCATACCGTTCCACCAAAGCCCTCGCCCGCCCCCAATCATCCTCAAGAACATGCACAAAGTCCGCGAGGAACTGCGCAAACTGAATAACAACCACAAGGTCCAGGCTCGGGTGTAGCGGAACAGAAACCTCCTTGAAGAACCGCAGAATGCCATCGCGGAGCATATCAGCACCAATTTCGCTGGAATATTGCATGGTGAAGTCAAGCATTTCATAGAAGCGGGATGTGGAAATTGATATCACGTTTTTGCGGCGCGGCCAGGATTTCGATAGTGCAGACGGGTCGCGGCATTCTCTCCAGATATCGGGTTGGGAGTAGATTTCTTTGATGGGCACTTTTGTTGGGTCGAGGGTGTAGCCTAGGAGTTCGTTTGTTGCGAAGTTGAAGCCCAGGACGAGTTTCGTTTCGCGGAAGGGGCTGTTCTCTGGGATTGGGATTACTTGGAATATCACGATTGGGGCGGGGCTGGCTTTGAAAGTGGTTAGGAAATCGCCTTCCCAGAGTTTGTCGTAGGAGAGAGGTTCGATTGTGGTGGTGTCTTTCTGATTCGCGGGTTTTTGGGTTAGGAGGGATGTGCGTCTGGTGTCTTTGTCTCGGCCTTGTTCGGCGCGTAGGAGGTACATGTAGTAATCTTGGGGTTCGGGTTTCTGTTCACGGCTGAGGTTGGTGGACATGGTGAATTCGTCGGCGTTGACTCTTGAAAGGTTGGTGTCAATGTGTTTATATGAGGACGGCATGGTGGATGTGAGTGAGATACTGCGTCAGCCGAGCGAGTGGGTGTGTGAGGGAGGTAGTAGTAGGTCCTTTGATAGAACTTGAAGGTGAAGTACCCTAACCAGTAGGAAAGCTGATAGGTTCTCATCAATTAGGACTACTAATGTACAGCTGGGCATACTCTCTAGAATGACAGAAGAATGCAACTACTTCGTTCATAAACTGGCAGGGGCTCTGTATTTAACTAGCACTCTATTGTTCGCTTCGAACGGGCTTCTATGTTTGATTTCGAGATAAAGCGGAATTTCCCTTTCACGTATATTGTTCAACCATGGTAACGAGTCCCAGAAGCGAGATGGCGTGTTCTATGTCAGAGCATAAAGACTGTCAATGATGGGTGTAGATATACAAAGGATGAAAGTGGAATTCCGAGGATAGTCAATGGAATTGGTCAGACCCGACCTTTGTTTAGGTCGAGGTCGGTTTCGGGATCCGAGATGGAGCTAAAATTAGACTTAATACTGCCCAGAACGTCGGAACCATACTACTACTGGTAGGGATAGTTGATAGAGTAGTTCTCGAAACCAGTTACTCATATTTAGTCTAAAGAGTAATCTGAGTGGGTAATCACTAATTTTTCTATGTTTCTCAAGCCTCTATTACTCACTATAACTTTTTATCATCTCCAGCCCTATGTAAGAATAGCTCTCCTTAAATAATAATGGATTATTGTAAGAATTATGATCACTTATTTGAAAACTTCAATACGTACTATGTGAGCTAATGAGCAAGAATGGCCTTGACCTTGAAGTTCACAAGGAATCAAAATAAGTATCGCTCGATAATTTGTGGAAGACATCAGAAGACTGGTCAAGAGTTCTAAGAAAACCATGTCTGATTATGAAATACTCAAGAGCAAAAAATGTCTATATAACTAAGTTGGTGTTGAGAGCTTTGAAACATTGTTCGTATTACAGGTTAGTTCATGGCGAGAGTAAGTTTCCGCGATCATGGATACTGTGTCAATATACCCCACATATCTTCAAACGAGACTGTTTCACTTCAAAACAATCGTACGTAATTGTATTCTTCATGGCGAACGCCAGCAAGTCCAATCCTCCAAGGATGTAGAAGAATCAAAAGAAACTTCTTGTCACGAGCTTTTGGAGCGGTAACGACGAAACACACAACTAGGCCAAAAAGCGTACACACGCTAAGATACGCTAGTAATAAATATGCACTTTGCTTTTCCAGTCACATGATAATCGGTAGTTCATGGCGGGCGTCGGTGAGTCAGAAATAACCTGTACCAACGGCCATCACAACAAATTCAGATAGCCTAACATACCAGCACCGAATCTATAGTATTTCAGGCTTGCGGAGACGACATGGAAGGAGCGTGGGAAACGACTTATCTTCCTCAGGCTATACCCCGTTGTCTCAGACAGATGACACAATCGCCACCATTATGTCTAGTTCAGCAAAAGGATTTCGAAGCGATCGAGATTTTGAAGAAACATGGAAAAGATTTAGGCTGCTCTTCTCATTATATAAATCAGGCTAGCAATCTTGCATCCGGATTGTCTGACATTATTGTCATTCTCGAACGCCCTCGATCTGAAAAGTCACATCCCCCCAACCAAAGCTTTGGTGACTTTGTGAAAAGCCGTGACACTTTAAAAGCGGTGGATGAGCTTCTCTGCTTTGCTAGTAGAAGGACTCGGGATATTGGTACAGTTACTGTGGTCGACGCATTCTCATTCCAAGCTGAAAAAAATAACTCGACGGCAAACCTCAGATGCGAAGAAACCTTTCTACAATTTCTACAGATGAAGAGACCACAAGTTATAATTCACTGTACGAACTCGAGATATAAGAGTGCTTGGATGGATAGATTCAATTTCGGTGGTGAACTGTACCGAGTACAGAGCGAACACATCGAAATTGTCGAGGGCCATAACGCCATCGTTATACCTTCTTTTCATCCTTCTCATGCTATATACCATAATGAATACCGACTGGAGCTTCGAGTTTTACTCATGTATCACTTTGCCTTGGCATTCAATCTACTGGGTGGTAATGCCGTGATTCCGTGTTGTGAAAACAAGATTCAGAAGCTATGTCTCTACAAGGGAGAGAGGAAAGAAGATAAATCTCCCCCCAGTGACTGGGAGTTGGCATCGTGCATATCAGATAAAATCAACAATTCTTATTTGCATCATGGAAAAGACATCGTGCCACTCTCAAGAGACGTCATTGCCGACGAAAGCCTTTCAGAAAGAATTATCAGAGAATGCGACAGCTTCGATTCCTTAAGTTTCTGGCTTACCCTTCTTCTCCAGAAGCCATATAAGTTTGAACTTTTTGGCCTTGCATCGGCCCAGTTTCTACTGCAGAGGAAGATGAACCATCCCAATTCCCTCTATTTAAAGGTTTCATTCGCATTACGTGACCTGATAACAGAACGCGACCACTGGTTCTTCGAATCAGACGACACAAATTCAACTGATATAGAAGGGAACTTATCAGTACTTACGATTCAGGATGGCCCGCAAATATCTAGTCCCATAAATTTGAATCGCAAGGCTTGTGAAGCCATTCAAAAAACTCTAAATAATGTTCAGAGCGGCGGGGCTCTGAATTTTTGTCTCAAGAGGCCTCAGTATTACTCCGCTGTTATTCTACACAGCATCGTCATGGGTCGGTATCTGGATAGTTTGCAAGGAATCAACATTTCTGCAGCCTTGCGCATGGAAGCACTCACAAAACGCTGTTGGGTTATCAATGAAACGATACAGAAACAGAGTTATGAGGAGGGGGAGCTACCATCTGCCGAGGTACTTTTTCACCTCAATCGTTTGTTGGAATGTCTCAGAAAGTTGAGAATGGAGGTTGAATCTATTCAAGAACCTTGGAATGGATGATTTTATTTAACCTGACCCCTCGTGAACGATATGTCAAACTCAACAAGCTGCAATTTCGAGGCTAGTATGCCTCGGGGATTTTCAAGATACCTTTGCTCTTGCTTAAATAGCTTCTTTATTTGTCTTGCTGCACACACATAATCCTAGCAAAATGACTATCTTGCTGCCAATATCCTCCCCCATCCTCCTTACCAACTTGAAATTGAACTTTATAGTATCATCTGTATGCGATGTCCTTGTCTTATTTACTACTGCGCGGTCTTAATGCCTCGCCAACAGGTTTTGTGTCCCCCTTGCTCCTTTGTCCTCATCTTGCGTTCAGGTTGTTCAGCTTTGAAGTCGTTGGAATGCTTTAAGGAAGTCCAACACAGGTCCCACTTTCGTTACCCTCGGAGCACTGTTGATCTAACGGGCAATTATGAGGAAGGAGGAGGATGCCAGGGAGGAGAAAGGGAATCACAGAGCACCTGTACGTCAATTTAAATGTATACTGCATTCTTTGGCTTGTAGAATCTGTATCATAAACTACCTACAGGTACAAACTTTCGATGGGATGGCCGGATATGAATTCGCCACCCATAATATGCATTGGGGCATTGTGCTTCGCCCCCGGGTCGTATTTTGGTTTTAATACATCCACAATGTTCGTGTATGAATCACTATTTGTTGAAATTATAAATTGGCAGACCCCAGGAAGTCAACCCTGGTGTTTCACGAGGTACGATTCTTACCGTTGTATATGGGGCTAAGTAAATAAGGAAATAGATCATCCCCGACAGCCCGTAATGAGCCGGTGGCTGAACGCGGCTCACTTTCCATAGATATCTCGAAAAGTTCTTCTTTCCCTGCTAGACATCTCGTATTGCCTGCTTGTGAACTCTCTATAGTATATATTCAAGTCTATACCTATATACCGTTACTATTAGATACCCATCTCGGTATTCACTCCCACAACATCTAACCTTCAAACCCAAAGTCCAGCCCCACGGGAATTCTTAAGAAGGTCCTGGCAATCTCCTGAGTTGCTTCTTGGCAAAATCCTTCAGCGATCCATGGGTACTTTCAAAATTGCGAACTTGAAAAATGGATACTGGTACCTATCCCCGGAGAATTCGTAGCCGAATATGTAGTTTGGCTATTTCTCACGCATTGAAATAGTACCTTGACTCTACTATTTGGACTCCAATTACATACGCGATTATAATAGCCACGAATAAAATGCTCGATCCAGGGGAGTAGAGGGAGGATGTAGTTCCACAATGCTGGAGCCGATCTTCTTCTCTGGTGCCAGGAAGTCTGTGAGCAATGCCAAACTACCACTGACAGAAGGCATCATCTTTTTACGATCGCCAGGACCCCCAACAATGATAAAAAAGTATAATGTTGACCATACCTCACTGAACTAAGATTGACAGACGTAGCGGCCCCAATGTGGTATTTTCATATGTGGCGAAAAGTAATTACTGGGGCCCTAGCCCCAAAAGGGGCCAGCACATCTTGCTGAGCTGTGCTCCCCTCGCATCGGATATATCCTGTGAAAGAATATAAAAAGAGTCTCTTTCCAGCCTGTCAAGGTTATAGATATAACATCTACCTAGGTACCCTCTTGATCTATCTCACTAACTTCGGGCCAATCGACGACATGCATTTACAGCTGTTCATCTTGCCGCTCTGTGTCCTCGGTACGTTGGCTATTATTCCATACCTGTCATCTCGTTTCGCGTACTATGTGCTAACAATATACATAGCGCGGGAAGCATTGGCTTTCCCTAAAAATGTGATACTTCACAATAATTTGAAGCGCAATGATTCTCATTCTGGAATTACCGACGAAGAGAAAATCAAAGCTCTTTATGCGGTTGGCGCGGCAGTTGACAAGACCAAGGACAAGGAAGACCCCGTTCTTGCGAAGGCGCGGAAACTTGATCTCTGCAGCACGGCCCACATGAACAAAGACGCTTGGAAAGAGCTTGATATGGATGGATGGATTAAGCAATTGTAAGTGGGCCTGTACCTCTCTATGTACAAAGACTTATAATTTCCAGTGTGTCCGATTATCCTAAAAACCCCCAGGATAACGGTGTCAAAGTTATTACTCAAGGGGCTGCTGGGACCTTCCCCTCGTATCTCGGGCAAATCGCTGGGAATATGGGGAACTTTCACTGCAACTCGGCAGATTGTGACATCGAAGGCATTCAAGATAAGGATAAGTGTAGCGAGCACCCGATTATATACTTTGCCTTAGAAAGCTTATCAAACTTCAAGGATTGGCAACATGGTATGGGTGATGCCTTTGAGCAAGCAGGTAATATATGGAACGGAAAGGCAGAGATGATGATGAAGGACTTTACAAAGTATGAGGTTAAGGATGTATGGATAAAGGACATCGATGAGATTATTCTAGGAGATTGCTAACATCTCACTAGGTCTTGAACAACTCAGGTTTTATCATTGCTGCCGGGGTCTTGGGATTTCTGAGTGCACTACTCGGTCCCGCTGCAGCTGCTTCCTCGGCATTCCTTTCGGGTGCTCTCGTCGGTACTGCTGGGTTTATATCGACTCTATCGGATAACGCTCTTGAGATGTACGTTACTTGAGCACGCCCTGAAATTTGCGCTAATTCTAATCCACATTACAACCAGGATCGAAAAAAGGTTTGATGATCAAGCTACGATACATGACACCCTTGCTCAAATCCAAGATGCAAGCCACATCGGGTTCAATAAAACGGCCAATATGGTCCTGGACGCCAAGCCCAACGGATCGTGGGGAGATAAAGACACCATTCCGTTCGAAATTCTGATCGGGGGTAATTTTGCAGCGGCCCTGGATACATCCGATCGTGCCAAATTCGACGATGTGGCTGACCAAGTCTATGCGTCAACAATTTTTGCCACTAGCTGGTATCTTGAGCAAGTATTTATCGTCAAAGCGGCTAAGACAATTGCTAGTCATGATCCTTGCACGGCAAAATTGGATTTCTTGAGTGACGCCCGCATCTGCATTGACGATGTCGCATATATCTTCGTCAAGACAGGCGATATTTCTAAACTCTATCCAGATAATGACTATCCCAAAGTTCAAGGAATAGACAAGCTTAAGGATTATGGATTGGATGCAAAGGCTATGATACGCGCCGCGGAATGGTTTGACAAGGAGTTCGGACTGAAAAAACCCTCCAATAGTGACCTGAAAGACTACATGACTGGGAACAAGAAAGGCCCCCCCCGGGAACCTTTGGGTCAGTCTACCAGTGATCGACTATGAAAAGACCCCTTCTATCAGCAGAAATGCCTGGAAGATATATGGTTCAAGCTGGTCTAACCCTTGGGTGCGTGACGATTCCTCTCCTTACCATTATTTACTAACAGTCTTCGCAGGAGCGCCTCCTCAACAACTGCCAGCTGTACATCAAGGACAAGAAAGACTGGCCTTACAAGAGCATGGGCCCATACTGAGAAAAATGCATTTCAGGTACTTAGGTCATTTTGTGAACCAATGTGGATTTGGATATCAATAAGCTTCTTACTACTATGTATCCCCCATCAGGGGAACGCTTCAGATTCATATAGCCCGAGAATTCTGGGAAACTCTTTTGAGATTAATTAGTTCATTGACAGTTCTTAAGCTCTGATTCACTGTCTTGTCTTTTTAGCTGGCTCCGTCGTATACTGTTGGCTGGTTTTAAGCGATGATCAACTTTCTTAATTCAATCTCAATTAGTCCCATTTCAGGTGGTCACGTTTTGTACTGAGTTATTTAGTCTTCATATCATTTTGTAGCAGCTAGAACTTCCTCCTCTTCAGATTAGGCCCCGATAATATCAAAGGCACGAAGGTAACGGGGTTTACTACGTCAGCGAGCTTAATTTAGGAGAGGAAACAACTCTGATAGGGACATCACTGCTACATGGCGGGGAAGAAGAAGAAAATAAAGTGCGAAGAGATTGGCTTAGGCTGATGGGATGGATGGTCACATAGACCAACGGAACGCTGCGAAAGGTTCGATGTACTCCACGAACATATTGTATCCTGGCGTTCCGGGGAGAGGACTTGATCGAGCCTCTCATTGAGCGCAGAGTAGACGCCCAAACAGACGACCTCAAACGCCATCAGGCGTGAAAAATGCATGCTTCTGGTGAGACCGTTGATTAGTGAATAATAATGAACGATGGAAGATCGAGATCAACGTTGATGGATATTATCAATAGATACCAAGTGACAGAGAGAGAATGCCAGACGCAGCTAGAAAAGAGCGCATCGACCAGGGAACAAGATACGATGACGCAGTTTAAGTTTAAATGAGCTGTCCGCACTTGTATTCGGCTCTAGTGCCCGTTTGGCTGAAAAGAGTTCATCAATTCACTGGCCTCGATATTGACCATGCGGCAGCCGGTTCGCAGGATGAGAATATTTCGCTCGGCCTCATGCAGGCGTTCCAGCAACGCCGATAGCTGTGCTTCAAGAAGAGAAAGCCGAGCCGAAAAATTACGGGCAGTCGCTATGAGGATTCTTCAGTTAATCGTTTCCTGAACTGGGCTGCGAAGCAGCCCAAGGATACGGCGCTACGCAACGCTTATTAGAATTTCCTTCGTTGGAGCTTGATACTAGCCAAACGGCAAAAAAGGGGTGCAGAACGGGACTTACCTGCTCATTTACTTCCCCCCTTAGACGGTGGAAATCCGTCCAGATAGGTGTAGGAGCCCGATTGGCATTGGAGGTGTTCATTTTGATGATGGTACGCGAAATACTTGTAGATGGATTGAAAGCAAAGATGAAAATGCAAAGACCCTCAGAGTATATAATCTTGCAATACTACGAGCAGGCAGGCACGGTCATGTCCTCCACATTAAGAAAGTTTCCAATTCTGGTGAATAAAAATAAGACTGCGAATTATAAGAGAAATCGGAATATTTAGAGCATGACGATATCAATAAGAATTTCACGAGGGTATCATGCGTATCAACAAATATCATCCAAGACAAAATAGTCAAAGGGGGTGGATCGAAATCCAAAAGAGAGCACAACAACAACGGCACATGCCGGAGGCTCCACCTTCTCATGGTACATATTGGTAGTTTTGATTCCAAGGCTCCAAGAGTTTAATGCTAGTACCATGGTAAATGAGAGAGATGAAGGAAAAGTTTTGCGTGTGGTGTTGACCTAGAACAGAGTAGGGAGGCTGATATAGGTCGATCTCGAATGCCTAGCTAAGGGCTGGGACAGAGGTGTACTACAAAGTCAACCTTACCTAGGTATATTATATGCCCAGGTGACGAGGATGGAGGACGAGATGGATGGATGAAAAATTAATAAATGTAATAGGTTGGGCGTGTGAAAGAGGAAGAACTGGAAGAAGAAGCTATTCAGTAAGAGCAAAGGCATCCTGAAAAGCCTAAGTCATACCACTAGTAGTATCTAGCAAGATAAACTATCTGATATTCGTCAGCTTGGTGGTCAAGAATCTTTCCACAGTTTCAGAGTCATTGAACCATCCGAACCTCCAAAATTGACCATACGAGATCAGAACTAGTCTGAAGTGGTGATTTAGTAAAGAATACTTATACTTACCCCACACACGTGACGTGACAAAGCGGGCATCACCAAAGCCAAAACCAACGGCCACCAACCTCACCTCTACTATCCACAAGCCACCCAACAAAACACCACACACGCAGTTGAATCGATTCAACCAAGACACGAGCAAACCCCACAACCCCTTCGAACCAGACCATCCCACCAAAATGGCCGCCCAAATAATCACAATCAACCCAGAAGCCTTCACAGAAGCCCTAAAAGAACTCCCCCCTCTCAGCCGTCTACGCCAAAGTCTCCGAGCTGCGCAACTCAATCGCACACCTGCACCGCTCGAACGCCGAGATGAAGGACTTCCTAGAGGCGTCGCAGTCAGACGAGGAGAGGAGGGAGATGGAGGGGTATATTCGTGAGAATGAGGGTGTTTTTGCTTCGATGCGGGAACGGTTGGATATGCTTCGGGTTGAGGTTGAGAGGAGGGGGCAGTCGTGGATTGAGGAGGAGGGAGATGGTGGTGTGAAGGGGGAGAAGGAGATCGGTGATGCGCCGGCTACGAATGGGGACGCGGGCCATGACGCTCGGTCTGGGGGTGATGCGGAGGAGGGTGTTTATCTTTGAGGGTCGGTTGATGGAAACCACTCCTTGCTACACCTCTGTTTGCCACTAGCGATTGGATGAATGGTCGCGGAAAGGGCGGCCCTGGATGCTAGCGACCTCCGACGAGCCGGGACTTTCTTCACAAGGGTTGGCCATGGTAAATGGCAGCGGAATAAATCAGCACCCCGCCCTACCCTCCAGATGCTGATAAGCATATTGACACAACCTCCACTCCGACCGTAACTACCACAAAGCTGCGAGAAGATCTTCAAAGAAGGAGCTCCAAGCTACCCGGCCAAGGCACCCGACTACGGAATACATACTACCGATATAGAAAGATACAGTGCGCGCTGCTGGACTGGACTCGTTATTCTATCGCTCCCGATCATGCTGTAAACTAAAACGGCCCAATGATGGATGAGACCGGAATCGAAGGGGGAGATATGCAAAGATCATGATAATAAAAAACACGAAAAAGAAAAAAAAAAAAAAAAAAGAGAAAATATTCACACCGCATGCTAAATGCTCAAAGCCCCGGATCTCAGTCGTATCATCGGCGGATTCGATTCGTCCATTTTCCCGAATGGCAGCAGTAAGAAAGAAGCAGAAACACGAACGCAAGACAGCGCGGCCCAACGCCGGGTTGAAGAACATGTCATGGTCGTAATAGTAAGAGAAAGGTTTGCATGTGATAGGGTAGGGTCAACTATCTGTGCTCCAGAACCTGCGGAGCTTTTCAGTTGGTGGTCTGTTGAGCCCAGTGGCCACCGTTCAGCGCCTCGGGTGGAACCCGTTGCTGCTTGATGAAGAGATCAATCAGTGGCTGCATCGGCTCCATCTCCTTATCAGAAACGAGCTGGTAGTACTTGGCAACGGTCACGAAGTGGACGAAGCACATGTTGAGGATATCGTGCTTGTTGATGTGCCAGAAAGGATTGAGCCAATGGGCGTGGTACAGATGCGCGTAGCAGCGGAACATCTGCTTCATGATACCCTGGCAGTCCTTGTAAAAGGTCTGGGGGAAACCGCTGGACTTGCCGATCCAGTCCTCTGCGGACGGGTTGGTGCTGTCGGCAGGGGTTGCGGGGGTGCTTGAGGCGGCGCCGGCTGCATCTCGGGTAGATGAGGTTTCGGGAATGCCGGTGACATTCTCGGTGGGGAACATGACAGGGTCGTGGATCTTGCTGACAATCCACTTCTCGACGCGGTTGATGAACTTGGGTGCGGAAATCTTGGCGGCACGGCCGTCAACGAGCCAGGTGTAGGTCAATCTGTAGATCCCGGTTTGTTAGCACTCTCGAACCCCAGATCTATACCCCGCCAAATTGTTTAACATACCGGCCAGCAGACATTGTGGGGCATGTTTGCTCGTTGCAAATGGGGAATCCATTTACAGAGTTCACTTCCTGGATGACTTGGAGCATGCCGTGGAGTAGACGATATTGTTCGACAACTGCGACAGGTCAGCATCCAAGTACGGTATAACCATGGACCAACACCACTTGTTTATCGCTTACTCTGATGGGCCAACCACTCGCCCAATTCCACATTCTTCGGACAAGCACACAGGGTCAAGAAGTTGCCTCTCACATTAAGCGGGGCATATTTCTCCTGGAAGAAGTACTTGGGGGCATCCGGGTCGTTAGCGGCGATGTTATCGATCGTGAGGCTATTGGAAAGCGAATGCGAGTTCGGCATGGCGGGAGCTTGAGCTTGTACGGGGCTCTTGGGAGGGTTGTTCTTGTTGTTTCCACCCGGCCAAACCCTTGGCGACTGCAGGAAGATCGAATGTTAGTGATCAGATCGAAGATGTATGAGGGGCAATCAAAGCTGCGGAGTTCAGGGCACAGCTCGAAACGAGGATGGTAGTAATATAGTGAATGGAAGGGAGAGTATTTAAAGAAGATAAGAGCAAACACTGCGCGGCGAATAGACTTTGGGGAAAATCCGGAATGCTGCACTGTTTGGTGGCGCCGGGTGCTTTGTGATGCAGTATGAGGGGAGGGGGGGTGAGCGAGAGGCAATGCCCCGCGGGAAGAGGAAAACCCATGAAAGGGAAAACGAAAGCGGCCATCTCCAGCTCCGCATAGTAATACTTACACACTCTGGAAAAACGTAGCCATTGTGTAAAAGATATTGAATTGACAGAGAGATGCGAAATCCACAGGGGAGGTGACGGTGAGTGTTGCTCCTCCTTTTGGGGCCTGGCACGAACTAGTCCTGTTTAGGATTAGTCACCCGGGACAATGGAGGAATAGTTAGTCCGTTCGGCGCGGAGACAGTCTTGACTCGCGCGAACTTCAGCTCTTAATTAGTACCTGGATTGATTGGAGTTTCCTATTCTCTTTTCCCATTTCTTGTTCTCCCAATTGGTCATTTTCTTAAATACAGCGCACACTTATCTACGCAATGTCCTCGGATGAGGAGGCAGTTCGCCGCCCCGGCCGCAATGCTGCTCAAAGCCCTGCCCCAAGCGACGGAGACAAGAGCCCTTTCGGAGCTGGTGATCAGATGGATGAGGATGACGATGCCGATCTTTTCGGCTCCGATGGTGGTGGTTCAGATGCTGGCCTCGATAATGACGAGTAAGAATGAATTCTCAACCCGCATTACGAAAAAACAAGCGAGCTAACCACAACATTTTAGTCGAGGCCGTCGCAATTTAGACGATGAACAATTAGATTCCGGCGATGATGAAGGCCGTGATGATCGCCGTGATCGTATGGATGTCGGTGCCGATGTGGGCGACTTTGACGAAGCAGAAGTCAATATCATGGACGTGAGCCTGGCGCGGGCGCCAGAGCCTGTGACCAGTGACGGGGAGGTATGGCGCTCAATCAAGACCTAAACTTCTTTCTTGGCGTGTATGTACTGACTAGTATCTCTTCACTGCTAGATCTACACCATGCGTGTCCCTGATTTCCTCTCCATCGAGGCGGAAGAGTTCAACCCGGAAACCTACGTCGCTCCTCCCTACTCCACCGCGGCCACATCACTATGCTGGCGCAAAGACCCCAATGACGATTCCCAGCTACAATCCAACGCCCGCTTCGTCCAGTGGGAGGACGGCTCTATCACACTCCAGCTCGCATCCGCCCCACTCGAGCAATACCGCATCTCCTCCAAACCCCTCGCACCCCTCGACAAGTCCGGCAACTACGATCCCAAACTGGACTCTCACGTTTACCTTTCCGCCGCCATGGAGACCGCCTCGGTCTTCCGACTCACTTCCCACGTCACACACGGCTTGACCGTTCTCCCGACTGCCATGGAGACCGATGATGCGGTCCAGCGACTGCAAGAATCCCTCGCTGCTGCTACCCGTGGCAAAAAGACGACGGTAGATGGCTCGGCGCCTGTCATTGATGTGAAGGAAGATCCCGAAATGGCCGCGCGCAAGGCAGAGCTCGCGGAGAAGGAAGCCATGCGCGCCGAGCGTCGCCGGCAACAGCTGGCGGACCGTGAGGCGGACCGTGGTCGTCGTGCGCCTGCTCCCCGTACTATGGGTACTGGTCTTAGTATCGGTGCTCTTGAGGATGGATTGTCGACTCGTCCTCGCGGCAAGCAGCGTCGTCCTAACCGCCGTGGTGAGATCTATTCCGACGAGGAGGATTATCGCGGTGGTGGGCGGACCCATGAGGATGAGTATGACGAGGATGATGGGTTCCTGGTTGGTAGCGATGAAGATGTTGAGGATGGTGAAGATGACGACGAGGAGGAGGAGATTCTGGACGACGACGAAGATGCTGAGGGTGAAGCTGATGATGAGGTTGCTCCCTCCAAGTCTGCACGTAGCAAGCCCGCGCCTGAGAAGACAGGAACTCCTCCGCAACGGAAGAAGAACCGTTACGTGGTGGATGATGATGACGAGGATGAGTGATTTACAAAATATCCTTTTATTTCTCTTTTTGGTCTGCACATGGCCCGGCGTCGTATCTACAAGGCTGGAATTTCGAGGGTCTTTATTCATATACCAAACTTAATGAAATGGTCGACGATCATGCATTGTATTTTGTAGCCACTAGTACTGCCTAGGTAGGTAGGTTACTAGTACCCTATCTATATCTACTACAAACTTGAAATATCAGGGAGTCGGAAGCTTAAAGGGACTATGAGTGAAAAGCAAAATATTGTTTGAAATTCGAGCCCTTCCAACCTCAGAAGGTTATATATTTTCAAATGCTCAAACATTAAACCTCTATTTTAACAGCAAACAGGGCTTGAAAGAACTGGTATCAAAAATTTCAAGACAAGGACATCCACTCACAACCGCGATAGAAAACAAGAAACACCAACACCAACACCCATGATTTATTAATTCATCAATGACCTGACTTGCTTTGCATATCATCAGGAATAACCCCCTCCGGAAAATCCTCAGGCTCAAACTCGAACTTGGCAAGTACAGACCGAGCACTCCCCACAACACGAAGACAAAGAAGCTCTTTCTCATCACACTCCCCATTTTCACCTGACGCGTGAGGACCAAGAGGGCCAGGGCGCATCGGATTGTTGTCTTCAAACGGGTGTTGACCAGGACCATGCCAGCGCCGTTGACGATTTTCAACTTCCCTAATTAAGGACAGCAAGTCCGGCTGTATGGAGCAAGGAGTGCCCGCCTCAGCGGCAAGAAAGCCACCAACAACGGCTCGGCGGACGATTTGACGAAGCCAGCTCCTCCAGAATTGCGCTGGGTCTTCACTTTGCAGTGCCATGGAGACAAATGCTGGTGGGGCGGTTTGCATACCTAGCTCGATGGGATCGGTGTTCCATATGCGGAGCCAGGCGTCGGCAACGGTTGTTAACAAGGTTCCTGTGAACATGACATTTTGGATGCCCGTTGCGAAGACCTTGGGACATGATTCGCAGCGAATTACGTCGCGGGCTGTTCGGGCTGCGATGTAGAGGGAGCAGATGGTGTGGGAATTGACGGGGAATGAGGCGACGGAGGAGATATGGCTGAGGCAGAGGTATAAATAGGAGAGACATGTGCATTGGGGTGTTGGGTCGGAAGCGGTACTCATGGGCGGGGTGAGAGGGAGGGAAGCCGCATCTAGGAAATTTGAGGTTGAAGAAGTTGGCAATGGCATGGCTAGGGTGGCTGTTGCTTCGGTGACGGTGGAGAAGTCGGGCCATGGACTCGATGAGGCTGGAACGGGGACATTGGGGTTCTTCAGACGATCTGGTCGCCAGCTGTGATTGTGTTGTTCGTCGTCCGCTAGTAGGTCGGGGTAGGGCTGTGATGATGGCGAATGGCCGCCGGCGCCGGCGCCGGTTTGCCAGAAGAGCTGTGGACAGAGTTGGTGAGAGAATGGGGTAGCGTATGACTCGAATGGCATCCCCGGAGGAGTCTCTTCTGGACTTGGCCAGATGTTGTTGTTCGTTTGCGTGGGGTATTCGGGCCCCTCATCATCGGTTCGTGCTCTCTTCTTTGGTCGTCCCATTTGTTTTTGGACGGAGTAGTGACATATTATAGACTGCTTCAGACAGCGAGTACAACCTGACAAGTCGCCTGAGCATTTCAGCTTTCGTTTCCCTGGAAATAGAAAACATATAATCAGCATGTCCTAGGGCGCCTATAGAGTGGGTTGGAGAAATATTTTCGCCCGAACTTACTGCACTCGTCGCAAGCTGCATGTAATTTAGGCTCCATATCGGAGATTGGTATGCCGTCAGCCATGGCTGCCATTATGGAGCATTTCCTTTGTTCGACAGGGGAAAAGCAGCATTCACAGAAATGAAGTTGTTGCAAGTTCCAGACGGAGGGCGGTTTGGTCATCATGCTTATCGATAAGAAGCGGTCACGCCTCGAGGAGGTCCCCCAGGTCATGTGACATAGGCGGTGAGTGCTGGTTCAGTCCGCCCAGCGGAGAAAAAAAAAAGTTCGCGCGCAAGAACAACCCAAGACAATTCCAAGTTGTACGCCAACCATGGATGCTCGCAAGGCCTCGAAGAAACGCAAGGCGGTCACTCGCGATGTCGAGGAGGAAGCTGGTGTCTTCTCTGGAGATGAATTGAGTGCCGAGAACCTTGATGGTGCCCTTTCCGACAACGCAAACGACCTGTCCGAGAGTGAGGATGACGACTCCGAAATTGAATTGATTGACGACTTCAGCGACGAGGATGATGAAGAGGAGGAAGAACTGGATAGTGATGAGATTCCTTCTGATGTCGACGAAGAACCCAAGAAGTCCGCCGTCAAGGAATGGAACCCCGAGGAGCCCAATGTTCGCATCGTCAAAGACGCCAATGGCAACGAGCGTTACCTTTATGACGAAATCAACCCAGACGACAATTCGGACTACTCGGACGTTGAGGAGAATGCCAACACCATTGGTGATATCCCTCTTACTTTCTACGACCAGTACCCTCACATCGGTTATGATATCAACGGCAAGAAGATCATGCGTCCTGCCAAGGGCGAGGCGCTCGATGCCTTGCTGGACAGCATTGAGATCCCCAAGGGCTGGACTGGTCTGACTGACCCCGCCACTGGAAAGCCTCTGAACCTGACCCAGGAAGAATTGGAGCTGCTGAAGAAGGTGCAGATGAACGAGATCCCCGGCGAAGGCTACGACCAGTACGAACCCTTGGTCGAATATTTCACCAGCCACCAGGAGATTATGCCCTTGAGCGCTGCTCCGGAACCCAAGCGTCGCTTTGTTCCGTCTAAGCACGAACAAAAACGTGTGATGAAGCTCGTCAAGGCTATCCGCGACGGCCGGATTCAGCCTTGGAAGGCTCCTGAGGAGCGCGAGGAGGTGGACGAAAATCTCATCAACTTCGACCTCTGGGCCGACGAGCAAGAGCGTCCTGACCACATCATGCATGTCCCTGCACCTAAGCTTCCGCCTCCCGGATACGAGGAGAGTTATCACCCTCCTCCCGAGTACATTCCTGACAGCAAGGAGCGCAAGGCATGGGAACAGGCCGACCCCGAGGACCGTGAGAAGGAATACCTGCCCAACGACTTCGGCTCTCTCCGCAAGGTTCCCGGATACGAGAACTTTGTCCAGGAGAAGTTCGAGCGCTGTCTCGATTTGTATCTTGCGCCCCGTGTTCGACGCAGCAAGCTCAACATCGACCCCGAGAGTCTGCTCCCCAAGCTTCCCAGCCCCGAGGAGCTCAAGCCCTTCCCTACTACATGCGCTACCGTATTCCGCGGCCACAAGGGTCGTGTTCGTTCGCTCAATGTCGATCCTACTGGAATCTGGCTCGCTACTGGTGGCGACGATGGTACCGTCCGTGTCTGGGAAATTCTCACCGGTCGTCAATTGTGGAGTGCTAAGCTCAGCGATGAGGATGCCGTCAACGTTGTCCGCTGGCGTCCCGGCAAGGACGCCGTTGTCCTGGCCGCCGCCTGTGGAGACGACATCTTCCTCTCCGTGCCTCCAATTGCCGACCCCGAGATCGAGAAGGCAAGCTTGGAGGTCATTGATGCTGGTTGGGGTTACGCAGCCTCCAACCCTACCCCTCACAACCCCGAGGAAAAGAAGGCTGCACCCCCCCCACCTGGATCCGACCTTCTTCCACCCTCGCAGACGTCGGTGTCTGCGCCGTCATTCCTCTCCGCTACGTCCCCAAGTCCATCTCTTGGCACCGTCGCGGCGACTACTTCGTCAGCGTGTGCTCTGGCGCCTCAACCCCCGCCTCCGTCGCAATCTCCATTCACACTGTCTCCAAACATCTCACTCAATTCCCCTTCCGCCGCCGTCTCAAGGGTGGTGGCCCCCCCGCAAACTGCCCACTTCCACCCCTCCAAGCCAATCCTGTTTGTCGCCAACCAACGCTCCGTCCGCGGCTACGATCTCTCTCGCCAGCTTCTGGTCAAGATCCTCCAACCCGGTGCGCGCTGGATCTCCTCCTTCGACATTCACCCGACTTCATCCAGCGCCTCGGGCGGCGACAACATCATCATCGGTTCCTACGACCGCCGTCTGCTCTGGCACGATCTGGACCTCTCGCCACGCCCCTACAAGACCCTCCGCTACCATCGCAAGGCCATCCGTGCCGTCAAGTTCCACCCTGGTGGTCGGTACCCGCTTTTCGCTGATGCCAGTGACGACGGATCCTTGCAGATCTTCCACGGCAGCGTTACGGGCGACATGCTCAGCAATGCTACTATCGTTCCTCTTAAGGTTCTCAAGGGCCACAAGGTTACTGCTGAGCTGGGTATTCTTGATATTGACTGGCACCCGCGTGAGGCGTGGTTAGTCAGTGCCGGTGCTGACGGAACGTGCCGTTTGTGGATGTAATTATGGTTTCTTTCTTGGTCTCTTTTCTGCATGATACTCTTTCTGGCGTTATTGTATGTGCATAGTATTTCTTGTATAGCCATACTTAAAAGTTGTTACAACATTCATTTGGCCTCTTAGGTAACCTAGGTAAACCGGTAACCCTAGTATTGACTGCCACTGCTAAGATGGTACCGGCCGTATATCGCACACGCGGGGTGCATCTGCCCTTAGATGGTTAGCTCAGAGTCATGCCATCCCTGGAGTGAGTGGACTACTGCACCTTTCTCTATCATCACCGACACCGCAAGTCATACGCTCACCATCCCCGATGAGACCGGTGGGATCGTCCTCAATGCGGCTGGTGTCCCAAGCATTATCCGCAAGCGAGCAGACCAAACAATCCACCCTTTTACTGTCCAACCGCCAGGACGTTGAAATGGCGATCACTAGCCTTAGAAGTTGTGTATTCCGAAAGGCGGCTCGAGTTGGAGAAGATCGACGCCTTTGGCTTCAAAACCCGCAGAATGAAGTGCGATTTGCCATGGCTGCTTTCATAAACCCACGACGTAAGACCATTTCTACTGAAGGGTGGGGAGTGTGGGCTCGAACAAGCACTCAGGAACATCAAGGGGAGCAGACTGTTCATTATTCCACTGAACTTGTTCAGTCTATGTCGATCGCAAAATGATCGAGTGGAGATCATGCCATCAATGGATCTTTCAGTATACCTTTCGAGAAACTCCTGCGAAAGCCCACCAGACGTGAAAAAGACTTCGAAATGACAAAAGAAGACATCGGAAAAATTGCCAGACAGGTGTGGAGATGCGAGCCCATTATCAAAGCTCAATAGTGGGGGATGATTTACCAGCTAGGCGGAGGTTAAAAAACACGAGTTGAGACGTTCAAAAACAGTAGCGACTGCTCCTATGGCCATTCATGCGTTCTCTTTGGTGATTCTTGTATGCCCCTGTTCCTTTTCGTGTTATTTTCTTCCTATGCTGGTTTGCTCGTATGTCGGTTTGGTCATATCTGTTTTTTCGGGTGCTCGTTTGTTTCATTTATACGGCACGCTGTATTTAGTGAATATTCTCCGACTGGTCCTAAGTATACTTCTACATAATATCCTAGGGCTAGTAGGTATCCAGTCATATAAACAATACAATCAGTTCAAATTGATAGGAGAAAGTAATTTGTATTGGTAGATAGCTTCGCCGAAAGCTGACAGAAACACCCAGTCGATGATTGCGGCCATGGAGCGCGGTACTACACTTGCATGTCCACTTAGCTACTTATTGTTCTATAATCTAATTCACTTGCACTAGTAACCTCTCTCATCCCGTGCAGCTCGAAAGTCAAAACTAACCGACACACAATACTACCCAGCATGGCCCGGGCTATAACTGGAACCACATCGGCCAAGCTAATAAAAATACAGCTTGACAAAGCCACCGAGCCGAAGACAAACACAACACCCGTGGCAAGGGAGGTCAAATAGTGCACCACTATAGAAAGAACCGTCTTATCTTCTTTCGCCAGGAGGAGCGGGTCCCTTTGAGCGCATGGAATAAATTCGCCGCCAATGAACCGAAGCCACGATTTCCAACTCAGAGCCTTTACCTTCGGAGTCTCGATATTTCCAACTTCTTCCGATGCTCGGTATGATAACTTCAAGCTCATATAACCGAAAGTATGAACAGGAACAAGGAGCGAAAGCCACATGAATATCGGATAGGTCTGTGGTAGGATCCCGCTATACATCGCGATGGAAGACACAGAGACAGACCGGTACGCGAGCTGGTAAACAAGATAAAATATATTCGCAACACCAGCAGCAGCGATGATATACTCAGCCATAGAAATTAATATCCAGGGCCAAGTAGCCACAGCAAGAAAGCCGGCGCGAACTTGAAAATCGACCGGCAGACGCAAAGCTTCGGCGGGATTGGCCATGGGCCCGCCCATACTCACTGACGGCATAGCGATGCTGAGTAAGGAAGCGAGTAGTGGGCGCCGAGTCGCGAGAACGCTTACCTCGGCGACTGTTGGACCTCCTTGTTGTAGCATTGTTGGGAGAAGGCCGAGTAAAAGGGTCGTTACACCCATCTCGATTTTGCGGAATTCGTCAATTTCGTTGAGGATGCAGAGGGCTAGGTGATATCCTGGGCCGAAGGCTTTAGGGTTGTTGGATGGATCGTTGTACATGTCGCGCTGCTCGGGGCAGTCGTTGTCGATTATGTCGAGGAGATAGTTATTCCATGCTGGGAAGAAGGCTTTGAATTGGGTTGTTTGGCGTTGTCGTGCCATCGTCGGACCGACCACGGACAAAACCACCACTGCGACGAATATTGAGTTGCTGAGTCGCATTGTGAACTTGAACGCTACTACTGCGTCTTGGTAGAAAGCGCGGTGCTCTAGTCAAGGAGTTTAGGTTTCGATGGAGGGTGCCCAGGCGGGTATCTAGGTATATAAAACCTTTGCACTTGGATACTAGTACTACATAGCCTTCCAACTTGAAGGTTGGAATAGGGTCTAGGTATGTGGCACTTTGTCGTAAAACAGCCTCGTCAGAGGAAAGGGTGCCAAGTTGGGCAGTGCTAAGCCCTACCTACTCCATACGCGGGTGGAATTTACGGATGTGCTTGCCAAGGTCTTGTACTAGTAAGCCCTAGCCATGTGGCTGCAGCACTAGTGGCTAGCCGTTTAGCCAGTATGTGAGCACCATATACTTCACCGTGAGAATGACTCGGTGAGCGGCGCTTCTCGCTCTCTTAGCGCCTGGAGCAGAACAGTGAGCCTGATCCGCACTTCTTCTCGAAACCTCAAAATTGATAACTATTTCGTTCGCTAGTAGTGATCCACTAGATATAAAAGGCCAGAGGGGCTAACAGGAAAGCGGAAAAGGCCATCCCTAATCCCCACTCTGACTTGCTGTTCATCGCAATGTTTTTCTCGTATTGAATATTGAGCGAGTTGTTGTTGAACCCGACTGATCTCAACCAAGCAGGCGTGTCGCTGTCATTCACCATAACATCGGACCGCAAACTATCCACGACACCGCGAAAGGTCACATTAATGTATCCAGAAACGTGAACTACACGCTCATCAACCGTTAGGGAAACAATGACCGCGCGGGTATATGTACCCATTGACATATTGGCCGATTTGCTGTCGAATTCCAAGTTGATAGTAGGATCTGGATATGTCCAATCGTAGGAACCGCCGTTAAGTTTACTCCACGCTTTCCTATTAAGTAATCTGCCAGTCCAGTTCCTCTCGGACGAGGTATTGTTACAGTCGTCCATTTTAAAATAAAGCCAGGAATCCCGATAAGAATCACCCACTACCCCAGTAGCATTGTATGGGGCGCCGGAAGTTCGGTTGACGGAGATGTCGATCTCTTTGTCTGGGGATTCGTCGTATCCATTGAATATGCTGAGTTCGTTTAGCCTCGGACAATTCGGATTTTCTTTCCTTGTCGACGTACCTAGATGATTGTATCACCCATGCCTTAGGGGGGGACCCCGAATTCAGTGTGCGCATAGGATGATGACTTAGTGTCAGAAGCCAATGCCCAAATGTTGAGATAGAAATCAATTGGGTTCCAAACCCCGTCGAGCGGAGGCGTTTTGTCGGCAGGTTCAGTGATTGCAAGCGTCGTGTTAAATTCACCAATGGTGTGAAGACCTGCGAGATTGCTGCAATAAGTGGTAGACTGATCGACTAGCTCATTTTCTGATAGCCCGGCGTACGGATGGAATGTGATTGTAGTCGTCCCATTGTAATATCTTTGCTTTTGTTAATTGAGAAATGAATCGAGGGGCTCTGAAGCACGACTCACGACCCAACCCAATTATAAATAGTGGATGATGCGTTGGCTGGTCGGTAGCTCCACGAAGGATCGTAATTAGCAGAGTGGCTTCGACATAAAGCCGGTAAACCAAAGATCAAGACAGCAAAGGCTGCCTCAATAATAGTGGGGAACATCGTTATCCCGCGTTTTACTGAAAGACGAACAGACGCATAGTTTTAATGTAGGAAATTGAATAAATCAGGCGTCCTGCTGTTTCCCGGAAGTTCCATCAGCGTATCCCCTGCGAGCGCCAAGCAGGAAATGAGCAACTAGGATCTAACCGAGCAGTCCCTGCCAAGGAATCCGCCCCTATAGTTGACCAAAAAGGTTGGAGAGTCTCCATTTCATACGAAAACGATGGTTTACGAGTCATCAGGGTCGTGGCGCTTGGACGTTTCACTGACAAAGTTGCATTTTTGGCGCCCCCACCCCCGGCGCTGTATTGGTCTGGTCGATGGAGAAGGGAGCACTGACCGTCGGGATCCATTCAGACATAACTTGAATACGAATGAGATCTTATCCGGTCTTTGATCATAGAAGTTGAGCGAAGGAGCTCCTGGTGGGATCTTGAACAACTTGAAGATGATAGGTCTCATGGCAGCTCATCCACAACTCGAAATCTACTCCAGAGTATTTTAAGCCCACAACTTTAGCTTGAACTTGAAAACCTGAATGGTCCAAGTTTCCCGACAGCGAAAATATAGAAACTCGAAGTTGTAGATTTCGATGCTGACCGTCTATAATCATTCAAACATCCATAACATAGCCTTAGAGCCCACCTGCCAGTGGACATGCACATAGGATCGATCCATCTATATCAACGTGGTCGTCCTACCACCCCAAACAACCTCAGAAAACAAAAGAAGAGCTTGGTATAAACTGGAAAACAAGGGGAACAAAGAAAGAAAATCGCAGCCGATATCAAATCACACCACCACTCCAGTCCCTCCTCAACTTCTCATATTTCTTCATATCGGTGACACTGGGCCGGATAAAGGACTTCGCAGTAACAAAGTCCTCCAACTTGATATTATCCCGCCTCTTAATAGCAGAGTAACCAGCCCTGCGCAACAAACTACCCAAATCAGCACCAGAGTAGCCCTCACACTCCTCCGCCAGTCGGCGCATAGCCTCGTCAAAGTCAATAGGCAATTTCCGCACAAGCGTTTGCAGAATATCGACTCGCTCAAGCGGCGAGGGCAAGTTGACGAAAAGAAGTGTCTCCAGACGGCCTGGGCGTAGCATGGCCGGATCAATAATATCAGGACGATTGGTCGCGGCAATCACGTAGATACCCTGGCGACTGGAGCCCAGGCCATCCAGCTCAGTGAGAAGAGTATTCACGACGCGCGCGGAGGCTTCGGACAGAGTATCGTCACGACGAGGGACGAGAGCATCTAATTCATCGAAAAAGATAACGCAGGGCACAGAAGAGCGCGCCCGCATAAAGACCTGACGAACCGCGCGCTCAGACTCACCGACGAATTTATTCAGCAGCTCCGGACCCTTGACGCTGATGAAATTGGCGCGCGACTCGTTCGCAACGGCCTTGGCCAGCAACGTCTTACCGCAACCGGGTGGTCCCCAGAGCAGAACGCCCGTCGGCGCGGTAATACCCACATTGGCGTAAATGTCTGGGTTTTTGATCGGCTCCACGATCGCGGTGACCAGTTCCTCGCGGATCCCGCCCAGAGCGCCGATGTCGGCCCAGGTTGTATCAGGGACGGTGGCGAAGCCTTCGCGCTTGGAGGAGGGTTGAATTTTGGGTAGTGCGGTGAAGAAGTCTGCGTTTGAAATGGAGATTTCGTTTGTTTCTTCGCCGATGGGCGTTTCTTTGGCGTGTGTTATTAGTCGGCGGAGTTCGCGTACTTTAGGGCTTATGATATCGTCCTCGCCCTCGATTTCCATGTCCATGTCCATGTCTTCACCGCTGTTGGATTTGAGGATCTCTAGGTAGCGCTTGATGGCGGCTGCGCCGGCGGTTGAGACGAGGTCGTTTAGATCAGCGCCGACGAAGCCGGGGGTTCGCTTGGCTAGTGTTTTTAAGTCGAGATCGTCTGCTAGGCGCATCTTTCGCGTTAAGGCTCGCAGAATTTGCTCCCTGACTGGTTCGGAGGGAACTGTCATGTTGATCTCCTTGTCGAAACGACCACCACGGCGCAGAGCTGCGTCTAGACTGTCGGGTCGGTTGGTTGCGGCGAGAACGATGACCGGCTTGCCGTCTGTCTTTTCGAGAGCAAGTTCGTCCATGCAGGTTAGTAGCTGGGCGACGATTCTCTTTTCCATTTCTCGTTGTGCACTCTCACGCTTGGGTGTGATTGCATCAATCTCGTCGATAAAGATCAGGCAAGGAGCGATGCGCTTGGCCTCGTCGAAATGTTCGCGCAGCGCTTTCTCAGACTCACCCGACATGCCGGAGACGATAGAGGGTGCTGAGATCGAGATGAACGGCACGCCGAGCTCGGCAGCAAATGCATTGGCAATCATGGTCTTTCCGCATCCCGGCGGGCCGTGAAGTAGTACACCGCGCGGCGGTTGCACATTCGACGCCAGGTAAACCTGCGGCCGGGTCATGGGTAGGATAACCATGTCGCCTAATTCCTGCACCACGTCGTCCAGACCGCCCAAATCCGTAAGACTAACATGTGTAGGTGGGGATCGGTCCACTACAGCATCGGCCTTGCGTCTCTTTGAGGATGATTCCCCGCTGGTTCCCTTTCGTTTGGAGGAAGAGCCCGACTCAGTTTTGCGGGAGGGTGTTGTTGTTGTTGCTTTGGCCGTCGCCCATGCGCCAACAATGCTCTGGTTAACTCCATTGGCTTCCTTGGCTGGTGGTTCTTCGAGCCCTTCAAAGTCTCCCTCGACTGAGTCCGCATCGTCTTCACCGCACAGTCCCTCACTCTTCATAACCTCCAGGACCCGCTCCAGACTGTCTTCCAACAATTTCTTAGGTTTGCGGTTCAGGCTGGAATTGGACTTTTTGAGCTGATCATATATGGCGGGGACCGAAAGGCGAATCCGGGCCTCATCAGGCTGGTCATCGATAATTTTGCGCACGACTTGGTAGACCTATACCGAGTATCAAAGTATTAGCATCGCACCGCACATCTCTTGTCCCCTGCCCCAATGGCTCAAGTCAAGTCCACTCACCTCACGGTCCAAGCCCTGGCTTAAACTCGGCCGACCTCCACGGTTCCTTGGACCCATCTTGGAATTGGCAAATGCAATATTAACCAATAATTGGTTCAACCGAGATGAATCTTCAAAAGAGAAAAGAAAAAAAGAGAGCCGCGGCAGAAAAAGACTCCGCCCTCGGAGTTACCAAAATTACCAAATATACGCGTAATATAACGGGTCCAATACGAGGCGGTAAACAACAACGTCATCCGTGACATTTACTCATTCACCATCTACATACACTACAAACATTGTCACTCCCATGGACTATTAGTAGTCCAGCAGGCGAGATGGGAAACACCAGCAGCTCCCATAAGATCTCGTCTCAGGATCGGTGAGTACCTGCCATGAACATCACGCCCATCACCGTCAATTATACCCTATCTGCAGCCCCCCATGCACAATGTTTCCCCTCACGAGACCATTCAGTCTCCCCGCCATCACCATCACCACCCTCAATCAGCGCCCCCCCACCTCGACTAGGAAGAGCCAGCAACCCCAAATGAAAGACTAACACTCTCCTAGCGCAATCCTAGACATGAAAAACCAGCGCGACAAACTCCAACAATACCGCAAACGCATCACAATCCTAACAGACCGCGAAACAGCTATCGCAAAAGAATGCCTCGCCCTCAACGACCGCAAACGAGCCCTCCTCGCCCTACGCCGCAAAAAGTACCAAGAATCGCTCCTGGACAAGACAGATGCCCAGCTCGCCCAGCTCGAGCAATTAACCGGGCAAGTGGAGTTTGCGCTCGTGCAGAAGGACGTGCTGTTCGGGTTGGCGCAGGGTACGCAGGTGCTGCAGACTATTCATAAGGAGATGGGGGGTATTGAGGGAGTTGAGAGGTTGATGGGGGAGTCTGAGGAGGCCAGGGCTTATCAGGAGGTTAGTCCAGTTCTCTCTGTCCTATGGAATGTGATTGTCGTGTTTTCGGCTGGGCGGTCTTGCTGACGAGTTGTGGTAGGAGGTGAGCCAGATGTTACAGGGCAGTCTGTCTACTCAAGATGAGGAGGATGTTGAAGATGAATTGGAGGCGTTGAGGGCGGAGGTTGCTGAGCCCGTGCATCTCCCCGCTGCCCCTACGAAAGAACCGCCGCGACGGGAACCCGTGCGCCAGGAGGTCGAGGTCGAGGCCGATGTGGAGACGGAGACTCGCACTGCGCTTCCGGCGTGATATGGATAAACGTGCATACATACATTTGGCGCTCATGCGGGATAGCATACTTACTGTCTTGCGCGTGGCTTGCATTTTTTTTACTTTGGCAGCATTTTGGATAGGCGTTGGTGGATATTATTCTTTGTGTTCATTTTTTTGCGATGATTTTGGTTTATCATTGCGGTTTTGCTTCGTTAATCGTTACTCGCGTGTAGAATTCATAATACATTGATGACTTGCATCGAGAAGAAAGGAGAGATTTTCGAAGCGCCGTATACGCCACCATCTGATCTGCAAATTGAACTCCGCCCTTTCGTATCGGAAAAGAAGACCACGATTAGGAATCGCTCTTACTGGCCGGGCATGACTCGGCCTCCAACGCCACTAACGCCCGGGATCGCGACATGGTCGTTGGGATTGGCGGCGGCTTCGTACATGACGTTGACCGGTTCGCGGTTCAGAGCCATGAATTGGCCCTTGAAGCCTATGTACCCGACCTTAGTCACGTCTTCGTCACCGTCGCTCCAGTTATCTTCGACAAAGATTGTGATTGAGGTGGTGGTATTCCATAGCGCGCGGTTCAGAGGTAGTTCGAAGACATCTTCTCCTGGAACGGGTTGTGGGACCTCGATGGTCTGACAAGGGGAGAGCTCCGAGGCGGTGGAGAAATCGATGTCGTCGCGATTCTTGAAAAGCTTTAGGGTCTTTGGGGCGCAGGGTGTAGGCGCGGTGTAGATGAGAAGGGAGTGGACTTTGACCTGGCCGGTGAACCTGGAAAAACCTCTTGTTAATGTTTTCCCTTGCGACGATGACGATGAGGGGTAAAAAGGGTTGGAGGGGTTGTCGCGGGGCATCGCATCGCGTGTTCCGCGGTTGGTTGGTCACCATTTGCGTGCAAATGGCAAACATGATGGGCGGAGATAGAATGGAAGGTGGGGAGTATCATACGGGATGTACATGAGCAGCTGTTCATCGGCGTCACTCTCAAGCTCTGGGGTATCATTGAGTCGTTCGGCCCATGTTTTCTTCACGATGGCAGCTCCGCCTTTTGGAGTAGATTCTAGCAGATGGTTGTCAGATGCCTAGGGAGGTACTACTTATGTAGCTGCGAGTATGCCCAGGTGTGCAGCGATCGTATAGGCAGGGCAGGCGTACCATTGAGAGTGTTGATCTGATCAAAGTCGATCTGGGTGTAAAGGAGGGACTGAATGGCGGGGGTGATATCGTTGGAGTGGTCGTGCTCAGCATGGCAGTGACCACCATCGCCATGGTCATGATGATGATGACCCGACATGATAGGGAATTTGGAGAAGTTGAAGTTGAAGTTATGAAAGGAGGTAAGAAGTCAAAGTGCCAGTGGTACCTGAAGTTACGAGAAAGTTTGTTGCGGGTCTTCTCCGCATCCCGTGACGTCGATCCCGTACTATAAATCAAGTTCCACTCATTCAGTAGTTAATGATGTAGGTAAATACTGACGAGAGAGAAGATCACAAAGGAATATATGAATATATGATTATAGGAGGAGGGATCTGAAGTAAAAGGGCCTACTAGTAGATATAGGTCGATTGACCAAGCCTGTGCAATCGGACAAACGCTCTGAGGTGGGTCCCGGGCCTCAGCGGCGACACTCTGACCGCAGCTTGATACAAAGATTATTCTCATCCAAAAGATTCAAAGCAAGTGCGACTTCTTGAGCTAGTGTAACAGCAGTAGAGTATCATATTTGCGCCATGGCACCTTCCATGTCTGCACTCTTTCCCTTGGTAGATCTTAGCATTATCCTCACATTCCCCCCTGTGCCTCCACACTTTTGATCTCTTCATCCCTCTATGTCCCATGCCTTGGCCTCATCAGCTGTGCAGGTCTAGATGTTACTAAGTTCAAGTCCGTGAATATGACGCGCTTTTGACCGCCTCAAGTCTGGATTCGTCGCACAGTCGGGAATCAGATCGCCAGCCACGAATACGAGTAACTATCTGGCTGGACATATCTGGTACGCTCTGGAGGGTGCAAAGAGGTTCATCCCATTCTGATTGGTTAATTTTGCTATCTTCTTTCCAGTTTAGAAAGGAGACTGCTTGATTTGCTCGCAATAGAACCCCTTCGCGGTACCTTCTTTGGAAACGCGGACTCAAATCGGGGATGATCTACTCCCTTGGCTGCCAAGCTCCAACAGTGAAGTCATATCTGCGATGGCTCCAGCACTGCAGTTACAAGAGGAAAGTCTAAGACCATGTTCGTCGAAGAATGGGCAGTGAAAACTCGGGAAAGACAGGAAGATCAAGGACAGCAAGTTCCCCATGATTCCGCCGAGCCTATCCATCAAATTCTTGGGACACCAATTCGCAACATGCACTGTCCGAGCCCCAAACTACACCAGGTAGCATGACAGACCTGACACTACTGTCCACCAGAAACCAACAGGACATGGCGATACGTCGCTTCAACTCAGCCCGGCTCCCGAAAGAAACAAAGGATTTGGCTAATGCTAGGCTTCTGATTGTCTCCCCGGGTTGCTTAGTTACTACAAAACGTACAGAGTGTATCTGAGTAGAGTATTGGGCTTATGGAAGTAGAAGGAGTCTCGATCAGTACCTACATCGCCAGCCAGAACGCTGGCTACAGAGCAGCGACTCTTTCGTCATACGCGAAGAAACAAAGGACATTCACACCTGACCGGCTCTTTGGGCAAAGATGCAAAAGTTGCCATTGTTGCCCGATCAAATGATCTGAAAAGGCAAAAGTTCCTCAAACCGGCAAATTTCCAGTGTGCACTTATCTCCGGTAATAAGGAGAAGTTGCAACAAGCTCTCTTCGCGTGCAGTTATCCACGCGAGAAAAAGTACCCCCGAATCCGGAAACCTATTCCAAAGAAAAACACAGAGACGAAGAAATACCGAGACCCAAACCCTCGCCACAGGCGGTGTTATGTGGAATCCTGAACCTCGCGAGTATATGATTTTCAAGAGAACGCAATTTGAGGGCTGGGAACACAAAATCTAGGTATCTTGCCCTTTTTTTCCAAATTGAATCTGATACCAAGATCGAAGCCATTCATGAGTCTAAATACGAGTTATTGAACAACTTTTGACGACAGAATACCCTGGACTCAAGATTTTATCCTCCAACCCCATCAGAAGTGACATCCAGTATATTTATAGGATAGCTCCGGGCGAGAGATCCCGCGGAAAAGCCAACTCAACGATCTCCTTGCATGCGATGACCCAAGGTTCATTACGAAGTTTCACGATTCAGACGACATGACAGCAGGGGGTTCCGAAAGATACCAGTGAACATTGGAAGACATGAACAAGTTACTGCTCGCTCAGCGATAAGCACTGCACCATGCCTCAGACCACTGAATGTGTCAAATCTACGGCAGCAGTTAACTATCTGGCTGGTAGTAGACTGAAATTTTGTCGCTTCCACGCAGACAAAGAACAAAGCGCTCCCAAGGTCCACATTCCAAAAAGAACACTCAGCTAGCGAAAGCGATATTGCTGTCCCGGTTGCGTGGAACCTAATATGGAGCAAAATAAAAGAGCCAAGAAAGCATCCCATTGGACTGGAATTCCGAATAGGTGTCCCTGTACACCGGACGAACCGGTCCCGGCACGACATGACATACCCCCAATTCTCCGAGTCCTGGTCAGATTCTGCGTGGCCCACAAGGCGAGCGTGTTTGCCAAGCCTTGCAAGCCTTTGAAAAGTGGATGAGTGTTCTGGCCGTACACCTTTTCGTTGCCTTTTTATCCTCCGTCTTCACGAGATACATGACACGGGCTATTAAACGTGACGCATGGCGAAGATGCCATTTTCTTCGGCCAGAGAGACTGTGAGATACTTGAATATCTCTGCAATCGAAACCACGATGATTACCTATATTACAAGATTGCCAGATCTTGTGAGATCGTTCTGTACGATGCTATACGGTAGCTTACCAGCTCTTAACGAGACGAGGCGGCAATCCCGAACGGCTGTCCCCAGTTGAGAGACACATTTACCCCGTTCGGTTCACGAGACGCGCGTATTGTGTTCATTCGCAGTATCGAGAATTATGAATTCTGGATATATCCAAGGTGAGGAAGGATATCCCAGACCGGGTACGTGATTGCCTGTTGGAAGTTGTGTTCAATCGCTCGAATTGCCTGGCATGGCCTTTCGACAAAGGAGAAGTATGCCAGTTACTACATCACAAAGTAAGACCGTACGACAGAGGAGCGCACAGTCCTGATACCCAGTACTTGCAGTTCACAAGAGTTCTTTCAAAAGACACCTCCAAAGGTCTCGAAAGATTGTCGTTGATTCTATGATACTTCATCATGTATGCTCATCGAGAAAATTGTTGAGAGTATACACCAAATAGTATCGAGGAAGTTTTCTACCATGTCCCATGAAGCAACAGTTCTTGGAAACCCCAGAAGCAATAACAAGACAACTCGAAGATGATAGCTCCATCGTAAGAGTCTTGTCATTCAAGGATGTTCCGCGGCTCCCTATTTCCGAAACCACTGGAAAAGGTATTTGGATACCTAGGTACATTTCTCCTTGTTGCTACGGATCTATAAATCTCAGCATACCGAAACTTGAAGACGGGTACTGACGCTTCGAAACTAAAACTTTAAAGCCCAAGCCGGCTGGCGCAATTCAAAAAGCAAAAAGGCCACAGACACAGATCTGCTCACCGCAACATTCAGGTTCATCACCCTTTCCATGGTCGCTACTGGCTGCAGGCGGTTGAGTACACATCTATCCACTATTATCAGTGCCTCTCTTTCATGCCCAGGTGCCTTTAGTCGCCTACGAGCACGTACGCAATCCAAAGCAATCCAAAGCATGCTCCAAGCTCGCTGTGATGATCCAGAGAAACATGATTTTCGATCTCGTCATCAATTGTATGCCTGGCTGGTTTGGAAATCTAGCAATCGTTCGTTAAAACAGGGCTTCCCTGCCAACACTGTTGTGGCCCTTGTCATTAGAGCTTTCCCAGTTCTCCTATGGGTCACTATCGCCCGGTTATCAGGAGAACTTAAAAGCTCAAGGACATGGTGGAAGTAATGACCATCGACATGTAGGTGCCGAGCATCAGGCGTTCGATTAATCTCTGCCCGAGGACGAAGCTAGGAATTTAAATTTTCGGTCCGGAAACATGTTTTAGATAGCAGTAGTGAGAATGAACTCTCATTATTATCACTTGAATTGAATCGGGTTGAACCAAGAGAATGCGACCAGAAAGTCTCAAGAAATAGACTCAGGGGCCTCTATGCCGAGGGCAAACACCCTTGTATAAAAGATCTGGGTTGACTCTATACTGGCGATCGTCTGCAAGGAAGGCCCCTTGAGTAATGTGGATGATAGCCGCCATCACGCCGATTCAAATACTACCAGCAGTAACACTTTGATTTCTCATCGTGATTGCTATTGCTATTATTATTGTTGAACGGTATCATAATTACTATTGCCAATTTTATCATAATCACTACTTGAATCGCGATTCGAATCGCCACTTGCAGTAATAGTAGCCAGTTAAGTGGTTCTGTTAGAGGTCTACTAGGAGATAAAAGCCAGAAGCAAAAGTGGTGGTCAGATAGAACCTTGGAAGAGGGCAGATAAGCTACTAGCAAGGTAAAGCTATGCAGGACTCAGAGGGGCGATTTACGATACTTGAGATAGTGGGTACCTGTAGGCACTTAACCTGGACAGGTTCCTGTATGTTCGCTTGTGGTCCATTCATCCGAATACATGATGATACTGTACTCGATACACCCTTGGTCAGTACTCCAAATCCGACTGCCACCGGTCTTGTCCTGCGAATCAGTGTTGCCTGTATTTGTTAGTTATAGTATCAAAATATGAGAGGAAAAAACCTACAGTCATCAAGAATTGAAGTGAACTTGCTGAGACATTCATCAAAGTCAGGCGAATAGGTCCCTGCCGATTTACAGCCGCCCTGCTTTTCGCTAAAATCTATCTCGAGGAAGAATTTAGGGTTGCCCTTTGTATTGCTGCTGATACAAGGCCCCTCCTTTTTATCCTCTGTCCGTTTTATGTCGAGATTGCAGTAGCCGCGGGCGGCTTCGATCAAGTACTCCCGGGAGTTTGTGGTATGTTGCGCATCCTGGGGCGCACAGCTAGGTTGCGAACCTATAGAGGGTGTTGATTGGGAATTCGTACTCGATGCGGTTTTGGCTGTAGTGGTCGTAGTACCAGTTGTTCGAGAGGAGGTTCCAGTTGTTTCGGAGCGACTTGCAGTTGTAGTGGCCGTAGTACTAGTAGTTCTGGAGGCGGTTTCGGTTGTTTTGGAGTCACTTCCAGTTGTACTCGTAGTGACTTCAGTCGTACTGGCAGCAGCTGCTGAAGAATACCAAGCGTTCTCCTCAATCGCCATAGATGAGGCAACTGCCTTTGCGTGAGCAACATCTATCGTCTCAGGGTATACGACGTATTCAGGAGCATCACTTGCAGTTGCGCAGCTTGTTTGAGAGCATGCTTCTTTTGAGACGACTGTAGTGGATGTAGTGCCGGTTGCAGAGCAAGCCTCTGTTTTAGAGCATGAAGGAGTGTGGCAGGTGGTTGAAACTGAAGATTTTCCTGTGGCTGTCACGGTACTGCAAGTAACCACGCAGTCTGTAATTGTGTGGGAAGTCGCACAAGAAGATGTTGAAGTTTTCGAATCAGTCGCAGTGGTCGAACCGGTTGATTGAGCTGTAGTTTTAGATCCCTCAGTAGTCGGGTTGCTAGTCTTATTGGGATCGTCATCAGGGTTACTGTTCGGCTCATCATCTGGATCGACATCACTGCCGGAGCCACTCGAGCTAGTATGGTCATCACCACACAAAAACTTTAGGATACTAGGACATTTAGGGCTACCAGGCTCTGGCACCTTGATTGGATCGGAAATATGGATCCCACTGCCCCCTGAACCAGGTTTGATTGTGGCTGGAGGCCAGTGTTGATATATGACTCCTCCGGAGTTGACAAAGATGTACCCAGAAGTAGTCTTTGTTCCCGATATGACATAAGAAGTTGAAATTGAAGTGCGACTTTTCAAGGTCTCCCAGCCAGTCAGAGTCATTGTTCCATATAGACCAGTGGTTGAAGCATCTGACGTAGTAATCCATCCTCCTGTAGATGATGTAGCTGTAGTTTTTTGTGTTGTCTGGGTCATTTGACCTGACTGAGCTGTCGTGCCAGTGGAGGCAGTATTAGACGCAGTGGCTGTGTTTGCTGAACCAGAGCTATCATTACTAGCCGTTTTGGAACCAGTACTAGCAGTTTTGGAACCAGTGCTAGCAGTATTGAAGCCAGTGCTAGCAGTATCGGAGCCAGTACTAGCTGTGTTGGAGCCAGTACTAGCTGTGTTGGAGCCAGTACTAGCAGTTTTGGAACCAGTGCTAGCAGTATTGAAGCCAGTGCTAGCAGTATCGGAGCCAGTACTAGCTGTGTTGGAGCCAGTACTAGCTGTGTTGGAGCCAGTACTAGCAGTTTTGGAACTAGTGCTAGCAGTATTGAAGCCAGCGCTAGCAGTATCGGAGCCAGTACTAGCCGAGTTGGAGCCAGTACTAGCCGTGTTGGAACTAGTGCTAGCAGTATCGGAGCCAGTACTAGCCGTGTTGGAGCCAGTACTAGCCGTGTTGGAGCCAGTACTAGCAGTTTTGGAACCAGTGCTAGCAGTTTTGGAACCAGTGCTAGCAGTTTTGGAGCCAGTGGCCATGTCTGTCGAGTCGGAAGTGCCAGCCTTGGGGGATGCGTTATTGCTAGTGGTGCTGGTACCGTCGGTAGAAGTACCTGCACCAGGAGTGGTATCAGCAGCACTAGTAGCACCAGTATTTGCCGTGCTTCCACTTATAGTTGGTGAATTGCTTGCAGTGTCACTAGCAGTCCCAACGGGTCTTCCGCTGTTGGTGTTAGTCTGTGTATTGCTTGCAGTGGCACTGGTAGTCTCAGCAGATGGTGTGTTGCCATTCGTAGACGGTATGTTGCTTGCAGTGGCACCGGTAGGCTGAGTGGAGGGTGTACTGCCATCATTAGACGGAATGGCCGGCGTACTGTCGCCAGGAGAAGTCGTAAGCCCAGTACTTGCTCCTGACTGAGTGGTTGCAGGACCACCTTTGCCCTTACCGCTGCAGAATGGAGGAACCAACTGGACGTATTTGGTCAAGGTTCCATCCAATGAAAGACCTCCATCCGTGTCCAACGATATTGTATGTGAGCCAGCAGTTACCACTGCCCCAGGTGTGACGGGTTGCTTTCCCACATTGAACGACGTAGGATTTGGTGTGATCGTTTCGGATCCAAGGTGAAGGACGTCGTAAGTAGCCAAGGTGGAATGTGCGGACCCTAGGCAGTTGGGATAAGGTTGGCCGTTGATCCATGCAAATGTAGGATAGCATGCAGCGATATCCTTATATCCAGTTTGACTGAAAGCAGTAACAACTGATAAGGATGGTGGAATGGTGTAGACAGTTGAGCGGCCAGAATTGACCAGCGTTGTGGTCAAAGTCGGTGTTGCTTTACGGTCGAATGACTTGACTAGAATTGGCTGCCATTTGTTCGCGGCAATCGACATATTAAAGCCTTGCATAACAGGAACTTCATCAAGGGATACTTTGCACGTATTGTCTCGCCGCTGAAAGACTTGGTCTCCAGCAGCATTAGAAGTGTCGAGAGGAAATGCAGAGACAAGCCCGATAGTCGCCGCCAGAGCGGAGGTGAGGTGAGTCGGAAGGCCCAACATAGTGGCGATCACCTATGATATCGCAGACCGACAGTAGGATTTTGAAGATGTTTTCTCGCAACTACTAGTAGCTATTCGACTGTTTACTAGTAGTTCCTTGACCATGATATATGCCAATTCAAGTTACTTCCTAGTAAATAAAACCCCCGCCAAGTCACTCACCCGGGCGTTCCGTATTGGAATTGAGACTGCCCCCAAAAGACCTCGTCATCTTGGGGCGAACTTTTTGGGGCCATGATCGATATCTCGCACTTAGTAGCATCAAGAATACTATGTTCCTGTATAGAGATTGCTGGACAGGGACTTGAATGGTGAGGCTGCAGCGTTGTATGTAATTCGATACAAATGACGCCCATTCAACGCCCGGGCTATGGGGCCGGGATGAAACTCTCCGTTCTATCCATGAGGTTTGATAGGTGCGCGTGTCTGCTGCTGTTCCTGATCTTCGTTTCGCCCGGGGGCCAACAAGTTTTGTACTTCGCAGCCCCGCCCCCTACCGATCTCATATATTAGTGTGAACGAAATAGAATATTTTTTCGATTTTGTGTTTGCTCCTTCAGGCTTTCATTTCCATTTCCAGTCAAGATCTTCATACGAATCCTGCCAAAGACATGCTTACTATTCTAGTATATCTCAGCTAGGCCCCCAAACGAGGAGGTCGAGAATGATCCATCTTTCCCCTCATTTCGAAATGGTGGACACATTCGACTTTCATGGCCAATTGGTGAGCTGTATAGTACGACGGTTCCAGTAGTTTGGAAATTAATAGCGCGTGGGGTCGCTTTTCTTGTGCAGGGATGCTTTTGAAATGGAGTTTTGGCCCTGTATACATGAATTGGGGTCGAAATTGTACTCAACGATTTCCCTGATTTATTTATAGATCCAATGCCTCTTCTACTCCTCCATTTATTAATTTAACTACGCCCAAAGCTGCTTGACATTGCATATTTCAACAGAGTTCCGACCGGGGCTCTTTTTTTTCTCTTTTCACGTCGCTGTGGACGAACGCGGTCACCTCTTGATCCAAGATGATTTTCTCATCTTCCCAGTTGCGACTCTTTCCCTACATAGCCATCTTGCTCTTGGGATTCCTGGCACAAAGTACGAGTGCTAAGATAAAGACCAGCGATGTTTTCAACGTCATGACAGATGCTATGGGCTTTGGCGGCAGCTGCGACGCTAGGATTGCAGCTGCTAAGGCAGACAGCTCAAAGCCCAACCCTGAGGATGCTATTCAACAGGCTTTAGATCTTTGCAACGCAGCCATTGCCGCGCTTGGGAAAGCCGCCGAGTCAGGGAGTATTCCAAAACTTCTCTCAAGCACCTATAAGCAAGACAGGAAACGCATTCTCTTTCTTGCGGAAAAGTTTTGGGGTGCAGACATCCATCCTAAAACTTTGCAACACCGGTCGAAAGCGTCGAAAGATAACATAAACGACGCCATAGGTATGTTTTCAAGTTCCTATTTCGAAACCTTTCGATGATATATTTCTGTGACGATCTCTAATGCGATAATCCAATCACAGCCAGTTACAAGAAATTGAAGGATTACATTGAGGGAAAGAAAAAGGATTATCGGTTTGCCTGCGATGACAGCTGGGCAAAAACTGTTACGCATCTGCAGACCGAATTCAATGGCAAACCAAAAGGCACCGCTATCACCGAAATTGATTGTACTTGAATTTCCGGTTTTACTCTCAAGTTCCTTTACTGATTTTCTATGCAGCCCTTCAAGCCCTGGATCCTACCAACCCTCACAGTATAATGTTAAATTATGCGTGGTACGACAAGAGCAAAACTGAAGATAACGTGCCCTATGCGTATTTCGTTAAGACCAAATGGAGTAAGAATGGACCATGCGAGGGAATATACGAACAGCAGGCAAAGAAAGCAGCCAAGGATTCGTACGTCAAGCCCCAAGCTGCGGAATTGGCGAACCAAAAAATGATCTACATCTGTCCCGCGGTTTGGGATCTCGATGATGGTAGATTGAAAGTGGATCTCAAGACTTACACTGGAAGCGGTGGGAAAGAGATTGATACTACTGATGAGTCGCAGCTGTTGGGCACATACGTAACTCCTGGGGGAGTGCTTCTCCATGAAATGGCTCATCATGTTTTGGAAGGAAGTGAGTTGCCTATCTGACACGTGGAGAGTCACTTTGCTAACACAAGAGGCTCAGGGGATGGTGGACCTGAGGGAGGTTTAGGATACGGGTGGGATAATTGCATTCGTGGTCAGAGAGACCCAGCAAATGCGAGATTGAATCCGGACTCATTTCTCTTTTTTGGCATTGCAATGTATCTAGAAAAATACTCCTGGATCTATGGTCGGGCCATGAAACTAGACACAATGCCTGGGGAAGACAACGCATGGCGTGGCTAGTGAGAGTGTGAGTGTGAGTGATTAATTGAATGAGCTTAATGGGTTGGGAGATGGATCCATTATTTTACAGTTTGCCATACTATCTTCAATCTACAGTCAGCACTAGAAATCCCTTTGACCTAATATAATAGCAATCTTACATACACGCTACATAATGAGACACGGTCTTGGTCTCTGCTGCACCTGGTCTCGACTCCAACCGAAATAACTACCATCCATAAGCGTAGCTTTGACAAGCCGGCTGTCGGTACTTTTTGCTCCATGCGAGAGGAAAAAAGGAGAAGCTCCTCCTCCGGGGAAATTTCTTCATCTGCCTTGCCCCATTCCTGGAGAATAAGCTTCCACTCTTCCTGGGCAGAATCGCCTTGAAGCATTCTCCTCCATTTCCGGTTCGAAAGCACAGCGTCACGATACTCAAAGCTTTTCCACTCAATGCAGTAAATAGATGTTCTTCCCGCATCATGGAGTGTAAGCGAACACTTGCTGACTGGAACCACAGATAGGCCGTCATCGCTACAACCAGGCATGAAATGGCTCAGCAGAGGAAGGATTGTTCTGCGCCCAACGGAAGATTGCGGCTCTTTCCAGTGCACCCGCAAGAACTCTAAGCATTTCGGATCCGCGTTGTCATAATTGCTTCTGTAGACAAGTTCCAGTTTCTCTGGAAAGGTTGTGATAGATTCACATGACAGAGGCTCCCTCAGAAGAGGTGAAATCGTTTTACTCAAGGTCGATTCTTTAGACGCACAGCTCTGTCTGAGCTTACTCAATTGCTCCTCTGAAAATTCCTCTGAAAATATCCGTCTATTAGCTTGTGATCTGGAGGATATCGAAGCATACGCACGAAAGATATATATAGCTTGATCAAGTCTATCTTTATCCACGCCTAGATAGCCTTGCTCGTTGGGAAAGACCTCATAATTCTTCTTTTCCTGAGCCCGACCCAGGGCAAACCCTCGCAACAGCGCGAGACTGGCGAGCCACGCCTTGTGAGAACGATGGGAGGGTATCTCCATATCTGGGACGAAATGTCGCAAATTGAGTGTGAGAGTGCACGCCATGTTCGCGAATCGCACGCAAGTCCACGGGGTGACTCGAGTAAGAACGTATATGTGTAAAAGGTAAAGTAGTAGGCAGGAGTAAGTGAAAGGTGTAAAGAAAAGTATCAGGTGACCCCAGGCCGACAAGTACAAAACACCGAGTACACAGTTGGCCCCCACAAGACTCAACATATCGTCACGGGCCGAATTCCTGGCCAAAATCAAGAATATATGTCATCAAATTCCGAGCTAGATGGTTGTAGATGCTGAAGATTTCTGAGGCTATTCCACTTACAAATGGCAAGTAGTGCGACAGACTAAGTCCTGATTCCTGAGGCACTCAGGTACTCCGAACTATGCAATTCAGTTATGGAAGGGAATTAGGATAGAGTACTACTAGTATTAGCAACAGTCCGGGCGCTGTCATTTGGATGTCGAACCTAAGAAGGCTTTACTAGTACTAGTACTAGTAGTATCATCAATAACTTGAATGGTATATTACTCCCATAGTAGTAGTAGAAATATCATTCCAGAAAAGGCCAGTAGCCCATTGTCTATTTCTATTGATTTAAACCTTGAAATCTACTACTAGTATGCTATTCCAAAATTGTTGGCGCTGGCCGACTCGCATATATATAGTACTGAAACACCGTGAAGTTATCACGTCGCAAGATTCCAACGTTGCCACAACTCGGCGAATTAAATCAACTTCGACTCGGGCATTGGTAGTACTAGTACTCCAGGGCTCCGAGTTACAAACATTATCCACGAAGCTAGAAGAAGGGTCCATTAATCTACCTGCGAAAAAAGAGCCAGAAAGAGACCGTAGCCCTAACCAAATACAACCCGGCCTTAACCAAGAATCCGATCCGAACCGATCCAATCCAAGTCGGAAAAGGAATCCGAGCAACGCAACGCGATCTATACAAAAAAGCAAACACCATAAATTCAATTCAAATCATATCCAGAAATTTGCCCGCGTGGTGTAGGCACCCGTTATGGTCGGGGGATAAATAGTAGTAACAACATGAGTCGGGACCCGAGAAGTAGAGTTGATAGAGGCGGGGAGAGGAGAAGAGGATTGGGATTGGGATTGGGATTGATGGAACGAAATATTAGGGAAGAAGATGAAATGAACCGGTGGATAGGATCGGGATCAGGATCAGATATGGATCCCATTGTTCCTTCGTTTTTCCTTTTTGGGGGTCTTGATGGGATCATCCGTTCTTTTGTACGGACATAGGGCTGGAACAGAGCAGACCAAGACCACAGTCAAGATCCAACGATCAGTCCAGTTCAACTTCAACTTCACTTCAGGCAAAATAGACAGTCGAGAAAAGAATAGAGGAAAAACACCAAGCGCCGGACAAAAGAAAAATCGCCTGCAATTTGGAGCGAAAGGGATTCCAGAAATATAACACACGAAGAACTGAATGCAAATGGTGGGTGTTGGGGAGGGTGAAAATGGGGATGTATAAATGCAATGTCTGATCGAGATCAATTCAATTCAATCCGGGCTCGCGACGCAGAGCAAAGCAGAGCAGAGCAGAGCGGGGAGAGTAGAAGCGAGACGTTGAAAAGTCTCTAGTCTCTAGTGCTCCGCAGAAACACCCTTAGCCCGTCCGCGAAGTTCCTCGTCGTAGCCATTCTGCTCGGACTCGGACTCGTCGTTGTTGGGCGATTGGGGGTGACTCAAGGGTTCAGTGAGGGACTGGTGGCTGCGGGCCATCTATTTACAAAGAAGTATTAGCAAAGCCATTCATTCCATCATTATTATTATCCGATCCGGTCCCGTCAACTTACCCAAGCACGCACACCACCAATCAAACCGAGACTATACCCAGTCGCGAAATCCTCATTCCGTCCCCCGACACCGGGACTTTCGGGACGGTTGAGCGCTTCCACGCGGGAAAGATGCGACTTGCTGCCGCCGGTCGGGCTGGCCAGGGGTCCGCGAGCACTGCCGTAGTCGACGCTGTTGCGGTTGCTCGGCGCGGGACTTCCGGGCCGGCTGTTCTGCCAGATCTGTCGCAGTTCGCGGCCGAGTTCTTGGCCGGTTTGGGTCCAGTTTGTGCGGATGTTATCGCGCAGCTCGACAACGTGGCGCTTGATTTCGAGCTCGTTCTTCTTCAGCCATGAGACGTTGAGTTCCTGTCGCGAGGCGCCGCGCTTGAATTGTCGGGAGATGTACTGGTCGTAGTCGCGGACGATTCTAGCGAGAAGAAAAAAGAAAAGAATTAGCTTCTACTCCGGCTGTTTGGGGCATGAAGGAATCCCCGGACGGAGCAAAGAAAAAAAAACGAATGACCTACCTTGTGATAATACCGGTCGTACTGACTCCCTCCGTCCGCTGGGTAACAAGGAACTTGCCCTGGGCCTTAATAGGCTCATAGATATCATCGCCCTCAGCGGCCTGGTAGGGCAAATCGTCATGGGCAACGTAGTCGATCTGATGCTCGGAGAGAAACTCGGGAGTCACGACCCAGGGACAATTGGGAATGACCTCATCAACCCACTTGCAGTGACGGATGGTTTCCGCACGCTCGGCACCGCTGAGGACAGTCAGGCCTTTTCTCATGTGTGTCTCTTCATCGCCGGTAACACCAACAATCAGATACGTGTCCGGGAAGGCTTTCTTGGCTTGCTCGAGCTGTCTCATGTGTCTGGGAGAGAAAAGTGTCAGCATTGATTTCGGGAAGGGACAATCATTCTCAGCTCAGCTCAGCTCAGCTAGCTGAAGCTGAAGCTGAAGATGCAAAGAAAGCCAACATGGACATACCCAAGATGGAACAAGTCGAAAACCCCATCCGCATAAACCCGCACCGCCCTCCCCACCGGCGGCGGATTGGTATGATAACCCACAGGATCCTGCAATGCGCCGACCGGAGGCGGAGGCATCTCTTCATCACCGGCCTTGGGCAGCTTAATGTGCAAACCGCGACCGCGAGCTGAGCCTACTCCCGCACCGCCCTCGATATCACTGCTGGCGACGGTTGTTTCGGACGGTTCGCCGGGATCATCATGATTGATTTCGGCGCCATTTGTGGTTGCGTTTGTGTCGGAGCTTTTGCGGGCGCGTTTGGATGGGTTGGTGTCGATTGTCGATTTCTTTGCTGGTGGGCCGGCGCTGGCGGAGTCTTCGCCTTCTTCGCCGGACGCGTCTCGCGAGGAGGGTTGGAGGTCGGCGCCTGGGATTGGGAGGTGGGAGGCGCTGCGCTTGCGCTTGGTTGGGGGTGAGGAAGGTGATGACATTGTGATTTTGGGGGGAGAAGGAAGGGGAGGAGAGAGGATGAAGATGAGGAAGATGGGGTGAACTCGATGGTTGGGGAAGAAGAAGTGTCGGATTGGCTCTTGTTCCCCGTGGCCGTGCGGGTGGCCCGGTTAGTTTAGTTAGGGGGGGGGAAGAGCCACAGTAATTTTCTGGTGTGGAGACACTCCTGTTGATCTACGAGTCTGAGTACAGAGTACGAGTAACTAATAGTGAGAAGTCTACAGTTTACATGTACATGTACATATGCTTATACATGGCAAGTCTTTCTACCTAGCACTCACTACATGTATCACCTCCCACACCTAGCCGAGATGGGATGAACTATACCACACCCCATCCATCCAAACTCCTCCAAAGCAGTCTACCTGCAATCCTAAGGACGCCATCGCAAAGAGGAGATGTGCCGAATACGCCACGCATGTGCAAGGTACCCTTGGTCCAGCCTGGATGCTGTTGCCCCCGGAGATTGGAGGATGAGAGCGGGGAGGGAGTGGAGAAGAGGAGAAAGATATAGAACCAAACAAAAATAACCAGGGAAAGCCGGGGAACGGCGGAAGTGAAGTAGTTCGTCAACGGGCATTGTGCGGTATCTCGTGGTGGCATAAAAGACAAAACGTGTTCGTGAAGACCCCGACCCCGCCCGGCGAGGGCCTCGAATATCTTCCCTTTCCTTTCCTTTTCCTCCAATGACTTTGATTTTGACTTCGTCTTTGAGACTTCCAATCCATCCCATTGTAATCCAATCCATTCCAAGCCTGTCTCCTTCGCATTTCGTCCTTCACTTTGGTCCAGTATCGGACAGAGAATGGCCGGGAAAACAAGAGTCCCGACGATGACTAAAGAATACAAAGAGACGACGACAGAGGAGAAGAGAGGGCCCAGGCAAGGAAGCGAAGAAAAAGGAACAAGGGGAAGGGGAAATGAAAAGCAAAAGGAAAGGGGAAGGAACAAATCGTAGAGGGAACAAGAAAAGAAAAAGAGGTCGTTCACACAAAACAAGGTAATCAGGGTAGGCAAGTAGGAGCGGAAGAGCAGAACAAGTCAGATGAGGCCAGGTCCAGTCCAGTCGAGGGTAAAAACAGATGGCAGATGGGAAATTGGCGAGAGAAGGCAAGGCAAAACTTGAAGAACAAAAAACAAAACTACGAAGCTGTCTTGTCTTTGTCATCGGTAGAAGCAGGCGACTCGGATATTTGCGCGCCAGTTTCCTTGCCCTGTGGACCGGGGGTATCTTCGCGAGCCCGCGTGGAATCAGTCGGGTGCACCTGGTTAGCCAGGTCCTGGTCCTCGGTTTGGTCGAACAGCTCCTCCTCATGCTGATCCGGGATGATCTCGGTACCATCGCCTAACAGAATGATCCGGCCGGACCGGGTGCTGAAAGCCCGCGAGCGCTCCATTTCCAAGTCATAGTCATCAGGCTGGTCCTCGAATTGGTTCCGGATCCCGGGGCCGCGGAATTCGGCTGTGCAAACTGACCGTCAGCACTACGAGGAATTGGACTCGGGTTCCTCGTGAGACTTGCCGTACTCGGGCGGAGCACAGGGCCCGTCTCCGTTCGCAACCCGCTCTGCAATCTGGTTATACCACTCCTCCTTGGTCTTTCCGTTCAGCAGGCCGATCACAGTCATGGTCATGTTGTCGCAGCCCACACCGCCGGTCTCGCTGTTCGAGGCCAGGCAGTTATCCATCATGTTCTCGCAAATCTGGGAGAGTTGCTGCTTGGCAGCAATGCCCCTTCGGACAAACTCGACGACGGCTTGAGAGGTCTGGCAATCCCAGATACCTGTGAGAATACGTTAGCATGTGGTGTTTCTCGTTTGGTTCGGGGCATTCTGTGAATGAACTGCAAGCCTACCATCACAGGCAATGACGAGGAATTCATCGTCATCGGTCAAGTCGTGAACAGTCACATCGGGGAAAGCAGTGACAATCTGTTGCTCGGGGGCCAATTCGGGACTCTTCTTGAACTCGAAGTCACCAATGGCTCGAGAGAGAGCAAGATTGCCGTTAACACGGCCAAAGTCGACAAAGCCGCCGGCGGCACTGATACGAGCCTTCTCGCCTGAATGGTGTTAACAGGGTCCTCGCAGAGTCGCAGAGGAAAGGTTGATGTTGGGGGAAGAATGCCGATTCAACTTACCCTCATTCTGGGGCTTGTGGTCAAAAGAGAGGGGCTTAGCGCGGCCCTTAACACCGAGCACTGATCGGGAGTCACCAGCATTTGCCTGAGACGGGTTAGTTACGATGGAACAGAATCCGCGAATTCGGGGATCCTGTTACTTACTACCCAGATCTTGTGCTTGGAGATGATGCTTGTAGAAGCAGTGCAGCCGGAAACCTCTTCCTCGTACTTGGGATCTAGGGGATGAAGTCAGCCAGTGCCGACAAAAAGATGTCAAGCACGATTGGAACCAGATACCGAGCTTTTGCTCGGCTGCTGCTGCTAATCGCCGTACATCACGAGGAAGACAACTCACCTTCCAGAATAGCCCGATCGGTAGCCAAGAAACCATCCTTAAGAGCCTGCTCGATATCACCACGGGCAAACGAATCCTGCTTGGCAACAATCTTGTGGAGGTTCTCCCCGGTGAACAACGCAACCTTATCACCACCGTGACCATCATATACACCAAAGAAGGCTAGACGCTTGCTCGGGTCCGTCGGTTGGTTCTCATCGGTGCCGTTGTGCTGGGCTTGAAGATCGAGGATAGCGGCGTGGGCATCCTCCATACTGATACGCCAGCCCTGCATGGCAGAGACACCATACAAGCAGCAGTCATCTTCGCCGTCGGAGGATGTCTAGAAAGCACAGAAAGCGATTAGCCTTTTTTTCTCTCTTCGGGTGTAACTTCAAGATCTCGAAATTCGTGGCTGGGACCGGTGTGATCTTATGACTTTTTTTGCCGGATTGTTAAGAGGGCCATCACGCGAAATGTGTGCCCGATATGTTGTGTTTTTGTGCCCACCGAAAATCACATTGTGTCTAGGCTAGCCAGCCCCTCTCGGGTCAGCAGGGGTCGCGGCCCCGCATGGCCGATCAAGCAGATTCAGGGAAAAAAATCGACCCTCGGCGGAGTTGCAAGGAGCAAGCAGAGCATAAGGAATGCTCTGCCGGAATTGTCCGCGATCTTGCGAGGGTGAGAGGGGTGGTTGTGTTGGCGTTGGTAGGGCCGAGGGGCACACGCAGCCGAGAGCCACCGGCGTCACAGTCACAGCGGATGTGTGGGGAGGGGCAAAGCAGAGGCAAAGGCAAAGATAGGCAAAGGGGCACGAGATATGGGAGAGACTAACCTTCTCGACCACGGGCTCCGACAAGGTTTGACCCATATTGGCGATTGATTGATTCTGAGGGGGAAAGGGAGGAAGAAAGGAGGGGGGAGGAGAAGTTCGGAGATCCAGATGAATGGGTGGGAGGGAAGGATTGGGAAGTCACGACAGGTCAGGTGAGGGCGATGGTTCTGGTCTTGGGTGGGGTATTGGTATGGTACCAAGGTTGGGGGGGGGGGATAGTATTTTTGAAGTTGAGAAAAGGATAGATCAAGAAGTTCAAGTTATGTAAAGAGTACTAGTAGAGCAGAAGAGCGAAGAGCAGACTAGAAGAGAACAGAGTTTGGATCTGTCAGAGTTGAGATGCGCAGAGATTTCCGATTTCAGTCAGGTCTTAGTCGGCGCAGGTCAGGTCAGCTCTGTAATCCCGTTACCTTTGTACTTTACCGTCAGGTGACAGTATACTATAGATATAACTAGTACCTGTGAGCATTAGCTATTAATATTAGCTATATTATACTAAATATTTTGATTATACTGGTGGTATTCGTAGCACACAGGACTAGTTTACAGAATGTCATCATCTACACTATACTAGTATTCTATTCTATCCTCATCTCGGCCCCTTGTGACTCCAGGCAACCGCAGGCACCAACCGGCAGAACAGGGACCGAACAGCTGTCCTTTACCTAGTCACCTATGTATTCACACGATTAAACAAGATTGAAAGTTAGTTCTATTTTTGATGCAATCTTCTATTTTCGCTTTCCAAAATCGAATTAGTTTACTCCTAGTAACCTCCCAAATTATCTGCAAACTTGACCCCCACCTGTCAGGCACTGCACGTGCCATCCGCTGCCCTGAGCGGTGGAGGAGACCTTATGCTTCATGCATGATCCTTCATCCTATGTTCTTCTTCCTTTGTTCATTCTCCTTTGTTACGTGGTCCTTTAACTACACCGTGGAAAGCATATAATCATTCATCAATGTATTACATTTATAACTATCACTAGTTCAACTAGCGCGAGATCGAACTCGAGGTACCTAACTAATGCACCAACAGAATGGATATCATGCTCGCCATGCCCAAACTCCAACAAAACCACCAAAAAAAAGAAGCCCAAAACATTCAAAAAAGACAAAACAACGACAGGAATACGAAAGAAAAGACGAAAGATGAAAAAGGGAATATGAAAGGAAGGAAAGAAAATCAACTCCAAAAATAACCAAGCCTAAACAAAGGCAAGCTCCCCACTACTCGCAATCGGTAGTCCCCGGCTACTGCCACTCTTGATCGGAGGAGGCGGTTCCAGAGGCACTGTACTCCAAGATTGCGAGTCAGCCTCTCTCTCCTTCGGCGACACCTTTCTCGACAAGTGCTCTTCCAAATCAGAAGCAATGGACGAGCTAGCCGGTACACCCTGCCCACCCCGCACCGGCGCTTTGCCATGATTTCCTGAATTCAGCCGCCGAGCACTGCTCAGACTAGTCTCACTCCAGAAGCGCGGCAGTGGCGAGACGACGTTGCGGTAATCTTGCGCCAGACTCAGTTGGCTTTGGCTCTTGCCTCCGCCCTCGGCGAGGGGGAAGAGGCCCGGTGGCGGTTGGAGCGTCTGGTAGTGCGAGAAGCGATTATTTTCGTCGCCGTACTCGGAGACGGACATTGCGGTGGAATAAGGTCGGCCTTGGATGGATTGGCGGTATTCGTCGCTGAATGTGGAGACGGAGACTGTGTCGGCGCGGCTGCGGATACTGCGGGCTCGTTCTAGGGCGCGGAGACCGGATGAGGTGCGGCGGCTGATTTGCGCTGAGAAGAGCGGGTTGGTGGAGTTGCGGTTCTTGGCTCGGTTTTGAACGAAGGCTTCGAGGGAGTCGGCCTCTGAGATTGTGGATTCGTCTGGCTCGACGGTTCGGAGCGTCACGCGTTTCTCGGGGATGCTGGATGCCATGCTGTGGCGCATGCGTGCGGCGGCGGGAGGTCGGGGGAAGAGTGGGGTCATGTTTGTTAAGCTGCTCTCGTCACTCATTATGGAGAATTTGCCGGTATTTTGCCAGGACATTCGAACCATTCCATGGCCGGGGGGTCCGATTCCGCCGGAACCGTGTCCAGCACCGCTTAGTCGAACGGGCAGACCAGTTGCCATCGTTGATATCCCGCTGGACCGTTTCGAGTAACGCTTCGATCGTGAGGACTGGATGGATTCGCGTTTCTTGTTGGCTCGGGGCTGGATCGATTTGAGAGGCTCTCGCCGAGAGCGTTGGCTAGTACGACGACGCATACCAGGGCTGTTCGAGTAGGAAAGGCGGCTTTGTCTTTTCCCGGGAGACTTTTCAGGAGACTTCTTCCCTTCTTCATTGACGGGGTCTCGCAAGGGAACGAAGGCTCGCTTCGGGGAGCGAGGTGGTGGGACGGGCTCGGGAATCACACTCATCGATTTCTCATGCTTTTCGAATGAGGCCACATTCCACTCTGGGCCAAGTTCAAGTTTAGGAATTTCTGAGGCTGGCGAGATCGGGCTCATCCAGCCGTCTGAGTTATCATCATGGGATTCTCGGCCAGCTGCACCAGGCTGGCAGTTCGGCATATCCGGTCGAACAGGACGCGGTGGCGGCAACGACTTGGCCTGGAAAGGTTCTTGGCCTTCCTCAACAGTCGCAGTCTTTCTTCTACGGCGCCAGCAGCAGAACAGAATGATTGCACTGAGTATAACCGCCACGGGAATGACAACTGAGATCGCGATGATACCCGCTTTCCTATGCGATGGGCTAGATGGGTCGGAGAAGGGGTCGGAGGAGTTAGTGTGAGTGTCCGATGGTTCAAGAACATCAAGTTCGAAGTCCTGCGTGTTCTCGGTCGACCCTTGTTGTGCTTTCAAAGGGAGGTTGAATTTCTGTGCTTTCATGTCTGAGGGGACGTGTCCGTAGAGGGTTTTGTTATCAGGGAAGTAGGAGAGCCATGAAGTCAAATCATCGCTGAGGTCCACGTCGAGTTGGACCGAGTCGTCGGTGACAATCGACTGGTTGAAAACAAAACTAAAATCCTCGCCAATAGTAGCTTCGCAGCCCTGAACGGTTTCAAGAAAGAGCTCGTTGAATTGTAGACGGACCATGAGTTTCGCTGAATCCGAGAAACTGTCGGTTGCCGTAATGGTTATATTCTGATTTGCAGCATCCTTGGGCGGAGTACCACTGAGTGAGAGTGTTGCCTCGTCCAAAGACAACCAATCAGGTAGATCTGCGTCAACGGTCTTGAGTTCTTTCGTAGTAACCGGCGAGCTGTCCATAGAAAGAAGACTGGTAAATTCAGGACTGCTGAACTTGTCTCCCCTGGTCAAGTTGTATGACTGAATAGTCTCGTTGAAAGCCAGGATATGCGGGCCGATCACAAGCTGGAAAGTTGCGTTAACAGCACTGTAACCCGCGACATCAGAAGCCACAAGCTGAAAAGTAAAAACCTCCGGCCCAGATCCCGGGAAGGAAGGTGTGTTTCCGGAGAATCTCAGTGTCGTAGGATCGAAGCCCATCCACGATGGTAAGGGAGCGTTATGGGGCGATGTTCCGTAGTAGATCGTCGAAGGGTGGGTATTATGGAAGGTAGCTGGATCGAAAGTGATGGAAAAAGAACGACCAGGGTGCAGAAACAACGCTGCAGGGTAAGAAACCGGTCCTATAGTCTGTAGTTGCGGCACAAGAGGGGTGCCTTCGGTTGGTCCCTTATCCGCGGTAATGATGAGGGTAACATCCATGCTGTCCGACTGTGATCCGTTGGACGCCACGAGCTTGAATTTCTTCGCACCCGTATCGTTTGAGTGCGGTGTCCCCTGCAAGGCGCGGCTGCCACTGTCTACTGAAAGCCATGACGGTGCGTCTGAGAGCGAATACTTGGTGTCGGAGTCACTGTTGGCAAAGGTGCGCTCGGCGAATTCAAAACGGAACGGTTGCGATACTCGCGCGACTGGTGGAAGCTGTGAGTTGATGGGGTAGTTGGCTGACAGGGCTGCTGCGTTCACAGCAGACACGAAAGCCAGAACGACCAAGGCAAAGAGAAGGGCCATCTCCATTCGAGGCATTCGGATTGTAATCCGGGAGCGGGACGAGATAGTTTCACGAATACACAACTGTCACGACTGACAATGAATGGAAACTCGCTCAGCTGCGCACTAAGAAAACCTCATCCAACAGATGGAGAACACGGTAAAAGGAGATGAGAAGGAGAAAGCCACAGACGAGGAGGCTTTTCCCTAATCTCCAAAGAAGGCACCCCGCCCTCTCGTGCCACAGGGACAAGGAGCCATTCAAGGCGTGCCCTTTGGTGAAAGCCATGCCTGGATATGCTGGACGTCACCCGAAGTATGTAGCAGAGTGACAGGCGCGGAATGAGAGGGGGAGCGCGCAGCGCGCAGCGGGCGACTCTCACGTTTCGAGGTGCCCTGCAAGGGATGCCCCGAATCCCTCGGAGGAGGGCAGAACATGTCCAACCACCACCATGCTTTCTTGCCCCTCGTCAAATATCGAGAAAGGGCTGACAAGGCAAGGAACATTTTCGAAGTGTGCAAAGACCATTTCTTTCGCAGGCGGCCCCGAACTCGGATAGCCACAGGTGGCTTTTGCCGTCACGTTGCAAACCACGGCCATTCTGATACCACACCCTTGGCAGGGAAATTGCTAGGATCATTTCTCCTCGAATCCACCTCGTCGATACAATGCAATGCCTGGAAGGCCCTTCTTTGCCCTATCTTCTCCATGGTCGAAGAGTTCAATAGCAAGGGCAGCCCTTTCGTAGGTACTCCTGAATGTAGGGACAGAAGCAGCGGCCTGCTAAGCTCCTTAGCAGTAAGCTTCCACTGCTCATACATGAAGCTGACCCCTGGTATACCGCTCACAGCGTGTTGATAATCTCCGATCCAGTATGCTTTCTCGCGTCGAAGACCCGCGTCGGGCCTTCGTGTGCTGGGGTAGATCCCCGGTCCCTTAAAGCCGAATCACTCATTGGTTGTACGGTGGGAAATAAATTCCAGCGCGTAAAATGCTTTCAAGAATCCTGGCGCGTTGTGGTCCTCCAAAGAATGAATGGTCGGAGATGGAGATCAACGGTCCGCATTCCTAAGCGTTGAGATCTGAATTCCACACCGTGTCGCATCTTTAATGAATCAGGGTTTCATGGGTGGCTGGAATTAAGCTATTTTCATCACTGCAATCGACTTGTATGTGCGTATAGTGGTAAAGCTAGTAAGCGAAAAGAAGGAGCATAGATGAAGAAGGTGAAGTGGGAAGACGATCAAGTACAGCAGGGTCCGAGTAGATGCAGTCAGCACCCGCCCCACAATCAACACGCTTCAACTTCAACCTCCTCCCCTCCACCTCCACTGTGACATCTACACAAAACCAAAGACAAAATGCCCCCTCCAAATCCAGAAGACAAGCGCCAAGCCGCGCGCGAAGTCATTGACATCCTCCACGAAATCTCAACTCTCCTGGTACGTAACGCGAGCTGATAACGCGATCCTCACCGCATCACCTTGTGCCATTCACGCGCGAGAAGCAGAAGCAGAGTATACACCCCAATGGACTTGAAAGAACTAACTCGACCACCCAGAACACCAATCTCGACCGCACAGAACTCTCCCTGTGTGTCTCGCTGATTGAGAACGGAGTCCCACCCGAGGGTTTGGCGGTATGTTTCACATCGGAATCAACCCTGCCTAGCTACGGGGATATCGCTAATTATACTTCTTGCAGAATGTGATCAAGGATTTGAGGAAGGAGGCTCCTGCACCTGCTTCCAAAAGGGTTTCTTCACAGGCCTACGCTGATTAGATTGGTCGGGGATCAGCCATACACTGCCTTCACTTCATGCTTCCCTTCTAATTGGCGTTAGGTTAGGGAGGGTTCTACTTTGATACCCATGATTATGACTCTCTTTCGTTCAAGTTATACTTCATTATTGGATAGAGAATTATTTCCAGTTTATTTGAATTTTCATCTGATACATGTTACTTGCGAGTCCAGGTTGGGAACTTGTTTGGTAACTAACTGATGAAATGAATCGCTTGTAGCAATCGACTACCATATGGGCAGAGGTAGGACAATTGTGGAATTGGGGGAATTTCAATACACAGTTTTTAAATCGCACACAATAAGCACAGCTCTCCCCCGCTACTTGGAAGAATCTTCTGTCTTCTTGTCGTCCTTGGATCCCGTCTCGTCCGACACTGCTTCCACGGTAGCCTTCTTGGTCTGCTCACTCTCGCCAGCGGCAGGTTGCTCTTTTGACTTGGCGTCCTTCTCTTTCTCCTTCTCATCGTCGCTGTCGCCGAGGCTGAAAGGATCATTCTCCGCCACGGGGGGAGGGTTCCACGTTGGCCAGGGGCTGCCATTTACTAGGCTTGCCACCTGTAGAAATAGGACGCTTAGAAGTAGACGAGGCATCGTATAAATTATCGATCTCGATCGGGGGTCCGTCCTGGAATGATACCTTGCGCCTGTCAGGAGAGGGCGACGATCCGGTCTTAATGTTAGGACGGGGAGGACGGGCAGGAGGAGCTAGCGCAACGTTAGCAAAATCTGGACTTGCCCAGAAAGTGATATGGGAAGATGGTGTAGGTTTACCTTCCGAATCTCTGAGTTCCAGCGCAGAGAAATCATCACCGAAGACCTGGGGGTCTGCGTCGTAGCGCTCACGGTCTCCACTGCGACGGCTCATGTCGCCGCTGCGTCGTGGACGGCCGTAAGACGAGTGCTGCTGCTCATATTCTTGAGAAGATTGCGGCTGATCTTCGTCCAAATCGTCTCCATCAATTCTCTTCTTCAAGTTCGTCACCCACGAGTTCACCTTGGTTTGTGTCTCTAGGAAGCCCTTGCGGAGGTTCTCGCGGATCACCGGTAGATCATCTAAAGCTAGCTCAGCACATGCGCAACACTTGGCTGGGCGAATGTGTCCCCCTGGGCAATCTTACCGTCAAAAAAGCTATACTCTCTCTCGTCTCTCTCCTCTGAGTCCTCGCTGCCTCGTGGCCGGCGGTACCGGGGATCGTTCTCCCAACCAGGGGCCGGGGCCCGCCGTTGACCCTGGCCTGCGTTGTAGTGTTCCGCCAACTGGCGCGCGTACATTTCGTCCGACTCCATTTGTCGCTGCGTGGTCGAGGTAGGCTGCTGGGAAGGACGGGGAGGCTTCGGGGGAGGCACCATGTCCTCTTGGGCAGTGGGATCGGTCATACCTGAGGTTCAAAGGTTAGTTAGTGGACTGATGTCGGCCCATCACGGAGGTAGAGTGGTTTGCGCACCGAGAAGAGCATTGAAGGCGCGCTCGACATTCCAATTGCTTGCGTGCAGGATAGCCTTGACAACACCCGCATCGATGGAAGGGAAAGCTTCCCTCAGCGTATTCTCTGACTGCTCCCTGGGGCTCAGCGGGCGAGGCGGCTTTGGCGGGGCAGCTGGGGGAGTCTCGGTGGCGGTCTGCGGGTTCGCGGCGGTGGTCGCAGATGCAACACCTGTCTCCTGGGGTTCATCGTCGAAGTCCATGGGCCTGGCTGTAGTCGGCGACTCTGCGCGGGGGCTGTTGGGCGCAAGCGCAGCGGAGGGCTTACTGGGAGTCGACTGTAGGGTAAATGTGAGATTCCGCCTCGGAGCTGCAGGTCGGGTAGGGGACGTACAGTTTTCTCTTCCTCCGACATGTTGAAGTTGGTTGACGCGGCTGGTCAAGTGGGGGAACCGGTCAGATATTAAATGAGGGAAAAGGTGGTGCCTATCAAAAAGAATGGGAAAGAAGGGGAATAGGCAGAACTGAACACATCGGGGAAGCTCCAAACAAGTGACGTGGGGTGCGGCACGTGATGGCCGGCAGGCATAATTTGGGGTATACATCAGCCATTTTCCCAAAACTGCCATTTACTCAAGAGTGAGATTATTTATGTTCTGGCTTAGTCTTCTAATATGATTATAGTCGTCAGAACAAAATATTGAGCGCAGTTCATGTCGTAACTACGTATAGAGTTGGGCCCTGAGGCTCTCAAAGTGGGGCAACAACGTATATCATGAACCGGGACCATTTAACACACTGAGATTCATATAGCATCAATGAAACGCCTTACATTTATTCCAAAATTTCGTAATATCAATTTCAAACCGTGTGCAGATACCCCCACACATATCCAGAAGTAGATGTGCATGAATCATGCAGAACAGTTACTTCGGCGGAACATTTATCCGACCGTAGAGTTAAGGCCGCGGCTCGCCGCCTTTCTTTACCAACTACTCGCCATGTTTGACCAATTACTTATGTGAAGGAGCATGAAGCCTGTAACATGGTTTCAATTACCCTTCTGACACCAAAATAACAGTGCCGATTTCATCTGCCCGTTTCCCACCTCCGGGGAACCCTTGGCGAAATGGCTTCCGAGTTAGACGTGTCAACCACTTTCATCCCGGCTCTATACAAGCCAGCAGCTTTGCTACCAATTGCGCGACACAAAGAGAGCCTCTTGTACTTGGTTGAAAAATACCCGGTCACAATCGTGGTGGGCCAGACGGGAAGTGGAAAAACAACCCAGCTGCCCCAGTATCTGGATCAAGCAGGCTGGTGTAAAGATGGCAAGGTCATTGCAGTGACACAGGTGAGCTCTAAACCGGTCTTGTTTACATCTCTATTCAATATGTTGACCATGCTAATCATCGCACTCAGCCTCGACGAGTCGCTGCAACGACCGTCGCAACTCGTGTTGCTGAGGAAATGCGAGGCAAGATCGGTGAAGCAGTTGGATACTCAATCCGCTTCGAAGATACCACCTCAGAATCAACGAGGATCAAATTCCTCACTGATGGAATGCTTCTGAGAGAAGCCCTAGTCGATCCTCTCTTATCACGGTACTCCGTGATCATGGTCGACGAAGCCCACGAGAGATCTCTCAGCACAGACGTCCTTCTTGGAATTCTCAAGAAGATCCGGAAAAAACGCCCTGAATTGCGCATCATTATCAGTAGCGCTACCCTTCAAGCGGAGGAATTTCTGCGGTTTTTCACGGACGATGAATTCAATCCCGAGGCAGAACCTGCCGACCTGGGCGGGAGTGTGGGGCGGATCATCAGTCTGGAAGGCAGGATGTATCCCGTAGATACATTATTTCTCGAATCACCCGCAGAAGATTACGTGGAACGAGCTGTCAAGACGGTACTCGATATTCACACCCAAGAACCAGATGGTGACGTTCTCCTCTTCTTAACCGGTCGCGAGGAAATCGACCGAGCAATCCAATTGATATCCGAGCGGGCCGCGTACCTTCACCCGAAAGCGCCTTCGCTGCTCACTTTGCCGCTCTATGCGGGCCTAACCACCGAACAACAGATGTACGTCTTTGAGCCAGCACCAGAAAATACAAGAAAGGTCATTGTCTCGACGAATATCGCGGAAGCCTCGGTCACGATAGACGGCATTGTATACGTTATCGACTGTGGATTCGCGAAATTGCGAGCCTACAATCCTGCCACTGGTATCGAAACATTGACAGCTGTGCCAATCTCAAAAGCCTCTGCCACACAGCGGGCTGGGCGAGCGGGCCGAACAAAGCCCGGGAAATGCTTTCGCTTGTACACTCAACAGACATATCAAGAACTTCCCGAAGCTACCATCCCAGAGATTCAACGGTCCAATCTTGCACCGATCGTGATGCAGCTTAAAGCGCTAGGGATTGACAATATCGTCCGATTCGGCTTTTTGACATCACCCCCAGCCGAACTGGTCATTCGTGCCTTTGAGCTTTTATATTCCCTCGGTGCGGTAGACGACTACGCCAAGCTTACCAAACCACTCGGCATACGAATGGCAGAACTGGCCGTGGATCCAATGATGGGCAAAGTTCTTCTAGCAGCGCCCAAATTCGGCTGCCTGAGCGAGATCCTCACTATCGCAGCCATGGTCAGTCTTCAGGGAACAGTTTGGGTCCAACACGACGGCGACAAGAAAGCCGCCGAAAGCCATCGCCGGAAATTCGCAGTCGAAGAGGGCGATCATCTCACATATCTGAACGTCTATCAAGCCTTCATCACAAAAGGCAAGAAAGAATCAAAATGGTGTCGCGACAATTTATTGAATTACCGAGCTTTACTGCGGGCAGTTAGTATCCGCGGACAACTGAAGCGATATCTCGAACGCTTCGGCATTCAAACTGACGAAACACTCTCCCGACACAATGCTCCTGATCTAAGCAACACACCTGAGCAAATACAGCGGTGTCTCACGACGGGATATTTCGCTCATGCTGCGAAAATGCAGCCAGATGGCACTTTCAAGACTGTTAGTGGTGGCTTGACACTTCATGCCCATCCTAGCTCTTTGATGTTTGTAAGTTTTATGCAAAACCCAGTATCCTTCTGTACGCAGTCTTTGCTAATATATCGCAGAACCGAAAAGCGGACTGGGTCATCTTCCATGAAATTATGCAGACGGGTGAGAAAACGTACATTCGAGACGTTACTAAGATCGAAAAGGGCTATCTTTTGGAATATGCCCCGGAGTACTACAGGATTTCTTAGATCAAGTACAATCGGTGTGTCAGCGCTGTGCTGCTTCAAGATACCCAGGCATTTCAATAGTAGCTTCAATAATGAATTTGTTGCCATCTAGGTACTCTTGCAGAGTATAGTTATTTCATGCTTTCACGCGGGACTCTAGCGTACTATACCTACTAGTAGATCGTGCAGAGCCTCGCCAATTGAAAAAAGATTACAGGTAGCTACCTCTTTTTCGATGGATCATCTACTAGGTAGGTACCTAGGCAGGAAACCTTGCAATGCAGTATGCCCCGGTGCCCCGGTGGGGTTCCCTCCCGACATCTCGATGTGACTGCATCCAAGGATGTTGAAGAGTAGGTGCCTAGCCTACCTACTAAGTAGGTAATTCCCAATTCCAACTCCTCTGGCGGAATGTGGCCTCCAAGAGGACGCTGCAGGAGACCGGTGATCGCAATGTGCAAGTTATTGATCGCAAGATGAACAATATTGAGGTCCTGGTGCAGAAGATTGATATCGAGATTTTGGCTAGTAATATCCATGTAAATCTAGCCGTCGCCTGTTGGAGGATTTTTGTGGCAAGGTACAGGTTATTGAGCGCGAAATGATGGTTGCTGGTGGCCAGAGGAATGGTATCGATTGCCAAACGAAGGTTTGAGTTTGCCAATTGAAGGCTATAAATTGCCAGATGGTAGTTGTAGATAATCATCTTCGGGGCTATTGAGCGTGTGGAGGTTGAAGATTTTGTGGTGTGTATGATAGAGGGTGTTGGAAAGTTGAACTCCAAGACAGACGGAGCAAGAGGTCATTTACCCGCGGGTGGCTCTTTCCCTGTGTGCTCAAGTTTCGTTGCCTTCGATGTCGAACGATCATCTCCATGTTCCTCTAAGCAAATGGCCACGCCTATTTATTCCACCACGGCTGGGCTTAGTTATCCGAAACCAACCCCCCCCAAAAAATTTGAAGGAGCCGGCGACGAAGTTGTTGATATCTAGGGCAGGATTCGGGACCGCAAAATTCTTCACAGTCTTCCAGAGAAGCTTTGTTTTACCGTAAAGATTCATTCTCCGACTGATAATTATAGATCACTTTACAAAGAGTACTGAGAAACACAGCTAGTCAAGGAAATAATTCATGAATATCCAAAAGCGATATTGTTTTGGCCTCTGTGGGCCATGTAATAAAATCGAAGCATTCAACCTGGCTATTTTCTGGCCAATGCTAACACGCTGAAAACTCGATATCGTCGTGCCATCGCAAATTGTCATTACGTCCCATATTCGATAGACCATGGCGTTTCAAATCCAGATCTGTAGCCCAGGTGAAGCATGCTGGCCAGGGCAAGGTTTTGGCCAGACAGATGTTGCAAGAGGAAAGCAGTGCCCGTTGCGATACAGTCTCTGGCCATGTTATCACTATTGACCAGCCTGGGATCGTTGATCACAGTGGTAAGGATGGAGGAGGTTTTTCATGGAGAGGTGGAGATTGTTGATGGCAAGGTGGACAGTATTAATATCCACGAAAAGACGATTGAAATCAAGATTTTGGCAGGTTATGTCCAATTGAAGACTATGGACCGCCTGGCCGAGGATGTTCACTGCGAGATAAATGCCATGCATGGTCATATCGTCGCTGTTGTTGTGAAAATGGTGGCTGCTTGTGGCCAGAGGGAGGATTCGAAAGGCCAAGCTGAGGTTGCAGTTGGCCAAATGGAGGCTGTGAATTGCCAGATGGTAGCTGGTGCTTGACATTCTTTAGCTGTTCACAATGTAGAAGTTGTTGTTTTGAAGGTGGAGAGTGTTAGAAAGGAAATGAGCGGGCAAGATATTGTTGACTGGAGGAAGGGGGGACGCTCTTTCCCCAGTGGATGACTTTTGAATTGAACTCCAATTTTGGAAGGCACGCGCGGATAAGAGGGACTCCCATATCAATCTTGAAAAGTTTTGACCGGAAAAGTATCATGAGAAATGGTCTATACTAACAACCTTCGAAGGAGTATCTCAAATATCCTATACCAAGGTACTCAGTACATGAATCGGTCTACTACGGTATTACCTGTAGATAGAGTATGGAAAGGCACAACTGGCGATATAATGAATTGATTTATATTGACAATGGAAACAGCGAGGACATAATGGTCTGAATTAGGCAAAGTCGAAGTATGGCGGAATTGTTTTCAGTGACGAACATAATTTGCGAATTTTTTTCGGGAAGAGTTCACCGAACCAGCGAAGCTTTTGAATGGAGCTCTCTAACGACACTCGATTCCTGTCCCATGAGGATATGATTTTCGGATAGCACCCGAAAGCTCTTTGTGGTCAAATAGAGGATATCGTTGGGATCACTCATGTCGTAGTTAACTGCTGGTCACGTACGAGTTCGTCATTACCCTCTTGATCTCTTCAGGTGGTGAGCATGGTAAGACACCATATTGCCATTGGAATAGTCAATCATGGGGTTTCAAAAGTCCCCCCAGCCTTTCATGGTATTGGTTTCGAAATCTGAAGATGACGTTGCTCATCCATGAATCCGGGCGCTTTGCAGCGATGAGTTCGCGGTCAGTCAGGATAAATCTATGGCGCGTTCAGTTTCGCTCCAGGGCTTTGAAAAGTCCCAATTTTGCTTTTCCACTGGGATTGCAATCTGATTTTGGGTTGCACCCTCCAGATCTCCTTGCTCGATTATCCACTGAGTGTAGATATCCAATCGGCCACCCTTCTTGGCCTTGGCCGCGGCCACGGTCACGGTCTCTTTCTCTTCGCTCTTCTCCTCGTTCTCGGCGGTCTATTCAATCCACACGCTGGCAGTCACTGTCGGGAAATGCGCAGAGGTATGACATCCTGGGCGTGTCCGGAAGCCGTCTGGCATCTTGACTGTCGCCGTGGAGCAGAGAAGGCATTGGGAGCCCCGGCTTTGGCTTCGAAGGATCGGAAAAGTAGTTGAGGTGTTTTGTTGTTTGAGAGCGCTCGTCTTGAATTTTTGTGAACTTCACCCAGAGAAAATCTGAAATCGAAGGTATTTGGTCTGTCATGACGGTAATTGCAAGTTCATTGTTGTTCTCAGGCTTGCTGGAGTGTTTATTTATAGGATATACCGCACCGTTTATTATCGCTGGGGTGAATGTGCAGATTTCCTGGTGCACCGTCACCATTTTCCGGTTGATAATTGCCATTTCCAGAAAGCGACTGCCCTGATCCGCGTTCTGGGTACGATGTTTTGCGGTGATATGCCATTTTCGAATCCGAAGGGTATCAGACTGTTCTGGACAGTTTTCAGCCGCTGTTCTGTTGCACCTGTGTCCGCATCTTTTCCCAAAGAGCCAAGGATACTCTTAGTGTTCTTCGTGTCGCAGGAGTTGCTTTGAGGATATCATCTTTCGTCAGACAGAGGCTATTGATCGCTAAGTAGAGGCCACTGCTGTGGATGTCCATGTTGTAAATTCAGGGATGCTGACAATGTAGGGATTCTTCCAAGGTTGTTCGCGAAATGGAAGGCCCTGATATTGGTAGACTTGGGAAGGAGCTGAGGGTGTAAAACTTGGAGGTTGTGACTCCAGGGCTCTGACTTGGAGGGGGGGGGTTGCTCCTACCCGGGGAATAATGTTAATGCGTTCCAGTTCCTATATCTAATTTCGGATGACATATTCCAAAGTGCATACTACTGCTATGCAAATAGAGAATGGGAGAGACGGAGTGTGAAGACCTGTTCATCAAGATATTGATCAACATGAGCGGCAAGCTCTCTCTGTTTGTAATTTCCAGCACATTCCAGGGCTTAGAGCCTTTTATTTGTGTAGACCCCACCTGGATAATCACTCACTGCCAGTGCGGGCTATTTGCATCATATCACTAGCAGTTCATGAGAGGGTGAGCGACAAGCTTGAGCTCCAGGGCTTGGATATCCACTATTTCAAATTTCACACCTGCCAGTGGGCGGTAATACCTGGGCATCAGATATTGTATGCTACCTAGGTCATAGTATAGATATTCTGCCTGGGTATCGCTCCTCTTCATCTCAAACTAAAGAGCATCCGGCTTTTCAATTAATATTAGTATCAAATCATACCGATAAAACAGATTATCGAATACTCACATCATCCTCAGTAATCTCAGAAATATCCTGCATCCGGCATTGCTCCAAAGCTTCCACCAGCTCATCGAAACATCCTCGAATGCAACCTCACTATTCTCAGTTAGCTCTTCTTTTATGTCTTTTTAGATTTATTTCTATCTTTTGATACAGAAGGGCCCGACATCGGTTTCCATACCACGAACATAGAGAGGGTCTTTCAAACCCTAATCACATGATACAGGTGAATAACACGCTCTGTACATATCAGTAATATTACCCGTTCCTTTTTATAGATTGTAACACAGATACAAGGCCTAAAATTAGAAGCCTGGAGTTTCTAGGGGTTTCTAAACAAACGTGACAAACTCGGCAAACAAAGCAACATCTTAACTGGCAAAGTGTTAACTTCTCCCTTCTGTATCTTGCTGTGGCTTCACTGCAGCGCTTGATACTACCTGAGGGTCTATCTGTGGTCAAGGTGATAGGTAAGTCTTAACAGTAAGGTTTAGTTTCGGGATCTCCACCATTGCTTATCATTTATGCTACGCCTTCAGATCTTATTGGATACCAGAGATGACTGGCTAACGTCTTACAATATTGCTTAGGTCACCACTCGGCAGATATCCACGATGACCAATAATCTTTTTGATAACGATGCCTATCAAACCACAGATGGTTGACTGCTAGGACGGAAATTCAAATTATGCCCCTACACCTAGTAATTTTGCTCGTATACCCGCTACCTTGTACTCTCCTAGCCCTATCCCAGAGTGTGCCACGGACTAACTACAGCCCAACTATCTTGACTTTCTCCCGTAAGTCAAATAGGAAGAAAGTAGCAAATGTAACGAGCTGCCACCGAGATATATCTCGTATATAATTATATAGAGGCTGATACTCAACTGTGAAACAGTAGGCAAAGTATTACCAGCGAGTTAGATCGAAGGTACGGCCGTTACGGTTAAAGTAAATAAATAGTCGCAAGTAAATCTGGAAAAGTTTTATAGTTCTACTAATATTAACTAGACCCCAGTAGAGAGATAACTACGAAAATAGAGTAACTTACTTTGTACGGGCAAAAAGCTAACGGTCAAGATCACCTTCACTTATAGGGAAGATAATAATAGCCTTTCCATACCTCCCCTCAGAAAATTCAAGAAGAGAGGACATATATCTGTAACTACTAGAATATTAGCCGAACATAAGGTATATATTATGGCGGAGGAAGTAATTACTAGACAGCCTTTGACTTAGGAACGCATATACGAACTTATACAATATTATATCCGCTTATGTCCGCTTAAGTCTAACTGGTATTGGGAGGACCTAAAGGACAAAAAATATTATGAACTCAGGACCCTGTATCTAGAACAGCTTATTGACTATATCAATAAGAGTAGTATCCTAGACAGCCATAACGATATTCCTGGTAATATTCGTCGAGACCTAGTCCTGGAAAGCCAGACAGGAAAAAAATCGAAAATAATTGATATATCAACAATAGGAGTATCATACCCTCTAACAATTTTCAATATTCTACCGGCACAAAACGGCAGTACGCCCGTGATCATTTCATCTCTACCTCGGCCCTTATCCGAGGAGCGACTGATGATTACCGGGCCTCGTAAAACAGTTATAAGAGAATACTGTAAATTGCTAGAGTCATATATCATTAAGGAGGCGTACAAAGCTAATTTCCGCAATATTTGCTAGGTGATTTTAGGGAATCATCTAGATCTTAAACTAATCCTCGAGGATCCAGACTCCGGCTTCTTCGTTTAGTGCGGGGTTCGAATTAGGACTGCTCGTCGCTTCCTACGTGACATAAGTATTGTTAAATGCTGAAAACTGTGACATAGTATTCTTGGTAGGCCTCAGAGACAATTTTGACGATCTTGCCTGGCCGACGCTCACCGTCATCTTTCCTTCTTTCCCCGAATCTGCCTTTTTCGTCATTTGTCAATCCACCCTTATGTGATGGAAGATGATAGGGGTCTCTTTGTATACGGAACTGATTCCGTTTGTTCTGCTGTTTCCATTCCAACCCAGGCTGATTGGAAGTCCGTTTGGGCTCCATTCTGTGCATATATAACCTTTTCTTTTCAGATGAGAATAAAGGTAATCAATTTTCCTTCTGAACAACAACAAATACATCTGGTCCAATTTGCGCCTCTTTGGCATTCCCGGGATGCCTCCTAATCGTGGAAGATGTTGGCGGAGCATCACTCCCCCCATGTTGAGGCTTTGCTAGATTATCTTCTTGACAAGCCAGGATCCTATCTTGATAAAATGGTGGACTTTATTTTGAACCTATTTGCGGTCAAGGTTTCAACGAGTAGCTTAAGAAGGGTGTTGAAGAAGATTTGGTGGTCAAAGAAATCAATGCAACAAAGGGCTAAAGAACAGAATCCCGATCTACGAGATGAGTACTGGCATGATATCTCCCGAATATTCTTCATGTCAACTAGTTTATGGGACAAGATTTCTCAATTATTCATCCTTTAACCTATCTTGCGCAAGAATTTTATTACCCCCTTGATTCGATAAGTAGTCACCAACTCCAGTGGGAAAGTGTACTCGGCTAATTAAATGTCCATAGAACTTGATCACGGTGCTTCTCAAGGTATTCGCGAAACCTGGTCAAGCGAATCGGATATTTCGACAGTTTCTTGAAATCAACTTGATAACCAACATCATTTGTCCACAACTGAGCAATGAGCACCGGGTTCTTGGGAGCAAGTTCTGCCACCTCCTCATCGCTATAAAACTGGAGACCAACCTCCTTCCCGCTCGCTCGACTCAGCTCCCGCACAATCTCAGCAGGCGTCAGTGCTTCAACTCCCAAATCAATTTCATGCTTGTTGTATGCCTCCGGTTCAGCAATCGCAGCTGCCGCAAACTTCCCCACATCACCGGGATCAAGTACAGTCATAGCAGTGCTACGCTTGTAAGCCGTCAAAAAGACCCCTCTTTGAGCCAAATCTGGGAACATGAAGTCCGAAGTTGGAGAGTGATAGTTGTTCATCAGAAACGCGGGTCGGAGGATCGTCCAATATTTAACACCAGATTCGCGCACCATCGCCTCGATGTAATATTTACCGAGCCAGTACCACGCCATGGGGTGATCTGGCCCCCACCCTGGGAACGACTCGTGCTGCCCGGCCATTGAAACACTAGAGTACACAATCGTGGTGACAGAACCGGAATTCTTGGTAGCTTCGATAACATTTTTGCCGTGAATCACCTCGCGTTCGGCGTCGGAGGGGATGGGAGATACATTCAGGAAGACGGCAGTTACGCCTTCCATTGCAGCCTGAATTGCGTGTACATTGTCGAAATCACCAGGAAACAGGTGGACTCCTAGGCGCCGGAGCTCAAGGGCGGGTTCAGACGAAGGACTTCGGACGAGTGCGTGGACTTTGACTCCGGACTTAAGGAGTTCGCGAGCAGTGGCACCGCCCTGGTGACCGGTTGCTCCAGTCACGAGTGCAACCTTTTGAGACATGATATCGAAAGGAGTGGGCGTCTGTGGGTGGACGGTATGAGCAAAAGAAGAGAGAAGATAGGAAGGCGATTTTTTCTGTTGGACAAGTTCTGCTTATTCTTGGGGGCTAGGATTGGCGAGGAATGGGACCTTTAAGTAGTAAGGAAGCTGAAATACCGGTATTTAGCTGACATATCGTACATTTCAGGAACATTCTGCGCTGCCTAAAGAGGTATGGAGCTCGAAGATATGGATTCTCGGAAGGATCGAGTGATTTGAGCAGAAGAGTAACGCAGTTTCCGCTTATGAAGTTAGTGCAGGGCATGCACGGAGAGAGACGTGCATAAAACGCCTATAGGCTGGAATCGACCTGCGGCAAAATTGACCATTCCAGAATCGGAATGCAGCTCGACGGAGCAGCGGTACTGGTGGGGTTAGTTCCCTACTTTATGACGCCACCCCATGGAGAAGTTTCTTCTCACCTCACATCTCCTGCAACATGGTCTATTGCGGCAAGCCCAGCAGAGCGTGTCTCGAATGTCGAATCAAGAGAAGAAAGGTATTCTATCCACCATGCTCGAGACTGAACTCTACTAATATGAGGTTGGGTAAGTGCGATCTCTCAAAACCGGCATGTCGTCAATGTGTCCGGGCGGGTTCCAGGTGTTCCGGATACCGAGAGCAGTCTTTCACCTTTCGAGACCAAACTGTGGAAACAATCAGTAAACCTCAGCCGCTTTTGAAGAATAGTCTGCATGGAAATTGTTTGGTAGGACGTAAAAAAACCTCGCGATGCCAAGCAGCCACGTCCAAGCAGTCAAAGGGGCGGTTTCACACCAACGACCCCTGGAGGAACATTTCGTTCTCACCAGAACACATGGCTTTGCCGTTTTTCTTCTATCACTATCTCCCTAACGCATCTGGGCGTGCTCTCAGCCATCCTGACTGTGTCTCAATATTATACACGCAAGCGACGGAGCGCGGATATCTCGCCAGTCTCATCAACGCTGTGGGGCTGGGAGGCTTAGCGTACGTAAGAAATGCGCCATCTTTAATTCATGTAGCAGGACATATATACGCTGGTGCACTTCATGGCATACGTGTGGCGCTTGCAGAGCCGGCCGAGGCAGTTTCCGACCAGATGCTAGTCGCTGTAATGCTTCTAGCGTTGTACGAAGTAAGCCTTTTTTGGGATAAAAGAAAAGTCGAATTGAAAATAACGGTTATTAGACGGTTACTGGTCATTCAGATAACAGTATGAATTCATGGGACAGACATGTCGATGGCGCGCTGGCCTTGACAGAACTCCGGGGAACTGGGCAGCTTCGTAACAGAGTTGGTCGAAGCATCTTCCTCAGCCTCCGTACTGAAGTCGTGAGTCTGTTAGAACCTCGAAAACCATTGAATTGTTCTGATGCCAATGCAGCTTGTCAACTGTCTTGATCGGTGGCTGCGGGTACCAGCGGCACTGACAAATTGGATGAATGAGGCTCATATATTTGAACACCCGCAAGAAGCACCCGCTGCTCGCTTAGCAGATATCGTTGTCAACGCTTGTACTATTCTGGCTTCGCTTAAGGAAAGAGTCACAGAAAAATCCAATGTCTCGGCCTACATCTGCGAGATCTTGTCTGTTGACAAAGCCCTAGAGTCGTGGGCCAACAGCCTTCCCGATGACTATAAGTATAGCAGATCACCACCCCTAAAAGTCTCCGCGCCTACGCTCTTCGGAGAATCCGATAGTTACCCTGGAATTGACATAGTCCACACCTGGAACCTCCATCGATGCACACGTATCATCCTTCACCAGGCACTCTTTGAGATTCTATCACCACACACCGGCTCACTTCCCCCGCAACCGGCAATATCCTACTCCTCACACGAGCAGCAATTACAAGCATCTGACAAAATGATACAAGAGAGCTCAAGGGGTATATACTCCAGCGTTTCATACATTCTTCATTTCTGCGATCAGCCAGGCAGATCAGAGGACATGAGAGGTGCTTGCATCCTGCCTTTACTATGGCCACTTTACGTTGCAGGAACAACACGTACGGCGACCGATACTGCGCGCCAAAGGGTTATATTCCAGATGCAAAAGATTGCAGAGGTTACAGGGATTCAAAAAGCTAAGTCTATGGCGCTGGGGATACAAAAGAGCTACTTATCTCCGCCTGTGATATAAGATTTATTGATATCAACCTTGGAACCAAATATATTTTTGATTATTTTCGGTCATTATGGATGCGATGATGAAACGGGAAGGTTGGCTCTACACTGGCGATCTTTGCAAGAGGAGTTATGTGCGCAGGACCAAGACCCATGTATGGATCGCAACTCATTATCTGCTACATAGGTCGAGTAGGGCGGTGGCTTGGTGGTGAGGACTCTAGAATAGGACCATGTAATTACGGTAATTTATCATGACTCATCAAATGAAGGCTGCTGGAATATCAGGCCATATATGATACAAATACACTGATTCTCCTCGGTCCGGCATTTATGGCTGCATCCATCTACATAATTCTCGGTCGTGTTATCCTGCTTACTACCGGAGAGCACCATGCCCTAGTCAAGCGAAAGTAGCTTACTAAAACCTTTGCTTGGGGAGATACGGTTTCGCTCTGTACACAGTCAACTAGTAAGTAATAGAAGTTTGTACTCTATATACTTGCATATTGTGGATAAATACTAATATACTACCTAAAAGGTGGTAGCATCATGGCCACTCCAGATCTTTGGCAAACAGGCGAAAAGGTTATTATTACTGGCCTTTTCGTCCAGCTTTTTATCTTCTCTTGCTTTCTTGTTATTACTATTAACTATCATTATCGTCTGGCCAGATCACCAACACAATGGAAGGCCTGGACTTGGAACTTCCTCTAACCGGCCGGTCGAATGGAGCTGGACACAAGGCAGTTTAATATGTCATACCACGGTCAGAAACAGATGTTAGGCGAGGTGTTGTGAACTTCAAATATCTGCGAAGCACAGGGAATTTTGAATTTTTCTTTCATATAAATTAGATAGGCTGTAAAACTGCCTCACGTTTTGTGTTCTTATTCTAATAGAGATAGCGTGATACATATTTGAGTGCTGCCTAACCCGCTCAGTACGGTGAAACAACGCATTGTCCATAACCAGTACGTACAGATCTAGGCTCTGGTCATCTTCCGCAATGAAGAAGAAGCTCGTCGACAAAGTCCTCGAACAAAGTGGTATACGTGGCGCCACGAAAGACTCGAGAGAAAACAATTCCATCTTGGGCATACACAGGCAATACCGCTTGTCGCAGTGAAGTTGTAAGACTTGCACAGGGGCCACGCCAAGTGGTGACCAGCCTGTCCGTCTGAACCCGATTCGTTCATCACAGCCAGATTCGTCAACGTTAAAAAGGTGATATGACTGGAAGTCCAACAAATTGTGAAGATGTAACTCTCGCAAATCTGCACTTTGTTCTTTAGTCATCTATCGTGCGGTCTTCCTGGACCAACCTTTATAAGCCAGAGAAGCCAGCGAGCCTCCCCCCCCTCCAATGCTAGAAGTGGTTGCCAGCTCCGAAACTCATCCCCATCCCATAGAAAGATGACCATCTCATCGAGATACAGAGAACAGGATCGGTGTTGAAGAAGGAGGGATGTTGGAAGAGGAAAGAAGTTGGTGTAAGGGAGAGGGGTTTAATATTTCCTGGTTATGAATTTAGTAATATCTTCTTACTTTTTAGAATGGTCATTTCCCTATATCTTTCATTCAGTAATTTTCTTATACTTTTTAAATAATAATTTTCTTATTAGAAGCCCTACCAGTGGAGGGTGGAATGACAAAATAATATCCCAGAGAAATGAATGGCTCATAAATACTCCGTGAGAGATACTCAGTAAGATATAACTATGCATAACAAAAGAGTGCTACCAAGTTCAATATTTGTTTGATGATTCTCAGAATCCACATCATATGCTATGAGTTCAAGTTGATTTCATAAACAGCAATCAAATATAAAAAAACTTTATACACTACAAATTATAGACGGTCATGAAATTGATTGCCACATACCAGTTCCCTATTTTTTAGTTTTCTAGTTTTCTTAAAGACGTCGATCGGGATCGGGCTGATACAATTCGCCGCGTCGATGAATCGCGACCCACATTACATTCCAGACTTTACCTGTAATAAAGATACAGCCGGGAATATTGCCAATTTTGGGTCGGATTTCGGCATGAAAAAAAGAGAAATGGGCCCGGGCTTCAATTTTGCTCCACATTTTTGAAAGGGAGGGCGAGTTAGACCTCGGCATTCATTCAAGTTTGGGGACAAAGTAAAATCACTTCCAAGATTCTTACAAAGGGGAAAACATTGAATTTTGCGAGAGGCTTTAGCAAATTATATACTGAAATGCAAACCTACGTAGTGCAGTAGACATTGTTTTGATCAGATCGGACTCAGAAGACATGATTATGTGCAAAGGCTAACATTAATTCATGAATTTTGAACAGAAAATTTCTCACAGCAGGGTAGAAGCAGAGTAGGGCGTATTGTAACCGTCAATAGCAGGGAACTCATAAAGCTCCAGATCCTTTTGTCTGGCAACAGCCCATGGCCCCAAAGCGCCAAAGAGTTTCGCTACATTGGCTTCCTGAGACAGGTCAATTGGTTGCAAGTGGCTGCCCATCTGCAAGATCTGAACACCCGATGCACCAGCTGTAGCACCGAAATCATACATGTTGATTTTTTGGACGAGAGCTCCCTTGACCTTGCCCGACAGGATATGCGCGCACAAGTTCGGTTCTTGGCAGAGAGGGCGTCCAAGACCAACTCCGTCCACGGTTTCTAGCGCCTTGACCATTCCTCCGACGGTTCTGAGACCACCAGTGACATACGTCTTTGTTCTTGTCAAGCCAGGAACAATGATTTTGGCGAATTCCAAGAACAACTGCCCAGTGTTAGTAAACCATGAAAAAAAGGCCGAGGCCGTAAACAAATAATCAGGCATCGCAGGGGCAGAACCTACAGCCTCGCGTTCGACTGTGGAGGGTCGCTTATGCTCAGACATTGGAGAGTTTTCGTAGGTACCACCGGAGAGTTCGACAAAGTCAAAAGAGTGTTCTTCAAGGGCTGTGCATAGCTCCTTAGCTTCCTCGGGCTGGAATCCCTTCTCCTGGAACTCAACACTGTTAATCTTGATACCGACCACGAAGTCCTTGCGGACTCTCTTAGCGATCTCGTCTCTGACTTCCAAGATCAATCTCATGCGGTTCTTCAAGTCACCACCATACTTGTCAGTGCGCAGGTTAGTGGTTGGAGACAAGAACTGGCTAAGAAGATAGCCGTGAGCACCATGAAGTTGTATGCCGTCAAATCCAGCCTTCTCGAGGTACTCGGCGGCATGGGCAAAGCCGTCGATGATATTGGCAATGTCTTCTTCAGTTGCGGCACGGGGCTTTGCAAATTTCATGCCCATCGGCTCGCCCTTCACCTGCACATCACTGGCACTGATGGGATTGGGTTGGAGATGCTGAGGAGTTTGGCGACCTGGGTGTCCGACCTGGGCAATGATAAGCATCCCGTTTGCTTTTCCGGCAGCCGCGAGCTGCTGGAAGCGCTCAAAACGTTCGCCGGAGAATTCTGCATCTCGAGGGATGACTGGGTTGCCGGCTGCTTCCAGGTGACCAGGGTCAATCATAACATTGCCAGTAAGGTTGATACCGACTTGACCCTCCCCCCCAGCCCTGGTATGCTTGAATCAAAGCAGGTGACGGGATACCACGCGAAGTAACATCTTGCAAGGAAAATGATGCGAGACGTTCGCTCATGGCACCCTTCATGAAACGATTGGGCGCTGAGCGACCAGAGAAGGTGAACTGGAGGGGCTGGCCCAATGCACTGGGGTCAACATCTGGAGACTCGAATCTTGGTGCGGAAGAAGACATGTTTGTTGTGTTTGAGAAGGGTCAAGGTTGAGACCGTAAATTGGTTCAGAGTGCAGATGTGATGACAGGAAGAAGTGATTGGGGCAACGACAAAATTATTTAACTCCTTACGATAACCTTAACTTGAATTGTGCACATTGACCATACGCATAATTTGAGCATTGGGATTGCGAATTTATAAGCTGTCCTGAAGATTTATAATCGCCACTCATCTTAAAAAAGAAAAAGTGGATCACGGAGTTCATTCCTAAAGTGATGCCAGCGCTGGTTGTCAGACGGGGGATAATATTAACCCTGGAAATTAACTGTTTTTATTAACATGTTGAGATACTATCTATTGAATTTTTCTCTTGTAGATCTCTATAGTTTATATCTTAAATTACGCCATTTCGAGAGTTTCTACTAATTCTACGAGTCATTTTTATATATCAGTACTAGGGGATTGGTGCAGGGATCCCCCCACTTAGTCATATCCTACACTCTGTCACTAATACATCCGTACCCTTGATAAATTAGGCGAAATGCAGCAATAATAAGAGTTAAATACCATAGTGTATATTATTATACTTTGTATGAAAAATCCAGAGTTTTTAGACTAGTCTAAATTGGTCCTTTTGGAGATTAAGGTTACAGTGTTAAGCTCTTTCAATGTTTCATTACGCCAATTGTAAATTACACGTACTGGAAAACACAGGGCGGTCAAGTTTGATTTTCGGGCGTTTCTTTGCTTTCTTCTGGAACTCAAAGGGAGGCGGTTTGTTGTGGAAGTGGCGGTGAAGATTTCCAATTGTGAGAGTATGTTTGTGATGTGCAGATCGGTGAGATTTGGTAGTCGGTTGTGGTGGAATCGTAGTGGGTTGTTGGAGGACAGAGGCGTAGGTTTTTTGTTAGCTGTCGGGGTTGATTGGACATGTTGTGGAGCACGAGTGGCTGGTCATGATATTGACAGTGTCGCTTCGGATGGCGGGTGGAATTTTGACAGGAGTCTCGAGATCGATTTCCATTTGTCTCTTGGAGATACCTAGGTATAAGTTGTAGGAGGAGGTTCAAGTCGTACACTAGATTCAGGGACCGAGATTTGTGTTCAAGGGTCGGCTGTAGTGCATGGAGCTGGAAGCAAAGTTTGAGATCGTGGCAGATTACATGGAACAAGCAGTCTTCTCTGTGTATTCTGGGAGGACTTTCAACGGCGGCCACTCGACTATTAACTGCGTTCAAGCCACACGCCGGCAGTTTCATAACATGGTGGGTGACCACATGCGAATGAATACCTGCTGTTTTATGTTTCAGTTTCGTGATTTTTAAGGATAAATCTTGAGGCCGAACTTCATTCCATCAGAGCATTCGTCCAATCGATATCCTCATCTTTCATCCGATATTTTATCCGATCTTCTGTCTGAAACCTTTCGTCTGAAATTTGCAGTTGACCTTTGTTCGTCAAATCTTTTCTGCTGTCAACTCAAGCGCTTTCTGATATGGTCATTCGAAATCAAGTCAAGTGAAAAAGCGGTCGTTCATGCCGCTTCGCTCGCCATCGATTTGTCGAGTAGGCCAGATCGCGACAGTTCCGGATGACCCAACCCCAGGTATGAGCAAAAGGCTCCGTAATCTCCCAACCCGCTGGATCCCAAGGATCACCCCAGACTATGATACCACTTCTCTGTGATTTCGGAGTCCCACTGCCCTTCATGTCCAGACAAAGCTGTGTCTCTTCTTCGAAATCCCCGGCAAGGATCAGATTATCCCTCAGTTGAGGATCAGGGAGTAGGTCTAACCACGGATGATGTGAGATACATCGCTGTATCGCAGTAGGTTGGAGCATTATGGGAAGGTTCTGGAGATTTTCATTCTGCCATGGACCAATCATGTTGAAGGGAGAAATTGCATCATCGTCAAGTTGGTCGGATGTGAGGCCCAATATTCTTGTGTTCTCCATCAAAGCTCTGGTGAAGTTGAATTGGACGAGGTGGAGTAATAGATCGGTTCGCGGGGAGCCGGAATAGTAGTAATGGAAGGCGACTTTTTCTAACCTGGCCATTACTCTTCTTGTAGCGGTAGAATGGGATTCTAGTATATGCACATCCTCGATCGCCTTTAATGGGTCAAGGTGACTGGCAGTAGGTGTCTCTAATACCTCCACCTCGTCGTTGCTTTGAGGGACAGTGGATCGTTCTGCTGTCTCGTGCTCGTCAATGGGAGAGGTGAGATTTCCCACATCTGTGTTCTTGCCTCTTGAGGGGGTTTGTAGTTTTTTATTTTGCAGACCTGTATGTGAAATGGTCAAACAATACGCGCAGTATGCAACGGCTATCGACAAATGGAGAACTTACGTCGAATCCTTTGGTTCAAGCGATTCTGAAGTCTCCGACGTGTTTTTGGATCGGAGATACCTGACCAATCCTCGTCAGGCCAATCGCTCAGGCGTTGCTGAACGGAGGATCTTGTAGCGATCCGCTTTTCGGAACGATCCTCTACTGATCGATTCATATTTTAGGTCCTGCTGCTGCACCGAGAGTTTTCGACCGATCAAGTAGTTCTGAAACTTGATGACAGGATCGTGCCTACGAGTTGTAGATTTGGCTAGCAAAAGTGAGGGAGAAAGATGAAGAGGGACGCCATTCACGTCAGGGCTGGGGTAGACTTCAAGTTGGGTATTATTAATATCGTTCTAAGTCTGGGAACCAATCATGCATCGCCAAGAGTAAATGCGACCCACCATGTCAGCCGCTTGCATGACGCTATCCCCTTTGTGGTTGAAGTTTGAACGAACCCTGGATCCAAACCTTGGCACTTGAGGCGACGAAAGCAGCACCCAATAACTACCATAACTACCGAGCACTGCCCAATAGCAAATATTTCGGAGATGGCGAGAATAAAAAAAAAGTGAGTCGACTGAATAATGAAAAACACAGGATGGAGATGTGAAACGACAACCCCAAAGACAGAACAGTTATTGATGGCCAAGCACCTTCTTGGGCTCATATAGGTCATCGATACTCTTCAATTCAGCGGGACTGAGCACGAAAGATATGGCATTAACTGCTTCATCGACTCTCTCCTTCTTGCTCATTCCCAGAATTGGTGCCGTGATAAATGGCTTCGAAAGTGACCAAGCAATCGCCACTGTCGCCATTGACACATCATGCTTCTCGGCGATTTTCTCAATTTGTTCATTAATCCTCTTGTCTATCTCCGTGGCGGGTTGGCCGAGGAATCCAGGGCCCTGGCCCTCTCCACGTGTGGTTTGCGAGAAGTCACGCCAGGGTCGAGCCAAGAATCCCATCGCCACAGGGCTCCAAGGAATACCGCCCATTCCAAATTTGGCGCATGCAGGGTACATTTCTCTCTCCTCTTCTCTATAAATCGCGTTGTAAAGATTCTGCATCGATATAAACTCCGTCCAGCCGTGAATGCGAGCGGTGTACTGGTACTCAAGGAGCTGATGAGCCCACATTGATGAAGCACCGATATAGCGCACTTTGCCGGACTTGACAATATCATGGAGGGCTTCCATTGTTTCCTTCGGAGGTGTTTTGGGGTCGAAGCGGTGAATCTGCAGCAAATCGACATAGGGCAGGTCAAGTCTCTTAAGGCTGGCATCGATGCTCTCGAAGATATGCTTCCGACTGAGACCGTATTGGTTCACGTAACCGGCGTCATCTTTTTTATCGTCCGTCATAGCTAGTGGCTGTTCCAAATCGCGACCGACTGGTGCCCACAATTTGGTTGCGATGACGAGGTTTTCCCGGCGCCATCCATATTTCTTGATCGCTCTGCCCAGAATCTCTTCAGACAAGCCGTTTGAATAGGCATTTGCCGTGTCGAAGAAGTTGAGGCCCGATTCGTAGCAATGATTCAGCACCGGCAGTGCTTCTTCCTCTGGGATTGACCAATTGAATCGGCCTTCGGGGTTCCCAAAGCTCATGCATCCTACTCCAATTGGGGCGATGCGAAGACCGCTGCTTCCGAGCTGAACGTATTTCATGTTGTTCAAAGTTTTAGAGAAAAGCAGGCGGTAAATTGAAATGTAGAAGATAGAGTCGTAAGTAGTGCGATCGGGGTATTGTGAATACTTATACTTCATGGGTTTGGGAAACTCGCCGGCTCATTGGCGCTGAAGCGTGGAATCCGGATTACCTGGTGCTAGATGATGACAAAAGCCATATGATTGGCCAATATTTCAGATCGAACCTGCCTGGATCGAATGCGAGCCAAGCCTCGTCATGTTGCCTTGGAATAGGCAGTACATCTCCGAAATCAGATCAAGGACGGACATCTTAGCCTGTGGAGACATATGGACCAACCGGAAGAAAGTTGTCATCAAGTTGCAGACCTTAGGGGACTAGCCGGGACTTATCCGCATGGCTCCAATGATTGACCTTGTAGCCCAATGATCAACACGAAAGAGTGGGGCATATTCAACCCAACAGCCTTCCCAAACTTGTCTTTCTGCCAACGTCAAGTTTGAAAGCTCCGAGATTGAGCGGAAAGCACACCCGTGGAGCCACATGACGAAGGACATATATATTAATTTATGTGGAATATTGATTAAAAACTTATGATATCATCCCATTAATAATGTACTGTCGCGGGCTCCTTCCAAAGGTCCTGAACAAATATTCCGAAGATAGCAGTGATATCAGACATCGCAGTAACAGTCACAGAGAATATGCTTCCAGGCGTACTTGGAATAACGTCTGCTTTTTCCAGATTTGGAAAATTGACGAGTCGACAGTCTTCGCGCTTGCTCAAGAAATGGAAGAATCCCGCTGGGATTATGAGACTTTCTTCCCTCGTCTGGCTGTAATTCCTTCTTCAATCGCTTGTTGGCAACCGGTAACAAAGCCGGCTTCACACAGCGCGATCAACTTCTCGTGACAATTATTCCCTCGTATGGACCCTTTCATCTCATCATAACTCAACGGTTTTCCATTTAACTGGAATTCTGGACTCGTTGAGTGAGACTCGGTAAACTTAGATGGTACCGACTTCTGGAGGCTGGCCCGATTGTTGTGGTCTGTTTGATATTCAACCAGATTTGGGATCACAGCCGCTGAGGCGATGGCTGCCAGGGAAATAAGCGAAGACAGGAGCATGCAGATGTGCATGCTTGCGAAGTAGTTGAATAGTAACGGACTGACTGCGGCAGGGCGAAAAGAAAATTCGGCAGCTCGAAGGGAGTTTTACCGCTGATCTGCCCGGTGATGGATCTTCAGTCGGCGAATATAAAGCTGGGGGAAGGGCGGCGAGTGGAAGGAGATATCCAGTTCGTCTAGCATTTTCAAAACCCGTTCGCATGGACGGGTCTTGTATACCTTAGGGATATTACCGAGACCACCGGAGATAGGGACATTGTCCGCATCATACCGGCTTCTGGTAAAATTTCGCCCCTCTCGGCATTGCTTGGCATTTGAGGCAGTCAACCAAATTGATGACACTCGGCTTGTCATTGGCGGGTTCAGTCGATGTGAGTATCGATTTGGCCCATCCCTATATTCGCACTATGAAAGGTGTTAGCTCGGAGGGAGGAACATAGAAGCATGCATTGATTGCCTAACTAAGAGAAGACACGAAAAGAGAGAGGAAGAATCAGGCGTGAGGGAATGGCGAGCAGAGCGCGGCGAGGAAACGAAGCTAGCTGGATGGGAAATTCGCGTGGACCCGCCAGTCGAGTACATATGCATTCGGCGGTTGCAACCGGTGATCTTTCGGACTCAGCCTAAGACGCAGTATGTAAAGGGATCGATCCACCCTAAATTCGCTTGGCTTCAATTGGATGACAATTGTTCCCTGATTAGTCCGTAAATGTGGGGAATGCGATTTGATGACAACTTCTGTATGATTCGTTGATAGTGTGGCCAATCCGTATTAGCCAGAGCCTTAGGGTGGCGGTACGACGAAGTATTAACGTGTTTCACCACCGAACCGCCACCACCACCGAGCCGCCACCCCACCTACATTACAACGATATATATTGAATATTACACAACCACCATATAATATATTGCAAAAACTAAGCACTATTCACAACCGGGCACCTATTCCGCTTGTGCCCTGGCTCTCTGCAATTAGTACAGCGCTGTACAGGCCTCCTAATCGTCGTCTCTGTAGCTGCCGGAGCACGCCGTGGCACCGGGGGTATTGCCATTTGGTGCTCATGCTCAATTTGTAGACGTAATTGCATCTCTTCGGCAGTCATTCCACCTTCGTATACCAATTGCTTATTAGGTAAGGCCTTTTTTCGCTGCTTTCGTCCATTCTCTGCCATTACACGCTCATATGTAGTCGTCAGCATTACAAGCTGATTAGCAAGTAATTGTGCACCTTTGGTAGTCTGCTCCAATTGCTGATATATATCGCTATTGGGTGAAATATCTCGATATTCTAGTAATCGCTTGATTGATGCTGCCTGGCGTCGGAAATTGATAGCTTTTGATGGTGTATGAGGTATAAATTCATGACTACTAGCACTACCACGTGATGGTGGTAGTGTAGGTGACGGGGGATGAACCTCAAGTTTTGAAAGTACTACCTCAGGCGCATATGGAATGATACCTGATGCCATAAAACTGCTAGCAATTGTAGAGGTTGTGTATGTTGCTGCACGTGTTGTAGGGTACAGATGAAGGAAATCGAGCTTTTTAATATCTGTAGAGCCTATGCGGGCAAGATCTTGCACAGCCTGACCATAGAAGTGCTTCAATACACCAAAACAACCTACATCAAGAGGTTGTAATAGATGCGATGAATGAGATGGCATGCAGATTGGCACAATATTGTTTTCCATGCATAGAGTATCAAATTGAGGGGTAAGATGACTCCCATGGCCATCCATGACTAGGAGAGACCAGGCACCATGTTGACGCTTCTTAACGTATGGGATGAAAGAATTTTCGAGCCATGAAATACCAATTTGATCAGTAGTCCATCCATTATTACTGACCTCGAAGCGCCAGTTGTCTGGGACAATACTGCACCAAGCAGATATAAAAACCTTAGCTTTAAAAATGATCGTTGGAGGTAGAACACCATCCAAATGGATACACTCAATTGCAGTAACCCACTCCCGGTTACCAGGCTGCACGACTTTTCTTTTTCCCTGCCACTCCCGACTAGTGATCACTTTTGAAGTACTAGTGATCCCCATTGCGAAGCCAGTTTCATCAAAGTTATAGATGTCGTTGTCAAGGATGCCATATTCAGCAATGATGTTGCGATACTGATCGAACCACTCGCGAATAAGCTCCGGATCTTCACATAATGCACGCTGAGCGGCGTAACGACGTGAAAACCGGGTTTTTAGCTTCTCACGGCGTGCAACAAACCGAGATATCCAGTTTTTGCCGAGTGGTAAGGGAGGGGTATTGACAGAGCGCTGAGCAAGTAGAATATTGGCCATCTCTTTTGCCATAGCTAAGGTAGGGGCCTTGCCACGCATATCTAGATCCAATATCCATCGCTCAAGCGAATCCTCTTCGATTTTATCCAATTTTGAGCAATTTGCGCGAGTGGTGTTACGATAACCGATCCCCTTGACGCGGTCGCGTAATGTTGTACGAGGTACCTCATAAACACGCGCAGCTTCAGTAATAGAAGCTATTTTCTTGTTTCTTAGCGCCTGTATAGCAAGTTCGATCCTGCCTTCTTGCTCAATGAGTTTGCGCGTTCGTCCGGTACGAATTGGTGGCATAGTGGTGGTTTAAAGATGGGGGTGCTACACGCGACGCGATTTTTTTGAGGTGGTGGCGGCTCGGTGGTGGTGGCGGTTCGGTGGTGAAACACGTTAGCTACCAGTACCCAGGGAGTGAATGTATGCAATGACTCGATACCCAGTAAATGCCCAATGAAAGTTCGATCGTGAATATTACAGCATAGATGGAACCAGTAACAGAAGCATAGATGGAACCAGTAACAGACATAACTTAAACTAACTTGGCGCGTATGGGCAAGAGAGCGACGAATTTAGACTCGCTCATGAGGGATGTTTCTTTTCTCTTCGACTTAGTGGTAGTTTGTCAGCTAGTCTCATCCTTCCCCTTTGCGGTGCCTCTATGTCTCGCCCTAGATGAAATTGAAAGAGCCCGAATTTTAGCCGCATTACCTGTATTCGAGCCCGTGGTAGTATTTCTCGGTCTGAATTGTCTCAAGGCAACTAGACGAAACGGTCTGGGAGTTTACGCAGCCACACTGAGGCTTGGGCTTATGACGCGTAAATATTGAAGCCCCCTCGGGCCCAGCCGCTTCACTCACACCAGGAAACTTTGCCTGCAAGAAATATGGAGTTGAGGTCATCCTCGGCACTGCTTGGCGCATGGAGAGTGTTGCATCTGCAGCAGACTAGTATTCCAAACCTGGAAGGTTTGGGGATCCTTTCTGGCAAGGGTCGATCGGCGAGGGGATATTCAGTTTGGAGCTCGTCCTGCAGAGATGAATTATAAATGCGAGCTATTTCCTGCGCCAGACAAGATACCTAAGCATTTCTCTCCCTGGTATTCACTCACATACCTTAGTGGCCCTTTCATATAATGATCCGAATCTTAGCCCCCCTGGCGAGTCTGGCCGCTACGGCGTACGCCACCACACCTGCACTCGAAAGAGCCAACGGCCCGTCGGCACAGGCCGTTACTATCAACTGCAAGCAAGCTGTACGTTCCGCCTAATGTCGTTTTTTTCGCCCATTACTGACATGCTTCCAGTGCTCTCAGCTTTCCACGGCTTTCGGATCCGCTTTCCACTGGCCGCAAAATGACAACTTCACGATCTGGGACGCGAAGCAGCAAGAAGTTCAGCCGGCTTGTCGGGTCGAACCCTCGTCGGCCAACGATGTTGCCGAAATACTCGATACTCTCGTATCTCACTGGTGCTACTTTTCAGTGAAAGGAGGGGGTCACTCTAGAAACCCAGGAGACTCCAACTCAGTCGGAGGAGTGACTATCGATCTCAATCGTCTGAATGGCGTCGAGATCCTTCAAGGGGACATCAGGGCGCGTGTAGGTGGTGGCGCGACTACCATCCAGGTTTACGAGGCTCTGGAATCTCGAAATCTATCCTTCGTTGGCGGTAGAGTTGGCAGCGTCGGCATGGGTGGCTTCACCCTTGGCGGAGGAACGTCGCCTTTCTCTAACAAGTACGGATGGTCATTAGACAACGTTTACGAGTATGAGGTGCGCAGTACTTTAAATCGGCATTTCATTATTCAACCACTGACGTGCTTACCTACTAGGTTGTCCTCTCTAATGGAACGATCACGACCGCTTCAGAGAAGCACAACCCTGACCTTTATTTTGCTCTCCGTGGCGGCGGAAATAACTTCGGAATCGTCACAGCCTTCACTGTTCGAACTTTCTCACAAGGCCCCGTCTTTACCAGCATGACAACATATAGTGCGAATCAGTCAAACCAAGTTCTCGACAAAGTCTATGACTTGTTCACAGACAAAAGCCTCAGCGGTAATAAGGAAATGGGATACGATCTTTACTATTCGTACAGCTCTGAAAGTGGCCAATTCACACTGAGTGGAACCCAACGATACGGGAAACCAATCCAGAATCCGCCCGTCTTTGCAGCCATTAATCGCATTCCCACGATGAGCAGAAACACAAACATCGGTAGCATGAGCGAAGCGGTGGACGGCACAGATTCGATGGGAACTACACGGTATGTCTGTCATCAAGTCTTCCAACCTGAGATGCAGTATACTCATTTGTATTTGCAGACACCTTTTTGCTACGCTAAGTGTGGCTCCATCGCGCTCATTGTTGTCGAAGGGCCTCGAGATCTTTCAAGAGGAGGTGGAAGCCATCAAGCATGTCCCTGGCTTGGTTCCCAACTTCATTTCCTATCCGCTGCAGAGAAACGCTATCAAGGCTATGAAACAGCGAGGTGGAAATGCATTGGGGATCGACCGAGACGAACCTCTTTTCTGTACGTTGAACTCTATTCCCCAAGGCTGAGTTCTCCTTGTGTTTTTACTGATCTATCTGAAAGTGATTCTTATCTCGACGGCATGGTCAAAAAGTGCCAATGACGCCGAAGTTAATCGGATGACGGCCAACACCATTGAGAGACTCAATACTGCGGCTAAAAAGTTGGGAGTTGCAAGCCGATACAAGTACATCAATTACGCATCAGCCGCACAAGCTGGCACAGTGTTTTCTGGGTATGGTGATGAAAATTTGCAGAAGCTGCGAGGAATCCAGAGGGCGGTTGATCCACGGGGAATATTCACATCCGGAGGCTTGTGGCGTGGATCCTTCAAATTGCTCTGATCGCATTATCCATATCTTGTTCACATATCTGTTGATGTTGGTATATGAGTCGCTGCACTAGCTACAGGGGCACGTTATTTCAAAACAAACCCCTGCCTATTTGTGATGCCTCAGGTTGCTGTTCCATTTGCTTCCAGGATTATTACAATCTTGTCCATTTGCACAAGGCGAACGAATCAAACATTCAATATTGAAGTAGACAAAGTCCTTTCTTATTTCTCTCTTCATCTCATATTCAATGCTAATTACTTTATAAACCTACATCTACTATTTCACAGAGAAAGTAAACCCATTCCATCATGTGGGGACTTTGTGGTGTGGTCGATTTGGGGCTGATGTCAAAATTTATGAGGGTGAAGATATGTTTGATGGCGAAATCGATGCGAAGGGGCTCTGGACATGCAGGAACGAATTCCTGACAAACCAAGAGCATACAATCTACATCGGCAGGGAACTCGAACATGAGATAGCAGGAGCTTCGTTTTGAAGGAATGTGTCTACCTGTCATATTTTCCGGACCACAAGAATGACGAGGTCAGTTTCATGCCAGCGTGCCATATTACTGGGGAAATGGTGCCGCTCGGACTCAACGACAAACTGGAACTCGACACCACCTTATGACGATGGCGATTACGATTACGATTATGGGCTAAATCATGAGCAGGTGGGTTGAATGAAAGGTGTCGTGGGAAGAACTACTGTTGTTGCTCAGGTTTGCATCTTTTCCTGCCCCAGGCTGTTGGGATGTAGGCCTCAGGCACCACCCCAGCAAGTGACATCTTGTCTTCCGAGCCTCTCTCTCTCTGAGACACACACATAGATAAAGCATACATGCACCATTTGCTTGTTTCCATTTTCTGACACAGGCGGCACGCAAATTTCACACTCAAGATGAGAATTTTCATATCGGAATCGGAAAATCTCGCTTTCGATCGTCAAAAGCTCATGTGGCTTCCACCGGAGGGAAGCATATTTTTCAATTGAATATGAAAATCGTCATCTGAGTTACGCGGAAGTCGTCGCGTGGATATTAATAGGGATGAATAGGTTCAAAACGATCGTCTGGCAATAAAAGCTCGTTGGGACTGAGCAGGCAAACCCCCTGAAGTGGGGGCCGCCGTCGGCTTCCATAGGCAACTATTAACCAGTCACTCGCGACTTGGTGGGTCGGAAGTGCTTAAGCGCCACAGGGCCCAAGAGCGGCCCCCGATTTTCAGGGGTAACTTCCAAGGTTGCTACAAGTGATATGGAATTCCAGAGTGGACAAGGTTCTTGGATCTCCAAAGTACTTGCAGCATCACAAATGCAAAGATAATTTTGTGTCAGTCGGTCTACATATGGCGCTCCGGGAGAAGTTCTTGAACGTGGCATCAGAAAGGAAATGTCCAGCACGGCAGACAGAGGAATTCCTCTGGATCAGTCACCATGACACTCAATTACACCGTCGCGAACTACACCGATCTAAACATGCTTTCGTGAGGTTCAGACATCATCGTCTACGGAGAGAAAAAGAGTCGGCTGAACACGATCTGCGATTTGGCAATGCCACGACCACGAATGTTTCACAGAACAATGACCATCGTATATCCCCACCACGAGGTTACAACGACAAAAATCATGAATTTGAGCGGTCTGTCATAGGACCGTCTTTACAAGCCGGAGTGCTTGACGGAGCTCCTTTTCTAATTGGTAGAACGAACCAAAACCCGAACATCTACTTCCAACATTGTGAGTAACTCAAATGTTTAACGTTGAACAAGACATTCAAATTTATGCACTGGCCGACTGCTAGCTAGCCCGTTATGTGGTGTCGTATACTGTGCTATTTAATAATTCACTCAATAGACCGAGCCTATTGCGCAAGGTCTTGTTTCCCTCTCTGTCCCAGTGACGTGACGCTCTGGTTTTGGAAAAAAGTACTTGATGATCCTATTTTGATGCATATCAAGTTATCTATCAGTGCATCTCACCGCACTGCGGCTCTAAAAGCGTTCGGGGCTCCTTCAATCATTGTGCAGCAGCCGGCGCAGGACAGCATCCGTTTTCGCCTTGGAACCATGAAATCACTTCAAAAAATATTTCAAAATGAAAACAACATATACTCTGAATCAACTGTGTTCTTAATCACTCACCTGATTATCTCTGAGGTAGGTTTTCCCAGATGCGTGAATGTCCTTTTGAATAGAACTTGAAGGTTTCATTGGGTCTGGAGCCTTGTTGCGAGCTCAAACTTAACTTATTGCATGCAATCTAGATTTTTGAAGCCAACACTGAAGCGGTTGAGATGCACATGAATGGTATGACAAGAATTATCGCATGGCTAGGCGGGCTGGATGTTTTTGGGTTTCAAACGCTTGCCATGATCTATAGGTAATGCTTTATTTGACACTATCTTGGCTCTACTACTTACTCCTACTGTTTCTGCAGTTGCACGTTCTTGCACGGGATGGTCAGCAAATCGCCACCAATAATTCCCATGTGCGTAAAGTTCGAGGCCAGGGTTCTCCAGGAATCTGCTATCATCAAAGCTAGCCGCCGCTTGGCCCGACCCTCGGTGCTTGGCACCCGTTTCTTCAACGCTCCATGGTCTGGCGAGATCCAACCGCTATTCAAATCAATAATCTCCTGCTACCAGCAGCTGGTTCTGCATTACGAAAGAGGAGAAAACCCGACTGTGAACCCAATATCGGTTGAAAATGATTGCTTGCTGTACTTGAGCCACCGTCTACTGTGTCTCCCGTATCAATGCCCACTCACGGAATTTGAAGAGATAATCCGAGTGTCGATTTTCGTCTACTTATCTATACGGATATGGAGCATATATGGAACGCCGTGTCTGGATTCACAGGTCAAATCGCTACGAGATCTACTACGGAGGAATAATTTCCTTCTTGAAAGCACTGCGTCTGACCTGCTATTCTGGGTCCTTTTCATCGGCAGTCTTGCATCTAAGGGACTGGAGTCCCATTCATGGTTTTCGGCACGTCTCGTGGATATTGCAGATCAAATGCATCTTCAGGACTGGGATACTGCGACGGCATTTTTAGGAGAGTTTCTTTTCATATGTCGTCCCCAGGATGATCCAGCCGTGGAATTATGGTACTCTCTTTTCCAGCGAAGAAGCTTGGCTACAATCGAAGCTAGACCCATCTTACAACAGCAAATGGTTATTAGATGAGGCTTTCTATAAATAAAATTACCGAAATTTTCATATTAGACAAATCTTTCTCCAATCCTCAAGCAACTTGTCGAAGGTTGTCTTTCCTCTTGCAACGTACTAGGAGAAAATGAATATCGAACCCGGTCATGTACAATATTGAATAATGGAGAATTCGATTTAAACTGACGAGCAAGATCTACCAGGAGTCCATTTTTGAGACATTCCGCTCTTAAACAAGTAAAGCCTATCACAGTTGCGATTCTGCTTCTGCTCAAGGTTCAAATCGCGATCGCGATCGCGACCGTTCTGCTAATTGCGAACGAAAACACCGGTTGTCTCCACCATCACTGAATCAATATTTTGCATGCAAAACCTGAAGTCCTGTAGGACCGAAGGACATTCGCGCATACTAATACTAGGAATATAGCCTAGTATGAAATATCACACTGGCACCATCTGGAAGTTTAAGTTGTACTAGAGTTTTTGTAGACTTGAAAAACTTAGGTATACTAGTACTAGCAGAAAGCTATTTCAAGTGATCTAAAAAAAGGAAGAGAAAGTACGCATGCCTAATGTTACCGTGACGATCTCGGGATCATGAGCTACCTAGGTCTATATACTAGTAGCAATTTGAGCGGCTAGATCGCTAGTATTCGAAACTTGAATAAAAAGGCCCGGTTCATGTTGCTGCCCACCAGTGGCGAACCTTGCGCGAGCATTCAGGGAACTAGTATGTGCGCAGACCTGAGCGGACGGTAGATGGTTCTGGGTTAGACTTAAAATCCTGAGTATTGTCGGGCGTATCAAGAACCTCTTGAAGATCTTGATCAGCCATAAATTTAAGTTAGATCAAATCCAGAGCAACAGAATTTATGTACATACACATCAGAAGCTAGGAGCTTATTTTGGGGACCACCAGCCGCATTTAGAAAATATTGCCGGAAATTAAAAACATATTAAAGGCGTTGATTTGACTTCGGTCACGCGGAAATGGCCCCGGGGGTTGAAGTACTATTTCTAAATTAGGCAAACAGTACAGTGATGGCAGGGAGAACAGGACCCGGACGTATTTTATTGGCTGGTAGCCCAAAGCTGGGAAAGGCCTATTCGAGTTTCACCATTCACAAGCGAGCTGCCTTCAATGGTGATTTTCGTGCGAGCTATGCCTCATTTAGTGACATGCCGCTCGGTCACTCAGCCCCACCCAGGGACTGATCCACAAATCCTGATTTTAGAAAAAAAAGGAGCGATCTGCAGAATCAACCTCGACAAGGCCTTTCAAGCATACTGAACAATACACAACGTTGACACCGGGAAAAAGCTTTCGAGAATAGGTTCTGTCCCGTTTGCTGCTCGGGGGTCTCCTCCTCTCTTCTTAACTGGTTGATGGGGCATAGCAATCAGGAAATGGTGCACGCATCAAGATTTCTAGGAGGAAGAGAGATTGAGGTCAGGAAGGCGAGCTGAGTGCCTGTGGTGGTGTCTGAGGTCTACCCCCACCAATTTTCACAGGCCAAGTAGTCAATAATGACTCTGAAAGCTTAGATCGTTGAGGTCATCAAATTTGTAGTGCTCGAGCGGTAGTCAAATTCATCCCAGGAGTCCGGGTCGCGCAAATTCCTCTGTGTTAGGATAGCAGAATTAGAATTGTTTACTCGAGGAGGCACGAAGTTTGATGAGGCAAATGGGTTATTTCTTCCATTCGACCAATTAGTGCGCATACAACAGTTTAGCTCTGTTTGCTTAGTGTCCTTTTTTGGATTGACACGAAGTGGATCCAGTGGGGCTTTGAAAAGAGACAGTTCGATTTGCGGAGTACTGTGTCCACTTTAGGCTAGCGCTAGCCCCCCCGCCTTTCAGGAATGAAGATACGAGATCTCCATTAGGAGATGTGCTGGGAAGTATAAATTGAAATATGTTTTCCTCCTCCTGGCTGCACTATCTTCTCAAACAGCCAGGCTATCCTCAATCAGCGGTTCTCCTTTTTCATCGAAATCCACGATTCTCGTCTAACCTTCACCATGCCGTGGACCTTCCGTTGCGATGAGTTCACACATTGTAGCATGGCAAATAATCAACTCACCTCAATGCATCTCCCCGCATTCACCGAGGATGATTACCAGAATTACCCTCTAGATGAAGATTTGACTATGGAGCATAATATCTTCAATCCATTGAGTGGCATCTCGCACTTTGCCACAAGTGCCGAATCAAGATTCCATGATCCCCTTGTTGGAGAAAGCACTACGACCAACCTACTTGACCTTTACATTGCGCATGATACAGTGTGCGATGATGGTGTACGGCTTTTTTCGACGTCTCAAGAGGGTCTATCACAGCCTCGAAATTTGATTCCTGATATATCTAATGGTGGCAGTCGTCGGGACTCCTCTCCGAAAAAAGGACGCACTCAAAGAAATGTTGGCTGTGAAAGCCGACTCAAAATTGTAAAGAATTCAAGTTCACGTCATCATGGGTAAGTTGTGATTCTCTTTCAAGGTTTTATCTTGATTTTTCTAGTATTAGCTCTCGCTAACTTAACCACACCCGCAGCGCCAGCCACACTGGCCCATTTAATTGCCAATGGAAAGGATGCAGCTATGGTGGAATCTTCTCACGCAAATCAGTCTTATTACGCCACATCCAGGCAATGCATCTGAGTCCCGGGGCCTATCCATGTCCCGATCCTGACTGTCTCAAGTCTTTCAATAGAAAAGATAATTTGACCGCTCACATTCGAAATGTTCATTGGAAACAGGAGAATTTGTGATATTCAGCGAAGTGACCCATCATGTACGATAAATACCGAATTTTATCAGTGAAGAGTCATATCGCTCGAAATAGGTCTAAAATCTGGAGCATTTGAAAAATTGAACAGGTCTGGACTCGAACGCGGCGCCACGTCAATCATGATTCGAGTCTCGTTGTGTCGCGGCGGGTTCAGGACAGCTCAATTTCGAGCTCATATTAATTTTTGCTGCACTGAAAAATACAATGATCAATTGTGTAGTTGATACTACAGGAATGTACGAGACCGATGAATTCAGGAAGCTTCATATGTTTGCTGCGATGATTTGAGATTTGCCCACATTTATCGTCATTCTCCGTGAAAGTCGCGTTTCTGTTGAACATCTGCAATGGGACTCCTCAATTGCAAACAAGATAGCATTCTTCAGACCTTTGCCGGTTCCTCGTATGGGACATCGCAGTGACCATATTTTCTGCGTTGGACGAAATGCTTGCTCTTTTTGAATCGTTTGCCGCGTAGATACGACAAGTTGCGGTCCCGAAAAGCTTCGTACGACAAATCTGATACTATTTCAAAATATGTGTGAGGGCTTTGAGTCGTGGGTGCCTTGTCAATTTCTTGAGACCTGACGTTGGGAGGAGAATCCTCGTAGTGGACTTCCCACGAAGGATCGTCTCTGTCAAGATCCGGGCCTAAGTTAGCCCATGCTATCCGAACCAGTAGGGGAAGAGGTGTATCTATCATTTGATGGAGATCCTTTATTTTCCTAGTGCTTAGTCGAAATTCTTAATAGCTACTGTCAAGCGGCCTCGCCATCCTTTGATTCAATGCTGATGCCGTTGAACAGTCCTGGAGGAACATGACCTGTAGATTCATTAGAGTAAATTTGGAGCATAAATTTAGGGGGGACGATGACTGTTCATGCGTACCCACTCCTCCAGTGTCATGGATGCATCTTGTAGAGCGTTCTCCTGTATGACCACTCTCTGTTGCTCTGGCACCTCCGTACCAAATATGTTTCCTTGCATCATTTGAAGCCTTGAACACATTGTCACAATTTTCCCTGTCTGCCAATAGACAGCGAGCTGTATTTTCGCCATATCCTTTTCCAAATTGTCGATCGAAATTATACTTGCGAAAAAATCTTCTCTGACTCTTTTCACAGGCGAAATACTTATTGTCTTTGGTCCACCTGATTTTGAGAAGCAAGAAATAAGAGGTCTCTGATGAGACTGTTCATTATAACGGCTCTGGATGAAGATGTTGAAAACCCACTCGAGTAATTGGCAGAAGAAACCTGGCGTAGTAGGGTTAAATTGTTGATGGAAATAGGAAATAAAAGAGAGAAAGGTTGGGCTCCCGGGTGGTGAAGAGAAAAAACCTAGAAAGAATACTAGTGAAGGAAAGACGGGCCCTGGTCTGAGTGTTGAGAAATAGAACTTCCCAGGTGGATGGGGAACCTTCCAAGATTGGTACGGCAGATCAATGGCACCTGGAATCCCAGGCAGCACAGTATGTATGGTAAACCCCATAGCATGAATATTACCATATAGATTTTGGAGGATTCACGTGACGCATCCACTGCTCTTTCTCCTTACAGCAGCATCCTTCTTCATATCCGGTTTCCGATTTTTCCACTGAGTGTGAGGCTGCGTCTTTTGCTTCAAAAGGCTCATGATCGAGCTTTGCGAACAGCCATACCTCCGCATATAAGATATAAGGGAAATCATGCTATGAGCACCCAGAAAATATACTAGTACTCCAAGGCTGACACTATGAATGTGAAGTCAAGTAAAATATGTCCAGAATATAGCCAACGCCGCCGTTGCAAATTCGACTGTTCAATATAATGTCCCGAGGTCTCTGAAATGTATAGAAATAACTCTAAAATAGGTGCCAGACATGGTCGACAAACTGAGGTATTTTTATCAAAATTCAAGATAGAATTATGTTCTAGAAGAGATTCCATATTCAAATACTAGATGCCATAGAGCTTTCTATCAGCAAAAGCTCATTTTTCATTGTCCTTCAAGTTGGTCCGTTTGACTTGACTCCGCAGTTTGACTTTCCTGTGGGGTTCTTTGTGAGGGGTTCCCAAAAGACGAGTATAGTCAGGACAGAGGTCTCCTGAAATTTTTCAATTGGAAGTGGGAGATAAGTTCAATCTGAGTATCACCGCTATTAGCCAAAGGCGAAGCTTCTCCGATACAGGAAAGAGATGATATAGAGCTTGTTCATGATGAAAAGGATCGGTGGTTCCTATGAGGAAAGGGGCATCTTGTCATTCTAGAACGTAGCCTTATCTATCACAGCTCGGGAATTCCTGACACCCGATTAATAAACACAATAACGATCAGAAGAAAAAACAGATAACCCATCTTCAGGGAGACATCTCGCCACTTGGACAAGCCCCATGTATTCCACCATTCCAACTCTGGCCAATTCTTCCCCGCACGTTCCGTCAAGGGCAGGAATTGCAGCACTTCGCCGTTGTAGGAGTTGCGAACGACACCGAGTGCGAAGAGATCACCGCAATGCGGAGCTATGTAGCGCGCGAAGGCTGTCGTCAGCCGACCTTGGCACGCTTCCAACCGGGTGATCCAGCGGGACTCCATGTGGATTGCGTCGAGACGCTTGCGATGCTTGTGGGTGGCAGTGGTAAGTGCCTGCTCGATTGTCTCGGCTGAGGGAATATTGTTCTCTTGAGTGATTGCGTGGAGCACGTTAGCCAGCCCGGCAGCTGCTTCCATGGCGGTGTTGGCTCCTTGGCCAATATTTGGTGTCATCTCAAAGCTATTGTCAGTTGTGTTCCGTCATGTGGAATAAATGAATTACCTTGCTCATGCTATCTCCGATACAGACTATCCGGCCATGGTGCCAGGTCCGGAAAAGATTCTCCTCCAACGCAACCATCCGGAACCCACGGCGCTGAGCCCAGATATCTCGGAACCGAACTCCTTCCCAGATTGGTAGGTCTGCAGCTGCTTCGCAGTGCGAAATAGCTTCGTCTCGCGAAAAGCGCGGTGCATCGGGATAGGTATACCTTCGCGGAAGTTTCTCAATGAGTACCCAGAACAAGCCATTTTCGACTGCTGGGAATATCAAGATCGTGAACCCGGGACCAAATCGAATGACATGTTGCCAGCCCTTCCGACCCGGGATAGGGTTCGACATGCCGAAGACACAGCTAAACTCAACCCCCCATGCCTTCCAAGGATCAGAAAGAGTAGCGAGGTGAAATTCCCAGTTGACTCACTGCGTTTCTCTTTGAGTGAGATCCGGCCCGGCTGCTCGATATCAGCAATCCGCCACATTTCTCGTCGCGTGAGACTGTGCACGCCGTCTGCTCCCACAACCAAATTTCCTTGGAACTCTTCGCCGGCAGCCGTAGTGACAGATACTTTAGCATCATTTGGAGTGATTGTCGTGACATCCTTGCTTGTCAGAACCTTTGATTTGTCCGGGAGAGTCGTATACAAGATCTCGAGAAGTTGAGTTCGCTCCAGACACGCGAACTTGATGCCAAACCTGATCGGCAAGTTGTCAGCTTTACGAGCCAGTGGCTATGTGGTATGTATTGATAGGAATGAAACCACCTCTCAAGTATGACACTGGGAGAAAGACTATCATAGAAAAAGCCGTCTTGATAACAAAGATGCACCCGCTCAATTGAAGAAGACTTCCTTTCAACGTGATGGAAGATGCCCAGCTGTTCCATAATTCGCGCACCATTAGGTAAAATGGCTACAGCGGCTCCAATGGGCGGATGAACCTCGACATGCTTTTCCAGAACCACATAGTCAATTCCTGCGCGGTGAAGACAATGGGCTAGGGTTAGACCCGTGACAGAGGCCCCGATTATAATAACTTTGAAGACGCTTTTCTCTTCCATGATTAATGGTCTTTCTTCGGAGTCATGAATAGCCTCCAGTGATGACAATCATATAGTAACGATTAGGGGATCATACAATCGGCATCATGCAGGAGCGTCGGGCCAATTCATCATCCGATCTTACTTGCGTATATGCGAGATGATCCTCATAATCGGGGCTAGATTCAGCAAGGTTAGGCCCCCCGGAACCACCCGCACGTACATAAGTACATTCGGGCATTCCGCGACGACCCGCAGCAAACATGCTCGGCGCATGATTTTCCTGCACGAGGATGCAATGCAGTGTAACACGATAGGGCCCACCACATTGCAAAATTGACCAGGGAGGGCTTGTGGGTATAGATCGACGCCCCACAGCAAGGCAGCCGGATCGCTGCTTGAGACTAACGTTGTGGCTGCTTAAGGTTTAAAGGATTCAATCCTTCAAGGCTGTGTTGGAGAAACTGCATCCATATGTACGAAGTATATTGCTCGGCGCTGCGACAATTTACTTAATGATCTTTCCTTTTGGGGTAATATCATGCGTTTGAATGCCTGATTTTCGGACTCCGTTGGAGGGGGTTTGTGGCATATGCGTGGTATTTTCTCCGGACAGGGATTTTGGGGCCCAATTTCGAAATATTTGCATATATTTCCCGGGATTTGTATGGAATGAACAGATTAAGTAGAGATAGGCGATTCTTGAGATGTCAAAAGTACTGTATAGCTGAACTAAAACTAGACAAACAAAAATATGGCCAAGATGCCGGTGCTGCAGCCTACGCCACCGACGGACTCGGAGCGGACTGTTCGGTTTCCCGAGGAGAATCCTCCTTTTTGCGAATGTCTTTCCACCCCATCCCCCATGACAAGAAAACCACTAGAGCGGCTGAGCCTGCCGCCACGTAGAATATCACATTGACGGCTTTCGCGTACGATTCAATCACTCCTTCCAATTGGACGGGGTCTTTGACTACATCGCGAATAGCCGTCGCTCCGGCATCAACCACAGCGTTAGGGTCGACTTCAGGTGCCAGCTTTGGCAGGTTTGACTTGAGGCTATTGGTCAAGAGTGTTTCACCCATAGCCAGGAAAATGGCGCCACCAAGAGTCTGGGAGAAGGAAATAAGGGCCATGGAGACGGGTACAAGTTCGGCAGAGAGTGAACTCTGGACGGCGATCACGGCGATCTGAAAGCCTAGCCCTCGACCGAAACCAAGGAGTACTTGATACCCGATCCAGTGACCGGCTGAGCTGTGGGCATTCAGAGTACCCATCAGCCCATTACCGATGGACGACAGGGCACCAGAGATAATGATGAAAGGGAGGTAGTAGCCCACGCGCGAGACTAGTACCCAGTTAGTACTGCAAATCAAGACTATTCTCACTGCCTTTCACATACCAAGCGCTCCACCCACCACAGTCGAGATCAACTGGCTGATGATACTGGGCAGCATGTAAACACCGCTCAGGAGCGGCGTTGCATTGTTGACAGACTGGAAATAAATCGGCATGTAATAGGACGCCAATTCAAGCATTCCAAAGAAGAAAAGCATCACCAGGCAGCTTGACCAGACGGCACGGATACGGATCATTGAGTATGGGACCATAGCTTCTTCGCCGCCCATGGTAAACTCCCACACGACGAAGAGAATGAAAGTCACGCCGGCACCACAGAAGAGACCGATGATGGTTGGGCTGTTCCATTCAAACTGGTGACCGGCGTAATCAAGAGCTAAAAAAAACATCACGCACGCTGGAAGCAATAGAGCAAACCCGATCAGATCGAACCGTTTCTTGATAGCCACCCATATTGTCACATCGCGGGGTTTGACGGCGGCAGGGATACGAGTAAAGACGAGGAGAGCTGCGACGAGGGCACCGACCGGAAGGTTGATATAGAAGCCTTGAATATCAGTGAGACGTGTTGTATACAGTGATGATGGGAGACCGTGACTTACACCATCGCCACGAGACGTATTCCGTGAATGCACCCCCAAGCAAAGGTCCGATAATGATGCCAAGTTGGCCAACTGTTTGGTCAGCTGTGTCAATTGGGCGGCGATCGAGAATGCATACAGCCCATCATGATACCAAACGCCGCTAGAGTGATACCAGTCAGTCATCGACCTTATAGAACTTTCTTTAGTTAATGGGGTATGAACGCACTTGGTCTCTTTTCCAACGGCATGCAGGCCGACAAAATAGTCAGCGTACCGTTAATCAATCCAGCCGAGCCGATTCCCGCGACCGCACGGCTGATGATGAGCATTTTCGACGACACCGAGACCGCACATAGGAGTGAGCCGAATTCAAACACCGCAAAGAAGCAAAGGAAGGTGATCTTGGCCGAGAAGTTGGAGTAGACCTTTCCTGCCAGTGGTTGTAAAGAAGCCCTGAAAAGTATCGGAAACGGTCAGTCTGTAACCGCCCTTCAGGCCACAGAAGGTTGGGGTAGACTCACGAGGCCAGCTGATAGGAACTTCCATACCAGCCCACATCAGCGAGAGAGTGGAAATGCGTCGTGATTCGGGGTATAGCCTAGGCCCATGGAGGGTGGTCAGAGATAAAGAGCTAACGATAGACTGGAGATCAGTCATACTGTGACGATAATGGACATATCCAAGAGAATCAGGAAGTAAACTAGGGTTACGGCCGAAATAATCGCAACGAGCTTGACGCCGGTCACATATTGAGTTGTACTTTCCTGGTTATCATCAGGCGCCGTAGCATCTTTCTCCGGAGGAGGCTCGCTGGTAGTGTTTTCCATTCTGTATGAATTTTAAGATGAACCGAAAGACCAGCAAACGAGTGGCTGCATTAAAACACACAAACGTTGGAAGCTGTAAACAGAAGCCTTGAGTGACTGAACTGACTGGGGCCAAAAGCACAACGAGAAAATACCAGAAAGGAGCGACGTGAAGGACAAAAAGTAGCAACAGCAAGACGAAAGTCAAAAAAAAAAGTCAAAACGCTCGAGGGGCCAAGTTGTCGAGGGGAGTCGAAACAAAGACAGTCAGTGGCCCCCTCGGAAGGGTTCACCCGACGGATAGTTGCATCAGGAGTCCGATCGTCGCGCCACAGGGGCCTGAAACCAAACAAAGAGCTCCAATTTTCAGCGCTAGCCAGCAACCAGTCCGAACGCTTCCTTTCCCTGGCCCTTGCAAGTGCATATGCAATGCCCAGAGCAAGAGGCCACTCATCCCTGTCAAGTGGTCCCACTGCAAAAACCATAGCGCGCCTTCGGCCATGGACGCCACCTGCACTTCATGACCGTTGGGCCCCCACGGCGAGATATCTGCTAAGAGATTCGCCGGGATGAGCCCGAGAGCTAAAGTCCAACTAACGAGATGAGATATCGCGGCGATAACAAATGCAAATATGTATGCATGCCGAGATGCTTGGCGTGACGAGGTGCCTTCGCTTGTTGTCGAGCGCAGAACCAGGTGGAGACCTGACACGTACAGAGGCCAGAGCTGCCATACAGCAATAGCTGTCTGTTTAGTGAATATTTGCGAGTGCCACCGTTCGGGCAAGATCATGGCCGAAGTGGGAACCCCGAAACCCAGAATCATACAAACCGGCAGCAGTTTCACGGCGTGCGCGCCGGAGGCTGAGAGAGTCCGTGGTGCCGGGTGCAACCACAGGTGGATAGTACACCACAGAGGTACAATGGCGCCGATTGCAATGACTTGAGAGAGTAGGGCCCAAAACGTGGGGCTAGAATAGTTGCATGAGATCACCTTGCAGACACGAAGGGGAGTGTAGAGATAGATGAGAAACTCACGAAAGTAGCCATCTCGCACGAGACGAATCCCGCCATGATTCGACCTGTATTATCGTCCATGCGGCTACAATTGGGCCAGAGAAGTAGAACGCCTGAAGGCTGAGAGCGGGATGGTTCCCGTTGATCACCGGCCAGTAGAACACGATCAGATTGCCGAGTAGTTCATCGAACCCCGTATGCGTCATATTACCCTGGAGCGGTTCGGTGGTCTCGGACAGCCTACGAGCTCGATAGTCACTAGCCATGAGCTCGAGGAAGCCATTCCGATAGCCAAAACCATAAATCGCATCCAAAGCAAGGATAGACAGGAGCGGAAGGAAGTATAAAGCCGAGAACGCCATTGGAGAGGAGGGGCCAATCAGCTGATACAAAATAGTAGTTGGAGAAGTGGATGATGAAGCAATAAATAAAGGCCTGAAAGATTGAGAAACAAAAAGTCTTTAAATATCCATGCCATTTGCTAACTCTAAGGTAGCCTTCCTGCCGCTTACTACATACTAGTATGCCATATTACCCTAGCACCATAATTCCCAGCCCTTCTCCTCTCCCCGCATCACGCATCCTACAATCCTTCCTTACGACGAGGCTTTCGCGCCTTGAACATCAGTACTGTGCCAATGATGACCGTCTCCACTTCCTCAAACTCGGTTTTCAGGGCCTCGACAAAGTCTTCCGCGTAATCCTCCCGGTTTTGGAACATGTCAATGGAATTGTAGATTCGCTGCAAGAACCAGCTAAACCAGTTTTGTCGAATCCCTCGGCACAACAATGTCGAACCAAATAAGGTTCCATCATCCTTGAGAAGCGGCTTCAAGTTTTTGAACACGCAAGCCTTATCCTTGGATGTTCCGGGTAGGCAGTGCAGCACATACATCAGCGAAATAGAGTCGAATTGCTGCGGGGGCTTGAGATTGATTGGCTCAAGTATATTGGCCAATATACATTCCGTCTTTTCAGGGATCCCCACTCGCTTGGCAGCCTTTCTCAAACATCGCATGTGGAAATCGATAAGTGTCAGATTCTGCTCCGGCCAAGCAGGTCGGCGTTGCCGGACAGCACGGAGATAGTAACCTGTGCCAACACCGACATCGCAGTGGCGCTCTCCAATGTTGGCTTGGAAGAACGGGAGGAGAATACCCCTGGATGAACATTTCCAGGCAAACAGTGCGCTGACCCAGTGCACCCAGAAATCATACCACCAAAGAAGAGCAGGATTGTAGTAATTGTCGCGGCCTTCAGCATCAGAAAGATGGTATGAAGCCATTGTGAAGAAACAGTGAGACAATTGGACAGGTAGACAGAGAAATTGGGAACTTCAAAGTCAAAGATGAAGGTCAATCGGGTGATAGAGAAAGAGGAAACTAGACAGAGGGCCTACTGGGGCTCAATTTGTAGCCACAGCTCTCCGTTCCTCGGCCGAAGGTTGGGCAAGGCTTCCTGTAGGCGCATCTCGCGGGACACTGAAAATGCCTCAGATGCATCTAGACAATATTCACGAGAGCCAAAGAGGTAATAGCCCGGCGAGCTGAAGCATGAGGGGTAAAATGACACCTGGAGTGGCTTGCCTGATAACGCACTATAGAGACATTATCCACTTTGAGGATCGTTGACGTGGTACATGCAAATCACGTTGCATGGACCCCAATCTTCCGTGATAAGTGTGAATTGTGAGTGATATTTTTACTCATCGAAAGGGATTACTCTTCTGGGATAGAGCGATGGGGGCGGACTAGTTTGTGTGAAGTCAAATAGCAGCTGCTCCCGAGACAGTGGAAAGAAATCATATTGCTCGTTCTATACTCCCATTAGCAAATTTTTTGATCATTCACACCTGTACAAATACCTTTTTTATCATATAACTCCTCAAGAAGGGCAGTCAAACATGCCCTCCATGGAGCCCGTTGCCATTATTAGCACGGCATGTCGATTTGCCGGTTCCTCTTCGAGCCCATCGAAACTATGGGAACTCCTGGAGAACCCGAGAGACGTGGCTTCACAACCACCGGCCGATCGATTCAATATCAATGCCTTCTATGATCCCGAGGGCTCGAATCCCAGTACAACCAATGCCCGGGAAGGGTACTTTCTCTCTGACAACGTCAGGGCTTTCGACGCCCCTTTCTTTAATATATCTGCAACTGAGGCATTGGCTCTAGATCCACAGCAGCGCATGCTACTAGAGGTTGTGTATGAGTCTCTGGAGACGGCGGGTCAGCGTCTTGATACGCTTCGTGGATCCTCAACGGGTGTATACTGTGGAGTGATGAATTCCGATTGGGAAGGCATCTTCAGTGTTTCGTGCTCTGCACCACAGTACGGCAGTGTTGGAGTTGCACGGAACAACTTGGCCAATCGCATTTCTTATTTCTTTGACTGGCAAGGTCCATCGATGTCCATCGACACTGCTTGCTCGGCAAGTATGGTAGCCCTTCATGAGGCTGTCACGGCACTCAATCGGGGAGATTGCTCCTTGGTAGCGGCTCTGGGTGCAAATCTGATGTTGTCACCTTCGATGTATATTGCCGCCTCCAATTTGCAAATGCTGTCCCCCAACAGCCGCGGTCGAATGTGGGATGCCAAGGCTGATGGATATGCTCGTGGCGAAGGCGTCGCCTCTGTGCTCATGAAACGACTGTCTGATGCCATTGCCGACGGGGACCCCATTGAATGTGTCATTCGTGCTACTGGAGTCAATCACGATGGTCGCAGTATGGGTTTCACCATGCCGTCAAGTGCAGCGCAGCTGAAGCTCATTCAGTCCACCTACGCCCAAGCAGGTCTGGATCCACAACGGCCAGAAGACAGGCCGCAGTATGTCGAAGCTCACGGTACTGGTACGTTGGCGGGTGATCCACAGGAGGCTTCGGCCCTTCACCAAGCATTCTTTGATTCGGACGAAAACGACAGTGTGCTGCACGTTGGGTCGATCAAAACTGTCGTCGGACACGCTGAAGGTACTGCCGGTTTAGCGGGTATCATCAAGGCATCCCAGTCCATTCAACGTGGCATTATTACACCGAATCTGCTGTTTGATTCATTGAATCCTGATTTGGAGCCATATGCGCGACAGCTGCGAGTGCCGGTGGACGTTCTTGAATGGCCGACTTTGGCCCCGGGCGTCCCGCGTCGCGTGTCGGTGAATTCCTTTGGATTCGGAGGAACAAATGCCCACGTCATTTTGGAGGGATACGAGAGCCCCAGAAGTGTCAGCAGTGTAGAAATGAACCTCGGGTCTCAAGAAGCATGTCTGCCAATTGTCTTCTCCGCCGAATCAGATTACACTCTCGGTGCCGTTCTAGAGCAATATTCCCACTATATGCACCTCTGTCCAGATGTCAGTATTCACGACCTTGCATGGACACTGCTTGAGCGTCGCACTGCTCTAACGCATCGTGTGATTCTCTGGGCCCAAGATCTTCCACAACTTCAGAAGGTTATCGAAGCAGAGCTCGCTTTACGAAAGGCGGGCCATGCGTCCACAATTATTTCACGATCCCGTGCAAACACTCGCAAGCATATTTTGGGGGTCTTCACTGGTCAGGGAGCCCAGTGGGCACAAATGGGATTCAATCTGATCACCACATCCAGTACTGTCCAAGTGTGGTTGAGTGAACTGCAAGAATCGCTTGACACGCTCCCAGAGCCTTATCGACCCAAGTTCTCGCTGTTCGAAGAGCTAGCTGCCGGCACCGAGACTTCGCGTCTGCAGGATGCACTTTTCTCGCAGACTCTCTGCACCGCCATGCAGATAATTTGGATAAAATTACTCTGGGAATTGAACGTTCATCTGGATGCAGTGGTGGGACACTCTTCAGGCGAAATCGCTGCAGCATTCGCGGCCGGATATCTTACAGCTGCCGACGCCATCCGGGTTGCATATTTGCGTGGCGTATTCTGTTCAAACTCGGGATACCAACGCGAAGGTGCCATGTTAGCAGTTGGCCTTTCTATGAATGAGGCAACTTTGTTGTGTAAGGAGGTCTCCTCTTTGTCCTCCGGGCAAATAAATGTTGCAGCATCCAATTCGCCAGAGAGTGTCACTCTTTCTGGTGACCGTGAGGCAATTTTGCTTGCTGATCAGCAGCTGAAAGATCGCGGCGTCTTTTGTCGGCTTCTACGCGTGAGTACTGCATATCATTCACATCACATGCAGGCATGCGCACAACCATACCTCGATGGGCTTAGAAGTTGTAACATTCAAGTTCAAGCCCCGACATCTACCACCTGGTATTCGAGTGTGCATGGAGGACAACCAGTCGATGGCACGACTGTCATGCAAGACATTACTGGAGAGTACTGGGTGGAGAATTTGACAAGTCCTGTACTTTTCTCCCAAGCCTTGACTGCCGCTATTTCCGCGACAAAACCATCATTAATTGTTGAAATTGGGCCCCATCCCGCGCTCAAGGGGCCTTCTTTGCAAACAATCGCTGGTTTGGAGTCAACCCAGGTCCCCTATACGGGGGTATCTGCCCGCGGCGTGGGGGCTCTTGAGTCTATGGCAGGTGCCATCGGAGAAATCTGGGCACAAATTGGTCCCCAGGCCATCAACCCTCGCCAATACATGGCTGTCCTTCATCCTCAGGTACCTCTCTCGGTGGTTGCCGGATTGCCCTTGTATCCATTTGACCATCGCACGGAGTATGGCTACGAGACTCGCAAGGCCAACGGCTGGCTACACAAGCGTAACAGTCCGCATCCTCTCCTTGGCTCACTTAGTGAGGATCTGGGTGACGGTGAGCTTCGATGGGCACAGAATCTCTCTCCCAGTCGCGTGTCGTGGTTAGATGGTCACCGTGTTCAGGGCCAAATCATTGTCCCTGCTACCGCTTACATCTCAATGGCACTCGAGGCGGTTCGGATACTGGCCACAGAAAAGCACATGTCACTTCAGCTGGTCCAAATCGAGAGGTTGGTCATCGGACAAGCGCTGTCTTTCCAGGACGAGCGAGATGAAATCGAGATACTATTCGATGTGCCTCGAATGGAAAAGGCTGGGAACAACACTAGTGTTGGATATTTCCGCTGTCAGGTTTCTACTCCAAAGGGGGACGTGAAGACGTGTGCAGAAGGTGCTGTGAGAGTGACTTGGGGGGGAGCCTCAAGAGAATATTCTTCCTGCGCGCGCGTCTCCCTCGCACGCAGCCCTAGCGAGTGTTGAAGACCTTGAAGGATATTACCGCTCGCTCCGCGATATTGGGTACCAATACACGGGTGATTTCCAGGGCATTCATTCTTTGTCTCGCAAAATGGGCATTGCAACCGGCCAATTGCATAATCCAGCTCTGCAAGGCCTTCTTGTCCATCCGGCCGTTTTGGATACCGGTCTTCAAGGTCTTTTGGCTGCAATGGGGGAGGGGTACTTGACTGCCCTACATGTCCCAACGCGTATAGAGGCGGTCACCATCAACCCCGTTGCCTTCACTGGTAGCTCACTAGACTTCGAGGCTGTCGTCACTCGTACCGGAGCAGACGGCCTGGTGGGCGATGTGGAGCTATACACCGCGATAAATGGACCAGGCGCAGTCTTCTTCGAGGGTGTACATGTCTCACCTCTTTCTCCTCCGTCTGCAGCCGACGATCCACCGGTATTCTGGGTGCAGCGTTGGACTCCGCTCAAGCTGGATGCCAATCGGTCCAACTCCCAGTTGACCCCGGAGTGGATGGCTAGGTTAGAGGTATATGAGCATCGAGCTTTCCTTGTCCTCAAGGACCTTCTCGACCAGATCACTCCAAGCCTTCGCGCAGGCTTTGACTGGCATCGTGAGCGCGTAGTAGCCTGGATTGAGCACCTCGTGGAAGAAGCACGTGTTGGACGGCACGCAGTATGCAAGACCGAGTGGCTAAGCGACCGACTGGCTGACCTTGAGCCGACTTGGACACTGCCAGGGGCCATCATCGAGGACCAAATCATGCATCGTGTCCACCAGAATTTGATTCCTTTCCTACACGGGGAAGCACAGATGATCGATGCTTTGCGAGAAGACGAACTGCTCACGCGCTTTTACCGCGATGAACTGGAACTTCAAGATGTCAATCGTCGTGTCGGAGAGCTGGTAGGTGATCTCGCTGTACGCTATCCGCGAATGAAACTTCTCGAAGTTGGCGCTGGCACGGCCTCGGCGACGCGAGAAGTGCTTCGACATGTTGGGAGAGCGTACCACTCCTACACCTTCACCGACATCTCCGCTGGATTTTTCGAGGATACGCTCGATTCATTGCCCGATCATGCCGACCGCCTCATTTTCCAGAAGCTGGATGTTGGCCAAGACCCAGTCGATCAAGGCTTCGAAGAGCATGCGTATGATGTGATTATCGCCGCCAACGTGCTTCATGCCACTCCTTCCCTGGAGCAAACCCTTCGCAATGTACGAAAGCTCCTCAAGCCAGGCGGTTATCTGGTTGCGCTAGAGATCACCAATCTTCATACCATCCGTATTGGTCTTTTGATGAGTGCCTTCGATGGATGGTGGCTCGGTCATGAAGACGGTCGTCCCTGGGGGCCCATGGTCTCGGCCTCCCGGTGGAATGATTTGCTCCTGGAGACAGGGTTTGGAGGAATTGAAACGGTCAGCGACCGTGCTCCGGGTGATCTGACGATGTACTCGGTCTTCGCGGCCCAAGCAGTAGACGACCAGATTTCCAATTTGCGAAAGCCATTGTCTCCATCTCTAACTCTGCCTCCGTTCGAGCGGGGAGTAATTGTTGGAGGGTCATCCGATCGGGTAGCAGATATCACGGCTTTGATCAGCCCGTTCTTTGCAACAATCGAGTATTATCCTTCCATCGACAGTCTCGCGGAGGGCCCACGAGCCGTGGTGCTGGTGCTGGTCGATCTAGACGGAGAAGCCTGCTTCCAGGATTTGACAGAGTCACGACTGGCTGGCCTTCAGACCCTTGTGCGAATCGCCGACAAGACACTGTGGGTGACAGGGGGGTTCTGAGACAGATAGACCCCATCTTGGCCTGAGCAAGGGCTTCCTCACTTGCATGAACTACGAGCATGCGCCTGCCATGTTCCAGTACCTCAATATCATTGACCCAGCTAAGGCGCAGCCAAAAATGTTAGCAGAGCATCTTTTACGCTTGGGCTTTACAACCCAGGTAAATGACTTTGCACTCAGCAATTGTCTCCACAGCACTGAGCTGGAGTTGCGAATGGATCGAGATGGCAACTTCCTATTCCCGCGGATCAATGTCAGTGATGACTTGAACACCCGATATGCAGCTGCTCGTCGTCCAGTTGTCCAGTCAATTGAGGATATACACAGGGAGGTGGTCGCTGTTGACCAGGCCCCAGATGGACAGCTTCGACTTTGTCTTGCCGACGAAGTGCGAACCAAGATCGACGAGTCCATTATCGATGTGCGATATTCTACCTCTCGCGCACTTCGCATCAATAGTGGTGGATACCTGATATTGGTACTTGGAAAGGATCGAGTCACGAAGACAAGGCTCGTAGCTCTAACTGACCGACTAGCCAGTGTCATCTCTTCCGCTTGTTTTTGGGAGGTCCCGGACCATGTTTCTACGGAGCAAGAATCGGAATATCTGCATGCTACCGCTTCATCTCTGCTTGCTGCGACGCTTTTCAAGCCAAGTGACAACGTAGTATTGATGCATGGCGCGGATGATGACACCCTTCGTCGTGCTATTGCTATCCAAGCTGCTGCACAAACCATCACACCTGTCTTCACGACTACCAACATGTCGTCCATCGGCCCAGGAAGGAGCATTCGCGTGCACGAAAATGACCCACTGCGGACGCTGGCTCGTCGACTCCCGCGGAATGTCTCAAACATCGTGAATCTTGATCCTAATGCTGATCGTCTTTTTGGTCGGTTGATATCGGCAGTTGGCTCGCCGGGTATCTCCAAAGAGCATATCCTTGGTACTTTGACGGAGACATGTGGCCGAAAATCGGTGTCTCAATCCGCAATCCAAGTACAGGGATTGATCGAAACTCTACGTAAAGCTGCCGTGACAGCGGAACAGCTGGTTGCTCAATCTCCCAGCTCGCCTCCTTTGGTTGTTCCCATTGCTGACCTTCCTTCCTCTGCGATGGATCTGGTGGTTGTTGACTGGGCTACATCCACTTCCAAATCAGTACAAGCGCACATAAAGGCAGAGAGCAGTCTCGTGCGTCTTTCCCCCAGGAAAACATACCTTTTGGTCGGCATGACCAGTGCCCTTGGCCAGTCTATTACCCAGTGGCTGATCTCGTGTGGCGCCCGCAATGTTATTCTTACCAGCCGCAATCCACAGATCGACCCGGCTTGGATTGCAGAACTCTATCACACGACCGGGGCGCGCGTCGAAGTCATGTCCATGGACGTGACAAAACGCGCATCAGTCTTCTCACTATCTCAGCGCTTGAAATCGGATTGGCCACCACTGGGTGGTGTTGTCAACGGGGCTATGGTGCTTTGGGACCGGCTCTTTGTTGATGCAGATCTTCCCCTCTTGGCTGGTCAGCTCGCACCAAAGGTGCAGGGCAGTCTCTTACTTGACGAGATCTTTGGCGAGGAGCCAACCCTCGATTTCTTCATCCTTTTCGGTAGTGCTGTCGCGACGATTGGCAACCTGGGCCAGTCTGCATACACAGCAGCAAGCAACTTCCTGCTTGGGCTGGCAGCTCGTCGTCGATCACGCGGGCTTGTAGCAAGTGTCGTCCAGCCGGCCCAAGTAACTGGTGACATAGGCTATCTTTCTGGCAAAGGCGACGCATTTTGGAACCGCATGTTTGACATGCTGGGTGACCACCCTGTGTCAGAACAGGACTTGCACGAGCTCTTTGCTCACGCTATCTTGACAGGGCGTGGGTCTGAATCTTACCCAGCGGGCTTAGGATCAGCCAATGCAGATGATGACATTGTCTTAGGCGGTATCCGCATTCAAGACCCTGCTGTGCATCCAGACATTCTCTGGTTCCGCACCCCCAAAGTCTGGCCTTTCATCCGCTACCATCACCAAGGTGACGGCCCCTCTGCATCATCGGGTACAGCGATGCCTCTTGCTCAGAGACTTGTTTCCGCAACCACAATGACGCAAGTGGGGGAGATTGTCGAGGAAGTTGTCACAGCCAAGTTGCATCACCGTCTGCATCTTCCCGGCGAAGTCGGAGACGGCAGCGTCGCCGGTGACACGCGACTGACCGAACTTGGTGTCGACTCGTTGATCGCGGTGGACTTGCGTCGCTGGTTCGCACAGGAGTTGGAGGTTGATATACCAGTTCTGCAATTGCTTGGAGGTTGTTCGGTTCGAGAGTTGGCAGAAATGACAAGTGGGTTGTTAGACAAGAAGTTCTTTCCAGGAGTTGTCATCGAATCTGTTTCGGAGGCAGGGGATAAGAGCGAATGCTCTGGTGATGGCCATTATGCCGGGTCTTTATCTTCATCTTCTTATCAGGCACTCACCCCTCCTCCTGGGGGCTCTGATTGAGATGCCTTCGTTCTGCAATTCTAGTTTTTCGAGTTAATGGAACAACAATAATAGCGTCGCTGAACTAGTAGTGTAACTAAAAACAACAAATAAGAGCGACGGGGGGGCCTCAGTCTCTGTGATGTGTAGACCTGTCGTCAAAAAAGGCTCGCGGACGGTGTTGTCCCATTCCAAATGCGGTTTAGACCCGGGGCGTAATTTCACCGCGCCGAACTATTGCCGGGATTTGCCCCAAAGACTACATTGGATTGAAATAGATAAAAGAGACGAGGTAAGCGGTTAGGAGGAAATCTATGGAGACATACTAGCTAAACATAAACATTCGTCTTAATTCAAAGTTGCCATTCCGAATCTCAGATGGTATCACATTTCTCCAACAATCTTGATCCGTCGGTGTAGTAGGTCGACCTGTCGGAGGAGGACCTCCATCGTTTCGTGGGAGTCGTCGAGCCGCATTTCAGTATAAGAATTCCCGCTGGCCTGGAGTATTTTGAACTGCTGGGCGGCAAGGTCGATATACAGATTGATTTGTTCGCAATAAACACGAGCCCAATGTCTCAAAACCTCGCTCTGGAAATTCCTGTATCAGCGAGTCTTCTCTTTGAAGTTAAGTGGTTGTTCTGATCAATTTGGCTTTACCTCCGTCTGAGCACACAGATCTCAGGACAGTCGATTTTCACGTGTATACTCAACCTCGTTTATGAACAGCTCAATCTCTCGATGAATTTGTGCCTCTAGCTGAATGGTTTTCTTATGCAGAAGTCGAAACTGTCAGCAAATGATCAACCACAAGTTCAAACAAGTCGGGCCGGTCGTCATTTACCTGGATTCTTATTCCGCCCAATGTGGGTTTAACTTGGGGCTTGCTCTTCAACAACAGTACCATTCGCCTTCCGGCGCGCAGGACCTTTGCCTCTGTAGTGATGATTATTTACATCCTCTAGATTTTCAATTAGACCTTCGTAGAGGTCGCGCACTAGGTCGACTGGGCGGTCCAATCCTTGGGTATATTAGCAGATATTCGGGGGAAAAGGGGGGGGTTCAGATCGTGGTATGGACGTACAGGGAATCCGATAGCCAAAATGATTAAGATGGCCAGGAACTGGATCGGGGTTGACATAACCATGCACTAACCAAACGAAACAGGAGGAAAATCATTTCAAGCTTTTGTTTTCGAGTACTGACAAGAGGTTGCTGATGGTAATGAAAAGTTAGTTGAATAATAAGTAGGGCTGCGAGTAAGAATCATCGTAATTGACTCCAGTGAATGAGGAAGGCGCGATAGGCCACAGCCCCTTCCTGTTCCTCTCCAGGGCTACATTGAGGTAATACCTGCTCACCCGAGCCATTGATTTAGGTCGAGATATCCCGAAGAATAGTGTCAAGTTGTGCAAAAAGGCTTTCCAAGACCGAGACGAGGCTAGTGTCTTCTCTGAGATCGTTCTGTAAATTTGCATTCGTTGGCGGAGACACGGGAAAACTTCCCCAACGATATCTAGATATTGAATTGATCTTGTCGCACTCCTCTTCGACTATGACTTTCGATTTGAGCCTGCAATTCGGTGGAAGCCGGATGACGACCTTGAAGCAAAAGGCCGAGGTCTAGTCCTTCGAGTGGCACGGTGTTTGTGAAATATTCATCTCGGGCAAAATACGGGATGTTGTGGGCTGGAATGGATCACGGATCAAATGAACTTGAGGGAAAAGGAGAAAAACTTGGAGGTGAAGAACTCGGAGGTTGGAAATGGACAGTGAAGAGATGAATGGGGATTGTGCGACAGAATAGCCATGCCAAGACAGTATAAATTGCCGAAATATATGGCGCAAGATAGGTGTAGGGAACTGTAAATAGCTTTAGAAAATATCAATAACCCAGATCAAGTGGGAATGAGATAGTGCTACTTGATTACTGAGGAGTTGATAGTAGTTACGATGTAGAATAGTATCGTTGCCGATGATTCTCAATTTTGAGGAATTGTCATATTTATCCATTATAGACTTTTCAAGCATGAATGCCATCTAAAAGCAATGTGACAGACTCAAAATTAGAGATTAGATATTTGATATAGATAGCTCATTTGATCCTATCGCAAATAGTGTGGTAATGCTGCTGTTCAACTGTCTGGATGTCCATAGCGGGGAGGCGGTCAAGACATCCCATCACGAGGAGATAAGGAAAACAATTCTGCCGCCAAAAGTTGACAATTTTCGGCGACAATTCCCCAGCTCCCCATATCCTCCGTGAACACTCATACCCCCTCAACACAATCCACAATGGCCTTCTCCCGAGGCGGAAGAGGTGGAAGAGGCGCCCCGCGTGGCCGCGGTCGCGGTCGTGGCCGTGGTGGCCGTGGCGGCTTTCGGCGACAAAATTTCGACTCGTCCCGACTGCACGATGCACAGTGAGTCGCAATCACATAATTTACTGCCAGCTTGAGCCCCGGCTGATGAATTCTAGGTCGGACGAATCCTCCGGTGAGGATGCGCCTGCTATGGAGCTCGAAGATGATGTGAATATGGATGACGATGTCTCCTCCAGCAGCGACGAGGAGGAGCAGACCGAGCGCCCGTATAACGAGTTGTTACAACTACTCCAAACCGATGCCGAAACCAAAGGACCAGCTCGCAAGCGCAGAAAGGTTGCCGGGGATAGCAGTGATGCTAAGGCGGTTGCGGTGGAAGAGTCCGAGGATGAGGCCGAGGCCGATGCGCTGCAAGATCAGGCCCCGTCGGATGACGAGGAAGAACCTCAAGAGGATGAGGACGACGATGCTGCTGGTCCTTTTGAGAAGCACTTCAACTTGCCCGATGGGTCTGATCTTCCCAAGAAGATCGAGCAAATCCAGGCGAACAAATGGGTCTCGGCCAAGAAAGAAGTAGACGGCTTGCGCTTCGTGCAGTCAATCCCGGATATGGGAGACGCCGCATCGTTGCTACCAGCCATCAAGAGCACCGCTAACCTAAAGGTTTGTCTCATTTCCCGCTATCCTAAATTTCTCTTTGAACTCTGTCTAAATTTTCCAGCTCAAAAATAAACTCAAACCTCGCGTCGCCGAACTGCTGCCGACTATCACTGGCTCCGCCCAACACCTTGCCCCATATGTCTTCGACTACCAAGATCTGCTCTTTGGCGCACGAACAGCGAGCAATGCGGATAGCATGCGCGAGCTTGCAGCCGTACACACAGTCAACCATCTCATCAAGACACGCGACCAAGTGCTGAAGAACAATGCCCGTCTGGCCAAGGACCCCGATACTGATATCGAGTGTCGGGATCAGGGTTTCACCCGGCCCAAAGTACTCTACATTCTGCCCACTCGACAGGCCTGTGTGCGCGTCGTCAATGCGATTGCCCGGATCTACCAAGCGGAGCAGCACGAGAACAAGAAGCGCTTTACGGATAGCTTCTCATCGCCCGATGATGCCTCTTGGGAGAACAAGACGGAGGACTTCCGCGAACTGTTCGGCGGCAATGACGACGATATGTTCCGTTTAGGACTGAAGTTCACCCGCAAGACCGTCAAGTACTTTGCGCAATTTTACAATTCGGATGTCATTCTGGCCAGTCCACTCGGTCTACGAACGATCATGGACCAAGCCGAGTAAGTCACCACCCGTGAACCACCATGGCCACCACCAGAGAACCCCAAACTAACCATCACCTCGCAGTGCCAAAAAGCGAGACCACGACTTCCTCTCCTCCATCGAAGTCGTCATCGTCGACCACGCCGACGCCCTCCTCATGCAGAACTGGGACCATATCTCCTTCATCTTCCAGCATCTAAACCAGCAACCGAAAGAGGCCCACGGCTGCGACTTCAGCCGAGTCCGCAACTGGTATCTAGACAACCACGCCCGCCACATCCGCCAAACAATCGTCCTATCATCCTTCATAACGCCAGAAATCAACTCCCTCTTCTCCACCAACATGCAAAACACCTCCGGCCGCATCAAAATAACCCCCACCTACGCCGGCGCCATAACCGACCTCCCCCTCCCCGTCTCCGTAAAGCAAACTTTCACCCGAATCGACAGTCTCTCGCCCCTGAAAGACCCAGACGCCCGCTTCAAGCACTTCACCACGACCATCCTCTCAACGCTGGTGAAGAATATCGCTGCGCGCAGCAAGGCCGGCGCGGGGACTCTCATCTTTGTCCCCTCGTACTTGGATTTCGTGCGGGTGCGGAATCACTTCGCTACTTCGGCGCAGACGACGAATGTTTCTTTCGGCGCTATATCCGAGTACACTGAGCCTCGCGAGGCTTCGCGGGCGCGGAGTCACTTTGTTACGGGACGACACTCGGTGTTACTGTATACAGAGCGGGCGCATCATTTCCGGCGGAACCAGATCCGCGGTGTGCGGAGGGTGATTATGTATGGTGTTCCTGAGAATCCGGTGTTTTATGGGGAGATTGTGGGATTCTTGGGGCTGGATCCTGCGGCGCTGGTTGAGGCTGCTGAGGGCGGTGCGCGGGTTTTGTTCACCAAGTGGGATGCGTTGAAGTTGGAGCGTGTGGTTGGAACGGCGAGGGTGGGGAATATGTTGCGTGAGAGGGGTGGTGATACGTTTACTTTTGTTTAGTGTGTAGATTCGGACTCGGGGTACGTGTGGGTGTATAGTGAGTGTGCATCTGATATTTGGGGATGTGCCGAGGATGCGGGGCCATCTGTCGATCCTTGCGAATCTGCTGAGATCAGGTGGACTATAGCTGCAGGTTGCAGCCTGCAGCCTGCAGGGCTGTACCTAAACAAGATCTGGATTACTTCGGATATAAATCCGGGGTCAGTTGCATTTATCTAGCATCTGTTGAAATAATACAAAATTTACACTCATTTGTGGTTATAACCAACTAGACTTGGTCACGCGCTCTCAGCAAGGCAAATGGAAGGTCTAAGATCAGGTATCAACAGCACCACCAGTAATAACTAGAGGCATATCTAATAATATAAGCAAATGCAAGTAATATACGAATGACCGTGAACCATCGGGCTTATTCCTAGTCAATAACTAACTAGTTCTAATTTACTGACTGGTAAGTTAGTTACTTGGTTTGTAGTGTGAGCGGTCAATGTCACCCGCCGACATCGCGCATCTTTCCGTTTTTCTCTCCGTCCATATCTCACTCTTCCTCACCTTTCCTTTCTCTCACTCATTTTCTTTCCTGTATATTCTCATGGATATATCTCTTGGACATATATAATAGACCCCATCGGCAGCAAATTTGAGCTGGCCAATATCACAGATTGAAAAATGTCGGAACCATCCCACCAACCAGCACCCACCCAACCCCAGCAACAAACCCAAACCCAAACACAAGCACAAGCACAAGCACGCGAGGGCCATGACAGGGATTACCAAAACCACCCAGATGCCCCTCTTCCCCAGCCCTACCACGATGATCCCGACCTCGAATCACTGGCCGAGTACGAGCCGCGCCCCATAGACGAAGACGACGAAACCGACGCCGCAATAGCCTCATCCCGCCCACGCACCAAAACAGCCGCCAAAGCCCGAATCTTCTGGCTCCAAAATAAAGGCATGGTTCTCGTCCTCTTAGCGCAAATGTTCGGCGCAAGCATGAACGTCATGACCCAGGTTCTGGAAATTCACAGTTCAATGCATCCTTTCCAGGTACACCCCGCCCAAGCCAACCCAGCCCAGTCAATGCGAATGCCAGCTAACACCACGCTTTTTTTTTCTAGATCCTCTTTGCCAGAATGTCCATTACAGCCCTCGCAAGCTACATCTACATGTTCATTGCCAAAACGCCCCACCCACTCGGCACAAGACCCGTCCTCCCACTCCTCCTCTTCCGCGCCGTCTGCGGCTTCACAGGCGTTTACGCTCTCTACTACTCCGTCCAATACCTGCCCCTGTCCGAAGCAACCGTCATCACCTTCCTAGCCCCCATAATGACCTGCTACGCCTGTTCGTTCTTCATCCCGGGCGAGACGTTCTCGCGCCGGCAGCAAATTGCAGCGATCATCAGTCTTGTCGGCGTCGTGCTGATCGCCCGTCCGTTCCGCTCCCAGTCCAAGCCTAGCTCCGACTCCGGCTCGGAAAGCGAAAGTCCCGACGACGCAGACGCTTACCACCACGTTCTCGCGACGGTTGTGGCTAGTATCGGCGTTTTGGGCGCAGCCGGCGCGTACACGTCCATTCGAATGATCGGCCGTCGTGCGCACCCGCTTGTCTCTGTGACGTATTTCTCCAGTGTGACGACGATAATCTCGCTTCTGGCGATGCTGCTTCTGCCCAGTGTTGAGTTCCGGGTACCCGGGACGAGGACGGAGTGGGGGTTTATGGTTGGATTGGGGGTTTGCGGGTTTTTGTTGCAGTTTTTGCTTACGGCGGGGTTGTCTTATGTGCCGCCGAAGAGTGTGGGTGGAAGGGGAAGGGGACGCGGTGGGAGGCAGGGGTCTAAGGCGACGAGTATGGTTTATACGCAGATGCTTTTTGCGCTGTTTTATGATAAGGTTGTTTGGGGGACAACGTTGGATGGGGTGGCTTGGGTGGGGTCTGGGCTTATTTTGGCCTGTGCGGTTTATGTGGCTGTTATGCAGGAGGGGCCGAGGAAAGGGGGTGATGATGTTAAGGTGCAGGAGGGAGGGGAGAGAGAGGGTGAGGTTGTGAGGGGGGGAGGAGAGTGTGCAGAGTAGTGCGCAGTAGATGGAAGTAGTTTTGTTACTGTTAGTTCTTGTACATATCTGCTAGGCCTGGTATATCAAATGTAATCTAGACGGTCTAGACTTGTGTTTATACCAGCTGTAGATACAGTCCACCACCCACCTGGGCAGTGTATACTAGACTTGGCCAATCAAGGCATAAATAAGACCATTACCACCTAGGCATACTAATCACTACAATCTCCTGACTACTCTACTCCTAGGTACTCTGTATATGTTCCTCATGCTTCACGGAGCACACTGCTCCACGTGACGTCACAAGGTTACACGCCGGGATTGCCCGTGGCTGCATTATCCTCAACCACTCACAGCTGCAGCGGCCAATTGCCTCTGTGGAGAGGCTATGAGGGAAATCTCTACCGTTTAGCGTCATGGGGGCTGACGATGGATTGAGGAGGAAAGCGTGGAGTATATAGTGGAGCAGGAGCCCACTTTTCCCCAGACTGTGCAGATCTCCAAAGGAAGTCCCGACATTTCATCTCCCACAATATACCAGCCCTGGAGTCAACTTGAAGTCAAGGAAGGTTGTGAAGACCCAACTAGCCCAGCCCACAATGCGCCACTTCGACGCCTGGCTGGTCCGCGACCCCTACTCCATCTGGCACTACTACACAACGGGCCGAAAATGGCAAGACCAAGTCTGCGAATTGATTCACGACCGAGCAATCTGCTCGCCCGCTGGTAGTAATCTACCATCCCATTCTACACCTGCCAGTGGCAGTATATCTACCCACGAAGACGGACTCGGAATAGACTGGACAAAATGCACCCCGCAACAAGCCCCCCCTCCTAACACAACTGCCCCCCCGAAATCCGCACCATGATATGGTCCTACGTCTTCGGCTCCTCAACCCTTCACCTCGTCCAAATAAAAGACAAAATAAAGCACGTGCGATGCACCTCCACCTCCAGCAGCAGCAGCAGCAACAACAACAGCAAAGCCCTAACCCACCACCGCCACTGCTGCCCCAAAACACCCGCCCGCTGGCGCATCTACGACGGCCGCATCCCAGGCCACACAGACAGACTCTTATACCCACACACACACGCCGACCTACCATCCACACTCTCCACAGCCCCCGTCGCACTCTTACGCACCTGTAAAGCCATCTACGCCGAAACCCAAACCACGGTGTACAAAAACAATACAATTGACGTGGACGACTTGTTCACCTTTCTCTCCTTTGTGGGGTCCCTGTCCCCCCGCGCTAGACGGGCTATTACGTCTCTGACAGTGCAGTGGATGCCTGTCTGGACACCGCTGAGTGGGCAGGAGCATAAGGGGTCGATATACGCGCATACGCATAGTGATGAGCTCTGGGTGCGGTTTTGGGATTGTATTGCTAGGGAACTTTCTGGGTTGAGGTGTTTGAAGTTGAGTATTGATTTGGGCCGGTTTTCGGGGACGATGGTTGGTGGGGGGGGCGGTTTTGGTTGGTGGTGGTCAGAGGCTTAGGCTTGATGTGGCTGAGGGGTGGGTTAGGCCTTTGCTGAAGGTTAGGGGGGTTGGATGAGTTTGATCTTGCTGTTACGGCTAGGTGTGATGGGGTTTCGAGGGGGGTTATTGAGGGGGATTTGGTTAGGGATGTTCTTAGGTTGAGGGGGGATTTGAGGGGAGTTATGGTTGGGGAGAGGGGGTGGATGCCAGTGGTTTTATGGATTTAGACGTTGGTGTTGATGTGCCCTTGGCGGTGGGGAGGAGGAAGAGGGTGTTGGCTATTACGGCGGGGTAGGTTGGGCTGGGGCATGGTTTGGCGTTAGTTATAGATGGTGAATGGAGATTTTTTCAGCTTTCACTGTAATGAACTAGTAGTATTTTGTATTGTTGGTGAGATTAGGCTTCAGGTTCGGGGTATATTACGCTTGATATAACCAGGGTTGAAACTTGAACCCTGTGTATATCACGGAGTAATTTATGCTGGGATATTCCAGATAGTTGTATTTGCCGGGCGCTGGGTTAGTAGGTGGCTTGGCCGTAAGGCACCTCCTAGTTATCTCTAAATAAAATATGTTTTGAACATGAACTGCCCAAGTCAAAATCTGCGTCAACTACGTGAGCTCTCCGGGATATAGAGAAATAAATAAGAGTGAATATCACTGATAGCTTTTATAAAGAAAATTCTATCATGGAAGTGCGCCCTGACACGTGTCCTATGGCAAGTATACTACCTTGATAGACTAGTTAGATTTACTATTTAGAAGGCTCACCGAGCTATTTGAGAGTCACTATGGAGGAGGAATACCTTATGCCAAAGCCGAACCTTATCAGGCCTTGGTCTATATAGGCCAAACTCATTGGAGTCCAAAGATATCCCATTTTTTTTAGAAAAAATAAAAAATTCAGCCTAGCTTTTTTGGGGAGTTGCGTTCGTTGTTCGCGACAGAGTCAGTTCTACTTCAGACCTCTCGATAAGAAGTACCATGATAGATCAACTAAGTTAAGCACTTTTCATAATCTTCCGACTGAGCTGCGCGTTCAATGATGTCGCTAGTTGTATTTTTGTGGGCAGAGAGATACCGTACCATACCATTGATGTTGCCCAATGAATGATATGCGCTAAGGGCTTGGCAACAGGGTCAGAAAGAGTTTCTGAATACTGGTGGACGCGCGCTGTCGCACGCTGTGGCCCTGAAACGAAACGAGCACGAAAAGCAAGTGTAGTTGAGTGATTGTACGAAACTTGAATGATTAATTTTGATAACGTGCCGGCAAGGGATGGAGACATCTCCCCTAGGATCGGCCAATTAGCTGAGTGCGGGTAAGGACTAGTATAATTATCACATATAGAATATAAAGACCTGTGAAGGGACGCCGAAAATAACCACTTTTGACGCTAGAAACGGCTGCCTTTCCACCCGTAACTCTGGTCGTCCAGCAGCCCCTTGACCGATGTACGGCATAGATTGATCAGCGCAAGCTGAGAGCCAAGGCACCCACACCCACGCACTTCATAGACAGAGAACAAAACACAAATCAGTCCATCGAGAAATCGCCTCATATCCTCGTTGCTATCAAACAAGTGCAGCGCTGCCACCGTCACTTGGCTTGAGCCGGCCACCGCTATGACAGTATCATGCCAGGCGAACTAAAGTAAGCTGGATAGATCTTTATTTGGATGCTCGAGCGAGTGACCGAATGACTGGGCCGTAAGGACCCAGCACGCAGCGTGTCTCCCTTGTATACCAGTATAACAATGCAGGGGCCACCAGCCACTTTCGAAGTCAAGAAATTCATTTTCAAACTTATATACTTCCTCCCACGAGGCTAATCCACGATCACGGCCGGAACTTCTCAGAAATAACTTAGCATCCTTTAAGCCATAACTGTGCTAATAGCCGACAGTCTCCGTGGTTAATTACCACCTCTCAACAATCAATCTCAAGATATCAGTTGTACTTCGTCACAAATTCAATCAGGGCCTTGTCTACTTCGTTCGGATGAGAGCCACTCAAGAAATGAGCCCCACCTTCCACCGTCACTAATTGTGCATCCGGAGAGTTCACGAACATCTTGATCTCCTCTTGAGCGTTTGCAATCGAGTACACCACGTCTTTGGTACCCTATACATCGCAAGATGGATTTAGCCAAAGCCTTCTCTTGGCAAGTGGACATGAAGCTGTCCGACAGGTAGAAACTTACGTGTAGCCACAGCACAGGACACCGAACATCGGACAGGCGGGAATGCAGTCCATCTCGTTCAGCAAGGTTAATGGCCGCCATCCGGATACGTCGACGACCGTCATCGCCACGATAGTTGGCCTTGATCGTCTTCCGCCAGAATTCGCGAAGCTCCGGGGCGCATTCATTGAAACCAATGTCAATAAGGAAGTCACAGTACTCGGTGTCCGGCTCAAAGTCTTGAGAAGGCTCATTTGTAGTCCACTTCGTAATATTGGGGCGCAGGAGCCCGGCGCCATTCCAGCAATTAAGCTGGCGTGTGCGCTCAGATTCGTAATCCAGCGAGGTTCCAAGCGGGATGATTCCTTGGATCTACTGGACGTTTGAGATGGGGCCATGTCATACTCGTGTGCCTATCTGGGATTATTCACGTACCTTCTCCGGTCGCATAAGCGCCATTCGAACAGTGATCCAACCACCTTGGCTCGTACCGAGCACAAAGGCCTTTTCAATGCCGAGGGCATCCAAGACCTGCAGATTCATCTCCGCGGTATCCCAATAGGTCCAATTCTCACGCTTGGTTCGTGTTTGGCCATGGCCAAGCAGTTCTATGGCCAGTAGATTCATGGAGTTCGTCAACTCTTTGTCATCATATTGTTTCCGGTAGAGATCCGCGGAGGTGGTGAAGGAGTTGACGAGAACAAGCGTGGGCTTCTTTGCGTCATACGGGTAGGGCATATGATAGGAAGCATCGATACCCCCCAAGTGAGGGACTCGTACAATTTGCGTACGAGACATTATGCCTGTCAGTTGAGCCTTGCGTGGTCCGTATGATAAATATGATAAAGGAGAAGGCGTTGACTTCTGCTTAGTATCTGCAGTGGAGAGTCTAACGAATTTTCAGTTTGCAAAGTCCAACTGGGCTCTCTATATACTCGCCCGCGAGCAGGCTTCTAATAGTCTTGTCAAGCGGAAACGTCATCCGGACGAATGGAATGGTTAAGATATCGAACCGGTCGAACCAGTCGAACCGGGATTTGGTGGCGACCGGGGAGTTAGGCTGGTGTGGGGAAGTAGCTTAACAGAGCGCAGTCGGATGCGATCATCTCTTTCCTTCGCCGAAAAGGGCGGGGTTTCTGTGAAACTGCCAATCATTCCCGGAAAAGACAGCGGGAAATGCGAGCGGGGAGAATTGGAGTCTCGGGGGAGAGCTTCCTTACCACGCATTACCCTCGGTTGGATCTGAGAGAGAATGCCTGGCGATTGCCCTTCGATGACTGCAGGGGATGCATGTATCCTAATACCACGAGCGCCCATTCCAAACCATGTCTCCGTCCGCGCTGCAGTCGAATAAACGGCGCAGGGCCACATTGGCCTGCCAATCTTGTCGGCACAGGAAATCCCGGGTGAGGACGCAGTCCGCCTCGATTCGAATGGTGCCTGAAAGCCAGCCGGGCTGACCGGAATCTCTTCTAGTGTTCAGGTGATCGGCCATGTGCCCTATGCCGCGAACTGGAAATCGAATGTTTGTATTCGGAGGGTGCTGGTCCGAATAATTTGACCTTGAGAAAAAGGTGAAGACCATTCAATTCCCCTCCACTGCAATCGACAGGTCTTTTGCGAGCGATCTGTAGGCGACGGATGTTAACAAATGTCCAAGCTATATCCAGCAACTGGAGCAGCGACTAGAGAGGATGGAAGCGTCAATACGGCAGCTCCAGGGCCATAGTTCATCGGCGCCCATAGACGGCAAAGAATCGAGTGAAGGCCCGAGTAGGGGGTCAGAAGACCCATTGAAAGATGTACAGGACTCTTCAACTGCCTCGGCAGCAGCACCAGATCCCAGGGGCGATAATACAACAGAGCCTCTGGGAGAAATTGATGTATCTGAGAGCTCGGTAGACGGAATGGGAGCGCTTCAGTTTACAGACGAAGAGAATTGCGGTTTCTTCGGTATGCTAATTGTCTACCTATATGGGATTGTTGGTGGCACCCCTGGGCGCTAATTGTGCAAGGGCCTTCTTCTAATATCGCATTTCTGCGGTATATATCCCGAGCGATAGCAAAGACAAGTCCGCATAGGGAGCCGGCCCTGGTCCCGTCTTCGTCGCAGAGGACCTGCGGGACGGTCAACGGTGCCAAATCCCCATCTACGGGCCGCCCGGTGAGTGTTGAAAACATTAATTTGAGTGCGGCAGTCAACATCTACGCTCTACCAAGCGAGGAACGTACGTGGAGTCTTATTCAGCAGTATTTCCATAAGACCGGACAGCTTCTGCCTTTTATCCATGAAAAATCATTCTGCGAGACATACTTTCAGATGAAGAAGGAAAGATTTCGCAAGGTTCGTAGAACCTGGCTCGGTCTGCTCAACATCGTCCTTGCTATCGCAGCAAGTCTGTCAACCAAAGGTGACATGCCTGCAGAGAAACGAATACAGGAATCCGATGTGTATTATCAAAGAGCAAATGGCCTCTGTGATCGAGATTCCAAACGAAATGCCAGCTTAGAGATGGGTGAGTGTCGATGCGGGAGCTGACCTTGTTCTTTGCAGTATGTCAACGAGCTAATTCCGATGCAGTGCAATATCTCCTAATCCTAGGTCAGTACCTACAAGGTACCCAAAAGTCAGTGCAAGCTTGGACAGCACATGGGTTGGCAATATCTGCGGCGTATCAATTAGGTCTACACTCTCCAGATGCAAATCGAGGATTTCCTCCAGCGGAATTTGAGACTCGTAAACGCACCTGGTTTGGATGTGTCCTTCTTGACCGGTGAGGACAGCTCTTTATGAGGTCTTGCGCATTGCGTTGATTCGGTCATTCTAGTACTTTAAGCATGACTTTCGGTCGCCCGTGTACCATACCTGAATCTTACGTGAAGCTGGAAATGCCCTCCCAGGACTTGCAAATGTTGAGCTCGCCCGCTGAGTCTAATACTTATCGAATGTTGGACGGCTCTTTTTTTTACGGCTGCAGTGTGAGCTCTGACTTGATTTTCCATGTAAATTGGAAGACAGTGATCTTTCGCTAATAATATACAGAAAGCTATACGTTATACTTTATAACGTGCTCGAATCGTGCTACGGGGCCAATTTAGGGTTCGAAGTTTCCACGAGCCCTATAGACGCCATGTCCGGGATCCTCGAAGGGCAGCGCCAGCTCGATGAATGGCGACTTCAGCAGTTGCCCTCCCTGGGCCTGAAAGTATGCGACAGCCCCTTAAGTCTGGGTGACGTTGAGAAGATGGACACTGGCTCGATAATCCGCCATCGATTCGAGGTTGTCCTCTCCGTGCGCTATAATAACCTTCGAATCCTGGTGCATCGCCGCTGCTTAGAGAGCCTCCTCGACCCAATTCAGACACAAGGTGACACGCAGGCGACGTCTGAAACGCGGTTGCTTCAGCAAATGGGGCTGAGCAGCGTCATTAGCTGTGTTGAATCTGCTACGTCGATTATCTCGATTGTACACAATATGTCTGCCGGTAGTGGCTGGCGACGTGAGTTCTTGGGTGCATGGAATTATTCACTCTATTACAGTAGGTGGAGTTCTGTTATATTTGACTTCAAGGAAACTGAAGCTGATGTAACACAGCCTTCAATGCAGCACTAGTTATTTTCGGCTCCCTCATCGTGGCATCGAAGGAGCGTGACCGCAACCCGTCAGCCTGGATCATGGTTAGCCATTCCCGGCCCTGTATTGACACGGCGGCTGAAGCACTGCGTCAGCTTGACCCGGGAAACCCTGTTGTTGAGCGGTGTCAAGAATACCTTTCGCAGCTATCTGCAATATTGGATCCTCTCAGTTAGTTATCCCGCACAGATGCAAACCGCCCTTCCGTCCCATCCGTGCCATTCCAAGGCTGGCCCTGCCCACGCTTCAGCAATTGTCTCAAAAAACCGCTAACGGCTCTCACCTGCACAATGCACAGTTTCAGAAGAGCCATATTTTGATAATAGGCTTGCTTTCGACTTTCCTACCGAATATTCAACCGGGCTCTTTTCTCTTCACAGCTCCGACTTGGTACCCCCCGTGGACTTTGGCGAATTCATGATTGGTTAGGGCTGCAGCTTCTCAGTAGGGTCCTCGGAATAGTGAGGCATTGACTACGAGTTAGCTGTAGTGGAGCAAACAGAGAAGGGGCTATGTACGTACAAGCTGGGTGGTTCGGCTGTTCGAGTCTCTCGAGATGGATTCGCCGCGGAAGGAGCAATAGTCTCAGTATCCGGCATTGCCGTAGGAGTGAGAAAAATAAACTTAAGGCAGACATCTTAGCGTACCTGCTGATAGATGATGTAGTGGATCTTTCACAGAGAAGGATAGTATAGTGAGAATTAGATCCGCTGGATAATAGTGCGGCACCGAACCCCTGACGGCCCGGCGGCCCAGCGGGTCAGGTAATGACAGTAAACTATCTAGCCAATGCTATGGTCATTTTACAATCCCCGTGTGTCGGCATTATCGTTCGAATATTATTTAACACCTCAACTTTACCCCACATGCGCCACCAATTCCGTCTCGCGTGGGTTTAGAAGTCCCACAGGCGTACGTCCCGTCCAGCCTCAGTCAGCGGATGCGGGGAATCCGGGGTATCCTACCCCCAAGGCTGGGCCGGAATGCCTAACTCCCCGAGTGGGCAGCCCGGGGATTGCGAAAATAGAGAAGTTGCAAGTGTATATATATCCTTCGGTATCCCCATGACTTGTTTCATCAAGTGCAATCCTAAGCTATTTTATTCTCTACCACAAATAGCTCTATAAACCCGGAACGTGGAACATGGTGAGAAGGCTGCTTCTCGAATGCTTGACTTTGTACTTATACCTACAGGCGAATCAGCGTGTTCATGTTGGAATCATCGGCGCAGGAATAGGAGGGCTGGCAGCTGCCATTGCCTTTCGACGTGCAGGGTGGATGTCACTGTCCTGGAAGCAGCGGATGAATTGCTCGAAGTAAGTTAACCTTAGCAGTCAGCAAATAATGCCGCATGCAGGAGCTCATAGAAAAAAGATCGGGGCCGGGATCCAGATGACGCCGAATGTATCGTTTCTGCTGCAGAAATGGGGCGTTGCGGATGTGATAGGAGACAACTTGGTTCAAATAGAAGAACTGAATATGCGCCGCAAAGATGGCACTCTTGTCGGACATACCGAAATACCAATTGTCGAAAGAGCATTGGGCAGACCGTGGTGGCTTGTTCATCGTGCTCATCTCCACCAAGGTCTCGCGGCCGTGGCCAAGCGTCTGGGAGCAGCGATTCATATTAACAGTCGCGTCATCTCACTTGACTATCAGGAGAAGGGTGAAGTCACGGTCGAAACACAAAAAGGGGATAAATATCATTTCGACCTCTGCGTGGGTGCTGATGGCATAAACAGCATTGTCCGAAGTACGCTGTTTCCGAACATAAAGCCGGACGCCAAAACTACCAACTGTGCTTACCGGGCGATTATACCGTATGACCGTATCCGGCAGGACCCAATTGCAAAGGAGCTCATTCAAAAGTTGACGATGGAGGTCTGGATGGGACATAATGCCTATATTATCACTTATCCCATCAGTGGGGGCGAAACATTCAACCTGGTGCTCTCGCATCATCGTCCGGAGAAGGTCTATAGTACCCAACCGGATGTTCCTGTCGAGGAAATGCGGGATGTATACAAAGACTTCGATCCTCGGATTAAACGCATTGTCGATATGATCACCGAGACTGTTAGCTTTACTCCCTTTCGAGAAACTCTGGATTGCTGCTGACGTTCTGTATACTGGCAGTCACGCTGGCCGCTATTGGTGACCGGGCCCTTGCAATCATGGTCCTCCCCACACAAGAATGTGGTTTTGATGGGGGATGCAGCGCACTCAATGGTAAACCATATGGCGCAAGGGGCTGCTACATCCATGGAAGACGGAGCTTTCCTCGCAAAGTGCGTCGGGGCAGTTACTCGTGGAAAGCTGAGTCTTCACGAAGCCATCAATATATACGAGCTCGAGCGGATGCCAAAAGCCTTCATGAAACAACAGGTCTCTTTTCTGAATGGTGCCATCTGGCACTTACCGGATGGCCCTAAGCAACAGGCTCGCGATGCGGCAATGGCACCGTCGCTTGAAGGGAAATATTTGGTTCGCAGCAGCAATCTCTACGACGACCCTCAGACGGTGCTGGATGTATATGGATATGACGTTGAAGCGCATGCAGAACAGGCGCTAGCGCGGTTTGCCCACGGGCGCGAGGCGGTGTATCCAGGTACTGGTATAGCACCTTACATCGAGGACAAATATATGGGGTGGTTTTCAAAGTGTCAACCAAATGAGCGCTACGCCGCAGCTGGGAAGCTTTAGATTATTCAGCCATCGTCAATCCCTTGTCTTTATTGAACTCAATTCTGAACAATACATCGCCTTTTTCGTGTTACGCTCAGGTACGAGAGGAAGAAGATCAAGCAATGTAGTAGCATTTCACGAAACAACTAAGCATGGAGTCAGAAGCCTTGTCAATGGACGACTTGACGATGGAATAGCTCCCGTGGTTCTTGATTATGTCGTTGATCTCAGCGTTGGAGATGTATCCAGCAGTTGACGTGCAAGGAGCGGCATAGGCCATGGAGTGATTTCTATCTCCAGTAAAGGTGCAGAAGGGACCGGAGCAGGACGCGTCCTTCATCCGGAAACTTCTGCCATAACTGCTGACGCCAATGACTAGCTGTCGGGCTTCGACGCCTTGATCCCCGATGGTGTTAAGTCAATGTATACGAGTCACGTAAAAAAGAAGACTCGTCCCTCCGAAAGTTCAATCACCTGCGAGTTGAAATCTATTATTGATACAAGCACAAGAGTTTTCTTCATTATTGATGCACTTGATGAACGCTCAGTTTCCGACGGCCTCGTCAGTGTTCGTCAACCATTCCTTCACCAGCTTGTCAGTCTCAGTGTCCAAACAGGTATTAGTACACTGGCAATTTCTCGACCCAAAACTGAAATTGCAGCTTACCTTCAGACTTACGTTTCTGTTGAGATTAAACCCAGGCGCGAAGACATCCAATCTTACTTGGACTCACGTATAGTTGAACTTCCAGATTTTGTGCAGCAAAGGCCGAACCTGAAGCAGTGCATCAAAGATGGTATCACGGAAGCTGTTCGTGGAATGTAAGCATATCTAGAGCTGGACAAAAATGCACTACTAACATAGCCAAGGTTTCTTCTCGTTCGACTCTACTTCAATTTACTCCTCGATCAGGGAAACGAGAAGAGGGTTCGAAATATGATAACTAAATTTAACTCTGGTTCTCAGTACAACGTTTACGAGCATGCTTATCGCGAAACCGTCAAGATGATTGAGCATCAAAGTGCAGATGTCGTAGAGCTTGCGAAGAGAACTATAGGATGGATCGCGAACGCAAAAGGTCCTCTCACTGTGGCTCAGCTTGAACATGCGCTTGCGATTGAGATCAGTTCTCACGAGTTCGATTAGTTGAATATCACAGACATTAAGCAGCTAAGCTCATACTGTGGTGGCTTGGTATTCGTCGATGAGCTAACGGGTACCGTGAGACTTGTCCACTACACCACGCAGAAACACTTTGAGAACATATGGGAAGCCTGTTTCCCAAAATTTCATGAAGTAATCACTGATAGCTGCCTGGCATATCTTTCATATGATGCATTTGAGGAGAATCGTCTTCAGTCCAAGGTCGAGCTTCAGGGAATCCAGTCTGAATATCCTTTTTTCGCCTCCTTTCTTTGAATTTTTAGATGTATCGGGCAGGACTTAATTGCATTCGGCTGCTCACTATGGCCACGCGACTGTGGCCAGACTGCTCCTGAATAGCAGCGCCAATATTGAAACGTCAGGGAGAGACGGTCAACCCCATTACGTTTGGCTGCAGTGTTTGGCGATGAGACTATGGTCAAACTGCTTCTGGAAAACGGTGCAAAAATTGAATCTTCCGATGAACGCGGCATGACCCCATTAAAACTGGCTGCACGCCATGGTCATGAGATTGTTGAGGTTGGGTCTGTAAGTCGGGGAACATTGAAGGGAGGTTACGTGACGACGTATTGGGGCGCTAAACCTAGAAAGGCAAAGCTAACTCGAACAGGCAATTCACAGGTCCCCCATATTACACGACCAAGCATTTAAAAATATATCCGTTAGTCAAAATGGTCTGAACAGAGGATGGCATCAATAAACAAGCATTTTTACTATGTGCTTCCCGAATCACGCTGGTCGATAACTGATTTAGCTCGGCTTAGTCTCGTATCCGTGCCTTTCTGGGGTGGTCGGATAATATTGCCTCCGGGATCAAGACAACTGATAAGAGCCGCCGGACCTGAGCAATTGCCACGACTGTGTCAATACGAATACTTTTCCCTTCCTAATGGCCAAAAGCAGTTCTCCATATTACAAAGCGCATTTAGAACAATTGAAGGAAAGGTACGAGCAGGAAAAAGCTCAGCGGCAGCAGCAAGAGGAGAGGCGGAAGTAGGCAAAGGAGCGCGAGAAGTAGAAGAGCGCAACCGACAGACCTTATTCACCGAGCTCCTCCAGCACTACCATGACCTTCTCTCCCACTAGCTGAGAGTCGAGATACCCTCTCCTTCAACTACTGGCAAAACACTGCCCAATATAGTTAGAACCTTGGAAGGACTGTCCAGAGTAGCTGCCTAGGATCTATAGGGCTGCCTATCATTATCTCGAGTTAGAGTCAGAGTGAGTAATACAGTTATTTTTGTCTTCTCCCAAGTTGGAAGGACTAGGTTGTTAGCTTGCCCACAAGCCCCTCAGCAGTGAGTAAGATCTCAAAGTCTACAAATAGGTCGGGGTAAAGGAGTAAATCTATGATATAATCATCGAGCTATATCAACTTCTGTTAGCCTATAACAAGTTCAGTCTTAGTGATAGAATCTAGTTCAGCAACTATACAAATTCCTCGAGTAGGAATAAAACTTCCAAGGCGGATCTAAGTAAGTAGTTAAGCATACCTCACCTACGACTAGACTAGTTTTACATCTACCGTATCAATAACCACACGAATACTCTCCTGACGACAGTTGAGGACAAGCTGTCTTATAAGCTGCCAGTTATAATTCTTCGCTTGGGAACCTTGCGACCAATAGATCTGTAGAAAAAAATGGTCTGGTCCAACAAGATACTGACAGATCTGGATATAAAGTTGTGATACAATGTAGAGCGGTTTGTCTGCTTTACCTTTGTCCGAGAATACGGTATTCCTATTTCTTGACAGATACTGCGGCTGCCTGGATATATCTCTGCGTCCATACCGACCCATTCACACCTTGGCACCTTGGCACCTGGGCACCTTACAGCACGCTGTGCTACTAGTACCTGACCTAGCATGCACTTAATTGGATTATCTTAGCATATGTGTGTAACTTGTCGGTGTGTTATCAAAATAAATCAACCACGGCTTCAAAGCCCATCACCTGGCATGCGTCACTTTTTTTGCCTGTCTCGTTTCGGGGCTATAGTGCGCAATTGCAAGTCTCCAAAAGTGCCTCTAGGACTATAAACTCTCAGCTGCCAACGAAACGAAGGATACGAAGCTTGCTGAGTTGGATCCTAGGTCACGTGGTGTCTATGCTTTTATCGGAGTGGTAAATGTCAGCTGCTGAGCGACGTGGTATTGAGACACCTACCAGAAGTTTAATTACCTATATCTGGCTCTGAATAGAAAATGCGCATCGCAAACGTACTTGGCTTCGAAATTTCAGATATTCCGGGTGAATAAATTATGCACACTACTGTATGACAGTCATCTTTGTCCTACCAACTAGTGAGATGTAGTGCCAAAAAGTCACACAGTAGTAATTCGTAAGTCCTATATAGTCCCCCGAGTGACCTTTTCCTAAAATTAGAGTAGATGAGGGACCCGTTCGAGTTTATCTTCAGCTCATTGTATCAAAATAACGGCCTCGGACATGAATCTCATCTAACGCCCAAAATATGGTTGAATACTTAGGCTATCCGCTCCTAGTCTTAACGATCATTTTGGTACCAGTGCGAATCATCTGCGTGATCATACGACTTATTATACGTTATAAAAGTTATATGTCATTTGGCTGGGATGATATAACAGTTATTCTGGCATTGGTATCCCAACTTGGATGTGCAGGAGTGATGCTCGGTATGATTGAAACGATACATGTCTTAAGTAAGATAGTAACATAACGATGGAAAAAATCCTAGGTGCTATAAAGAACAGTGGTTTAGGCTATCACACAGCCTATTTACAGACAACAAAGCCAGATCTCGTTACCCTAGAAGGCAAATATCGCATAGCGGACGGATTTCTCTATGTGACTAGCGCCAATTTACCCAAGATATCCATACTATTTCTTTACCGCCGGATTTTCGCCCTCACCACCCTACGGAAGTTAAGCTCTATGCTAATAGGCATTCTAGTCACTACAATAGTAGTCGAGATCATAGCCTTGTTTCTGGCATGCCAACCTTTTGCTGCGTTCTGGCGTGCTTTCATCCCCGGTTCAAGATGTGTGGACCTAGCTGCCGCATATGCATATGGTAGTATTCCAAATATCATCACAGACGTTGTCATGCTTTTTATGCCAATGCCAGTAATATGGTCACTTCATACATCGATTGAAACCAAGATACAGTTAACCTTTACCTTTGTTCTTGGTAGTTTGTAAGACCCGCGTGTTAATTCTCTGTTTGAGTCATCCGATCATGACTGATCTGTGTTTATAGGGGCCTCATTATATCGATCCTTCGGCTATACTTTTTTCTCGTGGACAAAAGCAATGATTTCACATGGACCTCTGCAACCACTGGCCTTTGGAGTGAGGCCGAAACAGCTACATATCTTATATGTGCCTGTATCATTACATTTAAGCCTTTGCTAGACTCTATTGGCATCAAAGCTCGAAAGGCCATAAGCTCAAACAAAACCTCATGCAAACAATTGTCCCCGAGAGATCTGGGCTGAATACTGGACGAAAAAGCCATGCCTGGTGGACCCTGTGTGCAAAATGTATTGGGCACCTGCCTTGTTTTCACTCGAGCCTTGCAGGATATATGATGCTTCTGAAATAAGAGTTTACAAATAAATTAGATAATCTAATTTTGAACTGAATCATGAATGTACTCGCACGGAGCATAATTCTTTAAGTCATCATAGAATTATCTGACAGCAGCCCAGATCTCGTTTTCTCTTATTTTTATGGACAGCGATATCTAGAGAATAAATTTCTTGAGCTCATAGCAGAACCTAGATCCTTGTGGTTTAGTTTTGATCAAAGATGCTTATCATCTCAATATGCGAATAATTCGCGCCAAGGTTTTGGCAGTGAGACAGAAAAAGAGTTTCTCGGTGCCTGTTGATCAAGGCGATTTCGAGAATGTTTGTAAACAGAAATGGTCCTAGCTTCATTTAACGTTTACTACTCTGTACAGAGAGCAACTTGGGGCGTTTGGGAGACATTTTTCAATCTTCTTATTGAGCTTCACGTCTTGGGTCAGCTCAAACTCATGGTAACCCGTTGGAAGAGGAAAATGGACCATGGGCTTTGCGGGAGTGCTAGGGAATTCCAATGGCGGTAATCTGCCCCCCAGGTAAGACAGAAATCAACCGGGGTCAGCATCACCTAACTAATAGCTGTACCGCTTCTAAAACGCCCAAAAACTCCGCCTCGCCCTCTTTCAACATTGCCATTCACGCGTGACCACGTCTTCTTATGTCGTGACATACTTCTTCGCTAGATACGCAAGAAAAGCTCCATCCCGGGGTCGATTAAGTACGAGTCCCACCATCTCGTAGCTATCCGCTCGCAAGTAGAAGAAAATCGCAACTTGCCATCGATTATTTGTATTGAATCTGCTCCTAATCACCTGAAACATAGTCTTTTTGTATTTATGCGAGTAATAAAGCCCGGCTCGAGCAAAGCTTCTGGGACATCGGGGGCTAGGTTAGGATCCCAGGCAATCAGTATCTAAAGGTCAACAGATCCAGATAAACCGAGAATTGGCTACGAGACCACAATAATGGGAAACGAATTTGTTTTCTAGATGAGTTCCATGATGACGAGTTCCTTTGTTCACCTTCGATGGCAGAGAAAGGAGCTGCAACCACCGAGTCAATGAACATCTTGACAAAACCACCAGTAGAATACTTTCCCAGAAGAGGGAATGGGTCTTTCATTATCACAACTCAGAAAAAAGAGATTGCGTTGAAAATGGTAGATCAAAAGAGCCCTATTGAAGTGAAGATCGAGGTTGGCGCCCACCACCACTGCAAAGCTGACTGTTGTATGGGCATACCAAGCGATGCTGAATCGGTCTCAAGTCATGATCTGAGCTCTTATGGCAAAGTTGTTAGGGAAATTATTAACCTCCAGAAAGCTACTTTATTAATAAGATGTTAATTTTAATAGTTAGAGTCCGAAGGCCTAGTCTCTAATCATGATAGTTCTTGAATATTACTAATATGAGATTTTAAAGATTGTTTTGAAAAACCTGTGATTTAATATTGATATTCAAGATAACCGAGGATATGGCGTAATTTATATGGCTGTGATATACGATGACCCTCTTGCAATGTAAATTCTCTTGGATCACAAATATATTGACGTTCATTGAAATTGGTCGATGGATTTCGCTCCATAACGGGTTGCCAGGAATTAAAGCGTGTATGTCTGAGGGGGTATCTATTTTCGACTTCTACTGTATGACCTTAAAGATAAGGTATGGCAAAGGAGGGCTAGGGCATGAGATTTCATTTGGCTTTGTCCAGCGGGGGCGACGGGAGCGGTGATTACACCTCTTCAGTAGGCGAACCTACTGGATGAACTGAGTGATTAATGCAGGATTTCCTTGAATTATGCATGTCAGCCTCGTAGTTGCATGTCACATGGCCAGGTTGCGTCCAGCTACATCATGGATTCCCATGTTCACACCGCCCGAAGGTCACCGTCTTTACTAGGCACTAGTGCAAACTTGCTGCGTTGAGCCGCATTAGGTGGAGCAGACCAGCTGCCAAGAAACTATAGCCTTGCCTCCAGCACACTAGCCTCCGGCGTGCTCCTACTCGGCCCTCCAAGATGTCTATCGTGGCATTTAGACATTGGCCGTTACTGCAAGTACTAAGCCTTTTTTGTCAGATGCGGCAATCGAGATAAAGCGGGGTATCTTTTTGCTTTTTCAACCTTTACATGTTAAAAGTCGTGTCCTCTCAAGATTGGTAGAATTTCTGCTCTAGTTCATCGGTTGACCCCCGGATTTTGTTTTCAATCAGCCACACTAGACAGTCAAGAGTAATTGCGATGGACAAAAAAGGTGAGATAAGGCAATACCCTACAGAATGTTGGGGCTTAGCCGCGGTGATTCAGCCCAGATCGAAACTAGTAGCTATCTCTTTGGCTCCACCCTTTGTCTATCTAATAGCCTGTTTTGATGACAAGCGTGGGTGGAATTCAAAATTTTCGCTTTTTCCATAATCTCCAGCGGTCTCTGTGCCTCTCCAACGGTTCTAAAGACCGCGCAAGCACGAGCTGGCAAAATGGCGGACGTGGTCTCCCCTATTGGCAGAGATCTCATCAAGCTTGGGAGGAAGTTGAAAAGGCTCCTTCAGCAAATCCGCAATGCGAAAAATGATCTATCCAATGTGATCAAGAGAACAAGATCAGTGGCCCGAACGTACGACTTTTTCAAGGACACCATCAAGGTTGCGGGGGGGATTCAGGAGCTAGCGCCCATGTTCAACCGCCATAAACAGCTGATTGAGAGTGTTGATGAGGAATCAAACCGAACTATTGAAAGACTGAAGCGTCTCACCGGCAGATTTCGCTCTCTCATAGATGGTAAACCTGTCAATACAGTTCAAAGATGGATCGCACAGTTTGAATGGTCTAGAGAGAGCAAGAAAACTGTCCCCTCACTTTTCCAAGATATGAAGGTACTAGAGAGGTCTATGAGAACAATTGGAACCCTAATAAACATTCAGTTGTTATCTCAAACCTACCGAAGAGATGGATCAGATGTAGTTCTGGCACAATTGTAAATCTTACATATTCCCCCAATTGATAGATGAGTGGAATTTTGTACTGATCATTTGCTGGCAGTGAATCTTTGAAGAAAATGCTGAACATCGAATTCGATAAGCTTCGGCAAGCTCAAAGGATACAAAAGAAGCTCCTGGCGCGGCAAATAATCTCGCCGAGTCAACATCTTGAGGCCAGCGAGTTTGCCCAAAAGATAATGCAGATTTTGAAAAAGGAGATTCCTCAACTAAAAAATCACCCAGCTGCTGAGAATCAGTCCACGTCTGATTCGAGTTCTCCACCAACCTCACCAATATCAAACAAGACTTCGCCCATTACAAGCCCCTCGCCCTCTCCCCCTAGCAACCCTGGAAGCCAGACGTCTGTCATCAATCTACAGGAGCAGTATGAGGATGCCTCATCACCTAGGAGGCGGATTTCGCGAAAAAGAAGAACCCATTCAGCCCCTTCCGTGAGTCAGACAGTCCTGAAAAGCTTCCCAGCGCAAACTCATCGTGTGGGTAGAGAATTCCTTCGAGATCGTCGCCCCATTCGCTATCTTCAAGTGACGGAGAACCTGTAAACCATGATGGTCGAGTTTCTGGGCCAGGAATGCAAAATCAAAATGCAGGTCAAGATCAGGGAGGCACATATGTGCAGATGCCACCTTTTGGACCCCTAGAATTGGTTTCTCACACATCCACTAGACGACCCTCTCCTGATCGTCCCGATTCATTCAGTAGTGCATTTGACCAGCAACGAACAACGAATCGTGGTGGCTCACATCCGGCTCGAAGAAGGCGAAACAGCAGCAAAATATCTGAATATGGCGATGAAGGTGAGGTCACTGCTACTCATAAAACTGGCAGTATCGGGCTACGATCAGGGAGGAAGGGAAAACTCTAGGTCGCAGGTCCGGTCCGATCCAAGAACCGAGCCTTAAAAAATGTATGGTCGTTGAGATATCGAATTATAATTTATCGCTTTTTAGTATGGTGTTCTTGAGTGGCCGGCTTACACGGGTAGCCGGATTACCCATGAAAAACGTTAGTAGGGCTGCCCACAGTAGAAAATATCTATTTCCCACATTATACAATATAATCTCTTTAGTACACTATCTCCCAAACTACAAGATTGAAAACAAGATGGAATCTAAAGGTAAAGTAATCTTTCTAGCTGAAATAACTGATATACGAGATAATTTGATATAATTTCATCAACAGGTTGGATCGAAATTAGTTTCACCACTTACACACAGGCATTCTTTCTCGTACCTTGTTTCGAAACCATTAGTTTCAAGTATTAAATCGTATTGAAAATATTTATCACGTGATATGGATATGATAAATTATTTGTATTTTGAGCGTCGCTCGGGCGTCGCCCTGCGAGCTCCGTAGAGATCACCCATGAAGAAGCACCACGACACGCGCCAAGCCCCTTCGAGCACACGTCCTCACGTCCTCACATGAGGGGAAGGATTTGTTGGATAGTTAACACGTAAAGCAAAATTGCTAGGTAAACATCTGATATTGAAGTATCTAGCTTTCTAGGCATGCATGCTCAGGCCCTCCATTTCCCATTCCAACATTATCTTAGAATTAGATAAGGTAGTTGGATGGTTGATGCCTATTTTTTGCTTTTGCTTGGTCAAGCAATCTCGTAGCAAATGAATGGCATCAGCATCGCGACCTGAAGATTTCCAGGTGAAAGCAAGATTAGCCATACTGGTTAGCGTGGAGGGATGGTCCTCGCCGAGTTTCGTGAAACTCATCACCATCACCTGCGCCTGGAGCTGCTCGGCTTCATCCCGCCGGCCTTGGTTCCAAAACGTCGACGCTAGGTTGCCGATACTCGTAAGTGTGGAGGGATGGTCGTCACCGAGCTGAGCCTTGCGAGCCTCCATTACCTGCACCTCAAGCCTTTCGGCTTCATCATATAGGCCCTGACATTTGCATGTCAACGCCAGGTTAGCTATACTGGTCAGTGTGGAGGGATGCTCCTTGCCAAGCTTCATCTTGCTTGTCTCCATCACCTGCACTTCGAGCTGCTTGGCCTCGTCCCACCGGCCCTGGTTCCTGTATGTTGACGCGAGGTTGCTCATACTGGTCAATGTGTTAGGATGGTTACTGCCAAGATTGGCCTTGCTCCTCTCCATCACCTGAACAAAGAGCTGCTCAGCTTTCTCCCACCGACCTTGGCTCCAAAATGTCGCCGCCAAGTTTGTCATACTCACCAACGTGTCGGGATGGTTGTCACCGAGCTTTGTCTTGCGAGTCTCCATCACCTGCACGTCGAGGTGCTCGGCCTCCTCCCACCTGCCCTGACACCAAAAAGTCGATGCTAGATTGCCCATACTCACCAACGTGTCGGGATGGTTGTCACCGAGCTTTGTCTTGCGAGTCTCCATCACCTGCAAATCGAGGTGCTCGGCCTCCTTCCACTGGCCCTGATACTTGTATGTTGTCGCGAGGCTGGCCATGCTGGTCAATGTAGAGGGATGGTCGTCACCAAGCCTTATCTTGCGAGCCTCCATCACCTGCGCCTGGAGCCTCTCAGCCTCCTCCCACCGGCCCTGGCTCCAAAACGTCGCCGCCAGGTTGGCCATGCTTGTAAGAGTGTCGGGATGCTCCCCACCAAGCTTCATCTTGCGAGCCTCCATCACCTGTAGCTCAAGCCTCTTGGCCTCCTCCCACCCGGCCCTGGTTTCTGTATGTCGATGCCAGGTTGGCCATACTGATCAGGGTGGAGAGATTATCATTGCCGAGCTTCGCCTTGTGCGCCTCCATTACCTCCACTTCAAGCCTCTCAGCCTCTTCCCACCGGCCCTGGCTTCCAAATGTCGCCGCCAAGTTGGCCATACTTATCAGCGTGTTAGGATGGTTATTGCCGAGTTCCATAAGACTCATCATTATCACCTGCACCTGGACCTGCTCGGCTTCATCCCACCGACTCTGGCTATTGTATGTCACCGCTAGGTTGTTCATGCTGGTCAACGTAGAGGGATTTCCGTCGCCAAGCTTCATCTTACGAGCCTCCATCACCTGTATCTCGAGCCTCTCAGCCTCCTCCCACCGGCCCTGGTTCCGATATGTCGATGCCAGGTTGGCCATACTGGTCAAGGTAGAGAGATTGTCATTGCCGAACTTTATCTTGCGAGCCTCCATTACCTCCACCTCCAGCCTTTCAGCTTCCTTCCAGTTTCCTTCAAGAGACCATGCTGTTGCTAGCATCGCAGTACTATCAAGGGTCTCTTCATCATCTGGACCCAGCAGTTTTATCCTCTCTTTCCTTGATTTTGACGCCATGTCCCTCAAGTCTGTGGGAATACCGCTACGTGACGCGTACCATGCACCGTTATAAAGCAGCGTAGCCCAATTCCGTAGGGATTCATCTGATTCTGGCCGCTGCAACATCGCTGCTTTCACATGAGGAAATAATGGTCGGCATATATCCCAGTTTTCGTATTGGCCAGTGGGGAAGTTGTGGTAGAGGGTACTGATAAACTTCTCCTTCCATTGTTCTATTTGACCATGAACTTTCAGCCATGAACGTGTAGTCAGTTGCACTAGCCGATGCATCGTGAAGACCCCGTTCTTGCTAGCACAGATGAACGAAAAAGCCCTGAGAGTTGCAATATCATGTTCAAAATCGTCGATCGTATCGGATTCGGAAATTTCCCCATCATCACTAGAGTCATTCAAACTCTCTGAGCTTTGTTTTTTTAATGAATGGCTGCTCTTAGGCTGTACCTGAAGAAGTTCTTCTGGAATCCCTTGCTGGTCGAAAAAGCTCATGAGAGAAAGCAAATTTGCTGCTGACCGTCTTGTTCGGCGAATGTAATCGAATGATATTTGCCATGTTGCTAATATTGAGTTCTTTGCCTCCCAGTCCCGGTATAGGTGACCCGCCTCGGTTTTAAGAAGCTTTATTGCTTCACGGTCACTCTTTTGGAAGTATCTCAGATACTGGGATACCGAACAACGAGGTGCTCGATTCTTAATGTAGCTTGCTGCCTGTAAGATCGCAAGTGGCATAAAATCAAGCTCTTCCACTAAATGCTGACTCTCTTGGATTTCTCCTGGTTGCTCAAGCTTTCTTTGGAGAAGCTCTAGCGCCTCGGACTTTTCCATTGGTGTAACTTCAATAAGGTTCTTGTGATCGACCAATTTCATCATAATTTCTCGGGTCCGGCTTGTAATAATGATAGATCCATTTAAGCTTCTAGGGAGGTATTCCGATAGTGGCTTTGTGGAGATGTTCATTAGACTGTTCTTCAAGTCTCCCTGTCCTATCACTGGAGACGTGCGAAGGAACTCATCCTCATCAAGATTATCAAGAATAAGAATCCATTTTCTTCTCTTTTCATCCCGGAGCCAGTTTTCGACTAGTTTGAATATATTGGCTTGCGGATCTTGACGCCCCGTGATTTTAACCTGGTCTGCTATGTCCCGGAAACTTTCTTCGAACCGGACTTTATTGCTCGCATGGACCCAGAAAACCCATGTTGCTGGAGATTTGGATCGAACCTGGTACGAGTATTCGATGGCAAGTTGCGATTTCCTTTTGAGTCAATGAGTAATGAGCCAGGTACCTACTGGTCAGGCTACACTCACCCGACACCACCGAGGCCAACTAACGCTATCCGCGACCCTGGCACTGAGCATTTCTCCTGGATCTGGTTGAGTAGCGTGTTACGACTGACAAAGTCTAGATCACGCGGGAATGGGACAGTAGATAGAGGACTAGGCGGGGTTTCCGGTCGCTCTGGGAGGCGGACATCAGTAAGTCAACCTTGTCGATGATCTCTGGTTCCTGACTTACCCGGCGGCAGATGGAATTCCGCGTTGATCGGGCCATGGCTAACTCCGACCTGGAGCGCATGATTACTGCCGCTAAATGATATCGATGCCATGTTCAAGTAAATTTGCAGTGTATGGAGTCTATTCAAAGCGCCGTGGGGCTTCGCCCCAGCTCAAGGAGGGGCGTGTTGCGACCTCCAAGATCAGGTGACCTTGTGGCGCCAAAATCCAGAAAAAGATATCAAAAAAAATTTTAAAAAATTTCAAGACAGCGGATCAAACTCAAAGTAAGATTAGCAGGCCCAGTGGAGTGGGATTAGCACCTTCCTTGGAAGCGGATCAACCCGAGCTAGCAACCCAGATCAAGCACAGCACGGATAGCCAGCAAGCTTCCTCGGGGGGGGTTGGTATTTTTCACCAGTTCACATTATGACATTTCCCTCTGCCAAGCGACGCCAGTGAAGTCTTTCGATAGCCCATGCATCTCCGAGAGTATCTTCACCACGAAGGTAAGTATAATGTCTAATATAAATATACTTACAATTGATCCTAGCTATAAAACAATTTAAAATAGAAAAAAGAGAGATTAACTACATAGCTGGGGGTTAATCATGGATCTTTATCGCCGTAGTTGCCAGCAGAATCGTTCTTTATCTCGATAAATATACAAACACCGGGAGCAGAAATTTCTTGAAGTGACAGTCCAATCCATAACTTGAAGTTGAATCCGGTTCCAAATTTTTGCTCTACATATCAAACTTTCTAAAGAGACAGAATCTTCTCCTTATCAACCTTCCCCTCAGCACGAATCTGACGGCGTCGATCGCGCACAATAACCAAAGCATACAATAAACTCAGCACCACTCCAGCCAGCGTGATACCCATCAGAATCCAATAGCCGCGTCGATACAATGGGGCATCATCTTTGGTAAAGCAAAAGACAGCGACGATACCACCGGCATTACCAACACCAATCACGAAGCCAGATCCAATACTCCGCTCTTTGTGACCTCGCATATTCATCAGGACCCAACAGACGATGACGGCTCCGGAACTAAATGCACCCATGGTGATGAAGCAGATGCCGAGATACTCGGCGGAAAAGTGACCCTTTCCGTGCGTTGTCAACATGATGGCTAAGCCAATTATGATGAGTAGTTGACCAAGTAGAATGAACGGAAGCCGAATATTAAAGCGGTCCGAGAAATATGCTACTACAATGCAGAGTCCGAGGGCAGAAGCAAAAGGCGGCACACTGTGCAATTGGGTTTGAATCGTTCCGTATCCCAGGGCTTTGATAATGGTCGGGGCGAAGTAAGAGAAAGCGTAAATCGGGACCACGATCGCTGTTCACTTCAGTTAGATCATGAAAAAACAGATAACCCGACAACAATAACTCACTGAAGTACATAAACCCCGCCAGGTACATCTTAAGGTCCTTGGAAGACGCAACCAAATCAGCCTTTGTAACCGAGACATCATCGTCTTCAAAATTACGCGTCTTCGCAATGACCGCGACCTTTTCATCTTCCGTCAACCAAGATGCCTGCTGCGGAAAATCTGCGCAGAAAAACAGCGCGAAAATGCCGACTAGAATGGACGCAATGCCCTCTAGCAAGAAAATCCATCGCCAGTTTTCTAGACCGCGCATGCCGTCCATTTTGGCAATGCCGGAGGCAAGAAGGCCGCCGAAGGCGCCGGCGAAAATTACTGATGACCAGTACATGGTGAAACGCTTCTGGGCTTCGGCGCGTTTGTACCAGAAACTGATTAGGTAGAAACTGCCGGGGAAGATTCCGCACTCGGCGAGACCGAGGAAGAAACGGGTTGCTATTAGGCCGCCGTAGCTTTTGACGAATGCTTGGCCGAGCATGACGATGCCGAAGGCAATTATACAGCCTGAAAGCCAGATGTGCGGTTTGAGTTTCTTCATCACGATGTTTGAGGGGATCTCGAAAATGATGTATGGGATGTAGAAGATTAGAAGTGCGATGTTTGCCCGGTCACCGTACAAATTTAAATCAGTCGGCATGCTCATAGTAAGTGCGTTCGATATGTTTACTCTGAGGCGAAATCAGCGAGATCAGCATGGATGAAGGCATGAATTACAGAAGTCCAATTGACATACCTGTCCAGAAACGCGACGAAATAAATGATAAATAGCATTGGCAAGACACGCATGTCGATTTTTCGGACAAGGGCGGCATCATCAACGTTTGGCGGAGGAATAAGGCCATCCTCGTGGCCATCCTCATGGTTTTGCTGGCTCAGAATCGGTTCCGGCTTGGTATTATCATTATTATACTCTATCAATGATGAGCGGTTAGCCTATGGAATAGCAAGAAGAAGCGGCGTAAATACCAGGAGTAGAACTCATTATTGCGATGTAGTCGGATGCGTTGAAAGAGGCAAACCGACCGCAATGCGGTCGAGAGGAGGGAAAAAAGGGATAAACAGGGGGGGCCAGATCAGCCGAGCGCCAGGTTAGTAACTAAGTCAGGAAGCACTTAAGCAGCAGCTGGAACTCCTGTGGTTATAATCCTACTTATGCGCCTCACAACCTAATTTTTAAGAAATATCAGCAACAAGTGCGACTTGCTGCGTTTTAAAGGGGGCCTGACCCATGTCGATCAGTGTCTGAGTTTGAACTCTGCGTCGACTCACGTATGCACATTGCGAAATTATGCAGCCCGTGCAGCCCGTGCGACCCGTGGAGGCTCCCTGTTGGCACTGGCTGCGCGCTTGTTTCCCCGTCGGGCCTTAGCTTGAGCCCTAAGATGCTAAGCATTAGTCCCCGAGGTCAGCTAGCCGAGATGCCCACTCTGCCCGGGCTGAAAGATGATATTTAATTCTTCGGTTTCAGTTCATGCAGGGACTTTATCTTCAGGTATACTCCCATCGGAGCTGGGGTTTTTGTGAATAAGAGCGTCTTGTTATGCCTTTCCGGGCCACATCCATGCGGGAATGGGTGGCACCCCACTAGAGCTATTGTTTTCGTGGGTCTTACATACAGTACTAGTTTCTCGCTCTGGATTGACAACGCGCGATCCGTGCCGTCCGGGCGATCTTCTATCTGCGACCGACCAATTCCACACAGGGATCAATCATTAGCCCGTTGCTTGGTAATTGTGGACCAGTGTTTATTCATCCCGTCTGTACGGAGTACTCCGTCGGTACAGACTATGCTCTCAAAGCAGTAACAAAACGCGCTAGCCCATTTTGTATATCAAGTGGCCAAGGATTGCATTGGGCAGCTCGTGGAGACTGCGGCCCACTCCCCACCTCCCAAGCAGATCGATGTGGAGACAGCCTTTCAGCTGTTGATGACATCCAGGCTAGTATAAGCGAGCGAAACCAGCAGATGGCAGGACTACCATTGAACTAATGTTACGAACAGCTGTAGGCTTTGGGTGAACTATCTATACTCTTTAATGCCCCTTTCCGAGCAGCAGAATTCAAGGAATTATTCTGATTGAAGTTTAATACATCCCAAAGTCCGAGTCCACAGGTCATACTAAGCAGCCAACATTTACTATGTGTGCTTATCGAGACCAATGCACACTATAAGAGCGCATCCGAAAAATAGATAAATAAAGAACTTTGGAACACCGAACTTGACTCGGAAAAGCCGACGATATACTACTAGTATACTTTTCCCTGGGCCCGTCTCTCAAGAGAGCCACAACTTGGACTTGAAGTCCGAGTCTACTACTAGTGCCGGTCTTTCAAGGTTGGATGAATGCTGTCAGAAGACAAAATACGCCAACGGATTGAAGGAACTTTCCTGAATGGATGGCGCCGGGCCATCATCTAATGCGCGGACGAATCAGGGCGAGTTCAATTCCGCCATAATTATGCGGGGCGTGGACTAGTATCAGGCCCGGGCCGGGGCCTTCAAGTTCTCGACTTTTTGCGCCGGTCGGCCAATACTGCCTTGGGTACTTCGGCGATACTCTCAAATTCGGTATACCAAGATTCTGATAGAAGTGTTCATGTTATACCATAGTGGTAATAGCCAGCGGCTCCGAGCCCGATCAAGCTCCCAGTGTCCGGCATCAATGTGAGACGATCTCGGGATATATAGAGTGCCCAGGTGGACAGTGGACGTGGTGCCCAGGTGACCAATTTCAAGTTTTAAGTTTCCATCCATGGATCTTGAAGGTTCAAGCCTGAGTTCAAGTTGTTTAATGAAGTTAGGGCCTCGCATTGGAACTTGAACTTTTCTCAATCTTCCGAGTCAAATTCTAAAGGTCATCTAAGGTCCGTCTCAAATGTTCACAGTTCAAGTTCCCCGCGTGACGATAAAACCACGTGATATAATGATGACTAAGGTCTTGGCAACCTTAGAAAATGAAGCCTTATGGCTACCTTTGACACTAGTGAATATACCGTCAGAAGGTTAGGCTGTATATTTAAAATAAATTTCTACTAAAGTTCCTGATAGAATCCATTACCCAGTTTTACTAGTGCATGGGAGTTCCTGCTATATTATGTAGGTGTATACAACTTGGCAGTAGAAGCATAGCCCTAAGCTCATTGATTGGAGTATCTATTTGAGCATAAGATATAATATAGTATAGTTTACTGTAGAATACGAAGTATTAAAGTGATAGACAATATCAAGTCATAGGCTATACCAAGACATAGAGCTACCTTAAGGTACACTGTGTAGTCTTCTATGTCCAGCTTATCTTATCTTAGCGCGAAAATTCCACACACAAAGACGGAGTTGGTTGCCTCAGGCTCACATCGAGGAAAATTGTCCCTCCGAAAGAGATCTTCCAGTTCGGCTTCGAGACTCCCTCCACCATCCACCACCTATACACCTCACCAAAATGGCCGATTCTTTCCTCCACCTCGCCCGTCCTTTGGGCCCTATCTCTGCGGGAGTTGCCCCGACCACCGCCCCTTTGAACGTGGTCATCCAGCCCCAGGTATGTGACATGTGGAGGGGCATTCAATAACACCCAATCTCCAGCACCCAACATCCAAAACCCGGTCGCTGTCAGCCAGCTCGCTGACACAACCCTCCCCCCTAGGCCGTTTTCTCTATCCTCGATCACTCGCTGCGCCGCAATGCCGACCAGAACCGTGTCATCGGTACCCTTCTCGGAACACGCTCGGAAGATGGAGGTGAGGTCGAAGTGCGCTCCGCCTTCGCCGTCGGTCACTCCGAAGCTGAGGACCAGGTCGAGGTCGATATGGAGTATCACAAGCAGATGCTGGCCCTACACCTCAAGGCCAACCCCCGCGAGGTGCTGGTCGGCTGGTACGCCACTGCCTCGGAGCTCAACACCTTCTCCGCCTTGATCCAGAACTTCTACAGCGGCCAGGGCGATGGCACATGGCCCCACCCCGCCGTTCACCTTACCGTGTCCACCGAGGCCGGCAAGGACCTCGAGACCCGCGCCTACATCTCCGCCCCCGTCGGTGTCACCGCCGAGCGTGCTGCCGACAGCGCCGCCTTCATCCCCGTCCCTTACGAGCTCCGATACGGCGAGGCCGACAAGAGTGGTCTCGAGGCCATTGCCAACGCCAAGGACACCGAGGAGCGCTCGACCAGCATCGCCACCGATGTCGAGGCTCTGGAGCGTGCCATTGAGGAGGTTCTGTCTATGATCGACCGTGTTTCGCGCTACGTTGAGTCCGTGATCGACGAGGAGGCTCCCGCTTCCACCGCTATGGGTCAATTCCTGCTTAACGCCCTCGCCTTGGCCCCTAAGGTCGAGCCCGCTGATATTGAGAAGGACTTGTATGTGCCACCGCATTCCATTGAGCTAGGTTGAACTTGCTTACTGACTTTTTGATTTCTTCAGCAACAACCACATCCAGGATGTCCTTGTCGTCTCTTACCTCGCCAACACCATCCGCACACAGATGGAGCTGTCCAACCGACTAGCAACCGCTCAACTGACCCTGGGTGGCGGCGAGTCCACTGGTGCCGGTCAGGGTGGTGAGGGCCAGCGCAACAACCAGCGCGGCGGCAAGGGTGGTAACCGTCCTCGTCAGGACCGCGCCCAGGCCGAGGAGGCTCGCGCATGAACAGCTACGGAGAAATGATGCATGATGTGAATTCCTGTGAAGCTATACCTGCCCGATGATGTTTCTTTATGTCTCCCCTTTCCACCTCTTTTCGACATTTATTGGGTCCGTCCTTTGTTTGTTCTACCTACCATTTTTCCTTTTTTTTTTATTCCAGTTTTTCTCTCCTCTTTTACCCCCCTTTGCGAGACAACATCTATACTCGGGCATATTCTTCTTTCCTGTCCTCCGCATTCTTGTCTCCGGACTGTCCTTGTGCGGATGACCTTTTGAAAAGCAATTGGCGCATCGGAGTCGATCTCGCTTGCTCTGGAGGATAGATGGAGGTGATGGAGCAATGTGATCAGCAAAGCAGGAGCAGGAGCAGAGAAGATCAGAGCAGAGCAGAAGCAGACCCCAAAAGTATCAAGTCTGCCGACTGTGTAGTCACCGGGTCCGACTCGGTTTATGAAGTCGCATCTACTGGGCGCGGCGTTAGTTATGATGAATGGACATAAAATGTTAGACGTTTGTCAGTTTAAGTTATGCATGTAGTGCGAGTATTCCAGTAGCAAGTTTCAGACTTTACCAAGTGCAGTCCAGCTGTAACCGTGGGTGTTGGTCTCATTTTTGGGTCAACCCAAACTCCAAGTTTACCCCGGAGGATGAGATAGTCACTGGTCGTGTAAATATAATACGGCAATACCCGAAAAGTGGGCGGTGATATGGTGTCTATTACCATACGAATGGTAATACAGAAACCATGCCTAAGATATGCCGAGGTGTCCCTATTAGGAATGAGTGTGGTGTCAATAGCAATCCTTTCCTCCCACCAATTCACCAACTGACCAACTCCTCAATTCCACGTCTCTCCCCGCATTGACATCACTCAGATCAAACCCGGCCACTAATTTAGGTCGAGCACCAATTTTTCTGACGTCTCCACTACCTTCCCACATCGTCTCACCCCCATCGTGAAACCGCTCTATACACTCTATGGAAGGATGCCAAGGGTTACAGCTGGGTGGAGCAAATAAGGTTGATCTATCAAAAGGGCATGCACACCAACCTACTCTCCTCCACCAAGGTTGACTTTTGGAATGGAGGGCACAAAACCTCCGGACGACGACAGATTCCCAACATCAAGTGCGCATAACGCAACGCGCAACACGACGTGCCTGGCTGCCCCCACCCCGGCATTGGACGAGGCTTGAATTAAGAATAAGGGTCTGACCCACATCTCTGCACAGTTCACAGGCAAGACCTGCTCGAAGAAAATGGAATATCTTGACAGAAAGAACCAACCACCTGCCATGACGAACAATCATGACGGCAGATTTATTTACAGAAGCATTCCGGCACATTCTTGCCCGCTTCTCGATCGCCGATCTTTGCTCCGAACGCGCAAGAAAACTCTCGCTGTCCACGGGCCCGCGGCATGCGAAGAACCCCTTGTGGGTCCAGCGCGCCAACGAGAGTGTCTGCAGATGAGCTGAATTTCAGGACCTGTATCACAAGGCGGATTAAGGGATGGATCTTGCCGCAGGGGAAAATCGTAATTGAGTCCGGACGCGCTCGTCATACATAGACAGCTCAACACCCCCCTCTCTGCTACGATGATGGCTCGTGTTCTCGATGACCACCACAATACCGCGCCAATGCCGTTGCATACGTTCTTGGATCCGCCGGACGAGGAGGATCTCGAGTTGCAGCGTTTCGACTCGCATCGGCAGGACTACGACCACTTAGACTACGACACGAAACCGATCTTAGCGGAGGAGCCTATCTCGCCCGATTCTCCAAACCCCACTACAGCCCACGGCAAATCTACCGAGCAAGTCTCCTATACGAAGCTAGTACCCTTAACGATCTGTTTATGTCTGGCTACCTTTTGTTTATCCTTGGTGAGTTATCTCTGCTGTTCACTCCTTTCCTGAGGTCGATGTAGTCACAGGTGTCCCCGGCGCGCGCGCGGCGCATCACATCAAATCACATCCGCATATTACCCCTTCCTCCACGCGCAACACGCGACATCTAACACGCCTGCAGGACGCAACCATTTTAGCAACAGCGATTCCGAAAATCACCAATTCTTTCAACTCCCTTGATGATGTGGGTTGGTACGGTAGTTCGTTCCTGTTCACGAATTGTACCGTGCAGCTCTTTTTCGGCAAGCTGTACACCTTCTACTCGGCGAAATGGGTGTTTCTGAGCGGACTGGGCATCTTCGAAATTGGCTCTTTAGTCTGTGCCATTGCGCCTAACTCGGTCTCGCTCATTATTGGCCGTGCAATTGCTGGTATTGGTGCTGCGGGTTTATTCTCCGGTGCTATCATTATCATCGCCAATACGGTTCCGCTGCGCATTCGCCCTATCTATATCGGTATCTTGTCTAGCATGCACTCTATCGCCAGTGTGGCTGGCCCGATTCTGGGCGGCGCTTTTACTGATCATCTGAGCTGGCGATGGTGCTTTTGGATTAATCTACCACTTGGTGGTTTGACTGCTATTGGAATCTTCTTCCTTATGCCGACTCGGGCTGGTGATGTGCAACCACTCCCTTGGAAAGAGCAGGTCAAACAGTTCGACCTCCCTGGTACTCTCACCATGATCCCTTCAATTATCTGTCTACTGCTCGCCTTGCAGTGGGGTGGTTCAAAGTACGAGTGGAAAAGCGCCCGGATTATCGTATTGATGATCCTATTCGGTCTCCTCTTCGCGGCCTTTGTGGGTATCCAAATCTGGCAGAAGGACAGAGCTACCGTGCCTGTCCGCCTGATGAAGAATAGAAGTGTCTTCGGCGCTTCCTGGTACGCATGCTGTATCTCAGCACCAATGTTCGTTGTCGCATACTACGTTCGTCCTCCCCATTTCCACCCCAGCAAACCCCAACTAACCATTCACAGCTCCCAATCTGGTTCCAAGCCATAAAAGGCGTATCGGCAACAACTTCCGGAATCGACAATCTCCCCAGCCTAATCGGCATCGTCGTCTTCGCAATCATAGCCGGCGTCCTCGCCTCAGTAATAGGCTACTACACCCCCTTCGTCCTAATCTCCTCCGCTCTCACGGCCATCGCAGCAGGAATGTTGACAACCCTCACCGTCAACTCCGGCATGCCAGAATGGTTCGGCTACCAGGTCCTCCTAGCCGCGGGCGTTGGCTTCGGCGTGCAAAACGTCATGCTAGTCTCACAGGTCGCCGTCGACGCAGCGGACATGGCGATCACAACCTCAATCCTAACCTTCGTGCAAACTCTTGGCGGAACGATCTGTCTCTCCGTCGCGCAGAGCGTGTTCCAGAACAGACTTATACAAAACCTTCTCCGTTCGCTGTCGAGCGAGAACGCCGCGCTCGTTTTGTCCGGAGGCGCGACGGGCTTTAGAAATAACATGCCGAAGACTTTGTTACCGCCTATCATGGCGGCGTATAATGATGCCGTTATGCAGGCGCTTTATGTGGCTGTTGCGACGGGGAGTATTTCTATTCTTGGGCCGATTTGTATGGAGTGGCTTTCTTTTAAGGAGAAGGCTGGAACTGAGAATGTTGAGAAGGAGGGTAAGGTGCAAACGCGTGCTGAGGCTGTTAAGGCTGATGCTGAGATCGCGAGGAGGAGGACTATTCGGATGAGTTCTCTTGGTGCGGGTGGGAGGTTGAGTACCCTTGGTCCTTCGGCTGCTGGTCATCGGCCTGGTGAAGGGGGTGGGTGGGTTTAGGTAGGGTTGATTGGATGAGCTCAATGCTCTACTACCTCATCCTCGTCCTCATCTTCATGGCGGCGGCTACGGCTGCTGCTGGTCTGGTACCTTTTTAACGGCCTAAAGTTTTCCTTGTACGTATATTGTATGATTATGATATTAGATTTAGATTTCCGGGAAATTGGAGCTTTGTTTCCGTGACTTTATTCATTAGATGCTTCGTGTGTACATGTTGTGTACTGTATGCAGATCCGGCTCCAAGTTACTCACATGACTTATGTAAAGCCTCTTCTCTTCCTCCAGTCCATTCTGCCCAGTCCAGGTTTATCTTATGTCCGGCTAGCCTAGCCTGCTAGTAAGCTAGAGGTATCCTTCCTAATCCAAACTCTCCCTGGCTAACCGCCTACTTAGTTCATCCTGCACCCACGCCTCGATCAAGCTAACCGTCTCGCCTACAAGAGGATCATAGTGCGCGCCGGATGGAATGAACATCGACTGATGGGCTTCCACCTCGTCGATATCCTGCATTACGACGGCGGTCCAGTGCGCGTTGTCGTGGTATTTCCAGTGGTTCTTCGGTAGGAGGATGAATTTCCGCAGTTTTTGCGTGGCATCCGAGGTGGGGGTTGAGTTTGTGCTGGATGTTGTTGTTATGCTTGCGCCGCTTGCGCCGCTTGTGCTGCTGGTGGTTTCTGAGAGGTGCAGGCTGGCTTGTCGGAGGGTTTCTGTTGGGGAGAGGGTTGTTGTTGTCTGTTCCGGGGATTGTGTTTCTGGGGTTGTTTCGGGGATGTGATCGGTTTCGGGGATGGGCTCGGCGTCCATTACTGCTAGTGTTGAAGTTGATGAGGATTTGGAGTGTGATGATTCTCCGGCGTCAATTTTGGGCTCGACTTTAGAATTGGGGATGACTGATTCCGATATGCTCAGATTATCTAGTGATTGGTTGAGAGTGGGCGTTTGCGTAGGAGTGGACTTGTCATGGTCGATTATTTCGTTGTCTTTGTCTTTGTCGGCGTCAAGAGATGGACTTTCTTGCGCGGAGTCTGTCTGAGTAGTACTTGAACTGGAACCGGAATCTTCCTTCTTCGACTTCTTGCGACCCGTGCTGGCTGTGTAGTAGTTGATGAATTTGATCGAGTGCGGCGGCACACGATTCGAAGCCTCTAGCTCCATCAAATCGCGATATCGCCTCCGAAGCTCAGAATAATTATTCACGCAGCCGGCGAACTTCGCGGACGAAACGACGCGGTCAAAGACCGATCGCGCAAGATTATCGGTATTCTTATTGACAAAGTGCATCACGCCTTTCAGGAATCCCCGATTCGGGAGTCTGATATCGTTTCGCCACGGCCGGTCGAAGTTCGGATCCGGCACTGGCACTGGTGATCTGGGCGGTAGGGCTGGTTTATAGGCTGGATGCATGCCTAAAGATTCTTGCTCGTCTGCGAGAGTTTCTTCTGGGGCGAGGTCTTTCTTTGGCATTGAGCTGAGGATACCTGTTGGTACGACACGCGGATGGAGGCCCAGGAAGGGTACGTCGAAATTGATTAGACCTAGGATTTGATGCTTTTGCAAAAGGGCCACGTCTGCGGCTACGATTCCGCCCAGACTGTGGCCCAGGAGGATTATGTCCAGATCATCTGCCTCGTGAGGGGCCAGCCTGGGTTATAGATCTATATCAGCCAAGGTACGGGGGCTTCAGGACGAATGCGGCGGCCGGTGCAACTTCGCTTTCTTTCACATGGGCAAACTTGAATTGAAAGGACCTACCAGGCGCTGAATTGGGCTGCTGCAGACTGTATCTCCCCGTGCGATTTATACCGAGGGTAGATGCGCGTGTACACGATGTGGGACTCACTCAGTAACGCGGTCAACATGTCATGAATATGAGCGGGGAAGTCCTGGAAGCTAGCCTCCGAGCCCATGAATCCATGGATATAAATCAACAAGAGCCTTCTCTTGTCATTTTGCTCGAAAGCGCCCGGCTGGGGCAGCGACAGCGAGAGGCTATCGCAGGAGTGGTTGGCGCCATTGCGGATCGCGCCGTTCATCGCGAAGAGGACGGTGGGTTGGGGATAATAGACATGCGGTCATAATTGAAGCAGGTTTCCACCTCGTCTCATGAGGTCCGCACAGCCACAATTCGTGGAGAGGGGAAAGATGGGGATCGTCGTTGAGCACGGCCCGGTTGCCACTGACGATTGCCCTGGACTTTAACCTTAGTGGACAAGGGGGCACTGGATTAAGTGGGAAATGACCCGCTAATCTAATTTTAGCCGCCGTAATTGGTTGTTTGTTAGTGCTTTGTGGCTGGAGTCTGCGATATTAAGCAAAGCTAACGCCAAAGCCAAAGCTCGTTGGGACATCGCGGGGCATGAGATTCGCCACCGTCAACAAGTTGCACGAGACGTTTCTTGAGACTGTGGAACCTGGCATTATTCTTGAAGCTATTTTCTGTCTGGTCTGCACTTGTTGATTATTTTTTTTTGTTACATGCAAATTTCCCCCTCACTCTGACCAAAATGGAGAAACCTCCACTGCCCGACCGCACAGGCACGAGCAGAGAGTCCAGCCCCCCCACCGTACACTCCATATGTTGACCCTCAAGTGACCGCCGAATCAGGCGATGTCAAGAGTAAGTGGGAGAATATGAAGCTATTCGGATATTGGGTCTCACTGCTAACTTCAGAACAGCCGATGGTCGTATCGACGTCAACCTGAACTCCAAACTCGCCAAATCACTAGCCCAAATCGCAAGAAAGGAACTGAATGAGCTAAAAGACAACTATCCACTGCCTCAACCAACAGAACCTCAAGCATCACCAGTCTGCGACGTAAAGCTAAACATCGTTATTCAAATAGTCGGCAGTCGCGGCGACGTCCAGCCCTTCATCGCACTAGGAAATGCCTTACAACGACACGGCCATCGAGTCCGCATCGCCACACACGGCGTCTTCGAGAAATTCGTCAAGGACTCATTCCTGGAATTTTTCCCTATTGGCGGCGACCCCGCACAGCTCATGGCATACATGGTCAAGAATCCCGGACTAATACCGCAAATGCAAACACTTCGCGATGGCGAGATCAAGAAGAAGCAGCGAATGGTGGCGGAAATGTTGGACGGGTGTTGGAGATCTTGTATCGCGGATGATCCTACCAGCCAGGAACCCTTTGTCGCTGATGCCATTATTGCCAATCCACCGAGTTTTGCCCATGTGCATTGTGCGCAGGCGTTGGGTATTCCGGTTCATTTGATGTTTACTATGCCTTGGAGTACGACGCGGGCGTTTCCTCATCCGTTGGCGAACTTGAGTCAGAGTTTGAATCCGGAGATTATGAATACGACTACGGCTAATTGGGTTTCTTATGGGATTGTCGAGTGGTTGACGTGGCAAGGGTATGTTTGAGTCTGCGTTTCCGCGGATATTGCGATGATATTTGAAAAGGGGAGATGAACCTTTTAGCTGACAGAGTGGCAGGTTGGGCGATGTTATCAATCGGTTCAGGTCCTCTATTGACCTCGCATCGGTTCCTGCTACAGAGGGCCCTTGTTTGGCGGAAGCTCTGGAAATTCCATTCACCTACTGTTGGTCGCCGGCATTAGTTCCACGCCCAACTGATTGGCCATCATATATCGGTATTTTATGAAATCGAAGAGCCTACATGTGATCGGCAGCTAATTCAGACAGATGTTGTCGGATTCTTCTTCGCTGATACCCCTGACTATACACCCCCTCCAGATTTGCAGGAATTTCTTCAAGCAGGGCCACCTCCTGTGTATATCGGCTTTGGCAGTATCGTTGTTGATGATCCTCAAAAACTGATCAATACAGTTGTTGAAGCAGTTAAGCTAGCCGGCGTACGAGCCATTGTTTCGAAGGGCTGGAGTGAACTAGCTGGAACCTCTGATGAGAGCATCTACTATATCGGCGACTGCCCGCACGGATGGCTTTTCCAACAAGTCGCTGCAGTAGTCCACCACGGCGGCGCTGGAACGACGGCCTGCGGACTCCAAAACGGAAAGCCTACTACTATTGTTCCATTTTTTCGGCGAGTACGTTTAATTTCTGCTCCATTCATTGGATTTCCATACACGATGCCTGAAATATCGCTAACTCTACCAACCCAGTCAACCCTTCTGGGGCGATATGGTTGCCAAAGCCGGCGCTGGCCCTGAGCCTATCCCACATAAAGACCTTGAGCCCGAACTTCTTGCCGTTGCAATCCAATTTTGCCTTACGCCAGAAGCATCAGCAGCCGCACAGGAAATTGCTATCAAGATGCAGGCGGACTCGGGCGTATCCGCAGCAGTGGACTCATTCCATCGCAATCTACCGCTCGACCGAATGCGATGTAGCATCATGCCCGACCAAGTCGCTGTGTGGAAGTATAAGAATGAGAAACACCGTTTAATTTTGTCGAAGACAGCAGCAGAGATCCTAATCGAGCACAACAAAATCAATTCCGAAAATATCAAATGGTCAGTGAAATCCTACTCCCCCGCCCACCAGAAACGAAAACGAATACTGACGACGTGAAAAATAGTTACCCAGTCAACCCAATTCTCATAGTTAATCGACGCTGGGACCCTCTAACCGGCGTCCTATCCGCAGCAACAGCAACAGGCGCAAACATGGCAAAATCAACAGGCGAGATGTTCTACAACCCATACAAAGAATTCAAACGTAGTCGCACAAACGCGACTGGCGAGCCATCCGAGTCTCGATCGCTCGAGGGCCGTCAGAATTCCTTCGGGACTGCGGGCAGAATGGCCGGTGCAGGCCTGCAAGGCTTTGGAAAGTTCTCCGGCACGTATCTGCGCGGCGTGATCGTTGACATTCCACACGCGGCGGCCGAGGGATTCCGACGTGCGCCGCAACTTTACGGCGAGAAGCCGAAGGAATATGGGCATGTCTCGGATTGGAAATCGGGTATTGCTGTTGGCGGGAAGAATTTCGTTGGCGGTATGGCTGGGGGTGTGGCCGGCATGATTACGGAGCCGTTGAAGGGTGCCTTGGATGGAGGGAAGGATGGTGCCATCAAGGGCCTTACGAGGGGGGCGCTGGGGATGGCGACGAAAATGCCTTCTGGTGAGTTGAATTGCTTTGCTCGTGGAAATGCACTGCTAATATTCTTTTTTTTTTCGTTGAAGCTGGTATTGGGTTGATGGCTTACCCGTTCCATGGTATTTCGAAGAGCATCGAGTCTGCGTTTAGAACGAAGACTCCTAAGGCTATTGTTGCGGCGAGATTGAGAGAGGGTTATGCGCATGCACAGCGATTGAATTTATCGAAGGAAGAGCAGCAAGAGGTTGTCCAGATTTTTGAAATTTTGTTGAGCTCAATGCATGCATGAGTCGTCGAAGACGCATTAATGAATACTCAAATAATGACTATATATCGGAAATCCATCAGCGAAGCAATGCTTTTAGCTGTGGCCTTTGGGCCATGGAGGTCTATACGTATTGATGTGGGAGCCACGCACGATTCTAAACTACTTTAGGTTCAGAATGGTACTTTTGAGACAACCTCTAGCTTTCATTGGCTGGCTCATCCTTTCGGTCTTCCTCCGGTTCTATCCTCTTCAGATTCGGCCCAGCAACCTTGGAAACAGTCTCGGCACTAAACCATCTCTGAATTCTGGAATTACCTCATCCAATATGAAGATCTTAATCACTGGTGCCGCCGGCTTCATTGGCCAACAACTTGCCAGAGAGCTCCTCAAGAATCCAGAGAACAAACTGATTCTGACCGACATATCGTACTTCTCTACCCCGCCTTCGTCAATCCACCCCGAAAACGCAATATGCATCCAAGCAGACCTAGTGAAAGAGCCCCAAGCTGTTCTTATTGAGAAAGTGGATGCCGTATACATTCTGCATGGGATCATGTCATCCGGCGCAGAAGCAAACCTCGATCTGGGGCTAAAGGTCAATGTCGACGCAACACGCAACTTGCTGGATTGTATCAGGAAGAAAGGACCGCATACACGAGTTATTTATGGCTCGAGTATTGCCGTATATGGCCGTCCTTTTCCTGAAATAATTACGGAAAATGTGTATCCTACGCCCGAGGGGTCCTATGGCTGTGAAAAGGTAATATGCGAAACGCTCATCAATGACTACACTAGACGCGGGTATATTGATGGGGTTTCGATTCGCTTACCTGGAGTGATTATCCGACCGGGACCACCTGCTCAAGCTGCAAGTGGATTTCTTAGCGGAATTATCAGGGAGCCTCTAGCAGGCAAGAAATGCATCGTGCCCACGAAAGATCGGTCAAAGGCATTCTGGGTCTGCTCGATTAATGATATAGTATCGAATTTAGCTTATATTCTTGGCTTTCCTGTTGATATATTACCTTTGCATAGGCGGGTTTTGAATGCACCGGGTATTTTGGTCACGATTCAAGAGATGAGAGACACGTTGGCGAAGGCCGCTGGCCAGGAAATGTTGGATTTTATAGAGGAGGTCGAGGATACCACCTTTGCGGATTTGGTTCAATCGTGGCCTTGTAATTTTGATGTTTCCTTGGCCGTCGGCATTGGCCTCTCGACGACGGGGAGTTTTGAGGATGCGGTGGAACAATATATGCGAGGCCATTGAACTTAAGGGCTAGCTTTGATAATTCTATTGATCTATGGTACTTCATAAAAGATGATTCATGACGTTGTAAATGCTTTCACAGGCTGCCTTTGGCAAATATCAAAGTCTCTTACGCCTCGCGAATATCTGCGTTTGGAGTCTTTGGATCTCTTTTCACTCCCCCACATGAAGACCTCTCATTATCATCGGCTGTAGCGATAACAGAGACCTGGGATTGCTCATTGAAAGTGTAATCGTCCGGCCTTTTGTAGCGCCGCTGCCACCACAGCATACCAAGTTGGACCAGGACCGATGAAAATATGAAAGCAGTTGCAAGAGGAAATCCAATCGGATACCTTGGAGAGTCTTTGGTTTGCCAGGCCCTGAGCGGAATGGTTGCATGGCCAATATAGACAATCGTGACGGTAATAGCCACGAGAATCGCACGAGCTTCCGGTTCCTTTCTTAGTATCTCGGCTAGCCAGGCTAAAAACGCCGGACTTCCTGCATTTGTCGCATAAGTGAGGAAATAAAAGGCCAGCACAACTTTGTAGTCAGAAGGCCAGGCACACAAAACACACAGCACAATCCCGAACAGGGTACATGGACCCACGCTGATTTGCCAGCGCCAGTGCTTCCGGTCCGATATTGCGTTCAGCACCAGGTTACTGACAATCTCTAGAGCATAGCCTCCGATAGGTATGATGTTGACCTGATATGTGCTGAAACGAAGATTCCCAGCCGAGTCTTTCAATCCCTCGAGATAAAGAGGGAAATATGAATTTGCGCGGCTGGCCCAGGCCTGCAAAGCAAAGGCTAAAAGAAAAAAGTAGGACACCGGGTGAGATACCAATTTACGTAACTTTTCTCTGAGGACGGCAGCAGGAATGATTTTGGATGTGTCGGCACCGAAGCTGGCCATACGCTCCTTTGCAATTCGTTTCTCTGCAGCTGTGAGCCAGATAGCGCGGCTGATAGCTGGGGTATCCGGTATGATAGCGAGTCCGAGCAGTCCCTGGCCAATCGTGACAGTGCCCGATATAATAAACAGCCATTGCCACCCGGAGATTCCATGCACACCATTCATATTTTTGTAAAGAGCGGCTTGCAATGCACTTATAAACATTCCTCCGGCCGCATCGGAGACATTGAAAAATGCAACCCTTTTGGCTAATTCGGCCGGTTTGTACCAATTGAAAATCAAGGAGACCGCAGTAGGCCAGAAGACGGCGGAGAAAAGACCGAGTAATATGCGCAATCCATATACTGTTTGAGCATTAGGAGCTTGAGCGATACTGTTAAGGATGTTAGCCAGTGAGCGAACTAGGTAAATTTATCAAAACCACCAACCAAGTAACCAAAATACCCCACACTATTTCACAAAACGGCAGGAAGAGGGAAGGGCGAATCTGGAACAATTAGCTCATATTTACTCGGTCGGATCTTTCTGATACACTCACTTTAGTCTGAATCAGCTGGGCTGGAATAAGACCAATTGCATATCCCACTGAAAAGAAGGTGTTGAAGTTGACAAGCTCGTTGCCATATAAACCTAAGGACTCTTTCATGCCCGAGACGTATGCTTGGGTAGTCGCACTTTGATCCATTTGCTTTAAAATTCCGGCGATAAATGTCCATGTCAATAATAGACAGTCCAGTTTGAAGAGAAGGACATTTTCTGGTTTCCTGAAGTACGGGATATAGCTCCATAGCCCCGTGGAAATAGAGTATGGTACCTCATCTGAACTTAAATGTGCCTTGGTCTTGGACGTGCTCGACATTTTTGCACGTCGCTTGGAAGAGGGGCAACTCCAAAGTGCTCGGGGATTCCCGAGAAGCTTTATAGTTTTTGTAACACAGGGCCAGATCCTTCGTGCCGTCGTAATCTTGGAGACCGATCACGAAATCTACAAGCTGCAGCTTGAATCTTGGCATGCCAAGCTTCACGTTTCGGGGCTGACTCTCTTTGTAAATTCGGTTCGACCCTTGCAATATTCATGCAAATTTTGAATATACTTGGAAAATACTGCCAAGCAGATTGATATTCAGATTCTGGCATTTACAAAGTGCTTCTTTAATGCCCGGGTGGGTGACTACACTCACCCACCCGCACACGGAATAATAATGAGCTTTAAAGTTTAATAAGATTTTTGACATGTTCTGTGAACCTGAAGAGTAATTCAAATTCGACATTTTGCACGGTCTACTACTTGGGACTACTTGTTAATGAATTAACGTCAACTTCTCGCCCGATATGACATGCGAAGGCATCATAGAGTACCGTGTCGCCATTCAAAATACCAGCTGCGTACGGGCCCTCGCGGACTATGTCTGATTAAATGGTATAATTTCATTTTCACGAAAATAATCTATTGATAATATGATTTATTCAGTACCAGGGTAGCCGACATCTCGAGTACTGGATGATCCGATGCCAAAATATTGATCGACTTACCGGTCGCTCCTAATGCACAGGAACATCCGGAAGAGCCCAATACTAGTATCCCCAGCCGAGCACGATCAAACCTTAATCCCTAAACTTGAACATGTTGGTCACTCTACATTGAATGGAGCTACAATGTGGTCTACTCGATAATTTTCTTTCAACATACATCACGAGCGTGACTATGCTAAGCAAGCCCAATACTTTCAATAAAGGGTAACTGTGCTAGGAAAGCTGCGGCCATCGTTCGAAGGATATACGTCTCATGGATGCATAGGATCAGATCAGTTACTCTAGTTCATAAATCAATGCCAAGCGAACTTCAACTTTTATTAATGAAATCTCTATTTGCCTCAATGATTTGAGCGGCCAGTAGATAGACGATATTAGTTGACAGTTTTGGCGTGTTTTTTCACACAAGAAAAAAAAAGCCTCCACGAGTGCGTGGCTATACCACAAGTAGGGCAACTTGAAGGAACAGGAGACTCTTCTGCGGCAAGATTATCGGTGGTATAACCCGTATGTGTCCGTCGAACATGATCCATGAGTTTGTCTTTCCTGTGCGCAGTCACTGTGCAGCCTGGTTTGGGACATTCGAAATTTCCAATTCTTTTTCCAAAATGTATTTCCCCAATATGACGTTTCAACGCTGCGAAGACCAAATAAGGCGGCCTTTCAACACAAAATGGGCATTTCCAAACAGTTCTTGGCTGCTTTCCAAAGGATCGAGCGGCTTCAGAATTATCCCAGGAGATTGATGCATCATTTCGACAGAGGTTGCTTAAAGCCATGTCTCTCTCAATCCCTTCCGGGTAGAGCCACAGTCCTTTCGACGGGTTTTCTTGGAGAAGCTTTGTAGTCTCGACATGGCCATATTGGAGGGCGAAATCAAGAGCTGTTCTGCCATCTCTATCTTTAATATCTGCATTAGCCCCTGCTTTCAGCAGAATATCTATCACGGCAACATAGCCATTTTCCGCCGCCTCGCAAAGAGCAGTCCTGCTATTTATGTCAAGAGAATCAGGATCACACCCCCACTGTAGTAGCAGGTCCACTATTTCAGGCCAATTCGATGAGACTGCCCACCAAAGGGGGGTTTGGCCATATTTATCTTTAGCATATGGATCGGCACCCTTTTCCAGCAAAAGTTGCACAGCTTCTCTGTTTCCTTCAGAGGCGGCCCAAGATATCGGAGTTCGATCGTGTACACAACGAGATTCGATTTCAACACCACTGCCGAGAAGTAAGTTGATAGTTTTGATCCATCCTCCAGAGGCCGCTAATGATATTGGCGATCGACACCCAATGCCCCGTTGATTTGCATCGAATCCTCTGTCTAGGAGAAGTTTAATGACCTTATCATGTCCACTATAGGCCGCCCATTCGAAGGGAGTTCGGCCCAATGAGTCCGTTTTTGACCACATATCACATCGCTCAAGTAGAGCCACTGCTGTATTTTCGAGGCCAAAATAGGCAGCAAGATGTAATCCCGTCGCGCCCAGAGGTACGTCAGTGCTGTAAGCCCCGTGGGATTTGAACCCCTTCTGAGCAAACAGAACTTGTCCACATGCGTCTGTCTTGTGATTATCTTGCAAAAAGACCATGAGAAATGGATGGATAGTAGGCTGATCGTGAACATGGTGTCCCCAATTTTTAGCTGCGTATGCGTAGAGAGGATAAGTTTCAAGTCTCGTTTCGAACTCAGCATCCGCCGAGCAGCTCCCTGTTGCAAAGGTCTCATATGAAATGTATGTGATGCAAGCTGTAGCAATAGTTTGCTGAAGGCCAGGAAGCCATGAAATCAACTTCTGCTCAAAGTATTCTTGAGCGGTATGATGAATCAATCGAACAACATTTCTTGAGCCATCGACAGTGATCGTGACTAGACCGGCACACACCGAAATCAGGTCATCGATATCAGCTATATTATCCCCATCAAACTCTAGCTCGCCTAGTTCCACAGCAAGTGCATGTTGCAGCTCAATGGCTGTCAGAGGTCTCTTGGCATACGTTATCCATGCAAGAACACCCAGAGCCGTGGTCCGAATATCGGATCTTTGATCAGTAATTCTTTCCATGGTCTTGTCATAAACATCATCGTACGTTTGAGAGCCACCTGTGAACTTTCTCAATTCTGTTCGAATGGCCTTTGGTGTCAGTTTTCCAGACAAAGAGTTCAAATACAGTCGAGCTAAAAGGAACCTGTTTCTCATAAGACATTTTCAAGATATGATAGATTGGGGTATCACTTACATGCCGTCCACTGCATCGCATATTTCTTTTATGATCTCTGGGTGAAGTCTCGGTTGTTTTGAAAGGTAAGGCATGTCCTTCAGACTAGTGCTGAGATAATTTGTCACGTCCTCTCGGGATGCTTGAATCTCTAGTAGAGGCATGCCTTCGAATCGGGTTACTATTTCCGGCATGAATCTTGAAGTTGCTAGAAAGCTCACTTTCTCGGTTCGTTGGAGGCCAAATATCTGGTCCAGGAATTTGTTCGGATCATCGAGCTCATCTAATGCATCGACGATAAGAAATACTCGCTGGAGTTTGTCTATTATAGATAAAAAGACTTCAAAAAGTTCACTGGTAGATGGACGTGTTCCTTTGCTCCTATGAGTATTGAACATCTTGAGGATGCCTGGAGGCATTTTTTGCATGCTTTGCAATAACTGCCTGGCAATGGATGCCATCAGGTAGTTGATCTTCTGTCTGTCATCATGGAGGTACTGGAAATTTGAATAGATGTATGCAATTCCGACTTCCGGGTTGTCCTTGTAAATGTTGTTCACCTCATCGATCACTGCAGAGACAATAATTGTTTTGCCTGCTCCTGGTATACCAGGGCAGAAGAGTGTTTGCTGTTGCACTCTAATCCACTCCATAAACATTTGAGAATCAAGGAGCCATTTTCCACTTCCAGGCTGTCGTAGGTCGCCGTACTTTTCTTGTTGAATTGCATGGCTTGTCGATGACAACCAATCAAGACATAGCTGGTCATGCTCATCGGACATATTCATCAGAACATCGGAAATCTGAATTCGAGCCAACCTTCCATTGAACGCATTAAGATTTCCGATATTGACGCAAACCCGATCCCGAAGACGACCAAGCTCGTCAGAGTCCCAAGTGACTCGCCTCCAAATTCTTCCGATGCGATTGGATTCTTTCGCGGAGTATTGGTTGACCACTTTTTCGATGTCGTCCAGAGTATTGCGACAGCTCTTTGCAATCGCCGTTAGATCATTTTTTTGGTTTCCATCGAGTTCAACGTCGGACAATGAGGCATCGACATCGTGTACCACGGCCTGTAGCGCTCTTAATCTTGAAAGACACATGTTAGCGAAGAGCTCAGTCATGATGCACCGTATTAAGAGTACATACTCATCTGAAAGCTCCTTAAATTGAGGAGGGGCTCCAACGACGGCCTTTCTCAGCTTGCTGACCTCGTTTATCACGGCAATGAAATCGCCGACTCCAAAACCAAAACTCATAACGGATTATGATTTTCAATGTAGTCAGATGCAAGACTAGATATTGAGGAAGTGACGGGTAGACGTCGCTGCGTGTCTCCTTGTAATGAGTCGAGTCTGCGGCCGCGGGGTTCGAAAAATCAACTGAGAACCCCCAAGGAAGGTGGTCTAATTACAATGCCTGATCTACATTTGGGCTCAAATACACCGCCTCGTTTCAGCCCCCTGCACTCCTCCCCTGTTGCCCTCTCTGGGGGTGATGACTGGATCATTCTTCCCAGATCTATCAAAGTGGCCAAGAACAATATCAAAAAATCGAGAGAAAAGGAGGAAATAGTATAAAAATCGCGATGAGAACTATCCGAGACATCTAAAGGGTCGTTGATACCTTATTGCCTGAGGCAACAAGCCTGCGGGTAACGTAAATTCCAAGCGAACCGCGCACCCAAAAACACATAGTAAATGCGATAAATTACAACTGTCTATCTTAACAACCACAGATTAGTATTATATGACTATTAAGGTATGGATTTTCATTGGCATAGAAAACAACATTTTTATAAATTCTAAGCGTTTTGAACGGCTAATTTACAACGTTACCATAAAATACACTGTAATTTAGACCTTTCAGATCTGATGATATACCTAATATCTCGACCACGCAGAATCTTCCTTTTTAAATATTTCACCAGTGCACTAATATTATTACCCTGAACACACTACTTCAATATGGCTACTAAATTAGACATGGTTGTCAGGATAGACAGTTGTAATTTATCGCATTTACTATGTGTATTCAGCTGCGCGGCTCGTTTAGAAATTACGTTATATGATCGATCCGATCAACAAACGAGGCCTATGACTCAAAGTGATCACTTTTAGAACAAATATCCTCCTTTTAAATAGAACATTTTGTTTCATACCATTGAGACTTAGATAATAGGTTGATCGAGAAATAAATGGGCAGGCAAATAGAAGTCGTATCTGTGTGGGCTGAAATTACTAGTATTATAACACCAATAAACTTGCGAACAGGCTCAATAATATGATGCTCGGAGTATCTCTGCTCAAAATTTTCTGGATATTTGCATAAGCAGCAATCAATACAATTACTCATAAGTGAAATGGCTGTAACAATTGAAGACGCCAGCTCCACCCTGTGTCGCCCGCCATTCCAGACTAGGGTTTAGTGATTCCCTTTCTAGTCAGAGGCAGTGGTTCTCTTTTTCACTCTATCTTCAAGATGAATTATCGAGTGCAATCCCTGGCAATTTCTACCGATCACCTCAGGTGGTTCCATTAGCCAAGGGAAGAAGTGTTCGTGATGGCTTGCGGATATGCTCCCTTTTCGGCAACTTTAAGCACCCGCTAACTAGCCGCCGACCCGCCAGTGTAGCTATCCTCATCACAGCCCTATTTGATAAGAAAGCGACCATAGGTAACAGTATCGGAGATGCGTACTCCGTATAGCTCTAACAGGCTCCGGTTTTTTACTTCTTTCATTAAGCCGAGGCTCTCTCAGCTCAAATAGCTGCCCGGAAGAAGTACACGCAGTGATAAAGGGGCAACGGAGCAATATCTATTAACATAAGTACTTTGTATGCGGCAGGCACGTTTATTTATCATAGGTCGAGATTTACGGATTCTCTGCTTTCTAGATCGGCGCCCATTGAAACAAAGGGTGCCTGGCAAGATTCTACTAGTGGTGTTCTAGACCAAACGGAAGAGGACAAGTTTCAGCGTGACAGCTCTGCATTTCCGAATGATTCGTAATCCTCCAGCCAAATGATCTGTCGATTAATGTAAGCTTATTTCTGGAAAAATCTGAAGTCCATGTGACGACTAGAGATATCCACAAGGAATGGATACAGTGGAGACATAGCTCTGCAGCGCATCGATGATCATGCAGTTGCTGCCCCTGAAAGTGGATACACATGGAATTCCTGTTGGTGGAATCAATTCAACAAATTGACCGCTATAAGCGTAGCTGCGTGTCAATGCCCAATTGTCTTTTTTTTTCATAACTTCGAGTGTTATTTTAGTGATCCACACCAAAAATAGTGTAACGCCAAATTCGAGCGCCCGCTGCACAAAATGTTGGGGTGGCTGGTTTGGAGGGTTAAAGATTCTAAATCAGGACAAGACGACCGGATTTGCATAAGTAAGCCGAGGGACCTGCCGAGGAGAATTCCGAGGAGGCTGTGTGGATCGATCTTCGTGAATTATCAAAAAAAAGAGTACATCCTCGTGACACAGCACGACAGAAGGAGTGGACTGATGTTTACGTGGAATCCCTTGGTATGGAGACATTGGCGGCTGAATCGCAGCAAGGAAATTCAGAAAGGAGAAACCAGTTTTGGTCGATCCTACGAAGATCAACCTTGCTTCCGGTTGGGTCCTTGACATGGACCCCCGCATGCACGATCCCGCGGCCCTTGCGCAGTGCAAAGTGGATCAGGATTCTATATCTGTGGGGTAGCAACAAGGAGAACAAGAATGGAGTTGCTTCTGATACTCGGAAAACCTTCCTAGACAGTTGTCGTATGATAGGAGGAATCGGTGGCGTGGGTGGAAAAGTGTCACCTGAGTGAAAAAAAAGCGGGTATCCACTCCCCAGCGGAAAAGCCGTGTGCATCCACCAGGACCAGGGCTCCGAACTGATTTGATGTTGAGGTCTGTGCACTACTGGGCGTGGCTACACCAAGAAATTCCAGACCAGGATCACTCATGAGTCTGCGGGGGCCATTCACTTGCGGGGTTGGCCGGAGGATCGCAAGGTATTCCGAGCATGCGTGGCACGGTATAAAGAGGGGGGGAAAGACCCTGGGCGAAAGGGGGTTCAGTCGTGTTACTTCCAATTCCCCTCTTCTTTCAAGTCCAAAACTTGTCAATCTTGATACTTTCAAGTCAATAGTTGCCGATATGAAGTCCAAGGCCTTTTTCAGTGATCCCACTCGGATTGTCGACCACATGTGTGGCTCGTTGGCCGCTCAGAACCCGTCCCTGCGATATGACGATGAAAATAAAGGTCAGTCAACTTAGACATGGTCAATTGTCTGAATGGGTTGATTGATACAGATTTACTATATAGTTCTCTTCCGCCCAATTGAACAAAACGAAAAGAAGGTCAGCTTGATCAGTGGCGGTGGCTCTGGACATGAGCCTGCCCACGCTGGGTATGTTGGCAAGGGAATGCTAGACGCGGCTGTCTGCGGAAAGGTGTTTGCTTCCCCCAACTTCGATCAGATTATTTCAGCATTCGATCGCGTTGCAACACCACGAGGAATCCTCGTCATTGTCAAGAACTATACTGGCGACAAGCTCAACTTCGGCCTTGCCTCAGAGACATATCAGGCCCAAACCGGAATTCCCACCAAAATTGTCACAATTGCAGACGACGTCTCAGTACCATACTCGCGTGGAAAGCTGGTTGGTCGTCGAGGCTTAGCCGGTGCAGTCATTGTTCATAAGATTGCTGGAGCTGCCGCATTCCGCGGTCTGGATCTCTCCCAAGTGTCCAAAATTGCCCAGCATGTCTCCGATAACATGGCCACCATTGGATGCTCATTGGACTATGCCAACCTCCCAGGTGGCCACGATCAACCTTCTATTCCCGAAAATGCCATTGAACTCGGAATGGGTATCCACAATGAACCTGGTGCCCAGCGTATCTCCCCGCAGCCCACGATTGAACAACTCGTCGCCAACATGCTGAAGCTACTATTGACGGAAAGTGACCCAGAGCACGGTTTCCTGAAGTTCCAAGGAATTCCTCAAGACCAGTCCGAGCTTGTATTGATGGTTAACAACCTCGGAGGTTTGTCCGTCCTGGAGCTGCAGGCCATTGCAAATGTTGTTCTGGAAGATCTGAAGAACCAGTACAACATCGTGCCAATCCGTATCTATGTCAACACTTACTTGACTGCTTTGGATGCGCCAGGCTTCAGCATCACGCTTGCCAATCTCACTCCTAAAATATTCCCCGATACCAACCTGCTCTCGTTGCTCGACGAGCCTGTCAAAATGGCTAGCTGGGCTACCTGCCATCCCTTGCCTAACCCGGCCGAGAGATCCAACTCCCCACAACACGGAGAGCGCGCCCGTTCTCCGGCCGTGAAGCAAAATATCTCTTGTAAGTGGCGGCTCTTATTCCGAACAAAAGTATTCATTCGCTAACTCAATGGCTTGATAGGTGATAAAATTCTTTTCGCTGCTGTTCTCCAAAAGATCCTTGCTCAAGTGACGATAGACGAGCCAAAGCTCACAGAATACGATACTCTCATGGGAGATGGAGATTGTGGCACTACACTTCTTGCAGGCGCCAAGGCTGCATTCGGTATCGCTGAAGAGAATGACGAAAACCTCTCCAACCTCGCCAAGGGCTTGATGAAGATCGCTTCTTCCGTCCGGAGCGGCATGGGTGGAACATCCGGTGCTCTCTATGGAATCTTCCTCAACTCGTTCGTGTCTGCTGTCCAGCGGAACTTCGAAGACATCAAGGAGGTCAATATTCAACTATTTGCAAAGAGCGCGGCTGAGGCCCTGGAGACCCTGAAGGGATATACCAACGCTCGGGAGAATAGCCGAACTTTGATGGATGCCTTGATTCCTTTCGTGAATGAGCTGTCAAAGGCTGTGTTCACTGATAATGCCACTACTTCGGATGCACTGCAAAGAGCTCTGAAGGCTGCCAGTGATGGTGCAGAGGCTACCAAGTGGATGGAATCTTCATTTGGTCGATCGACCTATGTCGGTGCCAATGATGATGAAGACCCTACCAAGGGTATTCCTGATCCAGGAGCCTGCGGAATTGTCTCGATCATCACAGCTATTAAAAGCGGGCTTCAATCCCCCAACTAAGTGAATGGCCCTCCTTGTATAATCTGCCGGAGTCACAGTCTCTGCAATTCTCTGCGGAACAGCTTCGTGACTACCACGAAGAGACCTTATGACCTTGACGAACCCTCTGAATTGGTATCTTATTTTGATAGCTGGGATCTTAATTATTATATTTATTCTTTCGAAGATAAGACAAAATGTTAAACTTTCTTCTAATTTTCAATATCGAAGGCTTTCTGAATAGTCGTAACATTATGAGTCTCAAAAGGTATTTCAAGTTATTGGGATAGACTTCTTTCAAGTTTTTTCAAGGTTCTATCCGCCAGTACTCAACTTAGATCACCGGAGGAGAGTCATCCGGCAATATGAGAGGCACATCCAATCACCACCATATGTAATTTCTCATGCAAAAATAATTAATCCTGTTGAGGGGTATCCTGCCGCCTTGTCTGCCACCTCTGCTCGTTCCCAGGTCAAACTATCATTTAGAAAAGCTCGGAACACCCCCGCAACTCCCGCGACCCCGCAATTCATTCCAGGGAATCACTAGCGCATTCCAACTCAAAGGTTCGGGACATTTTCCAAGGTCGAAATCTCGACTTCTAAAATAGAAAAATTACCCGAAGTGGAGACGGATATGTGTGCGAGCAAACTTGAAAGGGGGGGGGGGGGTAAAAAGATACATAGCATCGAACAAAGGTACCTTCCTACGTACCACTGACTCGATTGTAACCATGGCACTCAGGTACCTCAAGAGCAGTTATTCCCTTGAGTTCAGCGTTGTTGCTATTCCTATCCCGGATGACACATTCTCAATTTTCTTCAGGGCTTGAAGTACTGAATACTAGTACAGGTGCCGCGGATAATACTTAACTTGAATTCGCTTGTAGGTACCTACTCGGATCGCAGAGGTTACGTTGGTCGATATTGATGCCGAGAAATTAGCGTATTCGAAAGACAGGCTCTTGCATGCGCTAAGCCCTCAGGCTGGAGATATCAACCTCGGCAGCTGGATTTCCAGCCGGATACCTCAATCTGTACTAGCCAACCTTCAAGTTGGAAGCGGATTGAGGTTTCGTTACTGAAGGCAACGCAAGGGATATGTTAATGAGGTAGTCAAAGCGTTTCAGAGGCTCGATTTTGCGATCCATTTTGTGGAAATTTCATACTCGTCTACAAGCACAACATTCTCAAAATGAGTATTGATCTATGTGAAAAATTAATGCAAGTGAATTGTCAATGTGTTATGTCTCAGCGTTACTAATGTCATCCGTCGCTTGAATCATCGAAAGGGTATTTGACCTCAACTCACACATAGACGATAATATTTCTTGCCCATCGTTCGCTCTATTTGAGTCTTTCCAACCATCTGTGTAGTTTTCCTTTCTCTTTAGTGTTGTTTTTCTTCAGAGTTGGGTCTTTTCGTATGGGTCTGGCTGCTATATCCTTATTTGGGCGAATCATTTCTTCCAGCTCCTTCACATCCCACGGGGTAGTGAGTCTTCTGACTCTAGGCGCTAGAAGTTGAAATTGTTCAGTTTCGACGTGTCCGTTTTTGCAAAGGCATCGCAAGATACTGACGACGGTCGATGTATCGTATAATTCCAGCCCAGTAAATATCTTGTTAAATGGAATTTTCGTCAAAGGTTGCCTGTCCGCCAGAAGGAGGACCATGTTGAGGGGACTTGCAACTACTTCTATCTTTGGGTCCGGGTCGTGCAAAACATCTGCACTTAGATCTCTCGTCGTGTCGAAGATTTTCCGAAGACATCTCAATCTCTCCACCTTGCTGAGATTGCCTGTCTCAAGGAGATGCGAGATATACCCGGTCAGGTTGCTCATGACGGCGTACATGGTGAAGCTTCTAACTTCCAACTCCTCCCAGAGGGACATCCCTGAACCATAGCCCTCAATTGTACGGTCAAGATGTTCAAGCACGTTGTTGAGCGACTTCTGGTGATATTTCTCGAATTGCTGTGCAGAGTAAAATATACCCTCCGTTAGCCGCTTCAAAGTGTCCAAATCAGCAAGTTTCGGATGCAGCTCTTTCGCCTCGGCGAGCTGAATATGGCAAATTGCAGAGTGGGCATCAAAGCCGGCAGGTGTCCATTCTTTTAATACTCGCTGGCAGTCTTCCGTAATGAGAAAGTCTCGCATCGTCCGATGGAGGAATTCGACCATGATGTCCGAAGGAGCTTCCCACTTGGGCCTCTTCACAATCTCTAGAAGTCCTTTGAACCGTCCATTAAGCCGTGCCTCCATTTTCCGACTCTCATCTTTCCAAAAACTTTCCAGTCTGAGTTTTTTCACCGCCGGCTCATCAATCTTCTTGACGATGGCAATTTGAGAATCCAGCTCCAGTTCATCAAGGTACCAGAAACTGACGATTGAAAGCGGTTCCTTCGCTGCCAATGCCACAGAGAACCCGGTCGCTATCTGGGCCTGGTAGAATGGGTCTAGCGATTCCATTATATGTTTGAAAAAGTCGTTGAGGTCGGCCGGGTAGGCACTCACGCGACGCTTCAGATCCACGAGCCTATCCTCATTGAGTAGGCCTTGTTTCACTAGAAGTACGACTAGATATACCCAAAGAAATACGCCATTGGATCGTTGAACAATGTCTGAGACTAGCTCTATGGCATATGGATCAGACAATGCCAAGGCTTGAAAGTCAGGGCGGTCCAGCAATTTGTTTTTCACGTAGAGCTCGATGTCGGGCCTATTCAGGTTCTCCAAGTAAAGTTTGCGGGTCAGATCGGCACCTAAAGCCTTTTCAAAAACATTCCAAGGCCGACTTGCGACGCAGATCTTGATGGGTGACGTATGTGCCATCTTGGAAAGTATGTTGATCAAGTCCTCGTGCTCGCCCTCATATTCATCGAGCCCATTAATAAAAATGCAAAAGGCATTCGACAAGGAAGTCTGCTTGGTGATATTTTGCAAGCCATTTAATAACTCCTGGCGATTCCAGGATATCATGGATCTCTTGAGATCAAGACTGAGGTTTTCAGCTTCATTCCATCGTTCCGGAAATGCTTTTTGAATGAGGCCGAGGCACTTTTGAAAGATGTCAAATAGCAAGGATCGGAGTAGACCCTCCTGTGAGCGATTAATATCAGAACCATTGATCCAAAAGAAGTAGTCTATGATAACCAGCTTCTTTTTCCCTGCCCATTTCCGTAGATAAGCGGATGTTTCGGGGCTATTGACTAGGTACTTCATCAAGGTACTTTTGCCTGATCCAGGCTTCCCGCTTATCCAAAACAGAGGGTCCTCAGAAACCATCCATTCGGAGAAATTAGACATGTAAGCCCAACTGTACGTGCGCTTGTGAGCCTCTGAAACCTGAGACCGACGCAACTCCATACCGTGGAAGCGAAGATTTCGCATGATGAATAATTCGGTTGCTAGACAAGTAGTGGCAAGAGCAGTGCTCTGTATTTTCTGGGTAATTGCGTTGATATCGACCGGCTGGAGCGCTCCCAGTTGTTGGATTTCTTGCTGTCGATCCAACTGCAGCTGAGGCTTGGTTTTCTCGTTTCTATCTTCCTCTAGAGCAAGCGTAAAAAGTTTGCTTTGCCTTTCGAAGTCTGCTCTCAGTGTCTCCATCGAATCCATCATTGTCATTCTCAGGTCTTCGATAGATGGTGCCAATCCAGCCCGGATGAGGTGATTTATTTCAAGCAATTTGTTCATCACGCGTAAATTGCTGCCACTGGAGCTGTTGTCATTTCAGTATAATTGGAGCGCTGGTTTGGTGAAGTAGATGACTTACCTCTGCATTATTGTCAAACGGAGGATAAGCTGTGATCGATATGACTCAAGCTTCCTAGCCATTCCATCGATGCGATCTTGTGCCCACACTGTTCTCAGCGCTGCTCGAAAACTGCTCCATCTTGAAGTTTTGCTGTCCTGCAGATCATTCAGAACCAGAAGAAGCTCGTCGGCAGTTTGTTTGCATTTGTCGCCAAGATCGGCGAGCTCGGTTTCTTCGGCGGGTAGAGACTTCGAATCGATGGGTATCTCCAATTTCTCTGTCAAAGACCGCAGATCCTTGGTGATTCCAAATAAAGAATCGGTGTCTTCGTCATATCCTGTGGCGCTTTTATAGATTTTGTGAGACTTGGAGAACAGTGTGCCGGAGAATTCAAGAAACTGGCACACTGTACATGCCAGAGACAGTGAGCTGAGTGGATCAAGGACCATTGTCGCAACACACTTGCGAGCAGCAGATGTTATTGTGGAGAGATAACTGGCCCCTGCGCTACCAAGACATTTGCTTAATTACCCCTCCACGCTAGATGCTTAGCGCGTGGGTCAAATCGGTTATACACGCCATAGTTTAGGAGTATGATAAAGAGTCTTATAAAGAACTAAGCGGGTGTGAATTCAATATCGCCTCCAGGGATAAGATTTATTATTCGAATGATTAATTGACCCCCAGACAAGCATCATGTCTAGTTAAGGTGCCTTGCCTTAGTGGTAGCTAAGATGCCGCGCATATAATTTTATAGAAGTGTCTAACATTGAAGAATTCAAATTCATTACTTATTGGCCATTGCATTTATACAAAATTTTCTAAATTATAGTAAGTATACAGAAAATAGTAGAGGTTATATACAAGTAAAACAAGTCGCGATGTTCACGCGAAGATTATTTTACTGAGCCTTCTTTGCATCGCGGTTCTTGGTCATTCTGTCTTTCCGTTTCTGCGTTTGTCGCTCCAATGGATGCTCCGAGCGGCTAATCTTGCGCAGTCCTTTGATGATCTGATCACAGATTTTGATACCCTCATCGAATTTTTCCTGCTTCTCATAGCACTCCGCAAGCTCAATCATTGTACCGATGCGGTCGGGGTGGTTCTCACCTACTTTCAATGAAAGGGCCGCTTGCCCCTTCATTGTCGCCTTCAATGTCTTTTCTGCTGCTTTGAAATGTCCCTGTTTGGTGTAGATGACGCCCAAAATGACCCTCCCCATGAGCGTTCCTATGTGCTTCTTGCCGAGATTGCGATCAGCAATTTCTAGCCCGCTGCAGACAGTCTCTTCGGCCTTGCTGAGCTCCCCCAACCAAATGTAGACTCTTGCCAGACTGGCCATTGTGAAAAGTGTAAAAGGATGCTCTTTACCCAAAGTAGCCTTTCGGTCCTCAAGAACTTCTAGGATGCTCTTCAGCACTAATTGTTTGTCACCTTCCATCTGCATCTGAAGATTTGCTAGGTCTTCCTTTGCTTCCAGTGTATGGACATGGGTACGACCCAGTTTGGGATTATTCATCATGCCCTCCAAGCCGTCTTCATAAAGCGTTTCGGCATCTTTGAGGTTCTCGTAGAATTTGGCTAAAGTTCGGCCGAGATTAACCTTTGCGACGAGAAGGGGTTCGTCGTCTTCCAGATTGAGATCCTCGAGCCCCTTCACGGCGTCCTTTTGTAGCTCCTTCGCTTCGGTGTATCTTCCTTGTTGCCACCTCGATCGGCCAAGGGTGTCCATAGTCGTTAACGTTTCACGGCTGGTAGGGCCAAGATATGCCTGACACGCTTTCAAAACATCTTCTTGTAATTTGGCTGCTTCGTCACCCCGACCCAGATACCAGTAAGTTTGAGAGAGAAACATGGTGACGCGTCGGGCGGCAACATGCTCCAGGCCCCGGATTCTATCTGTCCATGCTTTGACATTCTCTTGGAGTATTCGAGCTTGTTCCCAATCACCGGTCTCTGTAAATACCAAGCTGAACTTGGCTAATTGGCGAGCGTGGTCGGGTCCGCGAACTTGGTCTTGTTCAAAGTTTGACGTGAAGCCGAGCCATTTGGAAATCCACCATCCGCGATTGTCCATCCTTTTGTCAATTTCTTGTCGTCTTGCGCGGACATGCATAATATGAGGAACGAGTTCCCTTCGGAATAGTGCGCTGTCTGTTATATTGGTGTGAGGCGGAAGAGGGAGGAGAATTGAGTGAGTAAGTGTTGTAGCTGCAGCTTTTGACCAGAAGTCCTGCTCCAATATAGACATCTCAGGCCTCTCGCGAACCCATTGGTGGACCAAGGAGTGTATCGAGTAGCGTTGAATGCCGTGTTTCTCATTAAGAGTGACGATAGACAGGTTGATGAGCTCTCCTAACGCGTATCCTAATCTTAAAGCAATGACCCCCCGGGGCCCAGACCCACGACCGTCGATTATCAATTGAGGCAACGCAGGAGGACTGCGGTCCGCCAGGATAAAAGCCAAGAAGGCGAACCATAGCTCGTTTCGCTTTTCAGCCCATGTGAGCGGACGTTTTCCTTCATCTGGACTTTTGAATTGTCCCTGCTCCATCTCAAGCTTGCAGTTTTCTATCGCCTTTTCCAGCACGTCACGGCGGATATTCTCACAATGAAAGAATGAAAACATCTTCAATAATTCAATCGCGTCTCTTGAGGACTGGGTGTTTTGACTTTCGATGCCTTTGTACATTATTTCAAATGTTGCGTGTGCTTTCATATGTCCTTCATCAAAAGTTGCAATGGCTGCGTTAGCTGATGTGCGCTGAAGCCGCAAGCGCAGCAAGTCGTCGTCGAAGAATGTCAAATAATTTCGTAGTGTGCATATTGAAGATCGGATGGCGGCACCAGCATGAATCACGGCAAGCGCAAGGGAGCCAAGTTTTTCGATGATTCTCGTCACCCAGGATTTAGTGTCGGCATCCGGCGGTACCGTTATATCAAAAGCGGCCGAGCGTAGAAGAAGCGTACTGGCGTCCTCTTCATCCATGCCTTTGAACTTAAAAGAGCCAGCGTTTCCGTAGACTTTATTGCCGGGTACTCGGGTCGTTATCAGGATGTGACCTCTCTTGGCCTTTGGGAAATATTCGTCCAAGTTAAGATTCTTGTCATCGGCATTGTCGATGATTAATAACCATGGTTTCTCGATGGTAGTAAGCCAGTGCATCGCAGCAGCATGATTAGGCTCCACTCCTCCATATTTGCCGATTTCGGCGTACGACTGTTTAATCAGTTCAATAGATCTACCGTCAACCCAGAAGACAGCCCAGAATCTGCCACATGTTGGATTAGCGACATTTCTCCCGCCGAGGTTCTATTTCGATTGCCTTTACACACCTTGATCGATTGTCGTCTGCAAACTTGCAACAGAACTGAGTTTTCCCTGATCCGGGCATACCGTGAATAACGAAACGCATCTGCTGCTGTGCCGGGATTTCCTTGAAGAACACATGTTGTAATTTCCTCAGGTCTTGAGCACGACCAGTGTAGAAGGTGCTGACCGGTTGGGGGGGTGTAGAAATGCCTAGTCTTGAATGCTGTGGTAACGAACTCCTGCAACTTGCGTAGTCGGTGTAAATAATCCTCCCATTCGTATTGTTGTTTCATATCCAAGTCGTGATTGTCCTGTTCGATACGACTTTGTAATTCCTCTTGAGATTTGAAGAAGGTGTCAAATTCCTTGAGTTTGTCGAATATTGTGTCGAGCTTGTCGTGGGATGCTCCTTGAGATTCTCTACCAGAGAGATATCATTAGCAACTGGAGAAAGCAAGTCAGAGTAATACCCACACGGTGATTGTAAGGAGCAAGGTTGATAAAAGATTATGATCCTTGGCCAGACCCGCACGCAGCCGCTGTAGCTCCGAATCCTTATTACTTTTGCGAATCAATATCTTCAAAGCCGTCCATCTTGCGGTGATTTCATGGCGATTATTCTTATGAATATGATCGAACAGTTTGTCGAGTTCCACTGCTTTCTCCTTGCATGCTTCAAGACTCTGCTTACAAAATTCCCACTGGCCAGCCAGAGGTATATCTTCTTTTTTTGACTGGCCTGCTGATTTGGCTCTTACCATTGCTTTTTTGTAGACATCTTCAACAGATTGAGTGACCCCATTCAGCGAGGTCAACTCAGCGATCAGCGTATGGAGGTCATCATTCGCATCTTCAACAGCATTCGAGATTTCTCTCACAAACTTGACCAGTTTCCCGGACACCTCGATCAGAGCGAGAGTTCCCACCACGACCGAGAAAGGATCCATCTTGTGAGAGGGCCTTCGAAGGGGCTTCAGGATATCACGGCGCTAAGCATATGGTTAAAAGCAGTGGGTAAATGCAAGGAAAAGTGTTCGTCCCGGCATCCATCCTTCGGCCCTAGGATCAATACGAGATCATTTCGCCGCCCTCTGCACGTTGTCTCTTCATAGGCCACTTTCTGCCTCCTCATTTGCAGCTTGTGGATTGAGGAAACGCCTCGAGGCACCTACAGCTACCAATGCAATCACTGATAAGAAACGAGGTGGTGGGGCGGACATTGCATATCAGTCCGAGGCTTATACGAAAGGAGGATCGCCCCGGCGGGGCGGACCGCTTTGGGAATTGATACCCCCGTCACTTTGCACGAGTCAGCACTGTAATGGATCCGTGCATTAGCCGATGGACGAATAGATGAGCGTGAAGTCTTGAGCTGAAGATGTAGCTGAATGCAAAGGGGGCTGAGCGTAAGTCATCGGGTACATTTTCATTGGCCCTTGATTTCTCACTGCATAAGCTACGCGCCAGCAGCACTCTAGTGAGCGCCACTTCGGATGCTTTAGGGTTAGCCGTTTGTTGAGGGGTATTTCGCCGCCATTATCCCGGTTCCCACGGTTTGAGAGAGAGGTGATACGGTAAAAGACAGTAAATAACAGTGCAGAGCCTCCTTGTAAATTCACATTGTGTGATGTGACGTCTCTCGGCGAGTAGCAGCTTGGGATTTGAATTGCTGGAATGTCAGGGGTCAGTTATTGATACCAATCTGGCTCCAATTCTCTTCTTTGATATATCCACACACAATGGTTCTTTCAGGTCAGACTCTCAGTATTGCTATCGGCGCTCTATCCCTGGTCCTGGTTTATAAGTATATCGCATCGCGGAGACAAAGCCAAGTATGTTAACCGTCTCTCCTTCCACCGCGGTAAACACTGACCTAGTAGATCGACGCCCAATTCGCTGCCGAGAAAGGATGCCAGCCGCTCAAGCCTTGGAGTGCGAAATGGCCACTAGGCCTTGATCTATTGATCAGAGCTTTCCGTTATGATGCGAGGAAACAGATCCTCCGGCTGTTCGTTGAAATTTGTGGCGAGTCAGGCACGACATTCGAGCAGCATCTTCTGTTTGCGCGGGGAGTCAATACCATAGAGCCTCGGAATCTCGAGGCGGTCCTATCATCTCAGTTTAATGGTGAGTTGCATACGGCCTGCTTCTAGTAATTCCATTCCTAATGAGCAGTCACAGACTTCAATCTGGGCCTCCGACCCATCCATTTCGATCCTTTGATGGGCAGCGGTATCTTCACTCAAGATGGTGCTCAGTGGCGCCACTCTCGCGAACTTCTCCGTCCCCAATTCATGAGCAATCGCTTCGACAATTTCGAGCAGATCAAGGACGCAGTGAATGATCTCATTGCAAACGTCCCTGAGAATGGTGTGGTAGACCTACAGCCCCTGTTCTTCCGCCTCACTTTTGAAACCACGCTCTTCCTGCTCTTCGGTCAACATCTCCCATCTCTCAAGTCCGAAGGCATCTCTAACCAGGAAGGAGAGTTCTCGGATGCCTTTAACACGGGCCAGGATTATCTTGCCCAACGAGGTCGTCTGGGCGAGTTTTATTGGATCTTCTCTGGTCCCAAGTTTCGACAAGCCTGCCGGATTTGCCATGACTTTGTTGACAGTGCGGTGAAAAAGGCACTGGAATATTCAACCGAGAAGACAGTTGACTCCGAAAAATCATCGTACACGTTCATCGATGCGCTTATCCAAGAGACGCGGGATCCAAAAGCATTGCGAGATCAGTGTCTGAATATATTGCTCGCGGGAAGAGACACAACCGCCTGCTGCCTCACATGGACTATGTAAGACAATCAGCACCTTCAAGTTGGAAGCGAACTTGAATAGAATGAGACCAGTTCATTCAAGACTGACAATTCTAGCCGCCTTCTTGTCCGTCACCCTGAAGTTCTTGCGAAACTCCGCCGCGAGATCGAAGAATCCGTCGGCGTGGGCCCAGATGCATCCGACCCCGTCATCTCCCAAGTGAAAAAGCTCCCTTACCTTTCACTAGTCATCAAAGAAGGTATTAATTAATCACTTCTTTCCCCGTTTTCGATCCGTCTAACCAGACCCCCCCAGTCCTGCGCCTCTACCCTTCCGTCCCGGTAAATTCACGCGCGGCCGAAAAAACAACCACACTGCCAACAGGCGGTGGTCCAGACGGCACAGCACCAGTCCTGATTCGAAAGGGCGAAGCTGTCGGTTACTGCGTTTACGTGATGCATCGCCGCAAAGATCTATACGGACCTGACGCGGAGGAGTTCCGTCCTGAGCGGTGGGAGAACGGCGCTCTGAAGAATATCGGATATGGGTATTTGCCATTTAATGGTGGTCCGAGGGTTTGTCTGGGACAAGAATTTGCGTTGCTTGAAGCGGCGTATACGGTCGTTAGGTTGTTGCAGACGTATGAGAGTATTGAGATGGTTGAGGGTAAAGAGTTTGATATGTCTGTTGGGCATGAGAGGCAGCTTTTGACTTTGGTTGTGTCGAGTGCGGATGGGTGTTGGGTCAGGATGAAGAAGTATAGTTAGTTCAGGGTTTATAAGTTTTAAGGATGTACCTGAGCAGCATCCGGGAGTCTTTGTTATAAAAATAGTAGCAGAGGCGAGCTCACATTTTTACTTTCGCCTGATCAATTGCTCGTAAACTTGATATCTGAAATTGTAAAAAAAAAAAAGCCCATGGGTATTCTGATCCGTGAAATGTCATATCCCCAGCCCAAAACGCCAGAATTGCCTGCCAGGTATTATGTGCGTAAAAGCAATCATGAAAAAAAAACCTCTCCCAAACGCCAACAATGAAGTTCCGCAACGAAAAGAAAACCAGAAGAAAAATGAGGAGATTAAGCAGCCGAGAGAATATGTAGGCCAGAATGAAGGGTTTCAATCAACCAATAGTCTTCCTCTTCTTCAGCATCGGCACCGATGAGTCCTCCGTAGCATCAGACTCCCGTCTGGCAGCCCTCTTCCCTTTACCCTTGCTCTTCTTCCCGCCAGCAGTACCAGTGGCGGAAGGCGGAGGCGCCGTATCAGCAGCAGCAGCAGCATCGGCGTCATCTGTCGCAGCAGGGCCCTTCTTCCCCGCGTCCTTGGCAACCTGGTCATCATTCTGATCGAAGGCCTTTCGCGCCTCTTTGAGTTCGCGCTCCATGCGCAGCAATTCCTGTACACGGCCCAGCTTGTTCGGGTCTCGGCGTAGTGCGAAGCGGAAGTCGTCGACTTTGATCTTCTGGCGACGGGCGTGGTGGGCGACTTGCGCTGCGCCGTGGCAGAGTTCTAGGATGAAGTCTGTGACTATTTCATCTAGGACACGGATTGTTTCGGGGAGCGGTTCTTGCGGGTAGGAGTGGTGGGGGGCCGGGTCTCCGTAGGCTAGGAGAAGGAGGCGGACTGAACAATTGGTATGTTAGTCGGGAGAAATGTGCTTGACTTTTTGGATAATGTTGCGGAGAATTGAGAGAAGGATTGTGGGAGAGATATGGGTAATTGGACGTACGCTCTGAGGAGAAGTTCATTTGCCCCTTGTGTCTTGCGACACGGGCACGGGGCTCTGCCATTTTGGAGGGTTTTCTCTTGTGACTTCTTTCTCCTGGTTCTTGTTCGATGGGAGCTGGAGCTGGCAGCGGCGGTAGCTCGAAGGCAGTTTGATAGCCTGCTCTGATCAGAGATGCGTCTTGTGGGTTGTCTCGCAAGTATTGGTAATATCTCTGGTGGACGGTGACGGGATCGACCTCTTGTAGTGTAGGCGCGACAAAGATTGAAGGATCAAGTGAACGGTGGGGAAGCGATGGAGATGGAGATGGAGACGGCGATAATGTTGCCGATGGCGTAGCACGCGGTGTGTAGGCGGACATGACTGGCAGAATTGCGGGATTGCGGACAGCTGTGCTGGTCTTCTACCTTGCTAGAGGCTCTTGATCTTCTTCGGTATTTCTTCCTTTGAAATTCGTGTGGGTGCGGTGGTCATTCAAGATGGTGAGTTAATGCTGCTCTTCTTATGCTCGAGATCTGCGTGAGAGGCGCGCCTTCCAGGCTACACTTACCGTAGCTGTGCGCGCACTGGAGACATCTCAGCATACTGTGTACTGTTGTGACGACGTCAGTACTAACAATTTGGCACTCACTTAGACGGCCCTCTTCAACTTCCAATCACTTCTTCTGGTGATCCTCTTGATCATCTGCACGAGTACCTATGCACACTCGATCATGCCCGGTATCATGGACCGGAATCAGAATGGGTATGGCCCCTCAATCGCGCCGGAGGAAGATGATGAAGAGTCCAGACTGACCAAGATAGACTATTCGGGATATTCTGGAAATGTGCTCGTGTGGGAGAACGACTGAGTCCATATGTCAGCATATGCTGTTTCCTGATGGCGGTATGTTGCCTCAACCCAGAGATCGAAGAGCGAAGACCGGAGCAGCAGAGCGTGAGTCGAATGTTGATGCTAATGACAAGTTTGTTGCAGTGCTCTATCTTCTTTGGTGGCTAGAGGGATACTTTAACGTCAAGGACGACGAGTCATTACGAAACGAGGGAAAGAACGGTATATTGTTCAGAGGAGGAGGTCGCAGCCCTCAGGTGTTACGGATCGGTTCACTTCAAAGCGATGGCTATTAAGCGCATGGGAAAATTCATGATTCAATGTATAGTACAGGAGATTGAGTAAATTTTACACAAATCGAAACACCAACGCTTGCTCCGAACCCAACCTGCGGGGTCCTAGTATGCAATGATCTATAATATAAACACAATAAGGTGAAGATGAAGTGAAGAAGAGCAGGGCATCAGGTCTCACAGCTTGGGCTTCATCTTGCTGCCCAATTTTCCAAGACCCTCGTCAAGCTCCTTTTCACGCTGCTCCTCAGTAGAGAGCTCAGGTTCGGGTTCCGAGGCTGTCTCGATTTTTGCTGACTGGCCGTCCTGGGCCTGGGCCTGGGCTGCGGCCGGGGCAACCTCGTCCAATTCATCAATCGCAACCCAAAGGCGCTCTGGATCGCGCAGGTAGCGTAGACTTTTCATGGTGTAGGGATCGATGGAAAAGCCTTGCTGTTCCATGGCTTTGATGGAGGCAGCTGTCTGCGGGATATTCTGCGCATTGGCGTAGCCATTGATGATGACATTCCAGGTCACGTCATTGTATTTGACATTGTGCTTGGCCATCATTTCCTTGATCTTGTCCGCTGCACGAGGCTGTCTGTTGAAAATGAAGGCACTGAGAAGTATGGTCCAAGTGCGCATGGACGGCTTCACATGATTGGGAGTCTTGTCCTTTTGTTTCGCAGACGAACTATGCAACATGTCTTCCACGAGTTGGACACATAATCTGAGTCCACGCGGGTTGCTTCGAAGGGCGATTAAAAATTCATTATAGGTATGATCGGTCTTTGCCAAAGGAGATATCAATGGATGTCCCTGCGCCACGAGCTGGCGAAACTGGCCATAAATGCGTTGCACATTGGAAAAGCGGTTCTGGCAGCGGAAAAATGTCGCAATCATGATATAGAGCGCGATGGGGGAAGGGGGGAGGTTGGACCCTTCGCGCGGTGTATAGTGAGGCGGAATGATCAGAAGCTCCTTGAGTGGTGTAATGTCGTGGAGTTGGTTGTATAGGTCGAGCATCGCATAGAAAACACGCGAAGGGTCGGCGTCGGCGTCCATGTATTTGGTAGTGAAAATATAATGGGAATGGAAGATCTTGCTGGCAAGGTAGGGATTCTCGCGAAGTTCTTCCTTCGTAGCGATGTCGTGGATCAGGGAGTCGACTTTGGCTCGATCCCCACGCGAAACTGCATCTTTCATGAGTGTGGTATAGGTGTATGCGTCGAAGGTATGATCATGGCTCTTCATAAATTCCAGAATGTCAGTTCCAAGCTGGGGATCACCAGTCTTGAACGCGTTGGATAGGACGACGTTCATCATATCACGATCTGGCCGAACACCCATCTTCAACAGTCGTGGAAGAATATTGAAATTGCGCCCAGCTGAGCCATCCTGCACTGTGTCCAGTGTCAAAAGCTTGCAACAGTGTCGCATGACTTCATCCGAGTCTATCTTCAAGCCTTCGCCTTCCGTTTGTGGGATGAATTCCAAAGCCTGAAGCGCCCGCTCCACGTCCGCCAGTTCCGTAAATCGCCACATGAAGCACAATGCCGTTTCTGCACTTATCCGGATGGACCTTTCCTTGACAATCCGGAGGGCCGATACTACTGCATCATGGCCAGCCCTTCGAATGTAAAGTCGAGGAGCTTTCTGGCTTAGAGAAACGAGAGGCCAATCTCGCGGGTCCAGACACGTCTCGACCAGGGACTGGTAATTGTGGTTGCCGCTTTGCCAGTCTTTCAACCAAGCATCACAGTGAAAGTTATCCAAGTAACGAAGACAATCATAGACCATGGTAAAATTGGGTTTGTCCTTGCATTCGGTTGTGACGATCAAGAAATCCGGAAGTTTCTCGGGTTCATGCTGCAACAGCCAGATGGCCAAGCGCTGCCAATGCGATGCTTTCTCGGTGCGGTGCATCGCGTCCCAGGTTTCTTGAAAGCTACCACCACAGTCCGTGCGGATCTTCTCAAGTATTTCCTTTCCGGCATCTCTCAATGCTGGCAGTACACTTTTATTCTGAATCTCACGTTGGTATCGTTTGGCCAGGTAAATTTCCTTGTACGCAGCTCTCCATTGCTGGAGTCCCAATTCCCGCGAGTAGAGTGAATTGCCTTGGATAACAGTTGCAAGATACACTTCTCGACTACTCAATGGTTTATGTCGGAGTCGGATTTGAGCATTGAGACGGCGCGTGACGGAGTTTGCGAGTTTGGGCGAGACTCCTTGTGAATGGAGGATCTTTCGGGTCGCCCTCTTGGATATGGACCAGGCACTCGGCCTCTGGGGGGTTCGCGAAGGATTACTCGAATTGTGCGCGACAAGGTCATGTTGATCGGTCGTCGTGTTGGTTGTCTTGACCTCCCCGGGATTTTGTACTTCTCCGTCACCCGTGAGGACCGTGGTCTTGTGCGAAGTGGGATAGTTGTTCGATTGTGACTGAGCGGTTGCTAGTCTGTGAATTTCGGGGCTAAAATCTTGGTTCAATGGCGCAGATGTCGAGGCATGGAGTAGGTTAGCTATGCGAGATGACCGCGAGTCCCGGTGCAAGCAATAACCTGGACCACCGCTCAAGTGCGGCCACAGTAGACCATGAGCCCGCGACCGGGCAAGCCTTTGCGCACACAGTAACATTCAGGAGCCTGTTGTCACGCGCATGAGGGGTATGCGCGGATGGTTTAAAGGTTTCAAAAAAGAGAGGACGGAGCCGGCAAGCGGAGAGGAGAGCGGAGGCCGATTTTGCAACGCCGCGCCGCCCTCCATCGTTATCGTTCTTTGCTCCCCGACCTCACCAATAACTTTTTTTTTGCCTGGCGCGGAGGACTTTGGGGTTCACTCAAGATCTATTCCACTTCTCACTTCGTCCATATTCCCATTCAGACTGGCATCATGTCATCCAACCACGCCTCGCTAGATGCGGCGTCCAACGACCGCAAAGCTCGCCTGGCGAAGCTCGCAGCATTGAAGCGCAAGCAACCCGAAACCGACGACACATTGCCAGACGCCGATGCCGATGGTGATACGAATATCGAGGACTCCGGAGCCTCGGAAGAGACGACTAAATATCTTTCCGGTCGCAACTACGACGCCGAGACTCGCGGCCCCAAGCTTGGTTTCGAGCAAGGCCCTCAAGAAGGCCAAGTGACTGTCGAAAAGCAAGCAGCTGAAATTGCCGAGGCGGTAAAACAACAAGCACAAAAGGACGAATCGGCAGATCAACCTATCGACTTGTTCAAGCTACAACCGAAGAAACCGAACTGGGATCTGCGCCGAGATCTCGACGAGAAGCTTAAGATTCTCGATGTGAGGACTGAGAATGCTATTGCCAAGCTTGTTCGACAACGGATAGAAGGTGCTCAGCGTGCGGCGAAGGAACGAGGTGCTGGATCCAATGGTGGTGATCAAGGGGAGGAAGTGGGGATTGAGGGCGAAGCGCTGGTTGAAGGAATTCATTTGCGTGAGCAGGAGGGGAATAAGGATGAGGATACGATTTGAAGTGATACCCGATATTGCAGGACGATAGGCACCGGTTGAATCTTCCGCTCTTATGATTTCTTATTTTTTTCTTTCTTTTCGTGTGTGTTCTAGGCCATGTCCACCTGGGCGTCTAGGATCTATATCTTGTCTTACTATTGGGCACCTCTGTTTAGGTCCCAGGCCATTCTACAGACATGAAAAGTGGCGTTGAAAAAGGCTTGCACATTGGGATGTATGAATATGCTATAGTAATACAATTGTTCCAACTAATTGGAACGGTGAAACACGAAATGAGGCATTATGTGTTCAGCAAGAATGAAAAGTCATGCGCCGTATGAAAGACCTTCCCAAATATCCAGCCTTGAAACTCCAGTTTTTGTACTTCCGCTCATATCTTACCGTCTAACATTCATCGACTGGGTTAATGCCAGACGCTTACTGTATGGACTCATGCTGCGTTGACGAGGTGGATCCGGCCGCCCTCGAGGTTCCTGTCTGGGTCGTCCTCCTTGTGTTTGGGTGGGTGGGTTTTCTCGATCTCGGTAGGAGCGTCGACCAGAGCGGTCTTGCTTAGCCTCTGGAGTCATTGAACGGCGCTCCTTTGCGGGCCGAGGACTTTCCACGCTTTGGCTGCGCCTCTCTCGTCGAGAGTCTTGGGCCTCTGAGTCCCGCTTTCTCCCACGCTGCTCCGGGCTGCTTTCCCGGCGTCGTCGGCGAATATTCCGGTCCTCAGTCCACTCTCTGGACCTGGATCGGTGCCTTGCACCCGATGAGTAAGAAGAAGCAGAATAGCTATCTGCCGAGTCACTATATCTTCTCTTTCGAGACTTGGATGCGGCTGGGGACGCTGAGTTTCCTTTGTCGCCTCCGCCGCGTGAGCTTCGAGGAGCAGGTGAGCGTGAAGCGGAGCGATTCGTCGATACGGTTGAGATTGAGTCAACCGAGTGTGTAGAAAGCGATCTTGCGCGCCTGGGCGACTGTCCAGAAGCACCTTCTCCATTGATATCTCTCTTTCGACCGCGCTCCTCATCCCGCTTTGCAAGGATACCATCCGCTACACCGTTGCTGTTATAGGTTAGTTGAGAGGTTGAGGGGTATATAGCCGTGTTTTCGGCTAAGCGAGGACGTACGATTCAAGTAGTGTATTGGGGTTTTCAGTTGAAAGCTTTTGCATCAGCTTGGGATTAAGCAATTGCTGAGTGCGCGAAGGCCGAGGCTTATATGGGCGGTCTTGCGCGGTCCCTTTGCATTCATAACTGTAGTGCCGTGCATATCATGTCAGTATATCAGCAATACGAGGCTAGGCAGGTCGGGGTCACATATCTCGTTGTAGGCATTTCTGGCATTGTGTCGTCGGCGAGGCTTTACTGGGGCCTCGCATGCCCGGCGCATTTCGATAACGGTTCATAGCGGTTGGTCCAGTCGCGATCGGTGAACAAAGCAAATCCCAAATCTCCTAACGAATCTGATCAATTGCGACAAATCAAATCGAATATCAGTGATGACAGCAGAGAGAGATGAAGGTTAACTAATTCCATTCGCCCCGCGGCTGTTCCACTGGGAAATTGTCAGGCGCGCGGTAAAGGCGGGCAGGCGCGGCAAAATGGCCCACGAACCTTCGGGCGTTTGAAGAATAAGAAATCCGATCTTCCAACGCTCCTTCTCTACAAGAATCCATTTGCTCCTGGTTGTCTCCAGTTGCAAGTGTCATCTTCATCGGATTCTCTTGCGGTGTGTTGTACGATTATTCTCTCTCCCGAGCCCGAGTCGGACACCCACCCCCCATTCCATTTCAAGGTCTATCGCCCCAGACCATGAGCCAACTTTGATATGTAAGACCCGCTTGTTTCCCCCAGATCTGCCCTTTTTATCAGGCCTGTGTCAATTCAGCAGTCCTGGGTCTATATGGCATCTCACTGGTATCGATTCTAACGATATATTTCTTACAGCTTTCCCTCATGGCGAAGGCCCTTTACCAGAGACATGTCTTTCTTTTTGAGCTTGTGTGAAGCGGGATACACCAGTGACTTCATTACCATTCAATCGTCCGTTTCTGTTTGCCTGAAATCGGCCATTTACTGAAGTAGACGGCGTCTCGGTCTCATTTTCCACTATCTCCGTGGAATCCTTTCAAGAAATTGTGACATCCCGCCAGGTCTGCGTTGATATGGCACCAAACACTACATCAGGAGAAGACGCCCATTTCTCCTTTGCAAACGTATGTTATTTGCAAACGCCCAGTCTATGGTGATGGAGTTGAAGGCTAATCTATATCCGTCTTTATCAGATTTCTGCCATGCCGGTTCCCCTCCACTCCCAGTCGTCCCCGGCTTACGGCGACAGCATCAATTCTCAGCCTGCAATCGACTCCGCCAGTCTAGAAAACCACCATGATGGTGTTCCTTTGCCCCAACCCCACCTTCCACATACCATGAAGCAGGCGAGCTCCCTGAGTGACCCTTGCATTGACGGCCTCAGCCGAGCAGTCCAGGATATCGATATAACTCTGCGGAAAGACCAAATCGGTTCCGGTTTATCACTGGATAGCCAAGAAAATGGCATTCTCAAGCGAGAAAACTCCTTTGATGATGACCGCACTCATCTTTCGAATTCATCGACGAAAATGACGAACTTCGACTCAAAGAGCCTAGCCTCTGTCACAACATTTGCTATGGATGAGAAGGACTCGGTTCGGCCTGATGATAGTGCCAGTGTACAAGCTATTGATGATGAGGAATCTTTCTCGGGCCCCGCATCTGGCGCTCCAAACTCCACTACGGGGTCTGAGGCTGGAGGGCGAGGATTTCGAGATCAGTTCCGCGAAGGGAGTGCATTGCGTCCTCGTGGTATTCTTACAGTCCCGGGGCCTCTTTTCAACGGTGGTGGTCAGAGGGGGGGTGGAAGCTATTCCCCCAGACTCTGTTTCAAATAACTTCATTGTTCCGGTCAATTCTGGAAGCAATTCGGATGGCTCCAGCCTGCATGGCCTTGCAAAAGAACCCGACGAAAAGCTTGTTGAAGCTATGAAGTCCCCCAAGGACCGCCTTCTAATTCTTCAACTTGAGGAGAAGATCTGCAGTTTCATAAAAGATTCCGAGTACGTATTCAACCCCCCCTCCCTGAATGCCATCGAATTGAAGCTGACCTTATACCTAGGGAGCAATCTTTGGAACTGCCACCCTCAAATGCATTTGGTCGCCTTCTTGCACATAAACTTGGAGATTATTACCATTTGACACACTTTGTGGATAACAATGTGACGTCCGTTCGACTTCATCGAACCCCTTACTGCAGACTGTGAGTTTTTTAAACATGAGTGTGTTCCTGCGATATGTAGTGCTGACTTTCTTTCAGACCCACACCTCTATCTGAGATACATGCCTCCAGTAACACCACCCCACCCCCAGCCGTTCCTGCTATGAAGATCATGCGCCGAGCAGACTTGGAGCGCGCTTTAGGCGAAGGCAGTGTTGCGGCGAGCTCGTCTGCCCCATCCAAGGCTACATCCGAAACTGATGACAGTGGCTTTGACGGCGATCGTGCGGGTTCTGCTGGTGCGACTCCTGCTAAGGACCGGATGGCACTCACTAGGGAGGAACGTGAAGCCAAATACCAAGAAGTGCGCGAAAGAATCTTCCGCGATTTTCCAGAAAGCGCCAAGTCAGACACTGGCGACTCAAACCCCAATATGTCACGATCGAGCTCTACGACAGGACGCAAAAAGAATCAAAGGCAGCGGAATCCGAATGATGACGGTTTTGAAGCCCGTTCCCAGTTCAATGCCTACTACCCGGGAGCCCAGTACACGAATGGCTCGATGCCATACAATGGTACTATGGGTGATGGATATCCCGCCAATCCAGTTCCTTACCTGGTTGGGCCAGGTGTACAACCACCTCCTGGTGGCTATGTGGCTGCAGGCCAGAACAATACGATGCACCCCGGACAAATGGGTATGAACAACATGCCTCAGTACCCGATGGCTGGGTCTCCGCAAATGGGCTCAAATGGCTCGTGGCAAGCAGGGAACATGCCGCAGCAGCAGCAGTATTCCGGATATGCGTCCATGAGCCCATCCAACATGATGAACCAACAGCCTTCGAGCAAGCCGTCCCCGACAATGAACAATTACGCCATGCCCCAATCCCAACAGTACCAACAATCTCCCAATTGGAATTCCGCTACCTACCCTGGCAGTGTTCAGCAATCCCCGCTTCAGCGAAATCAACCACCTGTCCATTGGCCCAACTACCCCCAACAATCCATGACACCCAACATGGCTGCCAATCCTTACGCCCAGTTCCCTGGTCAGCATTTAAATAATGCCATGCAGAACCAAGCCGGTAGACCGGGGATGCCAGGAGCATACGAGCGGTCCCAATCCCATTTCAACCCGCAGACCCGAGCATTCATTCCGGGCGGTGCACCACTACCCCGGCATGCAAATGCAAGCAGGGGAGTGCAGCAGCCCATGCCATACGGCAATATCCAAACAAATTTATCCGCCCAGCCGCAATGGAATGGATTCTCAGACCCGATGCAAGCCCGAGGCCAAGGCCAAAGCCAAGACCACCCATCTGTCAACGCAGTTCGCACCGCAAGCGTAAGCTCCCGGGATTCCATCGCGAAATGGGGCACCCCCTCACATCTTCCCCCCCAAACCTCCCCCTTCCGAAATCCCCTCCGAATTTGACCTCGGTGGTCGAGCCGGCCCGGGCCCATCCTCGTACCAGAGCAATGGAATTCCTGTACCAGCCGGTATGAACGGACCTCTTGTTGTTTCCGGTGGAGCCAGCGCTCCTAAACTGAATTAAGGCATCTCGTGCATAGTTTCCTTCCTTTCCTTCTTGCTCTCATCCCTCCCCCTTCCTTTCTCTCTCTCTCTCTCCTAAGTTGTTATGCATCGTGTCGGTGTGCGCGCGCGCGTGTGTGTGTGGTGATACAGGCTTTCAGACGGTAGTAAACGGTAGTCAAGTCATGATTTTATGCATGTCGCCTCGATAGCTTGTACAGTTAGGACAATGCATGGCGATTCGATGCCTGAGCTATTATTCGTAGTAATAGTAGTATTTAAATTCTGGTTCTACAAGCCTTGTCATCGTCGTTTGTTATTTTTATTCGTAATAAATCGATGGCAGAGCTCGATTTGGAAGACAAAGAAAAGCTAACAATCAATCATGGGGCTGTAGCAGATATCCGCCTTTGTGGGGTCATCATTGATCAAAAGATACCATGTTTTGTACGAATATCACCCTCTAAAGCACCTCAGCCCGCAGTACATCCCTAGAAGGTCCTGTCACTAACTAGCAGATCTCTTACAACGCTCGCAAGAGGTAATGAAGGTGAATATCTGAAATATCTGAAGATAATTAATATAATACCTAGGTATCTATATTCCCATAATTACATTAAGTAAAAGTGTATCCATGACGAACATACACGCCCAGGATCTAAAAGAAGAGAATTCTAAGCCTCGAAGCGCCACTGGTAGCCGTGGCCGAATTAGCCGGAGCAGTAGTACTCGTCACGGCCGCAGTCGAGGTCGGAGTCGAAGTCGCAGAACCAGTAAGTTGGCTATTACTTAGACTGGTTGAAGATGAAAGGACAGAATCGGTCTTGGACGAGCTTGCGCTCGAACTGACGGAGCTTGCATCGCTTCCACCCAGTCCGCATTTGACAACAGTCTTCCAGCCACCCGCAAAGACGTCCTCCCAGTATGAAGACTGGGTTGTAAGGGTCTCGTAGAAGAACCAGTATGCGGAACCAGGATTCTCGTGAGCGTTTTGCATGAACTTCACTGCGCAGTTGTCGCTGCATGCGAAATCCTTGCTGGCCCAGCTGTGGCTCTCAGAAAAGGTTAGGTAGCAGTAATCAGTTCTGCGGTTGGAAAAGAATGGTAAGCACATACACCAAAAGTACTAGTCAATAAGTTTATTTCGGAATAAACTCACCCATTCTTGGCACAAGCTTCGCCATAAATGTACTGGAAGACCTCGCCAGGAGTGGAGACGGGGACTGTGAAGTTGAGAGATCTCCCCGCGTCGAGGCCGGCTAGATCGCCGTCCTGGTCACAGGCAGCCTTGACGTTCTTGACATAATCGTCCAGTGAGTCCTTGCAGGTTTTGGTACAGGTTTGCCCCAAGTCCGAACTATCCGGGTGGAAGTCAGGGTCCAGAGACGCCACGAGCTTGACGAGAGTTTCGTCACAGTTTATGCTGGCGCTGTAGGCGTCCTTGCAGGCTTGGGAAGTGCTGTCTGCCAAGTCCTTGGTGGTATAGTCCCAGCTAGGACCGCCTGTATTAAGGCTGAAAGAAGCAACAGCCTGGTCTAAAGCCGCGGATAATGCGAAGAGGCGAAACATCTTGGTGGCGGGGGGCATTTTGCTGGATTTCCAAGTTGGGAACGATTTATAGTGGAAAGATTGATGGAGAGAACCTTCAAGTTGGATGAATATCCCCGATAACTTCAACGAAACGAAAGACGAGGGTCGGAAATAGAATATATCTGCAGGCGTTATAAATAAAAAAGCTCTCGTCCAGAGTTCGCTGGCGGGTTTTAGAGGGAATGGCCATTCCGGTCTCCATCGCTGTTAGCGAGGGTTTAGTCCCAAATTGGAGGCGCCACTTGATAGCCCCCAACTTTTCAGGGGCCAGTCCCTGGAATTTAAGCCTCAAGACCCACATTATAAAAAGTGATGATGCGAAACACCAAATTGAATTTGCATCACAAATGGAAGAGTGGGGAGTGCAAGATGATTTCTCGAACTACTGGTTTGAAAACCCAATCAGTTCCCATCCTACACTCCACAATTCTACCCGGCAGCAAGAAAATAGGCAGAATACCGGAATATACGGCACTAGGCTAAAGGGAGGCAAAAAGTGCGTACACAGATGTTCTGGAAAGTGGATGATAGCTGTCTGTGGCTCGCATCGACTTTTCCCCCGTACTTTATCAATTATTCACCTGTACTCTATAGAGCAGTGCAGCCAATTCCATCTTTCTTTGCCTTCCTGATTTTACATGAGTTAGAGGTGAAAAGTCGAAGTGTACTAGATGACTGCCCGAGTGTATGTACAATTATTCTAGTATGAGAAGAGGCGGTATTAAAATTTGAGGTCAGCTTCATGAAATCTTAGAACTCTTGACTCACTTAGCCCGGTCTAAGTATATGGGGAAATTTGGTACTAATCAGGTGCCTAGGCGGCTCAATGAATGCCAAGAAACAGTCTAGATGCATATCAAAAATCTCGGTATTCCTTACTCTGTATAATATAATCGATAAGAGGGCTTGGTAGCCAAGATCATGTTAGACATTAACTGATCGATACAAAAACACTTGGTGAGAAAGAGCTATTTGTTTGGCATCCTCTTTTTAGCTGCTCCGTTTGCTCCTTCGTTTGCTTCTCCGTCTGCTGTCCTCCTTGTTGCCTCAGGCATCAAAGTTTCCCTAACCACCTAGTTCACTACTTCCAAGGTTATAGATACTTCGCTCCTTTCTCTGTTTCACCTCCTTTCCTCCTTCTCGCCCCTCTCATCGTTTTCAATATAAGTTCCATCTTCGATCACTACTATTACTCGACCTAAACATCCGTATGGTTCTATATATTTTTACTATCTTATCAGATATTCAGATGGCCCGAGACATGATCTGTGAGGACGGATACCTTCCAAGGTTTCCATGACCACAATGTGAATGGCCAGTCCATAAGCGTGGTCTCTGTTCAAATTGTACTTTACGCCAAGTACTATACCAACCTTGGAATAAGACCCGCATTGGAGATGGGGTTCCTCTCCACGCCAGAGAAGAGCCCCCTACTAGTACGCGTCCCGACAGAAGACTTCAAGTTCAAGTTCCAAGTACTAGTATCAATCATGATTCGACAAAACCTACTAAGATATACCTAGGTACCTATTAGTAGTACCTAGGTAAGTATTGGTACAACTTGAAGCCAAAGTATGCCGGCAATTCGGACCGACAAGGACAAATTACCACTACCCCCTCCTCCCGCAAAAGAAAAAGAAGGTGAAGTCCCTCGGGACTTTTACCTGTACACCGGACGGTGTTGAGGGCTGGTGCCTACCTACCTAGGTAGGTAGACCCCAGCGCCTCAGACATCCCAGGCCGCCCCTTCCATGTCTAGATAACTTCTCTTCTCTCTCTCTCTTCATCTAATCACCAGTTTCGTGCCGCAGCTTCCTCCTCAGTAGCACCCTCCGACAGGCGGGAGCGCGAATCGCTCCTGACAGCCGACCCTGGCGAGGATACTGTCTGGGAGCCGTCATCAAAGATCCATTTCAATCGAACGTTGAGGCTGCAATCATGGAGAGATCCGGGAGAAGAAAGAAGAAAGCGTCATCTGCATCCACATCAGTACCGACACCCATATCCACGAAGTCAACATCATCATCGAAGCTCGCATCAGGCAAATCGAAGGTTTCCACGCCAGCCTCACCCACAAATTTGAAAGTGTCAAAGTACCCTGCACCCGTCTTGAAGAGCGTTCCAAAGTCTACTATGAAAAAGACGACTACAAAACCATCAACCAAGAAGAAGACAACTTTCATCGACCCAGACGAGAAACCGGCGGCGTGTGGCAAACAAATCCCGGTCTCCCCGCGCCAAATGAAGGACGTGATAGCGGCAGACGCTTAAAGCTGAGCGAAGATAACAGATGCCGATGACCTATCCCAGATGTCGGTCATCTTCGAGAACAATAACCGGGACGGCACGATGCTAACCATGGAAAGACATCAACTTGAACGAGCCTCGGAATGCAATAGGATTATCCGAACTGATCCATTTTGCCTTCAGGTTCTATTTTGGCCTCCGTCGTACCCAAAATCCAGATGGACAGATTCAATATGTGACTGGGTCCGAGATATCTTGGAAGAAGATGCTTCCGAGGCCGTCATTTTCCGGCAAGACTGCCTAGGTAGCTTCAGGTACCTGGTGGCTCTGATAACCATTGCTGGTAGACCAGAGAACCATCCGCTATACTTCCAACTTTTACGCCAGAGGTGTAGACGGTGAAGTCGACAAGGAAGACTAGACTACACAGGGAATCCGATGGATTCGAATGAAGTCTTACGATACGCTTCTACAGTCGGGAAATTGGGGGGGCATGGAGTTGAAAACCCGTCCAGATACCTTCTTCGACAAGACGCCGATCTTGTGGAGATCGCGACAACAATCAACCGTGTCGAAATCGTAACGAGCGCGGAGTTTGAAGAGCTGTCGGATGCTGTCGACGAGGGCAAGTGGATGCGCAGGCTTGCTTCCGGGCTCGATTTATGCGAGAGGACGACAACTTCATCCTCATGACGGACAACAATTTGAAACTGATCGTTCGACCATTTGAATGGATCTTTGCCGAGGGTGATGTATGCTGTCAAGAATGGGCAAGGTCTCGATCTCTTAGAAGACCAGGTGCTGGTTCAACAACTACGGTCCTATGTATAGGCAAACCAAAGCTAACAGGATATACTTCAAGAACCATTTGGGTAGGTGTTGGTATTGCACCACATGGACTTATCATATTACTGGAATAGCCAGTAATGCTCAACCCCTCTCGGCTACAGTACATGAGCCAGATACATTTGGCTACTCACTGGCATCTTCCCAACCAACCAACACGACTCCAACCAAATCCTCCACGCAGAATCCCAATCTTCGAAAAATCAGTTTACCATCTGCCGTTGAGTTAGGCGTGATGGGCATATATATGACCCCTGCGTGTATCTTGTCTGCTCATCGGGTCGAACAAGCTCAGGTGCCTTACTCATGCTCCAATGGAGCCTTCAAGGTTCTGAGTCCATTGGAAGGGTTCCAACTGGCATTGGATCGCCAAGTCTTCACCAAGTACCAACAACCTTGGAACGAACATGCCCATGAATAGATCATCGGAAAACAACTTGAAGGAACAATGTTGTTCGTATTAAGTCAATCTCTTGAAAACATCTCACTTGATAATATACGCTCTCCGAGTCTGCTTCAGGGTTGTAATACTCCAGGGCTACTAGTAGTATACTAGTACTGGAAATAAGTATATACCTAGGTAGTTACTTGGCCTGCCCACAAACGATCGTGGCCCTAGATCTTACTACTAGTGCAGTCTGAAGTTATAGTACCTAGTACATAGTAGGTATTTTACAACGGTATCAAGTTAGATGAAAGGTATCGAATACTTTATACTGTACACGGGCTATGTCACATGAGCGCAGACGCAACAGAACAAGATGCCAAAGCGAAACTCCTATAAAAACAGTGTAAAAAGGTATCAAAGGGGGAGCCAGACAATATCCAAGCGGCTTTCACACCCCTCGACAAGAGAGGAAAAATCCAATTCAAGCCTTGGAAGACGATAGACCAAGGGAGGTCTGAGAGGTCTGGTCTCCACCTAAACCTTTAAATTCTCAACCTTCTTCGCCAACTCAGCAGCCTGCTTCTCCGACCGCAGAGCCTCCTCGGCCGCAGCCTTATCCTCACTCTCCGCCAACTCCTCCTGCTCCTGAACGATCTTCGCAGCACCCTTCTTATCCCCAACCTGCAGTTTCCGAATAGCCTCCTCGAGGGCCTCGGCACCGCCCTTCCGGAACCGGGTCACTTTCTCCACGTTCAGCTTGGTGATGTTGTTCAGTTGGCCGGACCAGCCTTCGCGCTGGCGGAGGACTGTGCGCGCTGTCATTGCGAAGCGCATGTCCTTGGGTCCGTCGACGAGTTCTAGGATTGCGGACGGCGCTTGGTCGCAGGGTTTGCGTTCTGGGATCGCGGACTTGTCGCCCTGGGGTACGGAGTAGTATTCGAATTTCTGCTTTGGCTCGATGCGTAGGACGCGGGTGTAGCCGCCTGGTCGGTCGGCGTAGCGTTCGCGAAGGGGTCCGAAGAGTTTGGGGATGATTTGGTGTGGTTTCTGGGGTTTGTTAGTATTGGGTAGGTTCCTCTTTTTTTTTGTCCCAGGGGGGGAGGAGGGTTGGGTTGGGGTGTAGCTTTTCTGGGAGCGTTTGGGATGCCCACTGCTAGGGAAGGTGATTTCTGGCAATGCAATGCAGTGCAGCAGTGGGTATAGGTATATCCGCTTGTTGCACTCCTATCATTCCGGTGGCACGTACGTAGAAAATCTCCAGGGCTCGTCGTCGGGAGGCTTCCGAGTTCTTCTTGCCCAGGGTGATCAGCTTGTCAGCCAATCGCTGGGCTTCCTTGGCCTTGTGCCATGTCGTTGTGATGGATTCGTTTTCGAAGAGCGAGGTCACCAGGTTGCGCAGCAGGGCCTGACGATGTGAAGACTTGCGGCCCAGGTGCCGGTATTTTCCTCCGCCGCCGGCCATTGTGTGGGGAGGGAGTGAAGGTGAAGAGAGGGTGGATCAATTCAATTCAATTAATATCGAGACGAGAACTCGACAGTGTCCTGACGGGAGTGGCGTGGCGGTCAAATCAATAGAAAAGCAGAAGATCGCAAGTCGTTCGGAACGCGAAGGTCTAAAAGATTCGAGTTGTCCTCGGCCAATCGGAGAGCTGCCACCGCCTTTGCCCGCCTTCACCGGACTTGACTTTGATATTTGCCATTTACTTTAACTTTTACATTAACATTAAACACGGACATTTCACTGCTTTCCATACCCTGTCAGATAGAGAGTATTCAAACTCTTTGCTCTCTTCATATCTCTTCCGCGACTTTCCACTATTCCCCATCGCCAATCCCGGCCACCACTCACCCGCGACTGCCATGGGCTTCTTTACGGGCTTTGTATGTCCAGTCCAAACTTTACCGACTTCCCTCGAAACTATATAGAAGCTAACTCATATTTCTTGCGCGATAGATTGGCGGATTCGCCCTCACCACTTCCGCGCTCTACATAACAATCACCATCCACCGCACAAACCGCCTCGAACAACGGCGCGTCATTCGCGAACAAGTCGACCAAATAAATTGGCTCGCGAGGTCGACCGGTGCCTATGATCGTCGGAATCTCCCTGAAGATATCCCCCGCACCCTGGAAGATCGCTTCCCGCCGCGAGAAGGCCCGATCACCGTCAAGGAGGTTCTCAAGCATCGGTGGAATACAGAGGTTGAGAAGTTGGCGAGGAAGGCGCATGAGACGAGGTGGGAGGATGTGAGGGATGCCACTGCTGAAAGCTGGAGGGGCATTATGAACTTGGTGAAGAAGGAGTAATAGATGGTTACTCTGAGTCAAGGTCTCTCGATTCCTCATCTCAACTCTTGACGATGTATATTATGGATGCGCCTTTTTGTTTGGAGCAATGGAGTTTGGATACCCTGGCGTTTTGCGGACCATTATTTTGATTGTATAATTTACCGGAACCTCTTTGTTAACAAGTATATACAGTATGTCTATTAGTGCGGCCACGGTGATACTAAGCCATGGCTACGGGTTGAGAAATCAATTCAATGGTGTAAAGGTTAAAAGGGCGTCCAGCGCAAGTCGTAGCGGCATCAGGTTCAGCCAGAATCACATCACCCAGCATTAGTTGACGGCGGCGCAGTAGTCAAACTCTCCGAATCACTCCATATATCCTTACTCTCGCGCTCAACCGTCCGCATAGCCTGCGAAACTTCCTCAAGCTTCGCAACAACGTCCAAAACGCCCTGATTGACGCGATCAAAGTACCGATCATTTGCGTCGCGGCGCTTCCGCGCTAGAATGATGTCCTTCTCCGTCTCCTCGTCTAATGTGCGGTGCGAGACGCGATCTCTCGCGGGGACAGATTCACCGGCTCCTACTCCGGTAGTGTCTTTCGTGGTAGTTGCTTCTGATGAGCCCCGGCGCTGCGCACTCTCCCCGTCGGCGGTGTTGCGACTCGAGTCCACTACCTCGTCATCTGCTTCGCTGCGGGCCCACGCTTGGGCGAGGTTTAGTTGTTTTGTTCGCAGGTCTTCTAGGGCCTCGGCGTGCTTTTCTCCAAATACGTGTTCGCTGGTTACGGCGCTTAGTTCGACTTCGGAGAGGGCACTTTGCATTTCTTGCCAGATGGCGTCTGAGCCGTCGACGTCATTCTTGGATGGTCGGCGCGATATAAAGGGGGAAAGGAGGCTGCGATTGTCGCCTTTGGTGCCGGGGCTGAGGGCACGGTTTAGAGGTGGAGGTTGGCTGCGTGATGGTGTTGTGAGGGTTGGGTTGGTTTGGGGGACGGCGAGTGAGACGTTGGATGCATTGTGTGAGGGTGGGCCTTGGAAGAGAGCGGGTGGTGGTAGCCGCTGTGAGTTGGTTGGTTTTCGAGAGAGGTCCATGGGGGAACGAGTCGAGGCTGCCAAGTATACTTAGGTATGTACTGAAGTATGTATGAGATTCGGGATATGTCGCCTACCTTAATGGCCCCGGGCGTAATGCCAAGACTGATAACAGATAAAGATGGAGCTATATATGACATAAGCAATAAGTGGGGTTACTATTATCAGGTGACTCGCTTAGGGCAAAAGCGCACACAAGTCACGGGATTAGGAAAAAGCGTCCCAAGCAAGCGAGTCCGCCCCGGTCAAAGTGCTATCCGAACCCTTCGTCGACCACAACCCTTCAGCGACAACACCCATTTTCAGTCGGTACGTATTCGAACACCCCACGAGGTGGGAGAATACCCCTCTGGAAATTCCTGTGCGTGTCTGCCGATTTTCGATTTGCGGTTTCCTGGCGATACCTCGACATTGTCAATCCAACCCGATCTCGAATCTCGACTTGCACGCACAAAAATTCCCAGATCTCCCACCATCGAAGCCACCCACCCCTCCACCCACTCTACGACACTCGCATTCGCACTACGATCGAAACCCCTCCTTCTCAACACAACCGATTCTCAACTCCGCGCTCCCAGAATATCACTAACGAAGTCATCACTCCAGACGTTCAATCATCCGCCAACATGGGTAAGGGACAACCTCGTGGTCTTAACGCCGCTCGCAAGCTCCAGGCGCACCGCAAGGAGCAGAAGTGGGCCGACCTCAACTTCAAGAAGCGTCTCCTCGGAACCGCCTACAAGTCCTCCCCCTTCGGTGGTGCTTCCCACGCCAAGGGTATCGTCCTTGAGAAGGTCGGTGTTGAGGCCAAGCAGCCCAACTCCGCCATTCGCAAGTGTGTCAAGGTCCAGCTGATCAAGAACGGCAAGAAGGTCGCTGCTTTCGGTGGGTTTCCTCTCTCTCCAACAAACGTCGCAAACGACGTCATGCCATGCCATGTCGGATCCGACAAAATCAACCACGGCATGCTTCCCGACACAATCGCTAACATCTTCCTTCCCTTTAGTCCCCAATGACGGTTGCCTGAACTTCATCGACGAGAACGACGAGGTTCTCCTGGCCGGTTTCGGTCGCAAGGGCAAGGCCAAGGGTGATATTCCCGGTGTCCGTTTCAAGGTCGTCAAGGTCTCCGGTGTCGGTCTCGCCGCTCTGTGGAAGGAGAAGAAGGAGAAGCCCCGTTCTTAAGGGAGTTGCGCAAAAGCAACAACCAAAATCAATGCTTCCGAGGAGGATCTCTCTCTGTGTGTGTGGATGTGTGTGTATGGCTAGACTGGAAGTCCCCGCTCCATGTTAGCGCCTGGATTTCATGAGAATTTTTTTTTTGGGAATTACCCCTCTGGGGCGGGCTTCCGGTCTGGTTCTGTTCTGGTTTGATGTGAATTAACCACGATTTTCGATACAATTCCAAAAATTTGGCGCTACGACCTTTCAAATGTTTCTTCTTGGCCTTCGAGATGGTTGGGACTTGCTGCCCCCCCCCCCCCGCGTTTCTATGTTGGGGTGTATGCTCAGGTCTTGGTTGTATACTGGTACTCTTACCCGTCGATTTGTAGACTTGTATTTGCAGTGATGCGGAGTCCCCGCACGACTTTGAGACAACGGTTCGGTCACCCCGGTTTGTATACTACTAGTACTCGTATCTGTGGGTACTTGCTAGAGTCATGAGAGTGACGTATTGTTTGTTTCCGACTCCGCCAATTGTTCCTCGGGTGCTAGTGGTCAATTGCAATGCGATACTTTTGAGTTGTGGAGACTGTTAGCGGTTCTTCAGATCCGAGTCAGTAGCCAGGGCTTAGATATATAGATCTTCTGCCGAGGTAATAACAATCAACAAATGGAACCTTCCAAAGTCACGGTTGGATAGACTTGAAGCTTCAAGTTGTTGCCGCATCTCTGAGTTATCTAGATTAATTAGATCTCATAAACCTGTCAATTTGAAACATCAAATCAAGTTTCAACCTTGTACCTCGAGAATTGATTATCTCAACTCCTTCCAGCCCGTCCTATAGTAATCTACTGGTAGTAGAATACAATGAAAATACAGTTGTCCCGACCATATTTTTGAGAATACAATGTTTTTTGAGAACATGGTCAGAGTGCCCAAACTTGAAGTTCATTGAATATTATATCCTCCCAAATACTATATTCTACTACCAGTATTAGTAACTAGTATATATTCTAGGTCTAGATTGACCCCACTACGACACCGAAGACTGGATTGGTATCGTTATAACGACCATTTTTCATCAAAATTCAGCATTACCATCTTACTAGTATTTTGGTGCTCTCTAATCATTCAATATACAATTCTCTTGCCTGGGCGGATGGTTGGAACCAAGCTGCGGCTGGCCTCATCGACCAACCATTGAGGCTGAAGATGGTTTCAGGGCTACTCTAACTACGCTTTACATAGTACAGTCCAATTCGAATTACCGCAAACAATAAAGTCTCTAAAATGCAATTTAAAATGCAAAAGCTCATAAGACTCTAGCTCATATGTCTTTCGTTAACCTGGTCACTTTTTGTCTCTATCCTACGTAACAATTCGTAATCGCTCAGAAGCTGATATCCTCCTTCCGGTAATGGTCAGAGACAATCCTGTAGAGATATGATGGGGCATGGCCACCACTGCAAAGTTGTTAGAAATAATGCCAAAAAGGGGGGGGGATGAAAGTAAAGGATACTAACAGATTGGTGATGTAAAGATCCACCAGCTCCGCGGGAACATAATCGTAGAGCGGGTTCTGAACGTCAATCTTCTCGACAAGGTCGCCGTCCTCGTAGGGGAGGACCTTGCTCGCATCGCCGTATTCGATCAGAGAGTCGAAGTCGAATGGATACACGGGACTCAGTTTGTAGACTCCGCTGACTACTACGACGGGGGTTTGGTGGACCTTTGCTGCGCGCGCGATGACGCGGGTTCCGGCCGCTGCGACGAGACCGCCGTTAGCGAGGACGGAGTGCGTGCCCAGGATGACCTTGTTGACTCGGGACATGAGGGCGAAGACGGCGGAGTCGGGAATCAGAATGACCGTGATGCCGTGGGCAATGAGGGGTTTCTGGAAAGACTCGAAGCTCAGCAGCTCGTCATCGTCCGGGCGGGTGCCGCTGACGGTGGCGTGTGTGACCTCGTGGTTGTTTGGGTATGACTCTGCGTGGACGACGGTGAACTTGCGCTTGGTTGCGGCTCGGAGGAGGAATTTTTGCACCGTTGTGGAGGATGTGTGGGTTAGGATGATCTCGTTGGAGTGGATGTGCTCGAGGGCGTAGTTGGAGATCTGCTCGTCGACTTGGCCGAGCTCGTCGATAATCTCGTTGATGCCCTCCAGTACCTCGGCGCGGAGATCCTTTGTGAAGTTGTTGCCGGAGTAGTGGCCGCCCGGAGATTGAGAGCCTGGTGTGCTGGGCAGGGAGGCTTCGGGTTCGGGGTGAGAGAGAAGACTGAACATGGATGTCAGTGGGGGACGAGTGGATCGCTCTGCGCCTAAGGCGAGGGAATCGCGATCCAAGGGCAATGATGCATCTATTCAGTCTGAGTTAGCGGGGTCGGAAATCTCCAAGCGTGTATTTATAGCGAATGCGAATATCAAGGATTTGAGGCACGCTCACCATCGAAAGCCCGAGGGGTTTGAGGTTGACTCTCCGATTCACTGAGGGCAAACTCCGCATCGCGATCGTCCTCTGCTTCGTCGCGAATGAGACCGAGGACTCGTCGCACAATATTCCCCACTACCATCTCGCGCGGCTGCGCGGCCATGAGGCGGCGGCCCACACTCTGCACTCGCTCGATGAGCTTAGACGACTCGGATGTCCGACATAGAGAGACTACACTGCGGAGTAAGTAGGCGGTTGCGGTAGCGCATGATCGTGAATGGCAGATTTGGCGGCGTTTGAGGAGTCTGGCGTTGAGTCATTAGTGGGGGAATCGTAGGATAGCGCATAGCGCACAGCGCACAGCGCATGACACGTTGAGAGGTATAAGACGCACGAGATGAGATTCTCAATCGAAGTGTCAATAGGATTGGATTTGAGAGATTTGAGGAAAGACGACAGGCCTGGTGTCAGGGCCGGCGACGTGGACGGCATGTGGGATGGTAGAGGAGCTGAAGAAGATGTTAGCAGGGGATTAGATTCGATGGTAAACATGGCAAACCGATCATGAATTGACAACATACTGTTTCTCTCTGTCCTCTACAGTGAAGGGGCAATTCCAGAGTATCTCCAAGTATACCAGGGTATGTCAGGGAAGTATCAAAGAAAGCAAAGAGCAAAGAGCAAAGAAGGTCAAGATGATTTTCTGCCGTTCGAACTTTGTCCGCTTCCCCACACTTGCGAACCTCTCCTCTTCACTTCTCCTCTTCATTTTCCATTTCTTTTCTCTTTTTCTTTTTAGACCATCAAACCTTTCTTTGTTTCTTTGATTACCTTTGGGAGTCTACTGCATTTCCGCCCCCTCCGTAGATATCGGACTGGGCATAGCGGAAGTAGATCCGGGCTCGGGTGACAGGCGCATCGAGGTTGGTTCCTAACACTCACCTTGCTCACTTGCACTAGCTTCCTCTTCCTCTCTTCTTCTTCTTCTTCTTCCTCCTCGTCTCTTCTTCTCTCTCCCCCCTTTGTGATCCACGACCCTTGACGACTTCATATTGGCCCATGGCCTACCTTATGCGGTGACGATTCGCTCACGATCATCTTCTATTAGATCTCCTTGTCTATCTCCCCGTGGGCCTTGTTGGAAGATGAACTCGCTGAATATCCTTTCCTCGCGAGTCATCGGCCAGTCTTCCAGCTCACCGCGTCCGCGATCACAATCCCAGGGCGAGAAAAGGCGCGAGACCTTGCCCACCGACTTCGCAAAGCATCGATCTTATAGCACCGACAACTTCCGGTCCACTGTTGCTTTAGACAAGAGTTACGACGGTGTCGCATCAGCCAATGACCGAGATGATGACGACGATAATCACCACTCATATGACGAGAAATCGACTTTACTCCACGGAATTCAAAAGGATGGAACTCTGGTAACTAAAAGTACCTGGCGACTTTTCACCCACCGAATCTTCGACGCGATCACGGAAACGATACACTTCATTCTATCTACGCTAGCGGCACCAGGCATCTATTTAGCCCAATGCTTCCAAAACGATGACGGGCACTATTCGCTCTTAGCTCCAGTGAGGAAAATTTGGCGCCACCCTTCTGCCGACCCCAGGATCCGGTCGGATAAAGGGGCCTCTCCTCCTCGGGTAGAAGGTCGGCGGCGCAGTGGCTCCACCCGCAAGGTGAAACCGCAAACATCACGAGATTCCATCATATCGACAACCTCGGAATCGGATACAGAAAAACGGAGTATCAAAGGCCTTACAAGCGCGAAACCTCGACATAGCAGAACCTCGAGCAGGACACCGAGCGTTGACATCGAACCTTTCCCCGAGACCAACCCAGATGATAATACCCCGCGTCGATCGATACGTATCAAGCTACATAACGAGGAGGTTTCTAAACGACAGAGGCAGCGCCGGACTCAGAGTACCGACCTTGGCCATCCAATGCCCGAGGGTGTGACCCGCGTCCAGGGCGCCGATAGCTTGAAATCTCCCACCTCTTCCTCCGTTCACCGCATCACCAAATACCCGCATTCCTCCCCCGATCCGCCGCGGCCTCTCCTCCCCCGCGACTACCTTCATATACCGCTGCTCCGCGCAATGCCCGACTCCCACAGAAGACGCTGGTACTGGACCTCGACGAGACGCTCATCCATTCGCTTGCCAAGGGCGGCCGTATGTCAAGTGGCCATATGGTCGAGGTCAAGCTCTCCATGCCCATGACCACCGCCTTGACACCGGGTGGGCCACAGGCCACTCTGGGTCCTCAACATCCCATCTTGTACTATGTCCATAAGCGGCCGCATTGTGACGAGTTCTTGCGCAAGGTTTCCAAGTGGTACAAACTGGTAATCTTCACTGCCAGTGTCCAGGAGTATGCCGACCCCGTGATCGACTGGCTCGAGCAGGAGCGCAAGTACTTCCAGGGCCGCTATTACCGACAGCACTGTACGTTCCGCCAGGGTGCGTATATCAAAGATCTCAGCTCTGTGGAACCCGACTTGAGCAAGGTCATGATCTTGGACAACAGCCCGTTGAGCTACATTTTCCACGAGGGTATGCATCTATTCTTATAGTTTTCCTCATAGCCTTCCGCCAAACTAACACATCTCTTATAGACAATGCTGTCCCGATTGAGGGCTGGATCAACGACCCAACGGATAACGATCTGCTGCACTTGGTTCCTATGTTCGAGGCACTGCAATATGTCACCGACGTCCGGGCATTGCTAGCGTTGCGCCGCGGCGAAGCCAAAGCATGAACATGAGCATGGCTTGTTTCTCCACAATTTTTGTAACTATGGGAGTGGCTTGTAGGTGTAAAGGGAGTTTTGTTTTTGATGAGAGCTTTGTGTTTTTCTTTCCCCCCTTTGGCTGCTCCTTTTAGAAGCGAAGGTGTCATGTGTCACACCATTCCCCTTATTCTTAATCAGGGAGATAGTCACCAGTGAATCTTCACTTCTCCCACCTGGAATTGCCACAGCAGCATCTGCTATCGAAGGGTCAATTTCTTGCAAGTGGAAAACCAAGAAACATAATTGGTTCATGGTGGACATAGGGAACGACGAATGAGATGAGATGAGGATACACTACATTTACCCCCCCCCCCCCCCCTCTAACGGTTTATTCATAATGGCATTCTTGTCTTGTTTATCGGAGAATCGGAATGGAATGAACGTACATATATTGCGTCTAATATTATTTTGTGTTCCAAACTTGAACGTTGGGAATCGGGGTGGCCTTGGAAAATTATAAACTTGAACCCGAACTGATACAGTTCAATTATACCCGTGGACTATGCCGTATGCTTGATGGAAATCGGAAGCAGTGACCACTGGCATTGTGAAGAGATCGAACTTAAAGTGTACCAGAAAACGAGAGAGACCCGGCCGGCTGCAATCATACTACTAGTAGTATTTCTTTTGATTGCTGCCACCTGCCCAGGTGGGTAGCGCGACCAGGTAGTTCAAAGACCTGATTCCAAGCCAAATTCACCCCAAACGATCTTGCCAGGTAGGAGTCAACAACAATTGGCATGAATAGCAAGACTGTTGCAGCACCCCAGGGTTTGCAATCGACCACAAGATAATACCCGGACGTCTGGTTGAATAATTATCCCAAGATATAGGATATCGAGAAAGCTATCCCGGGCCTCAAGACTTTGGCCGCAGCGCATACGATTTAACCGGAAGCAACTTAAACTGCTTCGGAAACCCCGTCTGAATCTCCGACTTGATAACAACCATGCCGGCCGCCTCAAAAATCTGCCTGAACTTCTCATCAGTCCGAGTCACACTGCTATCCTCCTCATCAAACATATCCAGCCCCAGCCGATCCGTCGACAAATTCTCCTTCAAAACAACCAACCCATTCTCAGCAAGCGAGCCCCGGCACCGCACAATATAATCAATCAATTGCGCATCCGTTAAGTGACCCACACACCACTGCGTCCAAATGAGATCGTATTTCTTCTCGGGATACCAATTCTCCAAGCCAACAGTGTATATATCGCCAACAACACCGTCAGTCTTGAGCTGAGAGTTCGCCAAAACGTCCGTGAATTTGCGGACTGGTTCGACCGCATCGACGACGTCGCAGACATGTGATAGAAAGCCCTCTGTAACGCGTCCCACGCCGGCGCCACAGTCCGCGCCGAGAGCGAACTTCCCGCTTGCCGGGAGACCAGGTAGTAATCGCCGCACTTTTGTGAGGAAGTTCTTTGATCCTTGGAGTTCAATTCGTGTATACCATGGATATGTGCCCAGCATGCCTAGCATGTTACTGTTTGTGCTTGCTAAGCTGCTCCAGTATTTGATGGAGGCTTCGTGGTTGATTTTGGAGTCGGCGGGGACGAATGATGTCCCGGGCGCTTGGCCTGGTTTGTCTGTGTTTGATGACATATTATGTAGTAGTAATCTGATTGTTTTTTTCAAGAGTTAGGATTAAAGTGAATTGATATGCGAAATTTTTGGTGAATGCTAGACACGTGATGAGGGGAACGAGCTTATCGTGCTTATCACTCTAGCACTTCCTATTTCAGACCCTGAACATCTATCAACAACATGCTTTGGTGTCATTAACTAACAAGTTCATGTGGGTGTGAATTCAAATTCACAGCGCACCCAAGGCCGGTACAATCCAAAATTGAAAATGAGGCGTTTAACACGGAAATTCTCTCGGATCTTCAAGCGTAGAGAAGATGACTCACCAGAAACCAAACAAGTGAGCAAGCAGTGAAAATGACCTTGATAACATGAAGATTATTCGAATTAATGAATTCACCTAGTAGAACGAAACTGAAAACGAACTTCATGAAACTGGCTTGAAATTGCTTTATAGCGGATCCAATGCTAATGTGGAGTAGGGCAATCCTTCTCAAGACATTGGGACATTATTTCAATGCTAATGTAATTTGACAGTATTGTTGCAGTCCACGGATTGAATGGGCACCGCGAGAGATCATGGACTGCTTCGAATGGAGTGAACTGGCTCGAAAGTCTCTTACCGTTGGATCTACCAGATTCAAGGATCTATACTTGGGGCTACGAAACGCATACCACCAATGTCGGCTCTCAAGTACCGGCCTTGCAAACGGTTTCAGAAATATTAGTTGAGGAGCTTTGCAAAGTGAGAGGCCTAGATGAAGTATGTTCGCAAAAATGATCTACAGACTTGTAGGTACTGGTAGTGCAACGCTAAATCATATCACAGACACATTCGCGCCCTATAGTATTCATTGCCCATAGCCAAGGCGGCACTGTAGTTAAAAGTGTATGTGGACCACGAAAATTTTGGTTCCAGAAGTATTGTATTAACAATGATCTATTACCAGGCAATATTATATTCAGGGTCGAAAGAGCCAATCGATTCAAGGCCCTCAACCCCAAATCTAGGCAGCATAAAGCTTTCGACACGTGGGACTATTTTCATGGGAACACCCGAGTTAGACTCCAGACTCGAGGGTTTGAAGAAGTATATCAATCTCCTTGAAAAATCACCAGAACAGCAGAATGCAGACTTTGAAGAAGCGCGCTGGATGCTGTCCGTGCTTGAAGGGTATTCTTTGATTGCGGATACGTTTAGGACTTGTTTCGCATATGAAACTGCCCAGTTACAAAATTCTTCTGATAGAATTAATCCGGTATGATTCTCCAGAGTTCTTCAGAAACATGATTGTGGTTTTTCCGTCGCTGATATTTTACGCTGTGGATATAGCCCTCCTTCCAACGGCTTTTGCCGCACATATTGATCAATAGTAGCCACGGCGACATGATAAAATATGGATCATCGTACGATGATGCTTACGTGAAGATTAAATCGGTTTTGCTTGATATGGTTCAGGGAGACCCACTACAAACCAGTGCGTCACAAACTTGATCGAGACCGGTATCGGTGTCTCTGGCCGAGCATTAAGTTTGAATTGTCATTGCGCCGCTACCGAAGAAATAATATGATTAAAATGAATACGGGGGGTGAAAGCACATAAGCCCGAGAAAAGAAATGATGATTATCACCTGTTCTTGAGCCCTTGGGGTGAACTTTTCCACGGGGAGCATCGCCCTGGTAGAACTATAGCGGGCCCCACGCCGACCCCTCATGCTTTGAAATCAACCTCGTATTTTTGTAGACTCATACTTGAGTCTTTGCCATGACGTAGAAAAAAAAAACAATTCCAAGCCCTGGTATACTATAAATCAATGCCCAGGACAATCTCCAGAGTCGTCCGATAAAAATTTACTCATAAAAATGGAGCCCCTTGCCACCCAGAACACCCTCATCAATGGGAACCGCATCGCCTATGGCATATTCGGAGACGGCGAACCGGTCGTTTTACTTCATGGAACGCCCTTCTCTTCACTTGTATGGCACGGAATTGTCCCCAATCTCGTGAAAGCCGGCTACAAAGTCCACCTCTTTGATCTTCTCGGATACGGACTATCCGAGCGTCCGTGGGATCAATCAATCGACACGTCTCCAACAGCGCAGGTCCCAATCTTCGAGGGCCTTCTTTCTTTCTGGAACATAGACAAGGCTCATATTGTAGCGCACGATTTCGGCGGTGCCATTGCGCAACGGTTCGGTATTCGTTCACCTGAGCGTGTTAAGTCTTTGACGCTGCTCGACACGGTCTCTTTTGACAGCTATCCGTCCCCGAGAACGCGGCAATTGATGGAAAATGGCCTTGAGAACATGATAAATGCTTCGGATGAGAATCACCGGGCGCTTTTTAAAGAATGGATCTTGTCGGGGGTGTATGAGAAAAATAAGTTCGAGCAGGATGGCGGTTTGGACACTTTCTTGGAATACATTTCTGGCCCTGTTGGTCAGGCCAGTTATTTCCAGCACCAGATTCGACACTATGATCCGAAACATACGATGGAGATTGTTGAGAAACTTCCGACATTGGGTCAATTGCCAGTCCACCTTATCTGGGGTGCAAATGATGCTTGGCAGGTCGTGGATTGGGCATATAAGTTGAATGAGGCGATTCCTGGATCGACGCTTGATATTGTGGATGGTGCTGGGCATTTCTCGCAGCATGATAAGCCGGAAAAGATTTCGGCACTTATTATTAGTTTTCTGAGGGAGGATTGATTAGTTAAAGTATCCTTTACTCTACCTCTTCCGTCGTTTTGTTAGTGCAGTCATAGTCGCATAATTACGGATATCAAATGGGCTTCAAAATTATACGCGTCGGGTTTGCAGGTCAAGTGTATAAAGTCAATCAAAATATCGTCTTAGAGACGTGGAAGATCTACAAACCTCCTTCATGGAATGGTACTAGTACCTCAAGAGCACTGTAGGAGTAAAAATCAGAAACTGTACATTTTACTTTAACCTTTGAAAGATAAGAGGTTCATATTACATCCGAGTCTACTTATCGAGAACGGAATTGTATGATCAAATCCTATCTTAGCGAATCAGATAACATGGTATCGTTTTTATTCTGCGAAGGTCACTCGTCAGATCTACTAAATCTGTTCTTAGTAGGTTATGTACTCTATTCTTGGTCAACGGAGCGACAACTTCATATTCTAGCAGAACGTTAGCTGGCAATCTTGATAACAAGACACATTTTTCAAGCTGAAGTGTAGAGAATATCGAGGGATATAGTATAAGTTCAATATTCAAATAAGGATTGATCTAACTCAACTGATTTTGTTCTCTGATTGGACTCTCTCGATTGGGAATCTCGGTTGATGATCAGCCGTGGCCGTAGGTAGACCCCACAGCGAGTGGGTCAAATATTCACCCGAATCCACCCTGAACCGCAACATGATTGGTTTGATTATTGATCATGGAGATTCGGGATAATTTTGGCGACGGGAAGTGTGTGTTAATCCCGCAACTTGGCTGAATCCGAGGAAATGCGGGCACGGCAACGGGGAAAAATGCGAAAATATCATACAAATCAGGGGCTCTTTCAACAAAGCGCACGGATTGAACTGTGGGTCCATTCAAGGCTATAAAGACTTGTGTAGTTCTCATTCGTAGCATGTAAAGAAAACCGGCTCAATATTTTGGCCCCATCATTATTCCATCATGCCGCCTAAAGAAACGAAGGTGATCATTGCGGGGGGAAGCATCGCTGGTTTATCTCTAGCATTGATGCTGGAGAAGAACGGGGTTGACTTTCTGGTATTGGAGGCCTATCGCGACATTGCGCCTCAAGTCGGAGCAAGTATTGGTGTTCTGCCCAATGGTCTTCGAATTCTTGATCAACTAGGTTGCTACGAAAAAGTTCTCGCCGAAGCTGAGTTTCCGGTGGAGAAGGTGTTCTTTCGCGATTCGAATGGAAAGCCGTTCTGGTCCTTTGAGGATTTCAATGAAAGAATCTCTGAAAGGTTTGTCATTCCATCCTAGCCACCGAGAAATATATGATATTCGAGGATTCTAACTAAAACTCCAAAGACATGGTTATCCATGCGTATTTTTCGACCGGCGCATGTTGATTCAAATCCTGTATGATAAGATTCAACAAAAGAACAAGATCCTGACTTCTGAGAGAGTGGTTACTGTGACAAATCACCTGACTCATGCGGCGGTTACTACGCAATCTGGAAAGGAATTCACGGGAACATTCGTTGTTGGAGCAGATGGAATTCATTCAGCTGTTCGCCAGCAGATGTGGAAGAGCGCGCAAAAGTTAGATCCAACATGGATCGATCCGTCCGAGCAAGATGGTAGGAAAGCCCCTTTGTGACCACTGAGACATTGAAGCTGACTTGGATAAAAGCCCTTCCAGCAACATACGCTTGCATCTTCGGTATATCGGAAGGGGGTCCAGGCGTTGAAAAGGGAACCATGAGCTCAGTTTTCAACGAGCATTTCTCTTACCTGGTTCCAAGTGGCCCGGGAGACAGGACTTACTGGTTCCTAGTGAGAAACATGGGCAAAACGCTCCATGGCTCTGAGATCCCGCGTTACACGAAAGAAGAGGAGGAAAAGCTTGCCAAAGAGCACTGGGACGACTACATCACCCCGACATTGCAGTTCTCAGACTTGTACAAGCACAAGATAAGTTCTGTGTATACAGCTCTGCCAGAGTATGTTTACAAGAAATGGTATTTTCAAAGAATTATGACTATTGGTGACGCAGCACACAAAGTACGTTTTGCGACCTTTCGGAATTTTGGACAGTATCTAATTATAACTTGAATTTAGTTCGAACCATTGACTGGACAAGGAGGCAATAATGCAATTGAAACTGCGGCATCCTTGGCCAACCATTTGATCTCGTCTTTGAAGAAAAATGGCTCAAATGACTTATCAACAACGGAAATTGCATCTATTTTCGAGAAAACCCAGCGAGAACGTGAGGACCGTGCTTGGTCTCTTGTCAAGCAGTCGCATGCCAGACAGCGCATGGAATGCATGGAGACTCCTGTGTTGAAATTTGTCGCCAGATACGTCGTCCCGTATATCCCGAAAAGCGTGTTGACAGATCGATGGGTCGACACATATGCTTCGGGTATGTCCTTGAACATGCTTCCAGCTCCCGAGAAGGCCCATAAAATTCCATTCTTCGACGAATTGCTCAGAGCCCCATCTGCTCGTGGATCGTTTGTATACCTCTTGTACACCATCTTTGCGGCCTTGGCAGTAGTTGCATTTCAACTACTGTTCGCAGCTGGTAAGGTGAATGGTACTTGGTCTTTGGTCCGAGCAGCAGTCGTCAATCGTTCAATTGACGACCTGAGTGGAAGCTTGCGTGAGTCCTATACAGGTGTAGCATCCATTGACAAAATTCTCACCACACTTGTGTCGATATTTCACCCGGCGATTACCAGCCCGCACCAGGAGCAGCCATTGCAGCTGCTATATTTCTTGTCGTCGATGCTGCCTCTCATTGCAATTTTTACCATCGAGGGATATCGACAGAAGAACAGGTGGTCGATGATAGCAAGGTAAGAAAGCTCCAATGTAGAACTTGAACTTGAACTTGGCTAATTCCCGCATAGTCCAAGCATTTGGGGTATTTTGTACCAACTGCGCGGAATTGGATTCATCGCGCCACTATACTTCGCTGCCGGCGTTTTTGTCTCGCGGAAAACCGCATTCCTCCTGCTACCGGGCCGAGAAGTACCCGCGGCCAAGTTCATTCTCCCAGCGCTCATACTTGGATTCGTAGTGCCCACCATTCTGCTCTTCTTTCCTTTCAATGACCCCAAGAGCCTACAAGTCGTTATTGCGGCCTGGCAGCCGGCACCTGCACTGGTCTCTTGCTTCACCTATGTCTTCGCAAAGATTGCCAACATGGTAAAGAGATCAAGTGAGCACAGCCAAAAGTCGCAGGGGGATGACATATTTCACTTGCGTGCGATTTATCAAACAACTGGAACTATCGCAGCCTGCATCCATCTAAGTGTCGTCATTGGCTGTGTCATTTCAAGGGAAACTTCGTTGATGCAGATATTCATTCCTAAAGACTCATTCGCTCAAGTGGAAACGTTGGCCGATGGTGTTTTTGTGTTCTTCCAGAATGACTTCCTTCTCGTGACAGCAGCTAGCTTCATCTGGAGTTTGGTGAATATTGCCGATCTCCACAGATCAGGACTATCAAATGTTCATTGGAAAGTTGGACTCGGCTACTTGTTGGCCGGGTTTGTGTTCATTGGACCAGGTGCCAGTGCTGCGGCCTTGTGGTTCTGGCGCGAAGAAGTGATGAGCCGGAGAAAGGCAAACAAATGATTTGGTGGAATCGATCAGTTTGATTTAGAATCAAAATTGACGAGAAAGTTCTGGAAAAGGCTTCATGTCTCGATAGAGTCGAGGCTCGTATCTGGGATTTGTTGAACACTGTGGGAGACTAGAGCCTCCACGTCTCGTCGACGAAATGCAGCGGCGCATCCGATACAAATGCAAAGCCGGCTGAGTTCTGCTTTGATGTCAGCTTGGAAAATTTAGATACTAGAAGCTTTGTACCTACCTCCAATAATGGAAGTTTCATCAACACTCATAATCGGGGTTATTGATAAGTCTTCATCGAAGGAAAGGCAATCTCCTTCCATAGTTTGTTCAAGAAAGGATTGTGAGGATCCATGCGATATGAATCGTGTGCCAGATAGTTCTGAATTTGTCGGAAGCGACCGGTTGGATTTCAGTAAAATTCCTCGGCTTGACAAGAAGCCTTCGACGTCATGAACGTCGAACCATTCTTCGTCGGAAGGCAGTTCTTTAATTCCATTTGTCGTTTGGAATGGAAGTAGATTATGTAGCCCAGATGCACCGATAGAAATTTGTCTCGTGCGGGGAAAGTGTGTACCTGCACCACCGAGGCTGATGAACGGGAACCGAAAGTCTTCAATGGGGTTACAGGGTGTTGCTGCTAGGACTCGTTTGAAGTACAACGTGACCTCGACCCTCGGGACCTTTTGCAGCATGAGACCAAATTCACGCCACATTTCATGATCAGTAACAGTATCGTTCATAAGATAGCGATGGCCACTTTCAGCACACGCTCGAAAGAGCTTCTGTGTGAAGGGAGTAGTTGCGTAGGGAATCGGCGGGCCGTGGAGATCCAGCGGACCTGTAGAAGTATCACAAGATGCATTATACAGTGTCGGTGGAACACCCGGAATAAGCAGATGAGATGTTTGAAGAAATGAGGTCCAAAATGGAGAATCGGATTGCTTCACGACCGGGGTGGGCGGATAAACCGTCTTCGCCAGATCCAAAGAGGGTTGAACGAGCAGATGCTGCATCTTTTCCTGGAACATTGGCAAATTTGCATAGTGTTGAGAATTTTGTTGAGAATTTTCTCTTAGAGAAGGGGCTTCAGCTCGTTTCAGTTGAAGTGTAATCTCGTCTTCGAGCAGATCAACTGCCTTTGGAAGGTTTGATAGTGGCAGGTGCGGGCTCGCTTTGGTTTGATGAAATGAGTGCATGATCTGAGAGAGCTGGCCCACAACATCCTCCAGGTGCGCGTTTCTTTCCTTGAGAGATTCAAGTAGGCTTTGTTGACGCGATCTATAGGCTCTTTGAGCATCGCGGATCTGTCTCCTTCGTTCCTGTAGATCCGGTAAGTGGCGGACGAAAAAAAGGGGGAGAGATGTACGTACTGAGTTGTCTGTGCCGGTAGAAGATTTACAAGGGCGACCTCTAGGTCTGACCGTGTCCCTGTGAGGGCTTGCAGTAGACATTGTCGATTCAAGCCAGATGTAAGTAGTATGTCTCTGATAAAATTGAAGGTGAGAACAGGTAAGATGAGTGGAGGAAGGCAAACGGGTTGATGTCTTGGCGCCCAGACCGGTACAAACGGATGGGGAAATTGATAAATTGATACATCTCCCAGCCACGGTCGTTTGCTCGAGAATTTCTAGGTTGATATTGAATCGATCATTCTTTTCCAGTTTTATTTCCTTATCGATACTTTCAACTTTGCAGAATACCACTTTGACGTACGATCTGAAACGCTGGATATGTACCTCGCCATCCAAACTATACCCAATCCAGAGCGCCCCCAAACAGTCTGACATTGCCCCGCCCCTTAACCTATCACATTTCACTTCTTTCGTCTTCGTATATCACACGATGGATGAACTCGAGCGAATGCCCACGGAGGTTCTTATCATGATCATCGATCATGTAGATGATTTCTATGGACTTGATAGTCTGCTCCAGTGCTCACCTCGAGCGGTAATGATCTTCCAAGCCGGCAGTGTCAGGATAACAGAGAAGGTTCTCTGTAATTGTTCAATAACAAAACCTTTACCTAGAGTCGACGTGGAAGACCATCATATCCGTCTATACGGCAGCATGGGACAAGAACTTCCAGCGAACATACCCAACACTTTCAACTGTGACATATATCGATTCTTTCGTGAAAGTGTCTTTATCCGCACTCCTTCATTTCGCTCAAAATTCCCAGCAATGAGTATTTCCACTACCATGTCTATTCCATCTGAAAATTCTCTCAGTTTTCACTTCCGGGGGAGGAGTCAGTTCGAGGCATATAAGGTGCTACGTGGAATAATCAAGGTCGCTGCCCAAATACAACGCTTAGCTTGTGCTTGCATATGCCTCATGTTGAGAAACCTCGAGGATGCGACCAGAAAAGCTCCAGACATCCATGTCCGTCGTGCTCACGCTGCTTTCGGTCCATCCTCTTGGATAGAAGAAGTCCGTGTCTACAGGGCGCTATGGGTTTTGCAAGTATATTCGGATATATACGAAGCAGTTCGTTCAACACGGTGGAACACGGAGTACAAATGGGCACTTGAAGGATACGCATATAAAAGAGGTCTTTCGTTGGCCATGGTCGACGAAGTCGTGACTGTCTATGAAGTTTTGAAAAAAGTCGTCGTTTCGTCGCCTCCAACGATCCCTCCGAGATTTCAATACAGTGAATGGGACTACCTTCCATTCCTCTTGAGCCTCGAGCTAAAGGAGGGTATCGAGTTCCCTGTATGGGCTCCACCACCAATCCCACCACTGGATGATCAGGTCGGCGACTCTTGGTATTTGAGCCCAAGATATCGGCATCTTACTACAGAGCGAATCAATGATTTCAAGAAACTTCCAAGACCAGACACTACCCATACAATTTACACTTCTGACGATGACTTGAATTCTTTCAAGCCTCTTGGTATCTCTATTTGGGACCCTTGGCGGTATTATTCCGCGGGATTGATGGAACCTCCAATTGAGAAAAGGTTGACCCCAGATGGAGACTACTCAACCTATTCCGATGAAGCATCCAATCAGCAGATAAGAAGGAGGGCTTTGCTTGAGTTGATTGGTTAGCAAGAAATCGGGATTGCGTCCACTCTCTGGGTCCATCTAGAGGTCCACATGGGCGTTGTACCTAGGGAAGGATTTTGTATCCATTCGGGTCGAACTTAGACCGTATCAAGTTAATTGAACTTTGAACTGACTTTAATCACCTATCATTTCTGAATCTTTCTCTCTCTCCGTGACACCCACTGGATTTTCTCGTTATATAGGCCCTGCATAGTATCTGAAGAACTTGGATATCAGATCACTTTCTTATCAAAGCTACTTCTCATGAACACCACCACTCCTAGAACATCAAGCCCACAGATAATATGCTGTCGCACAGCTGACACAGATGATAGCAAGATTTCGGGCCGCGCGAATCATGCTTTTTTTGGTGAAGGCTGCAACAATATCTTTGACAGCATCACCCTCGTTGACATTTGGAAATGGAACCTTCGGTATTTCTGTGCCAAGAAATGCACAAAGAGGCTCCCAGCCGTCTTTAAGGTTGAAGAGAAGCAAGTTCTTCGTAGGAGTGTGAGATATAACCAGGGCATTGTGCTTTCTATAGATCTTGAGAGCATTTTCCTCTACCTGCTCCTTTGTCGTGCCTTCTAAAAAGCCGTCTTTTGAGGCCAAAAGGCGACTCCATAGGAAATGGAGCGGTCGCATTAGCTCGCGATCGAAGAGGGATATCGAAGCCGTGATGAGTGAGTTGTCGAAATAGGTATCTATCACCGCTGTTTTGAAGCTGCGAAGCCAGGCTTTCTCATCCCGTTGAACAAGGACAACCTTTGCTTCTGGATAGGCGTCAATGAGCTCCTTTGCAAAACAAACAGCTGGCATATCCGTCACAGCGGTGTATCCTGCTAGGATCTTGTCCCAGTAATGGCGATCCAGTGTCTCACCGAGGCCCTTTGCCTTTGCATCCCAAGCAGCAAGCCATTGTCGACATTGCTCGGGATGGCTGTAAAGCTCATATGCATGGTGGACTTGTTCGTGTCCAAGAATGCGAAGAGCCTCTTTCATCGCTGATAAATTGGTTAAGAATGAGTGCAGATATGTTGTGCTGAGTTTGACTTACAAGCTGTTCCGGTCCTTGACATGCCCAAGGACAATACTTGAAGGCCTTCCATAATGGCGAAGTGCCTCCTGGCACGCTCACTGGATATTGGATTTGTGGAAAATGGTGGTGGAAATAATTTGATCAGAATGAAAAGAAAAGGAGTCTCAAATGCTGACAGGAAGTTGGGGGCCAATAACTAGTGGGGGCCTGAATAGGACTGGCGCGCCGCACGATGGGACTTACTTAGTGTTATTGACTTGGAGCTTCTGGTGTTGACATGTTCCAAGATTGTCCATCTCACTTACCTTGGATACTACTGTTTAGTGATATATTTAATTTTCGAGAACATTGACTGTCTGCGGAGCCGCAAGAAGTGCATTTTCACTATGCAAATAAAGAAATGCGCGACACTAAAATATTTCCAGGGCATAATTATTCGTGTCTCGCCCGGTGTGTCGTCGTTCATTCAAATTAATCCAGCAATAACATATCGACATGTCGCCTTACCCTCGGATAAACATCTTCATATGCAGTTGATCCCATCCAATGATCCAAGTGGCCTCGTCCCTGAAAGACCTCTCGTTCATACCATTTTCTTCCATGTGTGTTGCAAAGAGTGGTATAAGAATTATCCGTGTTCTCTGGGACAAACACCACATTTTCGGACCCCGAGAGGAACAGGATAGGAATACCCTTCAGACGTTTAAGATTTCCTGGTGTGACAAGTTCCGTGAATGCAGGTCCATTTGTGGTCACGGAACCCACAGATCCGCTCTTCGTGAGCCAGTCTAAAGTGGTCATGGAAATGCCTCCCAAAAACCGCTCAAGTTGCGAATGTGTCTCCTCGTTCAACTTCTCATGGGGCCAAAGGCTATAATATTCTTAGTCAATGTCTGTTTTAGCAAAATAATAGTATGTCGTGATCTAGACCTTACCGGCCAAATACAAATTCACTTCGATGACACACAACCGACCGACACGATTCGCGGGCATCGCCTGCCGGGTAGAATCGCAAGGCTTGGTTTAAGAACTTTTGTATGAGATTGTCATTTTTACTACTGGAGCAGTCCCAGTATGAGCCGATGATACCACTGTACATCGACGTGGGAATTCGTGACAGCAAGCTGTTGACCTTCCCAAATTTTGGGGTCATGAAGACCTGAGAGGCTGTGATTCCCTTTATCCAATCGGCAGGAATCGTGCCATCGAGTAAGCCACATGCGAGCGCGGCCGACCCCGCACAATGTGCTATCACATAAGTCTTTGCGACGTTCTCTGAGTCGGAAGTGGCGCTCAGCTTGCGAATATGAGCCAGAGCCGCATGGACATCCCGTCGTGTGTCATAAGGAGTGTACCCCTTTTTGGCGACAGGAGTCCGACCGATACGATGGATGACACAATAAACACGGTATCCTGCTTCACGGAAATATTCAATGGCATTCTTCTTGATCGTAGGAAGGGCGAAGATGGTATGATCGACAGCTGCCCCAGGAATGAAGAGAATTGTTGGTGCTTTCCCGACAATCTCTTTATTATTCGCAATGGGATTCCACATCAACATTGTCGATTTGACTCCATCGGACGCAACGGTCTGAATTGTTGACGAGTAGCGCGTTTCTCCCCGAGTAATATTGACGCCCGTTGACGGCCACTGAAGCTTACCGAGAGGCGAAAAGAACGCAACACTGAGGGCCTTTGTGAAGTACCCAAGAAATCCAAGTCCTGATCCGATCTGACTCAAAATGTTCCGACCAGTTGGCTCAAAAGTGTGCAGTTCTTGAGAGAAGTCTGATGGTTGTATATGAAGAGTACCTCTACCAACAACCTCGTGGGCTCTATCTGTGATTGTCACGTATAGTGTGGTTGTCTGTCTCCAGGTCTCGACGGGGTTTAAATATGCAGCACTGTTGACAACTTTGAAACCATTGAAATGTAATATTCTTCCCGCGGGAGATATCATGTCAAAGTCGTATGTCAGGTTCGCCGTCTCAGGCTGACGCGGATCTTGATTGAACAATCGGAAAGTTCCGCGAAGAACCATAAAGATACCCCCTAGTGCGCTTGATGAGAAGGTACCAGTCAAAGTAGCCGAATGTTGATCATCATTTAGCACTGTTCATTTAGTATTCCATTATCTAGAGACATTTGTCCACTTTTAGTTCACTTACGTTGATTAGTATCCCAAGATCTTGTACTGAGAAGGAACCGCGCCGATTCGCATCGCCCTCGAGCGCGTTTTGCAGCAACATCAAAGTCACCGACATCAGCACCTGCGTATATGAAACCCGACATTACCTCGGAGAAAATCAAGCCAGGAGTGCTGTTTTCGGCAGCCTGTGCAATTCTACTCTCGAGGTCCTCTATATCTGGGCTCTTCGGGAACGGGTGTGCGGGCTTTCCAAACATATCCAAAAGGCCTTTTGTAAACTGTCAGCAAATAGATGGCACGGACATACTAGTAGAAAGCAAAAGAAATCGGGTTTCCGGATTCATAATTACCATTTTTCGTTTCGAGATCCACGCTGATGCCGTGGTCCCGGGCAACAAGCTCCACTGATCTTTCTGCAAAAGCTGTGATTGTGGCAAAGGGATTGACACCGACAGCTGCAGGAATGGCAGATCCATCACAAACGATGAGCCCGCGATGCTTATTTTCTGTGTTACCTTGGAAGATCTCTCCCATATGATTCACGACCCCATTATTACCGCTGTTGTCTTTGCTGATGCGTGCTCCACCACTGAAATGTCTCAGCAAGTAACCCTCTACATTTAGGACGACTGAATCCACTGCTTACTCACATAGGATGTACGGTAATCTCCTGCTTTCCAAGCAGTAACCATGCAGGGTTCTCGACAAATCTTCCGCCAACAGAGGTGGTCATTGCATTCAATATCTCATGTATCCGGGAAACCGACTTGGACCTGCCGACGCCGGAGTAAGTCAACACTGGTTTGTCGTTCTTCAGTTCCATCCTCCCTTGACTACCTAAGTATAGTTAGATCCCGAACTATCATCTCCTGGATCATAAATGACAGTTGAAAGGCTCGAAACTTACTATCATGCGACATGATCAAATAAACAGCGGTCTTCTGCACGCTCCCGTCGACAAAATATGGCCCGAGTAGCTTCCCTTTTATTCGACTAGGAGCTTTGGTGATTCTTTCGAGTATATTATCGGTTGAAAATCGAGATGTAGGCAAATGCTCCATCATGGAAAACATGATTGGAGATAGAGCCTGAGGAATCGCACAGTCTTCAACCACAAAGCCATCGAGGGGATTTGCCTGGTCTCGAAGATCCAGAACTGATGTTATACATGGTCCGACTGGCCTATCTGGTGAAGGGATAGAACGAGCGATAGTATTAGCTTCAAAGTCGGTGTTGTATCTATTTGAAGAGCTTTAGCATGTGTCTGAATAAGATGGACGCTGGACCTCACCCGAACCCCAACATGTCACCGTTCCCACTCATTTCAGACCCGAGGTCATCGCTGATATCGAGGCCCATCTGTTTACTCCGTAGCAGGATTTCTGTTGTTCCAATGCTCCCAGCGCCAAAAAATACAAGCTTCTTCGCGTGAACCCACATGAGATCATCAAAGAATGTCGTAAATCGATCTCGGTTGCAAGAATGCCACGCGAAATACACGATGTAGCCTCCCCGATCTTCTGGTGCCTTTGTGACGTATCGAATTTCGCAGTTGCAGAATATCTCAGCTCCCCAGTTCCATGCATCACTCATGTAATTCACCAGGGTAGTGGATTTACTTCCATCATTGATTCCAGTGGCGTCCATTCCTGTCAGCTGTGAGGCTCGCATGTAAACTCCTGTTGAATTTGGGCCGTCTTCGAACCGGGTTGTCTGTGGCACGCGATAATACTTATCGCTCCATCCCATCAGCTCCGCTTGCTTTTTCAATAAATTCGCTTTTGCGAGTTCAGGAAAGCTGATTGGATATTCGACTGGTTCCAAAACCTGCCTCGCACGTTCGTAATCTAGGCCATGTCAGTCAAAAGAAAATAAGTCGAGGGCACAATTCTTGAACTGACATTTCTCCCATGAGCTCTTTCCTCTCAACTCTTCCGGCCAGATTTCCATGTTCAGTACATCCGGATGGCTTTTCAAGAAGACGTTTGCGTTTAACAAACTCGTCCCACCTAGCCCATTTCCCAGAAATACATTCTGTCCCTCTCCAACCACAAATTGGTAGAGACCATTTGGCTTTCCTTTGTCGACCAATTTTCCAGGTATGCCTCTCCGATCCCCCGGCGCAAACTCACCGCTGACGTGGAGTTCTTTGAGCGTATCTACTGTGGTCTCGGGAAATTCACCAGGCCACCTCTCTTTGCCTCGCTCCAGGACGCAAACGCTCTGCCTTCCACGTGCCATCCTGCTCGCAGCAACACCACCCCCATAGCCCGATCCTATCACCACAACATCGTAGGAGCTTCGCATGAGCTCCACAGGCAGAGAGATTCGTGGGAAAGCTTCATACTTGTCTCTGATCCTGCTCTTTCCGTTTTTTTCTTGTGTGGATGCCCTAACTGAGGAAAGTTGAGGGCCATTTTCATAGGCCGTGTCATATGTGGGGCTCGCATTGGCTTTTGGAATAGCATTCGAATCTTGTTTATTCACTCCATTCACTCCATTATTGCTGTTACGGGTCGAGTCATCGTCTTTCGGAAGTAGCGGCATGTTATTCACCCGTCGAGACGTGAATGCGATCAGTGGAAGAGAAGCCAGGAAGGTTCTGGGGATGGATTGTAACCAGAATTAAGATGGCTACCAGATGCACATTCCAATAGATGCTTTAAGTATTCTTGAAGATGTCAAATGCATTCGATAGTCGCCCGGGAAGTGGCCGATTATGACGGTGCATCATATCTGGCGAGGATCTAGGCCCCCCCCCATCTTTTATCAGTGAACCTTGGAACAACGCCATAGATTTCTTGGAAACCCACATAACCCGTAAGACAGCGCCACATACCTAAATACTATACTGTACTTACTTCAGGCCAACAATCATTGATCGGCTTAGCTTGATAAGGTGATTGGGCTTAATGAACTATGAGAAACACAGTTAGTTTTGGTCCAGAACCGGTGCCATGAAACGCCTTGGCATGGTAGCCAGATAGTTCAAGTATCAGTAAAATTCCCGCAAATGGTCTACATTCAATGGGAAAAAAATTGAGCGGTTCAAGTAATATATATGTATTATGTATTATGTATCTATGCTATCTAGAAGTTAAACTATATTTGAACAGTCTGGAATTTACCGGGCCCATATAAAACGATGTTTGGTCGTTGCGTGAGGCCAGGTAAATATCGCATATATAACAAGTAATGCAGCACCGCATTCTAATAGACTTGGCCTTACCTGCAGCTTACGGGGTACCGCAAATCTACGATTCAGCTGGTTTATGACATGTGAGCGTACCCTCATTTTCAATTATGCCAATTTGCTACTCTGAGTGGGCGGCCTAATTATGCAATCTTGGCATCGCTGCTCGTAGGAAGAATGTCGCAGTACGAGGAGAGACAAATAGTGGCGCAGCCATATACGAAGTCCGAGATCTTGGCAGCTGAGAGACTCACACTCACTGTTTATCTAAGACGACTTATTCATGTGAAAATCAGCGGGATGTCACGAAACAAATTCTCGGATGCACAGTTATGGCACAGGGCCACCATTCTCATTGAAGCCTTGCTCGCCTGATAATTCCCGAATCTATTTTCTAACGTGTCAAGGCGTCATCGATTAAGTTGCGCTTTGTCCCAAAGTGCCACATTCTTGGGTAAATTTCCCCGATTACCTTGCTCACTACCACAGACCTGATTAGATCGCGTTCCAGACACTTGTCCTTATTGTCGAGCATATAAAGTACATACAAAAGAAGTTAAATCCCTCCAAGATTAATTCAATGGTATTTTGAAGGCGTGGATCGCTCTCATAAAATTCAACATGCCTGGTCGACCTATTGAGATTCTCACCAGGTCTTTTGATGAGACTTCGGAGCATATTCCAACATATACTGGATCGCCCTGGCAATTGTTTACCTCTGATCTTCGCCTCTTTTTTCGCAACATTCTGTATCTGCCCTTCATATTTCTACCTTTGACCCCTTGGGCATCGGGTCCATTATGTGAACTTTATCCATCTCTGCCGAATATCTTAGATATTCTTCTTCATTGCGTACTTTTTGTGCTGCAGATTGCGTTCTTGGTTTCCTTGCTCTTTTCACTTTACCTCCCAGTCTTAGTTTTCTTTTCTTATATTTCAATATTCCTCGTTGTGAACTATATCATATGCGAATTTTTGAATCGAGGTATCCCTAAAGAAGGTCTCAAATCAACCAATGATGAACAGTCAAGAGGTTGGGCAAGATACGATGATGAGTACTGGATTTTTCTGAACGGGATCTGTGTTGGGTAAGGCTACATTACATGTACTTCTAAACTGATTCCAGAATTAACCATGAAGACAGAAAAAACTGGCTACAGAATAATGTCGATCGTCTTGCTCGAACGTTTCATCGTCCCATTGTGGGTGTTCATAACAAGACGTATGTTTCATCTTTCCCATCTCATAAACCATCGAACTAACTTGAAGAAGTTCTGGTGTCGTCTTCGATATCATTCAGTGTCTTATTCAAAGATCTATGCTATATGCAACTTCAGATGTTCGCGAATGCTACGCACTGGTCAAAAAGGCTCTCTACCGCAAAGGGGTTAAAAAAGTAGTTTTCATCCTCCACTCTCAGGGTGGTATAGAGGGTGGAATGATCTTGGACTGGCTTCTCAACGAAGTTCCTCAGGACCTCTTGCAATACCTTGAGATATACACATTTGGCTCCATAGCCAACCATTTTAACAATCCATATCGACAAGTCATCTCGCACGGTGTGAACTCTGAGTCGACAGAAAATATGATACAGATAACGCCAGGACACGACCGTGCAATTCGGCATATAGAGCATTATGCGAACAGATACGACTTTGCGAGCCGATTTGGAGTGCTTAACTTTACGAAGAAGGCACCCGAAAATCACCTCGAGAACCGCTTTATGGGTAAGGTATTCGTGAATCCAAGGTCAGGACATCAGTTAAACCAACACTATCTTGACACGATATTTCCTCTTGATAAAACCAACAGTTTTACGAGAGACCCTCGAGAAGGTGATTTTATGGATTTGAATGCGGTTTTGAAGGAGCCTGGTCAATACGAAACGAAAGCAGAATCAAGGGTACCGCACCTTATTCTCAACAACCTTGATTCAGACCAAAAGGAGACGCAGATACTCAATTTTAGCCCAGTGTTGACATCACGTGTGAATACAGAATGGGAAGGGGATATAGGTATCAACGGGGCGGATCTACAGGCCAAGTTGAAAACTCGCGATCTTAGTAGGCTATGGCAGTATCGAAACGGGGGTCGGCCCCGGTTCTCGTGTTAATAACCTTCAAAAATTTGCTGTATTTAGCAGAAACAAAATAAAAATATTTTTCGTCATCATGAATTTGATCAATATCGTTTTCCCATTTCCACAGTCACATCCTCCCGCACAATAATGCCATCGCGGGTGATTCCATTCTCACCCACCAAAACCTCTTCGTCACTCCTATTATCATTGCGGGTGATATATGACTCTGTTTGTCCCTCATGTGTCATGCTGAACAAACTATTGTCTTTCATCAAGTTTCGCATGCGGAACCGTGACGAATGATCTGATCCGGGTTGCTGGTTATATCTTTCATCCGAGCTTTCCGGTTTCGATCCATGGACGATGACACGATAGAGGGGCCGGACTGTGGGAATACCAACACAGATAAGGGTGACTGCCAACTCGACGGCCGACCAAACAATAAGACCAACAGTAGCTTCTAGTTAAGAGGAAAGTAAATAATAATCAGCATGATGAGATCAAAATCGATAGCGGAAAGAGTTACTAACCAGTGTAATTGCTACTGTTCATACCCACAATATCGATTGATCGAATAATTCCGCAAGCACAGGCTCTATGAACAAAGATTAGTCAATATCCTCGCAATTGGTAATTTCAAGGCAACACACATGAAACCTAGGCTCAAACTTATCGCAATCGACATCTTCTCCTTAAATTTCATGTTTAAATTCCAAATAAATATCCATGGAAGAACGGCAAGGTAGAAGTCCACAACAGCACACCAAACTAGATCAAAATAACATCGTTCGTCAGCCGATATTTATACCATCGGATATTTTATCCGCAGAATAAGGTCACTTACTCCCAAGTGCAAGTGCAAAAGGCGTGATAGACAATAAAGTGCGGCCTGGCACGCGCGGATCGTAAATAGACTCAGCCGGGAAGCGTTGAAGCCAGAAAGTAATACTTGTCGTTACTGAGATAGCAGCCAAAGTCATCATGCAGAACCAGATGGAGATTCGATGCCACTGCTTTACGACAATGCGAAGGAGGAAAAGGCCGAGTGAAATCTTCGCAATAGCCATCCCCCATACTGCAAATGTCTGGCCAATCATCTCCCAGTACACAGCTTTGGCAGCCGAATCAATCTGTAAGTCCGTTATAGGCTGTCCGAATCCAAAAAGTGCTGAATTTGTCATGAATATCGTGTACAACAACAAGAAAACCTATAGATAATTCAGTACCTAGGAATTGTATCTTCAAGTTGCCTTTTACTCCATGTTAAGGGGAGGAATAACATACCCAAGCCAGGTTGAAGACATGATCGTCTATCCCGACTGCTTTGACAACATAGACTCTTGTATACAGCCTGAGCAGGACTAAAACCAAAGAGAGGAATGTCATCACCCACATGACCGCGATCGAACGAGGTCCTTTACCACCCATCATTTTGAATTTTATGACTCCGGCAAGACTTGAAGCCCTTGAGGAAATGGAAGAAAAACAAAGGTCAGAGTTTCTCAGGGATCGCTGCTACGAAATCTACCTACGCGAAAAGTGGTTGCATCATCTAGATATAAGGGCAGTATGATGTTGCTCTGGTGTTTCTGAAAGAAGAAAATCAGGAAGAGGTTTAAGCACAGATTGTGATGGGTCGGCGACATAAGTACAAGTGAGGACATTAATGATGTTACAAGTAACAGTCATCGGAAGCAAATGATTGGTCATAAACGAAGTACATGAGGATCGGCCTAAAGCCGCATGTAAATGTACTTGTGCGAGGGCAAAATCATTGGCGTAGGCAACTGTTGCCGGAATGAGATGAAATTCAGGTCCGACTCCAGAGCGCCACAACGCCTCACTTTTGCACTAGGCTTAACTTTATTGTCTAAGCTAAGCTTAATTCAAGAGGTGGAAGAGTTTCACTGTAGAACACATCATTTTTGGGGAGAGGGGTCCACACCGTGGCTTAGTTTTCGAAGACTTATGTAGTACAATTTTGTCGATCAGTGTCTGTGCAGTCGACATATCACCTGTCAAAACGGCGGAGTCTCGTAGGAAAGCTTCGTGTTCTCCCGGCTCGCTTGATGAGAACTTCCGCTTCTTCTCGTTGGCTCGGGTATCCCGCTGTCACAGTGCTAGTCTAATGCATGGGGAGACTAGCGCCACTCATGGTACTTTCTCATCGTGATCCTAGGCCCATGATGGATCTAGCCCACCTAGAGAAAAAAAAGGGCAGCCCCTGGGCGTTCAAGTTGTTACCAATTAGAGTTTTATGGGGTACTTTGGACATATTATAGAGATGATATCGCTGAAGATTGACTGCACCAAAAGGAAGTTAAACCTATGCCTGCACTTCTATATAAGCGACCGCACAGACGGGGGCTATATTTAAGTTCATTGCATTTTTTCGAGGCTGTCAAGTTCCCCCGAAACCTCTCTCACCGGATGGAGGCTCCGTGCTTAGGAATTATTGTTTTTCAACCCGATCTGGAATATTCCCACCGCAAAGCTAGACTTTAGTATCGAACATCGCGTGTACAGAATGCTTTTATGAGCATTTTTGACGGTTGCCACTGGTGTTCGGTATTGACCCAGATAACACACGAATTCTGAAGTACACCTGCAATACTCTCTCAGGCCTCGAGACCCGCGCTTGCTTTGAAATTTTGCAAGCTTCTGCAGAAACGGATCCTGAGCCACTTCCATACAGGGACCTCCAGATTGGAGACCAAAGCTCGGCCAAGGCATTTTTACGGCGTGGTGATCATTCCAAATAAATGGAAAGTATCCGACTGGAGCTCACAGAAGCACGCAAATATGCCATCACAGCTAATAAAGAGGTAGCACTTTCCTATCTTATTGATTTCTTCCGCACTGTGGACTACAAAGTTACATTTCGAAATGCCCTAAAGCATGGGCAAAAGGTAAAGCACCTCGAATTAAGCATGCTTCGGGTTTCATGTTCATCTACCGTGACCCTGGTGGTGCAAGAACTGACTGGCTAGCCGCAGTCGGTATCGCAGACGCTGATGAATCAAAGAAGATGAGCCAGCTGATTACTCGATTCACAGAGTTTCTCCAAATTCTCCCATAGGCTATACCAGGTGAAGATAATGGAAAGGGGCCATTTGAGTATAGCGAATTACAGGTTCCAGATTTCGCAATTCTTCACTGTAGGTATTAAAGCCTCTGTCTCTACTTATAAGTACATATTAACGATATCTAGCTCTTGCCTCGGTGGCTTTTGATATCTAGGAAGCCTTTAACATCAACGTCGTCAGCCATTCTGGTGTGAAAATGATATTAAATGGGATTGATAACTAAATATTCAGAATTTTGATGATGGGAAAAACTACGGAGTGAAAAACATCATTTATGGCAACAGATTGACGCTTAACAGTAGCCCTGGCCATCCATGCTATTACGTGCACCCCTCAGAGGCAGATTCATACATGAAACACGCCCATACAATTCGTTTCACCCTCACATTGATACACGAACTCCTGGGGCATGGAAGTGGGAAAATACTCGCTGAAACTGCCCCAGGAGAGTTCAATTTCAACCATGTGAATCCTCCGATTAGTCCCGTAACAGAGAAAGCTATTCAACGTTGGTACAAGCGAAAGGAGACCTGGGGAACAGTGTTCGGAAATTTAGCTCCATCGGTTGAAGAGTGCAGAGCCTTTCTTTTTTCGTACTACTTCATCGACAACAAGGATATTCTGCCTATCTTTGGTTATACTGAAAACAGTTTGCCAACAGCAGATGATCGTGAGTATTCCCACTATCAGCTCAAAAAGAATAGCGAAGATTGAAAGAGCTAATGAATGTCATTTACTATCCCTATCTTCTCATTGGAGTTGAAGGGCTACGTGAGATTCGTAGTTACGATGTTGGGCATCAAACTTGGAGAGGTGATCCTGATCAGGTGAGATATTGATGTGTCAACAGTAATGGAACATTGGCTTTCTGAGTCTAACTGACGGTCTTACCCTTCCAAGGCACTGTTCACGATATTGAATGACATCTTACATAACGGGGATGAAGTCCTCACAGTTGAGCACGACGTGGTGAATAAGAAGCTGTCTCTTCATGTCGCTCGCTCCAAAATCATCCCCCATGGCAGACCAGTGATAGGCCAGATACTCTGCAAGATTCATATATGGCGCTCTACGGCTGACTTTGATGCATGCCGCCCTTTCTATGAGGGCCTGAGCGTCGTAGATGAAGTCTTGGAGTCTTGGAGGAAAATTGTAGCTTCCAACCCCGAGCCAAAGTGGAAGTACGTGCAACCTAACACTTCCGCACGAGATGACGGTGTAATCAAACTGCGGGAGCATGTGGCTAGTAATGTTGGGATTATTCAGACCTTCTTGGAATGAGGTATTTAACATGGTTAGACATGTGCATGCGTTTTGTGGGATCATTTTGCACAGCTTCCAGATGTCCAAAATTGCTAATTGTCTGACTTTCCATATTAAAATATCATTTTTCCAAATCAATGGATCAGTGCGAGGGGCTGTCTTCAAGACGAAGCAATTTAGGTAGGTTGCCTTCTACTAGTAGGTAGATGAAACTCTTTTGAAGCTGCATCGCATATTTGACTTTTTTGAAGAAAGAACTTTGGAAAATGATGATCATCTTCCATCCTTTTCAGTTTTTTGAAAATATTCCTATTAGCAAAGTCGAGTTGAATTAGATAGTATGATTGTTCTGCGTCCGAAATCCAACTCTCAAAACTCAAATTTTAACCGACATACCACCTTGATCGGTTGAGGCAGTTTAATATGAACGTCTCCAACATGAATCCAGTCCTTTTGAGGGTCCTCAGACACTCGTCCTAGCAATTCATCGACACAATTCGGCATCACAGTATTATTCCGTAATCGCATTATCAAAGTGGAAAGTCTTCTCTCCGGTAAAGATGGTAGTTCCGCCTGATCCTCCAGGCATCGGTGGGTATCTGTCAAAAGAGCAACGCAGTCTTTATCCGCTATGATAGCTGTTACATTCATCTCTACCACCTTGTCACGTAGTGGGGTATACATTTCATCGATCGCGTTCATATATCTTTCCTTGGGAAATTCGGTCGAAGAAATGAGCGTATGTTTTGCCGGGGACAAGACATTTTTTTGGACCTGGAAGTCCAGCCCCAGCCCATAGAAATCAATGACACCTTGTAGACGAGCTGTTTGCTCATTGTCCAAGGTCAGGCTCACTGAGGCTGGATATTTGCTGCGGATTGTCATTGGTGTCCCAATTTGGTTGGCATGAATGAATCCAACTTGCTTTTGATCGAGGACATTGATAAACCCTTCCGCCCCGGTCTTGCGTTTTAACAAAATGGTCAGGTAAAATGGCATACCTGCCACATCCCCAATTTGTGCTTTTCCAAGTTTTGATATAGGAGTATCTCCGTGAACGATGAAGGTATTGGTATCGTCATCCTTGTAGGAGATCACAAACTGGTCGCTAGTCACAGTCACGCAGACGGAGAGATTCTGGTCGTTCAATGGCTTTCCGTGGTAGAACCAGGAGATTGGTTCGTTTGCTCGCTTTTTTGCCGCAGTTCCAGTCACACCATTTCGAATCAATATGGTATCGTTTTTCTTACCAACAACGTCGACTCCCCGCTTGTTCGAAAGTATCACGGAGAAGACAACACCTGGATGCAGGTTTCGTAGGTCTAGGGCTGTTGACCAGGACTGTTCATTTTGGAGATCTTGAAGATAGATTGGTTGGCTGACATACTTGTCATCGGCTTGGAAATGGAGGGAATCAAGTGGAGTTTCATTGTCGAGTCGTGTGAAAATGAATGGCATGGCTGCGACTGAGACAGCGTGAATCATGGGTATAGTAGGAAGATGAGGGAAACGATTTTTGTACGACCGATAAGTGTCATGTACGGTCTTTTTTATTTCATTGAGCTTATCCATAGTAACGAACTCTGGCTTATCGGGGCCATAAGTCTGGGGCACTCGCTGTGTCACCAAAGCTTGCATCAGACTTGCAAACAGACAGGATATTGTGTAATCATTTTCCCAGGTACCTCCCCTGGATTTACTCGATAGAATGTCAAAGCACATCGTGCTGTGGTTGTCGTTGGTGAGGTGGGATCGATAGACATCAACATTGTATCGCAGAGTACGAGTGAAAAGGTGAAGTACAGGAGGGCAGTCCGGGTAATCTTCGGGGATGATAAGTTCGCCGATCAGAGGGAGATGCGAAAGTGCGCCGTCATTGGGGAACATGACAAAATTCCATTTAGATTTGTTTCGTGTATTTCTTAAAACAGTTCGGAGAGAATGGAAATCGGCGTTGACATCTTCGATCTCCTTGTGGACTCGGAGCAGGTCACGTAGCGCCATTTTGGAGAGTGGAGCATTCACTGGCCCCGGCGTAACAAGAAATGCTACGTTTTTGATCTCGAACTTGGAAACAATCTGCGTCGCGTTTCTTCTTCTACGCTTACTTCAGAAACAAGCAGCATTTTATAAACAAGAAAGAAAGAGTCTGACTCATACTCGGCTTATAGTGGGAGTCTATGCGCGGCGTCCCGAAACGGAATAGGCTCTTCTTGCTTAGATGAGGCGGGGACCGTTTTTAATCACCAAATTTTATGGGAAAAGTGTTTTTTTAATTTACCGATGGTGTCACCATGACTTTATGAATAGCTTTTGCTATCCTCTCTAAGGAGGGGTTTAAGCATTCGTTTCCAGTGAGTAACAAAAGGCCGAGGGTTTCAATATGAACATCGCCGGAATCATTATCAGGAACAAAGACGGAAAGTCAAAAGCAGAAATCGTATATGTTGCTTCCTTCTTCAAACTCAAGACTTTATGAAATCCAGTAAATCTTTGTTCATCTCATCAACGTTGATGTTGTGAATAGCATGAGAACCTCCAGGATAGATCTTAAGTTTTCCTTGCGGTAGAAGTTTTGCCGACTTCAGCCCAGCTGCACCAATAGGCACGACTTGGTCGTCATCGCCATGAAGAACAAGAACAGGAACATCGATGCTCTTCAGGTCATTGGTGAAATCTGTTTCCGAAAAGTCCTTGATGGAATCATATGCGGCCTTGAAGCTCGTTCTCATCCCTTGCTCCCACCAGCTTCGAATTTGACCCTCGCTCTTCGGCGCATTAGGTCGGTTAAAACCAAAGAAAGGCCCAGTCGGAACGTCCAAGAAGAATTGGGCACGATCTTTACTCATCGCCTCTCTGAACGAATCAAAGACAGACTTTTCGGTTCCCTCTGGGTTGGCTGATGTCTTCAACATCAGAGGTGGCACTGCTCCAACGAGGACAGCTTTCTTCACTCGGCTTGTGCCGTGTTTCCCGAGAAAGCGAGTGACTTCGCCTCCTCCGTGCGAGTGTCCGACGATCATAGCATTCTTGATGTCAAGATGCTTGTAAAGCTCTTGAAGATCATCCACGTATATCTCCATGTTATGTTCAGTCCAATTCTGAGTTGAACGTCCATGGCCACGCCGGTCGTGGGCAATCACACGATATCCGTGATTAACTAAGAAAACCATCTGACTCTCCCAGTTGTCGCTGCTGAGAGGCCATCCGTGTGAAAAAGTGACAATTTCTCCCTTGGGGTTGCCCCAGTCCTTGTAGAAGAGTTCGGCACCGTCTCGAAGTTTCAGATAAGGCATATTGGTTGTTTCGAAATGATCAAGATAGAGATTGGAATTAATCAGTGTTGAAAGTTTTTTGGCCATCAATCGACCTTTTAACCTCTCTTACTTTATTTTCATGAAGTCAATGAGAAATATGTATGATGTCATGTCTATTACGACACCATTTAGTCTGGCCAGACCTCATTTTCCTAAAACGGGGCAGACAGCTAGATTTATCCGGTATTATTCAAATCATTTGACAGGCTATAAGAGTTCTTTTATGAAATGAAAGCATAGCAGCGGGTCAATGGCTGTTGGATGTCAATTTTGTCGGCGAGATTGTTGAGCCGCGACCGCGACACGCTTAGATGCCTCGGCTCACTCGCAAGTGGCCTCCGTTGACAGAACAGACTAAATTACTTCAATTACTGGTTTATCGCAAAAACTTAAATTCTTTTGGGCATTGCTGTACACAATTAATTGAATTGAATAAATCGAAGTGAACAAAATTTGTTCGGTGTCTCGTCTATGGCCTAGATGTTCGGCCCTAACGTCATATTTTGAAAAGTTGTCTGAATTGCTGGGAGCTACTAAGTGGACACCCCATTTGGCTATCTGAACTCTCTATCCTACCTATTTAGAAAAGTGGCTGTATGTGTCTTAATACAGAGAGGTTACAGTAGGAGACCAGGATTCTACTTTCTCACCGCCAGGTAGTTAGGTAAACGAGTATGTACCAGTACTATCTCAGTACCAGAATAAGTAGGCATCCAATGGTCCTACTAGCAGAAGCCACAAGACCAGCTATTTCTACTATATTATATACCTTCTGCCCAAAAAGTGTGTATAATTTACTACTACAATATTTTGATTAGAACTGACCCCCGTGGTAATACATATACAGTACCTTTCCTAAATGGACAGGATAGGATGTTCAGGTAGCCAAACGGGACTTAGTAGTGCCTGAATTGCTGGTTATTAAATTGCGCAAAAGGGTATGTTCAGTTGGGTTTACAAGTCTATTCTTTGTTAAGTACATTGAGATGCAATCAGCTCCAAGGCTAGCTGGGAGTCGGGTAATCGATCAGAGATTGACTTTGCTGAGTTCGGCTTCAGTCCAATCCCACAACTCCTTTCCCATTTTCTCACTCCGGACATACTTGTTATGCGGTTTGTGAATACCCACAGGGACATAGTAAGCTCCATTGACCAGTTCCTCTTTCTTGGCACCTGCTGCTGCCCATAGTTCATTGTAGGCCCCCTCAGCGATTGATGACCCGAAAAAGTTCAACGTCTTGGAGCCAAGAGCAACAATAGAAGAGCGCTGGCTGATAGAGCCATATAGATCCGTCAAAATTATTCCAGGATGAACGGATACCGAGGTGATCGACGGATGGCGCCGGCTAAGTTCGGCCGCGAACAGAATGTTGGCTGCCTTTGAAGCACCATATCGGGCAGAGGTATCGACTTTTTTGAGCTTTTCTTGGTTGAGAATTGTTTCGAAGCAAGGCGCATAGTTGTGTCCGACTGAAGCGAGCGACACGACACGGACGTCTGAATTTGGTTCCTCTGCTGTCTTCAGCAATGCTGGTAGCAAAAGCTTGGTCAACAGAAAATGCCCGGTGTGGTTGGTTCCCAGTTGGATTTCATGGCCCAATTCGGTTTCCCCAGGGGGAAGAGCCATGACTCCAGCATTGAGGACGAGGATGTCAAGTCTTTCGGACTGGGAGTTGAATTGTTTGGCCGCATTCTGAACTGATTCACAAGATGCCAAGTCTAACGGGAGCCAGATTATTTCGACATCAGCGGATATGGAGGATTTAATGGACTTGATAGCCTCTGTGGCTTTTGATTCCGATCGTGCGCCCAGAAAGATCTTGCTTGGCTTGTGTTTTGAAAGTTGAAGGATGGTTTCTTTGCCGAGCCCAGCGTTTCCTGGAACTCGTTAGAAATTTCTTTTGCAAAGATTTTGTCCTTTTTTGGTGATACAGAGTGGATTTCAAGAATTTTAAAACAAACATACCACCTGTAACCAGCGCGACCTTCCCAGATAAGTCGTGAATATCCTTTTCGGGGTTGAAACTCACACCACCGATATAGTTGAATGGGTTCGCAAATGCTGCAACAAAGCTTGCCATGATTGCAGTTGTTCTGGCCGGGAGGCTTAGCTGCCTTTACTAAACTGGGTAATGAGTGACGGCCGGGTAGTGCGCCAGCGGCATTGTTCATATACCTTTGATCGGATCAATTAACTCTCCGATGATCGCCAATTTAAAGTGGAGCAAACTCAAATTTGAATGCTTACCTCTTTCACATGCAGCAAAAGTATCCACAGAAGAATTGGTCCCGGTGATAATTAAATAATCATACTGTACTAGAATTTTCAGTAATAATCAGGCGTCGTTTTCCAGCTAGGTTAGATAAAGATCCAGCGTTCATTCTCACCTGGATTTTCGCGCCAGCTGGCTATCCCTTGTCAAGCCTTGGTGTGTTGCACACTCGGTTAACAAAGTCCAAATTTAAAAATCATATTGTGTCACAATGGACGTACGGACACTAGCAAAATACTGCTCGTGGCTCTGGAGCTGGTCATGGTGACTATTATAGATGATATTGTACAGACTGTACGGAGAAGTGGAGATGAAGCAATATGAATATTTTGGTGCCTAAGGCCTATATTAGTGCCCGATTTGTCAGGCAACGAACGGACGAAAGTGGGTTTAGCACCAGGCTTCAGGCAACAAGGACATCTATCGAGTAACTAAACAAACACTATAGTTACTATCCTACTAATTCAATAATGTTCAAAAGAATAGTATAATCGATAGACTTGGAATATCTCGGTTAATAAGCTATTACCGACACTTAGATGGTCTTACCAGATTGTTGTGCTAGGAAAGGAGAGAACCTGGAGCAGATTCAAGTTTAAACGTGCAGTACGAATAACCCTACCCAGGTATCATTAATGTCAGACTTGAATCATGTGGAGAATGAATAATTCAAAAGTCCCAGTTTTATGTACTAGTACACTTTTGGAAAAAAAATAACTTTGAAATACAGTTTCCATATCTGATGTCGGGGGTCGATCCATGGGTTTTAAATTATTTTCGCTCGATAAAAGGACAAGGTGTGAAAATTCTTTCGTGTGTATATTTTTACTATTCCCTATTTCTCTATGAATACTTCTTTGTATCTCTCAACAATTTCATCTACTTCTATGTACACCCCCTTTTTCTAATACTACAATGCAGAACGACTATGGCCCAAGAAGGTACAAAGAGACTCCAGCCTTCACGATATACTATTTCATTTGTTAAAAATCTATATGGATTTATAGGCGAAGTCTGTATTGAATTGTCTCTATATACGGCCTCTTCAAGCGAAAATTCCAATGAGGGGGGTACGATTCTCCCCTGCTACTCCAGACCTCCTTCACATAGATCGATAGATCAATAGATGACCACGCTAGCTCTATACTCTCCTTAGCTACGACTCAAGGTGTTATAGAAAGCTCATCTTTCAAGGCAAGAAATCACTGAAACAAATTTCAAAGTGGTTTCCATGAACCGGTTCATACGATCTCACGGGTGTGGTTAGAATTCTGGAAAGTTCTTTGGTCATCCTCATACTCTTTGTGAGGACCTGCGGGTCTGTAGACGGTGGAGGTAAAAGGTGAACTTCTATTCTTTCTGAGAAGGAAGGAGATATGCTCGTCACCTACACGTGACGCTAGACCAAAAGGTGTAGGTCAACTAGACTAACAAACTAATGTCGTGACATCACCCCGTAGACTTTCGCTTTCTTCCAACGTCTTCTGTAATATCCTGTTATCCTAGCGACATGGTCCTGTTCTATGGAGTATTATGAAATTCCGAACGGCAACGGCAGAGTCGCCATCGTTCAGAGTTACGTTGACCTTTCCCTTGAAGGATTTTGGAAGATTTGAAATCGTTTCTAGCACATTTGTCATATCGCCTCACTCTATGACCACTTCGTCAGTTGCTGTGAGTGAAACATCAGGAACGGACAGGAAGTATCCTCTCATGTGCTGGCCATCTGTATGTTGTCCGACACCGTAAGCCAAGCCTGCTCCGGTGCGATCATCCCCATTAGGTGAAGCCTATAGGCATAACGTAGATAGTCTGTGCCCTCGAAACCTTCTTCAATACTCCTGTACTCATCGTCGAGTTGCAGGTTCTTGAAGGTTTTCCAGATGGTTGGCGTCTTTTTCTGCGCCAGTGTCGTGATCTTCCCGGTATGTAATTAGGGCAGTGGTAGCAGCGTACCCATTATTGCGGGCGTTGATGGCAGAGAGAACTTTCTCCTTCAGTTGTGGAAAGAAAATCTTTGAAATCTGAATAGAGGAGGCTGAGGATGGCGGTGTTGGGGGTGGAGAGGTTGTCAGTGGAGATGTGGGAGACATGGGGGGTCGGGAATGTGCTGATATTTGGAGGCTTGGAAGGCTTGGATGGATCCATCTTAATGAAGTGCGCTAGAAAAAGGCGTTCGTTTTAAGTCAGGGGAATACCCCTTGGTCTTTTTCCGGTAGACACTTTCCATCTCAGCCAGGTCGCCGTCCGGGAGCCGGTCCTGGGACTGGTTGGTTGTCTGTTGGGAGGTCTTGAGGGTCTTCTTTATAGCAGAAGGAGGCCTGTAAAAGGCATTCACTAGAGCGGCGGGCACTGGAGTAGAGCTTGACGTCTTTTTTGTAGGTTTAGCTGGAGACTTGGCTGATATCTTTGTTTCAATCTCCCATTTCATCGCACCAGAGCAAAGGTCGATTCGTCCGCTTCCACAAGGCGACCGCTCGCTTTGAACACCCATAGCATACACGAGACTAGAGGGTTGCTTTCGGGATGCTGATCAATCGGGGCCTTCAGTTGACAGGTAAATGGATCGGTCAGGCCAATCTCAACGTCCTCGATACTTGCTTGTCCGGTGGAGCGTCTTGAGCTAGTTCTCTGTTGCAGTTCAGTGTTATGGGGCCTGGTTTCAGAAATCTGGTCAACTGGGGCCTCTGCTAGAAAGACCATTAGGGTGCTGTAAACGACTGATGTTTGAAGCTCTTTGATTGAATGAGGGCCTGGATCTGGTTCTGAACTTCATCGCTGGAACGCGGTGGTTGTTGTAGTCTTCTTGGAAATTGCATCTGTACGCAATATTCACGATCTCCCTGCGTCGGTCGCCAAGAATGAGAACTCCCGATCCTATTGACGGGACCGTATAGTATTTAAAATGATGATTCACCAGGGCACACACAGTGGACGAAGAGATAGATGCATTGCTAAGGTTCTTCCCCTAACGGGAAGGTAGAACTAAAACTAAAACTCTGCCATGTGACGAGTTGCTAACGACACCTTAATAATAAGTATGAAAACTCCTTCAAAACCCGCCACACCATACCACACATGGGGCCCGAGCCCGTAGAATCACAGATGTGATTCGATGCGTAAGCCTGGTTGTGTAACAAAAAACAGCAGAACGAGAATAACGGTGGCCGCAACATCCCTTGGGTATCAGTAATGAATTCTCGCCACGAGAAAATGTCGAATGAAAAGAAGAACGAAAATGAATAACGCCCGACACAAAAACTTCCAGAAACTTATTCCCTCTCACAGATCATCCATCGTGTCCTCCTTCTCATCCTCAGATCGAGCTCTGTCTGGAACATCGTTGTCACCTTCAATATCCTTGTTGTCTTTCTCAGGCAGGGCCGTAACTTCTTGTCGATGGAAAGGATTGAATGGAACTTCATTTCCATGCTTGATGAGTTCCAATGCAAGTGCATCACTCCATCTTTTCTCGCTGGCCAGACACTCCTTGAGCATCGCAACTTCTTTCTTCAACGCCAGGACAAGTTTAGTTGTTTGTTTTTCAAGACGGTCCTTCTCCACGACTGCTTCCGCAACCCTGAGAGCATGAGTTTCTTTCAATCCCAGCTTGCGCTTCTTGCCTCCACTGGATTCTGCTTCGAGAACTTCAATAGCGGTGGCCATTCTCTGAGCTTCAGTTGGACGAGGAAGAGGGGTTTTCTCATCACGCTTGGCGAACTTTCCTCGATTCCCTGTCACATCAGTCGCAGGGGCATTCCTGAGATCAAGCCGAGCTTGAAGCAGGATTCCAGCGATTGATTGACTTTCTTGCTGTCCTTTCTGGATTCTAAGCACCTCGAGTCTAACATCTATCGGTGGATGTTTGACAAATGCACGCTGCTTATTACACTTCGCTATTCAACTGGTCGATGCTCGAACTCGGGCTCTCGCGTCTGCGGCGAGGATGTCTTTAGTCGATCTGACTATGTATTCAACTGCATGATTGCGCACATTAGTTTTCGCCTTATTGAGGTCAATGGTAGGATTACTGTCTTTGGCGAGTTCTCATCTATGGATGCGCTGTATCGAGCCTTCAAACGGCTTTCTTGGTGAGATCGGGACGAAAGTCTCGACGGATCGAGGGCGCGAATTCCACCAAATGCTTCGCCTTAATGGAACTTTCCCTTTCACAGTAGCTCCATGGCTGTAGTGACTTCTTGTCACTATTTTCTCTGAGATATTTGCCGCGATTTAGGCGTCTCGCATCCGAGTTAAACATTGGAAAGGTGACATCGGGATATAGCAAGATTCGTGAACAGCGCATACGTGGTCTGGGGAATCAGAGGAGCGAGACAAGTTCCACTCGGGTCTTGCAAAGAAAGGTCCGGATTCTGTCAATGGATTGATTGCAGGCTCTTGAGTGCGTCGAAAACATGTTGTTGGGCTGGATTCGTTGATCTGGTCGGGGCCTTCGAACTAGATCGTATCTCGGGCTTTCTCAAAGGTCGGGCAATGAAATAGATATTTTGGACTTGAGGAAGACTCTGGATGATTTGAGCTTGAGTAGATTACAAGGGATAGTAGTTCCATCTCTCCTGGAAAGATCCATTCGTACCCTTTGTGATCATGTGGTCAATTTGGCAGGTGCGGTTTGATATCGGAAAATACGGCAACCGTAAAAACGGAGTTGTATTATACTAGTATGAAATAGTGCGATAGCATACTAGCAAAATAAATATACCTAGGTACCTAGATAATATATAGTTACTGCGATCTCTATATTAGTCTGGCTCTTCCGTGGCTCTTCTGGATATTGGTAGTTCTGAAAGCATTGTTCTTGTGTGGCTGGAATATTACCTCAAAACTCCAGTTGGACAGCGCCAACTTCAAGAGGGAAGCCCACATTATCATAACTTATACTAGTATCATTATCATAGAAGCGGCTCATTCAGTAGGCTTTCAATGTGATAGAGGACTAATTTCCTTCAAGTTTGGGTCATTACTGTGCATAGGGTTGCTTGTCAACAATACATCTGTAACCTAACCTGCCAGTGCATGTGATGAGCCCTCCTTGTTTTCTAGTTTTCTTTGCCAAAAATAATCCTGATTGCAATTCAGAGCAAAATGTTAACCGACAGCTGGCGGATTTGAACCGCCGCCTCCGAAGAGAATTGATTTCTAGTCAATCGCCTTAGACCACTCGGCCAAACTGCCTTAGATAATATTCGAATCACAGAATAAACACCTAAGACCTAAATATTAAAAAAGTAGGAGATGCAGTCATTCTTGAAATCGGCTTGACCGATATACACTCAATCACTTTTTTCTGGCCGCACTGCCAAGACCTTAGTGTAGACAATTAGGTGGGCGGGCCGCAGTAAGTTGAGGGCCACCCTAAAACGATGTCTATATAGTATTGTAAAGCGCTAGTAAGTTTCCTTAAGATGAACGAAATGTTCGTAGAATGCTGTGAAAACTTAGATTATATCTGCACATTTGCACAAATAATACCAGCCGACAGCACTATCAGGCACTCCTGATTAGTAATTTATCTTACTACAATATTATGCCTTAGCTGGGTAACTTTGAGGGCCAGGTACCTACGTTGGAGAGAGAAACTCGGCGACGGTCGGTAAATACAAGAAAGTTCTATTGGAATTGGGGTTCTTCCTAATAAATTAATGCACTTGATATTTTGCCAGCAGTATGATAACTTGTCTTTCATTCTCTGGTAGTCGTATAAAAAGATGGCACGGTGAGCTCGCTCCACAAACAAAATTTACTGAAAAAGTTTCTTACGTTCACGGCTCCATGGTGCAACGCTGGCCTTTGTGGCGGCGTTCAAACTCATCATTCGGCGCGGTGTGTTACCAAAGTTATCTTCGTGGTCGACATCTGCTCCATAGTCGATCAAAAGCTTCACGACACCTCCATGATTCTTTTCAGATGCAAACAATAGTGGAGTAACACCGTCTGCATCTTGAGCGTTCGCATCGGCTCCTCTGCTGAGAAGTATGTTGACAACAGCTTCATGGCCTCTTTTAGAAGCCTCTGCCAGTGGATGTCCTGTATTTATATCTGCACCACACTCGATGAGTATTTCCACCACATTTTCATGGCCTCCACTGGACGCAAGTCTTAGCGGACAGCCTTTATCCACATTGGCTCCATTGTTGATCAAAAGTCTCACAACTGCCTCGTGGCCCCACCGAGCAGCTTCCGCCAGTGGAGATCCGTGAAGAATATCTGCTCCCTTTTCTAAGAGAAATTTCACTATATCCCCATGGCCTGTTTGAGAGGCATGGGTTAGTGGGTGACGATGGTTGACGTCTGCTCCACTTTCCACAAGAAGTCTCGCAATATCTGTATGGCCACTTCTGCTGGCTTCTACGAGTGCGGGGTTTTCTTCATTCTGGTCATCATTGACAGGCACTGTTTTGTCCGAAAGTAGCAGCTCGACAATTTCGAATCTACCACATCTGGCAGCCCAGGAAAGTGGTGTTCCTGTCATGCTATCTTCTCCGGCCAGAAAAGAACGGATAGGAGACTTGGAGTCTTCCCGACGTATAATATCCACTCCTTTATATATGCTGCTGGAAAGATTCAGAAGGGCAGCAACTGTGTCGGCATGGCCCTTGCTGAGAGCCGCAAAAAGTGGGTGCTTGATGTTCCCCCCCCAAAGCATGAACATTTATATCTCTCCTGCGCCATGTTCGAATGAGCTCAGAAAGTCCATATGTAGCGAATATGTGAAAAAGACCATCCTTCAGGCCAATGGGCAAAGACTCAGCGCCCCAACCTCCGTGGTAGAAGGCTCTTGTTTCTTTCCAGTAAAGAAGAGGAAACGAAGATAAGAAATCATCTTGTAGTACCAATTTCGCTGCACCCTCTGCATGAGATAGGACATATTCAGTTGCATAATCTAGGAAAGCATATCCTCGTGGGATCGTGTCTATTCCCTTGTTCACACTGGCTTTTGACCTAAGCCAGGGATTTTTTTGGGTTTGACCAATACCGGATTTCGGGCCCGGTCTCCGATCTGGCTCACCAGGCCATGTCTTCCTTAGTTCGTGGTCCATGTAGAATCTGCAACATTGTTTGAGCACGTCATGAGCCATGGCCTCATCACTAAGATTGAGATCAGGCCACAGATCGTTTAGTCCTTTATCTTTGATAAGGAAGTCTCGAACAGACTCGTGGATAAACTGAACTCTCCTGCCATGATCACTGTCATTCTCATTTTGCTGAAACAACCCATGCATTGGCGTCGTATATGCGGTCCTATGTATTTGCCTCGGTACCTGGGCCATCTTAGGATATGTGGTCCTGTGCATTGGCATCGTATATTCGGTCCTATGTTTTGGTCTCGGTACCTGGGCCATCTTAGGATATGTGGTCCTATGCACTGGCAACGGCACCTGGGCCATATTAGGATATGTGGTTCTCTGTTTCGTCGACTGGACAGGCCTTGTTACCTCAGCAAGACCCTTCGAAGAACTGATGACATATATCGTAACCTTATCGGGTTCTTCCGAGCTGAGGGCGTTTGAATCAGAGGTATCCGACGATGAAGACAACAACTCAGGAATCGCGTTGTCTACCAGATTCTGTTGTTTCATAGCCAAGCCGGACCACAATGCATGGTAGAATTCCTCGGGTCTTAAAGGGCGCTTTGCGTAAAGTATCCATAAGATACAAAGCAAGAGATCTTCTGGATTCTCTGTGTCTCGAAGCAAGATAGCTTTAAACAATTGACTCAAATCGCTTGGCAGTTCTCCTAGTCTCCTTTCCAAGTTGAAGCCGGCTCGACGGTATTCCTGGTTGAGGATGCGGACAACCAGCACAACCCATAGAAAAACACCAGCAGCTTTATCTAACAGCCTTGACTTTAGCTTTTGATGAAGATCAGCATCCTTGATCTTCAGTCGGGTCGAAATGTAGAGCTCTAGGTCTCTGGAGTGACCTGGCTGACTCTCAAGTGTTAACCGTATGCCATGATTAAGAGTAATATGTGGGTAATGCCGACTGGAAAAGCAAATCCGAAAGGAGCTATTCTGGCTGAGGGCTTGCTCCGTGAGATCCTCGAGATGATCAACCATATCGGCTATATCATTCTCGTCGCACTCATCAAGTGCATCAATGAAACAAGTAAGGGCGCGCTGACCGAGAAGAGTAATGGCATTATAGAGGAGGTCCTTTAACGCATTCAGAGGAGGACACCTAATAGTTTCATCTCGGTCTACCGGAGGGATAATATCTTTATCATCCAGTACCACCTGGAGGTCAGGAAAGCCTTGAAGTAGTTGGATGAGCAAAGATCGATATAGCCCTTGGACGGATTTCTCCAAGTCCTCGCCACGAGCGTTGAAGAAAAATGAAGCAATGACAGGATTATCATGACGCCCACTTTTTTTATTGATCTGGCATCGATCCTGCATATCCAAGTATGCAAATTTCATGATAGTGGACTTTCCAGCACCAGGCTTCCCACTGATCCAGAAGAATCCATGGTGTTGAGGTAGTTCCTCCTCGTCGAGCCAGGTTTTGTAATCCTTATGGACTAGAAGCCATTCACATGTTTCCTTCAGGGATGCTGTGATTTCTAACTTCCGTGAATCAATTTCTTTGAATTTCAAGGATGCAAGCGCCTTATCGCGGTGGGTTCGATGATCGGACCCTTCAGGCGAGTTTGCTGTAGTTATGGTCCCGTAGTTATTTCCAACCTGCAGCGATGAATTTCGATCCCCAAAGTTTATGTTCCCAGCCATATCTGTTCGACTCAATGATTTTGCTTCGAGCCGAATATCGCGAGCCTTCTAGGGTCAGATGTTTTGAGAGCTGCGGGGCATGTCCTGTCGGATTTCAGGCCTCCCAGCGAAGCCACACCACTGGTTTTGCTATTTCACCGCCCATATGCACGCAGAAAAAGTCAAAATTCATGACTCTAAACATGACTTCCGTCTGTTTCTTGTAGACACTGACTGGGGTTTCCAGTGACTGACCAGTATGTATAAATTCTCTGATGATGAGAATAGACGTGTGAGCAGTTTGACATCGTTCGGTTGATCGAGTGGTATCTCGTGATAGAATCAGCATTTTTCTTTCTTCAAACCGATTTGGGATCCTCCTGGAAGGTTTTGAAGCCCGATTCGGAATGAACTTCTAAGAGTGTATTGGTAACTCTGATTTCGCATACTACTGTATATTGAGTGGTCTGCACTGTCTCAAGTAACTCCTTGGCAAATCCGCAACAGTCGCTGCCGCATACCATTGCCATATTGTATTTCTAGCAACTCGTGTAGTTCGAGATCTCTCAAATAACACGGCAAGGGAAGAATTGATCAGCCCTATAGATCCCTTTCCGATGCTTTATAAAGACTTCAGAAGCGTGATAGTACATGTACATGTATGAACAGCAAGTCGGTGGCGGCAACGGAAATATGGACAGGCTGAGGAGGAATTTTGGAAAACTGAAGTTACCTAGCTTGTCTACGAATTCGTCTTCCTTGGAGTTCAATCCAAACCTCTTACACGTTGCGAAATTTTACTAGCACTATACAATACCATGCACATAAGTTTTCAGAGATACTGCTACCCGCCCAATGAATTTTCTACGCTAATGTCTTGGCAGTGGGAATACAATGAGGTCAGAAAGGAGTGATTGAGTGTGTGTCGGTCAAGCCGATTCGAGAAAGACTGTAGAGAATGAAAAAGATATATAAAATATATATGTTATATACATAAAAAATATAAAAAAAAAAACTATCCGACAGCTGGCGGATTTGAACCGCCGCCTCCGAAGAGAATTGATTTCTAGTCAATCGCCTTAGACCACTCGGCCAAACTGCCTTAGATGAAATTTAGTTGCAACATTATGACTACAAGACCCTACACTTTACTACCGCAGAGCTGTCCTAGATCCACCTAATCAATACAAGGCACCCTGCCTATATACCCAGGTACTAGTACTAATAATATATACTAGTACCTAGTAACTACTACTAGATAGCATAGTTGTAAGTGACAAAGTAGTAGCAGCATTTCTGAGGATACTACCTACTAGTAGATACTTAGGAGGGCGTAAGAGAAAGAAGAAGATAATTGACAATTTGAAGATGCTATATCACAAGATAAATATATTGTCATGGTGTATGCATACACAGTCATTCCTGTCTGAATCCCAAATCCTCATTATGTATACCCAGTCATGTGAGCAGTGTAGAGCCCGATGATTCTAAATCCTCCCAAGATTGTCTTTTACCTGTGGCACAGCGGTTAAGTGTCTCCAACTTGAACCTTGGAACCTTGAGTGCTCTTGGAGGCGCACCGTGACCTCTAGGCTATAGGTATTTACCTCCAGGACAATCTGACAAGCAATTTTTAGAAACCCCAGGAATTTATCGAATTAACCATAGAAGATATTTTTAATCAGTTGCCCAGGCGAATTTCGATGGTATTTGAGATCAAATAAATCTTTATATAACAGTCCTTTAATTTTGTAATCAATGTATGCCTGCGGTGAGAGGCGGAAGTTTTTGATAAGATAAAAACAACTTTATATAGCATTATTAATCATGGAGATTATATAATAAGGCAGTTTGGCCGAGTGGTCTAAGGCGATTGACTAGAAATCAATTCTCTTCGGAGGCGGCGGTTCAAATCCGCCAGCTGTCGTTTTATTTTTGTTGGAGCTTCTTCCTGAGGAGGAAGCTGAGGCACGAAACAGGTGATCAGATAAAAGAGAGAGAAGAGAAGTTGTCTAGACATGGAAGGGGTGGCCTGGGATGCATGAGGCACCCGCCGGCTAGGCACTAGCCCTCAACAATTTTTTATTCAGATTGATTGTAATTCACCTGTTACTCAGGTATAATGTGAATCTGAGGCGGATATACCTAATGTGTAGATAGCGCAGGGTCGAGCGACAGAGTAGTGGTATTCTCGAAGATTTGAAGCTAGGGAAAAACAAGAAGAGAAAGCTTCTGTGTCCGATACTAGATACAGTATAAGCTCTAGGCATCTAGACATTCAGGTATCAGCACGTGTTCGTCACAGAAACTTGAAGCCCTGGAGCATAGTTAATGCCAGTGCTTACCTAGTAGTAAGTACTCTTTAAGCTCAACTTGAATTTCAAGTTGGACTTGGAAATATTAGTACCAACCTTGGAACCTTTAAATATCCATGGATTCCAACCAAATTAAAAGTCAGAACCGTGTACCAATTAAGTACTAGTGTTAAGTATCAAAACCTCCGACTCGGAGTCCCAGATTGAACTCCCAACTTGAAGGTTCAAGCCTTACTTGGAAGACTCCAGCCCTACCAGTAGCTTGTCTACCTAGATACCTGGTGAAGTTCAGGGCATATGGAACTTGAACAATGGAGGTTCACACCCGCCCGGTGGACATCTAGTACGAGTAAGTTGGCCCTGGCTCTTTTGCCCAACGCCTGCCCGAACATTTCCTTTTGACTGGCACCTAGATTGATAGTCATACCTAATAGTAGATACTAGTAGTTGTACTTTAGTAGTATACCCCAAAATTCGTGTACCTACATAGAGACAGAAGGAACTAGACACAAAGATAAATGGGATGGGAGATTAGGTCAAGTGGTTTGTCACCTAGTATGCAACATGGGTCTTCTTTTGCCCTTTAAAGGTCACAACATACTATCCATCATTAGTATCCCTACTATATGTCCCATTTTGGAAGGGCTTCAGTACACCGGGCAAATTCCAAGGTTTGAAAGTCTCTTGTCAAGAAAAACATACCTGACTTTCTTAAGACACCTGGACATATATATTCAACCTTGGAAGGTCATAAAAGGCTAGTAGTTGATCAAAAAGTAAATTTAGGGTTTCGATAACAACCCAGCAGATGCCTCTGCCGCTCAAACTTGACCAGGGCACACTACTACTAGTAAAGCCCCGGAGCCACAGCCCTTCCCATTGACAAGAGCCTGGCTCGAGACAAATTGGAAGGTTCTCGATAGGCCCCAGGTATTTCCAACCCGCCAGCATTCCAAGACGTCGAGGGAGAGGGATATATATATACATACATATTATGATGTGGACTTTCCGTGACGGCGCTGTGAAGAGCCTGCAGATTTTGCTCTGGGGTCAAATTTTGAACTTTCACAGCGGACTCTGTGAACTCTTCTGTCTGCCCAGGTGTGTAAGAACCCCAGATATGTTCACCACTCTTATGGTTATCAAGCTCTGGATGGATGCAGTGGGTATGGTGTACAATTTCTAGTATGGAATCTGGGATTGAAGCTTACTAGTATTTTCTAAAAAAATGTTAAAAGGTAGCTAAATTACTACTAGTAGTACCTAGTGAAGTGGGGGTGCTTGTTGGCGTCGCACTCTCTGATACGAAGGTCGATTCAACTGGGACGCAACTCGAACAAAGCGCTGAGCTATCTCAAAAATTCCGATTTCTTGCCAAACGAAAAACAAAACCATAGTAAATTGTATGAAGCTAGTGCATAACAAAGAGAAATTGATTCTATCCAAGTAGTCCTTGATAACCATTCAGTTTCAGTTATCAGCGCTCGGTCCTCCTATCTTTATACAGAGAATCCTCCCCACTACACTAGGTATTGCTTTATAAAAAGCAAAAAATAAACCGACAGCTGGCGGATTTGAACCGCCGCCTCCGAAGAGAATTGATTTCTAGTCAATCGCCTTAGACCACTCGGCCAAACTGCCTTTGATGATGTCATGCTCCAAATTATGGCTATATGACCCTAGTATATGATATTTCTGCGTTTATTGATTATTTAAATTCAAAAGAATGCTTTGAGAATATTACCTTCTCTAAACCCTTTCTCTTTGATAGATCCAATCATATCTATGCCCTATTTAAATACTTTGATAATTGATGGTGGTAGTGTTTATAGTTGGCTGTTGTAAACAGAAGGCGGTCTGTCAATTCTGCCGGCATCGCGCTCGAGATTGGCCGGCTTCAACCAGCTTCACGAATTACTTTTTCCAGCTCTCTCCAAACACCCCCATCCTCCCTCACCAAACCCTCTTTTCGCCCTTCGCTGGGCCTTAGTCGTAGTGTGAGTCACGCTACAGCTCATCACACTTTCTCTCACATTCCGACGCCCGCAACTCCCTCACTCAAACAAATCACAGCGCGCCCTTGTGATGTCGACTCTCTTTGGCGGCGGCGCCAGCGCTGCGTCCGCGTCTGCCGGTGCGGCGAATACTACAGGCGACATCTCAAAAGATGTAGCTCTCAACCAACCTCCCGAGGATAGCATCTCTGACATGGCCTTCTCACCCGCCTCCGATCACTTGGCTGTTGCATCGTGGGATAAGAAAGTCCGCATTTACGAGATTAACGAACAAGGTCTGAGTGATGGAAAAGCTCTATTCGAACACGAGGCTCCCGTCTTGAGCTGCTGCTGGTCTCCGGTAAAATACCCTTGGCTATACATTCTCCCCAACCCGAGCTGCCAAACTAATGCATTCCCAGGATGGATCGAAGGTCGTCGGTGCTGGTGCCGACAAGGCCGCCCGCATGCTCGATCTCAGGCGCCGGAGCTACGACCCCCGTCCAGGTCGCCGCGCACGATGCGCCCATTCGAAGCGTCCACATGATCCCCAACCCATCCGTCGGCGGATCTCCGCTCCTCATCACCGGCTCATGGGACAAAACAGTCAAATACTGGGATCTGCGACAGTCGAACCCGATCGCACAGATTGAATGCCAGGACCGCGTTTACACAATGGATGTCAAGAACAAGCTGCTAGTCATCGGCACCGCGGACCGATACATCAACATCGTCAACCTCGACAACCCCACCAAATTCTACAAGACCATGCAATCCCCCCCTCAAGTGGCAGACGCGGGTAGTCAGCTGCTTCGCGGACGCGAGCGGTTTCGCCGTCGGCAGTATCGAAGGCCGCTGTGCCATCCAGTACGTCGAAGAGAAGGACTCTGCGTCCAACTTCTCCTTCAAGTGTCATCGTGAAACCCCGCCCGCGAACCGGGACATCTGCAACATCTACTCTGTCAACTCGATCAATTTCCACCCTGTGCATGGAACATTTAGCACGGCCGGTAGCGACGGCACGTTCCATTTCTGGGATAAGGATGCTAAGCACCGACTCAAGGGCTACCCGTCTGTTGGGGGTCCGATCTCCAGCACTGCTTTCAGCCGCAATGGCAATATCTTTGCGTATGCTGTTAGCTACGATTGGAGTAAGGGATACTCGGCCAATACCCAGCAGACTACGAACAAGGTCATGCTGCACCCTGTGGGGCCGGATGAGATGAAGCCTCGACCTGGTGGAGCTCGCAAGCGTTGATTGAAATGACAGTACAAATGGGGAGGAGACACGGAGGAATTTGGCTGGGCGTTTCGCTTTGTCTGGCCGTTGGCGCTATGAGCATGTAATGAACCCAATTTTTTTTTTTCACACCGGCGTGTATTTTACTTTTAAAAGAGAATTGCAAATGGGATCTTTAACCTGAAGCCTGGTACCTATATTATAGTGGTGCGAGTAGTGTAAAGTGTAAATATATGGCCCCGTGGCCAGCATGAGTGGCAGTGACCGTGAGTGTCAGGGATGAAATGAGATCAAATGATGAGATGATGACGATCAAAACGGTGATCTGAAACAGGCTAAGCAGTGCTAATTCAGTATTACTCCGGACCTGGTACTCCGTATTTCGTAAGTAGTACATCTTCCCCATAGTTTGTTACATAGTTACCTTTAGGTACTTAATATGTACGCGTGGCTGTCTGACTAAGTGCATCTGCACCTACAGTGGGAACTACAGGAACTATAGAAACACGATAGATCAACTTGACTAGAACATGGCATGTAGATTCTTGTTCCAAGTAGGTATTTAGACCAAATATAATACTATCGATATAGTCTACCATGTATACATTTAACCCAATATGAGTATTCTCATGTCATCATCTCAGCTTATCTAAGCATTGTTGACGTCTTCTGCTGCTTGCGGTGGGATTCCATCTGTTTCAACAGTTCCGAACTGCTTCCAAGGTTGCTTTCGGAGCGAGTTCCAGTTCGGTCATCTTTGTTTCTGCTATTCTATCCCTTGTTACTATTGCATTTTCGCCATGATTTAACCTCCCCTTTCTCTCCTTCACTCTGAAACGCAGCACAGATCTCTCCGCAACCCCGGCCGCACGGGCACGAGCACGAGAACAAGCACGAGCATACTCCTTCATCTTCTCCGTTTCACGCTTTCATACTCCTCCTTTCAAAATCCTGAACCTTCATATAAGATCTCCAGTGCGACACTGAACCTGTCCCTCTACGCACGTCAAACTGCACCTGCGATTCTGACTATCCCCTTGTTTGCTCTAATCGCTTATCAGTCCGGACTGCCCCTCCAGTCCTACCTACGCAGCAGAGCAACGCAGCGCAGCGCAGCGCAGAGCAAGCAGTCTCGCCCCGAGCTACAGACTCGTCAAAATGCGTCGTAACTCGGATATCGAGATCCAACTCCCCGACGCGGGCCCAACCCCCCTCTCCCCCGAAACCGTCAGCGAACCAGACGTGGAAATGCTTTCCGACGAACCCGCCGCACCACCACTAACACTCCCACCACACATCGCCGCCCGCTTCTACCGCCGCAACAGCAAAGTCCGCCGCGGCTCAACAGCCTCCTCGCGCCGCAGCTCAATCTCCTCCATCCACTCCGCCTCCTCGAACGGCTCGACCAGCACAGACAATATCGCCCAACACCTGCGCCGAACGACCATCATCGAGACTCGCAAAGCGCGACTGGCCGACCGCGCCCTACATGCTGAGAAGGTGAGATTGCGCGCCGCGCTGTCAAAGGCGGCTACCCGGAACTTGCATATCGAGGAACGAGCGCTGGCTGCACAGCAGGCTCGGGAACGCCTCCTTGCGGACATTGCGGCTAAGTGCGAGGACCAGGTCAAGCGCGCGAAGAAGAAGGCGGAAGATCAGCGCGAGAAGCAGGCCTCTGAACACGCGCGCATTCGCCTAGAGATGGCGGAGAAATTGGCCGAGGCTGAGAAGCGGCGCACGGCTTATCAGCAGACGCATCGGAGGCAGCGGACGGGGAGTTTGCCTGTTGCTGAGGAGAAGAAGATGGCGCGGTCTGTGACGAAGTCGCTGACGCGGGATGCGGCGGCGAGGAAGATCCAGCGTGTGTGGAGGACGCATCGGGCTAAGGCTGTGATGCTGGAGTTTGAGGGATTGGGTCTTTCGGTGGAGCAGGTGCGGGAAATGACTTTTGAGAAGGTGGGAGCTTTTCTGTCGAACCGTGGTGTTTTGGATACTATGACCAAGGTTCTTCGGCTGTGCGGGTTACAGGATATGGAGGGTGGAGCGATGGGCGAGCGTGGTGCTGTGCGCACGTTTCTGAGCAGCTATTTGATTGTCACGCATCCGGCTGAGGTTTTGAGCGGTGATGGTGAACAGGAGCAGGATCTTATTTCCAAGGCGAGGGAGCTTCTTGTGGCTTTTGATCAGGTCATTGCGTTGCTTTCGTCCGGCTGTTGTTCGCCGACAGTGATTACGGCTGATCTTCAAATACTATGCGAGTCGCATAATGTTTTCTTTTCCGCGTTCCATGCTTGGAAGTCGCATGATTCATCCGTTTTGATTGAGATCATGCTGGCGCAGTTCGTTGAGTTGGAGCTCATCTGGCAAACCGTCAAGAATGATCAAGCTGGCGGCGTTGCGGAGGATTATCGACAGGGTATTCGACAGAACCAGATTCTTCTCCTAGCCCGACTCAAGCGACTCGCGGGATCTGATCGTGCCATGGAAATGGTCCGGGTCTCGCTGAAGAAAGCAAAGCGAGAAAAGAGGCGATCCTCCTCCAAGCAGGCTATTCCTCGATCCGCTGAGGTTGCTGAAGCTTCGTCGACGGACGTTTTGTCTGAAAACGTCACTTCTCCCATCAGCGAATCATTCAACAATATTGATTCCACGGTCCTTCACGAACTCGAGAAGCAGCGCACATCGCCGCATGAGCGGTTTACAAAGATCCTCACAGCTCTGCCTGATAACCGAGAGCTAGTTCATGAGCTACTTATAAACAAAGAGTTTAAGATCGAGGAAACCTCTTACACTGGTCCTCGGGAGAAGATTATGGAACACATGTGTGAGCAAATGAGGCAAGATGTCGAGGCAGGACATGGCACCGGCTGGACTGTTGCCATGGCCACTGTCATTCAAGACCGACTCTTACGCTCACTACGACCCGGAAACTCCCTCTACGTGCTTATCAGCGAAGTACTGGACCCAAAGCTGGTCGAAAGCCAGTGCAAAGCGGGGACATTCTCTTACGAGAACTTTTTCGATTTCATGAACAATATCCTGCCCCGTCTCTGTGCTCCATACCGTGATACCGCAGTCAAGGCTTTTGCCGAAGATACCTCAGGAGACGCGATTGACAAACTAGCCCGACTGATGGGAATAATCGACCTCCTCTCGCTAGACCACACAAACTTCATGATCCAAGTCGCAGCGCCCCAACTAATCCAAGAAGCACCGGGCTACGAGCAACGAACCTTCGACAAGGGTCTAACCGACGGCTCAACCAGCCTAGGCAAAACACGCCGCTTCTGGCGAACCCACCGCAAAATGATCGTGGACGAAATGAAAAAGCGAGATCCAGAAAGTATCCACGGCGAACCCCAACCCTCCGCATCAAGAGTCTACGCCTACGGCCTCGCAGACCTCGTCCTAAGCAACGCGATCGTCTCCGAGGATCTCATCCCCGAAACACTAGTCCTAGACCAGTCCCGTCTGGAACGACTACACGCCAAAGCCTTCCAAATCGTCGCAACAGCCTCGATCCTCCTCACAGCCAAGAACCTGCTGAAAAGAGACGCCCGCTCCCACTGGAAAACAGAAGCCGACCGCATAATGTCCCTGAGACTTCAACGAAATCAGCGCCGAGCGCGTCCAGTCCATCTTAGAGTCCACGCACCCGATGCCACCGAATGCGAGCGCGCAGCTTTCGTCGACGATCCGCCGCGTCCTGGCGCCTGTTGCTAAAGCTGTTGTCACCGCTGCTCCGCAGGTTGTCCAGATCAATCCTGAAATTTCTAGACTTGCGGAGAATGGGGTGGGGAATGTTTCGGCGCCTAGTTTTTCGGATCCGGTTGCTAAGTTGATGCTTTCGCGGTTGCGGAGCCATGTTCTTTCCCGACTTAGTGCGTCTAGTGCCTCGGAGCGAGTTCGGGCTACGACGACGGCTAGTCAGAGTCTTGCTGGTGCGGGTATGCCCGAGTTTGTCAATGAGGTGGGGAAGCTGGTTGATGAGCTTGAGAAGGTTAAGGAAGTGGATTGGTTGTGTCATGGGGCTGTTTATGAACGTGTATATGAAGAGGGGGCTTTGCAGTAATGGGATTCGGCGGCGTTTGGATAATACATACATATATGATCGGGTTCTAATGGGTTCTGGGGGCTTTGCGAGTTTTTTTTTTTCCTTTTTTTTTTCAGTGACGCTGGGATGGGATAGGCACTGGCAGATTGGCAGGGTATTGCGCATTGTATAGGCAAGGCGTTTAGATCGGTTATAACTGAGGTTCAAGTTCTGCAATACTACATTTTATTCATACAAGAAGGATTCAAGTTATATCATGGTTTCAAGCATTCGATTAATGTGTCTTTTCATTTTATTCTAAATTTTAATTGCAATGTACTTTGGTAGGTACTGTACAGTGGCGCAACCAGATTGGAAGTCTGTGACAGCCTCCAGTAAACCCCGGATCCGCCGCATCCATTTTATACCAGATCTTAAGAGAGTACCAGTATCATCAAATAAGATCCGAGTCGTGACATGATATATACTAGTACCCCATCTCAATCAAATCCTCAATCACCGCTGAAACCCCCAAACCTTAACACTCCCATCATCCGCCGTCGTGACAAGCACCTCCTCCTCCTCACCCCCCGAACCCCGATCCGCCCTCTTAGCCCAAGCCGCATGATTGATCTCATAAATCCCATGCGCTCCATCCACAACCGCAACAATCGACCACTCCGTCCGCAACAGGGCCGGCGTAGCATCATCACTCGTATCCATAGCCTCGGCATCAGCGTCAGCGTCGGCAGAATTTACAGTTCCACCCTCCTGCGCAATAAACCGCTCTTCATAAAGCACAATCCGCCCATCAGCACCAACAGACGCAACAATCCCCGTCCGCCGACTCCAAGCAACAGCGTAGATAGCCAGTTCATGCGCATGCGGAAGACAACTATCCTCCACCCACTCCTCATCCGTCCCGCTAGGCCGAATAATACTCGGAATCCCCGTCTGCGCGGATGACAGCGCCGAGTTGGCACTTTCCTTCGGCACGCGGCGCCAAATGCGCGCTGTACGATCGTCCGAGCAGGAAACGAGTCTCGGTCCGGAGAGACTTCGCTGCGAACGCCACTGGCTTGACAGCTCCTGCGGAGCTGCTGTCGAGGACGAAGTGGTAGGACAAGTATCAACGCCCTCCCAATCCAAGAACCAAACAGTGCCACTATGCCCTTTAATACAAGCAACCTGACCCCAATCATCGAGATCCTCCCTCCAAACCCGAATAGTATCGTCGTACCCCGCGGAGGCGAGACATTCCTCGACAGGATGCCATGAGACGCATTTGACGTCGCCGCCGTGTTCTTGCATTACGGCGACTGTTTCGAAATTGTTGTCGCCGTCGTCGAGGTCTTCCCAGATCCAGATTGATTTGTCCCGTGCGCAGGTTGCGAGGAGGAGGCCTGATGGGCTCCAGGAGATGGATTTTACTTCTGAGTCGTGGCCGTCGAGGAGGACGGCGAAGCGCCATTCTTCGTCGGAGTCGTCACCGTGATCATCTTCGGAGGCGTCGGTGGTGGTGGTGTTGGTGGTGGTGGGGGTGGTGTCAGTGGTGCCGTAGGAGTCCCAGCGGCGCCAGATTCCGACTGTTGCGTCGAAGGAGCCGGTTGCTAGGACGCTTTCGCCGGTGATGTGGGGTTTCCAGGCAGCGGTTCGGACGCTGCGTTTGTGGCCGCCGGTTATTGTTGAGAGGAGGGTGAAGTTTGTTAGGGAGTAGATTCGGACTGTTTTGTCGGAGCTGCAGGTTGCGACGATGGGGAGGGTCGGGTGGGGGGGTTGTGAGCCAGGTTCGTTCGAGGGAGGGTGGGGTTAGGTCGGAGATGTGGGTGAGTTTTGAGGGTGCCATTTTGAATGTGGTGGCTGTGTGCCAGTGGTGGGAGGTGAATGTGAAGAAGGTGAGTTGAGGGTGGTGAAGGTGAGGGGTGAAGTGCGGAGGGGAAATTTTGGCCGCAAGTTAAGCTTGGCTGAGGTGGGGTTGATATCTATGGGACTCGTAGAATGAATTATTACAGGGGATTTTTACTAGTACTCATTAATTGAGAACTTGACAATTGCTTATACATAGCAATGGATATATTTTAACATTTAATCTATGGAAATGTCCGAGTTCGATCCAATCCAATCCGAGACAAGACGAGACCTACTCCAGGCAACGGTTACCTGATGCACATCAAAAAAAGGGGAATCACACAAAAGCATCAAAAATGAAAGGCACCATGCCTGCGCCCGCAATATGCTGTTTCAAATCATTGTTGACTACCACGTTTTGCCCCAGCACGACTATCATGCAGGCCATCGCCCTCCTCCGCTTCCTCATCACTGACATCACCAACAGCATAGTGCTCACGGTCAATACCAGGGGATTGAAGATCATCCAGCTCGGACTCGTCAAAATCACCAGCCTCGACATCATTCGTCGAGCGCTTATTCCCGAATCGATCCAGGACAGACCGCGGCATGATCTCGGATGTATTCTTAACACCGTAGTACCCCTTGTGCGAGCGACGACTGCGCCAGATGAAGAAGCCCCAGATGAGGACTCCGATAATGACGACGACTAGAATCGCCTCGCCGGATTTGGTGTAGGCGTGCATCTCGGTTTCTTTGAGTTTCTTCTCTTCTTGTTCTTCTGCGGCGGTGCTGTTTGTTTGGCCGCCGACGGATGTTTGGGGTAGCTTTTCGCCGTCGATTAGCGAGACGGCGGGCTTGCCGCCGATGCTGGCGATGTCCACTTTCATGAAGCGGTCTAGCATGTCGCGGGTTTGTCGGGGCTGGTCGTAGGGGACCATGTGGCTGGAATTGTAGAAGAGGACGTAGGTCAGGTTTCGGGCGTGCTGGTAGTAGCCGGCTGGTTCGTCTTCGAAAGTCCAGTCGTGGCGTGGGGCCCAGACTCCAGGGGAGGTTTCGAAACCGGAGGCGCCCTTCCACTTCATGTTGTGGATCATTGTCTCTGTTCCAATGTGGTTGCAGATGAGATCCTTGTCGCCGCTGAAAAGAAGGACGTTGAGGCCGGACTCGATTAGGCCCGGGAGAAGCGTGATGGCAGGCTTTGAATTCAGCGTTGACATGGCTTTTCCGACATCGCCGTTGCACTCGCTCCAGCCAGATGCCTTTGCCGGGTTGATGTTTAGAGCTTTGACGACGTCGGCTCGTCGGAGGTAGGGTTCCACGTTGTCCAGGTCGAGAGGCCAACCCATGCCACAGCTGTTGGTGACTTTGTCCTTCAGGCGCACGTCGTACATATTGAAGCATTGGCCGGCTTCTGAGGTCAGGTCCAGGAAACTCCTCATGACGAGTTCGCACGGTTCCACGTTGAGGGCGTCTTTGTTTTCGGCTTCGCTCAATTGCGTCTTGCAGTATTCGTTCAATGCGTCGAGCTTCTTGTAAGTATCGGTGCCCTGTTCGATAAGGCCTTCTCGTTCGAGGAAATCGAAGTATGACGGATATTGGTCCTTGGGCGAGATCCAGCCGTTGCCAATAAGTACGCCCTTGAGCGGCCATTTCGATTTACCGTTTTTCTTCGCGGCTTTGTTTCGTTCCTGGATTGCTTTGGCGATGTATGGGATAGATTGACCGGCCCAAGATTCACCGGCGAGATAGATCTGTCAAGGGGTATCAATTAGCATTGGTCTTCAACAGCCAGCTCAGATAGGGTTTCACGCACATCATCCTTCTCATACTCGGGGAACAGGGCAAAGAACTTGTCCAAAAATATCATAAAATGCGCCGACAACGGATCCAGGTCTTTCAGATAGCTGTTTGTCTCTGCGTAACTGAATCCAGTTCCAACGGGCTGATCAACAAAGAGTAAATTGGCGAATTCATCCCAAGAACCCTTGTTGTATTCCAATGTCTGATTATTCGTCACGCGGTAGGGGCCGACTTCCATCAGCGCGCCATCCATAGAACTGCATCCCGGGCCACCATTCAACCATATCACCGTCCGTTGTCGGTTTGCGATGTGGCGGTTTTGATAGTGCCAGAAGAATAGGTTGCCGTTTGTGGCTGGGTCGACTTCGATATGGCTAGATTGAAGAATGGTTAGAATGAGACAAAAGGATGTATTGGATATGGGGAACCTTGGAAACAAGGTTGGGTATAGAGAAGGTTTTGGTTCCCTCCGCGCATCAAACTCACCCGGCGTGCATCTTCAATAGCGGCCCATCTGTGGGCGCGCCCGGAAGATCGTGAACATAGTAATCAGCGGCTGATTTGGCCGTCGCTAGCGAAGGTGATAATAGAGCGAGAGTCCAAGATGAGAGCGACCAAGGCGCTGCCCTTTGAGCGGGCGAAAGAAGGTATAGGGATCATCGTAGCGGGTCACGGTGTAGGTTGGTGTTGGCGATAGAGCTGATGATGGTCGCAATCATGCCCAGGTGGAAGGGATGAGATGCAGATGCAGAGGCCCGGCGCAGACGATGCGCGAATCAAGCGATCGTCGAGGCCGGGATGAAAGGAGGGGAAAGAAGGGTGAATTTGGGGCCAAAAGAAGTTACAAGAAGTGTAGACGTGTTGCTAAAGCAAAAGGGAGAAGTTGAGGTGGTTTCAAAGGATGACGAAACAAGCGGACAGGCTGGCGTGGCATTGGGTTATGGTTATGTATTGGTATTATGTGTTTATTACAAAACACAGTGCTTGGTATAACTGTTATACTAATACGATACTGTATATAACTGCGTGATGCTCACTGCCCCTTGCCTGTTCGGGCGGTCTATAGAGAAAGATTGGCCGCAAGAGGAGCAGAATAAGATAGGAGAAGATACCTAGTACTCAGGTAGTGGGAGGAAAGAGAATACGATCATGATACGACTACTAGTAGTACTACTGTACTTATGTAGGAGGGCAGAGGAAGGAAAATATGAAACAGATATAAATAACTAGCAGTGCCTACCACTAGCCCTGAACAGAGTACTTTTGATCTAACCGGTGGAACAACCCAGCCAAGCCCGCCGGCTTTACGTTTAGAATAGATCGATGGACTTGTCGGCGTCCTTCTTAATCAGATCCACCATCCCTGAAGAGTCTCAGCACAAGCCCCTAAGTCCTAAGTATCTTAGCGTTATTGGAGGGGCACTCACCGGAGGCATGATTGGCTGGCCAGCGGCATCTTTCACGTAGCGGAACGGCATCTCAGTCCGTTCGTGCTCGTTGATCAGGATTTCTGGGTAGTCGACGTAGGAGATTTGTTCCAGGGGGACTGGAAGAGTTAGCAGTGGCTTGATAATAGTGAGGATGTATAGGAGAAGAAGAAATTTACCCTTTTCATGCACGACAAGACGAGTGACACGCACCGCTGTGTCGGTCGTCATCTGCTTAGGTCCCAGGCGGCGGCCAACATAGCCCTTCTTCCTCAATTCTGAGGTGCGATCTATGATTGATGTTGTCAGTGAGGTAGATCCAATACAGAGTACATGCAGAGTATATGCATGTACTCTGTGTACGCTGTATGGAGAGAGCACTTACCGCGAGGAGGATCATCGCCTGCAGTCATCCAGGAAATACAAGTACATGTTAGCCTCCAAACTCAATGTTGCTCTGAGTGCGGGACTCCTCTCCTCCCCATAGTCACCGGGTTGAAATGTTAAAGGATTCGTTCATACCGAGAATACCGCCAAAGAGAAAGACATCAAAGTTATCACCGTCCTCGGGGCTCAACTCAACCTGAGCAGCGGGGTCCAGCAGACAAACACGCTCCTTCTTGTCAGCAAAGATATCTTCCACACTGCGCTGTTCCACCTCGAGGCCTGGGGTGGCCGCCAGGTCGGCGGGCATCTGCAGCTCTGCGGGCACGGAACTGAGCAGGAATCGGGCGCCACGATCATGGGATTCGCGAGCGATGCATCCGTACTCAAGGGCGGACCATGGGCCCAATTCGGGGTCGAGGTGTTCGACCACGAAGGCTCTTTGTGTAGTTTGGCTCATGGTGGCGGGGTTGGGAGAAAAGTGGAAGGAATGTGCGGATGCGGGTCGATGTGAAGTGATTTCGGGTGGGTTAAGGTAGGTATAGGTATGGGTATACGAGGTATAGTATATCTGGTATTAATTATTAACAGGAAACAGAATATTGAATCTTTCACAAATAGAAATATCACAAATGCGTAGAATACGTAGAATACACTGCAAACTGCTGTAATAACTGCTGTACGCTGTAAGTAATTGATCACCCCGCGCTTTATCGCGGAAGTCCACAGCTCCGTCATGGACTTCGCCTTAACTTCTCTCTTTCTCTCCCCCCCCCCCCCAATACTTCCACTACCATTCCATCCACCATCATGAATCCCCATCAACAAAACAAGGTCGACATTAGCGTGAGCTCTCATCTCCCAGTCACAACCTAATTTACCCCTCTGTTGTATTATATTAACCCCTCCAGGCCATGTCCTCGGATGAGCAGCGTCTATTCCGCCTCTACGGCAAAATGCCCAACAAGAAAGACCTCCTTCAGAACAAACTCAAGGTGAGTCACAGTACCTTCAGCTCCGCTCTGCTCCTCTCCCTCCCTCTCCCCCTCCTTCATCACCTCCCTCTCCATCTCCATCCAAGTGATGAACTCCTACTCCCTCCCATTCCCAAACGTCACCGCCACTCCACCAATCCAACCAATCCAACCAATCCACTAACTCGACCCCAGGAACGCAAATACTTCGACTCAGGCGACTACGCCCTCAGCAAAGCCGGCAAAGCCCAAGACGTGACAAGCATCGGATCCCGCCACCCCGTCCCAGAAAACATCCCCCATCTAACCGCAACCTCACCCGGCACCAACCCCGCCCCACAAACCAACGGCAGCATCAGTGCCCAAGGCGGCCAGCAGATCCCCGGCTCTATCAGCGGACACCCTGGTTCGGTGGGCTTTCAGCGCGCCAGCCCTAAGGAGGGGGGGCTTCTTGCATCGCGGTAGTAGTCTCAGCGAGGGCTCTGGTCCGCAGGACCAGGAGAAGGATGAGAGTGTTAGTCCGCCTGCTGCGAGGGAGGGTGTTCCTATTCAGCGGTGAGGGTAGTTAGGTGGTTTGGTGTGGTGTGGCAGGGCTGTTTTCCCAAGGGTTGGCTCGGTCCGGTTTGGCGTCGTTGATATGATTGATGTCTGTCCGTGCTGACTATAGTCATGGTCATGATTATGGCTATGTCTGGTCTGCCCACCACCACCACCCCACTCACTGATAACTCCGTCTTTTCTATCTACGTTTTTCTTTCCTCATCGAGATGCATTGCATGGTTTTTGTTGTGTGAATTTCTTTCTTTGTTTTTGATTTTGATTTGACGGGTTGGGATCATTTCTCAGTGGTTTTTACTTTTAAAAGCCTGGCGCTATGGTGATGTGTTCGGGGGTTCTTTTTCTACTTTTTGTCGGCTTGTGCCAGATACGGCACGGCAAGGCAAGCCACGACAGGGAAGGGCAAGGAAGAATGAATATTCAGAACTACTTTTTCTTTTCTCTTGTTTATTTATCTTTTTCTTCTTCAATTTGTTTATTACATGGAACAGCAGTATAGTATAGCAAGTATTGTCTCTGACTGTATTGAGTTGTGCTGTTTAGGGCGTGTGGAGTTGTGTAGGTACTTTTACTTTTCAGTCTGGGCTTATTTAAGTTGGGTAGGGTAGGTGGAAGATCCCAGATTCTTCCGAGATTGTTTTGTCCTACAGAGGGTAACCATGAACCACGGCCCATACGAATAATGCTCTAAGATAATGGTATGTTATGTTCTTACTTTGCCGAAGGGATTCCGGATATTATGTACACAGCACAGCACAGCACAGCACGGCCAAGCAAGAGGTGATGACCACGGAATGGCACGACACATTACCGAGGCTGGGCATGGAGTATTATGATCGAGTCGAGTCGAGTCGAGTCGATTAAGAAGCGAAGCCAGTAGAAAGCGATAAAGGGTATAAGTGTAGGTGTGCCAAGCCAACACCCAGGGGTAGCGTAGGTGGGCAGGAAGGTAAGAAAAAAAAGAACTTGGAAATAGCGAAGAAAATTGCGTCTGGTATCATTGCTTGGGTCATAAGGGGCTTGGGTTGGTGGGTATGGGGGATAGATAGATAGGCTCCAGGATAAGCCACGGGAGGTGGGACGCAGAAAAAATGAAATGACATTCGTGTGCGTACAGGAGTGGGTATTGTGCGAGCTCCGAACATAGAGGGACATGGACTTGGGGAAAAAGTTATACATGCGCAGAGAGCGAAGCGGGGGTGTCACAAAGCCAGGGTGGGGAGGAGAGTATTCAGATGCGCCCGTGTATAGCGTCATATGGAAAATCGCCGGTAGGTAGGGTGGTGCTGGTCGTGATCGAGATAAAGGGAATACCGTGGTTAAATCCGTCCGAATGCTCGTGGGCATGGGGGTACATGGCGCCGGAAAATCGAAAGTTGATACACCGGGGAATGGTGGGTGGGGTCGGTGTCCTGGCCCTGGCCTTGTTCAAGAAGCTAAAGAAGCTAGAAGACCGTGATGCGGGGCGAAGAATATACCACGGCCAAGGTTTCTGTTTCACGGGTATGCCAGTGGGGGGGTTGGATTTGGGTCGGAAATGGGACGACCGCTGCAGCATGTTTATTTTGCGTTGCCACGGATGGAGATTGAAGAAGATCAGATACCTTGTGAGGCTTGGAGTACCCCAGGGTGAAACACAAGCTATCAAATCAATCTGTCTTCCAATGTCCAGCAAGACCGTGATCGAGATCATCGTTTTCTCCAAGCCAAAGCTCAACCGCGTACAGACCCATAGTGCAGGCCAGATTAATCCATCGCCACATATTGCCTCCACCGCCGCCCTGGCTACTCCACCACTCGCCGCTGCCTCCCATTGCTTGTGACGCCGATGCGAAGTGCTGCATCAAGAGACTGGTGTAAACAGCGATCAGGATGGACGGGGCGAAGTAGCTCATAAAGCCAAGGACTTGCCCCGCCGCATCCGAGTCGTCGAGAGAAGCCTCCTGGGAAAGAGCGCGAGCACCAGCTTCACGCACGGCCGGGATAATGCGCGTAGATGCGTAGAGTACCAACAGGCGATAAGCAAGCGAAATCAGGACGGACGGTGTGACGGCGCTGAAGACGGCCGTGATGACGTTGAATAGTGCGTGGATAATCGAGGGTAGAAGAGAGAGCGCGTGCATGAGTGTCGTGTACGAAGCCATGAAGATGGGCGGGAGAGGGGGGAAATCACCCGCCTGCGCAGGCGAGGTGATCTGCTCGATGGGATGCGAGGGCTGGTAGTCGGTGAAGATCTGGTAGATGCAGAGCACGATGTAGGCGAAGAGCAGAGAGCTCTCGACGGGGTTACCGCGGCCGCTGCCGATTCCCCAGGCGCATAGGATCACGGCGCAGGTCACCGACACGCCGATCAGGGCCGCGTCGACGTTGGAGATCTCGGGGAATTGGAGGACGCGCCAGAGGAAATAGACGGAGCTGGAGATGACTGTTGCTGAGAGGACGAGCAGACCGATCTGCGAGTCAAAGGAGGTTAGTCGGTTTATTCATTCGCTTGCGGCGTGTTCATTCGCAATTACTGCGCTCGGAGGGGAGGGAAACATACCATCCAGCTATCACTTCGACCACCGCGATTCACGAGCCATCGGGTGATCTGGCCAGCGGCCTGAATGACCAACAAGCTGCAGAAGCCCTCGGCGAGTTGAAAGACGGGGGTGGACCATCGCAACAGACGGTCCCAATTACCCAAAGTGACTGTTTCCACCAAGCCATCGCGACCGAAGATCCATTCGTTAACAGAGCTATCTTGCGCGCGTTTTCCAGTAAAGGTGCGCTCGACCCAACCGCCGTTATTATCCGGGTCCACGGAGAAGCGGTTCAGGGACCAGATCAACAAGATGGGAATGAGGATCCATTGGGTAGAGCGAATGATGACGATCAACGAAGAGCGAATCCATGAGCGCTCTGGGGTGGTGAGTCTCAATAAGGAGAAGAGGAAGTAGAAGGTGGCCAGGGATAACGAAAAGGCCAGACCGCACGTCTTGCCTCCCACGTCGAAGGCCAGCGGGATGGAGGAGACGGTCACGGCGAGGAAGACGGCCGACGAGAAGACCCGAAAGAGCCACATGGAGGAAAGATGCGCGGGGGCGCGCAAAGGAGATGGGGGTGGTGGGAAAGAAAAGAGGCACACGAGTGACTTTATTTTTCTTTTTCTGTTCTCGAGCTTATCTTCTTTCACGTGCGGAAGGGCGGTGGAGGGGAATGCCAGAGTATTAGTACTTAGTACTGAGTACTAGTACTGTAGTTTGTATTGTAGGAAAATAGGAAAATGTGAAAATATCAGAAGAATGGCAGTATGAGAAAGAAATAAAAAGAAAGGGAGCAGGATGAGTTAGAGAGATTCGAGATTAGTGGCGGTCCAAGCACGATCGATGGTGAATTACGAGATAGCCTAAGGAAATGGGGTGTAACTAGATGTTTACTGTACTGCAGTCTGTGCCTACCACCTACTAGTTAGGTACTAACTAGCCAGTTAGTAGGAATGGGATACGCAATCTTATTGGAAGATCTATCAATCTCAAATGATGTGCAAGAAGTATAACCACGATCGTTGTGCTCGGACAGAGTGATCAGATTGGACTGCATCAGCTAGATGTATGTACTGGTACTTTACGTTATATACTTAATAGTGAATAACTAGCGAATAACATCTATAGTTATGTGCAGTGTGCATGTACTTCTACTTGTACTTCGCTGTACTTGCCCTCACGTGAAGTCACGTGCCTCACGTGGGGTCATGACTACACGTGATAGCTAGTAGCCCCCACATCCTGCCCTAATTACCCGATTCGGACACCCCGATAAGACGGACCAGCCAGCTTTGAGCAGTTCCTAATAGCGCGCCGCTTTTTCTATACTCATTAACTTACCCCATTAAGTTTATGTTTCGTGCTCGTCAATCCTTCAAAATGGCCGAAACTGTTGCAAAGAAGCTCAAGACCTCCTCCCCTTGATCGGGACTCACAAGTAAGCTTCCCTACCCCGCTTCCTGGGAGCTGATATCTTTCAGAACCCTGAGCTAACCTTGGCGCTATAGCGGCCACTTCCACGCCGACGAAGCTCTCGCCGTCTACTTGCTCCGTCTCTTGCCCACATACGCCTCCTCCCCGCTCGTGCGCACCCGCGATCCCGCCCAGCTGGAGGAATGCCACACCGTCGTCGATGTCGGCGGTGTCTACGACGCCGCCATCAACCGTTATGATCACCACCAGCGGACATTCTCCACCTCCTTCCCCAAGCACGAGACCAAGCTCTCCTCCGCCGGCCTGGTGTACATGCACTTTGGTCGCGCCATTATCGCCCAACACATGTCCCTGCCCGAGGACCACGCCGACGTCGACTTGCTGTACGAGAAGCTGTACACCGACTTCATCGAAGCCATCGACGCCAATGACAACGGTATCTCCGCCTACGACCCCGCCGCCCTCTCCGCCGCCAACCTGGAGAAGCGCTTCAAGGACGGCGGCGTCACCCTTCGCCTCCATCGTCGGCGACATGAACAACCCCGACCCGACCAGCCCACCCGGCGAGCCCCAGGACGAAGACTCCCTCTTCGGCCGCGCGAGTACCCTGATCGGAAACGTTTTCGCCCGCAAGCTGCACCAGGCCTGTAACTCGTGGATGCCCGCTCGCACCACCGTCGGCAACGCCTACAAGTCCCGCGCCGACGCCCACTCTTCCGGCCGTATTTTGATCCTGCCCCAGGGCGGCGTTCCCTGGAAGGAACACTTGTACAACTTCGAGCAGGAGGCTGCTGCCGCCGGTGCCGAGCAAGTTTACTACGTCTTGTACCCTGAGTCCGCGGCTGAAGATTCCAAGTGGCGTGTGCAGTGTGTTTCTGAGTCTGAGGGTAGCTTTGTCTCCCGTAAGCCTCTCCCCGAGGCGTGGCGCGGCGTGCGTGACCAGGACCTAGATGGTGTTATGGCTACCGAGGCTGAGAAGTCTGGTCAGGAGAAGCTGCCTGCTGGTGCGATCTTCGTCCACGCTAGTGGTTTCATTGGTGGTCATAAGACCAAGGAGGGCGCTATGGCTATGGCTATCCGTAGCTTGGACCTGTAGGGATTTTTACGAATTGGCATGAATGAAAAAGTTAGACCTTCTTTTTGAGTGAAGGATTCATTATGATATCAATATATTTTTGACTGAGATTGCATAAGGATTTTAGCAGGTGTTTGGTATACACCTGGGCATTGTGTATATTAAAAGAAACCTCCCGTAGTAGGTATATTGCTGCTCGGCGGTGGTTGTGATGATATCTTTTTTTGAAGATTGGATGGAATCTTCCCGGGCGAGAACATCGGTGGTCTAAGCTGTAGCTTGTATGTAGCTCAGATAGCCGTTTCTTCCGGTCACTTAGATAGTGTGACCTTGGACTTTCGGCAAAGCTTCAATCGTGCCTTTTTTCAGTTTCTTAGGCGGCGTCGGTGTATGTCACAAATGTGACTTTGCAACCGGTGTTTGCCCTTGGTATCCGCACTTTGACTGATGTAGCCGTTGCCTCCGATACCAGACATAACACTTCAAATTGAGATGGAAGAGGGGATTCGATGGGCGACGTAGTTGCTTGACAGCCCATGAATAGAGGCTCTCAGTGACGAACATTCAATGCACTGATATCCTCAATGCTTCCAGTGCCATCTCCAGGCTTTGATCCATCTTTGGCAATCGATCCAATACCGTCTTCGCTTTCGCCCATAGCTCGTTGAATCAGCTTAGCTTTGATGGCCGCACCTCTCAACCGCTCATCCACATCATTCACGGCCTCCTCGGTATTGCTCATATCCAACGAGGCCGGATCAACCAATTCCATGAGAGTTTGTAGGTTTCTGGCGAGTCGTGCGCTGTGTGCAGGCAATTGGGGCAGCTCTTTGCTTATCGATGGGTCAAGAGACAAGGCATTGGTCTTGACTGGCGTAGTCGGGCTTTGTTCGGATGTCTCAGCTTTGGTCTTAGAGTCTGCTAGTCGTTGAGCCCAGACAAGGGATTTCCCATAGAGACGGCCCATCTCTACAAACTTCTCAAAGCCCTTCTCCACGGCGAAGACGCTGCCTTCGGTATAGCCGGCATGAGCGCCATCGGCGACGCCCAGGTCATAACCTTCTTTATAGAAGTCTTCTTCAATGTCAAGAAGACTGTCGAGTAGATTGGAGTCCATGATCAAATATGAATTCAGATATATGTAAGGGGGTTCAAGATGAAAGCAAGGTAGCCTTGGAACAAAGAGAGCTCTAGAATTAATTTTTGATATGCGGGGCGAATGTCACGAGATGTCCACTTTTCCATTTTCCCGCAACCCCTCCAACGCTCTTTTTACATCACCCCCCAACCAACATGACTTCAGACCCAATTCTGCCCAAGAAGGGCGAGCGCAATATCCTTGTGACTAGCGCTTTACCCTATGTCAACAATGTCCCCCATTTGGGTAACGTCGTCGGCTCTGTGTTGAGTGCCGATTGCTTTGCGAGGTATGACTCAATCAGATCAGCCCAATATGGATGGCCCTGAACCCCGCGATTCTATATGATGATCCCAGCTCACAACCCATTCCTAATTAGATACCACAAGACCTGCGGACGCTCTACACTATACATCTGCGGTACCGACGAGTACGGGACAGCGACGGAAACAAAGGCGTTGGAGGAAAAGGTGACCCCGCAGGAGCTTTGCGCCAAGTACAACAAGATCCATCAAGAAGTCTACGAATGGTTTGGTATCGGATTCGACCACTTCGGACGTACCCCTACCGAAAAGCACACCGAAATTTCCCAGGCCATCTTCAAGCGCCTTTACGACAACGGTTTCCTGGGCGAGCGCACCGCTGAGCAGCCATTCTGCGAGCAGCACGGTTCCTTCTTGGCCGATCGTTACGTCGAGGGCGAGTGCCCTCGCTGCCACTACGACGATGCACGCGGTGATCAGTGCGACAAGTGTGGTCACCTTCTCGATCCTTTCGACCTTATCAAGCCCCGCTGCAAGCTCGACGGTGCCACCCCCGTGCGCCGCGAGACGAAACACATTCACCTTCTTCTCGACAAGCTCCAGCCCGAGGTTGAGAAGTGGTCTGCCGAGTCTATCTCAAAGGGAGACTGGCCCAAGAACTCTCGCGTTATTACCGAGTCTTGGTTGAAGGAGGGTCTGAAGGATCGTGGTATCACCCGTGATCTGAAGTGGGGTGTTCCCGTTCCTCTGGACGGATATGATAACAAGGTGCTGTACGTCTGGTTCGAGGCCTGTATCGGATACCCATCCATTACGGCCAACTACACGGATGATTGGGAGCTCTGGTGGCGCAATCCTGAAGATGTCCAGCTCTACCAATTCCTCGGCAAGGACAATGTGCCTTTCCACAGTGTTATCTTCCCCGCCACCCAGATCGGTACCCGGGATACATGGACTATGAACCACCACCTGAGCGCCACCGAGTATCTCAACTACGAGGGCGGCAAGTTCAGCAAGTCCCGCGGTGTCGGTGTCTTCGGTACCAATGCTAAGGATACCGGCGTCCCCGCTGATGTCTGGCGCTACTACCTGCTCAAGAACCGACCCGAGACTGGCGATACCCAGTTTGAGTGGCGCTCTTTTGTCGACAGCAACAACAGCGAGTTGTTGGCTAAGCTGGGTAACCTTGTTAACCGGGTTATCAAGCTTGTGACTGCATCCTACGGCGGCGTTATTCCCGAATTCACCGTCCCGGAGGACTTCAACCCGTTCTTGGAGGAGGTCACTACTCTCACTCGTCAGTATATCGACGAGATGGAGAGCGTCCACCTCCGCGCTGGTGTCGCCACTGCTATGAAGATTGCCGAGGCCGGTAACGGTCTCATCCAAGCTAACCGCTTGGATAACTCGTTGATTGCCAACGAGCCCGAGCGCGCTGCTGCCGTCGTTGGTTCCGTGCTTAACTTGATCCACCTGCTCTCTGCTGTCTTCGCCCCATACATGCCCACGACTGCGAAGTCTATCCTGGAGCAGCTCGAGGCTCCTTTCCTGCAGATCCCCTCCCTGGATGATCTCAAGGACGGCTGGAAGCCCACCAGCCTGAAGGGCGGCCACAAGATTGGCAAGGCGAAGTATCTCTTCTCTCGCATCGACCCTAAGAAGGCGGACGAGTGGCGCGATTCATTCGGTGGGTCTCAGGCCGACCGCGCGAAGAAGGAAGAGGAGGCTGCCAAGGCTGCTGCGAAGAAGGCCGCTGCCAAGGCTAAGAAGAAGGAGAAGAAGGAGAAGAAGGGCGTCGAGGCTACCGCTAAGGGTGGTGCGGAGAGTCCTAGCGTTGACGCTGACGCTGTTGAGAAGGTTACCGATGGCGTTGCCCAGGTTACCCTTCCTACTTCTTGAGTGGGAGGTGAGGTGTGACGATTTCAAACAATCCTAAAAGGGTATGCATGAATGATTTCCTTGGGCGTACGACATGTGGTTTATGGTTTGGTCATGACTTGGATTGGATGTGGTTGGGGGTTGATACTATCATGACTGGAATGGAATGGCATTATTACTATAAACATGAATTGAATTCTACGAGACGGTGTTCTGGAAAGTGTTTGCATTGATGTGTAGTTCGACTTTTCGCTATTTTTGACATTGTTTACGAGTGAAGATCTAAATCTAGGGTTCTCTCTATCGGAATTTTCCCTTCATAGAACTCGTAGTCCTACCCTCATCTGTCCTCTTCCTCCTCGGTTCGCACGTAGATAATACGGGATAAAACAAAGATCTCTTGACTCGCCTGTAATTATTCCTTCGCCTTGGTCATCGGCCACGATCTGCCCATCCCATGCAGAAGTATCGAGTTGTCCCAGAGCGCCTTTGTTTGCAAGCAGAGCCACGTAGGAATCAGGATCGGACCGTTTCTCCTCTCGCAATGGCACTTTCGGATCGAATATAGTTCTCTGTATTCAAATATTATTGTTAGCACGTTTAGAATTGAGATATCCTACAGTCGCCATCCAAGAAAATAATAGCGTAGCGTAGGTTTCACATACCTTAAAATGATCACCTTCCCACGGGTGATCAATATCCTCCACACAATACACAATCGGACCCCGCGTGACATATGCGACTCGCTGCATCGTCAGTGGATGAGGTCGGACTATGCGTGCTTGCATTGGGCACGAGAAGTGGAATTTCGGATATTTGCGAATATACTCGGGGTCTAGGTAGAGATATCCGTCTCGGATGTCGATTTTATTGGGATGCGGGGTTATCTTTGCGGAGTTAGCATCGTACTAGTAGTTGTATCACTTCTGGGGCCAGAATCAGGTTAAACTCACCTCCCAACATTCAGAGGCCCAGCCGGGAATTCTCAATCGTAACTCGAGGTCGAATTCGGATTCGGATTCGGATTCCTCGGCACGGATCTCAAAGTCAACGTCGCCATTCCACGGCCAATCTGTCTTTTGGCTTATTTGAATCGTGGATACTTTTGTTTTTATATTCACCGTTGCGGATGTATACATGTGCACATTGACAATTGCTTTCAAATTTGCACTCGCCTCCGACTCTTCAACGCGCTGACTCCAGATATATCCGCCCAGAAACCCAAGTGTTCGGGTAACATTTGGTGGGCAACAGGCACATTCGAACCACTCGTGGCGCTGGGAGAGATCCTGGTCGGACGAGGCTAGCTGGTTCACGTAAGTGAATGCCTTACCGTCTAGACTCATGCCGGTTAGAACGGCGTTGTAGAGGCAGAGTTCCATTATATCTGCGTATTCACGCTTCAATTCGATCTGGGGTATCGTTAATCGAACTTGAACCCAATCGATATCACCGGGTGAATAGCGTAAGTCATACCTGCAACAAGCGTTCAGCAAGCATCATAACTCCAATCGCCGCGCATGTTTCCGCATAACACCCGCCCTCGTCAGTTCCGTGGGGAAGAAAGTAGTCGATTCCAAAGCCTTCCCATTTCTTCATTGCCCCAATACCACCCGTGACGTAGGATTTCTTTTCTACCATATTTGACCACAGTTGGTGGAGGGTAGGTAGATATTTACCTGCCAGCCCACTTGTGGTGTCGGGCGATGTGGAAATTCGAACCAGGTCCGCGACTGCGGTGAGAAGATACATTGCGCGGACTGAGTGTCCTTCGATCGTCTCTTGATTGATTATTGGTTTGTGGGCTTGTTGATACCTGGCCAGCTATCGTTAGTGTTTGTTTCAAAGACTATACCGACAAAGGTTCGCTCTTACCAGTAACTTCTCGCAGCGGGATAACACATCGGTAAATCATGCTCACTCTCGCCTCTCGCCTCCCTCTCCACGTCGTAATAGTGTCGTTTCCCCTTCCCGCCGTGCGGGCTCCCTCTTCTCCTCGATGAAGAATTGGGCTAGGCGGAGGTGTTTGGCGTCTTGGGTTACTTTGTATAGACGCAGTAGTGCTAATTCGATTTCCGGGTGTCCGGGATAGCCAGGGATTTGATACTCCAACGCTCCAAATGTAGAAGCCAGTAGATCGACGTATTTCAAAATTGGCGCGAGCAATTTGTCGTTCTTGTAGAATTGGTGGTGGGCGAGGGCTGCTTCGATGAGATGGCCTGCGTTATATCTGGAAAGCATTAAATTGAATCCTAAAATAAGGGTTGTATGCTGAATTCAAGAGCTTCACGTACAATTCGTGCATGTCCCGTAGATTAGTGAATCGTTTGCCAGGTTCGACGACAGAGTAATGGATATTCAAATATCCATCGTCGTGCTGCGCGCCTCGAATCATCGCCACCAGTTCCTGCACTGCTTCGTCTATCTCGGCATCGAAGTCGTCCGTGAGTAAGTAGCAAGCACCTTCGATCCACTTCGCTACATCGGAATCCCAGAATTGGTGATTTGGAACTGGATAGACGGTTGGAGGATCTGAGTAGCTCGGATGCCAGCCTAGTTTAAATGCTTCGTATCGCCCAGTCTTTTTGAGCATCTGCAGTTGGTGGCGGAGTGTTTGGGCGCGGACGACTTCGCGTCGACGGGCCCAGAATGATCCTGGGGTGAAGGTCGTCCTGACGAAAGACTCTTGTGGATACTCCATCGTAGATACAGTATACTTTGAGATCGGGATAAAATCGAATCAGAATCAAAGGGAAAGAAAATGTAAGCTGATGCGCGAGCTTCGCTTCTTTCTTATATGCCGAGGGGTCCGGGACACCTCTCGGAGCTTGAGCGGGCCTATCCCATTCCATTCGGCCTGTCAGAGATGCAGAGAAGCCGTCACGGATGACTCCCCGCCGGCAATGGCGCTTGCTCCGAGTGGGATGTCCGCATGGCAAGACTCCGGCGGAGATGCTCCGGCGGGGGAAGCGAAGCCGATGCCGGGGGTTCAATGCCGGGTAGGGAGATTCTTACCAGTCATTCTGCTCGGCCCCGCAAGAGAACTTGAAGCCTTTTGACTACTACTAGTCTGGGCTGGCATTGGTCAGTGCTTGCTGAATTGTTCTGTACCCCAGATAATCACCCCACATTGATGTGGAGACCCGAAACTCCGGGTGCTGCTCAGGTGCTGAATGGTATATATACCACGTTGATCGCATAGTTACGCTCGGAGTTGTAGCGTCAGACCATGCCCTTGGCTTTAAATCCACTCCATCGATATAATATTCGATAGCCCTGGGGCAATCTGTGCGAAAATGGGTATCGTGGAGAAATTCCTTCCTAAAGATGACCGGTAGGGAACACTTGCAACCCCAACACAAGCCTTGAGGAAGCTGCTTCTGTGACTTGGACCCCGCTGACCTTCAACTTTTCTAGCTTTGCGGCCTTGCTTCTCTACGGCATGGTCTTTTCGACTTGCTTCAACGGCTATGATGCAGGAATTATGACAGTCATTCTGGCTGATAAGCAGTTTATCGAGTACTATAGCATCGATGCTAATAGATCGGGTTTGGTGGCGACTATACCTTGGGCCATGACTGGTATTTTCCCATCCGGGCAGCTTTCTTTTCTATCATTTTGTATAGCAAAGACTAATCTTCAGTTCCTTATAGGGTTGGCTCAGCTTTGGCTGGGTGGATTCCTTGCTGGATGGCTGGGGCGTCTTTGGGCATTGCGAATTTCTATTTGCATTATGATTATTGGAGTGTATGAGATTATTTGATTTCCCCTTGGCAGATATTGCCAAATAATAATATACTGACTAGTGTGTCCGAGATTCAGAGTGGTGCAAGTCATCCCCAACAATTTCGGCGTCCTGATTCTAGGTCGACTTTTGACGTGAGCTTCTCTTGACCCTACTTCGGGACCTCCAGGACCCCGATGATTTCATGAAAGCTCTGTTCTGATACTTAGATTTTTATATCCCAGTGGTCTCGGATTTGGCTGTGTCTACATTGCCACAAACCTCTACGTCGCCGAATGCGCACCCACAAAATTACGAGGCAGTTTTGTCGGCACCGTCTCCCAGTTCGGATACCAGTTAGGAACACTGATAGCATTCTGGGCCGGCTACGGAATGTCCTTTCACAAATCGCCCTATAACATCGCCTGGCGAGTCTCAAATCTCATTCAGATCCCGATTGGTCTTGCCTTTATCTTTGTTTCATTTTGGTACCCGGAAAGTCCTCGCTTCATGCTGGAGAAATACCCCGAAACGCCTGAGCTGTGTCTGAAGGTTCTTTGTCGGCTTCGGTCCGGCGTGCCTTCGGATGAACGAATTCGCGTCGAGTTCCATGAGCTGATTGTCTCGCGGGACTTTCGGAAGAGATATGAGACGGGGTATATTGGGTTACTCAAGAATAAGAGTATGCGGAAGCGTCTTGCTTTTGGGTTTTATGCTGCGGGTCTTCAACAGGTAATGCTACTAGTATGGTCACGAATGGCTGTATCTCCCTGCTCTTCTCTAATTCTACTTCATTGGCAGTTTTCTAACTAGTGCTGTTGTTAATTTAGTGCGGTGGAATTGCTGCATTGACTATGTACGCCACTCTCATTTACCAAAGTCTCGGATGGGACTCCGGGTCCCAGGCCCTATCTATCAACGGGATCCAGGCCGTTCTTCAACTTCTCATTGTTTTGGTCAATACTTTTACTGTCGAGCGCTTTGGGAGGAGAGGTCTTCTTCTCGCTGGATTTTCCATCCAAGCTCTCGCTCTTTTGATCATGTCTTGCCTTACGACCGCCTTCCCTTCGAATTCGAATAAAGCTGCTGCTATTGTTGAAGTGGCAATGCTGTTCATTGTTGGCCTTACTTATTGCTGGTCTAATGGGCCTATTGCTGCTGCGGTTGTTGCGGAGATATTCCCCCAGCATGTTCGCGATAAGGTGAGCAACCAGAGGCTGTGGAGATAATACCCTGTTGTTCGATGAAATGGGGGTCCGAAATTGAATGCTAATCTTTGATAGGGATTTGGTCTGTCAATGCTTGGACAAACATGCTGGTTGATTCTATTGACTCAATCTTGGCCTTCTTTTAATGCCAAGGTCGGAGGTCATAGCTACTGGCTGTTATTTGGTCTTAATGTTGCGGCGGGTGTAAGTTGTGTCCTATCCAGGGTTATACACTGCTCTGAGTATTTTCTCCTCATTTTGATCCTAGTGATGCTAATACGTGGACTAGGTATCTGTTTACTTTATCCTCCCAGAAACAAAAGGTGTATCATTGGAACGAATGGAGAGGATTTTCGGTGATGTGGACTTCGTTGAGGCGGGAGAGTGCGAAGGTGGTTCTGAGAAAGTTGAAGCCAGGACAGTCGCGGGCGAAGAGAACAAAACTCCCACCGCGCACATGGAAAATGTGCCACAGAAGCAGGAGTCGCTGCCTGTCAGATCATCTGTCTAATGAATCATTAAATTACTGACATGGAGTTTTTGGAGCAGGAGAACGCGAAGGCGGAGAGAAACGTGGGGAGACTCTATCGACGGATTTAAAGCAATATTCAATTCAATTTACAAGTTTCAATGTTTTCATTCCGTCGTGATGCTATGCAGGTTTTCTAAATTTGGCAAATGCAGGTAGCCTTGCTGGTAAAGCAGGCTATTTATGGATCAGATTGCCCCGGCGAACCATTGACGTGAAAAGGTAGGCCGAGATTGATGGTTACCGATGACGTGAGAGCTGTTTCGGGCGTATGTCTCATCGGGGTTGGCTGTCTTTGCCCTCGAGAAGCTTGGACTCAGTCAGGATCCCGAAAAGTCAATTTCGACTTTGTTGGAGGGGTGGTGAAGAACGAAACACCCTAGCGAGAAGTGGGTTCGATCCAAATTTCGTGAATACAGGCGCAAGCCCAAGGTTATGGCTCGATAAAATGTGAGCTGCAGAAATTCTAATCATCTCGCACTGTGCGGTCCAGTTGTTTCGCAGTGCGCGATGTGATGCGTTGACGGGAATAAGGCGAGATCACTTCCAAGATGAGTTACCAGGATGTTCAAATTATTCAGAGATGGGTTTGTCAATGATCGATAATCAATTATGTTGATGGTATCTTCAATCACCGATGGCCGAGGAGGTCGATGGGGTCAATTCCATCGTCGTCGTCATCGTCATTTTCGTTTTCGGATCCGGAAGAAGAAGAGGATTCTGCTTCATCGTCATCATCCTCTTCTTCACCCTCGCCTTCGCCTTCACCTCCAGCTCCCTCCTTGCGCTCAACAGTCGCTGGATCGTTCGAAAGAAATCCGTAACGATCTCGAAGCTTTTTACTTAGAAAGTTCAATGCCCCGTAATCGGTGTCACCCTCTGATCGTAGCGGGTTCCCAAAGAATGGCAGAGAAGATGGTTTATCTGATTCACGCTCGGTGGGTAGACCAAAGTAGTTGCTGACTACGGGCGAGATCGCACGGTTGTGTGTCATGTTGTAGGAGACAAAGCGGTTATCGGGACCAGCTGATCCCGGTACACTGAGACGGGACTGTGAAGGAGGAGTGTTGTTCATATGCAGTGCTGCCAGGGATGTCGAGGCCTCCTCTCCCACATGCAACGATGCTGATCTTAGTCGGGAGGGGGTCTCGTTGGGCTCGTGCTGGTGCTGGTGCTGATGCTGATGCTCGTGCTCGTGCTCGTTCACACCCTCTTCCTCAAGGACCGCAGAAACGTCCCCTTGCAGGATGCGGATCTGGGCTGTATTATAAGATTCGCATAAGTCACATTTCAATCCCAGCCAATGATATTTGACGATCGATTTGGCGCCGCAGTCGTTGCAATATACGAGTCCTTTGGTATCTGTGAATTCAGCGGGCATTGGTTGACTCTCGATCGTGCGGTCTAGGTTTCGGAATGTCGACTCCATGTTTGTTATGGTCTTGCTGCAGATTGGGCATCGGAATGATGTTTTTGAATATTCGGAAAGGCATTTGTGATGGAGACTATGGCCGCATCGCATTACGACAACAGTCTCTGGGGAAGTAAACATGTAATCCCCGCAGATGGGGCAATCGCACTGGGTGGATCTTTCGATGCATCGGTGAGTATCCTCTATGGATATGGGCAAGCACACACAACAGGTCTATGAGGTGAATTGTTAGTACGGCCAAGCCAAGACCCAACCAACGGTAGCCACATAAGCCAAAGCACTCACCTTGCAATGGAAAAAATCTTTCCCAAGTCCTTGGCCAATTCGGCAAATCCCACAATCGTGGCAATGATAAATACTTTTCTTGCTGTCGTTGTCCCACAGCTTGCAGATATCGCAATAGTAGTGAGCTGTATCTTCCCCGCATTGATGGCAACTTTGGGCTGCAGGCTGGGCATATCCACAGAGCATGCAGAGCATGTTCTCCGTATCTCGGCGAACCAAAGGATGCTCCTCGACTTCGTCGTGGCAGAACCTGCACGTGTACCATTTCTTGCAAGTGAAGCATTGAAGCTTGACGTTTCTTTTATAATGCTGACAGCCTAGAGAGGCCTCGTCCAATTCTTCTGTGTCCTCGTCACCGGCCTCGTCGCCGGCTTCATCCCCGGTTTCAACAACTGGGGAATCGGGTTCGACTCGTGGGACATAAGTTGGTTGCAAATCTTCAGTGGTGAGGGCGAAATGGTTCTCGTATGGAGGGGCTGGCATGTCCAAGGTGGGGCTCGGGCTCGTATGACAGGGATCTGGCGATGAATTCATTGCAGGCAAGGGTGAGCTGGGTGGATGATGCATGGGGGGAGTTGCTTAAGGTTGGAGACTTCAGCATCGATGCGCGGGACGATTTGTTGTACTTTTCCGTCATGAGATTGTGGACCATCCGCGCCTTCTCGTTGTTGTCCAGGTCTCGGTCCCGAATTGCAATGATCTTTTTCCTCAAATATCCCATTCCATCATCAGCGGGCAATGATGATGAAGCCAGCACATCAGCATTAAGTCTATTGTCCAAGTTTTGCGCTGGCCCTGCCTGCGATCCTCGTCTTGACTGTGTATCTCCGCCGCCAGATCGTTCAGTTTGTATGGCGCCCGATTCGTCCTCCTGCAGGCGCATGTTTCCAAGGTTTTGTGTATTCATATCAATATGGTTTGGATTGTCGGTCATGTTATTGGTGATGGTGGTGGTGACAGGTGTGGACTGGTCCTCGCTGGGGAACTCGCCATCGTGCTGCGTTTCAACAGATCGAGGGTGTTGGTGCTGACGCTCGCGCTCCGAAGTTCGGCGATCCATGTCTTTCAGGAGAGGCGTGAAGAAAGGAGGGCTAGGGCCATGCAGCGACCCTGCATTTCCAGCAGGTAGATCCGATGTAATACGATCTTGGTCAGGGGAGAGAACAGGATCGTTGTTATTAGGCAGCTTTATTGATTCGTCGCCCCGAGAGTGCTCCGCTTCGTCCGTGTGGTGGGGGGGCACGGATTCCGAGTTCGACCAGCAGCGAGTTGACGTAGCTGCTCATTAAGGGCTGAATGGGGGATCACATCAAATGCAGTGATCATCCATGGACGTATACGAGATAAACGTCCCTAGATTCGTGAAAGAAGGCTGTGTGGCCTTGGGGAGGAAGAAGATCGGAGGTTGTTTGGCATGTGACGTTCTGCTGAATCATCCGATCGGCGCTAGCAAAGTTACCCCGTTCAACACTGCCCGAATGAAGAAGATGAAGAAGAATAGAATAGAGTCTGTGTATGTATATAATAAAGAGGTCACAGTGTACTCCGTACACAGCTGAGCATATATTGTAATATCTAGTACAATATTCCATACCATTTGATATTCTATTCTTGACCAATTTGTCTTTCCCCGCAAAAATCATCCGATCTGCAGCCCCTTATGCAGCCAATCTGTTTGCCGACCTTGAAAAGAATCTTGGATGGAGAACTATTCGGGGTAAAAGAATAGGGTTCCGGGTGCTGAAAGTTTGGTGGTGATGAAGGGGTTCTTCCACTAGTCAGTCCCATTTGACAGCCTTGCAGGTGGCTGGTCAGACGTCAAACGTAAAAGCGCGGTAGGTGACGAAAAGGTCAAAAGAGGGACCATTGTACCCAACGATGCCGGGCCGCAAGGGAGAAGCGACGACTGGAAATTCCAGAACGGACGAACTCTGGTGGCTGGATACCCTTTTAGGTCAGCTGCTTCCTCACTGCATTCTGGATTCCTGCCCAAGAAAGGCACGGACGCCCAACGTAGGGGAGGTAGCAAATGAGATAGACAACCATTGTTTGGGTTGAGATAAACAAGGGCCATATACTCGAGTTCATCTTAGACAAGTTCCCAGACTCTCATTTAGTCGTTCGAGGGTCAAATTGAAGTGTTCATAGGCACTTTTGCGAAGGACCGTCTCCTCTTTGACGAGTCCCAAGTTCCGCAGCCTGGGGTGCAAAGTTAGCAATCAGAATCAAGATGTTTCTCTTTCCCTCTCTTCTTCCCCACTGGGCCGCATGGAATGGGGCCATTTCATGTCCACTTACATGCGAGAATCCTTGCCAATCGGGGTAGTTTCCCAATATCGAGTGATCAGGATGTTTTTCACAATTCTGTGTTCCATGTTGGCAGCGGCCGTAGCCCGTTCGAGGAAGCGCAAAGTGTTGGCAATGCGCGACGCGTCAAATTGCTCGGAGGGGGAACGAAAAGACCTTCGTATAATGGTACGTAGGGTATAGCGGCCGGGCGCAGAGTATCGAATGGCCTTGAGGCCTTGCCGGAAGAGATGACGGTATGCATGAAGCACGGCAGTCTTTGATGGAACAACGGTGGCCATTGTATAATAGCTGCTTATACAGCTGTAGAGATAGCTGTGTTCAGTCAAGGATGTAATGTAGTGCAGTGAAGTGAAGTGTAGTGTAGTGTATCGGAGTGTAATGCACCAAGCTGTTCCTTCCTGCCACGCTAAACCTAAATGGGCCGGGCAACTTTGGGCACCGAACTTCAACTTCCCCCCCACTTCAGAACATTCACATTTACATCCACATCCACATTCACATTCTGCACGGGACTTTTATTTCTGTCGAGTTTATTACTTTACTGAACTTTCCTCCTGTTGTTTCTTTCACCGGAAACAGGACGTGGTCCTTTTTTCCCTCTTACGCGTCCACCCAACTCAACAACTCACCTTAACACTCGGCCCCAACCCGTCTCTATCGTACTTTTATGCTCTGACCGCCCGTGTTCTCCGATCTCCGTCATATCACCCCAGCCACCAACGCAACCCCCCCCCTTGAAACCATGTGTGAAAGACCTCTCTAAGAGGTTGCTTCTAAGCAAACAACCCTACAGAATGGCCCGCGTTGTCAGGAGGGCCGCCTCGGCTTCGGTCCGGCGCGCCCCCAGCCGCGCTGTTCAGCGGAGAGCTCGAAAACATAAAGTGATCATGGAGTCGGTCACCCAGGAGAAGAAGAAACTCCAGAGTGTTGTGTGTTTCCCTTTCGTGGGAGAGAGAGAGAGAGAGATTTATATACGAAAGAGGAGACTTGTCTTGTCTTGATCTATAAACCTATATACTCTTTTCCTTTCCTTCCCTTTCTTCCTATCTGCTGTGCTAACTCGAGATATAGATCAGCTTCGAAGCACGCGCTCCAACCGGTTACACTTTCATCCCGGCTGGAAACCCCCATCTCACTACAGCTTGCAAAGAAAGATGCCGAAAAGAAGGATCTCAGATCTATGCGGTCTCGGTAGGAGGATATTAATCTCATCTCATGCAGTCATGCATGGCCCTTGAACTCTACTCATGCTCCGTTAGACCACCCCGCATACAACAACCCATAATCTATCCCTCCATGTTCACCGCATAGGTTACCATTTCCCGAGCACTGTGGTCGCAGCGGTCTGTTCGGAGTTGGGACTCTATCTCACCAGCACCGGAAAGGCGGTGCCTTTCCATACCATGAGCTCGAAAGAGGCTCGCCCGACAGCTGATGCCAACAAAGACCAATTGACCATCAACACGGAGGCAAGAGACGCGATTACAGATCTCTTCCCTAACATTCCACAGAATGATTTACATCAGATCATTAAAACTGCTTTTCAGAAGGTACGTCGTTCAGAACTCACCAGACGGATTTGGAAGATCGGGAATACCTGATAGCTATGATACATAGGGTCAGCGAAAGGTAGGCACAGCCTCCGAGCTGCCTCTAGCTCGTCGTGCACAACTTGCCGTGGTGGCCCATATCCGCCATCTCTACACCGATTACGACAAGCTTTTGAAGTCGGGCTCCTTTCACGAGGCGAGATCGACCGTTGAACAGCCGACTCTGGCCAAGCTCGTCGCCTGGCGTGGCGATGATGAGAATGGCCAAAAGGTCCTTGAAGATGTCTTCCGAGAGGTCATCGTGATCTCGGATGACGATGATGACAGTGAAATCGAGGAGGAAGTCCTCACTTCAAGAGATAACCGAGACCAAAGCGTGGAAATTCTTTCCAGTCATGCCAGAGCCCATGACATTCAAACACAACCCATTAACTTTGTGAACACCTCAACCCTGGACCCCTTGCGCGAGATGTCCGAGGAAGCACCGCCGGGGTTCCGATTTGTGCATACAGTACCCAAGAAGGCCGTCGATCGCCGAGGATTTAGTCGATACCAGGCGTGGAACCGCGCAATGACCAAGTACGGGACTAATGGCACCGCACATGGCACCGAACAGGCCCGCTTGAACAGTGTCACGGCCGAGCAGCAAAGCCCACGCCACGGAAAACGTCCCCTAGCCCCTCCTCGTGAACTCGCAGACTCTCCCAGGCGCCGTGAGCTTCCTCCTCCGCCGTTGGAAGGTTCCCCTAGAGTCATTCCAGGTCACAGTCGGTTTGAAAATACTGTCCACCGTACGGCTGCTGCTCCAGAACGACCAGCAGGAAATGGCTATGTAGGTATCCAGGACAGACGCGGGCCTTTGGAGGGCCAACGAACTGTGTCCCAGCAACATGGGACCAGTGGACGACCAGTACTAACTACACAGAATTCATCTGATGTCCACCTCTTGGATAGGAGTCCTCGCTCCGTTGGACATGCTCTTTACCCTCCACCCCCAGGCAAGGCTCATTTGAATTTGACTTCCAATGCTCGTCCCGAGCGGATCCCCACCTCCAATAACAACGCAAACTCGCCAGTTTTCGTTAACGCGCACAAAGAACTGCATTCGATTAGCCAGAATCAGTTTGGCGCCCGGACTGAAGCTCCTATCTCTCATGCGACCAGACCAAATGCTACCTCCCAGGACTACGTACTACCCTCAATCGAAGCACCTTGGCCACAGGACAAGCGAAAGGCGGATGTCCGACTGGAGAACATGACGAAACGGATGAGTCTTCGTTCCGTAACACCCAAACAGCCAGGAGAGCTGTCTCAGCCTGGCAGTCCAGATGACCCAAACTCCAAGAGACGACGACTGGCTTATCACGTACCCCCGCCCGTATCCCAGGAATCGCGCCCCGATCCTTGGAACACAAGGCCCATTGCTATGCCGGTTTCTGTTTCCGACGGGTTGGCCGCAAGAGGCCAATACCGCCGCGATGATCTCGGTCCCGAGTATCGCGTAATGGACGGGAATTTCGTTCATCGGGACTACCTCGTTCCCGCAGATCCATACCAAAGAGAGAGACAGGCTCAGGCCCAGGCCCCGCAGGATGCCAGACCAGCATTGGATCGAACTCGTTTCGCCGATATGCACTCACAGTCCGGCCCTCCTGGAACCAGTGGAATGGTCCTGAGATGATCGCATTCTCAGAACCGGCCCCGTCGCTTCTTCCCGCCCTACTTACTATGGTGATCGTAGCCCTCACACCCGACCTGCAGTGATTGATCCTCGTGCCTGGAAAGATGGTGATAGTCCTCACTCTCGCCCTCATGTTCCCGGTGCCCCCTTGAATGTGAAGCTTTACGCTGACGGCTTTGTCCGCCACGTTGATTTTCGCGAAGTTCGTCCGGTCGAGTATTACGTTCAACGCCCAAGGGTGCAGCCGCAGCCGCGCGCCGGAGATCCCATTGGCCAAGGCCAAGGCCAGCCCTTCAGAGCTAGGATTCCTGAGCACTTTATTTCCAAGGATCTTCCTCCGTCTCACTCCCTGCCGCAGCCTCTACCGGAGCAGCAGCACCTACTTCCAGCTTCCCGAGCTACTCACAGTTCTCACGACCAGACTCTTCCTCATCCAGAGGCTATGCCTATGTCTGGAAATCGCCAGCCCCGAGGACCACCTCCCGCAGGCGCTCGTGACAGACGTCCTGGGAGCGGGCCCGGCCCGAAGCGGTAAGATAGACCAGACCAACATCGTTCCAGGTTCCAGACCTCTCCGGACGGGAATGATGATTTCTTCGGGATCACTCAGGGACAAACTAACATTTCACATCCACAGACGCGTCCACGACCCCCGCGCTTTCCAAATGGCCGAACAAAGCCGGCCCATCTACGTACAAAGAGTGGAATCGCAGACACCCCAGCCCCAGTCCATATCCGAGGGCAGCAGACATGTTGTCATTGTCGATTGATTTTGTTTTGTTCTTGCGAATACGAGCACGAGTACTCCTGGAGAGGCGTTTTGTTCGGTCAAAGTTGCGGGATTTCATATGAACACGTTTGCGGGATTGTATCGCATTGCATCTGCATGGTTGTTTCGGTGCTTTTGTCCTTTGTCTCGTCTACTCGACTCGACTCTACTCTACTTTATTATGATACCCATCCGTCTTGTCTAGATTAGATTGCGCCTTTGGGCTTCCAATCAAGTTTCTTGCGTGCGAGATTTGCAGTTGTCGGGCTGTTTCTCCTTCTTTCCTGTCCTCGGACTTTTGAAGTAGATCAAGTAACGTATCATGATTTAATGCAAGGAAAAATGCAGAGGTATATTGCGCTCTCAAATGACACTCAACGGGACCCGGCGGATAAATCATAGGTCTCATCTCCTCCGCAAACTCTCTCGGAGAAAAACAAAACCCAATCTTCAAACTTTGTCCCATCCTCACGGCCTTATCTCGGCTAAACAGCCTGTTTCTCCCCATCCGCCTCCCCGCTATTAACCGCCTTGCCGGTCTTCTTAATAGTCGCCAGGACAGTGTCGTACGAGAGGCTCGGTTCGGTGGTGATCTTTGCGGTCTGCGATTCGAGGTTCACGTCGAAGGTTTTCACGCCTGGGGTGAGGGTGGTTAGTTAGCTAAGGCCATAGCAGCGCACTAGGTCTAAGGTAGGTGTCGTGAGGGGCAGGGCAAGGCATGGCGGGGGCGGGGTATGCATGGCGTACCGTCTAGCTTTTTCAGGACGCGCTCGACGGCGCCGGAGCAGCCGCCGCAGCTCATGGAGATGTTGAAGGTGTATTGGTGGTCGGACATGGTGTGTTCGAGTGTGTTTTGAGGGAAGCGGTGGAGGAGGTGGAGTTGGTGGAAATGGGAGTGGCGTTGAATTTGAAGGGAGAAGACCAGGCCGCGTGGGTGAAACAAAGCAAGGGGGTGGGCTAGTTCGGCAGAACGGAAATGAAAGGAAAGTGGCAGGTACTATAGCATGGGTTTATTTTATTTTGCTTGGTGCCTTAAGCTTTTAAGTCTACGAGATTTAGGTGGGAATGGTGCAATTTGTCATCTCTGAGCGGTTTCTGCGATTGGAGAATATAGGACTGGCTGTTTGTCATCACGCAATAAACGCGCACTTTGAGCGGAGATGGGCTTATTTGAACCACGTCATTCTATTAAATAATCCGAAGCCGATGGATACGGCCTGGTTGATCCTTGTTGAATATTTATATACTACCCCTAGGTAGGTAGTCAGTACTAGTGGTAATGGTATAGTTACATGTCACGGGTCCTCGAAGTATACATGATCTCGGAAGGTTTAATGCCGCCATGCCGACGGGTATGAGCATATGGGCAATAAGGGGAGGTAGGACCATGGACTAAAGGAATCCTATAGCTTCATCTTAATGGATATCGAATTATCGATCCACTTGAAACATGCCCAGGTACTAACTAATAGCTTATAGCAGTACATTTCAGCGAGGGCTCGGAAAACCTCAGTGTCTCTCTCCTGCCCAGGTGCGACATGCTGTACATATATTTTGTATTATGTATAAAATATCAGCAACCAGTCACAGCCTACCTAGGTACAGAAGTCAGTATACTACCTGCCTATAATTTCTGCTCTAGAAAACCTCAGGCTGCTTTTGCTAACCGTAACTCGACTTGAAAGGTTTCCTTTTCCTTTTAATTTCAAGGTTCTCGTGAGAACTTCAAACCTTACAATCTATAATATATTTCAGAATAGAATCCAGTGTCTCCCGCCCGGACGAGAATGTCTCAATCATCATTTGCGAGGACTCGATTCCACGACAACCTTAAGAGGTACAGCTTTATGAGCCACCTGGAAATGATTCCAAGTAGGATACCGGGCATTAACGATAAGTATGCAGAGAAAAAAGCACTCAACACCAACTCAAAATTGCAGGCACTTCAAGAGAAGACTGAAGAGGACAGGCATATAATAGAGATTCAAAAAAAGAATACTCTGCTCATTAGCAGAGGCGATAGACTCCGATAGGGGGAATCGAACCCCCGGCTGCCGTGTGAGAGACGGCGATGTTAGCCACTACACCATATCGGACGGGTACGGTGGAGGCTACTCCCAGTTTAGTTTTATCAAGTACGGTGTTAGCGCTGACGGTCGCTGTGCGTGCCCGTGCGTGGTTGTATACTCCGTATAGTCCCCCCCCCTGGATCCAACATTTCTTCTTTCGCCCCCTGCTTCTCAGCTCGCCCCATCTTCGTCCGTGCTCTGCTGCTGAGGCATTTTGTCATTGACCCGGATTACCGAGCTCCGTTACCCTTGTTATCTCCTGCGCGACTCCTCGACTGCAAACTGCGCCCCTTTCGCTTAGATATAGCTTCCCTATAGAGAATGCTAAAATATCGATATCTAAGCTATTCTCCGTAGGTATAGATAGAAAGGTGATCTTCGGCGTTCCTTATATTAAACTTACGCTCTCTATATTAGAGGTAAGTCTAAAGCGTACTACGTCTTCTTTTCGGATCTCTTTAGCGAGTAAGATTAAATTATGCTCTAATATAATTAGCTATATCGAGGTGCTATCTATATTTAGGGAGCTAGAATTAACTAGTATAAAGGGCCAAAAAGTCATCTGTATGCTCCCTACATCGGCGTTTACATCGCAAGAGCAATCGGTTTTGATGTTCCTGCCCGCCGTGCGTCGATATGCTGTCTTCAAGTTGTATTTCCTCAGCGGAATCCTCATCGCGGCTAGGTGTGGAACTATGATGTTGGTTAATGAAAATACCTTCTTGGAGTCAGACTATGAGAACGGGCGCTAATAATGATAATGATAATAAGAATAATAAGAATGACAATAAGAATAACAACCAATGCCCCGGAGTCCACACTGCCAAATCATTACTGTGCCTTTACTGGGAGTTGTTTGAGCTGGCTGAGTATTGGTATTCCCAGATACCAGTCGCCAACTCATGCATATCCGCTGTTGTCATGATGAAATTTCGCTCCCTGGCCCCAGGCTTGGGCTCCCTTAAAAAAACATCGGAAAACTTGATCTCTAAGCGGCCACTGACTTGAGGGCAGCCGAGCTGAGGGTTGCGCACAATTTCGATCTTTTGGGTCGGCGATGGAGGCTTATTGTCAGACACTTCCCAGCTCTCGATCAAAATCCGACCGCGGAGCACACTGATTGTTATGGCGACATTGACAGAATTCTCCTGGTCTTCTAGCCAGAACCTCATATCTTCTATCAGCTTTGAGCGAGGTTCCGACCATGCAACCTCGCCAACGAAAGTTGGCCACTTATGCGACCGACCACTCGGCACCTCCGCTGGTGTGAACGAGATATCGGCGTTCTTGGTGCGGCTTCTACCACGGACAGTTCTGGTGGTGGTGTTGAATAGAATGGGGTCGGTCACTCTCCTGGCCCAGGCAGAAAAGATAGTGTTGAACGTCCCGATGGCAACAGCGTGAGCTGGGGACTCCATTTTCAATAGCGTGGACTGGTAGACATGATCATAAATTTCCCAAGACAGCGTCAGTAGATTATCCCCCGAGTTTACAAAACACTCAAGGAAGGAGCGCTCGTCAATATCCATAATGAAATAAGGGTTATACGCGCATCCGAGTGGATCTTCTTCATGCTCAAACTTTTCATACTCTTCTTCGAAAAGTCTAAGACATTCGCGATAACCCTTATATCTATATCTGGGTGTGGTTGACGGAAGAAAATCCTGAAAGGACATCATTTTCGATGTTCGCAGCTGAAGATATGGGAAATCCCAAATGGACTTGAGCTTGCCGTGTATGATAGGGGTTGGGTATCAATTATGACGACAATATTTGTAACTCACAACTATCAGGTGGCAGCTACCATGGGACATGCGCACCGTAGGCGCTAGGTGACCACCAACATAGAAATTCTGGATCAGTGTTGCTTTCTTCACCAGATAATTCTTCGCTTGATCATAGTTTGAACTGGCTCCGGAGTAGACCTGGGCATAGGCATGCCCATGCCCAGGTCTAGTTCTAGCACTAAAGAAGGTAATATAGTTATATTATTCGGATCAGGATGCCGGTCCATTCCGGGATCCATACTAACAGCGAGTCTCCAGAAGTGACTAGGTACATAATCTTACTCGTAAGATTAAGCAGAAAATATACTTTTTTATCTTGCTGGGAAAGAATAAACTCTACTATAAGAAAGTTTATACGTTATATCAGGGCCCTCAAAAGGAAAGGTGAGGCAAAAAGAAAATACATCCATTAAAGCGCCCTGAACCCTTAGAACACAACCTGATGATCTGCTAATAAAATTACGGTGTGTCCCCGTCAAGTTACTATGGCTAGGCTATAAGAGTTCCGGTGCTTGTTGCTCACTACATTAACAGCTGAAACGATGATCACTGCCACTTTGGCGATCACAGCGGGATTCTGTAAGTGGCTCGGTTTGTGGAACAAAAATACGCAAATATCATTTTCTCGATATACCGGCAAACATTCATTTTCACTCAGTCTCTCGTGTTGTACTGCGCAGTGGACGCTGAGAGGCTAACATTGGCCCAATCTTTATCGTCACCCGTACCCTGCACCCTGTTACAAGAAACCATTTTGCTAGTCAATTGTCGTATCTGTGTCGATTGGGCTAAGTCAAAGCTTTTGTCGTCTTATTCGGGAACCAGCGTGCTGCGTCAACTGTTGAGGGCGGAGAACAAATTGTGGCCCTTGCCGCTGACTTTGCGTTGTCAACTCTGAACCCCTGTGAGTTTCATGAATTGTTGGCGGTTGGTTGAGACCAAATGATGGATGCACTAGCTGCTTTGACGGATTTGAGAGAGGCGAAGACCGCAACAACGGTGATAGGCCGAAGGCGCAGCAGGTTGGGTCCCCAATCTGGCAGGCGCTTCGAGATGTGGAAAGCATTCCAGTGGTAAAATACCGTGGTGCGTTCAAGTATACTAGCCAACGAGCTGCAGAACCCATAATAACAGAGCATTTGCATGCGCAGGTCACCCAGCTACTGGTCGATACGTAGCTCTGTGTGCTATCGGTATAGGGTAGGTGTTGTCTGGCTAGCGCGACTTTCTCACGAACCTTTCCCGGGTGAGGTCAAGTAGAACATTATTGGACCACAGTTTCCTATTCTAAGATAGCTAGTCTCTTAGTATCTGCACGCCTCCCCACAGCGGAATCTCCCTTAGCTAGACTCAGAGGATAATTTCAGTTTCCTACTTTGTCAAGGTTGGTCTATCATCTCAGCAGACCAGACCACGATACTGAATTAGCTTGATGTCAGGCAATACAATAATTCCCCGCGGTCGTCTTAACTTAAAAAATTACGTATGTCAGACCCTGCAAACTATGCCGTTGGCTAGATTTGTGGTATAGCCAGGTAATAAGTTGCAGCGGAAGAGCTTCTTGATAAAGAGCCCGAGGGGCCCGAATTTTGTATCACCAAATTATACAAATAGCTTAGCTTTTAGCTGTCGGTTTTAGATACAGCGCTGTTAGATATCTATCATTATCAATTTGAATTTCAGATTTCTTAATCCTGTATCAACATACATAGATTTTTGGCGTTGTAGTTATACAACAGTTGAGGTCGAGATAGTAGACTAAATATGAATACGCATCCATCAATGCGACATCCGCGTCTAACACATTAATTGCAGGACAAACATCACCAGTATGCCTCCTTCGTTTTGTCTTTATTCATGTGGGAGTGAATAGGACTGCGTGGTGAAGAAATGCTGCTCGGCTCCCCGGTCCTCGCCGTGATCAACGAGGCCATGGGTGCGCGGGTCTCGATCCAAGCGTACTCCGCCATCGAGTTATTTGAGGAGCGGCATCGCGCGGTCCTGTCCAAGAACATGGCCGGAATCAGCGTCCGCTACGCACTAGAGACGTGGGTTACTTTGCGAGTGGAACTCGTTTCCGTCCTGCTACTTGGTGCAACCTGCGCACTGTGCGGTCTAGGATTGCTTAACTCCGTTCAGGCTGGTCTAATAGTATTAGTATAATAGTTACTAAGTTATTTCCTCCATTGAGCAATCGGTTGGCGTCATTTGTGCATGTCTTCCAACCTTTGTATGTAATGCAGTTTTGAGTATTTGATATGTTAACTTCTAGCGTGTCTCAGACGTGCATTTCCCACGGGGTAAGATACCCAAGGGGTTTCTAAAGGTATTCTTATGAGTTTCCTCGCTTCTCTATTCTTATTCCTGGATGCAAACCATCCTTCTCATCGACTACTCTCAGCTTGAGCATCACAATAGCGAAACACCTGGACACTTTTCTGTGGTCCTTAACTGACCTCGATGTTGAAATGAACTCTATGGAGCGTCTCAATCAGTACCTGATGCTGCCTGCCCCAGAGATCAATTCTTTTTCCATGGGACGAGAAATCGCATCCTCCTGGCCGGAGAGTGGCAACGTGGTATTCTCTGGAGTTGAAGTCACGTATGCTCAAGCTTCGCAACCGTCTCTCTATGACTTTGATCTCATCATCCCCGCGGGTGCCAAGGTAGGGATCGTAGGCCCAAGCGGTGCGTTAATATATCTCTTACAAATCTCGATACCACAGTGACTTTTGGAACGCCCAGAACTACAGATTGGCTGACAGTCAAATATCGTCCAGCCTCCGGCAAATCGACCATCATCGCGGCAATAACGGGCCTTGTACCACTCACAGCAGGCACTATTCAGATTGATGATGTGGACTTGGCGACGGTCTCACTGCGCCAACATCGACGATCTGTTCATGTGCTCGCTCAGGATGCCGTGCTCTTCGATAGCACGGTGCGTGAGAATTTAGATCCCTCTCGACGCAGCAACGATGCAGACATACTTGAGGCATTGTCAGCAGTGGCATGGCACCAGATCGAGGACCAATTTGACGGCGTTGACCGCCAAAAAGTGCTAGACCAACACATTTTGGCTGGGGGCACCAATCTATCCGCGGGTCAAGCGCAATTAGTGGCTCTGGCGCAGGCGGTGCTGGCGCGGCCGCGCATCCTGGTGCTCGATGAGGCAACAGCAAATGTTGACCACAGCACGGATGAGATAATCCAGCGAATCCTGCAGCAGTCCTTCCGGGATAGTACGCTCCTCTGTGTGGCGCACCGAGCAGCCAGTGTCGCCTGGATGGATTATGTCATCACCATGGCGGATGGCTGCAAAGTAGGGTGATTTCTCTAAATAATTAGTAAATTTACTGATAGTTGACAACCTCTGAGAGCGCTGATAAGGGGCCAATCTGCTATCTCCCTGATTCTAAGACACTTTTTGGTTATATGTATAACTGATCGGCATTTTCCTCCGCGTATGTAACGAGTTGCATAGGTATACGTAATTTCCAGCACTCTGTTTATAACGTTGACAATATAAAGACGCCGTTCTATTACGCACTCTTTGACCCTGGGCAATCCACCTATTGTAACGTGATCTAGTGTCTGCATTTCTATACCACTCGGCCAAAAGAGGCCACAATATCAAAGCTCTTGCTTTGATATTTCCAGACTACATATATAAAGGATTACAGGTAGCGCGTTAGTACGGGAATCCCGTTACACCTATATCTTCCGCTTGCGAGTCCTCGCCATCTTTGTTTCCAAGAATCTATTCCCATTGTTTCTTGTCTCGGAGACTTTTTAATTCCTGACAATGGGCACCCCTGATAGTTATCTGCCTCCTGCCTTGAGCGCGGAGACTATCACCTCGTTGATCCTATCATTGGATCTCCCTGCGCCAAGTTCCATCGAGCCCCTGCAGGTCAAAGCCGCCTTTCATTCCATCTATCTCATCCATTTCGCTTCGGCACAAGGTATCACAGCACGAGCAAACAAGGATAACACCGTTACGCTCGTGCTGCGCGTCTCTGGCCGGCAGCTACCCGGCATCAAGACACGCAACGAGGTTGGCATCATGACCTGGGTCGGTAAGCATACCTCTATTCCCGTACCGGCCATCATTCAGTCGGATGCGACGGAGAACAACGTGATCGGACATGCGTTTACCCTACTCGAGAAAGCGTCCGGCATCAGCGTCGATCAGATATATGCAACGCTATCCAACGAGGTCAAGAAGCAGATGGTCCACCAACTGACGGATTATCTGATCGAGCTGCATGCGCAACCCTGGCATGAGGGGTATGTGGGCGGGCTGACCCTGACACCTACGGGCGAGATTACCTCCGGACCACCTATCGACGAAAACTTTTAGCAGACTCCTGACCTGGACAAGTACTGGTCTGCCTCGACCGAAGTCAAGAGTACGGAGACACTCGAAAGTCTCAATCCCATACCAGCCGAGGGGTTCCCTAGCTACTCGGCGTATACGAACAGCTGCCTCGAGCGGTATATTGACGTGATCGAGGTCCATCCCTCTCTGGAGCCCTACCGTGATTTGATTTCCCGGATCCGCGAGTTCATGGCGCAGCTGCGGCGGCCAGACAACCAGGCAGAGCTCAACCGCGTCGCCTACATCATGGCACACAAAGATATGCAGTTTGCCAACATCATGTGCGACCCGGACCAGCCAGGGTGTCCAATCACCGCGGTCCTGAGACTGGGAGTTCAGCGGGGTGGTTCCCGGCCCGAGGTGGAACCCCCCGCGGGCATTCCTGTGGAACATAAAATGGGACCCTGACGATAAGGCAGAGCAGACCCGCATGGAGCGAGCAAATCTGCCGAGAAAAGGGGGTAAAGCATATTTTGGAGCAGACCCAGCTGAATGCAAGGCAAGAGATGATGCAGACAGCAGTCAATCACATTCGAGCCATTGTCGAGGTGTGCCCGCGAGGCCAGACGCAGGACCGCGTGGCCCACTGGCGCTCTGTGGCGGAAGCCGCCATGGAGGGATTTTAGGCGTGACGTGTATGGAGGAATCATGTATTAGGCCCCTAAATTCCATTAATTTTATGATTAATCTTAGTGTATTTCTTAGTGGTTTTTTTTAGTATTCTAAAATTATACTGTTAGCTATAGCTAGACCTGGCAAATAGGTGCGGGTATACCCGCGGCAAGGTATCTGGAGCTTCGGGGCTAGACTTACGCACGACCTAATTTTGGGCCTAAATATTGGACCCAGGACTAGACTAGACCTGTGCAATGGGCGGCCCATGGGCCGGAATCTCGCTACCCGCCTTTGGACAGGGTGCCTATGGGTTTTATGGGCATTTTAAAGGTCAAATGTCTGGAAATAACTCACCCTCTAGGTGACAAAATTTCTACTTTGAGGAAACATATATTACATAGTAAGACAAGGGCTATAGGAAGGTATCCTTTATTTACCGATTAGACGTATATTGATATAGATATCAATGGTTAAAGATGGTCTTCTTTGTGCTAAAGCGGCTCTCTAGTAGACCTACCTTTTGCTAAATTTGGTACTTAATAACATTGTCTTGCCCAATCTGGTATTAAACGCCAAGTTTTCCTACTTCACAGATCTACGATAAAAATCCTCTAAATTCTGTTGGGATCTTCTTTTACTTACCGAAAACACTACATCAACTTTTGAGAAATTTTAGAGGTTCTTATACTTAGCATTTAGAATATTAAATATTGAAACCTTTATTATTGTAAGAAGTTTTTGGATATGAATTCATTAGCCAGAACAGCAGCGAAAAATTTAGACCACTCTATATAATATACTTCGCATTCCGGGGGCGGGAGGAAGCGGCACAACCCCAGCCTCCACTTGGGCGCTGAATGGTAGACTAACTGACCATAAAATAGAGAAGGGGAATAGTAGTTCAATGAAAAAAGTATTGGGTAGCTTAATATATTAGATGAAAGTGAGAAGGCGGATGAAGAGGAAAAGATCAATAAAATAGTAAATTTTGGACAAGTATGATATTCAGCGAATAATTAGCGAGGAGGAACAATCTGAGAACCCTATCTTAGAGCCCCTGTAAACTCCACGTTCTATTAGCTAGTTCTTGAAGAGTCTCTCTATCCAGAGTAATGTCGTTCTCATTTCCAGTTGGTTGCCGTAGGAAAAGAGATTCAAAGGGAATGGTCAGAGAGTCATTGGACAATTCCATTTGTCCATTGACCTTTGAGATTTCGGTCTGCTGAGTGCTTTGAACCACTCCATCAATACGCTCCCATCGATCAATCATAAGCCGGGGATGCTTCCTGTCGACCTTGATTGTGATTGTTGTGTTGACATTGCCTTTGGCTGGGTGCAGCCACCACTCAACGTCCCGCCGGAGCTTTATGTGAGACTCGGAAACTCCCACCTCTAGGGTCACCATGGGCTTATGGTGAAAACCTTGAGGGACTGGAAGAGGTCCCCAGCCTTGATCTGCTTCTTTGCCACGGCCCTCTTCCCTGATTGTAGCCCCGGCGTAAAAGCGAACGTTGGCTGCAAGACCCATCTGGGTAATAATGCGGATCAGCGCGAGGTTGACAAACTGACCGATGTCAGAGTGGATTATTGTGACCATCTTGACGAGTAGAAGGTTTGCTGCGAGATCGAAGGAATAGCGGTTGGGGCGAGACAGCACAGGGGAATCAAGGATATCGGACTGGATTGAACGGCTAGAGATGTAGAAGAGGACGCAATCACTGGGAAGCTCGCCGTCTAGAATATTATCTGTTTGACCAAGTGAGTCGCTCGGCTGGTTGACGGAAACGATGTTGGGCGATTCGTCTTTTAGGAAGGAACGTGTGACTCGATGTGAATAGGTCTGCTGTTTATTCCCCCTTTGGACGTTACGAGACAACAAGGAATCGTCTTTCATTCCCGGATAGTCGGCCTTCTCCCGAGGAGCCCCTAGTTGCTGGGATTGAGCAATCATTGACTTTTCAAGCCGGCGGAGCTCTATATCCATAATCATGCAGAATTGCGTTTCTCCTTCATATTTATATGTTGGTATATTTGAAAGGAGGTCTTGCAAGAAGCTGTCCCTATGAAGGAGCTCACATGAGCTGGAGAACATCTTCGTAGTAATAAACTCTATGGATATCGGGCCGTAGACATATAATACGAAGAAGTGATGATTGTCCTGAGGTGGCTAAAATACGGTCAAAAAGAATCTAGGAAACTAACTTCTTATTGATTGTCTATCTAATAAATCAGGCAGTCAGTGAAGCTTAGCAGTGACGTTATTATTTTCGTTGAAAAGTGTAATTGACTGTTAACCTTGGGACGTAACCGGAAAAGGAGCGGCGTTTGGAAGCGTGGCTAATTCTGCGGGTTCGGTCGGACTCCACTCGACCCATAGGGCTAGATTAGATAGTTATGGTGTAACTAATGCTAGGCTCATAATCCTAACTAGGTATAGCGTGAAGGCGCCATGCTCAGTCAAAATATCCATGTGGAAACACCACGGTTTTTGATACTTGACTACGCCACATCGTGGCCATTCCATTAAACCATATCGGACCGTTATAAAGGGCTTCTATTATTAGCCTTATTCTTTCCGGCTTAGCGTTCTTTATCGATTTGCCTCACCGTGCGTAGTTCTATAAAGCTCTACATGTTACACTATACGGAAACGCCACGATTCTACCCCGGAAAACCACGCACAATGGTGGTCTTTCCGTCGTCACCTCTATTTACACGATATCAGATTAATTGGTGAAGTCTGCTCCATTTTTTGGCTACATAGATCTAGCTTGGCGTATTGGGTCGCTTTGCGCTCCTGTGCGTGGTAGTATGTAGTCTCTTCCTTCCCCCTCTCCGCCCAACTCCTTGATATTTCCCTCTTTTCGCTCTCCACCCTGGTCGATGCAGGTAAGGCATTTTTGCTATTGATCCAGATCACCGAGCTCCGCTACACAGATGCTCCTGGTGCTTTACTCACCCGGCATTTCTAAATATGCCTCGGACTATGGAGGTCGACCAAGCGCCTTGCAAGACTGGGCTGACAACTATTTTGGAACTGGGGTTGACGCTTACTAGATTTCCAGATCCATATAGGATCAGGGGGGGTGTAGATGTCGACATATAACGCCAGAATGAGAAAAGTGTAAACCCCGCTCAAGCCTCGAAAGAGAAGTGGAGGAAAATGTAAGCAGATCTGCCAGTCGCGCGATCGCCGTACTGGCTTGCGCTCTCAGCCGAGCCGAAATATGGAATTGTTGGACGTCTGCTTTCGCATGAGATAAGTTTTTCCTGGCATCTACGATTCCCTACTTATCTTGCGTATTACTCTCGCCAATTATAGAAGTATTATAATGGCTCATTTATTGAGCTTTCAAGTAAAGGCGCCGTAAGATAATGTTTCATACTAATATTCTGCGCGAAGGGTTATCTTTACAGTATACACCACTTCCAAGCAGTGAAGGTCACCTGGTTCTCCCCTTCTCTACAGACACGGTCGAACCAGATCGTGCTATCTATCCGTCACTCAATAATACACCAAATAAGAAATTTGTTTTGAACCATCACATCCGCCTTCTATCTCCTTGGGCATCAGTCTTGCATAGGTCTCACCTACGAACCTTTCAGAAAGCTGGACAGTGACGAATGGATCTTTTCAGGGCAGCATCATGAAGACTCACGGAGGTCGTGCGACTGATTTTTGACGAAGGCGCGCAGACTTCAACACTAAGAGTAGTCAGCATGGAACTGCTCTCTAGGCTGCTGCTTTTGATGGATACACGGAGATTGTACAATTGCTTCTTGACCAAGGTGTGGAAGTCAAGGTTCAGGATAGTCGGTATGGAACTGCTCTCCAGACTACTGTACTAGAAACACACGCAGACATTGTATAAGTACTCCTTGAGAATGGCGCGGACTCAAACATCCAGAATGAAGAGGGCCAGATAGCTCTGTAAATTGCGGCTAGCTCTGGGGAAATCCAACTTATCGAGTTGCTTCTTGATTACGATACAGACGGCGATATTCGGGACAGATCGGGCAAGACAGCCTTCGATCTTATAAGACGTTGGGATATAGTTCCGGGTATGTAAAAACTTTTTCGGGCTTCAAGAGCCGGGAGTGTAAACCTCTCCTCCTCAAATTCTCGCAAGTTTTATTCCCAGCTATAATGTCGCGATGAACAAGATTACTCTGACGGTTTTTATTACGTATGCTTTTCTCTAATACCAAGACCGTTGATTCTCGATCGAACAAAATTGGCCATAGAAACCATTGTGGCAGCTCATGTTGATTGGTGGCCAGTGCGTCAACAGTATGTGCTTTGCCCACCTGGCCATGTGACAATGAAATAGATGGTAAGTATGTCTAATAAACTGCGTATGAAATACTTACCAATCCATGTCAAGCACAGACCCGAAGAGCTTTATATCCACTTGCCAGTGGATGAAGCAAACCGATACCGCCAAACATGTTTTGCCTATATTACCGTATGAGAGGAGTCAATCGAAGTATGCTCTACCACGCTACCAACAGGATGTTGACTATCTGGGTTCCAGAAATAATTAACCGGAAAATTCATCCGGAAGTTCGGCTCACCACCACGTAGGCTCTTCTCCTACCTTCGACAATAGCATGGGCCATCTTGGAGACAACGACCTTGAATAAGATGAAAATGCCAACGGAAGATTGCCTGTCTTCAAAGAAATATATTGGTGTGTTGACAGACCTTGGAGTGATATTCGAGAAACGCTTCATTCTGTGCTGGCAAATTCCCAAACCCTACGCAATGATAGAGAGCTTTACAGAATCCTCAAAGCTGAATACATCAAAGCTCGCGGCCGTTTCAGGCACTATCTCACCTGGAAATCCTGTCATTGTGTTGTATTTATCAAAGTCAGTGAATCAGCCCTTCCGTAACGCATCATGAGCTCATTGTACAGTTTCAACTGGTTCAGCGACAATCATAAAGAAGTCGATCCTGGCTCGAATGAAGTTCCCACCTTGCGGCCAGAGTACGATTTCGAAGTACATTCGCCTAAGACCCAGGTAAAAAATAGCAGCTAAGAATATAACAAAGGGTCTCAAAAATCCTTCGTGGGGTAACTCTACTATGTCAGTCCTGCCCATGATACCAAAAAATTGCTTTGCCTTCTATTCAGAAGACAGGTGGCAAAGAAGGCTGGGGTTTGTACGCCATAGAGGGATTTTCGGCCTTGAGATTTATTTCTTGGGCTCTTTTTACGCAGGTGGCTTGTTTTGCCTTCGTGGGTGTGTGGCTCACAGCGATCAGCAAGACCGACTTGCAAAACGCCTTCATTCCAAGTATATTGATTAGCACGTTTTATCATGATTGTTGCTATCGGATGCGAAATCTCTAGCCCAGCATGAATTTCATTGTTCTGCGGTTGATTCTCAATTCTCTCTGGAACCCAATTTTCAATTTGAAGTCCATGGAAATTCGCAAAAAACCCCCTTTCGAGAACCACCCAGCCCCAAATAGTGTAGGATCGAGATTGCGATAATTTAGCTAATGAGATTGGCTCACTCTGTTGGGGACAGGGTCTACCAACCGAGTTGTGGTATGTTTCTTCAAGGTGAATTTTCTGCTGGGTTATTTGTTTGCTAGTCAAGATCAGCCGTAGCAACAGTGATAGGCTGAAGGCGGAGTATGGCGGGCTTACCCAATCTGGCATGCCGTCTGTTGTGCAGTTGCAGTTTCCTATATACCACGATCTAATCATTTGCCAGTGTGCTTTTGCAGCTTTCGGGAAGGTTCTCTTCAATTGCCAATTCGACCTTGTGGGTCACCTGATCGCTACTCATGGAAACCAGGAACGATGTCATACCAGAGTATCCCTTAATTCAACAGGATGTGTTAGACGCCATTAGTTATCTAGTCTTAGCGACCGGTCTGTCATCCACGTGATGACGGAGGACGATATCTCCTTCCCTTAAAGGAAGAATAGGACATCATCTTCTCCTCCATCGTCCTACAGACCGAGTAGACCCTTACAGGATGCCAGGGCATCCCTGCCTGGTTTCCGTAGGTAGTGATCAGGTGACCCACAAGGTCGAATTGGCAACTGACTAGAACCTTCCCGAAAGCTGCTTTTACATACCCGGAACTATATCCCGACATGTCAGGTTACACGCACATGCTTGCATTGGAATTTGAGTGAGCTATTACGACGCCAGAAGTATGCAGTTTACCCCTGTAGCGCCCTTGCGTCGCGGGGAGAGAAACGATATTCTGATTTTTGGCGGTGACTGAAACCACTTATGTTACTCGGTCTTTGTACATGGTCTCCGAATCTTGCCAAGGTTCAGATATCTGCTTTCACCAAAAACAAGTTAAAATTTATTGCTGAGGATCATGTCAATGTCTAAGGCTTTGTATGGTTTTCTACTCGACAACCCACTCGTTTTAATAGGAAGCGCAACTTTGATAGTGCTGTCAATATGTCAGTGGTTTCGATATTATCGATCATGGGTGTGTCTCCCTTCATTTATGCTCTTATCAAGATTTCTTGTGATAATTGAGGTTCCCATGTGGAGTTTTTGAAATTTGCTGAAACGATGAAATCTTAGGTTGATGTTCCTGTTGTGGGAGAGAAGGGAGTCTTTCAGTTTTGGAAGAATGCCCGTCGTTGGGGTACATGCGGACCCCAGCTGCTTCAAGAAGGATATGAACTCGTAAGACCTTTCATCGTTGGCTCCAGATATTTCCATTCGAGTCATACAAGTCACTGACTCTTTTACAGCACAGGGACTTTGCGTTTCAAGTGGCCACGCCAACTGGCTGGAATGTTTGTATCTGCAATGATGCCATGATCAGGGAGTACCTTAATGCTTCAGATGAGTACCTATCTTCCACGGCTCCAATTCAAGGGGTAAGAGCATACTATATCTCAGGCTGAGCTGGACTAATGTCCGATATTACTATAGTTTTTTCAATCCAGATTTACGGCCCCTGGACTATTTCATAAAATACCGAGCTCAATGATGAGCAAAGCACTTACCTGGTCTCGAACCCGCACCAGGTCAGGGGATGAATACTTTCCAAGCTTCATCGAGGAGATTCAGCACTCATTTGAACAAGAGATTCATAATCACCTGCAGAGCGATGATGATTGGAATCAATTCGACTGTTATACGATCGCCAGCCGCCTTGTGATGGGCCTGGTTGCAAAGTTACTAGCAGGGGACGAGTGTCGCAATCCAGAGAGCATCGACCTTTTCTGTGATTACACAGCCGAAATGCTTGTTGGAGGCCCATATATTCGCAGATTCCCCGACTTCCTTAAACCGTAAGCTCTGACATATGACTTTCGATATTTTTGATATTGACTTCTGCTTCCAAAAGTATTATAGCACGGTCATCCAAAGTTGTGAATTTATCAAATCGGATGCAAAAGCTCTTTCTTAATTTGATAAACACACGGAAGATGGAATCAGAAGAGAGGGAAAAGGCAGGAAAACAGCCTTCGGTGAGTTTCTTGTTCTTTATCTGCAGCTTTGGCCCAGGAAAGGCCAGGTTCTTTCTTTTCTGCGGATATACGAGCTAACCAAACGACTATCATACTGTCAGGACTTAACAGATTGGTTCTGGCGATGGACCCAGCAGCAGAAGGATTATAATCTGAATGAGCTAGACATTGCCCAATTACTTGCTGCAAATACTTTCGGAGCTAGCTTTAACACTACTGTGGTTCTTGTCCAGTGTCTCTGTGAGCTTGCCACAAGGCCCAAATATATTAGTCTTATCAGACAGGAGGTCATCGGGGTTCTTCGGGCCAACAATGATACTTGGACCAAGGAAGGAATTGATTCAATGAAAGTGTTGGACAGCTTCATAAAGGAATCACATCGCTATAACTGCTTTGATCATGCCGGGACACCTCGTGTTGTCAAGCAAGACTTCAGATTCAAGAATGGTCTTCATATTCCAAAGGGGACAGTTCTCATGACACCGAACGCACCAATGTTATTTGACGAAGAATACGTGAAAGACCCCTTTGAATTTGATGGTCTACGGTTCTATGAACTTGCCAATAACTCCAAGACACCGGAAATGTTCAAATATACTTCTACGAATCCTCACTACCTTCAGTTTGGAGATGGAAAACACGTTTGGTAAGTCTCTTCTACTTTGGTATTCTTCATTCTGCCAACCATGGAGGTCTGATGTACTAATTCCTGCTATTTATAATCATCTAGCCCCGGGCGCTTTTTTGCAGCGGATGAGCTCCGGCTCATTCTGGCGTACCTGGTCTTTCATTTCGAGATCAAGTTACAGAGGGCCTTGCCGGAGAACCTCAAAATCAAGAGGCACAACGTGCCGCACTTGGGAATAAATGTCCTCTTTAAGAAAATAGAAAGGTAGATTAGAGTACTTATCACTCATTTTGTTATGATCTTCTCTTCAATAACTTTTTCCTTCAAGATAAACCGTAGTTCAATTACACAAAGGAATACCTGATATAATCAAACTTGATGTGATAGTGACCGCGTATTTCAGCCATAAGCGACTTTAACTACAGACCCCAAGGATGAATATTTGGCAACTAGAAAGAAGTCGTAGAAGCGGAACTGCGTGATGTCGAACTTGACAGCTTTTGTAGGTAGAATTAACGAGAAGAAAACCGCGACAAGAGATAAATCCAGTATCTTCGAGGCTTTTACAAAAGGCGTATGGGAGCTGGCTACTCTGACCTCGTTACTTGTGGTCTAGACCTACTGCGTCAAAGTTGTGGTAACAAAGGCGTCAAAACATGTGCCGTGATTGACGAGCGTAGGGCAGAATTTCCAGCAAGGGAGTCGTTGCTTTCCAAAGCTCTAATCGGAAGTTCCGTGGCAGATCAACTTGCGGTGTAAAAATATTGTGCTGAATTTAATTGAACGATAAATCCCGATCACATATTTCCATCTTGCATATGTAGCTTAGTATACAAAATGTCAACCACAGCGATAAAACCTGCAAGGAGCACGGAATTCAGAATGCTGCAGTAAGAGCGTTTCACAGCATCATGGCTGCAAGCAAGGAATTTCAGACTGAGCATTTCTCTCGCTTTTGCTGACCTCGTTTTCTTCTCTGTTGAGAAACCTGGAATGTCAAACTTATCCAATGAGACTCAGCCTTTACTAGTTAAATGTCTTGGTAAAAAATAACCAAGTTTACAGTTATTTTCACTAATAGGGTACCAGTAGAATATCCACATTGATCGGGGTATAAATGTGAGATATCTCCATAGGATATCACCCTAACACTGGTCTACACTCTTCTCAAAAGCATCTTCAATAATTCAAAAGGTGCCCTTCTAGAGAGGTCAGCATGTCAATCCCACAAGAATGCACTGTTTTGGTAGTAGGTGGCGGGCCTGGCGGGTCTTATGCTGCCTCAGTTCTGGCAAGGGAAGGTATTTCCACCGTATTGTTGGAAGCTGATATTTTCCCTCGGTCAGTCAAGGTATACTCAAGCCAAGAAGGTAGCTCGGGGCTGACAAGAGATACAGATACCATATTGGTGAGAGCCTACTACCATCTACAAGGGAATTCTTAAAATTCATAGAGGTTTATGAAAAATTCGAAAACCACGGGTTCAGACATAAGGTCAGTATCGAAGCTGGATTCCAAAAATGAGACGATAGCCGGCTAAAGATCAATGTAGAATGGGGCATCTTTCAGCTATAATAGCAAGCCCGCAGCATGTAAATCAACATTGTGTTACAACTTGAACATCAACCACTGACTGCTTAATAGACACAAACTTCCTTGCGTTTGGAGGACATGCTTGGAATGTTGTCCGTTCTGAGTGCGATCAAATTCTTTTCGAACACGCTAAAGATAGCGGGGCCAAAGTATTCGATGGAGTCAAGGTCAACGCGGTCGAATTCAAGTCAATTGGCTGCCAGAAAGGCCATGATGATTCGGAGCCAGAACGTCCAGTGTCAGCTTCCTGGAGATCCAAGGACAAAAGCGCCAGTGGTACGATAAAGTTCGACTACCTAGTGGATGCGAGTGGCCGAGCTGGTCTCATCAGTACCAAGTACATGAAGAACCGCAGTTACAACGAGGGTCTCAAAAACATTGCCACATGGGGATATTTCAAAGATGCTGGAACATATGGGAAGGGTACCCCTGCAGAAGGTGATCCGTTTTTCCCTCGTCTCAAAGGTAATATTTGCACGAGAATCATGATAAGACACTCAAAATGCTAAAATCGCTTTTAGATGGAACTGGTTGGGCGTGGTTTATTCCTCTGCATGACGGCACAACTTCTGTTGGCTTAGTGATGCAGCAGACCAGCTTCACAGCAAGAAAGAAGGCGATGAAGTCACCGAATACGAAGGACTTCTTTATGAAGAACGTACATGATGCCCCAATGATCTCTGAACTAATCGAAAATGCCGAGCTTGTTTCGGAAATCAAGTCTGCCACCGACTGGTCATACAGCGCCACGAAATACGCTTGTCCCTACATTCGCATTGTTGGAGATGCCGGGTGTTTCATCGACCCTCTGTTCTCTTCGGGAGTACATTTGGCATTGACTGGAGCTCTATCTGCTTCTGCCTCAATCTGCGCGGCGATCAAAGGAGATTGCAGCGAAGAGATAGCAGCTAACTGGCACTCGGAGAAGATCAGAGAGTCTTATACGAGGTTTCTGCTTGTGGTAACCAGTGCATACGCCCAAATCACAGGACTGGAGAGTCCTGTATTGAATGAGTATGACGAAGAAAACTTTGATCGTGCTTTCAGCTTTTTCCGACCCAGTGAGTGTCCCTTTATCTTACAAATTTGACCTGAAATCTTTCGGATCTTGATACTAATCGAATAACCCTAGTTATCCAAGGAACTGTGGAAGTAGGTGGAGAAAAGTTGAGTACAGAAGAGGTGGCCGATTCAGTGGAATTCTGTATGCGTGTGATTCGCAAGGTAGACGGCACTATGAACATGTTCACAGATAAAGAGAAGCTGGGTAAAGATAAGTTGGGTGAGTTAACCTGTGATCGCATCAAGAAAGAGGAGCTCAAGTTGGATCTGAACAAATTTCGCGATGATATTGTACAAGGAATGACGGTCAATCTTCAGCAAGGCGCCCTTGGACTAATTCAAGCTGCTTCATAAGCTGAGATCATTCAAAGTATCACATTGATTCAGCAAAGCTGGCTAGCCTTATTGAAGATTTAAAGTTGTTCACAGCTCTATAAAATCATAATTCCGTTCTTTTCATCGACGTAGATGTGATTGGTTTTACGTGCAAACCTTTTGTTGAACGCAAGTCACATTCGACTTCTGATCAAATGAATTATGGCTATTCCAAAGCCAAATGACACGTTATGAATAAGAAAGAAGTTCGCAGTATGCTTTCGCCCTTCTAAAAGTAATAGCAATAAACCAGTCGGCTTAGACTATACAAACTCTATCTAAAGCCCGATACTATATGTTCGCTTCTGTTCGTGCATCTGACCCTTGGCAAGGCAAGAAATGACTTATGATAGCCTCTAAGATAAATGAGTGCTACATCGGATTGAAGCTAATTGAGGATATTTTTGGGACCAGCAAACATACAAATTCATGTCCGATATTACAAGTATGAAACATAGTCATGTTTTGCTTCGTTGCAGATATGGCAATGTCTATGAACCATCATATGTAATCCAAGCGGTATTTTATTTTGCAAAACTCTTCGTATATTGCTTCATTATCATGCCCGAATTGCCTCGAGTACCGCTTGTCGATGAACGCCAGCCGTAGGGGACCGCCACACATTAACCAGCTTAAGCCCCACGGAACTAAGCAGCGCTCGAAACTGTTTTTCCGTTCGTTCGAGCGATGAGAATAATATCATCATATTCAGATCCATGATAGCATCTGTAGGATGAACATTGGAAGCAAAGTCCGGCAGCACACGGTCGTGGATGAGAAGCACTGAGTCCTCGTCCATCGCATCTCGGATGTGCTGCAAAATGGTTCGTGCCTGAGAATCTGGCCAATCGTGCAGAACACGGCCCAAAAAGTAGAAATCCGCACCGACTACCGGTTGTGGCTCGAAAAAGTTGTACGCCATAGCCTGCACTGATCGTATATCCGTAGATCTCGAAAGTTCCGGTAATATATCTTGGATGACACTTGATACATCTTGAAGAACAAAATGACCTCGAAGAGATGGAATTGAATCCAGCAATACTTTTATCTCGTGGCCGATGCCTCCTCCAATATCCACAAATTGAAGCCCTTTATCAGTACAAGCCATTTGACCCTCGAAGATCTTCAATTTTTCTGTGATAGGAAATATCTGGGTCCATCGCGCAGAATTGTCGCGCATAGCACCAGCCTGCATTGTACGATTAAAGGCATCGAGCTGGATCGGATGTGACTCCATCCAATCAAAATAATGTTGGTCTGTATTCAGGATCGATTGAAAAGGCCCTGCGTAGGCGTTCGAGGGCGATGCATATTTGGTTTGATTCAAGTATTGGGGAAGTTTTGCGTAAATTTGGAAATGAATATCACTGGTGCAAATATTTCAGCTAGTGAGAACATTTGGGAAGCAACGTTTTCAGACTTACAAGTTCATCAAAATCCGACTTTCTAGATAACCACCTCGAGCGAGGTCTTTAATCACGGCATCTGGCTTGTAGGTCCCTGTCGAAGTGACGCTGAAGATTCCAGAGGCTGTCAAAGACCGCAGTATCCGCGCTATCGAGTCCAAGTAATTGGTAAGGCTTTCGTAATGAGACAGAGGAGAGTTTACATACAAACAAGCAACGAATCCCCACCCACTTGCGAGATAATCTCCCAGCCCTCAAACTCATCCTTTGGGGAATTGTGAACAAAATTGAATATGTTCATATCAATAGCAATCCTGACAGCTACTATTGGGGTCATCTATTGGGTCTCAGATTAATGTGAACACAAAATCATCGTGACGCCTGAAATAGTTACCGCATGAGTGCCCTTCTCTAACCGTGACCTCGGCTGTTCGATTATTGCGGAAAGACTCTCGCAAGCCTGTGACAACTCAGCTAGTTGCTGAGAGTCAATGGGCTGACTGGAAATAATTTCTGTTGCATCACGGATTGAAGATGCAAGTTTACCCAGATCCATTGCTCGGCACCGGTAGCACGTACAAAATGAAAGAAGATATGGATAAAGCCCAGGGGATATGATATAGCAATTGAAGGACTGTGAAACCGATCTCCCACATTATACAAGACACTTTTGATGCAGAAATTCTATGCAGACACGATCCGTAGAGCATATCATCTTGTTGTGACCTGTCGAAGCACCCCGGTAGCGGTGAATTAATCTTGCAGAGAAGGATGTAACTTGATATGCATTCTTCGTCCTGATAACAGCGTACAATGTTACGCGGACCCACAG